GGGGGGGGGGCGGCTTAACAGTAATCGACTTCTGATGTCTGCCAGGGCAGGGCATCACTTATCTGGCTAACCAGAGCTCGTTTCTCATGCCTTTCTGACTTCTGGGCATCCCTGGCGATGCATCAGAAGATGACATCAACTCTGAGCTGGTCATGGCGTTTCGCATCAAAATTCGGTCGAATGGACTTCGGAATGAACCACGTCCGTCAGACTGAAAGAATTCTTCCGGACATCCCAGCCGGATAGACATCAAGTACATCACCCAAAGGCGTCCAATAGGGCCCGGTTGCCAGAACAAGACTGAAATCGAGGTCAACGAGCTTCAACCATAGAAAGTTCGCTTGATCCATGCAGTGGTAAAGGACACAAGTCTATCCATACGAAGCCTGGATACGCTGTTCAATCTGCACCACCGTTCATTGCTTGCCGGAGTTTAGCGCGGAGCTAACTACAGGTCTCTTTTTGTGGACAACTCCATCTGATTTGCATCACTAATTCGCTTAGAGGACTCGTCAAGCCCTGCATTGTCCCCACCAACAGGTACTGCCTTGCTCAGTCATGGCCCACGTATATCATGGCCCACGGAGTATTGTTGAGCTCCAGGCGTCTGAGCGGGCTCTCCAGGTTTTTCGAATGGTCCTACGAGTAGAATGCGAGGACATTGGCTTCCCGTCAGTAATAATACTGCGCGGGACGCTTCCGCCTTCTGCTGGCAATCTCGTATGTGGGGTGCCCCATGGATGTCCCACCGGTTCCCAGCCTCAGGCCTTCTGCTCGTACGAGAACTATCGTCGCAGACAGGGGGCACAATGCGGGTCCTGTTGCGATCGCAATTCCTCTGCATAACATGCCAACCTCAGACTTCAGGCATTCATACCTGGACTCAGCCTTGGGCTTTGGGAATAACAACGTCACTCTAATACCCTTTCTCGTTATCTAGGCGGTGGGGTCAGCGGCAACACGAAATTGCGTATCAAGAGATACGCATCAGGAAACTGGGATTCACCACCTTCCTTCTACAATGAGTCTTCTTCGTACTGCGTTCACAGTTCAAGAAGATGTCTATGGCGTAGAATCCCCCGTCTTTACAACGAGGATATGGCTTTAACGGAAGTAAGCAAATGCATGTTTCGGATATGGGCGACTGACTCTTTACCAAGGCATTTCTAACCCATGACAGGCACGATCGGGAAACTCTCCATGGCTAGGTGACTAGCGTCACTGGCGACCTTTTGCCGCTTGGCCAACAGGATCCACCAGAAATTCATCCGAGACCCTCCAGCAACCCACCGCCTAATGAAAACAAATCTCTGCTCCCCAAGAAATTTGTTCAATGCTATTTCAGCACACCCTTTTCAACGTCGGACTTGTACGGTTTTTGGATCCTTTTCTTTGTTGGTCACTTTCAATCACTCAGGCCTGTTTCATCAAACCGATTTAGGTCTCGGGGCGCTCAAGATAGCCTCGGGTCTGGAGTACGAGTGTGGGGTAGCTTCATACATTCCGCCTGGCCTGGCATAGCAGTTAACCATGGCCGATGCCTTGCCCAAGGAAATTGGACACGGTCTATCACCCCAAGAGCAAGGCCATACTAAAGCTCAAGAGGCACAGGATGGACCAGAGACTCGTTCACAATCATCAGAAAAGGATGGGCTGAGTTCTCTTGGGAATCCTGGTCATGGAAAACCAAGCGACAGGAGACCGACCTCCACCGACTCATACGGCCTCCATCGGACACAGTCAGGTGTCGATGTAGAACGCGCCCAGAAGGATTTCGCGGAGTTGAACCGGGAGTTTAGTTCAATCAGTCGACGGATGTCGCGTACCCAATCTAGAGCCTCAGGTGCCAGAGCCAGGGATCTGGAAAAGGCTGTCAGCTCGTCCGACGAAACGCTAGATGATGCCTTCGATTTGGAGCAAACCCTACGTGGCAACCGCGAAGCCGACAACGAAGCCGGAATCAAGCCCAAGTATATTGGTGTGATTTGGGACAACCTTACTGTTCGGGGTATTGGCGGCGTGAAGAATTTCGTCAAAGTGTTTCCTGACGCCTTTGTCGATTTCTTCAATGTTCCTGGGACTATTATGAGCATCTTCGGACTTCGAAAAAAGGGCAGGGAGTTCAACATTCTACGCGATTTCCGTGGAGTTGCTAAACCCGGGGAGATGGTCCTAGTTCTTGGTCGACCTGGCAGTGGATGTACTACTTTCCTCAAGGTTATCGCCAATCAGCGATATGGCTACACAGGCATTGACGGGGAGGTTTTATATGGTCCTTTTGATGCTGCTACGTTTGAAAAGTTGTATCGTGGAGAAGCTGTGTACAACCAAGAAGATGATGTTCACCATCCTACATTGACCGTTGGACAGACTCTAGGATTCGCCCTTGATACGAAAACTCCAGGGAAGCGCCCAGCTGGTCTCAGCAAATCTGAATTCAAGAACAAGGTCATTCAACTGCTACTAAAAATGTTTAACATTGAGCATACTATCAACACCATTGTCGGCAATCCATTTATGCGAGGAGTGTCTGGCGGTGAGAGGAAACGCGTGTCAATTGCAGAGATGATGATTACACGTGCTACGGTCTGCGCATGGGACAACAGTACACGAGGGCTTGATGCATCCACCGCACTTGACTATGCTAAATCCCTGCGGATCATGACCAACATTTACAAGACTACAACTTTCGTTTCTTTATATCAAGCATCCGAAAATATCTACCATCAATTTGACAAAGTTATGGTTATCCATGAAGGACGACAGGTTTTCTTTGGTCCTGCCAACGAGGCACGAGCCTATTTTGAAGGTCTGGGCTTCTTAGAGAAGCCACGGCAAACCACCCCAGACTACTTGACTGGCTGCACCGACGAGTTCGAAAGAGAATACAAACTGGGTAGATCCCCAGAGAATGCACCCTCAACAGCTGACTCTTTAGTCGAGGCTTTCCAAAAATCCAAATATGCTGACAGGCTCTCTACGGAAATGGCCGAATATCGCGAGTCGATAAGGGAAGAAAAGCAAATCTATGATGACTTCAAAGCCGCCCACCAGGAAGCCAAGCGGAAACACACTCCGAAAAACTCAGTTTATTCGGTACCGTTCCATTTGCAGATGTGGGCCTTGATGCAACGACAATTCTTGATCAAGTGGCAAGACAAGTTCTCTTTGGTGGTATCCTGGATCACTTCAATCGTCATCGCCATTGTCGTCGGCACAGTTTGGCTGAATCAACCCCAGACTTCTGCAGGGGCATTTACTCGCGGTGGTGACATCTTCATTGCTCTTCTTTTCAATGCATTCCAAGCATTTTCAGAACTTGCTTCGACCATGCTTGGGCGACCAATTGTGAATAAGCATCGTGCCTATACTTTTCATCGGCCCGGAGCTTTATGGTTAGCGCAAATCCTCGTGGGTAGGTCTTCAATCTCTCAACCGAATCCGGTAGTGTTTCTGTCATTATTAACTTCATGTGATAGATCTTGCTTTTGCGAGCGTCCAGATTTTCGTGTTCAGCGTCATTGTCTACTTCATGACTGGTTTGGTGAGAACACCTGGGGCATTCTTCACGTTCACACTTATCATCATCACCGGCTACCTATCAATGACACTGTTCTTTCGGACGATAGGCTGCTTGTGCCCGGACTTCGACTATGCTATAAAGTTCGCCGCAGTCATCATTACACTCTATGTCATAACATCTGGCTATATCATCCAATATCAGAGTCAACAGGTCTGGTTAAGGTGGGTTTTCTACATCAATGCACTGGGATTGGGTTTCGCAGCGATGATGATGAACGAATTCAAGCGACTTACAATGCGGTGTACGAATGAAAGCCTGATACCTTCAGGCCCGGATTACAATAGCATCACCAACCAAGTCTGCACCCTACCCGGTTCTGAGGCAGGTTCGGTAGAAGTTTCAGGTTCGGCTTATGTGAAGACCGCCTTCTCGTACGACCCTGCTGATCTCTGGCGCAACTTTGGCATCATCGTCCTGCTCATCGTGTTATTCTTGTTCACCAATGTCGTTCTGGGAGAAACTGTCAAATATGGTGCTGGAGGACGGACTGTGACATATTTCACCAAGGAAAACAAGGAACGAAAAGAACTGAACCGAAAATTGCAAGAAAGGAAACGAAGAAGACAAACAAAACAGGATGCTGGAGACAGTTCCGAGCTGAACATCACCTCTAAGGCTATCCTTACGTGGGAAAATCTGACCTATGATGTTCCCACACCCTCGGGGCAATTGCGCCTCTTGAAAGATATTTTTGGATATGTTCAACCAGGAGAATTGACAGCTTTGATGGGCGCTAGCGGTGCAGGTAAGACCACATTGCTCGACGTGCTTGCGGCTCGAAAGAACATCGGTGTCATCGGAGGAGATGTGCTCATCGATGGACAAAAGCCAGGACTCGCTTTCCAGAGAGGCACTTCCTACGCTGAGCAGCTTGACGTACACGAGGGCACCCAGACCGTCCGCGAAGCCTTGCGATTCAGTGCTGATCTTCGACAACCTTATGAGACCCCCCGCGAGGAAAAGTACGCCTACGTAGAGGAAGTTCTATGCTTGCTTGAACTCGAAAACCTGGCAGACGCGATCATCGGGAGCGCGGAAAGTGGTCTTTCTGTCGAAGAGCGAAAGAGGGTCACCATCGGCGTTGAGCTTGCAGCCAAACCCCAGCTTCTCCTGTTTCTCGATGAGCCAACGTCTGGTCTCGACTCCCAGTCTGCTTTCAACATCGTGCGATTCCTGCGAAAACTCGCTGCGGCCGGTCAGGCAATCCTTTGCACCATTCACCAACCGAACAGCGCCTTGTTCGAAAATTTCGATCGACTTCTTCTCCTGCAGAAAGGCGGCGAGACCGTATACTTTGGTAATATTGGAAAGGATGCGCATGTTCTCCTGAGCTACTTCCACAAGCATGGCGCCGACTGCCCTCCAGATGCCAACCCGGCAGAATGGATGCTTGACGCCATCGGTGCTGGAATTGCTCCACGGATTGGAGATCGTGACTGGGGTGAGATATGGCGGGACAGTGAAGAACTCGCTGCAACGAAGGCTGAAATCGTTGATATGAAAGCCAAGCGTGCCCGCGAGGTCGCCAGTGAGCCGAAATTGGACGAAAAAGAATACGCATCACCCTTGTGGCATCAGATCAAAGTCGTGTCATGGCGGACCCATCTTGCTTTCTGGCGCTCACCCAACTACGGATTTACGCGACTCTTCAACCATGTCGCGATTGCCTTGCTCTCGGGTCTTGCTTTCCTCCAGCTCGACGATAGCCGATCGAGTCTCCAGTATCGCATTTTCGTCATCTTCCAAGTCACCATTATCCCCGCCTTGATCCTCGCGCAAGTCGAGCCGATGTACGATTTCTCACGACTGATCTTCTACCGCGAATCTGCCGCCAAAGCATACAAGCAGTTCCCCTTCGCCTTTGCAATGGTGTGCGCAGAAATGCCGTACAGTCTGCTCTGTGCAGTTGGCTTCTTCGTGCCGATCTACTATCTGCCAGGCTTCAACAACTCGTCATCCCGCGCTGGCTATCAATTCTTCATGGTCCTGATCACCGAGCTCTTCTCCGTCACCCTGGGCCAGATGGTGGCGGCAATCACGCCATCAAGCTTCATCTCAAGCCTGATCAACCCCTTCATCGTGATTGTCTTCGCCCTATTCTGCGGCGTGACGATCCCCAAACCCCAGATCCCCGGCTTCTGGCGCGCGTGGCTTTATCAACTCGATCCGTTCACTCGCCTTGTCTCCGGCATGGTCACGACCGAACTGCACGACCTGCCCGTTGTGTGCCGCCCGAAAGAACTCAACTCCTTCCCTGCCCCGTCCGGCCAAGACTGCGGTTCCTACATGGCTGACTTCTTCCAAAGCGGAGGTTCTGGATACCTGATCAACAACGCCACCGATCTGTGCCAGTACTGCGCTTACAAAGTCGGCGACCAGTTCTATAGGCCCTTGCAACTCAACTTTAACGATCGCTGGCGCGACCTGGGCATCTTTGCGGCGTTCATTGCGAGTAATTTGATTTTGTTGTTCTTGGGGAGCAGGTATTTGAATTTCAATAGACGGTGATCTTGCATACATAGTAGTACTTAGTGGTTAGCGATTTGGTTTTATAAAGCACAGCGTCTCGCACTACTTACCATATATATATATATATATGTATACAATATCTATAAAAGTTAATATTACATACCATGTACTATATCTATTAGTACCTACAGTGTAGTACCTTCCTGACAAGACAGACATATATATATATATATATATATACATATAGTAGTAATGTACCACGTCTTAGCCCTCCAGTCCAGCAAGAATGAGCCAAAGGGTCACTAGGTACTTAGTACATAATGTACTTGGTAATATATGGTTTCAGTTCTGTGTTTAGAGGAGCAATGTAAACCAGGACGGGGCTGATTTCGAGCGGACCTAGGTAGGTGGTGACCAGCCCTGATTCTTAAGTAAATACTACATATAATCTATACATAGTATACTAGCAACCTGTCCGATAGACAGCATATCCGACACGTAGTACTATAAGTATAGTACATAGTATCGTACTATATATACTAATAACGAATCAAAATTTGGGAGCTCAGTGTGCGATCGCCTCGCTTAACTCGCTGCTATCGCTTCCTAACTTATACCCAATACCCTTCGATGCTAAGTACGTCGTACTTAGTTAGTATCTACGACCACTAAAGTACGTACCTCCAACACTCATGAAAATGAAACTTGAACTTACTGTGTATTCTTAGTAAGAGTGGGAGTACTTGCAGTACTCTCCATAACGATCAAGTAAGTACTTAAAGATTGTAATAATACTACATCTACATCGTATGAGGAGTCCGATTAGGATTAGGTTAGGGTGTAAATAGATAGATTGAACAGAGCCTTGGCCACGTCCAACGTCGACTTCCGAATTTCGAGGGAGTTGGCATCTTCACTAGAATCTGACCTGGTGTGGCTGACTGTGAGTGCGCCGCCATGAGGGAATACCGCATCTGAGGACTAAAAATTTAGGGCATCATGGAAGGGGTTCGCTGCGGCCGCAGTTGCCGTGGGACAATCTTGAACTGAGGCCGGAAGGCAGGAGCCGAGTCCTGGGAGTTCTGGGGAAGGCGCGGGGTCCTCAAGTGCAGTGGATCACGACCTCTTCCTTTTCAACCACATACCTACCTAGATAGATAGGTAAGTACAATATTGTCGAAAACAAGAATTGTTGCGAGGTCGCCGTTCTTATAAAGCATCGATACATATACCGCATGGTTGCTGTCGAGATTGCCTACTACTAAGGCAAAATTTGACAAGGAGCAGTGCGGCGCAGTGAGCCAGCATCCAGAATGGTTGTTCGCGCCCGATTGTGCAGCGGATACGACTTAAGACGGAGATACAAAAGCACACCAGCCTTCTCGATTCTTGTTTCCTCCTAAAATGCCAACTTCATGCTATAACACTACTCACTTCCCTCACAGTGCACCCGCCCGCCTGGGAAATATAGTGTAAGGTTGTGACCTATTCACAATAGCCATGGCCCCAGGCCCTAGCCCTCTACTATCATCCATTTCTCCGCCACTGCCCTAGATTTCGAACGCAAGCTCCCGGAGGGCCTCGCTGATGCCATTGCCGAGATCTGCATCCTAGAGGATCTGGAGCATGCTATTCAAGACATTGAAGCCAGTCAAGCTGGCAGGAAGTCATTACGCTATTTGAACAAGATCAAGCCTTGTCTTCATGCTCTGATTGACTACTTGAAGACAATGCATTGTGAATGCAAAGCCTGACATAACGGGCTTAATTTGGGGCCCTATCAAAGCCTACTTGCTGGTAGGTGGACAGTCCCCTGACTGTATACCACGGCCAGCATTGACAATCGATGCCAGATTGCCTCCAAGTATGAAAAAGCTTTTGATTCTCTTACTCTCAGTATATGTCAAGGTCAAAGCTGTTCTGCCCCACTTCTCTGCTATTGTAATAGGGGGTCACACCGTATGGAAGGACGGGTGCTCTCAATGAGCACGGTATTATGGAATTGTCATACTGGCTGTTGTGTTGTTCCTCTGAGAGAGAAGAGGAGAAGTCTAAGTAAAGTAGGTACGTAGCGTCATTATACTCTGGTCAGCGTCAAAACATGCTCTAAGCTCAAGGATTAGGTTGGAGCATTGCCTTAAGAAGAACCTGTCGTGCTCTTTGTTGGAGGAAGTGACTTAACTCCTTTTGGACATGCGCTCCGCGATGAATGAAATCTCTGTCTTCTTCAACTCTATGGACTCTGTTCTAGTTTATATAGATATTTCCTAGGCACTTGATCTCCAGGAACCCCTTTAACACTCTTGAGGTTATGTTTGATGACGTTTTTGGCAATCTCGAGCGCTCAAAGGAGCTTCTTTGATCTCTAGCAAGCACTGCTCACTATCAAGAAGCCCAGGGGGCGTGATAACAGGCCGGGATCATAGAATATCCACCGACAACAAAATGGATGTTTGACGAGGCCTCCTGGGTAAACTGGCATAATAAAGAAGAGAATGGTGGAAGGATATTCTGCATCTCAGGTATCCCAGGAGCAGGTAGGAGACGCGTTACTTCTCATATTTTGGAGCACTTTAGCTCGTGTCGACCGGCAAAACTATGATTTCCAATAGCATAGTGGACAATTTGATGTCCAAGCACAAAGCCAATAGACTATGCGTAGTTGCATATGTTTACTGCAAGTACAATGACTGTACAGAACACCTTCACTGAACTGATTCGCTCGTCGATTCATCAGCTTGTTGGTGATAATGAAGATTGTGGAGAGTACCTCTTTGATGTTGCAACACAAGTGTCAAGCGCACTGTCAGAAAAATGGAAGCGCTGATCACTATCCTGAGGTCTTTATTGGCATTGATAGACTTGATGAGTCCGAGCAGAAGGAGCAGGGGATGGTGATCAATCTTCTAAGAGAATTACTCAAGCAACCTTCACCAAGTCCCAATCTTCATCTATTCATTACAGGTCGGGTGGAGCTAGATCTAAAGCGGCCTTAAACGGTGGCTTCGCTCTTCACAAATATGCCATGTTGGAACGGCTACCCCATAATCACTCCCTGCAGGCGAACTACATGTCAGACGAGCAGAACAGTCTGGAGCTACAAAAAGACGTTGAGAAGGCACATGCTAATGTATTCTCCTTCTCCACATCTGCGCAATTTGCGGGATGAGACAATTTCGAGAGTATGCTGGAGAGATTGGAAGCCATGTACAAAGATATTCGGCAAAGTTATGGTGATGGTTGTATGAATTGCCTCTTCATTGTAAAGCTTACTATCTAATGTTGCAGATGAAAGTTCACTAGTCACTCAAGAAATATCCAGGGTTCAGACCGCCATCGAGACTTCCTTGGATTCCTAACCTGGTCGTGAAAGGGAGTCATTTCCCAAGGAAGCTTACGGCCATCATCCATATCATTGTTCTAGTCCTTCTTGCTCCCGGATCTTTTGATGGATTTTCAACTTCTCAAGAAAGAAGTTTCCACGTCCAAAAGCATGAAAGGCAGTACCTGTGTCACTTCCAGGACTGCAACTTCTCTTCTATCGGCTTTCCAACGAAGAGCGCTCTAGAGTCTCATCATGAGATATACCACGTCGAAAACCTTCTGCCACAGTTCTCACACCTGACGTTTTGCTCAACTTGGGTTACATTGTCAACAAGTATTGAAGCTGATGATGCATCATTAGTCGAGAGTTTATGCGTCGAAGCTTCACCTTCTCCCGGAAGACCAACGGGGCTCGTTGCAAAGGCCACTATTAAATCACGTTTCAAGTCGGCCAGAGTCCTAGCTCGGCATTTCCAAAACCCTTCTGATTTCGAAGACAAGTCCGCAGGGGCCAGGCTCTTGGAAGCTCTAGCAGAAGGCAACCAGTTAAGCTTGACACGATAGATTCTTTCCCTCCACACTACACTGTCATGGAGTATGCGTCATTACAGATCTGCTTCGGTCAAGATCCTTGGCAAAGGTCAGAGAGATTTGTTAGCGTTCTTGCTTGATCAGATACAGTTGCGAGAGACTGATACTGGCATGTACGCCTCGCTCATCGAAAAGGCAGCGCGACCTGGTAGTTGTGCTAAGCTCTCGGTTATAGTAAACACAGTGGGGGGAAAGTGTGATCCACGAAGTTTAGCTCGCTGTTGTACCGAGTTTGCCGCCAAAGGCAATGCAACGGCGCCAAGACAAGTTTTGCCTGTCATCCTCAAATATTTACCTGAATATGTTAAGACTACGGGGCGATTCCAAAATCTACAGCATATGTCAATTGGCGATGCGGTGACGAGGTTGCTCAGTGGGACAATGAGAAAGTCGAAGGAGGAGGAGGGGCGCAGTCTCAGGGCTACGTTTCAGCTAGCTGCCTACAGAGGAAATATCGACGTACTGTCAGGACAGTTGAAGATGGGAATGGACATCAACAACATGAATGGACTTTACGGAACTGCGTTGTAGGCTGTATCGAGAAGAGGCCACGCACAGGTGGTTCGATGGCTACTTGGCCGAGGCGCTCAGACCGAGACCTGTGGTGGTGAGCATGGAAGTGCTCGCCCTGCCGCTGCCGCCAAAGGCCATGTTGAAGTGTTAGAAATCTTACTCGGGGCGGGATAACCCATCACAATAAGCTCGTGCGAACACAAAAGTGCGAAATAGACTTTCCCTTGTATCTGATCCTACCACGGCAAATCCGTTGCATTTTGCTGCCGCTGAGATGCAGGTTGAAACAGTGCAAGTGTTAATTAAAGCCGGAGCAGATGTTACAGCGAAGAGCTCGTCGTTGAATTCTTTCTTTCGTCAGGAAACAATATCTTTCCAAGAAGAAGAGGCGGAGGACTTGGAGGACTTCGGGCATTCAAGCAGGGCACCATGGGTACCGGATCGTTCTATAAACTGCGACAACACATTTGAGAATACAACTGCCTTATACACACCGCAAGACGCAATACAACGGACGGAGAGCAATTACAAAGAGACAGATGTCGACATGTCTTTCATGCCGTTCGAGGAGTATCTAACGATGGACGAAACCCATCAGACGAGCAACGAGATCACTCCGTCCAGCTACAATGGGAAACTACAAAACAACCCTTTCCCTAATCTAAGCCCTAACCTATTCACGATCCCTTAGAGAGACACTTAAGCACGGACATAAATCCAAAATCGAGAAAAGGCCCATGGACGACGAGTGACTGTTTGCTGTAATTTTTCGAGCTAACTTGCAAGGCAAATCTCTCACAAAGTTGACACGGGGACTTCTAAAGATAGCAACGCCACAAGAGGCTCGACCAAACGTGCCCGGTGAATGCCGTCGTGGATACCAGTGAGCAGAAAGCCTCTAGCTAAGGGAATGGGATTGTGATCGCGGAAATCCCCCTGACACTGCTCTGGTGATAGCATTCTGATACTGTTAGATAGGTCAACTCACTGGACAATAGCTCCCCTCGAGTGCTATGTGGGAGGCAGACAAATCTATCCTCAAAATGATGAGGGCGGAGGATGCCCAGCTATTCTAGATACCCAAACACATGTCTCAATCAACACTCTGAACGCAAGGTTCACTTTTACAGGAGAAAGGAAGCAAACGCCGAAAATTACCCGAGCGAAGTTAAGCATGCACGTTCCCGACGGGAATCGAAGGATGATTTCAAGGCTAGAACTCATGGAAGCGCTGAGTCACTATGAATTAGAGGAAAAAATCACCTAGCTGTAGCACAACGACAGACATATACTACGTATCTGTCGACCAGCATTGGGGTCTTCGCCACGCCTGGGAGGAGGCTGAATGAGCGGAGAGTTGGGTATTCTGAGGGGTAGTGTGAGTATTATCATAAGAGTGTAGAGTTTGTAGAAATGAGATGAGGCCCCGGGGGGGGGGGGGGGAAAGAATACTGTAGCCTACCAAGGTGCAAGTGTTCGATCAGCCGTTGGAAGCGAGCTTTGAGATCGTGTAGGACGTAAGCCCTGGAACGACCAGGCCACCAAGACCTGAGTTGGTGGCTATGAAATGTAACTCGCGGGTTCTTTGGATCAGGTTGTGTCTTGATGAAATACTGTTGATTCGAGGACACGTCAGTCAGCTAATCTTCATTGAATTCGTTGATGTTCTTTCGGAGGGACGTATAGCGTGGTGTATAGTGCTTGCGGCGCAGGGAGGTCCAGTAGTTAATTCATGAACCTTGGAACTGACTTACGTGAGCAGTCGAGTAGACGCCCTTCAAATTGATCCCCTTGACAGACCCAATAGTCAGCAATGATCAAGGGAATGAGAATGCGTGGGTAGCGCTACTATTCTCCGAAAATAACAGCATTCACATCGCTGATGGAACCGCTGCCTACCATGGAATCCCACCAATTATTAGGACTAAAGTCGCCGACGTTGGCCTCGTCTGCAACAACGGCAGCATTGGCCATGACGACATCAGGAGAGCGACCAAAGGTTCTAATCGTTTCAGTGAAAAGCTTTCCAACGTCCGTGTCCTTGGCGAGATCGGCCTACACAGCTATCGCTTTATGCCGTCGTTGATTGCTTGGACCTTGACAACAGTCTCTTGTAGTTTGTTGAGGCGTCGACCAGCGACAACGACGCCTTCAGCGCTGGCTCTTGCCCAGACTTCGGCTGCGGCCTAGAATCAACCGGTCAGATGAGAAACAAAAACCGCTGAATACTAGATAGATGACTGTGATGAGAAACATACCGCACCTAAGTCTGTCCCACCACCAGTGATGATAATCACTTTCTCTGCTGCTGAGAGCTCGGGATTTGTTGGTGATATGGAATCATAGGGATCGCGTCTGATGGTCTTGGTCGGTTGGAAGGGAATAGTGTAGTCGAGGCTTTCATCGGCCATTGTGAATATCGAAGGTTTTCGATCCAAAAAAGGGGGTTCAAGGGATGGCAGCGAAACGAAATTCTCGTCCTGTTCCTTTTCCTTCCGACTGCGTGGATTCTGATCATCGTGGGACACCGAAATTCCTCTCCGGTATATTTAAGGCTTTTCGTATGTAGGAGAGTCGTACAGTCATCTTGCACCCAATTATCAAGCGTCGGCCTTGGTGGAGGAAGGTAGCTCCCGCGTAGAGTCTGAAATCCTCCCTGCTTAGAAGCAGGCCTGATGGATTACAGATCGTCAATTGTGAAAATGTACATTCCTTATACGTAACACCGTGCGAAGGTGTAGGAATGAAAGTCCCGAGTAGTGCCTACTCCCTCATGGTGAGGCACATTGTGCCGAAAGACGGTCTCTAAATTGCGCTCTGCATACCATCATGAAGCTCCTTCCACCACGGAGGTCTTGATTGGCCTGCGATCAATAAAGGTCTTGGTTGGTAGAGCAATTTTGCAAGGGCGGCACCTTTTACAGTAGAAGACTTGGCTGACTTCAGCCATTTCTGAGGAAACTGTTGCTACAGAACGAGCAGAGAAGGTCGGACAGATTTATAATTATTTGAAATCAATTGCTGATGTAGGCGCGCCTAGGTCGTTCGCATTCGACCTGAGGCTACAGATATCCCGTGTGTAAAGTCTGTTGTATTTTTGAGCACAGGGCGACAGGAAGTAAAAGTGATTACTGAGAGCCATGATCCTAGATATTAGAGCTCCGCCCAATGGGGAGATCTTAAACGAGGCTAAAGATGGAAGTAATTTATAGACTAAGAGTTGATCTCCTTTTCCTCGTACGTTGGGCTCTCACGGCAGCAGTAATGACTGCGTAGTTTTCGGAGGTGTGATAAATCAATGTTGTCGCGACTTGGAAGTTTGAAGCGCAATAGCGCCGCTCGATACCTATCGATTAGAAAAAGGAGGGAAGCTTCTGTGTTTTCACCGTCGATATAATGGTGATTCGAAAATTTCAATATCTAGAATGCCCGCGCCCCGGGGCAGCTTTTTACTCCAGCGCTTATTCTAGGTCCCCACTGATGGATGCTGTAGGGGTTTCCATCCTCAAGGATTCACATACAATCCCTTACCTTACTGGCTAACTCCATATACCATAATACAAATGCTAGCTTATCCAAACCCTACATCGCCTCCGTGCCGCAATCCCTGCGGCTGCTGGGATATCGCTAAAAAGAAAGTGTTCGTGACATGATTATAACCTGTTAGAATGTCTAGATCTGTTCCTTGTCCAGCAGCCACCGTCGGTCGGGGGCCTGTCGCCAAAGTTGAACGTTTGATTCAGTTGCGAGCATCGACAGGTAACTCGACGAAGTGTGATTCGTATTTCTGTGGAGCGGACGCGAGCTCAGCCCTAGGCTTGCTGGTTGGAGCCTCGTAGACAGCGCTATTTGATTGAGGACCAAGACTTAGAGGCATTGATGCCACTGATCCATATACCGGTGGCGCTTTAAAGTCTTGGCTACTGCCAGCTTCAGCTGGAGGAGATGGTTCAATTTGTACTCTTCGCCGGCGTCCGAGCCAGTAGCCTAGTCCAACAATGACGGCAAGGCCTGCAACTCCACCTACAACACCGCCCGCGATGGGTCCGGTATTGCTCCTTTTACTTTCGCTTTCCGTCGATCCGGAAGTCGGCGCAGAGTTCGATCCGGTTGGACTAGATGATCCACCAGTCGTGGTGCTTGAGGGTGGTGGAGTGAAAGCTGTGGCACAACCATATTAGCAATTGGTCATATAATCAGACTATATCAGCCTCAACTCACCAAAAGCAGCGGCCAGTGAATTATCGCTCCATTCTGGTTCTTTGTAGCTTGCAGCATAGTAGTCTTTAACTACCTCAGGTGACTCGTACGCTGCAGCATCTGCCGTGTAGGTGTCTGCCCAGGCGAATTCAGTCATGTCGAATATGCCAATCCCGCTCACCCAGGGATCTGGCTCCTGTCCAAAGGCCTGACGTGAGCTGGGTTGCCTCCCACCAATGGATATAAACTGCCGCTTTCCAACGACGCTACAAGTGTGGCAGGCTCTCCTCTTCGTCGTCTTCGACGTCGTCTTGAACCATTGGAAGCCAGGGAAAGACAACGCATAAACGCTCAGATAACCGTCTTCTCCGGGATGAGCCAGGTCGTATGTAGAATTGGTAGAACCGCCATAAACAAACCTGAACATCGATGTGTTGGTCATTTTGACATTAAAAGATCGTGGGAAGTTAAGCTTACATTTCGAAGCTTGAACCATCACTGCTAGCCGCGCCTACTATACAGAACTCTGATCGTGGTGGTGGAATATCGCCAGTCGTTTTTTGGCTATACCAGGTACCTGAAGCGATGTCGTACATCGTGATGACAGACATGTCGGCCATGAAGGTGCCTAGCTCGTAGAAAGACTCCTCTGTGGGGGGGTTTTCACCTCCGACGACAACGAAGTATCCTTGTTCACCGAAGTTTGGGACGATTAACGCCTTCGCCTGAGTTCGGTAGGGACTCTGGGCCGGAACGCTGGCAGTGAAATTTTCCCATCTGTCTGATTCTAGGTCCTGCGTCACCAGACCAGAAAGAACTGTCATATTCGGCAAGGCGTCGGGCTTGAAGACATTTCCCCCAAAGCTGTAGAATTTGGAATCCGAGAATGCAGTGGCTGGCGCAAAAGGACCGAGAGTGTCACTCGAGAGGCCACCGTCTGCAGGGCTGACATCCAATGTCCAGCTGGTTGATTGAACTCCTGCGGGAGTAGACCATATCTCGCTTGGCATGGCGACTGCTATTGACTCGTTTCCCGCATATGGCCACCCGCCGTACCTTCTGATCGTATTTTCTCCCTCGTCATAATAGAGCTGGGGCTGTCGTAGGGTACGCATGCTTGTCGGCTGGTCAATATTAGCCGTCAAAATGACTGACTGGTTGGTCCAAGATGTCGTCATATCGACGATAAATGTTTGGGTTTCTAAATGTGTAAGTACTTGATGGCATCGTGTCTCCTTGGTCTCTTACGCTCGGCCGCTCCAGCTGTAGTGTAGTACTCTCCTCCTGTGATATAGAGATAGTCGCCCACGACTAGGGCTAGCATTGGTCAGTATGACATATTGTGCAGAAGGCCGCGAGAACATACAAGAGCCCCAGAACCATTGTGATATGCTGGAATCTATGAGCTCAGCCCGTACGCCACAGGAGGCGAGGCTGAGCACAAACAGTGCGCTCAGCATCTTGTTTGGATTTCTCGACAGAAGTACTGGATGTGGGCGTGACGACGTGCATGGAGCGTTGGTGATGGGAAGGTCGAGAGACTGCTGTAACGAAACGCCAGATGATCTATCCTCTGGGTTGATGGCTAGCAGGGCCGTCTCGATCACGGAACTTGCTCCTTAGGAAACCAGGCAATTGAACGGAAGGGGGAGAGATTCAGGCGTACCGTGGAACAGCGGAGTTGCAAGAGCGGGCTATTCCTCATCCCTGTAGTCTAGTGGCAGCGCGAGGAGCGATATTGTCCTAGAAGTTCCACCATTTGAACAAATGACCCGAGGCCAGGAGAACCATTCCCCAATGACATGATTTTTTCAGGGTCACGATTTCGGTTATGGGTAATGCCCGTATTGGATTAACTAGATCCAGGCACGAAAGTCTGGTTGGCCTGACAAGCTTTGCGGGAGACAGTCATCTAACAGGGGTCAGTTCAAGCACCCCAACGGCCCCTCCCAGTAGCCCAGAAGCACGGAGGAAGCAGAATGGTGCTGTTTGGGACTGGTATACTATTCGTTGTAGCTAGTGATCTTCACTATGCGGCGTCAGCAAATTCCAAATGTAAATTGTAAGCTTGAAATTCTGGCCCAAGTAAAGGATGGAGTCACAGTATTGAATATGGATTTCAACAGGCTATACCGGTGGCAAGCAAGTATAGTCCGGCCCCAAGGAACCGAGCAGCTTCCTGGCCGAATTCCGAGGCCAGACAAGTCTCAAGTCAGTTGACGTGTTGATGCCAAATCCAAAGGCTGTTTGGCCATGTGAGGAACATACCGTATTAAATCACCTGAAACACAGTGGAAACGTGGCATGGGTTTCGAACGCAGCAATTGGTGAAAACTGCCTTGAGATAGGCTATTCAATCTCGATTGATTTGCCAATAGAACCTGGCAAGGCAGGCTACACTAGACTAGGCCGTCAGGGGCCATTTAATAAGTTATATTTGCAAGTCCCCCCAGGGGGCCTTAACCGTCGCTTGGAAAGGAGTCCGTCGCACCTTAGGAACGTAGCAACCAGTCTCGATTCTCGTGTGATGATGATGCGACCTCTTAAACCTCTTTGATTGCACTTGCATTTGGTTTCCAGAGCTGCAGTCTAGGCGAATTCAGTTCTCGTAGGATGGATGACTCAGGACCGAATCAGACTGCTTTATCTGGCTTAGCTGAATCGAATTCACTCGGCTCCTGTATCACTTTATCGACAAACTGTGAAAGGCCTGATTCGTGCGCGTACGGGTACATATCATATCCTCGATAAGGAACAGCCGAGAACCATACTCTCCATTGTGATGCGTCCATTGTGGCAGATATTCGGCTTGCCTGACCACGACGTAGTCTTTTCGATACGAGTGATGTATGATGTTCAGCAATCCTGGAAAGGTTGAGCATGGCATCATCGCATGTACGGAAGCTCAAGATTTCCTACAGTCGCCACAACCATAGGCCAGCTGACTCAATACCGAAGTGTCGCACTGACTACTCATTCAGTGTAGTCAGAACGCGAGGGGCTAATTATATGACTCTACAAACATACACGGTAAACTCAATGAAATTCTTGGATTGGTACGTATTGTGTTGGCACCTTGGCGAATGTCCGTACATCAATCATGTCCAGCATGCCCTTATCAGTCTTCTTCAGTTTTGCTAATGGTCGCTCCATTGTTGGCGAGTTGTTAGACAAACGATTGGTCGGGACTTGTTACCGGCGGACTGGTTGGCCATCATTCTAGCCTTCTCAACACTACTCAGACGTCTATTAATGTGCCAAAAAATGTCTCCTTGTACAAGTACTCGCTATCGAGTCCTTTTAATAATCCAGGGGCCAAGCGCTTGGGGCTAGGTCAATTCAGCCCTCAGAATGGCCTAACAGCCCCTGCAATCGGGCAAAAAAGGGGATGTTCTCCAGACTCGTCCGTGGGCAAAGAGTAACTCATGCAGGATGTGTGCTGACCCAACAAGTCTGAAAATCATCCCGCAAGCCAGTGATTGGGATATATACACGTGATGATGTTTCAAAATCGATTCTGGGAATCGTGACCAAGGCTTCTCTGGGACCAGAACTTGGTGTGATCCCATTAAACGGGGCTGAAGGGAGCTCTGATGCAAATGTTATCTATCGCGCGACAAAGGGCAAGGGTCCTAGCGGTAACGTTAGTATCGTTTGCAGTCTGAGCACCATCACCATCCTTTTTTCCGCCCCTCCAACACTTGCAATGATAATCTTGTCGACAACCTATGCTACTTCATCGAGTCGAAGTGACCTTCCTCCTCAGCTGGCCGCCGAGTCCCCCCAGAGCTGGGGCGTATTACCCGGCGGGCCTGGTGACCTGACGTTCTTCACCACACGTTCTTTCCATTTGGCATTGAGCAGCTGGCCCCCTTCTGCCAACCAATCCACATCATAGCCTGAGGTTCAGGGATCGAGAAATTAATGTAGGCTAGCGGCGATATCAGACTACATACAAGTCCTAGCACAGGCCAAGAGTAGTCAGGCTAAACTTTCAGATATGGCAATATAGTGGCCGAGAAAGGCGCCCTATTATCTTCCAAATGCTGTGGCATTTCGATTCGTGGATGAACTCCTCGTAAAAGACCATAACGCGCCACCTCAAGTCTTACTGAACTGAATAGGAGTCTATTTCCATATCCAGCGAGAGGTTTCCGCCCTCTTCGACCCCGGGTTCTTCATCGTTGGCGCTGGGCTGAATGGTTCATAGCCTTCTGTATTCGCCAAGACAGTGAAGTTCACTGTTATTCTCGTGGGTCGCGCCGTTACTCACCTAGCTCAAAATCTATAAATATATATGACAATTACCAAAGTCTCCCCGAAACTGGGAAAAGCACTAACGAATGCATTCTGCGTAGCCTGCAGAGAAAATTCTTAGATGCACTACTCTGCTCATAATGGACACTGATCACCTAGGGCGGCACAGAAGTTGGTAGTTGTCGTCGGTTCGACGTCAACTCGACTGGTCGGAGCCGAAGCCTATGATCCACCGTACATGTGCTACGGCAGGCTTTAGGCAGATTTATGTCAACGTCAAAACTACTAATACTTGTAAATCATTGACTACCTTAGGTCATACATGCGAATCAGGACTCTGTGCAGCTGGCATGCATGCAAGGCTGCAACTAGATGTATAAAATGCATGTTGCGCTTTTGTGTATTGCAAGCTACCTCGAACACTAATGTGTCCTCCAATGCACCCCAACCTCACGCACTCTTGCTGCACGTGAAATCCTTTGTGTTGCTGGAAGTCGAACAAGAAGGCCATTAGGCTGCAGAAGCCTCCACCTTCTGTTTTGCCCTACAACCTGGGATGAGTCTAGTTGACTACCCATCATCATGCTTCGCTGTGTCGCTAACATTCCGCGGCCGGCCCGTACCATTGTCAAACCGTCTCTACAGATCTCTAGCACAATCCTTACAAGAAATATCAAAACTCATGATCTTCCACCATCGAAACACTCAGATAAGCCACAGCCATCGACGCAAGATGCGCCGACACCTGCCCAAAGCGAGCCACCACCACCCATGGCGCGCTCAATGGAGAGTCTCCTTGCGGACACGAAGCCTGCAGACAACCCTCTCCTTGCCAGGGTTCATACGCGCGAGGACGCGGAGGCTGTTCTGAATTTCGACCATCCTGCAGCCAATATCCTCACACAACCTGGATTAGTGGTACAAAGGCATTATGGCACGATGGGCATAGTTTCAAGGCTAGAACAGGTCGATAAGTATGTAATACTTGATCCTCGTGGGAATCACATTGGCTACATGGCAGAACATGATGGAATGTTTCAGAAGATCTTGCCGGGGCAATGGTTCAGGACCCATCGAGCATTCACCACGCACGTTTTTGACAGGCATGTGCAGGAAGTGCTCAGATTTCATCGACCATTCTCATGGACGAGCACACAAACTCGAGTGTATGATGCTCTTGAGCGTAAATCCAGACTCTATCGTACCAATGATAACAATCCAGAACTTGGACTAAGCATAGAAGCAATGCCTATCATCGGTGAAGCCCGCTCCCGAGGGCCGCTTCAGAGTCGCAAATACGATCTGCTTCTCGCCAAATTAGGTGAACCGATGCCTGGTTCGATATCCGCAAAGCCTGCGGAAGACTCATCAGAGTTGCGAAATCAAAAAGCTAGTCAGATTGTCATTATACCGATTTTCGCACATTTCGCTCACATCAATAAACCGTTCTCGTCATTAGACTTCCAGGTGACTGCTGAAGACGGTCGATTAATAGGTTTAGTCAATCGAAGCTTCCGTGCTACCACTCAAGAAGACTTCGCCAGTACAGGAGCTTACGTATTCCGCCTGGATTCTGCGCGACTCGAGCAGGAAACACAGAGAGAGGATCCAAGTTCACGAACAGGTAATGTCGATCAAACAAAAGTAAAAGTATTGGGTGAGGAGGATAACAATCACGGATTGACACTAGACCAGAGGGCAGTTATGCTTGGAACTGCGGCAACTTTGAACCTTGATTACTTCGCTGGGCAAAGTACCGACGCTGGTCTTCCGTTCATACCCATACCGGTCCCAGGTGGAGGAAAATCTGCTGGTGCAGGTGCAGGTGCAGGAAACGGTGGAGGCGGCGAGGTCGGTGGTGTTGTCGGTGGCGTTGGGCGTACTGCAGGGGGCGCAGCAGCAGGTACAGGATTCAGTGATAGCACCATCGCCGGAGCTGGTACATTGGCGGGCTACGAGGCAATGCAGCGTGGCATGGGTCAAACGCGTTCGCCAGCAACACAAGACGCGAGCTCGCAGGTACCGCAGCCTGACTCCCAGTCTTCTCAAAGTGCCTGGGAGTCCCAAGACCAGAAAGGAGATGCCTGGGGCCAGGGAGATTCCGACCCATGGAGCGATCCCGGGGCACCTAGTGGAGGTGGAGATGGGGGAGGATGGTTCCAACGATTCTGGGATCTTTTCACCTGAGAGAATCTACCTGCTAAGGAATGTACCTGACACCACGGGGTCCCCCCTTCCCCGGTGAGTGGTACACGAACCGTGAACGATTTTCAAGCTCGGTTGGCCTCGGGACATTACTGCACTGCAAAGTTTGATATGCCATGCAAAGGAGGAAAAATATCGTGACCTCGTTGCGGTCGGGCTCGACTGAAAACTTTGGCCGCATTAGAATCAAATGCCGCTCCACAAGGGTTGATGTACGTGCGGACTGCGGATGATGAAATCTCTGCTCGTGATCTAAGCTTTGAAATTAACTGTTGCGAGGCTGCGAAAACTGTCAGGGCTAGCTGATATCTTAGAAAATTTCACTCAGTTTGGGGTAATGATAATGTACTGCGAGAAAGGGTCGGAAGTCAGGTGGATTCAAAGGGGTAATGGAAACATACCTGGGGAACAAAGAGCCTGGGCCCAATACGGAGTACCCGAAGTCGAAAGAAGAACGCCTCTCCGCCAGATTTTGACCATTGACAGCGAAATCCTGGGGAGGGAGCGTGCGCGGTCTAGACCTCTTTAGGAATGAATCAACGCGCTAGCGTGGCTCTAACGCAGCACCCCGGGACAATCCTGCCATTCTAATTGCACGTGATATCTATTTTTCTATCAGGCAGTTCCAGAAAATTTCCTGAGGTGGCAATCCGGGCTTGGCATGGTCCAAGGCTTACTCACGACAATGCCTCCATTGGCTGTAATCACTAGCGGCCCGCCGACGCGATGGGCGACCGCCCCGCCTCAGCCACCTCAGATCCTCTCCCATCCGTCAGTTCTTGGCCCGCCTTCCTTGGCGCTTTCTTGGTCCCCTTCTCTGATTGGCCGCGATAGGCTTGACTACTTGCTTCTCGTTCGGCTGCATGATCTTGACTGCACCATTGGCACCTTGTCGTTACCTTGTTATCTCTTCGTGCCATTTCTCCATCGGTAGTGTCTCCTTGTCTTTGCTTGCAATTGCCTTGTGTAGCCTGTGGGCACACTTTGTATGATGTGAACGACGGCGTGGGCTGACCCCGGTGCTCTCCTTTAGTTGCCGATGTGCGCCTCTCACATGCGCCGCTGACATCGACCCTGGCTACCTCAATGCTAACTGATTATGAAAAGCTCCTTGGTCCAGCCTGATCCTGGTCGCAGATTATCATTGTACAAGGAAACAGGGCAAATGTAACGCAGCATGCACGTCAGGTCCGACTGGCTAGAGGTGCTTCTCCTCGTCACTTTCTTCCTCGCCTTTCGAGGCGATGGCGATCAGCACTCAAGATAAATAGCGAGGTGATACCCCTCTTGTGCGCTTTGCCTTTGTACCATCCTCTCCTAGGTGAAGTGGACCGCTTCCCATCTTCCGCTACCCCAATTTCCTCATTTCATTTTGACCGTAGGAATTTCATCACTATGACCGACCTCCACCATCGTGACCCTCACCATCGCCAGTCTAGTTCATCGCCGGATACCCTCGAAAGGGGTTATCCAGATGATGTTGCCAAAGGCGGTTACAGTGAGAAAACAGGTGTTCTCGTCCCAGGACAAGCCCATGCTGTTGAGTATGAAGAAGGCCACCGGTTGCATCGTGGCCTCAAGGCTCGTCATATCACTATGATTGCCATTGGCGGTGCTATTGGTATGCTCTCTTCCTTGAATACTCAAATACAAATCTCCTGCTAACAACGCAACCCAGGTACTGGTTTAATCATCGGAACTGGCAAGGCTCTCGCCCGAGCTGGTCCAGGTGCTATCTTCATCTCATACTCGGTCGTCGGTTTCATCGTATACCTCGTCATGTGTGCTTTAGGTGAAATGGCTGCCTGGCTTCCTCTGTCCTCCGGTTTCACTGGCTACGCTGTCCGGTTCTGCGACCCTGCTCTTGGTTTCGCTCTGGGTTACACGTAAGGATATAGACCTCGAAATTTCCGCAGACAGCTAATTTCCTCGTGCTCAGATATTGGTTCAAGTACATTATTGTCACGCCCAATCAGTTGACTGCTGCCGCTCTGGTTATCCAGTACTGGGTTCCGCGAGATCGTGTGAATCCTGGTGTCTTCATTGCTGTGTTCCTGGTGACCATTATCTGTATCAATTACTTTGGTATCAAGTTCTTCGGCGAGTTTGAGTTCTGGTTGTCCACCATCAAAGTTATTGTAATTGTGGGTGTCATTATCCTATCACTTGTGCTTGCCCTAGGTGGTGGTCCAGATCACGACCGGAAAGGGTTCAGGTACTGGAATGACCCTGGAGCGTTCAACACCTACATCGAGAAAGGCGCGAGTGGACGATTCCTCGCGTTTTGGTCCACTATGGTCACTGCCACGTTTGCCTACCTCGGAACTGAGTTGGTTGGTGTCACCGTCGGCGAGGCTCAGAACCCACGAAAGACGATTCCTCGTGCCATCAAACTCACATTTTACCGAATCCTGTTCTTCTACATTCTCAGTGTCCTCCTGCTCGGTATGCTCGTTCCTTATGACAGCGAAGAGCTTGCATTTGCCACAAAAGCCTCCAACTCAGCAGCCGCATCTCCATTCGTCGTGGCGATCAAACTCGCAGGAATCGACGCATTGCCCGGGATTCTCAACGGCTGCATTCTGCTTTTCGTTTTCTCTGCCTCCAACTCCGACCTTTATATTGCCAGCCGTACTCTCTACGGCCTAGCCAGCGAAGGCAAAGCTCCCCGCATCTTCAAGAAGACCGATGCAAGGGGCGTCCCGATCTACGCACTAGGTGCCTCCGCAGCATTCGCCTTGCTTGCATTCATGAACGTCTCGGACGATTCCAAGGCCGTCTTCACCTACTTCGTGAACCTCACTACGATCTTCGGTCTCTTGACCTGGATCTCCATCCTCATCGCACATATCTACTTTATTCGAGCGCGCAAAGCACAGAACGTGCCTGACACCGCTCTTGCCTTCAGAGCACCCCTCGGCGCCGCCGGCTCATACGGCGCACTGGCACTTTGCATTCTAATCGCACTGACCAAGAACTTCGACGTCTTCGTTCATGGATCATACGGCAACTTCGACTACAAGAACTTCATCACCGGGTACCTCGGCATCCCGCTTTACTTGATTATGATCTTCGGATACAAGTTCTGGACCAAAGCTAAGGGCGTCAAGCCCCATGAGGCAGATCTCTGGTCCGGGAAGGATGTCATCGATCGCGAGGAGGAGGAGTTCTTGGCCGCTAAGGCTGCCAAAGAGGCTGAGAAAGGGCCAACCCGTGGCGGCTGGTTCTACAGGACTTTCATCTCTTGGCTGTTCTAATTGTTCGATGTATGAGGCACTTCACGGCCAAATGCCAAACGCTACAGGTTATAATGGTTTACAGCTTGTGGGAGAACGGGAAAGCAAAGCACTTCTACACTGCCGTTGCTTGCAGTGGGTTTGGCTGGACAGGATTATAAGTTGGCTTGTTGTCCTTTCGTGCCCTCCCAGTTCCAAAAACCAGAACAGAAATGAATTACGAATACAATTTATCTACGTGTACAATGTACATTTGAGACCCAAATTCTCACCACTGTGATTGCGCATCCCCTAGCAGCATAAAGTGCGGTCCTTCAACTTATCCTACATATTCAAATAACGAACAGCTCAGTATCAACTTGACCTCAACAGCAGTCAATGGGACAAGGCGTAGCATAATATTCTATACGTCTGGATAGACATGCCACCAGGCAAAGACTTACCACGCAACATGGATCAGAGTGCAGACCGGAACCCAAGGCATCGAACAGCTTTCAGGCTTACTCGTACTGCTCACAGGAGCAGCGACATCCCGTGGTCCAGTACCATAGCGTATGGCACCACCACCCCCTGACACTCGGAGTCTGAAAGGGACCTCACCCCATCCAACATGGGAATGCCCACGCAAGCGAACAACGAGCAATTGAATACGCCGCATTTACCCCGCGGTCGGACGCCTAGAACTTGAGGGGCGCGAACCACCGGCTGGCCCCCAATTTCATTATCTCTATCCCTCGTATTTTTGGGCTCCTCCGGTTCGTATTCGGGTTAAACATATCCTGTACGAAATACACGAATGGCCGCCTATACGAGCATGTATAGACAGGTCGCCGATGTAATATAACTGGTTAGATGAATTGATGACACGAACGCATGGGATGCCGCTGGAGCTGGAATCGTCCCCACTGAAAAGGCGCCTCGGGACAGGCGCAGGAGATAGTCGGACTCGGTACTCAAGGGGTCAGTGAAAATGTTCGCTGTTGATTGCTATTTAGATAGTTGGTCCGTTCGTTGGGCAGCTGAGTCGACCGACCAGGCGCACACGAGGGTCATACAGATTTCGGCTCGCTGGCACAAGATATGTAAGCCGACCCAGCCAGATCTAGACCCTGCCCATGGTCTCATGTCACCTGCCTATCATGCTCACCAGCTCACAGGGGTCGCAGCATCCGCTGGCATACATAGCTACCTAGACTCAATAACTACGGCGTACTCGTGGTCGCATAGCCGTCACGAGCCTCGACTCAATTTGACTTCGGGCTCTGGCTTCTCCTGTTCTGCCCCTGCCTGCCTCCCCCCGTCGTTTTGCGTGCTTACAAGGGAGGCGCTCTGGACAGGCAGGCAGGTCAATACAACGTTGGAAGCCAAGACAATCACTTGTCCATTCTCCGCAGCCCTAGCCAGGTTTGGCAATACCGAGCACCGAGCATTAAGGACCGTATGGATGGACTACCTTGTAGGGTGAAATCCTACATTGCCGCCTAGTTAGAAGTCAGTAGGCAAAGAAATTGGTTCCAGCCTCTTCCCCCGCGTTGCGTTGCATTGATAAGTCTCGTGTGCGGTCCACCAATGAATGGGCCCACACACAATCTTCGTCATCTCTACTTGGCTCGATGGCTAGTAAACATTGACCAGGAAGTGATTTAGATGAACCCGACAGCGGTGGGACCATCGATATCGACTCTTCTGGTAGAATACTGATTTATGTACAATGACGCCTCAGCCAACGATGGCTTCTATTATCCCTGAAAAATGCCTTGTTGCGCCCAAAAAAAGCGTGTGTTCCTTATCTTGTATGGGTCTGGAGGTACTGTATGCCCCTCCATGCCCCCCAGAAATGTTCTCTAACGATATGCCCGAAAACGCCGCAACAAGGAAGAGCAAGAGACACAACTCACTTCGCTGCGATCTGATGTTTGATGAAGAAAAACGGCGCTCTCTTTGATGTGTCCAGGCCACACTCAACTTCTACAAACTCTGGTCGCTCGGTGCTAGTATTCCTCGAGCGGATTGCACACTTGTAGCACTTTCCAAAGGGTGAAATGTGAAGAGCTCACACTTGGTCCGCATCGCAACCAAGTGAACCCATCAATTTGCAGACCTTACTCCATTTCCATTCAAGCTGAGTACTACCTTGAGATTCTAGTTGAGAAGCTTTAGTGACGGCCGGAAAATGGGACCCAGTGCCTTCAACGCCAGGATGAGAAGGTCCAGGACCGACGCCGGACCCAGATCCCAGGGCTGCGACCGAATGAGTCGCCAAATTCTTAGATTGCATAGGGAGGCCCAAGGCGACCAGACGCCTAAGATGGTCGTGCGCTCCGTCCGCATCTTGAATCGCGAAGTCTGGGGCGCCTTTGACGCCTTGGAATAATGACCAAGCCATTGCCGGAGAGAAAAATGGCTTAGGAAAGGAGAAAAAGATGGCGCCAGCAAAGTGGTCTTTGAAAACCTTGTTAAGCCGCGTGACATACCACCCATAAGCAGTTGATATCTCTTTAACTTCTTTTTCGATTTCAGATATCGCTGGTCTTGCTGACTTGAGTAAAAAAACGACGAGTTTCTGATCATTCTCACCCCCTTGGTGTGTCAACTTTCCAAACCTGGGATTAAGAGACAGCTTCTCTAAAGCTTGCTTCCGGATATCAGCGACAGCAGCGGACGTTTCCTTGAGATCTCTCGCGACATCGACTAGTTTGGACTCATCTGCGACTATTATCAGAATCAGCCTGCAGTTGGAGCATTTACATCCTGATTGACGTCCAAATACCGGGTTATCTGTTCCTGTACACCAATGAGAGGTAAGGATCCGACTAACCGAAGCAACAGCCGTCGGACTTGGAGTTCGACAAATGTGGGCCAACACCTGAACTCCTTTTTCCTTCCAGCGGCTGTCGTTTGGGACAGTGCATTGGAAGCGTTTCTTGAGAAAGGTGGAATTCAGCATAGCCAGTGATGACGCTCCTACTCGACATCGAACAGTTGCACAAGGTTGACTTTTTGTTCTTTTACTGTCCGGATTCTGAGCTATTTCCCCGGCCGGATCTTGTTCCAGAGGCCTTCTATTACCCCGCGTGTTTAGAGGGTTAGGATTTTCGTTGAGTGGAAGATGTGTGATCGAGCTCAAGCTCGAGCCCATGTATAAGTCTCGTCCTTCACTAGACCTCCGGTCTTGATCCCGAGCCTCCGTTGGTTCTGGATGGTGAGACTGTACTTCCGATCCTGGTTGCCGTCTATTCAATCCTGGTGGAGCAATCGGTCCCTCAGTCTGTATAGTCGGGGGTGGGCGGGAAAGACTGATGGGTCCGAGTTGCGCTGAGGAGCTACCTGTCGTGTGCGCAATTAGCAGCCCGTTGGACCGACTGATGGGCATGACAGGTGTCGAGGCCGCAGAGCTCGCTGCCGCTTCACGACATGTCTCTTGTGACCACCCCTCCTCGACGATTGCATGCTTTCCGTTGGCTTTCTGTATCCGTCGAACAATATCCTCTGTATCAGAGTTACGGACGGGTTTAAAGCTTTCCTTGGCCATTGCTTGCAACTCATCAAAGGAGCTGGTGTTAACAAACGTCCTGTCCAAGTGCAACCTCACCCGGGGGAAGCGCAGAGTGAAATATGCAGCATCAGAAGGCTTCTCGAAGCCCGCCCCCATGACTTCAACGACGAAGGGTTTTCTGAAGAGTTGACCCGATCGTCTGGGGCCGTTTCTTTCGAAAGAAACGTCAAGACATTGAGAGGCCTCCGCAGCGTCCATCCTGCGATATTGGCCTTCCCTGTTCAGGTGAATGATATCAGCCTTCGAAATACAGTTGGTGTTAAGCACATCCACCACTCGAAACTTTGGCAGGGCCTGGAATTCTTCCACCTCGTCCTTGTTGTCAAAACAAGCGAGATAAAACGAAGTCCAAGACAGATCTCCCACCCCGAGTTGATCAACCACGAGCTGCTCTCGAAAGCCACCTATGATGCAAAGATCGACACTTTGTGCAAGTCCGGTAACATAGTCTCGCTTCAGCTTAATCACCCTGGGGCGTCGTTCCCATGAGAAATAGGGATCTTGCATACCTTTCAGGACCAGTCCCTCCCATGTCTCGCGAATGCTGCGTACAAATAGCGTGCAAAGGATGTTTTGTGCATCTCTTAGCCTAAAGTTCACCACATTGCGCGTACCAATCATGCCGACGCCGTCCATAGGGTTGACAACCTTCTCCAAACACAATCTCCGTTCTCTAAGAGGAGAATTCAAGAATGACTCGTTGTCCAGGTATAACAAGTCATAGTACATGATAATGAGATGATCGTCCTTGCTTCTAGGAGAGTCAGCAGCAGTCCCAATGTTCCTACCACCGTGGAGCACATGTTTTCGTATGGCGTGAAAAGGCTGGATTTTTTCTTTCAATCGACTCCATACCAGGAGTTCCCCTTCCAGGATACAATTTGCTTTTATCTTGCATTGCGCATCATCGAGTTGCAAACTTTCTTTGATAGCCCAATGAAGACCCTGGCGATCGGCTGTAGAGTCCTTACCGCTTTTTGAAAATATTTGGATACGCCGATCGTGAGGTTTCAACACATCAATATGGATTTGGCAATATTCCCCGTCGTATTTTCTTTCGACACTCATCGTACGCCCTTCTGCCATGTTCAAGCAATGCTTTATGCTGCGCCCTTTATCGTAAGGCTGGCGTTGTATCATAACTCCTAGCTTCGGGTGCATACACTTGGCTGCCAACTGACGAAACCCATCCCTATCTTCCATAGGCGGGTTGTGTGGTATGTTCTGCATATCTTCATGGTTAAGAGTGTTTATGGCCGCCTCAAAGGAGTTCTGAATCGCAAGTAAATCAGGTAGAAGGAAGTGGAATGAACGCAGAACTGCTTGTTCTGGAATTGCTGCCGAACTATAAGCTTTGAGCAGCATCCGCATCAGCCATTTAGCTTCCTTGCTGCTCAGGCGCCTCAGAATCGGCTCAAGGATTCTGTACCGAGGCCTATTGGTTCTGAAACGCTGCATCTGCGGTGCCAAAAAGCCCGAGTTTGCTGCAAGCTCACATAAGGCGGCGTCCAACTCTTCAAGCGTGACTTGCTTCCGCGCTGGGGGATTTTCTGCCTCATGCATCACCTCCTCAACAAGTGTTGCAAAGTCGGCTCCTGTGGTCCAGCTCTCTAACTTCGTCCGCCTTCGACCAGGGTTGGGAAGCCTGAGTGCATTAGCTACAATATCGGCTAAACGCTTTTCTCGTAACCCGTAAGTACGATGTGGAAGGCGATTTGGGAGGACACAGGCCAAGAAAGCAAGGGCAGAAGGGCCATGCCGAATGATCTTGTCGCCATGTTTCTTAAACCAGGCTAGTGTGTGTTGGCGGGCGATATCGAGAGAAAGTGGGTGGCCTCTGTTCGTGAGGCTCAGCTTGTCGAGCAGCTCAACGAGCCACCTGAATTGGAATTCTGTTTTAGCTGCCATAAATACCCCTAGCTTGATGTGCAGCTGCACCCGCCAGAACGAGGAGTTTGTTGAGCAGCAGATAGCTGCTGATCAAGCAAGTACGGATGGAGTCAGTAGCATTATTTAAATCAAAATGTATTCCTGCTAATATTGCGTTGTTACCAGTTTGAACTTCGATAAAGGATGAAGTAGATGAGGGCTGGAAGCATGTGGTTGCACCAACCCGTGTCACGAGTCGCGAGTTGCGACTTTGACGCGAACTTCGCGTGCTCACGTGCAAAAAGTTTGGTGTGACCCATACTACTTTCTACATTGCCTGTACAGACAGTAGGAACGATCCATGAAACCACTGTGCTGCCTTCCTGATTCACGAACTATACTTGCAATGGTATAACTATAATGATATGTAAAGGTCAGACTTTATCAAAACCATGTCATCCATTAGTGGCTCCCCTTCTCATTGCCCTCGCTCTAACTCAGGCTTAACTAAGTGTGTGAACCCAGTGGTCAATCATAATAATACTAGTCAATAAAGTCCTTCAATGTATATTCTTTTATGCCCGCCGTGTCGATGTGCATGGAGCCGAGGATGTTGTATGAAGGCATCCTACGGGAGAAAGTTTTGTAATTAACGCTCGACTGTCAACAAGTCGTCTTCTGCACTTTACCTTGGCTTCCACGTCTCGGTTGGCATTGGTCTAAAGGTCAAACTATAACGCCATCGCTTCTGTAGCAGCTGTGGGTATCGATTATATATGCCGCTTCCTGATTAACAGTGCATTAGTAATGCGTTCAAATTCGTAAGTAATGCTGGCAGTCGGTCTGCTTCATTGTGCCGTAGAAGAGACTTCCAAACCGCTATTCTCAAATGCTGGTGGTGCGAGGGACCAGAGTGAAGAATGGCCCGCCTTCCTAACCGTGAGACTTGAGCCAGAAATACTATCATCCAAGCGCACTCAACGGCCTTGGGCGTTTGATATCTTGAAGAATGCTTTTCCCAGGACTGGTGTTGTGAGAAGCTAGGTACTTTCCCGGTGGAAGCAGAGGCACTGGTCGACCAGCAGGCGTGTTCAAGAACCGTGAATGCGTGGAAACATCCTGTAGCAATGGTTACTCCTACGCAACCTTCTCATGCTGGGTGGACACGCGATTCAATGAAACAACTAAATGATGGTATCAGCTTATGCATAAGCACGACAGACGCAAGAGTGCTTACGAAAATCCTCCATGTCTCTCTTTTTGAGCACCTTGTTGTTTCTCGTCTTCCGTCCGTGCACAATATCGTCGAAGGTGACGCTGTCTTGAAGGAGGTAATATACACCGGCCATTACACAGAAGACACCGAACGAGAAGAGCCAGATTCGGACCACGGCAACGATACTAGTCTGCTGTCCTCCAACAAACCACCCAAAGAGGCAGAAGAAGGTGGCGAAAATATCAACAAGTAGAATGGCACCGGTGAGTTGCCATGATGGGATGCTCGACCAGAATGGGCCGTTAGCACGTGTGATGAAGATCAGCCAATTCTCTGACAGCGAAATTTGTAGAAAGAGTACAGCATCGGTATGGCCAAAGTTCTGGACAATTCCACCGTTCTCACCTTGAACAATCATCGTGGTCAGTGCAATCCAGGTCCCAGCAGCAAGGACGATCCCAAGTAAAATGGACATTCCCCAAAGCTTTGGTAGATTCCACTTAACCGGTGTCTTTGAGTAAGGAGCATTGTCATAAGCAATTGCCAGTGTTGCAATATCTGCGAAAATGGCGATGAAGACGACCAATTTCAGATTGAGTGATCGGTTGAGGATAGCAATCCAAAGGCCAAGGAAAATCTCGAGATGGAGTGACAGAGCGATGCGATATACCACGTACGCGTACATGCGATGGAAGATTTGTCGCGATGTCTTCAGAGCGTCGATGATTGCCGAGAGGCCGGGAGCCAAAAACACAATATCAGCTGCTGATCTTGCTGCGTCGGAGGCCCCTTCGACTGCAATGCCTGTGTTCGCCTTTTTCAACGAAGGAGCATCATTGACACCGTCTCCGGTCATGGCAACAAGGTAGCCACGTTGTTGAAGAATCTCGACCACATTATATTTGTGCTGTGGGAAAACCTCAGCAAATCCATCAGCAGCTTCAACAAAATCGTAAACCTCAGACCCAGGCATCGTGCCGCCACCCGCGAGCCCAAGTCTCTCGGCATTGAAAACATTTGTTCCCAAACCAAGTTGTCTTGACATTTCTCTAGCAATTCCCACAGCATCGCCGGTTAGCATTTTAATTGAAAGTCCAAGGGATTTGGCTTCATTGATAGTTTTAGCAGTGTCGTGTCGTGGCGGGTCTGCACAAGGCATGATCCCAAGAATTTCCCATGACCCCTCGCCTCTCTTTCGAGCAACACCCAGAGATCTGAAACCTCTAGTTGCAAACTCTGCCACTTTGTTCTTGTAGTCTATGTCGATTTCCTCTGGGATTGGATGATCTTCCTCTACTGTTCGGAGGACTACAAGTGGAGAGCCCTTCACACATATGATTCGCTCTCCGTGGGGTGATTCCACGACTGCACTGATCTTCTTGGAGACCGGGTCGAAAGGGAAAAATTGCACAACTTTGTATTTGGAAAGAGCTTGTTTCGCGCGGGGATAATATCGAAGAGCTTTCAGGAAGGCTTTGTCGATAGCATCCATGCCTTTTCTTTTTCTGGAGGCAGCGAGACAAGCGGTGAGCATGAGATCATCCTGCTCGACACCTTGAACGGTATACGGCTCGTGAAGAGACAGTTTGTTTTTGGTCAAGGTTCCGGTCTTGTCGGAGCAGAGAATCTGAACACCGGCCAGTGACTCGATTGCAGACAACTTCTGTACGATAGCTCTCTTCTTCGCCAGGTAAGCAGCACCAACAGCCATAGTGGTGGTGACGACAGCAGGCAAGCCGACAGGAACTCCGATAATGGTGATGGCCAAAGTAAAGCGAAGGATAGTAACTATATCATTTGAGCGGTAGAAAGACGATATCCAGACCACCAGAAGGGTGAAAACGACGAGAGCAAGGAGGACGGTTCCAATCCCATTGAGGACTTCCGTGAAATGGCCTTTACCACCTGAGGCAGCATTGACCAAAGCAGCAGCTCGCCCAACAAAAGATTGATCTCCGATGGCCGTGACTATCATGAAACATGTCCCTCGCTTGACTGCCGACGAAGCGTAACATGTATCTCCGAGAGTCCTGTCCATAGCAAGAGACTCCCCAGTGATTGATGACTGATCGACTTGTATATAAGCATCTTCGGTCACGATACGACCATCCGCAGGGATGATCGTGCCTTCATCGAGTTGCAGGATATCACCAGGAACAACCATTGGAGCTTCAATCTCAACCAGGCGACCCTCTCTCAGCACCACGGCCTTGAGAGCTAGGGTCTTTTTTAATTCTTCCACTATCGAACCGGCCTGGAACTCTTGAACGAAGCCGACCGTTGCGTTGAGAAGGAGAAGGGCACAAATGACGCCAAAGTCGACCCAGTCTTCTAAACCAGCGGCGAGGATGGCGGCAGCCTGTATCACAGAAGGTCAGTATAACCTGGTATTGAGCTGGTCATTGGCCAGGATCATTATGCGTACCTCCATGACAAATTGGATGGGACCGACGAAATAACCCAAGAATTTCAGCAACAGGTTTTCCTTCTCTTCTTTCATCTGGTTGAGACCATACTTTTTGCGGCGGGCAACAACCTCGGGTTCAATAAGGCCAACCCTGGTGTCTGTTTGAAGCATTTCTTCAGGGACACATCGTACGCCGCCCACTACCTCGATCTCTTCTTGAAGCTCAGCATCTGGATCGTTTGACTCGAGCTCTTCAATAAGAGCGTCCAAGTCGTCGTCGTCGTCGTCGTCGTCGTCGTCTTCTTCCCACTCGACCCTGGAATGCTTCCGGCCCTCTCTAGATATGGGGCCATTGTGGTGGCTAGCCTTCTCCGGATCCTCAGCGACGCTGATATGTATGTGAGGAGGAGTCTTGATGAGAACTGAGCCGGCGGAACTAGCGTCGGAGGGTATGTCTGCTACCATACTGGCTAAGGTATGGAGAAGTAAATCGCTGGCGCTAAGTCAGGTCCATGAGGTGCGATCAAATAGGAGTAGTAGCTGAAGCTGGTATTGAGGGTATGACTGTTGGCAAGGGCGACTACCGGGGAGGGAGTCACATAGACTGGAGCAGGAAGGATGGATGGGAGAGAAGTGATATGGTTGTGGTAGAGTAGGTGCGGAAATGTAAAATGGAAATGTGTACTCGGTAGTGGGCAGTGTGGTGACAATATACGAGCGCAGGTGGTGGTGATCTTTGGTCGGAGCAGTGAGCAGTGGATTGTATCATTTGGGGAGTATGATATCGGTCCGCGGTACGGAGTACGCAGTACAAACAGGCGACCCAGGCGACCCAGGTGACCCAGTGGGCCAGTGGGCCAGTGCCCCCGACATACCTGGCCGGTGCCCAGTGCCCAGTGTCCAGCGACCCAAGGCACCAAATGATTAGGGTTCGGAGGGGTCCCGTGGGCTCCGGATGCCGCCTGTAGGCCTTGGGGAATTCTCTGATTTCCATCCGTAGGTACTCCGAACCTCCCCCCCCCGCAATGGGTGGAAAGTCTAACTGCCACTTTCAACCAAGGCTAACCTGGATTCACACCACTGACTTCATTCTGCAAATGATATTCGCAGCCAAGGCTCTGCACAACACCACAATCGTCCCTCGCCTTCTCTGTCTTTCGCTTGGCGAGACGTATCCTCAAAGAACGACTGGATCGTGATATCAATTAGTCTGCTAGAGAGGGGCGGTCTCGTGAACAGATCGACGTTTGTTCTTCTACCTCAGAAGAAGTCATTGACTCTCGTCCACCTACTTACTCCATGTGCTCGCGAATGCACGTGGGCATTTCGTGTTCCCCACGTGTTTTGCTCTCAAACTATGCGGTGTACGAGGATGTTGGTTGGTACAACTTTTGAGACAAAGACCAACTTGAATTTATCAGCAATTGCCTTTTTTTTCTGGAGAAGCTATCTGTCACGCTGTAAACAAGTAGAATAAACGCTGTCCAAGGGTAATGAGCTCCCCATAAGGATTGTTCGTCCCATGTGTGGTCAGCCACACTACATACTTAGAAGTTCGCATGCCAAGTCCCAGCATATGTCGACTGTACGGAGTATAAAGTGCTGGAATCCTAATCACACAACCACCAAAACTATTTATCATAGCATTCTCAATGCTGTGAATTAACCCTGGCGCCAGGACCGACGGCAGTGGGTTCTGTACAAGAGGGTATCATTTGAGACTCAGATCCTCGGTCTCGTGCTCCATTGCATAACGCCTTTGCAAACTGTCACAATCGTCGTAGACCATTCTTTCAACCAGGCTACCCCTAGTCTTGTTGCTGTTGCTGGAATGGGAACTGGAAACCTGGCGGAAATATTGGCATGCCATTAGGGTTGTTGAAGTTCATTGGAAATGGAGGCATCGATCCCATATTTACACCCGATCGGTCGCTGCGGTCGTGTCGTCGATCATCGTCTCGATGTCGTTCATCTCGTCCTCCGGGAAGTCGTGATGATTGTGGGCCACGTCTTCCGCCCTGGTCTGTTGCAATCCGTCGACTCATAGCTGTAGGTAGTTAGCATTAAAATCTCGCATTCAAGCATGAAAACCGTACCCTTCGAAGACACTCCAGCACCAATCTCAATGTCGGGCTCTTCAACGACCATGAATTGCTCAATGGGCAACCCGCCAGTACCACCGTATTCGGCGGTGAGTAGCCACTTGCGATCGGCATCTGTCAGGCGTTCAATCGGAATGATACTAACACCCGTTTGATAATCGCTGCAGTCGCGTGGCCCGAAGCCTACGCCCCATTTGGTCTGTATCCGTGTTAGCATCGTAAGGGAAAGCAGGGGATCAAGTTGCGTACACGAAGTTGAGTGTCGCCGGTCTTGTACTCTTCCATGCCATCGCGGGCCTTCTCTGCGTCTCGACGATTGACCATCTTGACAAATGCATGTCGTTTGTCCACGTTGACGATGCACGTCTGGACAATTCCATATTGACTGAAGAGAGCGCGAAGATGAGATTCAGAAGACGTGACACCGCCCACAAACAATGTCCGGCTGAAGACTTTTATGTGGCCTTTGGGCAGAGTGGGATCTCTGGTTATATTTTTGGGACCTGGTGGTGGGAGCTTCTGGTCACCGCCAGGTGGAGTGGCCGTTCGTCCTCTTCTACCAGCAGGGCTGCGTTGACGGTAGTCGTTACCTCGTCGGCTGTCGCGGTCATTACGATACTGGTCAGCTCCAGGACTATCTCGACGGCGTCTAGGAGACAGATCGCGTCGTCTATCATATCCTGGTGATCGAGACCGACGTCTGTATTGGCTCGGGGGAGACCGGGTGAGTGCATCACGTGACGGCCCGCTGGCTTGCCCAGCCCAATTGTTGGCCGCTGGCACAGGAAGTGGAAAAGGTACTCCATTTACGCCATTGTTTGCACCTTGCATGTTCAACAATTGGAGAGCGGTAGCCCATTGATCAGGCGGAATGCCTTGTGCAGCTAAAAGCTGCAGTAGTTGCAACTGAGCTTGAGTATCTTGAGTTACAGGAGCAGGATTTTGCGCCATCGTAACAGGAGCTTGTGGCTGAGGAAGAAAAGCAGCAAGAGGGTTCTGAGGAACATTTGCGGGACTCTGACTCTGTGCACCATTACTCATGCCCGCGAACAATGCTCCAAGTGGATTTACACCCTGCGCGTTGCTGGCAGTAGGAGCAAGGCCTGGGTTTACGGTATTGTTTGGCTGAAGGGTTCCATTGTGCGAGCCTAACAGATTATTCAAACTAGATTGTGCGGGTACAGCTGGGTTTTGCTGTGGGGCAGCATTCTGCTTCGCCATGTTCTTGAGGGCTTCCAGAATAGCAGAAGTGTCTTGCTGAGAAGATGCTGCTGGCGCTGCTGTTACGAGGTTAGAGGTAGGGTGCTGGCCAAAGGGAACAAATCCAGGAACTGGGGAGCCTTCTGGCGTCGTGGAAACTGAAGAAGCAAGTTAGATCGTAACTGACGAGAGGACACTCCGTTCCCCAAACGTTGTGATTGGGGTATTTACCTTTAGGTGCGTCAAGTTTCTCCTTGATAGAAGCGAGCAAAGGGGCGGGGAAAGTGTTTGATCGCTCCCAGATCTCGAGAAGCTTTTTGATTTTGACCTGCAAGGGAAAGAGAAAGGTGAGCGATATTCAAAGGTGAAGTGATTAAAATAAACTTGACGCGCGGGCTGCAGGCTTGATACTGATACAAGGACGATAGGCGTCTGGAGATTTTGACCGTCGTGACAATGATACGATAGAGATGTCAACCATACCTTTTGATCTTCAGGGGCTGTTGCAGTAATGTCGTTCATCAGGACGGGAAGCAGTTCAGTCACTCGAGTTACTCCAGCAGCAAATGTGCCATCAGGGGCTCCACTACCGAGCTGTTGACCTGTTTTTCTGGCTTGATCTACCCATTGTCGCGTTACAGAGTCTACAACATAGAGTACTCCCAACTTGTGTGGTCCAGGTGTTTTTTTGAAGTGTGTATAGATCTTTTGAATGAGGACTGATTCGGACTAGGAACTATGTCAGTGGGACAGATACGACGAAGAACAGGTAGACGTACTTGGATGTTGGCGGTGCAGAGGGTGGTGATGGCGTTAATCTTGGAACCGGAGACACCTGGGGGCTTGAGATTGAGCATGGACTGCAGGATCGAGTCCAGCTCCGCTACTGCGGACGACATATCGGAAAGGTTCTTGCCTACAAGTATTGCAAGAGTCTGGGGTCTAGGTCGACAGCAATGAAAAGTTTCTTCTGATAGAGCCGGGTCCAGTAATAAAAAGCGCGTTGTTGTGCCCACAAAATATCTTACAGACTTGTCAGGTACAAGTGAGATGAAGATGAAAAAAAAAGGGCGTGAGTGTTCAAGCAGCGTGTTTCCTTTCCTTTCCCGAACTTTGTGACGGTCTACGGTCCAGGTGGCAAGGACGCCTGCGTCTTTGGTGAAGACTTTTTCTGGTGACGGTTTGAGGAACGAGGGGATACTATCGGTCAAGGTACAGCAATAGAGAATCTGGTCAGCGCTGATTACAAAGTGATGCCGCTACATATGCGCAGGACGCGGGTATGAGTCGACGATGATGAGTTGATGGACGATGAAAGGAAGGTTGTTGAAAAGGTGAGGAGATGAGGTGTCAGGAGGACGGATGGGAAGAGGAAGGAAAGGGAAGAAAAAGCGGAGGCAGCAGCCGACAGGGACAAAACGTGCAGGTACATTCAGTCACCAGTCTTGTGATGGTGGTGCCTCCGCCCGCAATTCCCGGAGTGCGCATAACCACGTGACAGATGCAAAGGCTACAAACGCACCAAATAGACCAAACAGACCAAACACAGCAACAACCACCAGCCGCGATGTCACATGAGTAATTTCCGGAGCTGAGCGTGGTTGTACCATGGATGTCTTCGGAGTGCGAAAAGATGCAAGAGCGGAGTCCTTTTCCCACTCGTGCAAGTGCTCCGTACACGGCTGGCTGCTGATTGTTGAGCTTCCGGTCGCCGACATAAATGCGATGGTCGAGGCTCGTTGGCTGAATGACCGGGTCAACACAAAAATACCACTATCGCTCGTAATTGGTACATTACAGTAGATACGATCTTGGATGTTGGATTCTTGTAGCGAAACGGAAAGGGGTTTCGTTTTTCCGAGCCGTAGGGGTCCTCGGCCATTTTTCCCTCGGCCATTTTTCTACTGTAATATCTTGGGAAGTCTTTGGGGGCAACTAGGGTCACGATTCCGCTCTTTGGCCCCTAGCAACTGCCCTGAGGCCCCAACATGTGTAAGCTAAGTTAGCTTTGGCGAACTTGCTGTTGCTCTCCTCCCTGAACTCAACTTCTCCTCACTAGTTGCTACTACTTACTTTTTTCCTTGCTACCATTTTCTTGCGCTCCCTTCATCAATACTTCTCCTTGTCTCTCTTGAATTTATTTGTCTTTTTCATCTCATCATGGCCTCTTCACTTCGGTTAGGAAGCTCTTTGCTTCGGTCGACTGCCATTTCTTCCAGACCATTGGCCCAACAAGCTGCCTTCAATGGCATACGCTGCGCAAGCACCAAAGTAAGCATCTGCAGCCGTCCCACAAGCTTCGATACTGATCACTTTGTCACTAGTCTCTGAAAGACACATTTGCAGACAAGCTCCCTGCCGAGATCGAGAAGGTCAAGACTCTCAGAAAAGAGTATGGATCCAAGGTCGTTGGTGAGGTTACCTTGGACCAAGTCTATGGTGGTGCTCGAGGTATCAAGTCATTGGTCTGGGAGGGATCGGTCCTTGATTCTGAGGAGGGTATCAGATTCCGTGGCAAGACCATCCCTGAGTGCCAGGAATTGCTTCCCAAAGCTCCGGGTGGACAGGAGCCTCTTCCTGAAGGTCTTTACTGGCTCCTCCTTACTGGAGAGGTTCCCAGCGAACAGCAGGTCCGCGACTTGTCTGCTGACTGGGCTGCCCGTTCAGAGCTCCCAAAACATGTTGAGGAACTCATCGACCGCTGCCCCAGCGATCTGCACCCAATGGCACAATTTTCCATTGCTGTCGTTGCCCTCGAACAGACCTCCGAGTTTGCCAAAGCATATGCCAAAGGTGTCAATAAGAAGGAATACTGGCATTACACCTTCGAAGATGCCCAGAATCTGATTGCAAAGCTCCCTACTATTGCGGCTAAGATCTACCGTAACGTCTACAAGGATGGCAAGGTTGCTGGTATCCAGAAAGATAAGGATTATGGATGGAATTTGGCGAACCAGCTGGGCTTCGGCGACAATACTGATTTCATTGAGTTAATGCGCCTATACCTCACCATCCACAGCGATCACGAGGGTGGTAACGTTAGTGCACACACAACTCATCTGGTTGGCAGCGCCCTCAGCTCGCCATACCTGTCTCTCGCTGCTGGTCTCAATGGATTGGCTGGACCTTTGCACGGGCTGGCTAACCAGGAAGTCCTTTTGTGGTTGACCAAAATGAAAGAGTCTGTTGGCGACGATTTGAGCGACCAAGCCATCACCGACTACCTCTGGTCAACCTTGAAAGCTGGCCGTGTGGTTCCTGGTTATGGACACGCAGTCCTCCGCAAGACTGACCCTCGATATGTCTCGCAGCGAGAGTTCGCTCTCCGCAAACTACCGGAAGACCCGATGTTCAAGCTTGTCAGCCAGGTCTATAAGATTGCTCCTGGCGTCTTGACTGAGCACGGAAAGACCAAGAATCCTTATCCTAACGTTGATGCTGTAAGTTGCACCCATGCGCAGTGCTGTTTGGACATGAGAACTAACACTTAGCCAGCACTCCGGCGTTCTTCTCCAGTACTACGGTCTTACAGAAGCCAATTACTACACCGTCCTCTTTGGTGTTTCCCGTGCTCTTGGTGTGTTGCCTCAACTTATCATTGATCGTGCTCTCGGTGCGCCGATCGAGCGCCCCAAGTCCTTCAGCACCGAGGCATATGCAAAACTCGTGGGAGCCTCGCTGTAATTGGAACAGATCCGCGGTGAACAGAAGCAAGGGATGTACAATGCGATCAACAATTCTGTAGTTGTACAGGGAAAGGGAGGGGGGGTGGTTTTGTTACACCAGGGAGCTGTTAGGCCGGCGAGCCCAGCTCTCCGTGGTGGGGATTGCTGCGAATTGTAGAACTCTTTAATTGATGCCAGCCAGTGTTGAGTACCAAAATTCTATCCCGCTTCTCCTACTCTTTCCCCGTCAGGTTTAAAGAAACCAAAGCCAGCAGGTGTACTTTGACTGAGGTGTCGGGCCTCAATTTGGACTTGGCTCGGTAAATCATCATGTACACGATACGTAAAGTCATATCTGTGTTCTGGGTGTGAGAAGTGTCATCTCACCTTTTTTTTGTGGACACGTTGAGGCGTTGGGCAAAACAACGGAAGCATCCGCCCCACAATGGCAGGAATCAACCGAGAGGCGACTAACTAGCAACTGTCGGCGGGTTATTCAACGCCTCACACCTGGAGGCTAAGGGGAGGGATCTCCGGCCAAGGGATCCATCCCCTAGGCCTCCTCCGCCAATCCCTCCCTGTGCTCTCAGCCTCTCACTACCTCGTGCTCCGTGGGAGGGACTTTAGGTGTCAGTGAGCAAACTAAGCCGCCGCAGCTAATCTTTTTCGGGGCCTGATGGGGGCTCTCTGGCAGGCTGCGAGTGCGACAGTTAATGCTAAGCGCATCGTGGCTCGGAGGAGTACGAGGTACGAACGGGGTACAGAGCCCAAGTGGTACAGGCGATGGGCGGCTTGTCCAGATGGAAATCTGGTCGGGCTGCATCACAATCTTTTGGTCTTCTCCCTCAGCGGCCAACCGCCCGCAGCCAGGCGTAGGTACCTCCTCGTACCTCGTTCCCAGGTACCTCTGGCCCCTATGCCTGCTAGCACTGCCCTACCCTCCTTTTTGGGTTCAGCTGAAGCCTGAATGGAGAAGCGAACAAGACTCCGAAATCTAAGCCCTGTCTTTTCCTGCAAAACAGTCGCTGGATTTACCTGGTAGTGTCAGCGTCCCCCATCGGTAATCTGTACTCTCCACCAAGCCTGCGCTGCTCAACCTTCAGGAGGCATTATCTTCCTACTCGAACAATTTTGTACCTCCGGACTTGGTTCCTGCATACATACTCCGTGCACCTCCCCTCAATCCCAACTGGTCTTTCCCTTGCCTACTCTATAAACGCCATCTCGATCATTTCTCTCGCAACACAATCCCTCCCTCTCCGCTCCCTCCTAATAGTCTTCATCAACACCGGCGACGAAGCCCTCCTATTCCCTTGGTCAGGGCATTCCACAAGCACAATCCTCAACGATGTCCGCTCCTGCAGCCATCACCGCGCCGATTGCTGGCACCCAACGGATAGAGAAGAAGCCTGTCAAGTTCAGTAATCTTCTCCTTGGTGCCGGTCTCAACTTGTTCGAGGTGACCACCCTCGGTCAACCTCTGGAAGTCGTCAAGACCACAATGGCTGCAAATCGTTCCGATACCTTTGCAGGTGCCATGTCGAGGATCTGGGGTCGTGGTGGTATTCTTGGATGTAAGTGGACAAAAGCAATCCACGTGGATTTTCTCAATCGGCCTCGGTACTGACTTTCCTGCGTCTACAGACTACCAAGGCCTCATCCCCTGGGCTTGGATCGAAGCCTCAACCAAGGGTGCTGTTCTCCTTTTTGTAGCATCCGAGGCTGAATACTATGCAAAGACGTTCGGCGCTGGCAACTTCGTTGGCGGCATCGCTGGTGGCATGGTCGGAGGCGTGGCGCAAGCATACGCGACCATGGGTTTCTGCACATGTATGAAGACGGTGGAGATCACACAACACAAGCTTGCCGCTGCAGGTGTCAAGCCTCCTTCTACGTTTGCCACCTTCGCAGACATCTACAGAAGAGAAGGCATCAGGGGTATCAACAAAGGTGTCAATGCAGTTGCCATCCGTCAGACCACCAACTGGGGCTCAAGATTCGGTCTCTCCAGATTAGCTGAGACTGGTATTCGACGAGTCACCGGTAAAGAAGAGGGTCAGAAACTCAACGGTTACGAGAAAGTCATTGCCAGTACTCTTGGTGGTGGCCTCTCGGCTTGGAATCAACCTATCGAGGTTATTCGAGTTGAAATGCAGAGCAAGACTGTTGACCCCAACCGACCCAAGAACCTGACTGTCGGAAAAACATTCAATTACATTTACTCAACCAACGGCCTCAAGGGTTTGTACCGTGGTGTTACTCCTCGCATTGGACTGGGCGTTTGGCAAACGGTCTGTATGGTTGCCTTGGGAGACATGTAAGTTTTCTTCATCGATCAAACGTTGAATTTCATATGCTAACCCAACTATCCAACAGGGCAAAGGAATGGGTCGAAAAGTTGACTGGTGACAAGGTCACCGCAAAGCACTGAATCGTTTCCTCTCATTGATCTGGATATAAAGCAGGTTACCAATATTACTATTGTTGTTCTTCCAAGTTGTGGACTGGGATGAAACAGCAAACTACAAATTACACGGTGGACATGAGGGCTCACGAACCCATCCACCACCTAAGATTGCCACTTTGCTAGACGTATTGATAGACATACTTAGGGCGCTATTCTTCCCGGGGCTGGGGCGCAACTCGAACAGACAACCTTTTTGGCATTTTTCATCAATATTATGTGCCTTTTTTTTTTTTGGCTCTTTTGGTTCGTCTATGTTCCATTGCTTAGGGCAGAATAATTAATGATGCGGATTTGCTTCATCTACCTTTCGGGCCGACACCGGGATTTCAACCTTGTCTTTATGTGACCTCGGTATCTGCGGCTTACCATCTAGTGTTAGCTCTTCTACAGTATGTGAAAGCACTGTATCGACAGCATCTTGCTACTGCGAAGAGCAAGCTCTATCAATTGCTCTTCGAGTGAACATCAAGGTCGCTCCTTCCACGAGGTTGTGACCACGTGACGTCTCACGTGAAAAAACGGCAGTCCTCGACGGCGGGAACATGTGATCAACTTAAACATCAAGAAAGGAGACCATGCGGCCAGATCTCATAGCATTTATCAACCACATATGATACTGCTTCCATCTACCAAATCCCCAAGCAGGCGACAAGACTAAGCGAAACTCAAGCAATTCACTTCAACCGGAGATATTTCCCGGCACCCTCGGCTCTTCATCCAAGGGGGTTCAGCCTTATCGCGGGGCAGCCAAATTTTATCTCTCTCATACTTTTCGCCCAATACAGCTCAAGGTTTATCCCATCGTGTCTCGCTAAATCACGAGTTAGATGTTTTCAAATTGTGGGACAGAACCTGTACTTCATGATGATCTCAGTAATCCGATGACGGTCTATGCTCTGCCCTTTCCATGTCATGAACGAGATATACAGACAGGGGGGTTTCTTTGACTCGTCACTTGGATCATGCATGTGGATGCACGTGCTTATGATATATAGACAGACAGATAGATACCCCGAACTGTCCGTTTTCTTGACCTTTCCGCTGACTTCTTTACCGCCGCTTTGCTCCCCGTTACGTAGCGAAATCCCCATATACAGAAAGTATATTCTCTTTGAAGCGATCTAGAGTGTGTAAACTTATGTGAAAATGTCTAAATTAATAATATAAAGGTTCTTTGGTCACTTCTCAGCACTACTCATATGATTCCCACATTATATCTTACTTATATAGCTAATTCTAATATGATTCTCACTAGAAATACTAGAGCGCGGCTTCGAGGCTAAATAGATATGTTTTGCCACAACACTAATACCGATCTTTAAACACTTCTAGATCTTAGAAAAGTGTCAAACCCAATGTTTATTATTTATTCAAGATATTGAATAGTAGTGACTAAACTCCTGCTTCGTGCGACATCACGGTTTTCTATGGCTGAAGCGCTCAAGCCCTTTTTGGCGGCAAAGTCAGTCTCTTTTGGCAGTGGCAGAACAAGTCGAGGATCTTGAAGCCGACTTAGTGCAGGAATTATGTTCTAGAGGAAGGAGATACTGTATTGTTCTGATTTGGGCTTAATCCTTGAGCTACCATCCGAGACTTCAAAAACCTGCCTTACGACAAACCCTGCACAAGTGAATAGCCCGAACATCAGGTGAAGCTGGTGATTTCTCTACAACTTCCGACTGGAAATTGTAGTCATTTTAGTCCTCATCACGGAACTCAGCGTACACGGGTTCTGGAAGAGTTGCCCCCGCATCACTGAGTGTGTAGGATGTCAACAGAACCGAGTTGTCCGTTCCACTGAACGTGCCACCAATGGGACCCGCTTCCTACAAGTCTCTCGGTAAGCAAAGTGTGCAAGCAAGATAGCAGGGTCCATAAACTCACATGCCGCGCGCCATTTGCGTATCTGACAAAGATCCTACCAACCCATTCAAGTCCCCGACACTCGACTCTCTTGAAAATGGCATTGTGCTCTAACTGCTTTTGCGCCGGCACGGTAACCTCCTCGGAAAATTGGTGTGTAACCGTCTCCTCCTTCGCCAGCTCTTTGGAATGCGAGAACGTGCCACTGATTTCGGAAAAGGCAGAAAACCCTGCCGTAGCGGTGCCGCTCACGAAGCCGGCGTCTGCAGAAACACTGACCTCGGCGGATACCTCGACTCCAACGGTAGTGGTAATGCTGCGGTCGAGCTGGAAGCGGCTGGACTTGGTCGTGGTATATTCGTACGCAATGGTGGTCGTAATAGGATCCGCAGTAGCATTCGTGGTAGCTCCAGCCGAAGTGGAAGAGGGTTGACCTGTGGACGTGGTCATGCGGCTTTCGTCCCAGATGATGCGGTCAATCACAATTTCGTAGCCAGTTGGCGGGTTGGTGACCCAAATCGGCTCGAAAGCGTTAGGGCGAGCATTGAAGTCTGTGGCAAATGCTCGAATACCGAGAAGCGACATATCTGGTAAGGGCGGCTCCAAGATGAGAGGAGTACGGTTATTGTCCCCCTGTTGCTCGTCCGGAAGGCCGCCGAGACGTTTCTCATCGAAACTACCATCTATAGAAACGCAACGCATCATTAGTACAGTCGAGAAGGCCTGAAATCTTGCGACTTAGGGTGGGAACATCAAGCCGGCGAGGTCGGCTACGTACCAGCTTTCTTGACAATTGCGAAGATCATGTCAATGTTTCCCGAATGACGAACGTACAGGGACACGATCTGGTCACCACTTTGTAAGTCTAGAGTGATCGCTCTGTTCGACGACGCCCCGAAAAGGGCACTCGTAAGTTTCGACCCTGGCTTTGTCGTGTCTTCCCAAGAGAGTCTGAAGCCGTGAACAGCGTACCCACTATCTTTCGTTGACCACACTTCTACCTTGCTGAGTCTTTTGTTCACTGGATTTCCAAAACCCAAAAAATGCGGGTACTGGTATCCTACAACCGGACCGGCGCGGGCTCCAACCCAAATATTTGGTGCATCGTGTACGGTTGAATCACGCCATAAGAATCTAATGCCAACCAGTTTCGATGAGTCCGCGTTGTGTCTGAGTTGAAGACCTTTGAGAACTTGAGCTCTCCTGATAGGTGCGCCTGCTTCGTTGTTTAGATAGCCGGACAAGATGGTGATCTTGTTGCCACTGTTGCCCCATGAGGAGGAAATTCGGCCTGAGCTTGTTTCAAAACTCAGGCCGTGAATCGAATTGTCGGCAGCTTGATAGACTCTGGCGCTCTGCATCATCAGTCAGTCTTGTGATCTCAGATGTATGTACCAAATTTGAGGTTTGCTTACAATTATCTCCTCATCTGAGTTCAAATTATGTCAGTGACTTCTTCCAGTTGACGCCTCAGGCGTGTACTGACCGGGAAAGAGTTGCCAAATCTCATCGTTCGAGCCGAGTGTGTTGGGGAACAAGCGACCTTCCTTTGTGACGTCGTTCCGCCAGGTTACAGCAAAATTCGTCGGCACTTCATTCACTCTACGGATAGTGATTCGCTTTATAGCAGGATCAAACTCTCCGTCGGCAATGTTCAAGGTAGTGGTATGCGTATAGCCGGTACCACTAATCCACGCATCTGGGGAAGCGGACATCGTTGCGGAAAAGTATTATGTTCCTTGAAAGTCCTTGTAATTGGAATACCTGCCTAAACCTTCAGTGACATAGTCTGATCAATAATTAGAAGGCGTGAGATACCTATTGATCGCCAAAATCTCGAATGACTTCAGGGACTGTATGATGATACAACCATTGTTGCACGGCAAAGGGGTGGTTTAACTTTTATACCTTGTGGTGAAAGTTTTCCATTCATCGATATTATGTCAACCTGACTCTAGCGCTTCCCAGGTCGTTGGCGGTCAGTCAGGGGTGTGCCAGCGCTCAATATCAGCTTCAATCCGCCAAAAGAGTGACTGTCTACTCCGTAAAACCGTAAGAGACATGTAACCCTAGGTCAGTCCAATGACCACAATGGCTTTTCAAAAATATAACATGGTACGGATTCAGCTCCTCTGCGCCGAGGTAGTAGATACGAGGAATTGTTTCAGCTGCTCACCGTGTCGATGCCTAAGGCATTTGAAAATCTGTCCGTCATCGCAACACGCCCCTCTTGGCCCTGGCCAGGCAGTTTCGCACCAGGCGTGCTTAGTTGGCAATGCTGCGTTCGCTCACTCAGACCACCGATTACGCGACTACCTGGGCCTGCATTTACGGCTCGGGGTCCTTATGTTTCAGGTCGGATGAGTTATCCCTTGTGGGGATACCAACTAGCTAATGTAAGCACAGAGAGGATGGTCATTATTCCTACCGTACTAGTACCTGAAAGTGATTGTCGTGTAATACGCACAACTGCTGCGCGGCTACCCCTCTATACTACAACGATGTCAACAAACTTGCACATATTGACAACTATTGACAACCACTGAGCACTTGATTCGTCTCCGGAGCTAGAGCTAATGAAACTCTTCACTATACTCTCAGGAGTGGCCGATGAATATAGGATCATCGCTGTACTGAGCAGCGGTTTACCAACTAAATGGTTGTGGTATAGCGCTACATAAAAGCCATGCAAATAGTTGGTACATATCAAGGTTTTGTAAGGCAAGTTCTAATTACCGGCAACGACACACGAGAAGCCGGCACCGCCGATCATGGCAGCTTCCTTTAGCTATCATGCCCTGTTTTGCGTTGCCGTCGTTGAAAGCTGAATTTCGTCAATCTCACCAACATCTTGGCCCGGCTACCAGGCTCAGTACGGAGTAGAGGCTTACTAAGACTATGGATAATTGCGGAGAGTTTGGAGCTGTGATAGGAAGGGGACATGGCCATTCCTAAGACGGTCCGGGGGCTCGTCAGACTGTGTACTATCCTAAGTACGTGCTAGACTAGCGCCTGGGCGCCCTTGGGTCCACTCCGTATAGCGTTCGGATAGCCCTCGGAGCTAGTTCGGATGCGTCGAAGTGATATAGTAGACCACCGTCTTTACAATCGCTTGGCATCGCCAATCACAGAGCGCTCTCCACATTTTCTGTACTCTTACACCGTAATAGAAGGAGGCAATGGCGTCTCCTCATGTTTGGTATTTTCTTCCAGAGAGCGGCGTAGGTGGATTGCTCCTTACACAACAGGCTTTGCTAATTTTATGAATTCTTTGTAAATCTCTCTTGGTATTCTTTTAGCTTGACCAGGGAGATTGAGGCTGGCCTTGATGAGCACTAAGCAAAAATGTATAAATGAGCAGGGGGTCAAGTCAACTTGATGTTTACAATCGCAAGACTACAGCTCGATAAACGCAAGCAAGAAAGCTTGAAATAAATATTCTCTTCGTTGCCATCTGAGAATACCAATCATTACTACCAGCTTTGCTTCCTGGGCACATGGTAATTCCGCTGTCACCGAAGATCCAACATGGCTTTCTTTTCACCAAGGTCAACACGTTACCATCAGGCCTGAAGGGGTTAATATAAACAACTCTCACGTGACGGATTAAAGCGGCCTTGCTACCTTTCCCCGCCGACAAAGGCAACAATCGGGCCGTACATAATATGTATATATATGGCTTCATTGGAGTATACACTGGGACTTTCTTGAATTGGCTCTAAATCAACTCAGTCATCAGAAACAGACATGACTGTGCCTCTCGATGGAGTTGCCTTCAACTAGCGGAGCAAGAGCGCTTTTCTTCAGAACTCACTCACTCAATCAGGGGAATTCAATTTCAAACGACGCCTTGTCACTGTGAATGCACTCATTCGGGCGGGGTTGAGATGGAGCTCAACACTCGCAAGGTGAACTACCACATCAAGTGTCAGCCTACATTTTCCTGCTTGATACCTGCCTTGCTAATGTTCGCTTCTTCAACTTCAAATCTCATTCTCTTCTTTCGTATGACATCGAGGGTTTCCTCTCGCTCGCTCAATTCGTCAACAGTTTGCTCTTCTCTTCGCAGCTCAAGCAGCAAGCTCTCACCACCTACCGGGCTGAAAGAAACCCAGAGGAGCCTTCCCTTCTTTTGAACACTCTGAGCTAGGATGAAAGCCTCCGTCCTCATGAGCCTTACGGCTCTCTTGCTCACCGTCACTGCCTCCGCAGCAATAGCAAAGCCAACGGAGACCGGCATAGCCATCGCACCACCGAAAACAATCTTGACAACATGCCTGCATCCCAGAGCACCTAGCACAGCAGCCGCGGTACAAGCTGAAGCTCTGGCCGATTCTGGAATAATCTCTCCAGCACAGGAGACGAGCAAGACCCTCTCCCTCTCCCTCTCCCGCCGGGCACGAGCCGTTTCCTCGACAAAACCGAAGAAATGCAACAATGCTGCCCCAGGCTGGTAAGTTAACTGCTAACTATATGGCGAATTCTACTTCTTCTTTCATTCCCATTCCTGCCCCCTCTCCTTCGTCCTCTCTCGCGCTCTAACGCCATTCACCAGCTCCAAATGCACCGAATGCTGCGTCTTCCGGCTGCGGTCGCGGCAATAGGTTCCCCCAGACACCAACGTGGTCGTCCTGCCCTCGCTTCCCCTCGACAAATTCGACGACTCGGGCTGTTGGTCCGTCCCCATCGAAGGCCAGTACAACATGGCCACGACCGAGTGCACGGCCTGGTTCGGGGCCTGCGTCATGTGGCCCCAGCGCGACTGTACGGGCGACCCTGCGAAGCTGTTTGATGTCCATGGGGATCTGGGGACTTGGTGGGGGTCGGCGTTTTGGATTCGCGGGATCAGCTGTCTGCGCAATGAGAGCTGGGTTGGTTGATAATGAATCAATGCGGGAAAAGATTAGGCATCGGTGAGTCGGAGACTGGTCTTTTTCTGAGATAATCTAGCATTGCAGGCAGGTGCAGTATCGATATGGTGTTTTGGTCTCTATTGCCCAGTCTCTATTGGAACGAGACACTGCTATGCTGAAAAGGGAATATGGACGACAGTCAATATCTTTCATTGATAGTTGATTGAGTTCGTATCAAAAAAAGGCAAAGCTTTCCAAAATGCAAAGTCTCAAACCAGATAGACAGACAATCAATGGTTGATTGAAACGGTTCTGTTCAAAACTCTTCTTTGATTTTTCTTTTCTTCTCTAAGGTAGAACAATATATTTCTCCAAATGCTTGGGAATCGCGCCCCTCAGCCCTTTACTCTGCAGCCATTTTTCACTGAAGAGGCGGTCCGCATAGCGATATGCACCATCACACAGCATCGTCACGACGGTGTGATTAGGTCCAAGTTTCTCCGCGACTTCTTTCGCAGCTACGACGTTGAGCGCGCTGCTGGCGCCAAGGTACAAACCCTCTTCATCTAGACAGCGGTAAACCATCTCAATGCTCTTCTCGTCCGAGATGAACAGGGCGCCGTCGAGCTCTTTCACCTCGTTCTCGAGGTTGTCTGTCACGCGACCCTGGCCGATGCCCTCGGTGATGCTGCCGCCAGACCGCTCCTTGAGTTGGCCGCCCGAGGTGATGTAGGAGTACAGCACTGAGCCGGGAGGGTCAGCGAGGAAGGATTTCACGCGTCCGTCGCTCACGTCTTTGAGGAAGCGCGTCACGCCCGCGAGCGTGCCGCCCGTGCCTGTCGCGCAGGTGAACGCGTCGACTTTCCCATCTGTCTGGGCCCATATTTCGGGGCCCGTCGTCTCGATGTGTGCTCTTCGGTTGGCGACGTTGTCGAACTGGTTGGTCCAGACCGCGCCGTGTTCGGGATCTTCCTTTTGCAGTCGCTCTGCATGGCGCTTGGCTTGCCAGTTGTAGTTGTCTGAGTTCTCCCAGGCCACTGCGGGAACAGGGTAGACTTCGGCGCCCAGGAGTCTCAGCAGATCGATCTTCCCCTGCGACTGGGTGTTGGGCATGTATATCACGAGTTTGTATCCTCTCGCTCGGCACACATGCGCCAGGCCGATTCCTGTGTTTCCTGCTGTTCCTTCGACGACCGTGCCGCCTGGCTTGAGAAACCCACGCTCTTCTGCATCCTTGACTACGAACAGCGCAGCTCGGTCCTTGATGCTACCGCCGGGATTTTGGAATTCGGCTTTGCCTAGGACATTGCATCCTGTCTCGGCTGATAGCTTCTTGAGCTTTATTAGAGGGGTGTTACCGATAGCTGAGCAATGTTTAGCATCTTTGCCCAGAGGGAGAGGCCTTTGGGACCAACCTACCTCCCACCAGAGTGTCGACTATTCCCTGAGCTTTTGAGACGCGGACGCCGTAAGCATTGACAGCTTCCGCCGTAGCGGCACGAACGGCTGTTGTGGCAAGGCGCCGGACGGACGTCCTCAGAGCATTCGCCATGGTTGAGAAGCGACTGAGCACCTGGACAGCAAAGGATGCAAGAAAACAGTGGTGGTTAATGTGAGAGACGAAAGGGCGTGGGCCGTTGGAGAAAAAACCTCGGGGAGCCGCATGGCATCATCGCGAACGCGGAGCAAATCACGTCCACCGAGGCTGAACCGGATCTAATCTTATCGCTATCGTAGGGCATATACATAGACAATGACATGTATGTCGGGTGTACCTTATCAACAACATCTTGGTCCAACAACATATTGGATCAACGACCTCACTTCCGTAAAACATGAATATGAAGTAACAGAGTCTCGAGATACTGCAGTTCAAGGAGCATGAAAGCATTTTCCTGTTCCAAATCTTACGGGAGATGATGACTGACCCTACAAGCTGAGTAGCCAGGTCGGGATCGATGAAGTCTGGAAGAAAGGGTGAGATCGAGAGGTATGCCAGAGTATTCAGGCAGGAACATGCTTCCTCCCATTGGTTCGCACTTAATATGTGCGCGATGAACGAATGTTCTCGGCGGCTGCTGTTGGATTCAACCGTGGCATCTACTCCGTTGCTCGAACATCTGAGACACCAATCTACGCATCAATGGAAGGTAGTCCACGGGCTGTCAGGTTGCTTTCACTCGGTCGGCCAGCCCAGGCAGCAGGCTACCTAGGTAATTAACGTGTTTTCTCTCCAGACCTCGAATCTCACCAAAGCGATGCTATGGCGGCAGTGCCTAAACACGTCATGTGACACGACTGCCTCACCATGTGACGAATCTCACATCACTGTAAACATTCACTTTTGTACCTGACCCTATTTCTAGTGTCATCCATGCCAGAGAGACTCCAAACAAAACAGCCATCGCCGGCTATGCACTTCCTCAAAGATGTCCCAGACATTTTCAGTGAATATGGCAAGTCAAGACCGGCCTCGCTCGGCGAAGCGCAAACTGGTAAGTGGTGTGCTTGTTGTGTTCTTGGGCGCCCTCCCTCGCGAGTTGCGATTGACCTTGACCAGCACGATATTCTGGACAAATACCATCGCTTGATGAGTGAACATAACCAACCGTTGCGCTCTACAAAGCGAGCTCGCATGATCGAGGATGCAAGTCCCCCAAAGAACCTCACCAACGCCTCGCCTGTCGCTAGAAACTCTCCTGTCAAGCTTCATTCTCAAGTTGATACTCGTGTCGGCGACCCACAACGTCTCGAGCAACCACCATCTTCTCTTCGTATCACATCCAAGGATAAGTCATTCCCGAAGAATGGCCTCGTTAGCGACCCGAACGCTTACTGTAACACGGAACTCACCCCTGCTGAAGACCATGAGATGGCCATAGAGGTTCTGCAAAGACTCCTCGAACACATGGAGCTTTCAAGCCAAGTATTAGAACTGACAGCTAAAGTGGAGGGCCTACTCAAACAAAACTCCATTGCAGAGGACAAGTATGATCAGCTTTGGGCCCAGTACGAACAGGCACTCGAGGATCTTCTTATCGCCAACGAATCTCTGGCAGCGAAGAAGGAAGTCCATGTGGAGATGTCTCGCACTGAGAAAAACGTCGAAAATATCGCCACCCTAACCAAGGATCTCAAGAAGAGTCGTAATGAGATTGAGAGATTGACAAAGCTGAATGATGCTCAAAAGCAGCAGGTTGAGTCATTGAGAAATCTGAGTGATGTTCAGAAGGAACAGATTGACATTCAGAAGGGACAAATTGAGCACCAACGTTTCACGCTCACGCTCCAACCCAAACCCCCGGTCAATTCCACCGGAGTCCTCGTGCTCGAATTCTACATGTACAATCTCCTCGATAGACAGTTTAAGTTTAAGGGCACTCACACCACGAATACGACGGACGTTACGGACTGGTATCAACTTTGGAGCGTGAGTGAAAAGTACTTCAACCCCAACCGAGATCGCCAAGATACCATAGCACAGGTTCAGGATGTCGTCTTTACAGAAAGCTTCATCCCAATCTCTCCCGGGGCCTTCGTTACGTGGCTGGAATATTTGAAGACACAGATGATCAGCGAAAAACGATGCCGTTGCTTGTGGTTTCCCAGGAATATCACCCGAGATCATGCCCATGAGGAGGCAAGGAACATTCCGCGATCGCGATCATGATGCTGTCTGATTGGGGAGAGTGGGTACTAGATTCTGATAGGACCCGAGACACTCATCCGAGACCTCTTGTGATTTGGTGCCATCATGTTGTGCTACCTGGCTCTCTATTCAGACTTGCCACGGAGGGACAAAACCGTGTTACTTATGAACCCTCGTCCATGGAATTAATATGCTGAGGTGATGAAAGATGAATTATGTACAATTGCCCCGCGTGAACGGCTGTTCTATGCACTCTACAGAAGAGTATTGGAAACACCAACCTGCTAGCCTTGCTTCAAGGCGAAGAGAAGCCAAAGCATGGCATACCAAGAACAATCAAATCTTAAATCCCATCCATCCAAGCCGCCCTCTCACCCTCCCTCATCCCCTGTGGATTTTGTCCTACTCTGCCCACCAGAACATGCCCCAGCCCTCTCTTCAAAAACACCCCGTCACCAGGCCTACCAAGCAAACCCTCCCCAATCCCGCCTTTTAGCTCTACATCACGATCCCACTTCAGCCGGCCGCGTAGCAAGACATACCGCGGCCAATTCGTGACCCTCATCCCCTCGAACGGCGTGTAATCAATCGCATGATGCAGCATCCGGTTCTCGATAACCGTCGTCCCGTCCTGGTGTCCCGAGGGGTACCAGATCACGATGTCTGCGTCGTAGCCCGGTGCGATAGAGCCTTTCCGTCCGCTGAGCCCGTATAGTCGAGCTGGGTTCGTGGATGTCAGTTCGACGAATTTTGGGAGGCTTAGCGTGCGGTTTGAGGGCGGGGACGGTGCTGGTGCTGGTGCTGCGTAGGGATTATACGTGGTTGGTGCGGAAGAATGAAATAGAGACGTAGCGGTGGCGGTAGCGGTGGCAGCGCTGAACAACAGCGGCAATCGAGTCTCGATCCCCGGTAGGCCGTTCGGAATCTGCGCGAAGCTCGGAGCCGGTAGGTCGCTAGAACCAGACGTATTTTCTGGAGCCGCTGCAGCGGCTTTCTGCGCCTCGGCAACCGGCTTTCTCTTCCCCAGCGCAGAGTTGTACCTCGAGGGCGCGTGGTCCGACGAGATCACCGTGATCGTGCCGTTGTGCACCCCGTCCCACACCGCCTGCAGGTCTGCCTCGGAGTGCCGCAGCGGCGGCGCGCACACGTGCGATGCCCCCGCCCAGCCGTCACCGAGGGCGTGGTGGACGTGTCTCTCGTGCAGGTCGGCGTTGGCGTCAGCGTCGGCATCAGCATCCGCGCTGGACTCCCCTGCTACTACCAATTTGGTATCAGCACGTGGGCTTGTGAAAGAAATGCTCGTGGCCGCGAGTCTCTCAGAGAGCAAGTGCAGGTAGTGCGGGCATGTTTCGGCGTGGACGGGGAGCAGGAGTTTGGACTGCGCTTTCCGGGCGTGTGCGATGGCAACCGGCGAGGACATGTGCACGATTAGAATTGGTGTGTCTGTTAGTGTTGACAGTGCAATCGCGCGGTACGTCGCTTCCGTCTCGGCCAGTTGTGGGCGTGCGACGGCGTGGTAGTCGGGCGAGTGGTGCTGTGTGGAGAGGAGGCGCGTCGTTATCCTGTTGCACATATATTATGTTGGATGTCAACCAGCGATGGACAGAGACGGGAAGATAGGGACGGGATGAATCGATCAGAAAACTCAGCTCAACTCACATGTCAATCATATCACTGTTCTCCGCGTGAATCATCGCCGTCATGCCCAACTGCCGGGTCCGCATCAGAACCTCAAGCATCTCGCCGTCCTGCAACTTCATTGCCGGATACGTCATGTAGAGCTTGACACTGGAGATCCCCTCGTCACTGACCAGCCTTGGCAGCTCGTCTTGAAGAATCGCCTCGCTCGGCCGCGTCAGGATCAAGTGGAATCCGTAGTCGACGTAACTCTTCCCCGCCGCCCGCCGGTGGTATTCCTCCACCACGGGCACCAGCGACGTGTCGTCGCGCTTCTGCGTCGCGAACGCTAGGATTGTCGTGTTGCCCCCTGCCAGAGCGGCCCGTGACCCGCTGAGCCATTTGTCTCCTGTTGGGGCGTTGTCTTGGTGGAGGTGAACATGCGAGTCGACGCCGCCAGGGGTGACGTAAGCGCCTTCAGCGTCGATTATTTGTGTGGTGCTGGTGGTTGGCAGGGAGAGGGCGACGGCGCTGATGATGCCGGATTTTATCCCGATGCATAGTCCTGGCTGTAGGATCTCGGTGGCGGTTACCTATTGAGGTTGAATGGGTGGTGAGTGGTATATGTGATTTTGAAGGGTGTGGGGTTGGAAGGGGAAATGCTCACGATGGTAGCATTTTTGATTATCAGGTCGAAGTCCATGATGCTGGTTCGGTCCTCACTGAAGTTCCGCAGTATGGTGAGGGCGTCGAGAAATGTTCACTAGTAGATGCTGTAATACCGACTCTACTAGAACAGTGATATCGGATACATTGTTGTGGCTCTGCTTTCTTTGAAATGCTTCGTTGTCAGCTAATAGATCACAGATAGCTGAATGGAGATCAACATCATCAGCATACCCATTTCACCCTGATCATCGATGTTGTTATAGTGTTTGTGGTTAGTATAATGAAAATGTAGTCGGTCAACTCCGATACACAGATGTGGGAATATCCGTGGGTGGATGTCATAGAAAGCATACCAAAGGTAACATGTAGGTGCACAATATTCTGAATTGGAAGTGGCATATCAAAGTGACGACGAAGATTCATGTTGATTGATCTGTGCCCCGTGCTCTATGGAGTTGTCATCATCATCATTCTCTATCTGCCGTGGATCTCATTTTTGACCGCCGCAGGGTGGTTTCCTGAGTTGTCAGCAAAGGGCTTTTGTCTCTCTGAGACATCCGAAGAAATAATACCCGATTACTCCTTACCAGTTGGAATCTTGAAGAAGACAGCAGGGGAATCCTTCGAGAAAGCCTTGTCGCATCTGAAATAACCCTTGCGATCGAACTGGATGACATCATCGACCTTGATATCTTTGACATTGCAATCGGCGACAGCGGTCGAAGTGAACTCAGTCTTGGGAGTCAGGAAATCCTCCCAGTGAGTCTCCTCTTCCTCTGTCAACTTATCCTTCCCCAACAAGTGGTCGAAATCGACCAGCTCAACAGGGACAAGATCTTGATCTTGAGAGAGCCAGGTAACCTTCTTTTTGGTGGCCTTGAAATCTCCCTCGAGGTGCAGCTCCAGCTCCAAGGACGCAACATTACCGAGTGCATCAACACCTTCGGCGACATCAGCCTTGTCGGCTGTCTTCTCGTACTGAATATCCCGTACAATGGCATTGCCCCAATTCATCAGTGTGATCTCCTCGTCTTTTTCGAATGTCTTTGCATCCTCTTGCTCGATAATAAGATTTTGGCTATACCAGACCTTCTTCTCGCCTAGATCATATTTTGCGTGACGAGGCTTCATCTCGGAGTAAGGTTGCTCTGGAAGTCCTTTGACCTTGGCCACAACATGTTTCTTGTCGATGGCAGTGTACCTGGCACCCCGAAGGTCAATGACCTTTTTGTTGGAGGTCCAGATCGTATGCCAGTCCATATTGACCACGTTCTTGCTTGGTCCTTGGCTGACCATAAAGTCTCTTAGTCCCTCGATAGTCATGCCGCGTCGTCGAATACCCCTCACGGTTGGGAAGCGTGGGTCATCCCATCCAGAGACTACACCCGCCTCAACAAGCTTGGTCAGCTTCCGTTTGGACATGAGAGTTCGAATGAATTGAATTTTGGAGAAGGTCCAAATGAATGGGGCTCTCAGCTCGAGCGCCTTTAGGATCCATTTGTACTGAGCGTCTTGGTCGTTGTACTCGGTAGTTCTTAGAGCGTGAGTCACGCCCTCGATCGAGTCAACAATAGGACACGCAAATTGATATGTGGGATAGGCCTTGTACTTGTCGCCGGTACGATGATGGGGGGATTGACTCTTGGAGCAGCGGAAGATGACAGGATCTCTGAGGGAGGCGTTGTCGTTGGCATAAGAGATCTTTGCTCGAATGCACCATCTCCGTCCCTCGTCTGTAGCTTTCTTCATCTCTTCGAACCTGGCAAGATTGTCCTCAACACTGTCATCGCGGTGAACGGAAGGCTCACGTGCCATTCTTTGTGCACTCATGACGTCTCCGGGAGTGTCGTCTGCATACGCCTTGCCAGACTTGATGATCTGGACAGCGTATTGCTCTATTTGATCAAAATAGTCCGAGGTGTAGGAGATAATATCGGGTTTAATGCCCAACAATGCCACATCCTCACGAATAGCATCTTGATATTCCTCCTTCTCTTTCTCGGTATTTGTGTCGTCGAAACGTAGGATCATCTTGCCCCCGGGGTATTGGATATGGGCAAAATAGTCATTGAGAAGAGCTGCCTTAGCGTGACCAATATGAAGGTATCCTGAAGGCTCAGGAGGGAATCGAGTAACAACACCTGCTGTGGCATTGGGCAGGTCCATTTGTTTGACTTTGGCAGCCTTCTTGGGCTTGGGGGCATTTTTGGTCGCCATTTTGAAATTGGAGGAGAGTTTGAAAACTAGTCAGAGTGAAACAGCGAGGAAAAGTAGTGCCTTGCTATTTTATTGCTGTCACTGAGTCATTAAGAAACAGTCCATTATGGTCGAAACTTTTCGCAGTTTCCAGCACAGCCTTGCGCGGGGGACATGTGGGCGAGCAGCCTTGTAGGCAAATCTCCCAAATACGCCAAGACATAAAGATCATGATCTTGAATCCAAGTTGCCACGTGACAGAGCTTCATCCTCGCATGCGGACTTTCACCTCGATTGGACTTTTTTCTAGTAGAAACATCAGCCACCGTACTTGTATCAATGGAGGTCTCCAGAGGTTTATCCATGGCCTCACGGAACCTCTGTAAGTCCACCACTTCCTCTTTCTTGTCCAGTTTCACCGCCCTTCCCCGAACTGGATGTCGCTCCTTTTCCTCTGTTCCAGTCCTCTTTGCGCCCCGACAACAAGTTTCCTCCAAAGACAAGGCAGCAAAAGAGAAGGCCAAAAAGAAGAAGAAGAAATACCAATTTTATAAGCAGCATGACAAGACAGACCTCGAGCTATTCACCTTGTGTGATGCCATGAGGTCAGTGATGCATCGGAGAACTCTGTGTTACTAGCTGCTAACTTTATACAATAGATACATCAAGGCTTTCGAAGTTCGACGAGATCCCGATGTTCCCAAATACGACATCCACATTAAAATGCGCACCAAGAAGGATGGCCCCATCATTCGCAACCAAATCCGCCTGCCGTTCGCAGTCAAGACAGATATTCGGGTCGCAGTGATATGCCCTCCCAATTCAGCAGCTGCTCAAGAAGCTAGAGAGGCTGGCGCTGTCATGGTTGGTGACGAAGAGATCTTCAAGCGCGTCAAGGATGGGAAAATTGATTTCGATCGATGCATCGCGGTACCTGATTCTCTACCGAAGATTAATAAGGAAGGCCTGCCTCGTGTACTTGGACCTCGGGGTCTCATGCCGAGTTTGAAATTGGGTACAGTGGTCGACAAGCCTGGTCCTGCTGTGAGGAACCTGCTCGGTGGCAGTTTATATCGAGAGAGGCAAGGAGTTGTGCGTATGGCCATTGGGCGGCTTAGTTTCACGCCTGAGCAATTACGAGACAATGTCCGAGCATTTGTGAGTGCTGTCAAGAAAGACGCGTCAGCGATCAGTGAATCGGTCTTGAAGGAGGTTACTGAGGTGGTGAGTCTTGGCCTCTGCTTGATGTTACAGTCTGATTGATTTACTAATATCCTATTCTCCCCCAGGTTCTGAGCTCCACGAATTCACCTGGGTTTCCACTGAATGGCGAGTTCTACAAGGCAGCGCCGGGCCAACCTACCATCCAACAGCTGTCCGTTGCATAGTTGAGGATCACACTAGGAATGGCTCCTGTACATGTACGAAATGCTGCATCACTTCTATGAACAGCACTGACGCACCGCTCAAGGGAGTAAAGAATTGAGATCGAAAGTGTTCGCATTGATCGGCAAGTTTTATTGCGTCGCTGGGTCTTCGGGTGTATAAGCAATTGGGTATCAAAGTCCTGTCTGTGACCAGACAATAATGTCTCGTTCTTCTACTTTCATTATCCTCGTCATCCCTCGACGGCCGCACGTATCTGTAGTAGCTGTTGCTTGTACTTGATGTCAGGTTCGCGCTTGATGGCATTTTCCACATCAGAAAGCAGCAATTCTTGGATCTTTCGCATTCGAGCATCTTGCGCAAGAATGAAAGGGTGTTGAGGGCCATGTCTTCCGACCAGATGCTTTAGAATAAGAAACTGTTCTGTTCGTCGTTTTAGTCTTGGTGGAATTCTCCCGTCGTCGTTAGCTGTGTTGCCGTCGTCATAGTCTTCATCACTTGAATTAATGGGTGCCGCCGCCTCGATCCAGGCGTCGCTCCACTCTCCCGTTACTTGAGCATGGATTTTCTCAGGGTCGGCCGTCAACGGCAGTTGTCGATTTCTCGCCACACCCATCTTCTCTTCCAGCTCGTCCAGCCGCTCGGCGATCTCGAGCAACGCCCGTCCAACACCTGTTTCCTGCCGCAACGCACGTTTCTTCTGCAACAGCAGTCTGGCCTCTTCTCTTCTCTCGTCGACTCTATCCCTCACACTCTTGACATCGCGCTGAAACCCCAGCAGCCCCACGCGAATCTCCTCGATCTTCTCCTCCCCTCCCGACAGCGTGGCGCCCAGGGACAGGAAATCATGGTAGTTGTCGTTCACCAGGTCGACGAGTTCTTTGTTCAGCGTCTGACTGAGCTCGCGCAGCTCCGACTGCAGATCTTCGAGAGTCTGGAAGCGATGCGACAGGCTGGAGAGGAAGGCTGTCGCGTCGAAATCTGGGGCGAGGAATGCAGATCGGTCGAGTGGTTTCGGGAAGGGGAGGGTGCTGCTGTCGTTGTCGGCGTCGGATAGGTCGCTGCCGGAATCGGAGGCTCCGAACTGCGCATGGATCTTTGGTTAGTTAAGGGCAGGAGAAGAGGATTGAAGGATTGAAGGTGGTGATGCTGGGGTGGACCATACGTAGAATCTGCTGCTCATTTTGTGACTAGATGCATGGAGTTTTGGTGCCCTGATCTGATATTACCACATAGCAATAGATCTCAACTAGACCTTTCCCTTGCCTATTGATTTATTTTCGATTGGAAAGAACGTGATATCATGGTACAAGAAATTTGCGGGGTCGAAATTATGGGAACGGCGTGCCGTGAAGAAGGATGCGGTACTATATTACATAAGCGAGGCTGAGGTCCTGGCTCGCAAGGCTGCACGCTGGAGAGCAGATCAGGTTTTGTATCTGAAAATGACAGAATGCTATTACAGCCCATGCTGGATGATATTAGGCTATAAGAGCAGGCCCATTCTATGATTTAGAAAATGTGTCTTATTATCTAGTGGTGTGCGGTAGGTATAAGGTGTGCATTTGGAATCCGGGAGGACGCCTTTCCAGACAATTGAACAAGAAAAGGATGTCGAACGAACGGGAAAAGACACGCTGCGCTGTTTGTCACAAGTTTCACCTGTGTTTGAGCTAAGGGTGACGCGCGTAGTTATCTTGTCACAGCCTCACAGAGTCACAAAAGGTGAAGGACAGTTACATCTAGCGGTGACCGAAAGTGAATCTATGTACGAGTACATACTCCCGAGTGTATATTCACTTCCGTAATGAGACTCATACTGTGATCTAGCCACTTTAAGACTAGTCCAAGCGCCGAGCTCTCGGAATATTTAGATTTTAGATTTTCCGGACATGCGGAGTTTATCCGGTAGTCCAATCACGCCGCCTCCACCATAATGGTCTCTGCCGGTGGGTCAACAAGTCTTGCTCATAATTGTGGGCATCGTATGCATTGCGACATGGCATGGTGTCCCAAGCTTTGTCGTCCTTCGCCTCCGTCGCCGCTTGCAACAGCGACGATTCCTCACCCAACAAATTCCTCTCTACCAGACACAGGCCATCGAGACGTTTGTCCCCCCGCTGCCGCTGGACTTATCGCGGCTCCTCCTCCTGTATATCTCCAAATCGACATCCAGCCGTCACCATACATACCTCGTCAGGTTGAGGATCACACGCCCGCCCTCGAGACCGGTCCTCCTGTTTGGCGTGCGTCCGCCGAAACCCTGATCCCTCCTGTCCCCCGCGCACCAACTCTTGTGCGTGTCGACGCCCCCGCACCTTCCCACACAGAATCCGAAATTCTGAAATTCGAGATCGAGTTGCCAGAAACACCTGACCAAGACCAAGAGTCCGAGACTTCCACTGAGCAACGAGCTCTGGAACGAGAACCCACTTTGCGAGACGTGCTAGACCACGAGATTGAGGGGCGGCGAGATCGACTTGCTAGACGCCCCGAACCACGAACCCGAGCCCGAGGTTTTTATTGAAAATCAGGCTTGGCAACCAGAACACGCATCATAAAGAACCGGAAGCATGGCAGATGCCGCAGCCAGAGGCTCCAATGCCCTCGCTAAATCAGACTTCCCTCTTGCCCTCTCCGAATTCACGAAAGCCTCGATCGAAATCCCTACCTCACCCGACTTTCGCATCCAAAGATCCATTGCTTTCACCCGCATCAAACCAACTCGGCATGACCTAGCTCTCAAAGACGCAGAGTACGCCGTCCTTTTCGCTCAAAAGCGTGCAAAGCGGGAGAAAATCCAAGCTGCACAACAGCGACGTGTGGTCTCTCTCTACGGCCTGGGTAGATACGCAGACGCACAGTTTATTCTATCTACTATGGAGCGCTGGAGACCTGCAGATAACAAACCTGCAAAGATGGAAGGAGATATGTGGAAGGCCAGAGTTGAGACTAAACTGAAGGCTCTCGAAGAACCACAACAGGTCACTGCAAAGGAATATCCAGAAATCGGAATTCCAACTGAAGCCGAATTGAAGGCTGAATTGAAGGCACAACTGAGACCTGATGGCTCTTACATCTTTCCTGAGGACGTCACATCTGAAACGATCCAGGCCAAAACCCTAGAATCATCCTCAAGTGGCACAACCAAAGAACAGCTTCGTCCCCAATCTACAACCTCTACAATGACTAAGATTCGCCATGAATGGTACCAGAACCCGCAGAATGTCACATTGACATTGTACGCCAAAGGCGTTGCAAAAGACAAAGCTCAGATTGACATCAAAAATGATTCGGTCTCGGTCTCTTTTCCACATCCTGCTAATCCTAGTTCTACCTTCGACCTCTCAGTTGATCCTCTGTTCGCTTTGATCGATTCCTCTCACAGTAAAGCCACAATCATGTCCACCAAAATTGAGATTACTCTAAAGAAAGCAGTCCCTGGTCAGAAGTGGCACAACCTCGAAGGTACCGAACCATTGACGAACAAGATCGTCACAAACGAGAACATCAGTGCTTCAAGCACAGATGAAGCAGCACCAGTAGCTGCTATTTCCACTCTCGATTCCTCAGCATTAGCCTCGGACACTCAGAAAGCTCCCTCTTACCCTACCTCTTCTCGCAGTGGCCCAAAGAATTGGGATAAAGTTGCCGACGACCTGCATGCACAGTCCAAGGTCAAGAAGGCCAAATCCAAGAAGTCTAGTGAGGATGACAAGATGCAATCAACCTCTAACCCCTCTTCCGAGGCTGAAGATGTTGACTCGGATTTCGAGGGCGGTGATGCTGTTGACGGCTTCTTCAAAAAGCTTTACGCAGGCGCAGATGAGGACACTCGCCGTGCAATGATGAAATCGTTCTACGAGAGCAACGGCACCGCCTTGAGCACCAATTGGTCTGAAGTGGGCAAGGGAAAGGTGGAAGAAGTCAAGTCTAAGGATGACTAGAGATCGGTGTGTGTCGTGGTCTTTCAGGGTATCACTGGCAGGCAATTACAATACGCTTCATGATAATGAGCTAATGTTTCAATGACAGCCTGGCATGGCGGAGCGTAGCATAGCGAAATGATACCCCCTTGGTTTTGATTTACTCATGAGACACTCCGCGATCGTATTTCCGTCCAATCTCTCCAATCTCTCCAGTCTCCCTTCCACTTGCTCCATCGAATTCCTGCTGCAACGCTCCGTGTTCGCCCCTGCCTCCAGCGGTCATGATGGGCGGGGGAGCTTGCCGGTCCATAGTGTCAATAGTACATACGGGTAATCCCGCGCGAAGCTCGAGAAGCTCTCCAGAATGACCAAGGTGGTGTTTTTCGACTGCTCGATCTCGAAAAGAACCATTTCTTGTTTTTCGCCGTCGTCTTCTGAGCATCCCTCGAGAGATTCTAACACGACGATGCGGACATTGGCCCGGGTGTCCATGGGAGGGGGATATCTTGTTGATTGTGGGACTCAGCAACTCAGCAACGCCCCCCCAGATATGACAGCCTTGCGAAGTGCCTGACACAGCATTCGTGGAATTTCATTGCTCGACACTCGTTAACCAATGAGCCTTAAAGCCTTCACAAGTGAACTACATTATATTGACGGACGGTTCTCGTCTTAGTGATCAGCCATCCAAAATCAGGCAGGCCTTTTTCTACCCAATTTCTTTTCAGATTCATAAGCCTTACGATTGACTCCCATGTCGTTCCGCATTCACACTCAGTACTAATATCTCTTCACGTTTACCTAGCCTTAGAAGCCGCACTCGCAGAGGACGCCATTGTACGTGACGTCCCGTACGAACTTGCAGAGTAGACGCTCGAGCTGACTGGGTCACAGCCGCGGCGGCCCGGGCGACGGTAAGTGCGGTGCTGGTGATGGAATTGCATCGCTCCCGCTCCCGCTTGTGCGATTAGCTGGCCCTGGTATTTCTGAATGTGCTGCTGTGGTGTGTAGTAGTAGTAGTAGTAGTAGTTGAGACTGTGTTGAGGGGCGTGGTGAGCATGGTGAAGGTGGGGATGATACTGAGCAGACTGTTGTGAGCGGTTCCGGATTGGAGAGGGCCGGCGGAGGGCTGGGCGAAGCGATGATGCTGAAGGGCTGGCTGTCATATTGGTGGTGGCAGTGGGGGGACGGCGCATTGAGTGTCCTGCTGCGCGGAGAGGTATGGCTGGTGGGATTGAGGTTGGGTTTGCTGGGACGGGAATGAGTGGGAGAATTGATGTTAGGGGAGGAGCGGGCGGAGGGATGCTTGGACGCGGAGGTGCTATAGCGGTCTGAATAGGCGGAGACACGGTTTGAGCGTCTGAAAGGGGTATTGTAGGCACCGATGTCACGTCTGCGACATTTTGGCTCTTCGATCTCATCGCCGGCTCAACCGAGCGAGACCGTGGTGGGAGCTGAGATACCAAAGCGGGCGAAGACCGGGAGTAGAGCAGAGACATTCTCTGCCCGCCTGCACCCCCGGTTGTCAATGCTCGTATCAATGGATCTGCACTCAATGGAGTATGGTGCAAAGCAGGTGACCAGGTCGGAGCAGGTGGCGCTGGCAAAGGTGGGACATCTCGAATTGAATTCTTCTTTGGTGAACCCTTGTTTTCACGGATCGCGACCAGCTTTTCTGGACTACTATTAGGCAGTCTGCGTGATGGTAGCTGGCTCGTCGAGGCGCGAGGGGACCTGGTAGATGAGCCTGAAGATTGTGAGGAATTGGGCGACGAATTCCTATCACTGAGGTCCAGACATGCGCCTTCGGAGACTGAGCGCAGCGTGCTGGAATTATGACTGGTAGGGGCATAGCTATACATGGCGTAGCGAGGCCAGTGTTCAAAGGGGTGGCTGTAGATCCTGTGAGGGAAAATGGCCTTCTGTGAAGACATGCTGTTTCTGCGTTGCAGCCATTGTTCCCGCTCGAGCCGACTTGGTCGTCTCTCGGAAACGAGGTAGAGTTGGCCTTTTTTATCATATGGTATCATGTAACTTCCAGGGACATAACCTTGAGACGAGCGGCAGTAGGTGGTGAAATACACCAAGAGAAGGCAAATGCTGGGTTTCAGTCAGCAAGGCAGCCTTCATGCTAGCTTCCAGTCTCGGGAGTAGGACCGGAACGTACAGGAGTATAATGGAGAACGCAACAATGGTGCGATGGATTCTGCATAAGAACCCAAACTTCCAGCTATTCTCAAACAAACCACCCTGGGGTCTCATCGACGGGTGACGGACGCAGATTGGAGCTCTGACAGCAATCACCAGATTCCAACCGGATAATGCTGTCCAGAACCAGAGCAGACATTTTGTTCCTTGTCGACAAGCAACACCGAGCCGGAGCACAGGCCGCGATGTGATAGGAGTATTGCTCCGCAATTTCTGGCTATGAAGGGACTGAAGGTAGAAACGGGCCCCAAGGATGCATAGACTCAATATACTCTGATCTTCAGTGTCAGCAAAGTGGGACACAATAGATAGGTCACCACTTACAAGGGCAATCGACAGGTCGACACCTAGAGCAATCGTCGATGAAACCGCCCGTTTCGCACGTAGAAAGATGGCGAGACATAGGATAGCGTATGCCAGTACAAACGCCAGAATGGTGCTGATTTTGATCGCTAGTCTGTAGTTGATCCCATGGGTTTTGCCTAATCGCTGCATGATTATTTGTGTCTGTGGTTTGGGGAGAATTGTTGGAAAGGCCTGCTCCAACTGTTCACCGTTAGCCATGAGATGGGAGAAACTGCCATGATGAAGATTTGAAAACGCGTTCAGAGAAATATTCAATGTCCCCTTCTTGACGGAAGGAAGTTTTAAGGGAGGCAGGTAAGGAGGTGGAAGGGGGATATGGGAGAAGGCTGGCGAATTCCGATCTTGCGCTGAGCATGGGCCACCTCCGGAAAAAGTTGATGAGAATGGCCGCAGAGACCAGTCTCATCCAAGAATTCATCCATTTCAACCTGATACTGTGCCAACCGACATTTGGGGGGGTATCGAAATCCGACCAGCGGTATCTATCTCTTCCGGTACAAGCCGTTTGCTTGCAATGTCTCATTCCTCATCATCGTCATCATCATAGCTCTCTTCATCCCCATCCATGTTGAAGGCCACATCCCGGGTTCCCATACCGTAAGACTGTTCTTCCATCAAACGTTTGTGGCGCTTACTGTCGAATCTCAGATTCGGATACATTTGGGGAACCACATCTAAAGTGTCCGGCTGTTCATTTGCTTTGAGATGACATAACTCCCTTCCAGCGATGTGCCATAGTAATGACTGATGACGGTTTGGTGCTCCATTGCAAAGAACATTGTAAAGACAGGATGACCTTAATAATGACCACTCGGAGAATCGACGGCCTGCTTCGCGTTCATATTGTCGGTAGAACTCATGATCAACTCTTTCAGGCTTAATTGCCTTGAAGGCATCAAAAGTGGTGGCGACTATTGAAGCGAAGGCAGCTGATGATCTTCCTGTACTTGGGAGATCCTCACACCTGTTTCCCCTCTCTTTAGCCCACATTGTGGTCCACATGGTGCGCACGACTCGGACTTGTTTGACCAATGACTTTTCATTGGTCTCATCAAAGAGTAAACGCTTCAAAGAACCATCGGCCAGGTTCTTCCAGTATTTCCAACGACTACTTAGGTCGTGATCGTAGGTGCTTGTTCCCGCAAACCTCTCTTCGAAAGCCTTCAGAATTCCGTCTTTTTCGCCTGTGGCCACATCGAATTTCAAATAGTCGATAACGTTCTTTTGTTGCCCATTGCAGCCGCATTTGCCTTTTAAGCTGCTTTTATGGGCTGGGGCATCTAATTTCCGCCGACCTTTCGCTTTTGATAGATTAGCCACCCAGTTTTCAGTGTTTGGCTCCCAGCCTTGCTTGCTTGCGTCAACAAGATATCCCGCAGCTGCCGCCAACTTGATTAGACCTGGGTCGGATAGCCCTAGAGTGGCCCCTTCCAGGCTCAGAGCATAGCTGAGCTTACCATGTTCATCAGAACATAAGCCCATTAAACTTTGTGAAAGGTTGAAATTCAGACAGCTTCGAATGAAGGTCCGAACTTCATGCGCCCGGGGCAAATCATCATGAAAAAACTCGGACAATGGCCGAGATCGATTCACCAGTCCACATTCCTCTTCGGTGGGTAGCTGTGGCATGCTGGCATTTTTGAATTCCTTAACGATGGAAGGATCCCATATAATTGTCACCGTGTCGCCATCGTAGTCACCACCAGAAAGCAAGGATGCCAAAGGTTTCTGGCCTTTCCTGGGAAATACTGCTAGATCTTTATAATGTCGCAACTCTGGCTTGTAAACAGCTCTCACCAGTTGTATGTCTGAGGCTAGATATGCAGGATTTCTGGTGACCAAGACATCGATTTCATCTAGCTGATTTTCGCTTAGACCTGACATAGGATGAATTCTCGGATGTGAAAATGACAAGTGTATTTGACCTGGTTCTAGGAGGCCGATCGGGTCCACTGCACAAAATGCCATGGTAGAGTGCGGAATCTTGATCCTCAGCTTTTCGACATATCTCGTCAAGTAGTCGATAAGCATAGCCTTGGCGAGTTTGACTAGCATTGCACAGTTTTGGGGCTTGAAGCCGGCATCGAGTAGCATGTTTGCTTGATCTCTTTTGTCAGCTGGAAAGCATCCGATCATCTTAGTGGCGCCAATTCGAGAGGCTAGAGATTGTTTCTGAACCCAAGCGCGCATTGCGACTGGGTCATCCATGGCGCTGAACAGAGAATCTGTAATTTCAGATAGGTCTGCGATCAACGCGGCTTTGAGGACATCTCTGTTTACCCCTCGGTCAACAAGAATGGCGACTAGCTGCTTGTTAAGGGCGCCTTCTTTGGCGACTTTGACCCACTTCAAAACTTCGAATGTGCGCTGAGTTTCGTCAGCGTCCCGTTCACTAGGGTGTGGTTTGATTTTCAACTGGGACGGTGATATTTCAATCCAGAAATCGCGTGGGCTGACCTCAGGATGAGAATTGCGAAAATCTACTATCCATAGGCCTTTAGCTCCACTGATTCGACCTTGGACGGCACTGGGTACTTCGCCTATTCCTCCCCAACATTTCCACACCTCCTTCGCGTATGCTAATGACATTAGAGAGCAGCCATCGTTCATAACTTCTTGCCGGCCATGAGCCATTGGATCCCCTAGAGCGTCATCGATGCGGATGAATTCTGCACGCTGTAGAGCAATCGTGGGCGTGGTTTTGGACAAGGCAAGACCACATCTCGAGAAATGCTTGTAGTTTTTCGAGGCTTGATTTGGTTGTGGCGGAATATGCCACTGGACTAATTCTTCTAGCAATATTTTGTGTTTAGTCGGCCCAAGCGGAAGGGTGCTCCACACGGGACGAGGAACCATGTCAAACCCAGTCTCTGCAAACAGAAACACTTTGAACTCTTGCATTCGCTCTTGCTTCCCCTCTAGCTTCCCCTCTAGCTTCGTGCTAGACCCTTGTTCTGAGAAGAACACTCTCCAGTATCGACCTGCGATGAGATGTCCAGAAGCAGTAAGCCAGTCACATATACAGTCTTTCATAGACCGACAATGAGGCCGATGAGTCTGCTGTGAGGATGCATAGTTTGCTGGAACAAGAATTGAGAGCACCAAGAGCCTATCTGCACCAAACCTTCTTTGTAAGCGACATGATTGGTCCAGGTGGATTGGAGACAGCTGATATTCAAACCGCCCTTTGGTAAGGTTGCCAGACCATCTAAGGTTTACTCTCAGTGAAACGGCCTTGTGAGATTCCTTGTTGTAGTATTCATTCTTCGAGGTTACCCAGTCTGGTAACTCTGACTCAGGGGATATTTCTCCAGAGTTGACAGTCAATCCTCTTAGAGTCGAGCAAAAGTCGTCAGCAGATGGACCTGTTCGTCCAATGGCTGCTAGCATTTGACTGTGAAGATCCACGGGTTCAATTCCACTTTGGTGTGCTAGACGGTGGATGTCCCATGCCAACCAGAATGGTGTCTCCGGTGGTAGCTCCGCATATTGCTCGAAAGGGCTTCGGCAAAAGATACATTCGACAGATGTTGTGAAACTGGGGTGGAACTCTTCTTCTGAAATCATCGAGGTGTCATTGGAGCCTCCGACACCGTCCTCGCATGCAACCGAGAAAACATCTGAGACCGCAGCCGAGAGGTTGGTTTCAAAGGACGCATTTACTTGTTGTGGCGACGTCCTTGGGAAGTGGGAGTCTAGAGTTTGTTGCCGTTTCATGCCCTAAGATGCTTTAGTTTCGTGGTTAAATCAAAGAACGAGGTATTTACCTTGGAGGAGAGGTCAAAAGAACGCTTTGTGGGTTTGGTTAGATAGTCCTTCGGCCGTGGATCCTCAGAAGAAGATCTAGTCGGGCCCGGTCCATCTTCAGCAGGAACGGGTCCGGCTCTCCGTGAATAATCAGCTACTGTTGCCAGCTGATACTCTTCGTCGAGAATTCGGTACAAGTGCTCGACGAGCTCGTGTCTCTGAGAGTCTGTGACCGTGCGGAGCTTGGAATTCGACCGGATATCACGCTCTATTAAGCTTTTCGTCACCGGTAAAGATGGAAGAGTGCCGCGTTCTTGAGATGGCTTCCATACCCAGTCTGAAAATTGCTGTCTAGCCTTAAGGTCGAACTCATCCATGAGTCCGTCAAGATTCACTGGTCGGAAACAAAGATACCTGATGATTGACGAGCATACCGTGGCTCGAGAAGACTGGTGTCCAACTGGCTTTGTCTTTGGCTTATCAAGGTGAGGGAGGCGTAGGTCCCAGCAAGCATTCAGTCTATCAATGGCCGCCTTCACCTTGTCCCCAGCATGATGGGGATTTTTGGACATTGGAAAGGTCAATATGGTCTCGCATTTGCGTATTGGGAGCAGAATCCAGTGAAGATAATTTCGAGTTGATGGTAGTCAGCCCTGTAAAGACCATCAGATTAGGAGCACTTTCTATGGGGTCTGGATGAGGGGAGACTTGCTCTTTGATGTTGGCGATAAAGCAATGCAGTAGCTCTGTGTCAGCAAGCGCCAGAACTCCAACCATCCAAAAGAAGAGCAAAGCTCAAACGCAGCACGCTCTACGGAAACGATGAGCCAAGGGAGGGCTTACATTGAGTTGAAGACCGTCATGTGCCTGAGGCAACTCAATGAGAAGGGAGCGGGGAGGGAGACGTTCCTGACGGGCAGCATCCCCCGGACGGAAGTGAAGGGACGAGCCGCCCCGGGTTGATTGGCGCGGTCCAAGCCTGTTTCCCAGCAACTCTGCAGACCGCACGTGTTTGGACCCAACATGACGCGTAAAGTGGTTTTTGTTTTCACCTCACCAACAACTCACTCAGCCTACCGTGTCACGCGCGTGCGTCATGGGTAGCTAATGTCATTCTGGCCCATGGGCCGGATGCGAGATTCATCTGTAGTGTTCTTGGAGCTGCAAGGACACCATCCAGGCATCCTTCTCTTCCTGCCGATGCAAGCGTGCCCGAACAGGACCATCTCGGTGGATCGACTCAGCATGAAAGCCAGGGCAGCAGGGCAGCTCGGTGCATTTTGCATGAAATGCAATGTTGTGGGAATAAAACCGCAGGACACGGGAAGATGTTGATTTATTCTTCGACGAAGCGTTTGCCACGCGGCAACCTTCCAGCTGGTGCCAATGCAGGTCTGCCTGGTCGGTGGGGCAATCTCCACAGCTACAAGATCTCTGCTACCAACGAGTATTTGAGTAATCGAGACAAACCTCCACCGTTGCTTCGTTCAGTCATATCCGTCCTTTGATCGATTCGATCATCATCCTCCTGCATTGCCTTTCACTTCTGTGAAGTGCCAGTCTTTGCACTCGCACGACCAACCCATCACATCCGCATATGTAGCATCAGATCCAGCCGACTCTCTATCAAATGAGATTTGCCACGTGTACTTGGACGATCGTTCTCTATGGTTTGCTACGGTGACTACGTGAGCTCGATGCACCACTGTTCGTGTTAGTTTTGGGTGTGTGTGGAAGAACGATCCGATCGGGAATACTCACACGCTGATTCTCCGAGCCACGCCTTGCAGATTCGTATCGTTCTCAGCCTCCGCTGCGGCACGCTCCAGTGCCGCACGCCTATCTTCGGCACTGATTTTCTCAATTTCTTCCGGCGACGGCGGTAGTCTCTCGTTCTGCAGATCAACCTTTCTCGCATCTTCAAAGTTGTGGATGGCCTGCTTGATACCTTCAGCTCCAAGCATCAATGTGCCTGCCGGCAACCGACCCCCCGATTGTGTCTTGAGCTCAGTGACACGTTCAGACTCCTCTCGCAGGACTTGGAAGACCCTTGACAAACGGCCAATTGCCAAAATCTTGTTCTTGATGGCCCGACGTTTGGCTTCGGTAGTCTCGGCGTTTTCCAGTGGAGGTGTTTCTGGGCCGATGCTGGAGCTCCGAGCGTCGTCCTCGAGTTCTTCCTTGGACGCTGTGTTCAGGATCGCAATGAGCATATCGGTGATCTTTTCCCCCACAAACGGTAGTGACCAGGTAAACACATCCATGAAATTGGGCAGCCAATAAGGATGCGGCGTGCAATTGAATTGCCGGATGTTCATAACATTGTTCTCATACTTCAACACGGCTGCTTTGTTGTTGTAGACATCCAGGTAGTTCGGTGCGCTGAAAATGGTCATGACACTAGGGAATCCAGTCGTTCGAGTCTTGCGGTACATGCGATAGCCGGCATCCTGCGCTTCATGTGCTCGAATCACCGACAGCAAATTGTTCTTTTCGAGGAAGTTGCAGGCCGCGGGGTACGAAAAGAAGTATGAGCAGCCTCTGACATGGTTGTGCACAAAGTATTCCCCCGTCTTCTCCTGTCCAAACTCTTCCAAAGGATCCGCCCAGAGAATATCGCACATGAGCCCATGCGTGGGCGGCTCGCGGAACCGATCGATCTGCCAGCATTAGTCTCACTTCCAGAACTGTCAACAAGTCCAGCCTACACTCTTGATGTCCTCCAATGTATGCAGCTCAGGACTCAATCCTCCATGTATACACAGGAACTGCTTGTTCATCACCGCCGCCAGAGGCAGTGCACAGAATGCATCCATGCAAGCTTCATAAACCTTCTCCGAGTATTTGTGCTTGCATTCCAGCTTGAACGTGAAGTAATCTGTGAGATGTCTGCACTCGTGGTTTCCTCGGAGCAGCCACAGACTGTTCGGATACCAGATTTTCAAACTCCACAAATACAACACACACTATAACCACTTTTTAGATTCAAATCCTCTCAAAAACAACCAAAACAACCCCTTACCTCTAAAGAAAAATACCCTCTGTCCACATAGTCCCCAAGAAACAGATATCTTGTTTCAGATGGATCACCTCCAACTTCAAAAAGTTTCATGAGATCGAAGTATTGGCCATGAACATCCCCACAAACCGTGATGGGAGCATCCATCTCGAGCAGGTTGGGCTCGGCCTTGAGCACCTTGGCACCTTCATTGATGATCCAAAGGGCTTGCTCTTCGGTTAGGCGGCCTTCTCTGCAGAAGTGTTGCTTGAGGAACGCGAGATTCGGCTTCGATCGGTCGGTGGGACTCCAGAACTGATCGTTGGTCGGCGGCTGCATTGCCGGGGCTTGGACATCTGTTGAGGGTGAGTATGGTTGTACAGAATCGCAGAAGGGAAGCTACCTTTGCACACTCGCTCTTGGGTGCTGACTTGGGTGCCATCTTCCATGATGTGGAGAGTGAAGTCGATCTCTGGGACAGGCTTCTTGTCAAGCACTGCCTTGTGTATTGTGTCGTCCATGATTGGGGCGGGTGCGCTCAAGGCGCAATGGATCAGGGGTCGAAGGGCAGTCTTGAACGAGGTGCGAGGCCGGCTTTCAGCAGACTGGGGGAGAATGCGCAGGATAGATCGAATGGTGGGAGGGTCAGTCCGAGGGGTCTGCGATGGTCGTGTGGTGACTGGTGAGTTGTTACTCGGAGGAGGGCGAAGGAGGGGGGTGGCGGATGGCAGATGGCAGATGGCAGATGGCAAACGCCAGTGGTGGTAGCAGCAGATGAAATCAGATGTGCTGCTAAGCCCAACTTAGTACTCCAGAATACTAAGGCTTGGGAGTTGTGAATCCACAGTGAGGCGGGGCTTGACCCGATTTGGCGGGAGAAGGACACCGAAGAGCCTTGCGAGGAAGGATGGTCGTTGGAGGGGGATCACAAATGTGTATCAAGGAGGGAGAAGGGGGTCGTCAGAATCGGAGCTGAAAATGAGATTGTGATTGAAGGTTGGGGGCTGAGAGGCTGCAGGAAAGAAAGACACACAGAGACAGCCCAAAAGAGAAGGGTAACTCGATTAGTCCAAAACCCGGAAGCTGGAGACTCAGAGGTGGTTTCTGAGTTCCTGGACTCCTGTCAATGTCCGTGAGCTAAATTCAAAGATGCGTTCGGTGCCTAGAAGCTTGAAGCCAGTCAACTAGGGGTTCATTGGGAGGGACACCGATGAGGGGGAATTTGGGAAATCGGTATGAATAATGATAATGATGTGGGTGGAACGGAAACCCGTGGGAGGAGCAGCTCCAGCCACACCGGATCTCCAGCCACAGGTCCATTCACGTGCTTGCGCCACATCAAGCCATCGTCATATGTACACTGACCCCGATGAGGGGTCACGAGTTACGAGAACGCCCCGAATCGGAGAATTGTTTCTCCCCATCCCTCCACCGCCTATCAACTCGGTCTCGATCCACGACTTTCGAGACACTCTGCAACACACCTCATTTACTCCCTCTCCTAACCTCAATCATCATGTTTGACCCTCATAGTATGTCTTACACTGACTAGCCGCTGGCTGTAAAACTGACCACTCAGCAGAACCACACCCGCTCCTTGCCCAGGTTCCTCTGACGGTCTCGCCATTCCTCTCTCTGCCTACCGCTGTAACTCTTCCCTACACATTTCGATCCGTGCCCACTTCGCTCCCCCCGTCTGTTATATCTGAAAATGGCACTGAGAAGCCAAAGTACGTCACGTCGTCTTCGGGTCATACTGCCCATCCAGACGACATTGTAGCTTCGTGTATAGCCCTTCAAGACCACCTTCAAACCACCCGGCAAGCTGCAGAGAAAGCCATAAAAGATTGGGAGCAGGATATCAAAGACCGAGATCTGGCAGAGAAACGGAGAGTTGCACCTGGATGGTTGGACCGTTCAGAAAAGATCCTGGAGCCCACCAAAGCCACATCCAAAGGTTCCTCTGACCAGAATATACTGGACCATCAACCCACAAACGTGATATCTGCTCCTGCAATGTCACCCAGTCGAGAAGGCGAAGAACTCGATCGTGCTTTTGGTGGCTTAGGTGTGAAATGATGTCTTCTGAAGTCGACTTTACTTGTCAGCCTTCCTGCGTGACTCTCAACTCCCTGAAATTTCCCACTCTCCAATTGGGGATGCGAGCACTTCAATGCCATCTGTGGCCAACAGTGTCAGTGCCGGACCCTCGAATACACCCTGCCTCTGAATTGTATGGCCACAATCTAAGTATGTCATCCACCCACTTCAGCAGTGCGCTGAGCCCTGATCAGCCACTGCCAACCAAACCAGCCTCGGACTTGAATCTCGACAAATCACTCCCCGATCCCATCTTGAACTTTCTTGATCATCCATTTCAGACACGGCAATCGACTGTTCTATTTGTGGCCATCCTGGTGTGTTTAATCTTGGTTTCAGCTTTCATGGGCAAGAGATATATCGAGGCACTTCGGCCGGATTCCTGGGCCCCTCGCGACAACCCAATGACTCTTAAGAGCCTACGTCATTCTCACTCTACAGTCGAGACACATCAAGATGACAATACAGGATTGGGTGCAACAGGCTTCGCCCCATTTCTGGACACAGATCAGAGATCACGGCCACGGCCACGTATCCACCTCAGTCCACCTACAATCTCGATTGGAGAAGTGCACAGCAGCAAAATAGCACAACGTCGGCGCGCATCCTCGGCACGCAGTGGCCACAACAACGGTTGAGTTGCAGGTGACTATTCACTCCAAAAGTGAACACATTCGAGGTTCGTCCCATTCCACGACATCCTTCGGTACCAACACCAATGGGATCATTACACCCCCAACATCATCATCATACAACTCTCTCTAGGGTGCAATGTATCCTCCATCAACGACAATATCCGTGCCTGTGGTATAAGAACTGGCATCACTCGCAAGATACAAATAAGCCCCTACCAATTCGATGACCTCACCCTCTCGACCCATGGGAATCTTGTCCCTCCAGATATCCTTTGTCTCAGGTGGGACAAAATTGCTGATTTCAGTGGCAATGTATCCAGGACTGATGGTGTTGGCCCTCGCGAACTGGACCCATTCGATTGCGAGAGACTGGGTCAAATGTTTGACGGCGGCCTTGGAAGCGTTGTAAGCGGCTTGAAGTTGAGGAATATTGGCAATATGGCCACTCATTGAGGCGGTGGCAATGAATTTCCCATAGTTGAAACCCTCCAACTTGCTCCTTTTCTGTTCTCGCCATATTCTGCCCGCAGTTCGTGCACCATAAAACACCCCGTCAATATCGGTTCTTACCACATTTTGGTAGTGTTCAACTTCGCCCGCAATGGCCGGGCCTTGTGTCCACGGAATCCCAGCGTTGGCCACAAAGATGTCTAAGCGATTATTGAATTCCTTGACTTGAGATACAATTGCTTCATCAACTGCTTTCGAGTCTCTGACATCCACTTGATATGCTCGAGCTGGGTTGTCTTTGTCAGCACACTAGACATGGGCCCTTGAAATCTTGCGTGTCTCACCTTTGACTCCAAACTCCTTCTCAATTTCTGCTGCTCGATCAATTGCTTTTTTATTCCCGTGATACCAAATGGCCACATTGGCCCCAGCCTCTGCAAACCCTCGAGCTACCGCCAGTCCAATGCCTGCACCTGCTCCAGTGATGATTGCTGTCTTGCCCTTTAACGAGAACAGAGGCAGGATATGAGTTGCCTTTGGTGCCTCGGTATTGTAGTGCTTAAAGGCATTGCCTGAGATGGCGTCATCCATTCCTTCTGTCTGGTATAGGTAGTGAATAAGATCCGTGGGTATAGGGCGCTCTTGATGCTGGCTTTGGTTGGGAGGCACGACGCACGAGCGATCCAAATAAAGTTGAATCTAGCAGGCCTTTGTGAGGAAACGAGGATGATTATGTACCCTCCAGATATTCGCAAGTCATCCATCCCACAATGTCTATTCCAGTTGGAGAAGTCTTGCCGCCCCACAGAAGGCACGCAATCCTAGTCCAGTCTAGCAATTCAGTGGACCGACTTCAGCAACTCAACAAATGGGCCCAGCATGGGGCACTACTACTGCCATTTCCAAGAGAGAATGGCACCAAGCCCTGGCTTACAACCTACGATCATTGCCGAGCCAGCGATGAGAACAGAAAAGCCGAAGTAGGTTGAGTTTTATCGACTTCACGCCCAGTGTTGCATTTCGGAACTTGCAATTGACGGGATGCCCAATTGGCCGCCGGGATCCTTCCGCTTTGGTGCCGCTTTGGTGGGCGACGGAAGTTGAACTAAAGTTCACGCGTGCCTTCCTGATTGTGATTGTTGTTGTCAACTTTAACTCCAACTTCGAGGGCAGGTGCGACTGCCACTGCGACTGCGACTGTCACTAGCAAGCTCTTCTGTTTCTCTCCCATCCCCTCCGTCCACTTGCCAGCGTCCGCAACGCGTCGCTTGTCAGAAGATACAGGATCGAGGACACACCTTGATCACTACAATGAACATATTCCAAGCCATCGGCTCTCATCCCAGCGAATGGCGAGATGCTACTATTCATCCCCTTGGCCACTGAGATGTCTACAGCAGCCTCGTACGGTCAATGGAGTAGACTTTCCCGCTACAGCGATGAATTCTATCGCAAATTCGACTCAGGGCTCGGAGCCTGCATAAAGGTAAGGCTGTGAGCCTCAAGTAGATTCCACGTGTATCGCATTCCTCTCATCCCTTACACCCAATATGCCAATTTCCCACATTCCACTCATTCTCTACATTCATCCGACTACTCAATCTACTGTATGATACAATTCTCCACCGACCTGCTTCTGCATGGTGTTTCAACAGTGTCGGTTGCAGTCAGCTGCTCGAGATGTGGCCAATACCAATGATCGTCGGGGTCGCCATCGTGGGTGGGTTTGCCATGCTCGCGATAGGCATTGTCGTGGCTGTCAAAATTGAACGCCGAAGAAACCGCCAGATCCTACGGTCTCACGGATTGACCAGAGGTCTTAGCACATATCACCGACCAAAGCTCAGCGTCAGCGAAGAGAATTATTCAAATATTGCCCTACCGACGGCGCCTTTGAGGCGGAGTGTGCAGCTAACCAACGGATCCAGTGTATTGGAGTCGACGTATATGGCATCTGGAGGCAACGACATTCGAGAACCAAGCCTCATGAGGAACTCAGCCAGTAGAGCTACGGGTCCGGCTCTTCGAAAGGAGCCGACCCAAAACCGACCTTTTAGCGGACAAAACCTCTACATTCCAAAGACCCGGAGACGAAAAAAACTCAGAAAGGCCATTGCAATGAACCAAGCTCAGCAGTCTCCCCTGTCAGTCATTACTGAGTTCATGGATTCGAAAAGCCGCGTATCCTCCATCGTGGCCCAACTACCTAATGGGGCTATGAACATTGACCACCAAAATGAAACCGGACCGTCAATCCAATGGCCACTGCCAAACGGGAAGAGAAGCTCTGGGATACGTACACCTACGGAAGTTGCTTCCATACCAGCGAGAACCAGTGTTCTGAGGAGAGTGGGGGCCGTCGCAAATAGACCCGGTTGCGATTTGCCATTCCAGGCTGTCCCACGATCCCAAAGTTTGAGCAGTACTGCTTCCTCTGCCCCAGACGATCCGCTCCCACCTTTGCCCACGATAGAGTCTTATCAACAGTCGAAAACACAGGACCTTAGAACCAGAGCATCAAACACAAGCCTTGATACCGTTGGAAGTTCAGTTCTCGGCACAATCATGAGCTCTCCGTCTAATGTTGGCAGAGACCTGACTGCCCTTTGCGCAGGATTAGATGCTGGAATCTCCACTTTTGACTTCGATCTTAAACAGAAACTCTCGACACCAACGCTTCAATGGCCCTCTGTCAAGCGGACTATCCATGGCCTTTCCCAAAGTAAATCGAGTATTCGCTCTTTCCATCCCAGTGTTGATATGGGTGGTTCAAGTCCTGAATCCGTTGGAGATTATTTCAGCCCCCGACAACCTCGTCATATCAATTTGAGTGAGGATTCTCTCGAAGTCATCGATGCTAGTACATGGGAGAACTTCTTGCCATTACGAGTAAGTAAAAACCGCTCCGAGGTCACCAAACGTCAAAGACATTCGATGTACGAGCGTTCTAAAATTCTAGAATGGCGAGCTGCGAGCGATTCTGTGATTTCTACGGCGCTGCACCGTCGTTTGTCCACAGAAAGCCCGATTGTAAGACCTGCTTCTGTAGCGACTACGAATCTCTCGGTATGGGAGAATCGAGGGAAACAGGTGGCCAAACGCCGCTCTTTCACATCTCTGCATGGCCACAAAAGGTGTCATCGGCGCCAAAATTGTATTCGAATCACCAACTTGCCCAACTTGGACAAAGCATTCAAGCAAAGCAGAGTTAGTTCAATGCCTCAAGTTCAAGAGGAACAACCACCACCCAAGCCAACGTTGCGAGTCAGACCAACACCAAGTGATCTCCGAATCTCACCTACCACAGCACCGTCCCCATTCAGAAATCCTCCACTATTGACTCCATCGACTCGACCAGCCCAGTGGCAAACAATACATCCACCAAGTAGTGTGTCATCGGGGACTCCTCGTCCAGATTCAGACGTGTTCAATTCAACACATGTACAAATTGTTGCATCCAGCGACTATACACATGCATCCCCACGTCGTTGGCCCCTTTCACCGATTGCGGTAAGCAATCAACGATTCAACGATTCGCCCAGTCCTGTTCTGAAGTCAGAGTGCCAACCATATGGGTCACCAATATTACCTTCTCCAGCATTCAACGCTTCTTCATTATATCCCAGAAAATCGTTGGTCAAAGGTCCCCGCAATCCCAGGGGCTCAGCTCAACATTTCAAACCACATTGCGCGAGTCCATTACAACACAAGCAAGGCAATTGCTACAGAATTTCAAAAGTCAGAGATTCTTATAATGGAGAGATTGATCTACGGAAGTCAGTCATGATGCTTCGTAGTATGAATTCCGAAGGATATCTTGATGATCAAAGTCGGAAAAGCTATCGCAATGTGGGCGATACTGGGGTGGAAAATAGTAGCATGGAATCTCTCAAGTTAGCTACCCGGCCAATGAACAAGCGCGTCAATGGTCTTCGAAATTCGAGCTGCGCCTCCTCCATCATCGCAGTCTCGCCTACCCCGGACAGGCAAATTCGTGGACCAAGTTCACTGAGTTACGGGCTCAACTCAAAGTCCAACCGAGCCAGGAATGGCCTAGTCAGCAATCCGCTGTTGAGGACACATTGTCTGGACCCTGCCAGCATGTCAGCATCGCCATCCGCAATGTCGATTGGTGCCATCTCAATATGGGAAGACGCCAGTGTCCGTGCTGATAGCCCTGAACTAGATGTTCCTGCATCTCGAACAATACAGGTTAAACCAGCTGCCGTCAGAAAGATCAGTCCAAGGACGCAAGCACAGTATGGACCACCTCCAGCTAGATCCCGAGGCCATACGCTCCATCCCCAAGACTGCCCTCGAAAGCAGATCCCGTCTCTGCAGAGGCCAAAAACACCGACAAGAATCCATCTCCATCGCCTTTCAGATGTCGAGAATTCAAACCTCGTCGAACGCCTCGAACATGTCGTGAGCAATGGCCAGTGGGATGGGAAGCGCATTGGAAGTGGTGGATGCAGCACGCATTCTGGGATTGGCCCTTCTGAACCAGGTTCCGAGATCGGTCTAGGTTTGCGCGTGGGCAATACTAGACTTGGAGAGCCTGACTTCGCTTCGAGAACAGCTTTATTCGCTTAGCAGCCGCTTTCACCACTCTCTTTGACTTGGGCGTTTTCACTCTCTCATAAATAATCTATATTGGGGCTTTCGACACCTGCTTTTGTTCATGGTAGCCAATGCCATTTTTGGATCTGATTTCATTTTAGTTTCAGGCAGGCTGTTTCTTACGCCACTTGTGGTATGGGTTGATAATCGATGCCAGCACTCCCGGATGGAAATGCCGCACTTTTGCTGGTGTTAGTTGTTAACCCATCGTTCGAAAACGGAGCATTATTTATTCGTAATAGTAGTTGTAATAGCATTAACTTTGTAGTAGGCAATATGGAAACCATCATTAACGCAGACTTAGGATAGTGTGAGTCTTATGATGCTAAGTTCCTCTAGTCGGACTCCCAGCACATATATGATGATGATATACATCGTCTCTAATTAGTTACTATCTTCTAGATCTAGTAGCATCATTATTCCTAGTTGAACACGAAACTTGATCCAAAATTAAGTCAATATTGTACATTTTTGTTTCAGCCCCGTTCTAGAAACAGTCCTAGTGTAGAGTAGGATTCGCCTCACTAATGCCCACGCCGGAACATGGAGTTGAATATGCAAGAAGTGGAGCGCAAGTCGCTGGAAAATGTTGAAAACGAGATTGAGTCTTCCCATTGATTGGTTCTTCCGTTTTTCATCGCTTCGTGACAATAGACATGATGAGATATGCCAAATCAAAATAAAATTCGCAGAGATGTTGATCCCGCAATAATTTGCTTTGTTGTTACAGAACCTCCGACCTATTTATTTCTCGTCGACCACGGCGGCAGGGGCCGGAGGCTCATCGTTGGTCTTCAGCCTCGACAGCCTCAGCTGCTCCATGACCTCGTGCGCCTGAGCGGCATATTTACACTTCATGCGGATGCGCTCCCCATACTTGTAGAACACAAAGAGGAAGGGAGCACACGCAAGAGCGAGGAACGCCGGGACGGAGCTCGCCCAGTGGATCCCCAAGGCGTCGTACATCTGGCTCGTAAACAGTGGGAAGGCAGCGCCGAAGAGCGACCGCAGCACAGAGCTCGCGGCCAGCACGCTCGCGGCGTAGATAGTGTATGCGTCGATCAGGTAGTTCATGCACGGGAGGAACACCATCACATTGCCGAAGCCGAAGGGGACGGACCCGATGATGCACACGATCCAGTGGATCGAGGGGCTGTTGGTCCATGCGAACCAGAACATGCCTATGGGGATGGCCACGGCGCCGATCATCCCTGGTGGGAGGCGGCCTTGCTCGGGCGGCGGGGCGCCGCCATAGGCCTGCTCGACGCGCTTGTACCGTCTGTTGTCGAATATCGTGTACGCGGTGCCGGAGATCATGCCGACGGCGACGCCGAGGAAGGCGAGCCCGCCGACGCCCTGCGACCACCCGCGTCCCTGTTGGAACACGATCGGGTATGCGCCGAACAGGAGGAACAACGTCCCGTAGATGATCGCCATGTAGATGGAGATGAGCAGAACGATGGGCTCCAGGAAGAGGAGTGCCCACGGCCGAGTGAGCGCTTTCTTGAACGCGGCTGCGGGGGACTGCTTGCCCTGGCGCCGCTCGATGATCGAGACGTAGGCCTTCCCCGTGCGTTTGGCCAGTGCTGCGGCGCGACGCTTCAGTAGGACGGGCGCATAGGTCTCCGGGATGGTCAGGGCGCCGACGAGCCAGAGAAAGCCCGTGAAGATGGCCATCAGGCCTTCCAGGAAGCGGAATCCAAGCGCTTGGCTGGAGAAGCCGCCCACGATCGGCCCAATGACGGGCCCCAGGAATGGCGCGGCCGCGAAGATGCTCAGCGCCAGGCCTCGCTCGTTCGCCTGGAACATATCTGCGATGACGCCGCCGGCGTTGGTGAGAGGCGACGAGCCGAATGTCCCAGCGAGGAACCGGAGGACCAGCAGCGTGGTGATGGAGTTGGAACCCGCGGCGGCGCCGTTGAAGATCGTGAGCATCGCGTACGTGCCGAAGAAGAGCACTTGGCGCCCGTACAGCTCCGAGCACGGCGCCCAGATCAGCGGGCCGAGTGCAAAGCCAAGCACGAAGAGTGAGATCCCCAGTGTGGCGACTTCCTGGCTGCAGTGGAACTCGTCGATGACTTGCTTGACGCCGCCAGAGAAGGCGGAGGCGACGAATGAGACCGCCAGGGTCGCGATGGCCATGGTCAGGGTGATGAACCATTTCTTCGACCCCGACCATTCCAGAGGGTTGCGGGGATCGTGCCGGATGAATTCCACGACGTACGGGTCTTCTGTGGTGCCGGAGCCTTTGTACTTGTGGTTCAGGACCTCGTCTGTGATCAGGGCCTGGCTGGCCACGAGTCGCCAGTGTGGGATGCTTCGTGTTGAGGGCTCACGGATTTGACTTTCGACGTCTGCTTCGACTCCATCGCTGAGAGTCGATGACGATGAAGTGGCGTTTAAGGTGGCCATATTTGTTGGTGTTTATATCCGTACGCGACTCTGGGTGTGGAGGACGGGATGACAACGGCAGCCAGCCGCAATCTTATACAAAGCTGGGGAATATCGAACGCCCAGGAGGCTACACGCAAAATGCGTTTTGGTTGCTCCATTGAGCCAGCTGTGAATGCACAAAGCAAAGGGGGCACTCTGGCCATCGTATGTCCGAGTTCCCGCACAAATGCTCGTCATGCATCCATCTATCGAAAGTGTCCACAGTACTCGTAAGCTAAGTGCCGAAGTCTTCGATCAGAAAATCAACCCGTCTGACACGAGATTTTGACTGTGTACCTTGGGCGGAAGAACCGGCGTCAGAGATGTCAGATCAAAACATTTAATCATGCCGTGATAACCGGCGAGGACTACTACCTGCCCAGTGGGCAAAATGGCCCAGCAGGGATGAAAGATGTATCTGTGGATTGGGATCTTCGGGTCAGCGCTGGAGTTTCCATGGAGGAGATAGAGGCTGCGGGTGTCACTCGCTTTCGCATTCATATCACTAATTATGATGGGTGCACAATATATAGTGCAAGAATTATGCCGCTCATTACTATCATTAGTGATGAGCCACTCTCCCTTATCACATGCTGGTTTCGGCCACTTCTTGGTCATCAGGAGGCATTCTAGAACACCTTGGCCTTTGAATATTACGTGTCTACAGTCATAGAGTCTCCCTCGCCCTCTTGACCCTCGCTTTTAGCGCGAATTCGACCCTGCTTGTAGACAAGGCTCGACGGCTACTTAGCGCGATCGCCGCGTTATGGCATACGAAGAACCTCCTGGAACGATGCTTTGAATATAGGGGTCCTTGACCTCAAAACGGGGTCTCCTAGCGAGACACTGGGCTAACGAGCACTCCCTTAACGCCATTCGAGGAAATTTCAGTGTCGATCTCCCGTATAGCATTTCATCCCGGAGATACGATATCTCCAGACTACCAGGGTAAAGGCACGACAAGCCAACGATTGAGATCGACAATCGCAATTAATTCAAGGAAAGATTCCATCACCTTATCTAGTAGCATACCTTGTGGGCCGGACTCTGATCCGTAATTGCTGGCCTCATCGGCGACATCCTTAATTTACGACAAGCTTCATACTGACCGTCATCGTATGTACTTAGGCTCTTTATCACATCCGCACAGTTTGACCGATAGGATCTAGATTCGTCTTGTCAAGAGATCTTCCCCATAGTACGGGTCGGTAAGTCGGCTTAGCTCCTCTACTCCCAAAGGGCGCTAATTCCCTAGGCCCTCATTTATTCTGAATCGATATGCGTGCTCAAGAATCTGGGAGTCTCTAGGGCTCAGCCTTGCTATGTTGGTAAACCTTTTAACAAATTCAGTATTGTCAACAGGAGCACTTGAGGCCTGTGGCTAGAAGCCCGTTAAGGGCGCTTTACCTTTGGCCTGTAAAACTACTCTGCGGTCCCTCCGATGCTGGGATCTTTTGGAGAAGTCCTAACCATGCAGTCCCATGGCGGCAATTTGTCGGGCTTTATAAAACACGTTCGAGATATTTAACGCTTGGTGCTGCGCTCTAGCCTTCAGGTCGCGAAGACTGAGTGTGCGTCTCAACCGACTTGGTCGATAAGCCGCATGATCGCTAGTTGTTGCGAATCAAATGATTTCAAAAAATCAGCGAACGAGAGGCGGTTTTCTGGGCAGTGATGACGAGATAGCGCGATCTCTTGTCTATTCAGCCCGTTTGCTCTGCTTGAGGCACGCCGTTTCAACAGCCGAGTTGTTGAAGCAGCACTCAAAATACATGTAGCGTCATATGTGTGAGTGAGCCCTCCAAGAAAGTACTGGATATCAAGGTGATCTCTTTCGAGTCTGGCCGTAAACGTCATGGATGCTGGAATGGCATCTTTGAAGGCGAAATTGCTCAGTCGCGTCTGGAATAGTGTGCTATGTGGACGGCTAATAGTTCTTGATCGAGATTTGCGATGTTCCATTTTGACTGGATACATATCTGGTATTGTAGAACATCATGCATGGCATAGAAAGATATTCATATCCTAATGACTGTTAAGGTGTTTAGGTGAATTCGCTTTGCGGCGCTCTTTGGTTGTTCCAATCATATGACGCGCCCCACATATACTCTGATACCATGGACTGAATCTTTTGCTGCAATTCAAGCATTGCATGAGGTTGCAGGGCGAAGGGAGGTTGTAATCGCTCTCCTGGAATGGGATTGAGCGAGGCTGTCTGGAGTGTGGACTTGCAACCGGGTGGCAGAATCAGATTGGGGAATGCCTGGTAAAACGGTTGATCGATTCGGAGATTCTCGATCTTTTGGATGGGCAGCTTGTACATGTTTAATAATTTGTGGAGAGTTGGAGAAGCAGGATAATGCTTCATTGGCGAGTCTACAGGGGAGCCACCCTCAGCTTTCTCCATGAGGTACATGTCCCAGATCCTGAAAGTCGTTTGTACTTGGCCTGTGAGCCCGGGCCAGGAAGAATCTGCGTTATTCCGACTTGGTTCGGGTTCGATCACGGTATACTCTAAGGCTTTCATGCAGAGCTCGTCGATGTCGATGTTGTTCACATTGTTCTGCTGTAAGAGGATGACGTGATTTCGTAAAGCTGGCCACGGTAGCCAGTCTATGGCAGGTGAGTGAGGGACAGAGAGCTGAAGAAGTGTGGGACGGTAAAAGTGATGCAATCGTCTGTAGGTGGTCTTGCAAGGGAAGTTGCGAAAAAGCTCGTATGCGAAGATGTTCTCATAAGCAGCCTATGAAAGGAAATCAATCAGCTTTCATGGCAATTATGGAAGCGAGTTGAATCACCATCATTTTGAGGGCGCCTCTGCTAGAGGGCCATGCCTCATGTATCATCCATGCAAATGTCTCTTCCATAACGCGCTCCTTGAAAGCTAGTGGCCTGTGTCATGTAAGCTAAAGGACGCCCATGCATTTGGAGTGTCATGCATACTGGGTCCGCAGTAGTGTATAATTTCCATAAATGACCATCTGCACGGTTGAAATATGTTTAGACAACGCAGAATTATCAGGGAAGGCCATCATGAGCTGCCCAATACCCGAACTGCCCCCCATCATCAAACTCGGCGCAAAATTGTCGTAAAGAAATCGAGGATCGAATGGCAGTTCCTCCAGCACCTTCTGAGAAGGAAGAAATGCCAGGCTCTCTTGGATCATCTCCGATAATGTCATAGTTTGCTCCGGATCTTCAGTGTCATTCTGTTCAGTCGGATAATCTGGAGTCTGACGGAGGCCAAATTGCTCATGATGAGAGTGATCGAATAGGTTGGCATCAAGGTTTCCAGAGCGTGTGATGGGATTATCTCCTAGAGCTGCATTGACTGCGAGCCTCCCAGCAACGAAAGGATACACCTCTGGTTGCGACTGCGACTGCAACTGCGAGATGCTGTTGGGTCCTTGTCTATATACGTCGCAATCGTCCACGGCTTCCTCGATTTCTGGGCTCGCCGAGCTGGAAGCCGAAAGTGCTGGCATATTTGGGAAACTGACTACGCCACGGTCGACTGCTAGAGTGTGGGCATTATACCATGCTGTCGGAGCCAATTCTGGTGGTACTGCAACCTGAGAGCTTGATCGATTGGTGTTGGCTGGGGAAGGCTTCCGCTGTTCGTCCACCGTACGGAGCTTCCGTAATCCTCTGACTTGGTCTAGTGCAGACCGTAGCTGCTGTTGTAGACTCTCAACCTCCCTGTTGCGTTCTTCCAGGGTTGCTTGCAAATTGTGAAGCTGATGAGTCTGCCGCTCGCGCCATCGTTTCTGATTTTCACAATTTTGTTTACGACGTTTATCAGGATCTTTGGTCGGCATCCTTCCCGTCCACGATTTGGATACTGGTGTATAAGTCTCTTACGTTGTTGACGATGATGGAAGAGTGGAAATGTGGATCCGGGAAGAATGAAGTGATGTTAAGTGATCGGTGTAGACTGTTCTCAGCCGTGCCTAGCTGTGCCAAGCTGTCGATACTAGCCGCGTAGTTGCCTTTCCGGGGAGAAGGGGTCGACTCGTGGGTTATGCTTGCCTAGACTTGGAGGTGCGGGGTTAGCTCGGGATTTGCCGGGAAATGTCACCACATCCCGCCTCAGCGCATCCCTGCGCCAAATGCAATAGGAACAGGAGTGCTGGTGGCGGTTGTCTTGATGGGCTCAGATGTGGAATGGAGGACGGAAGGAACGTCTGTTAGCGAGAGTGTCCCGCGTCGTACCTCGTGGCTTTACTCAGTAGACAGCCTGGCCATGCAGGGATTTGACTATGACTGTGGATAGAGCCTAAGGACCCTTGAAAGAGCCTTGACCACCACCTGCGAAATGATACGATAGAGCCAAAGCTGAAAGAACACGCCCTGCAGTCCAGAGTCGGGCTTTGTGCCCCATCTAGACATCGTATATGTATTTAATATATAACGTAGCTGGCCCATGGTTCCTCCCTTCCCATTATTCAATTGTGAATGGAGTGCCTTCCACGAGGCTAAACACACCTGACTTTCGCTTCCCCACCTCCTGACTCAGCATCCTTTTCCCGCGCGCCTTGGCGGCAAGGCGCCAGTGAAGACAAGGGGTGGTCGGCTCCATGTTATTCCTTCCCCGGTAGCGATTCGCTTTTATTGGCATTTACCATACAGCCGAGACGCAGACCCGCGCAACACTCCTCGAACAACTCGTCGACATCACACGATGAGTATCTGCTTTTTCCTGGTCGCGTCGGTGGTGCAGGGATGGACCTCTCGGCCGCCTGGGTTTCATAGCCTGAACAGGTATCCCTCCAGCTGTTCCTTTGTTCTTGCGCCGACATTGTGATGGCGATTCTCCTCCCAGACATTTCCTCCTTCACCAAAACGATTCGACATATGTCCGAGGAAGAAGTCAAGGTTTCTGTCAGCTTTGGGGAAAGCTGCTTTGAACGTTTCGAAGAGGTCCTTCACTTGAGGTTTCTCTTTGGCATGGAACACCTTCTCTGAGACAAGCTGCAGGTACTTTCTCATATGCGCAATGTCTTCCTTCGCATTGGGTTCCCACCCGACCTCCAAATGCCCGGGAATGATCTTGTCAGCCCCAAGTGCTTCAATCACGTCCAGCGTCCTCTCCCACGCCTCGAGTATTTGGGGTGTGTCAATCTCTTCGACCCTGAAGTCATCAGTTGCGAGGACCTTGTCGCGCGCATTTTTGAACTTACCAGGCATGGGTACTGCGAGCATAGACCGAATCTCCGCAGACAACAACCTTCTCCTTCGGCAACCAGAACAGGGTGTGATCCACTGAATCTCCCTGCAGAGGCCCGAGTAAAATGATTGGAGAGTCTTCATTGCCTTCAAGTTGGAAAAAGGTATACTCAAAAGGCGTCGGCTTGCGTGGAACTTCGGGAATGTTCTCTCTGCCGAATAATGTTGGCCAGTAAATGACCTTTTCATCATACTCTCGATCAATTCCAGCGCATACGTATGGCGCCGCATGAAGAGTTGACGCTGGCCACGCATCAAGTATTGGGTTGGCAGAGAAATAGTGATCAGGATGATGGTGGGTAACGAAAACGGCTCTTAGAGGTACGTTTGTTGTCTCCTTGATCCATTGAACGACAGATTCGGCGTCTGGAATTAGGAATGGCGGGTCAAAGAGAACAGCTGCCTTGTCCCCTACTACTAAGGTCGTGACACTAGAAAGCCCCTTTTCGCTCGAGCGATGGATATATGATTGCAAGGGAGCCATAATTGTAAATGCAGACTCGGTACTCTGACCTGCTCATGACGCACCACCCATCGTCTGCGGGATTGGTCTCTCGCTACGTATATATACTTTTTCTCCAAACCCCGCAAACTAACTGCCGGACCGAGTTTCGATATTGACGATCATCATGGATCATTTTCTCAAGGGGGTTACGTGGTGCCCTCGGCTAACTTGAAATGCCAAAAACCTTCAAGTTGAAGTGTAATCCACTTGATTTCGTGAGAGACGATGCTGTCAGATTTGCCTCCAATAATACCCCGGAATAACCCCAACGGGCAAGCGGAACAATCACTCCAGTGTGGGGAACCGCTTCAATGCTTGAAGTAAAATCGGATATAAGCAGTAGACTTAACTAACCCCCATCCCCATCTGATACTGCTACGAACTTGACCTTGATCTTTGGCATCGACGTCAACTTGATGTTTGTCAAAGGCTGGCACGAACACTGACGGGCGTCGCTGGCGATGAATAAGCCAATGAATTCAACAAAGTATTACTGTATCGCTTGAATGTTTTGCTCAGAAAGGCGGCCAGCTCACCAGATGGCTGACTGGACTTACGGATCGTGAGGATCTCCGGACCGGACCTGGAGCGCTGCTGGACTGGGATGAAGAAACCTTAATACAATTGCTATTTGATCCGGTCCGAATGTGAAGAGTTGAGACTACGAGGCTGATCCCCCTCTTCTCTCCACGACTTGTCACGCATTCTTGCAAAGCAAACCATCTCCCAAGCACCAGACATGTCACGATTTCAACCAGATGGGCTCCTTGACAACCTACCTGGAAAGGTAGTTCTGCTGACAGGTCAGCACGCGGCCCTCTTGAAGTTGTCATGAGATGCTGATATCGAGCAACAGGTGGGGCACATGGCATTGGAGCGGCGCTGGTGAAATTCTGCGTAGAGAGGGGAGCGGCCGTCTGCTTTGGCGATCTGGACGAACAAGCCGGCACGGCACTTGCCAACGAGATATCTCAGCTCAGGTCATCCAAGGGAGACAAGCCGGGGAGGGTTCACTTCGTCGCCACGGATGTCACGCAGTACCAGTCTGTGCTAGCACTCTTCCAAGCTGGTCTTGAGAAGTACGGCCGCATTGACAGTGCCATCTCGTGTGCTGGCATCATCGAGATTGGCAATTGGTTTGACCCGACGCTAGATCTTGACACAATCCGCACCGTGAGTTCTATCTACCCCCTGCCGTTTTCAAGAATGGAAGGAAGTGGCCCCTTATTATCGCGACGACTTATTGAAGCGCTCTCTCCGCTTCCTAGGTCCCCACGAGTAAAGTTCTGGACGTCAACCTCCTGGGATCACTTTATTTCGCCAGAATCGCTTCCGTGTACCTCCGCCAAGGACAGCGACAAAGCGGCGACGACAAGTCTCTAACCTTGATATCCTCCGTTGCAGGATTCAAGGAATCACCAGGCCTATTTGTGTACCAGGTAAACTCTGTCCCTCCCATACCACCTTCCCCAGCCAAATACCCCGTAGCTGACAACACCACCCCGAAACCAGGCATCGAAGCACGGCATTCTAGGCCTGATGCGCTCACTGAGACTCTACCTGCCACCGACAACAGACATTCGAGTCAACGCGATCTGCCCATGGATGGTGCCAACAGCGATGACGGCGGGGATTGAAACCATGTGGCGCGCGGCCGGCCTCCCGATCAATGAGACAGTCGACGTGGCGAGGATCATCGCCGGAGTAGCTTGCGACCCAGACATGAATGGCAAGGCAATCTACGTAGAGGGCGGCCGTGGCTGGGAAATCGAGGACAATATCAATCACCTGGAGAGCCAGTGGCTCGGTGAAGAGCAGGCTGCATCGCTGGCGAGAGGCCAGGAGGTACTCGGCGCGGGGATGGATTGGGCAGCTAAGAAGGAGAAAGCAACAGCGAAAGCTTAGTTTAGGAAACCTAGTACTGATCTTATAAATACATAATATGACGACATTGCGATTTGTAAACTCGCAAACTTCCAGACTTCACTTCTATTATCGGTGCTGGATGTGCTTCGTTGGAGAGCACGCTCATAAAATCAAACACTACGGCTCCGCCCGCTCCTGCACGGTAGAAAGATCACTACTAATGGCATGCCTCAGCGGCCGTGGCGGCAAAAGAGCCTGCCTTTCGGGATCATCACTAGCCGCTCCCCTTTTGGAAGGCGAGGAAGCTGGCGAACCCAAGCTGTTGGTCCATCTTGTCTCATCGCCAGCAGTAGCGGCGGGGGCAGAGCCAGGAGCCCTGCCGCCGGCCAGAGCCTTTTCCCGTTGGATGGCGCGGCCCTGGATGTCAACGTACATGACCAGAGACATACCCAGGACTAGGCCGGCGGTCGCGAGGCCCAGGTTGATGGGCTCGGGGTCGTCTTCGAAGGTGTTGTGGAGGAGCGCTTGGAGGGCGGATTGAAGGAAGGTGAAGAGCCCCGACAGGCAGATTATCGTGCCGTACACGGTGCCGAACGTCGCGTAGCCGAAGACCTTGGCTGCGTAGTCACTGTTCATTGGGGAAGCGCGGTGGGCGTCAGCGGGAGGTAGGGGAAGATGGAGATGGGAAATCTCGGGGCTGGGGCCCAAAGGGGGTCCTCTGGGGGGAGGAGGAGGAGGAGGAGGAGGAGGAGGAGGAGGGGGACTTACGACATTGCAGAGTAGTATAACGGACGGAAGACGCAGAAAAGACACACGTTTGCATATGCGGCCCAGCGAGTCGGCACTGCGCCGAGAATGCCGATCACGGTACTCAACAAGACCAAGAGATTCAGCACCGAGACCGTGCTTGAGTTGTCCAACAGAACCCCTATGAAAGGAACAGTGACGACACCGCCGACGGGGAGAGCAACGTCGAAGAATTCAATCAGCTTGGTCGCTTCCTCTGCAGAGTCCAGCATGAACACATACTGCGACCAGATCGTGGAGATGAAGAAGTTGAATCGCATCATCTGCAGCACAGTGAACATGGTGATCAGGATGAACCAAGGCGACATGATCTGCTGAAGCGCGGGAACACCATGCATGACACCCCAGACACCACTGGTGGAATGGCGGACGCCCTCTTTCTTCTCGTATGCCTTCCTCTCAGTCTGGTCGCCGAGGAGCTCGGTAATCGACGCAATGGATTGTCTTCTCCGGACGGCTCTCTCCGAACGCACACGCATCAGCTCTGCCGCGCTGTCGAACTCGTCGTCGCTGTCGTGCAGATCCTGTGTGGGGTCGCTCGCCAGCTCGACTTTGGTGGTCAGCTCCGCTCGTGTTTCATAGCTGTGGCGGGGCATGATCAACAGCTGGGTGACGGATATGAAGACCGGAACCACGAGGAAGAGCAAGAAGAAGCGCCGCAGAGAAAAGTTCCCCCCAGAAGATTGGTACCAGATGCGGAAGACCAGGAACACAGACGCCGAGGCATCGAAGGCCCCTGTGATGAGAGCTAGGATCAAGCCTTGAAAGCGAGGAAATGCATTCGACAGGTGGAACGACGGCACGAAGCTGAAGGTCCCGCCCAGTGCGAGGAGGAAGCTGCCAGCCATGTAGGCGTCAAAGGGGAGATCTGCGGCGAACGCCATGCTGAGGCTCCCGAGCGCAAGCAAGGCGGAGCTGATGATCCCGCACACCCTCGGTCCATAGCGGTCGAGTATCCCTCCCACCAAGAGAGCAGATATATTCGTCGTCACGGACGCGATTACGAATGTGAGATTGAGCCTGTTGAACCCCGAATTAGCTGCCGTTAGAGATGTTTGCTTCGGTGGACGCTTTTCGTCACCTTTGATCCTGCAGGTAGCAAAGCCGGACCCCCTGCCGCAGCTCCTCGTCACTGCAATATTCGCGGTAGACCTTCTCCTGCGCAAGGATCGTCTTGAGCGCATCAAAGCCAAACACGATTCCAGATGCAGTCACGCAGGTGACGATCCCAATGACTATTTGAACTAGTAGATTGAACAGGGTTAGTGTAAATCAGCATAGTCCATTCTCAGACCGGTTATCACAACATCTCGTGTCGGAGAAAGTTTGATATTCCGCGTCAGGGTAGATGCGATAGACGCCTTACCTATTCGTTGCACCTGCGACACCTCATATGCCGCCTGGTGGGTCTCGAGTTTCTCTGCTGCATCATGTGCAGTCACTGGGAGCGGGTCGTAGCTCAGCGAGAGACTGGGGAATCTCTCGAGGCGCGGCAGCTCCGAGTTGTCGTCATATTCTTGGTCGACGCCTTCGACGGAAGAGACGTGCTGGGCTAACGACATGGAGTTCTGGTTAGCTCAAGAGCTCCTTTACGAGGTGTTGTGGCTGAATGTGAGTCGCATTTGGGGTGGGATAAGGTCGGTGCAGTTCCAGACGCGTCTGATCAAATTTTTCTTGGTCAACTGATATGATACCCGGGCGGTGCGGTGGGTCGTGGTTCCTAGCTCTCGGAAGTTGTGTCCGTCTTTCATATGCGGGGTTGAGCGACGCGAGTGGCTCGATTCAAGTCTCCTCCGTAGATTGCTCAGCCTCGCGGTACATGATTGGGTCACCGAAAACACTGCATTGTGAAATGCCGTGAACATCCACATGGAAACACTTCCGCAAGCTACATGGCTACCTATGAATGGTTCTGGACTGGGAAGTGCTGAATAGCCTGTTAGAGTCGATTTGGACTGGCCGGACTCAAGTACTTACAAGTCTATGTCGGGTCCTCTATCAAACGAGCCTGAACTCCTCTACCTGGCCACTCGGAACAGCGAACGGCCCAACCCCAGGCCTGGGAAAGTTGGGACTCCCATCCTCGTTCCAACCAAACCTTTGCGTCCTGATCGTGCGCGCAGACCACCCGTTCTCATAGTCTCTCATACCATGATAGACAATCCAATGCTCAGTCCCATCAGGACTCGTCGTGAAACTCGCATGACCCACACCGTAGACAGTCTCGTCGGGGTTCTCGTAAAAGACACAGCCTGCGGTCTGCTTGGTCCACAAGGCTGGATCCATGGGGTCGTTGCCGACCAACTCCAACTGCCCAAGACAGTAGTTGCGGTTATCGCTGCGTGCGGCGGAGTAGATGATGAACTGCTGGCCTGTGGCGGGGTTAACGAGCTGTTGCGGTGCTTCGTTGGACGACAAGCGGACGTTGACGGTGCGGTTGTACGGCGTCTTCTCCCACGGCTGGTCTGGCCTGGAGATGACTTGGCGTTCAGATTCGGGACTCGACACCGTCCACGAATCGCTCATCCGCGAGATACAGAGCATCGCGGGCCAGGAGGTGTACTTCCCTTCCCAGCATGAATACACGTGGTACAGCCCTGTAGAGTGTACGAAGTAGGTCCCGTCAATGGCGAACTGGTCGTAGGTGTCGAGCCCTGCTTTGAAGGAATACTCCGACTCCCACGGGTCAGATGTACTGGACTCGAGCACGAACATTCGGTGGTTGACGGCCGGACAGTTGAAGTCGCATAGCATGTCTTGCATTGGCGATGGTGTGTCTGGGTCCACGTCTGCAGTGAAGATCATGTACCATTTGCTCTCGGCTGGCAAGAAATGAAGCTCAGGAGCCCATAGATCGTAGGTGTAAGAGGTGTTTTCTGGTGGTGTAAACGCTAGTTTGATATCCGCGTGGTTCCAGTCACTGATCATCGTTGAGAATGTGTGTCTTTCCACTGAAAGTAAAAGTGAAAGTGTCTAAGGTATTTTTGAAAACTTAGAAGGACACTTACGTGAGGACACTGCTCCGGAGGATGGTGATGTTGTCATTCGTGCTGTAAGTCATATAGTAATAGTCGCCATAGCGAAACGCCCAGCTGTCACAGTTAGCCATCCAAAAAGGAGCTGTCTGGAATGATCCGAACCGACTTACGGGTCGGCTCCTACTCCATCTAGTATTGGATTTGTGAAAGTTGATGCAGACGTATTTGCAGAGACGAATTGGGCATAGCAGACTCCGGCGTAGCCAAGCAACAAGAGAGATGCATTAAGGCACATCATAATCAGTACCCACCAAGGCGACACAGTAGAGGTGAAAGATAGCGCTCAACGAGCTTGACACATTACAATCAAAACTCCAGCACGATTAAAATGAGAATGTGGCATACTTAAAATGTCCCACATCAAGGTAGCATTGGAGATGTAGCGGGCTGTGGAACATCTTGTAACTCTGGTGTTTTAATGCGGAGATGGTACAATGGAGCAATGCACAATGACGTCTAACCGAACCGAACCGCACAACGGATGACGCTGCCCTTTTGGTACCAAGGAGGACAGTTCAAATAGACAGATTGAGACGACGTAGATAGAGCTACAGCGAGGCCTTGTGGCTCTCTTCAACAGGCTTGACTTCAACAAGCATTTTGCCTATCACGAGTTAGTGTTAGCCAGACTGCGGTAGCTGTATGAGAAACATGTGGATCTTTACCGGTATTCCGTCCTGTATACAGATCCCTTAATGCATTCTCGGCGTTTTGCAGACCTCCTGTGACGATTGTTTCCTTTCTCTTGATTTTGCCTTCAGCAAGCCACTGTGCAAGATCTTTCAACGCACGAGGATATTCCTTCTCATAGTCGAACACAATGAAGCCTTCCATTCTAGTCAATGTTAGTATAGAAGACAATTATTTTAACACCATGAATGGACTCGCCTTATCCGCATCGAGATAATCATTAGATAGTTCTATGGCTCAATTAGTGGTGTGAATCTTTGTGGGGCCGTGGAGAGGCCATACCTTTGGGCCTTGGGCGTTGGAAGTGTTATACTGGCTGATACCTAATAACCGTCAATATCTTCACGTAGGTAGGATAGAAATGCACATACCGCCACACATGACGAATCTGGCATGAGGCTTCGCGCGTGAGAGAGCGATGTCGAGGATTTCGCCCCCGACTGGAAAACCGTCAATGTCAAATCCCCATCATAGGGTGGAATACACTCACCATTGTCGAAGAAGACATCGATCAGATCCTACAACAGTGAGCAATCGTTAGCAGCTATCGACTTGCTGAACTCACCTTTGTTGCCGCCCTGAATTTCTTAGCGTAGTCTTTGTCCTTGTAGTTCAAAGCGCCATCAAAGCCCAGTTCGTCCACCAACCAACGGCACTTATCGTCACTGCCGGCAATGCCCAAGACAGTGGCACCTTTCAATTTGGCAATTTGTCCAGCAACGCTACCGGTCGCACCAGCCGCGCCGGAGACGACGACAAAGTCTCCAGCCTTGACCTTACCCACGTCGAGTAGTCCAAAATAGGCCGTGAGACCAGTAATTCCTGCAGGGGTACATGAGCGTTTTTCCAGACCCAGTACTTGTGCAGCACTGAGGATGTGGTAGCAACGTACCAAGCACAGCCATGAGATCTGTGAGTCTTCCCCCTTTAGGCACCTGGACCCTCTCCAGGCTCTTTCCCTTTACCACCGCCAATTCAGTCCACCCCACCAACCCGGACGCATAGCTTCCCACCGGGAAATTAGGATCTTTGCTGGCTTTGATCGTGCCAATGGCGCCTCCGCGCATGATCTCGTCGATCTGAACAGGCGGAAGGTACGACCTTGTGTCGTTGAGCCAGCCACGCATGGCAGGATCAACGCTCAGGTAGTTGGACTCGAATATGACTTCTCCATCTTTGAGATCAGCCGCAGAAGGGGCCTTGTTGTTCTTGTTCAGTTTGAATGTCTCTCCTGGCACGATGTTGTCCTTGGGCCGCTTGGCAAGCGTGACTGTCTGGTATGTTGAGGCCATGATGAGCCTCTCACGGTAAAGGAAAAATCGACCTGTCTTCTGATAGTCTGGAGGGGGGTTGTATTGGTATGTTGTGAAACCGAAAGATAGGAAGATGAGGAAAGACTCTAAAGTAATCAACAACTTCTAGACCTCTGATCTCGGCCACTCCGATCGATGAATAATGATACCACCTCACATGGCATGCATTATGAAGTTGTGAATTGGCGCAGCATCCTGATAGGATCAATTAGCCGTTCTCCTCAAAGCTGGGTGACTAACTTTTGGACAAAGTGCCTCGGTACAAAATTACGGGGACGCAATAAGAAGGATTCTGCCATTTTGTAGGGCGCAGTACAGGATCCAGATCGAAGCGGGTTGAAAATCAATCAATGGGGCGGGCCCTGTGTGGCCTAAAGCATTTACAGAAGGTTGGCTCCTATGGAATAACTTGCCTAATGTTATAAGCACAGTAACTGTGGAGTAAAATGCTAGGTTGCGGCGTTGTTCATCGAAGCCGGTGTCCCAACCCTTTCAAAACATCTAAGGTTTAGACCAATCTTCACTACCAAAGACCCTCAACGAGTGTCCTCACGGCGTTAAATGTCTCTTCTTCCTGCTTAGTCTTTTCCTTGTTCGGCATCAGACCACCAGTCGCTCGCGCACAGATGATGTCCAGCTGATCTTTCCCGACCCCTTTCTCGGTCAAAGTCGTCTTTAGTCCCAAGTGCTGCACCAACCCCAGAATTCTATCACCAATGAGATCGCTGTCTTTGACGTTATCCCCAGTCGAAGACTCCGAGATATACGGGAGGATCTTGGCGATCTGCTCTGCATTGTCCGGCGACTGTCGTGCTTTGAGTTTCACGACGTGGCCCAACGTAAGGCACGATGTGATCCCATGAGGAATGCCGTAGGGCGAGCCCAATGCGTACCCCAGTGAATGCGACAGGCCCAGGCCAGTTTTTAGGTTCTGGCCTAGAACTCCCAGACTGGCATATGCGGCGAGAAACAGGCCTGTTATGATGTCTTCGTTCTTGGGGTCGGCTTTGTATTTCGGCAAGAGTGTGAAGAGCTCGTGGATGGCGCTGAGCGCTACGAGTCGTGTGGGGATCCAGGTGGCCTGTGGATGGTACTGAGTTTCGACAGCGTGGTCTAGTGCTCTCAGACCTGTCGATAGGAACAGGCTTGGTGGGGTGTATAGACCGAATTTTGAATCATAGAAAATATGTGCCGGGTACACGTTGGGGTGTGAAATACCTGTCTTGACACCGTCCGACTGAGTGTATCCGGCGATAGATGTGCCCTCAGCTGCGGAGAGCGTCGTGGGGATCGTGATATGAAGCAGCCATTTCTGCGAGACCTCGTTGACTCGGTAGGTAATAGCTTTCGCGCTGTCGATAGGCGAGCCACCTCCGACGGAGATAATGGTGTCGATGGTCTCATCTGCCTTGACTTGCTCGGTGGCTTCATCTAATTGAGCGATTGGGGCGTGTTCCTTGATGTTACTGAACGTCCCGGCATGGTGCTTGGATGATAGCAGAGATTCTAGCTCTTTGATAAGTGGCGTCTTTGTGGCGAGCGAGCTGCCGGTGATGATAAATGCCTTTGAGCTGTCCTTTGGCAGGACGGAGAGGAGGTGATTCTTGACCACGTCAGGTCCGTAATAAAGAGCCTTCAGCTGATGAGGCTTGTATAGGCCAGATAGCGGATGTAGGGATGAGTCCATCTTGATTGTGCGAGTTGCTACCAGGGAGACTGAGGTTGGGAGGACGGCTGGTGATATATGAAGTTGTGTTTGCAGTGTTCGAAGCATGTGGTGTTCCGGTCACAATGTCAAGTGCCCCCTCTACCTGGTTAAGTTTATCTCCGGAACATGACAATAACAACCCGAGGTACCGTACTGAACAAGTAAATGGCTCTGTCAGCACCTGAGAGCTGTCTCTGCACCTCCGGGCAAATCCCGACGTAACACTGTCGTCATTATTCTTGCCGGCGATTGGTTACATATTCCCCGCACAAGGCTTTGAGGAGCGAGTCCTTCTGGCGACTTGCACTATTTTGTTCGTGTCCTCGGTATCACCCTCGGGTATTGTTTAAGAGGGCTTGCCAAGAGCTTATCTCTAAAAGTAACTAACTGGCAATTGGTAATACTGGTCTTGACAGATTTCACTGCTGGAAAACTATCGAGGCATGAATTCAACGGTTTCATCACTTATATTACATGCTTTCATAGGGGTTTTGATCGCCGCACAGGTACCGGCCATGAGGCACTGTTATTAGGAGATTTCGTCAGCTAGGTGCCAGAACTTGTGCCACTGAAGAGTGTCCCGTCATAATCTGGCCCGTTATTCGGATAGCCAATGGTGTAATTTGCGAAACAGACATAATCATAGTTGCTCAGGTTGTAGGAGTTCGCTTGGCTTTCGAGGAAAGAGTTCAATGGGCACAGCCCATCGCTGCGATTACCACAGTATCCACCGCGCACACTCGAAAGCGGCACTATACCGTTGTTGAGCCTCAGTCTGATGAACTTATGCGTGGAGTTCTGAGGGCTGTAACCATATTGAGTAGGTGTGTAATATGTCCGGGCGGTAGACTGAGGGTTCGGATTCTCTGCCCCACAGCCAATAACTTCGGTCACAAGTCGTGCTGCAAAGGGGGTTAGATGTGAGAGAATGAAATGACGATTAGGGTTTGGTGGATATTCTGTTAACGACGGCGGGTCTCGGAAGTAATCAACGGATGCTGCCGTAAGAACAGAAATGATAATATCGTCATGGCTGAAATCGGCGTACAATTTCCTTCCGAGAGGAAAATCCCGAGTGTTGTTTGTAAGGGTACTATTGACACTGGAGTTGGACGAGGTGATAAGTTGGTTGGTCAAGCGGGCAATGAGCTCTTGTAAGTATCCAATGCCTTGAGCTCGGCCCGTTGGATTGCCCCAACCATAGTCGTAATAGTATTCCTGATCGAGGGTCGCTTCAAATCCAGCCCACTCGTTCTCCGTGAAGAGAGAACAGAATTCAGACGACCCCAGGTAATTGGTTTCATACGCACAGATACTCCTAGTAGTCTGTTAGGTCGGAGCCAAATGAGGTCTTGAAGACTCACTGCAAAGCATATGTATCATTGACGGTCAGGTTGAATCCAAGGGGAACATATTTGGACAGCCGTTTCTGAGCATCGCTGAGATAGATCGGCAGATATGACAATAGATCGAGGTCGCCAAGATAGCCTACTGGCAGAAGAGATTGATTTGCTCCTAACGGGAGATTATAGGCGTTGAGGCAGCTATCGTAAGAAGCGAGAGTATTGTTCTCTGTTCCGCCCTCTGGAATGACCACTACGTTGAACGGCTGGGTGACATTCTCAAAGGTCGGGTTGGGCTCCTCCTGAAAGCTCGATCCGAAGAATCCAAGAGCCCAGTTGATCTGGGAATTTTCTATGCGCCCTTGACCAGTCGTCCTCAAGACTGGCCTTGGTCGGGCGGTGCCGTTGGCGAAGCTTCCGTTGTAGGCTAGTTGACCGACGGTTGCGTTGAAGAGGATACGGCCATAGCGTTGCCAGAATGTGACACCAGCCTCAAAGGATTGGGCAGCACCCTGGCCGACAAGCTCTCCCTCTCCAAGGACATACCGATAGGTGTTAAGAAACTCGAGTGGACCAGAAAAGCCATTGGCAGGGTTTTGCTCGGTCCAGTTGAGGATCTTTGCAGCGAAGTTCTCATCGTTGAGAGCATCATCAAAGTAGCTTGTGGGGAAGCGACTTCCGTGACGCTCTAGAAGATGAGCTTGCTCGACTTGACAGCCATTCGGCAGACCAACGTCTTCCACAGCGAAGTAGTTGTCGGCATTGTCGGCGTATGGAGTGATTTGACCCCAATACTGCTGGATAGTTTCAATGTCAGCGAGTAGCTCAGGCGAGGACTGTCTTCGCCGCCGGGGAGTTGGCGAGGAGAGCACCAAGATGGGCAAGAGAGCTACAATCCAGTACATAGTGAAAAGCTATGTTTGTAGTAGAGTCTTGGGAAAGCATGCTGTGCCATCCATGGTGGCTCTTCAGCTCACTTATAGCTACCCTTGCTTCGGACTACTAGTTTACTCGTAGAAGCAAAAGTAGCTGCCCGTGGGAGAAGCTATGTCAGCATGCATCACTGGTTGACAAGGTTCAACAAATCAGGGAGCATGCTCGCAGAACTAAGTTCGATCTCTCAAACTGGGTTGGGTGGTGGGTGAGCTTCTTTAGGAAGATCGGGACGGCCACCGGCCGCGCAGATGTCCGATGAAATGCTTGTTCAACCAAGCAATAATAGTCGAGAGCTTGGCCACGCCGATAACCAGAATACGGAAGCGTCACACGAGTAGAACTGTACAAGTACAAGGTGAGAAGTATTCGGCAATCCAGGAACGGCTTCTGCGTGTGGGCCACGTACACCTCGCCTTATTGTGGGCCATTGACTTTGGTCTTGGTGGGCACGTTCAATGGCCACTCGCTCACATTAATTACATTTCACGGACGCTTGTAGGAGTACCTGTACCGTTGACGCTGGAAGAGAAGCACCGCGGGTATGTCTGGGAGACTCAGCTTGATGTTGCGTGAACTGCCGTGATGTTGCTAAGTTTTGTTGTGCCTTGTCAGGTGCTTCGAGAATTCGATGACGTAAATGGCGCCAAGCCGTCGAGGGCCTGAAGCAGGTGCGACTACGAGGCCAAGACCGAGGTACTCTAGGCTGGACTTGCCTCGATCAGATACGTACCTGCTTCATGAAGAAATGGAGAGAGCGAGGCAGAGTGATGGAATATCAGCTGGGCACCTGGACTTCCGAGGCGCCACTCACACTCGATACTGAGAATATCAGCGCCTGAGGTGCCATTTTTATAATCCCTCTATATTGTGAGGCTGTTCAGGTATTGACAGTGGCTTTGCTTCGGGCGAGGTGCCGCTATGGCCAATGGCAAGTCTCTAGCTTGGGCAGAGAGGCTTTCGATAGACGTATAGAACACGTGGTGTCGAGGGCAGACAGAATACTAGGCCCGTGGCCCAGGCATCATATCAGTAAGGCGTTGCTGTCGCCGTGCCGTAGGTTTAGGCGGCGCAAACTGTATGCTGTTCGACTGCTTCAAAGTTGTAGGGATGGTTGTAAACAGTTGACATCGCGCAAGTGAGCTCTTGGTAATTTCTTCGTCGCGGTCGAGAGGAGTCCTCAGTCCTGGTGAGGTGGTGGGTGTCATAGCTATAAGCCACACAGCGATGCCGTATAGATGCTCCATAGATGATCTATTGGAAGCTCTATTTGAAGCACCACGTGTTCTGATCTCGCCACAGGCGCAGCGTCCTTGGCGGTGCCAATAGTCATCACTTTTCAGCGCGCCACCGCCATCACTTCTCAAGACTGGCACGCTGTCTCCAGTCGTGCAAGCACTGTCGCTGAACAGGCTTCTTGAACCACCTTGGCAGCTCGGACTCTTGCCTCTCATAACGAGTATTGTGAACAACGTTTCACAGGTCAAATTGAAATCGAAGCCAACCTTTGTTTCAATCTCGTCGATCTTGGCTCAAATGTACAGCCGGGAGCAGGCCCAGTCGATGCATGACATTCCCCGGAAGCTGAGGGCGACAGATGACAGACTCCGCGGCATGTCGTAGGGCAGCAGATACGCCCTGTCGTACGAATCACGAGACAAGAGGATCTGGTGTTGCAAGGAACGGAAAGCATCCAGGTAGTCAAGCCATGTGGGCCGATGCGTGGTAGGTTGTAGGTTGTAGGTTGCAGGTTGCAGAGATGCGCGCGGTGGTCAGATCGCCCAGGCGGGGAAGGCAGGTGCGGCCCAGGAGCCCCGGAAGCCCCGGTAGTGCCTTGCTTCTTGCCTCTTGCCACTTGCGGGCTGCCGTGCTGCCTCCTGCCCTCTTATCGATTGCGCCCTCCACAAATAAATCCCTGCCACGTTCTGAAACTCTTCATCGCTAACCACGGCACCTCTCTTCCACCTCGACGTCTATCCACTTGCACCCACGGCTTGCTTCCCTCTGCCGGTGCAGGCCTGCAGTCATGCAACACGCCTGCCATCTCTCGCGGCACTTCTCCCACTTCCACTTGGGTTGCAAGCTCCAAGCTCCATCTTTCGACGCACGTAGACCGCCCGAGTCAGCTCACCTGCCCTCAGAGCTTCAAGGTTGGTCTTGATTCAAGGGCAGTAACTCCCGATGATGCGTTGTTTGTCCTAGAGATAATGGACGCACGCATAGACACGTCGTCAGGCCGCTTTGGCGGGCAGTGGGCGTTTCTTGCCTCTCCTTCACAGCCTGGACACGCAAGGTCCCTCCCTCAATCTTCGAGCTACCTGCGCAGCAGCGAACGTTCCAACATCTCCCCCTTACCCACTGCCCTTCACTTCCAACAGCTCAATGCCTCGCGCTCCAGCCTTCCACGAAACCCCCAAACCCCCTCTATTGGTGGCCATAGTGTAACAACCATCCCATCTCAACCGGTTCTCCTTCGTGTTAACTCGTACGATGCTGCAATTCAATCTCGCCCCCCCAGACGGTCGAGGGACAACATCATGGACAATGGTTTAAAGAACAACGAGTTGCCCCCTGTGCATGAGTTCAGTATTCAAGGTATACTGGCAGCCATTGCGGAGGATGTTGAAGAAGACTTCAATGCTGTCTCCGAGATCCTAGGAAGGAGTCGTCTAGTCCTTGCCGACCAGCACGAAAGCCACCTGCCTCCTCAGGGTGAAATTAGAGCCACAGGCAGTCCGTTGCAGGCTGTAGCTGAGGCCAGTTCCAGTAACGAACGATTGGCCGCTACAGACGATGTTCTCATTCTCCGAGAAGATGCCAGCCTTGTCGACGGAAGTCATACTGGATCCGCCGCATATGGACTGTTGGAGAGACTACAGGCAGTTCCGCGGACAAAGAGGATAAGAAGCGACGTCGAGGCATCAGCTTCACGCTCGCCAACTAGACCAGCTCGACATTACTCGGCATCTGTTGTTTTGTTGGATCCCATCCCTCCGGTGGAACCCGTTGACCCTGTTATGCCGCAAACTATGCCTATTTCTTCGAGGCAATTACTACACAATCGAGTACAAGATGTTGAAGACGACGGTGATACTCCTTCTCGAGCCACGAATGCGGTTGTCTCCGAAACGTACCTTCTTGCTGGTGCCAACGCAACTACAATTTCCGATCCACCTATCGTTTCTGAAAGTGGCCGTCACTATCCTCTGTATAGCTATGACTATACAGAACTGTTTGAAGGGCCAAATCCTACTCCTGCACCGAGTCGATTGGGTTTCCGCGCGAGGATGCAGGCACTTCTCTCACGTCGGGACCTGCAGAATTTGACCTCGTGGGCCTACGGCCGAGGGGATCGCGTGGTTAGCGCAGAGTCTCAGCTCAGGGGTATACTTGAAAGACAGCCCCCTTCTACCAGAAGGAGAAACATGAGCAGCGCTCATGAAGATGCGGAATTGTATCAATAAGCGGTACTGTTATGCCATAAGCTTGAATGTGCCTTTGTGGGGGTTGTCTGAAGATCTATTGCCACAACAGTGGACGTTCCGCCGCCGCTAAGCGGGAAATTGTGGACTAAGGCATTCCGCTCTTAACTGTTGAACACGTGGAGTGCTATTCTTCTATCTTGATCAGAACCGTCTTCGTCTCCAAGAAATTGTTCAGGGTGTATCCAAATCCCTCTCTTCCTACACCGCTACTTTTGTAGCCACCGAATGGCATATCATGTGCTAGAGTCGGGCTCGTGCAGTTGACCCCAACGGTTCCAGCCTCGAGCGCTTTGGCGAATCGCATGGCACGATTGATGTCCTTCGTATATACCGCAGCATATAAACCGAATTCGCTGTCATTGGCCTTGGCGATGGCTTCTGCTTCAGTCTTGAAGGTATTGATGTTGACAACAGGCCCAAAGATCTCTTCCTTCATCACTGTGGCTTCTTCTGCAGTCTTTAGAAATATCGTGGGCGCAACAAAATAACCCTTACTGGCCGCATCTGATAGGCCCGAAACCTCCTTGGTTCCGCCAAGAACCAACTCGCCACTTTCTTTGCCAGCAGAAATGTATCTCTGGACGTTTTCATATTGAACGCCGTCGGCCTGTGGTCCATGGTTGGTCGCAGCGTCCAGCGGATCGCCAGCGCTGATGACAGCGAACTGCGCTTTGAACTTGTCCACGAATTGTTCGGCAATGCTCTCCTGGACGTAGATCCTGCTGTTCGCCATACACACCTGGCCACTGTTCCATTGGATACTATTCCGTGTTTCAGCCACTGCTTTGTCGAGGTTGCAATCTTCGAATATGACGGCGGGTGATTTCCCACCCAATTCCAGGACGACGTTCTTGAGATTGGATTTTGCTGCTGCAGCTTGAATAACTCGACCGGTGCGAGCTGATCCGGTGAAGCTCAGCGCTCGAACGTCCATATGGGAAGAGAGGATTGCCCCTGAGGTTTGGCCGTGGCCTGATAACACATTGATCACTCCTGGAGGAAAGCCGGCTTTCTCGATCAAAGTGGCAACCTTGGCGGACTGTTGATTTGGTTGTCAGCGACGGCACAAGGCACGAAGGTATGGCATCAGGAGCTGGATGGAGTCTTACGCTCAATGGCGCTTTTTCACTGCTTTTCAACACCACGGTGTTTCCTGCTGCAATCGCCGGGGCGACTTTATTTGCAAAGAAAACCAGTGGCAGATTCCACGGAATAATTGCAGCCACGACGCCGTATGGCTGCTTGAACGTCATATTGACGTAGCCGGGAGTGTTCAGGCTGCTGGCACCCTGAACATCATATCCAGCTTCTGCGTAGTGCTCGAATGTGCTTGCGCAAGCATGGTTATCGAAATAGCTCGAAACGGGCCTACCCATGGAGATTGCCTCCAGCTCTGACAGCTCCTTTCCGCTTTGATGAAGTAGAGCCGCGAGCTTCTTCGAATATGCGCCCCTGTCTGCGGGAGACAAGGCTGACCATGCTGGGAATGCTGCCTTTGCTGCTGCGACTGCTGCATCTGTGTCCTGCTCACTAGCTTCATGCACTGGATATAGTGTACATTATTAGTCTGAATCTAGATTTTCGAAGTGTAGGATCCAACGCGATAGAACCATTCATCTTCACGAGTAATGGCGTCCACATGTGTCTCGCAGTAGCGTACCTTCGGCAATGATCTCTCGAGTCGTGGGAGATCTCAATGGGAATGTCTTTCCATCTGAAGATTTCACGAACTAGTATCGATCAATGAAACCGTCTTGCTAGGCTCTCGCGATATTCGTACCTTTCCGTTGATGAACAGCCTTGTTTCGATTTCTTGAATTGAGCCCATCGTGATGCCTGGCAACGGTGTTTGAATGGTGAAGGTGCTCAGCTGGCAATTTGATACCTTTCTTCCATCTGCGGCCCATAGGCTGCAGACAGACTTATATACTGTAGCAGGAGCATGATATCAACTGCCGAGCGGTGCTTACGCTAGCGAACGACAAAGTTGCCATGGCCCACGGCAAAATAGCACCCGCATAATCACGAAATTGCGGAGGCATCGACTTTGTCCACATGGGATGATGGGGCCGCATCCGAAGCCCTCCCTCTCAACAAGTCCTTACCCCACCAGTACAGCTCACCCACAACTGGGCGAGGGTATTCGAGGGGATGGAAGCCCACAGGTGGGCAAAAAGTGTGTGAGCACCTACATGGGTAGATACTCCGTAACCTGTGCCGCAAAGTGAACTTCGACGCGGCCGAGGGGTTTTACTCGACAGTAAAGACTATCAATCTATTACACAAGCCCACCTTAGCTCTCATGCATCTCCGGCAAAGGACGGGGTGCTCCCGCTGCTTAACGATGCCCTACATCTTCGCTTTTAAATCGACTCCATGGCCGTCGGTTTGAGGGAATGGGAGGTGTTGCGGCCTACCTCCCTGTACTTCGTACAGCCTGCCGTCTATGTAGAAACATCAACCCACAACCTTGTTTAGCCTCACAATGGCAGCAGCGCGACGGTGCGGATCGAGGCGTTGAATCGACACCGCGCAAATGTGCCGCTGGGTCAACCTTGCCAAGTCGTCCTTTTCTGTCATCTGGAGACATAGCTTTCCTGCATCTGGACCCCTACAACACGCTGGATGAGTGTGCACCTGCACTTCTATGTAGCATGAGAATGGGCAGCTTCTTCCCTCATCCAACGGCGCTGTGGCCGAGTGGGTGAGAAATTCGCGAGGCTGAACGCTGTGGCCCGATTCTGCCCAATGCTTACTTGACTACCCATTTACTATTGCCTACGGAGTACTAAGTTTTCAATACTACGACGGTACCATTGGTTACGCATTCTTTTTTTAGATCTTTTGAAGGTCACTGATGGAGCCTTGAAATCTCTCAACATGATCGACGGACATCTTATATCGCAGAGATCACTTCGGTTCTTCGAGAGAAGAACAGATTTCTGGTTCGAGGGTTATTCTAGTACGCTGCCAGGGTTGATCCGACACTAAACGCTATTTGATCAGCCGAGAATTACGATGTGGAATCATCTGAGGGACGTCTTCATCGTGGCACTGCTGCTTCCTCTCAGTGCCATAGCGTCCCCAGTCCCGGCCCAAAATTGGCCCGCTTCTTCCGACTTCGAGGTCATTGTCATCGGGGGCGGTCCAGCTGGATTGAGCGCCTTGAGCGGTCTCGCCCGTGTGCGAAGAAGAGCATTACTCATCGACTCCGGCGAGTATCGCAATGGTCTAACTAGACATGCACACGACATTATCGGCCTCGATGGTTTGTCTACCCGCTACCCGTGGCTAGAGAAGATCTTACTAATCTCGGGAACTTTCCTCCCCTCAGGTGTAACCCCAGCATATCTGCGTGCAAAGGCGCGCGAACAGATCTCGCGATACCCAACTGTATCCATGCAGAATGGGACTGTTGTGGATATCAACGTGGTCAATGGCACAAGCTTCACGATCACCGACGACTCGGGTCATGTGTACACAAGTCAGAAAGTCGTCCTTGCGACAGGTATCAAGGACCTAGTCCCATCGACGCCGGGCTTACTGGAAAACTGGTCCAAGGGTATCTTCTGGTGCCCTTGGTGTGATGGGTATGAGCACCGTGACCAGCCCATGGGTCTGCTTTCCACTATCGACAAAATCCCCGGAATGGTGGAGGAGATCAGAACCCTTAACACCGACCTCATCGCTTTTGTCAACGGATCCATGACCACGGATGCCATTCGGACACTAAACGGAACGGTACCAGAGTGGCAGAAAATGCTCGCAACGTACAACGTGCAGGTTGACAACCGGACGATCACCTCCATCGAGCGCATCCAGGACGGTGCTGTTGTAGCATCCGATGTCGATATGGCTGAGTACGACAAATTCATGATTCACCTGGACGATGGCACGGCCGTGGAACGCGGGGCTTGTTTCACCTCTTTCCCGTCAACTCAACGATCAGGGCTCGGCGCCAGTCTCGGCGTCACAATGGTCCAGGAAAAATTGTACTCTAACATGACACTGGGGATGCGCACGAATATCTCCGGTGTGTATGCCGTGGGAGATGCGAACTCGGACGGGAGCACGAACGTTCCGCACGCGATGTGGAGTGGGAAGAGGGCGGCGGTCGATATTCACAGTGAGTCTCCTTTCCAACCACCTTCAGAATATTTTATGGGTGCGAGTGAGGAACTGACCGGACGCGCTACAGTAACCATGGGCAAAGCTGAGGCTGCTGCTGCCGTTGCAGGGTCGAAGTCGAAGAGGGCGTTTGATGTTGAGGATGAAGAGTCTTTGTTGGCGTTGATAGGGCGAGATCTTGAAGATCTGTGGTCTGCTAAGTAGGACAAAGGTTAGGCTCATTATATGGAGTTCGGGAATCCGTGTCCTCGACGTCTCTATCCCACTCTGCATCAATAAGCAACGGAAGAAGTGGTTTTCACCCGTCGCTCGACATGGCTTGGCTTGACGGCAAGGGTGAGTCAATTACATAAAGGGGCGAGTCCGGGCCGGAGCGGTGTGAAATATTTTGAAGTGTAGCTTTTAGTTCCCTAGACTACTCGAGAACGGAAAACCTAATTGCCTTTTACGTTTTAATCCTAGAGGGTGAGCGAAGGCTGCTTTGACCTGAGCTTTGACCTGAGCTTTGACTGAGCCTTTACCTGAGCATCGCTGAGCAAGCACACTAGGGGCCTAATCTGGTCCCCTGCGATCGGCTCTACATGCCTCTCAGTGAGGCATCTGTATCTGGCGGGTTTCTTGGAACCTAGTAAATTCTTTGCCTGACACTGCTGCCCAACTTGCCTTGTAGCGTACCTTATAGGGTAGTTTTCTGTGACGAGGCCCGAGGCCGCATAAGAGGCAAAGTCGTATTAATCTATTGGATGTATTGGGAGCGTTTTTGGTTTCTTGACACTCCCCCGGACGGCGCCTCTCACACATGGGTATGGGCAGATTCCAACACATAGATTGACAGGGCAGGCAAGCTACTAGGCTCAGAGCCTGCGGCATTTCAAAAACCCCATGGAAGCTCGGCTGAGATGGAAGGATGGGAGTTGGGCGGTGGAAATGAGGCTGATGTGAAGGTTTTGTAAACAGAAAACGACCTGCACAGACATGGCCTGAACGATTGTTTGGATTCTACCCTGCATGGTCATCTACCAATAACGAGCTTGGTCGCGTCTCAAACGCGACTTGGGGCGAATCGATCGGGTTTCCGCCCATCTTCACTGTCTATGTCGTCCTCAGAACTTCCTTCGAATCCTTCTTTTCATTCCTCTTCATGTCTGAGAGGCGCCTTCAGCCCAGTTTGGTGTAATTATTTTGAGTTCGACATGACTATTCAAAGGGTCGTACTCCATCCCTCGGGAAGGACTTGGGAGAGACACAAGGCTACAATTAGAAAGCTTTATCTAGAAGAAAACAAAACGCTAGATGAGGTTATGAGGGTCATGAATGCTAGTTATGGCTTTGTATCAACGTATGAACCATCCTCTGCAGTCAATTATATTCATTGACACCTTTCTAGCAAATCAATTTACGAAAGGAGAATAAGACGATGGAAATTCCGCAAGAATCATGCCGCAGTGCAATGGGAAGCTGTTGTGCGGCGGGTCCAATCGAGACAACGGTCTGGAAAAGAGAGCAACGTGTATATCGATCGTCGATTTGTCCCACCAGAGAAACTACAACGGAAGGTCTCACTTTAGTGCTCTAGTCTTCCAATTGGAAACAAAATATCTGGTAGAGACGAAATGCCGGCTTCTTTGTCGCTCGCTAATGAACCGCTGAACAGATACAGAAAATCAACGCGACCTCGAGGGCGTCATTATCCAAACTCCACCGCCTGAAACAGTAGTCTCAATCAGGACAAACAACCTCCCATTCGTCCAATATGACGTTGCTTTCTGCACGAGAGGTATGTCACCATGGCTACAAGCCTATGTGTTTCAGCGGTACAATGCGGATGGCCCATTCCACACTCACCTCCTGCGTTTTGCCCTTGCGTTGCATACATCACTTACTCTAATACCAGGAGAGGGTCCCGATACTCTGCATCACTCGGATGACATCGAATTCCAGCCTAGAGAACTCCAAATCTACACCGGACAAATCTCTGCTTACCAGCCTGGATTGGTTGCGAGCTGTGTCCAATCACGAATTATCGACTCGCTTAATCACTAGCAGCTTGCTGAGTACCATTTTCAGAGGGTTATTCCCAAGCTCAAGTCCTTGCCGCCCTCTAGTGCAACCAGAGAATACTCCGCGGATCCTTCGATCAGCGTCAATCTCTTGTGTTCGACATACATGAGACTTCTCATTTTCTCAACATTAAATACTTTTGCTGGGCTTGATGACTTTCCGCTTGAGTGCCTCGTGTATTACTTGCAAGAGAAAGCAAACACGTTCCTGCCACGAATTCGATCATTATCAAGGCTCACGATCAAAGCCTTGACAGGAAACTTATTTCAAGCGGCTGTGAATGCAGGCAATGATCACGTTGTCGAAGTTCTGTTGCAAGACTGGGCTACCAGTATTGGAGCCAACAAGCAAGTCTTTGTCGATGGCGACAAACGATATACAGCACTACAACGGCCCTGCCAGCTTCATCACGTTGCCGTCACTAGAGTCCTCCTTCGACACGGTGCAGACGCCAACCACATGATTCAGAGATATGGACTGCCAGACTGGAGCGCCCTAGAGCTTGCCATTGGTCGTCACAAGGACGAACGTGACAAACTGCCGCCTGCACCACCTGGGCTTGTGCTCCTGCTTGTCGAAAACGGCGCCAATTTTGGTTATGAGCTACTTCGCCATGTAATCATGCGTAGACAGCTCCAAGTGCTCGAAATCCTCTTACACAAGCTTATTCGAGTGAGTCCGGTTGACCTGCTTACGTTTGGGTTCTTCCACAACGCGCGCTCAACACCGTCGATAGCGAAATGGCTATGCGAATCATCAACCTCATCTTGCAATCCAACTTTGACTTCAATTACGGCTTCTCGATGGTTGAGCGTTGCCAGGAAAAAAGACACCTGATTGAAATAGCAGCACAAAAGGGAAATGTCGATGCGATCCAGAAATTCTTTGATGCAGGGCCGCCATAACGAAAGACATACTTTCATACGCAATTCACAGTGGGACAGTGGTTCTCATCAATTCTCTTCTAGCCAAAGGAGCAAACATCGACAGTGTTGTCACTCTCAATGTAGAAAGAAGAGGCATCGCTTATTCAACACCACTTGCGGAGTCTATTCGTCTAGGTGTACCCGAGCTCACTCAAATATTACAAAGTAAGGGCGCCCTTGAGCGGATTTCGGAAGATAGAAGATTCAGAGCTGTGATTCAAGCGGCTTCAGGAGTCGGAAATGTCGACTTCATCTGACTCCTGACCGACATTGACCCAGATTTGAGGAGGTTCGAAAACGAGGAACTTTTGTGGCATGCTATCACAGGAGATCACGAAGAGGCTGCTGTCTTGTTAATCAATTACGGAGCACGTATACAACGAGATGGTAACTGGCCAACCAGATGCTCGCTTACAGAAGCAGTGAAACGAGGTCGTTCACTCCTGGTGAGGAAAATCCTCAATGCCGAGCCTGAGAGCCGACCAAACCATCTGTGTGGTAGATCGCCTCTTCAGATTGCGATCAAGTCCGAGATATTTCTCTAGTTCAAGATCTGATAGCTGCAGGAACCGATGTCTCCGCCCCTCACCTCACCTTCCAACTGAACTTCTTCACCAATCACCACTGTCAGCCGCTGTGGAACGAAATGATGTGGACTTGGTTGCGTTGCTGATCAAGAACGGGACGCAAGTAAACGTTGCCGGCCTCACGTTCGAGTGCGACGAGACAGCACTTGAAACGGCGGTTAGAAAAGGAAGAACCAGCAAGATTTACAAGATTTTGTCATACGGTGCAGATCCTTGTGGTGTGACTCAAGAGCGCTACTCACTGCTGTTCAAAGCACCAAATCCGTCACGCTTCTACTACTCAAAGAACTCAGGAAGAGATATTCCCTTAGGAGACCTGGCTACGGAGTTCGCGTTCTTGGCAATGCCATCGAAGAAATGATTTCGATTTGATCAAACTGCTCCTCGAGTACAATGTCGACGCCTCGGGGTATATCAAGGATTTGAAAGTGTATGGTTTTGAAAATGTCTGGAAAACTCCACTTGCGATTGCAGTTGAAAGCAACGAGGGAACAAGACTCCAAGTAGTTGGTATTCTTTTGGATGCAGGAGTGAACCCGGACAGCCTTGTTTACTGGTACCCCGAATCTCGAAAGGAAACAGCACTTCTTGTCGCAATCAAGCTGAAAAGCGTTCAGATGGTGAAGTTTCTCCTGGATTCTGGAGCCAGCGAAAACTTCGCGCCGAACATGGGTGTGAAGAGAACCCCGTTGCAACAATCTGTAGAAGTTGGCGACATGGCCATGATCCAGACCCTTATAAACCACGGTGCTCAAGTCACCGATGCACCTGCCTACATTGGAGGCGCGGCCGCATTACAGCTGGCAGCGATCGGGGGCTATATTGGCATCGCTGGATTTCTCCTACAAGCTGGAGCAGACCTCCATGCACCGGGCGCCACCGTCCACGGACAGACCACTCTCGAGGGTGCCGCCGAACATGGCCGCCTCGACATGGTTAAATTTCTCATCAATGCAGGGGCTCTGAACGTCGGTGACAGGTATCGGTGCCTTGAAAAGGCGGCACGACTGGCTTTGAATCACGGACACTGCGCAGTCGTAGACTTGCTCGGGTCATTTTTACTGAGGATTACTATCACTACGAATTGAGTCCAGGACCTGCAACTAGGAGAATCGCTCCCGGCGATTTCAACGTCTCGGTGGCAAGCCATGGTCTTTTTCACAGAATCAGAATGGATGGAGAGGAGCCGTCGGCGACTTACCTCTGGACGTGCTGGTAAGAAAATTATGGGGATATCCGTACAGATGAAGGTGATCTTAAGACATATGGGGCAATCGAATAGGTACTTAGCCTCTCGTAGGAATGGTTCGATGGCATGTTGACCGGTGGCAGAGAATGTTGCTGTAGACATGGAGCAAGCAGACGTTCTTATCGGATAACGTGTCCTGCATCTTGGCGTCATGCTCATGAAAGTGATGACACTTAGGTCAGATTGTCTGGCTTTCTGGAGATTCTTTTGTCACGGAATGAAGTATCCCAATCCTTACCGTGTTGTACCGTATCCATAACCTTAGGCAGTAAGGATATGAAGCGGATCACGGTTGTTCGATGGCTGATGACGGTTCTGGGAGATTAAACGAATCTGCACCCTGGATAAATTTTTATGGAGTACTATTGTAAGGATGGTTTCCCGTCGCGTTGTGCTTGTTTTTGGTAATAGGCGCGACCCGCCGTCCTCAGTAGACACTTAGAAAGGCTTTACAGGAGAAACAAAGATGATAGTCACGTGGTAAACCCTGTTGACCCTGTTGGCCCTGGGAGCCTCATGAGGCCAGGGTAGGGAGCCTGATCTTGCTCCTTTCGCTTGTGTTGTTGTAGCGGCGCAAGAGGTCTGGTTGTACGACTACATGTAACGAGGGGCACGGCCGCTATATACATCGTAATCTCATAGAAGAAAATATGGCCTAGTGCGTAACGCAGTATCCATGCTAAAACCACCCTCTGACTACCTAAGTACTTACAGCTATCTCCGGAGGCATTCAACTTGATGCTGCTAAACATGCCCATTGACACAGTTTGTGCCATTACCGTTCTCTTCGTTCGGCTCACTCTGGCGAGAGCTCAACTCTCGTTGGCGTACTTGCCACGGCAAAGGGTCCTTGGCCGGCTGTGCCGGCCCCAGATCGCCCGATGCTGAACGCCGCTTCTGCCATTCCTCAATATCCCGTTGATCCACGAAATTTCCATGCAAGCCTAACTTCAGTTTGAACGGCAGATGTATCACCGCTACAGGCCCCTTTGCGACATCCAAAGCATCCAGGACGACAATATCGTTTCGCAGAACATCCAGATGGTTGAGCAATGCGATGACCCATCCCTCGCCTTCTCCTCCCCCTTCTTTCGGAATGAAAGATGGCTCCTGGAGTGTCGCCGTCGGTCCCGCGAAGTACACGTCTTCGGTTCTCTCGTGCCATGTGTAATGGCCCAGAGAATTGAACAAGCCACCGGCAGGAGAGCCGCATTTGACGAAATCATATGGTTTCGTCGGGTCCACCTTTGCTTGCCAGAAGTGGTTGTACTTCTTTGTGACGAACCGGTCGTCAATGCGGGAGAATTCGCCATTGGTCAGCCAAGTTTCTGTGGGCGTGACTCTGGTTCCCGACTTTGCTTTCGCGTCGAAGATCCATCGGCATGTCGGGCTTCGAAGCTGGTTCCGCTTGGCCAGGGGTGATTCCTTCTCGTCAAGTGGAGGGAAGAAGAAGAAGACGTTGCCGTCGGCGACGGTGAGGTCGAAGACTATGTGCCCTTCGTCGTTCTCGTAGCATCCTGCGACATGGCCGTGGAAGGCTAGATGGTATGAGCGAGGGCGAATCTTAGGGATAGGAAGCTGGGAGACTCGCCGTTATCGGCACGAAACCAGACTATGTCTTCTGGTTTCCCGCCCCTCCGCGGCACCACGCCATACCATTGATCTTCATTAGGGTCCCAAGCCCAGTGGTTCTGTCCTCCTTTCAAACGATCCATCGATGTCCACTTCACAGGAGTCAGAGGTAAGACCATATAATTCTTGCTGATCCCGCAATCGTGGATCATCCCGCAGAAGGGAGCCTTGTACCAAGCTTCCTCGGTTTTCTTTCCATCACGGTCGATTGTCCAGACCACAATGTCTCTTGAACCGTCATGCCCGTCACCGCCAGCCTCATACGCAAAACATAACATATCTCCCGTGTCCGGATCGAATTTCGGATGGGCGGTGAAAGTCGGGGTTAAGATCTGACCCTCAAAGTCATAGCGACCGATCGTCTCTAGCGTCACAGGGTCCATTATATACGGTGGACCGTCCTCTTTCGAAGCGAGGAGGACGCCTCTCCAGAAAGTGATGTTGGTGTTTGCCGCCGTCCGCACAATACCCTTCACGATCTCATTGTCGGTGTATGGGTTGCGGTACCTCCCGAACAAGGCTCGTCTAGCCTGGCTCTCAGCATTGTATCGATCGGTATGAACATACCGCTGCTTGAAATCCGCATGTCCGTTCTGAATACGTATCGCGGTCACACTTCCATCCCCGTTGAAGTGAATGTCGTCCTCGAAGATGGGCGGGAATCTATGGTCAGGCTGGATTCGATAGAAGGTTCCATTGATCTCGGGTGGAATCACACCATCGAACTCAAGATCGAAGACGTCGCCTTCTAGTCTTGAGGGTTTGTTGAAGCCCTGGAATACTCCTGTATCTGGGTACTTGACTTGGTCGGTTGCTTTCCGGCCGCTCGTATAGTTTGACACAACCTGCGGTGCGAGGTCGTAGATGTGTGCCATGGCGCTGGCTTTGTTGCTTCCAGGCTCACCTGGTTTATTGCACCATTTCTCTCAGGTCCTCCATAGGGTTCTTGTGGAATCCTCAATGATATGTTCACAGCAACTGAGCCTGTTCGGTGGACTCCGAGTAAGTGGAATCCATTTACCAGACATGGTTGAGCGGCCTCGAGTCCCTCCGGCAACATATGTCTACCAACTGCCGAATGTTATGGGATGGAGCTTGAAAGTGCTGTCCAGGATAATCCCTTATCACTCTTGCATAGGTTCTCTGCTTGGCTTGGGGTAATGGCCATCGGCTTCATGCTGCCGATAGGGGGGGGGGGGGGGGGGGGGGGGGGGTGGTTCTCTGCATGACTGTGAACTCTCTTCCCCACACAGAGGTCCAACACAATGTGCCCCCTTTCCTAATCTAGATAATTGACAACACTCCATCATTTAGACGGAGACACTCCAAAGGCAGGTGCACTGAATGTTCACAGGTCACCTTTGAGGAGTAATTCTGTCCAGACACGCCGCCGTACACTTTTGAAAATGCGTGGCGTCGTAGCAGTCGAAGAAGCAACCATCGATCCAGGCTCGGTCTCAACCATCGGAGAGACAATAAAATGCCTGATCCCGGGGCTGGTTGATATTGACGCGGCATCCGCGAGCCACGCAAAGCGGTTACTGGACCTACATGAGGACCGCCTGCGCATCATGGACGAGCAGGGTGTCGAGTACATGCTACTTGCACACACTTCACCCGGTTGTCAGGGCCAGACGGATCCACAGACCGCACAGGAAATGGCAACGAGGTCGAACAACTGGCTGAGTGAGCAGGTGAAGACCAACCCTGCGCGGTTTGGTGCGCTCGCAGCTCTGAATATGCATGATCCCCTCCAGGCTGCAGCAGAGCTCAGGAGAGCAGTCCAAGAGAAGGGCTTCTTCGGTGGTCTGGTCAATGACTACCAGTCTGTTGGGGCCGACGGCGCTGGGAGAGTGTACTACGACACTAAAGACTACGATTCTTTCTGGAAGGTTGTTGAGGAACTGGATGTCCCTATATACTTCCATCCTAGGTATCCGCCACCGCCGGATTTGGCGCCAGAGGCACCCCAGTATGGAAAACGGGGCCATCTGCTTGGTGCTGGAGTTCAATTTCACTTGGACTTGAGTTGGCATGTTTATGCTATTTGCTCTGGTGGTATGTCTTCAACTCCGGGGTGACCTACGTCGTAGTAGCAATCTCCACGAGATATAACTGACCTGTCTCTCTTGTCTACGTCACAGGAGTTTTCGACCGGTTTCCCAGAGTGCAGATCGTGGTCGGCCATCTGGGAGAGAATATCCCTTTTAACCTGCACCGTGCTGACCACTGGTTGAACATGCCACACAAGCAGTCTTCACGCCCTTGCAAACACGATTATACTTACTACTTCAAGCACAATGTTCACATCACGACGTCGGGTAATTTCTTCACCCAGGGGCTTAAACTATGCGTCGACCTGCTTGGCTCGGACAGAGTTCAGTTCGCCATTGACACACCTTATGAGAAGACAGAGGAAGGGATGGAATGGTGGAGGAGCGTCACTTTTGATGGGCCAGACGGTGAGAAGGTACAGGATGATATTGCGAGAGGTAATGCTATCAGAGTGTTTAAACTGCCTTTGGAGCCTTGAGTGATGCAGATTTAGAACAAATGAAATTTGTTGTCCTCCCCTGCACAAGTTTAGATATTGTTCAATTTATATTTGGGAGCGTGTCTTCACTAGCAGACTTCGCTACTCGAAACTAGTCTCAAGCAGGTGCAGCATCTGCAATTTCGGCGTTGCTCTTCACAATGTCTGCCACCACCGCCTTGTCCGCTAGGGTACCGTTATCCTTCGCCAGCGCTTCCTGCTGATCTTGTGGTAACGCCAATGTCAACGCCGGCAACGCGGTGCTGACATCTTGGCCATACTTAGGAGCCCTGAGGTCATCCTCCTTGACCTTCTCGCCAGTGACCGGATGCGGATAGTGGAATGGAATGACCCTCGTGTCCGGCCAGAGCATCTGCTGCTCGATCAACTCGTCCGGACCGATGGGATCCTCAGGAAACGTCTTCTTCGGCCAGGGGATATAGTTCTTCTTGGTATGGGACCAGCCACGCTCGAAATCCGCGTGCCAGAATGGAAAATAGCGGTAGCGGAACGGCTTCCACACGCCGTCCTCCTTGATGTATTCATTCTCGTACAGTCCGCCCTCCCACCACTGCGCGTGTCCACGCGGATGCTCTTCTTGGATCGACTGGTGCGTGCCTGCGGACATGAGGGCGCGGATCCGTGCCCAAGCTCGCGTCCCTGACGGGTCCACGTCCACGATCTCCTGCATCATCGGGTGGTCGAGGAGGAAGCCGTATACCGGTCCGTTGCGCCCCTTGACGAACGTGTTCTGGAACCGTCCGATATATAATCGTCGGATGCCTTCTTTACGTCGATACCGTGACCCCAGGAACTCAACGTATGCGTCGGGGTGGTTCGAGAACATGTCGACTACCTATTTGCTCGATGGACGGCTTTGTTAGGGTTTTGGAAGACGCTTCTTCCGTTGCGAACCTACCTCGTTGTAGAGACATTTGTCCAGGTAGTAGCCATATTTGAAATGCACTTTCCTGATTTCTGCTTCATCTGTCTCTCTGTATCAGTGATTACTTCTCTAGACCAGAGAAGAGACCCCCATGGTCAACCCACCTTCCACCTTTTGTATTTTAGCATGCAGCCGCTTGACCTCAGCTTTCAGTTCTGCTAACTCGTCTGCCATGTCTATCATAGTCCTCTCTCAAGATGGAGGTTGGCTCAAGGTATCCCAATTAGAAATCTCGATAACGATTCTCGAAGTCGGGACACGACTACATGTGCACCTCACGAGTCCCTGTACGTCAACGAAGGCACTCTTTGTACCTTTTCAACACGGTCTGGCTCTCCGCATTTCACAATATCTACACCCCATTCTCCAAAACTAGGCATTGCCCCAGAGTGTTAGGGAATGGCGATCGTCCCACCTACGTCCACAGTCTGCATGATACTGCAGGCATTTGAAAAACTGTCTGCGGGGTACGTGGAGCGAGCTTAGATGGCTCTCTAACTCGGCTCGGCACATTTAAAAGTACAAGCATTAATGAAAGGGGGTTTCGGCATTATCACTCCGAAAGAATCCTCCAATCGTGGAGGGCAGCTTATTCGGCATTCATTAGTGCTTGGACATTTCCTGCTAGAGACGTTGTCCTAGGGCTTCTGTATGCCCGGGCCGATGGCCACTTCGAATTGAGAAGGCTACACGAGGGTTTCAGATGAACAAGCTGGCAACCCACCTTGTTTCAATGATCATCGTAAACCAAGGAAATTTATGTTAAAAGATTGTAGTTCCAGCCACAATGGGGGAAGAAATGCTTTCGGAGTTTGATTTTGCCAGCCTCAAATATGTATCTTAAGCAAGTGGAACAGCTGTCTCGGTTGTTACTGGTGCCGGTATGGGGGGTATAACGGCCTCAACAATTTCTGGGGTGTATGTTGTATTTTCTGCTGCTGCAAATAGAGGAAGCTCTGGCTCCCGCCACGGCTTCGGCAGGAAGGTGAGAATACTCTTCAAGCACCATCCGCTCAAAGCCTGCGTTTGAGTCGCGTCGAGAAGACTCAAGCCTGGTGCCTTTCTGTGCAGGCAGACCGATTTTAGATTGATGCGAGTCAGATCACCTGGGCCACCCTTAGTGAGGGCATCTGCTGTCAGTGCCCACGCCAGTGGATGATACATAATCCCTTCATGAGAATATGCGAGACCTGCAGGCATGAACATAGCTTGCACTTGCACCTCGCAGTTTGTCACTCCTACATTCCGTTCGTCCTTCATCAATGCAGATGCAAAGGGTCCGAATTGAGGCTGGACGACCTCATCAGTCGCTGAGTATATCGATGTTGTAGGGACGTAAGCTGAATCACCGCCATTGGATCGAAGAGCGGCAATGAATTTCGAGTTTCTAGTCTGAGCCCAAACAGCTGGCGTTCCTGGAACTGTTCCTGGTATTGGACACAAACCCCAAGCGTTTATGGTGCCTCTGAAGTCCGCCGACAGGCATATGAAGTTGCTGACTGCTGCACGAGTGCTAGGCCAGTACTTGAGTGACCACTGTGTAGACAAGTTCCCCTGAGACCAGGCAATTACTGCAACTTGCTTTGTCGACACTGTTGATATGTAATTTATAGCGTATGCAACATACTCTGCGTTCTTGGGAGATGCATCACACATTCTCCCTGGGATGTTGAGCCAGACAGGATCTCCGAATGGGCTTGCTTTCAGCAGTTTGGCGAAGTTGTGGTTGAATGCTTCGCCTCCATAGGAACCTGTACCGGGAACAAGTATGACTGGAGTCTTGCCGTCGAGGCCGCATTTGAACTCTGATGGGATGAAGATAGCAGAGCGCAGGTTAGCTTCTGCGGTCGAGTATGGGGCATCTTCTGCTATCCTGTGTGGATAGATGGACGCCTGCGGATCTGGGTTTTGGTTCTCATGGCTGTTGATATTCACGCTGGTACCGCCTTTGAATTTGAACATGCTGCAACACGAGGAATGATGTTGGGCCAAATGAATTCAAAGATTGTTGGGTCTGGAGGTGGGACTTTGATCGCTCAAAGCCAGACTCAAAGACTCCTTCTCAGACATATTATAAATCCACATGGCCATGGGAACAACTTTGACTGGCAACATATTTCAGCTACCTCTCGAGTTTCTTCTACTGGCGGAGAGATGCACGGCTAGCGTATCCTAGACTGTTGATATTGGCCGGGTCTGTCAGGAAAGGCCGTTTCTTCCAACAATAAGTTTTCAAGCACACTAAAACGCAGGAAAGATGTTGCCCAGTACTGGAAACATAGCTGAGGTGGTGTTAGGAGCATCCGTGGCTGCATGCAACGCTAGTCATTTTGGTTCTTGGATTCGCTTGGAGCATCGGAGATAAGCGAAATCGGAAAGGCTTTACGTGAGTTCGCGAGATTATGTACGTGAAAATTAGGTTGCCATTCTTAAATGCGGGAACCAGCTGAACAAATGTTTCTTGCTCTTCATCTGCATTGTCAAAGTCTCTAGCAAATCAGATCTGGACTGGCCAATTAGTGTCTTGAGAACCAACTTCTCCTCTCTGCGCAGCATTTTATCTGGTTAGACCCTGAACTCAATCAATGCTCAACAATGACAATATAAGGATGCTTACGTACAGCCACTGCAATGCGCATAACAAAAATTGTCTAGTACCGAATCAATGGGTGGGCGATATGGGGGAAACGAGATGTTGACAGATACCTAAATATTTACATGCATATCATCCAATCGTTCACGTTTAAAGCACTTTCCATGATCTGCATGTTCACATCTATGAATTCTCGCCGATCGACGGTAGGTGGCCTAACTCAGGACTCAGCTGACAATTCTTCAACACCTAATGGCTACCATCTATGAGACTTTTGGACTTGCCAGAAACATAGAGGAGTTCAAGCCACGGCTGACATGGAAAAGGAGCAGGGACGATAATTGACAGAGCTCACGCACTAACGAGAAGCGCCAATGGAGCAAAAGACTGAGCTGCCAACATTGAACAGCTCGGCTTGCCGGTCTGTGATCCTTGCTTTATTAGTAGCAAGGCTTTCCCACCCATTAGGTTTGATGTTTGTCGTTGAAGTTGAAAATGTCTTTCCTCATCAACAAGGCCTCAACGGCCGCCCATAATCTCCAGAAATCTGCCAATCTGGACAATGTGACTAGCAAACTGTCGCTGGGCAGCTTATCTAGTGCTGTGTCTGGTCTGATCGGAGGTCAGGATCCAAGTCTCAAACACCGACATGCCAGCTCCGCACCAGTTCGCGGAGGGAACAGTGTCAAGTTCCATGTCGATGGCTGTGCTTACTTTTGGGCTGTATCTGAAGCACTGGAAAATGTCAAGGAGTCTGTATGGATTCTCGGATGTGAGTTGACTCAATGGAGGCTGCCGAGGAAGAACATCTGTTAAGAGTGCTATCACAGGGTTCCTTTCGCCAGAGGTCTACTTGAGAAGACCGCCCTCAGAAAACGAGAAATATCGACTAGACCGGATGCTTCAGGCTGCGGCTCAACGTGGTGTGAAAGTCAACATTGTGGTTTTTAAGGAGGTGCCACAGTTTATGTCCCGTAAGTGCTCTCCTGTTTTAGTCTCCAGAGCCCATGTAGCCTTGCACTCTGAAATTTAGACATCACTAATGTGTGTCGAATATAGTATCCTCTCATCATACGAAAAACGCGCTTGAGGCTCTGCACCCAAATATCTCTGTGTTTAGATACCCCGACCATTATTCAGGTGTTAAAGGTGCAATATCTTCCACTAAGAGTACTCTTCAAAGTGTCATGGCCGGTGGAGCTGCAGGACTAGGTAAAATCTCAGATGACACCCTTCAGAGCATGTTTGCCATCGCAGGTGGGCCAACATTGCTGTGGGCCCATCATGAGAAAGTCGTTATCTGTGACAGGGATCTGGTGTTCCTGGGTGGCATCGACTTGTCATACGGTAGATGGGATACTATCCAGCACCCGATCGCTGATGCGCATCCTGGGAACCTTGACGAGATCGTTTTCCCGGGCCAGGACTACAACAATGCTCGAGTGATGGACTACAAGAACCTCGACAGATGGGAGCACAACAAACTCAGCCGATTGACAACGTCTCGTATGGGATGGCAGGATATCTCCATCAGCTTCACTGGCCCCGCCGTCTCAGACGCCTGCAAACACTTTGTGCATCGTTGGAATTTCATTCATGGCATGAAGTACAATACTGGCTTGCCCGTAGACCAACGCTATTCGCCACTTCCAGAAATAATGGACGATTTAAATTCGACTCATAACCCGATCCTTCAAGCCAATGGTAACATGAATTGTCAATTTGTTCGTAGTGTGTCAAATTGGAGCAGCGCGTTACCCACAGAACACAGCGTTTACAATGCATATGTCGATGCTATCGAGAAGAGCGAACATTTTGTTTATCTGGAACACCAGTTCTTTATCACGGCTACAGGTTCTTGGATTGGTACCGTCTGGAATAGGATTGGTGAAGCACTCGTTCAGCGTATCTTGAGAGCTGCTCGGGAGAAGAAGAAGTATAAAGTGATTGTGGTCATGCCCTCAGTACCGGCATTTCCAGGTGATCTGCAAGCATTAATTACAGGACATCCCCCACGAGCAATCATGAAACTCCAGTACAAATCCATAAGTCGGGGAGGCTTCAGTATTATGGATAAGATCAGAAGGGCTGGCCTTGACCCTGCGGATTATATACGATTCTACAATTTACGCAACTACGATCGTCTCAATGAAAGTGCTATTCTGCAGAAGACAGAGAAAGCCAGTGGTGTTGAGTACACTCAGGCAAGCCAGGACCATGACGATATCGTGGATCCTTTTGGTCTTCGCGCCCAGAAAGAGTTCGGAGAATTCGAAGGAGACAATGTCACACAAAATCATGAGGCATATCAGAAATACCAAAAAGCCTCGGGCCACACCAGTGAATGGGACACGGTCAGCTCATGCTACATGGCGGGCAGCGCAGACATACGAAAAGTTCCCTGGCAAGGCGGCGGCTCCATACAAGAAATCGATGCTTTTGTCAGTGAGGAGCTCTACGTGCATTCCAAACTGCTCATCGCAGACGATCGAGTTGTGATCATTGGATCTGCGAACCTCAATGATCGCTCGCTCAAGGGCAGCCGCGACTCGGAGGTTGCACTGGTGATTGAGGATCAAACACCTCTCGAGATTCTAATGGATAGGAAACCGTATCAAGCCAGCCAATTTGCAGCAAAGCTGAGAAGATACCTCTTCCGGAAGCACTTGGGCCTCCTTCCACCTCAAGATATGCGCAAACCGGACAGTCACTTTTCCCCTGCTCCAGGACTTAACGAATATGACTTTGACACTCTGCTGGACCGGGTTGTGCAAGACCCCATCAGTGACGAGATGCAAAAACACTGGAATTCTGTCGCTCACGAGAACACCCTTGCATTTCGCAAGGTGTTCGCTCCGATGCCAGATGACACAGCGAAAACATGGCTCCAATATCAGGCCTTGTTTTGGAAGCGATTCACAGGACCTGATGGCTTTCAAATGGCTCGGTGGGGACATGTTGCTAAGAGCAATTTTGCAAAAGGAGAGGAGGGTCTCAAGCAGGTTAAGGAGGAGTTGGCGAAGATCAAGGGCATGTTGGTGGAAATGCCTCTAGAATTTCTCGTGAGGACGGATATTCAAATCGAGGACCCAGGTTACAACATTATCACAAGACAAGGTTACGTGTGATAAGGGACGGGATCTCGCATCTCACAGTCTGAATAGCTAGTGTGCTGATACACTAGCAAAGGGTGGAAGAGGAATGTCCAAATTGGCACACTGCTAAGATTGATAGGACCTATTTGGAACCACAACTGCCGAGGTTCCCCACAAGATCTGATGGTAGACTTTTGCGGGGGCTTAGCCTCAACTTTTGATGTACTTAACTTGACGACAAGGAAACTCTTTTTGCGAGCACACATTAATTCATGAAGCTACTAGTCCCGTACAAGAAGACTTCATCGACAGTAGGACGAGTGCATAAGAAACGGCACGAACAAAAGAATATGCACCAATTCCGTTGCCTTAGGAAGGCGTCAAAGCGTTGTTGACAACCGGAGAATACAGATCGCTGAGGAGAGGCAGTTGCTGAGCAGTTGAGATGGCCGAGGTATACGAGAGAAAACGAACAAAAGTCGATCGGACTGTCATCAGCTGTGACAGATGTAGAGCTCGCAAGACCAAAGTAAGAGCCTTGCTGGGAAATTGAACCCTACGGTGCTGATGGCAATGGCCTAGTGCAGAAATCCAGGTGCGCATTCATCTGCTGCATCAGGAAGCGGTAATTGACGTCTTTAGATCCTGGACCGTGTGATTACTGCAAGAGCATCAGCGCAGCTTGCCAGATCGACAGAGGGAAAAGGAAGCAGCGGCCGTACTACTACGTTTCCGAAGAAGAGTACGCGCTCTTGAAGAAGATTGTCCAACATCACATCCCGCACGATGAGATAGACGTGTCTGTCTTGCGCGAATTTGCTTCGCAGCTCGGTGAAAACAGCACTCTGTCGCCTTCATTCCGCGATCGCTCGGTGTTGGCTCCCGAGCAACAGCCTCTCCCAGAATCGCAAGAAGCCCGCGGTCCTCATGAAGCACCCTCTCCGGGAGAAGAGAGAGTGGTTGCGGAAGAAATCAAAAATCTCCATGCTGATCTTGGATGCATGATGGTAGATTCAACTGGGGAGTATAGTAGGTGCCAGAAACCCTGCTTCTGCATACGTCCTAACACTGATAGGATTTGTTGGAGCTGATTCCGGCATTAGCTTCAATGCAGCTGTTCGTCGACTAGACCCGGTGTCGGAGACAAGGGCTGAGAAGGACGTGATCCCTCCCATGAGAACAGCAACCTTGCCCCCTGCCACGCCTTCGTCTCCTGCAACCCATAAATCTCAACGAAAGGCATGGTTGCCCCAGAAGGAGGTTTGCCTGGCATATGTTTCTTCTTACTTTCGTGATGTGCATTGCTTGTACTGGCTATACTCCTCTGAAAATTTCCACACCAGGTTGGAGAACACATACTCCAATGTCACTTCATCATTGAGTAGCTCCTGGTTGTGTTCATTGTGCTGCATCTTTGCCTTAGGGTCGATGGAAGCTAGTAACAGCCACAACTCGATGGCATCGTCAGACTATCTCGCTATAGCCAAAGATATGGTCCCTGAGGTTTGCGACGAGGCCGATCTCGACAGTGTTCGGGCTCTCATTCTTTTAGTACGTATTCTGGTTCTAGCCAAAGTGTCCTACTGACCCTGGGCTAGGCATTGACTCTGCAAGGACATTGCTTCTCCAACAATGCATATCTACACGCCGGTTTGGCAGCGAGAGTTGCATTTTCTCTCGGACTTCATGTTGACAAGTACTCACTATCGCATGGCATTGTCGACAAGGAGCATGCGAGAGCCATTTGGTGGACTCTATACAACTTCGACCAAGAGATAGCACTCAGAACAGGGAAACCTTGCAGTATCTCCGAAGGCCTTATAAACACTCCACCAGAATTTCCATCCGAGCATGTAAGTGAGCATTGTACGCGTGATGGGCCACCACTACTAACTGGTGTAGATCCTAAACTTGGGGCCAAATATGCCGTTCTCTTATCTGCAATCGTCATCTTCGCTCACGAGCTTGACTAAGCGTACCACTGGCATCTTGTACCCAACTTCAATGTCTGGCCGTGTCATCCTATCACAAGTCTCAGATCTCTTACTGTCTTTGGAAACGTGGTTGGCTGAGCTACCTTCGCATCTGCTTCTCACAGATCACGTTGCCACCCCTTACCGAAGATGTATCAGTCTGCTCCATGTTCGATATTGGAGTGTTGTTGTCCTTGCAACTCGGTCATTCCTTCTATGCAGCGTATTGCGGCGGGAAGAGTTGAAAGACCACGATAAAATGACAAAGTTTCATGACTTGAGCCATATCTGCATTGAAGCAGCCGAGAAATCATTCCATATCCTCCAGAACATGCACCGGGACGGTACTTTATCAAGTCGGCTCCCTCTAGACTTTAACTATATGCTGGAGCTTATCCAGATATTCTTGACAGCGGATGCATTCTCTCATCTAGAGAGACACATTGATAGTGTCAGGAATCTTCTGCAAATCCTCCAATCAATGGATGCCGTGGGATGGTGCGAGAAGGCGCTTCCAGAAGTTGAAGCGCAACTTCACAACAATGGATTATTGGAGCCTTCCTGGGACTACAACACGAATATCCAAGATTTCGGGTTCCTTATTGGCCAGGGTGAGCCGTCGTTTGAAAATTACGAACTGTATGATTGCACCAGCGTCAACTAGGGCTGATCTAAAGGTTGAAAGAGTATCGCTGACAGCATATAGATTGTTTGAATCTACTATGTGATATTGAGCCTGCGCTCGAACAGGAATTTCTATTGTTCCCGGAACTGTTCTGATTCACCCAGCGGGCATCCTGGCCGCGGGGGTCTTCGAAGTTTGTTGATCACCATACACCATCCGATGCAGGCGCGAATCCAAGTTAATCAATGTCAGCCTGAGTTAATCCAAGAAGCCAACTGCAGATTGTATGCGGAGGAAGCAACCAGAAAGAAAGATGGTAGGTTTCCCCTGCTTGTCAGGCTCCATCGGATCGATCCATCCGATGCCCACACCAACTTCTGACCTTGACCCATGCAGGTCCTCCGACACATTTCGGCTCTTCGATTTATCCCAGCCAAAGTACTAACCCCAGCTTTGCGGGGATAGAAGCCCAAAGTTAGCTTTACTTTGGCTGGCCGTTGTACAAGCACGTATGCCGATCATGAGGTCTATGAAAGAGACCAGATGCCTGCAAACAGTCTCGACTGCTTCCTCGTCTTCCTGCACGATCCGGCGCGACACGACACGATAGAATAGTGCCTTGCACCTCATACCACTACTGCCACTCTTGATCGAGGCGATTTTGATCACAATGTCCCTAGGAGTTATCCAACCACGGGAGGGCAAGGCTCCCGGCACAGTGATACTCTTCGACAACGAGAGTCACAGGGCTGCTTTCAACTTCAAGCACGCAGTTGGCAAGGTATAGGACAATGACGAGATACTGGCTAGGCAGAAAGTTGATACATCTCGCAGAAGTCAGATATCGTTCTGGTGCCTCAGCCCTCGAATGACCCAAATGATCCCCTAGTAAGGAGTTTTTCTCGGTGCAATGTTTCTAGCTAATTCGGCAGAATTGGCCAAGGTGGAAGAAAGACCTGACACTCGCACTGGTCTTTATCAACACAATAATTCTCGCTTCGGTACCGGCCCCGATTCTGGCTCCCGCGACGGTCCTTTTGACGACAGTATTCCATGTGAGTCTCGACCATGTCGCTGTTCTGTCGGGGTACCAGCTCCTACTGGTGGGATGTATCGGGTAAGATTCATTCTCCACCACGAGAGCTCGAGGGTCAAGGTGAAGTTAACTTCAGTAAGGCCGGTTGTATCAGCACTGGCGCGGAAATACGGCAAGAGACCCCAATTTGTATTCGCGGGAGTCATGGGAATCATCGGCACAGCAGTCTGCATCTCTGCAAATACAGACTACGATAAGCTCATGGCTGGACGTCTCTTGCAAGGGTTTGGCACCACTGCTTTTGAAAGTCTATCAGTCGCTGTCATCGGCGATCTGTACTTTGTCCACGAGCGACCGCTCCGGACAGGAGCCATCACGTTGACCCTGACCTGCATTGCTTCGCTGGTATCGATCATTGGAGGCCCCATAACAGCTAACCTGGGCTGGCGGTACCTGTTCATCATTCACCTACCATTCGTCGTTGTCGGTGCGATAGGGATATTTTTCTTCCTTCCCGAAACGCAATTCATTCGCACCTCTACGGCATCCACCACTCAGCAGCCACAGATTGGCAGATCGTCGGCCTTACCAGATGAGCGTTCCATGGGCGTGAAACTCGCACAGACTGAGAAGATAGAGAATATAAATAATGCTGACACAAAGATTGAACCGGTCGAGTCGGATACTGGATCCTCATCCCCGACCATGCGGAAGAAAACCTACATGCAAGAGCTGGCGCTGTTCTCTGGAAAGTACACTGATGAAAGTATTGTCAAGTTGCTGTTCACTCCTCTAGCTGTTCTTCTCAACCCGGCTGTCATATGGGTGGGTCCCCGGAGCCTGGAATATCCTCCAGATCAGTTTGAGGCGTATGAACTAATGTTGGCAGACCCTCCTCGTTGCTGGACTTGCAGTGGTAAGTGCCTCCTGCACGCGTGTGTATGACAAGCACAGAATAATGTCGTTGACTCATCGGCATATGCAACAGGCTCTGTACGTATCAACAGCATATATCATCGCACAAATCTGGTCCGGGCCGCCTTATCACCTGACGCCTGCGGGCAACGGCTACTTCTTTGTTGGCGGTCTCCTAGGTGGCATCATTGGTGGTCTTCCTGGTGCATATATCGTCGACGTCATCACGAAGGCCTTGATCAGACGCAACCAAGGCACCTACGAGCCCGAGTTCCGCATTCCCGCTCAGATCGTCAGCGTCATGTTGTATGCCCTGGGCTGGTTCCTTTGGATGTGGGATGTTGAGCATCCTACCCCTAAAGGCTACTTCCTCGGCGCATTCTGTCATGGTTGCATATGTGCCGGCATAACTGTCGCGACTGTCAGTGCTAATTTGTACATCTTGTGAGTAATGATCTTCTTTCCCGTCTCCTTCGAAGATTGGTTCTCCTTTGGACAGATAGCAAATGCCAGATAGCAGATGCCAATAGTTATGTGGGCATGCATAAGAGAATCAGATGCGCCGTTGCGAAATGCCAGTTAAAAGATGTCCAAGTGTGATGAAATCAATTGACAACAATTAGGGATTCTTTCCCCGCCGACGCAACCGAGATCTTCATCGTGCAGATGCTCGCGAAGAACCTGCTGTTCTACGGCTTCTCGACGTTCATCAACTCCTGGGCTGCCCAAGAAGGTCCTGGCGCCGTGTTCAGAACTTATGGAATTGTCTCATTGTGTGTTTCGCTGACTAGTGTCGCTATGTGTGAGTTACTCTTTCGCCTAAGCAGGCCCAAACACTACAATCTCAAGCATCTGACCTTTTGATTTTTGTCCCCTCTCGCGTCCCGTATATCTGTGTAAACGAGGTCTTTGCTGACAAATGTGTGTTGCTGGCCATTTAGACATTTTCGGGAAGCTCTTGCGCAGAACCCTGAGTGAGCAGAAATGGTTGGATGTCATCGGTGCAGTGCGTTCCCCTGCTCGCATCATGCCTGGGACAGCCAACGTTGGACATTGAGTGTTGTCGCATCAAGTGAGCCGCCTTTCGTATCTCGTGCAGGATGCAGAACTTACGAGTCAAAGTGCTTGACGAGTGAGTGCTGAGGTCGTCTTGATTTGTTCAAGGATATTCGTTAAGTGTCTGAAAAGAAGATGCAGTTTGAGATATGTGGGTTTCTTGAGAGGCTCAATTGGTCCAGTGATGCGACCAGAGCGATCTATTTAACACGTCATTCGAGCATATCTATATGTTTTCGACAAGTAGACTTCGAGATGTATATTTCTGGACCACAAATGCAGAATTTTGATGTGTCATGAGTGTTCGAGAGGCAACGTTGGGAGAAGTCTAAGGGGTATGTGGTGGAGACTGAAACTGCCGTTGGGCGTGAGGGCCGCAATTTTGTTCACAATCCATTCTGTCCAAGGGCGAGCGATGGCTCTCTTAAAGGGAAACCGGGGCCAATTAGTGGGAGGCTCAGCATATGTGGCAAAGGCCTCTGGGCTCTCATAATGGCACGGAGCCCAGCACGAGGGAAACCTCTCAGATGCTGGTCTTGAGAGCTGCTTGGCCCTTGCTTCGAAATAGCTTCGACGTGGGTATCAGTAGCTTCGGTTCTGAGTAGTGAGATCGTCAGCCAGCTCTGGAAGACTGAAGATCGCTCCTAATATTAGGGAGCTGAATTCACCGGGGTTTGTAACTTTTCGTGAATTTTCGCTGCAAATTTGGTAAAAATCGGATTCAGACCACATGATTTATATCGCTCAACTAGCTCAGTTGGCTGGCTGGATTCCGAGCCACCGGTAGAAGGTCCAGAAATTTGATCATCCTCGACACCCTCAACCAATGCGACGAATCCAGTATCCAATGGAACGGAGCCTAGGAATGGAACGCCGGTCTCCCTCGCCATGATTTCGCCGCCGCCTTTGCTGAAGATGTTCGTAATCTCATTGCAACAGGGGCAGATATATCCAGCCATATTTTCTATTACCCCTAAGACGGGGACCTGTGTTTTGACACAAAAGTTGAGTTCTTTCCTCACATCTGAAGTTGAGATGGCTTGAGGAGTGGTGACGACAACTGCGCCCGAGAGTTTGGGCCTGGGATCAATATCTAGCGCTAGGTTTCCATTTGCGCTTGTTATGGGTTGCACGTCTGCGGCGAGCTTGTGCAGTTCCTCCACGATCGCAATGTGCTCATCACTTGTCCCGGGAGGGGTATCGATGAGTAAATAGTCAGTGTTCGGAGGCCAGAAGACGTCGGACACAAATTGTCTTATCATGGCTGTTTTTTTGGGCCCACGCCATATCACGGCCGACTCGCGCGTAGGGAGAAGGAAGGCAAGGGACAGAGCGTGGAGGGAGCCTCGGGCAGGAGGAGAGGACTGGTTGGTTTGGTCACCAGTTGTGCCATCGGTCGATGTCCCTTTCACGGCATCATGCACCTTAACAGGCAGCCAGCCTCCGGGTGCCTGGGTGACTTTCTTGTCTTCGAGATTCAAAAGCCTGGGTATGCTTGGACCAGTAAGGTCAATATCGAGAATTCCTACGTTGTGGCCCTGCTGGGTGAGGGAGAGGGCAAGTTGAAGGGTTGTACTAGATTTACCCACGCCACCTTTCCCCGACAGAACGAGGACGACGTGGTTGATGTTTTGGAGTCCCATCACAGCGCAATTCGCCCGAAGGAAGAGTCTGCTGTTCAGAAATATAGCGGTTGGAGGACAGCTAGGTTGTCGACAATGCGACGGGAATGCCTTTGAAAGTGATGGGCCATTGCATTGCTAAGCAGAAAAAGTGCAGCCAGCCAGCCATTGCCAGGCCATCGCACCACTAGCGGCAAAACTACCGGGTGGCGTCATATGACTGGAATTGGAAAGGTTTCCCCGCGACTGGTGAACGATACGCGCACCACGCGTTGTAGACTCGTGGCGTGATGAGAGGGAAGAACGGTTTAGGGAGCCGCCCTACTGAGAACCTTCTGATGGTACATCGTGTCCCTGGACAGTATGGCAGGAAAGGGTATTCTGGCAAACACATAGGTGCTCTCTGGCACGTGCGTTGGCTTTCTCGATGCTTCCTATTATATTCGTCCTAGATTCTTCAGATGTGTGGCTCGCAATGGACAAGGTCAAAGATCTACGAATGTCCTAAGGGTACTGTCACCACCCAAGTTACCTGGGTACGTTCGAGGAATTGGAGGCAAGTGAGTGCTGGCAGGCATGGATCCTCTGTATGTGGTACCTAATTGATAGGGCGAAAGCCATCGACGACTTCAAGAGGCGTGGCCCTTCGGAGGAGATGTCTCCCCGGGGGCACTTCGGGGCTCGGGCCAAGCCTAAGTTAACTCATGATCAGCCTGATGAGTTCACCCACTATCCCAGGGCCCAGGGGTGAGTTCGTGGTTCTGGCGCCCGGATCAGCAGCCCTTCCAATGACGAGTGCGGGGGTGGCGCCCATAGGATTAATTAAAGTGCAGGCACCAGGTGCCATTCGTCCTCTCACGCCCATAGAAATCAATGGTTCGCATATCGCAGATAGGCACGTGCTTGCTGTAAGCTATTGTTTAGAATCTTCCTTCACCTTGTGCCTTCGGAGATTTATTGTTCCGTCACCTGCGACCGTGACCACTGTACTTGATGCTGTCTCTGGTGGGGGTGGCCGGCATTGCCGTGTTACTGTATGTACATGAATTGAATGCAGGCACAGCCACGATCTCGTTGCTATAATACTTCTTGGTTGTAAATGTCTCGTTGTGGCAAACCATATTTTGAAAAACTACGAGTACCTACTCATAGTGTATCCTCGGCACGAATCGGCTTCACCACCCGGTTCCTCAGTCCTCACACCGCTCGCTGCTGCGGTGCGTCATCCTTCACCTGAGTGGCCTCTGCTTCGCTTTTCCGGCTGCAGGCTGCAAGGGTGCAAGGGTTCAAGGGTGCCTTGCTCCCTCGTTCCTCTTGTTGCCCTGTTCTCAAGGCCCTACGAAACCCCAACCCAAGCCTGCTCGGCCCTTCAGCTGCCAGCCTGCCACTGCCCCGCCGCGGGAAGCCCAACCCGATCCTAATTCAGCCCAGACCCATCATTATTTTCTTCCCCGAACCAAAAATCTGATCCACCACACAACTGGTGCTGCTTGCCGTGTGCCACTCAATACAAATCTACCTCATTGTTTGCTGTTTTTCGAACAGTATCCCTTCTATTGTCATCCCGATTGTCAGACATCCAGGCCTGGCTACTCATCATACCATTGCTGTTGGATGTACACACTCTTTTGTGTACATTCATCTCACTTGGCTTTTCACCACTGCCTACAACTGCGCTTTGCTGCGTGAATTTTTCAGCTCACCACCAAGCCCCCTTCACAACCTTCGCAATTCTGGCGAACCTACGCAGTACGGCGAGTCTCTGATCTCGTAGGCTGCAATAGCCACCTTTGTTCTGTTCTAGCCTCTTTCAACAACTCTATGAGCCGCAAAGACCTGCTACGCTTCCTATCAAAGCCAGCAAAGTAAGACTTCTCCTGCCCTCGCACGCACGTGTTGCAGTTCTGACTCAAGACAAAGGCCCAGATAACACCTGCTACTTGTGGGAATTTCTGAAATACAAGCATAACATTCTGATCGATCACGTATAAGACCCTCTCTCATCTCGCCTCCTCCAAAACTTCTGCTGTCGATACTCTCACCGGTATCGAACAACCCGAAAAAATCATCCCAAGACTGCCCACAATTCCGTTCGTGCAGGAGATCTTCTTCCTTCTCTCCTCCTCCCGGCCTCCCTAACGACCCTTCAGAAGGGATTTTACTCGACTCGCTATTGCTGCTGGCAAAAGCCAGCCTCCAATATTCCCACAGATAGTGGGCCTTCTCTTCTCAGGCGGACACCGCATTGTTCGTCTGGGCGGCAGATAGTGCTTCACTGAATCGAAAGATCAGTGTTTAATCAACTCCACTGCCCCTATTCCAACTCGCCGGTCAAGAGGACTTGGTCCCATCCTCCGACAAGGATATGGTACATATTGGGATCCCCCAAAATTACACAGCTTCACCCTCAAGCTTGAGTCATACTCCGTCGTTGACCATTAATCGTGAAGTCGCGCTTGATCTTGATTCAAGCAATGCCTTCGAAGGTAAGACAGATTTCCTTCGAGGATTCAAATCAAGTACTCACCAAGTTCAGGTCCTGAGAAATTGCTAGAGGTGTGGTTCAGTCCTGCCGCTCATGACTTACAAGGCTGTTCACAGCCATGTGGGTTGAAGGCTGTTCCTGCTGGAATCTGGAAATCCATGCTTGATCTCGTCAACTGCAAAGTTCTATCAATCATCGAGTCCGATGATGTTGATGCATATTTACTCTCCGAATCGAGCATGTTTGTCTTCCCTCACAAGCTTATTTTGAAAACTTGCGGTACGACCACCTTGCTCTGTGGTTTGCCGCGGATTCTGGAGATTGCAACCCTTTTTGGTGGCTTTGAACGCTCAACTGCCCCACCATCTCGTGGAATCGCTGTCGCTGCTGCTCCATATCGCGTCTTCTACAGTCGCAAAAATTTCCTCTTCCCTGACCGCCAACATGGTCCCCATAGAAGCTGGCGTGATGAGGTCCATACTCTAGATAAGCTTTTTGTGGGAGGAAGTGCATATATGATCGGCAAGATGAATGGCGAGCACTGGTATCTTTATCTAACCGAACCACATACCATATTAACACCGCCTGCTAGTCCTCAAAGCATGGACAGCCCAATCACCGAGACAAAAGAATTGAAGCTCCCTTCGTCTTTGGTTCTCGATCGTGGACCTAAGGTCTGCGAAGGGGAAGATGAGACACTTGAAGTACTCATGACTGATCTGGACGAGGACAATGCCCAGCAATTCTACCTTGACCATGCGAGTGCGGTCGCAGAGGATCAGTGGAGAGGCTCTCAAAGAAGTGAAGATGATCATGTGGATATTTTCAGCAGTACTTCATCTGAAGCAGGTGACTTTTCCGTCAAGGACGAAGCGTTCCCAGAAGAACTCACGACTGAGGGCCATGCTCTTGGTACTGTGGTTTCCGAAGCCTGTGGACTCTCAGGTGTCTATCCCCGAGAACACTACCCGGATTCGCGTGTCGATGCATATCTGTTCACTCCATGCGGCTTCTCCGCCAACGGCGTCATCCCTGCCCCGGATGGCGAGCAAGGCACTCACTATTTTACTGTCCATGTTACACCTGAACCCATTTGCTCTTATGCGTCCTTCGAAACCAATGTCCCTGTTGGTCAGAAGGGCCGAGAGACCGTCGAGATCGTCCAGCACGTCGTGGACATCTTCAAACCCGGGCGATTCTCGGTGACTCTCTTTGAAGCCAAAAGCTCATTTGAAGAGCAAAATGCAGCTGGTCACGATGCATTGGCAGAGATGAAAATGTTGGAGCGGCAGATTGCACGTCGGACTGCCAAGATGGATCACATCAAGGGCTATCGTCGCGTTGATCGCATAGTCCATGACCTCGATGGATATGACTTGGTGTTCCGCTACTATGAACGCCATGACTGGAAGGGTGGTGCTCCCCGTATTGGCGAGAGGGCTTTCTGATCGGCTTTCCTGCGGCGTAAAGCCGCTCGGTCTAGAGAGCAACGTGGCGACTGACGGTACTCATGATGATGAGTGATGACGACTTCCCTATTGCAAAGTCACTGATTCGCGTTCTGGTTTCTGCACAACTTCCACTCCTTTGAGCCGTAGGCTAGTTTGATTGTGCCCCACGTGGTTGCACAATTAGTGACCAATAGAACACGACCTTTCTCCGAGGCCTTGGCCTGAACTCAGTCACAGATTGTCGTCCCAGCATAACTCCTCTGGGTGCTAGCAAGTTCTTAGGCAGCAGTCCTGGGAGGTACTTGACCTCTATAATGCGGGAAGGCATTGGGCGTGGCGGCTTTAAACTCCTTCGGCGTGGGACGCTTGGCAACGATAATGCCAAGCCAACTATATCGATCTCGGAGTATATCCCAAAATATGGAGCCGTTGGTTGATAAGTTGATAAGTTGATAACCCAGCCTGATACTGTATGTTTCCGTCCTCCATACGGTCGCTTAACTTAAACAAGGCACGGCAAGCATCCTGGCTAAGACTAGCTAGCATTTGGCGATCCCAGCCCCCCCAGGTTATTGAGCCAACAATCTACTTCGTCCAGTAATGATTTAACCGACGGAGTTTCAAATTACCTTAAGCAATGTCCTTTCTCCGGAGTGGTGATCGTCTCTCTAGTATTGTCCTGTGAATAATCATTCGGAATTTTTTGTTTTACGTTTTTGACACGAAGCTACTCCGCACCCACACGCAGATGTCAAGAGTCCTTGGCTAGAGCCCTTCTCATGAAAGTGAATTTAGCTAGGTATCTGCAAGTGCGAAGTACAGAAGAAAAAGGAATATCCATACTGAAGTGCCTTCGTAGGGAGCTTGATTTGATTGCCTGATACTGTAGGTCATTCTTGTGGTCGGCAATACGGGTACTATAGTTTGCACTCGCGAGATGACATTTCTCCCATCAGTAAAGCTCATCCTCATCCATTGTAGAGTACGATTCCTCTAGAATTATCAAGCGAAACTTTGCTCACGGCTATCCACAGTGAATCGGTCTTCGGCCAATTTCTTTGCTCGCACTTGAGGGCTCCTGTCGCTTCCAGCTATCTCGTCATACTACCTCCGTATTCTGTTCGGCTCGAAATTAGGATCTCACCACTCGATAATTCCAGAAGCGGGCTCCCGGCCGTGCATAAGCACTTCATATACCCGCCATCCACTTCAATCCCGTTCACTAAAAGCCTGAAAGGCTACCTGGTTGTCGGAAATTACCACCTTCTCCGGCTCTATGACTCCTACAGTCTTACAGGTTATCCCAATAACCCGGCGGTTCAATTCTGCACTCGCTTGAAATGCTTTTGCGGGGTTGCAGCGCCCAAGGGGGCTACATCCTCTTGTTAGCCAGCTCCCCACATGGTCTGGGGTGCCGCGTGCCAGATCTTCGGGGCCAGTCTTAAAAAGCCTTTTATGCCCATGTTGTCTGATTGCTATCATGCTTTTCAATATACGATCATCCAACCGATTTTTGGGACTTCAGACATCATCGGCGTGCCAAAAATGGAGACTGAAAAGATCGTCCCAACTGAGCGGGAGCTCAAGAACTTCGAACTGAGCAATCCAGAGACAATCACCCTCATCCAGAAAGCACAGGAGAGCGATGCTGCCGACCGCCAGTTGACCATCCCTCAAGCTTTGAAAAAGTACAAGAAAGCCGTTTTCTGGAGCTGCTTACTCTCAACTGCTCTGATCATGGAAGGCTATGACGTCGTCATTGTACGATTTCGCTTTCCCTCCCTTTCTCCCTGAGAGAGCCCTGGCGATGACGCTGACTCATACCCAGATCAACTCATTCTTCGGGCAAACTCAATTCAGAGAGCGTTTTGGAACCTTTGACGACAAATCAGGTAAAAAGATCATCACCCCAGCATGGCAGTCGGGTCTTGCGAATTCAGCCTTGGTGGGCCAGCTGGCAGGTCTTGCTGCCACCTCCTTCGCTCAGGATCGCTTTGGGTGTCGGCCTACATATTTGTTCTTTATGGCTTGGATGTGCGCGGTCATCTTTATTGCTGTCTTTGCTCCTTCTCTCTCCGTTTTGGCCTTTGGCGAGGCGATGAGCGGTATTTCATGGGGAGTGTTCCAGGCAAGGACTGGAGCCCGAAGCTGCCGAAATCTTTACTGATGAATCTAGACACTCACTACGACATATGCCTGTGAAATCGCACCAACAGTGCTACGCCCCTTCCTTACCGCCTACGTCGCCCTCTGCTGGGGATGCGGGATCCTCCTTTCAGCTGGTGTCCTGAGGGCGGTTGCCGGCCTTGAAGGGGACTTAGGGTGGCGCCTGCCATTCTGCCTCCAATGGTGCTGGCCCTTACCACTGCTCATCGGGTGTTATTTTGCCCCTGAATCTCCATGGAATGCAGTGAGACGAAACAAGCTTGAGCTCGCAAAGAAGTCTTTAATGAGCCTTCGCTCAGACAGCACAACAAAGGAGCAGGAGGTGGAGGCCACACTTGCATATATCCGCCACACAACTGAGATAGAGAAAGCCGAGATGGAGAGCGCAAATTTCTTAGAATGCTTCAAGGGCACGAATTTGCGCCGAACTGAAATCGTAAGTCTATTCAGGGTTATCCTAGGGTCCAGGACGCTAACCATCAATCTGCAGAACTGCATGACATGGGCATCGCAGGTTCTCGATGGCAACCCATTGACCAGCTACGCGGTCGTCTTCCTCGAGGCAGCAGGATTCTCGGAGATTCAAACATTCGACATCAATATATCTATCTGCGCATGTTTTGTGATTGGCGTGCTCATCTGCTATCTTATTTTCCCTTTCTTCGGCAGAAAAACTATCTATCTGTCGGGTCTTTCGGCAATGTGTGTCATTCTGATTACAGTAAGTTGACATTCTGCGTAACCTCTTTCATTCTACCAACAGTCTCTCTCCGATAAAATTACTGGGGACCCGTGTTCTCGCTTTATAAACGTTGAATGTATAGGCTGACTTTGCTCGTGACATAAAGATTGGTGGACTCGGTTTCGGAAGTGGCCACGATGCGCAACTCGCCATTGGAATTCTACTGGTCATCTGTACTCTAGTCAACACAATTTGCATGGGACCAACCTGTTACCCCATCGTGGCTGAGACGCCATCCGGTCGACTGAGATACAAGACTATCGCTATCGGTCGATTCGCATACAATATTATTCAGATTATACAAAACACTATCACACCACGCATGTTGTCCGCCAGCGGTAAGTCTCTAACTCCACACCATTTTCAATCTCTTTGAGGCTGATCAACATTTTTACCCTACAGCATGGAACTGGGGTGCCAAATCCGGTCTGTTCTGGGCAGGCACTAACCTGCTCTGCATCATCTGGTGTTTCTTTCGTCTCCCTGAGACAAAAGACCGTACATTCGGCGAGATCGACCTGCTTTTTGAGCACAAAGTCCCCGCGAGGAAGTGGAAGTCAACTAAAGTCGATCGTAAGTTTCATGCCGACCCCAACCACCGAATACCCTAAGTCGGCTACTAATCAAATCTTTCTCGAACAGAATTCGCCCATGGTGCTATATTCGACGCCAAGGCTGAAGGAGCTGGCCAGGGTGCAACTTACCATATGGACTAGGTAGTTGAAGCTTGTCTGAGATGGCAGTGGCACTATTTCGTCGCTGATCAGAAGTTGTGTCCCTGGTTGGTTCACACAAGTTTCTCGCTTGCCAAATACCTAAGGACTGCATGCATCTTATGTTAGAGCAGAGAGCGCAAAACAAAGCCATCAATGCGCTTTTGGATCCTCTCAAAAAGGTCAACCTTTCTGCGATACTCGCCTGCAACGGAAGGTCCTCTCTTTTGCCATGTTCCATTCTGTCTATAGGATTACCCTATTGAAGATGTCTCGCGACCTGCTCTTGTCATATGGTGGCTCCGGCGTGTCCGAGACATCTAGTGCGCAATGTCAAGTGGTTCATGCGGTGGAAATTCCGAACTTGCTATTCCTTTGGTCGTGATGTGGGAATAATACGCAACCATGTAGAATTGATACATCAAACATCCTACTATGTTCGACTTGAACCCACCAAGATAACCAGGAACCCTCGTCACCCCTACCTTCGCCGCAACTTCCATCAAATCCTCAGAAAGACAAATTTATGTCGATCCGACCCGGTCAAACTCCGCTCACGTACAGACGTCGGGTATAAGTAGGAGGGATTAAATGATCAGATGTTCTTGTCGACGACTGAAATCGTGCGCGGCATACAACTGCCATTTCAACGGAGGCCCTGTAGGCCAAGGATGGGTGATGGAGCATATGTGAAAGTATTTGTGTGATTTCATTAGGAGATTTGCTCATATGATGCCCTGTCAGGGATGTGTTTAGGGCTTGATTTTGTTGTGTGATAACGCCTAGTTTGTCTGCCAAAGCCTCGCTATGCTATGCTATGCTATGCTACGTTGTTTGTCGCTCGTTGATTCTCAACAATCGCGCGCAAACGGTGGAGGCAAGATTGACCTGCAGCAGGCTCTCTTCAGCATCCCAGCTCATATCTATCTCGAAGCCTAGCGGGTACAGGAAGTCTACCGTCACAGTAGACTCCTTGGCAATGCCCGAGATCGGTAAAGAGCATGACGAGTCGCCACCGCGACGCCACACTGCTATATACCGACACCCCGGTGCCTTGAGTCCCATAGCCAGCCAATCGTCATGCCACTTCGGCAGTCCCAGCGGCCAGAATGGCGTCGCGTCTTTGATGTCGTGTCGGATGGTCTTGTAGATGTCCATGCCTTCGCGGATGAGGGCGAGCTGGTGTTCGCTGAGCTTATGCAGTGCACCGCTTAGGTGTACGCGGCCCATCAGGCTGTTGACGACGGTCAGTGCGTTGATCTCGTCGCTCCAGTCGGGCTGCGGGTATGCCCAGGAAGCGCTCTGTTCTGGCGTCACCGCCGTGGCGATCGCGGCTGACACGGCGGCGTAGCGGACTGGATCTTGCTGGTCGCTTGTGGATTGGATGGGATGGATGGCGAGCATGGCGTAGTCCAGCCGTTGTCCTCCGCTTGAGCAGGTTTCAATGACTAGCTCTGGATGGCGGTTGAAGATACCTTGGATCCAGTCCAGGTAGGCGCGGTTATGCTTCAGCAGCCCGGCGCCGGAGCTGAATGCGTTGGCGTCCGTTCCATTGGCGACATCGATATTGTAGTCGAACTTGAAGTATCCGATCCCATGTTCGAGAATAAGGTTGTCAATGATCTTGTCCATCCTCGCTATAACCGCCGGACAGCTGTAGTCGAGCTGGTATCTCTGTTTTTCCACAACGCGCTTGCCATTTTCCTGAAAGAAGGCTTCTGGGGGCAATTCGGATACGGCCTTGCTGCGAACGCCCATGACCTCGGGTTCGACCCATACACCTGGAATTACACCGGCAGCCCTGATAGTGTCGATGAGAGACTTGAAGCCGGATGGGAATCGTCTCGTAGAAGGCTCCCACTCGCCCACGCTGGGCCACCAATCGGTCTCGTCTGCATACCAGCCCGCATCAATGACGAAATATTCGGCACCAGCAGATACGGCTGGTTGGATGAGCGACTTGACCTTCTCTTCGTCCGGGTCACCCATGAGACAGTTCATGTAGTCGTTGAAGATGATCGGAAGAGTTTCGTTGTCGGGGTGTTTCCGACGTATCTTCCGTCGATAGGTTGTCAAAGCCCCAAAGGCCGCGTCAATTCCGTCATAGACGTGAACAAGTGCCGCGGGCACTGTCGTGAAACTCTGGCCAGGCCGAAGGCATTCTTTCCAAGCGTGGTTGTAGTTTGTTGGGCCACTTACAGCGACGTATATGTCGTCGTTAAAGTCCCCCAGTTCCCATCTCCAGGAACCGTTGTTCTCGACCTGCCACAGCCACGTCTCTTTTCCTTGCTTTCGCTTCAACATTCCCATTGGCAGCATGCCACCGGTCGAGAAACTGCCACTGTTGGACAGTGAGTGGGTGATATGGCTGGCTAAATGTCCTTGGTTCAGTTCATAGAGGCCGATGGTGTCCAACCCGATGCTGGGAAGGTCGTGGTCATGCCACTGGGCTTCTCGGAACCAGGTATTCGTCGCGCTTGACTCCACAAACTCGTGCCACCATTCACGAGTATGTCCAGTCAATGACCCAGTCAGTCCTCCCATCACGAGCGAGGTGACCTGGGAAACCACTATGTCTTCGTCTCCATCATTACGCACGGTAGCAAAGGAACGTAAGGTTGGCGTCCCATGGTACGCGACAAGAGTCGCCGTTACAGTGAGCTTCGTGACATCGTCGTAGGAGATGATTTCTAGCGTTCGCTGCTCTGGACTTTCAGATTCTCGATGCGATTTGTACTTGAGACGTGATGTGACGGAACCGCACACGAGAGTTTTGGAGCTTTTGTGCTCGCCAGTGCCATGTCCCGCAAGCCGTATGTCGGTCAATGGAAGAGAGCCGTCGAGAAGTCGATTGCCCTTTATGACTGTGGGCGCCGGTTTGTCGCCTGCAGGTCGTACCTCCTTTAATCGCACAACTTGGTCTGAGTCGATGCCTATGACAACAAGCAATGCATCTGTTCCAAAGCGGATTTCTTGAACTCCGGCCATTCTGAAGGCCCGTTGGGTTTCACGATGAGATTCAGTTGTGACACCCCATTGAATGTCTTTGTTGACAGAATCCTTTGCGTGTTATAGAATCATCGGTTGTTGGTCTCTAAATGTTGGAGGGGGTTTCCGGCGTGTTTTCCACACCCGAGACTAAAAGTGATCATTATGCATTCGCTAGGGGCATAATTACCATAATACCGACGGGCCATTCCATTTGCAGGATCTGCACCTCAGTGACCTGCCCACCCCCATACGGCCTTTGCCGCCGATAGCTAGCTACATAAGGTAAGCGTGTGGTGGATAGCTGTTGGTTATACGACTATTTGGTATATTATGCCTCGCTTTTCAACTTTGTCCGGCTGCCCTCGAAAAAGCATCGTTAAATGATCTGTGCAGAAGTTTTTCGTGCCTCAGGTACCGATTGGAATCGTCAAAGTAGCATCGGATTGACGAGGGCCCGGAAAATAGACCGTCTAAATTTCCACAATACTCAATCCCGATCTCTGCCTCCAGGCCAGCATTAGGATCATCATTACTCCAAAATGATTCTGGCTCCAAGATTCAAATAGGATCTCTTGAGAGCCTAAATCTCCTCTGCGGGAGCGCAATCCAGCCGATAATACTTGGTCAGCTTGTATGTCCCCGTGTTTGACCATTTACCGCTTGTGGACTTGGGAACAGTTACAGGAATCGTCCATGCTTGCTCGACAACCTAACCTAGGTAGTTTCTGTTGAAAGTTTCTGAAGGATCATGAGCATTCCAGATGCAAGCAGTCTGCCCTCGGAGCCAAGGAATGTGACTAGCCTGAGGTAGAAAGTTACCGGTGTAGCCTCAGTGGTCAAACCGAGCCTTTGAGTCGGTACATACGAAGCTCCCCAGGTAGCCATGTATATACCTAGGCTAACGACATAGAATGTAGATCCTGCTGTTAGAAGATTAGCGCCGGCTAAATCCAGTGCAAGGCTCAACCCCCGCATCATGCGGGGTGATTTATCCGGGATCATAAATCACGTGCTGTGGGCGCTTGAAGCTTATCCTTTTTGAGGTATGAGCAATAGGACTTCGCGTCTCGAAGCATTGAGGAGGCCCTTCATCTGTGATGATTCTTATGATGAGCTGGTTGATGAGCTGGATAAATTCCGCTCCACTCTCACAAAACCTAGTTCTGGGTGCATTGTCAAGCACACCGGCAGTTTCTCCTTCCCTAGAAGGTCCTGGGTGATCATTGATCAGTCGCTTGTTTTGCAGGATCTCTTGCTGAGGTAAGTGCAAAGATTTATTTCGGCTGTTCTTTGTCAACATAGCTCTGGCGGCTCAATTCTGAGCATTCTCTTGCATGATATTTCCAGCTGGGTGGGAATGAACTATTGAAAAGGCAGCTTGCTCACCTCTAGTTGATGACTTCCTACTGCCGAAATTTGAACCAACAAAAATGGCAGCTTCAATGGTGGTTGTCTTGTTGATGTTGCTGGTGTGCCCATTACGTGCACAACAGTATCCGGACTGTGCCAATGGCCCTCTTTCAAACAACTCAGTCTGCGACACTTCGTTGCCAGCGAAGGAACGAGCCCGAGCGCTGATTGACGCAATGACGGTGCAAGAAAAACTCAACCTCACGCACAACAACTCTCCAGGGGTACGGAGACTTGGCTTACCACCCTACAATTGGTGGGGTGAGGCTCTCCATGGAGTTGCTGCAGCACCAGGGGTCCAATTCGCTAGCTCTGGAAATTGGTCCTACGCGACTTCTTTCCCACAGCCCATCTCGATGGCATCATCTTTCGATGACGACCTATTCTATGCAATTGGGACTGTGATTAGCACTGAGGCAAGAGCATTCAACAACGCAAATCGATCTGGTCTTGATTATTGGACGCCAAATATCAATCCTTTCCGCGACCCGCGATGGGGTCGTGGTCAAGAAACACCAGGAGAGGATACATATTTGGTCAAGCGATACATCGACACTATTGTGACTAGCATGCAAGGTGGTCGCAATCCTAAGTCCTATAAGATTATCGCGACATGTAAGCACTACACAGCGTACGATCTGGAGGGATGGGAAGGAAACACCCGTTATGGTTTTGATGCAATCGTCAACCCCCAGGACCTCAGCGAATACTACATGCAACCATTTCAGCAGTGTGCAAGGGATACCAAGGTTGCCTCGATCATGTGTTCTTACAATGCCATCAACGGTGTGCCTGCATGCGCAAACTCGTACACCATACAATCCGTTCTCCGGGGTCACTGGAACTGGACTGCCGATGAAAATTACATCACTTCTGATTGCACTGCCATTCAGAACATGTTCACAGATCATCGTGCGTTCGATACAAGGCAGCAGACGGTGGCAGCAGCATTGAATGCCGGCGTTGATGTCGATTGCGGATACTACAATCCCACTTTTTTGCCCTCCGCATATTCAATGGGTCTTGTAGAGGAGTCGATACTAGACCGATCACTCTTGCGTCTATATTCAGGTTTGGTGAAAGCAGGGTACTTCGACCCACCGGAATCACCTTGGAGATCAGTGGGATGGGCAAACGTCTCTACACCAGAAGCGGAAGATCTCGCGCTGAAGGTAGCCGCGGAAGGTATTGTTCTACTCAAAAATGACGGTACACTCCCCCTGGCTCCTACGGACCGTAACATGACCCTTCTCCTCGCTGGGGGCTGGATCAACGCCACGACACAGCTACAAGGGAATTACGCCGGCCCAGCGAGGACATTGATTTCCCCTTGGATGGCTCTTCAAAATGTATCGAATGTCAACCTCGTCGTCGTAAAGTGGTTTGAAAATCCTACATTACGCGCTATTGAGGCTCAGGCAGATGCAATCCTGTGGATCGACTCTACAACTGAAGGTGCAGACGAAGGACAAGACCGCAATACCATCAGATGGGATGCCATGCAGGTTGATGCTGTCCAGACACTGGCTACACTGGGTCGGCCGCTTGTTGTGGCGCACATGGGAGAACAGGTCGACGATTCCGCACTCCTCAACAACCCGAATGTCAGCGCCTTGGTCTGGGCTGGCTATCCTGGCATGATGGGAGGTCAAGCACTCATCAATATCATAACTGGCAAGTCAGTACCAGCAGGCAGATTGCCCATCACGCAATATCCAGCTCACTATGTACACCAAGTACCAATGACAGACATGAGTTTGCGTCCTAACCCACAAACTGGTAACCCTGGCCGGACGTACAAATGGTTTGACAATGCCACGGTTGAGTTTGGGTATGGATTGCACTACACCAACTTCTCCACTGTCATCAATACACCTCCAAACTCATCCTTTGATATCCAGGCCCTTGTATCCGCTTGCGATTTTGCCACCTATGGCCACGTTGACCAGTGTCCGTTTCACGCCTCCGGTACCAGATCCTCCTCGCTGTCAGTCAATGTCACCAACAGCGGCAGCACAGGCTCTGACTTTATTACTCTTGCGTTCATTTCTGGGGAGTACGGCCCTGAGCCCCGTCCACTGAAGTCTCTGGTTGCTTACCAGAGAGTATTTGGTATCCAACCTGGAGATTCGCAGGTAGCGAGCCTCAATCTTACACTGGGCTCATTGTCAAGGTACGACGAGAGTGGAAATCAGATACTATATCCTGGTAGCTATCGTCTTTTGATAGATGTGCCGACACAGACGCAGTGGGACTTTGTGTTAACTGGGAGTGAATACATGATGGATGAGTGGCCTCAGATGTAGGTCTCCATCTCTAGTAAGTATAGACGAGTAAACTCATTGGCCTGTGTAGTCCATTGGTATGTCCGGCTGCAGAACTTCAAGGTCTGGACATTTTGTTAGGTACTCGATTTACTCCTGCTTTCGGAGTATTGGGCTCGTGAGTTGTAGTCCACACCTAGATTGTGTGCTATGGTGGAATCTAGCTCTTGATGACGTAACGCGACTGGCTTGAACATATGTAATTGTTCGTCATTGGCAACGACGCCTGACTAGATGTCGGTAATGACTAAAAAACCCAACTCCAAGCTCTGCGTACGTTTAAGGACATCATAGATTCTACATTACTATCCCAAGCACTGCAGGCACTCACCCGCGGCGTTTAAAAGATGAGTCCAAATGAAGTCGCCCCTCATGATGATCCAAATGAACTCAGTCTAATCCAGGTACCTGGATAAACCGAAGTCTACGGCTAAAAGGTAGCTCCTCAGCATCTGCTTCCTTTATGGAGCTGAAATGGACCCCGAGCGGATGCAACAATTTATCCTGCGGGGATTTGCAGTGTTGACATCGTCCGACGGCTCGAAAAGTGCTCAAATGTGTACTAGAACCCAAGACGGAGTTATTCTTTAGCTTATGAACACTATGTATATTGTTCGCCGCCCACCGCGTCAAAGGGGAGACAGAACCTGTGTGATAAACAATGAAGGCAGAGTCTGCTAGCCTCAGCGGATCAGTCACAACTACTCACTACTTAGTGGTTTGATCATGGCGAGATCTAGGATAGTTGGTCTTGTTGGTACACTACTACTGCTGTCAAGTCCAGCACAAGCAGCAGTCGGCCAGCCACCCAACTCTTCTTTGTTTCCATCACGTATTTGGGCGTCCGAAGCAGGGCTTAATCTGACGGATGGGTACCCCCTTGGAAATGGGCGACTTGGTGCCATCTCACCTTGCACTGTCCTGCGCGATCACATTACAGTTAATGAGGACTCATACTGGTCGGGTTCACTCCTCCACCGAGTGAATCCGGATGCATTGCAAAGTGTTGCCACAATGCAAGCGCAAGTGCGACAAGGCTACCCTAACCAAGCCCAGATCCTGGGGGGCTTAGGCTACGCTGGAACGCCTGTTTCAACGCGGCATTATGAACCGTTGGGATATATCAATTTATCTCAGAACGTGACAGGGAACATCACAGATTATGAGAGATGGCTGGACCTGGCCGACGCGACAGCCGGAGTATACTTCGTCAATGCCAACATCTCGTACCAGCGCGAATATCTGGCCAGTAATCCTGCCGATATTATTGCTATTCGTTTGAATGCAAGCGAACCTGGTTCCATCAGTTTCAGAATCCACTTCGGTCGGGATGAGGCCTCCCTGAATCGTTGGCAGCAGTATTCATATCCTGTCAACGGCGACACCATGGTCATGGGCAGTACGAGCGGAGGGGCACCAGATTCACCTGGAATAAGTTTCACCGCCGGTGCTAGAATTGTTGCATCAGGAGGGAAAGTCTATACTATTGGAGACTATGTGCTCTGTGAAGGAGCAGATGAGGCTACGGTTTACTTCTCTGCGCATACGACCTTCAGGACACAAGATACCAAGGGTGCGGTGCTGGGCGACCTGGCCGTCTTCACCCCAGCTTCCTACAACCATATCCGCGCTGCACATGTTGCGGACTACAAAGGATACTACGACCGTTTCCAGCTGGATTTTGGCTCCTCGTCAGATAATCAGACAGCTATGTCTACTGTCGAGAGAATGACCGCAGTCAGGCCAAAGAAGTTTGACCCAGAACTAGCCGTGTTGTATTTTCAATATGGAAGATACTTGTTGATTGCAAGCTCGAGGAGCGGAACGCTGCCTCCAAATCTCCAGGGCTTGTGGAATGAGAACTTCGATCCGATGTGGGGTTCAAAATATACCATCAATATTAATCTGCGTAAGTGCTTCCATGCTACGCTGAGCAGTGTGGATTACCGTCGGTTGTTAACACATTTTTTAATATAGAAATGAATTACTGGCCCAGCCTGACAACAGGTAAGCGGAATTGTCTGCTCCACTCACTCTCGCAATGGCTGGATCTGATTTAGAGGTTTTAGGTCTTGATGACTTGGTCGGTCCGTTGAATGACCTGATAAGAACCATGACGGACCAAGGAAGATATGTTGCCAAAGAAATGTACAATTGCTCTGGGACTGTTTCTCATCATAATGTCGATCTATGGGGAGATTCTGCTCCTCAAGATAACTATCTCTCCTCCACATTTTGGCCAATGGGAGCTACTTGGCTTGCCACACACGTCATTGAACATTATCGCTTCACCGGTGACAAGGCAATGTTGCAAAACATGTACCAGGATCTCAAGCTAAACGCACAGTTTGCACTTGAATTCTTGACCCCTTGGGATGATTACATGGTCACCAATCCATCACTGTCGCCTGAGAACATTTATTATGCTCCCAACGCTACTAAGCAGCAAGTAGCGATCGCGGCTGGGCCAACAATCGATAATACCTTGCTATGGGAGCTGTTTGGTTTCATTTTGGAGGCTCAGGCGGAACTAGGTATCACCAACGACACCGAATTTGCAAACCAAGTTACGGCTATGAGGGCGAAGCTGCCTCCGTTGAGATTAAATCAATACAATGGCATCGCAGAATGGATGGAAGACTTTGAGGAGGCAAGTATCTTCCGTGCTACTTGAAACACCCAAGGAACAGACAGTTAACTCGAACAGGCATTACCGGGAAATGGCCACATGTCGCACCTTGTCGGCCTCTATCCTATTCCACACATTACGGCATCCAATTCCACAACGTTCAACGCTGCCCTTACGAGCCTGCGACACCGGCTTGAGTAAGTTTGACCTTCCATCACTAGAAATTGTTATCACTTTGTTGTTGTCGTTGCGCGACTGACTGTGTTATCTCGCAGTAACGGCGGCGGTAGTTGTGGCTGGCCTCGTGCCTGGACAGTTTCTCTTGCTGCAAGAACCTTTGCCACAGATGTTGTGCATGATTACTTCACGGATCAGCTTTGGAACTGTACTTTCAACACTTCCTTACTAAACCAGGGCTACCCGGCAGCATTCCAAATTGATGGTAACTTTGGCACCACAGCTGGTGTTGTGGAAGCGTTGCTCCAGAGCCATGAAAGTATATCGATTGTGAACGGCACCGGCAACAGCACCGGCACTGGATTGCGACCTGCCTATACTGGTGACCTTAACAAGGCTGTCCTGATCCGACTGTTGCCAGCTCTTCCGCCAGCCTGGGGTGCTAATGGAGGCGGGTCAGTCTCGGGCCTCATGGCCCGAGGAGGATTCGGGGTCAACATGAGTTGGTCCGACAAGGGACAATTGACTGGGGCCACTATCACCTCGAACCTGGGCCAGGAGGCATATGTGACTCTGGGAAAAGCTGCTATTGGTAGCTCCGACAGCGAGAACGCGACATCGATCAGGATTGCAGGTGGGGAACCTGGAAAGTTTGTGCACCTTAACACCGTGCAAGGTATGACTTATAATGTCACTCTTGCCTAAAAGTAGTGGCGATGGAGTCACCATCAAAATGTATATACCATGGTAGATCCACGCTAAAACGATCAATTTTTGCAATGCTGTGAAGAGAGCGGCTCATGGAGCATTCTGATCGCATAATGTTATGCTAATTTGAGGAATCCATATGCAAAGATGTGATCCACATCAATCTAACTAGAATGACGTTATTGTTGTCTGTCTAGAGGCTTACGGCTTACTCCCTGAGTTAAGGCTAGTCTCGCCTTTCCTGAACCCTAGCAACGCCATCCTGTGTGGTCGGAACCGAGGTACCGTGTCCCAAGTCCCACTTGTGGAAATATATTAGTAAAATCCTTTGTGTAAAGGTATTTTCGTCTTGCGGGGACTTGTCAATGTTTAAAGAGGTCCAATTCTCGGAACGCTGTCAAGGCTTTCTCTGACTTTCACGTGTGCCCTCAGAGCATGGCTGAGATACTGCCTACTCAGGAAGACCCACAGGATTCAGCAGCTTTAGCGACCGTCGCTTCGAAGAATGAGGAGAAGCTCGAGAGTGAGCTGCCGAGCCAAGTTACCCTGACCGACCAAGTAAGAATCTGGCAACTGGTTTACCGCGTGTCGATAATTACGCCTGAGGTCTACTCGCATCAATATCCTGGCCGTGGGACCGAAGTCGAGCCTTATATCGTTGATTTCATCCATGATGACCCTCTTAATCCATACAATTGGGCAACATGGCGGAGGTGGATCTTCCTATCGGTCGTCGCAGTCTCAACATTAGCCGTCTCTTTTTGCACCTCAGCCTACCTTAGTGCATTGCCTCAACTCCGAGAACAGTTCCATGTCTCTGACTTGGTCATCACGCTGGGTCTATCCCTTTTTATCTTGGGTTTCGCTCTTGGCCCTCTGGCTTGGGGACCATTGAGTGAAGAGTATGGCCGACAACCTCTTTACTTCATCACCTATACTATTTTGACCGCCTTGAACATCGGTGTGGCGACCGCAAAGTCGATGCCAATCTTACTTGTGCTCCGATTCTTTGCTGGTGCTTTTGGAGCTTCGCCGTTGACTAATTCAGGAGGAGTCATCGCCGACATGTTCGTCTCGGAGCAACGCGGCGTTGGTATCGCTGCATGGTCGGCTTGTGCATTCATTGGTCCAGCTGTAAGTCTCGATCCTTTCTCGTCGTACAAAAGCCAGTGAGCACAATTCTGCTGGTCTTTAATGCAATTCTGGTGCGCTAATGGTGACTTCATTAGATCGGGCCTATTGTTTCGATGTTTGTCGCCTCTGAGGCTGGATGGCGCTGGGTCATGTGGGTCATGACACTCTTTGCTGGAACGATGTGGATCGTTGGCTCTCTGGTGGTTCCCGAAACTTATGCTCCGGTGATACTGCGCCGGCGGAGCCAGAAATTGACCAGGTTAACTGGCAAATTACACATCTCGATATATGAGAGCAAATCGGGCCATAAGGCGGGGACAATAGAAAAGATCCGCAAAGTGCTCTTCAGACCATGGGCATTCCTGATATATGAGCCAATTGTGTTGCTCATCTCAGTCTACATGGCTATCCTGTACGCGACATTGTTCATGATGCTAGGAGCATTTCCGATCGTTTTTGCAGAGACCAGGGGCTGGGCACAGGGCGTCAGCGGTCTGCCTTTTATCGGCATTTGCATTGGGATGATCAGCGGTGCTCTTCATACTATTTACGACAACAAGCGCTATCTCAAAGCCATCGCCAAACCAGAGAATTTGGTGCCCGAGGCAAGGCTACCGCCTGCGTTGATCGGCGCGATAATTACACCAGTAAGCTCGAGCCTATTCATTTTGCCCCTCGTATCCAAAAGTTCGCTGACACAGAGGATCTCAGATTGGTATGTTCTGGTTCGCTTGGACCAATTTCCCCAGCATACACTGGATAGTATGCATCTTCGGCATTGTCATCTTCTGCCACGGGTCTGTGCTGGTGTTTCTATCTGGCATGAACTACCTGATCGATTCTTACACTGTTTTTGCGGCGTCCGTTCTAGCAGCGAATGCTCTCCTACGAGCAGTCCTAGCTGCAGCCTTGTAAGTCGTCGAGTTTCGAGTCCACCTCAAGACTTCGTGGCTAATGGAGATTCCCACAACAGCCCGCTTTTCACGAAACAAATGTACCACAATCTAGGCATCCACTGGGCGTCATCAATACCTGCATTTTTAGCGTTGGTGTGCACACCGGCACCATTCATCTTCCACAGATATGGAAAAGAGATCAGGTTGAAATGCAGATATGCCGCTCAGGCGTACGAATATGGCCAGATTCAACGGAATGCGCAGAAAGCTACGGAAGTGGTTGAAGGTGAATCTGCATCTAGGTCTAAGACTTTAGGGGTGACTAGCCCATAGTAAAACAGTGAATAGGACAACGAAATAATCATGGTGGTACATAGGAGTGCTGAGACGTGACGAGGCAGTCCTGATATGTGATGGGAGGCCAGGAGGTGATACCTCAGCCTTGCAGCCACCTGTAAGCACAGGGCGGCTGAGGTCTCCCCCAAGAACAGACTTTCCTTCACGCCGGATTGAATTGAGTCACATGTCACTTCTTGGCAAGGCTGAAGGCGCGTTTGGTCCCCCCATCCGTCATGCAGGCCCGCGATTTGGATAAGGTTCCCATTTTCCGTCAATCGATCACTCTTCTCCTGCATTGTATATCTCCAACACTCCTGCGCCTCCAGTCCATGGCCTCTCTCATTCGCACGGACACATAGCACTCTTACCTTTTGATCACTCTCGACTCCTCTTCCGATCTCACATCATTGCGCCTCATACTGCGCCCGCGCATCTTGCAATCTACTCTCCCCTCCCGGATCAATGGCGAGCTCTCCACCAGCCCCCTTCCCTACAAGCCTGCCGAATCCCAAGAAGAGGGCCTCGATGAGTTCACAGGTTTCTGGTCAGGGAAGAGACAAAAGACCTAAGATACATCCCCTCAGACAAACTTCATTCCCTGCTGAGCCACTCTATGGCTCTGCAGTCACGAGCGCACGATCAGAGACAGGAAGCGTCACAAACAGCCTGCTTTCAGGAGTGAGCAGCAAGGCGGCTCCAAGAGGCAGAGGTCGGCCCAGAAAGTCGGCCCAACTTAACGATGCCGATATCAAATCCGCTGCTGCGGGAGGCGCAGACAACGCAAGCCAAGTAGACGGAGATGGACGAGCAGGTGCGCGTGGGAAATCAGTGTTCAGCGCTCGATCTGGTGCTGTCGAGGGAGAAGATGATGATGAAGGTGACATTGACGGCATGCTTGAGAACATGGACGAGCAGGAGCGGAGACAGGCCGAGGAGGAAGAGACGAGGCAAGAGCAGCGTCGAGAACGACTAGCGGATACTCTCGACATGGATCAATACGCACGTTATAATCAGTGGCGCGCGCTATCATTAAACAACAGTACTATAAAGAGGCTCGTCAATTCCATCGTCTCTCAGTCTGTCACCACGGCCCCGTTACAGGCAGTCAGAATCTACGGCAAATGGTTCGTCGGTGAAATTGTCGAACGCGCGCGCGAAGTTCAGGTCGAGTTTGCCAAGGCATATGACGAAACCCGAAAGGTCGAGAGAGCGTTGCGAGAGAAAGAACTGGAGATTTTGGAAGAGAAGCAGAAGCAAGGCACAACCACAGATCCACAGTCACGACTCATTGCTAAGGACATCGAGCGACTGAAGAAAGATGCCAAAGCTTATATCCCGAATCCTCATCGAGGAGGCTTGTTGCCCGACCACCTTCGAGAGGCGCTGCGGCGCTACAAAGCAGGTGGTGAAGGTGGCGGCGTTGGCTTCCAGAGCATGAGCCACGGCTTGTTGGGTGTTCCCGGTGCAGCTGCTTGGAGAGTGGGAGATGGAAGTTCTGGGAGGCGGTTATTGAGGTGAACCTGGAAGCTCTGCTTTAGTGAGCATTGTCTTCGGCACACATGGAGAGCGTCATTATTCGATCGAATTTGATTTCGACACATAGTTAGTCTCTAACCCCAGCGATTTTACAAGGTGCTCCGCGCAATTTCCTGAACACAAATCATCAACCCTGCTTCTCTCACCCATGAACTTGAATTTGGAGGCATTGGCGCACCAAACCTTTGCGGCCTTCCGATAATGTACACAAATCTTCAGTTGTCGAAGGTTTGACGCTGCCCTATTGAGCGATATGTACAAGATTTCAAACCCATGCGCAGAAGGCTGTTGAGCAGATCAGCAGCACCGGCACAAGTCTGGAACAAGAGAACGTCGCCTATTCCTGCGATCAAAGTCCAGTCATGCTTTTGCACGTCGGGACTGATACCTAACACCCAAATTCGCTTCTACTGCCTATTCCGTTGCTTGAGCCATGCATGTTGCTTTAGCCATGATCTTGGCTCGCCATGTTTAGTGGGAACGGTCCTACAACACCTGTTTCCTTTACTGGCCAACCGACTCCCAAACAGTCGGATTTGGAACGGGAGAGCGACCGGCTAACTAGATACAGATCTTAAACTTTCCAAGATGGCATATCGAGCTCGATCTATTTGTATGCTAAATCCAACAAAGCATTGCTGCAACCGTTTCTGCTTCCTGCATTCCTGCAGTCTCAACTATTTCAAGCTCGTTTGCTCAGATTATTCTAACTGAAGGGCTCTTCAGCAGCCTTACGCACCAGAGGACCAAGCCAGGACCATTATTCCCTGTCGGCAACCTGCTCATCAAGATTGTGCAAGCAGTGGGAAGAATAAGTTCCCCAATACTGTCGCTTCTCTCAGTTTTCAGCTACGCCACGATTTTACGTGATAATTTATGTCTCAGCCTTGCTTCCTTTAGGAAGTTTCGGGTTCTGTGATCAGCTGAGTCTCTGGTATCCATGATATCTGGGAATGTTTCCACTCCTGCTATTGATCACGAGTTCGACACTGGTACGAGAGATATCAGAACTCTTAGGGCATTAGCAGCATATTCGAAAGCTCGTAAGCCCGCACAGCCTGCAAGCCGAGTCTACCAAATCCAACTCTCTCTACGTCAATAACCGATATACACCCCTCCACCGACTTGTTCTTGTCCCTCTCCGGCTGTCCAAGGTTCAACAATGGCCCTTGTGATCTCCCTCCGAAACAAGTGGGAATTGAAGATCTTTTGACTTCAAACTGTCTCGCCAAGACTCCTCCGAATCCACGCTGCGGTTTCATCAAGCTTGCTGAGAAAGGGACTGTGGCTAGCCTGGACCGATTCCACCACCACAAGTTTGCCCCCATCCGGATTTACTTGCAGCCTTGCTTCGTTTGCCTGATCTATAATCATCCTCTGAACCTCCGGAGAAAACGCCTTGTCCTCCTCGGCGATCAGGTAATATATCGGGACGATTTTCCAGCCTGCGAATGGAACCGGAGTGCGAAAGACGGAAATGACCTGCGGAATGAGCAGCGAAGAATAGTGCTCGGCCTCTTTCTGGGGAACATCATGGTAGAACAACTCGATGGGGACTGGATTTGGGTTTGGAGTCGACATTTCGACTTCCAACTTACCATCGACTGGGGATGGAACGTTCTTCACGACAATCGATGGGGGAATGTTCCCGCCGCCCCAGTCAAATCCCGACACACCTGCAGGCACGAGAAGGCTTGCCATGGGCAGAAGAGCGGAAACTCTGTTTTGGAAGCCTGCTGCGATCCGAGATTTCTTGTCTAGGTTTTCGATCGCGGCCAGGCCTGGCAGGCCGCCATGTGAATGTGTGAGGATGGCGACGTCCGTCCCTAGATGAGCCTCGAGCTCGGCGAGGATGATTTCCCGGATACTCTTGATGTCTTCCTTCATGTCGCTAGGTGGTGGCACATTAGTTCCGCGTAGTGCACAGAGGGCATTTTTACAGTGATCACTCTGTGTCCATGCGAGGGAAGTTTATCCGTCAGCGGCTGGAAATGCGCTGGTCCATGCCAGGCGCCGTGGACGGCGACGATTGTTGGCTTCGACATGAGTATGGATGAGCTTCAGTTTGATTGAGCGGATCTGGGACTGAGACTGAAACAGGCGGTGCAATATTGGGATTTACAAACTCGTGCTCCAGAGTTAAATATGTTCCGCACCATCCTCCACAGGTCTTTTTATATCATCTCCAGGGATTTTCGTACTATGTATAAACTGACATAAATATCCCTCGTATAGCATCAGCAATCGAACCGGAAATCTGACAGCATATCTGATACTATGTAATAGGTTCGAGCAAGCTCAACGCTTCGGCGCCCACACCTTGACTGCCTGTCTGCCGTCGTACAAAGAGGCAAAGTCAATACTTTCTATCGGTACAGATTGTCCTATGGACCTCCAGTATTACGCCCCGAAGAATGCCCGGGTGTCCTTGTCACGGATTGTTTCGAAATTGGGAGGTTATGTCACGGCCAACGATACATTTTGTGCACGAGTATGAATACATCTGTGCGATATGTGCATCCGGTCAATCAGGTACGCTCGGCCCCAGGGCAGCGACAGCCAAAGAGCCCATCGGTCCGATCGTGTCATGGACAAGGCTATATTGCACATGGGGCTTACGAAGTAGTAGAGACTTCCTAAATACTTAGTGCACACTGCAAGACTGGTTATACCGGGCTATATAGCGTCCGGTATGTATTCATGCCTAGGGTTCAGAATCAACTTCTTTGTAATCTCATGTTTCACAATGAACGGGCTACGTACAGGCTGGGGTTAGAGTGATGTCCTGTACGGAGTGCCTCGCCCATCACTCTCGTATGGTAGGTAGTTCGCCGGGGGGAGAGGTGCCACAAAGTTCCCGAATGGATAATCCATGCGAGCCGCTAATAAGATCTAGCATATGGACCGACCTAGGTATATATATGCATCAGGCTTGGCTTCGGCCAATGAGTCCTACGGAAGAAATACAATTCCCGCGGCCAACATGGATCAGAAGTACATAGCACTTCTCACATTCGACAGTATCCGAAGCCCGAATAATCACTAGCAATCCTTTCTCCTCACGGCTTTTGCGCGGCAGCGCCCTTGAGATTGTCAATGTCGAGAGTCGGCTTGATGCCATGCTTCATGATCGGACTGTTGAAGAAATTCGCATGGTCGTGCAAGGCATCGGTCTGAATCCTCGAGACCTCGACTTCTTCGCTACCACGAGTGATCACATCTTCATCATAGTCGTTGACCGCCTCTACGAGAGTTTTCTCTCCGTTCCTCGCGGCTATCATTGCTTTGACGAAGCGCTCGCTGTCTCGGATCGCGTTGTTCGCTCCTTGACCTCGATCTAGCGTCTCCATGTGAGTTCGTCCGCTCGGTGGAGGAAGGAAGGGATACAGATATTGGGACGTGGCGGGGGAAGAACTTACGGAACGTCATGCTGTGAGCTGCATCGCCTGACAGAGTCACTCTTCCTCCACGATTATTCCACTTCGTCGGTCTCCATATCCGGAAGGGAACGGCTTTGGCCCGAATCCCGTCTGAGATCCATTCAACAGCTGACTTGTACGGCTCGGCCCAACCGTCCATCCTCCGTTTCAGCTCATCCACCATATTCAGATCCCCTTGGTAGTCCTCTTCCCGACGCTGCCACGTTGCAAGGATGTAAAAGATCCATGTCTCGGGTTTGTCAAGGTCGGGCTTATCAAGCAGGAAAATCCCAATGTACATGGATTTTGGATGGATGCCGACGTCAACTATAGGGTGCATCATCTTGTCCATTTTCAGCGCCCTCTCAGCGGTATAGGTGAATGGGAAATTGACAAAGGTGTAAGGCAAGACACGAGCAGCGGCGGCATCTCCCAACAGCCAAGGCCGTACCCATGAGCCACCACCATCCGCGCCAACAAGCACTGACCCAGCTTCAGAGGTTCCATCATGGAAGTGGGCAACAACCCCGTCCGGTGTCACTTCGATATTGGTAAGGGCTTTTCCATACTAATCAAAGACAGTGAGGATGACGCTTTGGGCACAAACAACCAATACTGACCTTGACGTTGACTCCTTCCGACCAGATCTTCCTCGTTTTTTGGATGTTGAGCCTTCTCACTCTCGGGAAAGGTGGCTCTACCATGGTCTGCCCGGTGGCGCCATCACGAATGATCACACTCTCACAGCCGGCTTCTTTGGAGTCCAGCTTCGGATCTGGTTGGCACTCTGGTAGTCGTTCGTACAATTCGGATGGCAGTAATTCTTCCAGGTAAGGATGGCTCCACGCAATTGTGACCCCCCAGTTTCTATCTCGCGGCGCACTCTCCTTGTCAACCACGACATAATCGATTCCGTTCTACTCATGATATCAGTCAGTGGAAGGCACCGTTTGTATGCGATTCTTTGCTGCTGTACCTTTTTCAATCCCTGCGCAATTGCCAGCCCCGAGAGACCTGAAATTCCAGAGTTAGTGTGCTTTCTCTGGAAAAAGGGTTTGGCACGAGTACCCGCTCCAACAACAATTGCACGCAGTGGCTGAGTCATTCTTATCGCTGGATAAAATAAGTTTTTGTTCCGGGGTGATCAGATATGAAGTGCAGGGGCAGCCCCTTCGCCCGGAGGAAGGGTCTTGAAATATGGACGGTAAGCTCAGCAAGGACTACACGTGGTCGATCCAGCGCGATACCTGAAGCACAAATGTGACATGTACCAAGTTACAGTGCTAGGTGAAAACGTGTCATGATGGTAAGACGTGTCACACCGAAATCAATTCATCTGGACAAACCCAATGGGGCCGGTAGTGCCTCATTACGGTTCAGCTCGCTCGTTTGTTTTTGGCTCCGCGCGGGGGCGTGGTGGGGGATTATATTCACCAAGGAACCCTACTCGGGAACCAACGATGAGTTACGATTCATGGTTGGCTGGTGATCTACAGGAACTGACAGGGACTGATAATTATCTCTGGCTAGTGATACATACCATCGGGCCTTCTATCCCACTACTGATCAACGAGCTCGCATTCATGCCCATTCAACTATATCCTGCAGTAGCTGGCACAATCACAACAAAATTCAAGTCGCCAATATAGACAGCACCCTGTAATGGCGATCGTCGAGCTGGCTGCATGCCAATTGAAGGGTGGCATCACCGCGTCCGACTCAGAACTGCTGAAGAATCTAAAAGAGGTAAAACGGGTGATCGAGGCATACAGCGGCCTAACTACATTATTCTTCGAGTTGGTCGACGACCCAACGGTGATGTTTGTCGTGGGCGCATGGGACAGCAAAGAAACACACGAAAAGGGATTTGACGGATCTCCACAGCAAGGCGAGATCCTAGAATTGATCAAGGATCAGCTGGGGATTACTTGGATGCATTACATGGATGTTGAGCTGGGCGATATCCCGGTCCGTTCGCCAGTTCTTGCGATTGTAAAGGCAACTCTGCCCAAGCATGTCGACCGTGAGGGATTTGTCTCGAGCATGCAAGCAGCGACAGAGGATGTGGACGGTGGGCCATACGGAGCCATTGGGGCATGGAACATTCGCAAAGACAAGCACGAACCGGATGTAAGGGTCCATTTCAGCGGATGGCGCTCGGTCGAGGAGGCTACAGACGGACTGGCAAATATCATCACTGTTGCGGGTGCTCGTCCTCTCCAGACGCATCCAACGAACTTGTTCTTCTTTCTCACGAAACCCGTCAACTTGGACTGAGCGTGTTAGGCCCAATATTTGGCCATACAACCAAGATTCTGGAACAGGAATACCCCTGGCACCCACCTGGCCACTGCTGGTCGATGACAACTTGGATCAATGAACATCATCTGAATACACGCGATATTCCCCATCGCTGGTGAGAAAGACAAGGGTTCGAGTAGTCCTAGCTTCAGCCTTGCTGACCATAATGATACAAGGTACTTCTATCCATGCTTACCCCTCTACTTTGCCCAAGGGCCCCGCCACAGTGTCCTTTTCTTCCAGTCGTAGGACACAAGGGATGTCTAGCCACGAGGCACTGCTAACTCATGCCGTGCCTTGTACCTCCGGACTACCTCGCATTGAGGGGTATTTGATTATCTAGTTGAAACCTATGTCAATCAAGTGCTGCCCCACGAACCCACCAACAACACCCACCATGATCTGTCATATCTGCCACTAAAGTCGGATCGGGCTTTTGAGACCCCCGCGCCGACGCCGTGAGTTTAACTGTACGACGTAGACCCGGTGACCAAGGCAAAGTGCCGGTCATCCAAGGGATTCTCAGTGTGACATAGAGAGAGGTCGCTATTGATAGGCGAGCTTGGATTGAGTCTTCCTCAGTACCGTCCATCATTATCGCTATTGCTTGCCCTCGCAAAACAGAACTACTTGAGATCAACTAGAATCTCAGAAGAATGTCGGGAGATGAGAAGGTTCAAACCGTCCTACGGGATCTCATCTATGCCAACCATATCCTCCACTACCATGGGGTGGTCGACGCATACGGTCATGTATCAGTCCGCCACCCCAATGACCCATCCGTCTACCTGATGTGCGGCTACATGCCTCCAGCATTGGTCGCAAGTCCCTCTGACCTGATTTACTACAATGTCAAGGACTCATCAACTGTCGACCCGGACTCCCCCAAGGGATATTCTGAGCGGTTCATTCATGGCGAACTCTTCAGGCGCTTCCCATCGATCAACTGCGTCATTCATTCGCACGCCGAAGAAGTCCTTCCCTACGTCGTCACGGGCGTGAAATTGAAGTCCGTATATCACATGTCGGGATTCTTGGGCCGTGAAGGTGTGCCGGTGTTCGACATCGATCCCTTGTACGAGGAGGGCGACCAACGAGATATGCTGGTCAACAACGCGCGTTTGGGAGAAGGGTTGGCCACCAACTTTGCCAAGGACCCTGCTGCTACAGAACCCGACGAGACAGTGGTGCTGATGAGAAGGCACGGGTTCACCTGCGTGGGAAGGGACATCGTGACCGCGGTGTATCGGGCCATCTACACACGGATCAACGCCGAGGCGCAGACCAAGGCAATGGCGATCGCCAAGCATAACCCGGATCCTCAGGGACAGCTTGCGTATGGAGATGGGTTTGAGGCAATCACTGAGGGACAGGTGAAGGGAACCAAGGTTATGTGTGAGAAGTTCCAAGATAAGCCGTGGAGGCTTTGGGTGAGAGAAGTCGAGAGAAATCCGCTATATGAGAACAGCTTGGGCCCCAAGCAAGATATCTCGTGATGGTTTTAGGATGAAGGAAGTTTATTCGAGCGAGAGATAGTAAGCTAGTAGCATGAGCTTTAACGTATGGTTGCGTACGTTTTGCTTGTTGCAATGATATTCGCCCGTGCGGTACTCAATTCTCTTAAAGTATTTCGTGAAGTGTTGGCTTCTCAAACCCTCGGCGGATAACTCGAGCGAGGGTGATGGGAATTCTGTACGAGAATACAATGTAGTTTAGGCTAGAAGGAGGATCGTATATGATTATCGAAAACTGGGAGAATATTGTTTGAATGAGAAATCTCAGGCGGATAACATTATTCTCGACCTGTACAGGGGTCAATTTCGCTCGTAGCAATCACATTTATCTATGTTGTACTTGATTCCCTGCATTCTCTGAACCGTTCGCTGCCTAGACCATTTACTAACTAGTAATTCGCATCGCTCGTTCCAGCATGCAAGTCAAATTGGAAACGCCATCCCCAAACACAACCCAACAACTTTGCGCAAATATCGGCGTCCAGAATTTACACCTCCACTCCAGCAATATGGGCAATGCCGGCCTTGACAATTTGCTCAATCACGTCAACCTCTGCTTGAGTTCTCGGCGCATACACCATGGTCCAACCCTTGTCAATGAAAACAAGAGGAAATCTCTCTCCATAGCCCTTCTCCACCACTGTCCTTGCATCCCGTTGCGTAAGCCAAACATGCAAAGAGCCCTCAGCAGGGTGAGCATGCGCAATCTCCGTGCCTAGCATCTTATTGCCTTTGGTCTTTGCGTCGACCGTGGGCAACGACTCTTTGGCGTAGATGGCATCAGTTGACCCACCCTCGGTCTTGCTTGGGCGCAGCTCCAGGATGCCGGGATACTTGGCAGCAAAGTCTTTCATGAGCTTCGCCACGCGATCCTGGACTCCCGGATCAACCGTGCATTTCGGGTAAGGAACCTGTCGCTGAGGCATTGTGCGAGCCATCATTTTCGGCCTGTCGCCTTCTCGGGGTTCGATCTTGGCGGCGTCGAGGTATGCCGGGCCGCTGGTTGACAAGGGCGTTGGATCAGTCAGATTGTCCTTGCCGAACAGGAGCAAGCGGTTGAATCGGATCTTGGTCATTCGCCAGTATCCAGCCCATGTTGGCGGTGTGCCTCCCGTACCGAAGGACTTCCAAGCATGGAAGTCGCTGATGACCCAGAGAAGTGACAGGCTGAGCGCGACTGTGGTTGTGGCTGCGACAGCTGCCCGTGGTCGTCGTGCGAACTGCTCCAGGACGTTCTGATATTGAGTGTTTAGAGTTTGTGTGAATTGAGACATCTTCACGTTGACACTTGATCAACGTGCAATACGACAGTGGATTCGGTGGAGCGTGCTGAACGACAGTATTTGAACAAATTAAGTCGGATATCGCGAAGTCGTGGTATTCAGGTTGACAAGAACGTGGTTGAAATTGGCAGTTCGCTTTATACGGGCCAGAACTTTGTGGAGCGCTCCTTGTCGCCTATTCCCCAGGTATCTTAAGTCGCCAATACTCGGTCCTTCGGCGCCACGCGGACCACCAATTAGGGGGTTGGAGCCTCCTTGGGCTTGCCCGGAATTACTTTTGTGCAGCCTACGAGTAAATTACGTGTAACTCGGTATTCTGTGCCCCGTCTAATCGGCCCAAACATTCGCCGCTTTAAATCAAGTTCGGCCCCTCTTCCGCTGCGATCAAACCAGCATCGGATGATGGAGTCGAAGTCCTGGGTGTCGGGAGTAGACCGAGACCTTCCCAAATTGCAGTTCTACCAGGAGCAATGTGCGTGATAAGGCTGCTGGTCTGACTCACTCCTCGCATTCATGTCACGTGCCATGAATCATGGCCTCCGGAAGTTCTTCCACTTCCGACATTTCTCCGTCAATTCTCCGTAGAGCAACTCTTGAGACCAGGTGCATTCTTAAAATGATGTGACCACTTCTAGCCTTTCTCGGTGCACCACCTGCTCGACTTGCCTTCACTTTCGTGGCCATTGCTTGCTCTGCAATAGCCTTGCGATGTCCAACCCCGCTCCTAAAGCCCTGGCGCGGGCGCTGCGCCAGGCCAGAAAGCCTTCGATTCCTCATTGCAGACCTGTTCAATGCATTCGACCGCTATGTGAACCCGTACGCTCCTTTTCCACAACACGTCGGCGGCGAGAAGACACAAGTGAGCCTGGGCACAAGGTCAAATATACTACGGATATGTATCCCACACTGAAACGAGATCCAAGATTCTCAGAAATCACTCCGGAGCATATTCAGTTTTTCAAGTCCGCCATTGGAGATGAGGCTGTGATTGATGGCGTTACAAAAGATGCCGCCGACGACATAGAGGCCTTCAACAGCGATTGGATGCGCAAGTACAGAGGCCATACAAAGCTTGTCCTCAGACCAAAGACCACCGACGAAGTCAGCAAGATTCTGAAATACTGCAATAAGAACAAGTTGGCAGTCGTACCACAAGGTGGGAATTCTGGTCTGGTGGGAGGAAGCGTTCCTGTCTTCGATGAGATTGTGGTGTCTCTTTCTCGCATGAACCAGATAAGAAGCTTCGATGACATCAGCGGAATCCTCGTGGTTGATGGAGGCGTCATCCTCGAGGTCGCCGACAATTTTCTGGCCGAGCATAATCATCTCTTCCCTCTGGACCTAGGCGCAAAAGGATCATGCCAAATTGGCGGTAATGTCGCTACCAATGCCGGTGGTCTGCGATTATTACGATATGGATCACTTCATGGTAACGTCCTAGGTCTCGAAGCTGTTTTGCCCGACGGCACTATTGTGGATGACTTGGGCAAGTTGCGGAAGAATAACACAGGCTATGACCTCAAGCAGTTATTTATCGGCGGCGAAGGGACCATAGGTATCATTACTGGAGTATCCGTTTTCTGCCCGCAACGATCCAAAGCTGTCAACGTAGCGTACTTTGGTCTTCCGTCATTCGAGCATGTTCAAAAGGCTTTCAGGGAAGCGAAGATTCAACTCGGTGAGATTTTGTCAGCTTTCGAATTGATGGACGGTCAAAGCCAGGGTTTCGTTCACAAAGTGACTGGAAACAAGAAGCCTCTGGAAGGTGATCATCCTTTCTACGTTTTAATAGAAACGAGCGGTTCTAATGCGGAGCACGACAACGAGAAACTTGAACAATTTCTGGAGCACGTTATGGGTGAAGAAATTGTCTCTGATGGCGTGCTAGCTCAGGACGAAACCCAAGTGAGATCTCTCTGGGGATGGCGCGAAGGCATTACCGAAGCTATTGGCCATTTTGGCGGCACATATAAATATGATGTGTCAATACCCATCCAAGACCTGTACAAATTGGTCGAAGAAACGAGAGAACGCCTAAATTCCAAAGGCCTGGTTGGCGATGACGAGTCATATCCGGCTATTGGAGTGGTCGGATATGGTCATATGGGTGACTCAAATTTACATCTCAACGTACCCGTGCGCAGATACACCAAAGAGGTCGAAGAAGCGATAGAACCCTGGGTCTATGAATGGATCCAGAAACGAAGCGGCAGCATCAGTGCTGAACACGGGCTGGGTATCGCAAAGAAGAAATATATCGGGTATAGTCGAAGCGAGAACATGATCAAGCTGATGAAACAGATCAAGGATTTATACGATCCGCAGGGGATTATGAACCCTTATAAATACATATAGATAGAAGAACACAACGTATCTTCTCATGACCCTTATCAGCTGATTGTGATTCTCAAGTCTCCGCAGGTCTCATTACCTCTCATGCGGGGAAAGCATCGTTCAAGCTACTGTATTTGCCCGAGGCAAATCCTCGAAACCACTTCTCCAACTTAGAGGAGGCTGGATCCCTGTAACACGATATACAAGCGCGACGACATCATCGTTCCCGACTACTTATTGACGACAAATGGAGTTACGCAGTACAAATTCTCCAAGTATCCCATGATAAAGATTGTCCTTCAATCATACAATTCCAACCTGTGTTAAATTTCTTCAACAACTACTATATATACATACATATAGCACAATACACAATGGTCTCCGCATCTCGACTGGAAGAGATATGCATTCCGGTCGCGCCACACGCGGCATACCACAAGAGAAAACTGCGGGTTGCGACGATCGGCGCAGGCTTCTCAGGTTTGATATTCGCGCACAAGATCCAGCATGAGCAGCCTGAGCTACAGGAATTCATCGACCACGTTATTTTTGAGGCAAACGATGATATCGGCGGGACCTGGAAAGTCAACACTTACCCGGGCGTCCAGTGTGATGTCCCGGCTCATATTTATGTAAGAGTGAAACGGCAAACTCCTCTAGCTGGCATGTCAATTTCTTGTGGTTTGGGAAAACTAAGGTTTTCTGGTGGTTCGTTTAATGTAACGGTGAAGGAGCTTGATGAATCTCGTCGCTGATAGACATACGCACAGGCATTTCCATTCGATCCGAATCCCAACTGGTCAAAATTCTATGCCGATGGAGACGAAATTCTGGAATATATGCAGCGCATTGCGCATAAGTGGAATCTGAAACGTGACATCCAGTTCAATTCTCGAGTTGTTGGTCTGGAGTGGCTCGAAGATAGGGGCAAATGGAAGGTCCGGGTGAGGCAGAACGAAGACCGGGAGAGAGATGAGCTGTTTGATGTCTTGGTTTCTGCTCAGGGATTCTTGAGGTGAGTTGAACCTGCCATTCCCGCCCCCGATGTTCCGACAATCACATGGATATGTGCCTTGGGATTACATGGTACATGGAGTCATGGTCTGACCTCGACATCAAAGTCAATGGAAATGGCCGTCAATCCCGGGCCTCCACACCTTCAAAGGCCATAAAGTCCACTCCGCCTCCTGGGATCACAGTTACGACTATAGCCACAAACGCATTGCTGTGATCGGGAACGGCTCCTCGGGAATTCAGATCCTACCGCAGATGGCCAAGCTAGATGGCACTACGGTAGTTTCCTTTCAGCGAGGTCCAACCTGGATTACGCAGTCGCTGGGTGAAGTCCTTGCTGGAAATTCAGGGAACCCAGACCCATCTGATGAAGCCGTCAATGGAGTCGAGACTGAGAATGGCAGTGTTGGAGTCGATATGGCAGATATTAGTCAGAGCGATGAGGAAGTCGGAAGTAATTTCAACCCTAGGTATACGACAAGAGATAAGAGGAAGTTCAGGGATAAGGAGAAACATCGTCAGTATCGCAAAATGCTGCAGCAAGGTATGAATAAGGGGTTTAGAATTGTGAGTATCTCACCGCTACTTCGCCTTTAATCTAGCTTTTTCGCCGCCGATGAGTGCCTGAGTGCCTGACCTTGCTGACTGCGTGTCTGTTTTGTCGAAACAGTTCAAGAAAGGATCACAGCAGAACGCCAACTCGACGAAAGTGACAATCTCACGCATGCGAACGGCACTCGATCAAAACCAAGAACTATGCGAAAAGCTCATACCGAACTGGACACTAGGCTGCCGGCGCCTCACTCCCGGCGAGGGGTATCTGGAGTCTTTCCTGCTTCCAACGGTAACGCTAGAGACATCGCCAATCACCCACATCACCGAGACCGGCATCTCGACGGAGTCACAGCAGCACCACTTCGTCGACGTGATCGTGTGCGCGACAGGCTTCGACGTCTCCCACGTGCCGCACTACGCCGTAACCGGCCGCGACGGGATGACCCTGGCGCAAAAATGGTCGTCCGAACCCGAAAGCTATCTCAGCGTAGCATGCCCGGACTTCCCAAACTACTTCATCTTCACGGGGCCCAACGCGACCGTCGGGCACGGCACGCTGATCACCTCCATGACCTGGACGGCCGACTACATCCTGCGCTGGATCCGCAAGATCGCATCCGAAGACATCCACTCCGTGGCGCCGAGGCAGGACGCCACGGACGAGTTCGTGCGCTACGCCGACGAGATCCACAAGGGCTTGACCTGGACCGGCGGCTGTAAGTCCTGGTATAAGAACCACCGTGTCGATGGCCGCGTCACCGCCACCTGGGCGGGAAGTGCGCTGTTGTATAGAGAGGTCATCACGGCGGAGCTGCGGGCGGAGGATTTTGAGATTCGCTACCGGAGTCGGAACCGCTGGAAGGGCGTGCTGGGCAATGGGTTCACGGAGTTGGAGGAACGTGCGGAAAGAGCCGAGACAGAGGCGAAGGGGGAGGTCGTTGATTTGGCTTTTTACCTGTGACGGCGGAGTCGCCAAGCGTGGGTGGGAGAAACGGGCAATATTCGGCCAGTACTGTTGCTTGAATATCGTGATACTTCTTGTCATGCACACGTGAGCGCCCGGTTCTTAGATCTAGGGGGAAGAAAGATCAGAAGATTGCTTGAGCATAGACTTTGGATATGTCGTAGATGATGGTCTACCAGCTCCTATCCTTGCCCTTGCCCTTGTCTCTGTCTTTGCGCTTTTCCAGCTTGATGTCGCGTTCCCTCTCCCGGGGATCTATCACCACGAGCTCCTCTTCGTTCTTCCTCTTCCAGGTCAGATCTTTCCCCAACCTGTCCTTCGCGAATGATAATGTATGGCTCATCCATGGCTCATCATCATCCGCGTCTTCATCCGCATTCTCTCCTGTCTCATCCCACCGCGAGCATGACTGGCAGTTGGCGATGAAATGCAGGTCACAGAGCGTGGCTTCTTCATCATCTTCTGGCGGCGGTTCCGCCTTGGCCAGGGTTGGGCCTTGCTTCTGCTGTCCGTTGGTTCTGGTTCTGCGGTCAGCTGTCCCGTTGGTGCTGGTGGCTTCCAGTCGTGCCTTGAATGCATTGAGCATCTTTAATGCATTCGCATCCTCCTTTGGGTTGTTCTCTCCGGGGCGGGGGCGCTTGCGGCCCCGTGTGCTTGTTGCAGGAATGAGAGATTCTAGCGCTGATTTTTTATGGTTTGATTCCTGGTTAGTCGTAGCAACATTCCGCCGCATTGACGCTTTGAGGGCGTCGATCTCGGCTTGTAGTGTGGAGGCTTTGGATGTTGTAGGTGTTTCGTCCGTTGAGGGTGAACGAGACGGGGACTCAGGGTTGCGTAATGGTAATTGAGTAGTTGGGTCATGGAAAGAAGGTTTTCGCCGCTGGACTGGCGATGGGGATTTAGCAGGTGGCTGAGGACTTGCTTTGCGTTTCCGTGGAATTGTCTCTGTTGGAGAGGGCGACCTTGGTCTCTTCTTCTCAGCCAGTGGTTGAATTTTCGCAACGACATTTGGTTTTGTATTTGCCTCAGGTTCTTGATCGCGTCCATCGTCAATTAGAGCAGGATTGAACTTGGCCTTCTTTGGCCGTACTGCAACGCTAGCACCGTCATCATCACCGTCGTCCCCTCCAAAGCTGAGTAAGCTCTTCCCACCCTTCTTCTTCGGTACCTTCTTCTTGCTAGGAGCTTCGACGACACGCTGAGCGATTTTGTCTCTCTTTCGCATGTTTTGCCATGCGTCACCTTTGGGCATTTCGATGACCTCCGCCCTCAGAATCTTCTCAGGATACATGGGCCGCTCCGTGCCCTCGACTAGCTCGCCATCGGCGATCTTGACAATGTTGTATATGCCATCCCCCTCCACACGACCGAACATTGTACAATTGCCATCCAGCTGCGCCCTGCAGTCTGCCAGGGTGATGAAGAACTGCGTACCGTAGCCACCACCGGGGCCAGTGCCTTTTGCCATTCCCACCAAGCCCCGGCGGTTGAACTTCAACCGGCTGTGTACCTCGTCGCCAAACCTGATTTTCTCATCTTTTTCCCGTCCAAGCAGCCTCGCCCAGTCATCGTCGTAGCGCTCGAATTCTCGGTCCTCGTATATATTCTGGCCGCCCTCACCCGTTCCCGTCGGATCGCCCGTCTGGATCACGAAGCCCGGCGAGACGCGGTGGAAGATGTTGTTGGTATAGTCCTCATCGAGCACATGTTGGAGGAAGTTCCGGCAAGTCAGGGGCGTCTGATTTGCAAATAGAGATATCGTTAGAGGGCCTGCACTAGTATGGAGGAGAACCAAAGCAGTCGCCGGAGGTTCAGTCGTGTAATGAGACGACATGGCGCGGAAAACGTTGCTATTTTAGCATTATGAAGGTTTCTAGTCACTCTTAGATTGATCGTACTCTTTAGGTCGAACAAAGCTTTCCTAGGTTGCCCTCAGACAGTAGATTTCGTCGGCTCTATCTGCAGACAAAAGTTTGGTGAAGTTGTGCATGGCATCACGTGACAATGCCGCTCCCATTACGGTGGAGCAATTGGGACTTTTGAATCACGCGTCAAGCTCCATCAGATGCGCGATATTTGAAGTATACCGCTTCTCTCTTCTTGTACCTGACAATTGATGCTGTTGTGCTATACGAACGCAATCCTACTGTACATCTATTCACTGGTCATTGAGTCATTAGCAATCGTACTTGAACCACCACCCTCTATCTCGCTCAATACCTTAGTGCCCACAACAGTACTTTGACCGTTCAGATAAATTTCCACCACCAACTGAAGTCCAGCGAATGGTGCATAAGAGTATTCCTGACCTCTCACATTCTCGCCGTTATAGAACAGAGTTCGCTCTTGGCCAGTGAAAGTCATGTCGTGCCAGTATGATCCGACCACCACCTCTGTGTACACTGTCCCGTCATTGTGCAGAGACTGGTCGACGATATCTCCAAACGGCGTCAAAATGCGGTTGGTGTGAGTGTTGCCACTGTAGTCGTTGATCGAGTACAAGATCCCCTCATCGAGGTCGAAACTACGAGCTCTTAGGTCATTTGCCGCTGCCTGGCTTCCTCCGCCGAGCGTGCTGTTCACAATATCCCCTAAGCCTTGCCCCAGAGTGACCAGGATTGGATTCATATCAATCGAGCTGAGAGTGTCGTTGATCATCAGAACGAGGTTCTCCAGCCTCGCTTCTAATTCAACCTTTGCCGATACATTTTGAATTGTCAGCTGAACTCGATTAATGCTCAGGTCGACGCCAGCGTTGAACTGGAGAAGTGAAAGTACTTGTGCATCAATATTGATTTTGGCGGTCAAGTTTTTCACCGTTAGATCGATTTCTCCGACAAAAACACTGGCATTGAGGAATACGTCCGGAAGAGTCAGTGGGTCGGTGGGTGAGGTGTCGGTATTTGCGGTCTCGTAGGAAGCAGACTCGCCGTCGCCGGTTACTGCGAGTGTGTACCCCGTGTAGCCGTCACCATCGGAAATGATTTGTGCGTTGACAAAGGCAAACGATGCGAACAGTAGCGAAATGCAGCGGAAAGCCACCATTTTGAGATCTGACGGTTGATCTTTGGCTTGTCCGGGGGGCACCAAAAGAAAGATGCGGCCTCAAGAACGATTGAGATGAAGAAAGCGGTATCTCAATCTATGGAGTTGAACAAATTGAAGTGGGCAATGTGGGCTTCTCTGCAGTCCCAGAAATGTTTATCCTGCCCTGCTTGATTTCACCGGAAGGTATCGCTTGGATCAACCATGGAAAAATGAGTTTCCCCCCGGCAGTTGAGATGGTCTTTCTGAATTACAAACATGGTTTCACGACATGGGAAAGTGCATGTTTTCACACTACTACCAAGGGTCCCTGTCATTAAACAATCTCGTCTCCAAAAGTAGTAGATGTACCGGCCGTTTACACTACATAAAAGCTGGGGATGGAGGCCAAAACAGGTTTGCGGACAGGGGTAAACAAGGATCTGTGTAGATCATCCCCTCTGGTTGCGGATAGTTTGAAACAAAGCACAAACCCATGAACCATGATCGACCGCCTGAATCTCGACTACACAATCCCAATGGTGGAAACTGCCATGCGGGAATCTGCAATTCCCATGTGCTGGGGAAAAACATAGATAACGGTAAACTGTAGATGTCCGAACCAGTTTGCGACAGACTTACTCTGGCACTTCTGTTGTCCCAACATTTCCCCTCCATGGCGTCTAGGTTGATCCTGAGGCTGGCTCTTGCCTTAACATGCGCTCAAACAGTATTCTCACAGACAACAAGCTCACCAACAACTCCTTCTGCGCCGACATCGACCTCAGCAACGCAAACCAGTAGCACTGGTTCTGCATCTACGCCGCCTGATGTATGGCTGAATATACCAAATCTATCCGTCGGTCGGATCGAGCTCGACGTTGACGATCTCCGTGCGGACATCAATCTAAACGCACAAGTTGCCTCTCTCGTCACTCTGAACGCTGGTGTCGCAGTGTCAATCCAACAAGTCAATCTCACCATCTCCGACGTGGAAGCCCAGCTAGAACTAATTGTTCGCCTCGGCCATCTCGTGGACATTGTCAACCGAGTTTTCGAGTCCTTGGATCTCAATCCTCTTCTCATCTCGGCAATCAACAATGTGACATCCCTGCTTGAACCAATTGTGGGGAGCATTGATGGTCTCCTAGGCTCAATCACCCAAGGCGGCACGACATTGAACTTTCTGATCGACAACCTCGGAAATATTGTCCAGGAGGTTGGGGGGACAAGCACGATTGTTGGAAACTATCTGACCAACATGACCGATACGGGTGCCAGCAAGAATCTCGGCTCCGGTCTCGTTCAAAAAACATTTTCATACACCCCACTGAATGCACTGGTCGACATAGTTTTCAATACGGCTGGCCAAGTCATTCAGGCAGCTGTCCAGAAAGCTGGCAGTGGGGCTGGTGGTGGCGGCGGCTCATCCTCGACCTCGACCACGTCTACGCCGGCACCCACAACTACATCTGTTAAGCGCAATTCTGGAGTCACCGGGTAATCAAGTAGTGATAAAGCTAGAAGGTGCACCCGGATGGAAAAAAGCCTCTATAGTCAGTCTGTAAATATACATTGACTGGCTCAGCTCTGCAATATCAAGCTAAACTGCCTATCAGCGTGTAATATCTACTGGTTCTCAAACAAGGAGAAGCTTTGAAAATCGAATCTTTGGAAAACTATGCATATAAGAAGAACGGCAATGCAAAGAGTCTGGAGGCCTCTGAACAGGGGAGTCTTCGTCCTCCTTGAAATATAATTGCTTCTCTGGACGAAGTACGATCTTGCAAAACTTGTGACAAGCGATGCCAATTTCTCAAAGTTGAAATATAGGAACTAAAAGTATTCAGATAAGGAATCTGAGCCTGCTCGCTGCTGTCGCGTCCCCTGCCCACTATACTCTACCTTGATTCATGAACGTTGGCCATCGGCAGAACAATACTGTCATACGCACTAAATGAAGAGCTTATGGCTCATAGAACAGCGATAAAATGAAATTAAACATCAACAGCAAACGCTGCCCCTTCACATTTGCGTTACAGTACTGGGAAAACCCACTGAAGGGGAAAAAACCAGAACCAAGGGGCAGGAGAAAGGAAATAGCAGCCGAAAGGTGTGTACAAATCTTGTAGCAGAGAATCGCAGGTTAGTGGAGCTCGGTTAGAGCATACAGCTGGCACACAATCCTGTTTCCCAATTTACGCCACGCTGACCACTTGCATAGTGGTTTCTTTAGTCCCCATATAACTTCTGTTCAGTAGTCATCTCCACGACTGAAGACCTCCTTGTGTGTCTCCCGCAAGAGGAGAGTCTAACGTCATTATCAGCAGCGCACTACAAATTTGTAATCAGTCCAAAGAAGAGCTTACGTGTTCGAACTGAGCCGTGTATGAGCCGTTGATATCTGCCAGAGGGTAATATGCATCCACAACTCCGTTTGAGACGAGACAATTCATCTGCAGATTCTTCAGCGTGGCTAGACTTCCTGATGATCAAGATCGTGATACTTACGCCGGCTAGATACCTCTCTTGGCCAAGTCGCTCGAGGTAGCGACGACAAAACACTAGGGTGCCAAAGTTCTCCTTGATGGTCTTGCGCAGACGCCTGGCCGATGCCAGGGGTAATGACACCGCCGCTGGCGCGTCGTAATTCAGTCCGTAGCCGTAGACACCCACCTGAATCGAACGTTAGTCTAGGTTTAGTTGACGACGGCAAAGGGCACCTTACATCATCGTGTAGGTAGCCACGCCCCGTCGTTCCGAACGTCTCGATGGCGAATACTTCGCCCTCCTCCATCTTTGTCTGGTCCGAGTTCTTCACAAATGGTATGGACTTCCCGCCGTGAATGCGGTAGTGTTTGATATCATGTGCGGTAATGTTTCGGACTGGCTTGACGGGGAAAGTCTTGCCGCGGATCTCAACCTCATAGCTCTCCATCGCCTCTTGAATTGAAGCGCTCACATCGCTTATACGAACGTCGATTCCAGCATTCTAGAACAATTATTAGCCATGATAACGCCCCAGCGATAGTATATCGACGGGTCTTCACCTTGATTCCTGTGTTAGTGGCATCCTTGACCGCAGCTAGAAGATTGTCGTAGGTCGGGTCGAAGGACATGGTGAAGGCGCTATCGACAATCCAGCCATTGATGTGGACACCAAAGTCAATTTTCATGACATCCTGATGTTGCAGCACAACATCCTTCTGGCCTGGATTGGGCGTGTAGTGTGCAGTCTGGTTATTTAGGCAAAGACCCACCGGGAAACCCATACCTGCTTTAAGGCAGTCTCCGGTCTCCAGACCAGCATGGCCCAGTAGCGCTCTTACGCTGTCCTCAATCCCTTCGGCGATGTTCAGGAGAGTGTGGCCGGGTTTTACTGTTTCCTGTGCCCATTGTCGGGCTTGGCGATGGACCTCCGCCGCTTTGCGGTAGTTTTGGAGAAACTCTTCATCTTTCGTGTACAGGCGAGTATCGTAGCGTGCTTCAAACGACGCGCTTCGCGCTTTCGTGTAGACCTGGGTTTCGCCCTCGGGATACACACCCGAGGGGAAGAGGTCACTGAGCAGGACCCTTGGTGGAGACGATTGCTTCATGGGAAGAGGTGGCGACTTATTCTTCTTCTTCTTTGGCTTCTTTCGTTTCTTTTGCCCATTTACGGCTTCGGTTGACCAGGGAGCCTCTATCCGTCCAGGCATGGCTCCCTCGCCGTCTCCGTCGCCATCTTCATCGTCGCCGCCGTCTCCAAGACAACCGTCTCCGTCTGTAGACATATGCGTACCTCGAGGCCGTCCACCAACGCAACAGTTTCCAACTGACTTAGATGTGTCGCCTTCATGAAATCAGGAGATGTGTATCTAGAAGAAACGCCGGGGTGGGTGACATACCATCATTTCTGTGATCCTCATTGCCTGGAGTCTTGGATCCCATTGTTGCATTGATAGCTTCGCAGTTTCACGATGTTGAGGGCTACAGTGCTTGCTGACTGATGGGTTGCAATCTGTCCTGGAACAAGGAAGACTGAGTGCTGGGCGGGATTGTAGATGCTGATGAATACCCCGCCAGCGACTCCCCCGCGACAAATGCTGAGTAATTAGAGAAACCTTGGCGATCAGGTGATCAGGCACACCTGAAAAGGGGTAAGCTCCTTCGAATAAGTCTTCTTCATTATCCGGTCCGTATGGGGTTCAATTGTTAGCCTCACAGAACCATGCTGACATGATGAGCGAATGAAACGACTGGTGCTCAATTCGAAGCTTCAGTAAGCTTATTTTGCCATTAAATCCGGGGCCATGTTTCCTAGTGTATGGAACAACCTGCAGGCACACTAATGGCTTGCTACATCACTGTTCTTAGCATCGTCGGTGGGCGGACCAGGACGACAACTTCAAAACCTAGTTGAGGCCACTGCCCAGAACTGACTATCCTCCCACTTCTTGGAGTACATGCGACGGGGCACTAGAAGGCGCCTAACTATTTCCTCCCATACATTTATCTTCCATTGGATCGCATTTGGGACAAAGCCATCACCGTTTGAATCATGAACCTCTCAGACCTTGTTCAACACCGGTTCCGGGATTCCTGCCCCGGCCGATGTCCAAAAATGAGACTGTACCACTCAACTGCGTTGTAGAGCGGCGGATATTGGGAGAACCATCTCCAGGCCCCAGGAATTGGAGAATACTTGTTGCGCTCGTCTCAACAGTTCCAATTGTTGACATAAGACTCTCAAGTCGTGCTGGAATCTCTAGCTCATCCAAAGACATCAGCTCTGAGAGAGAGCTGAACCAAGAATCAAAATGGGTTCGTTTTGTACCTATTCACTTGTTTCCATACTTGTACTCCTGGTGAGTCCCCTTCTTCGACGCTCACAATTGTTTGAGATTCTGATTAAATGACTCTACCCAGAATCTAGGATTCATCGCACTCCAAGTCCCCTCTATTCAGCGGTATATACTATGTGATGGAGATGTCCTGGAGATATTATTCAACAATACCAAGATTAGCGACGGCATGAACGCTGTCATCTCTTTTGGCTTTGCGGGTATACTTATTGCGATTGGACTTATAATCACCATCGACCATGCCCAGGGCGACGAACAAGGCTTAGCAAGACCTCGGAGCAGGCTTTGGTCAGACAATGAATCCAAAGCTCTGGAACCATGAAAATTTCGGACTTCAATTTCCCGGGCCGCAGGAGACAAAAGGTTTACCATGAATAAAAGACTGGAGTTGTCTTTATTGTTTTCGCCCAGGAACGGCAAAACAGCAACAAAAGCATGAGATATTGCGCTCAAACACTCGTGACTGGTATTTGATTGGCCATAAAACTGTGTGCAAAAGCCCATGACAAAACTCAGATATGCCTTTGCGAGACAACGCAAAGATATTTTCTACAGTCGAGCAAATGGAGCATGTTACCTCCTTGCACCTATACCTTCGTCAGATTTTGTCTCAAACCTGGCACCTCCAGTTCCACCACGACGCCGTCTTGATCAAGCACAAAATTGACCGCGTCTCCTGGGAGGCCTTTATAGCGGAACGAGTTGAAGTTAAACCAAGTATCACAAGAAGTCTTGAAAATGCCCGTTTCGTTCCTTTCGGGAATCCCATGAAACCCCACCTGCCAACGCTCACCATCTCCTACAGGGTAGATCCTCATTTGCGCATCCATCATACCAATCGAGTTGCCGAACAGGGTGACCCACGCTTCAACCACAGGTTTTCCCTGGCTTGTCCACTCTGTGATTCTCAAGCCTGGGCCGTCGTCCAGTGCTAGAACAAGTAAGGAGCCGCTTTCCTTATCACCAGTGCCGTATGAGCCGGCGTATTTCTCCTCTGCCTGTGTACGTGCGAAGTCATCGAACACAGGGACGACGTGCTGAACCGCGAGATCAAGGACCGTGCGGGATACAAGATCATCTCCAGGGCCCGCATAGTTGACGATAATACCAATCCGATATTCCGGTATTACGGCGAAGTAAGCTCCATAATTGGGGATACCACCGAGCATGGTGTAGATCTCCAATGGCCGCGCGCCAGATGCTCGTGCAATGTTGCTTGGGCGTAGAATCGCCCAGGGCATGCCAGTCGCCCCAGTTGGTGATGAAGTAAAAGCAGTCGGTTTCAGCCACGCGGCAGTTTTGACACGGTCAAGGACCTCGTAATTCAAAATACCCCGCAGAAAGATGGAGAGATCATTGGGCGTCGAGAACAAGCCGCCGGTGCTGTAGGCGAGTAAGCAAGTATTCAGTTTGAAGGGTGGAAGTTTGGTTGGCCTTGAGAAAGGGGCCTAGCTTTCTTACGCTTTCCAGTTATTGAAGTCCTGCGTAGCCCAAACTTCTCCCTCAATAGGGATGATGATTTTGTTTGGGTTTTCCGGGATTTGGAGCCCAGATGACGAACTCATCCCGAGTTTGTTGACTATTCGTTCAGCGATCACCTCTTGCAGTGGTTTCCCAGCGAATCCCTCTGCGGCATAGCCCAAGAGAACGAATGCATAGTTTGAATAGGTTGGCGTGTTCCCCGGCAGCCAAACCAAGGGCTCTCTGGTGATGCCCGAGATGAATTCTTTCCATAATTAGAATTCGAAGCAGCTAGTCGAGAATATTGCCAGAAACTCACCGGCTCGGGAGCACTTGGGCGTTCCTATACTGTCACAGGTCGGATAATCTAAAGGGAGGGCTATATTGGGAAACCCGAGAGAGGACAGAACCTCCTGTGGTGCTCTTGGAGCAATTTCGGCATTGTATCCTATAGTGTATGTCAAATCGAATTCTCGAATACTCAAAAGCTCCGTGCTCACCATCTCGTATGACTCCTGAAAGGTGGCTAGCTAGCATCCTCAGCGTAGTGTCCTCATAGTCCTTGAATCCAGCCAGTTCAGGTACATGTTGCCAGACGTAATCGTCCATGTCCAAGCCTTCCTGAAGCAAGAGTGATAGCACAGTAAAGAGTTTGGTGACAGACGCAATACGATAAATTGTGTCTCCATCCACAGTTGACGCACCAGTGTCGCTGATGATTTCTGCAGTGTGATGAAATTGGAAGATGTTATCCTCCAAAGTTGTAACAGTCAAAGAGAACGAGTTGATGCTCGTATTGAAAGGCGCATGCGGACCAGTGACAAGTTTCGTCAAAGCATCCGTAAGTGGTCCGACATCAAAACTATCGGCTTTTGGTAGGACTGGAGGTGGTAGTGCTGGGCCCGTAGGAGGGCAGAGCTCAAGGCATGTGGTAAAAGGTAGAATGGCCAGAGCCAGAGTGCTAAAAGTAATCTGCTTCATCTAGCTCTCTATATTGCTGGTTTCACTTTAATCCTTGTTTAGATGAAAGTCGAGTACATCCACAGATCTGTCGATGTGAAGCTACAGACAAGAGCTGGAGACGCTTTTATACAGTCCATAACATAGCTAGAGACTCGATATTTGACTTAGTTTCCGTTGATTTGCTCTGAGCTCCGTCATCTAGGCATAGTATGCTGGCTTAGACACATTAGTATCAGCATACGTAACTGAGCATTCTCTGTCTAAGCTCATCGCGCAGTGCAACTACGGACGTATGGAAGCCATTGAATATAAATATCTGCGCCAAGATACTTCAACTTCACTGCAGCTACGCTTGTAGAGAATGAAAATGATGTTCTGCCACCTAAATGCAGATAATGAGAGAATGAGCCGGACCATAGGAAGATAGACACTTACCGCTCCCCTCCCGATCAAGCTAGATCGACCCGTTAGTTGCCATTTCTATTGGTTCGTTTGCTGCGCCTCTTCATGCACATTCGCACTGGCCTGCCAAATTGGGACAAGTGCAAGGCTTTTGGGCTGAAGCATTTCGGGACCTTCCGTATTCGACCCGTCCCACTCCAACATCAACACTACTTAGTGGGTAGGAAGTCAATCGAGTGATGGAGAGTATGCCTTGATCAAAAAGGCACTGTCATGTTTCTAAACATACTTCTAATTTATGGTGCCTGATGCTCTTACTCCGATAGACGGCTGAGATGGAGTAAGACAAAGACAAGTGGGTCCATACCAAGTTCCTGGAGGGCAATGTCATTGCTTCCCCGAGGCAGCGACTCTCAGCCCTTCTCCACCTCGTGTGGAGGCGCCACATCTCACGGAAGTGCGAGGACTGAGCATCGTGGAAATACAGAGAGTTAGGCTGTCGATTTATCGTACGTACAAACAGATGATCCAGACTCCTGTACGAGTGAAGGAGTACTGCATTACTAAATCAGTGTGTCTCAAAGCTATCTCTGATCTCAATTGCAATCCGTATAGTGGACTGTTGTAAACTATTTCATTGAGCATCAGGCAACCAATTTCAAGGTCAAGCCACAGCGCCAGACAAAAGCCTCGTTTGAGCAAAGTCACTCGGTGAACGTGCCAGATCCGGACACCTCGGATGATTTCATCACAAGCAGGCAATAATGCGACTTAAAGTGGTGAGCTAGTCTGCGAAACTGCAAGATTGATATTCATTTAGGGAATGAATTCATTTTCGCCTCGCATGTATCAGCGAACGACCGCAAGAGAGGAGACCAACGTGTTCTAAATTGTCTATAAAACCTTGCACCGTCCTCAACAGTTATGAAGACCATGATCATAGCACTCACATCAACGAGCAACAAGTCCACTACCTTGGGCTACATTGATAGCACCATTTTTAGACCTCAAGAAAGTGTTTTGGCAATGGTTAGGAACATTGAAGCGTTGAGGCCAGATCCTCGCAACTCCGAAAACACAAACCTACATATATGGCCGAGAAGATACCCACTGAACGAACTCAATATGCGCCAGCAAGGATATCATACACGGCCACCAACCTTGCCTCCCCTTCCCTACCACTACGATTGCTTCATCTGGTCTTTGCCTGATCACGGATATCTTCCTCGGCATTCTTCACACGAAATGGACTCTCGTCCTTGAGATCACGATGATTGGATACTCTGATCGTCCCGTGACCTACAACACTCCGTGGGCCGGTGGTGGGTTCACTGTCCACATCAACTCCGTCCATCTGCATCACCCCTTTAATAGGAAATTTGCTCTAGCAAACGAAATTGTTGTCATGATTGATGCCTCACGCTTGGCAGCAGCCCCCTGTACGGGAACCTATTAATTTCCAGGGACAAGTCGACCAAGTCCATCGCTTCAGTAAACCCTCACATTTGGGTTTTCTAGGCTTTTGGAAGGCCTGCTCAGCCCCGCTTTCGTGGTTGTTCTTGCAGCAACCGATAGAGTGTGCTACCGTGCCAGGGAACTAAGGTTGGGGACAACCTGCATGCTATGTATAGAGGCATGCGAAAGATTTATATAGATTGTGGAGCCGTCTTAGACATGCCATCAGTTATTGCTTGACAAATAAATGAGACAGGAAAACAGTCAAGGGGGGATATCGTGGAGAGGAAACTTAGAGACCAGGAACAGCCGGCTCATTTATTTTCTCCAGGGGTGCTATGAGGCGAGAGGGTAAACTAAATCAAACTTGAGAGCAATTTGATACATGTTTTACAACCCGTTCGAACCAGTTTTCACTTTCGATAGATTGAACCTCGCTCTATACTTCTATCTGACTTTTTAGGGGATTGCGAAGACTGTTAGCACTAGTTCACTTTGACCATCAGCAAGAACTGATCGAGACCGCGGTCTAAGACTAGGTCTAGAGGACAAATGGGTCCATTCAGTTCGGCTGCTCGTCACAATTAAATTCAAAATAGTGACAGAACACCTTTCTTCGCGTCCTTTTAACTACCAGGAACCAAGCCCTTGACCTAGCTTGACTGAGGCCCACAAAAAGCTCACAAACAGAAGTACATGGTTGAGCTGAGTAATGTAAAATTTTCGATATGATAGCAAGGGAAAGGATAGGGTTTCATTTTCTCTTTTCTCGCGGCAGGGCCTCCAGCTGACGACGAGGACTGTCTCCGGGCCCTGCATGATGGACTATCTTGACTTAAGCAGTATGCGCCATGCTCTAGTCTTGAATCATGCTTAATGTCCTCTTGGGCCGCAAGACTAATCATCTGCATTTGATAGTTTTGTTATAAGACTATTGTGAGCGCTAATTGGTTAGAAATTAGCTCCTCAGTTGCAGAGTTAAAATGATTAATGTGTGGAAAGTGGGGCAGTAGTCAATATTCGAGAAGAAGGTAGGGATGAGATGTAGCATCCATGGCTTCACCGCTGGCAGTTGCATCTGCCTGCGCTCTAGCCTGCTAACTCAGCCTTAAAGCGGTGTTATGCTTACATACTGAGTAGTAGCACTTATGCTGTGCCTGGGCACCAGCAACTCGTGTTTTGCGGTTCCCTCACGCAGATCACCGTGAATCGGTGCGAGACGATACCGAATTATGTAAGCTCACTTGGGTTCTGACAAGAGAAGCATATAGTGGCTTCTCATTACCGAGTTTGTTTGAGCGAAACAACGGCCGTAAAGGAACTGTGCTGGACCGAAGCCTCGTTTTTAAGAGGTTGCCTGCGACATGCCAAGTTTCTACCGGGCAGTGCTCCCTCATCATAAAGGCCGTATCTCTGGTTTTGGGTCGGCGAAGCTCTCACCTTCTGTTCGACCCATCATTCTAGCTGAGTTCGTAGACTACGAAATTACTGAATAATCACAAAGAGTTTTTCGCTTAGATCCAAAGCCACGCCGACTAGGCATCCCGCCCTACTGCGATCTGTAAGGCAAATTGCGCCCTTGGCAGCAGGGAGTGGTTCGATTTTCGGAGAGACAAAGCCGGGCTTGTACGAGTTCGAGGTAGCACGCCTAACCAAAGGACAGCCCTATGTATGAGCCGCAAAAATGATGACGAACGATCGCGGTAGGCTTGAACACTTGGCGCTTCCAGGGGTTCAGCCCTACCCAAATAGATTGCCAGTAGGCATGGTTTCAGAGCCAAAACCTCCCCACTCCTTGCGGACTATGACTACTGAACGGCGGCCAAGGTAAAGTTTATCTTCAAACAGTGGCCACCAAGTCATCACATAAGGTACAAGCATCACAGACGTCCTCAGTCCCCATCACTGCTTGTTTGGCAAAGCAACTGTAAATTCCATTCGCCATTATGGTTGGAGGTGCGAGGTCCAAAGGGTGCTTGACATGTAGACGCAGGAAGATCAGGGTATGCTTTTCTCTCGTACTCATTGTTGAAGCACTCAGCTGATGCTTTTTCTTTTTGCTTGCAGTGCGACCTGCAGCAACCAACGTGTCTACAGTGTCATAGATCGAAACGACGCTGTGGGGGTTATGACCGTTATCCTGTGTTTGTAAGGCAATCTTCTCTTACTCTCTGCGAATATTAGACTAACAGAGATAGGTTGTGTATACTAAGCATGGGATGGAGAAGCGTGAGGCGATGAAGGATCCGATGCACACTGAGTTTCAAGACTCTTGGAAGCTCGAAATTCGACCAGGTTGCGAAAACACGTCATTGATCTCTACGCCTGAATCTATGTTTGAAGACTCGACAGTGAAAAGCTTCCAAAGCATGCCCACTGAGAGATCGCGGTTCGTTAGTTGGGCATACGAAAACTATATCAAAACTCTCAGTGCAAGGAACCAGTTCAATCATATGCCAGTTGCCAGGTTCCTACGCAGCACTCTTACGCTTGCTGCAGAAGATACGGCCCTAGATACTGCAATGCTAGCGATATCATGCAGAATGTCTGCTGTATACCACACGGATCAAACTCTCTTGAACAAGAGCAGACAGCTATATACGTGCGCGTTAGGATTACTGCAACGAAATCTTGCATCACCAAAACTTGCGCTCACGGACGAGACATTTGCGGCTACATGTCTTTTGGCGCTGTACGAGGTGAGCAGCTATGAACCCACAGGAGACTCAATCACTATGCACTGACACTCCTAGCTTACGAGCCTGGATAGAAATGACCCTGAAGCTTGGAAAAGCCACGTGGCTGGTATCTCGGCAGTCCTGCAGGCAAGAGGTGCCAAAAGACACAATGGGGCATTTTCTCGCGACGCACTTGAACATTGTCGATACAATCTGGTGAGTCCCTTTCTGCTGCCTGAAGATCAATGCAGCTAACTCCTCCCAAGATGATGCAATGTATAACCTCTCGCAATGCCTTTGGTTTTGCCAGTGGGCAATGGCTCGATGATCCATGGAACGGTGCCAAAAAGCAAGTCGAGCAGCAAGTAATGGATGAAGGGTTTAGACTCGCTCAGATCCTTCAAATAATTGACGATGACAGCTTTTGGTGGGTAGAAATTGAGAGCATTCAAGAACTGCTGAGGATGTGTGAAATTGGTTCATCCAGACTTTACAAAATCAAAGCAAAGCACCTGCCAGGCCCAACGTCCCATGAACTCCGCAAACCTCAACCGCCAGCCTCAGACAAGGATCTATCTCGAGGTGTCGAAACAGACTCACAAACTTCAAACAGACTTGTCCTTAGACAGACAGCGTCTGCCATTCAGTTAGGTCTTTGCGAAGCGACTCGTTGTATCATGCAAAAGGTCCTGGAATCCAGCTATTATGGCATCACTCATTGTGGTAGCAGTCGTTGGAAGATCACCGACCCAGAATCCTGCATAGAGACCGAAGTCGTCATTCTAGAAGACGGAATGCAACTCGCTAAAGAGGTCGTCAGCAATACCAACATGATATTTAATGAATTCAGTGACCCAGAACTCCCGCCTGAAGCTATCCGACTGCTTTTTCCGCTCAAAATGTCGTCTCGAATGCTCAAGTACTGCACATCCTGCCCACAGTATGAGCAGTGTAATACATTTATAAACTATCTTTCGGGAACAAAAGGCAGCAACTACGCTAAAGCACGCCCGAAGGAATTCTTTGTGTATGGAGGAAGCCGGCAGAAGAACATTTCGGCAACAGAGGCATTGTAGGTAGAAATCTCCATTCATTAAGTGCTTTGCTTAATTCAAAGATTCAAGATACCACAACGCTTACCTAATCAGATAGGAGTTCTACCAATGGGTGCCAATACGTGCCCACGAGTAAGTTAATACTGAAGGATTTCTACACGGGTGCTTGTCTTAACCGCGTGGCACGTGAAATAAAGGCTTGATCCCAAGGGGTTTCCATCCCAACATACCGTGCCGTGGCTTAAACCTCACGACGCAGCTAAAGCAAAGTAAACAGAAGATGATGCTTCGGCAAGCCTAGAGTCCATCTGTGGTAGAATATTTTCACCTGGTAAACCCGAATTGTCGCATAGTAGGCTGCCTAATCATGGGGTCGAGATCCGGGGCTGACTCATTATCGAGGCTCCGATTAGCTCGGGATATCCTCTGGCTGTAGAAGTGAGGAAGCTTTAAGCGCCAAAATCAGAGGGTTGAAAGAAGCTTCGCTAACCTAAGGGCCCCCTGCTATTCTTTGGTTAGTAATGATCACCTTGTTTCCTGAGGCTTACTCCGACCTAGGTCGGCCGAAATCAGAAGTGCGAGCACGGCATTCCCTTGAATGCCGATGTAGGGCTTGTACCTTCCAAGGCTGGTACATTCGCGATCCCTCGCTTTCTCAAAGTCTTCTTCAAATTCCGAGCTTATAGTTGCGTCTGAGGTGTTCATCAAACGCTGCCGTTGGAACGTATCATAAAATCGCCCTATCGGTATTTGTTCCGTCTCTACGATGGCTTCCAAGCCTATTCTCCTGGTCCTAGGTGCAGGACCCAATATCGGAATCCACGTCTCGAAATTTTTCGCAGGCCGGGGCTACAAAGTTGCTTTGGCGTCAAGAAGCAAACCGAGTTTTGATGGTGGTCAGGAGCTCCATATACCAGTTGACTTGAGTAATCCAGAGAACGTTCCTGGTGTGTTTGAAGCAGTCAGGGCAAAGTTTGGGGAATCCCCAAGCGTCGTTGTGTACAATTGTGAGGGACTCAAAGTTTTTAATATGCTCTTGCACAACCAAGATAAACATTAGTTCACTAACATCAAGCAGGTGCTTCACACGTCGACGACAACATGCATGATCCTTTATCAAGCTTTTCGTTGAGCGAGTATGTGAAGCATCAGAATATCAACACTAATTCAGTGCTGGTCGTGCTCCAGGAGGCGGTCTCAGGATTCCGCAGTTTGTCCGACCCAGATGCGGCAAAGACATTTATCTACACTGGAAACATCTTGAACGTGATTACGATCCCTGGACGATTGACTTTTGGACTGGGAAAGAGTGGAACTGCGTACGCTATCAGAACACTAGTTGAAGGAAATGTTTACTCTGAGGAGGGAATTTGGTAAGTATCACTGTCGCACTTGCTTTACCTCAATCACGTTAAATCCTTTAATACATGACGCTGACTAGTGCCTGCTAGCTTCTATTACACCGATGAACGTACCGTAGATGGTCTACCGGTCTACAGTGAAATCGATGGTGAGACCGCAGCAGAAGAATATTTTAGGCTCGCCGAAATGAGAGAGCAAGGGCCATGGCTTTTTAATTATGTTAAAGGATTAGGCTTCAGAAGTTTTGAAGGAATGGAGGATGTTATTCGAAGCACAGTGATTTCAGGCCGCAATCTAGCAGCTAATAGCAGTGCCTAGAAGTAGCTTTTTGGTATGAGAGAAGAGGGAGAGAGAGAAAAAGAAAGGACAACAGCTCAGCTATGAATTAATATCCAATCAATTCAATGATTCTACTCAATCTTAATTCCCGCAAGAGATAGTGCCAGCCCCCCAGCGTGTAAGAATGGTTCGATGCCTCTTAAGGTGTCTTGCACTAACTATGACGAGAAGTTCATAGCCTTAGAAGAAGAGGTCGACGAGACTGATATTGTGCTGGATATCAAGATAATGTCGCGCGTGCGAAATGGCAGCGTAGTAGTGTCAAGAACCCTACATCCCCCTGAGGCCACCCTTCCAGATGCCAACGATACCATCACCTTCCCACAAATACTCCAGACTCTCGGTCAGCTCACCCTTAACAAGTACCAAGTCAGCACGTTTGCCCTCCCCAATAACTCCACGGTCCTCGAAACCAAGGCGCCTTGCAGGCACAGATGTGGCAGACTTCAGCGCATCGGTGACACTGAAACCACACTTTTCAACGTACAGAAGCATTTCCATCCATAAAGTGGGACCAATTCCTGTTCCCTGAAGACCTGCAGCCGAATCAGTTCCGGCAAGGACGTCAATACCTTCAGCTTTCAGCTTTTTGATGGTTTCGAAAGCATAGTCCAGTCTCGCCGTTGGAGCTTTCATTCCCACGCTCTTCCTCATCATGTCTACCGTAAAATCGTCAACAAGAGCTTTAGCCTTGGCGATGTCCGCGAACCGGTCTCTCCAGTTCTGTAGTTCCTGCGTAACGCTAGCTGCTATGGCCAGAGTGGGGATAATGAATGAGCCAGTGCGCTTATAAAGGTGGACGATCTTTTCTGGGGGAGGCTGGTCAATGAAAGTATGGCCCAGTCCATCAACCCTAGCTTGGAGAAGTATCTCCGTCATGTCAACACTAAGTGCATGGCCAATGGTACGTAAACCAGCATTGTGAGCTGCCTGGACAACGGCTGTTTGTAATTCAAGAGTCGCAACTGGAATCGAGTTGGTTGGTAAGGCTAAAGCGCAGTGGTTCTCTTGCATGAGTTTGATATAGTCTGCTCCGGCTGCTTTATGTTCCTCAATAAACTCGCTTACTTTCTCCACAGTAAGACTTGGCCATGAACTAACAGCCTTTTGAGCCTAGAGATGATCAAGAGGGTAAGTTATCTTATTTTGGGGTCGTGGTATCTTATAGATGTAGGCAAAATGACCGTACCTCTGCAGATGGATCGTGGCCTAGAACAATGGACTTTGGCCAGCCACCATCGATGGTAGCGGCGTAAAGTGCGCTCTTTAGATCAGATAAGGTGATCTTGAAATCCAGTTTCCGAGCGCGATAGATATCGTCAGCGATTTCAGCACCCAACTTTTCGACGATGGCGGGATCACAATGCATGTCACACACAGTCGTGACACCGCACCTTAGAGGAGATCTCAGGGGATGAGGCATGGGTGACCCAGGACTGAGATGCATTTGATGTGCATGCATATGCGACTCGATGAGTCCTGGGATGAGGGTGTGGCCAGTACCATCGATAATCACAGCTTCTGTAGCGCCCTTGACATCGGGTCCACTGTCGCCCGTTGCTACTTTCGTTATGATCCCAGTGCTGCCATCGAATGCCACGGTCGAACCGCGATGCGTCGAGTGTCCATCAAAGAGAGTAACTGAGTGGATAAGTGTTGGTTTCATGTCGAAAATGTGGGCAGACAAGAAGTTGCGAACGAGATTACCTATTGGGAGACAATCTTGAATACTAGAGATGGAGAGAGTCAACTTGAATAAGAATAGTCTTGATGTACGTCTGCTTTAGTTTGTACCCAAGACCTAGGCTATGAGAGCTGTCATTTTATAGAACGTCCACTAAGTGATACAGGATTATGCTTTCATTCTCGTACTAGATAATCCTTCTCAGTGCTGTGCTACGGCGCTTTTGCGAATAACATGATATGGAGCATGGAGACGGCATTCATGAATACACCGCTGATCAATTAGTGGCCTCGAGTGACGGGGTATTGAATCACTATCGGTTCCATGAAGAAAGTCTCCGGCATTCTTACAAGAAGGCATTCCTAGTGCGATGTATTCCCAACTCGGTCTTCGGCCCTATCAATGACCATGATTGATAATTAAGGCCGTTTTGCCTATCAATCTGAGGAAGGAATATCTAGTCGTAGTTCGTTGTCCACCCGCGGGGCCTTGCATCCTTCTAGCTTAATTCGTGCACCTCCACTGCAAGGCTGAACCACGGCTTATCACATGATTTCCCGTAGATCCACCAAAGGAGACATACATCCATAAGAACCTGGCCTCTCAGTTTCCAGTCGCACACTACCATGTTTTTGGTAGCTCCTCAACTATTATTTGGCCACTGATACCTTTGGCTTACCCTACTAACATCGGCAACGAAGCTTTCACCGTCACCGTGCCCATACTAGCTGTCCACGGTCACGGTGGAGAGACCGCGACCGAGATCCAGCCAGGCTGATAACTTAAAATCTGAAAAATGAGCGTTCAGTTGGCAATCTCTAGTACGCACAGGCAGACATCTCGAGCAAACGCTCCGATCCGTTGGAAGAAAGACCCCGATTTCCGCTGAGACCCCCTAGAGAGGTCAAGATGCCTTCTTTGTTTAGCCCGATAACGATTGGAAAATGCCAATTGAGGCATCGTGTCATAATGGCTCCCATGTCACGATTTCGTGCGGACGAGTTTGGAGTTCCCCTACCCATGGCGACTGAGTATTATTCCCAACGAGCCGCCCAAGAAGGGACCCTACTCATCGCGGAGGCGACTTACATATCCCAAGCTGCCTCAGGTCGCTCTGTCAATGCGCCTGGAATCTTTACGAGGGCACAGATAGCTGGATGGAAAAATATCACAGAAGCTGTGCATCGCAAGAACTCGTTCATTTTCCTGCAACTGTGGGCAGTCGGCCGCGCAGGGCGCCAAGAAGCTGCGGATGCAATTGGGATCGATCTTATTAGCAGCAGTGAAATCCCGATAAATGATGGGGATGCAATACCACGTGCAATGACGGAAGTCGAAATCGAGGCCTTCATCGAAGCTTATGGACTAGCAGCTCGAAATGCCATAGAAGCTGGGTTTGACGGTGTCGAGGTACACGCGGCTAATGGGTACCTGATCGACCAATTCCTTCAGGACACTTGCAATCAACGCACAGACAAATGGGGTGGCAGTATTATTAACCGAGCTCGTTTCTGCCTCCGAATTGTGGAAGAAGTCGTTGAACAAGTCGGCTCTGATAGGACAGGACTCCGCCTTTCTCCATTCAGTCCTTATCAAGGAATGGGCATGGAAAACACGATTCCTCAGTTCACTCATCTAATACGGAGCCTGCAGCCGTACAGCCTAGCATATCTTCACTTGGCGAGCCCAGTAATCCATGGCTTATCTGCAAATCTTCTGGATTTTGCCATTCAGGAGTGGGACAAAGACTCGCCTTTGATCTTGAATGGTGGATACGGGCAAAAAGAGGCTAAAGACGCTCTAGAGGTGATTCACAGCAATCGCAAAGTGGCTATCAGCTTTGGAAGGCACTTTTCGTCGAATCCTGACCTTCCTTTCCGGCTGCAACATGAATTGGACTTGACTCCACCTTGTCCTCCATCGTTCTATGCGGCTAAAAAAGCGCACGGGTATGTCAATTACCCGTTCCATGAAAAGTTTTCGACGACTACAACAGCCGACACCCTGATTGAAACTGTTTGAGGGCTCGAGCTATTGGAAGCAATATGTGGAAACCAAATCGGTTCAAGTGCCAGGTTTTCCAAGGGCTGTCAGTCTTGCATGCCTTGCCTGTGTCTCGTTGCTACTGCCGATGGCAAAAGCCTCGAAAAGGATGGAACTAATGAACCTTCAAGTCTCTTTTATATTCCTGAAGTCTAGTACTTAGTTATCTGACCAATGAGCTACCTCCTACACGTCCTTTGCCTATTACACTGCAGTAGGGCAAATGAAGTCTGAGGTGGCGCGCCATTTTCCATCATCGTGACATCGTCTCTCATCAGTGTTGAAATCAAGTTTTATAGTGTGCAACATTGGATGTTGTTGCCCCCAGGACAGAGTCCAGCATGCGTCGATCCCTTGCAAGATGATGTAGGCTGACAAATACCCTCCTGCGCACCGACAAGACAAGTGCTGTAAGTACAACATTGAATATTTGCAGCCCCTGGGCATAGACCAGGGGTTGAACTCCCGCCTTTAGAGGAGCAAGATCCGGCACCAATGCACTCTCCAGATACACCGCTGGTCGGCAGGACGCAAACGCTGCTGGTCGCTGCTGGTTCTGCTTTTGGGATGCAACACTGGATGTTGGTTGGTCCCGCGCAAAATCCAGGAACAGACTGAGCCCTCGCATCGGAGCACGCAGTCGTTGACATGCATGTTCCCAATACCCCCTCATCGGTCTTGCAGCTGTCGCCACTTCCATCAGGTTGATAGCAGCATTGAATATCGGTCGCTCCTGGACAATAGCCTGCCTCGGAGACGGCCCCTTTTCTAGAGCAGGCGCTAGTGGAGATACACGTCCCATAAAGTCCATTTTGTGCTGTGCATTCGGTTACAGGCGCCGTAGTTGCTGTAGACGTCTTAGAAGACGATTTCGTTCCCGAAGGCTCTGGGCCAATGCTAGACGCTAAAGGGCCGGCACTATCAGCGTCAGGATTTGTTCCAAAACAGATCCCGCCGAGTGGGAAGGAAGTGGTGGCAATAGTAATCTCAACAGGAGTCTTCTCTCCGTCCGTGGTACCTGCCTCAAATTTCAACTCAGCCCCGACAGAGGGTTCGATTTCGACACCAAGTGTTTTTGCGGGATCATCACAAACTCCTCCCTCAGAATGGGCTGTGGCTTCCAGTTTGAGGTCTATAAACGGCAATTTCAGTTCAAGCCCAGCCTCGACACCTTGGCCCAAAGCTTCGGCCTTCAATCTTATTGCTGGCATGAAGAACATTTGCAGAGTTGCAGAAACTTGTGCTTCGATCGTCGGTGGTAAGAAGTTGATGTCAGGCAACCAGCCAGAGAACTCGTTGTCCAAAGGGTCGAAAAGGTTCGCTCGAAGTATTGCAGTGTCTGGGATCGTAGACGTCACGCCTCCACTCACTGTGATGGAGCCTTCGATGCCCGTAACTTCCACACCTGCATCGATATCTAAGAATGGTCCGACATTGAGAATATCCGGAGGGATCGTGATGCCGTTCAATGGGAAGGATAAGACAGTCTCCTTGAACACCTCTTTCTTCGATTTGAAGTTGCTGCCGAGTTTGAGCTTCAGGTCAGCCACAGCCGATACACCTTGTGGGCTTATCCTGAGTTCCACGCCATCAGGTAACCCGATAAGATTTTGTGTCACTCGGAGTTCGAAGTCAATCTGGCCAGTTGTTCTGCAGGCCTCACACTCAAGCTCACCAACTATTGGACCTTGTTCAATTTTCGCCACGAATGGAAGCTCATTCGCGAGAGGAAAGGATACTCCTTTAGTGATATCACGCTTGCCTGGGCTCTCGCCTCGTGGCATTGCAATATTGCCAACCTGCAGCTGGTATGATCGTGCCAAATCTCTCCAAGATCCAGTTGTTGCATTCAAGTGGGCGATATTTTGGTCTTCATCATACAAGATGTCGGACACCAAGTATGGCGTCCTGTATGGGTTATCACCACAGTCTCCTGTGCCAACAACCATCAAGAAGGTATGATTGTCGGCACCGTTGACCCAATCCCAGACTCGTTGTGCATATACAAAGCTTTGATCGTCTTCGAACTGCAACTCCAACCCCGTCTGAGTAGTATTACAAGAAAGAAGCATTCCGTCAAATTTCTCCATGGAGAGGACATTTTTGTGGTCCTCTGGTGCGTAGATGGTGAAGTTTGCCAAGGGTGTACCATTCTCTACGATGAATTAGTAAGGAGATGTAGTCGAAATTCCGAATCACAAGATGTGTCTTACTATCAACCCCCCACAGAAAGGTCTCGGCGCTTCGCAGATCCAAAAATGAAGTATCTCGAGGCCTGAGGCCGTACTTTGGGCCAGCATGCCCACCAGGACGAATTTCGACCAGCTCCAGAGCGCAAGATATATGGGCAATAATAGTAATCACGAAGACAAAACTAAAAGAATGAAATAGTGAAGCCATGGAGAAATATGTGCACGGCACCGTGGCAAAGAATGACTGCGCTTCAAGCTAGAATGGTTTCTCTCGAAGATCTGAGCCTTGCTACGGCGCCCATGGTATTATTATGCTTCTGTCTCCCCTTTCAACAGCAACACGGCCCCGTCACAAGTCCTAGAAATAGCGAAACTGTGCCAAGCATGAAAAGAAGCTCAAAAATGTAGGCCATAACGACATTCGGCTGCTCAAAGCACATTAGAGAATCTAGGGCAGGCTTTCCAAAGGACCGGACAAGGCTGTCTCGAATGCGTTTCGGATTGACATTGGGCCATGCTCGGGGCCAGGGCAGGGAGAAACCTTATTGGCGGAGCGTTCCCTGCATTGCCTTGGTCAGGCTACTCGCCCCCCAATTTCTTGTGCAAGCCACCCAGTCTTGGCTGTTTGGATCTGCACCGTCGTTATGCGAGCGATGCATGTATTTATGATTGCGAAGGGTTAGTTGTCGATGAAACATTTGTTGGTGGACGTATTCGTATCTTGAGATGCGTTGACGGGTCCTGTACCATCATTAGGAGGTCATTTGCATGTATCCATTCTGAGATCACAACAATTTTCAAGCACTGACTAGTTTCTTTGATTCTTTTCATACTCCGTACGGAGTACGCGGATGAAATTTTGCCTGCTGCCTCTTTGCGCTAGCACTCAGCTCTAGCGTACCAAGTATAGCATATATCATCTTATCACTATCACTTTCGCTGAGTAATGGAAGGTATCTGTCTTATTATGACTGATAACTTAGGTGACAAAGCGGACTTGCAATATCACGCCACCGAATAGGCTTAAATGATATAACGTCTCACCCACGACTTGAGCTCTGGCTCAACACGCTGTATCTCCTTTTCCCTACTGATAACTTCAATCTCCGATAAATCAATTTCGTGCAAGGCTAATGGTTTCGACCGGAAGAAAACCCAAGCAACCGCCCACAGAACTATTCATGGTGTCAGTTGGCCGAGGAGAATATGCGCAATTGGAAATAGGAGTGTAAGTCGGGTATCAATTCATCGCGTTCAGTGGGGACGAGACAAGGAGATTACGTACAAAGGAAGATTGCAATATCAATATAGTAAGTGATGAAGGCTGAAGTGCTCCAATTGCCCGGGAAAAAGACGCTGTAACCTTCAGACGAGAGTCAATGTTATGACTATGGTTGGAAAGGTCAAGACAGCTTTCATTGCTCACCTGAGAACAGAATCACCAAAGTCACCGCGACGAGAGTTATCCATGCCATATATGGCTGGAACGGGCTTCGATACGGCAGACCTAACGATTTATATCAATGCCTTTCTTTCTTGCTGCGGTGGTGGAACGGCCTTGCTTGGATCAACTTACGGTTCCGGCTGATGCCCTGACGTTTCAAAGCATAGTAGAATCTCACGAACGAGACTTGGATAACAAGCCAGCCTATAAGACTGGAGATCGTCGTAATGTTTACAAACCATCCGAAAACCACAGAAGAGTTACTCCCGAGACTGAGGTACACCAAAGGCATGAAAATCAATGAAGCCGCAACCGCGACCCACGGTGTTCCAAATCGATTGACTTTCAGAAATACAGGCGGTGCTTGGCGTTCCTCTGCTAGCCCGTACAGCGTACGCGATGCCAGGAAGATGCAGGCTGAACCGCAACTCAAGGCAGATGTACAGACCACCGCATTGATTACTGAAGGGAGTCCCTTAATTCCCAGACGCTGGAAAGCAATCACGAAGGGGCTTTGCTGAGCAGTTCCGGTCCTAATGCCCAGGTTTGGATCGTTGTAAGGGACCAATAAGCCAACAACAAACATGCTCAGAATGTAAAAGATTGCGACTCTCCAGAACGTCATTTTGATGGCGTTCGGGATGATTCTCCTCGGATTGCGGGTCTCGGCTCCAGCCAGTGCGACGACTTGCACGTTGGCGTAGCTATAGGAAGCAGATAGAAGAGTGCTCCAGAATGCAAGGAATCGACCAGTATTCTTGTCGCCGTGGACAAGGTAGGTGTTGAATACGCCAGGATTTTTCCAGTATCGAAATCCGATCCTGTCATGTTCTGGGTTTCCTCCAAGGTCGACCACGATTCCAGCAATAATGAGACCGATAATCAAGAGGATTTTCAGAGCTGCGAAAAAAACTTCAGACTAGTAGCGCTTTATTAGCTTGGTTTCTCACGAGATCGTGTGGAATTGACTCACCTCGCCATACCAGCGAACAGCTGAGAAGTTAAGAATCGCAATGACCACCATGAATACGCTGTACCACACGGCTGGATTGGTGCTGGTGTCCCAGAAATTGATAATAGTAGCTGCTGCTGCAAGTTCAGCTGGGGCCGTGATAGCCATGGTGTACCAAAAGTTCCACCCAGTTGCAGTCCCAAGCGCGGGTTGGATGAAATGGCTGGCATGCCTTACAAAGCCTCCGGTCACAGGCATGAAAGCTGAAAGTTCTCCCGTGCAAAGAGCCACTCCGATAGTGATCAATCCCATGAAGATATACCCCAGGAGTGCACCGACAGGCCCGGCAAGGGCTATTGCCTGTCCGGATGCGAGGAAGAGGCCAGTTCCCTAGCTTTCGTGAGTTTGACGTGTTTGGTCAGCTAAAGTGTGGATGTGGCTTCACTTACTATCATCCCAGCAATTGCGATCATGTTGATGTGCCGGCGACGTAGATCTCTTTTGATTGTCCCATTCATTGGGTCAGCGTCGTCATGTCCTTCGGACATTGTCCCGTCTGCTATACCCATCTCCGCAGACTTGCTGTTCGAAAAAGAGAGCTTGGAGTCCATGTTCATTGATGTAGCGGATGCAATTCGTCAAACAAATTCCTATGAGATTGTCCACGAAGCCCAGGATCAAAATTCTGGAGAGACCTTTCGTTTATGTAAATCCCTCTCCAGCAAGATGCCTGTTCTCTTATCAGCATCCACAATCTCGTGAGACAAGGGTCTATAGCCGACTCGACACTTTTCCAATCGCAAGACACCTGTATCTAGAGTTCATGATGGCTCATGTCCAGAATCCATCTCGGGAAGAGTCAGATGTCGGTATATTGTAGGATTTAATGGAGTGGGAAATCGAATTCGCCGGTCCGAAAATTGACCGTTGAATTCGCTTCGTTAGTCACCTCGCATCAATTCCAAGAGCCCCTACTCCCTGGGCCGCCAATGGAGTTACTTTTACGATCGCTTAAGTGTGTAATATTTCTCCAACACGGCCGCATATATTGACCATCATCTCCAAATGCATTTGCGTGTTGGAGATATCGGATCGCAAGTCGTGATATCGAACTAATATCATCTCAATTAATATGGCGGGGGCATCCGACGAATTCGAACTCTATGATTTGCATGTTGAGGTCATCTGCCCCCTCGGCGAGCGGATATACTGTGGCGCGAAACCGGGGGACCATTTCTTTTTACGAGGCGAAATGCTTCATTTACCTGAAGGCCAAGGCTTCAGTATCTACAGTCTTGGTGAGACCACACTCCAGCTCGGTACATAGTTGTCGCGGCACGACTAATGCTACCTGAACAGCAGCGGTGCTTCCATTATTGGCCGCAAAGCAACGACCTACTCATAAAAATGACTGGATGACCACGGACAGCCTGATCGCATGCCCAGATCCGAGTTGCAAATCACAGTTGAAAATCACCCGCTTGCAGCCTCGCCAGTTCAGCCACGCCGAAACGACAGCAGTGCCTCTCAGTGCATAGGGTATAGTAAATATGTAAATGAGGAAAGAAAATGTCTTCTTGCTAGGCTGTGTATTTATCATGAAATTGAGTATTTGTCTTTGGAGGTCGCTTCGCCTTGCCAGCGCGATGATAGACTTCTGAGTTCTCCTTGGTTGGTTAAATGAGATTCTGCGTTGAGAGAAGCACAGAAGAGACCTCGATTTTTCGCGAGAGAAGCATCAAATGAACTGAATCAAGCTCTTTGTAGAGGTGGCTTCACCTGTATTCGCCTCCGCAGTCGCCCATGACCTCGAAGATCTCAGTTCTGCGACTCCGTGCCAGCACAGCGTTGAGCTGTTCTTGGTCTTCATCACCTAGTCGCCATCCATAACTAGCCAAGTTCTCCTCTCCGTGCTCGCTGACTCCCATTCTTGCGCCAACGATAACCGCGCCCACATAGTCGAAATCTAAGACCCATCGAGTAGCCACATTGGATACTGCCACGTTGTGCTTCGTCGCGATGGTTTTCAGACTTTGCAGTAACTCCTGAAATAGTGTCCATCCACCCCAGGCAAGTATCATTTCGAAATACTTTCGCTGACTGGGTGTAATGCTGTCAGAGAATAATTCGGGTTCGGGTTGGCCCAGCCATTTTTCTGCTAGAAATCCACCACACTTCACGAGGCATCAGTGACATCAGGCAGAAATATTCAGAGTAACTATGCATACCAACGTCCCGTATGTCAAAAGCTTGATTCCATGCTCTTGGCAGACTTTGCCCATTTTTATCGTTGGACGACTGTCAATCAAGGAGAACTGCGATGTCAATCAGTTGTGGCCGCTGTGATCGCTCGCTGATCCTACCTGGACTTGATTTGTAACAATTTTAACTCCAGAGGCTAGTACCTCCTTTAGTCGCAGTGTGTCGAAGTTACATAGACCAAGCAGCCTCACTCGATTATCGCTTTGTAGCAATCGCAATGCCTGGATGTACTGCTTGTCTTCGTACTGCCTCAGTCAGCGCATATACTCAGGTGAGAGTGGCATTTCCCCATACAAACTGCCAATGGAACTGTAGAAGGTCAACATGATCAGATGCAAGCCTTCTGCATCTCTCTGAAACATTATCGTGGACCACCTTTGGGGTAATTGTAATAGGCTGGAATACGCAATACTTGGTGGACCCAAATATGGTATCCGGATAGGAGTAAGTCGATCGAAACTTGCCCTGAAAGCTGGCAGTCAGCTTGGTGAACTAGCTGGGAGCCCTTCATTGCATGGTTTGAGCTTACAAAAAGGATCTCTGCATCGCCGTAGTGATCTGCCATATCATACGCAGTAAAACCTTGACCGACAAACCTCCAAAATTGAGAGAAAATCCTAGATTTGGGTGCAACACCCCAAGAGGGGCTTGAAAGTTGCCATAAGCCTGAGAAGAGCCTTGGTAACGTCTGGCTACCGATCTGAAATTTTTCAATCGTTGTACTAACACCCGCACTATCCCCGTTCGTCAATGCTGTTTGAGGGAATTCGTCACTTGCAATTTCAACTTCTTTGGCAAGAACGCCAGCAACCACGCCCAGGCTGCGCTCAAAAAGAAACTCTTGCTCCCTAAATCTCCACTCTTCACGGCATGTATTCAACGTTTGAAACAGTGCATCCAGTTTCTTATACTCGCCCTGTGTGAAGTCCCTTTGGCCCGAAGGCTGGTTGAGAGTCTTCTGGACTGCGGTCAAGGCTTGGACAATATCTCCATCCACAGACGTAATAAGAGTCTCTAGTTCCACTTGACCAGATGAGCCTTTAATGAGACGGACCGACTTAGCCTGATCAACGATGTGCCTTATTTGATCAAGGCTGTCGAAGCTCAAGCCACTACCAATCATAGCTCGAATTCGGTGCTGTGCAATTGCGAAACTGGGGGTAGCGCGCCAGCCCATTGTACCATCATGCTCAAAAAGCGCTCCGAGATATATCGAGGATGATTTTTGAAGATGATTTCTTGTATGCTCCTCGAATATCGACGTGAAGCTCGGGTCCGCTGTCAATATTGAACGTATCACAGAGCGCAAAGCATCTGGCTGTAAGTTTGCGATGATGGTGTCAGTCATCAAATTGACATGGGCCTTAGTGACGGTCCCGTTTCTGCTTGGCTGAATGGCCATCTTTTCGTAACACGCTGGGCAGGTCCTTGTTGTTGAAGAATCCCAAAGTATGCCGGCTGGAGGTCAAGAATATAGATACACTTCCCCCAAAGGAACCCCAGCTGAGAATATCGTTAGCAAAGAAACTCAGGGAGTAGAACTGAATAGAATGAGTAAAACTACCATTTTAGAAACCCGAAACCGTAAGCTTCGGAAAGAAGGAGCCTGGATGGAGACGGGGCTGACGAGATCTGAGATGTGATCAATTACTGTATTGTGCTGGTGGATCTGTTCGGCAACTCCACTGACTCGTATAACCTTTTTTTCCTCCGCGACCGTCTGTTCAACTCTGTCATGGTCGGTGAGGTCGATCAGGCGGGACCGGCGTTCAAGAACAGGAGAGTTTTGGGGCGGCCGGCGACTTTCGTATCAATGCTGATAAGAACAACACTACGACAACCATCATTCTCTTCAATAAGGTTGATAGTGCCATATCCGACACTCAGCTCACCAAGGTAAGGGACCAACTGGACGGTAGGAACAACCTACGAGTAATTGTGGCTAAATAAACGTTTGGATTGCCCAGAAATCGTCGAGCATGCCGTGGCCGATAATGTTACTACTAGCTTTTGGGATTGCATCTTCGGTCTGAAAGCCCCATCAGGAGCAGTATCTGTTGTTTACCATGACAGGGCCAAGGGTTACAGTTAGTTCGAGTGTGCACACGAGTTCGATCGACGCTCGGCTTTCTCAGTTAATGATGTTCGGTTGTGGCTTCCCTCAGGATGTATTAGATGTCGGTGTCGAGTATCGAGTGCTCGTACGGAGCACCTCTGCGGGGCCGTCGACCCAGGCATTCTGCATACATACTCGTACATAGATAGATAGATAGGGCAGGCTCGGGCCACATGGCGCGGCTTCCCCAATATTATTGGCATCCAGCAGGAGCCTGCTACTCCCAATTACATAAGCCTTGATCTTGCCCGACACCTCGAACCCCCGTAAGCTTACTCTTTGGAAATTCAACGACAGAGACTAATTAACATCTGGACTTCACCAATCGCAAGCTCGGCTGACCGCCGGAGGCACCCTGATTCCTCGTCCAGACTCTAGCGGGTATGGGACCGCATAAGTCTGTCACTGATCCGCAATACGCGAAGCTCGGCTGCAGGGGATGAGAGTTCACACCGACGTCTGATGAGACAGCAGCTCTGAAGCACGCCATTCCCTGTTGCTTGATATCCAAACCTCGGTGGGCAATTGCTTTGTCTTGAGAAATTCTGTCCGGATTCACGACCCAGCTTCTTGACGTGTACAAATCGCTATTTTGGGCATCCACAGGCTCGAGATGTCAGCGCCCAAGCAAGAGCTCATACAGGATAACCGCTGAACAATTCCAGAGCAGCTTCCTGAAAATGAACGATGCACGTAAAGTAGTCCGGACCTCTACTACAAGGTATGTGAGATCCCCGACAATCAAAGTCTTGTTGGCATTAACATCTATGTACTAGTGGCTCCAATGCTTGCCTGTCATGCAGGAAGGTCAAAATGAAATGCCGCATTGACCTGGGTGCAGACAAATGTCAAAGATGCACACGAAAGGCCTTTGAATGCGTTTTTCGCCAGCATCGGCGAGGGCGTCGGCCCGCGCTCAAGACGCAGTCTGATTCTACGACGTCTGCTCATGTGGACGAGCCAGGGTCGGACACGAGGATGGGTGTTCCGGCCTCAAACCCAACGGAATTCTGGAGCAGGTCCGAGACCTTCCAACCCCCTGATTTGCTCAATATGCAAGCTATGAAAGGACAGTTTTCGTTACAAAATGTACTTAGTACTGTCCAGAGAGTTGACGACCCCAGCCGACCGTCATCGGCTGCACGTTCTCGGGATCCAATCCAAGTGGGCCTGGTAAACTATCACATTGCCTTGTCTCTTTTCGATGAGTAAGTCCTTGCTTCATTAGAACAAGATGTACCTCGACTGGGAGATGTGCGATGTGAGGATAAGGCCCACGATGTCATCCGTTCGGGAGAAGCGCCTTCAATACCTTTTTGAAGTGTGGGCTCTTCTTGACCTAATCAACTCCGGTCGAGCATGGGGTACGGGTACCAACATGCTATTCTAAGCCGAAGCCGTTGAAATCTGTACCGGACGAGCACATCCCTGTCATAAGATCAACCATATTGCGTGTGGAGTTCATCGCTGACAGAAAGTTCTAGATTCATGAAAAATCTCAACCCTTACATCTGTCAACTTGATCCCACTTTGCATACCTTCGCCCATGTCCAAGAGAGATCAACTTTTCTCCTAAGCACAATTCTCACAGTTGCTGCGAAAATTTTGAACCCTTCGGTATATCCGGGATTGAAGGATCATGCAGAGACCTTGTTCACTGAGAGTTTTCGGAGAGGGGACAAATCGCCAGAGGTAGTACAAGCAATATTGATTTTGACATATTGGAAAGAGCTCGACGATACGCGGGCATGGCTATCAGTAGGATATGCTATTAGATTAAGTATGGACCTAGGGTGGCATAATCTGTCACCTGGAGACGATCAACAGCCCAACTCTCTGACAAGCTTGGACCAAAGAAAGCAGAGAAATGTGGAAAGAACCTGGCTTGTACTGTTCGTCTATGACCGCAGGTGGGATCTCATATGCTCTTGCATTCATTCAGTATTCGTCTGAATAGGAGCTTGTAGTTGAATGCTAACAACTTGTCTAGTATAAGCTTACAAACTGGGAAGCCTCGAATGATCGACCGAAGCAGTTTTCTCGAGTCAGTCGACACCTGGTACCGATCGCCGTTGGCATTGCCGAGCGATGTTCTCTTATGTGCCTTCGTTTCGCTCCGGCTCCTAACATCAGAGGTCTTCGAGCTTCTTGAAATCCAACGTGCCCCAAGTCCGCAAAGTCCAACTCATCAAATCGAATCTCTGTTGAAGATCATCGAAAGGCAAGTCAAGGCGTGGCAGGAGCACTGGCTGCGAATTGCCGAGAATGGTGTGTCCGCAATCCGTGATAAATCTCTTTGGGTTGTTCTGACCTCTAATCAGCTGGATGCGAAGCTTGTAACAAACTTCTGATACGGTTTTACGGCATTCACCTGAGGTTACTTCTCTCGTCATTTTCTCTCAAGCCTCCCCTGACATTGCCGTCAACAGCAGCCGCTATGAGAACAGCGGCCATTTGGACCAGTCACGCCAGTGCAATTGAGATGCTAAGTCTCGTTTCAAAGCCTGACATCTCGCCCCTGTTATATTTTGCTCAAGATTCGGTACATGTCATGATAGCGTATGCTGCAGTCTTTCTCGTCAAGGTGAGTCAAGGGCAACCAGCATTCCTCGACAGGAACCGCTCGGAAAATCATACTAATCGCCCACGACCCCATCCTAGTTACTACTGTGTGTTTCGAAAGAAATACGAGCGGAGCTTGAGAAACCCACAATCGACACGATCCAGGCGACAGCCCATTCCTTTGCTCAACAAGCAGCACCCACGAAATCTAGCTGCTGGCTGCAAGCCAAGTTCCTCAGCAACGTACTACGGGAATTTGAGGACGCAAGCCGAAGTCGACAACAGCATTGGCATCGGCATCAGCATCGACATCGACAGCCACCAAGTACAGTCGCCATTGTTGGTCGGAAGTCTGGCATCGACGTCGGCACAGGTATACACAGAGCCCTCAACCCCAGCGGGCCGGCACTGGGCATGGACACCTCCTCCCTCTCATCATTGTCCTCACTCGTGCCGGACAGCACAAGGCGAGCCAGCAGCAACAACCCGGCCCCAGGCCCAGTTTCGACGCAGCTATCGTACACCCAGCAATCGGCATACACCACCTCCTCGATGCTCGAATCAGGCGGTCACTATCACTCGCACCCACAGCCACAAGCACCAACACTAGCACAGCCACAAGACTTCGCCTTCTCCGACGACGCACTGTGGGAAGTCATGTTTGCGAACGCCGGCTTCAACATCACCGATGGCACTTTCCTGCCTGATGCATACGAGTATCAGGCTCGCGACACTGAACAAGCCATCTACCAGGACCGTGCATCGTAAAATGATAATGGGGCTCTTTCGCGGAGGTCTTTTCAGCAAGGTTCTCGGGGACGACACACAGGGGGCTTAGCACAGCACAGGAGAGCATAAGATATCTCATGTCATTTACTTTTGGGGGATGGACTAGCTAAGTAGCGTATTCCAATCAACTCCATTCCAGTTCCAGTTCGTTGAGTTCAGGTCTCGTCATCAACATGGCCATCATCATGATTTATTATCGTCCCCAAACCTCGCTGGAACCTAATTGTTCATGAGTAGCACGACAAATCCACACTACCTGTGCATACATGGGATGTAAGTATGACACCAGCAGCTTTTCCCATTGAATGTCGATGTCTTTCAATGATATGCCAATAGCACATAGAAGATAGCTTGAGTTCAAATTCAAAGCCTTGATACACCGTCCGCCATTTTCTCAACCAGTCCAAATTCTAGCCAAGGAACTCGCCACGACCTAGCTAGAGACGGTCCAATAATAGCACTAACATTAGAATGTCTGTAAAAAGAGCAAGAAAAGAAGAAAATAAAGACGAAGGCAGAAGCTTAGTCATTCTCATCTACTAGCGTGCCTGACCGCATATTTCCTGATGTTCTTTTGTTATGAAAATTGCTGTTTGAGTAAAATGGTGTCTTTTGTCTTCCGAGGGACCCTGCATTGCATGCATGCACCTATGCGTTCTTGGTCCGCAAGGGACAAGAGATATTGCATTCCCTATCAAGATGTTGGCTGGTTCTCATCACGAGGACATCTTGAAGATTCGGCCCGCTCTTCAAGATCGTCGTCTCTTTCTCGTAGTAGAATCGTCGTCGATACTGCTCAGTTTTCTTCCCTTTGGACGGACGGTGGTCGCAGGAGGGACATCAGTGCTATTTGGAGTAGTAACCTCGCTGCTCGGCACACTCTCGATACGGCCACCGCCTTCGAAATCGCTCGAAGCATCGTATTTAGTGTCTGCTGTGCCATCCAAAGGGTTGTAATCATAGTTCTTGCCAAATCCTTGTTGTTTGCTGGACTGGCTTAGGTTGCCAAACAGCTCATCATCGTCCTTGTAGTCGCCGAAATCGAGACCACTGGTCCCTGCTGTGTTGTGGTTAGTCGAAGTGTTGCCGAGGCCAGTGTTTCCGAAATCGTAGTTCCCGTTAGCATCGGTGGGGAAGTCAGTAAAATAGTCACTGTTATTGAGAAAGTCATCAATATCCAGTGGCGGAGCGGGGAGAGATTGGCCGTCACCAATACCAGGGATAGACCCAGTGGGACTCAATGGTTGCAGAAGGTTGGTGAGGTTCTGGACGCTTTTGTCCTGTTCTGCTTGAAGCTTGGCGAGATGGTCGAGATCCGCATTGGTACTGGCAAGGTTTCTATGGAAATTGGCGGGCCCTGGCGGCGGCGTAGAATTGATCAATGCATTATCCGAACCGGAAGGTTGGCGGGCAGAGTCATTCATCATGCGAAGGACTTCAGAGCGTTGAGAGCTATTCAGTGGGCCAGTTCCACCAGAAGCCTCGAGGCTATTGAGAACGCTGTTGAAGTCTTGCTGCGGAGTCGACGGCGAGGCGGAATTCCGTGCGTTTGCATTTTGAATCATCGACATCATGTCACGTTGAGGAATGTTCGCATTGCGATGCTGCACATTCGGCTGTACACCAGTGTTGGTACCGTTGACTCCTGGATCAAAGACTTCTTCCAGGTTGGGTGACAAATGGGGTTGCTGGGTGGTCTCAATGTGCTGGTTTGAGAGGCGTGCACGTTGAGGGTATGGGCTGTTGTTGGAAGTATCTCGAGGGGAGAGAGTGCTTGCTCTGCCTTGTTGTCCATCGGTGAGCAGAAGCTGTTGTTTCTTAAACGATTTGGCGAGACCTGCTTCTGGACTGACAAGGTTATCAAAAGTAAAGTCACCCACGTCGACAACATTTGCTTGACTCGTATCAACAGGCATGGCGTTACCAAACATGTTTGCGATTCCTTGCATTCCTTGCATAGCATCATGGCCTTGGAGGCTACGGTTGTAGACGGTAGCCAAGAAGGTAAGAATGGCATTGATGGAGTTCTCATGTCGATTGTGTTGGTCTTGAAATGTTGCCGCTTGGCCGTAGAGCTGTTCATGTTCCCGCTTCAATGCTTGCATCATTCGGGAAATCTGACCTTGTTGGTGACGTATGGCGGCCAATTCTCGCTGAACACTTTGGAATTGCTCCTGGGTCAAAGCGGTCTCTGCTTGGCCAAGGGTAAGCTGGCCAGGTCGACTACGAACACGAGCTTCTGGATTGTTGACAACGATATCGTCGACATAGTCGTCAGGATCATCTTCATTGGCGTCGTTCTCGGATTTGCCCTTTCTCTTGTTACCTGTCCCAGTGATGTTCTTGGGTTTCTGGATCAGCCACAACAAATCTGGGTGACCTCTTCGGAAGTAAGGATTGGTGTATTCACTAGGGCTCTTGTTTTTTCTCTCACTCGCCCTCATTGAATTATCTGACAGACCCACTTTCTTGTGGAAGCCGTACATGTTGAGTTGTCGGACGAAGGAAGCGTAGTTGTTATGTTTGAACAATTCAGGAATCAACTTTTTGGCAAATTCATCTTCGTCCAGGACAATGAATGAGTTACCATCATCTGACCAACGGATAAGGTCGGTGTTCTTGCCATCTTCGAGGAAGCTAGAGCGGATTAGCGCCTGTCGACCGTGTGAATTCACAAAACCTACCTGTTGAGTTTCTGGACAAAAGGTGGAATTTGTTTTCTCTTTGCTTGTGCCTCTTTCTTTGCAACTTGGGCCTTTGCCTCCAGGTCAGCTATGTCGTCTGACCATCCGGGATCTGGTTTGGGTGCTTGAGCGTTTCCAGCCTCGACCCATGATGGCGGATCTTCGTCGACTCGACCGCGGCTGCTGAGTTGGGCCATGGGCCGGCGCGTGAGCTGATTTGAGGGCTGGGGATTGGCTTGAGGATAGGTATTGGAGTTCATGGCAAAGTTATTCTCATTGTACTGAGGAAGGTTGTTCTGGCCGGCTTGACCCCACTGAAGGAACTGATCATTAGAGAGTTGAGGGCCCACTCCATCGGCAAAAGCAGGGGCAGTCGGATTGTGCATCTGCTGAGGATATGATACAGGAGAGGTCCCCGGAGCAGGGCGCTTTCTTGAAAGGCCTTGAGAAGCCATGGTGGTGCGCTGAGTCTTGTCGTCAATGCTTTGTGCTCACTCAAAGATGAACAGCAGCAAATGTCCGGGTGGGAAAAAGGCCGCAGTGAAGACGGTAACGTGTGAACTAATGGCTCGGTGATATACTAATGGACATAGTCCGTCGTTTTGCTGCCCGCGCAAGACGATGAACAATACAAGATGAGAAGGTGGGCTACAATCGCGGGCAGCCTCAAGAAATTCGCAATGGAACCACGCGGCGCCGACGGATAAGAGACAAGGTGATTTCAGAAGCACCGAGGACGACGACAGAGATGCTGAAGGAGACGGCAGCCGAGTGGCTATAGATCGAGGGCTGAAATGATGGGAGGAAGAGGTGATAGTAGAGGCAATGCGGGTGTTGGTAGTCCTTGCGGTGCAAATGCAGTTCCGTGCAGAGCAGGCTATGGCTAATTATGACATCGCCTGGCCCAAAACCATTGAAGGTTGCAGGCTCGCAGCTGCCAATATTGCAATACCAAGACTTGCTCCTTCCCACTAATCAAAATTCAGGAACCGGCTTACATAATGCATTCCATGCCACCAAAGCGCAGGAAGGAGCAAATCATCTTCCGGCAGGCACAACCCGCTGGCATAATACGGATAAGGCCGGCTCTTCATTATTGTATGGGTGAGGACTGTAGAGGAGTAGAGCGTTGGTTTGCTGTGCTTATTGTTATCCGCGTCTCTTTCTTCATATCATTTACAGATAAGAGAGGGAGTGATGGCATTATCGGCATCAGCAATGATAGTCCCCAGGACAATGTCGCGTTGGGAATAGCATTCGGACGAGCTCGACAGTCAAAGATTGGAGCGTCTAGACAGACAGTCTCCATTCATGTAGATAGAAGAGGCAATGAAACAACTGGTACCCAAAAATCGAAGCAGCCACTACATGGAATCTACCAGAAGTCCTCATGAACAAACGACGACTTTCATGTCTACATGGTCATTCACGAGGCACGATCGAGCACTACGGAGGTCTCTGCCTGCATGTGCATCAAGTTTCAACTCAACCAGAGTCAACCATCCACGAACTCCACAAGCTGCGTCTCTGTGTCGAATCAAGGAGATGATTCGATGATGAGGGTGTTGATTGGCAGGCCTTGTTGCAACAGCTAGCACCTGGATGAGTTTAGCATCCGAGAGGGTCTTAAGAAGGGTGCCGTTGTCAAGCATCTGTCAATTTCTTTGGTAATTCAACAGACACATCCATCACGTCTGCGACATGGACGATTGGTGTGGCTTGCAGCAAGCACCATTTGACGCACAAACTTCCCATCGCCACGAGCCACGGGGCCAGCCATGATGCCTTGTCCGGGCCCCAAGGCACGATTGGACAGTGCAGGGCATAAGACAAGGGCCGCTTCGCCTAGACAACATTGGGGCAGATCCATGCGGTTGGCTGACCGGTAGGCGGATGGTGGGGGAGGGAGTCTGCTCATCGCTCATCAGATCCATTTGGACCACCTCGAAAGAATTATTAGTGAGATCTAAAAAGAAAAAGAGAACACGGTCACGGCGTCGTTCGTTGCCACCACTATGCGCATTTTCAGCTGAGACACGCCCATTCTGCATGGCATGCATGCATTCGTAATTGTGAGCCTTCGTGGCAAGGATCCACCGTTCGTGGGCACTTCTACCAGAAGCCCAGAACTATCGGGACAGGCACGGGTACTACGTCTACAAGGTATACGTCAGGCCTCCGGAGTAGGTACCTATTGGAAAGGGAATGGATGTCCTGCAGAGTGAGGCGGAACATGGGCCCCAGGCTCCAGGGTCTGAGCCTCTCTATTTGAGGGGTTAGCGCACAGAGAGACGACAACGGTCCACCAGAGAAAGTACGCCAGAGGAGGGAAGCAGTACGGAGTGCTCGGTAGGAATGCAGACAGCGCGTTTGTTCCTGACAGCTGAGAGTTTATTGGCGACTTTAATAAGGGGAATAAGATAGGAGGTGGGAGGTGGGAGCAAGGCTCCGGCACGGTGGAACTGGGCAAAGAACAAGCATCAGAAGTCAGGGAAGTTCTATGGAGCTGATAGTGAAACCGAGATTTCCTGGACCAAAATGCACAGCGTCAGGTGTGGATGAGGTGGAAAGACAATCAGCAACTACAACAGGGGTCCGAAGTGTAAGATGGACAAGTTTGATTGCCTTCGGATGTGAAGGAGGGTGAATATACCGTGGGCGGTTGGTGAAGATGCAGGGTATCGAAGGACTAGTGGGACTCGGTAGGAGGAGCATTGGAATGAATTCTCCGGCAGCGTCAGGGTAGTTTGGTGAGGACAGTACGGAGTACTCGTTAGCAGTGACATGGTTGATTCATCATTGTTTATTTGGTTGGTTGGTAGGCGTATTGGTTGAAGACTCGTTCCAGGAGAGTCGATGACGAGGATTATGGAGAAGAGGAGACCGACGAGACTTGTAGGGGTCCATCCAGGCTTGTTGTACTCGCACTCGTAGTTGCTACGAGCACTCACTCATACCTACTGCTGGAGGTACGGAGTAGCACTGGAAGTCAACCAGCACGGAGCACGAGCACACCGTAATTCTTGCAATTCTTGCGTGCTCCCCCCTAACAGAATAGGGAGCTACGAGGTCCCAAGCCCGGGTAACCACCATACTTCCTCATAAGGTGCACTAACTCGGCAACCAGACAGGGATGCCCACAGAGGCCGCCCTCCCCTAGCAGCCCCCCCAACCCTCACACTGCGGGTAGCCTGTCGTTGAGCTGGTGGTCCCTGTGGCCCGGGTACCAGTTGGCCCCTCTTGGTCTGGACTAGTTAAGACTAGGACTAAAGGGCCACTAGGCCGGGAGCCGCCAGTGGCAGTCAAATCACCTAAGATCACCTAAGATCCCCTAAAGTCACCCTTTGGTCGCTCGCTCTTTTGCTGCTCCTCCGTTAGTCTCCTTCTAGATTCTCCCTAATTTCTTTGTTCCCCAAACACCATCGCATTTGGCGTCTCCGTTGTGTCGGCTTGTCTTCCAAGGTTGTCCTGCACTCAGTAGTACGGAGTAGTTCGCTCACAGTCACCCTCGCCCTCACGCTCGCACCTGCACCTTCTGCTGCTGCGCTTCACTTGACCGTCCTTCTCCATCCTCCATCCTCCATCCTCCGTTTCCCTCCAGGAGAAAAAAAAACAACCACACTCACGTCCATCTCTCTCATTCTTGACTTGAATCGCCCGCACACCTTTGACATCTTGGTTCACCTCCGATCGGCCCTCTGCCTTCGTTTGTCCTTAATATGCCTTTGACCCTCAGCTAGACGCTTCTTGTCCACCATTTTTTTTCTTCCGAAGGGGAAGGCACAATTTGGCAGCCACGGCACCCGGGTCCCCGAGTCACAGTCACGATCGACACAACCACCACAGCAGTCCATACTCTCGATTTGCACGTTCCATCCACTTACCAGTACCGCTCTCATCGGAGATCTGTCCTCCACGGCCTTGATTTCATCCACATATCTCCAGAGTCACGCTTTCACGACCCCAGATACCCCTGCTGTCTCGTCTTTTTGCGACCGCTACTCCTGATAATTCGACAGCTGACGGCTCGCCGCCCATCGAGACCGTATCATCCAAAGCCCTTCGGGATCGATAGGAGCCTTTCACAATCAGACACACACACCACTACTGTGATTACCACAATCGCCAAAGTCATTATTTGGTAGCTATCGACCATCACGCCAAGTTGATCCTCCAATCTCGACAACCGCGTTCCGATATGGCCACATTCTCAAATACCTCCGAGGCATTCTACGATGATGTCTCTGGAAACTCTCCAAGAGCCTTTCGGAATCCTCAGATGAATCGGCCCATTGGTCGTAATGATGGCTATGGAAGTATGCATAACCCCATGTACGGGGGCGAGGGTTCACTGCCCACCATGCGCTTTGATAACATGAGAGATGGTTTCAATGGACAAATGCAGAATCCTCCACCCGGAAATATCCACTTTCCTTATGACGCTGGCGCAGCGCAAACTTGGAGTTCTAGTGGTGGTTCGCTGCAGTCATTTGGAAATGGTCTCAATGGTATGCCTCAGAACCCAAACTTCGGTCCCTCGAGAAGTGTCAAACCGAGTCGCGGCCGAGCTGGCATCTCAAATGTAAGTACACCGTTGAAATGTTTCAAGATACACCACTGACCGCGCCAGCTCTGGTTCGATCAATCTTCCCAATTCCAACAGCAACAGCCCCAGCATCCTTCCTTGCTTTCCCAACGATCAGGTCCTCAAGGCCGCAACGAACATCAGGATGATGATGACGAGCTGATTCCCACCGCCATTGTGATCAAGAATATCCCATTTGCCGTCAAAAAGGAGCAGCTTGTTCAATTGATGGTCGATATGAATTTGCCACTGCCGTACGCCTTCAACTACCACTTCGACAATGGTGTCTTCCGAGGACTTGCCTTCGCAAATTTCACATCGCCACAGGAAACAGAACAAGTCATTCAGGCCCTCAACCACATGGATCTTAGTGGTCGCAAGTTGAGGGTCGAGTACAAGAAGATGCTTCCTCTGGCCGAACGCGAACGAATTGAACGCGAGAAGCGAGAGCGTCGTGGCCAACTGGAAGAGCAACATCGTCCCGTACCACAGTCTCAACTTCACAATCAAGTCTCAATGTCGTCCTTGTCGAGAAACACGCCCTCTCCATTGTCACATCGGAGCTCCAAACCCGGTAAGTGGCTCAACAACACCGATCCCCATCTTGAGCTAATCGATCAAGACATCGACATGAATGACGCGAAGACTCTGGAATTCTATACCAACATGACTTTGTTCAAACAAGACCCAAGTCGGGAAGTCTTGATTTTCCCCACAACCTTGGAGCCACATCACCGTCGCGTGGTCCACACCTTGGCCCATCATATGGGATTGATGCATACTTCGCGAGGCAGCGGTGAACAACGGCAAGTCCACATCCACCGCCCAGCTCCAGGCACCAACGTAAGTCCACCAACTATTCCCGGGGCCTTTGGATCGGGCGAGGGTCTTCGTCAAACGTTGGCCCGTTCTTCCACCGCCGACTTTAGCGAGGGACGACAATATGAATCGCCTGCTTTCAATACTCTGCGTGGGCAATCTTCGGTCGGACTCCTTGATGTCCTAGATACCAATGCATTTGGCAGAACGGCTGATAGCAATTTACGCAATGCCAAATCCTTTGCAGATCTTCGGTCCTGGAGCCCTTCGCCAGTGCCATCATCGGCGAGCTTCCCGGCCGCGCTGCAAACCAACGGCGCCCGTCTGCAAGCCTTGAATGACACTGCTGGTTCAAACACCCCTACATTGACCCCCACCGCCGGCCCGACCGCGCCAGGTGCCAATCGGGATGAACCATTTCTGATTTCTGGCTTCTCCAACCTATCTATGGGCAACAGCAACGCCAGTCAAACCAGCCCTCGACGCCAACGAAGCTTCTTTGGGAACGAAGCCGAATGGAACAACGGCCAGGCTTTTCAAGCGACCGCTCCTATTGGTAGCAAGAGAACCGTCAGCATGGGACCTGAGGCCAGCAATCCCAACAACAATCCAGTCCGTCAATCCCGTGGCCCTGGTGCCAACAATGCAATGGGATTTCGCCGCCAGAATGGCCGTGGCAGCGACGAATTGAGAGCGGCCACCGCCGCGATCGCCGAATGAAACAGATTCCCACCATATACCCCCTTTGATGACGCTCATGCAGAGCAATGACGAGTCAATGATCCACGAATGACACGACGAACCCTCTCGACTGAAAAAGTTAGACGCATAGGGCAGTCACATGACTGCATGATTGGACTACAGAAAAAGATTGTTGTAACGAATGACAGGGCTTACGGGTGCGGCATACAGCATGTTTGTTTTGCACTTTTCTCACGAATGACATCCCGCGAAGAAAGAAAGATTGATTCTGGATTGTACACTTTAATCTCCGCCGTCTGTGGGGAAGGGGTGGTGCATTACAAGGCGTTCGTACCCGAGTTCTCCCAGATGGAAAGAAGATTAGTCGAATGTGTTTGTTTTTTGCTGGTCTGCATTTTCTGTGAAGGAGCTAGTCTCCCATTTTGAATTATCTGAGAGAATGCTTTTCATGTATTAGGTACTCGTACACTCGTTCTAATCGGTTTGCAGTGACCCCGGATGGGACTGCGCTTAATATCCCAGGTTGGTCACAGGAGACGGAGAAACGGAGACCTCCAGCAGATATCGTACTAGGTAAATTCAATTGCGGTTTGTTTGAAATCCATGAACGGCCCTGTGCCACGGCGTTACTGGGTGGCATTCACCCAGTATTGCAGTGGTTGTCGGATTACATAATAAAGTGCCAAGTCTTTGCACCTATCGACGTCCTGCTGTTCTCAATTCCCCTTTAACTTGACGACCATCATGGGCATACGAAAGAAACCCACCATCGAGAACTGCAAGCTACCAGTTGCGTGGACTCTGTGTGCCTGTACATTGCTGCAGCCATGTGGCTGACGTTCTCTGTGGTCATAATGGACACTTCAGCCGCTGTGTCATTAAGAGACATCCGACGAGAGGGGCACTGACTCTCGTTGCGTGGAGCTCTGATAGCACAGTCTTTCAGGCTCTTCACCGTCCCAACGTAAGTTTTGACTGCCACTAACGAATCTTCTCGACGTCCAGGATGCCGCTACCAAACAAACACCTTCGGCAACAGGCGCCAGCGGGCCGTAACCAGTGTCGTGTGCTGCACTGCCCGTGCTTCATTGTTGTTCATGTCTCGACAACGCCAAGACCCGCCATGCACGCCAACCCCCAAAACAGCTTAGCGGCGGACTGATTGTTTTTCCTTCCAGCCATTCCGTCGAAACACAAGTTCACCCTGCGCTTCTTTTCCACCCACCTTGCAACTTGTGAACCACCCACATCAACACCCGACGCGTTGGTTCTTCAATCTTTCCATCCCAACTTACTCCCACCGTCGCCAACCCCGACCCGAATCTCCGCTACACTTACAGAACCACTTCTACTACAATGGCAGGAGGCAAAGGCAAGAGTATCGGTGGAAAAGCCACTGGCGCGAAGGACTCCTCAACTAAGACTCAGAAGTCGCACAGTGCGAAGGCTGGTTTGCAGGTGAGCTTGCCACCCGCATCAATCCGGCTGTTTGGGCCATATTTCTCTATCACTGCATCGCCATCACCGGAAGATCCATGCGCAGCTTGACGCGTTTTATGTCAATCAACATGATGAAGCGCAGCTTTTTGCGCGCATGCCACTTTCCAGCGAAACGATGCGCCCTCCCGACTCAACTCCTCAACAAAGTTTCGAGTCCTGATCAGCTGATGCTGTTTTTCTTTCTAGTTCCCCTGCGGTCGGGTCAAGCGATTCCTCAAGAACAATACTCAGAACAAGATGCGTGTCGGTGCAAAGGGTTAGTCCATTCAAGGCCATGCTATTAGGATGGAAAGACTGATCCCTTGCTTCTACAGCTGCCGTATACGTCACCGCTGTCCTCGAATATCTGACAGCTGAAGTCCTGGAACTCGCTGGCAACGCCGCCAAGGATCTCAAGGTCAAACGTATTACTCCCCGACATCTGCAGTTGGCCATTCGCGGTGATGAGGAACTGGACACCTTGATCAGAGCCACCATCGCATTCGGAGGTGTCCTGCCCCACATCAACAGAGCATTGTTGTTGAAGGTCGAGCAGAAGAAGAAGAACAAGGTGGACGCGTGAATTCCCTGAATCTAGGCAACATCAGCATCAGCAAGCAAGGTTTCGCTGACCAAAACCTCTGGGACTCGGCGTCAGTGGGCATCTTGTGGCGGATTGAGTTGTGGCGTTGAGGGCTCGGAGGGCATCGAGATGAGTGTACGATGAAGAATCATTGCTTGTTTCTCCTATGCTATAACAATCAGAGAACTATGGGATCACAGGAGGTTAATATTGCGATTACGCCTTTTCATCTGTGCCAAACCGGCTTCTTTCGGCATTTCTAGCTTGAGTCGGGCTATTATTCCAGCTCACGTTGGACTACCACGACTTCCACAATCCCTCCTTTCTCCATGTGCCGTTCCAAATTCGGTGTCCTCTTGTCAAGTTGAATTTCTGATCCCTGTCCTAGTGATTCTAGCCTGGGGACAATGCCTATTTCTACGCAACAATAGTCCTGGCTGTGCACTCTTCCCAGATCCAACGTCCTACTCAAACCAACCACGTCATTATCAAAATCGGGCCGCATTAGGCCACAGCCGCCCCTTTCAGTCGTGTCACTTTCAAGTTCTCCTTCGTGTTGCCTGCCTCCTGTCTCCTACCTCCTTCTCTCGCCTGCTTCCGGACTACCCACGTGAGTAATAGTCGCTCCTTCTCCACACGTGGTCGGCTGCTGTGTTCTGTCGGTCCTGCCATTGTTTGCCAACACGTGATACATCATCAGCCGAAATCAAATCCAATGACATCCTCGTTCTTACAAACCCAGCTGTTTACCATCGTGTCTTCCATCCATTCTTCCTCCTTCGTGAGGCGTTTGCATTTTCGGCGACGCTGAGACGGCATGTCACAGACCAGGAACCTTCATATGCTGGTGCCATCATGGCTAACTGCACAGTGCTCCCACACATGCCCTGATCTGGTTTCATTCTGTTCAACCTGGTCCTCCTATCGCTTTCGAACGCCTTCGGAATCTGTTGCTCAAAAGATGCCTTGAGCAAGCAAACAACAATCCACACAATTTTACTCACGCGGCACAAAGGACCTTGATACACTCAATTACCCAACCAGCTGACTTTTAGCAAAACATTTCTTGCCTCTGTCCATTAGTTTCGATAGGCAGCTCGAAATCTGAGCCACCCGACTTTTGCCTCACTTCTCTGCTCCCACTCCTGCGAGTCACCAAAGGATGGCCACATTTCTCAAGCCACCACACAGATGATCTCACAATTATGTGCTGGGATCCTTGATTTTTTTCTTGCCAGCATTCATCCAACATCGATGAATGGAGCACCTGTTCTAAACGGGGCCTGTACGATCTGGCGAAGCCTGCAAAGGGGCATTATATTGGACCACGAATACGCGGATGTGGGCGGGAGACTTGTTCGTATCTCATTCTGGCTCAATGGCGCCATATGTTCGAATATATGAACAAGGGGACACCCCGTTGTTCTTTCCCCATGACCCATCTCCGATCGACATACATCTCTCCAATCATGTACTTAGCCCTCAAATCTCCTTCTTCATTGACCTTCTGACGGCCACGCGTTTTCACAGTCATCACATTACTACATATCTCAGATCCAGTACAATTTATCTTTTACAATTTATCCTTTACAAGAGTCGATCACGACATTGAGCTGTCAAGCATCTCGCGAGCTTCGGCTGTACTCTACAGAAGACGAGACACAAAGAAGTGAGTTCGAAGGTGGTTCTTTCTTCCTCCACCCCATGTACAGCAACGTGGTACATACAAGTACCGAAACAATTGTCCGCCATAACAGATTGCTCGTTTGTGTTCACCATTCTATCATCTCCAGCAGTGTGCAGCAATTATGAAAGTACCCCAGCCAGCCGATATTGCAAACTAACAAAATGCTATCACAATGACAGGAAATCAATACACGTTTGCTTGAACGATGCCACCTCGACCGACCGTCCTGGACGAGGATGGCTTTCTCTACTTTTCCGATGGGGAAGAACGGGGACGAGGTAGATATTGCCCCAGCCCGCATTTGAGATCCACAAGCTCAACTGGAGGCGGATCAATAGACCGTGACTTCACCTGGTCGGGAGGCAGCAGGTAAGAGTCAGTAACCTTATTTCTTGGCCCGGTGTTGCGATATCTCGGGTCCGTTTTGCTGACTACAACACCGTCCTTGAAGAAGCCGCAGCTCTAGTTTTGATCGCATCACCCGAGATACGTTGCTGTCAGGCGCTCGAAGGAATGGTCTGCACATTGCTGAGCCCTCAACTGATGGAGACAAAAGAAACAGTAATCCTGAGCGTCAACTCATCCCAGGCTTTGACCGCATAAATCTTGACAGAGGACGGGGTCTCATCCGCTATGATGGCAGCTCACCACGTCCAAGCTCTAAGGAAATCAGTGACCAAGGGAAAGAACTTCAATATTGGAATAACAAGAAAAGAGATCTTGGGAACACCTATGACGTGAGGGAGCGAAGAAACTGGACCTTGCGATTCGGAGACCAATCTTTCACGTTTTCGGATTCCTCGAGGTCTCGGTCCAGATCTCGCTCGCGCCGGGCATCATTCGTATCAAAAGATGCATATACGTATAACAATTTCTCAAAAAGTACATTCAACTTGAGCAACAGCGGAGGCATCTGGTACAAGACAGATAGACACCGAAGACATCAAGGTCACAGATCACGGTCACGGTCGAGGTCACGGTCGAGGTCACGGTCGAGGTCAAGGTCGAGGTCAAGGTCGAGGTCAAGGTCGAGATCGAGAGAAAGGCACAGGCACAGGCACGGCCATAGTCATAGCCATAGCCATAGCCATCGTCATCGTCATCGTCATCGACATGGGCACAGGGCTGTGCATTTCATGATTAACTAAAGAATCAGATTTCCTTGGGATCGCGGACACGCACAAACTTCCGGACCAAATTGACAATGGCGGATGACTCGTGGCGTGCCAGGTATTAAAGCTGGGCAATTGTGAGTGAAAGAAGTGTAGCTCTCGTTAGTCAGGAGGACTCATAGGGCAAAGAAAGATTATTCATGGTCATTGACTGTTACCAAGATTTCGGGGTTTTCGGATGACACTCTCGCTATCGCATCTCGTCTCGAATTAGAAACTGGGCTTTGTGCTTGTGTCATCACTGGCCAGCTTGTGATACCACGGCAGTACCACTTACCTGTGCGTATGCATGCATAGGTGAGGGCATGGGATATGAGATAGTCGCGGCATCATCCACGCCATCACTTACCAGCTCTTTCGCTAAGTTGCTTCATAAAGTTAAATATTCGCGAATCGACAGACAGGTCACGGAGTGACTGGATGAACGACCATTTATTCATCCATTCATGCATCTATCCATCCGTCCATCCGTCCATTCACTTGTGTGTCTGGGTTCGAAGAACCGGTCTGGCCGCAATCGAGGATCAAATCGTCTTCCGGGCCTTTTTAGACCTTCTCGCGCTGTCGCCGTAACCACGCCGACCGCGATCGTGGCTGAGTCCGTCCTGTCCGCGCTGTTGTTTTCTTCCACCGCCACCCAGACCCGCCATACGATCGTGTTTCTGCTCCATGGCGCGCCTGACTCTGCGCATTTCCTCGTCAGAGTTCTCGGCGCCGGCGGCTGCGGCTGCGGCATGTTTCTTGTCTCGACCGGGCTGCTGCTGCTTCTTGCTCTTATTTTTCTGTGGGGTACCGTATTGTCCTCTGTTGCTCTTGCTGTTGTCATCGTCGGCTGAAAATGGCATACTGTCGGAGTTGGAGTCGGAAGCACGGTCAGAATCTGAGTCCGAGGCAGAAGAGTGTGACGCAGAGCTGAGATCTTCGTCGTCGTCATCATCGTCGCCGGCCTCGCCGTTCGTACTCTTACGCTTGTCCCCCGTCTTGTTTTTGCGCTTGAATGAGCCGTATGTCTGCCGGCCTGCCAATTGGTCATACCAAATATCCTCCTCCTCCTCCTCCTCCTCCTCTTTATATTGTGAGGTTTCAGCGTCGTTTTCGTCGTCGACTTCACCGAGTCCCGGGATCGCCGACTCATTGCCGCCGATGGTGCGGTGATTATTGCTTCGGATGTTCTTCAAATGTGGCTTGTTTGGGGCCGCCGCCGCAGGGAGCTTCAAATCCAAGACCCATTCCGTATCTGCGCCTTCACCGCGGAAGAACGTGCTTGTTCCTCCTCTTCTCAGAATATCGTGTAATGCATTAGAGGATTGTTGCATCGGGCGGTTTTCTGCTGCATATGGTGTTCCTCCTGGGGTGGAGGATACCGAGCGGGAGGGCGACGTACCGGCGTCATGGGTCTTTCGGCGTTTGGATGCTGGTTCGGTAGACGGTGTTTGCGGGCCTCCTCGTTGGTTTGGTGGTGTAGACGCTGTTGCGCGTTGCATGAACTGCGTTCAACGGGTAAGTTATGGGCTATGGTCTGCATGACACCAACGTAGTCCTCCGGGGAGGTAAGGCAAACCTTCATGTTCATTAGCCGCGAAGACATCTGTTTCGACGACTGTGGCTGCGTATTCGGTGTTCTGAGAGCCCCCTCCATGTCGAAGTTGGGTATTGGGCTTGTCGCGCGGAAGATCGGGTGCGGTCAGTCTGGCTCTGGCCAGCGAGTAGTCCAAGGCGAAGCCTGCAAGGTCGTTGATTTGGGTCTTAGAAACCCCTCCTAGCATGGATTGAAGGGCCCCCGATTCGCCTTGCTCACTTTTCAGGGTAGGTCGGTATCACGAATAGCACAGCGCCGTTCACGCAAAGCCGAGGCGGAGCGGAGTGTGAGGAGATTGTGACGCCAGCCCCTCAATTGTTCGGGCACTGAGGGAAGAAAGGAGCGTGAAATAGCGTTCATCAAAGGCAAGGTCAAAATATTTGGTGCACGGAAGTGAGAGAGTGAAAGGCAGTCCCGAGACCCTCCAAAAAATTGAGCCAACGGATGAGATTTCCGAGATGAGAGACCCACCCCGGAAGATCATTAAGCCGGAACCATCAAGCCGCATGCAATGATTGTGTCTTTATTTCTCTCATAGTTCTGGGTCGGTAGCTCAATCATACGCCGATGTGGTACGAACGCTCCGGGGATCTAGCTATGGGGGTAGTATTCGACACTATCAAGGTAACTCTACCAGCCCTATGCGTGATATACATAGCGAGAGTCCACCCTCTCCTTCATGCACACTCTTGGTCCGTTCTGTTGCTCTAAGTCATCCTCTATTCATCGTATCCATCTCATGAAGTGGGTCGATTCGTAAACCGTAAACACAAACTACCTCTTTAGTATCTTCTCAACCAACATGGAAACACTTGAGTCCAATCTCGAGAAAGATGGCACCGTGAACCCTGGCTCAGAGTCCCCAAGACCAAGCATGCCCCTGTCATTACGATTGAAGTCACGCTTGACATCTGAGGTCGAGCCAAAATGGGCAGATGCTATCTTATTGGGATGCTTCTTCGTCGCAGGTGTCGTCGACAGCGTGGCTTTCAACAAATATACATGCTTCGTCAGTATGCAGACAGGTCAGTAGAGTCTTACACAAAAGCTCTCGTCAGGGAATCCACCGTGCAATAAGTAGTATTCAACTGAATGGATACTAACACTCGTGAGGGGAAAAAGGCAATACCATCTTCCTTGGCTTGGGCGTCAGCGACCTCCCGGTCCATAGCCCAAAGCACACCTGGGTCAAATCGCTCGTGGCCATTTCCTCCTTCTGTCTCGGATCCCTGTCCTTCTCCCGCTATCACCTTTATCTCGGTGCATTAAAGCGCTGGGTCATCATGTCGTCCTTCGCCATCCAGACCATGTTCATGATCATCACCTCGGTGCTCGTATCCTCAGGGGTCGCCGCCACGGGCTCACAAGACAACATCCCGCGCAAGCCAGGAGATCGAGGCCGTTTTCAATGGGTCGAGCTGTGTCCGATTGCCCTGCTGGCGTTCCAGAGTGCGGGCCAAATCGTGGCGAGCCGCGTGCTGAAGTATAACTCGATGCCGACATTGGTGTTGACCAGTGTGTACTGCGATTTGATGAGCGATCCGAACCTATTCACTGCAGGATTGTTCGAAGATCCGGACAGGAATAGGAGGGCCGCCAGTGTAACGACTTTGTTTGTCGGCGCCGTGGTTGGCGGAGCCCTGTCGAAGTCATCCGTGGGCTACCCGGTTGCTTTGTGGATCGCCACTGGGCTCAAGGCTTGCATGGTTATAGCTTGGTTTTTGTGGAAGCGGAAGTAGGAGTTCTTGGAATCTGGAATAGAAAATTAAAGTATGTAATATAATCTCGAAATGGGTTTGGATATTCAATCAAAAGGAGACCCTGATATGCCTGGGATGACGGATTTTGAGAATCGTGTTCCATTCCTCTATCTGGGGACCATCTTCACCACAACAATCTCACCTCTTCTCGCCTTGGATGGTCGCCACGACCTTCCTCGAGTGTTTTGCCGCTCGGAATTCCAGATACCAAATCCCTTGCCACGTGCCCGTGTTCAGTCTCCCGTCCGTGATGGGGATTGACACACTCGCACCAATCAATGCTGACTTAATATGTGCCTGAATATCTCCAAGTCAGTATATCCTACCCCATCGTCTCGGCCTGACATGACAACAGGCATTGTATATTAGCAAAACGCAATACACTTACCGGCATGTCATCCAGCCCTTCGGCGGAATGCCTGTACAACTCCCCCTTTCTATCCTCCGGAGCAATCCTGTCCAACGCATCACTCATGTCTTCGCGCACATCGCTATCCCAATTTTCATTCAGGGACAGCGCACACGAAGTGTGCTGCACGAATAGGTTGAGGATTCCGACCTTGTACTCCTTGAGTTCCGGCAGTGAGGACACCACCTGGTCCGTGATCAAGTATGAGCCACGCGATTTGGCTGGTAATGCAAATGTCTTCTGGAACCACGACATTGTTGCTCCTGGGACTATGTTGGTGGCGATAGTGTCTAAGGCAGACAAATGTATGCAGCCCGCGGGGCAATTTATTGCTGTTGGAGTTGGGAATAATGCCGACGGAGAAGGACTCCAGACTAATCGAAAAGGGAGCCACAGGAGATATTGCGGAAGTCCCGGAACGAGTGCGACGATGAAGATGGATGTGGCTATCACAGTAAAATACCTGTGTTGGGAAATCGTGGTTAAAGACATGATCGGTTTACTTTTTCGCGATCTGGATGTTTCCCTTGCCACTATACGTCATTTTATATCATGGCTTGGCGAAGCTCTTACAAACAAGGCAGAAGTGAGAAGGCCCTGCTAGAGTGCCTGCTATACTGGACTTGGCGACGATTCATGGAGTGCACTTCTTTTCCTATTTCAACTGAATGATTGCCGAAGTCAAGACGGAATATGGATAAGTAAAATTCTTTGTGATCAACGCATGACCCTGTTGCCCTTTGGAAAATCACAATATGTACAACGACGCAGTCATGTAGACTCATCATCTTTGTTGAAAGGGTTGCCCATCTACGCTTTCTGCATCCTGCTCTGCTTTTAGTTGAGGATAATGGCCTTCAATCTCACCATCCAGAGAGAGAGTGGTGGGCACCTGAACTTGTGCCGGAATATTTGATGGAGCAAGCGGGTATGTAGTTGATGGAAGAGATTCGAGATGCTTCTTGTGTGCTTTTTGAGCCTGTGGTTGTCAATTGCAGTCTCGTAATGCTCAAACCTGGTCGAATGCTTACATATGGGAGGCCACAATACGTGCACCAGCAAATCTGTGGTTTGTCCACGTTGATAAAGATTCTTGGATGTCCCAATGGACCACCGCCACCATCACAGGCCACACTCCGACCTTCGACCCAGCGAACCGGCTGCTGGTGAATAAGATCGATTGCGGCATATGGTGCAGGCTGGGGTACTGTCTTAGTCTTGCACCTTTGGTTTCCGAGATAGAATTCCTACCTGTGCATCTATAATTGTCTGCTCAAATCTTGGGCCTGTCATTGCTAAAGCTCTAGGCATCTGACTCTTTGACCATGTACTCGCCCTGTTCGGGCTCTGCATCTGTCGTTTACGTTCTGCTTCAGGTACGAGCTCTTGAAGTGGCGCATCTCTCGCGCCCATTGCGTCCACCGGTGTCTCATTCGTTTTGGACACGTTTGGGGTCAGTTTTGGGCCGGAAGGATCGTTGGCCTGCTCGAAGTTCTCGCCAGTACCAGGTCCTTGTCGCAGAAGACGGGTTGAGGAGGTCAAGGATCGTGTGGCTGTCCGCGTACCATAGATTGAGACTTGTGGAATTCGCGTCCGTAGACTCGGGACGAAGGAAGCCATATTCCGCCACGTAGCCCTGTGAGCCGGCTTCAACTTTCCAGCTTTGATTGTTGATACGGGGACACTGTTTGCACTGCGCTCTGGAGGTGCTTCAAGCTCATGCCGCAACTGCCAATTGGAGAGGGTTCAATTGCTGTCTTGGCGGTAGCACTACACGGTGGATCAGAAGCAGGACGTAGTGCTCTCGGTCCTAGGGGCTTCAATACTCCACAGTAGCCACGCTGAATTGTTTCTCCGCTCCGAGCTGCGAATATCGAACTGCGCTGAGGCAGGTCCAAAAGTCCAAGGCAGCTTTGGTGCACGCGGCATACCGCGTAGACGACTCGTCCCCTTGCACTGCTCAAACTCCAACAGCCCTCCGCATCTCATTGTCAATAATTCTTTCCCTTGACCAAAGCAAGGCCACCGAGAACTGATATTATCTTCCGAGCGGGAGTGTTTTCAAACATGGCTTCAGGCTACGATCGTGCTCTTTCAGGTAGGCCCAGTCCAATGTATTTCAAGTCAATCAGAGGTCGCTAACTGGTGCAGTCTTCAGGTTTGCAAGCCTCATATCGCAGTCGCTACTTCGTACTAACTAGTTCAACTAGTCCCGACGGTCATGTCTTCCAAGTGGAATATGCACTAGAAGCTGTCAAGCGAGGAACTTGCGCAGTCGGCGTCAAGGGTAAGGATATCGTGGTGTTGGGATGTGAGAAGAGATCTGCGATGAAACTTCAGGATACCAGAATCACTCCCTCCAAGATCGGGCTACTAGATACCCATGTCTGTCTTGCATTCGCCGGTCTCAATGCAGACGCACGGATATTGGTCGACAAAGCGAGACTAGAAGCCCAGTCTCATCGCCTCACTGTCGAAGATCCCGTCACCATCGAGTACATCACTAAATACGTCGCCGGTGTTCAACAACGATATACTCAGAGTGGTGGTGTCCGACCTTTCGGCATCAGCACATTGATCATTGGCTTCGACAAGGGTGACACTGAGCCAAGACTCTACCAAACAGAGCCCTCTGGCATCTATTCCGCATGGTACGTGGTTGCCAAAGTATCCCGGGACAATTCATCACTAACCTCAAGTAGGAAAGCCAATGCCATTGGACGATCCAGCAAGACAGTACGTGAATTCCTGGAACGCAATCACAAAGACGACATGGACCGAGAAGCCACTATCACCCTCACTGTCAAATCATTACTGGAAGTCGTTCAAACTGGTGCAAAGAACATCGAAATCGCCATCATGGCTCCTGGCAAGACCATTGAAATGCTCCCTTCAGAACAGATTGAGCAATATGTCAAGACGATTGAGGCAGAGAAGCAAGAAGAGCAGGCTAAGAAGAAACCTGGAAGACCAGGGACATCCTCCCTCCCCACTCGACCTTTAGCGGAGGGCGAGGGCAGTGGAGATATCTGACAAGTCAAATAACATGACAAAATGTACTTTGCATGAGCGACTGGAGTCCGGTATTAAATGGGTTCAAAGAAGAGACATGATTCCCCAGTTCTCAGCCCACCCCATGTTCTGTGCCTTCTTCATATCGTTCTAGTCTATCGTTTTGTGAAGCCCTAGTATCTCACAGCGTTGCCAGCCTGGCGTGAGGATATGATAGCAAAATAGCCGAGACCGTCTGTCCTTTCCCATGACAAGATTTTGACCGCAGTGAAAATCAGCAGCTATTCTCGTCTTTACACGGGAATGATCAAGGCCATAATGAGAACTTCTGCCCAACCTCCCGATCAACCAATCTTGGTATCCAATTCTTTTATATCGAATATCGTTTGCTGGTCCTGCTGCCTAGCTCGGTCATCCTTGATCATCCTATTGTAGTGAAAATTCGTAAGCACAACCCAATCTCACAATAGCCATGGGATCCCCGAGAGAGTGAGCACAAATCCGACCTTGAGTCCACTCGCACATCCTCGCTCTCAACTTTCAATGCAGCCTTCGGTGTAAGCGCCTCAATCACGAAATGGTTATCGCAGTTCGGACAGTATTCATCACTGTTGTCAATTTCGAGATCCCACGTGTTAGCTGAAGATGCTTCGTATAAGCATTCATGATACGCATCTTCCAGAATTTGGGGGGTTTTGAAAGGCCACCCCAACACCGTGAAACAATAGATCGTCCCCTCGGGAGGATTGGGAGAGGAGAGGGAAGCCTACCTATCCTCCCATTCCTGGGTGTTCTTTCTAAAGGCCTTCTTGCATTTCTTGCAGATAAACGTCTAGCAACGAGTGTGAGCGAGCAATTCTCGGTTTCTTGCCTTGACCAAGACACGGCTGGCTCTTGAATGCACCGTGGTCGGAAACTCACCATGTCGAAACTCTGCAGAAGCGGATGCGTTTCTTGCTCCGCGTGGCATTCTGCGCAATCAAACCATTTCCGACCTTTTCGTCGCATGATGGGTTAGTCTGATGAGTCTTTTAGGCGGGGGAACTGAGCGTGTTGGTTGGCTCTTACAGCATGGTGAGCGAATCGACACTTGTGCGTTTAAGATGTGCTTGCTGGTAAGGGCGGTTTTAGTTACTACTGGAAGTGCTAATGCTAGATGAGGTGTGTGAGATGCCAGGGAAGATGGGGTTTGTCTTGCATACCACATGTTGGGCAGGATGTTGATGAAATAACGCTAAATCAGCGTGATTTCTTCAGAACAGAGTCCTAAAATGGGTGGAGAAGGATCAAGGATCTTAACGCTGTCTCCCGTTGTCGCAAGTATCTCTTGTTGGGTATCGAATTTGAATATCTTTGTTCACGCTCATCAACAACGTCTCCGTTAAATCCTGATGAAACGCGTGTGGTGCAACTGAATCATAATTGCTTCATGGCAGGGGTTATGCTGACTCGCCAAGCCCACTGCCACAGTCCTTCGCCCGGTTGGACCATCACATCCTTTCTCAGTGTCCTGATACATTCAGGCACAAGTTTCAACTGGATTTGAAAAACTGAAAAGATTGGTTGTTCAAGTCTACGTTATGATACTCGTTCTACACTTCTGGCTAACGGAGCTTTAAGGCTTGACTACTCCAAGCCCCTTCCACTCTACAGAGAGTGCGATCGCATACCATCCTTTCCATTAAACAATCATGTGCGAGAGGCTCGAGCATACGCTTTACCTGCCCGTCGCCTAGTACTCCATGCATTGACATAGAAGGGGACTACCCCCGAGCGGAAACATTTTCGCCCATGTCCATTTTGATAGCTCCCACAACGAAGTAACTTGTGTCGAGAAAGGCGGCCGATTTACTATGCTTGCTCTGCATCGGAGACATATACTATGAGGAGCCTTGCGGCAAAGCAAAGTGTTGTGCTCATGCTGACTGAACCACATTCTTGCTATATATTATGTGCTAGCGTATACCGTGACAAGGCTGGAACCCCCTTTTGCCTTGGAGGCGGCGGTTGGGACGATTCACCGCCAGGCTTCACAGGTCTTGAAGCCAGTGCGTGCTTATTCTAAGTGTTGGGTTTGGATTTCACTTCTCGATTCGAACTTATTATCGTGAGCGCAGTTTGTATTGATTTCAAGCGTAGTCGGGAGGACCAACTGGGCATCCCAATTCCAAGCTGTCTCATCAGCCAGCATTTGATAATCACTTACACCCTATTCCATGGTAAAAAGTTATATGGAATAGGAGGCACATCTATCCACAAAATGGTTCTGCGGCGTTTTTAATCTAGGTGCAATATCGACTAGTTCGTGTGCTTCATACCTAAGCTCGAGGTCCCCAATGAAGTCAATGTTATACAATTATACACTGCTCCGAGGTCCACCATCTGGGTGCACAGATGGGCACGTATTGATATCAAAGCACTGCTACTCCCTCTTTTCAACATGTGAAAATCTTCTCTCAATGGTGAGGACCTGCGGCTCTCCTCTCCTTGCCACTACGCAAGTAGAGATCTGCTCTCTGATCCAAGAGCGGGTCATCACTGACATTGATGCCCGCAACTCTAGGGATGGGGTCGAAGATGATCGTGCGCTGCTCTTCGTCATTGTCGTCCGCAATCTTATCCAAGGTAATAGTGCCCAATTTCACAAGTTTGCGGTCTTCAGGCCAACGCTCCGTGGCATCATTGGTAATATCACCTTCCTCCGCAATCTGTGCCCACCAGCTGAAGCTGACACCACCGTCGATGATGCGCGTCTGGATCTCGTTGTGCAGGTACGCGGCATCTTTGCCCTTGGCCTCGTCATCAGTGATGTGCGACTCGCCGGCATCCGGCGTGATGCGGTAGCGTACGAAGGTTTCCTTCCCGTCAGAGGAGACCAGCTTGAACGCGTTGACGCCGAAGAATTTCTCCGCCCCGAAGCTGGTGGGAAAGGGCTTTGGCGCCCCCACAAATGCAGCGGCTGAGGGGTTCTTGCCGAGGAAAGCTTCAATGGGCGATGGGTTCTTTGGTGCGTTAGGCGCGGCTGAGGCGCCCAGCGCCTGCAGTAAGGCTAGGAAGCCTTCACCTGAATTAACTGGGAAGAATGGAGTGGAGTGAGCGATAACGTCGGTGTGTTGTCTCCGGCCGTTTTTCTCTGGGAGAGTGAAACGGACCGCGAAGCCTCTTGGATTGGCATTCGGGTCATTGTCCGGTATCACGGGGATACCAGTGGAGTTTGAGAAGCGGCCGATGACTGGCGTGGATGGGGTGTTCAAGTGCGGAGCTGATGACAAAGAGGCTGCCTCTGATGTTGGTTTGAACGTCCCGCTAAGTAGAATACCTCTCGCATGTGCTGGCGGGAAGTGTGAGTCGACGCGACGCTCTCGTATGCTATTGGTGTATCCTTACCTGGTCTGTATCCCGGAGGCGTCCCGAACGCACCCTTCAAGCCTTCCTTCAGGGCTTGTGAAGTCTCGCCAACCTTTGAATTCTGAGAGAAAGGCATGTTAACGGGCTGATATTGGCATATATTACTCAATTCCTGTTGATGTTTGATAAGAGCTTATAAACATCGAATAGATTGCCTTGCAAGCAACACATCATGTTCCTCGACATATCGTTAGTTCTTATACCCATCGCCACGGAGGTTTTACGAACATGGCGCGGCGCAACGGACGGCAAAGCATGTGAACATTGCGAAGTCGAAGACTCAAGCTAACAGTCAGCATGGCGTGCCTGCATTAACCACTTACAACTAATCATTTTCGAATGGAGATGTCAATATCATCCGTGTGATTGGAAGCTGGAAAGTCAAATCATCCAGGATTGGACCGAGCCATGCAGGAGCTTAGTCAGTCGTGACCCAGCATAATGAATAAACATTTGGACCTGTGCGGGTCAACCCTTTTCAAATCCAGGTGATGACAATTTCTCTGAGCGGATTCGTCCACAGCTTCGCTTGGATGGCGCAAAGGTTGATAGCTGTATTAATAAAAATTCCGCTTATAGAAGTAGGCTATCTGATTTGTCGCGAAGTGAGAAACATGATCTGGGGGATTCGGGGCGCATCAAGGTCCCGTATTGGTGTTTTCAAAGGAACTTTATTTATCAGTGCCGCTCGGCTATCGATTTAGTTGCCTTGAAACAAATCAATTGATACACCAGGCTTAAACCCTCACCCCTCATGGCGTCGTCATATTTGTGAGCATGCTGCAGCTCAGGGTGGAATATTAATCAGCTTGTGATCAACACCAGAGGACATAGTAGCCTCAATCGCTACGCACACAAACATGTTATTTGAGGCTGCACGCTAGCAAACAGGATGTGTAGGATCTAGATAGGCAGCTACGTACCTACGAGTAGATACGTAGATGCCTGCGTTAGTAAAGAAGCACGACATACTATCTGGATCTTAAGCGCATGCCTGAGTGCTTGTACATATCACTGCGCTGCCATTATGCCCGTGCATGTTTAACAGTAGTGGATGATGCAGTATCCTTGGCTCGTCATTGATTCATAAACTGCTGATTCTGAGGACACGCGGGTAAGTTAATTCCCAGGGTTTAGTGTACATTGTCAAGGCGTTCTTCGTGCTGGTGACAACATAGGATTGCACTGAGAATTATAGGACCAATACAAGCCGTCTGAGTCTCGTCGTCAAGATAATCCAAGGCCTAGAAGGATCAGGGGAGGAATGGCGACAGTCTGGAGGCGAATGGCGCTGTGTGTGAGCCCCTCGCCCACCAAGGGTTTTGCTGATCCGCCAAGATGCAACCACTTAACGCGTCAACGCGTTCGCGTTTCTCCACCGCGTCCTGAATCGAAACTGCGGGCAATTCTCTTCATCCCCTTGAACATCGACAACTCTGTAATTCTCTATCGTCACAACACACTGCGCGCACATAATGGATTCTAGGTCCGTTTATTCTCTCCCGGTGCTTGCGCCTCAACAAGATCCTGGTTCCGAACCTCGCACCGAAATACAAGCCAGACTCAAAGAATTCGTCCTCGCTTTTCAACTTGATGGAACTTACATCTACAGAGACCAAATCCGTGAGAATGTCCTGGTCAAACAGTACTACTGTGACATCGACCTTGCACATCTGATCTCATACAATGAAGAGCTGGCACACAGGCTAACCAGTAATCCTGCGGACATGATCCCTCTCTTCGAAGCCGCCCTCAAACAATGCACCCAGCGCATCGTTTTCCCACACGACCCGAACGTTTCTCTCCCACAACACCAACTACTCCTCCACTCATCAGTTTCACATATCTCCATCCGAGACCTCAATGCGACGAATGTGTCTCATCTTGTGCGGATCCCCGGCATCGTCATCGGTGCATCCACTCTCTCCTCCAAAGCGACTCTCTTACATATACAGTGTCGAAGTTGTGAGCATGTCCAGAAGTTGGCTATCGAAGGTGGCTTCTCTGGCATTACATTACCGCGACTGTGTGGCAGAACAAAAGTTCCGGGCGAAGATGTTGAGGCGTGCCCCATGGATCCTTATTTCGTTGTTCATGAGAGCTCTCAATTTATTGATCAACAAATCCTGAAGTTACAAGAAGCTCCTGATCAAGTACCAGTCGGAGAGTTGCCGCGTCATATTCTCATTTCGGCGGACCGATACCTTACAAATCGGGTTATCCCTGGCTCACGATGTACTGTGATGGGTGTATTTTCTATCTATCAGGCAAATAAGGCCAAGAAAGATAGTGCAGTTGCAATCCGGAATCCATATCTACGCGCTGTCGGGATTACTGCGGACGCGGACCATACTAGCCTTGGGTCGAGTCATTTCTCAGAAGAGGAGATTCAAGAATTCGAAGAAATGTCCCGGCTGCCCGATCTTTACGAGCGCTTTGCCCGGTGCATAGCCCCGTCGATTTACGGAAATGCGGACATCAAGAAAGCGATCGCGTGCCTACTCATGGGAGGCTCGAAGAAGCAGCTTCCTGATGGGATGAAGCTACGAGGTGACATTAACGTCCTGCTGCTGGGTGACCCAGGAACGGCCAAGTCGCAATTGTTGAAATTTGTCGAGAAAGTTGCTCCCATTGCAATATATACGTCTGGCAAAGGCTCTTCTGCAGCAGGCTTGACCGCGTCCGTACAGAGGGACACCCAGACACGAGAATTCTACCTTGAAGGCGGTGCTATGGTTCTGGCTGATGGCGGCGTCGTTTGTATCGATGAGTTTGACAAGATGCGTGACGAAGACCGAGTGGCCATCCATGAAGCCATGGAACAGCAGACAATCTCAATCGCAAAGGCAGGTATTACCACTATTCTAAACGCACGAACATCAGTACTCGCGGCCGCCAATCCTATCTTTGGTCGCTATGATGATCTCAAATCACCTGGAGAAAACATAGATTTTCAAACAACCATTCTGTCAAGATTTGACATGATCTTCATCGTCAGAGATGATCATGACAGAAATCGTGACGAGCGTATTGCAAAGCACGTCATGAGCATTCATATGGGCAATCGTGGCGTGGAAGAGCAAGCCGAAGCAGAGATCCCCGTGGATAAGATGAAACGATACGTCAGGTTCTGCAAATCGTAAGTCGTGACTGTAATATTTGAGGATTTGTATAAACGATGTGAACCATTCATGCTAACAGCTGGATTGCTAGACGATGTGCGCCGCGTCTCTCAGCCGCTGCTTCAGAGAAGCTCTCCAGTCACTTCGTATCAATCCGCAACCGAGTAGCGCAGTCGGAACGCAACAGCAATTCTCGGTCCTCGATCCCCATCACAGTCCGACAACTGGAAGCAATCATCCGAATCTCCGAATCTCTCGCAAAACTCACACTCTCGCCAGTAGCTGAGGAACAGCACGTGGACGAAGCGATCCGACTCTTCCTTGCGTCCACTATGGATGCCGTTGCGCAGGGCGAGAGCGCTGGCGGCATGGGAAGCAACCGCGAGCTCATGGACGAAGTCTCCAAGGTCGAGGAAGAATTGCGCCGACGCCTCCCCATCGGCTGGAGCACCAGTCTCGCCACCCTGCGAAGGGAGTTCGTCCAGGGACGTGGATACAGCGAAGCAGCTCTCGCGAGGGCCCTGCATGTCTTGCAGCGTCGCGAGACTGTTAGGTTGAGGAACGGTGGAAGTCAAGTCTACAGATCCGGTGTTTGAGCGGGAGCAAAGATATCTGTCGAAAGAGATGTGGGCCGGGCCACCTGTGTCTTTCTGCCGCCATTTGGTCTATGATTTCTTATCGTTGTCTCCGACTCTCGCAGTCTCAGCGAAGTGGTTTTAAATGCATGAAACGAGCGTCCCAGGATGGATCTATGTGTTCATGCAGAAGTGTAAAGTAAGGGTAAAGCTTAATGAACAAAACAAACGACGTGTCGAGATGACCTACTCGAACATGGGACTTGGGCCCTCCAGCGGGACCCATCACCTTGCCACCCTGACGTACCCCGGCAATCTGGAACAACGGGTTTGGTGAGTAGTAAGTAACCGATGTGTCAACTCGCTACTATTTGACTCGTTACTATACCTATGTAGTAAACAAGTCAGGTACTTGGCCTGAAGAGGCGTATTATTGCTATACCAGATCACCTAACTGGGTAGGCAGCATTATCGGCATCTTGGTTGCACTCAACGCACTCCCATTGGCTCCCCGTCACTCCTCTGGAAATGTGGGTCAGGGAGCATGAGCAACACACGATCCACCGGAATTATCAGCAATCTGCTCGTAGATTTTAGATGCTGGGCGTTTCTCGGAGACGGAGATTCTTTACATAAGCGTTGAGACTTTAAAGCCATGCAATCCTGCGGGGTGCTCGCTTGTTGAGTTCGGCCTTAAGCGCTGCGGCAGCCGTGTGAAGCACCTACCTTGTTCACGAATAAGTAGCCTTGGTCAGCATTAATCATAGAATAGCTTTGGTGCCCTGGAATGCCGACCAATAGTGCTTGGTGGGATATCAGGGGAGTGGAGAATATGAAAAAGTGATCCAGTGTGGCGGTTGGGTATGTTTGCGGCGATGTCAGTGGTCAGGAGGGAAGAGGCCATGAGGTCGCGATCCGCTCTTTGGCATTTGCTCGTTTGAGTACAGTCTCCTGTCATTGCATGCGAAGTGAAACTGCTGAAGAGCAGAACAATACCCTTTGGTCTTTCCCAGTGACAAGCATAGTATGACCAAAGTGCGGTAAAAGTGCACTTATCCTCGAAGGCGCAAGCAATATGGAAGTATAGAGGTTGCTGGACTGAATAGCCATCAGTTTCATGTGCACCACTTCACACTTGTTGAGCGGTGAAGACACCGTGTAGGTACTGTAATCGAATAAGTTGGGCCTCTGTGCGTTACCTACCAGTGCAAAGAAAGGTTCATATACTTGAACGTCACGAACTCATTGATAGAGCAAAGCAATGCCATAACGCGGCTCGCCTATTGCACTGAGCTGGTCATCTTCGCTGGGCATTGCTTGAGCTGTTCGGGAGTTGCCCACAGACGCTGGATTAATCTGAGAATGGAGGATCAGTGATGGGAATTGACTGAACTCTTCCCTGAACATCCTTATCCCTGATCGGCCGCCAACCCCTGTCAGGGAAAAGGCAAAAGAAACAAGGAGACCCTCCATCTGAGCAGTAAAATAACACCGATTCGCCTGTTTGAATTAGTTCCATCAGTGAGTGAGTTTTGAAAATTAGCAATGGCCCAAACGAGGAAACAGGCAGGCGCCAAAGGGCATACGAATATCATTTGTGATCTGGTCCTTGTTGCACGTAAGGCTAATCATGCTTACCAGATAAAAGCGGAACTCTGACGGGAGTCATTACTCGGTAAACGGATGACCGACCGGAGTGCCTTCGCCTCGGTGGTCGAATCAAGGAGGATGTATGGCTCCTGGAATCAAATGACCCATCAGCAGACTATCAGGCTCATCCATGCCCAGAATCTGGAACCAGTAACGGGGATTGCGGGCGGTGTGAATAAAAGGCGTGCTCTTCTTGAGGAACCTCGCTTCGAAGGGCTTTCAATATGTATCAGGTAGTAATAGGATGGTTGAATACTCGTATCAAACCTTGAGCCCTCAAGTCTCTCTACTCTGTACTCGTAGGTCCAGTACCCCACAGTGATAATAGCCGATTTCTTCACAAACCTAAAAGACGAGACCCACAATGTGCTAAAGTGACTCGGAGTATGAGGTACTCCGTACATTTCGGTTTCGGTCTAAGTGGTAATTATTTTGTGGAGCTGGATGACAGCTGGGTCAAGCACCTGGAAACAGCTCAGTCCTCCTTCACCAAAATGTCAAGCCTCGCCCTCATTCGACGTTGAGAATTGATTGACGTAAATCCGCACCCAGCAGTCTCATCCGGCGCAAGGCGTTTGTGACAGCCTTGACACGAGACACGAGATCCGGAAGAGTGAAAATACAAATCAATTGCTGTCTTTGTCTGATGTGTCAATGTACTCACTTGGTGCGGATTGTACGAAGCACCTCTCCGGGAGACGCGTGGAAGCCTTTTCGATCTAGCGATGCCGAGTGCCTCGTATGCGGACAGGCGCCCCTTGTTCGATTCTGTCACAGTTGAGCGTGGGGGCGGGCTGATCTCAGGGTTTCTGCCTGGGGCTGCCATATGCCGGAGGTAATATCGGCTTCTGGACGCTGGGTATGAGATCAAATGCAACGTTCAAATGTCCAAATGATGAGTTCAGGAGGTCCTTTGAGGTTCGAGAGGTTCAGGTTTATGGATCTACTCATAGTACATTAGTGGTATCGACTGGTGTGGCGCGCCGCGCAAGGCGACCCTCCCGTATGCCGGCGCTGGCTGGTAAAGACTCAAATTGAAACAGGACCTGTCTGGATTCGGAGAATGGTCGGGATATGACAGGTCATCTTTGTCACACTATGACCAGAAACCGGTCGGATGGAAGCCACCGACTTGACCAAGCAGGGAAAGTTGGCAAAAGAATGGATGTCTGAGTCAGTCCGCATATCACACTAATACCTTGACGGAAGAACTCCGTCGGATGGACCCTGCCAATCAAGCGAACAGTGCAATGGTGATGGTTGACACGTACGTAGCTGACCATAGTTTGTTTATCAAAACCAGGCTGCAGGATGATGGGCGCGAATCTTCCCCTTGGCGATGGAGACGCAGGTTTTAGGATGTGGGCCTGGCAGAGAGGTGGAGATCTTCATGTGTCTGTCCAGTAGCTGCAATGAGAAGCACGCGGTGAGGCGCATAGGAGCCATGCTTGCTCACAATGTGCGATCGGGCGGGTTTGAGCTGCGGACAGTTCCTCTTGCATACCCAGAGCTCAGACCCCAATAGCCACTATTCTGGATTTTATCTCCCCCAAAGGTACAGCAGTTCGTGGGTGCATTGCATTATGCATGAAAACGCGCAGCTTGTCGCCTTGGGGGCCCTCTATTCCGATGCCCAGGCACACCGTTGTGTGACGGGAGTGCGGAGCCGGGGTAGCCAAGGATCCCAGAATTTTCTGAAAAGAAGGCCGTCGTGCGTTTTTCTATTGGGTCATGATCCGGAAAAGGGGTTGCCGGTTGTGAATGGACCGGATCCAAACGCCTTCGAATAGGGACAGCAAGGGACCTTTATCCGGAGTTCGGACTCGTGCCCAAGTCCTTCCCTTGTCAAGCTAGAGGACACGGACACCCTTGCAGATACAACATGAAGGAAATGTCCTTGTCTATCTAGCCCCAGAAGAAGGCTCTTGGTGTCTGATGTTTGATATTTGAAGAGAATTGGCACCGATCGACCCACCGTTATGTAGAAATTATCTTAAAGAATGATGGACTACTCGCTAGACCATCACAGACAATGCGATTTCCAGCGGCATTCATATAGGGCTGGGCCTTTGGACTCGCTAAGTACTCGTCAGTCTAGAGCATAAGCCAGGGTCGGCTTCAGACGCCACCTCCCCTTTGATCTCCTGCACGGACAATGTCCACGAGAATATGCGGCGGAGCAATCACGATGTACGGAAGACTGAAGCTGTAGCCTTTCCTTTTGGGGACCAGCCTATCGATCGTCTTGTAAATCAGTTCGGGGGTCTTCTTGACAAATAAAGTTGTACCGGCCGGCCTCTGAGCAGTTGCCATTAAGTTGATCGTTGAACACATCTGTCGGGGTGTGAGACCCTTTTGAGAGACATGGTGTGCAAGACATTTGCAACCCTTGAACACGGACCATGTAGGGAATGATTGGCGAAAGGCCAGATGGCGTTCTCTCGTGGTATGGATAGCTACTCGTCAGCTGCTGGCAACCAAACAGTCTCGGTCAGAGCTGCTGCCCTGGGCCACATTCAAGATGGTACAGCAACCTAAAGAATGGGGGGATCTAGCCTCAGGATGCCTCCACGATGATTTCTTCTACAGTCCTCCGTACGGAGTACACGGTCACCCAGCTGTGCAGGGACCTCGTATTCAGAGACAGAAAGGGGTCCAGAGAAACCGCTGCCCCACTCGCGTCTCGTTCCAGCAGACCGAAGTTGGAAGAACCTTAATCAAGATAAGAATGAGAGGAAGATGCAACCACCGTCGGGCCATAGACCTTTGCTATCCCGGAGAGATCGCGATCTGTTTGAGGGGAGTGGAAGTATGGTTTCTTCACTCCCAGTGCCAATATCAACGGTCGCCGGGGCATCTCCTTACCCGAACGCTAGAGCTCGAAGTTTACTAGTTGGCGACTCGGTTAGGCATCAATCTCGTCAGGATCAGCAGGCGTATGCCTCAACCTGGCTGCTCGGGCGGTTCGCGCTCCCTCGTTGGCCATCCTAGACACGTCTCCTCTTAAAGCTGCGAGAACCTGCTTGGAGATGTGGCGTTTCGCCTTTTGGGAGACTTTGTCAACTGGTATCTAGTCTGGCCGGCCTTCCAATCGTGGGTGGGCGGCCAGTGTGAGCCCCCATTTGTGCCTTTCGTCGTCGTGGGCGCCAGGGATCCTCACTTGGAGCCTCACCTCAAGTTTCCTGTGGCTCTCGTTACTGGGTATGTGCGATCCAACTGCGGACTGCGTGCATAATCAAGCTGTCAAGAGCACATCCCGGAGGTGAGATGTGCTCTTGCGGATCCGCTGATCACGGGCGAGGTATGGAAGGACCTGCCGTGTTCAAATCCAAGAACTCCCGGTTCCCATCCAGGGCTGCCTCGCCTCTGACTCGGCAGGGTGACCCTCCTCATCTAAAACCCCCTTGCATGCTGTCCGGAGTACCGTCTCCAGTTCTCTGCCGAGCCCACAGCATCGCTCTGTGTGTCACCCAATTGAGCAGCCACCGTGTCAGAGAGCGAGTATCTATCCTATACAGTTGGATATGGTGTTACACCAGATCCAGCTCGCTACCGCAGCCCGCCTGCCAGATCGACCTGTCAAGTCATCACCGAGTTCCAGCGCCATGGATCGCAACAATCCGATTTCCAGGATGCCAGAAATGTCAAATCCTAGGTGGTGTGACTGAAAGGTAGCTTTGTCGAGGAAGATAGAATTATATCTCATTGCCATGCAAGCCTCGCTTGGCCTTCTCGTCCTAGGTCGGTGGCAATCTGTGAGGCGAGGTTGTGTTGTTTCCGTTCCATGGGTCCTGGGCCCGGGAGCCCATGAAGAGCGAGGCTTCAGAGCCGCCTATGACCCTCCTCCCGAGCACAACCCTGTTTACTGCGAAACTTTCTCGCTTGAAGATCGCCAGGATTTGCCGAGCACTGACATTCTACAGTATGTCAACTCTCGACTGAATAACGAGCAGATGGGAGAAGAAGGCGAGTAAGCATAACCATGCATTGGCTTCCCCCACGTCTACTTTGACGTTTCCCTATACTAAGAAACATTGCATTGCGAACCCGCTAAATGTCCTTTCCTCCATTCATCCCCGTCAGGGTCCCGTATGTCTCTGTGGCGTACGCGGATATTATCCATGTTCGTTCTCGTCATTGACCCTCCACCTAGCACCCCTCCCGCCCTCTCCGTGATAGTGGCATGTGAGGTGAACAGAGGCGGCCCCTTGGCAAGAAATCAGTTGATCTGAAACCGGGACCAGTCTAAGTGGTGGCTCGTTACCGACGGGCATGGCTGTTGACTCCGCAATCGCATTAGTCTCTTCACCACATGCCCCTTGCCGGTCCTTCTGCATAGTGTCTCTCCTAGAATTTCTGATAGGTCGTGTATTTGAAGAACTGTACATCACTTGTAGGTCTGCACAGAGTGCTGGCCATGCGCCCTCACATTGCTACATTCCATCTTTATTGACTCGAGGCCACCATCATGGTCTGAAAAAGTGGACGAACGCGCAAAACAAGTGAGCCAAAAGACTGTCCGCAAACATCGGATGCCGACCCCTATTGCATCAATGTTCTTCGCAAACACGACTCTATCTCTGCATACACACCGAAATTCCAGCTGCCCTGTCGGTTGCAGAAGTACAATGCGTCAAGCCTTGTCCTCAAGAGCTGAGAAGTCCTATAACATTGTTCAGGAGGGCTCCAGCCTTCCCCGTCTAGCCATTGCACCCCCCAAAGTGGAGTATCTTGTGGCCGCACGAAGAGCCTCGCGGCAGGCCCTCATACTGGGAGTGGTGGGAGGAAGCTCCTCCAAAGCTGGGGAAGTGACCGACTAACTATCGTATTTAGGAGGGAGTAATCCCGGCGGTATCTGAACAACATATCTGTTATCCTGTTGGACTACATGCCAGTCGGTCCCTCTTCGCTGTCGGTGTTGAAGTCCCGACCACTGCAGTTCTTGCCATTTGAGGTCGAAGTTCGCCAGCACGGCAAAGATGGAGCTCGCAATCGCACCACCGTCAAGGGTTGGGGTTGGAGTTGTACTCCGACAACCGCTGGTTGTGACATTCAGCACCGGCGATGGAAAGAAAAGAGCCAACGGCGGGACATCATCAACAGTCTTCCGCGACATGAGCGGGGTCTGGGCGTTTGTGTCGCTCACATCGGCCGACATGCAACAAACTCTGGATCCGCCTCAGAGCGACCTTCTGCGTGGCAAAAGGGCGGATTCGATCCACTTAGTCCACCAAGAACAAGAGGGCAGTGACCACGTCACTTTTGCCTACGCGAAATTTCGAGAACTGGCCATCACCAAGCCAGGATCATACCGAATCCGAGTGAACATCATCGCTATGAACGAGTGAGCAAACACACTGCTAGCAACCTCCAAATTCAGAGAATATACTGATTGGCGACACAGGTCATTGGAAAGGGATCCAGCTGGGTTGGACGTGGGAACGGTGCTGCCTTCTCTGTATTCGGACATCATCGATGTGGTGGAAGTAGACGAGCCGGTTATCGATGGTACGTATGAACTATGACCGACCCGGAGTTATACTTTCATGACATGGACCTCTGGCTGAGCCGACATAAGACGCCGCGACAATAGCGGCCCGCAACCGATTACGTGCTATCGGCGTCGATTGCTAAAAGCGAACGAACCTCTCACGGTAGGTTAGCACCAGGCCAGTAGTGCTGGGCTAGATTTCACTCTAGTTAGTTGGCGAAAATGGCAGCTAGACAGGCCCTGTGTTTTCTACGAACTACTGTATTTTCTATTGTATTGGCGGAAGGTTAAAATGCCATGCTATCCGAGATTAAGCCGCCAGGGCGCTGGGCGGGTTCAGGGTTTACGAGGCTAGCGGTTGGGTTAGTTTGGCTGGACAGGGCAATATGGGTCTGTTGGGGAAAACATTTCGCTTTCTTTTCTTTCCCCCGGTGCGTGCATTTGATAGGAACTCGCGGCGTTCGACTCCCGCCTGCTATTTATTTAGCTTTCCGCATCTCTGGTTCTGCCTTTTGTATGACTTGTTTGCTAGTGACACGGTCAATCCTGAGGGCGGAACCAGTGGTGAAGTGGAGGGAAGCCACGACATGGCATTTCTCAAGTAAGCCACAGAGAGGAGGGGAAAATGTGGCAGATCGGCAATTCGCATCCATGGCAGAAACTGTGGGTTTCTTGGGCTATTTGATAGTTTGGAAGTCTAGTCAAGGAACTAGGTTGCCTCGCTTACTACTGGGCTGGCATCAGTACATCAGTACCCCGTACCTGACCGGGCAATGGGTACTTGTAACTCTGTCGGCATTTTATATGGAGAGTTTAGTGGAGGGAGGGGAAGTTCCAGCACAGCTAACTGGAGGCCAAGCGTTGGTTTTTATTAGTAGCAGTTCGTTGCCTAGCTGCTCTTCTGGATCTCTGCTCTGTCTCGTCCACCGCAATTGATAAACGCCATTTTTTAGCCTGCATTTTATTTCTAATAGAGTTCCATATTGTGGGCTCTGTTTCGCATATGCCTGGTTTTCAGAGGCGTCACATGTGGTGCCGCCTAGAGCCCAAATACTTCCTGTACTATAGTATGTGGCGGAGTAGTCCGTCCAAGTCACATGGCCCAAACACGTGATGCCATGTGTAAGAGTCACGTACGTCAGCCGAGTACCTGGCTGTCTACTCCCTTCTACATCTGTGGAGAGGTATTAGGAGAAATCACAATCAAACAATCAATGCTAATACACCATAGCTGTTGAATATCAAGTGTTGAGGGGCCGAGTTACCGAGGCTTACTGGCCTTTCACATTGTGTTGGGGGGACGAAGAAACACTTAAGATGTACACAAGTACTCTGTACATACTCTGTAATCGAAGAGTAGTCCCCGGGGCTGCTGACTAATCCCTCCCTTGGACCCTTCGCACCGTTCGGGTGCCTTCGGCGGATGTTTAGGTGCCCCAAGCACGAGTTGGTTTGGGTGCGGGGAGCTAAAGTTTGTGTCTGACAGAATCTGAAACTCTGTTCAGACCATAACCACGACCTCGATCCTTCCTCACAACAAGAGCGGGGGTTCGCCTAGATACGCGCCCCAGATGGTCTTGAAACGGGGTGATGGTCGACACTAATGACTGACAGTGACAATACCGAAGACGGTATTTCCCCGTATTTCTGAGGTAAAGTCGCTCGTGCAGCCATCTCCAGGGATCTCGCACAGCACCATCCGGCAGACACCGACCAACTCCTCCTGCATCTCACTGTATCGGCTGTTCATCTGTTATGCCTGTCCATAAACTCACACATATTGAGGACGGAGCATCCGTTCTCTCAGCAGGATGCATCCTCAACGTCATGTCGTGGCATTTCTCCCGGAACTAAATCCACGCGTCCAGCCTCCCAAATCCAATCTGCCATCATCTGCAGTGTGCCTGGCTGCTTCTGCACCTCTGATTGGCCAACTTACTTTCCCACCTGCCTTTTTTCCACCTCTCGCTTTCGTGTTTCATCCCACCTTCAACTTTGGATCCTCGAACTGCCTGCGGCCGGCCTCCCCTTCCTTTGTTGGCCGCTTCTTCTCGAGACGACGAAGCCGTTCCTTACGAGACTGCTTCCAGTGCCTGCATCTCATCAGCAGCGACCTCCCTCATCTCAACGAACGCGCAACCCTGTTGGCGCTCCAAAGCCATGCCCATCTCACAATAACAATCTATCCCTTCCCTAGTTGTGTCGGGGCCATATGTGATGAAGCTCTGTGATCTTGGGCTCCGAACCGGCATCCTCTCATGCGGTCGTCAGCAGACCAAAAAACCGTCATCCGAGGGTCTAAAGCCCACTTACTTTCCTGCTCATCATCGATAACAACATGACCGACTCTCGGCCACCGCGCTCGACCACTACCTCATTTCCTGGCCAGACCTCCCCTCGCCGCAATCACCCCTTGGAGAATGGATCGGGTGCTTCACAAACAGCTGGCTCCAGCCAATCAAACTCATGGACGGACGAGAAGTTTCTATTGACTCCTCCTGTACAAACGAACACAGTCAATCCTATCGACCAAGCCTTGACTGAGCAGAATATCAAAGCCTTTCAAGCAAACAACCAGGCATTCCAGCAAAATTCACACATCAATGTCTCTCCCGCGGCGGGACACGGACTCAGCATCCACCAACATGACCCGTTACATAGCCTCAGCGGCCTGCACATTCGAACAGACGTTGCTGGTCCAAGAAGATCCGGGTCCACCTATTCCGTTGAGTCGGAATCACGTCTGCGATCAAGTACTTCGGCATCCAGTCTGCCACGACGGGCCCCGAGTGTGAGAAACTTGTTACACTCCTCGGCCGGTTCCGTCTCCCCTGGCACTGTCATTTCTTCTCCTCAAATCGCTGCCATGCTAGACATCACTCCATTACCATCCCCAACCATGGCTGCGTTCGAGTCGTGGAAGGCATTGTCAAGAAACCGATCACGTGCTTCCTCGGTCTCATCGATCAAAGATATGCCTCCTCCAGCATACCCGACATCCAATCTATCTCCTACATCTCCACGTCGCAAGGGTTATCCCGGACTGCAGCCTGCTTCTAGGCCAAGCACATCCGATGGGCAAGAAAGCAGCCTCGACGACCCGCGTACTCGAAGTGTAAGTGATTATGTGCCCGAAACCCTGGTTTCCCCAAAGCCACGGAACATTGCCGTGTCTACATCTGTGAGTTCACCAGACAAAAATAAATCTCCGCCCATGCTCCGTGAAGAATACTTAGGTGTTCAACGAGGCGTCGTTGAAGCCTCAGCAGCCTCTACAAGTCCACCAAGGATCCCAGAGAACCAGGAAATGCAGATCAGCCACGACGAGGAACCTCTGGCCAAGCGGCCCCGACTTGAGGTGTTTCATGCGAAGAGCATCAACACGGGCGAGCCTCGATCGTACGAAGCAATACGATTGCTAGGCAAAGGCACTTTTAGCAAAGTTTATCTAGCTGTTCGACAGGTCGGCGACCGCAAGGATAGTGTAGACTACCGTCAAGACAGTATCAATATGGCGGGTGTTCGAGCAAGGTCGAGGCGATTAGTGGCTGTCAAAGTGGTGGAACACGGGCCAGCGGGCGGTGCCGATGCAGAGAGAATAGAGATTGGACTCAAGCGTGAAGTGGACCTTTTGAAAGCTGTCCAGCATCCATCACTTGTGCATTTGAAGGCATTCGGCAATGACGGAAATCTACGGGCGCTTTTAGTGATGAACTATTGTCCTGGAAATGACCTGTTTGAAGTTGCGAGTAAGAATCGTGATGTGTTGGTCCCATCACTGGTCAGAAGAATATTCGCAGAGTTGGTTTCCGCGGTCCGTTACTTGCACCAAAAGTTCATCGTTCATAGGGATATCAAGCTGGAGAGTAGGTTTTGTGCTGTGCGTCTATGGGCTTGGGCTTTGCTGACTCAGTCTCAGACGTTTTACTGAACATTCCAGTTCGGGTGCATCCAGATGTATCTGATTGGCAGAAGCTGGACAGAGCGGTGGTGACCTTGACTGACCTCGGACTTTCGCGACGGATCCCCGAACCGCCCGAGAGTCCGCTTCTCAGTACGCGATGTGGAAGTGAGGATTATGCGGCTCCAGAGATCCTGATGGGCCAACCATACGATGGACGACAGACCGATGCGTGGGCATTGGGTGTACTTTTATACGCGCTGATGGAGGGACGATTACCATTTGACCCTTTACCCGGAGCTCGAGGCGACCCTGCAGTCCTACGAGCACGAACGCCACATCGGATAGCACGCTGTGAATGGGCATGGGTCAAATATGGAGATGAAGACGGCGATTGGGACAGTGAGAAAGGCCAAGAATTCGAAGGTGCCAGGATGTGTGTCGATGGGCTGCTGAAACGGAACACAAGACGCAAACCTATGAATGAAATTCGTGAAATGATCTGGGTTCGAGATGGAATCCAGGTAGACGGCGGTCTTAGGTGGGTGGAGGAGGAATCTCTGTGATACTAAACGAAACGAACAAATGGGACAACAAAGGCGACCGGTGGTTTTAAATATGACTTTTGCTTTGCTTGAATACCCTTTTTTGGACGTGTCTGAATAGCAAGGGATAGACTCGGGCGCCTCGGTACGTATCAGGCAGTGATAGAATCAAATGTACGCATAGTGTATCATATTTGATCATGACAATAAATGCATCTTTAATACTAGTTGCTGTAACTTTGGTACCTCGCTGGGTACCCGGTGCTGGTTCTTGAATGGTGAGTAGTGACGGCAAGAATACCGTATGTTACGACTCTTTGAGAGGTGTCTGGGCATTTTCGTACTGATATACTGTATATGTGTGTATATTCCGGAGTCGCGACTTCCTCCCCGGAGCTTCCCCATTTAAGCTTAATTGCCTAGCATCTGATTGGTGGCCGCCATCAACTTCCCCGACTTTTTTCTTACTGGAAGATCAACTCTTCACGCATACCGCATACGACTCCGCGTCCATATATTTGAAAGAAGTAGGAAGACGGCGCTGAGGAGGAAGGTGGTACTTCATTGCTTCGAAAGATACTCATCGGTATCATTCAGCTACTGCTGGCGCTTTCACCATGAGACCATCAGCTGCCTTACGGAGCCTGCGTCTGCGGCAGGCAAAGACACAATTCTTTGACAACAAGACAGCGTATGATTGCATATGACTCCTCCGTCTCTCTTCCCATCTGTACTGACGTTTCCTCCAGCTGTCGGACCTTCTCATCCTCGTGCTGCATCCGCAATGACTCCTCCTCAGATGACTCGGGCTTCAACAAAGTCTCGAGGAAAATCACCCAGCCAAAATCCCAGGGTGCCTCACAAGCCATGTTGTATGCCACAGGCCTTAACGAAGGTGACATGAATAAAGCACAGGTCGGAATCTCATCGGTGTGGTGGTCAGGAAATCCCTGCAACATGCATCTGCTCGACCTGTCCAATATTGTGAAGAAGGGTGTTGCGGATGCAGGACTCGCTCCTATGCAATTCAACACTATTGGTGTCTCGGATGGCATTTCCATGGGTACCACCGGCATGCGTTATAGTCTACAGTCTCGGGAGGTCATCGCGGACTCGATAGAGACTGTCATGCAGGGTCAATGGTATGATGCCAACATCTCCTTGCCAGGATGTGACAAGAATATGCCTGGCGTGATGATGGCCATTGGTCGTGTCAACCGTCCCTCGATCATGGTCTACGGCGGCTCCATCGCTCCCGGCTGTGCATCAACTCAGAACAACGCAGATATCGATATTGTTTCTGCATTCCAAGCGTACGGTCAATTCATTACTGGAGAAATCAATGAGGAGCAGCGTTTTGACATTATCCGCCATGCGTGCCCAGGTGGCGGCGCTTGCGGTGGTATGTATACCGCTAACACTATGGCTTCAGCCATCGAGACCCTCGGTATGACGTTACCGGGCTCAGCGTCTAACCCCGCCGAGTCACGAGCTAAACAACTCGAGTGTCTGGCTGCTGGAGGCGCGATTAAGAATCTCCTCAAACTCGATCTGCGGCCTCGTGATATAATGACTCGCCAGGCATTTGAAGACGCAATGGTACTCGTTATGATTACCGGGGGTTCCACCAACGCGGTACTGCATCTCATCGCCATGGCCGACGCAGTGGGTATTAAGCTTACAATTGACGACTTCCAAGCTGTATCCGACCGGACGCCATTCCTCTCGGATTTGAAACCTAGCGGAAAATACGTCTTCAATGATCTTCATACTATCGGCGGAATCCCAACCTTGCTGAAGTTCCTCATCAAGGAAGGCGTTGTAAAGGGTGAGCACAGGACCGTCACTGGCGAGACCCTCAAGAAGAACGTCGAGTCTGCAGCCGACTTCCCTTCAGATCAGACCATCATCAAACCGTTCTCTCAACCAATCAAGCCTACCGGCCACATTCAGATCCTTCGAGGCTCACTCGCACCTGGCGGTTCCGTAGGCAAGATCACAGGAAAGGAGGGTCTACGATTCACCGGCAAAGCCAAAGTCTACGACGCGGAAGACCTCTTCATCGAAGCGCTAGAACGCGGTGAGATCAAGAAAGGTGAAAAGACTGTGGTAGTGATCCGGTACGAAGGCCCTAAGGGCGGTCCCGGTATGCCCGAGATGCTGAAACCCAGCTCGGCGATCATGGGCGCAGGCCTCGGCAAGGACGTTGCACTCATCACGGACGGCCGTTTCAGTGGTGGTTCGCACGGCTTCCTCATCGGCCACATCGTCCCTGAGGCCATGGAAGGTGGACCCATCGGCTTGGTTCGAGATGGTGATGAAATCATCATCGATGCGGAGAAGAGAGTCCTCGACTTGAATGTACACGAGGATACCCTCGCTACCAGGCGCGAACAATGGGAGGCAAATCGACCCGCCCCCCGTGCCACAAGAGGCACACTTGCGAAATACGCCAGGCTCGTCTCTGATGCCAGTCATGGCTGCATCACGGATGGTGAGGATACTGTCGCTTTACATTGATGAATGGGAACTAGAATCGGAAAAAAATGAATCGTTCAAACCACAAGGGACGAGTACAGTCGACGAGCTTTCCTGTAGGGGTGTCCAGCGATGCCCAATTACAACCCAGAAATGGGGTCGATGCTTGATTTCCACGCTAGTTTACTACACCTGGCAGGCATTCATGTCGACATAGTTTTTTCCCGCAGCGTCGTGGGAAAGGAAGATCCATGGTGGGCTTTTCCCTGTGAGTATGTGATGAATTGGGAGTGCATGCATGCACACAGAAAACAAATACCAGGCCCTCAGAATCAAAAGAGAATTTTATGAAAGCGCAAGCTGTAAAGAAAGGCCCTTCGAGCCGAATGATTGCCACGAAAGAGCTTCGACTAGTTGGTCTCGAAATACAATATCAATCTGTGTGTCACAACACATCCTTTCTGCCTTGAGCATTACCCACTAGCCCGAGATAGTTTGTTTCGCTGTTGGCTTTCTTACAGCTTTACTGCTTTGGTGACTTACTTACTGACTTTTTGGCTTGTCCGCTTGATGGGTGATGTGCTCGCTGGCTTATGTCCCTTTTGGCTTACTGGCCTTTTGCGTTAGAGTGGCTTGCTGGCTTACATCCTTGCTGGCTTGCTGGCTTGTGTGAAATCCTTGCTGGCCCATTTGCCTCCGCGTGTGCATGCCGGCTTTTAGCTGTAGTGTGTTGGGACCTATCAACCAGGCAGATAGCTGGCTCGGGGCGGGTTCTTTATTGCGACTACATTGATCCGATCGCCTTCTCGCACATACACATGTACCAGGTGAACACGCATGTGCTCGCAAGACCTAATTGAGCATGGCGATACCAGATCTGCGACGGGCGCCTTTTCTCGTGAGTGCTGTATAGTTCCGTTCACCTGCTGTTTCAAGCACAGTCAGTGCGTCTAGCGACACTGCGCAGCCGATGCGAAGGGGCGAGAAAGCAGCGGCAGGGGCGCGACACTCGGAAAAGGCTCAAGCACTTTCAAATGACGCGTCTGACAGACATATCACGTCATTTGCCCAGCCTTACCAGCCTTACTGGCATTCCCCTCCCAAGCCCGAGCGTGGAAGGTACAGTTTTCGTGGTGATTTGGGACCAAGCTTACGAGTATGGAGTCCAGCCCCGAAGCAAAAGATAATTTGTGATCTTCCATGTGATGAGCTAGATCGCTAGGTGCTCGTTCTACATACGTAAGATTTAGTTACCCATTGGACATTATTGGACTTTGTACTGAAGGCCTGCGAGCCGTCCCACGGTCACAATGGACTTGGGACGTCGAGTTGACCCGTGGGATCCTCGCTCGGACTCGACGCGGATGCGGGCTGCTCCTGGCCAAGCCCAGTCACGCTGTAATTACGAGGTGCGTTGTCGTTTTGAGCGCGGCCATTGGCGTTTGGCAGTTTCGGGAGAGGTGAGCGTCGACGATGAAACAGGACTCCGGATCAATGGCTTCGTCCGTCTGTTCCGCTCTATAGCCGTAGCCCACCAGCTACCGGATGGACATTTAAGTTGAAGCTGTAGCTCGAGGCGCGCGCTATCTGTTAACCCAAGAAAGCAAATTGCAGACGTCATGGAAGAGCCGACGCACGACTCCCGCTGCGCGGAAAGGTTACTGTGATCGCACGGAGACTTTAAGTGTGGCCCTCCGGAAGGTTTTGATTCACAACCCTCCTGTCCGGCGAGTAAGCCACTGGTCAGCACGTTTGGCCCGCTGGTGAGCGTGACAGCGCAAGAAGCCTTGTCACAGTAGATCAGGAGAAGAAGGCAAGATGGGAAATGAGAGATCAGTGATGAACGATAGAACACGACTTTCAATGAGGTTTTATTCTATATTGTCCTTTCCTATCCTGAGAAGAGAAGCTCGTTCATAGTACAATCGAGTGGCCACAAATAAATCTGTGTAATCGACTGCCGCTCGATAACGCAAGTCCGTATATATCATTTCTCGCAGCTTTGTTCACCGCACAAGGGTATCGACGGGTTCAATATTTGTGTAGTAGAAGTATGAAATCTATCCCAGCCATAAAATGCAAAGTGAAGTCGGGGGAGCATCTGTCCAGAAACCATCAACAATAGGAAAACTCCAGGTTGGAAATGCAGCGATGATTAATAGAATGCCAAGCCATGATGCGCCAAATATGTAAGGTCATGTTGCTCATGAATGCTGACAGCGAGAAAAGGGTATGTCATGTTGAACAAGATGGTACAGTAACACACCAGTACCAACTGGAAGAATATTTAATGTTGAAGATCTGCTCAAGCTCCACCATCCAGTTTGACCTTGCCCTTGATACTTTCCCATCTTGGTGCGAAGGCAATGACGAAGCTCACCCCTGCAAAGGCAATGCACATCGCGAATGGAACTTTCAAGCCTTCCATATACGCAGATAAGATCCTCGGTATTTGCTCCTCGGTGAATACCTTCCTTAAATCAGTGGCACCGGTGGCGACTACCAGGCCAGGGTTGATATCTGGGGCCTTGACAGCAAGAGCTTTGAGTGTTTTGTTCACGAACCCTGCTTGCGCGGCAGAGATGAAAACAGCTCCTCCGACTGTTTGGAAGAAGAGGATAATAGCGCTGACAGAAGATAGATCTGAGGGCTTGACGACGGCTTGGGCGACGATCACAGGTATTTGAAAGCACAGCCCGATGCCAATGCCGACAAGAGCCTGATATCCAATCCATTTTGGGCTCCCGCTCTCAATCTCAAGTGTGTAGATAAGTCCAGAGCCAATCGTGGCCACAGCTGAGCCAAAGATCATGACAGGTACATATTGTCCCCATACAGTTAGCAAGACACCGCAGATGACGGTGAAAAGGCTTGCTCCGAAAACCAGGGGAAGATTGTTGATCCCTGATTTTGCAGCAGAGACGTTTTTCGTAGCTTGAAAGTAGATCGGGAGGTAATAAAGAAGTACGAAGAAGCCCGCGGCGATCATCATAACGTAAGCGGACTGAGCTCCGATGGTACGGTCCTTCAAAAGGCGACCTTGGAGGAGGGCACGATCATCCTGGAAGTATTCGATGACGATGAAAGCGATGAGGAGAACGCCAAAGAGGACCAGTGTGGCGATGACGGATCCATCCGACCAGGGTTTTGTAGCACCTCCCCATTGCATGGCAAGGAGATAACAAATAATTGCTGCCATGAGGGTGAAGGTGCCAGGGAAGTCCATCTGTAAAAACTTTTCCCTCCAAGTTGCTGTTTGAGGCTTCGCAGCCCTTGGAGTGTGGAAGAAAACTATGATAATAGCACATGCCACTCCACCGATAGGGAGATTTATATAGAAACACCAGCGCCACGACAGATGGTCAGTGAAGACACCGCCCAAGAGAGGGCCAATCACCGATGCTATACCAAATGTCGCACCCATAATGCCAGTGAGAGCCGGTCGTTGGGCGGGCGGAGCAGAGAAGGCGATGATGGTGTAGGAACCGGAGGCGATGCCAGCGCCGCCCATGCCAGCAATTGCTCGTCCAACGATAAGAGTGGTTGAATTATTGGCAACTGCACAAATCAAAGACCCAACCTCAAAGATGAAGATGCCGACAAGAAATGAGGTTTTGAGAGGAAAATATTTGTACACCTTGCCCCACGTGGCTTGGAACGAGCCAACTGTAAGAAAGAATGCAGACCCGTACCATCCGACCTGGTCGAGGGAGTGAAACTGATCTGTTATCTTGGGAATAGCAGTAGCGACAATAGTCATGTCAAGGGCGACAAGAAAGATGCTGGCAGAGAGGGCAACGACAATCATTGTTAAGGGGAAGGCTGAAGGATAGTCGGCTGTGTTGATACGTGAGAGCTCACGGTTGAGCTCAGAATCGGCATCTTTCTCCACGTCAACTGGTTGAGCTGCTGAGTCTTTTGTGTCAATCGGAACATCTTTCTCGCTGTCGTTGGACACAATAGGTGGTTTGTTGAGATCAGAAAGCGAAGTCGCCGCTGAGGTTTGGTGTGACGCGTTGGTGGTCATGGTGGGCGATAGGGAGATGAATAACCAGACAGCAGCGGAGGACAGAGAAGGGTGGATTGAGGGAGAGAAGATTTCACGTCCAACAGAAGACACGACGAAAAATTAGAGAAACAGGATAGATATATATTGAGCCTCGTACTCGGGTTGTCACCAATAGATATAACGTTAGTCTCTCTCCACCAAGCGCGCCAAACAGGACGAAGTCAGACTCACAACAAAGGGCAAGACGAAACAAGGAAAAGAGACCAGTGAGCCAGTGCGTTCGGACGAAGGGTGGACAGAGCAATGAGACGGTGGTGGATCAACGGTGGATCGATGCTCTCAAAGGTGAATCATCCAGAACACGGCGATAGCGATAGCGTATCCGCACTTGCAAGGAAAACCTACCTTTGGCGAGGGTAACGGTAAGGCCAAACCTGAGGCCATGGTAGGCGATATGCACGTGCAAGAGAGATCTGTTCAACAGCCAACAAGGCTGAACGGACCCAAGGCCATGGTGCAAGATGAGTGGTTCAGATGTGATCGGCTAGGGTGGGAATCCGTGATCCGATTGAAAAGAATACTGGTAAAGCCAGGATGGGGGTTTGGTCCACCAATTTGACGGATTTTAGAAAAGGGGAAAATCCGTGCCCGGCCGGCACTTGCCTACTTTGGGGAGATACGTGGGCGCGACCTCGGAAGCAGGGTCGAGGTTCTTCCGGAAGGCAGAAAAGGGAAAGAGAGCCAGATATGGCCTAGTCCGACTCAGTGAGGCTTAGCGCAGGCGCCAGGCTCGCCAATCTTTGTCAGCGGACGCCTGCGTGGGTTCGGCCGAAGCGCCGGACGGACGAAACTGCCACGCACTGTCACACGGGATACCAGGAACTCTACCAGGTACTTGTTCTGGGCGGGTGAGGATAATCAGATCAGGCAGACATGGCTTGCGGATTACGAGTAATTGATCGTGGGAGGAGGAAAGTCACCGACACTAAAAGGGACTACGTGCTCATGTATCATCAGTAAGACTCATATGTGCGGGCTACGAAATGGGTAGTCAAGCTGTTTTACATACACTCTTGCAGAGACATCGGAGGCTTCTTACTTCCATGGCTCCAGTGGTGCTCGCGGTACCGAGCACAAATCTGCCATCGACGGAGTGGATGGGAGTACTCGGTACTGTATGTACAGATAGTAAATACTTATCAGTAGTGCTCCGTACATTTGCCATTGGACAGGGGACTTTTGAAGGTTCTGGAAGCATTCCACCGCCCTGGCCCCCAACCAACCAAGTCCTGTCCTCCACGTGACTATCAGTCAGCACTCTCTTTTCTGCCACCGTTTGCCCTCTGCCCTTTGCCCGCTGGTCGCCCGCCTGAATAACATGCCAGTCTATCTCGATCTCGATTCTCTACACGGTGCACATTCCATGGCTGACTTATCCACTGATTAACCGATAAACTCACCGATAGCGACCTGCAATTTTGATCACAATCATTCTCCTGCGTGCGCTCTCCGGCCTTCGGAATCCGTCCCATTCCATCCTCCTCAACAGTCTTACACCATGACCCAACCGGAAAGTGGTGCTACCTCCCCCTACAATGACTCGCAAACGGCCCATTCCGACCATGCTCAAGGTCCCCTGCGCAAAAAGATGCGAAAGGGCACAAAATCCTGTCTAGAGTGTCGACGACGCAAAATCAAGTGTACTTTTGAACCAGGGCGGCCGGCCTGCTGCAACGAATGTTATGCCAGAGGATCCACATGCATTGACCAAGAGCATGGAGACGTGCAGACATATGCCACAAGTAATCCAGAGCAATCCTCATATTCTCTGAGGGAGCGCGTCTCCCAACTCGAAGATCTTGTCAAACAGGTCCTGCATCGACTACCTGAGAGGGCCGATGAGAAGTCCACCGGCGCCGAGCAAGAAAAGTCCCAGGTCGATGCCCAAGCTGCTGAAGTTCTGAAGTCGCTGAAGAGTTCCTTGCGACGAGCTGACGCTGTACTGGAAGAGTCCCTTCTTCTTCCGGGCGGGCTCCGAGACGACGCTCCTGCCCTCACCCTCTTTGACAATGAAGTAATCACCAGAAAAGAAAGTCAGCCTGTGGTCTCCCGAGCCCAATACAACAAGTCGAAAGCCCTCATAACAGCCCTCAATCAATTGCTGCCATCGCCACATGATCTCGACATCATTCTCGCATACTCTCACGAATGGTGGCTTATATGGAGGAAGATGTTCCCTGAAATTACGGACAGTCGGTGTGAGACCATCAAGGAGTCTGTCTCACATTCTCTGCGGTCGGAAAAACCTGCTGAGCTGGCCAAAATCATGCTATGTATAGCGATCGGTGTCCATCAGTTGCCGGAGAATTTCGACTGGTCCATCTTGCAAATGAAGGAGGAGCCAGCTGAGCTCATGGAAAGATATATTGCCACTGTCGACCGCCTGATAACATCCGACGACGAAATTGCCGCCACTCTCGAAGGAATTGAATGCATGATGCTTGAGGCCAAATATCATGTGAATATGGGTCGTCCTCGGCGTGCTTGGCTCCTCTTTCACCGCGGCATCGCATTCTCCCAGCTGCTTGGATTTCATCGCTTAGCAGCTCAACCCAATCAATCATCTGCGCAGTATCAACGCCAGGTCAACCTTTGGAGCCATCTCATTCTTGGAGATAGGTATCTCGCCTTACTTCTCGGCCTGCCATATTCCGTATCTGAGGCCTTCGTTGCTCCCTATGTATCGGGTGCGCACCTATCTGACGCCAACACGGGTGAGATTTTCGTTTCCAAGATGATTCCAGTAGTCACCAAGATCAATGATAGAAATCAAAGTATTACTCCCATGGGCTATTCTGCCACCTTGAGACTGGATCAGGATCTGGAAGAATTACACAACTCCCAGGACCCGGGTTGGTGGTCTACGGACCTGTTCCCAAATACACCGCCAGAGGTTCATTTCGATCGACTACAGGCTCATTTCTTCTATCACCAAGCAAAACTATTACTGCACATGCCTTTCATGCTTCGGTCATCGACCGACAAGCGCTATCAGTATTCTCATGCTACTGCCCTAGACGCTTCTCGGGAAATGATCAGGGTTTACGACGCCCTCCGCAGCAACACCGCCGTCGGCCCTTTCATCTGCAAGTTGGTCGACTTTCAAAGTTTCACCGCAGCTATGATATTACTCCTGAATCTGTGTGGTTATTCGCAGCAGCACCGCGCTACTGGCGCTGCACAACCAGATCATGAGCAAGACCAGAAAGACTCAGATCTCATCGATCATACCATACACCTCCTCAAGGATGCATCCAAGGAAGCTGGTGGTGTGGTCGCGGCTCAAAGTGCTCAAGCTCTCGAAATGCTAGCCAAAGTTCGGCAAGGTTGCACGGAACGCGAGATGAGAGAATGTGTTACGGAGACCTGCCAGGTTTCTATTCCATATTTCGGGACGATTTCAATCGGCATGGGCAAAAAGTTTGTGCCGATCAAACCAGGCACATATGTCTCAAAAGCATCAAATGCGATAAACTCCACCATCACAGCCGGAGTTCCCAACAGTGGCTTACCCACCCCTCCCTCTAACTATTGCGGTAGCACGCAACATTCACCACTAGTCACAACGCTGGATACCCAACAAACTGCGCCTCGCCCTCCACTTTTCGACAGCACTACTAACTACATAGCTCCCGGGTTGGATCAACCGTGGCCCGAGACAGACGATCCATTCGTCACCTTCGATAGCTTTATGTCATTCCCCTCTCAAGGCCCCATGGACATCCCCTCCGCGAGCGCGACAACTAGCTCTGTATTCACGCCACAACAGCAGACCCAAAGTCCATATACCAACACCATACACGACTTCAACACCAATATCGGCACCGGAGGTATGGGCAACATCGCCGCTCAAAGTTTCCCATTCGGATCCTTCCCGTTCAACCAGCCAAACCTCGACCTCGACCAAGGTTGGAACTGGTTTGGGGTCGATGCTCCAGTTGTACAGCAGCAGTGAGTGTGAAGTGGGCGTGGAAGATACGCGGGAAATCTGTACTATGATGCCCCGGATTTAAGGATGCACGCACATATGGAGCAGTTTTATTTTTGTTTCGTTCTTTTTTACGATGTATAGAATCTCTAGGATGACAAAAGATGGCGGGTCACGTTCTCCAACGCAATGAATGCAAACAATAATAATGGAGATTTCCTCCTGAGACTGTCTCCCGCTTGCAGAGTTTATCAATCCATGGTCCATAGCCATTGATCTCCAAATAGATTCCGTGTGAGAATGGCAGGACGACTATGCAGAATGAACCAGGACATTTCAAACGAATGTAAATTAGTTCCTCTCACAGAGGAGAGAAGGAGGCGAGAGTAGAGTTGCCGCAACAGTGATTAAACATTTGAAATTAGCACGGCCGTAGATAGTGTGTCATCCCAGAATTACTTGCTTGCAAGAGATGCTATTAATTATTCCTTACTGCAGCTGCGCAAAATAGATGACTACAAGCAGATTTAATATTTTGGACTAGAACAAATTCCGTCCAATTTGCTGCTCGTCTGCCTCGCAAAGATTAACAATACATATCCTGCCTGATTTTGGTGGCCAAGCCGATACTGCTGGTCTCGTCTGCATGTCATTCATAGATTCTTTCCGGTCATTGATCGACCGCGCGTCCTTTTGGTTGCGTGCGCCGTGTCGTCGTCGTCGTCGTCGTCGTCGACGTCTAGCAGTCCTGGCTCCAGTGCAGCTTCGCCATGCGCACCAGCGTGTCAAAGCTGCTGAAGTTGCCGTCTGCAGGCACCCAGTCGCTCGTGTTCCCCTGGAGATACTTGGCCGCTGCGGGGGTGAAGAAACTCGTGCCGTAGACGTCCACAAGCGTGCTGTCGTCGGTGATGTTGGCCACGCTGACGTTCGCCTGCACGTAATGCGGGCTGTTGAAGTAGCCCTGGTTGGTGTGCACGGTGTTGTCGCCGTCGTTGCCGAAGTCGTCTTCCGTCACGTACCCGGGGGTTTTGACGAATGTGGTGTTGGGGCTTGTTTGGCGTTTGTATACCTTGTCGGTCTGCATGTTGAGGAGGAGCTTTTTGGCCACGGACCATGGCGCAGTCATGCGCAGCCAGTAGTTCTTGTACGGATTGGTTTGATATGCGTTGTCGATGGTGAAGGCTCCTTGGAGGAGGTCGTACCTGAAGCCACCCGTGTTGGTGAGGATGATGCGTGGGACGTGGGTTCGATTGGGATCGACCACCACTAGTGGGAATACCACGGTTGTTAGATAGTTGAACAGACTTTGGTTGGATGTCAGCGGGAACCGATCCAGATAGTAATTGCCCGGTGAACATCCTAGTCTGTTGGTCAAGTCAGGAAGCGTGTCAATTGCTTCTGTAATGTCTTCGCTGATCCCTTGGCCGTAGGAGGTGTTGAATGTCGTTTCTGTCGACTTGGTATGGTATTCGAAGCTATAGCGGTTGAAGTCGAGGTACTGTCGCGTAAACGATAATGATGAATTCGTGTTTGGTGTCACACCAGGGACTGTAGAAGGCTGTTGAGTGATCTTGGTCCCTGAGCCCTGGGGTGATTTAGCGCGGGTCACGTTGCTCGGTAGGCCATCAACGGAGAGCCAACCAACTGTTTCGCAATAACGGCCTGATGCGATACCCACAGCTGAAGCATCGAAGACAACGGAATCTCTTACATGTCGATGACCACCGAAGATCTGAATTGGCGTCGTCGGGTGGTACTGCCTGATAGCAGAGTAGATCAGTCCCCATTCTGTTGACTTCCGCAAGGTTATATGTCCCGCGACAAGGAACAAGTCAATGTCATTTCTTTTCACCTGTTCCAAAAACCATGGCTTCTTGACAGCATCGCCCACAGGAGTGACCACGCTCGCATTGCTGTTTCCTGTGAAATTGAAGATGAAGGCAAAGCTCATGATCCTGATCCCAAATTTGGTTTGATAGTAGGCATACCGCTGCGAGAAAGGCTTCACAACACCAGTATCGTTGAATTCAACGTTCGATGTCAAGTACCGCCCGCCCCAGTTGGGTGCAAAGTTGTGATAGGTGTCATTTGCAATCTCCGTGGTGTAGAGCTCATGATTACCAATGGAAAGAAGATCGTAGGGAAGCCTCTTAAAGATCGGCAAAGTCAGTTTACCGTTGGGGACGGTAATATCCCCAAAACCAGTCCCGTCATGGAGATCTCCTGAGTCAATGAGCAACAGGTCAACGCCGAGGTAGTCAGCTTTTGCTTTCATCTTTCTGACGAAATCCGCGAAGTCACCATAGTCGGCGCTGTAGTTCTCATCCAGCAGATGCCCCGCCAACCATCCGTGAGTGTCGGTTGTATGGAGGAAGTTGAGTTGGCCCCAATGGATGTCCTTAATCTGCTGGGGAGGGCTTCTCAGTGCTGTAGGCTGGATTCTCTTGTCGAGATCATGTCGGCGCATCAGGTCATGGTCCACATAGCCTCCCAGGATGGGCGAGGTCCATTCATGGTCCTCACAGGCACGAAGTGGGCGAAAGAGCGCGGCGGCCGTGAGGAACGATGTCAACAACATGGCGGGCAGCGTGGTACGAACAGACACGGATGGGGAGCAGAAAGGAAAAGCACCGACGGAATCACGATCACTGCCAGCGAGCAAGCTACATTTATGAAAGCCACGAGGCGAACCAGTGGCTGGGTCAATCGGCACAGCGCTTCTCTCACTAAGGAAGTTCGTAGAGCTGGTGAAGAGCTTGCCTTGCTAATGCAGGTCTGGGTAGGATCGTCATTGTGGAAGAGCTGTGGATGCACCAGATATCCAAGGTTGTACTTGCCATTGCCCGAAAAGATCGACACTCGACACTAGGTATAGACTAGTGAAACTGTGCGAGGTGGTCCGGACGTACATACCAGGCCCGCAGGTCTGGAGAAGAGTTGCAGTGGAGCAGATAAGCATCTACGTGACGTCGATAATCAAGTGGTCAAGCATTGTGGAATAGCCTGGAAGAGCTTTAGATCCCAGGTAGAGCAAGACCCAAGGAACCAAGTCCACTTTGCAGCCTAATGCAGTGGGCCGAGCGTTGAAAGGCAAAAAGCCGGGCAGAGGAGCTCACGGGAAAAGGCACGAGGGGCAAGTGATTGGAGGTTGTTGACCACACCACGCAACGCATGGTACAGGGTGCTTGAATCTTATACATAATTACGACCTTGGGAGGTTTGGTGGGCACCATCGACAACTGGATTTACTGGCGATTGAGCTGGCCACGTGGGTACATCGTGAATGAAGAAAGTCTCTCATATGATTTGCTTCGTTTTATTCATTCTTATTCCTTACAAGATTCTCGTATAGCCCATGAAAGAGACAGGGTCCCGGCTAGGCTGGAACAGCGATGGAGTACTAGTAAAAGGAGAATTTCCCATGTCAAAAGTAGGGGACAACGCTACCACAGTATCCTGGAAATTGAGGTCCAACCATGTCAGTGTCACACAAGGAATTGCCTTCATCCGCTCCCCGACCTCTCATGCTGGCGTCATTCCGAATGTACTTGAAGCACTCTGACCGAAAGGAGATGGTCCTTAGTTGACCTAACATATTATTGGATTTGTGGCGAAAATTCCCTGATAATGCATTAACGTAGAAAACCAATGGACTAACTGGAGAGACTTACCTGATTCTCTGCCTGGAGAGCGGTCAATCTTGACTCGCCTTCTATATCTTTTAGCAGTTCGTCAATTTTCTTGACATCATCGATGGCCCAGAAGGCTACAACAGCATCGACAGTTCCACGGCTGTGCTTCTCGACAAGTTCATCATCCACAGCGGCAAAGCAAAGTCGATAGTACTGCCAGCCCTTCTCCTCCATGATTTGTTGGGTAGGTGAGAACATGGTGCCGGGTGCGAGTAAGACAAGATAAGGTTTCTGGGTCATGAGAACCCACAACGCCTGTGAAAGTCGTGGGCCATGCACCTTGCCAAAGAGTGGATGTGTCTCAAAATGTACCCGGAGCCAAAGGAACATGCCGGCCATGGGGTAAGCGAAGTCGTAAAGTTGGGTTTTGTGAAGCACCTGGTAATCATCGGCATCCAACTGTGAGATGCTTGATCTGCGCGGTGTGTCTTGGATCAAGAATTGCCCTTCATCAAGGATATTTGCCATAAGCTGCATGCGCCTCTCGTAGTTGCCTCGGAGACCTTCAAGCCAGCGAACCCATCCATCTATACCCCAACCACTGCCATCTTTGCTGCCTCCCTTACCGGGATCACCGTGGGCCGAAGGTCCCAAGAGAAGTTCGGCAACCAGGCTTTGAACAAATCCACTGGGTTGCTGCGTTCCAGTCTCAGTAATCAGTTGGACTTTCTCCACAACAGCTGGTTGGGCCGTGATCCACCCCAGTCGGCAACCTGGCGCTACAGTCTTGCTGAAGGTGTCCAATCTCAGTACTCTCCCGTCAACGTCAAGCGAAAGGTACGACGGAACAAGGCTGTCCAAAAATGGGAAGCCACTGGATCGGCCCCCAGAAGTGGTGTTGTAGTTGTGTTTGGGGTCGACAGGAAAGTTCATAGATACTGGCTTTCCCCTGGCCTTGACTGAAATTTCGTTGGCCGATGGATACTGAAGGTACCAATACGGGTCATCTTCAATGATAATGAGGTCAAACTTCTGTGCCAGTGCGTAGATCTCTTTGCGCCTTGTGACCGAGAGAAGCCCAGAAGTAGGGTTTTGGCCCATGCTAATCAAATCAGCCGTTGCACCGGAAGGGGAATTGTATACAACTCACGTGACGGTGTATATGAGATGAGGCCTTTTGCCCTTGTTCTTGTCCCAAGAGGACAAGACGTCTTCAAGGCCGCCTTTCCCATGAGCCAACATTCCCTCATCATCAATTGCTACTGGCACCACGTTAAGACCTCGAGGCTTTGCTGTTTGGATGGCATTCATATACGCAAATTCTTCACAGAGAAGGCCTTCTCTTTCCCGAATCCAATCTCTTTCTTCGTCCCATACATTACTAAAAAGGTCAAGTGCCTTGGAAAACCCGTCGGTTGACCCACAGGTCAGGATCACTTCAGGGCCCCCTTTATATGGAACATTGGGATGCAAGTAGTTCTGCGCAAAATCTCTAACGAAGGAGTAAAGAGGAGGATAGCCCTGGGCTGTGCCATATTGGAGCGCGGTAGTCAGATCAATCTTGCGCAGCAGGTTAGGTTCCGCAGAATCATGAGGAACAAGGACGCGCGCTGCGGCTGGTCCATCAGAGATACTCGCTCTTGAAAGTTCGGTGGCCGGAGGGTCGACAGGTTTGTTAGGTGTGGGCTTGAATCGATCTGGAAGTGCACTTGCTGCTTCTAAGGTATCATATGGGAAATACCCAGGGTTGGGTAAGCCTGTACTGCGATTAGTTGTAGCTCGATTCAACACTCTGTCGTACGTACCTCCTGCTAGATTCCCAATTCCTGGGATAGAAAAGTATTGATAGAAACGTTTGACCTGACTGGGGAGCCGCTTTCTGGCAACACGAGAAAAGTGATAGGATACGTCCTTCGGCGCAGGTCGCTCTGTCGCTGTTGACATGGCCAGGTTATGAACTTCTGAGCCCTCCTGTTGTGAGCGGTAATATATATAAGTAAGAATAGAAATTGGAATATAGTTTGTGGTCAAAGATAAATGTGGTTAATTCAGGAGGATGTCAGATCGTTAGTAGGTGTAGTATCTCGAAGAGTTCATGATGACTATTCCACCCGTGCCCACATTGCTGGGGATCTCGGAATTGATAGCAAGGGCGATAAGGTCCGGGGTCGCATTACTCCGTCCAATGGAGCCGTCAGAGTGGGATTAACGCCCTTTGATGCTGGCCGATGTTCTGGTCAGTTTTCTGTCTCTTACCAATCGAAGTACCTGCGGATGGTCTTCAGCGATACCCACAGGGATTTCTCCTTAGGATAGCAGTGGTCCCTCGCAGGTCGTCAAAGAATAGCAAGTCCACAGACATGCATGCCATGATGACACCAAAAGTGGCGCGTTGAAGCAGGTGCGTCACATCAATTGATGCCGAGACTGCGTTCGTTCTTCTTACTGTTTCTCCGTATATTCACGGTGCAGCATAGATCTGTAGATGGCATGTGCAGAGCCGAGGCCTTGGCATCAAGGTCGGGATTACGTAGGTCCTGCCGACACGGCATTGGGTTACCTCCGTAGAACCCAACGTAAGCCCAAGGCTGCGCGGTGAAACATGCCCTCGATTTGGCGTGTTTCTAACATCCATTGTCAGCGCATTCTGGCGTTTGCTTATAGATTGTTTCTTCCATCCATTATCTGCTAGTATTGTAACCTTCGGAAGCTCTGCATTGTATCCTTTTCTATCTAACTGACCCCTCGGTCGGGCAACTCCCCTCACTATGGGACCTACATATCGTGATGAGGATGAGGCTTACGTCGCAGATATACCTGCATTGACCGACGATGAAACTGATAGTCTCCCTGAGAGTCGAGATCTTCACATACGATCAGCCTCCGAGACCTCCGAGACCGCCCTTCCAATCCCCATATGGCTCAGAGAATCCGCAAGCACATTTAAATACAAATGGGTTCCCCTGCCTGTCCGGAAGACCTCTAGAGCGGTGATAATCTGGGTCAAGGGGCCTATACCCCCACAGATACTGCGGATCGAACCCATATTTCCGAAATTACAGAGAGCTCCGATTGCTCTGCTGGACAGATATGCGCCGAAGAAAAAGCAGCGCTTCATTCTTCTGGCCGCTCTCTATGCCGCTTGGTTTCTTACTTGGTCCCTGATGCTCAAAAGTCATTCTACATCCGGATTTATCAAAGGCTATGGCAGGCCTCGGAACTTATGGTGTGGCGCGAACTTCTGGAATGAAGGCAATGGATGTGGCCTCAATGGTAATCAATGCCGACCGTTTTCCTCTGCCCATCTGGCCTTTCGATGTCCTGCCAATTGTTTAGGAACACATTTGTTGGAAGAGCGTATAGTCGGAAACATCTCCCTTAGATATGAAGGCCTCGTGGTCGGTGGACCGAATCCTGATGAACCAGGTTCCTTGGCAGTTTATCGAGCCGACAGTTTCATCTGTCAAGCTGCCATTCACGCCGGCGTTATCACTGAAGCCACTGGAGGCTGCGGAGTTGCGTCTCTCATTGGATCTCACCACAATTACGAGTCTTCCAATGCGCATGGGGTCAAAAGCACTTCATTTCCAGCCACATTCCCCCGTTCCTTCACCTTTCAAGGGTTGAATTCATCTCAGGCACAATGCCCCACCGACTCGCGTTGGCCGCTTTTCGCAGTGACAGCCGTTGCACTTGTCATACTGTCACTTTTCACGACTTCTCCTGGAGTCTTCTTTTTCAGCACCTTCGTCATCCTTTTCTTCCACGTTGGCCTGGTCTCGGATCCACCGAATACAGCCAACTTCTATGAATCCATCAGCAAGCTGCTTGAAAGACTTTTGCCAGCAGCATTTATATCATATATCCTTTATAGAACCTCTGCTATACCGCTACTGAAGGGGCTGAATGCCCAGATTGAAAAGACAGTTCTCTACCTGGGATTTGCTTTTATCGGTGCGCTGAACAACTATACCTTTGCGCCACTGATCCCGATTGAACGATTGACGCCACATGACCTCGCTCAACCAGGAGCAGCTCTGGCACTAACCATCATTATTACCACCGTTGTTGCAATCATCATTGGCCAGATCCACTACATTCGCTTGTCTGGAAATATGCCTAAATATCTCGCTATATATGCAAGCTTTGGACTTGCACTCATCATCCTGTTGCTTCTTCCAGGTCAGCGCCTCAGGATACATCACTACATTCTTGCTTTGGTCTTTATGCCGGGTACAGGGTTTCCAACTCGCCCAGGTCTCATCTATCAAGGCCTGTTACTCGGTCTCTTCGTCAATGGCGTCGCCAGATGGGGCTTTGCATCGATCATCCAGACTCCCGCAGCTTTAGGAGAGGAAGGTGGTGGCAATGGTGGATCATGGTGGGGTGCGAAATCTCCCAATGTCACAGCGGTCGTTGGACCCACCGCCTCGAACATTACGTTCAATTGGGGTCGCTTACCGATAGACACTGGCATTGACGGCGTCAGCATCCTTATTAACGATGTGGAGCGCTGGCGCGGCTACACCGATGAAGAGCTGTACTGGGAACAGGAGCAAGTCACTCTAGATCGCCGTGAGCTGGACAATGACTACGAGCCCGAGTTCTTCAGATTTGCGTGGATGAATGGAAACTCTGCCGGGAGATACAGTCGGCCAGGCGTCTGGGACAAGAACGGTGTCTGGCATGAAGGCCACAGAAAATGATATATTTCCTTGGGCTAGTAGGGATTGGATAAACGATGACTGCGGGTATTATTAGTAGAGAAATGTCTTGGACGTTCTTAGAATACACTATGATTGGAATCGAGTTAAAAGTGCCGATAACATGAATGGCGCTTTACGAAAGCATTTCTAAATGACCATCACCTTAAATTGTAGCATGAACATCCATACTCTGGCCTATCCGAACGATAATCAGAAATACTAGGTGTTATGTATGAAATCTCTACGTCCTGGTACTCGTATGTTGACCGTCGGCTCGTCGGTCAAACGAAAATCCGAAGGGGTAAATTGACTTGGCATGTCATCCTCATCTCGTGCCATGCTCATGCTCATCGTGCGCAGACAAGGCTACAGCAAGGCCAGTAACTGGATTCTAATTGAACCTCTGCAGGCAGTCATGGCCTCTAGGAGGCCGCTGCATTCAAAATTCCCAATTACATCGACCGTACTGCACATAATGTCACACATTCTCAACTGATGCATTCCAAACATCCATACCTAGAACAGTCCAGATGGCCTCTCCCGGCAGACCCAGTTCGCAACAATTCCTCACTTCCCCTACGGCCACGTCGCCCACAACGCAATTCCCTTTTCCCGATGTCTCCCAACGGCCGTATGGTACTGGAAACGGCAACATACGCCGAGGTTCGACGGCCAGTTCGATCACGAGCATCGGGGGAGCCCTTGACACTGGGTCTATCAATAGCACCACGATAACCGAGACTGGCCAGAATGCTATTTCAACTCTCCTCCAGCACCCTATTATGCGGACTGGGCTACAAGCGAGTACTGCAGCACCCACCACCGGCTACAAAGCCCCGACGCACCGCGACATTCCCCCAGTGGCCTTGACGAACATTCCTCACGTGGAAGCCAAGGCATTCCATCCGTACCTTGCTCAAGTCGGATCACTTTACGAAGCATTTCAACGAGCAAAGAACGAAGGGGAAGGAGAAACATCTTTATTTCAGAGAGATGCAAAAGAAAGCAAGAACGAGGAATGGGAGGCCGTGTTGAGCAAGAGGCTGCAAAGACCAGGTCATTCCCGCGCTGGATCGATAGCCTCAAGTGTCTCAACTCCCAGCGAACGTCCGCAGCCGAAGAGAAAACAGAGCAGCCAGCGACGACAGGCAGTTACGCCACTGTCCACGATCCCCCCTGTCTATTCCGAAGAGGATTTCCACTTGGAAAATCCAAGGACCTTTGACATTGTTTCGGAGCGATCAGAAATTGTTCGTGATCCAAATGGCACTCCTAGCGGTAGGAAGTCTTTGGCCACAAACGCCATTCTACAGGAGAAGTTGTCTTGGTACATGGACACCGTCGAGGTCCATCTTATTAGCTCGATATCTACTGCCTCGAAATCCTTCTTCTCTGCTCTAGGATCACTCAGAGAACTACATGGAGAAGCTGAGGACTCGGTGGACAGGATCCAGAAGCTACGAAAGGACCTTGCAAAATTGGACAAAGAGATGGCCATTGACGGATTGAAAGTGGTTAATCTCAAACAGAGGCGGGACAACGTCAGACAACTTGCAGAGGCAATCATGCAACTGGAAGATATTGTCAAGTCGGTCCAGACTTGCGAAAGCATGATCGAGCAGGGTGAAATAGATGCTGCCCTCAATGATCTTGATGAGGTTGAAGCATTGATGACGGGACATGCAAGCAAAGCTGAGAGCTCAAATGAACCTGATCGATATCAGAGGCGCGATTTGAGAAGGATAAAGGCGTTAGAAGGTGCTCTTGACGATTTGAATCAGCTCCGTTATCGAGCAGGACGAGGCTATGAAAGCCGCTTCCATTCCAGCCTATTGACCGACATTAGACGGCATGTGGAGCAAACAGAGACCGGAATCACACTCCAGCGATGGGGCAACGCATATACCAGACCCAAACCAGGTCAAAGAAGGGCCCCATCTTCGTTCCCGGGCTATATGAACATTGGTTCTGAATTGCGCGCTGAACTCGAAGTGGAGATGAAAGGTCTGTCCAGAGCAAGATACACAACTCCGGCTGCAACAACCTTTCGCGCAGTGGTATTAAGAGAGATGAAATCCATGATTCGCAAACAACTACCCGCCTCCCATGACGATGATAACGTTTCAACGATATCAGCCTCAACAATGGGAGGTCGCCATATGAGCCAGCAAGAGAAATCTTCTATCCTAGCCAGAAACCTTCGTGCTCTGGATGCGGACGACTGGTATCAAATGTTGGCCACGATATACACCAATATTAGTGAAGGATTGCGCAGGCTTAGCGTGCAGGTCAAGATTCTTCTAGACATCACGAGCAACCTCCCTGAGAATATGATCCGGTCTCCACCTCGAACTCCGGATCCAGCCAGTATCGACCGTGTGGTTAGTCCTGGAGGCCGTCCTCGGGCTACAAGCTCTGTCCAGGCGGAGATGCAACAAGCCCTTGATCTATCTAGCTTGCTGGGCGAAGGAGTTGACCTCGTTCAAGCACAGATTACAAAAGTGGTAAAGGTTAGGTCTCAACAAATTTCTGAGCTTCCGCTGCCCGCATTCCTGAAATATTTCACGTTGAACAAGTTGTTCGCTGATGAATGCGAGGCTATTTCGGGTCGAAGTGGAGCGGCACTGAAGACTGTGGTTGATACGCAAATCAAAGACTTTGTTGCGCACTTCGGAGAAACCCAGAAGCATGAAGTCATCAAGGTCATGGATAGAGATAAATGGGATGCCAGAGACTTTGGTGACCACGAGAATGAAATACTCAGTATCGTAATGCAAGGCAGCACTAGCGATGCGCTTTCGTGGACTGAAAGCACGTTGATCTGGCAATCGCCGACCAAAGTCACGAAAGGTACCAATGGGGTAGTCACGAATGGAACAACAGCTGCCACAACGAAGGTTCGAAGTGCCATTGTTGATGAGCAGAAGTACATCCTGCCAGAACCGGCCTTGACAATGCTTCGCTCTATGGAGTCCTTTCAGCATCTGGCATCTGGCATCCCCAGCATGAGCCATGAAGTTGCAGGTCTTCTCTTGGAAAGTCTCAAGTTGTTTAATTCGCGCAGTTATCAACTCATTCTAGGAGCTGGCGCCACAAGAAGCGCTGGTCTGAAGAATATCACAACAAAGCATCTGGCTCTTTCGTCTCAAGCTCTAAGCTTCATCGTGGCTCTTATCCCTTATGTCCGCGAATTCTTTCGCCGCCACCTTTCGTCCTCCAATGCATCGCAAGTCATGATAGAGTTCGACAAAGTGAAGCGTCTCTTCCAAGAACACCAACATGGCATTCACGAGAAGCTGGTCGATATAATGTCAGGGAGGGCGTTGATGCATGTCAAATCCATGAGAAACATCGACTGGGACGAAGCCGCAAAAAACAAAGCAGTTCCTGTTTCACCATACATGGAGACCTTGACTAAGGAGACGGGAATGTTGCAGAAAGTACTTGCCAAGCACTTGCCAGAACCGGTTGTAGCAGGAATCATGATACCTGTCTTTTCTAGCTATCGCGACCAATGGACTAGGGCATATCGGGAGGTGACTATCAAATCAGCTGCAGCGAAAGAAAGGTAGGACTGAAAGCCCATGGCCATCCACCGTTATGGTCTAGACTGACTTGTGAGTAGACTTCTCGCAGATGCCGAATTCTTCAAGACGAGAATCAGCAAGATCGACGGTGCAGGCGATCTTGGCGATGAAGTCGTCAAAGTCGTGCAAGAGAAGTCAGTGATTCAGACCGAAGCACCGGCTTCTGCACCAGCGCCTCCAGCAGCGGGGCAAGCGCCAGAGATACCATCCCTGCCGCCCACAGGCCCGACACAACAGCCTCAATCTCAATCTCAATCACAACCGAAGGAAAACGATGCGAACTCGATTTCGCCGGCAGACAAGGGAGATCAAAACTCGTAGTGAGGAGTACACGTAGAGTTATGAGATGGAAGCTAGTTGAGTTTCAATGGAAAAGGAGTGACCTGACGTGTTCCAGACATAGTACATCTGCTCCAAGCGCCGCGTGGCCATGGCGTTCACTACAGACCGTTTCCCAGAAGGGAATGGGTCGCGAAAGTTCGGGATGTAAGATATCATTGCTCGTCAGGCTCATGTTTGCGCGTTCGACACGCTGACTAGGGACATGATGAAGCAAAGGGACATATGCCCCGTCTGTGCTACCTCGCAGGAGTGTCTGTCCCAATGGCAAGCCAACCACCAGGATTCTGAATTGCATTGATTTGATAGCTGTGCAACGTTGTCACCTCTCACCTCTCCCCCACCTCGCGTGCTCCACGTCTATGCTCTCTAAAAGATTGCCGTGCCGTTGACGTGACTACTCACGCCTCCAGGACAGTTCGCCGGTGCACTCGTGAAGAAGAATGTCCAGCGCTTATTCTTCTTCGCCAGCTGGCTAACCTTCTCGAGATCCAGCATCTCGCCGAGCGGCATGCCCCACAACGCAAGAATATATTCGTGCAGATAGTAATTCTCAGGGGTGGGCCACCTTTCAAACGAAGGCGCGTCGCCGCCCACGGCGCTGAAGTAGCAGTCGTGCAGCCAGTCCTTGACTGCCTCCTCCTGCTTGACGCCCGCCCACTGTGCTTCCTCGGCGTGCGAGTCGCCGTGGCCGCGGAGCGCGAGTTTCGAGCGTTCTTCCGGGGTGCGCGCGTAGAAGTCCTCGGTCCACCCTGAGCGGATCAGCAGGATGTCGCCGATCTTGATGTCGCCGCCTTGGGCGGCGGGGCGGATGTCGATGCCCTGGTGCTTGCCTACGGCGACGAGGTCGGAGTAGCTGATCGCGTGTGATGTTGCCGTGTCGTACTTGATCCCCTGTGTCTCTGCCCAGGAGCGGTAGTCGAGGAGCACGGCTCGGCCAGTGAAGCCGTGTGTGGACCAGTCTGGTCGATATTCATTTGTGTTAGGTCTGCGCGTTTTTGGTTCCCAGGTTTTCTTTTCAAGATGAGACGGAGAGCAAGGACTTACGATGTATACTGCACTTGTGATTTGCTGTCTCACCAATCACATCGGCAGCGTGCGTGTTGTTGTAAAATGTCTTCGTAGGCATGTGAGCAAAGTGTCGGAACCCATCCCATTGAGTGCCAGACTGTGTGTTCATATGGTAGACGTCGTCAAAGGCACACCCTTCATGAAGATCGATGATCTTGTGTTCAAATTTCTGGCGACCAAACGCCGGCTGCTCGGGCACGTTGGTGGGCAGATCGAGGCGTGCCATCTCACCCGTTCGGATTTCTGCAGCGGCAGCCTTGACTCTTGTTGGAGTGAGCAGATTCAAGCGTCCAACGAAGTCATCCTGACCCCATACCCAAGCTGCTTCGTCCGGGGCACCGACGATCTTTGGCAGGTTTTTCCTGGTTGGGAAGGACGTTGAGTCGGGGTCCCATGGGATGGTTGTTGCAGTTTTGCCCATGATGGAATCCTTGATCTGGCTTAGTCGCCGGCCGGCCGAAGAGAGGGAGTCGGCCATTTTGACGTTATCGAGAAATATAGGTATATATCAGAAAACAGGAGTTGAAGAAAGTGGTGCCAGAGAGGCGAACGACGTGTCGCTGAAGTCTAGTGTCAACTGGCCGAAATCGCCTCACGGCTCACGGCTCACGACTAGCTAGCTTCAGACACAGTCCCGAGGTAATGTCCATCTCGAGACTACATGACGGCAAAGTCAGTTTTGAAGGGAATAGCCGAAATCCATGCTAACGGGTGACTCGATGGCTAAGAATGACGGATGGTTCTCTCCACAATCTTAGCACGAGGAGCATAGGTGGATGACCCATCGGTCGGTCGAGCTTAGGCAACCTCGACTCTCCACAATGACAAGCGACCCCAAACATGACAAGTGGACTCTGTACCCACCGACACCAAAAATGCTTGGTGTCTCTGATGCCCTTTAGATAGTACGTAGGCAGATGAAGTCAGAAAGCGGGGAAGACCTATTCTGTACATGGTCGCCTAGCTTGAGCGAGGCAGTTGATGCCAAGGCGTATGTACAACCCTCCCGAGGTCCTGCTTCTTCCTCAAGGTCTGAAATGGTGTCGTCAATGGGCAGACATCCAGGTGATGACATTGGGAAAGACTATATCTTATGTTGCGGGTGGAACGAGAGTGTTTTCACCCACCACAATACGGCTCGTGTTGAAACAAGGTCCGAGGTACCGGCGGTGTTGTCGTCCAATGCTCTGCTATAAAAAGCTGCCTTGCTACAGCACATGGAGTATCTGATACGAGATACTCTGTATCTTGCATCCGCCTTTTGGGCGTACTAAAGCAGCTCTCTCTCAAGCCCGCTGGACGAGGAAGGGGGCCTCTGCGGCCTCCTTGCTGTGCGGGGTTGGTCCTGTTATCTTCCCGCTTCCCACCTCGAGCCCGAGGCTCCCCCGGTCATATGCCTCGACCACCGGATCCCTGTTGAGTCTTGCCCACCACAGCTTTCTTCCCTCGTACGGAGCATGACAAAAATTAAAAGCTGACGCCTGAGGAGCTGTGCCAACTCTCGACTCAACTTCATCTTCCTATTCGGCTGCATGCGCGTCGTAGCGCTTTGATGCAGACCTGAGGCTAACCAACAGCAAGACGTCGTGCACGTTCTCTTGTACGCGTTGGGCTGGGGTTTTTGGGAGGTTTTCTTCTTTCACGAGGTCCACTCCTTGGATTCCGAGGTTTCTGATCCATGTCCACGAAGCATCGCAGACAACGATTACTTGCACGGACTATGGACGTTCGAACACCAGTGAAACGGCTCACGATTACTCCTGACTAGCTTTGAACTCTACACAAGGATACCTGGCATCGAACGAGAGATGCGACCAGACAATCGATTCTGGAAATCACTGAAGCCTCGGAACTAAACAACAGCCAGGCCAAGCTTCGCCAGATATGTCAGGCCTGGCTGAGCTGAACAAGATCAACCAGAGTATTGAATTGGGTTTTCAGTTCTTCAAAATGCCTAGGTTGATGGTAAAAGAGCGGTTGAGATCTGCCCAAGTCTGGCCTCCTGCTGCAACCGTCCCCAGATTACATTCCGGGTCTCCTTGACAGCGTTCAAGATCTCATTCGTGCTTCAAAGGGCCCTTGTAATGTTTTCGTCCGCGAACAAGCCAATCAATGGTGGCAAAAATGATGACACCACCTAGCACGGCGCTAGCATAGTTCATGTTGAGTGCTGTAACTGGCTTCATAGCAGGCAGAAGGAGAAACACCGTAACGAATACTATCCAGCAAATCGAAATAATGTTGGCAATCATCCCAGCTGCGTTGGACATCCTCCAAGGGCCCCAAGCCAAGACACTGGGGGTTCGGACGCGTCGATACAGCATCGCTACCACCGGGAAGAGATAAGAGAGATTCAATGCCACAACCGTGAGAGACAGAATTGCACCAAATGCCGCTGTGGATGCGATGTTGAGCAGTCCCAATAACGCCAGAACCACTGTGATCAAGACTAAAGCGTTTGTGGGAATGCGACTTCTTTCATTCAACCGAGACAGCCAACCCGAAGCCGGAGGCCCTTTGTCCCGTGCGAATGCCCATAGAGTCCGAGTTGCCGCAGCGCTGAGGCCGACAGTTGCCAATGACGCGGAGACTATGATTGTGCTCGCCATCGCGCTGGCAGCGGCAGCGTTACCCCTGGTCATGTGATAGAAGATTTCGATGATGGGGAAGCCAGTATTTGAGGAAAGAGCGGCGTCGATATCTCCCATTCCAAACAAGATGCCAATGAGAATAGCGAATCCCATGACTCCATTGATGAGGATGGAACCAATCATAGCACGGGGCACCCCAACCCTCGGGTTATGCAGCTCCTCTGAGATATGAGTTGCAGAGTCATAGCCTGGAGCAAATGTCAGAATTAGGATCGAAAGCGAGGAGCCGGATTCTTTGAGTGAGGATCATACCAACTAGGATATAAGCAGAGGTCAACATTCCGAGGCACCACGCCACACCGTCGTTCTCCCAACCCGTGTTGTTCTGAAATTTGGCGAACACGAACGCTGCAGAGTGTCGATCCGGCGGGATTACAGCGATGACAATGATCATGACGAAGAAAAACAGAATATGGAAGAACATGATCATATTTTCGAGCAAGGGCAAGACCCTGCTCCCCCATTGGTTGAGGCAAAACGAAAGTGTCAGGACGGCGATATAAATCAAGGTAGTTCGGTATCGTTCAGGTTGATAGTCCGGGTTGTTCAAGCCAATCAAACCTTGGACGAGATTTCCGACTGCGTAGGGTGCGCTTGCCGTTAAAGCAACCCAGCCCAGGAGGGTAATCCATCCAGAGAAAAAGCTCAGGACTGCTCTGGACTCAGGGGAGCTAAGTTCGCCAATGAATTGGTATTGGCCGCCAGCTCCGGGATACCTTGCGGGAGTGTCAGCTAGATTGCGAGTCACAAGCCGGGATTAAAGAAGGTCTCACATCGAAGCTGGTTCGGACAAGGAGATTGCTGTGGCGAGATTGCCAATGACGGCAACTGACACAATCATTCAGTCAAATGATCCAGAACGATCCTCTGAAAGCCGGGATGCATACCGATGAAACCATAAACAAGAGAGACAGGACCACCACTGACGAGGCCCGCCCCCATGGTACTGCACAAAGCTTCCCATGTTGCCATCAACGAGGTTGCCAGTGATAGCGTCGAGAGCGTGTTGAAGTTCTTGCGGGGAGCCTGCTACTATGTTAACAATTGGCAGTAGGACGTCCAATGTACCTCTTACTGCGACAATCTGACCCTCACCTGTCTCGGTCTGAACGTGGGTGAGCGAGTCAGAAAAGCCACCTTCCAGAGCCTTGTTTGGGGACATTTTTGAAGTCGGGGTCCCCACTGCGCTTTTGTTAGCAATTTGATCTCCATCCATGATCCAACGGACTCACTTCTGGTATATAAGTGTGACGGATACTAAATAATAGTGATGAAAGTGAAAGTGCTCGGAGGAAATAAGAAAGTGTTTAATGCTTTCATAAACGGGAAGCAAAAGCGTGAAAGAGCTGATGTAGTTCTATAGAACAACCGTGGAGGCTCTTGGACGAAACTTAAGTCTACCCTCCCGTTGGCACACGAACTTGGCCTGGCACCCCGGCCGGGGTGGTCGAGTCAACCGAGCCCAACCTCGTATCAATCACAAAACAGGGGCTGGAGGAACGCATCCGCCAAGGATGCGTTCACCGGAATGAAGGATCGGAAACGGAACAGATACAGCAGTAGAATTACGATTCGTCCAGAAGCCTTTACCAATGTTTATCTGAGACTTGAGAATTAGAAATAATAAGGTTCAAAGTGATTAGATAGGTCTGGAAATCTCTCATTGCGGCAGTTATCTCCGTCGTTTGCCCAGAGCCGACACATGGAGGCCATTTGAGCTTGAAGAGCTTATGCGACAATCGCACCGTGCTGGAACATCAAAGACAATCATTTTACGGAAGCTCTTTCGAAATGACAATCGACATACCTCACCCACTCTCAGCCTTGAGCCTCGAGGAGACCAATCTCGCCCGAGACACCATTTTAAAGTGCCACGCAGATGCAGTGTTGAAGTTCAGACTGATTTGGCTTTTTGAACCTCCAAAAGCCGAGGTTGTCAAGTTCCTGGAGTCGGAACACTCTGGACAGCTGACTGATGCGACAACACGGCCCCAACGTCTTGCACAAGTTCGCTATGATAAGATCGATGGAAAGAAACAAGTCGAATTTCATGAATCCATCGTTGATTTGCGTGCAAAGAAATGTGTCAGCGACGAGGTGGTCAGTACGAAGCTTCAAGCTGGGCTTATCATGTGAGTTCATGACCATCAAAAGTTAATAATTTTAGTAGTGCTGAGATACCCCATATCGAAGCTCCGAGTTTGAGGATTTAGCTGAAGCTTGCAAGACGTCTACTTTTTTCCAGCAAAAACTTGCCGAGTTGAAAATTCCTGAAGGATTCGAAGTGGTCATTGAGCCGTGGCCATACGGTGCCGCTGACCTTGCGGATGGCAATACACGCTTCTTCCAAGGCCTTATCTTTGCACAGGACACCAGATCTGGCAATCCAGATTCAAACTTCTATGCCTATCCTCTGCCACTCATCCCAATTATGGATGCCAAGACGAAGGAGATAGTCCGCGTAGAGGAGCCTGCCACTGGGGGTGTAGGTGATGCCCTCAAGGCCAAGACGCACCTCCCTACCGTGGTAGACCACTGCCAACCCAGCGAATATGTCCCGGAGCTTCTACCAAAAGGGACGAGAAAAGATCTCAAACCACTCACTGTGGTTCAACCTGAAGGACCAAGTTTCTCCATCACGAATGAAAACCTCGTTGAGTGGCAAAAATGGAGAATGCGAATCACCTTCAATCCAAGGGAAGGCCTTGTGCTACACGATATAAGATATGATGGACGCAGCGTACTCTACAGACTTAGTTTGAGTGAAATGGTAAGCCCTGGTATGACAACCTATTTGGGGAGCCTGGCAGCTGAGTGCCTTCTAGACTGTGCCATACGCAGATCCACGCCCCCCTTACCATCGCAAGCAAGCATTCGATTTTGGGGATGGGGCATTCGGCGATGTGGTGAACAATCTCACATTAGGTTGCGATTGTCTGGGTCTGATTCGGGCAAGTCATGATTGGTTTTCATCTGATTTAGGCACAAGCTGATATAAGATGTAGTATTTTGATGGTGTTATCACTGATGCCCAGGGTAATGCAATCCGGAAGAAAAACGTAATTTGTTTGCACGAGCAAGATGACGGCGTTTCCTGGAAACATCTCAATTGGCGGACCAACCGCTCGGTCGTGGCCCGTCGAAGACAGCTTATTTTCCAATTCAGCGTCACACTCGCCAACTACGACTATATCTTCGCTTTCAAATTTGACCAAGCTGCAGCGATCACTGTTGAGGCGCGAGCAACAGGTATTGTCTCCGTCGTAAATATCGACCCTGGCAAGAGAAGCGAGTGGGGCACAGTGGTCAGCCCAGGAGCACTTGCACAAAATCACCAACACGTCTTTTGCGTCAGGATTGATCCAGCAATCGACGGACATAGCAACAGAGTAGTGCAAGAAGAGAGCCTACCAGTCCAAATGGATCAACGCGTGAATCCTCAAGGAAATTTCTATCGTGTTCACAAAACCCCAATCACCACCTCAATTGGCCTTGACGCAGACCCTCTCAATAACCGTCTCTTCAAGATCCAGAACGCGGGCAAGATTAACCCAATCACAGGAAATCCAGTATCTTACAAGATTGTGCCACCTGCCACACAGCTTCTGATCGCAGACCCCAAGAGCACTCAGCGCAGGCGTGCTGCCTTCGGAACCCACCACTTCTGGGTGACCAAGTACAAAGATGACGAATTCTACGCCGCTGGGCGCCATCCGCTGCAGAGTCGGGTAGAGGTTGGTGGTCTAGGCGACGCTGCTGACCGGAATGATGATGTCCTCGATACAGATGTGGTTGTGTGGAGCGTGTTCGGACTTACACACAATCCACGTAGCGAAGACTGGCCAGTCATGTAAGTAGCCTCTTGGGTTTTTAGAACCCAAATCCATTTGCGCTATTTGCTAACACTTTTCACAGGCCGGTTGAGAAATTAGAGCTGAATATCATTCCCGCGGATTTCTTCACTGAAAACCCTGCCCTTGATGTGCCTTCTAGCCGCGACATTGGTTCTCGATTGGTGACAGATGTCTTCACGAATGGGGCATGAAGTTATTCTTGATTGATAGAGAGTTAAATTCAGGAATCATGGTGCAGAACAACGTCGTGAAGCCCAGAAATCTAAAAGAATTAGGCTTCCGTAGGAATTGAGAAATCATACCAAGTACAAATCTTGATCGAGTTGTCACTGCAGTAATAAATACAAAAGACACAGATCAAGAGTTTTCTTCAATGAAACTGTCATTTTAGTTCCGGACCTATGTAGTATGTACCACGCTCACAGAGTCACAAACGTATCCCTAAGCAGTGTCCCCAGAACATGCATGGCTGGGATAGGTTTTCTCCAGATAGACCTCCGCCAACTCGTCCTGAGTCTGAGTGCCATGAGTACATGGCAGACCACTAGTATCTCACACAAAAGCATATTGCTAGTCTTGATAAGTATTTGTGATAGTGCTAGAAATGCCTCACGGAAAATCCTGGTTAGTGGTATTCGACTATGGCAAAATGCGGCAACTTTCAGACAGCAGGCCGGAACGCATTCCGGAATCTGAAGACGGCTCTTTACTGGCCCACTCTTTAGGTTTCTTCAGAAATAAAAAGGTGCCAGTTGTTGACCCGAGCAAGGCTGAGATGAGAAGGCACCAAGGAGGGCTGCTAAAAGCTATCTACGTCAGCGAAAGGGATTACAGTAGGAGGACAGTCCAGCAAATATTGATCGACCAAAATGGCTCAGATATTTTTGAAGGGGCGAGATACTCAGGTTATCAAGGGTGTGTGCTTCATCACTTACAATATACCTAAGTAGCTTGAATGACTGAAGCTGATAGTGATATAGTTTACACTGGAATCTTCATTGATAATGAATTTGTACCAGCAACAGGAAACGCGACTATTGACCTTGAGAACCCAGCAACAGGCGAGCATCTAGCGACTGTGTCTTGCGCCCAGGAACAAGACATTGACATCGCAGTAAAATCTTCTCAAGTGGCATACAACGACTGGAAATCTACCTCGCCTGGCATCAGAAGACAACTTCTAAACAAATTGGCAGATTTGTTGGAACGTGACGCTGCTGATGTCTCGGCATTGGAATCTCTGGACGCTGGTATCCTGTACAACGACTCCACAGCACTCAACGTCCCTCAAGCTCTAGAGAACCTCAGATACTTCGCTGGGTGGGCTGATAAGGTCGATGGGTTGACTCTCGCGATTCCCGAGGGCATGGCGTACACAAGACGGGAGCCGTATGGTGTCTGTGTAGCTATTATTCCTTGGAATTCCCCAGTGTAAGTGTCAACTCGTCCAGCAGTGCTGAGCTCGAACCTGGTGATATTCTGTGCTAACTCAAATGTTACCCAATACATAGCATGATCACAATATGGAAACTAGCACCCTGTATTGCAGCAGGCAACACACTGGTCATCAAGACGCCAGAGCTGTGTCCGCTTTACGGCCAAAAGCTTGCGGAGCTTATCCGCGAAGCAGGTTTCCCACCAGGCGTCATCAACATTGTTTGTGGACTCGGCTCGATTGCTGGTCAAAGACTTGCTGAGCACTCAGCTGTGAGGAAAATATCTTTCACCGGCAGTACAGGCGTCGGCAGACAAATTCTTGCCGCGTCAGCACGCACGAACCTAAAGAAAGTCACACTAGAACTCGGCGGGAAAGGGCCTTCCATTGTATTTGACGATGCAGATATTGAAAATGCATTATTCTGGACAATGATAGGCATCACAGCCAACAACGGACAGATTTGTGTTGCTGGTAGTCGGATTTACGTGCAAAGCACTATTTACGAACGATTTGTACAGGAATTCAGCCGACGCAGCCGTGAGGCTGTACACGGTGATCCGCTGCTAGGTACAACCAACAAAGGACCCGTCATTAGCGCTGGCCAACGGGATAAAATACTAAGCTTTGTCGACAAAGGCAAGGAAGGAGGCGCCAGGCTTCTCCACGGTGGCGAGAAATTGCCTGGAAAGGGGCACTTTGTCGCTAATACTGCGTTTGCAGATGTCGCCCAAGACTCCTCCATCATGCAAGAAGAGGTTTTTGGTCCATTTGCGAGTATTGCATCGTTCAAAACGGAAGAGGAGGTGATTGAGAAAGCCAACGATACGTCGTATGGCTTGAGCGCGGCTGTCTTTACAAGTAACTTGGACAAGGCGTTCAGAGTGACCGAGGCTATCGAGGCTGGTCAAGTGACTGTCAATATTTGGGGCACTGTTAATGCAAATACTCCATTTGGAGGGGTGAAAGAGAGCGGCTTCGGGCGTGAGATGGGAAAAGAGGCTTTGGACGAATGGACTATCCCCAAGGTGGTCAAATGGCACATTGTGAGGAAGTAATTCTGACTCAAAAGCACCCTAATAGACTATTGCCAACTTCAATCGGAATGTTTAGATAGATCCTCGTGGAGCACCAAATCACCAACTGGGAGAATGTGTACCGATAGCAACATCAGGCTGTCTGTCTCGTCGTCTAGAATTCCAAATTCCAAATTTCGGTCAGGGTGGTGTCAAGTGACAATTCCCATTCTCGGTTATTCAGTAGAAGAGACAAGTAAGAGCCACGCGATCAATAGCATATGCGAGATACCGACTGCATTTGCCCGAACAAGGTATCGTAATTGGAGTTCGAATGCTGGGGTTTCGGCTAGTACATCAGGCTGCGGGCCGATTGATAAGGTCAAGATAGCACGACCGATAGGTATCTCTTGTGGGTGAGCTTCGGAACCCCGACGGAAGTTCCGCCACATGGTTTCTAGGCTTGCACTAGAACACCTTCCCGGAAACATTGGATGATTATTGGAAACGAGTTCATGCCTTAGATAGAGCCTCTTGAATACAATACAGGCTTCGTTCAATGAATGAAATCGAATGAGAGTCATTTGAGCTCGTGCCCACAACTTTTTGGTTCCAGGCCTATACTGTATAATCAATCCCATCGAGACGTCCATCATACCGCCTAATGAACAATGTGAGACTGACTGCCTCAGGTGCTATCACCAACTTTATACCGTTCCTAACTGAATTGTGCTCAAAAGGGGTGAAAGCAGTGTTGAACAAGTATCGGCATCGTTTGCATTTTTCGAGTCCCTTGCTGAGGTAAATTCGCCCGTCTCAGAGGTAGAGTAAGTCTCTGATTTCATTGGCTGATCATTTTGTCCACAGGCGGGTGTTAGCCATGTCTTTGTCAATCTTGGGTCTGATCATCCGGCCATCATGGAAGCCTTGGCCAGAGGGCTCAGCAAGAAAGACACTAAGTTCCCTAGGGTGATCACTTGCCCACATGAAGTAAGTTACTATGAATTTTTCAACTCTGGAGGGCTAAATGTATTGAATAGATGGTTGCTATGTCCATGGCCGATGGTTTTGCTAGGCTTACAGGGCAGCCCCAGTGTGTGCTTGTCCACGTTGATGTGGGCACACAGATGCTTGGGTGTGCCGTCCATAACGCCTCAGTCGCTCGCTGCCCCGTCCTGATATTCGCTGGTCTCTCCCCCTTCACGATAGAAGGAGAGATGAGAGGCTCTCGGACCGAGTATATCCACTGGCTACAGGATGTACCTGACCAGAAAGCAATTGTGGCACAATATTGCCGATACAGCGCCGAAATCAAGACCGGCAAGAACATCAAACAAATGGTTAACAGAGCCCTGCAATTTTCTACTAGTGATCCAAAGGGTCCTACTTACATCGTAGGTGCTCGAGAAGTCATGGAAGAGGACATCAGTCCTTATCATCTAGATCAAAGTATCTGGGAAGGCATTGAACCTGCGGCGCTTCCTCCGCAAGGCGTCGAAACGGTGGTCAACCTCCTGGCTGAAGCAGAAAAGGGTCTAGTTATCGTCGGATATACTGGCCGCAATCACGCAACGGTTCCAGAACTTGTGAAACTAGTTGAGTCTATCCCTGGTACCCGCGTACTTGATACCTTAGGAAGCGACGTATGCTTTCCATACACCCACAGATCATCGTTGGGGGTACGGATAGGAAAGGACCAGAGTATCCGAGAAGCTGACGCTATCTTAATCATCGACTGTGATGTACCCTGGATTCCAACTCAGTGTTCCACACGACCAGATACTAAAATCGTTCATATTGATGTGGATCCTCTCAAACAAAACATCCCGGTTCATTATGTTCCTGCCTATCGTAGATATCGTGCGGACTCTGAGACCGCGCTCAAGCAGCTGAACTCCTATATCTCAACACACCAGAAATACTCGCAGCTAAGCACAAAAGAGCCATATGCCTCTCGCTGGAATAAGTTGGCTGAGGAGCGACGACAGGTTCTTGACAAGGCAGCAATACTTGCTGCCCCTCCTCAGAATGACCAACTACCCCCAAGTACGTCCTATTTATGCTCACAACTACGCAAGCAGTGTCCTCAAGACACCATCTGGACTGTCGAAGCTGTGACAAATGCCATGTTTGTCTACGAGCAATTGCAAGTTGATGAGCCTGGCCATCTCATTAATGGAGGAGGTGGTGGCCTCGGCTGGTCTGGGGGTGGCACCATAGGAGTGAAACTTGCTTCTGACTGGCTAGCTGGAGGATCAGGCAAAGGCAAATTTGTCTGTGAGCTCGTAGGTGACGGAACATATATGTTCGGTTCACCATCAACGGTTTATTGGATTGCGCGAAGATATAGTTTGCCAACGCTGACTGTAGTGTTAAGCAACAAAGGTATGACTTCCCCAAAGATAGACCCCAACCAAGCGCACTGAACTAAATGCTGCCTTCTAGGTTGGAACGCACCGAGGAATTCACTCACTCTTGTCCACCCTGATGGGTATGGGTCCAAAGTGTCGAATGAGGAGCTAAATATCTCGTTCTCACCAACCCCCGATTATTCTGGAATAGCGAAGTCAGCAGCTGGTGGAAATGCGTTTGCAGGGGTTGTACGGAATACTAAAGATCTGACGAACCTGCTTCCAGAAGCGATAAAAGCTGTTCAAAGCGGGATTTCGGCTATATTAGAAGTGCGACTCAACGGTTCATGGAGCGAACACGAGGCCAGGGGGGTTAATGGCAGTAAATTATAGCTACTTCTACTACAAATTAGAAAATGTTGATGTTATTAAAACTAGCCATAAGACTCCCGAATATGAGGCTCGAGAGACCACTATATGACGCTTTTATTATGGTGATGAACATATTTCCCCCCGAGAGCAGTGGAATTGGCAGAGACCCTCTTTGGGTTCTCCGAGTTTTAAAGGCTGAAGGCATGCTTCGAAAAAGCTTATAAATCATCCGGAATTCATCATGAGTGCTAGTCTAGATTGAAATCCACCACTATCCGGCTGAAATTTTGTCAGTTTTACTCTGATGGTGGAGAGACTAGAGGAGTCTTACCCTGCCACCTGACCATTTCTCAGTTTCTGTATCGCCTCGTTGAACTTTGACCGTCCGACCACAGTCGGCTGCAGTCTCAGCTGGCCTGTAGAGGTGTCAGTGACATAGTGCTGACAGACCTGGTTAAGATCTGAAACGGAGCGACGGTTGATGTACCCTTTCTTGCGAAGTCTAGAGCTGCTTCGATATCTGCCTTGCCACCAACAAAAGTGCCGTGAATCGACTGATTCAGAAGTATTAGTTGAGTGGGGTCAACATCCATGTGAAAGCGACCCTTAGGAGGTAGTCCAATGCTGTGAAGATTAGTCTCTGTCCAAACTTGTCTTTTCAGGTCAATTTGGACATACCACATGACTTTGGCTCCAGCACGGGAACCAAGATACTGTAAAGCCAACGGATATGCCTGCACACCGGTCACGAAAACACCATGGCCCCCCTCACCTGTGAGCTCTATGACTGTTTTGACAGGATCTTCTTTCTGGAAATCTACAAAATACTCGGCTCCGTATTGCTTCGCCAGGGCTTCCCGTTCAATGCCAGTATCCACTACGATCGGCCGCATACCCATTGCTGCCGCAAGCTGAACACCCTGGATGCCCACGCCGCCACCACCACCTATATCGTCAGTATGCTCTGGAATCTTCATGGTACGGACTGACCTGGAAACACTGCCCATTGCCCACTTTTGAGGCCGGATTCCCTGAGTGAGGAGTAAACCGTTGATGCCGAACACATAATGGGCCCAGCCACGTAGTCCGAGACACCGTCTGGAATGAGGACCATATATCGTTCCACACAGACTACGTACTCCTGGAACGATCCTTCCTTGTGTTAGCACTGCAGTTGAGTGAAAAAGCTATCACCCAATGACTCACCGTTTAGTTGAAGGCCGCCAAACGTGGCCATTTTGCAGTATGCCTCTCGTCCAATCTTGCAATATTCGCATTCATGACACACATCTTGGAGTGGCTTATACCCCACACGTTGGCCAAGGTTGAACTTTGTGACATTTTCACCAAGCTTTACGATAACACCTGAGCCCTTAAGAAGATTAGCAATGGGGTAGAATGAATGGGGTTGCAACATTCACACTTCGTGGCCAGCGGATGTGGTGCCCATGTCAGACATTTTAGGCACGTTCCAGTCCTGAATCATGAAATGGATATCCGTCAAACATATTCCAGTTGCATTGATCTTGACCAGAACCTCACCTGGGCCTTCCATAGGTCATCAGCATGCGGCCTTGGGAACGCCTGATATCGGACTGACCTGGCTGGGGTGTTGGTACTTGTAAAACATCAACCGAGAAGTCAGGGCCTTCGTTCTGCACGACTGGAGATAATTTAGTCAGCACCAGGTACTGATGGAACGGCACCCAGTGCGAATGGCTCACCAGCCGCCCAGCACTTCTCCGGGATTGTGGAACCGGCATCACCCATGTTGTGGAAGTATCGTTAGTGAAGATAGGATCAGGTATGTTGAAATAATAGTGTCGCACGACCACAGCCTCGTTGCATAAGTTAGTCTCAGTATGCTATGTCCTACCAAGATTGGATGAAGCAACTCACCGTTTACAGGGAGAGATTAATAGCCAATCTCTTACACGAGACTGTGGGACACTGATCAAGAGACTATACGGTGCTTTATTCTGAATAGTCGGGACCTAGTTGCTTGATCATCTATAGTACTTGAAAGCCTGACGTGGATTTGGACCAAGCTCTCCGGAAAACGAACTGTCCCGGAAACGATTCATTCCGATATCAAGTGCTTGAGCCCTGGTATACAATGCATGAGATTCCGCACCGACTGATGATAAGGGATCTTTGAAATCGTGACATAGGCATGGAGACTAAGAGGTGGACCCACCAGGGTTAGGTAACCCCACGTGGTACATGCGCACCGTTATCATGAATCAAATTAGGTCCACGAGGCTTCCCTATGGCGCAGAATCCCAATCTAAACGGATTGAGATTACCACCGGATAACACTAAAGCGCCATACCAACCATCTCGAACCCCACTTTGTCTTCAGCAAAAGAAGTAATGGTGGCGCGCTGTTGTGGAGGAGGCGGCAGAGACCACGCGCGTTTTGCCGTGTCGTACTACCCTCCTATTGCACGCCGCATAGTCCTACATCGTGTTTTCTGACTTCAGTGTCAATGCCTCATCTAGTGAAGTGTTGCGGCCACGAATACCCCTGTCTACATGCGCCCAGCTGCCGCATCTGACAGTCTCGAGCTATCTCTATTCACTTTATCTCCTTTCCCAACCTTAAATTGAAGCTAGTAGGCTTGTTCCCTTTAGATATCGCGAAATCGTGGGAACTGGGTTCTGATTTGAGGCTACATACATTCAAAGCAAGATAGACATACGCTGCCGGAACATGAAACTCAAATCTCAAATAACAACGGAACAATCCGAGGCTGTATCCCTGGCCCAGGTCTATATCTAGATAGTCTTGGTACTACGTATGCGGAATTACTATTCTCTCTTGCACATCAGTGATCAGCAGCTGTTGCAAAGATGTCACCTAATTCTACAGATTTCGAGGCTATGGAAGTCATTGGAGGATCAGAAATTGAACGCGCAAATGGAGCACTCCTTGTCGACATCCGTGCAAAAGGTGGACTGAACCTCGGTCAAGACGATATCAAACTAGCTAAAGACGGTCACGTAAGTTCTAATATTTCAGACGTGGCGTTCTTCTGACGTGGTGGAAGACGGTTCTCATTCCGCAACCTTCTGATGACCCTGATGACCCACTGAACTGGTCGGAGATGAAGAAGAATCTGCTGTTCTGTACCATAGGTCTGGCCTCGTTCATGACGGATTTTCAGGCAGCTGCAGGTGCCCCTCTTCTTGGACCCCAGGCAGAGGAGTGGAAGATGACACCGAACCGTGTCAATTACTCAGGAAATCTGAATTTGCTCCTGCTGTGAGTGTTTAGAAGTACCTGCTGTTGACAGTGGCTAAGTGAACTGATAGGGGTATTGGAGGATTGGTTTGGCTGCCAATTATGTCTTCGTGGGGTAGGGCACCCGTCCTCTTTTGGGTTAATCTCGTGGGCACAGCGATGACGCTCGGGTGTTGCTTGGTCAATGACTTTTCTGGTTATTATGGTACTCGTGCTGTCATGGGCTTCTTCTTCTCAGGGAGCCTTACAGTTGGACTCGCTTTCGTACAAGATATGTACTTTTTCCACCAACAGGCGCGCAAAGTTGGTCTGTGGACCATGTTACTCTTGGTTGCGCCCTACTGCTCCCCATTATTTGGATACTTCATCCTGGCAGATACCGGAAAATGGCGGACTATCTTCTGGGTTGTTTTCGCACTTGGGTGTCTAATTCTACTGCTCTGTATGTTTTTTCTCGACGAAACTTGGTACCGTCGAGATATCGAACCGACATCCCAGCCAAAGCGAGAAAACAGACTCCTACGTGTTTTGGGGGTTTGGCAGCTTCAACCACGGCCCCGCTACTTCATGGAGCCCAAACAGTCCTTGATTCGGTTGTTTGCCACTTTAGCGAAACCAGTGGTTATCCCTGTCATGATTTATTAGTAAGACCAACCTCACGCCAAACGTCGGGGGACGTTTTTTTTCTCTAACGGCTTCTAGTGCAATGAATCTCATGTGGGTGATAGGAGTCAATCAAACTACTGCCATTCTATTCGAAACTCCGCGGGAGGCCGGTGGCTATGGCATGAGTACAAAGTCAGCAGGCTTTTGCGCCTTTACCCCTGTTATCTCCGTTCTGCTTGGAGAGGTCATCGGCCACTGGACGAATGAGTGGGTAGCCAAACGATACATTGAGACGCATGATGGCATTTTCAAGCCAGAAGCTCGCCTTCCGCCAATATATCCTGCCCATCTCTTGATGGTAGCCGGACTGGTGACTATTGGCCAAGCTCTAGGGCGGCACCTGAGCCTAGCAGCTGTTGTTCTCGGGTGGGGTATGTTCGTTTTTGGCCAGATGGTCATGACTGTCTCACTCACAGCATACATACTGGATGCTTATCCAACTGCCCCTGGAGAGATTGCTTCATTGATGAATGCTTCCCGCATTTTGTCAGGTTTCTCCGTTGGATACTTTCAGCTTGGATGGGGCCAATCTGTGGGTTGGGCTACCTCATTTGGTACACAAGCTGGTATTTCAGCGGCTTCACTAACTATTATAGTTGTACTGAATGTCTGGGGCGAGAAGTTGAGAGCGAAAGGAGGTCCTCTCAAGAATTGAAGGATGATAGCTCTCAGCATAATCACTGGTTTTAATTTTTGAAGAAGTGGGAGCCAAGAAGTACTACGTAACGTAGCTTCTATGGCGTCAATTTATGACCACCATTGTTGGGAGGGGCTCCTACTTCTGCCATATCTTTGAATGTCCAAATTGAATTCGTTCTATGGAAATATCGATGTGGTTAGTCCAGAATATGTGTTTAGATAGCCAATATAACTCTAAAACTTAGTAGCCTAAGGGATGCCAAATTTTAGGGTCTACTTGGAAAAGCTATTGATCTGGACTTATCAGCCAGCTGAGGGACATAGTACGTGGAGGATGCCAGCGCTGTGCCGCAAATCAATCCCATTATCTGAGACGAGACTGCAACATTTGAATTACAGACCTAAACCCGAGAGAGATTCCAAATCTTTGGCTATCCGACATTGATTGCTGGCTAAGAAAATTAGCTAGCAAGATTCCAGACCAACCGTCTCTTGCTGGATGGTCCGAGATTCTACAACTGATGGCTAGCTGAGGGTATAGATCGGCTACAGGGAGTGTCCGACTCTTCCTTTTCATCCCCGGGAAACACAGCAGCGGGCTTAACTCCAGGATGCGCCTTGTCCAGTTATTCTTCTGAACTCCAATCGAACAATGTTTGCTGAACGTCTGATCAAGCCAGGGGCTGTCTATCTCTCTGGTGGCGAGCTCCTAACCGATTTGAGATTGTACGATGGGCCATTGCCGAGAACATGGTATCTGGGCTACGTCTCATGGGCTCTGAATCACCTCAAACTGCTGGAATCATTCGATCGTACAGGAAGTCAATTTTGTGGTTTGCATCAAGACGTTGAAATTCAATCAATGACCAATTACGCAAAGGCGTTGCTGGATGCGGCTGTCAAGGATCGCCCCCTCCAATCGTAGAGCAGAGCATTCCGTCGATCGGAATGCTCGTACACCGCAGTTCCGTGTCGGGCTACCGGGAAGCATACCTCGATGTACGATGGGTATCTCACGAACCGTTCTCGATATTCAACATTATCTTCGCCGACGATGAATACAATAAGCCAAAACAAGTACAGGCGGCCACCCTGGAATCGTGACAGCCGCAACGACCACCTCCTCAGATCACCGCAACCACAAGACAATCATCAAAAGACTTGATCTTGGAAGAATGAGTTCTCAGACAGGCTGGAGGCAGCTCGACATAGCTGTTGTCGGAGGCGGCATTGGTGGCCAAGCAGCTGCCACCTCTCTTCGCAGACAAGGACATAAAGTTACCATCTACGAGAAGGCTGACTTTGTGGGCGAGGTCGGTGCGTCCATATCCTGCGCAGCAAACGGCACCCGCTGGCTAGAGGAATGGAAGGTAAATATCGAACTTGGCGACCCTGTAGTCTTGGAGAAGTTAATAAGTCGTGACTGGACGACGGGGGAGCCTGTGAGCGTCTATGATCTTGCAGATTACAAAGAACGCTGGGGTTATGTAAGTCATAAGCTTGGACGGGAGGTTTTCTGCTTGGTTGGCTAATCTTTCACAGGTCTACAATATGTTTCATCGACAATATATGCATAAAATGCTGCTGGACAGTGCCACCAGCGAGAAGGGAGATGGCATACCAGCAAAGCTGATTGTCAATCACAAGGTAGCCCTGTCTGCAGTTCTCCGTCTCGTCTGGCAGCTTTACTAACTTCCCGTCAGGCAGAAGATGTCAATACTGAGACCGGAGAGATCACTTTCGCCAACGGTGTAAAAGCCAAGCATGATGTTGTGATTGGTGCAGATGGAATCGGGTCCGCGCTTCGTACAGTTCTTGGAATCGAGACCGTTCGACGACCTGCCACCTGTACATGTCTACACACCAACGTTGACACTGAAACGGCAGTCAAGCTCGGCCTAGTAGACTACTCGAAAAACAGTGCTCTTGAGTACTGGGGTGGCTACAACACTCATTTCAAGATTGTACTTTCTCCGTGCAATGGCGGGAAGTTGTTATCGTATTATTGCTTTTTCCCGCGAGAAGAGGGCGACCTTCGAGGCCAAAGCTGGGATCAGGAGGCGTCACTGGATGAGCTTCTTTCGCCTTACCCCGACTTAGATCGCCAGGTCTTTAAGCATCTTGAAATAGGGTATGAGATTCGGCCGTGGCGGTTGTGGCTTCACGAGCCATATCCACTGTGGACGCATGGCACTGTTGCCCTTATGGGAGATGCAGCACATCCGGTAAGGTCTTCTCAGCCATTTTTTGTGTGGGAGAGGAGTTTCACTGATGCGATCCAGATGATGCCTGACCAGAGTCAGGGGGCCTGTCAGGCTATCGAAGACGCTGCTGCCTTGGGTCTGGTCTTCAGCAAGGCCCACTTCTCCGGCGATGTTCGAGAGTCATTAGCGGTATTCGAACAGGTCCGGAAGCCGAGGGCAACGAAAGTGCAAGCCGCATCTGCGAAAGCGCGAGAAAATATCAATGAAAGGATTGGTGAGGAGCTACCATAAGAGAACGAACGATGTTCGCGTTCTAGACTGACCCACTTACTATGTACCAGGCTTCTCGAGCAACACAAACACCAAAGTCTACACCGTTTCAAATGAGGGCAGTAAATTAACGATCGATGAAATGAATCTGTAAGTGATGGGGTTCAATTGGTGCTTTCAGACCGCATCAACATTCCTGGCAAGGCCAAGTTACTGGCTAACCCTCTGCGTAGTTACGACATGAAAGCCCATATCCAGGAGGTGTTTCAGGAGCGTCGGTCTACAGGGGCGACTAGGCAGGTCAACGGGGTTAGCGACGTCCCCGGAGCCCTCGGGGCCCATAGCGTGAACGGCATTACCAACGGTGCACACAGCTGATACAAGGTCGATTGTGGCAATGAGGCTGTGAAAATGATGTGTTGATTTCTTTTTTTGAATGCTTGCAAAAACAAGACGGAGACAGGGTGCACAACGTAGGAAACAGATGATCTGTTGCATGCTTCAGACACGGAACTCTGAGACTGTACGATAGATACTGGGTGCTCTCTAAACATTCGGGCCCTCGATCCGTTTTGGATACGAGATACAAGGGAGGTGGCCACCGATAAGGAGAATGTCCGGGATGCAAGGGCCCAACGCTAACTGGCTTGCTCAGCCGGGCTTATCGGTGGTGTCTCAATAAAGTACCAGCAAAGCAGTTAGCTCGTCTGTTAAGTTTTTATCCAAGCCCTGTGGACACGAGAAACCCTCGTGCCGGAGGTACGAGGCCCTTGCCCGACTAATAATTAAGATGCAGCTGGCGCACACCTATCCACTCCCCGCACTTTCGCTATCCTGCGACAGCTGCAGCGGCTTGACCTACTTAACTTCAAGCCCGTCTCATACCACACGGATGAAGCGCATTGCCTCTGAGCTGTCGAGATCCTTGCTTCTGTTCTAAAATCCTTCTTTGTTGCATCCGTCGCCTTTGATGCGTCTTTCTACACTTTGAAAAGGCCGCCGTTCCCAAGTAGAACTCTCCCTTCGCATCACATTTTTTGGTTCTTGGCCGTTCACCTTCTCCCCTCCTTTGGGTGTTGAAACGTACCGCCGACAGGATCCCCGGGTTCTACAGACCATGCCAGCAGAGAAGCGGTCAATATTGCCGGCTACGACTGAACCTAGTAAGAAGCGCGCTCCCTACATCCCCAGGGCTTGCGAAACGTGTCGGAGGCGGAAGGTTCGGTGTGATGGACGCAAGCCATGCGAATATTGCCTTGGTCGCTCGTTCGAGTGCCATTATACACCCAATCCTGATGACCAGAGGGCCAACTCTCAGAACTCTCTGAACGTCGTACAGCAGATTCCAAAGGGAGCTAGCTGGAGTCAGAGGTAAGGTCTTGGCTAACTGCAAATATTCCATGTGGCTGAAGGTGCTGTCTAGCTCAGAGCGGCCAGTGCATGGCCTTGATGAACTTGTCGCGTCGATGCAAGGACAGCTCAATGCTCTGCTGGCGCATGTGAAGATGTCTGATGAGAGAACCTCGCAAGATGCTGGAAGCAAAGCCCCTAGCATGAGCTCTCAGAAGGGACAATCCGACACAAATACTGTTTCAAGCGAAAGCACGATACCTGTTGCTGTTGAGCCTGCTAGACAGATGCAGACTTATTCTTCAAGACGTTCGACCAGTGCCTTCTGTGGCCCCACGAGTCCAGAATATAGTCTCAATGCGGCACAAAGGAGAATGCAGTGCGATAAAACTTCTGGTCCCGGATCTGGTTCAGCAATATCCCCCAGTGTTGATGAGAACCAGTCAGATGATGGGGATGATCACCCATACAGCCCAGGAACCGAATATGTTTTACCATTTCACCAGGCGCCGAGACATATCTTGCAGCCATGCTTGCTGCAGTTCAGAAAGTTCCTCCCTAAAGCTGAAGCTATCCGTGTGCTACTCCTGTACCACAGTATGATGGGAGAACTGCATCCAATTTGCAATATTGAACTCATGGTGAAGCAAACCGAGGCATGTTATGCTAGGCCAGTCATTGAACTTGGCACTGCTGTTGGCGATGGACTTCCAATTACCGAGAATGACCTCTTGATAATAAATTTAGCTCTCACAATTGCCCTTTGCACGGAGACTGGGGTCTTGCCAGATACAGGTAGATCCATTTACGACAGCTGTCGAGATCTCATCAATACAAAACTCGCAAGTCTCACAACGGATATAAAGCATGTTCATGTTGTCTTTTTGGTGGTAAGTGGACAGCAAATGAGCATATATCACCGCGCGACTGACCGACTGCAGGCGCTCCGGCATTTTTTCATGGGCAGAATCCGTCTTGCCTGGCGAACCTGTGGGCAAGCAGGCCGCATGGCGATGGAATTAGGACTTCACAGCCGAGAAATGTCTCAGCAGTGTCTCGAGAACGACGAGCAGCGAGCCGCGGTCGTGGAATTGTCATGCAGTCTTGTCGTCCTGGATCGTCAATTGAGCGCCTCGGCTGGGCTTCCTCACACCTTTCAGAACGCCGATTTTGACCTGGCAGTCGGTGCTTCCGTAAGCGAAACATAACCCTATCCGTGTCTTCAAGTCTGATGTGTTGCTAGGTGAACACTCCGTATTTAAGGCACATGATGGAATTCACACTTATGAGCCATAAATTTAACGAGCCGATCTCTAGGGTAGCCACGGGAGGCTGTTACATGGACGATGATTCATTTGAGGTCACCAACTTCCTGGTAGAACAATGGAGGAAGAGGGCGACTGAGAACTGGGACTTCACTCGGCTGTCAGATTGGGAAACTCAACCTTCTAAGATACCTCCGGCATGGGTTGTTATCCTCTATCTGCGAGCCAACGCCGTTCGAAGCATCCTCCTGCGGCCATTCTTTCTCTCAGACCCGGCGAATCCTGCAAGCAAAAGGCAAGTGAAATCAGCTCTAGATATCATCTCAGACTCGATCAACGTACTCTCGGTTCTAGACAAAACAAGCAATATCTATCGAATTCAACATCCGTCTCTACAACATATCTTGGCGGGGACTTGCGCCCTGCTCTTCCTGGTCCTTTCATATACCGCACAAAACCACGCAGCTCCGGGTTTAGATCTCCCCTCTGAGTTTTTCAGTACGGTAAATCGAAATTTTTGGACAGCGCTCGACCTCTCAAGGTCTTACAATGAAGCCTCACTTACTTCGCGCAAACTTTATAGGCGCTTAAACGCCATCAAAGATACACTTCTCCGTGCCGGGTACCTCTCTCCAGACTACGACCCCAATCAAATTACCCAGTTAATACCTGATCCTCAACAATCAGATATGCTGATTGGAAGCCACATGAGAATGATGTCAGATCAAGGCCTTAGCAGCAGAGAGCTGCTTCCTAGGTCCAATCACAACTCCGAGATAGTTCCAGTCAATGAGATGACTATATTTCCCGGTACCACGAACACTATGCTTGGTCCCAACCCATTTCTTTTCGATTTCAACATGAACCTGGAGTACTTCGATTGGTTAGACTACGAGTGGCCTTCTGATGATGTCGCACACTCTCTTTCTGGAACTGGCTTCGGGTCATTATAATGCAACACTGGCATGGAAGTTGTACATGAGCTGTCGCTCAACCTACAAATCTGGATCCTTCATCATTGACGTTATCATATATCACTCGCACTGTCATCATCACAAGCCAGCACTCTAAGGTTACGAAGGGCAGCTGCATGAGTCGAAATCTCTTTGGAGCCTTCCAACATCAAATCTTAAATCTAAGTATGATCATAGCAGTGATCGACAGGCGTCTTTTGAGATCACCTCTTCCATCTCTGGAGTTCCTTCTGTACGATCTGTACCATACCGTCTCACATCACTTGTGTTCCCGTGTCTCGAGAAAGGTTCCCTCGACTGACAAGGCCATTGAAAAGTCCGTTTTTCCGTGAGAATATCTCTCCACTTGCGTCTCACCAACTAGTCGGGACTTCGGCTAGTCTTGATTAAACCGCAGTCATCTTTTCAGCCCACAAAGAGAACAATAGGAGGTGCTGTTAGCAGTCTGCGACGTTGCACGAATTGGGATCTGTCTGGAAATGATGGATCGGATAGCGAATGCTGGCACTGGTACGCCTAAGCAAAACCCTCCATGAAAGTGGCCAATGAGGTCGATTTGAACATAACGAAGCGCATGAACGTCTTTCCAGAACCTGTAAGAGACTGTGCATGTGGCCGCAAATCTTGCCAAAAAGAACAGTTTAAAGGTGTGGACCGTCAACTTCCTTCACTTTGAACTTGAACATTTCGTTCGAGGAGACGGAGTTTCTGTCCCTCATCTTCGAAGCAACTTCAATCCCTCCCACCGGGACTTTATACTCGTATCGCTTGTTAGGTGTCGCCTCGCTGCCCTTCACGAGTTGTGCCGGGTATGGTAAGTACTCTGGCATCAGCCCAAGTTGCCTCAAGGCCGTACCCTGATCCCAATTAATGTGCTCATGGTATAGTCGGTCTCCTCGAATATTGACAACCGCGTGGAAAGGAATTTCTGCCTTTCGGAATGTAGGGGGAATACCAGGGAGGCTGGCCTGATTGTCAGCTTTTGTGAGTGGCTAATAGCGCGAAAGTGTGAACTTACAACCAATCCAATTCCTTGTCGTGAGTGAACTTGAATAGAAATTCATCAATTATCCGATCAATTCCAATTGTTCTGCTTAGTAACTCCATCGAAGTATCAGCAGAGTTTAAAAATATGAAGTTTTGTCGGTAAAATGAAGTTAAGGCTGTGCGGCCTACTCCACCAGTCATCTAGGAACCCATGTTAGAAACCTCGTTTTTCCCAAGCTTTGGGTTTGATTCAAACTGACTGTTGGTACATGATTTACGTATGGCTCTTGCACCATGGTACTCATCGTATGTTCAACCGAGCGGTCTGAAAACTCGTAGTAAGTGTGCTCGTCCCAGATATATTCGAGGTCAAAATATGGTCCACCCATAATAGGCTTCAAGAACGTCAGATTTCGGGTATGCGACAAAGCCTCTGTGTTGTAATGAAACGACTCGGAAAACGGTGTCGCGAACTGATATGACTGCACATCTGGGTAGAAATAGGTGCTGAGAATATCCGTCGTCCTTTGGCGTGTTGCAAGTTCACCACCGGCGAGTTGTTGCAGAACGGGGATCTGGGTCTGTGCCAGGGTTTTCTGGTCTGATGCATCTCCATAGGTTATTGCAACCACGACCTCAGGCACTTCTGCCAGGAATTCTGTCGTTATATTCCATAGAATGGGATCGTATGCTATTCGGCAAATGGGTCAGTTTATGTCAGCAGCGGTCGAAGCCAAGAGCAGTGTAGAAGTGAAAACTTACCAACCAGGCCAACTTTTCCCTTTGGCTCGCATTTCTCGCATTTTGATAGTGCTTCAGTAGCAGCCTTAAGTGATGCTGATGCACCTGTCGCAAGGGCTCGTTCTTCGATTCCCACCACTGCATATCCTTCCTCGGCCCATTTGATCAGGAGTGATGGCACACCCTCTCTGATGGCAAGTGGATCGTCCGAATCTTTTGTAAGGAGAATAATGCCAGGACCATACCCTCTGCGAGTGAGGGGCGACAGGAGCTTTAAACCTTCTCCTAACTCCACCAATTTAGAGCTTGGCAGCGGAGGAGGAGGCTGGGTAATGTCGTTATACTTGCTCATTTTTAGTTCACTCCAAAAGGTCTTGACTAGCTAGTTTTCAATCGCGAGCATGTAAATTTTGAATATATAGACAGAGAATGTGACAAAGGGTTGGGTCAACAGTCGTGGTCTCATGAGGAGTGCCAGTTCCGCCTTTCCGATGCGCTTCCTTACAGTGAAGTTTCGTCTGCGCGGGTGTTCCGCTGCCGGCAACTGATGACCCGCTCGGATCTGTAGCACTCGCGTGAACATCCAGTCTTGAACAAGGTATTGAAAAACCTGCAACCATACGACTCTTAGCTTTTACAGCTCGAACAGCCTTCAATTGCTGTATACGCTTGGACTAGCAAGCTACGTCAAGGGGACAAAGCAAACACCATTTTCCTCTCTTTGATCTACAATGGCACCACCACTTGAGGACATTCGTCCAGCTTTTGAACTCCGAGGTCGCAACTACGTTATCACAGGTGGTGCTGGAGGAATAGGTTTTGCGGCTGCCCGCGCCATCTGCGAACTGGGTGGGAATGTTGCGATACTCGACGTACAGGAGAAGCCTGTGGACGAGTTTGAAACGCTTTCCAGCAAGTTCGGAGCGAAAACTTTCTACTTCCAAGCAGATGTCACCAACCAAGAAAGCTTAAGCAGTGCATTCGGAAAAGCAGTCGAGGCATTGGGCACGATAGACGGGTTGGTGCCATCGGCTGGGATCGCCATCGATAAGCCTTTTGTTGATCAAACTTGGGAAGAATTTACCCGCATTCATGAAATCAATGTAAGTGTCGCTCATTATTCCATCAGAGGTGGGCAGTTCTATGAGTGCAGTGACTATTGCTAATTGACAAACTCATAGTGTCGTGGATTGTTCTTCAGCTGCCAGCTTGCAGCCAAGCAGATGATCAAGCAAGGAAAGGGAGGAAGTATGGTGTTGCTCGCCTCACAGACAGCACATATAGCCATCCCCGGACATCGTATGGCAGCATACAACATGTCCAAGGGAGGAGTTTTGATGTTGACAAAGGCCCTTGGGGTTGAGTTAGCACCCCATAATATCCGCGTCAACAGCATTTCTCCTGGTTTTGTTGATTCCGAGATGTTGCAAAAGGTGAAGGCGGCAAAGGGGCCTCAGGAAGCGGAACAACTGGAAATTTCACCGCCAATGAAGCGTCTCAGTAACCAGAACGATCTGACCGGGGCTATAATATATCTATTGAGTGATGCCGCAAGGTTTACCACAGCAATTGACATCCCTATTACTGGAGGGCTTCACGCTGGGACGATTGAAGGTTTGATCTATTATCCATAGCCTGATAGAAAAATCAAGCAAGCCACAGAAAGAAAACTCGCGAAACGTGTGAAATACACACGCACGAAAAGACATTACGAGGAAGAAATGAAAAGTAATATATACATGTATTTGGAAATTCATGTTTTGGTATTCAATTTAAGGACCTACATCTTCACAAAACAGTGTGCGCCTGACCTAGAGCTTTACAAATTGGAAGATCATCGATCTGGTTGCATCCATCCATTTCCTGTACTTATAAACTACTACTAGTGTCTTCTCAGTTCTGGATATCCCTCCGCTTGTTTTCCTTGACCACACACTACTTTTTCCCATTTGCTTCAATCCATTCTTCGCCTAAGCCGATGTAGTCTTTTGGTTTGTAAGCTTCCAGTAGTTCCAGTATTGGGGATGACTTTCTATGGTTCTTTAACCCAATATCGTTGATCAGAAGGTCGACATAGGGTATCGAGTCAAAAGCAAAATCAGGTAAAGAGGCACCATAACCACAAGGATACCTCCATTTCTCGAACTGTGTATGAAGCATGACTTCTTTCGTCACCTCGTCTTCGGTTTTTGGAGTGCGCGTGAGCTTGCCATCCAGGAACGCAGAGATCCAAAGTCCTTGAATTGTCGAGAATATGGAAGTACAGACAGTGGAAACCATTCCAGCATAAGCGATGTTTCTCTTAAAGACAGAACCTGAAGGAACTATGAAACGATAATTCCGTAGTGGCTCCTCAGCCTTGAGAGCTCCACGGAGGACTGGTTGATCCTTGAGGATAGGGAACATTTCGTGAACCTGTTTGTCGGCTTCCTTACTGAAGCGTTGGATCTCAGCAGTCGCCAGAGATAGTCCAGAATTGTAGTTTAGGAACTTCAAGTTTTCTGAGGTCTTCTTCCACCCAGTGGCACAGATCAAAACCTCGGTACCGAACTTCTCGCCGTTACTCAAATGAATGGTGTTTTCATCCAGCTTTGTGATATCGGCAAGGTGGACCTTGATTTTCCCTTCTTTGACAAGGTCAAAAAAGTTTGTCGGATAGTTATGAATGCCCACACCGCTCCCTGTCCACATTGCACTGTTCCATGGCTTCAACTTGAACACCTCTTGATCATCGTTGTAGCCGTGAGTCTCAATAACTTCAGAGCTGATTTGGTTCCAGAAGTTATTGACGATAAACCTTCCAAAGCCTGTTCTGTGTAGGAAGCTGTGCGCCATAGAGAAACCATCTTCGCCCTGCCACGGGCATGGACTCATAAATGTAAGAGCGCGCGTCGAGAGAAGCTCTTCCATTTTTCGTTTCAGAGGCGTGACATATGGTGGGCAGATCCAAACTGGTCCTTGGCCTGTCGGTCGAATGATAAGATTTACCTGGGCCTTACCCTCGGTGGCAAATGCATATGCGACATCAAAAGCAGATTTTCCCGCTCCTACAACTGTAGCCTGTTTGCAAGTCTTAACAGTATCTGCTCGATTGCAAAACTCCTTGGCGTGGAAAAATGGCGGTTTGAATGTTTCTTCACCTGGGTAAGATGGCATATTTGGCTGCGAAGTCAGTCCAGTAGCAACTATCAGTTTTCTTGTCTGGATTTTCTGCTTGGTTGTAGACTTTGATGTGATATCCAGAATCCACTCGTCGTTTGCCGTAGCTTCGACTGAATTCACTTTAGTCTCAAAAAGTGTTCGTTCGAATACACCGAACTTTTTGGCGAAATCAGTAAGATAGCGGTGCAGAATCGCCGCTGGAATATGCTGCCCTTCTGACACGCCGTACACTTTTTCTTCCATTGGGAAGTCTGGGAACTCGTATGAGCCCCATAGGTTGTTGGACTTCAGGCCAGGGTATAGCCTGTCTTTGGACCATGTTCCACCGCAGCTGCTCTCTGCCTCGAGAATCAAAATCTTCTCATCTGGATGAAGTTGTATGTATGCTTTGGCTGAGCCAAGTCCATACCAACCAGCACCAATCACCACGACATCGTAGGTGTTCTCTGCGGAGCCAGCGTCACCCATGATTGAATTGGCGGTCTTTGAAAGTTTTAGATCAAGATAGTTGATTGCTTTTGGGCTTGAAATTCAGAAGAATGACATTGACGCTCCTCCTTGATGCTATACACCAATGCTCCATATCTACTTAGCACTGCAATCACGGCTATATTGCTCCCTCGGATTGACAATACTCGTCCTCAGACTTGCCGCCTCTTAGCATATGGGACTAGTCAGGAAGTAGAGGCCAGATTGGACGTGATACGGAACGGTTTACAGAATGTTTCCGAAATGCTGCGGCCCGCAATAACAAATCATCGGAAACCTTATGAGAGATAAACTCGGGGGTAAACGGCGGACTTGGGCTCAAAAGACAAGTTGTTTGTAGCATTACCTAACTAAGTAGTAGCTATCAGGTGACCAATGGCTGTCTCCAGACCTTAAATGATCAGGGCTCGTCGAAACCCATTTCTCGCCAAGTAGATCTAACCTTCGCCTTCACGTCTTCCGGGTACGAAGTCTCAAAATCGACCTTGGTGAAAGGCCTGCCGGTTTCGTATTCAGCCTTCATCACGCAATCTTGAATCATTTTACCCCCGCGTTTTGAATCACCTCTTCCGTAGGCCATGTAGGGTGTTAATGGGAATCCAGGAACATCCTCGAATACAAATTCGTCAAGGCCAGGCCGGCACCTTGTTGCCAATGCCCAAATTATATCTTTTAGATCATAGATGTTCACGTCTTCTCCAATAAGGATAATTCTGTTAATCAACATTGCGCTCTTGTTGTTGAATACAATACTCCCCAGCTTCTGGCAAAAGTCCTGAGAATTTGTCTTGAGCGAGCGTAATCTTTCGGTGTCGACTGTAAGTGCGCACCAAGTTCCATGTGTCTCTAAAGGTGCATTTGCGTCTATTATCGGCAAATCGTGCTTTTTGCAAAACGAGAGGAGCTCAACTGCGGCAAGAGCTCCTGTGGTATGCTGAGAAAGGTCAACAATTAGTAACCAGTTGGCATTGATTCTCGCCGTGTGTGTCCTTAAACTTACCGACTCATCCGTGATTCTCCCCGGTACTGAGATTGGCATGATTGCATCGTCTCTGTGAGTGATCAAATCTACTCGAAATAAGGGCATGGAGTGCCTGTCGTCGTCGCACACCAGTCCAAGGTAGTCTCCGAAAGGACCTTCATCTCCCTGCTTGCTCTGATCTAGGTAAGTCACCCCCTCGAACACGATCTCGCTATTTGCTGGTACCAGCAGGTCGCTTAGTTCACATTTCACGAGGTCCAGTGGCCTCCCTGTCATTGCTCCCACGTACTCGCTTTCCGAGACGTTTTCTGGAATAGGGAGAGCAGCCACAAAATTTGCAGCTGGGGGTACGCCGAAGGCAAGTGCCCAAGGAATTTCGGTTTTGCCTGCGTCTCTCCACTTCTCACGGATGATTTGGTTATGCTGTCCCTTACCAACCAAGCACACAAGATGCTTATTGTCGTGAATCATTCCTCGAAAGATAGACCAGTTCGTCCACGAGCCATCGGGTGTCTGGAGGACATGGACACCATACGTTTGTAGGTATTTCCCGCCATCTCCAACGTGCAGATAAGGAGCTGGTAGCTGATGTAGATCGATCTCGTCGCCCGATAGCCTGTTTTCCTTGCAAGGCCCAGTTGGCAGAACATTCGGTTTCAATGGTGTGGCTTTTTTGGCAGCCTGAGTTTTCTCTCCTATTTCCTTCCAGCTGGCATTTGTTGGCAGTCCTAAGTTTCTTGCTAGTCGCCCGTACCTCTCCGCCTCATTCTTTCTCAGGCTGGCTGCATTCCCAAACATCCTCCATAGGCCATTTTTGGCGCCTTTCACATTGTTGAAGAGTGGTGCTTTGCCGTTAACTTCACTTACCCTTCGAACAATTGCTGCCACCTCCAAATGTGGATCTACCTGACGATCGATCTCAACTAGGTCGCCATCACTACGAAGAACGTCGATGAACGTTCGGAAATCAATTTGTGCAGCCAGTGGGTCTGGAGGCATTCCGGCTGAAGGTGTATAGGAGTAGGAAAGGTTTGGAAGGACAATTGATCTGAGGAATTTTCGCGAAGACATTGTTGGCTGTATCAAATTGAGGTAAGGAATGGATTAATCTATTTTGAAATATTTCGTATTAACGCGATCCACTAAAAGGCTGAGTGTTCCTGCTAGTGAGATAGACTGCCCACCATACTCGTGGCCAGATACGAGTAGTATCACCGAGGTCCGGAACATGTTCCGCAATCGGCTAAGATCCTGATCCACAAATCTGTCGATTGACTAGATGGAGGCTGTGATAGGAAATGACTCCACTAGACTTGTCATTGTACATCTTGCCCACGGCGTATTCTTCGAGGGTGACACTTTTTCTAATAAGGCATTGCCCATATCTGGTCGAGAGGCAGTCGTCGGTATCGAAGGACAAGCTCTTGCATGTTCTCACAATGTTGAGACTTTTTGCTCAACCACCGGCTCGAGGCCTTGCCCAAAGTCGCCGATTTGTTATACCTATTGCAGTTCATCGCTGCAGCCACAGACGGAAATCAGATTACTCAAATAGATCATATCAGAATCCGGAATCACATCTCCAAAACGTTAGCGAGTCACAACCTCAACCTTCTGGCCCTCGAACGAATGAAGACAGGCTCATCACATTATTGCCGCCACGGCCTAGGAGAATCGTCGTGGGTATTACAGGGGCTACGGGTACCATCTATGCGATCAGGATGCTTGAGATCATGCGACAGCTCGGCATTGAAACTCATCTTATCATCAGTAAATGGGCACTTGCAACTCTCAAATACGAGACAGATCTGTCAGAGGCACATATTCGCAGCTTAGCGCATGCTACTTATACAGCAAAAGACCTATCCGCACCTATAGCCTCAGGCTCGTTTCAACACGATGGCGTAGCCATTGTTCCTTGTAGCATGAAGACGTTAGCGGCGGTACGAATCGGCTTCTGTGATGATTTGATCTCTCGTGCTGCGGATGTGAGCCTCAAAGAGGGCCGCAAGGTCTTGATCGCTGTACGAGAAACACCGCTGAGCGACATACATCTCGAAAATATGCTCGCATTGAGGCGTGCTGGTGCAATCATTTTCCCTCCTGTCCCTGCCTTCTACACTCAGCCTAAAAGCCTTGACGAGCTTGTCAATCAGAGTGTGGGCAGAATGCTAGACTCCCTAGGCATCTATATCAACAATTTCCATCGATGGAACGGTTTCGAGAAACAAAATAAAAACAAACTCCCTCGCAGTGTCTCTGCGGATCCTTCACTAAATTACTCTCAAGTCTCTAATATGAGAGCGAAGCCTGAGAAGCAACCAGACCATAGCACCAACAGCACTGACTACACTGAATTACATAATGACGGACCGCTACGTTATGCTAGCGGATGAATTTCATAAAAAGCCTGGGAATTATACGTCTCGGAGTATGGAGAATAGTAATAACAGCGATTGAGAAGAAAGTTTATGCTAAAGCCTGCAAGCTGCAATAAGATCATGTTCTGCATTTGCATTTCCTACGGAAATACTGAAGACGGGTTGAGTCAGATAGTTCGTCACAATACTCTAAACTGATTTTGATAATCCAGTCCTTGTACGATCTACATTAGATGGTTTGTAAAGCCTCCATGAACCCGATGTGGTGGGAGGTGGCTCATCTAGGTCCCACAATGACCTGCAGCGGTGTTCTGCTTCCCCAGCTCTTCCAAGTGCGAAAATTGACAAGGATCGGATTGGGGGATCGAATGGCTGCAACCATCTACGGAATGGCCCATCGGAAATTCCGTTGATAACTCAAATCACAAATCACCTCAATTGGCCTGCTTCATCCCATCTTACTAATCTAATTTCGGAAAAATTGCCGCAATCTATGTGGAGAGCCTCCCTCGGAGGAGTCCCCGCCCAAGGTGGCCTCCGGACCAGAGTGACACACGAGGCCCTTCCTGCTTCCCAACGCGCTGAAACTGGATCCTTACGCCTAGATGTTTAGAGCAAGTTCCGATGGCGGTTAGAGAACCCAGCTGATTTTGGGACATGGGTCGATTGAGTCCAGGTCGACATACGGATACACAGTGGCCGATGCTGTTGTCGGTGCTGTTATCGGAGGATTTGAGGCCACGAGGAACTAGCTGGAGTAGATTGTGACGGTGCACAACATCTTGTCAAATCTGCCCCATTATTATTGATGCTTCCCCTTCAGTGGTTGGTGGTCTTCTTGCAACCGCAATTGGCACGGGAGAAACTCGTGATATTTGTATCCTGATACTACTGCTTTCTCAACACTCAGGACTTGGAGATCATCATATAGGGAGTTCAGCTGTGTCGTTTCAAGTGTGAACTGTCAAGGGCCAAGATGTATGGTATCAGAAGAGCGACTACAAAGTTTTCTCAACCGGGTCACTCTCGATACGGTTCAGCGAGAAAATGCTCAGTTGCTCTTGACAAGCGCCACCTCCATACCGTTCCCCTAATCATCAATGGCAAGGACGTCACTACAAAAGAGACCTTTCCAGTTACTGGCTGTCTGAAAGGTGCTGAGATTTCACATTGTTCGACTGTTTCGCCTCAACAGGTCAATGACGCTGTTGAGTCTGCCAAGGCAGCATTCCCAAGCTGGTCGGCGACAAAACCATCAGAACGCAGGGACATATTTCTTCGCGCCGCCGATGTCTTCGCGAAACGCAAAGACGAGATGGCGCACTACATACACCAGGAGATTGGCGCCAGCAAGGACTACCAGGAGTTCATTATCGGCTTGGCCATCGAGGGTCTAAAGGATACAGCAGGAAGGATCGCAGGTGCAGTGACTGGCCAAGTTCCAACGTCCATTCACAAAGGGATGGGTGCAATGATCCTGAAAAGACCTTACGGTGTTGTGCTCGGAATAGCTCCGTGGTAAGTCAGGCAGGAATTCCAGAAAGCCACGTACGACTGACTCGGTATCTCCAGGAATGCTCCATTTCATCTTGGGTTACGTTCCATCACTTTCCCGTTAGCAACAGGCAATACTGCAATACTCAAGGGACCAGAATTCTCACCGCAGTGCTATTGGGGATTCTCTGATGTTTTCCGCGAAGCAGGTTTGCCGGATGGCGTGTTAAATACTATTTTCCACCGCCCTTCTGACGCTGCCGCTGTAACCGAGCAGTTGATCGCTCATCCTGCTATCAGGAAAATTAACTTCACTGGGAGCTCAAAAGTGGGCAGTATCATCTCCGCTTCCGCCGGCAAGCATTTAAAGCCGGTGCTAATGGAACTGGGAGGCAAGGCAAGTGCTATCGTGATGAAGGATGCAGACCTGGAAAACGCAGCCCTGCAGTGTACACTGGGTGCGTTCTTGAACGTAAGTGAACTGCTTGCTATGATGGTGTGCTGTGAAGACCTAACTTTCCAACTAGGCCGGCCAAATCTGCATGTCTACTGAACGTATCCTTGTGCATTCATCTATTGTGTCCGAGTTCAAACCTATTCTCCAGGCGATTATCGAGAAAGTCTTCGGCTCGCCGGAGTCAACTCCTGTTTTAGTTACCGCTAGATCAGCAAAGCGAAATCGTGGGCTTGTTGACAGTGCACTTTCACAAGGCGCAGAGGCACTCTATGGGAACACCAATCTAGTTGGGAAACTGGAGACCAAGATGTCTCCGGTCGTATTGACCAATATCAACAAGGATATGGATATTTATGCCACTGAATCTTTCGGTCCAAGCGTCTCACTTTACACATTCGAAACTGAACAAGAAGCACTGGAATTAGCGAATGACACTGAGTATGGTCTATCGGCGTCCGTCTACACTCAGGATCTGAGGGCAGGATTTAGGATGGCGGAAGGTATAGAGTCTGGTGCTATACACATCAATACCATGAGCGTGCACGACGAGTTCGCTTTACCACATGGCGGAGTCAAAAAGAGTGGGTTCGGTCGGTTCAATGGCTACCAGGGTCTGGAGGAGTTCTTGTACTACAAGTCAGTTACATGGCTAGAGTGAGCGACTGCGCAAATGGTACTACCGGTTCATATTCAAGTAGATTTCTCGGTCCCGAAACAGACTATGAAATGTATGTCTATACATTAAGAAAACCAGTTTTACAATTTTGATACTCTTCTAGCTATTATTCGAGCATAAGGGTGGTGGAAATTTGGCACTAGGTGGTCAATTTCGCCAGTATTTACAAAATCCGGATGAGCATCGCGCATTAGATCTGTCATCCCGCATAGTCGCATTGCAGTCTCGATCTCGTCCTTGATAACTTAGTTCACATTAGCTTTATGCAAACCCCTGTATCAGTGGTTGGAACTTACTCTCAACAGCATGCTCAATCCCCTCTGACCCGTATTTGATCGAATACATGAACGGCCTGCCGATCCCAACCGCAGAAGCGCCTAAACAAATAGCTTTGACGATGTCTGATCCTCTTCTAAAGCCACCATCGACCAGAATTTCCATTTTTCCAAACACCTCTGGGCAGTTTTTGTGAAGTTCAAGCAAGGTGAGGATCCCTGGTGGTGCAGTGTCAGCTGCCCGGCCGCCATGGTTGCTGAGCACAATTCCATCACACCCCATTCTCATGGCGATCACAGCGTCTTTGGCGCGCTGTATGCCTTTCACCACTATTGGTAGGTCCGTGAAGCTCCGCATCCACTGTAAAGCATCCCAATTGAAAGTTGGATCAATGAATGAACTAGCTTGCCGAGTAAAGCCTCCACCTTTCTTGTCTTTTTTCCCACCAGGGGTATCCGGCCTAATTCTTTCATCTGCCTCGCGCTTGGAAATAACAGGCAGATCAGCGGTGACAAATATCGCTTTGATCTTGCCTGATTTCGTCATTTTATGTATTGCCTCCTTTGACTTTTGTCGGTCTTTATTAACGTAGACTTGAAAGAACGCATGCCTAGGGGTGGCTTCGAGGATTTCGTCATGAGGAAAGGAGGCAGGCGTGGAAATACAATGGATAATGCTGGAAGCAGCGGCCCCTTTTGCCATCGCAAGCTCTCCGTCCGGACCTCCGGCTTTCGCTCCTCCCATTGGTGCAATATAGATGGGCACATGCAGATCACAGCCAAATAGCTGCGACCGTGTATTCACTTGCCCAACATCCCTCAGTACAGCGGGACGCAGCCAAATTCTCTGGAGTATAGATATATTCGCGTCGCGGGTGATATTGTCATTCGAGCCTCCACTTATGATCGCCCATGGCTTTTCGGAAAGACTTTGCTGAGCACTCTCCTCGAAGTCGTTAAGATTGATGATTGATTCCAACGATGTTTCCGTGGCGGATTCAGACATAGATATCTGAGCACTCGGGGCTGTCTTCACCTGCCATTCATCATTGATGCTGGCCACGTCGAGGGCACCAATGTGGCAATTATATTCTAGTGTTTTCTGAATGAGACTGGGTGCATGGACTTCATTGTAGGCTTTCGAAGCATCCCTGCCCCCAAAACTATGAATTACTGCAGAATTCTATCAGCTTCATATGTCGTTATACAGGATGCTTATGAAGTGTCGAAACTAACTTTCTGCTCCCCCAGGATGCTCTTCTGAAAAGTCGGTCATATCATATACCTGACCATTGACAACAATCCAGATATCTTCTGGCTTGTTGTGCAATACCACTTCAGACACTAGGACTTTCCTCGGCATCTTTGTTGCTGTTCTAACAAGGATGTACCCCCTAGTAGCTGTCGGCGAACAAAACTCGACGTGAATTCCCCAGAAAAGAGTACGTGTATACGAGGGAGCCGCGAGCGTACTTGCTTATAAAATGTTGCCTGACATTGGCCACAAAATGAGTGCAAGTACTATCTGGATACTCACAAGTCACGTCTTTTGTGCTCCTCAGAGCGTCTACAACCTAGACTGAACAATTCTATGCCTAATGGGCTCATCTGTTTTCAGGTCGGGAGGGACTCCGGAAAACTTCCGCCATTCCGTCAGATAGGCGGCCCCGTCCACCCAGCAGCGGCTATGTCCACCAAGGTAGATTGCCACTGTTGAGAAAGTGAACCAATCCTTGAAATAGACGCTCTAGAATCCTGGATTCGGCCATGTCTAAACATAACCTGTACTGATTCTTTTCATTGAATCTACACATTCTTCATTGCCTTTCTATTTCCATCCAGAATTTGCCCAGATACCACGATGGCAAGATACACAACTACTCCGTCTTATTCGAGCAAAATTCTCCTGCGAGGGAGCGCCGAATATGAACGATGTAGGAGGAATAATCCAACGGCAGACACGCCAGCACGCTTTCCACGCGAGATTCACGTCGTTACATCTCCAGAAGAGGTCGCCACCGCTCTGAAGCGCGCCACCGATCTGAATACGCAGGTCGGTATTCGGTCCTCAGGCCATATTATGAATATGGGAAATCTTATTCAGGACGGCATCCTCATCGACACCGTTAATCTTAATCGTTATATCGACTACGACACAAAGACACATGAAATTTGCTTTGGTCCAGCCTGTCGAACTGAAGAATTATCAACAAAACTTGCAGAAGTTAAAAGATTCTTCCCACACGGACATGCACCCACAGTCGGAGCTGCTGGCTTCCTACTCGCTGGGGGTCAAGGATGGTTCCTGCGAGGCTGGGGTGCAACTAATCAGACTTGGATCAACAAGATGGAAATCGCTGTCCCAGACGGTCGAACAGTTATTGCAAGTCCTACAGAAAACGAGGATCTCTGGTGGGCTGCCAGAGGGAGCGGCTTGGGGTTCTTTGGTGTGGTCACTCGATTCTGGTGTAGGACCATCCCAGCTTCCACCATGTGGGAACGAATCTTCAAGTTTGAACTTGGCGACAAGTACGAAGAGTTGATGACCTGGGCAATCGAGAGGGGACGTGATACTCCCAAGTATGGCACGGATCTCAACCTTACAATCGACTTTGCTGAGAAATATGACCCATCATATACAACGGATGATGTTCCCGCTGGTGCCAAGCTTGTCTTGACTTTGAACCTCCTCTGCTACTCGGACACACTACGCGAGGCTAAGACCTTGTTGGGTGCTTACGACAAGATCCCTGCGTCCGTAAGGGAGCAGATAATCGAGATGAGACCAGTTGAGAAGAGGACTTTTGCAGAGGTCTTCGATCGCAAGCGTGGATTCTTGGGTAATGACAGCACGCAACGATGGCAGATTAATAGCATCATGAACGATCCAAATGTTCCTCTTCCACAGGTGAGCCTTCTCCAGAGATATTGAAAGCTGATGAAAGCTGATTTCTTGAACAAAGTTGTTGGCCGCGATAAAACCAGCACTCACTGAGTTTCCCACAAGAACAACTTCCGTGTTCATGTGCCACTGCGACATCATGCCTAATGAAGAAGATGGTGCCCTAAGTTTGGTACAGGACTTATATATCTCAACCATCACTGGTTGGACTGATCCCAAGCTGGAGCCTGCCATCTATCAACCAATGCGGGAGAAGTATTTCCAGGCTTGGCCAGTGGCTGTGGGACAATATATCACAGAGATTGATATGAACAATGATGACGCCAACGTAAGTACTCTCAAGCATGGACCTACTCCCAGGAATCAAGCTGATCAATTCTTTGCAGATGAAGGTACTATCCGATACCGCGTTGGCGAAGTTCCTGAAGATTCGGCAGAAGTGGGACCCAACAGGTGTATTTCCCAACTACAAGAAATTTGTTCAGGCAGCGGACAAGATGAACGCTCTTATTGCTAAGACCCAAAAGGCTCGCCTATAGCGCTGGAATACGTTTGTTGATGCTATTGGAAGCATTGGCACGTTGCTGGCATACTCTTCGACCGATAGCGCTGAATTCTATACACATACTCCATACCTTTACTGCACAACATTCATCAGTAATAAGTATCAGCATAATATTCACAATTCCAGTAAAAACACACATTGATATACTGACCCTGGTTGTATGTACAAACGTCTTTGTCCATTAAGGTCAAAAGATGCTGCTAGAATTACTATGCCAGCTGAACAGATCATCAATTGAGACCGGGGGGCCCTGGGGGGAAAGGGGGTGGATTGTCTGTTTGTGACAAGCTGACGAAGATTCACACATATTAAGGTGTAAAACACATCATAGGAACCCATCATTTCAGCTTCATAAAATTCTTTCTACACGTTCCGCCGGAAGAAGTGTAGGAGGTGGTTAACTTAGACGGCAAATGCTACTCGAAATGTGAATGAGCCATACTAGGTCTTCGACTTCTTTCCTGGAGCCGTAGAATCCTACTCACGACCTAAAAAAGAGCATTCGCGTGCCAGTGATGGGCGCTGCTCGTGTGAACTCTCTCATCATATCTTTCTTGTCGACTTTGATTCTTTTCAGAAGGAATGCTGTTAAAGTACGCTCCCGGATCAGCACCATCACAGCTTCCAGCGATATCCTGGGTGACGCCAGTCCAAATCTTGAATTTCCTGGATTGTCTTGCCCTCCAATTCGGCATCTACATCCTTTGCATCCCGCTTTCGATTATCACGTGCAACCCACCAAAAGAGACCAGTCCCGATCACTAGAATCATGGTCTGAACGGCGAGATTCAAGCCATTGCCGATGTGATAATTCGGTGAATCGAACGGTAGAAAGGCCCAAGTGCTCACGAGCCCTCCAAGGTTTCCAATCATGGCGTAAAAAGCGACCGCGGACAGACGTGCAGTGTCAGATACAACTGCCGCAGATGTTTGAGATGCAGGAATTGCCCCATTGGAGAAGATTCCGAGCATAGGAAGGAATGTTGCGGCATAGCGGACTGATGGCTTATTGGTGCTCAGGAAGATGATGTAACCTACCATCGCTGGTACGGCAGATAATGTAATGAAGATGTTGCGACGCTTCATACGCCAGCTGCCATAGCAGAGGACTAGACATGCTACACTCCCAAGAGCATAGGGCGGGACGGTGTATAGTTGTTGGCTGACGACGGTGTGTGTGGGATAAATTGTTCTGACGATTGTCGGCAGGAAGAATGCTAAGCCAGAAACAGTTATGTTGTTAAGGCAGAAGATCAGAGCAGTGGCAACAACCACAGGGCTCGTAAACCCCTTCAGGAACTTCTTCCTTGTGAACTGGTCTACCACTTCTGTTGTCCCAACACGCTCTGCCTTAACGCGATCCAAGACGAGTTGCTTTTCTTCCGAAGTGAGCCATTTGGCACTCTCTGGGCGGTCGGTCATCATAAGGAGCGCGATGGTGCCGAGAATAACGGTGATGATTCCTGTGTTCGAAGTCAGATCTATAATAAATGTGCAGTTCAGAGGTGTAGTCTACCTTCAATGAAGAATATCATCCGCCAGCGCGTAACCCCGGCGACCTGATCTAGTGTAAGAATTCCCGAGGCTAGAAGGCCTCCAAATGCGCCAGCCAACGAAGCTGAAAGGATGAAGAAGCAAATTCGGAAGACAAGTTCATCTCTGGTGTACCATCTAGAGAGATAGTATATATTCGCTGGAAGCATCGCAGCCTCGAACACTCCCAGCAGGAATCGAACTCCGGCCAATTGGTTAAAGTTGTGCACGAATGCTGCACCGATGGATGCTGCACCGAAGCCGATGACGGATATCGGGATAAAATACCCAGGCCCTATGTATTTGCATAGGGCATTTCCAGGTATTTCGAAAGTAATGTAAGAGATATAGAAGATGGATAGCAGCGCATTATAATCGTAGCCTTTCAACTTGAGGTCTTTCTCCAGGCCAGCAATTCGAGCATTGCCTATGAAATGATCAATACATGCTGAGGCCCTGGGTCGATTTTGAGAACCCTTACCGATGTTGGAGCGATCAATGAAACAAAACACTATCACCTCTCAGTCCTGGACAACTTCGTCTCGATTCTTAGAAACAGGCTCACGGTAGAGTAGCGTGACAATGGGTAAAATCCAAAGGTCCATCTTCATTCTAACCCTCTTCTCGAGGAGATTGATCGAGTGTCTGAATCCATGTTAGTAATATTCTACCCCATTGATGACTGATACTCACTGCACATCACTGATTGTGCCCACTTCCTTGGATTGTAGTTCCCGAACCTCGTCCTTCATAGAACCGATGCTAGCCTTATCCATATCCATTTCCACTCTGCGGCGACGAAATAAACCTCAATCTATTTGGTGCCGGCGTGTTAGGGACGGAGAATGGGATTGAAGAGACAGAGTGGCATAGTCAGTAAAGTATAGCACTCCCTTTATGATCTAAAGAACCCGGGGCGTGGCAAGTTTTGTCAAGCTGATAAGCTCTTAGCTAGAAACCACCATCAACTGAGTATTGTGAGTCGGGCCGCTTCATTGACACCCAGGTGTTGTTCGGAACCTGTGGCGCATATCACAAGTTCCGTCTCGGGGCACGGAACCACAATGAGCCTCGCCCAGGCTCTGCGGTCTTACCCCACTGATTGATATACCAAGTATTCCAAATACTTGCCTCATGAGAAGGCTTTAGCTTTATGGATCTCTCGAACCATAGCCGAGTGACCGTTTTACCAATCCTTCGCGGGTTGCTTTAGCCTTTGATCAAAGAGCATACGAACCCCACGAACCACCAACAGAAAGTACGATGTGGCAGGAGTGCGGACCGACTCTCGTGCCCAGCGAGATAGCCCAAATTTGTCGACATTCACCGATATGCTAAGTGGACCATCCTTGTATTGTACGTGCAGAGGTCATAGGTCGCGGAAGGGTGATTTGGTATATTTGGTACTTGGTATCTTCGGTAGCTTTGGTCTACGTATTCCCTGCCGTCCTTGGCACGATAAGAGATAACTGAATATGAAAAGGCGACGGAGTGCCTGAACCTTGTGACTTCCCGGGTACATACCCGATCAGGGTGACCCCGCCCACGTGATAGCGAGATGATGTCTGCGCTAGACGATCACGTGGTTTAGCTCGGTCCAGCTTTCTCCCTCGGACAACTGAAGTTTGTGAGGAAATGATTTGACAACAGCCATTCATGGATTCTCCATCGACAGCAGCAATCAAATATAGTCAGTCTACGAATGAGCGTGCACATTGGCGGATTGGAACGTCCGGAGACTGAGAAGGGGAGTGGGAGGTTTATAGATGAATGAAGACCTTGAGTTGGATTCGTTCTTTCTGTCTGGATTCAATCCGACATTCTCTGAACGGCGAAGAATTATGCCTGGGACAACAGCAATGCGAAACCGTCCACAGAACGGCGAAGCTGTCCATCATTCATTAAATAAAGAGAACTCTACAAAAGATCTCGGCCAATATGTCCCAAAGAGACTTTATACAGCCAGTCGTCCGCCATCTCTCGACAAGTTCAAAGATATTGTCTCCCAAATCACCGAGCCGGCGCTCTATCAACACTCAGCTTCCGTCACGGCCAACATTCCTATCTACGACGTTAAGTCTCTACCCCTTCCAGCATCGGGTCCACAGATCGTCGACCAAATCCAAGATGAATGGCACCATATCTTACTATCCGGTCCAGGCGTCTTCGTTCTGAAAGGCTTATACCCTGCATCGTCCTCGACCAAAGCGCTGTTCCACAAGGTCAATACCATCTTCAAAGATATCATCGAATCCGAATCTGTCAGCAGTTCCACTAAAGGCGACCATTTCGCAGCAGGGGGTAGGAATTCCAGGATCTGGAATTCATTTCAGAAACATGCCAAAGCTGATCCGGACTCCTTTGTGCAGTATTATAGCAATCCCTGGCTTGCTCTCGTCGCCGAAACTTGGCTTGGTCAATCTTACCAGATCACTGCGCAAGTTAACATTGTCAAACCTGGAGGGAAGCCTCAAGTTAGCCATCGCGACTACCACCTGGGGTTTCAGACAGCGGATCAGTGCTCGAGCTTCCCAAAAGCCACACAAATTGCGACTCAGTTTCTAACATTACAAGGGGCTGTCGCACATAGCGATATGCCTTTAGAGTCCGGCCCTACACGCTTCTTACCTTTCTCTCAACTGTTCGAGGAGGGCTACATGGCTTACCGCTTGGGGGAATTCCAGGAGTACTTTGAAAAGAGTTGGGTATCGGTGCCTCTGGAGTTGGGGGACGCAGTCTTTTTCAATCCGGCCTTATTCCATGCTGCTGGTGAAAATAAAAGTTCAGGTATCCAGCGAAGCGCAAACCTGCTGCAGATCAGTAGTGCCTTTGGAAAGACGATGGAGAGTATTGACACGATACAGATAATTGAACGATGCTGGCCCAGTGTCAGGAAATTATATGAAGAACAAGATGGACTGACGGAAGAAGTAGAAACAATCTTGAAAGCAATCGGCCATGGATACCCGTTCCCGACCAATCTAGACCGGCGACCTCCTGAGCCTGGTGGCATGGCCCCAGAAAGCGAACTTGATGTCTTGCGTCAAGCACTGCAGAAGGCTTGGAAAATGGAGAAGCTTATTTCAGCAACCACAACGATCAGGAACGACTCTCTGCCATAGATATTTCGCTCTTCATTGAATCACATCTACCACACAAGAACAGGTTTGATGGCAACACCTGACTCCATCCCATGCAAGGCCTCCTGCGCATCCCTGGCTGGATAAAACTTGACGAGTTTTTCGATCGGAAACTTTCCTTCTCGCCACCATTGGATCATCTTCGGTACCCATTCTTGACCGGTAGTGTCACCCAGGTAGATGCACTCAAATGCCTGATTTTGCGACAAGAGCTGATATAACGGTATCTTGAGTTCTGCATCCGTTGCAGGGACACCTATTTGGATAAACTTCCCATGCTTTCCTAAGGCGTTCAAAGCCCCTTGTATGACACTGACTACACCAGTCGTCTCGAAGATGTACGAGATACGCCCGCCTCCTGCTAACCTTTGGAGTTCCTCGGTGAGATTTGTGTCCGGCTTGCTTTCGAGAATCTGAGTGGCGCCGAGCTCTTTCGCGACCTGAAGCCGGTGACCGATTCGGTCTACCGCAATAATTTCTTTGACACCAACAATCTTGGCTGCCATTACGGCTCCTAGCCCGACGGCTCCTATTCCCGTCACCACCACAATGTCAAAGGTTTTCGCTTTAGCAGAGTTGAATACTGCCCCAGAACCAGTCATCAAGCCACAGCCCAATGGAGCCAGCAGTTTGAGCTCCTCGTTGTTGACGGTACCCTTGACGTTGACCACACTCGACTCACTCACAATACTCTGGCCAGCGAAGCTTGATTGACCAAAAAACTTGGCCTGAATATCCTCGCCTCCCGCAGTTTGCAGAGTCTTATCCCCCACGATGTTAAGACCATGCCAATTCAAGCAGTATGGTTTCTGACTGACACCACAAAGGTCACAGTCTGAGCAGTAGGTGTATGATAGGAGGACTGGATCTCCAACTGCGGCGGTGGTCACTCCAGGGCCGACCTCCTCAACAATGCCTGCACCCTCATGGCCGAGAACCTTGGGATATTCAAGCCCAGCAACTCCCGGGGGTATACATGACACAAACACGTCTGTGTGGCAGATACCACTAGCAACCATCCGAATCCTCAACTCTTTCTCTTGCAATGTGCGAGACACCTTAGTGGCTTCAACCTTCCAATTTGGCCCTGGATTTGGGGGGTAGCAAACAACGGTCTCATATTCTGTAGCCATTTTCTGTCGCCTGGAATCATAATAGATCTGGAGCGAGCAGTGACAGAATCAAAAGGGCATCCACAGAGCATAAATAAAGCCATGAGTCGCCAATGCTTACTCGTTGCAGCTGTCTGACACAGGTTTGGCCCGTCAGCGAATGATGAGTGGGGCCCTGCGACTCAACCTCGGGTCAATAAAAGCGGATGAGATTTAGCCTTTCTGGGCAAGAAATCTCGACGTTGTGCTCGCAACCTGGTTGTTAAGGCCTTCCAGACAATCGAGTCGATGTTCTGACGCCAACAAGGGGACAGGGTATCTCGCAAGAAAGACCACAATCCTATCCCTCGATGCCTGCCATGATGACCCCCAATTCCCCGGCTTCTGCTCCTATTTGATAATGAGGATACCCTCGCCAAGTCCCGAACTTCGATGGCACACTTCCATCATGAAGGGTGGACATGTGGAAGCTGCGTTGTCATTCTAATGACTGCTGCTTTCAGGCATGGGATGTTTCGACGCTTCTCACTCGACTGCGAACAGGCCTTCCGTGCTTGGCGCAGAACCGTCTTACAGTAAGAGGTAGAGGCGAGTCAGTCAAAAACTAGATCATTGAGCTCCCAAAATCACTGCTAGCGTCTGGGAATGCGGCCTTGAATACATGCAAGAGACCTCGCACCCATGAGCGGAGAATACGGCAACATAGAATACAGCTCCTCATCTGCGCCGTCGTTTCACCTGATCGGGTGCTGATTTGGACATCCTTACATGGAAAACCTTCAAAGAACCAGTCGTCGAGAGAAGAATCTAGACCAGCTGGATTCGCCCGGGAGCTGACTCGAAGGACGGGTATATCCATCAGACGACCGAACTTTTGGGAAGCACTGAAGAAGACCCAGCCGGTGTTCCAAGAGAGAAGTGTACTTAACTATCTATTGGGTAGAAGCCGTAGATCAGCATCAGAATGGGCTAGACTAACGCTGTATCTGGAAGTGTTTCAAAAGCAGCATGACATCTGTATGAAGGCATGTCTCACACGCTGCAGTCATTTTGGACGACCCACGGCTTTCGCCACGAAGATGCGACTATCTCAAAGCAAGATGGGCTGCGCGGCGTCACAATTGGGATTCCATGATGATAGCATGCGTTGACCAGGCTGGAGACTGCCAAATAGTGTGGCAGTGGTATTGAAGCGCTGTATTGGATTTGCAGGGTGTTGACAGGAAGTTGTGAAAATTGGTTTTACGGACAAAGTGCTCGGGCCGTGGGTGGTCAGGGGCCTTAGTAAATGGAAGACGCAAACTGTGGGGAAAGGCGGCCGAGAGAAGGGGACCCCAGACTTATCTAGCTTGAAGCCTGAGGAACCTGGTCGAGCTAGTTAAGATCTCAACTCACATACAAGGCATACCGGCCCTTAGGAGTTAAATGGTCAACCGCCGAGTCTAGGCTTCAAGCCCCTTTCCTTTCCCCGAGGTGCTAAGTAGGTCGGGAGAATCAAAATCTCACGCCGCGAGCTCTAAACAACCCCTTCCGAGCTGGGGCGAGCATCTCAAGGCCCTAGGGGTGACGACACCGAAGGTCTCAAGTAATTCTCTAGTTGTTGATGTCTCATAGCAGCCGCCGACCCACCCGAACACTTATCAGGGCAATCCAACTAATTAGAGAGGGGAGAGGGCGGCCCATTGGCGGCCCATGTTTATCTACCGTCCGACCATCCGGTGCTGATATCTCTCTACATCCATGTTATTGCGATGCTACTGCCTTCACCACGCTGCTGGTGGCACCAGAACTAGCTCTATACACCTCTTCCGCCGTCAGCCGCAAGAGTCGTTCCGGTTATGAAGGAAAACTGATCTGACCCCAAGAACCATGCCGCGTTGGCAATGTCTGATGGTTCGGTTACGCGCCTCATAGGGAGCATCTCTACCAGTATAACATCATTAATCCTCAACAAAATGGCCTATTAGGCAGTAGTACCTCGCCCTCACAAAGACACCGAACATGCTTACCGAGCCTCGTCACGTCGTCATGCACGCAACGCGCGGCTGACTGGATTCCGGTGAGATGGCAAATACGCCACCATGGCGGGCCATGATCTCAATTACCTTGCAGTGTCGGGGGTGCTATCGACTCTAGGCCCGGCGAACAGGGTGGGCGAGTGTGGGCGTCCGCTGCCTCCAAGTCCGCCCGGGAATCTTCTTGCGGACTTCGCTGGCGGAGGCCACATGTGTTTCACGGGAATACTACTTGCCCTGGCACACCGTGCGCGGACGGGTGAAGGGCAGATCGTGGAGTCGAATATGGTCGACGGGGTGTCCTATCTGGCGACGATGGCCCGGCTGTCGAGGAGGATTCCTGGACAGTGGGGTCGGCCCCGGGGAGAGAATCTTGTCGATGGGGGGTGCCCGTACTACGGCGTGTATGAGTGCAAGGATGAGGGCAGATACATGTCTGTAGCGGCACTTGAACCGCAGTTCTTCACGGCGCTGTGTAAGGGGTTGGGGGTGGGTGAGAGTGATTGGGGTGGTGATTGCGAGGATAGGAAGAATTGCACAAAGTTGAGGCTCGTACCGGAAGAGAAGTTTCGAGGTAATACGCGAAAGCAATGGAGCAGCGCGCAGCTGTGACGCTTTCACGAACTCCATCCGTGAAAACCGAGTCCACCGGGTGGGATATTGAAATTCTGGAGCGCGGCGAGGGTGGTGAAGACACTCTGAAAGCATGGCTTGGATGGGAGAAAGGGAAGGATTTCGAGATTCATAACGGAGGATTCATGTTAAGGAGTCCTTCCAAATTGTAGGGTATGCATACATAGTAGTCTATAAACTGGATTTCGAAACACGATTTGACGAGTACAACTGTACTAGCTCCTTGATAGCAACCTCCCTCGAAGGATTCCAAAAGGCCGGGATCCGCTGAATGGCGTCCACCAATTTCGTCAGAGCAACAATCCCGCGCCTTGCACTTTCCACCGGGACGTGGTCTCTAGAAACGTCGAATACACTGCTGAATATCTCAAGAGATATGGGCCCCTGGTAGCCTGTGGCAAGCACGGCGGCGGCAACCAGCTCCACCGGCATGTAGGCGCCCATTCCACTCTCAAAGGGGAAGAGCCGGTGCGCACGAGACCATGGCAGTAACGGCGGTGTTTCTGGGTCTGCAGGAGGCTGAAATGAGCGAGGGTCGACACATGAAGACCATGTCGGTGTCAAAGGCGCGCATGAATGGGAACCGCTTGGCCACCAGGTCGAGGTTTGCGCGGCGTTCTTGAGGGTCTTTAGCGCCTTCGATCTTCCGCAGTGGTTGTGTGCAGATGATCCGCAAGCCCAGCGACTTCACAAGGTCGCCGAGCTGGCGTGCGAGTTGAAGATTCTCGGACGTAGGTTCCCACGGTTGCTGTCCATTCAAACCGTGCTCGTTCAGGTGGGCTTCCCAGCATTCATCGAAGAGGTCGATCCATTTGTATCCCGCTTTCGCGGCGGCCTGCAGCCGGGGCTTCAGGCTGTGCTTTCTCCCATAACCTAAAGAGAGTGTCGCGATTCCGAATTCATTGTCAATAGACTTGAGTGGCCAAGAGACCGGCCTTGGAACGGGTAGAACACGATTCGGCATGTTAGCACGACGGTCGGATTGTGAATGCTCAAAGTCTTCTGAGAACGAAAGTTTCTCACTCGTGGAAGCAGCGAGTATCTTCAATATTTGTTAACTTTACCATGCATGCACATATTTGGAACGGACACTCCGTATTTATCTCGTTGATGATTGACGTCAAGCTATGACTTTCGGACGAGGTCAGAAGCCGGGGCTCAGATTAATGCACTGTCGCACCTCGAACCTTTTAATCCGACGTGGAAATTTCGTGAATCTGAGCCGTAGCGTGGGCAATAGCCAGCTCAAAAGTCATGCAATCGTTTGGGGCGCTGCACTGAGTACTCAGGTAGTATTATAACGCCCACGTGCCGTCCACCTGCGAAAGGGCTGCTTTCCTGCACCGAGAACCGAGAATCACTTTCGGGACCATGAGTATGTGTTTTGACAATTACAGCTTCGTCCTCGCCTGCAGGGCCATCACAGCCTCCTCGACAGCGGCCGCAGGAGGTACTTTCTCGACCCACAGTGCATTCTGCGCTGCAGCTACTTGAACCAGAACCTCAGTTCCAACCATTATCTTCCAGCCATACCGTTCAGCGACTTTCAATAGCCTCGTTCTTACGGGGGGATAGCACATATCCAAAACGGTACCGATAGTACCACTGCGATTACGAAACGCATGACATATATCCCATGCGAGAACCTCCCCAGGGCCTTTAGGATGCGCACTGGGAACAGTTCCAGTGATAACTCGTGGCGTCGGAATACTCCGTGCCTGCTCAAGAGTTTCGACATGCCGCAGCTTGATCCCCGGCATGGACTTCTCGAAATCTGACAGGAGACCTTGTACCTCCGCCTTCAACCGGTTCACCACATATATCTCCGACGGCTTCAGCCAAGTCCACAGCGTAGATTGCACTACGAGCGGCGCCTCGGCACCGACAACGAGTCCTGGCCGGCCTGTTGTTGTTGTAATCTCGTCAGTACTCGCATACCGAGACCGAAGAGTTTCACAGATGCCAACACAATCCGTGTTCGTGCCGATTTTCCTTCGCTTTCCGTGCGCATCGAGCCGACTGAAGACGGTATTGATAGCACCAATGGTCCGGGCCTCCCCTGTGATGTCGTCCACGAGTGCCATGAATTTGACTTTATTGGGCATTGTTATGCTGGCGCCTATGCAGTCTGCTTGGTCGAGAACTTCCAAGAAGCGCTTGGGGTAGGTTGTCTCGCAAGGACGTAGGTCCATGAAAGTCCTAACTGTCTTCTCAACTCTGGGCTTCGAGACGAGTAAGCCAACTCCGTGAGTGGCGACATCTATTGTTTGATTGGATAGAGCGGTGTTGCGGGTTCTGGTATTTCGGATATATTCATAGCCGGTTTACTAATCCTGCCGGCCTATTTTTCAAATTCCCGGGTTCGCATCGCAGCTCTGCCCTGTATTCAAACCTTGCGCTTGGAGGACGATAGGCGTTGAGCCCTGGAATTACAGACCGAATAGTAATCCCGGGTGGGGGGTGGTTCGTCGACGCGAAGGTAGGAAGAGCGGCAGGCAAGGCATTTTGCTACTGTTCGTGAGTTCGTGAGTGCGTGAGTTCGTGAGTTGAACCATCAATGACTGAAGAGTGAGGTGGAAATATTTTCACTTTATCTTCCACAGATCGCAGTGAATGGTGCCAAAGCTCTCACTTACTGAGACCTGTCCTCCGATTCTTCTCCAATGCTCACCACAAGGGTGAGAAGACAACAATGAAAAGGGAGAGAATGTGCCAAACATTACGCCAGAGAAGTCCCCGAAGGTCACTTCTACACAGAATCACCTTGAACAGCTGTGGAATGGTAGGACGTCGATGTGGCAGACCGAATACTTGAGCTCGGGATGCCATCACAAGGTCTGGAGAAGTTGTTGTCAGCATAATTGGGATAAGCGGAAAGGGGAGAGGGAGGGGGTGAGGAGACGGGGGAACCAACAAGTATGAAGAAAAGGAAAAGAAGAAAGATCCAAAAGGGAGTGGGAGGAGCAGGTACTTATACTTCTGGCAGTCTCGTGTGGGATGATCCGGTGGCAGGCGCAGTTGTCTTCACTGAGCAGGTCACTCCAGGCAGGAGCGACGGTGAATGAGCCTGATCGTGATCCCGTGATCATGATCGTGATCGTGACTTTGAGGTAGGAGTGAAGTGCTCTCCCAGCGGCAGTGAAGTTGTTGGCTCCTTCCTGATCTGGTATATTCCGGCTCTCACATCACGAAAGTCACTAGTCAACCTCACACCTTCGCAATACCATATGAAACCCGGTTGAAGTCAATGGCACGCCAGACGGCTAACCACATCTGCGATGTATCGGATGGAAGACCACGTAGGGAAAAAAGAATTGGGATTAACGCACGAGGAACACTGGTGTCGAATTTATTTCTGGCCCTGCGGGGCCGACCTTTCTCACCGTCATAAAAGCAATCGGCCCAACGGACCCCAACCCACCAACGACTAACCAAACGTTCCGTTGCTTAGAAAGCAAACTCGTTGTAGAACGTATCAACCGCTGCTTGAATTTCGCCAAGCGTTCCAATGTCCTCCAGGAGCGCCACTTCGGCCTCCTAGGCGCGGAGGGCCTCTGACCAAGTGGTCAACACGTTACAATCGGCCATCATTCTTCTGAGGGTATGGTGGCCCTCTTCAAAGATCTGCCTCAAGGCATCGACTCCTTTGAGCTGGTTGCGGCCTGTCTTATCCCGCTTCTCGACTGCCTTTCGGCGCGCCTTGTCTCCTTCTGCAGTAGTTCCAACAGGCACGTATGCCATCCTCAAACGCTGCTTACGAGCAATTCCACCCATGAGTCCACGTTTGCGGATATCAGCATTCTCTGCCCACATTTCATTGAGGCTCATACTGATTTGGGCCTCCCTCTCATTCAAATGAGTATTGATCGTGCGGAGCAAGTCGATCAGGTCGGTACAGCGTTCATAGATGTTCTGAACCTCCTGAGGATGTAGAGTCGGTGCATGTGGGTAGATTAAAGATGAGCCGTCCCATGTAGGCTGAGCGGGTGCCGGAGCAGGAGAATTGGTCACGATGGGCTGGAAAAGAGCAGCGTCGAATTGAAAGACAGGTTGCTGAACGGGGAGTCGTGCTAGAATTTGAGGAAAAGGCGGGTCGCTGGGCCCAGCTGAGTCATTCCCTGTTGTCATCAGAATGGTTTCACAGAAATTAAGAATGAACTCACTTAGTGCTCCTCCCATCACGCGTCGACCAACTATCGAGAAAGCAGGCCGACCAGGCATCGAGATATCAGATTGTCCAGGAGTCATGAAATCAGATGGCCCGGGCCACAAGGTAGTAGGTTGGTGGTGCATCAAGGCAGGAAATTGACCTGGAATCAAGGGAGCAAATGCACCAGGGATCAAGGCAGCAGGTTCACTAGCCATAAGAGTAGCAGCTTGACCAGGCATCAAATATGGGGACAGACCACGCATCAAGGTTGCAGGTTGATCACTCCTGAAGGTGGGGGGGGAGCCAGACATAAGAATATCAGCTTGGCCAAGCATCGAGATAATAGGTTGGCGATGCATCAAGGTATCAGTTTCATCAGCGGCAAAGATAAGAGCTTGAGCAGGGAGCGCGGAAAATGGCAAACCATGCATCAAGATAGCAGGTTCACCAGTCATTCGAGTATCAGGCTGATCAGGCATGGTTGAAGAGGTAGGAGCCAAGCCTGATGTCTCTGTAAGAAGCTGAGGCAGGGAGAGGGTAGAGGAATCAGCTGCTGAGGCAAATTAGATTGGTTCAAGGGCGGGTCTTCGGATACTCACAGTGCTGCTCATCACCGTTCATCGAAGAAGAGGCCATAGATGATCGTCAAGATAGCTTTGTTGGCAGATTTGCGCAGAGTTGGATGGAAATGGTCCGTTGGTAGCAATATCCAGTCGATGGAGCAAGAAGAGATGGTTTTCAACGTGTGATTGCGTCCACAGCGATACTCACCTTACATTCGCGCTGTCCTGATAGCCCAGCCTTGCTCTGTGAACGCTTGGCGTTTTGTTGAGAAGGCTAGAGGACCCCAGGCGAAGGTGTCCTGTGATCACATGGACGTGACAACCGGAGACAGCAGTACAGCCGAGTTTAGTCCTCCTCCTCATTCCTTGTTAGTGTTGAAGAATAGCATGTCGACTTCGAAGGTTCACCGCTCCACTTGATTCCATCGACACGGCTTCAACAGACGTTGGTCCCCAGCTTCAATGCCTTTGGGGACAGTCACCAGGCCATTCAGCACCGAGGCGCTTGCCCTCGGCGTCCACCTAGCAAGGCCACAGTGTCCCAAGTGACTCAACAGCCGACAAGAGATGCACACCGTGAAGACAACATATTGAGGGGCCACATTGATGATAGGCCAATCCGAGCATATCTCCATGAAACCATCATTGCTAATGGAATCAAGGGTCGAGACCTTTATTCCCGATTATTGCGTAAGGATCTGGAAAAGTCCTCTGATTGCGGTTGTGGTTGTTCAGGGATCACGGCCCCTTTCCTGCTCTGACATTCAGCCCGAGGGGACTTTACCTGTAAGGTCGCAATGTTGAAGATGCTCCCAACACAAGCTCGAATGATCTTGGAATGGGCGGATTGTACCGCAAGGAGCCAACGAAGACGGTGGATCTGAGCAAGCAAGTGGTGTGATGATGACAAAGAAGGGAGAGCAGACAATCGCGGCAGAAGTTTAATATGAAATAGGAAGCTGCCCCTCGCGACCCCTCGCGCCTTCCGGAAGCATCATACCTGTACCGGATCAATTCATGCGCACACAGAGGCCAGAAATCATTTCGACGCGCTCTAGAAGATAGCGGAAGGACGACCAACGATCTGATCTACTCTGACCTGACCAGCGACAATGCTGATCCAAGAGTCCCACAAAGATGTGCCCACAAAAGCCGCAGGAGAAGGCTCAATGCGTGAGATCCTCCTGTGTGCACCACTGCACCAGTAACCCAGACTGAGCAATTCTCATTCTACAAGGCATCTATCTCTTCCACCCTACCATACCCGGGTATCCAAATGCGAAGTTCCCAGGTGTGGTGGTCTTTTCTGAGATCTATCAAGGTACGGATCGCAGAAGTCCCCCTCAGGGAAAAGGGAAGTTCAGATCTTAACGGGAACGAGACTGAATCCATGTGATGCAGTGACGGGTCCCGTAGCCCGATTTGCACGGCAGATCGCAGGGCAAGGCTACATTGTGGCCGCACCCTCCTCCTACCACGAATTCACCGGCCCTGAACCATTAGCCTACGATGTACCCGGCACCGACGCAGGAAACGCGTGGAAAATAGCCAAGAAAGTTGCCGCGTACGATGAAGATGCAGAGCTGTCTGTCTCCCTCCTTCTAGGTCTCAAAACGTGCAACGGGAAGGTAGGAGCCACGGGGATGTGCCTGGGAGGACATCTCGCCTACAGATGTGCACTAGACCCTAGAGTGAAAGCGGCAGTTTGTTATTTCGCGACAGACATCCACAGCCACAGCTTGGGCGAGGGGAAGAACGACGATAGTCTTCAAAGAGCGGGAGACATCAACGGCGAGTTGGTGATGATCTTTGGAAAGAGTGACAACCATGTGCCGCCTGAAGGTAGGGATCTGATACGCAAGACATTGCATGAAAAAGGCGTGGACTTTTCATTCTACGAGGTCTTTGGAGCCCAGCATGCTTTCATCCGGGACGAGCTCAGTAAGGGGAGGTACGACCCTGCAATCAGCAAAGTCTGCTTTGAGATGCTGCTGGAGGTCTTCGGAAGACGGCTGAAATTCGATCTGGGAGAAGCAAGTGGAGAGAAGTTGGTGATCGAAGATGTCTGCTAAAACCAGCAATGCATTTTTCATATCTAGTTACATAGCCTGCATGATGGAAATGAACGCACATGGTTCACAGCTTGGCCTCACTCTTCTCCGCTTCCTCTCCCGTGGTTTTATACCCAAACAGGTACGCAGCGACCTTCCTGATCTGCACCTCTTCACTCCCTTCCGTGATCCGATACCTCCTGAAATGTCTCCAGATATGCTCGAACGGAAAATGCCTGGAATAGCCCACGCCACCATGGACCTGGATCGCACGATCCGCAGCCTGGGTGCACAGGCGATTGGCATAGTAGTTGCACATCCCGATCTTGTGGCCCAACTGCTTCTCGATCGCCACCCAGGGCGCCTTGCCCGCCGTCTTCGCCGCCGCAGTGACCTGGTCCATCTCAACGGCAGTCCGCAGGATAAGCAGGCGCAGCATCTCGGCCTGCGTGGCCAGCTCGACCAGCGGCCACTGGATGGCCTGGTTCAAGCTCAGCGGCTTGCCGAACACCTTCCTGCCGTTGGCATACTCGACGCTCCGCTCGATGCAGTACTTGGCCGCGCCGCAGCTCGAGCTCGCCTGCCGGATACGGTTCTCATGCGTGAAGGTCTGCGCGATTGCCAGCCCATTATCCAGCGGGCCCAGCACCGCCGAGGCCGGCACGCGCACGTCCTTGAACAGCACCGTCGCGTGGTCGGTGGGCATGTTCAGTGTCCACTGGTACGACGCGACTTCCACGCCGGGCGTTTCCCGCGGCACGATGAACGCGGTGATCCCGCGCGGCGAGCCTGCTTTGCCCGATGTGCGCGCGAACACCAGACAGTGTGTCGCGCTGTGCATGCCCGTTTGCCATTTCTTGTTGCCGTTGATTTCGTAGCCGGGCTCGCCGTTGGCCAGTGTGACTGGCGACGCTGTCGTGTCCATGTGCGTCGCATCAGAGCCGTGATGGATCTCTGTCAGGCCGAATGTCGCGCGGAATTCGCCTTTGATGCTCGCTGGGATAAGCTTCTTCTGCTGCTCTGGCGTGCCGTAGTGCTGCAGCATGATGATGATCGGGTTATTTCCGACCACGCTGTGCTCGTTCTGCAGGTCGTTGGCCAGGCTCACGCCGCCGCCGTACACCGGGTGCGACGCCAGGTGATACCGGATGGCGCACATATAAAGATTCTGCTGGTCACTGCCAGACCCGCCGTACTCGACGGGGAATGAGAACCGGTAGAAGCCCGCTTCGTCCGCTAGCTTGCGGGCTTTGCCAAGTAAGACTTCCCATTCGTGTGTGGGTAGGCCTTGGTTGTCCCACTGTGTGCGGGAGGATTCCCGTCGGTGGTCGAAGAATTTGTTGTTGTCATCTTGGTGTTGGAGTGGTATGATCTGGGTGTTGATGAATGCGTCAAGGCGGTTGAGATGGGCCTGCAGATCCGGCGGGAGTTCGAAATTCATGCTGGCGAACCCAAGAGATAGATACCACGGGTTAGCACGGTAAGACGCTGCAAATGTTGAACCAGATAACCTAGATGTATGAATGATGGCAATGGTCAGTATCTCAAGACTAATTCACTGCGTCAATGGCCTCAAGCTCAATAATATCTCATGATGGTGCCGAGTACCTCGTCCATCCGACCCTTCAAGTGCGGAGAACTGCTGAGAACCCGGGGCAGTCAAGACGCGACGCCGGACCTCGGTTAATGCCAGGGAGTTCAAAACTTCAAACTCGAACAAAATAGATCTGGGCTGAGTCAGCAGTGTGACGCGCACAGACACATCTTAGCGTCATGTCAGTGCCAGCCATGATTGTCCTGCGTGCTTCTTATCTGATAATTGACAGACAGATGTCAGAATGTCAAACCGTTGAACTGTATAACTATACGACAACGACATTAGACATACTGTGAGTGAGGTGTGGTAAGTATCGACAGAGCGAATGCTTCGATCCTACCAGTGCAAATCCGTCGCCTATCACTCTCATTGCTGAGTGGGTGCAGTACCGTCTCTGGGAGGGTCGTCTAGGTCTTGCCAGTGTGCTCCGTTCGGAGTACTGGGAAAGGGCATGAGGCCTGGACGTGCTGACCATGACCGCAATTACCACTCTGAAAGTTTCTCAGAGGCAAACTGTTCAGATCAACACGAGCCGGCTAGAAAAAGCAATTGACGCGTTCGTACTGGCGAGTAGGACGAAGCACAGCGGAGGTGCAAGAGGTTGTAGCGAGTCCTCCAGTTGTAACAGATTGGAAATTGCAACTGATGGGCATCCTTAGGATTGCGGGCGTTCGTCTCGGATACTATCGAGCGAGTGACCTCGAAAGCCTCCTCCAAGACAGATTCAAATCCAGATTCAATCCAAGCCTGTCTGATCTTGACGCCATATCTTCAGCATCTGGTGAAGGCCATCTCCACAGCCAATGTCGGTAGGTATGCCAAGTTATTTGGGAGACCACGGTCCTTCATCTCAGTCAATATAAAGGGGGCCGGTGAGATCCCGTGAGTGGGCATATGCCCCCAGCTTATGCTGAAGGCGATCGACCGTTACAGGCGCCACTAACCTCTCCGATTACGAGTACTCCGTACGGAGGCCATTCAAATAACCGAGTTTTTCGTGTCCCCTTGGAAATTGGTGAACGCCGTCCATGCGTGTCGCGATCATGTTTTCGCTCCATAACGCCGTGTTTCTAGTTGTGCCACACGAAAGCTTGGCGAATGCAAGCGGCTACCTTCAGCCAACGCCACATCAAGCTTGCAAAACTCTCGCAGTTGAGAAGTGGTTTTAGGACATACGGAGGCCGGAAGCTTTGAAGAAACGGTCTAACCTGATACGCCTGAATGATGTTTACGAGTGCGCCGTACATATGATCCTTTGCCACAGTAGACCGCAAAATGGAAGTGATGTAGATGTCGAGGCGTCAATTTGAAAGATCCCGCACCTTCCTTTCCGTGAGGATATGGCTGTTCACCGAAATGCAAGGATTCCGTCCTTGCCCGCGCCGAATTGGCCATGTTGTTGATGAGCAAAGTCCGTCCCCTGACCCGGAGTTCCCGTTCTGGCCAAGTCGTTCTCGCTTCCAGATAACGTTGTCGCGGAAGCGGGCACCGAGTGACCTCCCGTATTTCATGGTGGATCCTATCGACCCATAGATCTTGGCTGGCCGGTCTCAAAGATACAGGCAAGAGCTGGATTTGGTCTTCGTAGACTCCGTAGTTGGTCTCCCCCATATATTCACGCTGATGTCTTGTAGCGGGGTAGAATGAACTTCCTTACCTGTCATATGGTTCGTGTCAAGACTCTGATCGACACAAACCTTGGGGTCAATTCCCTGGAGAGAACACAACCCACATGGGAACACATGGTGGCGGCTGGGTTCGGGGCCGTCTCATCATTGACTAAGCCATTCTTGGTGTTTTTGGATGATGCCTCAGCTGGTTGTGGTTGATGCCAACCCATCAGTTCCAATCTCCCCTCAAGCCACATGCCACCAAGAAATGAATAGTAGAGGCGCACTAGTCCCTAATTGGCAGGACCCTAGCTCTATCCCTTTCTCCTTTTTTCCAACCTCATCTCTCAATCGTGTTCTGTCTCAGAGCGGCTTGAAGCACAGCTGGAAATTCCACAAGGACCGCTTGAACCTCGCTGCAATCGCTGAGCCTAGGTAAAGAAGGTACCGAGTAATCAGACGCCCGTCGTAGGCTCCATCGGTCTGAATACGATTTGATCTCACCGTTTAATGTGGACCCAACTTAGCCATCCTACCCCAGCATCCACCAACAGTTGTGGTCCGTGACTGGCGAGAGCATTCAAATATCAACCGTGGACGAGAGACTCCGTATTATTCTAAACCATGTGGCTGTGTCCTCAACCCCGTTATGGCGGCATTCAGATTGATCCGCACATCAGGGTTTTCGATCCTGGCCCACTACCATACCCTGGCCCCCACTGCCTCATATCACTGTGGAATCAAAGCCACCCATCACATACTCTACGTAAGTATCCTAGGCAGGTCACATCTTGACTTTTGCTTCTCGTCTTTTGTCAATTCTGTTTGCGTCTTCTGTGCGCGTCCGTTCGTTTTTCGTACCCAGTCGCTCTTTACAGAGCTATTGCCCTGTGCAATATGCTGCCATTCTTTTATTTCCTTTTATTTACTAATTTGGTTTTGGGTTCTCTGGGGGAATGGGATGCGTATGTTCCGTGGAAGAAGAATATCTTGGAGAGGGATATCGAGCCAACTTGTTCATGCACCGACCCTGCCGCAAGAGAATGGTCCAGCGATAAGCACTTTTCTGATACTGCCGTCTCTGCCGTTGCACCAAGTGGCTACACTCAGACCATCAGCAATGCTCATACCTGGACAACAGGTGATGGTTTCCTCGGGGTCGTCGTGATCGATGAATACGACGTAGCAACCGGTGCTTTTCTTTGCGATTCCCTCGATGCTTGCTCGTCATTCCAGATCTACTTTGAGAAAGAGGAGGAGTCCGAGGCTGTGATCAAGGCCGCTTTCTGGGCCGGTGCCTTCGCTGCTGCCGATTCTACCACCGCAAATGCCGTTGTCGCTGGTCTTAATGGATATACAAACAATACTTTGGCTACCCCAGATGGCTTCGAAGTCCCTTCATATGTTGGCAATCAAGCCATTCGACCTCCACCTGGATCTAACTCTTTTATTGATTCGAAGATATTCCATGGCCCTTTCGATACGGCTCACTGCTCAAAGCAATGTGACGTGTTAGGAGGAAAATTCTTCAATACCTATGTTGTCGCGAAGAATGGTGTGAATCAAGGTCAATATTGTGATGTGTACACCGATGCTATCGGGCATGAATGGGCTACAGAATCTGGAAGCACAGTCGGTAGAACCAATTGGACCATCTCCCACAGTTTCACCTGTAAATGGGCGGGTGAAAAGCGCGGTGAGGATCTGAGCAGGAGTTCAACTGCTACCTCAACAACTACAATCGTTCAAGGCGGTGGCAAGAAAGGTTCGTGGGAGCACCATCATCCATGGCATGGAAATGGCCCAAGGGCTACCACAACATCCTTCATTGCCTCGACCACATCCAAGAGTTCAAGCTCCATTCCTGCTGGGGTGACCACGACTACATGGGGATCAGGTACTTTCACTCATCCTCACGGAAGTTCGTCTACAATTCCACATGGATCTAGTTCCTCGTTTGTTGATCCTATTGGACACGGTTCAACGACTTCAACAAGTTCAACAGCAATTACAACTTCTACACCTGGACATCCATGGCCACATGACACCACGAGCTCACAGACAATAAGTTCTCACAGCACAATGGACCCGCACTCATCGCACAGCACAACGGATCCTCATCTATCACACACTACAACGGACCCTCATCCATCACACACCACAACGGATCCTCACCCATCAGGCACCACAACGGATCCTTACCCATCACACACCACAACGGATCCTTACCCATCACATGCCACAACGGATCCTCACCCATCGGGCACTACAACGGATCCTCACCCATCATACACCACAACGGATCCTCACTCGTCACACACATCAACGGATCCTCACACATCGGGCACCGCAACGGATCCTCACTCATCACACACCACAACAGATCCTCATCTATCACATACGACAACCCCATCTCAACCCGCTACTACCTCCACTCCAAACCACTCCCCAACAACTACTCCAAGAGTTCTGCGTACTACTTCACACTCAGTAACCACGCTCCCTCCCGGCTTCCCTGGTCATAATACGACGACTGGGGCATGGCTCCATGGAAACCATACAGGCTCTGAATGGCTGGATTGGCTCGAGACATCTAGTAGGTCGACATCGACCTTGGTAGTGGATCCCGCAACCAGCACCCTCTCAACAACTTCTAATGGGCCCTTCACCACAACCTCAACTCTGATCATTCCATCGCATCCAGTATACAATGGGTCACACGGTGGCAATGGAACAAATCATACCTGGGGCGATTGGCTAGACTGGAATCGAACTCTGTCATCTTCTACAACTTCCACATTGTTCGTTGATCCAGCAATAACTTCGACTACTACTTCAGTGGCTCCCTCCACTTCACAGACCACAACAACCAGTGTTTATCCCTCGATCCCACCTTTCAATGGATCGTATCCTCATATCAATTGGACCGATTGGTCGTCGAACCACACAAACGGTTCTCACTGGTATGATTGGGTATTCAATGGAACAACCACGACTTCCTTCCAGGTTGAGCCCCAAACTACCACCGCAACAACCACCTCTCTCGTGCCTGTTGATCCCGCAACTACATCAACAACCACGAGTGCATATCCCTCGATCCCAGTATTCAACGGTTCATACCCTCATCTCAACTGGACTGATTGGTCGTCAAATCATACGAATAGTTCCCATTGGTATGACTGGGTCTACAACGGTACCTCGACAACCTCGGCTTCCATTGTGGATCCCGCCACGACAACCTGGTCGCTGACTACCGTCACCGCCACTCCGTTGACCACATCGACGAGCGGATACATTCCGACCCCACCATATAATGGGACTCATCCCTGGAATGGAACTTTACCCAATGGCACGCACTGGTATGACTGGATCTACAATGAGACAACCTCATTAAGCACTATCTCAACATTGGTTGTCGGCCCTGAGACAACTACAACCTCAAGTGCTTATTTGACCACTACCACCACCGGTGCTGCCTACCCTCCAACTTTCCCACACAACGGAACTCTTCCCAACGGAACTCACCCCTGGAACGGAACTTTGCCTAATGGTACACACTGGTACGATTGGCTGTATAATGAGACCACTACGTCTTTGTCTACTACCACTTCGGCCTTTGTCGCTCCTGTTACCACTACCACGAGCGAGTACGTGACTTTAACGAGTGCATATCCAACCAATCCTCCATTCAATGGCACGCTTCCAAATGGCACTCACTGGACGGACTGGAATGGGACCCTGCCTAATGGAACTCACTGGTACGATTGGCTCTACAATGGCACTACCACATCGTTGATTACCACCACCACTTCCACACTGCTTGTAGATCCCTTTACAACGACTACAACTACAAGTGCTGGGTACCCGTATCCAACAGGCTCGCCATTCAACGGGACTCTTCCAAATGGCACTCACTGGACGGACTGGAATGGAACCCTGCCAAATGGAACCCATTGGTATGACTGGCTGAATAATGAAACCACGAGTTCATTACCAAGCACGACTACATCCAGTTTGTTTATTGAGCCTACCACAAGCTCCACTACCACAGTTGCTTATATCACAACTAGCCGTGCCTATCCCTCCGGAATCCCATATAATGGAACTCTGCCCAACGGGACGCATTGGACAGACTGGAACATCACCTTGCCATTCAACGGAACTCTCCCTAACGGTACGCACTGGTATGACTGGCTGTACAATGGCACGTCCACGACCAGTGCGATCACAACTACCACTTCACTATATGTCGATCCTGCCACGACCACCACCAATTTCCAGACTACAACCAGCGCTTATCCAGCTCATCCATCTTTCAATGGAACTATCCCTAACATAACATGGGCAGATTGGAATGGAACGCTTCCTAATGGCACTCACTGGTATGACTGGCTCTATAATGGTACTTCGTCGTCCGCAATGGTCCCGACTACCACCTCCACCCTAGTTGTAGATCCTTTGACGACCACCACCACCGCTCTGACAACAAGCGCATATCCGACATATCCTTCCTTCAATGGCTCTCTTCCTAATGGCACCCACTGGACGGATTGGAACGGAACTCTACCAAATGGTACTCACTGGTATGATTGGTTGTATAATGGTACTTCCTCATCCATGCCAATTTCTACGACCACATCAACTCTGTTCGTTGGCCCAGCTACTACAACCACCACTCCTTTGACCACCACAGCTGCTGTTCCTATATATCCTGCTTATAATGGAAGCCTGCCCAATGGCACTCACTGGACGGACTGGAATGGTACCTTGCCTTTGAACGGCACACTACCAAATGGCACCCACTGGTATGACTGGCTCTATAATGGCACTAGCTCTTCGACAACCATTTCTTCTACCACACCGTCCACTCTGATCGTTGAGCCCGCCACAACAAGTACTAGTACGATTAGTGCGTATCCAACATATCCCTCATTCAATGGAACAATTCCTAATGGTACGTGGGCTGACTGGAACGGAACCTTGCCCAACGGGACTCACTGGTATGATTGGCTATATAACGGAACCACGTCAAGCATTGTGAGTACTACAACTACTAGCATAACCCCGTTAGCGACCACGACTACCGGTGCTTATCCTCATTCCCCAGCATTCAATGGAAGTCTTCCCAATGGCACCCACTGGACGGACTGGAACGGCACAATTCCCCTGAATGGGACTCTTCCTAACGGAACGCACTGGTATGATTGGCTGTACAATGCCACCACATCCTCAAAGCCAGTTAGTACGACGACCTCAACATTGTTTGTTAAGCCTTCTACTACATCGTTGCTGACATCGAGCACAACTAATGCTTATCCAAGCCACTCACCAGTGATCAATGGAACCTTGCCTAACGGAACCCACTGGACGGACTGGAATGGCACAATTCCACTAAATGGTACCTCTCCAAATGGGACACATTGGTATGACTGGCTGTACAATGGCACGACCTCCAGCTCTACATCAGTTGTAGGGGCGATGACTACCAGAACAACTTGGACTTACGCTACTCCAACAACTACTGGTCTAGGGTCACACAGCAACACTTCAATTCCTTCATTCCCACACAACGGAACTCAAGGCAACTCATCCTTCCCTGCATTCCCACCCAGCAACAATTCGTACCCGCAAAGTAACGCGTCATGGGTCGAAAATGGCTGCGATCCAACACCACCATCTCAAATTTTGAAGAACCCGTCGTTTGAGTGCTCTCTGGGTGGCTGGACATTGCAAGAGGGAGATGTTGTTTGGGGAGGTTTGGCCGCTCCAGCAAAGAAGAAGAGAAAGACGAGGAAACGAGACATCGCCTCACCAGATCTAGCTTCAAATGGCAAGGGATTTGTTCGTCTGCATCCAAGTTCTTCTGACACTGCCACACTCTCCCAAGTTCTTGATACTGCTGCACCTAATGGAAGCTACTGGTACTCTTTCGATTACAGAGTTCCAACATCTGGCGACACCCCGGCCGAATGTACACTGACAGTATCGGATGATGAAGGTGTTCTTCAGGTTCTCTCTGGTCTTGGCTCTGCTACTGGGTGGACCAAGACTGGAAACGAATTCGAGATCAAGGAGTCTGCAGCCTCATTCTCCTGGGCGTTCACTTGTAATGGTGTGGACACCGGGTCGGCCCTCTTGGATCTCGATAACCTACGACTTGGCACAAGCAATGGCACCTGGACACCCGCGAACGGAACCATTGGAGGTGCGCCTCCTTCTAATGGCACATATGGCGGTCCCCCGGTGAATGGAACTTATACAACGCCGCCGCCGCAAAATCTGACGTTCCCTACTGCCGCACCTCCACCACCTCCAGCAAGTATCACCATACCAAGTCCACCACCGAGCCACAGTGATTCACCTTACTCGGTGCCGACAACTAGCAGCGGACCTTCACCTTCTGCTACGCAATCAACAAGTGGACCAGACCCCAACACTCTCAACCAGAACACTCCACCACCTCCAGAACCCGCCGGCACTCCCGGTAACTCAACCACAGCACCACCAGATAGACGGTTCAGACCTCGTCGATGGAAGCCGACACTATGATAAAAACAAAGGAACGTCTTTGCATCTAGTTATGGGAAGGAGGCGGAAGTAGCCAGTTCTGTTTTCATATATGTCAAATCTTTTTCTTTGACGAATTTTCTAATGGTATGATGTTCTGCATTTGTCCGATGACTTTTTGGGGATCTCTTGGAGCATGCATGGGTTAGGGTGTGTCAATCGTTCGAACAAAACAATGTTTTACCCTCCCACCCTCTCCCTGGCTACTTCGATTCATCTTGGGTTGAAAGCAAGTTGGGCTAGGCTCAAAAGGTTGTCGTCCTGACAAGAGGCAGCGTTGTACATCAATTGCCTTTTAAAGTGCAAGGACTAGCTACATAAGATACTGCACTGAAATCTATGCAATAACAACGGGCGGCCTTATTCTGACCTTGAAACTGATGAAGTCCGGTTGTTTTTGAACTAGAAAAGCCGGAAAGGAGACTGGGTTAGTGAATAAAAGATAATCGACTTGGGGGGTGTGTGTGCTTATATACGGAGTACTAATAAACGAGGGCCCCCCGCCCAGGAGAAGGGGTCGGCGAGGGTTTCGTAGCGAGTACTCGTAAATTGCGCCAACAACGCCACACCGAGGAGTCGGGATTTTGGGCGCACCACTGGCCTTCAAACAACCATCTGAGTTTTCAATCAATGACCCACGACCAAGCGACAGCCGGATCGACAAGTCCGCTTCTTTGGTATGTATGGAGGGAGTATCTCACACAGTCTAGACTTTCTCACGTATTCTGGGAACCATTACGGAGTACTTCGAATTGTCTTTCACCATTGATTTTGGGATCGTCTGTCTCGAGCTTTGACCTTTCCCGTCCCTTGCAGAACAAAGCGTGCTTACTCGGCAAGTTTGGCGTCTATCCCAATCGAGGATCTTGGTTCGTCTGAAGACGCGTCACTTTAGGTTTACTGGTCGTGGAAGTCGCCCTCCTGCCTGGCGATTGAACAAGAATAGAATAGGACATTCCAATTGCATCCGCCTTGGACGATTCGATGACAACCTGCAGTGTCTCACTGACCCTTCCGGAGAAAAAGGGTACACAGGCCCAGATAATCGTCCAAGAATGAAGGTTCGGACCATCACATCAGGCGCCCATGTGAGATGGCAAATTACGAGAATGGCCTAAGAGTTTCCAAGGCGCAAGGACGATGATTTCCACCATGGTCAGCCTCGTTCGAGACACAGGATTGATCCTTCCAATCACAGAGGGTAGCAGAAATCAGGGGCACGACCGAATATGGGAAGAACTCCCCAGTCTGGATCATGGAATTGGCACTATTTGGACCACCAAGGATTTTGTGCTCCAACATCACGAATCCTGCGCTTTCAATTCTGTCCCAGCTTGCGAGCCTCATCACTCTTACTCTGCTTGAGTCCCCGTGCTGACGGCCTCGTTCTCAAGGGCTGTACTTGGACAATGTGAGGCGCCCCTCTGGCCCAAATCCAGACATATCCAGATTGTGCGACGTAAGTTGCATGTCTTTCATCTCCACATTGCGCTCTTCCAGTCGTTTGGGGTGGGTTGATTCAGGCCGCCCTTATGCTGGCAGACGCCCTTGTGTGCTTACACTGGTTTGAGTATAAGTATCCGGATGAAGTCCATCAGGTACGCTTCTTTCTCTTTCCAGCTCAAAAGTTCATCAACCAGGTTCCGACCATAGTCACTCATTAGCAACCCTTTGCTTCAACTCTTCGTTTATTTTTGCATCTCACCCAAGTCACTCTTTATTCGATATCCTCAAACCCTTCAAACATCCAAAAATGAAGTTCGTCACCAGCACCATCATCGTCTCGGCCTTGGCCAGCCTTGCAGCCGCCGTGCCCCAACGAGGCGGAGGCCCTCGTCCCGGCCGCCCAACACCACCAACAGGTACCCCCGGCACCCCCGACACCTGCCTGACCAGCACCACTGCCAGCGACATGGTCAACGGCTTCGCCTCGCTCTTGACTGCCTTTGACGTCAACGTCGCCAACTCCCTCCTTGCCTCCGACTTCACCGACACCTCGGACTCGATCAATTTCCTGGCCGGCATTCCACTCGGCTCGACCACGTTCCCCTCCAAGGAGGCCTTCATCGCAGGCCAGGGAACTCAGCCCCCCATCGGCTTCACCGTCCTGAACATCGACGCCGTCACCTGTGACACCATCGCCTTCCGATGGGCCGCTACCCTCGGTCCCCAGACCCCCATCAAGGGCATCAACATCCTCAATGTTTCCAACCTCAACGGCACCTCCACCGGATGGCAAATCAAGTCCGTCTTCTCCGAGTTTAACTCCGGCACCTGGAGCCAGCAGGTCGGCGGCCAGTGCGCATAAACCGTCCACCCAATATCTCGCTATCAACGCTGCTGGATACCTCGCTACTAGTTCTCGGAAAGGGACGCCTCAGCCACACATGCAAACTGGTGGCATGAAACGCGGCTACATCGGGCCGATTAGTTGTGTGGGACCTGCTTACTTGCTGATGGGAGGTCTACTGGTTCCTGACAGCCTAATAATCTCAGGAGCTCCAGGGGAATGAACTTAGCCTTGCGTAATGGGTTTTTCTTCTTTTCTTGTGAAGACATAATTGAAGGGGAGGTGGGAGACAGGGGAGTACAGAAACGGCCAAATCCACCGAAAATGAGCTGCAGTAAAATACTACTTTTACATACCCAGACAATCCTCGCAGCGATTACTTTAGAAATTACAATTTTGGATGTCCCCCTTTTTTAATTCACATTCTGTTGCAGTTGCAGTTGCAGTTGCAGTTGCATTTGGTGCCGGTACTGCTTGATTCTCAACGTGCCCAGACCGAAGTACAGACTTGGTATGCCTGATTTCTCCCGCGCAGAGCTTGTTTCCGGTCCCGTCCGCGTGAAGGGCTGGGCCCTGAAAGAAAAAAAAGAATGACAGAACGACACGGCGTGCCATTTTCTCGGTCGAAGCGTCGAGGGAAGAAGGCCTTGCCCGTGAGGACTTCACGACGGTTTGTTTTGGTCTCAACAACACAAGACTTTTCTCGACATGGCCGTTTGCTTCATCATCCCGGTCTCCGCCAGCTACTCCGTACTGTACTACTCGAAAGCTTCGCGAGAGAGCATAGTGGATTTTCATTCAATCTCGGTAACCCGTTGATCGACAGTCTAACTGACTCCATCGTGAGACTGAACTCGCAAACCCGCACTGTATCGGGATTCGCTGTCTGTGTGCAGGGGCCAGTACACCTTCATCCATGTACGAGCATGTACGAGTATGTACTCGATCCCTCGACCAGCTCGACTGGCTTGCCCTGCTCAATAATATGATATGCTAGCTCGACCCTGAGTCTACTGTTTGCTGCAAAGGCCTGACTGACATCGGACGAACAGTCTGAGTGTGGTAATAGGAGATGAGGGGATTGGAGAGTAATACCATAGGCGCAGGGCAAGGCAGGGCAGGGCGGGGCGGGGATGATTAGTCGAAGGAAGTGAAACACGATTGAACAGCTGACTGGAAGAAAAGGACAAGTTAGAGTTCGGCGCGTTCGTGACAGGCATGGCGTTGTGGGAATTACATATATCCTGTACAAACACGCACTGGGTGTAAGGCTTTTGCCGCCCTTCCTCATGTTCGTCGTGTCACTGTGGTATGACTTGTACTTTTTTTTTATTACGTGCTCTGATTATTAGATCGATACGCTGTTTTGCACCAGAGTGTCCGTTTCTTCCAATTTTTGGTACAAAGGGCTGTTCCAGCCATCTATGCATTGGTCTATCTTCTAATTAATTGTCCTAATCTTCCTGAGAATTATTGCCTTCCATAAGTGTCCGCCCAGAAGAGCTCCAAAGATATCTGTCTATACATGCATAAAGCCCTGTGTCTCATAATATACTCGTAATCGTGATAAAGCTCTCCCAGTATGTCCCCATGTTCGCGGAATGACATCCTCCTGGAGAATGTATGTTTCATGTCAAAATGTGATATAAATCGTTATTTTTATCATGTTCATGTTCTGTGCTTGTGTTGAATAGTTGAAGGTGAGAATAGAAGAAAAGTGAAAGTAAATGTCGGCCATCGTCGAAATGTTTGAAAGTGCTTGAAAAGGAGAAATTGTCGTGAGAGTAATGTGGCGCTGAGAGGAGATAGAGAGGACTGATGGCGGGTGCTGGTCATCATCGGTGATCAATCATGATCATTTCCACCCTCGACCACCACGGCCACCGCCGTTACCACCAGGACGGCCCCATCCAGAGCCTCCGTTGCTCCCGCCACCATTCCAACCGCCGCCACCACCCCCAGCTCCAGCATCCGTTGCAGGAGCATCTGTCGGATTTGCAGCAGGTGCTGTAACGGTGTTTTCGTAAGGAGTTTTTGGTGCCGCAGTGTTCGCCGGAGGGTCCGTGGAGAGCGTAATTGTAGTTGCGCCTTCAGTGGGGACTGCTTGAGTGATAGTAGATCCGATCGAAGAAACAGTCTGAAAGGTTGTAGCAATGACAGCAGTCGATGTCGTAGGTAGTCCAGTCACTGTTGTCACTCCAGGCTGGGACTGCGTAGGAGCAGGAGCAGCGCCATTGTCGGAATAGACTCTGAGGCTATTGACAAGCCAGTAAGTGTCCTTGAATGCGGAGGGATTGCTCTGGACGAAAGATTGACAAGTTGAAGCTTGAGGGCCACAAGTTGTGTCCGTCGACCAAACACTGCCTGCCCAGTCACCACAGAATGTGACATCAAATATCATCTTTTGATCCTTGAATTTGTCGTCGATGTTGCATCCACCGGTGAATTGGCCTGAGGGTTGGCCCCAGCCGGATGGATCTGGCGTACCATTCACGAGATCGGATGGGATGGCATTTCTAGGGAAGAACCAGATACTGATCGCTTCACTTGTCCATTCAGTAGCGTAAACTCCTCCACCATTGGAGTTGAACCCATTGCCAAAGCTATTCGAACTGGCACTGCGAATCGAACATCCAACGTTATTACCTTGACCCGCAGCATTGATGTCGCAGTTATCAGTCTCAAGAGCTCCAGAAAATGCGCCTGTGTGGGTGATTGTACAACCAGGAGACGTATGCAGAGCCATGTTGTTGACAGACTGCGTGTTAACACCTTCAATGATGTCGACTTCTCCGTTGTTTGGCCAATCAGGACCAAGCAACCAAAATGCAGGCCATGTGCCACAAGCACCAGCAGGCATGTGTGCGAGGTCAAGGACGAAGAGGCCATGGTTGTATGACTTTTTGCTGCTTATGCGTATGCTGTCTCGACCACGACCAGAGGCAACATTTGTTGAATCGACACCCATATAAACAGCGCCATTTTGTATTTGGTACAAACCAGAATTCTGAGCCGCTGCTTGGGAGATGTAGTTGACATAGCCGTGAGTCGGATCATCATCCTGGGACTGTTAGCTTCATTGCGTATAATGGCTGTGCATACATACTGTAAAGAAATCGAACATTCCTGCAAATGCTGAGCCGGCATAATCATCTTGGAGGGCATAAGACGCTAATGCAGTAGGTATTAATAGCAACGAGAGCGCGATCGCGAAAAGCATCTTGCACATTCGCTAGCCCAAATGGAATGGTGTTTAAGATGAAGTGGTGATTAATGAAGAATGTATTGAACAATGCCATTATCAAGTCTCGGCCTTCGTTGATATAGATCGGACTCGTTGTCTTTAGGCTGTTGGTATAATGAGGCTGGTGGACTGGCACATAGGAAAATGCATATGCTGGGCGACATTTTGGGCCATAGTGCGGCCCGAACCAATTTCCTGACGGAGATGCTAAAACCAAAAGCCAACAACAATGCAGCATACGTATAGTAGTGGAGTCATAGTGGTCATAGCAAGGTTGTGGCTGGCCGTGCTCAGACGCCGTGGGGGTCCATGCGTGAGCGTCGCATAGGGCAAGTTGAGGCTGGAGTGTGCTCGAGCTCATGTTTGAAGGTTTGTACCTGTAGCCAAGAGAGTTTTGCCATGAAGGTACTCCCTACAGCACCACCACATCACCTTTAGAGTTGGTGTAAAGCCGCCAGGTAAATCTCGTCCTTGTAAGAAGTGTTCAGCAACGGGAAAACAGCACCGAGGATGCTGGAGACGTCTTGGGAGGAATTCCACGACTGAACTGGGGATATGCATGCAGCATTCACTGAGCGAGTCTGGCTGAACTCCCGAGGGTGGCTAAGGCATTTTGGCATCGAATAATGAGGATGCAAGTATGTTGTGTGCATCCGCTTCATTCCTATGCTCGGAGCCACGCATCCATGGCACGATAGGCCTCTTGGGACCGGCGCTATGGTTGCATGTTGGCTCATCTCGGAGGACCACTGCATTCGCAATCATCGAACTGGGATATATTTCCTTGATAGAAGGCTGGTAAGTTTGCAGAGTAAGGCTGTGAGATGATCAAAACCACGCACGCGTGGCTTAAGCACAGCCGATTAACGACCGGCGAATCATCGGGCTAGATAAGCTTGGTAGATTTGTGTGCATATCACGTGCACGCTATGAAGACTTGGCAAGTTTGGAAGGTTATCACGCGCTCACGAGGGCTTTGGACCTTTCGACTTGACACTTGGAACGCCTGAACAGCTATCTAGGTATACAAACTAAACGGCTGGTAGCTACCTACCTAACCTAGGCAGGCAAATGGTATCTATCTGGCCGACCACTCGATGCGTCTTTCTCGTGTGTGGGTGGCTGTTCCGCGAGTAATGGGTCGCACTCTCATGCCAAGGCTTGGGAAAACTGCTCGCGCCTCACCCCCCCCCCCCCCCCGGGACTAGGGTAATGCCGCCCTGTGCTCACCCCTGGCTCGCGCACATTAAAGAGATGGATATTCGACTTGGAGGCTCAAGGACAAGCTCCTGCGTTCACTGCTGTACGACAACTCGTCGCTGTTATTAAGGGCGATGAAATAATAGGAGCTCACTAAATTTCTCGGTTGGTCTTATAGCATTGTATATGCCTTTCGGTGTATCTTCTACTGTCAGGAATGGGCGGGAGCTATTCGAAAGAGCTATATCGACGGGTTTCTATCTAACTATAGAGGCAATATCGACATCGATTCGAAGCGTAAGAAACTCAGGGGAGCTGCATACGCGTCTCACATGCGTAAGTCTTGGTATTCATGACATCTACCTGATTGTAGCTTAATGTATTTACTCCTTCATAATATAGCAGAACCAAGTAATGATCCCGGATTGAAAATGACAAACTAGACTAAAATGAATAATCCACTAGTCATTGATTTAAATGCTGTTCTAGTGATTCTAGTTCTCAAATAACGACGAGCTTTGCAAGAGGGTCACGTGTCACTCTTTGGCTGAGCTAACCCCGTTTAGTAAGGGCCGCCTAGGGCACGTCGCGCGACATTTTGGCGCTCTCTTTTGATGGTTCTGTTCGAAAACCTTTAGGCCATCGGTTGAAGAGGCGGTCCGTTCTCTCAATGTACACAATTGTCTCTTGTAGATCGTTGATGCCTTTCGGCACCTTTTCCGAGATCTGCAGACGTTGTGCACGTTCATACCAGACAACCTCCCCCAATTTCTCCAGAAGAGCTGAAATTCTCGGTCGACGTCTTGACATCATTATCAGTACCTTCGACAAGACGGTAGTGTTTCAAGAGTACAAGGGGCCAATGGAGGAAACGACCCAAGGAAACGAGAAAAGGGAATCTGAAGCGGAGACATCATCGACGTCCCAGCACGATTGAGACGGTAAATGACACTGTGGATGACCCAGTCAAGCATATTCGTGCCAAAACCTTCATTCGCCTCATTGTACGTCTCAATGCAGTACTCTAGGTCATCGACTAACATTGGATTGCCTGTATAGTAAACTACTACCTACCCACGCGCTTTCTTCGTTATTAATCCTAAGGCCGAGTTTAATCACCATATCGACGCTCCGGTGGAAAAGGAGGTCGAATTGCAGCGTGAAGGCATCCTACAACAACTTATCATCATCATCATCACGGCCACGGCAAGTCGGATGCATGATTGTCCCATCACATGACGGGATTGCCAACAGGTAAATCTAGTCAAATGGTTCCCAAACACCGCTTGTGTGCTGTCAATTTCATGATATATATGATACTCGTGTCCTTCACCACGTCTCTTCAACAGCAAACTATTGTGGAACCTACACATTCCTTTTTTTTTCGATTTCAAGGCATTATCTGCCCGTTATTTTGGTACCGGATTAGGGTCGTCCACGTCTGCTTCGAAGTTTCTCCCTGCGAAGAGACCTTGTACGGTTTATCATATCGTATATCTAAAGGCAGTGTCCCCTTCGATGACTTTTGCGCCTACATCAGCCGCCTTATTGTCGCGTCGGAACCTCCAGGATAGGTAGATGACGATCATGGCCGTGAGGACTTGCGTCGTGATACAGGCGTAGATGCCTGGCAGATAAGTGGGCGCATCCTGGCTACGGAAGACCAGGGCGCCCGCAATGCCACCCACGCCACCCACGCCACCGAGGGCAACGAAAGTGGCCGAGCTGAAAGCCCGTTTCCAATGTCCGCGGATATTGTTTGCTGTGCAAGTCAGCCGGCTGGGAGGGTGGCGAGCGGGCCCGGGAAAACGCGAGGACCAAAGGTTGGTTCACTAACCTTGATATGCCATTGCGGCAGGAATATTCGAGTTTGCGCCGATGACAGCGATAAAGACACCTCTGCACTCGTGTCAGGGTTCGGAGGCACTGATTGCAGTGCAAGTATGGGGAGATTTGACCAAACTTACACATATTGACTGGACGCTCCTCTACTCCACGTCATCACGGGCAATCCAACCAGCGTCAGGAGGCAGTTGAAGAGAATAATCGGCGCCCGCGTCTTGTATTTGTCGCCCAACCAGCCTTGACCTAACATCACCAGGCCGCCTAGGAAATAGGGCGGTGCCACAAGACACTGGGCAGCAGCCAGGCTGAATTCCAGCTTGTAGAGCAGAATGATGGGCAGAAAATACGCGAAGCTGTACCCAACAACCAAGGTAAAGCAGTAAATCAAGCCGAACAGCCAGAGCTTGAGGTCAAATGTGTGCAACAGAAACTCCCGGAGGTTGAAGGACGTGATCTCGGCATCGTTACGGTCCAGGTTAATGCGCGCGAGCACGAAGGAGACCTCAGCATCGGAAAGGAAATAGCGGTATCTCTTCTTGGATTCAGGAAATCCGACCAGGAACACATATCCAGCAAGGCCTACTGCGGCGGTAATGACGCCTTCCATAATAAATATCTAATCCATCAGAAAGTCAGGCCAGCTAGGAATCCAGGAGAAATCCAGGAGGGAGAGGGCAAGTCCTTTCTAGGAGCCACAGGTACGTAGCATCCACCTCTTGGGACAGAGAGGAGATGAAATCCGTTGAAGGAGAAAATCTTACCCAGCGCCAACCAGCGAGGCCTGCAGTCCCGTGCATCTGCATAAGGCCATAAGCCAAAATGCCTCCACATGAGGTGAGTGTTGAGGCAATGAAATACCACATGGAATACCTTGAAAAGATGAATGTGAGAAAAAGAAGAAACGCTCACGCGACCCCCCTTTATTGATGAGGGACTATGTGGACCACGCATTACGTACCTCTTGTGCATCTCGTAGCGAGTGTACCAAGTACTGCCATTTCAACCAGTTCAGTCGAGCGATGAGATGTCGCCTCTCCTCCCGGGGACTACTCACCTCAGAAAGTACAAGCAACCAGGAAAGAAGCCGGCCTCGAGTATTCCAAGAATGGCTCTCAAGCCCGCAATGACTTGCCATTCGTGAGCAAAACCAGCGCCAATGAGGATCACAGCCCAGGTCATGACCACGCTGGAGAGGAAAAGGCGCGGGCTAACCCAGCGGATGAGCAGCGTCGCCGGGATCTCGAAGACGATGTAGGTCGGGAAGAAGACCAGTGTGATGATGGAATAGCGCATGCCCTCGTTCAGACCCAACTCCTGGGCCATGCCGGCGATGTTTGCGGCCCCCACTTTCAAACGCACGCAAACAGTCAGCATTCGGTTCGAGGAGAGGGAGCTGATTCTACAGTAGTAGTATCTTACGGTTTGCCCGGTCGAGGAGACAGATGCAGAACATGGCGCCGACAATAGGCATGATTCGCCAGTCGATCCTCTGGATGATCCTCTTCTGATCCTGTGGCGAGAAGCGCCCCACAGTTGCTCGATGTTCCTGCATCGCCTGCGACTCCTCATTCTTCACGGGGGAATTTTCATCCCAATGTCCGGAATTGGAAACTATCTGCTCTTCTTCATGATGGGTGACGAACCGGTCCTCGCCAGATGTCTCAGTGACTGCAGTTGTCATGTTCTGGAAGGTTATGTTTCTGTCAGGCCACGTCGCGGAAGGAAGGGTTGGGATCTAACTCACCGACGATTCAAGCCTTGGCTGGGTTCGAAGGTTGAGGGCTCTCTCTAGAGGGACTCAACCGCACAATGCTCTGGGATGCCGGCTTCTCGTGCTGCTCCATGTCGATATGGATATTGCCATATTTATATTCGCTAAGGTCTTCAGAAACGAGCTCCTCTATCTGGGCCAAGAGGAGCATCGGAAACGGAAATGTCTTCGTAACCTCGCCCATAGCCTCTCACTCCAGCCGAGCCTCGGAGTGCGGGATCTATTTCTTTAAATTTATTGGTTCACTCCGGGGCACCCACGAGGTTAGGGTGTGGGGTGTTTTGGAAGATTCTGAACAGGAGTTTCGTCGTATCTTGCTCTCACCATGTGCGTGAATCTAAATAGCTGCCCTCTTCTTCGGGTTCTCCTTCAAGAGCAGGATTCTTGTATTAGACAAGTCGTCCGTAAAATCATCAGTAAAGTTAGCCTCTGTCCATATTCTGGAGCAGACGAAAACTGGAAACTCTGAGCGTCCTCATCGGTACCCACCAGGCATGTCTCTGAAGGAGATTTGCCTGCTGACAGCCCTCACGGCCATCTCTCCAGCGTGGGCAATTCTACAATGTTCAACATCCGATATTCAAGAAATACTTCCTGGTGGAGCCACCGTCCTCAGAGCGGTCAGTCTAGGTCCAAACTCGACCTTTGGCGATGTCAGCGAGGTGGCATATCCAAGAAATTCAACGGGTCTCCCAGCCCTGTGCGCCTTAACAATCAATGTCACCAGCTCACCAACCAGCTCTTTTCGCTTCGGTCTCTACTTGCCCCAGGAATGGAATACTCGTTTTGCAGCTGTCGGCACCGGCGGTATCGATGGCGGCATCAATTGGCCCGCCATGGGCCCCATGGTCAAGTACGGCTTCGCCGTCGCCTCGACCGACACAGGCCATAACAGCACCAACAGTTCTGCGACCTGGGCTTTGAGTGGTCCGGAGACCGTCACAGATTGGGCCTATCGTGCCGTCCACGGCTCAACTGTCCTAGCTAAGCAAATCGTCAGCGCGTACTATGCGGCTCCTATCAATTTCTCATACTATAACGGCTGTTCCACCGGTGGCCGTCAAGGCCTCGTTGAGGCAGTCAGGTACCCAGAGGACTTCGACGGAATTCTCGTGGGTGCTCCAGCGTGGCAGGTCGAGAGGACTGTCGTATGGCTGGTGCAGCAGGCTGCGTATAACCTGCCCAACACTAGCGACCATGCTATCCCCGTGGCAAAGAACACTTTGATCCGTGACGAGGCACTGAGGCAGTGCGACGGGGTCGACGGTGTTGTCGATGGGGTCATATCAGCCCCTGAAATTTGTGCCTTTCGACCAGAGACACTGCTCTGCCGGGGCGAGGAGGCCGAGAGTTGCTTGACGGCTCCTCAAATTAACACACTCCACCTCCTATACGGAACCAGATATGACGTCGACAAGCCCGTGGTCTATCATCCCTACGTGCTCGGCAGCGAAACAGAGTGGACGAGGTTTCTGCCGCCGAACGCCCCTTTGCCAATGGCTACCAACGCTTTCCGTGACATATTCCTTCGCAATGCCACCTGGGATTGGCGGGACCTGAACTACACTTTGGCAGAGGATGTCCTTAACAACCGCCAGATAAATGCCACTTTGACCACTTTCGACCTGGTACCGTTCGCGTCCCGAGGTGGCAAACTGCTTCACTGGCATGGATTGGCCGACGCCCTCGTCCCATACACTAGCAGTCAGCATTTTTACGAGCTGGTCTACGGCAAGGTAACCTCTGAAGGTGTGGAGATGGACGGTTCCTACCGCCTATTCCTCGTTCCGGGACTAGGTCATTGCGCCCGCTCTGCGAACAACGCGCCTTGGTATTTCGCTGGGGCGAATCAACCTGAGTCCATGGGAACCGGGGTGTATGGCGTTCCAGGTTTCCGCGATGCAGCGCACGACGGAGTCCTGGCTTTGATGCAGTGGGTGGAAAATGGGATCCCACCCAAGTCTCTTGTTGTGACAAAGTTCGCGAATGACACCATATCCTCAGGTGTAAAGAGCCAGAGGAAAGTGTGTCCATATCCATCCCAAGCTCGACTGGTTGGACAGGATGTCCACGTCGCCCAGGACTGGACTTGTTCGGTGGAGACAGCATAACGGCCAGAGACATGCAGATGCAGAAGACGGTAGAGAAGGTCCTGAGGTGCAATTTGAGCTGCTAAGCGTGTATATAACATTCATGGGAGGAACTTGGAGCTGAACGGGCAGGCGGTTCTTTGCCGATGATGTCAATCAGATCATGAGGAGTGACATATCAGTACCTTGTTCAGCCATTACATCATCGAACGTCCCCAACCCATCCTTGTCAAGATAATGCGAGTCGTCGAGGTCCATCAGAAGGCCAAAATCGTCAAAGTTGATGGCATCGAGAAGCGCCAAGGACACTTCGTCCACACCTGCGGTCGTACAATCTTGAGGCAACAACGGGGCCATGGAGAGTGTTGGATCACTGTCGAAAGCAGCGGGCGCAGATCCATTTGGTGCTTCAAGCGATGGTCTACTCCAGCCATCTCGGTCATTGCCTGTGGCTGTCAACGACGAAATTATGTCTGCCCCCCGATCGATACCAATTCTCGCCGAAGATCCGACCTTGCTTTTCGATTGGTCGACCAGAGCATTATCGACACACCGATTATACAAGTACAGAATCTTCCCATGGCCGTCCTTAATTAGCTCAATATGGGCACGTTTCAAGACGGTGATGAGAAAATTCATCACGACATCAACGCCTGGATGAACTTCTTGTAATGTTTCACAGACCTTGAGAGAGTTGAGTATGGCTCTCAAAGGGTCATGTGCACGGCCTTCTTTGTGTAGTCGCACCCGAGGTATATGAGACATGATGGCAGGAATTTGTATGAGAATAGCGGTCGGGGGGAGCATATCTTCCAAGCCGTTGATCCGGAGATCGTGGCAGGCTCGACTGATTTCGATCCCTGCCTCAAAGATCCTCAACTGGGAGAGTCGTTGTAACTCCTGAGTTCTATGATCCGAAGGCTGGACTTTTAAGATCACCAGTGGTCGATGAAGCGCCGACACAACTGCTTGAAAGGCCATGTGGATGAAGGTTTGATGCAATACAATACTGGGATCCTGTCTCGCCAATAGTGTAGTGCCAGGAGCGTGAAAACAGGATTCTGGCCTGCTCCGAAACCACTTTTGGATCTCCTCTTCACACACTATCACGTTCTCCAGCATGTCAGGCTGCAATTTTGGGAACAGCATTGTCCTCGAGTTGGTCAAACTGCTGGTTTCCTCTGTTCCTATGTCGTCTGGGGGCAGCGTCGAATATTGTAGCGTCAGGATAGCACCAGCATGCCCGGCTAATTCAATCATGAAGATGCACATTTCTGCCAGCATCTGTAGTGCGCTGGGGCTTGGTAGTGTGAGAGATTCTTGTGGGACTGCCCCTTGCAGGCTTTGCATCACCATATCTGCCGTGTCAAAATCCTCACGGGTCAATCTGATTGTATTGAATTCGTCGTCCCGGATACGCATCGCCCGGCTCATGGTCAAGGCGATCATGTGGTCACGCAAGTAACAAGACCACCAGATTCGCCTTCGGAGTCTGTTGATTCTCCTAGTGTCAGGCGTGTCAAGTGTTTTACGATGAAGGCCCAGACCAAATGCAAGGGATACCGCGACACCCATCCAATGCCAAGTGCCTTTACTATCGCCCGGGGTCTCAGACCATGATGTGAGAAGGAGGACAGACTGCAAAATGGTGAGTTGATCAGACTCCGCATCGAGGTCGTAAAGCAGCTGCTACGGTGTTTAGTATGATGCATCCGGCAACGATGCATGAGATGGACTACTCACACGAGCTCTGTCGTGGAACACTCTCCTGGCATCCCTTTTGGTGGCAAAGCCCAAGGCATTCACTTTTTCCGCCTCCAAGAAAGAAATTCCCGCAAACATGACTGCTTGAAACAGGAGGATACTAATTTTCCTCGTCTCGCAGGCAAGAGGTTTATAGATAGCTCGGATGAGCCCCGGCAAGTCTACCACTGGCAGAAAGGGGTGGACGTAAAGAATATAGCACCTGACGATCTCTCGCCGAAGCTCTGTGGGTGGTATGTCGAGAGCCCCCTTGCTCTCCAAATATTGGACGTCACCTGGCTCCAGTTTGGGGGGGAAAGGCTTGATGAAGGCAGGTAATCCATGCGGAGGCGACTGGTCCGCCGAATTAGATGAAGTAGCCCTCTTAGAGTCTAGATAAATGACAGGGGCCTCAATTTTGCCACAGACTAAGTCTGCGTACGAGAGCTCTTTATGCAGAATACTTGCGTCGATGGATGCGGAAGAGGCATGAAGTTTGGGAGTTCTCGGGTCGTTTTCCGGGCCTAAGTTGCATTAGCTGATCCTGTTTTGAATAAACTGGAGGATAAAGTCTTGCTCTTATGGACTCGAGAATCTGTTTCACCTCTACCTGGGGGCGAGGATACCAGGTCTTCTTGAGGCATTTCAAGCAACCATCTGGCGGTATGACTGCGATACGTGCGATCGATAAGGCGACTTGCCGGCCAGGGTTCGCTTGTCACCGGCGTTGGCTCTGTTCCCGAGGCATGAAAGTCTTGCTTGACCACAGAGAGACAATTTGGAAGAGGTCGCCTAGGCTTTCTGGGATTGGGAAAAATGACTCAGCATCAACTTCGGCGGGTTCTTTGAACGGCGTGAGAACACATCACGGTAAACCACACACCTTCCTCGTTTGCTTTTCTCGACGAAACAATGAACCTGGTCGCTGATGCAGTTTCGACAGGGCATTCCGCATTGTTCGACGTCACATCGGACTTTCCTTGCTCGACAACGATGACAGGCCTTTCCTGCCCGTCCCGTTCTCCCCGTCATGCCCATCGTGAGCTTCGAGCCCGAGGTCTTTGATTATATCCTCACTGAAATGAGATTCCATCGAAAGAATCGTAGAAAATTCAACATTGGAGAAGAGAATGTACCCCGGAAACTCCCTCTTGCCCCTCCAAGACCGCCAAGGGGACTCCAGAACTCTGGAGTGTGGAGTATGTGTGGTCCGGATTGGACTCGCCGAGGACCTGAACCTCCCACCAATCGGTACAGGCCTTTTCTAGCCGGGTCTCCGCTATTCGGTCTTGGTAAGGAATGATGGGCTTCAAGCATTCAGCACATCGTCAACCACATGAGCCAACAGAAGAGAGAGAGATTGGAAATGGGACGGGTGGAGGGCGTCACGCGAGAGCGAGTTCTGGGCCTGTTGCTTTGGAGACTTTTTCGGACATTGTCACCGGCTGACCGAGGCATATAACGGTTTGCTGCTATTGTGGCTGCTATTGATATAAATAATGCCTGCATACGTGTGGGCCTGAGCCTTGTAGCTCACCTGTCAACCTTCACTGACTCCACGGCAAGGTTCTTACGCAACATGCCGTTTCTTGCGGAGGAACGCTTTGGAATCCCGACTAAGGAAGGAGACCTTGGCCATGAATATGCTGCCAAGCCCGCAATTGCGGCTGAAGAATGGCCTCTATATGACCACTAGATGCAAACCCTCGTATTGTTGCGCCGGATGGAAAAGCATAAGTTTGTCATCTGCTGCCAGGATGCCAGCCCAAATTTGCGCGACCTGCTTCCCGAGTAAAGTATCCTGTCCCCAGTCGAGATTCTAGACAGCCCGCGGCCGGAGGGTTTATTCGAGGTCTTGATGGCTGACGTTGACGTGTCATCTATATACACTCTCACAAATAGCTACACTGGAGTTTTACAAGTCCTCACTTCATCGCTCAATGACGATCAGATAATGATGACTGAGGCTGGGGGCGCCTCCAACAAACAATGGGTCTTCTCTGTAACCTCTCTCGCAGACCATTACCGAATGCACACGGTACAAAATGGCCAGGGCCAATCACTCGATGTCCTGAATGACAACGGCGTCGATAGCATAAAACTACGTTTCACCAGTACGGCGGATGTCTCCGGCCAGTTTTGGCGGTTTGACCTGTGGGACGACGGCACTTTGAGGCTGAGCAATAACTTCACAGGTCCGGATATGCACTTGGACGTGTATTCTGACACTTTTGAGCCGCACTTAGCTGATGGAAGTGCGTCGGGTCAGCATTGGACTCTGCAACGATTAGGCTCAATCTCTTCGACAACAGAATCTGCACAGACATCCATGGTCTCAACTTCATCGGCCGCGACTTCTGTTCTGACGAAGTCAACCGCCACCTCAGCTGCACCGGGTATATCGTCTCTTCCGCCAGGGTCATCTTCGGTGTCCAATGCCCCATCCTCCACCGTGGCGGTTTCTTCCAGTACTCCCAGCGCCTCAGCTAACGCAGTTAATTCTAGCCTGTCAAGCGGTGCCATCGCTGGTATTAGCGTCGGAGCTGTCGGTGTAGTTGCGCTATGTGTCGCGTCAGTTCTGCTGATCCTGCTCTTGCGAAAGCGAAGAAAACGACCTACAACACAGGCTGCTGACGTCCAAGACTCCTCACAGCCTAGACGCGGAGAACCATATCCATCTCAAGGTCCATTTGAAGCCCCGAATGAGAAGACAGGGCCCGTGGCACAGGAAATGCCCAGCCCACCATATGGAAGCGCGTCCATTTACTATCCAGCAGAATTGGATGGCATTCAACACGGATACCAATCACGTGCAGAGCTGCATGACTACCAAAGGTAAAAAGGAAGCATGCTCTGATGCCTTGATCGCTGGGAAGGGGGACATCATACCGTTTTACTTGTTCAAGTCAGCTTAGGGGTTCATGACGACGCAGCCACTCAGCTGCTACAGCACAAGGTGAGTAGCGCTTGTACGGTGGGCAGCAGGTTCTGGGAGCCCGCGAATTATTGTGAGAGGGAGTGGAGAGCAAGTCGATTAGGCATGGCCACCACAACAATCCGACTTGTGATAAAGGATATAGTATCTTCGGAAGACCGAATCTATATCTATTGACTAGTGAGGATTGCGTGAGCCCGCCATCTATTGGTAAACTGCTGGAATGAGTGCCGCGAAGGCTGTGAGGGGAGGCCATCAGTTAAAGTCAGTGGTCGGTTGGTATCCTACCCACCTAGGTGAGGCAAGGCCGTGCCTATAAAGGATGTCAGTCTCTGGAAACTTTTGTCCCCATAACAGTGACAGCTAAGGTGCGCTATCTGATATCGGCGTACGTGTAATACGTTTCCTCACCCACTTCTGGACCTTACGAAGTGTTACCATTGTCAATACTTTTGGCCCCCTTCCCGAAAAGGCACTCTGCGCCCCTGAGACTCCCATAGAGAAGCTAGCAGCCGACGAAAAGTTGTGCTTTCCTTGACATGAAATACCCTCCCTTGCAACCACGCACACCTGTGATGCCCAGATCTTGACCCCGGACAGTTGCCCGGGGTCTCACTCATCTAGAGCGCCAGCAGGAGCAACACAGGGTCCAGAACGGAAGGCATCCAAGCCTGTCCACCCCCTTTCCAATCACCCGGGCAAAAAGTCTTGCGTGCGGAATCACCAGCATGGCTGGGATTTGGACAGGAATAACATTAATCCGTTCTTGTTTGAATACTACATACTTACCTGCTCTTGGTATCACAAAGAGAAGAAACCTTCTGCAAGAAGTGCCATCGTTGCAAGGTGTGTGTTGCGGGAGTGGAGAGGGGCTGATTCCTAGCAGTACACTGTCTGAAAATTTTCAGTGGACTGATGACAATTGGCCTGGTTGCACGTGCAACCTACTGCATTAACATTCATTACATGGGTCTAAGGATCAGCAGCAGCTGGCCGTGGGTATTGGCCAAGCGTATCAACTCCCCGATCTGCCAGAGGAGCCTTATATCTTCCATGGTATCTCTGCCCCAGCTTTACACCGGTTACGAGCCTCAAGGCTGGATAGTTTGATGTGATATCATCTTCATTTATGCATATTCTTTTTGTCCCAAGCTAGGGCCAAGTCAATTCATGAAAGGGTGTAAAATACATCACGCTGAAATGTGTTTTGGTCTCTGTTCAGTTGGTTCAGGCTTACTGTTGCCTCTCTCTCTCTCGTGTCTGTTCCGACCACAGCACCCGAAGAACCATCCTTTACTCTCTTCCAAGCTCGATTCTCCGGAAAACCCAATAAATTGCTGGGCAGGTGGAGCAGGGAACTGCTTAAACAAGAACTTTACATCTCCATGTTTTAAGCTGCGGAGTCGTAGGTGTTAGACCAGGTTTGCTTGTTCAATTGTGTGAATCTCAAGAGCCCCATGCCTGGCGTGTTGATCGGAGACTCTCCTGTGAAGAGGAACACGTCGTAGAGGAAACCACCGAATGTGCATCCGAGAAAAGGGGCGACTATGGGCACCTGGGAGAGTTAGGATTCGAGTCGATTGGAAATTTGGAGGCCGTGACTTACCCAAAAGTAATAATTTCCAGCCTTCCACACGTTGGTGCCATAACCGAGCATATACGATACCAACCTTGGCCCGAAATCACGGGCCAGGTTGATCGCATAGCCGGTTTCCCAACCAAAACAAGCGCCGATGCCAAAGATAACAAAGAATAGGCATAGAGGTGTCAAAGGTCCAGCCCCGATGTTGCCGTCATCCTTGAGAGCATAGATTAGGAACATAAGGATAGCGCTGGCGATGAACTCCGAGAAAAATTGACCAGTAGTAGTCATGAAAGGGGCTGGGTAGGTGCAAAAGATGCCAGCTGAGGCTGTTTCAGAGTAACCAGGGACGGTCCTGATATTGGGACCACCTTCAAAGACGTCTATGGCCGACTTGTAGTTTCCATAGACAACGGCCGAAGCGCACATTGCTCCTAGCACCTGGGCGACCATATAGGGGAAGAACTTGCGCCATGGAAATTTCCGAAAGACGCAATTCGCAAAGGTAACGGCGGGATTGATGTGTGCACCAGATATACCCGAGGCGTACACACCAAGCATCACACCCAATCTAGGCTGGTTAGTCTCTCGGTTGAAGCGGACAGAAGAATAGACTCACCCCCAGCCCCATGATATGGACTGGTAATCGCCCTTCTCGCCTCCAGAGAGAACGACTTGGGCGACAACACCGTCCCCAAATAGAATGAGGATGAAGACACCGAAGAACTCAGAGAACGGCTCTCTCAAATAATGACGAACTCTGCTCCATAAGAGGTCAGGCTCTGACTGCACGATTTCTTCCTGTGGCACTTTGTGGTCGACCAGAGCTCCATGTTCCGAATAACCCGGTTGACCGTCCACCGTGGAGTGGCGATAGGAGCGATGAACAACACCCTCATCGTGAGTAGTTGGAGGTGTGGAGGCTGGGGACTCAGTCTTTTCAGCCATGATGTGTGACGGTTGATTGACAACGGGACCAGATGTAGGAGTGGCCGAAATATGTTCAAGGACCATTGTGTCAGCTTTTAAGGGGAGGAGCGGCTGGACGAGACCTTTATTGCTTGCTGATACGAGGTAGAAGTGTTGGAGGACAGACACCAGGGTCTTGGTCCTGTTCTGATCCGTTTATTGCGGAGAAAAAGGTAAAAGGCGGGAGGGGCGGATATGAACCAGTTAGGTTGAGAGATATGTGACGCTTTGCCGGTGACTCAACTGGGATGCAGGTAGGATTTCCAGGGTTCCGGAGGCCATCACCTCGAGAAGCATGTAACGCACGAATGGAGGCGATTTGCTCGCGAGAACAGTGGTGAGAGGAACTCGGGTGGAGCGAGACCGAGGGTGGTCAGGATCATTCGGGATCACATCAGGAACAAACACCGACAACAGTCGAGCCTTGTCAAGATTGACACCTCGCAAGCGACCCGACCATCAATGTATTACCAGGTACTCCGTGCATCTTAACGTAAGGGGAACGCTCGAACGGCCTTGTAAACTACTTTCGGTGCTCGGCAGACGGCCCAAGCGGCCAATAATGAGACTCGGCCTCAGCGATGAGCTCGGCTGACAACTGCCTCCCACACTGGTCTTGTAAAGGCTCTTGAGGGCGTGCTTACGGAGTCTTGACTTTAGAGGCCTGTGCCAACGCCACTCCGTCCAATTAGAGATCCATGGCGGTATTGGCTGGCAGCGTCTTTCATCATGACTTTCCCAGACTGATGGAAAATCAAAAGATCGAGTTAGGACGACGATCGCCTGCGGCTGCCTGTCAGTCATCTTTGAAATTGTCCGAGTCGAAGCGCAGCACAGAAGCTACAAGGCGGACAAAAGACAAATGCCGATCTTGACGGTCGCTCTTTCCGTAAATGACAACTAGCCACGTCGAGGGTAGGCACGCTTTCCCAACTGGTCTGCAGATACCCTCGTGCCAAGGCAAGAGCACTGCGTACTCGGTGTGGTGTACGCCGCACGAATGCATTACGCACTACTCCACACCATCCCTGGCGTGACTCGGTACGAACCATCATTGTCGGCTGATGAGCGAGAGGGAGAGAGTAGCACTGAGTTGAACTGCGCCTCGCATTTGTGCCGCCAAGGGCCAAGGCAATACTCAAGACTCAAGAGGCTATGGCTACCCCGCAGAAAACTAAGGCCGTTTGCCGGCGTCGTTCTGAAGCCGCCACGTCTCTCGTCGGTGCATACGGGCTGCTCTCTTTCGCATCTCGTGTTCACCGTCTGACGTTGATTAGCTCAGCCTCTATCATCGCCCTCGCGAAGCCGAGGCTTCCCGGTCGCGAACTCTGTACAATGGCATTATTCGCTTTGATGAGCAGATGGCATGATGAAATATCCATGGCTGGTGAGGCGCTAAATGGCTGATGTTGCAGTGCCGCAGCAAACCCCTCTCGCACCTGGTGCTTGGACAAGGATGGACAGGCCCAAGCGTATCCGCCTTGGCCCATTTGCTGATGCAGCTAGTCCACCGGGTGGCTTGAGCTGTGATGCTGGAGTCATTCCCGCGTTGTTCTTAGCCGCCTACCCCAGACAATTGGTGACCAGAACTCTCGGTCTTTTTGGGTGCATCTCGAAAAACTCGTCTCGACTTGGACTCGAGCATCGAATACGGGTGGTGCACATCTCCAGCTTCCTTCCCCAGGCTCTTCCTTCTCGCCAAGAAATCGTTGCTAGAAACATACCCGAAGGAGACTAGTCTGGCTACTAGTGACGAATACTAATCAAGTTCCCGACTAGTTCACGTGGCCCTGAACGAGACTGCGACTTCCACGCATTTTCTAGGCTCAGTCCAGTAAGTTCCCTGATCATCCCCAACGGCCTCATGATTCGCCCTGCATCTCGGCCTACGTACTCCGAACCGCTGCTTCTTTTACTCGTACAAGAAATACTGTGCGAGGTCGAGCTTGATAGCTTTGGAGCCATGAATTAAGACCTGGGAGAATACGCTATCCATTCAGCTTCTCCAAGTTTCAGATTCTCTTTCTTGTCGAAGCCACCGAAGAACCATCTACCCGACCACCCGACCATCAGCCGTCCAATTTAGAATCGATTGGATGTTGGCTGCCATTCGGAACAAGATGGGCGACACTCAGGCGTCGAAAGAAGTGTTCGTTGGGGCTATTGATCAAGGAACAACGAGCAGTCGATTCCTCATCTTCAACAAAAGCGGCGAGCCCGTGGCATCGCATCAGATTGAGTTCAAGCAATACTATCCTCAACCAGGGTATGTTGAAGAGCGCGAAGCGAGAAGACTCCTCGGGAAGGGTGCCTCGCTGACCTGAGGACTAGATGGCATGAACATGATCCGTTGGAGATTATCTCCTCAGTGGAGCAATGCATTGATGGGGCTGTCAAAGACCTGGAGAACCAAGGTCATGCAGGTAGCAGTATCAAAGCCGTTGGCATCACGAATCAGCGTGAGACAACAGTGAGGCCTCTCGTTCCATCCCTGATCCGATATCCCCCCATTTCGAGCCAATCGCTCTGTACCATGACTGACCCGCTTCCGATGAATAGGTGGTCTGGAATCACGAAACAGGAGAGCCATTGTACAATGCCATTGTCTGGACAGATACCCGCACCCAAGCGCTAATCCGTAAACTCAAGCGACGCTTGGGTGCCGATCAACTCCCAGGTCTGTCCGGCTTACCGTTGTCGACTTATCCCTCGGTGGGTAAATTACTGTGGCTCCTGGAAAATGAGCCCAAGGTGAAGGAGGCTTACGAAAAGGGGATCCTTGCCTTCGGTACCATTGACGCATGGCTAGTGTACAAGCTCAACGGTGGACCCAAGAAGAATGTCTTTGTGTCAGATCCGACCAATGCATCGAGGACCCTGTTCATGAATCTGAAGACCCTGAATTACGATGAATCACTTATCGACTTCTTCAGGCTCGATTCAACCAAGATCCACTTGCCCAAGATAACTCGCTCGTCCGATCCCGAGGCATATGGACGACTTGAATCCAGTGTTCTGAAGGGAACTCCAATCACCGGCTGCTTGGGTGATCAATCAGCAGCGTTGGTCGGCCAAAAGGGGTTCACTCCTGGGTTGGCCAAAAATACATATGGCACCGGTTGTTTCCTTTTATACAATGTTGGCGATCAACCTGTGTTCTCAAATCACGGCTTACTCGGTACTGTTGCCTATGACTTTGGTGAGGGGAACCGGGCATATGCTCTCGAAGGCAGTATAGCCGTCGCTGGTTCAAGTGTTAAATTTCTAGTCGACAACCTCGGGTTCGTTGAATCGTCCAGCAAGATCAGCCAGTTGGCATCCGAGGTTGAAGATAATGGCGGGCTGGTCTTTGTCACTGCCTTCAGTGGATTGTTTGCCCCATATTGGATAGATGATGCCAGAGGCACCCTCTGTACATACGCTGACATTCTTGAAGCAACACACCAGGCTAACGCTGCATTAGATGGCATCACGGCTTACACCAAACGGGGGCATATTGCTCGAGCAACCCTTGAAGCGACCTGTTTCCAAACCAAGGCGATTCTCAGTGCCATGGAGAAAGATTCTGGCAAGAAGCTGGCAGAACTGGCGGTTGATGGCGGTATGAGCAATTCAGATTTGACGATGCAGGTCAGTATAATTTCCTTCTCTCTCGTCGTAGATGCTAAGACACGGCAGACCCAAGCGGACTTGATTCAAATACCAGTACTCCGGCCTCAAATGCGCGAGACCACGGCATTAGGCGCAGCGATCGCAGCTGGTCTTGCCGTGGGAGTTTGGCAAAGTGTGGATGAGCTCAAAGATGTCAATGTCGAAGGCCGAACAGTCTTCTCGCCCAAGTTGGAAGAGTCCAAGAGTAAAGAAATGTTTGGCAAGTGGGAGAAAGCGGTGCAGATGTCCAAGGGGTGGGCATCGTGAGATGGTCACATGGGTAAACAGTACCTGACATTACTCGTAGTAGGGACACTGATTGAGGGAAGTCGGGTGCGTATTATTGACGGGTAATGCTAGAAGCGGCACGGGAGAAAAGGGCGATGGCGCTGAGAACCCTCCACGGCTCCAACCACAATTAACTACGGTAACACCACCATGAGGAACCACAACGACTGTTGTACCCGATTCATCCTCGTTCATGGGCCAAAACGCTCTATCGTAGAATTGTCCAAAAAAGGATCTATTTCTGCTGAGATGAAGTTCATCACTGACAGTTGATGGGGTCATCGGCACTGTACTGTACCTTCCTCACTGCACGAAATGAGCCCTTCCCCACCTGCCACCTGTCAGCAGCAGGCAGCAATAGTGGCTACCTCACGTTTCTTCGGACTCGGCTGGCTGGCGAGAGACCTCGCCCGGCCCACCTCAATTACTACAAGACTCAAGTTCGAGTAAATATCAAACAACTACGCGAAGCATGAAGTTCATTCAGTCTGCGAGGTCCTAAAAAACTAAATGAAGTAGTTCTTTTCCGTGCCGAGCAATGATAATGCAATATTGACTGGTAATGAGAGCTTGGCTGTCTGGACACAGCTGGCTTGCTCAGTTGAAGCTCAACTCCCGGCGCTCCGTACCATGTGAGTCTCGTCACTATCGTCGGTGGTAGGGGGTCCTTTGTTAGCTGGCCAATCTAGTGACCAAGTCGTCCCCCATGGTGCCCCGGGTGATGTCCATTTTAACCACCTCGCCGCCCCCAATCAAGCCCAAGACAAACGGAAGAATCGGCCGTCCGAGCACGCTGGATCTTTTGCCGATCCGATTGGCGAGCAAATAATGGTGGCATCTCGAGAATCAAGCTATGCCATGGCCTCCAACTTTCGGCTTCTGGAAGCTTTTTCTTTTCTTCTGGCATTCGTCTGAGTTTGGAACCGTCGCGCTGTGTGTCACTAGATGGGAAGATGCAGACCACATTCCATCTACGCTTTGAGAACTGCCAGAACGATCATACCGGTCTCATTGAGCATTGATCGATCCGTCGGGAACGGAAGTGCGCATAGTGCCCAGGTCCGCCCGTGCATCTGGCGCTACTCCAGTAAACGAAAGCGATTAATCAGTGTTCTCGCAAGAATGGGCAACAAATAAAGTCACTAACTTTGATAGTTACTCCTTCTCTGGGGAAGGGACAAGAGGTGTGTGTGGTTCACTCGTTGTGCCATACAGCCTGGCTGTGCCGTGCCCGTTCCCGACCATGTTCAGCCGCCTTTCTCTTCATGATGAAAAGCGCTACGCCACCGGAGGCAAAGCCCCATTGAGCTTGATGGTTCTAGATTCTCGACCTAGCCAGTTCACTTGACTCAGTTGAGAGAATGGCACAAGTCAAGCCAACCTAAATTCAATATGGACCTCATCGTCATTCTGCTAGGGTATTGCTGATGAGCTCTAGGCCGGCAATTGAGTTTGCTTTGGAGGACAAATATGATCTCGCTACGAGGCCACACAGGTGGGCTTGCCGTGTTGCGTGGGCCTTTTGTCCCTGTCTATGTATGCCTTGCGTCTCCTCCGTCGGTTACCCATTTCTCTTCGATTTCGACCTGCGATGCGTAACCCATAAAGCATGAAGACTGAGTCTGTTCACTGTCACCAGCCATAGGTCATAGGTGACCAGCTCCTATCGTGGCCATCAAGGACAGATTCATTCTCCGAAAATGGCTCAATCTCAGTTCTCGACGTAACCCACGAATCATGGGCGTTGGTCTATCCACATCATCACGATTCGCGCCGACCGCCGAAACATGGCCTATTCTCCATCCGATATCGACTGCAAGGCAGCGACCATCCTGCCGGCGCATGTCAACGAACCTCCACAACCACAGGGCTTGACCAGCGACTCCAAACCCGTCCCAGTAACATGGCGAAGACGGTTCCAAAGCTCAATATTCGGCAAACCGATTGTATATTTTGGTGTTTGCGGATTGTTAGCAGTCATCTTGACTCTCGTTCTCGGCTGGCTGTTGATTCCTGCAATCATTCCAACAGTGACGCTACGGCAAGGGACATTTCGGGGTGTCATTATCAACAGACCAAATTTCCCCAAGCCTGTGGAAGCTCACCTGTGCATTCCTTACGCCCTTCCACCGGTCGGAGAATTGAGATTCGCGAGGCCACGGCCTGTGCTCGCTTCGAACGAGACTTTCGAAGCCTCCCGCTTCGGGCCAAGGTATGGTTTTTACATTCTGACTCAGGTGGCGCGGTGGATTCTTGTTCCCATGCTTGCCCATTCTTTCGATAAGAATTAGACTGACTTGATGGTGTTTTGTCTGTAGGTGTCCCGGCAAACCGCTAATACCACTTCCTGACGGAGGAGACAACGGCAACGAGGATTGTCTGACGGTCAATGTCTTCCGGCCTGCCGCCAGTAGTGAGGATGATGATGAGGAAGTGTTGAATCTCCTCCCAGTTGCAGTTTACTTCCATGGGGGGGCATTCAACAGAGGAGCTGCCAAGGGTCACGATACCGCGGCGATGGTAGCTTGGGCGGAGCCCTTTGTTGCAGTCACGTTCAATTACAGGTTGGGAGCCTTGGGGTTTTTGAACTCGATTGCGGCAGCGGAAGAAGGCATCTTGAACCTTGGTCTACATGACCAGATTCAAGTGCTCCAGTGGGTTCAGGAAAACATCGCCGCTTTCGGTGGTGATCGTGCGCAAGTGACCATCATGGGAGTGTCAGCAGGCGCACACTCTGTAAGTCTTGCTTTTCTCACCTCCAGGAATTTCTAGGGGGTCCGTATGCCCTTTAGAGAATGAATCTAACGCAATCCTCCAGGTGGGCCACCACCTTCTGAATGACAAAAGTGTCTTCCACCGAGCAATCATGGAATCCGGTGGACCATATTCACGAGCCCTACACCACTTTAACTCCAGTCTCAACACACAGCAAAGCTCCGCCTTCATGTCGCTGGTAGGATGCCTGGACAGCGACATAGCATGCCTCCGCACTGTCAATGCCAGCAAGTTAGTAAACGCCTCGGACACAGTCTTCGAACAGTGGAACCCGTCGCTGCGATGGGCGTGGCAGCCGGTGATCGACGGCGAGCTGGTTCCCGGCCGGTCCTTGGAGCAACAGCGACCAAGCAACATCCCGATCCTAACGGGGTTCAGCACGAACGAAGGATCCATGTACGTGCCGAGAAACCTGACCACGGACAAACAGTTCGATTCTTTTTTCTCCACCCTACTTCCTCAGGTGGCCCGCAACGAAAGCATCTCTCACATCTACCCAGCAACCGCATACCCCGAGTGGCGCAGCGTCGGGAAGGAATTCCGCAGGCTAGAAGCCGCATACGGCCAGTACGCGTACTCGTGCAGCGTGCGGCAAACGGCGTCCATCTTCTCCTCGAGCGACATCCCAACCAATGCCACCCGCACCGCCCCAGTCTACCTTTTCCACTGGGCCGTGAACCGCACCGTCCTGGGCGGCGCAGGGCATGGCGACTACGTCGCCTACGAAACCATGGATTCCAACGTGCGCTCTATCTCGCGCACCCAGCGCGAGATAGCCACGCTTTACCATGGCTACCTCACGAATTTCATCGTCTCGGGAAATCCGAATCACAACAGAGACAGCAGCGTGCTACAAGGCGGTCCAGAGTGGCTGCCCGTGCAGGAGGGCAGTCACACTATGATCTTCGGACTGGGCAACGATGAGCGCGCCGGTGGGACGCATCAAGGCGTCGCCGCCCAGTTTATGGAGGATGACTGGGCCCGAGACGAGTGTGATTTCTGGCACAGGCAGAGTCGCAAATATGAGGATTAAAGATAAAGAATTTCCAAAGGTTCACGACATAGATGATGCGATGCGATGATGGATTTATTATAGAGAGAGAAATCTCAGGAAAGGGAAAATAGAAACAGTGATTTTCCGACACAGCTTCATTGATTGTGATCGTGCTGTGTGAACTTGTGATGTGATGCAATGGGCTTGGTTTTGGTGGACCAGATTGCCATGCCATGCCATCTTTGTGTGTAGCTAATGGGACCTCACATGTGACTCTGTGTCCATGACATCTGAAGCATGCCGAAGCACTTTACACCCCACTCTCTGAATGTCCGTCTCTGACCCAAGTGTGGTAGTCAATCCATCGACTCATCTACCCTTAGTCATCAATACAACCAACGTTTTCCGGTGCAAAACCCATAGAAACTGACAGTCACTGTGTGAGCTCAGATATTTGCACGGCCAATGACATACTTCTTGCAGCTGCCACTGGCAGGGGCGGTGTTGGCGGTAGCGGTGGGAGTGTTGTGAGGCGGACCCTCAATCTCCGAACCAATAGCCAACTTCTTGATGCCTCCCCCAAACTCCTCGTCGTCATCGTCAGAGTCCACAGGACGATCACGACCACGGATCATGCCAGCACACTTGTAAGCCTCCTCAGCCTTGGCCTTTTGCGCCTTGCGAGCCGCTCTAGTCGCGGCAGCACGACGGGCAGCCTCGCTCTGCTGGTAGCGAAGTAAATCGCGCGCCTCGTTCTCCATGTCCTTGAAGTCATCGTCGACGTCCTCTGGGCGCTCGCGTGCGTACAGGGCCATGAGATGCATGCCAATGCGCGTGTAGTAGATTCCGGCGCGCTTCCAGTCTAGCCCGAGCACGAAGAACACGATTGCCTTGAAGTAGTTGTTGCCGTAGGGCGACGCAACACATTCTTTGAGGTAGGGAAGTGCCTCGACGCGGCGGCCAGCCATGGAGTGTTCGTTGCCCTGTTTGCTGATGGTCAGTCTGCTTGAATTGTGGGTTTTGGAGATGGAGCGCGAAGATAAAGCGAGCATGGGTGTGCGCGTGAGGAACTTACCACTTTCCACATTTCTTGCAATTGGTCGTAGGGGTCCATCTTGATGGATTGTTTTGCTTTGCTTTGTTCTGCGTTGAATGGGTCAAAAAGCGTGAGCAGCTTTTGTGGTGGTAGGGAACTTACTGTCTGTAGCTGATTGTCTTTGAAGAAAGAGAGCGAGCTGTTGCTCTGAGAGAGTTGGCTGAATACCCAGCTCTGAGTGTGAGGTGAGGAGAGAAAGTGAAAGTGAAATGAGCAACTCGAGATTTATCTCCAGCCAGGTGGTCTGCTCGTTGCCTTCTTAGTGATGGGACTGGCAGAAAGGCGCTTTGAAGGCATTGTCGATGGTGCTAAGGTACCTAGGTACCTGCAGAACGTGACTGATATGCCAAGACCGTAGGCAGAGCCTCATTGCAGCTTCATCTAGCAGGTACGACCATGATCTTGTGCGCCTGCTGCGACAGTCTGCCACCATCCGCCAAGCTCGAATCATGTGATGCAAGATATGTTGCTACCTAGGTACATAGGTACGTGGTAGCCACCCCAGCTGCAGGACCTGTCTTCAAACATATCTACAATCGCCCTCCCCCAGCGGAACCAGGTCATCAATGTTACCAAGCTCTTGAGCGCTCAGTATCCAGAGGTAAGCATGGCATGGCCTCCTACCAGCGGCCTTCAGACGAAAGAGGCCATCTCACCAGCGCAGATGATGCATCGAGATGGTCAGTCACTTACATTAGGATCTCTCACTCCTGGGAGGAGACAATGAGGACATTGAGATATAGGAGATTGCCAGGATTCTTGAGGACAAAGTGCATCACGGAGATCTTGGGCAAGCCAATGACCATTTGACTTCACCAGAAGTCAAAATTCAGTCCACTTTGCTGACTGATATCCGACCCAGGCGGCCAGAGAACGTGCTGGTGGCAACACACAGAATTTAGGTTGGGGAGCAGTAAAGGTAAGAGGCTGTGCCCAAACCAAGGATCTTCATGGGTACCTGCCTTTCAAGAAAATCTCTCAAATTCGCCAATCCATTACACATACACCTCAGAAGGCCGTATCTTCAGCGAGGTGTAACAGAACCCTCTTCGTCAAAGGGCGTCGGCGATAAGCTGTCTCAGAAATCAGCATGTAACAACCCCACCAGATTTATGCAGCGTCAGTCACAGTGACTGCATTGAATACTTACACCGCTACCCCGCCACATGCCTGTGTAATGAGCTGTAGAGGTCTAGCTCGTTCTTGATTAAGACATCATTTTGGAACGTCAGAACCATCACCTAATGGGATGAGGTTGTTCGGACTTCTTTTGGGGTCCTTGCCAAGCCCGGTGAGGTTTGCGAGGTTGGCTTTGTCATTACCATTAATTCACCTATGGGTTCCTACAATCAGACTCGAGAGATGAGATAACAGGACGTCAGACTTCCAACATATCGGGTCCCAAGTTGGACGATCATGGAGTCGGCTATCCGGCACATCATCCACCCCAACTTTTGAAAACTGTGGAAATATCGACCGCTTGACTCACCAGCACCAATACCCTTCTCGCCATGAAGCCTTCATTGTTGGAGATCGTTACACTACTGATTATGGCCTTGCCTCACCCCATTTCTTACTCTCGTTCTCGCAGTGTATACATTCGTCTAGTTTCGATATCCTGCCTGGAATTCACATTCTTTCTTGCTTGTACATCAATGAACCAAAAAGCTGTTGCCCACTATGTCAAGCCAAGAAAGTTCAAGGTTGGAGAAGGATGTGATAGGGAAGTGTGATTCTCGGCCAAGGAACCCCAACACTCTTGCCCTTACCAAGCAATCATCGAGGACTTCCTCGCGCCACGATCTCGGAAGGGTCGCCAGCAATACTGTTGACAGAGTTATCTCACGCCTGTCGACGCGTCACATCAAGGATCCAGGTCCTGCACCTGACGGCGGATTAAAAGCATGGATACAGGTCGCAGCGCTGTGGACGTGCAGTTTAACAACCTGGTGAATCCTCCTTCAATATAGAACAATACCGCATGGCTTCGAAAGGTCTCCGTGGAATCAATGCTAACCTCAACGGGGATCTAGGGGATACTTCAATTCATTTGGTGCCTTCCAGGCCTATTATATGGAGACTCTTCCGGAGACGCAATCCACGATATCCTGGATAGGTTCTATTCAATTATGGATGGTATTCTTTGTTGGCACCTGGTCTGGCCGTGCTCTTGATGCAGGTCTTTTCGCACCCACTTATTTGTTGGGTGCTGCCTTACAGATACTCGGTATCTTCATGACAAGCATAAGCCATACCTTCTGGCAACTCCTCCTGTCCCAAGGAGTGTGTACCGGTCTGGGCAGCGGCATCTTCTTCACTCCCGCCATGGGTCTTGTCACGACCTATTTCACCACGAACAGGGGAATAGCCATAGCAATCATGTCCACTGGTGGCTCCATCGGCGGTTCTATTTATTCCGTCATTGTTCGTCAGCTTCTACCCAAAATAGGATTTGGCTGGACGATCCGAGTCTTGGGTTTTGTGAATCTGGTAGCATTGAGCGTTGCATTTGCCTTTCTCAAGCCTCGACTCCCTCCAAGAAAGTCGGGACCAATCGTTGAATGGAGTGCATTCAAGGAAGTGCCCTATCTCTGTGTTGTGGCGGGGATGTCTCTGGTCTTTGGAGGGCTCTTTTTCAGCTATTATTACATTGCATCTTTCAGTCGTACCATCATCGGTATGAACTACTCCGATTCCTTGACCATGTTGATCGTATTCAATGCAGGAGGAATTCCAGTTCGCCTTCTGACTGGGTACATCGCCGACCGATACCTCGGACCTCTGAACGCGATGGTACCTCTGATTTTCATCAATTCCCTCTTCGCCTTCGTCTGGATCTCAATAGACTCCAGGACTGGAATGTATGCATTTGCCACCTTTTATGGATTCTCGGGCGGCGCTTTCCAATGCCTTTTCCCCACGACCGTTGCGAGTTTGAACTCGGATCTGAGCAAAAATGGAGTCAGGTTAGGAATGGCGCTTACAGTGATCAGCTTTGCCGGTCTTGCTGGCCCACCAATTGGTGGTGCTTTGTTGACTACAAACGGTGGTGGTAGAGGTGGATATATGTCGGCACAACTCGGAGTCGGTTTAGCGATGGCGTTAGGTGCATTCCTTCTTGGTGTTGGCCGCGTGTGTAAGTATGGCTGGAGTCCGAGGATCAAATGTTAGTGGGGTTTGAGCCATGATATTCACGCGGTGATGTAACAAATACTATGTAGTGAATATAACTGTCTGATCCTTACTCGTGGTAAGGAGTATTCACTCTTACACTAGGTCAAGCGCAAAATGGTCGGCCACGGAGCAAAATCTTAACCCACAACAACGAGCGAGACTTGAATACCCATTCCGACCAAAATGGCAAAAGGGCTCAACTGTCAATGAGCTGAAAGCCAACCGCTCGAGCAACAGGCTTTTGGAAATACAAAAAATTATCGACATTGAACTTAAAACATTGCACTGATTGTAGATGCCACGGGGTTCGTGGCTTTCCGGCGCGACGAACCTCGAGGCAGCCGCAGTGGTAACAGGTATCGCAGTATACACTAATTTGCCTACCACACACTCGCTTTGCTCTGGGGTCCTTCCTTGGCCTGCAATTCCTTCGTGTCAGTGTTTTTCTAGAGCAAGATATACACAATGGTGAAAAACAAGGCACACCACCACAGCAATGCCTTCGCTTCGTCCTGCGCTATCCATGATTTTGGCAATTGTGGGCTCCGTGACCGCTCCGAGGCTGGTGGACATTATGTCGGCTGCTGCTAGTAGCCCATGTTTGGAGAAGGAAGATGGTATGTAGGGAATCATGGCTCCTGAGTATGGAGGAGCAGGTCGACAAAAGCCACAAGGTATAACCTGGGATCCAACGGAGCGAGGATTAGCGATCGATATCTAACGAGTATCCCGGCGATATCACAGCTGAGATCGCATCGTACAGCGAAAACAAAACCATCAAAGCCTGTTTTGTCCAAATCACGATGAAAGCTTCCATGCCTCTTAGACCGTTTCGTTGGAGCTGTCCATCATCCTCCGAGCCATGCATACATCATTTGGAACCGAAGTGGTCTCCTGGTCAGTGAGGTCATTTTTATCTGTAGTCAGTGGTCTGATCATCGAATCTGAGAATCAGCAACAACTTCTCGGAATTGATAGGGGCTCGAGGATGGAGAAACACGTCGGTAAATTTGCAGATGGCCTCCCTGATCTCAAACCCAGACTTGACCTTTGTGCTCGGCCTCGCGACCTGGATCATCAATGTCTGGTTGACGGTTTATCTCATCATCCGATCCAATGAGTCAGCTGATAAAACATCTGTTCAGGCTAGATCTTGATCTAGAAAGGCACTGGTTCGAGAGTTGAGCTTTTTCAGGAAAACTAGTCCATGGCTCGCTCGCTGTTCCCACCCATCGCATATGAGAAAAGACAGGCATCCCATTCAGCCATGTTTCGCCTACTATGGCAGCTCTATCGTGTATATATCGCTGGTGAGCATTTAACGAAGAAATAGCAATTCAGCCCTTTCATCTAGGTTCGATTCTTGTTCTGGTTCTGTTAATCTTAGTGGCTTTCACCAAATATTCCCTCTCATGGATGGCCATTGTTATTATGAAGGAGCCAATGCAGACAGGTACGGCTGGGCCCGATGCTCATACTGACTTGTCCATCATAGGCGCTACTAAATATGAGACTCAACACTTGGGAATGAAGGGCAAATAAACGACATCTAAAGTTGTTAGCTTGCCTTCCGTGTCGACAATGGAGAATCATCCTGTGAGCAGCCTGGAGGAGCTGTGGTGGGCGTGTAAGACCCAGAAAATGTGGCTACGCCGGCTTTCCTTTAGAAATAAACATGAGAACATCAATACGAGAACACCAACAACTTTTCGACTGTATAAACATCAACTGCAACTAAGACTGGCTAAATTTTGAACGGCGTGCTCTTGATAGTGCTTTGTTGTTTGACTCATTGCCTGCTGCCAGGTCAATTCTCAGTGGATTGCCACTGAACGGTGAAGTGCCTACTTATCACATGATTACGCAAGCTCGAGGTCGCGTTTGCTGGGCAGTGAGTTCAAGTGCCACGAAGATGTATTTCATTTTGCCATGCTCCAAAATACGCCTTGAGCATTGATGCGTATTTAACAGCAGGCTCCTGATAGGCTAGAATCTCGCAAGGTCGAGTTAAAAAGGCTTAGCGCCGCCCAGAGCGCCGGGCAAGGCGTTCTTCTCGTGGTCCAATGATTCAACTTTCATTTCCTAACTCCCTTGCCTTTTCGGGTGCAGGATATTTGCAGAGCATCCAAAACATACAAAGAGCACTCGTATTGCTGAAGTCGAACTCATCTGAGAAAGCAAGTTTATCATGGTAAATGCTGGGGCATCATACACCGCCAGGTGGATGTGGACCAGGGAAGATGTCAGGCTGAGCACAAGGCGGATACATTGATCGGTCCCTCTTCAGGACCATGGCCATTCCTTTTGCTCAAGAGTTTGCGAGATCTGTGGCTATACTTATTCGAGGGACTCTGTCTATAAGAACATGGCCTCCTGACCAGCGGCGAGCACATTTCTTGGTCAATCACAACTGCATACTCTAAAGCGCCTTGTTGATTGCAACAATTGCCCAAGCTGGCTGAATTCATACTTCCTCATTTCTGCTTTCCTCCGTACCACTCATTTCGCCAAAAGGCTGGTTTAGCATGTCCAAATATACTTCTGAATCCTCAGGGCGCAAGCCCGGCTCCAAGTCTGGCAGGCTCTTCCTCAGGCTCGGACAAAGGATCTATCACCCACTCGGCTTCAAGAAGGGATATAACTTTTTTCTCTTCGTCATCCTCGTTGGGGCCCTGATGGGCTTTGTACTCGCTCGCTTGCAGTACTTGAATATTGACGGCAAGTTGCTAAAGGTACGCATTCGTCAAAGATTTGGTGGACGCCTGTATCCCCTACCGACGCTGATGCCATGAATGACTTCAGAAAACAATCCCAGGCGACGCAGTCCATTATCAATCGGGATACAAGCGGATTGGGATTACTATCCACCTCGCCTGCATCCTTCCGGCGGGCTTCCTAGTCTGTTTTCAATTTGTGCCAATTATCAGACACAGGTTCCTTCTTTTCCATAGGCTGAATGGCTATACTGTCATTCTCCTGTTGTTGATTGGCAACGCAGGGGCCTGTATGGTCATTCCTATTGCCGCAGGAGGGTCACCATCTACTCAGGTTGCACTCGGAATCCTTGGGACAGCGACCACAGTCTCTGCTATTCTAGCATATATCAACATCAAGCGTCTTCAGATTGACCAACATCGGGCATGGATGATTCGCACCTGGGTGTATGCTGGTAGCATCATATCGCTTCGTCTCGTTCAGATGGCTGCCAACACTTTTATCGCCCAACACCAGAAGGGCCACTGGTACGACATCCAGACTTGCAGCAGTATCTGGAAGCAATGGACTCTATACTGAGCACCTGCTGGAGCGGGCAATCCCACGCCGTACCTATACCCTCAGTGTACTGCACCGAATTCTAGCGAACCGGTTATCGTTAAAGCAAATGTTAATGGTATTGGTCCTGAGGCAGCCACAGCTTCGTTCCACAACACCTTTGGCATGTCCTTATGGTTTTGTTTGACTATTCATGCCATCGCAGTGGAAATCTACTTGAACCTCTCACCAGCGGAGTCTGAGAGGTTGAGAATCATTAGCTATGAGAAGCAGCTTGAGGCTGGCTTTACAGTTCCCGAACAAGCACAATCGACCACCCACGAGAACAGAAATGCCATGGCGTGGAAACCTGTCAGTCAAAGTGAATCATGACAGAGTTCGAGCGAGTTAAAAGTCAATGGTCACTGAGAACCGGGAGATGGCCTTTTCCAAGATCGGAGACTACTCTGCACTCCTCCACCGTGCTAGAAATAGCATTGAAACATTGCAAATCATGAACACCTTGTGAACGAACTACGTAAGAAGAACCCTATAGTTGTGGAAATCTTGATGAAGAAATGGGAACACGGGAGACCATCTAGGCGGAGGGGAATGGTCGAAGGGGACGTTCGGTTCAGAGGCTGCCATATCTTGTTTTCTAGATGTCTCATCATTGGAGTTGGTATGCTATTAATAGTAAGGCTTCGGTTGAAGACTGCCTCGTCAAAAATCCGAGCAGGCAGCTGCATACTTACTCTAGCCTACTGTATGTCCACAGAAGCCCGGTCACATTTGATAAGAGGCTCTACTACATGTTAGGCAAAAGTACTGCAACCTCCCCCGATCGTATTCGGAACTTCCACATGCGGCCAGAAACCCTCAGAGGGCGCAGGTGATTTGCTATCGGTTTCAGCCAAGGAATCCAAATCTTGACCACTTCCTCTTTTTTTCAGGTTGATGAACTCAAATCCGCATTTAATGGAGGTGTAGAGATCGTCAAGTTGCGTCCTCCGGGAGCTTGCAGACGCCGACTACCCGATCCGCATGATAACAACATTACCAATAATCATATGCAAGTTTGTCTTTACGATGGTCTATGCTGGCCCCTCATTGGCATGCGCAACCTGTAAAAGGCGCCGAGTCAAATGTGATGGGACGCGGCCAGCTTGCAGAAACTGCAAAAAGAGGAGAGTGCCTTGTCCTGGTGTACCAGCTCCGCCTGGTATACGTTTCCACGATGAGACTGGAGCCATAATTCATTTATTCCACCAGTCTAGAAAGGAGGCCCCTCACGAAAATGACGAAAATGACGAATGGCCCGAGCCTGTACTTCCTAATATTGGCGAAGATGAAAATTTTACGTCGTTGTGCTTCTTCCATCACAACTACATGATGAGTGGGAGGGGAATTCAGTCTTCAAGAGGGTTATTTGAACACTTAATCCCGTATTTTCAATTGACCGATTCGGACTCACTGCTTTCGGTCGCTACAGCTGCTCTTGCAGCCACCATGCTATCGATGTGGCGTGGACTCGATCCTGATTCACTATTGTCAAGAAAGTATAATGCACGTGCGATCCTACTGCTGAAGGAGACGATTGGGACTTCGCCCGAGAACGAATCTGATATAGTGCTGATCGCAATCATCGCCTTGCAGTTTCGGGAGGCTCTGATTGCTCATCGGAAGATGCGCCAAGTAGATGGGAGTCATCAAAGAGGCGCGTATGCCGTGATCACCCATAGAAAAGCCAAGGGATTCCGTAGCCTGGCTTCCAAAAAGCTATTACAAGAGGTGCGGAATACCATGGTAACAGAGGCAATTCGAACTCATCAACCCGTCCATATCAATCCCGCCGTGTGGGAAGACGACGACCCTCAGCCAGCCAGCCCAACCAGCGATCTAGACAGGATTGCGATCGATCTTGCCAATCTGCAAGCTTTGCATGAACGATATAAAAGCACAGTGAAGGCTGGGTTTGTGAGTGGCCAGAGACTGTTAACTGGGAGAGACCTGAGCATCATAGCTTCTTTCAGAAGGGCAGCTACAACCCTTGACCAGCGTTTGCAGATCTGGGCCAGCTCGCAGCAATCTTACTTCGCCCCATGCCGAATGACAGCAGACGAGATACCAGAATGCGTCAAGAAGGCAGGCTTTTATGGCCACTACTGCAATGTCTATCCAACAGTTCAGCTTGCAGGCGTATGGCATACTTATAACTGCTACCGGCTGATTTTGCTCAAGATGACGCTGTGTGCTGACCAGACAGTCCAGGGCTCGCGAAGGGAAAATGATGTCTTGTTTAATGAGTCCCCGACATGGAGGAGGGCTGCGGAACAGACCCTACAGCATTGCGTTGATGAAATTTGCGCAGCAGTACCATTCCATCTTGGGAATCGGTTGGGAGCTGGCTCCATTCATGACTTTTCGAATACCCACAGTATCGAATATCCTTGGCCGGCACTGGGAAAGGATCCGTATTCAAACCCGACTCACCCAAAGGCTCTGGAATACGTGAGAGTGCACAATGTCATTCCCTTGAGTAGCGATGAGCGAAAGCGACAGAACATCGCCATGGGTGGGTACAATATCATTGGGCATATGGCTTTTGTGCTGGGACTGGCTGGAGAATCTCTTGATCTGACAGGCACCTGGAGCAATGCGCCGAAGCTTGGATCATTGCTTCGGCGGGATCAGATTCCATGGCTGGTTGGACAATGGCACAGAGCCATGAAGCTCCATCGTATGAAGATACCAGACAGGGTCGGGAAACGGTCTAACACTCTGGCGATATCCGAACTGTCTGCGAAGAAGGTTCAGGCTAGTGAGCTAGAGAAGGAGGTTATTGAAGTGAAGAAAGCAATGAAATACTCTTTTGGTGTTTAAATGTAAACCTGTTGTCGTCGGCCGCATCGCAAGGCTCTCGAGCTTTGTCAAGCCGACTTCCTGATACTGAGAGAACTTCTCAGGGAAAATTGCAGGGAAGTAAGTATCGAGAATTGAAGGCTGTGGGCATGTCCTAGAAGTCTTCCTATCATCTCCGAGGCGACAACAGTTCAGCTTGCTAACCCTTACGCTTGTCACTTCAAGCCTGCAACCGGAGCAAAGAGAAGTATCTACATAGCACTCTCGGCCAATTTGACCAGGTCACCCGCTGCTGTGCCGTGGCCGATTAGTCATCGTCTATTCCATATGCTACATTTAGTTAGGGCGCCCTCTAAATTAAATGTTCTTTGATACTCCGTACCAAGGTACTGTAGTTTAGTTGGTGGGCCGAGTGTTGGCCCCTTCCCGAGACGACAACCAACATTATTTAGCTTGGTTTGAAGTGCTTCTCACTCTCTTATCATTACTTTATTTAATCAGTCAGACAGTGAAACCTTTGTCGTTTGCAGGATAGGCCATGCATAAGTGTCTCGATCCGGCGCGGGCTGTGCTCTCTCGCATACGTGCACGGTTGGGATGATATGCCGCTCGAGACACTCGAAACTTGGCGACAGTCGAGTCCTTACTCAAGACTTAGGTACGCACAGCAAGTTAAAATCCCTAGGCCATTGCCCCCGTTCCCACAGTGAGTCGCCCTTGAATTTATTGTAGCGAGACTTATCGAAGGCAGATTCCCCCGAAGAGAAAACAGATTGACTACAGCCACCTGGCTACGGAATATGAAAGAGCCGGCTCTTCGACTGCCTCGTGCTTGAAGGAAAAAGGTTTCGATAGAGGACGGCTGATCCTATTTGGGATCCTGAAGTGGGCGAGAACGCATACTTCAGGTTGATTCCCTCTAGTCAAGTCCGAAATTACCCTGCTCTCTATGGCACTCTCTTGACTTAGACCTCTCACGCCAGATCTCAGGCTACATCAAGAGCAAAACACAACAACCTCCAGTTTTCTCATCAACCGGTCCCGATACCGGTGGCACCGCCAGGACTCCATTTTGAGCCAGCGGACAAATGCGGCCATTACATCAGCCTCGAGAACTGCAACATGGTGTTCCTGGAAATCGATCTGGAGGGAATCAGTGTCTCTCGGATGGACATAATCTCCTTGTCCTCTCGCACAACGAAAAATGCACCTCCCGTGGTGTTGCCATAAGTCACGCGCCACGATGGCAAATTGGTTGGAAGCAACGACTCCGGAAAACATCAGCTCAGCAACAAGCTCTTTACGCGCGAAGTTTGGTAGGGTGGAACTCCCTGACTTCCATCGCTAGGGAGAACCCTCCTCTTGCGGGGTCAGCCACTGGCTCCACCAAGATAGCAATAGTGCATCGAGAAGATGATGAGGTTCCTTGCCGGTCCAAGGCCGCGCATCTTGGAAGAGAGAACATGAAGCAGGATATGAGGAAGTCCCAACATCGATGGCGGCTGGCTCAGAGTCCGCGCCTGCCAGGCAGAATCGACCCGCCGGATCGAGTGCGCGAAATTGACATTGTCCTTCAACAGGCGTTCAATTGGACGCAAGGCAGCTTTTCCGCTTCATGGAATGCTCAAATCAACAAATACCCTTACATATTCGACATTGACAGGCGGGCCGAGGTGTTGAGGGACTCCTTCCTGATGGTCTCCGACCTCCTGGAACTAAGGCAGACACAACTGGCCTTCCGCGCATTGAATGATATCTTGGATACAATCCCACGATACTTCACCAATGCGCACCCTAGTCTTTTCCTTTGCTTGGTTGAACTATGCCTGGGTACCAGCATGCCCCAGGCGCCAGCGACCTTGCACAAGAAAGTCAAAGAGCACATGGCCGAGATCGCGCGGGTCGTGCTGGGCCCTACTCACCCTGTCTCGGTCTTGCTATCACTTCCCTTTCCCAGCGGGGACCAGCTCTACATCTCCGAGCTTGTCATCAAATGCTTAACGGACGCTATGGTCAAGATCTTCGGGGAGGACGGCTATATAACGCGCTTCTACGAGATCGCAGCAGCTCAAAACTTCGCACAGACCGGGCGGACCAGAGACGCTGAGTTCGTGCTCACCAAGTTGATCGGCCGACTGTCCCTGCAATTTGGGAGCGAGTCCGCTTTCTCAGGACACATGGAATTCGAACTGAGCAAATTACTTGAGCAATCGCCAAGTAGTAGTCCGCCCACCTTTTCTCCGACAACGATGCTGGAAGATAGCCCACATCCTTCATTTCTCAAAGTGGAGAGGGCGTTTGACGCGTACTTGCTGAGCCGTGCCTCGCAGCTCCAGCGACAATCGCCCGAGGCTGTCGAGTTGACAATCCCCGCCTGGCGGATAGACCTGGCGCGATATCTGTTCCACAGGAGGAGATATGCGCTCGCGCTGCATCTGTACGGCAGCGGGTGCTTTGAAGAGCTGTCGTTTTATAACCCGCAAGTGATCGATTCCGCGGATACATTGCTCGCGGATCGAGTCGCTGATACCATTCGATGTGCCTTTCTTCCAGAAGGGATGAACGGATCGGCTGCTCTTCCTGTCTGATGGAAGGCAACGATGTGAAACTGTGTACAACACTAAACTACTAGACCAGCTAACTTGAACTGTACGACGGCACATTGCGGGACTTCGGACTAGAAGAGAGCGAGAGACGTCGTTGGCAGACAAGATCCCAGGTTCTTTCCAGTCCTGCGAGCTGGATATTGACAACATTAAACGAAAAGGATCAGGTGTATGCCATTATGGCGAGGCGAAGGCAAAATTACAGGACGACTTACCTATCTAATCCTACATACTATATCGACCTTCTTTTTCCCCTGGTATCAGATCTTCTCTATCATTACATCATTTCACAGTTGGACTTGAGCAGCACGGCAGTCACGTAAGTTCTCGGTCCGACCAAAGCCTCAAGATGAGCAACTGCATTGAATAGCCCTCTGCAACCTTGGGACGTCACCGACATATCTCTTCTCAATCTCTTCATTCCACGCCCAGCTATCCTCAAAGGGGCTGAGTGTCATTTCCATCACGCCCTTGAGGATATCTCTTTCGCCCTTGTTTTCCACTCGGTCAATGATTTCATCGAGCAGCCAACCTCGAGGGACAAAGTTAGGATTTATGGCTTTCATCGCCCTTTCCCTTTCCTCATCCGCCGAGGGTTCGGTTCCCCAGTCTTCGATAATTCTCTCGCGCCAGGATTCAAGCCACTTTCCTAGCCTTTCGCGACCAGAGGCGTTGGTCTCGTTTAATCCAGTGACGCCTTCGTTATGGAAGAAGCGTTCGGCGGTGTCCTCACGTTTCTCTTTCGTGTTGACGTCGCCGAGCTTCACGAAGGAAAGGCGACGGAAGAAATGATTGAAGTCTAGCTCGAGAGCTTCCATAGTGTCCAAAAGCTCGGAGAATAGACTGTCAAAATCACTTTCTTTCTGAGTCTTCAATCCAAGGCGAAGTGTCATGAGGTCACGATACTCGCTGAGGAAAACGGCCTTGTATTCATCTGAGACTTGGTCGATGATTGTCTCGGCGCGTTTGATCAGGATGGGAGCAAAGTCTTCCTCGACTCCTTTCTCGACAAATATTTCATCATCAACGCGGTCTCCTGCGCCGAGAAGCTCTCCTAGAGCTTCACCTAGCCGGATCAAATTCCACCAGATGACACTAGGCTGTGCCCGGTAGCTATACCTGAGCATATGGTCGTCATGGTTGGGAGTGTAGGCGGGATCGAAGTTGTCCATGAATGCGAAAGGACCATAGTCAAGAGACAGACCCGCAATGGATGTGTTATCCGTGTTGAGAACCCCGTTCATGAAGCCATACGCTTGCCACATACCGACAATTTTGGCATTGCGGCGTGCGATCTCACGATACAGTCTAACAAACCGGTTTTCTTCAGCCCCTTCTTTCCCTTGCAGTTCCTCCTTGGGAACTCCTCTTGTTGGATTGAGGTGGGCATCTTTGTCGTCGGGCGTCAACACCCCCGGCAATTTTTCCCATCCACCAAAGACGTCCTCTGCAACGTAGGATGCGGTCTTCCGAACCAGGTCACGGTCGCCCCTAGAGCGCATAATATCAAAGGTACCGAATCTTATCCATGACTGGGCAAATCTGCAGACTATGGCCCCCGGTTCAAGACGCTCTCTCACAACTCGAGACTTAGGGGCCAAGGCCAATGAAAGGGCTCGGGTGGTTGGAATCCCAATAGCATTGAGGTATTCAGAGACAATGAATTCTCTAATGCTGGATCGCAGGACGGCTTTCCCATCAGCGAAGCGGGAATAAGGCGTTTTCCCGGCACCTTTGAGCTGCAATTCGTATCTGACATTCGTATTTGGATTCGTCGTCTCGAAAAGTGATATGGCACGGCCATCGCCTAATTGGCCAGCCCATTGCCCAAACTGAAAGCCACCATAGCACTGTGCCCAGGGATATATGCCACCATTTTCTTCATCCCAGTAGAATTTATTGCCAGCAACGACTTCTTTGAACTCTTCCGTCGCGGCCTCGGACTGCGCTAGCCCGATGTCTCTAAGAGCAGCTTTGCTGACTGCAAGCAATTCTGGTTCTTCGGTCGGTTCGGGCCTGACGTATGTATAGAGTGCGCCTCTCACCATGCGAGGACCCAACTTTTGCCTCGGGGCTTGGTGGGAGTCTTTCGGGGTAGGATATTGAGGGTCTGGAGGAAGCTTGGTGGTGAAGTTGTTTGACTTGGGTATATCACCGAGTGTAGAAGTCACCTCATTATAGCCATTGGACTTGACGCCGCCATTGGCATGGCCATTAGCAATGTGGGAGGACATTTGTGCCAGTCTCATCCGGGTAACGGGACGCGCAATATCTGAATGTCTTGGGGATGAGGGGGTTCGGTAGAGGCGAGAGAGCGAGCGAAGCAACATGCAGAAGGCGAATATAAGTACAGAGAGAGAAAAGGAACTGGACAGACCAGGAAGACTAGTATTTGGAGTGCTCATGATCTGCCATTATCGTCAACGAGCGTAGTAAGCCGTTCGGGTGTGGTGCGGGAAAACGGTGACGAAAGGAGCAAAAAGCGGCGGGGAACGTAAACGTCATTTCCTCGTCATCGCGCACGTGCTCGTCATACCTACCTGTTTCGGGGACAGCGGTGGCGCAGATTCAATCAAGACGCAATATGTACGGCAGAGTATTCAGAATATAAAACCATGCCACCCAAAAGCCCGTTGGGCTGTTCGTATCATTTGTATACCTGATTGAGGCATCAAAGCCCCCTGGAGGGGAAATTTAATGCCCATTACCCGATCGCCATCATCGTACCGGTTCATTGTCGTGGGCCAGCAACCTCGCGGATCCAAGAAGCAAACTCGCCCAAGTTTCTCGTCTGAAGGTACACGGTTCCTGGCCCGACGAAGCGACAGACGACGCCTTCTCCCGTTTTCATACTGGTCATCGCTCCACCACCTGCCTTTTCAATGCGGTATTCGGTGTTCCACGCGACTAGATGGCCATTGTCTACGATGTAATGCTCGCCAGGTTTGAGCTAATGTTGTTTGTGAGCTGTTTGCAAGAAAATGGTGTTTGTATTGGTATGGTATAGAACTTACATCAACCTTGTCAACGGCGCCATAGCTGGTCAACCAGACCAGACCCTGGCCCACCAGACGGTAAATGAAGAGGTCTTCTCCACTGAACAGCGCTTTTCCAAAGCCTTGGCTTTTGGTTTCCTTTTGCACGCCTTCGGTTGAAGCCAAATATGCGTCCTTGCCAATGAGCCATTGCGAGCTGGGGTCTAGTTGAAGAGTGACAATGTCACCGAATAGGGTTGGTGCGAGGGCTACTTTACCATGCCCGCCGTAGGCCGACTCGGCCATTTGACCACCGGTGAACATCTTCCGCATGCTGAAATTGATCTTGCCGGTGAGTTGGACGGTGCCGGCCATGTGGATCATAGATCCGGGTTTGGCTTTGATCGTACTTCCTTGTGCAATGTCAATGGAGAGCACAGCGTTGGTGTCGCGATGTGTTATGGAGTAGCTGCCTCCCGGGAAGGTACCATGGTCACCCTGGAAGCCGCCGTGACCTTGACCAGGAGCCGGCGGCAACGGTTGATTCTGGGCATGTTGCTGCTGCTGCTGCTGCTGCTGGGACCATTGGCCTTGCTGCTGTGGTGGTTGACCGTATTGTCCTTGTGTTGTCTGTTAGCTTGCCATGATACAAATTGGCTTGCTAATGGTTCATACCGGGTGGTTGGTTGTAGTTTTGCTGTTGTGGATATTGCTGGCCATAGGCTTGATTTGGATCATATGATTGGCCCTGATATGCCATGTTTGGATATCAATGATGTTGAGACTGCTGGTAAGGACACTTGAGGGTTGAAGGAGAACACCCGAGATCTGTGGGCACAGGAGTTTCGTATATAAAGGAGGGGGGAATACGATCTGGGCTGTGCTCCCTACTAACTTCCTCTTGCCAGGCTTCGACATGCAAGGTGGAGTCCTTGATGTCTGAGACTGTAGTATCATTCGCTGTGGGGGCGGTAGGAAGGCCAGGCCACCAATGGTCAGAGTTTCAAAGGGTTTGGGAATGCCGCCAGCTCGTCGATGAGATGCCCGTTGCCTCCTTGCCTTTGGCCAGCTGAACACTACATTTTGGGGGCCAACACTGCAATTCTCGTTCCCCTTGGCGCGGGGCATCAATGTCTGTGATCCTTTTCATCCTTCAACAGCGCTTTGACCAATCTGCGCGATACATTTGGCAGTAAAGTTTGGAGAACAGTCAGCTCCAACATTACACTTTGCAAGGCTAGGGCCACTGAATCAACAACTCTGGTAATCCTCCAGCGCTTAGTCAGACCTCAAGCTTATTATTGCAAGCTTACAGGACCTTGTAACCTTCAAACCGTCAAGCACAAGACATCCCTCGTAGGGCAAGTACTCAGACTGTTTCACATATGCCAGGTTAACAGCGTTCAGTCCTTTCACAATTCCAAGACCCTGAGAGTACCTTGGTGTTCGCTATATGAATCCCGGGTGTCTGAATTCTATTGCTTCATTGCCGACATCAAGTGAGTAATTCTAATGATCTACAAGGTATCTGGATGGTGTTGTGTGCTTAATGGCACCGGCATATGATGGACATCCCAGGGCTGAGCAAGAGCTATGATCATTCCGTTGGCCATCGCACTGGATGTAAACACTTCCCACCGCGAGACGTACCGAGCAGGAGTATCGGAGTTTTAGGTTATTTTGATTAGTCTTTACATATCCACCAGATTCAGCCTTTGGTTGAATCAAAGGAACATGGAAGTTCGGCCGCTAGAAGCAGCTTGTCCTAAGATAACAATATGCAAAGTACTATCTATCCATCTCAAAGCCGAGACTGATTCATTGTCGAAGCAACTGCGTCCCACAAACGGATACAGCCAGCGGCGATGCACAGCTTTCCCGTTTCGAGAACCCTCATCTGAAACAACACGAGGTCCTTTTCCTTCTCGTCCGCCCAGCTCTCTGTCCTGAGCGTCTTTCCTGGAACAACGACTCCGGCGAACCTTGCCTTGATGCTCCGATACGCCCCGTATCTTTCCAATAAAAGTTTGCCCGCAATGCCCAGAAAGCACACTCCATGGAGAATCGGAGTCTGGAACCCACCTTTGCGGCTGAACTCGGGGTCGATGTGCATTGCCATGGTGTCGCCTGTCAGCCTATACCATGCGGCTTGCTCTTCAGAGGTATGGAATTCATCCACCACGTCAGGATGACGACTTGGGATCCGATGCTGTCGAGACGGCGCCCCTAGATTGGCGCGTTCCCTGGCACCACCGAAGCCACCGGCACCGAGCATGAAGAATGAAACTTCATTGTAGAATAATTTTTTCCCTGTTGCAGAGTCGACTGTCGTGTAACCGGTGAGCGCGACGGCTGCGCTGCCTTTATCGAGGACGTCGATGAGGCTTCGCGTGGAGGTCAGATGCCCGGAAGTTGGAAGCTTGCGCTGGAAGAGTTCGAGATAAACTTCTCCCAGGAGAGATTGATCTGCTTTGAATTTTGGTAGGAACCTTCCATGGTGATAGATAACGTCAAGGCTGAAAAACGGTATCACTCCAAATGTTGGGAGTGGCTGGAATGATTTGGATTCTTCATATACCAGCGACAATTCACTCCTCTTAGCACCGATAGCAAGGTCTATTTGGAGGTCAGCGAAAAGAAATTGACCACCCTGTTGCTTTTAGTAGACTTACTGTAGAGTATGACATCCCGGCTCGTGAATTTGTATTCCACTCTCCATGAATCGGCCTTTTTGGCCTTCTCAATTAGTCCCAGTACATCAAAATTGGACCCTCCAGTATTTGTAGCCGAAGCTGTTGGGGAGGGATTTTGGACAATTTCAGTCCATGAATTCAACAATACTTCGGGAGAAATCTCCGAGGTTGAAGTAAAATCAATCATGTGAGAAGATCGAAGTCTCGTGCGAGCATGCCAGCCACAGCCACATTCGAAGAGCCCACCAGTTGTCTGATTCTGTTTGCCGTTTAGGGTGTCTGAACTCAAGAGCAGGACGATCGGGACGATGTACTCGGGTTTGAAGATCCGTTGCTTGTTCTTCTCGTTTGTCCCAGAAAGCGCCTGTGCTAGCCCTCCGGTACTGGCAATTGGGGCAATGGTGTTAACCCTGATGTTGTGTTTCAGGCCTTCACGAGCGGTAGCTTCAGAGAGACCCAAGATCCCAAGTTTCAGTATCTGAAGTCAGAAATATTCCAACTGACTTAAGTTTGGGGGTTGTACTCACAGCGGCTGAATAGTTCGACTGTCCAAAGTTGCCATATATCCCACTAGTGCTTGTTGTATTTATCACGCAGCCTTGTCCTTGCCTTAAGAACTGTGGCCACGCTGCTTTGGTCATGTGGTAGGTGGCGTTAAGATGTACATTCAGAACCGCGTCCCAAAAGCTTTCATTCATCTTCGTGAACGACTTGTCTCGCACGAACCCAGCATTGTTGACAAGTATGTCGATCCTGCCATATATGGCCACTGCTCTGTCAACGATCTGCTGGCCATGTTCGACAGAATCAATCACAGCAGTTGCTTGACCACCATCGTGTCGAATTTCATTAACTACAGCTTTCGGGTCTGCCCGGTCATTGACGATGACACAGGCCCCAAGTTTGGCGAATGCGATTGCATAGCATCGACCGAGTCTGGAAAGAGCAATAAGTATCATAATCCAAGTTCGTTTAACAAAGATCATACACCCGTCGACGTATTTGGCGAAGACATAGACTTACCCAGATGCGCCGCCTGTCACGAGCACGACCCGCCCATTGAAATCAGGATCCCGTGCCACTTTATTTGCAGGTAATTCTTGTGTGAGAGCTAGCATCCTGCCAAAGTCCATGGCGGCTGTAGAAAACTCCTTTTTCGAGAATTCATCGAGACCCTGCCACTGTGTTTCCAGTGCCCCTGCCGTAAAGTTTGTATCTGGATTGAGCAGGATCCCTTCCCCCCGCTCCCAACGAAGTCTTGAGACGCCTGTTTCCTTTACTTCATACAGAGAGCCCGCTATGTCTTGGTTTGAATTATGAGCCAACCTTCCAACGAGTGATGCGACGATCTTAGGCTGAGCCTTGGATAGATTCAGCAGTTGATGACCAGTAACATAGTGAGGCGCTGGAAAACGATCAATTAGCGCAATGGAACGACAGGGGCGCGGCCCGCGAACCTTGTTTTGAAACCACGTTGACGGATGATATTGTACTTCACGCCTTCTCGAGCTAGAGTCTGCGCAAAGCCAAACAATGCGAACCGTGTGGCTCGAATTAATGGTCAGTCAATTGGTAGTTCGATATTTAATTTTCAGCACACCATACCAGGCTCAGCAACACAAAAAGTGGGACTGTCAGGACTTTCAAAGATAACTCTTCCATAACCATTGTTGCGGAAGAGTGGCCATACTGCTTTCGTACACTAGCACAGTTAATCAATAGCCAGTTGAAAAGATGAGGGTTCTGAATATACCTTGAAAGCCCCTTTCAGCACAGCCTCGGAGCTCGAGTTCCATGCGGTTGAGCTCCAGAACCCATCTGAAGGCTTCGGAGCGTCGAAGGTAGCATTGTGGACCAGAATATGTACAGTTCCATACTTCTTGATGACGGCTGTTACTATTTTGTCTGCATCCCATGGTGCCTCTCGAGTCTCCAGGCCTGGGCCTGTATCATAGCCCAATGTCAATGTTGCTAAATCGAGATCCTAGACTGAATATGAGCACGTAGAAGACGCAAAACACGGCAACATGACATACCTGCTGCAAAGTACTGGATTTTGAACCGGGGGGAATATTGAGAATCACGTTGGCCCCATGAGCCTTGAAGAAGGATTCATATGAATGGCCAGTCGGAGTGCTCCCGTCAGTGACGATGACCACCTTACCTTCGTAATTCAGTGGATGCATGGTAGGTGAAACGACGAGCTCGTACCACCAGATATTGAATTCTAGGTTGATCAACCCTTTTCGAGATGGTAGGTGGTAGTCCAGCCTTATGCTTTAGGTTGCAGCCAAGATGCAGCACCCGTGAGAGAACCGCGGTACGCAGGGATACAATGCCTTGGTTGACACCCTGGCAATGGGATTACTCATGCCGGCGCTTAGCATGTTAAGGAGACCTCACAGGCCTTTAACGCAGAGATCCTAGTGTGTATTCGACGAAAGAATTTGACCAACCATGTGTTTAGTCATACCAAAACTACCGAAGGCACTATCCTTGATTTCACGCTCTGGGTACAACGTTCCGTAATTTGCAGGATACGCCCATCGGATGGATTGTGTACCTGATAGATTGGCATGATGAAGAGGGGCAGGCTCTCGTACATGGCTCGGAGATGGCTGGGCTCTGCTAATGCAAACATGTGGGAACAGCACCCTTGCCCTTGTATTTTGCCACAGCTTCATTGCGACGCCGTAATGTTTGATACACATTCTTTTCTCGCCGCAGAGCAAGAGAAGCATTGAGAGAGTCGGCAAGAAAGAACAAGGCTCAGCTCCTAGGCTTGGCAGTGAGGAGGATCTCCGTCCTGTTAATAAGTTAGCCGCGGGGTGCCGCTTTTATATATGCTTCCGACCCGTGGATCTCGGCTGAGCGAACGGGTGGTACCGTCATCCGTTCAACGGAAATGATGCCTGTTCACTCACGGTTGACGGCAGTGAGGCGCCTGAAGCGCAAACCTCGAACAGCTGATATGAACAAATCACGGATCTGGGAAGAGCACGAAACGAGATAAAAATCATTTGATTCGAGGCGACGGTCGACGCTTGATATGTCCAGATAGTGTTCATATGCCAGCGAAGCTGCACTCTGCCTTTCGTTCCTGCCTATGGTTCGTGTCTCGCAGATAACAATAACAGCATCGTCAGTTGTTTGTACATATCAACCATGCCTGCTGTAGGAAGACCAGTGTATATCCTTGGGGTTGGCATGACCAAATTTGCCAAACCCCAAGCGAAGAATGACTATGTGGACATGGGCTTCGAGGCCGGGATCAAGGCCCTGCTTGATGCCCATATAACATACGACGACGTTGAGCAAGGCGTAGCATCATATTGCTACGGTGACAGCACATGCGGGCAGCGAGTCTTTTATCAATTTGGCATGACTCAAATCCCGATATATAATGTCAACAATAACTGTGCGTCTGGATCAACAGCTATGGTCATGGCTCGCGACGCGGTCCGATACGGTGCTGCTGATTGTGTGTTGGCGGTTGGATTCGAGAAGATGGCCGCTGGAAGTCTAGGGTCAAAGTTCAACGATCGGACAGACCCGCTTGACAGGGCTGCCGCGATGTCAAGAGCTCTGAGCCCTGCAAATTCGACTGCACCTTTCGCTGCTCAGCTTTTTGGGAATGCGGCCGATGAATATATAAACAAGTTTGGCGCATCTCCGAAGGATTTTGCTGAGATTGCTAGAGTCAATCATGAGCACTCTCAACGCAATCCTTACGCACAATTCCGGACTGAGTATTCGGAAGAACAGGTTCTCGGGTCACCCAATATCTTTGGTGTTTTGACAAAACTGCAGTGCTGTCCCACAAGTGACGGGGCGGCAGCAGCAGTAGTTGTCTCTCAGTCCTTCCTCGATGCTCGACCGCATTTGAAACCCCAAGCAGTGGAAATCACAGGTCAGTCACTGGCCACCGACAGCCCTGCATTATACGGAAATTCTGCTCTGAGTCTGGTTGGTTATGAGCTGGTTCGGCACACTGCGAAGCAAGCTTTTAGCCAAGCGCGAACGAATGCACGAGAAGTAAAGGTCGTTGAACTGCATGATTGTTTCTCAACAAACGAAATGCTTGTGATTGATTCCTTGGGCCTTAGTCCGCGTGGCAAGGCACACGAGTACGTGCGTGATGGCTCCATCACGTACGGCACTGGGCATGCTCTCGTGAATCCGTCTGGAGGTCTCATATCCAAAGGTCACCCACTCGGCGCGACAGGTATAGCACAGTGTGCTGAGCTTGTTTGGCACTTAAGAGGCTGGGCAAATAACCGACTAGTTAATGTTCCGGCAGGGAAGGTGGCATTGCAGCAGAATGCTGGACTTGGAGGTGCATGTGTTGTCACTATTCTGCGTCGTGCGGATGGCCAAGGGAACGAGAAGGTCACAGATGCAGAGGTCGGGAAGCTGACAGGATTAGGCTATAATCCAGCTGTTGAGGCACGTGGATTCACAGTCAAGCAGGCGGACAGTGTTCGTTCTCGTAGCCGGCATGACTGGGCACTGGGGAAGGGCAAGGGATATGGACAGGCTCGAGTTTAGTTAGATAGGCATGATAGTCGACTGACGACGTAGAATATTCCGTTTCTAGAGGCATGAAGCGGTCTAAATACTGTCAATATACCTAGCTTCAGTGAGGAATGGTGACATATATTTGATAAGGGCAATGTGTGGATGTGCAGTGAGACAAACTCGCCAAGTGAATGCCAAGAACGCAACAAACATCTCTTGGCTCTCTCAGCAAATCCCTATATCTTCTTGCTTCGCCCCTCAATTCTTCTGTCTTCTTTCTTCATACTTGTTCGTCCCCCCTCCAGCGCTCAATGAACTGTCAAACGGCTAATGTGACTGCAGACCTTGTGGGAGCGACCCAGATCAAGAAGTGGGTTTGCTATAGCGGTGTCCCTGCATTGCACAGCGCGGTGGAGGTCGCTATTAAGTGTCCTTCGGGGCTCTTATCCGCGTATTTTTTGGCCCTGAATACTTTTTTCATCATGGCCTCTGCTTTGAGCAGGGCTATGGAGAAGAACCAGCGTACCGCCGTTGTCAGGTCATCCCGCATTACTAGACGTGCCTATACCAATGATTTATGATGGTGGAGTGAGGCACTACTGAGGTGTAGAGGAGACAGTAGTGTGGGAGGGAGTGCAGCTTTCAACTATACCATCTCTATGTACATGCTGTAATGAGTTAGCATAGGGATGCATCAAGGGTGTGTAGTGTTGTAAAAAGGAAAGTGCATGAACCACGAGACACATTCGATGGACACTTCTAGTTACATACGAGTAAGAGTAGCTCCCTGGTAGAAGTGAGATAGAGACTGCACAGTATCATAGCCACATTCACTAAGGTTCAGGATACAGGCTGACAACGGGCCGCCCCTACAAAGTCCGATCGTCATCCCAAACGTTGGTACCTGCGTCGACTTTGCACTTCAATCACATCAAACACCATTCAGCTTCCATCCGGAGAATTGTCAAGAGGCCATCATCACCCCACCCGTACTCGCTGGCAAGGTCAGGCATGTTCTGCCAGATGCGTGAAGCAGCCTATCCCAGCCATGGCCTCTTGTGGTGGGCCTTTAATATTCCGCGACGTGTCTTTCGAAGCTCCACACCGTGTTTTTTGTTTGCTGCCCGACACCGCTACCGATGCAATCGGTAAAGAGGAACATTGTCATGACTGGTCTCTATGAAAATCCCGAGCATCACCAGACCAGAGCTCAAGAACAAAAGCGTATAGTATATATTTCTTTCTCCCGTGAGAAGCCGCGTCTCGAGACACGCATAATTTCTTTCTTACCCATCCTGTTCGCTTAATCCCAGTTTCCCCACCGCCTCAAAACAATCTCAGCGTCACCGCAAGTTGAGCTTCCCAGAATTGTATTTTATTGTCGTCTTCATCCGTGCTCGGTAAACAAAGTCTCACAGTCACACCACAACATGGCCTCAGAAAAGCGTCTTCGTCGCATATCACAATCCAAACCCCGTTCTCCTACCGGTCCGAAACGTTCCACCAGCCTGCGCCGTGCTTACAACTACTTTTTCCATCCAGAGACAGATCCAAGCCCCAGCAAGACTGTCCCCCAAAAGCAACCTGAGCAAAAAAGCCCTCCTCCAGAGGCTCCCAAGCCGCCACAGACGCCTGCGGCCCAAATTGAGAGTCTTCAGAAAGAACTACAACAATGTCAGAAAGAATTGGAGGAGGCTCGGGAAATGCTATTGTCCCAGGACCAGGAGCTCAACCGCCAGGAAGAGATCCGGCAAAAACGAGAAGAAGAATACAAAGCCAAAGAGGATGGTCTGAAGCAGAGAAAAGCAACGTTGGAGGAGAACATGGTGACGGTAGTTGTGCAACAGATAAAAGATGCACGCAAGGCCGAGCGAGAAGCAGTCAGAGAAGAACTCACCCGTGAACACCAAATCAGCACCGATGGCATCCATCACAAATACAAATCAAGAGTTGCTATCCTGACGCAAGAGCTCCATGATGCGAGAGCCGGGAATGAGTTTCTGAAAGCTGATTATGAGTCTCAGATCTCCAGTCTTCGCGCTGAAACAGCATCCAAGTCGAATGATCTTGAAGCTGCGAAAGAGGCACTGGCTGAGACCACCGAAAGTCTGAAGAATGTCCAGCAAGTCTCGACACAAGCTCTTCAGCAATCCGAGCAGGCTACATCCTCGCTTAGGGCTGAACTTGAAAGCCGCATCGCAGCCCTCACCATGGATCTGTCAGGCGCCCGGTCAGGCCTTGAAGCTGCCGAACTGAACGTTGATGGCCACGTCAAGCGTTATGCTGAGCTACAAACCTCCTCGGCTAAGGCGCTCGAAGAAGCAAATCAATCTCTAACATCTACAAGAGACCAGCTACAGGCTCAAATTGAATCTCAACGGGAAGAAATCTCTCGCGCGAAGGAATCTCTGCACGCCGCTACTCTCAAGGATGAGGCTGAGCTCTCGAGCCGGAAGGTGCTCGAGGGCGACCTAGCATCTGCGAACAATAAAATTGCTGAACTCACTACGAGTCTAGATGGCTTCTCCGAATCTAAGGAAGCGCTTGCCCAGTCTGAGGCCAAGATTGCAGATCTCACAAAGCAACTAGAAGACTATTCGGATGTCAAGGTCGCCCTCGACGCCTCTGTAGTAAAAGTTGCTGAGCTGAACACGGAACTGGACACTGCTAAATCCTACAAGCAAGATCTTGAAGCATCAAACGCCAAGATCGTAGAGTTGACAGCAGAGCTTGAGAGCTCAGCAGGTGTCAAAACTGCTCTAGAGACTGCCGAAGCTAGAATCAACGAACTTCAGATGGAATTAGAACCATATGCACAACTCAAGCTCGACATGGAAACCGAAAGGGAGCGTTCAGCGACCCTCTCCAAAGACATCGATGGCCATCTTGCCGCCATTGCAGAACTCCAACAAACACTCCAGGATGCAGAAGTTCGTGCGACAGAATCACAGGAAAATCACCAATCCCTCACAAAGGAGCTTGAAACCACGAAAGCGGACCTAACAAGTGAGCTGTCAAATCATGCCGCCACCAGGGACATGCACGAGAAAGTCAAAGCTGCAATGGCTGCGATGGAAGAGGCGAAATCTTCTGCCGAAGAGAAGGTCGCAGTTCTCCAGGGAAGCAATGAGAAGCTTGCCACGGACCTAACGGCAGCTCAAGAGCTCGTCAGAGCCGCAGAAGCCGATTCGACCACTTCTCAAGCCGACAAGGACCACCTAGTTGAAGAAGTGGCCGCGATCACTGCTGCGAAGACCGCACTGGAGACACAATTGTCAGGCACAGAGGCAGAAAAAGTAAAGCTGGCTGATGCCGCCAACGCTGCAGAAGCAGAGCTCGCAAAGCTTAAAGAAGAGTTTGCTGCATTGAATGCATCGAGTGAATCAACAACCGAACAATCCAACGTGCTCCATGCCCAAAATGCCACACTGAGTGAAGAGGTGGAAGCCTTGAAGAGCCAAATTGCCGAGCTAACAGCCTCGACTCAAGCTGCTACAGCTGCGAAGGAAGTGGCAGAGCAACAAGTCACAGCTATTGAGTCTGAGAAGACCAAATTGGGTGAAGAGCTGGAGGCCATCAAAACAACACACGGAACCTCAGAAGCTACCATCGGCTCTCTAGAGGCGGACAAGTCGAAACTTGCCGCAGACCTCGAGGCCGCTAATAGTGCTAGAACTCATGCAGAGTCGCAAATCAAATCACTGCAAGACGAGGTTGAGGCTGTTAGAACTGATCTTGGAAAGCAATTACTTGCTGCCCAGGCCACAGGATCATCCGGTCAAGAGGCCCTAGAAAAGGCAAATGCGTCCATGGCCGACCTGGAGAGCAAGCTCGCGGCAGCAGAATCATCCCACAAGCTGGCGATCGCAGAATTGGAAGCTTCACAAACAGACTTACAGAGTCTCAAATCGGACCTTGAAGGGCAGCTTTCTGAGGCACAAAACGTGCAGAAAGAAGCAGTCTCTGCTCTTGCGGCGGCCCGGGAAAGCGGAAATGAAAAGGAGCGTGCTCTGGAGGAGCAGTTGTCTACTGCACAAGCTGCACAAGTAACAGCTGAAGAAGCTTTGAGCAAGCTCCAAGACACAGCCAAGTCATCCACGGCTGATGCCGAGCTGAAGCTCGCTGAAGCTGAATCTGCACATCAAGCAACGGTGAACGAGTTGACGGCGGCTCGAGACGATGCTAAGGCCCTGGTTGTCACACTAGAGCAACAACTTGTGGAGTCAAAAGCTTCAATGGAGGCCAACGCCGGTCTTGAAGCAAAACTTGCCCAAGCGGAAGAATTAAAGGCTCAGGCAGAGAGCAGTCTCAAAGAGCTGGAAGTCTCAAAGGCTGAGCTTGAGGCAAAAGTTGCAGAGTTGAATGCGGCAGTCGATGAAAAAGCTAAGGTGGAGATTCAGCTAAAGGATGTTGAAACGAAGCTGGAAGCGTCGCTTGCCGAGCAGACTGCTTCCCAAACGAAGACAAAGGAACTTCAAGACGAAATCGAGTCATTCAAAGCTAGCCAACAGACCAGCGATAGCACCGCATTGGACCTTGAAGCCAAAACTAAAGAAATCGAAGTCCTTGCGGCGAGTAAAACAACCGCTGAATCCGGTTTGAAAGAAGCTGAATCAAAGCTCGCGGCACTACAGACAGAGTTTGACTCGCTGAAAGCATCAACCTCAGCGACAAATAAAGCCGCCGAAGATCTCGCCGCCAAGGAAGAACAGCTGAAAAGTCAGACCCAAGAACTCGAGACGCTGAAGACTGAACTAGCAGCCAGAGCTACTGAAGTCGAGGAGTTGAAAGCCAGCCTGGAGTCTGCCAAGTCTGAGCTCCCACAATCGCCCACCTCTCCACAAACTGCGGATGAGGAGGACGACAAGGCGTCAACCGTCGCGGTTGTCAGCGCTGGCGGCAGTGGAAAGAAAAACAAGAAGAAGAACAGAAAGTCCGGTGGGCAGAAGGATCTGGTCATTCCTGAAACCGAGACCGTTGCAGGGTCTGCAGAGGATGACAAATCCGAAGCCACCGTTAAGACTGAGGAGGTGGAAGCAAGCCCAGTCGCCGCGGCAGAATGAACTTCAAATGGACACGACGACCTACGGCGTGGATATACTTCTATCCTCCTCTGCGAAAGGAAACGGACGACAGACGCAGGAACGACTCATACATGTGGCATGTATGTGCTGACTAACGAGAATGACCTTGACGGATAATGGGCCGACTGACGGCTGATGGAGCGCAACACGCAAGTTGGACATAGATTCTGTTTTCCCCTTTTTCTCCAGAGCATCTTTTTCGAGCAAGCGGCATAGCGTAATTATCGTCGTCCTCGTTGGCATCATGGCGTGAGCCTGTCTGTGTGCGCACACTTTGTGCGTCTGCGGTTGTTTATTGGATCAATGGATTAGTTTAGTAGCAGTGGGCTCCTGAAATTTGGAGCCATTCACTTTCGTCGTTTCCCTCATGAATCACGATCATGTAGTACGGGTAAGATACATAGGATTCTAAAATATATGTACTCTGCTGCTCTGAGATAGACTCGAACACGAGTCCTTCCATTGTATATATATACTCGCAGAAGCGGAGGGAACGCATCACTTCATTTGCAATAACTGTTGTTCCAGTGAAGTTGGAAGCTGGGAGGGAGCCCTGGAGTAAGGGTTGCGTCTTAGCAGGAGGGAGGCGGGAGGAGAAGGATTGATAGTGCCTGATGCTTGATGACCATGAGTGCCATCCGGAGAGGTGCGGGTACTATTGACCTGGACCCCATTCCAACGATCATAGAGCACCTTACTAAGTCCGGTATCGCAGCACACAGCAGCCAACCATTGGATGATATATCTTCATTTCAAGGCCTCAGGCGAGTTTGCCGTCACTAACTTAAGTACTTAGGGGTGCTTAGGATCTCAGGCCTATTAGCTTAGCCTCTAACTAGCACATTAGATGGTTAGAACTTCATGTCAAATCTCGGCATTTCCATTTCTCATTGGGCTTCCCCCCACAGCCACCACCGTAGGCATATATTGAGTCATACTCCTGGTTCAACTGACTCAGTTGTCTCTTGATAACTTCAACGCTGTTCTGCCGCTGATAGCGACATCCACGTAAGCAGTCCCGTCCTTGGACGCAGTGATTGGCTGTTGACCGAGGCGATACGCGGCTCCAGGCCTCAGCCTAGTAAAGCCAAGCCTGAAAGTCCCAGACTCCTTGCCATTGTAGAAGACGAGATCGAGACCCTCCCCGTCGTGCGAGTAGGCCTTGGCAACCAGGACCTCGGGGAAAGGTGCTTCATCCAAGATCGGGCCACGTAGGACCTGCTTCTCTGGGCCCTTTTGGATCATCTTCGTCCAGTCCTGGTATCCACCAATTCGGCCGCGTAGCGCAGTGCCCTGCTCGATGGTTGAGACGCCTTTATTTTTCAGCGCGCCTGTGCGAGTGGTGAAGACGGGGTGGTATTCCTCGTCGAGCTGCTTGAGTAGATCAGTACGGATCTTCTCGTCGCCGAATTCGGCCGCCGCGGCCGCGAAGATCGCGCGGATGACGCCCTCGCCGGATTTATAGTTGCCGGGATCGAGCTTGTCGGCGCCAACGAGGTTCAGCATTTCCAATTTTCCATCCTTGTTGTATGTGATCGTGTCCTTTTTGGTGAAAGCCCAGTTTCGATGAGCGATGTGAGGGAGATATGCTGAGCATAGGATGGCGTTGACACCATCGGCTAGAGCACCGGCAAGGCCAGGTAGAGTGAAACCGGTCAGCTCGCTCCGGATGGGGAGGATGCTGCCGTCAGGGGTGGTGAACTCGGTCTCCAGCGCGTGCTCGAATCTCTGCTTGAGCCTCTCGCCAAAATTGTTGCCGAGTAATCTGTCCGTCAGCACCAGTCCACCCGTGCCGACGAGGTTGCACATTGTGTAGAGCCAGTTCGGCTCGCAAGGATATAGACACCATGGGTTTTCATCCATGTTGCGGTGAACTGCTACGGCGAGGCCTTGGAGATCGTACTTGTACTTGTTGTTCTTGTCGACCACAAACTCCAAGCAATCCTTTTTGGTATACCTGTCATCGCCTGTGTTGGATTGATAGATGCCAATGGCTTGGAGGATATATCCAGCCACCATCTGTCCCATGGTTAGCATTTTGAACAATCACACGACCATGTCTCTTACTATATTGTCTTTCTTGATCGGATCCCAGTCGTGGGCGTTGAACTTGCCAGCCATTGATTCATACTTCCAGAAACTAAAGACATGTCCATCAGTGTGTTGATCAAGAAGAGTATCGTAAAGTCATGCTTTACCTCACGACTTTCTCAGTCAAACTCTTCTCAATGACGTTTCGTTGAGCTTGGGACAGATAACCATGAAAGTTTGGTGCGAAAATGTACTGATACATTCCGAGGTCGGAAACAGTCTCATACAACTGGTAACGAATTGCCGAAGTTTGGAATTGGTCTATGATATCGTGATATGACCAATCGTCCTTATCAGTGAGGCCGAGTTCGATGAACCATTGCGTGAAGCGTAGGGTACGCTCGTCCATCTCACGAGAGCCTGGTTTGGGCTCCTTAGCGATTGACTGGTTCTCAGCAACTGCACTGACGAGATAATCGTTGCGAACCGCTCGCTTCTTCCGCATCTCTGCATTGGCACTTTGTGTAGCGTAAGTGATGTAGGCAATACCAATTATGCAAATGGCTGTCCATATTGGACCTGCCAGCTCGAGCACGGAGTCACGGGCGAGGAATGCAGCCAGTAACGATGTCCCAGTCCACAGAAAGATGGGAGCAACAACACCTCCCATACCTATACCACGTGTCAGGATAGTAATTCAGCGGGTGGGATCTAGTCTCGGAGAGCTTACCAAACCATATGAAAATGGAAAGAGGAATCAACGGCATAGACACCGCAAAAGCGATCAGTGATGGCAATGTACAGACAGCAACGAGTCCAGCTCCTGGGAAAAGGAACCCAAGGCCTGCAGCTCGTAATGCAGGAGATTCGGCTTTGTAGAAGGCTGCGAGTCCAGTGGCGAAGAGACCAGCATATTGGAGCAGAGTCCGTCGCTGGTAATGCCATTTCGTCAATCCAGTGCCTGCATTTTCCGGAACTAGAACATCTGAGATGGATTTGACGTTAGCATTTGGCTCAAGAACAATAAGACAAGAAAGCCTTAGAGGCTGACAATGTACCATTCAGGTTGAAATCTCCAACAAGTGATTTCCCACTTGTTTTCTTCTCTTGAGTAGTTTGGGTGATAGTCTATGGCAGAAATGTAAGGCCCTCTCCGATTTGTAAACATATTTGATACTCACTGTTGTCGCCATAATGATCCAGCGATCCTTCAGACAATTTCGGATGGTTGCAAAAAATGAGGATGGAACGCTGTGAAGGAAGCAGAAATCATCTTCAATTCAATCCGAGAATATAGATCTTCATGGGGGCTCCTCTCCATGGCCGATTCTAGGCGACTGCTGGCACCCCAGACCCCGGAGATCAGGGACATTACTGTAGAACCCCACAAGAATGTTAAGGATACCCTTCTCGGGAGGTCCAAGACAGCCAATCGCAAATGAGACCATCAAGGAGATTCGCGTCTCCACATCTCATCAAGTGTCAGAAGTTTAGAGTCGAAGGACAAGCCATGACACGATTCATGAATTTCGAGTCGAGAAAACGGGGTAGAGACAAAGTTTGACGGAAGTGTTCAAGCGCCCTTTTCCACTTTCCCATGATTGGCTTCTTCCTAACGCCACTTGGAACGAATCATCTTTCCCTCGGTTAACCTCAACCCACAGATTTTTGCCACGAGGGCCTGGGCACTTTCTTACGCGTTCGGCGTAGGGGCTTGATCTTGGTAGTTTATCGAGCCGTAGCCCAGCTGGATCTTTGATATTGTACAGGTACTCCAGCTTCATGACTCGTCCACCAGGACTATGACCTCCTCGAACTCAAAGATCCGATGGAGGAAGTATCTACTATCTCATGCACCCCCACCACTTAGATGCAGGGCTCCAATTCGAACCACGCTGTCGGTTGCCGAGTCGGCACTCTTTGGCTTTGACGCAATTCGCAAGTAACTGTCAAAAATGCAGTCTCAGCTGTCGACGACTAGTCCCGAAGATTCGGAGCATCGGCAGAGATCGAAGCGCCCTCGGCTGACGGCCTCTCAGCTTGAACGCAAGAGAGAGCTAGACCGAGATGCTCAACGTTTGATCCGCGCTAAGACCAAAAGCCGTATTGCACATCTAGAGAGCCTTGTGAGTATCTTACAGGCTCCGGAGGCAACCAATACCAAAACATCTGAGCTTATTGCTCAAGTCAACAGCCAGAAGCAAGAGATCGACAAATTACGCGATGCACTAGCTGGGATCTCGAGGATTGTCAGTTCCGCTGGGACTCTTACTATCATACCACCAATTTCAGCTACCCTCGAGAACATACTTCCTCCAGATCCTCTACAGCAGAGCCTAGGAGAACCACGCTCATTTACTGCGGATGAGCTGAGCGGAGGACTCCAGGGGCCACCTCCTTCAGAAATCCCTGAGGGTGTTAATAATGTGCGAGCCTACCTACGAGATGAAATATCGAATTTACGACAGCCTGATAGAAGAGTCATATCAGAGACTGTTTCTCTTAGCTTCGACAATGGTACCTCAAGTTCACCTGAAGATTTCGGTTTAGGAAGAAGCCAACCGTTAATTGACAGCGAGAACGGGAGGAAAGTGCAATTTTTCAAGCGGGGAACGCGACAAAAGTCTGGAAGCAGAGGCTGCGTTAGTCAAATTGCGAATGAAATCCTTCAGAAATCCTCTCTAGACGGGAGATTATGGTATCTTGCGGGCAGTATACTGGCTTCTATCCTGGAAGCTCCTGACCAGCAGTTGACCCCGTCTAAATATAGCGAAGACATCGCGGTTCGAGCCGTGCTACATGGCTGGTCAACTCCTGCATCTCGGTACAACCTCGATGCTGGCTGGCAGTGGCTACGACATCTTGACGAAGCCCTGTACTCATCGCTTGGGATACCTGAGAGACTGGCAATTTTGCGAATAATGAGACTGCAATATCTGGTATCCAGCCTGCGAGACAGCCAAGATTAAACCACTAACAGATCGGGCAGGCACAAGTTCATCCAGAGACCAAACACCTTCTGCCACTCCCTGATTATCTGAAAGCAAGGTACGGAAGAATTACACAGCCTATCTAATTTTCTAATCTATGTGTAGACCGGCCCAACTCCATGTTGACCACGACCCACTGGTCGAACACTTCGTCTGGTACGTTCATAAAGAAAACCCTTGTCTTCCTTCATACTGACCTACTCAAATAGGCCTGGTGTTCGAGAACACATCCTTTTCAGTCCCAGAAAGTACGCCACGAATAAATTCATGGATGAGTTTCGAGAGCAGTCCAAATTTGTGTGGCCGTTTGAACCAGAAAATACATTCATGCGTAACACCATGACCGGGTTATATTCCTACTCACCAGCGTTCATCGAGCGGCAGAAGGATCTACGCTGTTGGACTATGCGATCTGACTTCTTTGAAAAATTCCCCGAACTCAGGACAGATATTCCAGCTTTTAACCCGCCTCTCCTAAACACGGGCATGCGACTTTCACTTCCATCACCAAGCGTGCGTGACAATAGTGACAACATAGTCAATAATGCCTCAGCCTTACCACAAGGTGAAGATGACATGGATGGCATAGACTACCCATTTGGGACAATCCCTGTCACTGGGCAGGCCAATCCTTTAGAGATCGCGGATACTCCAGAATGGGCACCAGCACTTGTTTGAGACTTTCTTGGTTTCGTCTGTAGAATCTAATAGGGCGGTCCATATAGAGTCAACTGCATGCATTGAATCTCATAAGCAACTATCATTTCCGAAGCTAATGCGAAGCGAGTTCTGCCGAGTCGACTATCCTGACAAGTGATTAATACTTCGATACGGGCTGGAATCTGTCATCTCGTCAAGACCATTAGAAGTTTCTTGTGCCTCAAGGAAGGCTGGAGCTCCTCATCCCACACTGAGTGCAATGTTCACCCGAAGGACAATAATTATACTCCACCCTGATTTTCCGGTCCGAATCGGTCTTTTGGACTCGAGTCATCGGCACATGAGTCGTTACCGGCTGGGTGTCGGCAAAGTCAGAAATTCCAAACAACAAGGAGAAAGTTCCCCACCAGTGGAAACTTCAGTCTCCGGATAGCATCTAGGCGGTTATTGGATCCACATTCCGCACTATACGACTCAGCGGAGCGGTGGATATTCCTGGGGCCCCGTGGGTCAGACTCGTGGCAAGACTCTTGGATACACCATACCATGGAAAGGTGTCTATGACCCCAGGCTCAGCATATATAATCTCCCCTTCTGCATTGATCCCCTTTCAAGTTCACGTATTTCTACTGTAAACTTTTTGACTTGTTCTCATCACTCCAACAGTCAGAACACCAATATGAGCGATTCCGACAACGAGAAGGCTGCAAGCCTGAAGAACGAGAAGGAAGCCCAATACTCACACAGCGGCCTGGACAAGGCCAACATCAATGACACAAGAGACAACGTTCACATCCACAATGAACTCGCGTTCAAAGGTGATGATTCTGATGGCCACGTTGAGTGGACTGTCCGCACTATGATTGCTGCCATATCCTTGGGATGTCTCTACACTGGTACGAGCTCCATGCAGCTGTCGTCGGTACAGAACAGAAAGCTAAAACTGCTACAGGCTCACAGGTGATGCTCTACTTTGTTGGCGGCTGTCTCTCCTATATACAAGCCGAGCTAGGCGCAGAGAAGAATGGCTCATGGTTACCGGTTTCAAACACTCTTGCGATCACAGCAGTGGCCCCCTTCACTGGCTACCTTCAAGATCTCCTCGGTCGACGCAACATCACCTTGGTGGGATCGATCATGATCATGGTAGGCATCTCCCTGATCGGAGGAGCCCGAAATTTCACCATGGGTGTGGCGGGAATGACACTTTCCGGTGCAGGTGCCGGAATCTGCGAACTCACTGCACTTGCCGGAATCTCAGATATTGTGCCTGTTAGGCAACGAGGCATTGCTCTTGCACTTATGACGGGCTGCATTATCCCTTTCACGCCTTATGTGATGTACTCCCAATTGCTCTCCGTTCACGCCACATGGCGATGGGGGCAGTGGATAGCTTTGATCTGGAATGGATTTGTATTCATCGGACTGGCCACGACCTACTTCCCAAAGTCTCATCCACGCATGGAAGGATTCACCAAGCGCAAGATCCTCGCTCGCATCGACTACATCGGTGCAATTCTCTCCATCACCGGAATCACGATATTCCTCGTTGCACTTCAAGCGGGCGGCTACACCCATGCCTGGAAAAGTGCATATGTTCTGGCGCAGCTCATCATCGGCATTCTTCTCATTGCCTCGTGGGTTGTATGGGAGGCCAGGTTTGCTAAGTTCCCCATGGTACCCAAGGAACTGTTCCAAGGCCAAAGGATCGTCGGCATTGCTTTCTTCATCGCCTTTGTAGCCGGCATGAACTTCTACTCCGTCATCAACTTTTTCCCGCTTTCGTTCGGCGCTGTCTACGACCCGGACCCAGTTCAGGTTGGTTTGAAGGGACTTGGTTATGGTATCTCCACAACCGCTGGTGCTGTATTCTTCAACGCTTTACTCTCAACCAAGATCTCTGCAAAAGCAATCCTTCTCGTTGCTGCAATAATGATGAGTAAGTTCTGCTCCGCACTATTGCTCCTCACATCAAAGATCCTGACAACCATTTAACAGCTGCTTTCGGCGGTGGTCTTGCAGCCACTACTCCTGACACAGCTCAGATGGCCGTTGCGTTGGGCACAATCGCATCCTTTGGAATCGGCGGCGTGCTCGTCCCCTCTGCAACGGTGGCACTGATTGTCGTGCCTGATGCCCTCCTTGCCACAACCGCAGCGCTGTCTCTTTCCATCCGTACAATCGGCGGCTCTATCGGCTTCACAATCTACTACAACGTCTTCGTCAACAAGCTCACAAAAGCTTTACCTGAGCGTGTGGCCCAATACGCCATGGAAGCTGGCCTGTCCTCCGACGACGTAACAGGTTTCGTGACCGCATTCCTCTCTGCTCCAGCCACGATTACGGAGACACCTGGTTACACACCTGAGATCGCCGCGGCTGCGACGATCGGCACAAGATGGGCGTATGCGTATGCTTTGAGATATGTGTGGATCTGTAGTATTCCCTTCGGTTGCCTTGCCATCATCGGGTGCTGTCTGTTACCGAGTGTCAGGAAATATCAGACAAACCGTGTTGCTGTTGCGTTGTAGACGTCCAGACGTCTAGCACTGTGACAGTATGAATGGCTAACACCCAAAAAGATGCTCATGGCCTTCGCTAGAAGATGCGCTGCAATATCATACTTGGACTATCCGTTCGATCCTCGAACTCATTACGAGTCGGGAGCCAGTTATATATATGTATTCAGCTTCAGATACACCTAATCACTTCAAGACTGCGCCTTGTACCCGTGATTCTTCATATGGTCTGATTTATCTCTAAGGTAGTCAACTGCATCAACAGCTTCGCCCTGTCCACCGCTCACATATGGAAGAGGAAAAATAAGAGGGAGATCAACGAGATAACTTCACAAGCCGAACGTTAGGGGAAATTCCCATCTCGCTAGATCTCATCTTGCACATCCGCAAGGGTGAAATGCAAAGTCCACGCTTCCACAGTTCTACGACTCGGAAGAAAAATTCGATTATCTTATATGTAAGGGACTACAGCCTAGGTTGTCATTGCAACCGCCTCCTCAGCCACAGGCTACTTGCGAGCAGTCCCAGACTACTGAGCGCCATCATCGTGCCGGCGGTGCTCGCATCGATGCTAACGCCCCATCTCTCCGCCACACCCATGGCCAGCCCAACAGCCACGATATTATACATAGCCGCACAAGCGACATTTCTCTTGGCGTGGGACTTGGTGATCCTCGCGATCTCGATGATGTTCGGCACGCACGTGAGGTCGGGACTCATGACGATGACATCCGCGGCGCCGGCGATGGCGCTGCGCGACAGGGACAGCAGGATGCCGACGTCCGCGGCGGCTTGCGCGGGAGCATCGTTGATCCCGTCGCCGAGCATGGCAACCACAGCGCCCTTGGATTGCAGGGCTAGGATGTGCGTGTGTTTGTCTGCGGGGAGGGATTTCGATGCGAGGACTGGGATGGAGAGTTGGCATGATACGCGCTGCGCTTCGGATTCCGTGTCGCCTGTGAGCATGGACAGGCTGAGGCCTAGAGACCGGAGATTGGAGATCACGGCGGGCGCGTTGGGCCGGATAATGTCTTGTAGTTGGAGCTTGCCGGCGAAGAGGTTGTTGATCGCGAAGTACACGGCTGTGCCGGACTCGAGTGTCGGTGGTGATTTGTGGGACGGCGGTGGTATTGAGATGTTGTTTTCCAGGAGGAAGCTCGCGTTGCCTATGTGGACTTCATGCCATGCAGTGTAGGGCCCTTCGACTTCGCAAGAAATGCCTTTCCCAGGGGTACTGTTCAATTTTCGAACTGGGACTGAGCTCTGGAGGCGCCTGTCCTCATCTTCCAATTGAGTCAGAGCCCATTGGAAGACTACCTTGCCCACCGGGTGGTTTTGTGCCTCTTCTCGTTCTGCGGCACAGAGCAGCCGATAGCACAGGTGCTTCCGTGAAGTAAATTGAGAAGCGAAGTCAGCACTAGTGATCGCTAGTCGACCTTCGGTGAGGGTTCCTGTCTTGTCCATTACAATGTGGGAGAGCTTGCTGAGGTTTTCGATTGTGCGTGCTCCGTTGAGGAAGAGCACCCCCTTTGACCATGCAGCATCTATTCCGGCCATGATTGCAGAAGGCGTTGCGAGCCCCAGAGCACAGGGACATGCAGCTGCAAGGATTGCCATGGCGCGTTCGCTTGCGAGATTGATGCGATCGACTAAAGCAAGCGTGATGTGTTGTTGACTGCTAGAAAAGGCCCTGAAGAAACCAAGGGTTGTCAACATTAATATGCCCAGAACGAAGTAGGTAGTGATAGCCTCAACACCTTCTTGGCCATCCATTTTATGCTCTGTGGCCATGCTTATGCTGTCAATGAGCTGGTCGAGAGTCGAATCCCGTTGTTCTTTGTATACTATGGCAACAAGCGAGTGGGATAAATTTCTCGTTCCCGCGAGAAGAAAGTCACCGGTGGTTTTTCTTGTGGGCACAGCCTCGCCCGTCATGATAGATTCGTCCACGGTTGATGTGCCTTCGATGACATAGCAGTCACAGGGGATGATTGAACTTTGCTCAATCACGATTTCTTGCTGTAGACGAAGCAAAGCCGCGGGAACATAAGCACCGTCCTTTCGGACTTTCACCAATGCCGCTTCAGCTTGCATCTTGTACAAGGCTGTAAAGTTCGTCACGTTCTTTTTCTTGAGTAGAGTATCCAAGTATCTGCCCGCTGTAATGATGGTGGCCAGGAACGAGCCGGATGTGAAATATGTCTGACCGCGTTCGAGTCCTCTCAAAGTAAGATTGAACATGGACAGCGACATTCCAAGCAGCAGGGAGAGTGATATCAAGGTATCCATGGTGAAGGTCCCATGTCTCCCACGGGTCCAGGCAGACCTGTGAATCCAGCGAGAGTCGAATACCTGCACCCAGAGCGCCAGAGATAGGGCAATTAGCTGTAATATCCCATTGCCATGCCGTCCCCAGGGGGTCTTGGAAGAGAATGCCCGTAGCTGCTCAATCCCAGCGATTGCAGATGATAAGGTAGCCGCTCCTTGAAAGGAGGATCTCAAAGAACACAATTCTTCAGTTCGCTGAAGTAACTGCAGATTCTGCTCCGCAGACCGCTCTCCCAGCGCCGCGCCATAGCCTATGTCCTCGATCGTGGCAACCAGGGACTTTGCTGAGACCTTCAGAACATCATGCACCACCGTCGCTCTCTCCAGAGAGGATGAAACGGTGGCACGATCAACGCCTTCGAGATCTGAAAGCGCCTTCTCAATTGTGCCGGCACAAGCACCACAGAACATGCCGGTGATAGTGAGGCGCGTGGAGATGAATCTAGAAGCATTCTCTGGGGCTTCCCAGCTGATGAAGCCGTCATCGAACTCATTGTATTGGATATCCAGAAGTTTTACGTCGAACAGCTCGCACGCCTTGATGATCCTGTTCATCACATAGGCCGTGAAGACGCAGCATGCCATCTTCGCTTTGTCGCCCTCTTGGGCTGGGCCACGGGTGAGATGTCATCCAAGTGGTGGTGGTGGTGGTGGTGGTGGTCCTTGTCTAGAGCATATCACTGACTTGCCCCTAGGTAGGACACACATCGAGGATGCAAACCTACGAGTAAGGTTGATCATTGTTTCCATATCAGGCAGAGTGGGGATACACCCGGCGTCTCCAGTCGCTTGGGATGTGGCGAAGCTACGAGTCGTGGATCATGAATCGGTGCTGCGGGATCAGTTGCCGAGGGCTAAGCAGAATACCAAGTACTCTGTACCGAGGGGTGAACACCCGCTGATTGTGATAGTCGTTGCGGGGAAGGCTGCACCCCCTGGCTCATAGTTGTCTTGAACCCAGGGCCCCTCAGCCTTCCCCACGGGCCCTCAGGCCACCATTACTCACCAGAATGATAATTGTTTCGTACTGGACGGTTGTCTACTTTGCACCCTTCAGGAGTGAAATATGTGTAGGAGAGAGCCTCCGACTTAAATGTTGTATGTTCTCAAAAAACTGTGCGTTTGGCAGCTGGCCTTTGGGTTTAAGCTACTGACTGCGTAGAAGAAATAACAGTGCACCAACTCTCATAGCGTTTGGTCGCAATTGCGCTGCCGAGAGATAGACAATCTGTACTCAACACAAAGGTAACTTCTCATATCGAGAACGTTGTGTTGTCTCAAAATGTGGAGAATAACACTCTTATCATGACATGTTTTCTTGTACCAATAACAAAAGCCCGAGGTGCCACTCTTCGCCCTGCTCGCTCAATCCACATAAAGCCGACACAATAGCCCAAGCTGTGTTATTCTTTCGATGCATGATACTTCCGCTCTAAGATTGACCTTTGTTCTGAGGCGAAGCACGTGGGTATTTAACGGTATCCTCTTCCAGGACCTCGACCACCTCTAAAACTACCACGGTCTCTCGTCGCGTCACCGCGACCGCCGACCTCAGCCTCGTTTATTCAAATAACCAGCTCGAACGGCAGGACTGCCCGCGGAGTTTCCTGGAAAGAACCTCCGCATTTGGAAGAGACATGCTCGGTGATTATCGTTTTCACAGGGAGTCCAATTGATGAAACAATATGGGGTGGACCTCAATTCTGTAATGTCTCTTAAGAGGTGTCGTCGAAGAGCCATGTTGGAGCGGAGTTACTAGATGTGAGAAATGAGGCTCGAGGATCGAATATCACATCAGATATTGATACAGCCTCACATGGAAAACAACAGGGCGGGTTGCAGGATATGGCTGGGTGAAAACTGAGAAGAGATCGGGCTGAAGTAAGCCTGGACGGCCGGACGCCCCCCTTTGAATAACGTGGATTCCGTGAATCACCGCGACGCAAACAGGTGCGGCCTTGCAGATACTGTCTTTTCCGGAACGTTCCAAGTCAGAGACCTGATTCCAATCTCGTCACTTCTCAACCGTGAATCTCCAGCCGAACGCAAGGGGCCTGCTTGGCATTCTGTGTAGTCGTTGGCCGACATCTGGTGGGTGTCTGTTTTGACCTCTGGAGGCCACGAACCTAAGTCACAGATTGAATCAATCAATTTATGATTTGTTCAAACAATTTCTCTGAGAAGCATTGATGTGTTGCTGTACGGAGCACAATTACTGCTCTGAAAAGGATGACCTGCCAATTGTGCGAGATTCTGCTTCCTCCCTGAGACACGAGGCTGCCGCAGGCAAGGCTGTGATTTGGTCAAATTAGTTGTGATTGGTTCGCTTATGAAGTATTCTCGAGCTAAACCACGATCGTTGGCAGGCTTTTGCCCCCCTTTTAGGAGTATGGCCTTGCCAAAAGCTGGCTCAAAAGACAAGCCATGAGGACCATGTTATGAAGATGTAATTCTAAGATCCATTAGTTGGACACGATATCGCTTTTATCATCAGGAATTACCTAGAACGACGACCTGCGTAGAAAGAAAGCACCCAGATCCCTTCAGTAATGGCCACCATGCCACTCTTCCTCGCGACTGCTTTGACTTTCGAGGCTGCTCATGCTTGAATGTCTCTTTAACAGGTCGGAAAGGGAGACTTTCTCTCCACGGTGTAGAGCCTGCTCAATCTCCTTCCTCCTGCGACGCCCGAGCTTGAAATTCGCAGTGTATGTACACTTCTTCTTCTCTTCCGCACACCATCCTCCGGTCCAGAATTTGTCTCCTTCACAGGAATTTCCGAACAAATCGAAACATAGGACTAAGAAGACAAGCCCCGTCGTGATAGAGATCAACTCCAGTGAGTTCAAGGAGTCGGCAGTGGGTAGGCAGATGATGATGATTGCCACACAGGTTCTGATGGCAAGACGTGGCCGCTTTTTCAAACGCGATTTCTCAAGGCGTTTGTGGATATGACAGAATGATATCACGGCCATCGATATCAAAGCCACTCCCAGACCTCCACAGTAAAACCATCGAAGAGCGCTGCTCAGTTCTCCCACACTGCGGTCCTCATAATGATGTCCAAGATCGTGCTCATCAGCATCTGAGCAGTCGTGGGCAAGCACTAGTTGGGAAAGAGTAGAAGCTGCCAATATATAGCTCATGATGAATGGGAGGTGCGCAGAAATCCAGATGCTGCTGCTTGCCCAATGTCTTCTGATAGCGTGGACGTGAACGTTGTATCCGTCGATCTCAAAATATATCCTGTGGATCAATCAGTCCAAAGCAGAGGAGCTTTCGCGTAGGAGGCATACCAGTTGAACATGAAGGCCTGAATCAGGCCCAGAACACCTTTTCCAAAAAACGCATTGATACCAAACGAAGCCCGGGACTGGAACAAAATCGTAAGAATTGAGTATCCAAAAACCTAGTCAAGGGTTAGCTATCGAACAATGTTGGTCAGATTGCACAAACCAAAGACACAAAAGCGTTGTTTCGCTCAACTCTGTGCTCAATATTGATGGCAGGAAAGAAATCAAACCAGTGAGAAATTGATTTGAGTAGCGTTTTCGACTTCTTGCCAGCCTCTTTCATTACCCATATTAAGAGAATGCCGCCAAACAGATCCAAGACCAGGGCAATGAAAATTAGCGCTAGTTGATTGGGCCATTCAACGTGGATGCTGGCTATCCAAAATGCGACGGATATCACCACCATGAGAGCCATGCAAACCATGGTGCCTCGTATATTTGGTAACACAATTGCCACTCCAAGATACCAGCAGGCCGCAAACAGCTTCTGTGTCACATAAAATGCAATGGCCGAAGTATAAGTCGACTCAAAAGCATACGCGATGTTCTTTTTGGTGAATTGTCAGCTTTTGATCTTTTATCAAGGCAGATTTGGCTGTTTGCATAAAACACATACCGAGGTGAAGCCAAACAAACAGACGAGGTAGAAAATCACGTTGAATCTGTGCATAATGTCATCAATTTCGAAATAATTGATGATCATTGTAAGATCCGACCAAATTTTCCAGGCTATATCAGAGTCCAATTAGCATTGAAAGGCAAGGCAGAGGCAGCCCGAGTGTTCTTACCGATTGAGAAAACGATTACAAAGTGAAGCAGCGATAATCCGCCAGGGTGTTCAACAGCAGTTTCACCAATGATATCGATAACCCCAACATAAACCAGATCAACAAAAAGTTCAAACGAAGCTACTTCGCCGGCCTTTGCGGATCTCCACAATAGCCCTTTATGGAAGTATTGTCTCACAACAGGTCGGTGTAGGAACCGAAGTGCTTCCGCCGAGCGATCGGCATGCTTGTCGACTGCGCTAGGGTGATCACTATGAAGAGACGCGGTTTCTGAATCCTCATCTTTTGTTCGTAGATGAGCGGAATAGCCATAGCGGTCAAAAGAGGCATCTAAAGACACGGCGTGGGCAGTGATGTGGTGAAGCTCAGCCGCTAGTGCATCTAGTTCCGACTTCACGTGCTCGATATCAGCATAGACTTCGCCATGCTGTTCCTTGAGCTTGGTTCGTTGAGACTCGTGGTGGTTATGCAGTTGGCGTATCGCCTGAGATTCACGATCAACATTTCGTATACATGAGCAAGAAAGAAGTAGTCTCACATCTAAATGACCGGTAGATCCATGGAGAAGGACATCGAACTCATCGGACTTTTTCTCCTGCGAAAGTTCCTTCCTTTTCTGTTCTATGGCTATCATTAGCAGACATGCGATCAGCCACAAGGGAAGATCCCTAACCTAGCTGCTCCGGAGTACGGCAAACATGGACGGTCTTCCCATTATGAGGATGGATGAACTGGGTAAATCTTTTCGCGTGCGGATGGGGGAAGTGATGGTGCTGGTGCTGGTGCTGGTGCTGGGGCTGGTGTGGCTTTGGCGTGGCTGCCCCTGGCTCGAGCTCAGGTGTATCTATGCCTGCTTTGGTCTCTTCCTCAGGCGTTGTAGCCATCTTGCTCCCACGTTGAACGTGAGACTTTCGAGTACGCAAACTCGAGTTCCTCTCCACGCAAAAATTAGATCAGGTTGAAGTACTATATCAACAAACGAACGGCAAAAGGCAAACCCCTTGTGATCCCACGGAATGGAAGAAACCTTGCCGCGAGCTGAGTGAGTGCCATGTTGCTGACTACAGATATCACTTCCAATCATGCGCTAACTATGTTGAGCAAGCGGGGGCCGTGCCCGTTAGTCAGAATGCTTAATTCGGCCCGCACAGCCAAGTTTGAAACCGGAAGTCTTCTTGGCATTTCTCGGCGTCCCGCCTGATTGATTTTTGATCTGCTTACATACACCCATTCTCCTCCGCGGCTGGCGCCTCGAACGAATCCATGGAGACTTCTTTATTTCCGCATGCCTTGGCGGTGAGATGTGTATGTACCCCGTAGGAGGAATGCAGGAAACAGCCCCGACGCTGAACAGCCAAGCTCCATAAATACAGATGCATTTGCCATGTGAATGCTGCCTGCCAGGCCCCGTAACTTGCTGAAAAAAACCAAGAGTTTCATGGGTATCTTGAATCATAACTCCTTTCGAACGTGACCATTGGCCATCATGACCACAGAAAGTCTCTTAATCAAATCCCACCCTAAGCCAGCATAATCGCTGTTTTGCTCTGCCGCCCTATACTCATAGGCTTTGTCCTCCATCGCTTTTCAAAACAGAGACGATGCATTCACAGCCCGGCATTGGCCCCTAACTTACTTGCCATGCACACCTTTTCGAGGGGGCCTTATCATGTCTTCCCCAGATTCCACGTGCTCGATATCGCCGGCAAATGAGACTTTGCTGCGCTTGCGCTTACGGTACCCAGATGTGTTCTCCATAGCTGTTTGTCTGGCCGCGGCTGGAGACGACCTTGTGCTTTGGGTGAGGGGCCGATTCGACCGAGTAGAGGCCTCGCGATCTATGGGTTTCTTGAACATGTTAAGCAATGCAGTAGAGTCTAGGTCCCCGTCATTCGTCTCATCATTATGCGAGAGATCAAGCTCATCTCCGCTTGAAGAACTGTCAATCCAGTCTCCTATGGCAGCTTTCTGCTGGCTCGGTCCTGGTTGGGGTGACTTGATCGACTGGCTGGGTTTTGGCCGTGATCGGGTTCTTGGTAGAGCTTTCGCTGGGCTCGTCACGTTCATATTACGAGGCGTGGAAGGGGCCTCCGTTGAGTTCTGAATGGACTCCGCTTGTTGTCCTGTGATCTGCTGCAACTTCCTCTTTAGCTCCTCAAATAATGAGTCTAGATCTTTGAGCTTTGGAACCATAACATCGCGGGTCTCTCTGAACTCTTCGGCAAGGGCCTCATGCTGTTCTTGAGACCTTGAGATGTACCCCGCCAAATTGTCTTCGACCAGCTGTATCCTGCTATCTACATCTGAGACAGATGCCTCAAGTTTGTTGGAAAGCTGAGTGACTCGCTTCTCAAGGTTTTCCATACCTAGATCTATCTTGCGAAGGCCTTGCTCAAGCTTCGGTAAGACAGGTGCGATATACCCAATCATCTGGCGATGAAGGCTTTCGGTGCTTAAGTTGTCAAACCGAGTCCTTAGCCATTGATGCTGATGCTCCTGTTTTTCCATCCTTCGGCTCAAGGTCCTCAAAGTTTGCAGTGCTTCTCGATCATCGCTTGACATTTGAGCCCTCATAAGTGTGGTCAAGTTCCTATCAAGATCCGCAATTTGATTCTTGTGAGTCTCAAGCTGGATATCAATTGACTGAGATAAAGCACTGAGAGCCTTTCCGTGCTCTGTCTCAACTTGTTTACATGTCAAGGAGGTCTCTTCGTTTTCACCACTGTTAAGAGACAGGAGTCGGTCGTTGAGGAGTTTTTCCTGGTTTGATAATTCGGCCCGTAGAGTTTCAACTTTTGATTCAACTTCTTTCATTCGTTGAGATAATGGAAATGCATTAGGCTCCCCGTGTTCTTCAGTTGAAACTTCAGTAGAAGGGGTGAATTTGCCACACAGCTCCTTTAAGGCCTGCACTTGGTCTTGAAGCTCGTCCATCATTTCATGATTGGCGCGTTCTATCCGCTGCATATCACTCATAATGATATTGTGAGATTCCTCGAGTTGTGTGTCCTTTTCCTGCTTCAAGGCTTGCAACATTTGCCGTAATTCTTGAAGGCTGTTCTTCTCTTCTTGATAGCTTTTTTGATTGTGGGTCTGCGCAGCAACCTCGAAGCGTTTTTCGAAGGCTAAGAATTGATTCTTCAGTCCCATGATAGCAAGATGACTCCCTTTCTTTGACATTTCTCTAGCCAGGCCGTCGACCTTAGAACTGAAAAGTTTAGCTGCCTTGATAGCGTTGCCTTCCTGGGTTGCCAGATGACTTCGGAATTGGTCCAAGCTGTCTGGAAGCTGTTCCAGGAGTTTGATTCTGTCTTCAAGTGGAGAAATTCGGTCCTTATATTCTCTTCGCAATTGGTCCGAGATTTCTGGAAGGTCTTGCAAGGGTTTCATTATGTCTTTGATTTCAGAGACGTCTTCCTTGGGTTCTAGTCGCAGAGTGTCCATTTTTGAAATTTCCGTTTCCAGACGTTCAAGCTTTGAATCGAAAGCTTGAGCCGTCTGGGTAGCACTGGCTTCCTGAATTGTCAGCTTGCTTCGGATTTGGTCCAAGTTCTTGGGAAGTCCTTGCAAGGGCTTCATTCTGTTTTTGATTTCAGAAACATGATCCTTAATTTCTCGCCGCAGAGCGTCCAGGGAATCGGCCCATGGCAAAGGGTCTGGAACAGGGTGGCTTTGCAGTTGGCTGATATCATGCTTGAGAGCAGCAGTTTCGGATTTGAGTTGCTCGTTCTCAGCAACAAGAGCTGCAAGTTTAGCATCGTTCTCATGAGCACGTCGAATGACCGAGGTCTGTATGTCACGCAGTCCTTGGATTTCTCTTATCAAAGTATCAACCTGGCTTTCTTGAGATATTGTTTTGGGATTGACTCGACTTATAATGTCAAACTGCAGGCGAACAAGGTCTTGTGCAGCAGTCTTTTCAGCAGCGCTGGAGTCACGAACGGATTTTTCCGTACGTTCGAGGTCCGAGTCGATCTTCTTCTGAGACTGTCGGGCTTGTTCGACGATGAAAGGGAAGAGCGCAGCCGTTTGTTCAGTACGACTTAGTTCCTCAGCGGCAGTCTGCGACCGCGCCCTCAGGTAGTCTCTCTTTCTTCTGTAGATGCTAGAATTACCAGACCTGGTGCCGAGGTTGAGGAAAGCCTTTTCTAACGAAATGGCATCGCTTTGCGAAAGGGGAGGAGTCTGTCCAGAATTCCGAGAAGGCACTGGTGTGGAACTGCCAGTGCCTGTGTCAGAGCAGCCTGCTGTAGAACGCTTCCTAGGATCTTGCACTGGGGACCCTATTTCCACTGCGGAACCAGTTGCAGGCGCAGACTTGACCCAGTTTAGTCTTGGATCCATTGGCTTAGGTGTTGTAAGACTAACCGTCTCAGTAAGAGGAACCGAATCGTACAAGCATTCGAAGAAGATGCAGGCATTGGATCGGTTGGGGTGGTGGTGTAGGCACCGTGAGCAGGAAGCAGAAAGACCTAGTCGTTCACATTACTGAGGATCGCAACTAGGTTCTTTCTCTGGGCACGAACTGATCACCCAGTGTGCAAAGTCGACTTGGTCTATGGGTGGAAACTTGATAGATAACTCCGAAGTAGAAGTAAATATTGGTGAGATTAAAAAGCAGGTGCACCCCGCAAGACTGCCTGCACCTTCCTTTGGTCGCGACTCCGCATGAACCACGTGACCATGCTATGTGTCCGGCCAATAATATTGCCACGTTTCATTCCACTGCCTTAGACGTGTTTTGGAGATTTTATTCCCAAGGCCGGCTCGCTGGACTGGCACGCACTGGTTCAACTTTGGATTCCATCAATCAAAGGGACCATCCAAATTCAAACGATCTCTCAAAGCATAGTTGTCTCGGTAGATCGCATCCCTTTCACGGACCTCTTTCTCCAGAGAAACACTTCATCCTCTCACGGTCACCGCATGCGTTCGTAGCGCCACCTTGAAGTTTCCATCACTCCCCTACCTGCCGAAGCAGAGTTCATCCCGCCATGGCTGCGGTATGCTGCTCCCAGATCTATTTACATCTACTCCTGCTGATCCTTATAGCCCATTACCACCGTTTCGGAGAGTCGAGAAGTCCGTGGCCTCAACCTGATTGCCGCTCATTCCCACATTCGCGGTCTTGGTGTCGACCTTGCTACACTTGAACCAAGAGGCTCCTCGCAGGGATTAATCGGCCAAGAGAAGGCTCGCAAAGCTGCCGCTGTCATTTTGCAGATGGTCAAAGATGGGAAAATTGCTGGCAGGGCAGTTCTGATCGCCGGTCCACCAAGTACAGGCAAGACTGCCATCGCAATGGCAATGGCGCAATCTCTGGGTCCTGACGTTCCTTTCACCCTACTCGCTTCCTCCGAAATCTTCTCTCTCGAAATGTCAAAAACAGAAGCCCTGACACAGGCCTTTCGCAAGTCCATTGGCGTCAGGATAAAAGAAGAGAGCGAAATAATCGAGGGAGAGGTGGTCGAGATCCAGATTGACCGCAGTGTGTCTGGCGTAAGTCATCCCTTTATGTATACGCTGCCATGTCTGACAAGAGCACCAGGGCAATAAGCAAGGCAAATTGACTATCAAAACCACCGACATGGAAACCGTTTACGACATGGGAACCAAGATGATTGACTCGATGACCAAAGAGAGAGTCATGGCCGGAGATGTCATCTCCATAGACAAATCGTCGGGCAAAATCGTGAAACTCGGCAGATCTTACACTAGATCAAGAGATTACGACGCCATGGGTGCTGACACCAAATTTGTCCAATGCCCCGAAGGCGAACTCCAGGTCCGGAAGGAAGTGGTCCACACTGTTAGTCTTCATGAGATTGATGTTATCAATTCCCGCACACAGGGCTTTCTCGCTCTGTTCTCTGGAGACACTGGTGAAATCCGAAGCGAGGTTCGAGATCAGATCAACACCAAGGTGGCCGAGTGGAAGGAGGAGGGTAAAGCAGAGATCATTCCGGGTGTTCTGTTCATTGATGAGGTTCACATGCTCGACATTGAGTGTTATTCTTACATCAATCGAGCTCTTGAAGCTGACCTGGCTCCCATTGTCATCATGGCCAGCAATAGAGGCAACACTCGTATCAGAGGAACCAACTATCGGTCACCTCATGGATTACCTCTCGACTTCTTGGATCGCGTTGTCATCATCAGCACTCAGCCATATGCACCAGAAGAAATTTCTCGGATTATCGCCATCCGCGCACAAGAAGAGGAGGTCGACTTATCTCCCGATGCGCTAGCTCTCCTTACAAAGATCGGACAGGAGTCGGGTCTGCGATATGCGAGCAACATTATCACCACTTCGACGCTCTTAAGCCAGAAACGACGAGCCAAGGAAGTTAGCATTGATGATGTACAGCGAAGTTACAAGTTATTCTACGATCCTGCAAGATCTATCAAGCTGGTCAATGAGTATGAGAAACAATTCATCAGTGACAGCGGAGAGGTGACTTTTGCTATCAACGGTACGAATGGGACGAATGGGACGAACGGTGATGCTATGGATACGGCATAATGGCTGGGCATGCTAATTTCACAACATCAACTGGCTGCATGGAATCTTCGTTGTGTGCATAGCATCAAAGGTCGTCGCTCAATTCAAGAGTTGGCTGCGGTAGTGTATCAACTCTCGGAGGCTTTTCGATTCCCATTCAACCAACGAGTCAAACGCTGTAAGTCTATGACCTACAAATGGGCACCGCGAACGTAAATTCACCGTGTAACGCACCGCCTGATCCATGCTTCCGCCCTCTACAGTACAGCTCTGACCCTTGGCGAGACCACAAAACCCGACTCTTGGCAGAAGCCACGATACTGACACTATTCACCTGCTCACTGACGACCACACGCGAAAATACGCGCCAGCGAGCCTTGCATAAAAATGCCGTTACGCACGCGGGGGATCGAACACACAAACTCATCCACTCAGACGGTGTCAAAAAAAGGAAGAGTTCCCTGGGCGCCTTCTACCTGCAACGATCCTACATCGGAGCGAACCTTCTCAGACCAGGAGCAAGATAGCCTTCATCCAGGGACCAAATCAGTTCTCGAGGCCGTGCCGTTTCTCCCCGGAAGGATGATACGTCGCAGACTGGTGATTAACACGATTTCGGCCCCCAGCCCTATGACCTCCCACCTTAATTCGGGATAAAAGCGACATCCCTGTCGCGGCCAGTCCGGGGCATTGCGTTGGATTTTTTCGGGATTGATAAAATATATACAGTGAATTGTCTTGGGGGCGCTTTGTGAAGGTCTGGCAGCATTCTAAGCCTTGAATAGCCGAAACTAGGGGAGGAGCGTCAACTTTGCGGTGGTTGTTGAGGGAGGCAGTGAGCGCCAAGATATTCTAGTAAAGCCTCGTGGGTGAGAGTAGGGTTTTGGCAAGGCTGTTTGAAGGACTGTAACCCGCACACTTGAGATCTCCACTTGGCCAACTGTATTTCCAGCGCAAATGATGCAGGCTTACTCATGTAGGGAATGGATAGAAAATGCATGTCTATTGATGCATTCTGTCTCAAGTATACATGCATACTAGGTCAACTTGCTCTGAATTCTCCCATGACACATCGCTGTGCTCAGGGCACGCGCAAACAGCCACCTTCGTTCTAGCAGTGGTACAGTCTAACGCGAATGCTCGCCACTCATCCAGGGTCTGCAGGCGAAGCTTTGCTTTCACACATCCTACACCATGGCCCCTGCTTGATTCATTTCTGGGGTCTCCACATGTCTCGCTCCACCCTGCGATCTCGCCTCCTTCACCCAACACTCTCCAGCGTCAACTTGGACTCGCCGTCGTAGGGTCGCAACTCATCCCTAGCGATCCGGGCGTCTTCGAGGATGATCTCGGCTATGCGTGGCGTGCGTGGCGTGAATCGTGCTTTGAAGGGCTCAGGCCGCATGTTTTCACTCTTCGTGTAAGCGAAGATGTCGAGTTGGACCTCGTTTCCCTGGTTTGGTTTCATGGTCGAGTCAGTTGTTTCATTCGTGAACATTCATTGTGGCTCATCTCCCGGGCAGTGAAAGGTGGTGGTGGTGGTGGTGGGTATCCAGGAGAGAGAGGCGGTGTTTGTGGGGTTGCACGGATGAAAATCGGCGCGACTCAGAGGCTTCACTTACATTGTCATCTAAACCTGGTTCAATGTTGTAGGCCCAGAGGATACGAGCAATGGTCATGAAAAGACCCTGCTCGGCGAGAGGCTGGCCAGGGCACACGCGACGGCCCCAGCCGAAGGCGTTGTGGCCCTGTTTGTTGGGGTATGGCCGTTCGAGGCCGTTGAGAAAGCGCTCCGGTCGGAAGGTGTCAGGCTCGGGGAAATCTTGCGGGTTACGGTGGATAGCCCATACGTTGCCTGTGATGGATGTGTCTTTCGGGATCAGGTAGCCTCGGTACTCGTCGTCCTAATCGTGGTAGCAGAGAATTAGAGACGATATGCAGACCGATGACATGGGGGGTAATGAGAATAGGGGGAAGGTGATACGGAAAAGGCACTGAGGAATTGCATTGCTTGTACCTGAATAGGCGCGTGAGGAATGCCACCGAGAATCGTGACTGTTCGCCAGCGGAGAACTTCAGTCGCCAGAGCATTGACGTAGGGAAGTGATGCTTCATCCGACCAGTCCGGGCTGCGATCTCTACCCACCACGCGATCGAGTTCTTCCTGAGCTTTCTTCTGCGTGTCTTTGAAGACGCACATCGCCAGGATGAAGCTGATCATGGAACTGCTGGTAGTATCCACCCCGCCTCCGATGAGATTGGCGGTCATACAAGCGACTTCTTCGTTGCTCAAGCCTGTCTTCTCCTGCTGGTCAAGCAGTTTCTTCGCAAAGTTGTCCTTGCGGACGCCACTACCTTCTTTGCACAACGCGTAAAAATAGCGCTGAAAACGTTTCGCGTTGTTGAGTATCGTAGAGGGTAAGGGATAGATCCAGCCTGGCAGGGTCGCAAGGAATGGGACTGCTTCCATGATGAATAGGCCTGGAATAATGTAGTCTACGCCTTCCATGAACCCAAGGGCACATTGAGCTACGTAATCATTCATACGGTCGATGCGTCGACCCCAGCCTATAATTGACACGACAGAGCATGAGTATCGTTCAATTGACATGACGAAGTCGTTTGGTTTCTCCAGGAGGTCCCGAACCAAGATCTTTGATTCATTGCTCTGGAAACTCCGGTGACTTCTAACCGCTTGAGATCCTACGATAGTATGCTTCGTGGGCAATCAGTTCTGAGCACCCGAAGGTCGTCCCAACCGACTCACCATTAGTCTCCGATGCAACCGCCATTGATCGCCGTAGACTTGACAGACCTGGTTAGAGGTAGTTTGATTTAGACAATCTCCCATCACAACCATTCTCGCTCGAGAGGAGTAGATGCTTGCGCGCTTGTCTAGAAGGTCCGATATTGTCCAGATATCATTGCACATGATGATAGGCCGATGTCCGTTCCAGATAGTGACCATTGGATTCCCATAATACTCGGCCCATTTCTCCCATGCAATCCACGGCTTGATCTTGGGGATGGCAAAGAAATTCCCTACCAGCGGTAGAGGGAACGGGCCCGGAGGCATCCTTCGGCGAAGTCGGAGAATGCGGACATAGTCAACCAATACCCACACAACGGGCGCTGCGATAACAGTGACGATGACTAAGGCCAATAAAGTCTGAGGTGAAGCAGCAAACAACGACTTCACCACTGAGAAATCCTGCGTATGGATGACTCCCATCCCGGACTGTTTTCAGAGATTTTGGGGTAACAGGGCCAGCGAAGATGGAACAGTCGTTGGGTGAGAAGCAATCTGTTGAGTATCGAAACATCACGGCGATGCGCGCGATAGTAATCCTCATGTGGGACGGACTTTCGCTTACCAAAATCCATATACCCTCTGGCCGAGGTAGCCATATGAGGAGTAGGACTTCCAGAAGAGCTGCGATGCAACGTGGCACCGCTCTCCGAAATGGCGAGCTCATGTGGGGTACCAGGCAAGGCTGTGAGCGAGCCTTGAACACAGCCCACATATATGTGGGGCAGGTCTCCCATATCGCTCCCCAAATCAATCGGCAGTTATTCTACAATCCGACCAATCGAGGGCGTGAATTGAAAGTCCATCGCGGACATTGATATATGGCCTAGGATTGGGTATATGAAAGTATCGAACCGCGTGTGACACTTCCCCAGGAAATGATGGCAGTGGGGCTGATGGAGAGTGGAGGGAGCCCCAGGAAAGAAAAGTCAAAAGTGTTCCACCTCCGGACGGCTTTCGACTCGAATCAGAGCGACGGTGATTCATCATAGGCTGGTCGTTGCCCGCCGATCTGGTCCGGGCTTTGATCTTTGACTCCCAGGCGACCTGCGTGGGGAGGGGCTACACATGGCCCGCGATCGTAAGTCGTGGAACCTGGAATCGAGACCGAAAAGATCGGCAGACTAGATTCTGATATTCGCTAAACTGTGTCAGTGGGCTCGGTCTGGAGTAGGAGATGTCTTTGTCTTCCTGGCACAAGAGTGACTGGGTTGGTGCACGGACAGCAGGCTCCAACCTTGGGATAGATCATGGGCCGAAATGGACTGAATGAGGTCGGCTGAGAAGCCCCAAAAAGGTCAACGACCCAAATTGGGCGTTGTTCCAGCCTGCAAGGTTCTCGACATTGGCAACATTGAAGATGGCTGTTGAAATTGCCTTGATATCGAGAGAATCCTATTCGACAAAATACGTCCAATGAAGGGACATACGTGCCGAGCTTCTCGACGGTGGTTCACACGTGTGACTGCGCTCGCTAAGCTCGAAAATGGGGCAGGCCTCCGAGATACCTTCCCTGAGAAGATAGGGAGCTCTGGTTGCCGCGTCAAGCTAGGGCAGACACACCCATGAACAACACGCTCCAAGTACCAAGTACGGAGTACTCTCACGTTAACGAAAGCTGAGGAGCCTCGTGAAGGTGCACATGTCCAAGTTGAGTGTGGAGAAGCTTGTGGGGAGCTACAACATAACCCCGGCAATTTCTCTCAGTGCCGAAAACAGGCTGCCTGACAGCAGCAAATGATAAACAATAGGACGAGCACTCGTACTCCGTAATAATCGTCTTGACCTCACAGTCAACCCTTGGTTGTCTAGCGGAATGGTAGGCCAGGTTAGCTACTTAGTTCCGGAGTAGTTTCGTCGCCGCTGGGGTTAGAAGGAAATTGCCGGAGAAAGGGGGCAGTCGTCTGGCCCAGCGGCGAGCTCGGACTGACTGGACCCGCCATTTTTCGAGCCAGAATTCCTGTTCCACGCGAGACGGTGGATCAGACCATGCAAGACTGCGGCCCCAGACTTAGCACTTGCGGATTGAGGGCTTCGACAAGTGGAGGGCCCCCAGTAGCCACCCTCGTGCGGTCCCTCGGTCCCCTGTGGGTTGGTATGGAGGCCCTGGGCCCTGTGCACAAGTAGCAGTGCTGCGAGGGTTCTTTATCAGACCCCATCCCCAGACGATCTAGATTTTCTTTCCCTTTTCCCGTCTCATCATCGACTCGCTGATAGTCTCGAGCTGCAATTTGGCGCTTTACAACATGGCTCACGAAAAGAGTGACGGTGCACAACTTGAGGTCAGTGAGCCTCCAAGGTCAACAGCACGCCATGTGCGTAATGAACATGTGCCCACCGATCTGGATGATCCGCATCGCGCCGCCCTCGAGGAGAATCCCGAACATGCGGAGCGAATGACATGGACCACAATCCTCGCCGTCCTGGTAAGCCCAGTCTAACCAACCATCACTTCGATTGAAGCAGTGTATTGACCGTCCATAGTCATTGTCTCTGTCATATGTTTGCCCAATTTCCTGTGGCTTCGTCCTGGTCACAAGTATTCTTGTGCCTATTGCAACAGATCTTGACGGTGATGTTGCCAACATCACCTGGATTGTCGGTGGCTGGTCCATTGCGTCTTCTGTAAGCTTCTGTATCGCAGGCTCGGCCTCGGACATCTTTGGCAGGCGCTGGACTATAATTTCAGGCGAAGTCCTCGCCATTGTTGGATCCGTAAGTCAATGTCGTTCCAGAGAACTGACCAATGCTGATTGTCCCAAGATTGTCGCTTGTACGGCGAAGACAACACTCGACGTAGCGGCTGGCTCAACTATTGTTGGGTTCGGCTGTGGCATCATCTTCGTCTCATACGCTGGGATCCAGGAGCTTGTCCCGAACAAATGGCGTGGTCTCTTAGGTTTAACTGAGCTAGGTGAGCTGTCCCAGTGTCAGTATCACGCCCAACAAATACTCACCAGTTTCGATAGCAATGACTATTCCATGGGCCGCTGCAGGTACACTAATTGCAACATCGCTGAACACGAACACGGCTGCTGGTTGGAGATGGTGCTACTATATCGGTATCATCTATGGGGTCCTCAGCATGATTGGAACCTTCGTATTCTACTATCCACCTCCTCGCCCTCAGTACGACTTCGAGAAATCTCGGTGGCAAGAGATCAAGGAGATTGACTATGTTGGCTTCGTCCTATTCACAGCTGGCCTGACCATCTTGTTGATTGGGCTCACATGGGCAGGAAGTGTTGATCATCCTTGGAATTCTGCCTCGACCATTGCACCAATCATCGTTGGGGTTGTAGTTCTGATTGCCTGCTTCATCTACGACTTTACCATTCCAAAACAGCCACTCTTTCCTCTACACTTGTTCCGACAATTCCGCGAGTTCACGGTGCTATTGGTGGTTGTCTTTGTCGCAGGTGAGTGCTCCTTGTGGGCATGCTTTACGCGACCAAACACTAATCTTTACAGGTGCTGTCTTCTATTCGTTTTCTGGACTCTTGCCTCAGGGGTCACTATATATGTTCACGAACGACCCAATCCAGATCGGAATCATCGCTCTCCCTAATGGTATTGCGCAGGTCATCTTCGGCGGCTGTGCAACCATCGTGATGGGCAAAGTCGGCCACCTGAAATTGCAGGTTATCTTCTTCCTGGTTGTGCAGACTGTCTTTGTCGCCGCGTATGCCGGTGTCGTACCAAACAACAGGACAGGCTGGACGGCTTTCCAATTCTTCGGTATGGGTCCGTTTGCCTTGATCACTTTGCTGTGTTACGTAATTGCTGGCCTCAATGTTCCTTTGAGACATTTGGGACTTGCCTCTGGCTTGATTGGCACTTTCAGAAGCGCTGGAGGCAGTGTTGGCAATGCAGGTAAGACGTCCCCGTCTCCAAAGTTTTGTTTCCCGAGGACAATGCTAACAGCACTCAGTCTTCAACACTATCCTGAATGGTGTGGTCAAGGATCAAATCCCAAAGAAACTCGCAGCTGTTGCCCTCGAGAACGACATGTCCCTGGATGTTCTGGAATTCCTGATTCCCGCCACAGCAATGAATGCTGTAGGTGTGCCAGGTGCCTTTGCGACTGTGCCTGGGATCACTCCAGCAATCGAAGAAGCCGCCGCCACCGCCTACAAACAGGCGTATGCTTTCGCGTTCTCACGCGTGTTCTATGCTTCCATTCCTTTTGGCATACTTGCGATTGTCTGCGCCGTATTCATCAAGGACCCATCGCAGTATCTCACCAACCATACAGCTGTTCACATGGTCAAGGAGGTGGTGGGATCATCTGAGCCTCAGCATGTCGAAAATAGCAACGCGCAATATCAAGACTCGAAGGCGCCTTCGAGTTCCGACACTGATAAAGCATCTTAATCGAGCTGGCTGCTGCGGGAGAGCGCATACCAAGAGGAGGGTCACAATGAACTGGAGATTCAACTCCTAGAAGAAGTACTGGATTTGACGCTCACGTGAACGCGTTTCTGGACTCATATACAACCTGTTGTTCGTTGCCTCAGAAGACAACTGCTTCATCTGTGTAGGTGGTTACAACCCGATGGGATAGGTCTTTCGTCAAGCCTGCTGTACAGTGCTCCGTATCCCGGGGTTCAACGGGGTTCCTGTCCGGGATGTAGGGATCATCCGATGATGCTAGTCCGCTAGTATGCATATCTTCAATGTACGGACGCTCAAGAGGAAGTTGACAAGGTGAATCTACCAGGTGTATCATTCTTGATTGGCGACCATTCCAGTCCTCGGTAGCGCTACCTAAGTCTGCCAAGTCCGTCGATCCCTTCTTCGCTGGCACATGCAGCTCGTATGTCGTAGCGTGGTGAATGTCACCGGTAGAGGCTTTAATGCAAACTAAAGCTTGAACATGCAACTGTCGGATGCCTTCCGAAGTTCCGTGGGATCCTCATGCATCAGTACTAAATGTGATCGCAAGCCAAAGTCTTCCCATTGGCAAGCACACCTACGCACGTCAATTTGACCCGCGACGAGTTGTGTGCGCGGAGTTGTCGCAGATCTCGATCATCCAAGTCTTGGGAGCAGATCCTAGTGTGCGTCGTCTGAATGGTCGGTTGAACGTAAACTGGCGAGGGTTTGGTTCCCCGCCTAAGCGTCTCTGCTTTTCTTTCGCCCACGAATGAAAAGCTGGTCTAATTGCCAATTGGATGTGGCCTTTCAATGGAGAGTGGGGCTTGTTCAGCCTGGCTTTTCTTCCTCTTGTCTGTGCCACAGCTGAAGAACAAGGGGTCTTAGCACGCCGGCATTAGGCGGCGGCCTTTGTTTGAAACCTCGGAACCACCGAGGACCGCCTCTTGTACATCAACAAGACCTTCAGTAGTGTCCTGAAAGTCGAGGTTGTATCCCCTATCAAAAGCCGAGGGTTTTCCTTCCGCCATGCATTGGGCAGCATGATGCCTCTAGCAAGTGGCGAGTCCGCCTCAGCGCCCTCCAAAAGTGCCAGGAACAAGAAGTGCCTTTATTGCGACAGAAAATTCGTCAAGGCTGAGCATCTTCGTCGCCATCAAAGATCTCACACCGGGGAAAGACCATTCCAATGCAAGTACTGTTTGAAGGAATATGCAAGAAGGTAGTCTGTCCAGACACACCCGTCTGCGACTAAGAAGCTGATTGTTGCTATTAAAGTGATGTGCTGATGAGGCATATACGAAATCATCACTTTCATGTCGAAAGCGAACAAGATACTAAATCTTCAGACAAAAGCGTCTTGGAAGACGAGGCAATCACAACCCCGGCCGTTGCGGATCCCACCGAGTCTGTCCAAACCATGCCGAAGCAGCCTGCAAAGCCTCCTCATCAAGCCACTGTTGCTTTCAAGAACAGCCAAACACCAAGTGATCCGGCAATGGCCGCTTCTCATTCAACTAACCTAAGGCTGGACTATACCATGAACGCTCCAGAGATGCGCCAGAGTCCCCAGGACCAGGAACGGGCAAGTATGATGTATCATACTGCTTCCCGTACGAGCCATAAGCCAGAGATGCTTAACTACCAGTTCATGCAAACGGAGCCGAGAATGGCTCCTGAGCCATTTATCAACATTCATCCCTGGCTGGATGGATACACGCAGGATTTTGCCTCTGTCCCCAGCAGCAGCGGGATGTGGGACGAGCTTCCACAGCTAGATTTCATGGGTATCCCCAACGGCTACTATCCCTCCCCGTCCGCTTCTCGCGCAATGCAACCATCGCCCCCCAAGGACAATATATCAGACGAACGCTACGCGAAAATCGCAAGCTTATGGCCGACCAGAAAACAGGCTTCCCGTCGCTTAATTCAAACCCTCTGGCGAGATGTTGCGAACTTCGACGTGGACAACATATACTGTGAAGGCGACACCGGGAGCGACCAAGTCCCCATATCTTCAGAGGACCCTGTCGGAGGCGAGTCGAGGTGGGGGTTTGACAATGAAAGACGGGCGAGGCTTATCAACGACTGCCGCCCCTTGAATAAGCAACAATCGGAGAAAGCGCACATCGACAGACGCGTTTCAAACGACACTAGGAGTGACTCGGGTTCCAGCGGTCAAGACATCCAGAGTTTCGGCACTAAATTTCCATCAACCCAAATTCTAGACATCAGCATTGATCTTTACTGTAAGTCAATTCTTCATCGCGGTCCTCACCGATTGGCGGATCGGGTTTCATAGCTGACATGACACCTTCAATGTGGCCATAGTCCATCGCTTCCACCCATTGATGCCATTCATCCATCAACATACATTTTCAGCCAAAAAGACGTCAAGCACATTGTTGTTCCCTCTGTGCTTGTTCGGTTTAACTCTCCTCGACTCGGCTCGTGCCAAAAAGTTTGTTGATGCTCAATTGCCAGATGCCATTGAGAGATGCAGAAAGGATCTGGTTCTAAGCTCTCGTCGCGAGGGGCAACTAGGCGAGCTGCTCACAGCCCTAGCATCCTCGATCCTTCTTCTTGCTCTGGCTGCTGTTAGCCTCAAGCATTCGCTTGCAGAGTACACCCGCCTTTTGTACAACGAGACTATGTCCGTCGCGGACCGCCACGGCTTATTTGTCCCTCAACAGGGAGAGGAGCTTACTGCGGCGATATTCCAGACCTTTACGGGTGACGATGTGGTGTGGAAGGCGTGGGCCCGGGTTGAGTCGGTCAAGCGACTTATTGTCACGCTCATCATGACCGATTCTTTCTACTCCCATCTTGAGGGCCATAATCCTCTGATCCACCCAGAGCTTCTGCATTTTTACTTTCCGTGCAAGTCTGAGCTATTTCAAGCTCCGAATGGCAGACGGTGGTCTCAGATGATCACCAGCGGAGCAGCCACGATCATGCCTTGGCTTACGCCACAGCTAGAATCTACGATCCTCCCACCGCCATCGGATGCCAGCGCTATTGGATTTTTCGGCCTGTTCTCCACGATTTGGGTTCGCATTGGAGAAGCCAGATACAGATTCAACGTCAGCACCCCCGACAATACGGTTCTCCTCATTCCAGCAGAGGTTTTCGCAAAAGACAACCAAGCAGCCTCAATCATCCCCCTGATTCTACAAGTGTGGCAGACTTATGGAGAGTCTATAGGGTCGATCAATCCTAATTGCGAGGCTTTTTGGCATCATCTCTGTCTCGCAGTAACCGCTGACCTCGGGGTCTTTGAGCTCGCAGCAGGGCGAAGTGGAGCCGACAGTGCTAAGAGTGCTTTAGAAAAGATCGTGACGTGGTCTCAATCGGCAGCAGCACGCCGGGCGTGTGTCCATGCAGCACAAACGTTCTTCATCATGTCAAAGAGAAGCGTGAATAGCGGAACCTCGTTCGAAGCGGAGATCTCTCTAGTTCTCTCAGCTCTCGTACTTGGGCTGTACGTTTTCGTGATGCCCCAGGTCGAGGTTCCGAACGCGCCACAGGAGATCGAAGCCTTGGAACTTCTGGATCGTGTCAACTGGAATCTAGTTGGCGAGGAAGGGTTTGGGAAATACCCGCTGCCAGAGGCCAAGACGACGTGCCCAGCCAGAACGTGGATCAGAGATAATGGCCCGATCACCTTCTCGGGCGTCCTTCTCCATGGTGGATACTACTCTGCTCGAAGGGTGCTGCTCGATTACGTCTATCTTTTAGAAGATGTAGGGAAATGGAACGTCGGGGAGTTCTGCCACATATTACGAATTATGAGTGATGCGCTAATTGATCTTGACCCGGTCTGAATGATGGGATGCTAGTCACTGGGACACGAGGAAATGTCATGCTAGAGTTTGGTTTTTCAGCGAGCAGAGAGGTTCGCAGATGCAGATATGAGTTGTGGAAAGTTGTTGGATGTCATAGCTGCTTTAAGATGGGTCCTGAAGTTTGAGCACCACCAGCGGCACGATGGCAGCGTCAGAGAAAGCTCCACGTGTCCAGACATGGACCAGAGCGCGTCCTAAGGGTTACTTTGGGGGATCTCTCCCCGGCTCTGCACAACATTGATTGCCTGGCTCTGCAAATGTCTTTAAACGCAACGACAAGAAGACTGTTGCACCATTGAGCGAGAATTTGGTGAAAAGTAAGATGGACAAGAAGACCGATCGGAAGGATTGAGATGTCGACGGGGCTTCAAGCAGTCTCTAGTCTCGCAAATGGTCTGCAAGATATGTGAATAGGAATCGGTGGCGACAGAAAAATGGCCTGTTGGGAGATGAAAGTACACAAATATGCCCTGGCTGCTGTCTCGAGAACGACTGTTGGACATTGATACGGGGTTTGGTGTTGATACGAGTACGTACATACTGATCGGATTTATGATTATCCGCACATAAGATGCTACTCAGCTGCTTCCATCACTTTACCATGAAGCGGCTGTCCACGGTTCCCTCTCTCCTCGAGTCCTCGTACGGCCAATGACGGGGGGTTTCGGCTTTCCCCAGAATACTAACTACAAAGCACCGCGTACCTTGTAGGCCAAAAAGGTGCCGTGTGGGGGGGGGGAAGCCATGTGGCCCAAGGTCAGACAGGACAAACCTGGTATGTATTATTTTACCATTATTGATCAATGATATTTGATGCCTGGAAGATGCGGTTGGCGACAGACAATCAGCGAGCCCATTCTCAGAGGCGCCTAGCTCACAGACTTGGGACTCCGGTATGAGGGATCGAGTCGTATTTGTACGTAATTCACATTCCATGATGAGGTTATGACTTATGTGAATTGCCTCCCCCCAAAAATATCCGTTTGTCAGCGGGGTCTGACTGGCCGAAGGCCCTGCATGAGATGAGGTTGGTTGGGCAGGGGCCGCGGGGGCCGTCCGCCCTGTGATCACCCCCCGTGGGTTCAGAGTACAAAGCTTAAAGGGGCGACACTTCCCAAGGGTCCTCGCCTAGAAGCCGACGTTCCAGTTAAAAGCAGCCCCCTAGGCTCCCCAAACCCGGGGTTGTGGCTCATGCTCAAGCACGTCATCATCACGCTGCTCCTGCGCCAGTGAATCTCAAGAGTTGATTATTCCATCTTTTCTCCGCTCATCACTGAACTTCCACCATCGAGAGAAAATACCGCGCACGCTCACCAAGCTTTCTATTCTTGGGTGAGGGTGTGAGACCGACAAACCTCAATAATAGATAAAGACTGGTTTTCATCGTCCCTCCCTTTGCTCGAGCTGTCCCTCCCTCCCGGCCTCCCTCGATCTCTCTTACAACACCTGCGCTGTGACATTCAAACCCCGCCACCCCTCTCCATCTCAATACCTACGTTTACACGACGAACACTGCCGTAATGACCGTCCCTCTGTCGCCTCGACCCCTGCGTCCTGATGAGCGTATTCTTACCAATGAAGACGGCGGTATCGACACGCCTGCCCGTGCCCCCTCTCCAGTCCACAACTTCGGTACTCTGGCTGTTCATGCCGGCTCCCCCCATGATCCTTATACCGGTGCTGTGATCGAACCTCTTTCACTCTCTACTACATTTGCCCAGACTGCCGTCGGCAAGCCCGTCGGTCTGTACGAGTACAGCCGCAGCTCCAACCCCAACAGAGACAATTTTGAAGAGGCCGTGGCTGCCCTAGAACATGCGAGATACGCCCTTGCCTTTGCATCGGGCTCTGCGACCACTGCGACAATCCTTCAATCTCTAGCTGCTGGATCCCACGTCATTTCTGTATCCGACGTCTATGGCGGGACACATCGTTATTTCACAAAGGTGGCCCTTGCCCACGGCGTTGAAGTCACCTTTTCCCCGTCGATCGAGCTGGACATCGAAGAATTGATAAGAGAGCAAACAAAACTAATCTGGATCGAGAGTCCTTCTAACCCAACCTTGAGCTTGGTGGACATCAGACAAGTCGCCACCACGGCTCACAAGCACGGCATTCTCGTCGTCGTAGACAATACTTTCTTGTCTCCATATGTTCAGAACCCCCTTGACCATGGCGCCGATATCGTTATCCACTCGGTCACAAAATACATCAATGGTCATTCGGACGTGGTAATGGGCGTTGCAGCATTCAACTCGGATGAGCTCAAAGAACGCTTGACTTTTCTTCAAAACGCCATTGGCGCAGTCCCTTCTCCTTTCGACTGCTGGCTGGCACACAGAGGTCTAAAGACTTTGCACCTTCGTGCTCGTGAAGCCAGTGTAAATGCCATGACGGTTGCCTCGGCTCTAGAAGCTTCGCCTAACGTCCTTGCTGTGAACTACCCCGGTCTTGCGTCTCACAAGCAAAGAGCTATTGCTATCAAACAACACCGAAATGGCATGGGAGGTGGTATGCTTAGTTTCAGAATCAAGGGTGGCCATGCTGCTGCTGAACGTTTCTGTCAGTCTACTAAAATCTTCACCCTTGCCGAGAGTTTGGGAGGTGTCGAGAGTCTGTGTGAAGTCCCAAGTGCAATGACCCACGCCGGAATTCCTCAGCAACAGCGAGAGGCCATTGGTGTCTTCGACGATCTGATCAGGCTTAGCTGTGGTGTGGAGGATGCTGCCGATTTGAGGAAGGATGTTCTCCAAGCTGTCGAGAAAGCTGTCGTTGGTCCAAAGATCAATAACGCTCTCAATGGTGCTCCTAGCGGTCATCGTTCCAATGGTGCAACTGTATCCAGGCGATGAATGACGCATTTCAGCCATATCTCCTTATCATCGGAGAGATGACTCGTCCCTTTGAATGACATCGGTGGGATCCTGCCACCCAGAACACTGTTCCGCCAGTCGAGTCGACACTCTACTACTTCATCTATGGCAGCTATCATCCTCTGCATCACGATACCTTTATGACTGGGACCGCGTTCTGAGAGCAGCCACGACCTCCAATCCACCGCTAGTTGCAAACCGCCATCGCAGAGTGGTACTACGGTTGTTTTCTCTGCAGGGATCTACCACTTTCATTTACGGCCATTACGAAGATGATATATTTGACCAGATAAGAGATGAAAATCAAGAAAGTTAGACTACTTTGCGAAAGTCGAGGGGCCACACCATTTTGATCTTCATATGCTTTCCACAAGCAAGGAATAAGATACCCAAAAATCTGATTGAGAGTCTCGCAGCCCATAATCAGAAAGAGAGTTGCGAGCTAGAGTTGGAAACAGTTGAGTCGAGGGGAATTCCTCTTTTGAATTTATTTCACAGGCGGGAAGATGGAACAATATTCAGCTCACGGATTAACGAGAGAAGTGATTTGGGAGGCGAACTGGTTTTGGGTAGCACGCAATCAATAATACGGGGTTTGTTCGTGGAATACTTCAATATTCCTACTCCATTTCGAGACTGAATCAGCCCAAAAGTGATAACTCCTTTTCTATTCCATTTGCAATTCCCCCCCCCCCCCCCCGGCAAACCCCCCCTTCCCAGAAAGAGCCAAAGAGGCAGTTTGCTGGAAAAGGCTCAGACTTGGTTCATCCCATTCAACTCGGAATATCAGGGAACTTGAATTTGCATATGGGAGTACTGTAGGTTGCGAGGATCTACATACTCTCAGAAAACAAGGAGGGGACAAAGAAGCGAAAGACAACTGCAGAGAAACGCCACTCAACAGGCGACGTTCCATTTTGAAACACTACATTACTTCTACACAAATATATCTTAACAATGGTGGAGGCGCTCTGCTCATTCAATTCATCTCATTCATAATTCGTCGAACTTCGTGAGTCGCGGGTCTTCTTGCTCTTGATGCTGGCGCTGTGGAGAAGTTTTTCCACCTGCTTCTCCCTCGAAACTACTGCTTAGGGCACTACTTAGCAAGCCTGAGCCTGACAGCTCATGGGGCTCTTCGGGAAGGACGGTTTTGCGGTTGCGGTTTCGGTCTGCGATGTTGAGGAGGAGAGACTTGACTTCGTCGGGGAGGTTGTTGTGGGCGAGTATGCGCTCGTTGTCAGCGGGGGAGCCGTGGTGGGTTTCCACGCCTAGGCGAAGACTCTTGTTCCAGTGTCCCGCGTCGCGGTGCAGCCCGAGGCCGGCTTGTACGGGGTCACCGTGGAAGCACCATTCCTTGACCAGGATCAGGGCGAGGAAGAGAAGGGCGATGGACACCATCGTGTACCAGCACACCGTGTTCACGCGGACCCATGCCCGCCGGTTGGAGGCTTCTCGTTGCTCCCAGTTCTCCAAGATCATTCGCGCATTCTCCAGCCGCTGCGACAGGTCCTCCGCGCGTCGTGATGCGGTTTTCCCGCGTTGGCTCAATTCAGTGGCGCGCTGATCCCGCGCTTGGAATGTTTCTTGGAATGTGGCGGCGCGGTGACGAGTATCTGTCTCCAGGCGGTGGGTTTCTTTCTCGAAGTTGTGCACTAGCTGGCCGGTTTGTTTGGAAAGGGATTGGAATGAGGTGATGGTTCCGATTAGATTGTTGAGTTTTTCGAGGAGGTTGTAGTACCCGTAGTCAAGGCGCCGTGTCATATCGACACCGGTGGCTGTGATCTCGTTCACCCGGCTGCGCATCTCGTCTTCTGCCTCAGCCAGCTCAGCGTCTCTTCGGATGATATCGTCTTTCTTGACGTGAAGACGTCTGGCGAACCGGGTTTGGTCTCCGCGCTCCAGTAGCAACTCGAATGAAGTTTTCTGTACCATGGGTAGTTGATCTGTGTCACTCGTCGCACGTCGGTGGAGGTCGTATCGTCCGCCATTATTGTAATCAGCGTTAGTGCTCTCTGAAGGGCCGAAGGTGCGTTGGAGGTCGGCGTATCTGGACGATTGAGGTGATGAGGATGAGAGGTTGTTGTGAGAGTATGCGTTGTCGTTGCTGAATAAGGTTGTCTGCAATGTGCGTCGCTCTTTTTCGGCGTTGAGTCTTGCGACTAGATGTGGCAGTGTGGACGCGGTGTTTCTATCCTTGTCGTGTTTCGGATTGTGGCTACCAGGATGGGCTTCGCTCTGTGTATGTCGATGTCGTCTGTGGGATACGTTCTTGCCTGGACTGTGGTTCTGACCGGAACTTGAGTGTGATTGAGAGTGATGGTGTTGTCGATGGCTAGAGCCTGGGAGGTGGAGCCGAGGGAGCTTCTCTGCCGTTTTCTCAAAAGCTGCTGTCGCTGGAGCTGCAAGGAGCGCAGCTCGCGAGTGAGACTTAGAATCCTCAGGTGCAAGGTACGACTTAGCCCGAGTGTGCTGTGGCCGCGTCAAGGGGTGCCTTGCACTGGGAGGTGCTACGAATTGTGATCGTTCGGGAGAGGCATCTGATCGTGTTGGGTTGGTATGTGATCGAGAACGGGACAGAACTGGTCGAGGATGGCTGTAGCCGCTTGCCATTGCAAATGACATCTGGCTTTCAAACAAAGACATTTCAAAGGTTGGAATGCCAGACCGAGGATGAGTGTTAATGATCAGAGGACAAGAGAGGCATCTCGGCAATGGTGGCTGCCCTACTTCGAAGTCCTGAGTTTCCCGCTGCCGAGGGCACAGGAGAAGTGTGAAGTCGCTTACCGTCATCGACGAGGCCGAGTCACGCCCTCCAAGTCATCCAAGTCACGTGCGAGGCTGGGCATACGAGTACTGTAAGTTCTCAGGCCAAGAACTTCTGACTTTTCCTGCACACGAAAGGAGATTGATCCATTGGCCCTTATACCAACTTTACTCGTAGTAGTCCGTAAGCACTCGTACATGAGGCCTCCTGGTATCGAACCTTGTTTGCCCAGAGACATGGCGGATAACGGTACCAGAAGTACTTCATATATACCAATCCTCAGCTTTTCGAGAATGCAAGGGAAATTATCCACCTGCTAATCAGTACGAGTGGACTACTTGGAACGTGTAAGCTGGAGCGCATGTGGCCTCCCCAGACCTTGTCATAACTCCACAAATGCACCCAAAGAAGCACAGCTCTAAATGGGCGCCTCAGTCCTTCCATCTCGGGTCTCGCTAGTCGCTACTCGGACAGTACTGCAGTGCTTTACTTCTGACCGAGGACTCCGTGTATGTGACTGAATCCTTCGATTGTGCTCCGTGGACCGTCATCTTCCGTCAGATAGCCCCTATTCCAGATACAATCTATTGAGAAGGCGTACGCGTAGATATCTAGCAATGGATCTCCCTGAATCTGACAGATCGTCGGGCCCGCTTCCCTGTGGGTGCCTGGGGGTGTTGTTGGCTTGGCATGGAAGGGAGAGTCGGAAAGAGTATAAGCGCCAGACGCGTTAGGCTTAGCGCCAATAAAATTCCCACTTGGTAACTTGGAAGGCGCATGAAGGCGAGAGAGTCCAGGTCGCACCTTCCCTATTCCCGTTATTTCCAAAAGGCGCGTCTCTCTTTTTTTCGCCCACCACTGGCAGGGACGAGAAACCGGACAGTCCTGTATCAGCATCGGCATCAGCATCTGCATCAGCATCTTGCCTCATCATCTGGACTCATCATCTGGCCTCATCCAAGCTCCCCATCGCCTTGCAGCCTCATCCCATCGACTCTGCCTCTCTTTGCTTCTTGCTAGGCTGGTCTCTTTATTCTTCTCCTGCCTCGCTACTTCACACTCTCTTCTTCTCATCCATCATCGTCAAAACTCTTCCGTTTCCCGTTGCCTTACATCATCCACTGGACTCATCGACTCGAATTCTCTCATCCATCCTCGCGTACTCTCACGATGGCTGACTTTGAAGATTCTGCTGCGCGCTATGAAGGTAACGTCACCTAGCCTTGCGTCGACTAATCATCATCTAATCCTCGTCCAGATGACCAACGCTACGAACGTCGTGATCGCTCTGCATCGCCACGAGGTGACCGTGATGATCGAAATCGCAGCCGCTCACCCAATGGCCGTGAAAGACCGTCAGTACAATCTCATTCCTTATTCAACCCCCACTGACTTTCCTCAGTCCTCCACCTCCCTCGGACACAAGAATGAAAGACGCTCCAGAAGATGAGGGTGCTGTGAACACCGGTTCAAATCTTTTCGTCACTGGCATACATCCTCGCCTCACCGAGGGTGATGTTTCTCGCTTGTTCGAAAAATACGGTGATGTGGAAAGCTGCTCAATCATGTTGGATCCTCACACAAAGGAATCTCGCGGCTTTGGCTTCGTAAAGATGGTAACCACTGAGCAAGCCGAGGCTGCCAAGGAAGGTCTCCAAGGCGAGACCATTGAGGGTCGCACTCTCAGCATTGAGAAGGCTCGTCGTGCGCGTCCCCGTACACCAACCCCAGGCAAATATTTCGGTCCTCCCAAGCGTGGTAAGGGAACTTCTTCCTGGTCTGATACTTGACGCTAACTTGTCTCAGGTGATTTCCGTGGACCCCCTGGTGGTGGCCGTGGTGGCGGTTATCGTGAGCGCTACGACGATCGCCGCGGTGGCTACCCTCCCCGTCGTGACGATTATCGTGGCTCTCGACACAATGATGATTATGAGCGACGAGGCTACGGAGGTGGCGGTCGTCGTGAGAGAGATGACGGATACGGCGGTCGCGGCATTGATCGCTATGAGAGTCGACGTGGTGATGATAGCTACACTGGAGGTGCTAGCGGTGGCGGCAGTGGTGGCGAGCGTCGTGGCTACTACCGTGGCGGCGAAGATCGCGGCTATGGAGCCACTCCCCGCGACGAAGCCCCTCGTGATTACGCCGGTGGACGGGATTATCCTCGCGAGGACCGATATGCTAGCAGGTAAGGAGACATCGGTCTACTCTCATGTCAACACATTTCCTTCACACGGATGTGAAGCCTCGGCCAGCTATGACAAGTATTTTCGGTCCGTTCGATGTATTTTCGCTATGCTCTATCCAGCTGCGACCACAAAAGCACACTTGTTATTTCGAGACAGAAAGGCTATGGCCTTTGTTCTTCGCGGCGCAGCAGGGAATCGGTTCATGGTTGATCAATGACCAAACGGTCAAAAAAATTTGCTCCTGATCGACGGCATGATTGTCGACATGTATCACAACCATCTCGCCTGGCTCTTTTTCTCGTACTCGACTAAAATCATTATGGGGTTTTTTGCGGCAGTCAGCATACTTTCGTTGAGCGCCTGCTTTCACCTTAGTTGGCCTTCCCGCCCAAAGAATCGGCGTCAAGATCGACCCAGAGTCTGTGCCTTACGCATCTTGCAATCCAAAAAAAAAAATAACAATGCACCGCCATTAACGCCATGATTTCACACGCCAGTAGTTCCGCCCGTCGCTCAATTAATCACTCCTGTCAGTACATGCCAGCACTCAAACCCCCTTGACAGCATCATAATGCGACTTTTTTGAACTGCAGCACAGACCACCATCACCCTTATTGACAGCTCTCAACAAGTATACCTGCAGACTTCAAGTACTCACCCATCGTTGCCGATATTTTAACCCTCCACAACTCACTAGGTACATAAGAACTTGCAACTGGCTACAACTACAAACGTGATGTTGCTGGCCAGACATCCTGATCCCATGCTCGAATTCCAGGAATCTCCAGTTGAAAACAGCAATCATGTGCATATCAGTTTCCTGCCATTGAGGCTGGTGAAGCTGAGATATTTTAATATTGTACCTCGACATTCCAATCTGAGCTCTCCATGGAATCGATGTTAAACAGCGTCCACAAATGATATGAGATCAAGGCAGAGGTATGTCTCCATTGCGTGGGCACTGGTACTAATTTGATACCTGTCGACTACGAGAACGTGACCGATTGTTTCTTGAATACAAAGTGCTCTTCGAATGCTTGTATGGAACTGGCGACTTCTCTTTAGTTGCCAGCCTTGGTGGTCATGGAGCAAGAGACTACGGTCATTCAAGATCAACGAATCAAAATCAGAGTCACGAAGAACGAATATGACTCTTGCAAAGGTAACTTCAGTCTTCGACTAAGGCTGCAATTCCCGCATGAGCGATGAATAATGATGTTAGCGGCTTTCCACGAAGAGCCTTCGTCGCCTGGTCAGGAGGAGCGTGCTTTATCCGGACGACTAAATTTTAGGTGATAAGGGCCGAATGCTGGTGACGATCACGCTCCCATTCCAGGCCTTCGTAGCTTCGTCGGATTACATCCGAATCTACCTCCAATGGACTAGCGGAACCAAATTGAGGCACTAATCACTGTGCACAGGGCCTGTTGTCCTGACATCTCTCTTTCGATTGCAGAAACTCCACACGAATGAGCGACAAAACCCGCCCACTGTGACTGCCTTGTCAGTGTTGAATTCGAGAGGAACCTGCACAGGGATCTTCACGGCATGATATTCTAAATTCACATTCTTTCTCTACATAAATCGCATGGACCTTTCCGTGCTTCGTACATGCTTCCCCTCGGGATAATGTATGCAGGTAGTCATCACAATTGCAGACTCACTATTAGCATCACCCAAAGAGCATCCTACAGTTGTCCAGAACGGGTAGGGAAGCGATTGAAAATCAATAACGCCATGCAGGCCATCATACTTAGGAAAGAGCAAATATTATTTTGGTCTACCAGAGAGATGGTAGGTCGTCCCTGGGGTGGTGATATTGATTCGAGCCGGTCTCAAGCCGCATATCACATAGACAGGCCACTGGGAGAGCACTGGAGCAGGTACAAGGCTGCAGCTGCGATTGGGTATAGACGGGACAGATGCAAGTAGTATCACATCGTGGGCGCCTGAGCAGAAGCGATCATTGGTGAGTGGTGGAGTGACGCTCGGGCCACCTTTGTGATGAGAGCGAATAGGCAAACCCTCAACTCTTGCGATAAAATCTACCCGAGTTTCATGTATATCTATAACCGCCCACCTCGACCTCTTCTGCGACCTCTCCTTTCTCTCTTCTCCATCCCAAAACATTGATTGTTCTGGAGCGTTTCTTAATCGTATAGTTCTCTATTCTTCATATCTGCAAATCTAAAATTGGCTGGTCCACTTTTCTATTTTTGCCACAACCCCTGCTATTCCCAACCACTACCCCGCGCTTCTGATATACGGATACACAAATCTTTATTATTTCATATCAACTTGGAAAGATCGCTATATCTTCAACGCTCCCAAGCCTTGCTCAAGTCTACCGTGCCGATCACTATCAACACCTCAACTCGAAAGACTCATCCTATAATTCCACAATTCAATATCCACCAAACAGTCAACATGTTTGCCTCCAGAGCCGTCAAGCCCAAGTTGTCCTTGAACATCTCGTCGGCAACGAGCCCAGCCAGCCGACCAACATTGTCGCTCAAGTCACCAATGACCATGACAGCCATGCGATCACCCATCTCCCCAGCTCCCGTATCGCCATCTCCCATCAGTCCCACGGTACGCAACACGAGGCTGAACCAGCGGGGTTACTCGACTACCAGTGTGCAGCAACCAACATACGCATATGCGAACCCCAGCACGTCACGGAGCATCTTGAAGAAGTCCTCACGATCAACATCAAGCTCCAGCTCTACGCGACGACAGTTGTCTTTCTCTGAGACTCCAGTCGTGTATTGCGTCACCCCGATCGAGGAGGAAGACTATTACGGAACCAACAACAAGAAGATGTCCCGGGACGAACGGAGATGGCTTCGGAGATGACCTTCATCATGAGGTGATGCATTATTCATTGACTTTGCAGCGTTATATTGTGTGTTATATTGAAGACATTTATGATATGATGACACCCCATGGGCCATGACCAAGGGGAGGGCGAGGTGGATACCCGCCCACAACCGTTTTTCGATAATTTGATGTGGAACAAGCTAGATGCAGGGCGTCACCATCCTTCACAGGACGGGTTTTTGAGGCCGGAACAGATTTCGTGTGTACATAGAAGAAGAGATACTACTTACCGGGGACGGACAAGAAGAGCACATCACTATCCCTCATACTAAGCAACAATATCACTTGTCACCCAGGAACCTGGCCAAATTAGAGGAGTCCCTGATCTGCGAATCTGTGTCTGTATAAGCTTGCCACAGGTGTTGTACTAGCATGCCTGCGGGATACGGAGAGAAGATAGTCGTACTTATCATTCTACTCGTAAAGTTAGTTATCTCTGACCGCCAACGGTAGGGCGATCCTACTCTCCTACTCGTACGGAATACATAGCGCGGGCACGAGGCTCGGGAAGGGGGGGGTGTCCCTGAACTTGGCAAGCCCGCGATTCTTGTTTTCCGTCGAGAGAACCCTCCTGAACCTGTATCCCACTCAGCAGCTAATTCTCGACGACATGCATTTGTTCCGCAGCTACTATGGTAGATTGCCAATTAACTTCCGACATCAGAGCTAAAGTGGACGATAAGCTGGACAACGAATCGGCGCGTGGAGAAAGGTACATTTGACGATCCCCATGGATGGAGATACCCGCCGTACCTATTTTTAGGCCGCCGCCTCCACGCGTGGATCATTTAAGCGCTTGCCAAAAAGACAACCTGCGTTTCGAGATTTTTGGACTTCATCCAAGCAGCTCTTGACTTACTCGCTGGACAGTCTGTGATGTGTATGTGTGTGAGTGGAAATGTTTGATTGATACGGCAAATGATCGATTATGCCCTCCTGCCCTGAGTTGCGCACTGGGCAGCCTCTCCATTACAGACTTCAAACCCATCCCAGTTGTATCAGAGGGAAACGCCGTATCATCCTATGGCCAGGCGGCTACATTTCATAACTCAATCTGTTATGATATCCATGGGCTGACCAATACCCACGTTGACCACTCGATCTATGCTAGGTGCTCTGGGGCAGCAGGAGTTACACTAGCCAGACAGGGTCTACCTGAGGCCACGACTTACCGGAATGGTATAAACTCAGCCTTTCCATACATGCCTCGCCCATGCCTCCCGGCGGCTACTGGAGATTCGCCTCGCAGAGAGCGGCTGTCATTCCCTCTGTCAATGGCTCGCGCCTTGACATGACCTAGGATTTGTACCAAATATACGTATGGCGACTACATGCATGGAGGGCAAGATCCACACAAACAACCTCACAGCGCAAGGCTCAAGTTTCACTTTGGCTGCAGATGTGGCTCCTTCCACCACGACTACGGCTGCTGACCAATGAACCAGGCGATTTCATACTCCCCTTGAGGCGCCGATGCCAGATCGTGCGCTTGGAGCGAGCCTCATCGTCAGTTTTAAGTGTTATGTGAGACTTGATCGAACAGTGTCCAGTTTCGCGTCTCTTTTTCCTCTTTCAAATCTGAAATTGACGCCCCGAGTTTCAAGTTGTCTGCAAGGCGAATGTGCGCTGGATACAAACCTTCATAAGCCTCTGGTCAGGCTCGAATCATCCGGAACTTCAAGTTTTCTTTATGTCCAGTCCTCGACCTTTTACAAGGAGGTCGCCTCGGTCGTTTTGTTTATTGCCCTCCTTTCTTCGTGTACCCTCGTTGTACTTCACCCTTTTCTTCCCTTCTCTAATCATAATCCTGACTCTGCTGCCCACATCCACTAGCGAGCCGGTTTCTCGACCTTTGAGCCTGGTGTTCAAGGACCTATTCTTCGGTCACAGGACATGACCAGGCGTCTTACATTTGAATCAATGCCAAAGAAGCGAACAGTACCACGCCAGCCTGTACCGAGACCAGCACCATACAACCTTAGACATCCAGCAAACACGACCACGAACATGGCCGCAATTATGAACCCTCCCTTTCAGTCTTGGCCACAAACTCAACCAACTCATAATATGAGTTGGGGAGACCCTCATTTGCAGTACACTCAACAACCTATGATGGCGACTCTAATGCAGCCAATTAGACCTCCATCGATACAGGCTACTCTCATGCAAAGGGAGCAGGTGCCACGACCGGGTCAAAGTGGGCCATGGACGCCAGAGGAAGATGCCATCCTTTTGGAAGAACGAAGCCGTGGGTCAGCTTGGGATGACATTCATAATCGGCACTTCCCGGGAAAATCAGGAAATGCCTGTCGCAAGCGACATGAGAGGTTGTTGACCAAGGCACGTGACACAAACTGGGACGATACCAGAATCAACAATCTCCTGGTTGTCTACAGTCGTCATCGCGAGAGTGTGTGGAGGCAGGTGGCGGATGAAGTGGGAGAGAAATGGGAGGATGTTGAGCGAGTGGTAAGTACTGTTTCTTTGAACCCGGCTTGATGGCTTGCAGGCTGATTCGTGTGAATGGCAGATACTTCAACAACGGCTTCGAAATCTGCGTGTGGGAGTTCGCCCTGGACAACATAGAAGAACCAGGTCACGCACGAGCTCCAATCCAGCCGTGTTTGGCGAGTATGAACGCCAATCGTCCCAAGACGAACTCGAGCACACCGACGACAGTGGTATTGCCCTGGGTCAAGGTGGACATAGTCGACGCACAAGTGAGCTAGGGACGAACGTGCTTCAACCACACAACACAACTGTCACCACGACCAGTCTTCCCAGCGTCGACCACATCTTGTCGGAGCCGCTGAAGCTTGAGTATCTGTCTTCAGATCATCACCACGGCCATGGCTATCACTCAGACCCTCGAGTCGGAAACGGGTACAGCTATTCACACTGAAGGGGAAAACCAAAAAAAGAAAAGAAACAACGAGACGTACTAATACAGAAGATCAAGACGGATACAACAGCTTTTCGGATTGGTTATCGGCCCAGAGTTGGATTAAGAAACGAATTTGCTTCTTGCTCGGTTTTAGTGTTACTAAGGAGTTTGCCGGAAGGCGTACGATAATGTCGGAAGGGAAGACTGGATCATTGAATTTAAGAGAGGAGGAGAGCGCGCGTGCCGGTTGGTCTATTTGGATATGCACCCCTGTGCGGCGATCTACTCTGCACTATTTGGCCCTTTTTGTATGAGTGGATGGATGCATGGCGTTCTGTACGGCTACGGATATGGAATGGAAAGATTCCCGCAGCTAGGAATCAAAATTGGAGGAGGACGAGCTGGCGTGGAAACCACGCCAGCAAGGAATGGGATGGACAACTGGACAATAACTGCATAGAATACTGGAAGGGCAAGAGCGAAGAAAGGGGAGAGGTAGAGAGAGAAAACCGCGCCTTGGGTACCTCTATGCGTGTGCCAAGTACCAAGTTGCCTATCATGAAATAACGAATACCTTACTTTTACCCACCTAAACTTCCCAGGCTGCCTGGGGGTTACCTGACGCAGGAGCCCTTGGGCCTCGTGGGCTTTCAATCAAATCACTCTAGCACGCGCTCTCGGAATATCCCGGCCGAAAGTCCTTGCTCGACCGGCCTTATGATTCTCCGTATGGCCGGTGCAGTTTGGGGAACACGGCTTCTCCAGGCGAGGTCAATTTATCTGTTTGTCTCTCGAGCCATTGCAATCTTCAACTCTCATGAGAGAGTCCAACCATAGCGCATTCTACCTTGTGATGAGACGGTAGCGCGCAGCACATTATGAATACAGTATGTAAATCATTCGTCGCTGGACGACACGCCCCGCTGACTTTGTTGCTAGATTAGATCAACCTGGTATGCTTCCATCTCGTTTCAGCCCACCACGAAGACGCCCTCACCGCTGCCGTGCTTTCAAGAGCTTGGTATCATCTAGCATTGGGCGCAAGACATGGCGAAGAGCTGACAGACCACCTCCCTTAGGATGGGCTGGGGAGTCCTCTGTGTGGCGGGCGGAGGAGCCTACTATTTCGCGAAGCGATCCATCAATGCCGACCGAGCGGCACGGTTCGAAGCGGAACAGAAGAAACAGTCGCGACTACGACGATTAGAAGCCCAGCAGAGCGGAGCGTTCAGCGACGCCTCGATCAAGTCTAGAACGAAAACGCACGCCGGCAACAGCACCAAGGGCCCCGATCATGCAGGGAGCCCGAGCAGCGAGATCAGTGAGGATGCGGCGCCGGTCAGTCATGCACCTGTCGACGCAGAGCAGCGGGCGAGGGAAAAGAGCAAGTACGAAGCTGCAGAGCCATTCAGGAGCAAAAAGGGCGACAGGTTCAGTTGAAAGATCTTGTGTAAAACCAACGGAAACGACCCACGAGATGCTCATGGAACATGAGCGGGGCCATTTACGAAAGAAAGAAAAGGACAATCGGGATACAGCCTGAATTGTCGTGTACATCCCTTTCCCCCCTCCGCCGACGCTAATGGGCCCGTTTCATTATACGGCCAAATGCCCAAACTCGTTCGCAGCCCGATTTGAGAACTGGTATCGCTTGATGTGTATATCATGAGTCGCCATTCGAATGCAGAAATCCAATTAAAACCACTGACCTCCAACGCCGACCATGTGCTGGTATCATATCATGTCTTGTGTGTTGCAATTAAGCGTGGCAGCATAGTGGTGCATAGTGCTGTTTCCTCGAAGCGTTTGGATGCCCCGAGTCTCGTTCTCGCTTTGATTCGATTGCCGGCGGGACGAAGGGCAGTATGACGGCAGATGTGATGAATGCGCCGGCCACAGCAGATTGTAGTTTTGTAGCTTGTCTTGGAGCTTGTGCTGAGAAATGGCGGACGGCCGTGTGGGCGACGGAGTTGGCGACGACGCTGCTGACGCTCATGTTTGCGACTTCTTTGGTGGTAGGAAGTTGGAGAAAGCACACCAAGACCAGGTGCCGGGGCAATTGAGGACAGCTGGAAACGACCCAAAGAGAGAGGGGCTGCCTGGGGGGGAGAGGCCAGGTATTTGAACCACTGTGGTTGTGTGGTTTATCTTACAGAAATGGAAGCAAGCGCATTTGCAAGCAAGCAGATTGGTTGCAAAGTGACGCAGCCAGCCTGTTGGGGGGTGGGAAGTGCTCCTCGTACATACGCCTGGTGGGATGTTGGACACAGGATTGCAGCAGGCAACGAGAGTGTGGAGGCCGTGGTGGAGGAGCGCCGGTGAAAGATTGAGTCACAGGTGAGTACGAGCAACTCGAACGTGGGAATCGGAGAGGATTGCGTGCTCAGGGCGTAATGTACGGATTGTCACTGTATCAGTTGGGCAGCTACGAGTATCCATTCACCGAAGAGATTGGGGTGGCCTATAAGATATAGAAAATACAATGGTCGTGGTCGCGGTAGTGGCCTGAGGGCGACCCGACGTTGTGCTGCCCCCGTACCAGCACCACAATACCGTGGCATTTGTCGATGGTTTGTCATGCCACACTGAAGTCCCGGGCAGCCAGGGGCACCCAAGGGGGCACCCGTGGGGGGGCTGATGAAAGCGTTTGTTTACGAGGACACCGAAGACCATTCATTTCCTGACCATCTGCCAGTGGCCCAGTGGTTAGTCCGACTTACCCGCGGAATAGAAGCCGGGATGTGTTTGTCGGCTAGTGTACGGTGTACCTCGTCCACACAGCAGTTGACGGAGAAGTCTGGACTCAGGAGTCAGGCGGGTTGGGACCGACGGGCTTGTACGAAAGGCCGCCGTGCCCTTAGCAGTGTGGTTGCGGTTGCAGTGCGTGCTTCGGGAAGACGGCACGAGTCGATGTGCCCGAGCACCGGGCTCTCCAAACTTGGGGGCAAGTCGATGCTAGGCACTCTGTAGCCTCGCAATTACATCCATGCCTTACATCTGTCGTAGGTAGGGATGTAGTGCGGAGTATATGTATATAAACCGCCTCAGTCGGCGGTGGGCAACTTGACTCCTCGAGAGGGCTGTTGTGATGTCATCTAGTTTACAGGCCGAACTAAAGATACTACATATAATAATGACAGCAGCTGTGATGACCCATGAAAGTGTCTTCATTTATTCGTTTATATTCATACTTAGTTAATGTGTGGAAACAGAGAAGTAACGCGACTCTGTTCCTTCTCCTAGACGCACACGTTAGAGTCCTTGTATGTCAGACCCTTCTTTGAACTTCCGGCTCGGGCTGATGGCACCAAGGCGCTACCTACGAGTAAGGAGAAGGCTGGAGACACGTGAGGAACAACTTCCCAGGCTGAGTCACGTGCAGAGCCTAAGGTGTGATTTTAGCTCCTGGCATAATAGCGGCCATGCCCATATCTTAGTTAGTCAACAAGCTTCGCTGCCATACCTCCTTCCCACAAATACCACAAAGGCACTCTTGGCCGTCCACTAGACAGGTTACGCACCGGTTTTGGGGCATTGTAGGATGCTTAATTACGAGTAAGCTTTTTATAGGGCTCCCCAAGCAGCAAGAAACTTTCTCAGCCTAGGGGTCCTAGTAATAGCCACGCTATACTACTCCAGGCAACTAATTCGGCTATAATTCATAAATTAACCCCTTAGGTTCCTAAACGTACTCGGAACAGGCCTGTCGAACAATTGTGACACTCTAAAGCCGCGATAACTGTCAATGTCCCAAGGCAGCTTACAGGCTGCGATATGGGTTTTCCATTCAGAAGATCTTCTAACGCTTGACGAACCGTCACTTTTGAGAGCCGTGAGTGGCCTTTTGGTTGGGGGCCATGCCTGCTCCTGCGCCGGCGTGGCTGCGTATCCTAGGATCAACCACTGCATTCAAAGCCTTCGTTGGAGCAGGACTGCTGTTCCAGTATGTTACATGTCGTATGCCATCTGCGTACTCTGCCTATGCTACCACGGAAGGAAGGATTTCGCCCACGGCCCATTCTGGCTGCCTAGACTTGGTGCCGTCTCCAATGCTACCACCGTCGTCTGGACCCTCTACAGCGTCATTATCTCCTCATTTCCTCCATATGTACCCGTCACACCAGGGACGACGGATTATCTGTCCTTGTATCGGTTGCAACTGTACAGAGTTCTAATAATTCCAGCAGCTTGCAGACTAGTATCATTTCATATAGGTAAAGAGATATTTCCCGAAGCGTGGTTACAACTTCGACGCTCCATAAGATCTATTCAAAGACAACTGGTCCATTTGAAGGAGACCATAGTCCCTGAACATTTCTGATGTTCTTGTTTTTTGAGCTTCGATACGGCCCTTCAACGCCAGTCCCTTTTTGATCTCATTCCTCCCGAGCTGAAAGAGGTGTACTTCGTCTGGTCCATCGACGATCCTCATCATCCTTGCGATCGCCGACATGGCGGCTAATGGAGTGTCTTGAGAAACACCGGCACCTCCATTTGCTTGTATCGCACGATCAATGACTTTGGTCATAACCTTTGGAACTAGCACCTTCACCTCGGCAATTTCTTTGAGAGCATGTTTCGCATCACCTTCATCAATTTTCTGGGCAGCATTCAGCACAGCAAGTCGGGCTGCATCAATGTCAATCCTGCTTTGTGCGACTCTCTCGATCAACATCCCGTGCTCAGCAAGCGGTTTTCCAAAAGTGGTTTGGCTAGGGTCTCCGACACGAGCAAGTGTCCATTCAAGCGCTTTTTCAGCCTGCAAGACTTCATCAGCGGAAACTATTAATAACCGAGAGACTTACCGCCCCGATGGACCTCATGGCATGGTGAATTCTTCCAGGCCCTAGTCTGCCTTGGACAACTTCGAACCCTCGGCCTTCACCCAAAATGACACTCGCCTTCGACACGTGAACGTTGTTAAAGGAAATGTGAGCATGGCCTTCTGGAGCATGATCAAACCCGATCACAGATAGGACCCTCTTCACTGTTACTCCAGGTGTATCGGATGGCACAACCATGACAGAATGCTGCCGGTACAAATCTTCATTGGTCGGATCAGTCCGTCCGAGCACAATATAAACCTTGCACCTCAAATCCCCTGCACCACTGCTCCACCATTTCTCAATGATGTTAGTACCTGATTTCTTATCCCGATTCTGCAGAACTTACCTCCCCATTGAGAACCCATCCACCGTCACGAGCTCTTTCCATCCTAAGTCCCGGCCCAATGTTCGTTGCATCACTACTTGCAACTCCTGGCTCCGTCATCAAAAAAGCACTTCGAATAGTGCCTTCTAGTAATGGCTCTAGCCACAATTTCTTCTGTTCCGCATTCCCATACTTGGCTAACAACTCCATGTTCCCTGTATCGGGCGCAGAACAGTTACACGCCTCACTTGCGATCATACTCTTACCCAGAAGTTCCGCCATGAGCGCATACTCGAGGTTTGTAAAATCAGCACCAAGGCCATGGAAGTGATTACGTGGCAGAAATAGATTCCACAGGCCTAAAGCACGGGCACGGCTTTTCAGATCCTCGAGGATGGCTGGATGGGCCGAGAACCGCTCCTGTGTCGTTTGGCCAAGGGCGGCCTCGAAGACGGGGTCCGCTGGAATACATTCCTGTTCGACGAACCGTTCCACCTAGAGCGCGAAGAAAGTGAAGCTAGTCAACTTCTGACGAGATTTCAAGATTGGCATATGGGTAAGAACTGTTGCTTACAGTATCAATACACTGCTTCGCCCTCTCACTGACGAGATGCCTCACAATAGAGGGAATCCGCTCAGATGCTGGTATGTGTCCATTGACACCGTTCACAAGGCAGGACGAATACATGGCTGTCACAGTAGAAAAGCTTGCTCTGCAATTCGGATATTTCTTATGCTGCGTCCGAACGGATGGTATATATGTTGTATTTCTCTATTCCTAGCCTTTCGGATGTTTTACGATAGTGGAATGGTTGAAACCTAAAAGCGTTAGTTAGTTGAGTTGAGTTGAGTAATCACTATCGTCTAAATCTTAGGGAGGACACGGGAGGCGTACCCGACACAGCGGATAGTCTCACCTGGGAACGGCCAAGAACCCAGCTGATCCGAGGTCTCCCAACCACGTGTTGACAATGGTTGGATTTCCAGAATTCGAAGAGTGTCGTGACTAAAAGCTATCGTTATGCAGAGCACAAGGTGAATGCATGAAAATCATGCTGTGACTAGAGCAAATGTCACAAAAGCCTCGGCTCTTGAGGAACCACGGTGCCACTGACATATTATCTACAAACCAGAGCCAGACAAACAGCCACAGAACAATACTCCGGAATATGGTCCTCCAAGTCTCCCTTACAATGAGCCTCTGGACTCTCTGCTTCCTGTCAGTTCTTGACAAGGAATGAAACGAAACATTGGAAGAATCGCCCTTCACACTGTGGGTTGATTCTGGCCACGGGATAACGACAGGCTGCCAGAGGTGGCCAAGGTTCTTGATAACCCGGTTGTCCTCGTGAGGACAAACCACATCCTTTGATTCGAGAAGTGTTTCCATGGCATTTGAGCTACCGAGGTCCTTGCTTTAGTATGATTAATTTCTTCGGCTATCTTCCCAAATCGATCTTCAGCACTTCATCGAAGATTTCATTCTTGAAGTTGGTGCCTGCTCATGGAAACTCCAACATACTGCGGCCACACGTAAACAGACAGATCTAATAACTTTCAGACCATTGAACCTTTTCCAATTTCTCCATAATGCCGCCGGCACCACCACTCAAAGCTCTCCTCTTCGACATCGCTGTGTGTATGTGTGTGTCTCTCTCTCTTCGCTTTTGCAAGCAATCCTGGACTTCGAACGCTCTCAAAGCCTTCCGGTTAGCCGGCCCAATTGACGCGATTGGGGCAAATCGCCCAGCGAAGCCTGGTAGGCCATCGAGCAGGGAGGTTGACACTTGCTACTGGCTAGTTTGCTTGATTTAAGAGAGATCTCGAGGATCCTGCTGTAGGGGGGATTTCCATTTGAATGTAAACAATGAGCCCTGCCGACTCCGAACATTAACGCCGAATATCCGTTCTGGCAGAGAATGAAAATAGCACGCATATAGGATGAGTATAGCAAAAGCTATTAGTGCATAGAGTCTATAGCTACATGGGTACAAGTAGTACCTTGACGATTATCGCACAACGAACTCAAGTATGCAGGGTACGTAGAACTCCCTGGCGTTATGCGCGCAGGTCAGTGATAGGCCGTGATTTAACTCTTGGCGTCCTGATCCAGAAGTCACTAACTAAGAACGCCACGGCGCTATAACAAGACCTTTACTAAATGGGGCAGGCTCGGGAGGTACTAGATCCATATTTGCCATCGTGAAAGTAATGTGCGCAACCTGTCTATTGCACATGCTCACTACTGCCAGTCTAAGTGGCACTTGAACTCCGAATCCACTGGAGAGGTGCTGGACTTCACTTTCATAACTGCTTGTCCATCACGAAATCACTGGGACTCGTTCCCTTCCAATTCCCGTGAAATAGCCCATCACCAAATTGTTGGCGGGTTCGTTTCGCTATCCGCCCCCTCAGTCATAAATATTCGATCACCATGCTGAGACAAAGGTGAGCCATCTGAACTGGTGAGACTTCCAGATGAGATTCACTTCGGCTTGACAGATCCGTTGCAGAAACAAGACTCCTTTTCATTAAAGTCGCGTTCCTTCTTCAACTTTCTCTTTTTCGATCTGTTATCACTCCTCGCTGTCCTTTGCCTCGATCTCCGCGCTTCGGCCGCCACGTCGTTATTTTCTCTTGCTTGGTCCTAAGTCTCAGTTATGCCGCCTATGATGTTGTTGTTTTCGGTCCCACGGTTTCCTAGAGGCTTCTCTATCGCTGCATTTGCCGTACTCCTCCTACTCGCCAGCCAAGCTCAGTCGAAGCTCTTCTCCGGTAAGCGTTAGCTCTAAGACTGAAACGTTGAGGCTTTCGCTGACAGACCTAGGGGATCTGAGATGGACGAGAAGTCGAGATTCACAGCTTGAGCAAAAAGACTTGGACATTGGTCTCACCCACCTGTTGACTCTCCGGGACGTTGACGAAGATCCAGTCCTTGTGAAGGCAATGCAGGTCATAGACACAGTTACTGCCAGATCAACATGCCATCAAGCTGCCGCTGCTCAGCTACTCGGTACCTGTAAAGCCGCGGGGAAAGACGTTGCCGCCGAAGAAGGTAAACATGAGCTATTGGAGCGAGCCAAATCAGTCTATGCTGTCAGGTTGTCGGTTTGCGAGACTGGGGAGGGAAGAGCTGCAATCCCGACCGCGTGCAAGCCCATCCTGGCGGCCCCCCGACAGCTGAGCAGCGAGTTCGAGGTAGTCAACAGTGTCTATCTTCCACAGTGTCTGGAGGCTCTGATGGTGGAACACTACTATTGGACGAGCTACAGCAACAGCCGACAAGATGCAAACACTTTATGCCAAGCTGTGACGTTAGAGGCCAGCAGACTAGAAGCACTTCAGTCTTACCAACGCCTCGCGGAACTCCTACCCACCTTTCGGAGTGACCTTCTGTCAACGCGCTCCCAGTGGTTGGCATTTGTCAAGCAACAAGAACAAAGCACTCAAGAGCTAGGAAAGCTCCAACGGAAGAACCAGGAAGAGTCTGAGTCACAACACAAGCTTGAAATGGAACTGCTCCACTCTGCGATGAATGTGGCAAAGGAAGGACTAGATGATGCTTCTCGACTTATGCAGCAGTCCATGGCCAGTGCTGGCTCTGGCATCGAACAGAGTCGCGAAGTGAGTTTTGGCAAAGCCATGGCTAAGGCCGTCAGCTAATTCTTGCCAGGTTATCACACAAGTGTTGATGGACTTCGGTAGCCTGCGCAGGATGCTCAACGAGGCCACCGTCTCCGCAGGCAAAACCAATGCCGAAAATGCCGCGAGGCAGGCGATGGAGATGCAAAGCATCCATGAGCTTGCGCTAGTGACCTCGGAAGTACTTCGAGGCACGAATGTGAAGGAAATTATGCTGGTAACTTGGATATTGCCCTAAGTTTTGCGTGATTTCGACTAATCTCGCCTAGGGCTTCCACGAGCTATTCACCCAAATGAGAGCAGAAATAGGCGACCTCCTTGATGCTCAGACAACACAATTAACCAGCGCAAAGCAACAAATACAAATGAGTGAGGAGCTTGCACAAAGGCAGAAAGCCAATCTTGCTTGGAGTGAGAAATTGATGGGCAATTCGGTTCACTTAGCTTCAGAACTTGACAGTGCGTCTGAAGCTGCTGGCCAGATGTCATACCAGTTGGAAACTGTCAACCAGGCACTTGGAAGAGTCGAGAGAGCCTCCTCCGCTCTCCACACTATCCTTGCATTCATCGCTATTCCGGCCCGGATCATGGATTTGATACACTTCAGGCTCCTCGGTATCTTTGTTATGCCAACAGCCTTACTATACTTCTGCAAGCCTTGGAGGTACCCATGCATGCTCATTACCCTATATGGTAGGGGTTTTCACCTCCGCCTCTGAAGCTGAATCAATCTTTGACATATTCTAGTTTTTATCGAAAGCACCATATCTCTTGTTGGCGAACATAGAGCCATCATTTTATCCCACACCCAGCAGTTAGTACAATTATCTCGAGCAACGTTGATCTTCACGTTACAATGTTCGAGAGGAAACAGGGTGTGGGTCGCACCTACCTTCCTTCTTATGATCTGGATCACGGTCGAAGTTATTCGCAACCGGAAGAACCAAGTTTCATCGATCTTCAAGTCTCAGCATACCTCCAACCAACGAGAATTCGATATGGACTTTGCCGTGGAACGTCGCTTGCGCAGTGGAAAACGATGGCAACCTTCTCAAGACAGATTCCGACGAGCAGCCACAGTTTGTTGATTCCGGTTACCACTCAAGCCAGGCGGTTTTTTTCTCAAGGCGCGTTTGATAAATCATGAGTTGATGATTGATACAAACGTAAAGGAATTTGATGGAGCCGATGTTATTCAGCGGCGGTATGCTAGCGAGATATGCATGTTCTGCTTTGATGCTCCTTTTGTTTCGGAAGCTATGGGGTGGAAACGGCCACAATTTGAGTCAGAGCAGCTCTTGCGAAGCGTGCTTGCTCTAAAGTTGAGCAGCGAACGGAGAATTATCGAGTACGTCCTTCTGGCTGGGAGGAAAAGGTCTGAGGGGCAGTTCAATCCTGAATTATTGAGCAAGCACAGTTCATCACAGGGAGATTCCACTTTAAAGCCAGCAGAGCCATCCATGATCAGGATTTGCTTGTCCTAGAGCCGAGGAGCGATATCGAGCCTATTCCTAGCAGGGAGACAAAGGTCTGTGGACTGTTCAGTCTTGAATTCACAAGCAGGCATAGTCCATCGCCGGGGTATTGCCTTTAGGACTGACCAGAGTATTCCAGAACTTTGACGCCAGGCTCACTAGGCAACCTCCCAAAGGAGGGACCGTCTCAATACTAATTACAACTCAGAACAATTATTCGCTTCACTCGTATCTGCGTGACGCACACCACCAGCGACTTAGAGCACGATTAGCTAGCTGCATGATGAGTCAATTTTCGGATAATCCAAGTCGAGTACAAAGGCGCGGCCTGAAACGAGATCTTGAGAGCTGAACGACCATGTCCAGACAAGAAGACGCTTGAAGCCGTAGGACAACCTAGGAAATGCCCGAGGAAAGGACCCACCCCTGAAAACAGCGACACGACAGGCTACAAGGAACCAGAGCTTTCCTATCCTCGGTAGAGGGGGCTGTGCTCCAGGCCTTCGTATTCAGATTCACAACAGCCTTTCACCACGCCAATGCAAGCCAAATTCTTGTCTGTGCAACGAAGGCACCTATGCTGTTGTCACGCTGGCTTTTTGCCGATACCGGTCCATGGCCCATGATTTGTTGATGGTGCCCCTCGTACCAAGTACCCAGGGGTGGCGACAGGCAGGCGAGTCAGCCTTGCCGGACTTGACGAGCGTCGAGCTCTATCTTCCACCCCTGCTCTGATGGCCTTTTTGCAAGAAACCCCTTCCCCCCATTTTCTTGGAGCGGTACGAGGCGCTGCATGCTAGCGACCAGTGACCACAGGCATCTGTATCTCTACGATGATTTAAGTCAGGCAAGAACTACGTGCCATTTGAGCTTGAAAGCGATACACTTTGATCTCGTCACACACCCGCTAGTTGTCAAGAGTCCAATAATTACCAAGAACCGTCGAGTTGAGGCTCGAGATTGATATATTTGAAAGCAAACGCCGATCTGTGCCCCGAGAGATCAGTCCTGACGGCCATGGCGCGCACAGTACCTCTAAGACTTCTGTTAGCCTCGACGGCGTCGCTGCTTCTCGTCTCTACGCGTGTCCTGGCAGGGGGAACAGCAAATGCAGTCATCCAGTCCGTTCCACATATCGTCCCAGGCGCGACGATTGACCAGCACAAGGTTGAGCAGATCCAGAACCTGCTGAAGAACCAGGTCCAGAAACCAGTCACAGACATCCTCCTCGAAGATGCCAAGCGGTGGAATGACATCTTCGCGAGTCACATCAACTGGGTCGACATCATCTACGGCGGCGGCGGTCCCCTCAGCGCACTCTGCTCCGACAGATGTCGCCGCTGTGCCTCCGGTTGTAATCCTATCTGCTGCCAGGTCGGGGGCACCGTCATCACAGGCCTGCGACCCGACGGACCGTCTGGGAACAGCGGGCCCGTCCAGAGCCTTCTCCCACCTCTCGCCTGCCCGTGCCATTGTGAAGAAAGCTGCCCGGCCTGGGTCCAAGCCAACTGCTGTTCAACGACCCAGGGACAGGCACCCGCCGCCGACGACACGAGGCTGCGTGCATCTGCAAACCTGGACCGCGAGCGCGTGCGCGCAGTCGAGAACCAACGCCTCCTAATTCTGAAAGACAAGAAAACCCCCTGGACGCCCGAGACATGCCCCTGCACCTGCGAGGTCGACTGCCCACCATACGTGCAGTCGATATGCTGCACAGAGAAGAAGCCAGGCAAACCGAAACAAAGCCCCGGCGACGACGACAACAACGCCCTCCCACAGCCACAGCCACCGGCTCCGCAACCAACCCTCCCATCTGTCCTGCCGCCCCCACCCGCCAACGTGCTCTCGCTGGTAGCGGAAAGCCGCGCCAGTGGGCCACTGTCGGTCTGGGCACGGATCAACTTGACGGTCTTCGACAGCTTCATCACGATGGACCTGGTGAACGGGCTGCAGCGGGCGGCGGAGCTGACGCAAAATGAAGTCACGGGCGCGGCGGAGCTCGTGCTCAACGTCGTCGTCGGGCCCAGGGACGACAGAAAGGCCTACGCCCAGAGCTTCCAGGTCGTCGACGGCTCGGACCTCGCCGAGAAGGAGCAGGTCCTCTTGGGCCTCGGCTTCATGAGCAGGATCGGCGCAGTGGAGATCAAAGGCGAGTTCTTGACCGGGCTCGATGAGGGCTTGTCGCTCTTGACTGGCACGACGGCCGTCGAGGAGCAGCTCGAGGATCCGTCGAGGCTGGTGAGGGATGAGTTGTGAAGCCCTAGGGGCTTGGTTTTGGGTTTCCCCCACTTGCTGCTGAGAGTACGTCGTTTGTACTTCGCCTTGATTTGTTGTAGAAGTTTGAGCGAGGGTTGTCGCATCGCTCCCATTCGTGTGGTAGACAGACTAGCACAATATGGGTGGTCATCGGACACACTCTTTCGAGATTCTCGTCCGCGCTCAAAACATCCCGCCAATGCCAAGGCTATAAAGTATTTGGTATCATGACAGTCATTTTGCCGAAATGACGGACAACCTAGAAGCGGATTCACGAGTCCGGTAGAAGAGGCTTCATCATTGCGCGCCCCGAGTGCGGAAAGTGGACTGCACTGGGTAGTCGACTGGGTCATCCGTTAGACACCGAAAATGCCAACATATGCTTTATCTGTTCGCGACTCACCGCGTCTGGGGACGAAGGTGATGTCGCCCTGTGCTCAGCCTAGCCAGTACAGTACGAGTTCGGGTGAGATCGCCTGGGACTCACCGATCATGGGGGCCGGATTCCAGGTTGTGAAGGACAAGTCTTCCACACATATTCACGTTGCAGTACTAACGGTCAAAGGCTCCGTTGAGCGATGCTACTATTCCTCGAGACGAACGCTGCCGAGCATTGCCGAGCACCCAGACCATTCTACCCTCTTGGCAATTGAAGACTGCTGCTTGGGTTTATGGTGCTAGCCAGTAAATTACGCTGTTCTTGTGATACAGCAATTGACTCTCTTCTTGCCCGCAGGGACATACTGACGCATATAAGTCTAATTTCCCAGGGCATTGTCGGTCAGAGAACAAGACATAATTGTCGATGAAATGCTATAGCAGGAAGATCGAGAGATTTGTCGGTTTTGGCCCTCCCACACCTGGACTCCTCCAACTGCAGCTGACCAGGAGAGGATGGTATTCTCTCCAAACTTTCGTATTCAACGCTGGTCGGCCATGAGACTGAAATTCTGGCAACCCCCCCCCCCCCCCTTTGGCTCTTGGGTATTGCTTTCCCCGGTTGTTGCTGGCCACTTGAAGGGATCACTTAAGGCTGTGGCGTCGGGCCTGAGGAATGTGGCAGGGATCAGCGAATGAGGCACGACTGTAAGCGATATTTGGCTGGAGAATGTACACAACTACAGCAGCCAACACTGGAAAGCTGCCAGCGAGTTTCTTTCAAGTAACCTACTTGCTCTTTGCGAAGGCTCCGACTCATTCTGTAGTGACCGCCGTCAGGTTGCAGGTAAGTACAAATGCCTCCCGCGGCAGCCTAATGGGCCGCCCATCTTTCTGTCTCAATTTCGACTCCTCCGACGGCTCAGTGAGGGAAAGCATTCATCATGAGCTCGTGGGTATCTTTTCCAAAGCAGTGGAAGCTTGAAGATATTCAAGCAGGACTGAATGTGTTGATCACAGCCCTTAGTGGCTTGGTCATATTCGTCTTTGTCCGATTATCATGGCAGTCTGGAGCACGACGAATCGCACAAACCAAGGCCGTGTCTTTACCTTCCCTCTTCACCCTGAACACTCCAGGTGAAGTCCTAGATGCTGCTGGTGTTCTCAAGCACAAGCTTCTAGACCACCCAAATATTCTTACCCAGTGCGTCGTTGTTGCTTTATTCTCTATCACGACCCTGGTCTCGGGGCCAATAGCAAGATATACAACCCGTACCGCCAGCATCTCTACTGAGCTCGCTGTAAATGGCTACCTCACTACGCGATCCCACAACAGCAATGGCGACGATCAAGTCATGTGGAATCTGACAATGACGAGTCTCGACCGTGCGGGCTTTCCAGTTGATGAAATGCTCGATTACCTACCTGATCCCTCAATTCACTGGCTCTATCGGCAAGAAGAATGGAATAACTCCTGGTCATTTACCTGCCAGTCAATCGATGCCACGCCTATTAGCCTGAGAATGTCGGACAATTGCAGCGACTATATGAGTAAGGTCCAAGGGCTCGACTCGGTCATACCGAGTTTGCAGTATAGCGAGGCCTATTCGTACAGCCGTGGTGGCTACTACGTTAACTCGACCTTATGGCGTGATATGCTGATGTTCTTCCACGCAGTAAATTATACTGCCTATGAGGAGGAGACCGATATCTATCATCACGTCAGCATGTCACTCGCTGCCTTGCATCTACATAACATCCCTTTGAACGGCACTGATTTTTCTGGCCCTTGCGAATTGGATGTCGGTCCCGTTGAGTCGGCTGTATTCACGCGCATAGATTGCGATATTGATCACCAACCAGTCGATCACCATAAAATAGGCAACATAGCCTATCCAGATACTGGCGACTTTGCCTCAATATCTTCCGCGTTTGTACAATACTACAACTCCCGCTTCGGTTATGAATCCATTAGTAATCAGCCAACGACTATCATTACTCCAAGAGATTTACGCAGGTTTTTCCAGACCTATATAGTCACTAAGGACGTGCAAAACAGGTTGCCCGTCGAGCGGAATCTCATGGTCAGCGTTCTCGTTGTGCAAATCTCGACAGCCTTTCTGGTTATATACTGCCTGATCGCTTTCATTGCTATCTTCGGAGGGTTCCAATATGCACTCTTCCTCCTTCTCAATCGCAAAATTCTGCCACTGCTTCCGCAAAGCAAACTAGATTGGATTGTTCAAGCCGCCGCCAACGCGACACCGTCGGGATTTGCGCAGTCGGGAGGTCTTTCGTGGGTCGTGACCACCTCCTCACCGCATGTTGATGTCTCTCAAGCACGACCGGAGCAGCGAAAGCAGGTGCTCTTTGAGATTGCCTGGTACAGTCCGTGGCGGCCACAGCCACTCCCGCAACAGATTTTCGGTCTGCAAAAGGCATCACCAAACAGCGATGTTACTCCCGCAAGTCAGCTTAGTCCGGTCTCGACTGTACCCGTACCTGCATCGCCAGGTATGCGTGCTCCGGGCTTGCAGTAAGGCATGCATTCCAAAGAAAGCTATCTCAGCTGGGATATGTGGAGCAAAGGCGCACAAATACCCGCAGAATGATATCTCCGGTTCTAATTCAACCCTGTTAACATTTCTACTACTGCTCGAAACAACGGACACAATCTCTGAATGACCTTCTAGTAATAGCGCGCATCCATCTCATTAATTGGGCCGTGATTTGGGCAAGATTGTCAACGCATTGTAAATGGGATAATCAAGTAAGATACGAAATAGCAGTATCTATCAATAGGCCAGGCCAAGGTCGTCCAAAAAGGCTAACTAGCAATGTTGTCGTTGTTGTCTTCATCCTATGCCTTGGACCTTGGTGTTGGGCCTGTCAAGCTGAATGCTCTGTCGCCAAAACAGTGATATCATTGATAACCGTCACATAGTACACTCGGAAAAGACGACGGTGTCGGCAACGCCGTTGTAGTAAAAGGTAGCGCAGTCAACCCACGGCTCTTGGCCAGAGAAAGGGAGTTTGAAACTTTCACTCTACAGGCAAATCTATATAGCACCGAGAATTGCTAGCATTAGGTAGAAAAACACAACAAGGACCATTGTACACTCCATTGTAGTGCTAGGTGTGAGCACAAACCTGTCAGGAACCAACACTTGGGCTGCTTGTAAGAAGGTGCCAAGGTACAGTTAATGCTATCTTGTACAAATGGCAGTGCCCTGAACTGGTTGACTCGAACGAGGTTGTTGTTCAAGGCGCCTTTGACGGGGCTTTGTTTAACGATCCTCACCTTAGTGACAAGGATAATCCCAATGTAGAAGAGAGCCACTGTGTATTCTCATCGCCAGTTTGTCCACATGCTTGTCATGAGGTCTCTGCCGATGGATATGTAGAATAATCAACTAACCTTTGCGGCTTCTAGCGTTGGTAGGATCTGACTCCTTGAGATCTGACTCCTTGAGATCTGACTCCTTGAGATCTGACTCCTTGAGATCTGACTCCTTGAGATCTGACTCCTTGAGATCTGACTCCTTGAGATCCGACTCCTACCTTTTCTAGAGGATAAGAAGGGTTCACTTCGGGATTTTCCGAGGCTTTATCCCTTTGTCCACTTTAGGTTCTTTTGGTTCACTTTGAGTTTGATCTTGGAACTCCTACAGTAGTTTTACGTGGAACCGCCTAAGGAAGAAGAGAATGGGAACTCCTGAAGGTGCACCTTCGTCACTAAGGATGATTGTCTTGGCGCCGTCCTGGTTGAAGGATGTGCTGCAGTCCCCGGCCGTGTGCGCACATAATGTATTATGGATATTCGTAACTTCAGTGTGGACGGGTTCCTGTGCATTGATATCTACTTGTCAATTTTCATTACACCGTACCATTAGGCAGGCAGTATAGCCAAGATAGACAGTATACTACGAGTAATAAACACATATTTATGTCGCCACTTTCGTGATGGTTGCAGGTATTTCTAATTCAATTCCAAGCAGGAGCGGCTGCAAGACGAAGAATTAAAGGAGTGGCCATGACAAACAGGCAACAGATGATATCATCGCCCAGCGAGATACATACTGTACGCCAGGTCTTGCAGGCCTCGAACTAAGTGGCTAGTAGCTAACTAGAGGATATATATAACATAGAGAGAAGGAAGTTTCCGTTCAGCCTATGGTGGTCATGAAAGTCGGATAAACCAAAACCTGAAAAAAGGGGCACAATGTCTCGGCGTCAATGTCGTAAGATCTACTCAGTGGCGGACGCGCAATTCAGGTATATATGCGTGTAGGACACACCCGTCTATATGAAGCTCCGTAACTGGAACCCAATCTGCGGGGTGCCCTGGGCACCGACCCTGACACGCTCAGCTCTGATTTTGTTCTCCTCGAAGATGCGGTGACCGTCCTTGCCGGACTCCTCGATGGCTACGGCGTCGGTCAGAGGGTCGCGGAAGGCGTGCAGACCTAAAGCGGGCAGGCTGAATCGAAAGGCGAGATCTCTGACGTCGAGGGTGCGCAGCGAGCGGTATGCGAAGGTGGCGGCTGTGATGCCGAAGATCACGTAGGCGAGACAGCAGGAGATGAGGAGGGCGAGCGGTGCCTTGGGGACCTTGGCTACGAGGATTGGTGTGCGGGTTTGTTCCTCGAGATTCTCCCGTGGGGACAGGAAGGGCCCGATCACGCTCATGATACGCTTGGCGTAGCCGTTGGCGAGCGTGTCGGCGAGTTCGCTGGAGTTGGTGGAGAGTGCGGCTTGCAGCACCAAGTCTGCGAGGTTGTTGTCGAAGCTGCTGAATGCCCCCGCGAGGTTGTAGCCGTGGAATATTTCGGCTATGGTGCCGTTTGGGGATGCAACCATTTTGTGGACCCGTGCTGTTGAGTTCACCCAGCTGTAGTCGACGGCGTATGTTGTGTATTGGCAATTGAGGACAAGGTCAAGATTTGCGGTCGTGCCGACGTGATGGATGCCCGGGTCGGAAGTCATGTCGACGCCAGCGCGTTGAGAGATGGTGGCGAAACGCGCTGCGATTGCCACATATACTGGGTTGATTAGCTGTGAGTCTTCCAAGAACGTGCCCAGGTCACCAACAGAGTCGTAAGGGATGTTCAGGTCGGGGTCTTGGAAGTAGGCGTATTGAATTACCGAGCCGGGTTTGGTGGCCAAGATCGGGACATTCGGATCCTCAATCACATGGCCTGAGTCGTCGAAGTTGGCGATTTTCCCAAGAATGCCAAAGAAATTATCGCTGCAATTGAATTGCGAGAAGGTTTCGTCGCCTAGCACGCCATCGGTCCAGTTGCACTGCGTGTTTGTAACTGCCTCACAGGTCATGACTACTCCGGCCGTCTCTGCGCGAAAGTCTCGGAATGGACTGAGAATGGAAGGCTGAGGAATTAAGAGGGCGACTTGTGTGGAGGAATTTCGACCCTTCTTGGAGTCTGAGTCGATGAGCATAATTTTGGATGTGCTGCTGGTGTCATGATTGAGGAAGAAGATCTCATTTTGCCCTGCAACGTAGGTGTCATAATCGTCCACTGCGGTGATACCATTGCGGGAGCATGGAAGACCCAAGTTATCGAAGCGACTGAGGGTCAAACATTCCTCTGAGAGGGCACGACCATAACTGAGCTTGTTGGAGATACTGATCTGGTCGAAGGCGATAGTAGAGGTGGAGTAGTGGACTACAGTGTCAGCGGCGAACACCACGCATGCCAGAAAAAGGGTGAGCGTTAATGTGCGTGCTGCACGGCGGAGGATGGGAGGGACAAGAACATCGTCTTCTCCTGAGTAGGAGAAATAGCGTCTAAGTCTTCCTATCGAAGCCAAGCACAGGCCGACGAGAAGGCTGTATTGGTAAGGAGTCGGCAAATTGGCTTGATCAGCGTTGGATGAGGAACGAAACATGACAAGTGCAGTACGGAAGCTGTCTAGAGTCATGACAAAACCGGCGAGTAGAGGAGCCAGTGTTGAGGCCCATGATGCGACAAAGACTATCCGGGTTGCGGAGTAATTGACCAGGACAACAGAATGATCTCGCAGAACGTCCGAGTTGGAGACATCCGTGAAAAGACTCAGCTCTGACTGGACTCGATAGCCAAAAATCAGACCGAGCAGGCCAGCAACGAGAAAGGTCATTGGGAAGATGACTATGGCAGTTGGAAGGACAATTGTCTTAATCAAAGCGCCTCTTGGGCATGATGTGTCGGGCTCTCCAGTCAGGGAATAGTATTTCTCAGTCAGAGGCCAGCTAGCGCACTCTTGATGAGGAGAATCGAATGCACTTCCATCGAGAGTGGAACTGAGAGGAGACCCTGACACCGGGTGTGCCTGTATCGTTGTCCCATCTTTTGACCATCTCTGCTCAGGAGTTTGAGGCAAGAAGAAGCTTAGTCCCTGACTATCTGCTTGCTGACCGTTCTCGAGATCACGGTGATGATCAAAGTGTCTGCCCTCTACTCGACGGAGGAATCTCTGACCACGAGCGGTATCCATTCTGAGACGTCTACTCCGAATTGTTATTGAGGTTCATTTAGACGTCGAGAGATCTGTGTCCGCGCCCAGGTCGTTCAGCAAGGTTATCAATTCATGTCTTGGTCGTTGACTCGAGAGTCGCCCACAGTGTATGACACAGAGTGGCGAGAGTAATTACAGACCTCTTAGTGTAATGGAAAGTGCATGCCGTGCCATGGCTGTGCCCAAAAGGCCTCCATGGCCAAGCGTGGTCAAATGAGAGAACTAGGAGACTGACGGACTCCCTAGGAGGTGAAATGCACAGACAATAGCTCTGGAACCAATTGGACGACGATTTCATGTTTGTTCAAGCCAGTTGAGAACTTGTGGTTTGCAGAGGGGACTTTTGTCATAGGGTGGGAAGGGCAAGCAGAGGGATGGACACGAGAAGTGAGTCCAAGCCGGGCTATTCTATCTCAGCCCCCACCATTTCAAGCAGCCACGAACTCTGATCGGACGACTCAAGCGCAAGATGCCCGCCAAGGGAATACAACACCATGAGTCTAGTCAATGCAGGAACTCATAACTTTCCCCTCAAGGTTTCCGCAGGCAGACAGGACCCTCTGCGGCATGTGGCAGCCTAGTTCGGGCTCTGTAGGCATCTTTATACTGATGCAATCTTGATCTCGTCAAATTCAGCGATCTCACCAATGACAGGCTTCAAGATCTCGGGGACGATAGCCGCGGCGTCTCCTTGGAAGAACCAGTCTCTGTCGGTGAGTGCGGTGGCATCAGCTGGGTCCACGTTAATGACTGCTACTCTTGCACCCATGTTTCTGGCCATTGATGTATATCCCGCGGCAGGGTAGACCTTGGAGCTGGTACCGATGACTAACATCAGATCGATTTTCTCCTGGCAGCTGAAAAATGCATTGACACCGTGCAACACGTCTTCCGGGAGGGTCTCCCCAAACCATACAACCGCTGGACGGAGGAGATTCTTTTTGCAGGAAGGGCATTGTGGCAGATCTTCGGGTTTGATGGTGGGAATGGGCACATTGATATCTGAGATGTCAGCACCTTTAACTAGAGCATGCTTCGCCTTCATGGTGGCCTTGAGTGGGGAATCTGCAGCAAGGTCGTGATCATCCGGGGGAAGGGCCAGAGCAGGCACAATAGGATCGGTGAAGTCGTTCTTCACCCTGTACCCGCAACCATCTTCGTCCCAGCATCTGACATCGAACAGATTGCCATGGAGAAGTTTCAACTGGTCTGGTGGATGGCCAGCACGAGGACTCAGGCCGTCAACATTTTGGCTGAGGGTGATGAAATCAGGGTTGCGGCGAGCCAACTCAGCCAAAGCGAGATGGGCACGATTAGGCTTTGCATTCAGGGCCATATGGCGTCTGTAGGAGTAGAACTGCCATACTAGAGCTGGATCGGTGCGAAATGCCCCAGGAGTCGCAAGGACGGTGGCATCGTAGGTTCGCCAAAAGCCGCCAGCACCACGAAATGTGGGAAGGCCACTTGAAGCCCCGAGGCCAGCACCTAAGAGAGCACAGATTCGACGGGATGATTGTATGTGTTGAACAAATGAGGCGAAGTCGGTAGCGGGCATGTTTTGGTCAGTCATGTTTTAGGGTATGATGATTGATGGTGGTGGTTCAGGTATGGATCCTGCTGAAGAGTGTAGGCTGTACGAGTAGGTAATTCCCTTCATATACGTACCCATCCGTAAGCGATTTATTTAGGCGGTGTTCCAGCCTGGTGTCTGGGGCAAGGCACCTGGAGAAGCTGGCCCGGAGGGGTAGTTAAGGCCTCCTCAGCCCCTGTGCGTCAGTGCGCAGAGTAGGAAAGCGTTGGTTAAAGCATGAGGGGTATTTAGGGCCTGGATTTGTTCCTCAGTGGGTGGCCTTCCCTCCAGCCAGGCACTTACCAGGCGAGCGTTGCAGCGGTTACCTCATAAGAGGGGCGCGGGTATGGTGATCCTGCGAATGGGAAGAGCTGTTGGACGGTGGTGGCCTGGGATCAACGAGTCAGTGGCTGCCACGAGGGCTCATGAACAACCGTCATTTGCTACAAATGACGCTGTCTCGAGCATACGTGACGGTCATGTTGAATAGTTAGCTCGTTAGCTGTGCAGCCACTTGACAGTTTAAAGCCTTCGTACAGCGCTAAACAGGATAGTATTTGATGCTAAGTATTATAACAATCAATTTTACTAGAGAAGTATAAGAGCGGAACCATCCTAGCTGGGTTGGAGCTCGGTAAATGGCCGGGCTCTGACGCCTTACCGAAAGATAAAATGACGGTCATTTTGTAAGGTGGCACATGAAGCATTATTATCAAAGTCAAAGACTGAATCGATCATTATTATTACTACAACATCTCCTGCTTCATCCCTCCATTCACCATCAAACCACTTCTCCTCTCTTTCTCAAATAGTCTTCTCCCAAGTGCACTGCTCCTACGACGTACTCCCGGATCCTGCCCCTGCTCCTGTCACTCCACCGCCTCTTTCCATACCCAGTCCCCGCTCACCGATACCGATAACGATAAACATTTTATCGCCACCACTTCAACCGTCATGCCCGACCTAAATAATTGCCCTAAAATCCTTTAACACATCCATGCGCAATCACTTGAAAGACTACATCGTACAATCTTGCCAAAATCATGGCTACACCGTGCATTCTGAAGCCACCGGCCGCTCGGCGGCGTGTCAATGTCCTCCTCTATGTCACCGACAAAATTGGCCCGGAAATCCTGCCCTACCTCCTCCAAAATCCCGACCTTAATCTTCGAGTCGTCTCCGAGAGTTCCAGAGAAGAATATCAGCAGCACATGGATCCTCCCATCAGTCTCGACGGCATTCAGTGGTATGAGAACAGTCCGCAGGATCCATACAGGAATCAAGTCAAGATGTTGGGTCACCGCCTCGCACGATGGGCCGACCTATTGTGCATCGTTATGGACGCTGGCATGGTGTCGCTTATGTTGAGTGGCTTCACAGTCGATGTTATCCTCCATGTTTTGAGGTGTTGGGACGTATCCAAGCGCATCACCATGTTACCCGAGTTGAGCATTGATCAATGGAACCATCCCATATGGAAGAGGCAATTGTCCAAGATTCATCGCAAATGGGACTGGATTCATGTTCTCACCCCTGCCATATGGGACTTTGCTGAAGATCCCTCCAACCTTACACAACCGGGCGCCAATCCTCAAGGTATTGCCGCCCTGCCCGAAATCGACTGGCGATGGGAGGGGCCTGAAGAGATCCTCGAAGCCATCCATAGTGAGGCACAAACCATCCTTCGCTCTAACCGCCCTAAGACCCCATACAATCCCATGCCACATCTATCTCCCTCCACATCCGACGAATTATCCAAACCCAGCCTACCGGTCGAAGTCTGGACCATCATTCTCGACCACTTGGGTGACTGGGAATTGGCAACCGCATTAGGCATTTACACCCACCTACCTACTCCACACGAATGGACATCGCTTATCCCCAAGTCTGGCTCATCGCGCCGCTCTCTCGAATACACCATCTTGACCCAGTCTACCTCCCAGGTCAAAGCCTATTTTACAAACAATACCACTTCACACCCCCCAACCACACTCTCCCAAACCGCTACGAAACTGATCTTTCGCTTCAGCTTGACGGACCTCTTAACTTATCTTGCCCTTCACCAAAAGGACATCTTCTGGACCAGTTTTGGCCTTGCCCTCCTCCCTCACAAAGCCTCTCTGATCTATAACTCACCAACTATACTCCAATGGTGGCGTGACTGCCCTGCAGTCATCAAGAAGGAATATGGCCCCGAAGCCATGGATGGCGCTTCACGTGCCGGCTTCGTGGAGGTCTTAGATTGGTGGCTCAACTCTGGTCTGAAACTGACCTACACGGAGAAGGCCCTCGAATCCGCCAGTGCCAAAGGGCATGTCGAAGTTCTGGAGTGGTGGCGTGTGAACTCCCTGAAACTCGCCGGTGCCGTTGGGCGCGAGCTCCCTCTGAAAGTGGGCAAATCCATCCTTCTCGCCGCACAGTCCGGCCGCACCAACAGCATCGAATGGTGGGAGAACTCGGGCATCCCATATGCACACGAAGATGGAGTCTCGCGACTCGCCTCACAGCACGGCCACGTCCCGGTCCTGGAACTCTGGCACAGCTTCAAGGGCAGCAAGATGATCTTCGATAATCAGGTTCTCGTCGGGGCCACCAAGAACGGCCACGCGGGTGTCTTGCAGTGGTGGAAGGACGTCAGTCGCAAGAGCGGCCTGAGAGTCGAATATAAGACCTGCGACATCGAAGAAGCCATGGAAGATGCAGTTGGAGGAGGTGGCGAGAGCGAGGTCAGGGAATGGTGGAGTCGCAACGGCTTGAATCTCGGCGTCGGCACGGGCGAGTGGATGAGAGTCAAGACTTTGTGAGCTATGGGAAGGAGGGGTCCCTAAACAACCATCACCTTGTGTATCAAGACGAGACTTGTTGATTTCCAACCTGCGGATTCTTTTCTCATACTTGTCACAAGACGAATTTCCTATTTGCTATCGATGGACGAGCGAAATGGACATTCAGAATACCCGGTACATCCGTACTGGGATTGCAAACAAGGGACGGAACGGACGTCGCAACAGACCGAACGGAGTCAGAGGAGCATGGCGTTGGCGGCGAAAGAAAAGGTAATAATATATAAAGAATAGTGGACGATATTTCTCTCTCCCTCTCCCTCTCCCTCTCCCTCTCTCTCTCTCTGCATAACCCCCTTTCAACCATGCTGTCCCCTCATTATCAGACAAGTCGAATGAAGTGGCTGTCGGCGCCCAACAGAGCCATACTGTAAGCATCCTGGCGAATTCACACATGCATGGTCAAGGATCTTACACTATCATCTAGGCTGTTCCTGTATTTTTATGGCTTCTTTTCTCTGTCTTTCTGCGAGTATTAGGGATGGTTACCTGCCTTCTTGGATCATCAACTACATAGCTGCACTGCTACATATATGTCTGGTCGTTTCTTGGACGGCAACATGAATGATACGATAGGGCTCTGTTGCATATCTAACCTATATGAGGTCTGGATTCACCTGTATTGAGTCTTTTCTCTCGACTTTGGCGTAGCCTGGCCATTCATCAAAGTATCTTCTCACGGTCCTTTCTGAGCGATAATCTCCGGACCCAAGCCAATTCCAACGCCGGGCCTCCCATACAAGACGAATCACAACTCCACGGAAATGCATTGCACAGCATCCATGCGCGAAGAAGGACTTCCACAGTGCCTGAATTTCACACTGAGGCTCAATGTATAGATGTCTCCCACTCAGAGCTTTATCATTCACTTCGTAGTCTCATATCGTGGTCGGATTCAATTCGCGCACTCCCCCAATAAAGTCTGCTGTCCATGACGCCTTGCTTTATCTCTCAATTGACAAGATTCCTGCGCTTAGACGTGGCAATCCAACGCCCTGCTCTCACCCACCACGCCCCCTTCTGTCCTTCAACCCAAACTAAGGGCTATTGATCTCTTCATATTCCTCTGCACTAAGCTCTGCCAGTTCACTACTATTTTCCTGCCACTCCGCAGGGCTCAGTGTCTCAATCGTTGACTCGGCCTTGAATTTCAATTGTGTAATCGTGTTGTTAATCTCCGCCATCTTTGCCTCTTCCAATACATTGTCAATACTGAAATACTGCAAACAGTGTTCCATGACGTCGAGAACCTGGTTGGCTTGACCGGGGTGCAAAGTCGCACCCTCCCTACCTCGAGGAGCCAAGAACATGCGCTGAACAAAATTCTGGCAACTATACGCAAGCTCCTGACAGACCGCCCGAAGGGAGGTATAAAGACGCGCATCTTCAGTCTCGGCTTGTTGAAGTGGTACGAACAGGATTCTTCTCAGCAGATCCACCGTAGCATCGCGGATATTCATCTGGCTGTCATTTGTCGAAACAAGAAAAGTGGGGGCCCAGTGACTGATGGCCTGCAGCACCGACTCTTCTAGAAATCCGATGTCAGCTTCTATCGCTGAATTCTCAGCTCTCAACAGCGACTCGACGAATTCCAAGTAGTCCTTGCTGTAGTCAATCCCAACTGTCCTGATACTCTCTAGAGCAGGGTGAACAAGGTCGATAATTTGCGCCTCGAATCGGCAATTCTCGCAAAAGACAATGGTTGGGCTGAGAAAATTGACTGCGGTATTCACGATTCGATCGTTCAACCCTTTAATGATCACCTCCGCCACGGAGCCAGCAAGTTTGCGGTCAGCGGCAAGGTGTGCAACAAGAGAATCGATTGCATTTGAATTGATTCCGCTGGACATGAGGCGTACTAGCCATTCCAGACGAGGAGGGATCTTACCCAACCCCAGACAATCAAGCTCATTCGCTGTTAACCCGATCTTCTTGGGAGACACCGCACGATCATCGCCCTCTGGCAGAAGGTGGAAATCCACACGCAATAGAATACTGATGAGGAAGCGGAAATGCACGTTGTGGTTGAATGGCCGATTTCTGTCTCTTGCTGCCAAGTACACGGCATACCGAGCTTTCAATTTCTTGCTGATCGGGAAATCAGCTGGGTTGTTGAGGTGGACCATGACCAGCTCGATACATTTCTCAATGTACTCTTGATCCAGGACGTAAGCGAGCTCTGTATCACCAAGCTTTATGATATTGCTGAGAGTTCCGAAGTATTCAGCCCAACAACGGCTGGTCTTCATAGCGATATCCCACAGCTTTGCCATTTGCCCGACGCACGCCTGTAGCCACTCCTCGTATTCTTCTTGGAACTGCTGGTGCTCAACACTATCTAACACCGTGGTAGCTTTGATGGTGTGGAGGCGTTGAAAGACGTCAGAAAAGAGATAGCTAAAGCTTTTCCTCACATTTTGGTAAGGGCTTCGCACGATGACATCGTCTAGGATTCGAGTCCCCGTGAACCAATGCGCAACTGTTCTGGCACAGCCGGTACATTGATCCACATAATTTTGGACAGCTTTCAATGTCTCCTCAAGATAAGGCATATCTTTCCACCTCGAAGAAATCTGACGAACGTACTCGAGAACCATCTCAATAGTATTCGACTCCATCGCATGGTCTTCGCTGCAGTCATTATCATGCCCAATTTTCATTCGTTCGAGTAGAAGAAGAACAAATTTGGCGTGAGTTCCGTCCTGAGCACAATAAGATCTGAGGTAAAGCTCATTATGCTGAGCGAGATGCTGCTCCATATGGAATGGGAGTGGTAGTCGGACGGGGTTAACAGAATCCTGATCATGGAATTGTTGCTCAACTTTCTGAATACTGGACGTTCTCTGGTAGAAGAGCATGTAAGCACTGTAAAACTTGGGAAGGTTGTAAAATGTGTCGGAATTTCCACCAAAACATTGCTCACGCATCTGCGAAAGGTCGAACACAGTCACATCTTGATCATTGAATTGTACCCACGAGTCTTGGATAGCTTTGACTGAGGGTCGCTGGCGGATGTATGAATAGTAGTGACCTGAATCAGCGGTCCCAGAATGAACGATTACCCCGGTAAGCTGGAAAGTATCCGGCTCATCATCTTGCACATCATCACTGAGTCGAGCAAGTGTATAGGGGGCAATATCGAGTGTATCCGGGAATTGAAACTCGTCATTTACCTTTGCACGCATTCCTGTCATAATGTCATAGTCGAAGCGTTTGAGATTAAAGATCAGGTGATCAGGCACATCTTTGAGACAAGCCCGTTTGACTGCATCCACGTGGCGCCCGCATGAAGTGCAGGAATATTTGTTCTCTCCTTGTAGAACTTCACCTTCGACATAAGCACGGAGGCTATCTTCAAGTCTAGCTTTGCCTTTGATTTCGACTTGGACAGCAGAAAAGGGCTCCAGACGTTCAGAGATATGCTCGCATTCTTTGGACTTGACTTGTTGGACCAGTTGGCCCCCGTAGATTGACTTGAACAATTCCCGAGCAGGACCATCGATTTGCCCTTCCAGACGATCGAACAACAAGTTGAAAAATTCATCGACATCCATTTGAATTGAGACATCTATCTGCTCCCCGTCATATGTGGTGATGGCTTCGACTGCACCAGATGGATCAATAGACTTCTCATACGAATTTTGCATAAATGCAAAAACTTTCGCGAGTTCCGACACAAGATTCTGCTTTGAAAGATCCAAGGAATCCGAGTTGAGGAATATCCCACGAAACTGAACATTCATGAACAGTTGTGCGAAAAGAGAGTTGAGATAACAGGTGTTGGAAAGATTTCGAAGTCCAGCATACCCAACCTCTGTTCGGAGACTTTGACGGTCATGGCTGTAAATAGGTTCAAAGAAGTCTTGCGGAAGCAAATCGTCATTGAGTTTGGAAATGACGGCAGAAGTGTCCTCAGGTCCCTGGCATAATACCAGCACCAGGTTGTAGAGACTCTCACGTACAGTCACATCCAATATGGGTAAATTCGTAGTGTCCTCTGCGACAAGGCCCGTGTCAGATAATGGCGGAAACAGGAACAAGGTGATAAGCTCTTCGATAAGTTCGGCGCTAGATGGAAGAGCGTTGGCAACTTTCAATAGCTTGGAGCATTCAAATAAGAGTTTGGTCAAACAGACGACAACATGGTCCCCTAGAGGCTGACCGACAACTTCAATATGTGTATGCCTAAGGAGGATTCTGCTCCACTCGCTGAAGAAATGACGAAGGGAGTCCACACCGAATGCCTTCCCAACCCTCTTCATGATGGAGAGCATGGTCTCACACATTTCTGCACAATGCTTTGGCTGCAGACATGCCTGCGGCAAAACATCGGCCAACGCATCCCAAAGGTGCATCAAGCAAGAGTCGATCACCGAGACGGGAAACCTAGAGCGTGGCGCACGAGGATTGTTAATCTTGAGGTGAAGTTTATTGCCAGCTGCGCCAGTCAAACCAATCACAACCTCAAGGAGTGAATGTCGCACCTCGAACCGTGGGTCTTGCACAAATGCTGTAAACACCAGGTGTTGAAGGTTTCCATCAGTAGCGACACAGTTCCAGACTCTATCATCATGAAGACAGGCTTCAATGAAGCTTTCCAGAATGAGCTTCACCATAACACAAGTTGACAATTCTTCATCAGTAGTACTTCTGCAGTCCAAGGTGAAACGTAACAGCCTTGAGATTTGAGCGACAAACTCTTTCCGGTCTTCAAGATATTCCAAGGACACCTCCGAAGACACCTTAGCACGGAAAGCCAGCAGTAAGGCTTCGACCAATCCATGGACAATTGAAATCTGTAGTGGATCGCTTGTATTGGTTAGTTCCAATTCTGGGAGTGTTGCAACAATGGTTCGAATACTGTATGTGAGAAACTTTGTATCTGGGTTTGAGCTGAAGGAGTCGACCTCAATACACGACCGTAGAGCTCTTGCACAATATAACAGCTTGAACGGCTTCCCAGGTGGGAGCAGTTCTGCAGGTGACCTCTCCATCGATCTGATTAAACGCACCACCTCAGTTTGAGCAGAAAACAGGCTGAGAAAGCCATACACTTCTCTCGAGAGGCGTTCATCCGCATCGAGGAGGTCATACAAATCATCAAAATGATGCATGATCTTGTTATCCACGGGCGAGGTGGCGCGTGCTGAACGTGCAGGCACATTTTCGGGAGTGTTGGCTGTCTTCATCACCATGATGAGCCCGTGCGGTAGCTTTGTCTCAGCTAGAGTTGTGTTTGAGCCTTCGATGATGGTCTTTTGGCCTTGGTTGAACACAGAGAATTGTGTGAAGCCACTCGAATCGGTAAGATACTTGTAGAATTCGTCGCAAGTGTTTTCACTGCCTACTTGTATTTTCTGAATCTGTTCTGTGACATACTTACTCCCATGGATTTGTATGCTCAATTCGATATTTTGGCCCTTCCTCTCCGAGAACTCTGGCAACCCTGGAGTTCTAGTTGGTGTGGGGCTGTATCGAGGCCGTGATTTCATCCCTTCAAGAAATTTTCGAAGGAATAGTAAAGACCGGTCGAAGCGAAGCTCCTCAGCACGGATCTCATCCTCAGAAGCGATGATTACCATTGGCTCATCTTCGCCACTCAAGGTTCCATCGGTGTAAGATTTCAATTTCGATGCCGATGCAATGACTTGGCGTACACATCGATCCACAAGCGAAGAGTGTGTGAGATCGATCGTGGCCTTTGTTTGTCTTGTGATTAAGCTGTGATCCAGGTACTGTCGGATAATGAAGTCCGCCGCCTCATTCTCAATAGTATTCGGTGGTGCCTCAAGCACAATCTTCCACAGCCGCTCAATACCAGGAATGACGACAACATCATCCGTGTCCGTAAGGACATGCGGAGAGCATCGGATGGTATATGAGACGGACATTCTGATAAATTCTAGCAAGCGATCACAATAGTCCGCTGGCCCAAGGCTTTGGAGGTGCTTGTCGATGATCAGATCTAGGACTATGTTCTCATCTCTTGGCTGCTTAAGCCTCAATGCATGAGTCAAGGTTTCCCAAGATCTTGCACGAATCGTAGGAGGCAGCTCTGGTGAGGTGAAATATGATTTCCAAACCATTTCAACCAGGTCAGCAGAGAAAGTGTCTGGTAGCCAATGAATAAAATGATAGAGAGTGGTGGCAATGATATCGTAGATTACTTCGAAAGAAGAGATGCACTCTCGTTGCTGTGACAGAAGCTGGTACTGATCGCGTAGATGAACAAACTCCGCAACCAATAAAGCTGTGAGGTTCAGGTTCTCCACGAGGTTGGGAATGCTGTCCCGACTCATGAGTGAGATCATAGCATTGAGCGTGTAAAGATCACCGCCAACGCCTCTGTGATGCGCCTTGATTCTTGCAGCAGCCTCGCTCATAATGGCACGTCGCTCATCTTCTTCGATAGACAGAAGCGAGGAATCTGGGCGACCAAGGGTCAGCAAAATGGTAAGCTGCTGGGTAAACTCTCTGCGAATCGTGATAGCTTGCTCCAGCGCAAGATTTTCGTGCACTGTTGCCTCTCGTAGCAATCGGATGCAAAGTTGTCTTGTGACAGGATTGGTCGCGAAGTCTGTGTTGAAATGAGGAGTACCCACGCGTTGACGAACGCTGGTAAAGAGGTTTACCGTGAATCCCACCACATGTTGATCGTACTGCTGAAAGGGCAACTCGAGAAGTTTTTGGCAGATATAGTACAATGCGGGCAGATCATAGACATTAAAGCACATGAACAACAAGTTGAACACTTCGTGAACAGTCCTTGTATCATGGCTTTCGACGATTGTTTTCCAAATATCGTCAGTATTGGAGTTGGTGTATGTTCCAGAAACGCACAAGAAGCCAACCACGTTATGGCTGCGACGAATAACTTGCGGATGAGAATCCACCCCAACGATGTACTCCACAAGCTGGTTTTCCACGATGAAATTAATGAGAAACCGTACCAAAGGATTGGCCATTGTGACAGCCGTAGGCCTGCCTTCAATATTGTCCTTGTACACCTGAATCAGGTCGGTTGACATGACTTCAATACCCATGACCCGAAGTTCCATACGTCCATTTGTCACGAATTTTCTGAGGGTCTTAAATTTCCAGGCACAGGGCATGGTGCTCGGTAGATCAGTAAGGTCTGAGTCCGCGAAGCCAACTCCTGCGGTGGAAATGATATCCTGTCCAATCTGAGGCACCTCCACCGCAATGGCAGCTACCAAGGGGTTCAGTTGTTCGATCAACTTGCCAGCAGTTTCCAAGTTTAACCAAGGGAGTTGTTTGACGATTGCCTGCTGGAGAATGTTGTCCGCCTTCAAAATTATTTCCGCAGAGGAGTCGCGCAAGTTGTCGAGCTGAGCGATAGGTGGATATTGTACATCAGGCATTTGATGGTTGATGCAGTTGATTGGGCCCATAATATGTTGGGTTAGGTTCAAAATGTTCAGAAAAGGTCTGAAGAAATCTTGCCTCTTGACTAGGATTGGACCCAGTTCCGAAAGTAGCTTTGACACCGAAGACAACAGACCCACGCCAACTGGGTCGACAGTTCTGTCGAGCAAGTGTGCATGAAAGTATGCAATGTCGAATTGAAGAGAATGGCGAAGGGCTTCGTAGAAAGGAACTCGAAACTGAAATACCCAGGAAAGAGGCTGAAGGTAGGGTGCAGATATTAGTGTGAGATTGCGGAGGGGAGACGGATCAATATTGTCCGCGAGAAGTTGTATGTTTCGGGTGTCATAATCAATGAGCATTGTAGTGATCTGAGCGAATGCCGTGAAAAAATTGGCCAGGTCCTCGGTGCGGGCTTGCGCGGGCGGAGCACTATCCCTTCTAAGAAGTCCTCCGATGAGGTCTGGCAAGGCTGCCCAAAACTCGCGGTCGTCGTCAATAAGTCTTGCAGGGAAGTCGTGGCAGATGTCGACGAAGTCGATCATCCAATCCTTCACCCGGGCGAAGAGGTCACCATCTTGAGGACCGCCATGTTGAAAACGCTCTGCAATGCGCTGGACTATCCGACTGACATTACCGGGCGTAGTTTCGTGTGCAAAAGGAAAAGAACGATAGACGTGGCCGGGCTGGACGGTCCTCAGGGTTGAGGCAGCAGATGCACCTCCAATCTTACTTGTCCATTTCGTCTGTGCGGGATCTTGGTCGTAATCCTCTATTTCGGCAATCTCGATCTCGGGGCTTTTGCTTGGAGATGATGAGATAGAAATCGTTTCTAGGACATCTGCGGGTTCTGTGGTGGTGGTGATGGTGGCAGAGGCTGATATTGCTCCCTCTGAGGCCTCGCCACAAATCGTGGGTCCTTCCGAAGTTGGAGATGGTTGACTGGTTGGCATGCCGGGTACATCAATCCCTGCAACGGGTTGTGTAATTGATTGAGAAGACAATGGGCGAGTATTGATGGTGACCTTGCTGGTGGGGGAGACAATAGCGGTGGCTGGGTTGGAAGGGCACGATGGTATTGGGGGAGTGAGATGTTGTCGGTCCAGACTGCCATTTGTATCACGGCTTGGAATGGAAGGTGCGGTATTTGACGATAGTTGCTGCGGATCGGACATGATGTGTGTGCCGTCAGGCTTGGTCTCACTCAGCCTTGGACGTTTGTGCTCATGCTCTGGCAACTCGGAATCTCCGGTGGAATTACTGCGGTTGCGGATGGAAGAATCAGATAATGAGGACGACATGATTACCTAGCGAACTGTGTGGCATCCGGTTGCCTCAACGGATGAAGCTCACTCAGACTTGAGGATGGCTGATGCAGAAGGAAGTGGTGACTGAGATGCAGGCAGTGAAGGTTCTTGGCGAGGCCTGTAGAAGAACTGGGGGCAGAAGGCAAACACTGCTGGCTCCCACAGGCAAGGCAGCCTGATCCCAGGCCAAACAAGCAAACTGAGGGGCACGATTCGACCAGCAGGCGTCGGAATGAGCCGGCCAGCTCAAAGCTGCAACTCAAATGATGAGTACCTGGATGGTGTTGAAAAGACAAGAGAGCAGCTGGGCCATCTCCCTCTCTAGCGCCGATTTATGAAGGGGAAAATGTGAAGAAGGGAAGATGGCGGGGCAGCAACGTGAGGCGTTGTTTGCCCAGGGAATGATGTCGTCGAGAAAAGGAGTCCGAAATGTGATGGTGAGTCAATAAAGAACATGCATGAGTGTTTGAGTGACAAAGATATCAGGCAACGTGCTTGATGGAAGGATGGGAAATGGTGATGAGTCGTTGACCAGGCTGCAGTGGCCTTGGTGCTCCCACAGAACAGGCTTGCGAGTTAAAGTGTTAAAGCGTACGGAGTGCAGAGTACGAACTACGGACTACGGACTACCCAGCACCCAGGTAGATACGACTGACTAGTGACTACTACTAGTGATGAGAGACCCAACGCCGTGCCGCGACTGGTCGAGCGTGTTGCGCCCCTCAGTCGCGCTAAACGCGTGTACTACACGAATCTGCTGTGCGAGGACTAAGTGGTACGGGAGACCATATATGCTCCCAGTGGCAGTCCGAACCTCACGTGACACCGTCATAAAATTGTTGTTCTGGTTTGCACATGCACGTCACTTCTCCAAACTATAATACCTATGTAGATTTGGTACTAGGTATAGCACTTTTGTGTCGCCGTTGACCAAAGGTATCTCGTACAAAGCATAAAAATGGACAACAAGCCGAAGAAGATGACATATGCTCTTGGATTGCCCTACGGCGAGCCTACGTGGTCTGGATATACACTTGCGTCCTTCCATTACCCGGAGCTAACATTCGGCAGGCCCTCGCTCTCCACTGAGCACGAAGCAGCGATCCTCTCACTCCTAATTCCTCTGCTCCAGCCCGTCGGTGCCTTTCGTCGTAGTCATGTCCCTCGCTCCAAGGGAAAGGGAAGAGCTGGAAAACCTCCCAATCCCTCAGCCCAGGACCCAATCTCACCTCCTGCATCGATGCCAGAGATTTACAACAACCTCACCATAGGGTTTAATACCACCATTCGAAGACTAGAGGCTTTGTCCCAGGTCCGAAAGCCATCCAGCCTGTCGGAGCCCAAGACCGCTCACCAGTCAGACCCTGCACCCACGAACCTCGTTGCTGTTCTCGTCTGCCGTCGCTCTCTTCCACAAGTCATGACCTCTTCCATTCCTCTACTGATTGCTGCTGCAGCCCCAAAATCCAGCCGCAGCAGACTCATCGAGATAAGTACACAAAGTGAATCAAAGCTTGCCCAAGCCTTAGGGCAACCACGGGTCGGAGTGCTTGGTGTCGAGAATGATGCTGCAGGCGCTACTGCACTGGCGCGGTTTGTGGTTGATAATATCGGTTCTGTGGATATTCCCTGGCTTGAGCCACTGTCATCTCCTATATACCTGCCAGTCAAGATACACTCGGCCACAACGGCTCCCAAAGAGAAATCTTCGGGTGATGCTCGAAAGAGGAAGAAGAGTGAGAAAACATGAGGGTCGCTACGTGTTGCCCGCAAGCCCATGTCATTCAAGGGACTCAACGAATGAATGGAATGCGAACGGGCGTACGACTGCGATAATCAACGTAGGCCTGGCCGAAGAAGGAGACAAGATGACGCTCTTCGTCTGCATAGTAAGTGTCAGTAAGGAAGCAGTATCCTGAACCCAGCATACATACGCATGATCCTGTGCGAGAAGAATCTCCACAACACTATTCCATACGCCACAAAACAAATACGGTTTCCGAGCATGACTTGCGTTCCCAGACCCCACCAAAAGAAGCCAAAATAGGCCGGGTGTCTTGAGAACGCATAGACACCATCGGTTACCAAAATATGATCAGGCTTCTTTGTCCATTGAACAACGTGGTTGAAGTTTGTTTTGGCTTGTGCCATTGCCAAGCTTCTCATGGTTTGGCCGACCACAATGAGACTGAAGCCAAACATGACAATCCAGGCTGATGGGATGGTTGGGAAAATGGTTGGAATGTAGAATGGTGCAACAAGCCACTGCGGCCTGTGTTGAGAATGCATCCAATATCGAGCCAGGAGTTCTAGCATAGCGGCTGTATGGGCAGAGGCGTATGCGTATCCATTGGAAAGCAGTAGAAATGACGAGATGCGAGCATCTGGTGGGTTGTATCGTGCTGTCGAGTCAAACTCTAGATAGTGAAATATCGCCAGCATTGCAGTGAAACAAGGTGCCCTCCAGAGACCATACCCCAGGTAAGCCAACAGAACAGTCAGGACGAGGCAGCTTCCGAACGCGGTCCCTAATCCGAAGGCGCGTGCTGCAATCCCAGAAAGCGACCTGTTGCCTCCAGGCAGATAGTACGGATGGATGTACAGGGGTGCACGATACGGCTGGAAAGGAGGGCCTCCGTTTTGATGATGCGCAGCACTCGCAGGTTGTCTTGGAAATTCGTGGACAATGTCGGGCGAAGGGGGCTCTGAGGAGTCGGACATGGCGGTTCTTTAAGTCCTTGGGGTTGGAATCCAAGAGGCTAGTATAGGTATCTGGTGTTGTCGACGAGAGAGTTTCTTCGCAAACCACACACTGGCGTAGGAAGACGTCGCAAATCCAGAGACAGAGACATTACCAGCGGAGAGGCCTGGTGGGAAGGATGGGAGACCAAGAGGGACCTTGTTTACGTACGTTGAGAAGAAACGAGCCACGTAGGGTAGATGGTACATAGGCCAGTGGTTGGCGCCACATACCTGAGCGGGGAGAACAACAGGGAAAACGGGTTTGATGTTGAAGTGGAATGAATGTCTTAAGCGAACACCGAACACCTGGTATCTGTTCCCCTGGCTGCCTCAGTTACGGCCACGGCCTGGCAGTGGGCCCACCCATAGGCACCCATAGGCACCCATAGGCCAACCAAGCAAGGGCTGACATAATCGGCATTTTTGTACGTCAACTTTGAAAGGACCCCAAGGACCCCTTTTCCATCCTACGAGTGCACTCTTTTCCGCTGTACGAGTAATTGTCAAGACCCTTCCGCCAGCACGGCCATCGAATATGATGGACCGCCCTGAATGGGAAGAAGGCTCAGTTCGGTCTTTTGCCCACGGATTTTCCTGCTTTCCATAGGCTGTGGAAAACCCTGCAAGAGTTTTGAGAGAGATGGAGACTGCAATGGACACAGGTAATGTGGCTGCTGAGCCTGGTGCTGGTCCTGGAGCCAAAAACGATGATGTCGTCATGCTTTTCCCCGCAACGTCTGCCACACCTTTGGTCACAGGGGAAGGTTGCAGAAACGGCCTATCTTGACCATCGTGGAATAGTCGCCACGAAGGGAACAACGCCTGACTGGGTGGGGAGTGTTTTCAATTTTCCAGGAGCTGGAACGTCGGGCTAGATCTCTCCGTACGGGAAGAAAACGCGAGAACGAGAATGCGGCCACAAGTTTCCAAAACATATGTATATATGTATATAAAAACTCGATATGTTCGATTCTGTTCTGTCACTCCTTTTCTAGCGCTAGAACTTTTGTCTAGCCGAGCCGATGTGCCGAAAGTCTGATGCGAGAAAATGCTCAAAACACAGAGAAGAAATACCATTCCCAAAACTCCAGACATGTACAGTCAAAACCATGTAGACGATGAAAAAGTATTGCGTTTCTCACAACTCACAACTCACATCACGCGTCTCAAATCGTCATTCACGACATCACTCAGCGCCTCTGATGCCAACGGTACGCTGCTCGGTCGTCGCCGGCATGGAACCGATAGTCCTCCGGCTCAATAACCTCTCGACCTCAAGCTCAACTGAACTCTCCAAATCCACGACCTCATACATGACGGTGCCGCGCCAGTAGAGCATGCGGAACAAGTTCAAAGTCCGGACTTGCGGGAGCAGCTCCTTCAGCAACTCCACCACGCCTTCCATCTGCTGCCTCTCAGTCCTCAGATGGCGCATCAACATCGCGCGGCTGGCCGTCATCGGTGGCGTGGGCGGGGTCTGGCCGACGGCCTCGGCCTGCTGCTGCTGCTGGATGGTCCAGATGATGGGGCGGTTGTGGCTGGGGCGGGAGAGCAGGGTGGTGAAGTAGATGTCGAGCTCACGCATGGCGGGCAGCTCGTTGATCTGCGCGAGTCGCCGCTGCAGGACGGCCAGGTGCCGGGCGCGGTCGTCGACGCCAGCGCCCGCGGCCTGCACCATCTCGAGCACCTCGCGCGTCATGGTGCTGTCGAGCTGCAGCCGCACTTTGCTCGCCTTCTGGACCAGCCACGACTGCGACAGCAGCGCGCGCAGCTCGTAGTTGCGCCATCCCGTCATGTACGGCACGACCGCCAGCGAGCGTGAGAGCATCGGGCACAGTGTCAGGGTGATTGTGTCGACATTGGGGAACGTCGCTGCGAGCTTTGGGATGAGCTTCTCTGGTGGGCGCGCGAGCAGTGTCGTGGCCTTGCGGCGGACTGAGATCCGGCTGTCTTGCTCAAGTAAAGGGATTGCAATGTCGAGGTACCGCACGAATTTCCGGATGCCGAGGTGAGCCAGTCGCGGCACCGTCTCCGGTTGCAGGTACACGACCAGTTTAGAGCTCCGGCACAGAACTTGCTGGCATTCTGCGTAGAGTTGATGGCAGACGGACAGGATCGCTGGGCTCGGAGATGGCTTGCCGCGGTACAGCTCTACCCAGGGGGCGCGCGAGCCAGAATGGATGAGGCGGTGGTCAGATACAGAGAGTGTGTAGAAGAGAATCCTCTGTCGGATTTCCAGGGGCAGTGTAATCAAAGACGTCTGCCCGTTTGGGCTACTTGAATCATGGTTCTTCATGGTGATAGAGAGTGCCGCAGCAGACGTAGAGGCAAGGAGTGAGTCAAGATCTCCCCCTCTTCTTACGTTCTTCCTCCTTCCTCCGTTCGTCTTACGCACACTCAGCGAGCCGAGCACTCCCGTCGGACGGACGCAGAGTCGTCGATGTCTTTGGTAATGAACTAGTCCTGTAACGCTACAGAACACGCTGTGGACGTTCTCAAACGATACCTTCACCAGCCATGCAAGGCGAAGTTTACAGACCTGTTGGTGACAGATAAGAATCTCACTACGGGGGGTCTTGTAGTGGCAGGCAGAACTTGACTCTCCTCGATGGTTACATTGCATTGGATGATCTGCCAAGGGCCGCTGGTACCAAAGAAGGTAAAGCCCCGCGGTGGTCGAAGTGGCCTGGCCAGTGGCGAACCAAGATGTTATATAAGCAAGGCTGAGCTTCTCCCTGTTTTGCTGGGGGAACGGGTGTTCAGAAAAGGAAGGAGGATAATAATATCATGTGATCCACGAGAACGCTACGCGCGGGAAGTTGTAGCACAGTACAAGAATACAAGAAGCAACATTAAGCTTCTCGTGGTGTTCGGGGTGGTGGGAAGATAGAAATCTCCCACAGGTTCCTCTTTCTCTAAGAGTCAGGCGATATTCTGCAAAAGATGGTTTGACTTTGATGATGCTTTTTCGCATGGAAGAGCGCTCAATCCGCGCGTTGAAAAATGCTGTGTATATACATGCAGACATGGAATAGCTCGTGGCATTTCAGGCAAAGGGAAACTGGGTTGCGGAGCAGGATGAATAAATTTAATGTTGGGTAAATCAAGCGATACCATCACCAAGCCAGATATCTCTTTAAAATTCATCTTCACCTTCATCATAGTGCAGCCCCATTTTCAAATTCGCTCTCGCAACGTTGAATGTACATTTCTCGTCAAGTAAACTATGGCCATACATTTCTAATTGTACTTCTCTAGGAATTCCTTGTGGAACGTTGTCCAACGGCCCACCCAATCGGTGCCTGGAGCTAGGAAAGTCGTTCGTAGGTGCAGAGTATTAGGCTTCTGGCCGAAGCCGGATCCGGGGACGACGCAGATACCGGTGGCATCGAGAAGTCGTAGACAGTAGAACTCGTCAGGGCTACGGTCTGCTTTCTTTGCAGCTTCAACAGCCTTCTGTGGAATATGAATGGTTGGGAAGAGGTACATCGACCCCTAGACTCAGTGAGCGACTATCAAATGCGGAGTAGAAGCGCATGGATACATACCTGAGGCTCTCCGATTTCAACACCTTCCATCTCTTTAAATGCTTCATACAGGGCTTGGGCCCTCTCCTTCAGCCCATTCTTGACACCGTTGTACTCCTTGTTGTAGAGTTCGAAACTCGGGTCGCCTTCCTTTGGGGGGTTCACCACAAGCTCCATGAGGCATTGCCCGATCACAGGAGGACAAAGCATGATACTGATGAACTTGTATATTTGAGCTCGGACCTCCTCGTCGAAACCCACGAGTTCAAAATAGCCGGCACGGTGTCCACATTCACCGACCATACCTTTGGATACAGAGTTCAGAGAAGCAAGCTCCACATTATCGTAGGTGCCCGGGGAAGCCTTTTGCAGTTTGCAGAGGACTTGCTTGAAGGAGTGGAATTTGCCGACGAAGACATTGGTCTGATACACCTCATCGGCCATCACAACCAACTTTTTCTCCGCGGCAAACCTGATCACAGCTTCGACATCTTGCTCAGGGAGAGATGCACCTGTAGGATTGCCTGGGTTGATGATGACCACTGCGCGAACATCGGTGCCTTCACTGACTGCCTTATCATACGCTTCTTTGATAACGTTCAGGTCCGTACCCCAAGCGTGGGATTCGTCGAGGTAGTATGGAACACATCGGGCATTTAGAATGGAGAGCGTGGCGGTATAGAGGGGATACTGTGGAATGGGGACAAGGACTCCCGTCTTGGGGTTCGCACAAATGATATGGAGAAGAGTGTTGACGCCAGAAGAAGCACCGGCAGAAAGGTAGATTTGGTCCTTGTCAGAGGGGAATCCATCTCGTCGTTCGATAAAGTCGGCTACTGACTGGCGTATTCCTGGGGCGCCAGCAGACTGTGAATATGCACCAACCGAGCCAATCTCTCGGAGTAGCCACCGGGCACGATCTATAGTATCTTGCTTGTAACTGAAACTTGACTTAAGAGCCTCCTCATTCTCAAGTAGACCGGGGTTCTCCAAAAGGGCGAGGACTTGTCGAAAGAAAGTAATTGGCTTCTGATCAAGCTGTTGTGGATTGCCAATGTTGGCGGAGATGACGGTGTCGAATGGCAGCGGTGAGTCTGGCGGTGTAGGAGGGTTTTTGTGCTTTAGTTGGGCACGATACTCCTCCGACTTGATTGCGAGCTCGCCACGAACGGCATATTTGGCTGCTTTGACGTGGGGATTGATATTGTCTATGTTCAGACTGCGGAGGCGAGATGTGGACGACATCTTGCGGCGAGTGGAAGGAATGTGTGTTCTAGGGCCGAATGGCGGAACTAAATAGAAGAAGGTCAGCCATGGTCACCGGATGATATGAAGGTTTTGCGTTGGCAGAAAAAAAATCGGGAAAGAAGCAAACATGGGTTGAGGGAGTCACCACTCGTATGCGGTTCTGTGACCCATAAATCAGACCACGGAACCACGGATGTTTCTTACCTCGAGACTGGTCCGGCCGGCGGGATGAGGTCGAGAGGGAGCTGGTAGAAGTAAAGACGCTGCAGGCAATGGCCAGTTCAGAAGAAAGAAGTTGTGCTCTTTGAAGAAGAACCGAAGTCTGCAATGAGTACATTGTCCAAACTCTCAAGCCCGTCACGATTCATGAAACGAGTGGGGCCTTTCGGAGAAGAAATGATCTGTGCCTGGAGTTCTCTGCGAGCACGCTACCAGTCCGTTCCAGGGTTGAGGGTTGGCAATGACGATACAGCTCAGAAGCAAGCTGCATGTGGGTGTGGACGGCGGTATGGCCGTCGCGTGATACGAAGCGATAGAGGAGGGGAGATAGCAAGAATCAACAAAGAAAAATGTCCTCACCTCGACTGCCAGAGAGCTCTGACACCAGCTGTCTGATCTGCAGCAATTATCTGCGCCATGCAGCCCTCGGCCGCGCTCGTCTATCTTATCGCTCGGGGGCGGCGCTGGGGCAGCTGGGGACCTCGGGAGACCAGCGACAGGGACCAATCCTCCGTAAAGGGCACAAGAGTTCAGGATGTGGAGTGGGGGTGGCCCACGGCGGTCATCGATAACAATGAATAATTACAGTCTATTGAGCCGAGCAATTAATTGGAGGACACAGGGCAGGCAAGGCACAATCGACCGTCTCCATCCGACTTCTTGGGATACTCAATACGGAGTACTGCGTAGCTTGTAACCAACTTGGCTTGTCTGCATGCATTAGAAAGGCTTGACCGTGGGCTAGCATGTTGAAGCGATTACACGGGTAGTAGATGGACAGTCCTGTAGATGTGCCACCTACGAGTACATACGAGCTCCTCACTGACTCATCCGTATAGTCATCGGCGTGTTCGTGTTTTGTACCTTTACTGCCTTGCCGTGGCCATTGCAGAACCGGGTGCCCACTGGATGCCATCTTGCTACATTGAAGCCTCCCGAAACGCCTTGCGCTTTCATGCCGCCTCTATCATGCCAGGCATCTGTGTATTGTATGCCAGAAGTCAACCGTCTAACTAAGCACGTTCGCTTCCCCGTAATCTTACAGCCTGTCCATACTTTTGCAGCTTGGTAATCAGGGCGTCGCCTTGCTTGACCACATCGGCATACTGCTTGTTCTTGTCGTCGGGACGCGTGGTTTCAATCACTCCTTGAACCCGATCGATAGTGCAGCTAACCCGTCCACCCGCGATGAATTTGGCCAAATCCTTGTCCAGGAAATCAACACTGACCCCAAATGCCGATGCCATGGTCGCTAGTCCCACCACCCGGTATGATTGTAGGAGTTGCTGGTAGCCTCGAAGACGCATCTCCCGCACAAACCAAGCACGATGCTCATACAGGTATCGGTCGTGCGCCAAGAAGGCCTCCTCCACCCCTGCGAGGGAGGTGAAGAAGCCGCGATAGTTGCCAGCGTACAAGCTGTTGACCAGGCCTGCCAACGATGACATATCCACAGGCGCTTCTGTTTGGCTTTCCACTGCCGATCCCGAACCGAGAGTTGTCAAGTTTACAAGACCAGCTGCTCGTTCTGCTGTGGACGCCGACACATCCTTCATCTCTTCATCTGCACCAGTAGCCTTGTCTTCGCCGTCACCCAGGATGGCTTTAATTTCCGGCGCATCCACCACCTTGGCCTTGAAATCAACACGCTTTAGTGACAACGAGCCTGCAAGGACTGCATATGTGACCAGGGACGAGTAGGAGCATAGTTCGTAGCTGGTGAAGGTGGAAAGGCTGTCGAGTAGCAAGGGCGCGGCTAGGTTATAGGAGCGCACAGTGAGGAGATGTAGTCCTTTGTATGCCTTTAATCTGTTTCTCCGATCCCAGTCACCGCCGCCCTCGACCAGAATATTCGCGCGCTCCACCTGCTTCTTCACAAACGCTTTGTCGTTAAAGAAGAGGCCGATGCGGATGATAGCAAGAACGATGTCAATCTTGGTCCCGAGAGGGCCGGCCTTGTCTAGGACTTTCTCGTAGGCAGCAATTGCTTTGTCCTGCTCAGATTAATCAATGTCACTTGGAACAGAGGTATTCGGGAGGTCATACCTTGTCTCCAACGCGAGCCCAGAAGTCTGCCCTCTTGCTCCGAGCAGCCTGCACTTCTGTCTCGCCAGCCTTCTCTTCGGCGTCCTCTTCCTCCTTCTGAAACTCTTCCAGCTCTTTGTCATTCTCAGCCTTGAGCTCATTGTACAGGTTTTCATCCCAAGGTAGAATTCCTGAGGGCACGGATTTCTTAGGCGGTAAGAGGTTACTCGATACCAGAGAGGCTCGTCTCGTGGAGGGCTTCTGCGGAGGATTTACAGGTTGAGCAGTGCTCTCGCCGATTGTGTTCAAGACACCTTCAGTTGGGTGAGCCAGGTGGCGGTACAGAGGGGCCATCTTGTGCTCTTTGATGGCATTTTGAAGGTAGTTTAGAGAAGTCGGTTGTGCTGTCCTGGGAGCGGTGGCTAGAGAGAATATGTGCTGAGCAAGGCTGAGGTCAGGATATTTGGCAAATTGCGGATCAGACCCCATGGTTGCAGAGGCTTGTGCCGACTAGGTACCGAAGGGAAGATGGTGAAAGCACAATAGCGGTTGGGACTTGTGCAGATGTTCGGAATGAGCAGCAGCAACTTGAGGAATCGATGGAGGAACGCGCAGCAAATGCCAGCCTGCAAATGCGCTGCCAAGCCATGAGACGCCCAGTCTCCGCGCCGACTCGCCATGGGCTGCGACTAACCAAGGCTAGTTAGTGTACTTTTGAACGGGCTACGAAGCTACTACGACTGATTGGTGCTAGTCGGAACTCAGGGCTCAGGACCTTCCGGTCGACCTTGTTCTCAACTACGTGGAGACTCCTGTTCACCACCCGTTGACTTATTGCCTCTATCCAACACTCGTAATCATCGTTCAGCACCTCCATGTCTCATGCGACATCGCTCCCACTAAAGACCCTAACAAGCCCATGATGTAGGTATTCTAGCGACCGGCATGCAATCATCCTTGTCCCTGCCCCGTCTGCTTCTGGCCACGGACCTCGGTGCCAATGATTCAGCCTTGTTTGCTTTTTGCCTTGCGCCTTGCTTGTACCACCATGCCAGGCCTTCTCGTCTCGTATTCTGTCCTGTTGAGGCGGGGTTCTGCAAGGCAACGCCAGCTTGCAGCGGTACTTCCGACAGATAAATAGCCCAAGTCACCTTGTACCTTCCCTTCCATCAATATCCTTGTTTCCTCGGTAAACAGCGCTTTACTCTAGAAAGCCTGCCCTTTCGCTACTCAATATCTCCAGATATTGATTCAGTCTTGGCACTGTGAAGCTGCCTCCAGGCTGCCACTGGCAGTGAAATACGACTGAATTCACTACCACTCTGCCATGTGAATTTGTTTTTTTTGGTTACCCCCTGCTTCGTACCTTGTCCTTTCCTCTTCATCCCTCTTCCTGCTTGGATTCTCTCTGGTTTCTACCTTCCACCAGCGAGCCTGATCTTCAAACAATCCTATACAGGCATGGCACCGTACAAGGTTGTTCTAATCCCCCCTAAGGGTGATAGACTGGACCTAGTACTCCCCTTCGACGGTGCTGGTACCTTCCACGACCTTACTCAGGTCGTTCTCACTCGCGCTTCTAAACACCGCTCTCTACCTTCTACAATTCGACAGGAACACCTCAGACTGTGCCTCGATTCTGAAGAGGGCTTCTTGATTGAACCTGAAGATACAGTTCAGGAGGTCATCACAACAAGCGATGTGCTGTTCATCCTCTTTCAGGATGCGGGGTCTTCCCATGTACTTGGCGCGCGAAGCCTCGAACCTGTACAGCATCCACTCCAGATCCAGGTCATCATACCAAATTCGGCAAGGAGCCTTTCCAATGATACGGCTTTGCTACAAGATGGTCATCTATATCCCGCTACGACTACACTCAGGCAGATAAAGACCGACCTCGCTCACCATCTTCAACTTCCCGTCTTGGCCCATGAAGACATTTCTGACCAATCGTGTAATTGCAAATTGGCAGAATTGCTGGTGAAGAGGGGCATCTGGGAGAAACTTGGCTGCAGCGGACATGGTGCTCGCGGTTGCTCCTTTAGTGGTCACCCTCAACTCGATCCCATCCAAGGCTGTGCTCGTTGTTCCCAACCCCTGACTCCACACTTCACTAACCCGAGTACCCATGGCAAATGCGAAGCTTACATCTTGCTTCGTACTGATCTCCCATGTGGCCATGCAATCCATTCCCAGTGTCTGAGTGGAAGCGAATATGATTGTCCTGAATCCTGCTACTCAAGAGCATCACCTACACTGTCACCCGAGTTCATTATTGTTTCCGGTCCTGGCCAAATTGAACGACTTCGCGCAGACGGCCCCACACACTCAGCGTTGATGGCAGCGATCTATGCCCGATTTGGAGTAACCTTTACACAAGACAAAGCCGTACATTGCAAAGGCGGTAGGTTGATAGACACAGACATATATGACAGACTGCCCTTTGTTGCCATTTGCTCTTCCGCACGTCATAATTCTAGCCCTCTCACTAAGGCATTCGGTACCAATAATGGCCCTACTAAGCATCATCTTGATCTTCACACTATTGAAGGCCCCGTGTGTACCCGGAATATGGATTTGACACTCGGCGATGCCAAATTAGCCGATCTAGCCATCAAGGGTGTGCTCACCCTCTATGTTGTGCCGCGACAGTCGTCGGTTGAAGATAAGAACTTGCAAGGCAAGGACGGCATGTTCACCGCCGCCTCACACTGGGAGCTGCCATCTCAAACCCAGTCCCCACGGGCAATGGCGGCGGTGTTGGCATCACTTCGTGTTTTTGCTCACATCATTGGTTCTGAAGAATACGATGACGTCCGCCAGAATGAGATCCTTCGTGTGGTGCATCTCCTTACTCGATTTCCTCCGACTGTCCGTGCCGTACATATCTTGATGGATGGGAAAACACTACAGGCCAACGAAAGCGCTGCGTTGGTTCAGAGTCTTGGAGCTGTTGCTGAAGAACTGATTCCTATGGCTCTTATCTCGAATGATATGACACGTTGCCTGGAAGGTGCCAGACTGGTTCTCGGCTTGATCCTCCATCGAGCTGAGGTGCATCTGGCCAAACAAATCGGAGCCGCAGATGGCCGTTTAACAAATCCTAAACTTCCATACATCACCGCATACCGCACTATCGACTTGAGAGATATCAAGACAATGGAGCCAATTACCGAGCCAGCGTTGACAAATCTGGGCTTGGTCAACAAAAGCGTGTTCAATGCTTTCTCCTCTTCAGATATTCTCAGAGATAGTCCTGCTTGCTATCTCACTCGTTGTGACGACAGTGATGAACAGCGTCTCCGTGTGAGCTTACTATATGGAGGGGCGACTCTTGAAGCCTCCTTCTACGAAGCGAATGCCTTAGGAGAGGCATTTCACCAAGGTGCTAGCTCCGATAACCTTAGCGTCGCCCTCGATCTCAAATCTTACTCCATGGATATTCAGTACCTCGCATCGATGTGTGGAGAAACAAAACTTGTCGTTGTTGCTCCCCGTCAACTCTCGGGTGCAACGACTCCGAGTCTAACCTTAGATCGATATGGCAAGATGGCAGTTTACACTGGTCGCGCCGCATGTGCCGCACCAGGTCAAGATCATTCAGTGTTCCACCCGCTAACAGGAGACGATGAGACCGTGGATGTGAATATCATTGCTCAAAATCTGGAACCAATCATCAAGGCCCGTGAGTTGGATGGTACAAACGTCTTCGATCTGTTTAGCCCTGCGTTTCGCCGTAAGGATGCCGCCCTCCCCACGGAATTAATTGTCTTCTGCGTGGACTGCAGCTATAGCATGAAAAGCTCTTCTGATTTCGCAGAGCTCAATGACGATGACTCTGCACCAGGTCCATCAGAGTCGAGTGAGAAGCCTGATTTGGACCTAGTTCTCGAAGACGAAGACGATTCTAGTGTTACATTGGATGAGGTCAAGACTTGGCTGAAATCCCACGAGTCGTATGAGGACATCCTTGAGATTGTTTACTTTGACCGTGGCTTCAATAAGTTGCAAGCAGCCAAAGAAGTCATTACATTTCTCCGCACGCTCACTGGCCGCCACCTTACACATCTTGCTCAGAAACAGAAAAGCGTCTCCCGTTGGGCGACGTACACATATTCACGTAAAGCGTCAACACAAGAGCTAAGCAGAACGAGAAGAGTTTTCACAGGCTTGAGCATTCATGAAGAATCACTGGCACATTTCCTCGCCTTCACCGTTGGAAGTCCTGATTTTGCTGCAAAGGATTTTAGCTGGAATTATGGTGACCCCATCCCACAAACTGCGAAGAAGGTCCCGGGGAGCGCTGTCGACCTGGGACAATTCTACATTATTCCCGAAGAATACTTATGCTCCATTAGCCAGCATGTTTTCGAGGATCCTGTGAGAACTGTCGATGGGTTTACGTTTGATCGAAAAGCGATTGAAAGATGGTATCGTATTCGAAAAACTTCTCCTTTGACAGGATTAGCTATCCAGGACACAACACTCCGGCACAACGAGTTGTTGGCAAATCAAATCAAGGCGTGGGTAAAAGCTGACGATGTTATTCAATCCTTGCCGTCCACACCCAAACGAACTCGACTCGGTATTCGCCAAACAAAGGCAGTAATCGAATTTGTTGCCCCAGGCGTCCGCTTCGCGAGAGAAGTACCTGCGACCGCATCTCTCTTGGATCTGCACAAGATTGCATTCCGAGGTATGCGCGGCATGTACGCTGATTTTGCTTTATACATGGGTAGTGTACGTTTGATCTGTTGTGAAGAAAACATAGCTGCCAAGGGGGTGATGGGGAATCAAACCATCACGATTGTTCCAAACCATGACCCTCAAGATATCACCTCTGCAAATGCAGCGGTTGATGATATGTGCCTTGTCCAAGTATATGCAAGCCATAGCCCTGCGGTGCTGAGGTTCAACTACTGGATCCCCACTCACTCGCAGCTCACGATCGGCTCAATCTTGTTCCGTCAGTGGAGGTATGACCAGAAAACGAGATACAGGGGATCCAAGCTAGACAAGACTGTTTGGAGCGATCTCAAGGACGGTGGGGATGGAATTTGTTTTGGATCTACGCACACCCATTGGTCAAGCTTATCGAAAGTAGCTGCGGAACTCCCACGCGTACGCATTCGAGAGGATGAACCATTGTACGAACGTCTAAAAGATTTGGCAACTAAGAAGGACACCGACTCGTTGATGGATTTACTGGAAGCTAGCAACGAAGACCCTGCCAGTAGCGACCAGTATGGCCGCCATCGAGTTTTGAAGATTCGTCTTTACGACTATGTCGACCCAAAGAGCAGTGACAAAGCAAAAGCCACGAAGCAGAAGATTCTGTCCAGAATGTCTGTTACTAAGCAAGTCTTTAGTGCGTTTATCAATCGACTTATTGCCTATAATTTCCCAACGAACGTGGGACTGGTGACCTTTGGCACGACAGCTAGAGTGTCTCAGGATGTGACAGATGTGATAGAGAACTTCAGGCAGGCTGTGGAGAAAATGGAGCCGGAGGGTGACACAGCCTTATGGGATGCTCTTGGGCTGGCAGCTGACCATCTTGTGGATGTTGCTAAACGCTATCCAAGCATCAAAAAGAGAGTTATCTGCCTTTCCGATGGGGAAGATACCTCGTCAATCAAAGCTGTTGGAGATGTGGTGCGGATGCTGATGCGGCACGATATAGTTGTTGATTCTGTGTGCATCGGTGATGAGGATAACTCAGCTTTGAGGACCGTCTCATATTGTACCGGCGGGTACCGGTTCGTTCCCAACACGATTGAGGAAGCTTCTGTACTGTGTGAGCTGGAACCAGTCCTATCGATTTACGAACGACCAATCGTATCTCGACAATCACTATTCTTCCTGACCAATTTTTCACAACTCAGCTATCGAGCTAAGCCTAACCCTGTTACGCGAGATGAGTTCCCTGCACGAAGAACACACGACAATTTGAGGGACACATTTGTTCAGATTGGGCAGTTCGAGAGGATTGCCACCCAACAACTGTCACAGTCATCGATTGCTGCAACGACCTCGATTCGTTCAAGAAGACTACTTTTGGAGATTCGTGACATTGCTGCTCATCCCCACCCCTCTTACGATGTGTATGTCTCCGAGACCAACATTGGATTTTGGAAAGTGGTACTTGAAGGTCCGAATCACTCTGCATATGCATCAGGAGTTTTTGTCATGTATCTTGCCATGGAGGATGAGTATCCTCGACGCCCTCCACAAGGCCGTTTTGTCACCCCAGTGTTTCATCCAAATGTAAATAGACATGGCCGAATATGGTAAGCCATCACGTGTAGTAATCGTTTATTGATGCATTTGCAGCAAGCTGACAGCATATCTTCACAGCCATTCGATCTTCGACCGCAATTGGACCGTCGACACGACCAACAAACAAATCCTCGACACCGTCTTCGGGCTCCTACTTGTCCCCGAGTTCAGTGACCCTATCAATACTGTTGTCACATTGAACTACTACTGGGACGAAGTCGCTTTCAAGGACGAGGTGCAAAAGCATATCTGCAAGTACGCGAACAAATCCAGGCGGGTGCTCGGCGCCGAGATCCTGGGAGAGGGTAGCAGCAACTCAGAGAATGCAACTACAAACAGCAGGGACAGTGGCGGTGCTCCTGCACCGAGAGGGAACCAAGACACCAATGCACGAGAGTCTTTTGGCACGGGCTAGTGACTTGGTGGCTCGTGAGTGTACCAATTCACAAATTGCGAAAATCATTAATGTCTCACCGGGGATGGACGAGTCAATCTGGTCGAGTTAGAAGATCAACCACAATCATACAACAATCAGACGAAAGAACGGGACCAAGGATGAATTTCATTGTGTCAATTTCTTTGTCACTCCTCGGGTTGACCACGGCGTCATGGACACGAGTACTCCCAAATAATAATCGCCCTGAGGATAGTACCGACTGTGCGTGCGAGTGTTCGCTCGAAATACAAATGTTGAGCTCAGCTCGAGCAAGAAAAGGGGTTGTTTCTGAACGATCAAATGAGTAATGAACTATGATGCGAGCTAATCCCCTTTCCAGATAAACATGGCGATTTCGCTGGAATCGATGAATGATTACGCTCTTTCGTACCGAGAAGAGAAAACCCTGAAGCGTAGATTCTTTATTCGCTGTTCGCTGTTCGCTCCCATTTTCCCTTTTGCTAGTACAATGCCTGCAGCAGGGACTAAAGATGCTTAGGATTACGAGGGTCGAGGGGTGGGGTGTTGAAGGGGCTGGTTTCAGTGCACTGTCTTGAATATTACATTCGCTATCTTATTTCGGAAAGCACCTCGATATGCGACTATGCTGCTACCATTTCCTCATGGTATGCAAAGGTCTGTTCACTGTCGCTCCCTGTGAGTCGCTGACATGGAATTTGTGCAGAGACTGCATAAACATGTCACCTTGGCCGAGTCCTGGTCTGTTTTGATCAATCTCCAATCTGAGATATGGAAGCTCCTGGCTTTTCGACTCCAAGCCTCCTCCCACTGGTCTCAAATAGCAGCTTCTTTCTCGAGCTGATACTGCTTCGTGCCTAATGTAGAGATATCGTAACCATGGCGGATGAGGTATTCTCTGAACTTGTTGTCTTCCTCAGTAATGGTGTCCTGTCCGATGTGGGGAAGGCAGAACAAGGCTATGAAGCCGCTAAAGACGCAGAGGGCGCTAGAAACGTAGAAAGGATACTGGCCCTGTTTAATGACGTCGTCTCCCGCTGCCTTGATGATTTCCGGGAAGACGTAGTTGCCGACGAAAGCGCCGATCTTACCACAAGCTGCTGCGATGCCATAGTATTGTCCACGGATGGATGTTGCTGACGTCTTGGATGCGATCAATCCAATATTGTCTCCAGGCCCGACTTCGCCGAGAGCAAGGAAGATACCGTACATGACAACAAAGCCTCCCACTTGAGAGGGTTGGTCGAGGTGTTTGTAGATGGCAGTCATGATGAAGCCGATGATCCCTTGGAGCCAGACCCCTAGGATGAGACAGTACTTTGGACCAATCCAATCCGAGAGGAAAGCACCGGCAATAGCGCCCGGAACGTAAAAAAGATTGATAACCGTATTCCAACCGAAAGCTTTCCAAAGAGGCGCGGTGCTTGGGAGCAGAAACACGAGCCATGCCGAAGAGTAAATGCTGAAGGAGTATGACGAGAAGTCGTAGATAAACCAGATCAAGGCAACGACTGTGAGTCTGAACCAGTAATACTTCAAGATCAGCCAGTATGGATAGTGATTCATCTTGTTTCGATGATATTCCTCAGGTTCCTGGAGCTTAATCCGAAGCCAGAGAAGAGACAGAGGAGGAATAATACCGAGCCCCAAGGCGACCCGCCATACCGCTCGCAAGTGGTTTTCAGTGAAAATCAGAACTAAGATCATGGGCACCAGGGCAGCAACCACAAATCCCACGTCGATAGAGAGATTTGTAAAGGCAATAAACCACCGGTTACGATGGCCTTTCTTCAGCTCTCCCGTGCTTTCAGCTGCGGCTACGCTACCTGCCGGGTATTCTCCGCCGATGCCGATACCTAGAAGGAATCTATAGGCGGTCAAGGCAGCGAACAAGCCTTGGATACTCCCGCCAGCACCGTAAGAAGCAGCTCCCAGAGCGGAAAAGACAATTAAGATGATGGTCGAGATGAGAAGTGAGTGTCTTCGCGACCAATGGTCAGACAGATACCCAAAGACAAGCTGTCCAACAACAGTGCCAGCAAAGGCGATGGAGGAGACATTGTTCTGTGCGTCTGATTTAACATATTCGTCCTTGTAGATCAGTTTGAGGATAGTGTTGACACTTCCAATGCTAAACGAGAAAAAGGGGTCAGCTACAAGAGGAAGCTAGGACACAAGTCACCAGCAAGGAACATACACGCCATTCAAATAACCGTCACTGAACAAGCCTGCACCGCAAGCAAAGACGGGCCATGTCCTTTCCCATCGGCTCTTTGGGGTGGCATCCAGAGGAGCCTCGTGGACAGAGGGCCGGCGTTCGTCAGGTGCGTAGGCGTCGTCAATTGATTTTTCGGTCGCCATTTTGGTGAGAGGACAGCTTGGAGTCGGCAGAGGCTCAGGCTGCGAAAGTTATGAGAGTCGTACGGACTTCGATATTCCGAGAAGAGAAGGGGAAGTCTTTCACCTAATATACGTGAGAGGATCACCTGGATCGGTGGACAACGACCAAAAGAAGAAAGTACACGCAGTAGAGACGGACTGGCCGCGGCTGCCACTGACTGCATGATGTCGTCGAGATAAGCAGGTGGGGCACAGATAGAGCACCGTTCAAGTTGGCAGGTGCGAAGTGTAAACGAAGCACAGCATGATCGCAACTGCGACACTGCCAGTGCATGTTCGAATCGTGGAAGGTACCAACGGCGGTTGTACGGCACGTGCAACCCAGAGAGGCCAAAGAAAGTGACGATCAACGGTTTCTGTGCCCATTGTGGACAAGTCCAATGCCGATGACTGGCTTCATCATCGGACACAGAGCGCCACTGTTGTAACTCTGCCGGTCAAGGGTGGGGAGCTCCGACTCGCGATTAACTAGAATGCTCCGAATTGAAGCTCTGCTTTGGGAAACGTGAGATTTGAAGTCACATTTCCTTTCACAGGCCGCGTGGACTCCCCCTCAGACCGATATCGAAGAGTGCCACGTGCATGTCTTTGGTGCTCAACATTGGCTGTCGTTGCTGGCAACACATTCAGTAGTATTTTACGTTTCCAGACGCGATGGCGAGGGTGACGGCGATGCCGAATAATTAAACTTGCATGCCCAGACGGCCAAGGCAAAGCTTGGTTCTCGCCTTGTTTCTCTCTAAACTACCACTTCGATGATTCTTGTGTACTAAGTACTTTGTGGTAGCCCCTCCGGTAGCATTGAACTGATTTGAGCTGAGTGCACGTGGCTTGGCTACTTCGATTTCTAGTTATGTAGTATTGTAATGTAGGTATATACTAAGTATAGTAACCCCCCACCCATTGAGACATACATGGCTTCTTTCATCAACTTTCACGGCAGCGGCCAAAGTATGATGCATACAAGCCTCTCTAATCTGATTGAAATCTGATCCTCTGGGACAACTTAGGACAGCATATGATCACTAACAAATCGGGGGGGGGGGGGAAGAAAAGGCTGTACATGTGCATATCGCCTGTTACAGCTTTGATTTTCCTCCCTTCTGCGATTCTTCCTGTTTCGCCTTTTCCTTCAGCACTCGCCTTAATATCTTACCTGCAGCACTCTTCGGGATCTCTTCGATGAACCTCACGCCTCCTCTGAGACGCTTGTGACTTGCCACTTTTCCCTCAAGCCATTTGACGATTGCTTCCGCGTCCTCTTCGCTGTTCTTTCCATTGGAAACCACCACATATGCTCGAGGCACTTCGGTGTGTTGTTCTTCGTCATTCACTCCGATGACTGCCACATCGTCGATATCACTGTGGTCCATAAGCTTACCTTCCAGTTCGGCTGGTGGCACCTGAAATCCTTTATACTTGATCAGCTCCTTCACTCGATCTGTGATGTAGAAATTGTTGTCCTTGTCCTGGTAGCCGACGTCTCCGGTCTTGAAGTAGCCATCCTCGGTGATCGAATCTTTAGTCGCAGCTTCATTTTTCCAATACCCTTTGAATACATTAGGCCCCGACAGCCACAGCTCTCCTGTTTCCCCTGCGCCGAGCTCCTTGCCTTCAGCAGATATATACTTGGCAGTCATACTTGGGAACAGCTTTCCAACACTGCCCACGGAGGAATACCACTCATCCCATGGCTGGAAGACAAATGGTCAGGGTCCGTAGGAGTAAAAGTGGAGTCAGCAACCTACCTGAGTATGTGTCATGGGACTAGTCTCACTCAATCCATAGGCTTGATTAACCTTAACTTGCAATCGTTTATGAACTGCGTCAACGAGCTCTCTAGTCAGAGGTGCAGCGCCACTCGTGATCATCTTTAAGCTGCTCAAGTCATAATCATCCACTAGGGTGTCTCGGGAAAGTCGGACAATAACGGGCGGAGCGACATAGACGAATGTAATCTTATGGGTTTGGATTGCCTTCAGAAATACTTCGAGATTGAAAGCCGGCATAACCACAAGTTCGATGCCGCGGTGAAGTGGTTGGTGAACGAGTCCAGTAAGTCCATAGATGTGAAAGAAGGGCAAAACACCCAGAATTTTGTCCTCTCCCGACGCATACCACTTGCCAACGCAGCCTTGGATCATCAAGACATCTGCTACGATGTTTCGGTGGCTTAACATAACACCCTTGGGCAACCCTGTCGTGCCAGAGCTGTACACGAGGAAGGCGAGATCAGCATCTGGATTGGCCTTTCTCCTTCGATAGCGGACGGCACCTGAAGTCTTGCGAATGTTCGTCCAATGCTTCACCTTGTGGCTTGCGTCCCTCTTAGATCCAAGCAGTATCACGCGATCTTCGGGGATGTTCGACTTTTGGGCCGCTTTCATTGCTGTGGACAGGAAATCTGCTGTTGTCACGATGGCCTTGGAACCAGAATTGGTCAGCTGAAAAGACAGTTCATCCACGGAATATGCTGGATTCGCAGGCGATACAATGCCACCCGCAAAGAAGACGCCATAGACGATCGGGGCGAAATCGATGTCGTTAGGTGCGAAGACGTTTAGAACATCGTTCTTCTGCCAGTCCCAGAGATTCCGCAGACCAGCGCCAAAGGCGGCGGCCGCCTCCTTGACATCTTGCCAGGTGTACTTCCGGTGCGAGTCTACTGCTCGATAGATCACTGCAATATGAATCAGCATTTACATGATCAATTTCAAATTGCCTGTGTCTACCTTGAGAGTCGGGGAAATCTCGGGGTTGATCGAACATAAGGCCCCAGAGGTCGACATTTGGAATCCGTATATCGGGATAGGGAGATCTGGTAGCCATGGTAACGTACAGTCGGATGGATATCAATGAGTATATGACTCCAAATTGGGCAAAGAGGGAAGACCGAAAGTGCGGTCAAATGGATGTTGAGTTGATGTGATTGCTAATTAGATAGTCGTAGCGGCCTGGCCCAGGAATTGCGTGGTCAAGGAACTAGTTCGTTCATAAGACGCCTAGAGTATGTACAGCCTACAGGATCCCGAGGATGGAAGTGGTAATAATGTCATGACGACAAATGTTGCACATGAATAGGGTTCAAATAAATGCCTACCGTATGTGCTCACCATCGAGGTTAGGGGGCTCTTCAGAGGGCTCCACGGGCCAGTAGCACCAGTGGTCCAGCAGATGGAATGGCGAACACAGCATCCCCGCCGACAGTCTGAGGAGAGTTTAGCTGGGGAGAAGGACGTGGCTCGGTGGTAGGTGGATCAATCCTTCCGAGTAAAGCCTCGGCTTCAAATGGCCCCGCAGAGGCTTTTCCCATATGGAGGGATGGGATGGAACTAAGGCGGGCTGACATATGAGAATACACTTGTACGTGTAATGGATAACACAGGAGAGGTGGAGCGAGAAGCCGATGGTTTGCTTAAGCATCAACCTAGGAAGGAATGCAGAATACGAGCTCATTGGCAGGTGCAGCTACTCCAATATACCTAGATACCCGTATAGCAGAACAGAGGACAAGGTACGGAATACCTCGTGGCCGTACAAGTTGCAAGTGCAGATGCCATGTCTCGTACTCAGGGCCGAGGGCTGAGGGGCCCGCAAAGTTGCATCAGATACCAAGCGATGTCAAAGAGATTGATGCTAGCCTAGCAGTATGCCATAGACATAGAACTCGGTCTCGTCGCCTCCCGCGACAGGTGCTATGGGCTTAGCGGTCACGTGCAAGGGCTGTGTGCGTTGTGAGACCAACCAACAAGTTACCAGTATGTGCTCCGGACCATGACTCCCAATAGCACTATTCCCAGATTAAATCCAGGTACGCTACCACAACGTTTGGCTCATTAGCAGTCATTCGATCGTCGGCCCGAACAGTGTGCGGATAGTCAGAGCTTGTGTCAATCCTGGTCGTCTGCCTTTATGCCTTCTATTCTTCCAATCAAAAGCCTGGGGCTCCTGGGCTATTACCAAGGAGCCTACCTGATGATAACTAATTCGCGAGGTTTGCCTGGTCGCGTCTAGAGGATATGTCTGTCCAGGTTGCGCGTGCGGTCTCTATCATGACTCCTCTGGTCGAGGAAGGGACAGCATAATGGTGACAACCATGGACACTTGATGAGTGACCGCCGAGTGGTTCAAAGTCCCAGTGAACATCGCGAGATACAGTATCATTATTATTGAATGCAATGGTGACCATTGGTGCGTGTCTAAGGAGGTACTTGTCAGTCTGATACTGCCTGAAGGTACCTTGTATGCAGTACAGTGTCACAGTGTGTAGCCGTCGGTGGATGGTGGTGGGTTTTGCCGAGGCACAACAACCGGCAACCAGGCGTCGTGACCTGTGATTCGCTTGGCATTGGCATATGGCCTCCCATCTTCCCATCTCCCCATCTCCCCATCTCTCCAGTTCCCATAAACCCTCCCGCGTCAGCCCTTCATTTATTCTCTCCGACGGCTTTGTTGCCGGCTGCTCACCCTTGCACCAACAATCAGTGGTTGTTCTTTCACAATCCCAGGTCGCGTACTCGACGAAGCATCACCCTCCGACTGCCATTGCCTTATCTTCACACTGCGGGTCTAGAACTTCCGAGTTGCAGCGATGGTCGCAGATGCACTAGTTTATCACCCTGCGGTGGCACATTATCTCCGGTTTGTCGCGACAACAGGTGAGTTGGTCCGCACTGTGTCTGGGCTTCCCATGCTTACCACGTTTCATGCCCAGTGGGCCGCGATAAGGTCCTCCGTACGATCCAATATTTTGCTCGATTCTACTCGTGGTATCTCTACCGTACCAACAACCCGACCAGTGCCATTCAACCGTGGACCACCATCAAAACCCAATTTGGTCTCACAAGAAAGATCTTGCGAGTGGGCAAGTTTGTCGAACATATTCGCCTGGGCTCCGAGTTATACGATGCGGCCATGAAGTCAGGAAATGGGGACAAGGTCACCCAATATCTGCAGGTCCTGAGACAGATAGGATATGCGGGATACCTGCTATTTGACACCTTGACCGTATTGGACGCGATGGGCGTAAAGAAAGACCCTCGGGCAAAGAGCCTACAGGCTACTGCATACCGATTTTGGTTCTCAGGTTTGACTGCCAGTGCACTTGCTGGAATCTACAACCGGTACAGGCTCAGCCAGCGCGCAAAGGCTGTCAATGAGAAGGATGCTGAGGCCAAGGTGGATAGCATTAGCATTGCGAGGTAAGTCACAAACCACTGAATGCGATGAGTGGGCGGTGTTCTGACAGTCTTGCAGACAACAACAGATTGTGAACATCCAATTGGTTTCGGATCTCTGTGACCTCACAGTTCCAAGCACGGCTCTCGGATATGCCAACTTCGACGAGGGTATCATCGGTCTCGCAGGAACTACCAGCAGTCTACTTGGCGCCTGGGCAGCATGGCAGAAGACTGCATAAAAGGTTGAAGGCTGAAGGTGACCGACGTGATGGGGCTTCAGGAAGAATCCATCATATTGCGGATTTGAGCCGGCCCGCGTCCCAGCCGCACACATGTCCTCGAGGTATACAAGTTTGTGTCAGTCATCAGGACCCAGTTGACAGATGCTGGATCCAGTCACCCTTGTGTTTCTAGGGCTGTAGTAATATGGAAGACCTGATTTGGAAAGACATTGGCTATTTCCCTCCCAGCCACAATCATTGCCGGACGGGCGGAGTTTCAGCCCAGATTGATCGACTCAAGCACAATGATGTAGTGATCCTATATTTCAATGGCCGCATGGGGTCTGGGGATAATCATTTGGTAATCGTGAGCGTTTTCTAGCTGATTACGACATTCCCCCACATGCCCACCGTTTGTGATGACTCTGGGTCTTTGTCTCTACCACGTTGCCATAGGTCCCATGGAATACTTACGGAGCGTGAAATGCTGAGCGTGCTATCAATCCATGTTGATTTGCAAAAGATCTGCCACCCGAACACTCAACCCAACTCAACACCGCAGTCCCCACTACCCGGTTTCGCACAAGATCTGGATTGAGTTTTCAGCCCCATGGAACGAGAAGTGCCAGTGGCGCACGGAAGGGGAAATCAGCCCAAGCGGATGATGGAGCTTTGAAAGGGAAACCACTATCCGCATTCCCAATTGCTGGCTGCTGCAGAGGCAAAGAGGCGGGGGAGTTCTCCAGGTGGGCAAAGGGGATTAGGTACGGAAGCACCAGGTACAAGGAATCCAGGCGGCTAAGCTCTTCTCAGCTCGCCATTTGCCTCCTCCTTTGCGCGTCCTTGTTCTCGCTCTTCTCTTCTGTGGTTTCGCTTTGTCGTCACTTCCATCTACCTTTTGCCTCCTGTTCTCGAGCTACCCACGATAATAAAAAGGGCAACGCAACCATTTTCGCATGCTCCGCAGTGAGCTCCAATTGCTAGGCCTTGTGAAACCCACGGTATATCACTTCTTCCAATCAGCACGCTTCGGGCAGAGTCGGATAGCCGTTGCCAGCAGAAGTTGGCCCTGTTCTCCCGATCTCTCCCGTCGACCATTCGGAAACAGCCCTACACGGCATCTTGGCCCAGGCCTCAGAAAGGTACAAGTACAATATCAAGGACGCTGCTTGCAAATGGCTTCAGATTATTCTGCTCGTCTTTCAGCTGTCCACCAGATTCGGCCTCAGTCTCCTTCTCCAGCGACTGGCAAAGCACGATCTGATCTAGCCAAAACTCAACTGCGCAACTTCTCTTCCAGAATGGTTTCTCAATCGGTCAACAAGACCGCTCTACATCCTGGCGGTGTTGAGTATGTTGCTGCCTCGTCCTCGTCGTCTACAGAAGCATTGGACTAACGCATCTCTCCAGGCCGTCGCGGGAACACACGGAGCTCGAAGAAGAACTCCACTCCACAGCTCACATCGACTATGATCGTGTAGCCATTGTTGCCAACCCTTCAGTATCAGCTCTCTATGAAGATGCTCTAGTCTACGAGACTGGCTCAGCCATCACATCCTCAGGAGCTTTGACAGCCTACTCAGGTTCTAAGACAGGCCGTTCGCCACTCGACAAGCGGGTGGTCAAGGAGGAATCGTCAGAAAAGGATGTCTGGTGGGGTCCCGTCAACAAGGCCATGTCTCCCGAGGTAAGAACTTCCTCCCTGACCCCAAACACTTCCATCCATCCATTTTCCTGTCCCCTGGCCGCTCGTTGTGATATGTCATGGCCCCCCTACCTGTCGAGCATCAGCCAGACACAGGCGACGATGCACATCGAGGCCGTCCTTGTCCACCCAGTGACCATGGGCGTGGCTTGTTCCCCGCCATGCATGGTGATGCAGTGCTTCGCGTGGGTGAAGCTGATCCTGGGTCACCTGGATGGGCGGTTGCCCCGCGTTGACCTAGCTTTTACCCCATGACGCATTGCACATGTTTCTCTGGGCCGTGAGGCTTGGCGGCGGGTGTGGACGGGCGGCTAAGGCGAGAAGAGGCAAGCGCTACACAGGGGAAGCGTCGGCATCTCTTTTCGGAACTGGTCCTTTCAGCCCCACCATCACAATATCAGACACCGAATGGCCCCAGGCTTCGGCTCAGCACTGCTACTACTTCCGTCGGGAGAAACAGGAAAGGCTAACATGAATTGAACAGGTCTGGAAGATCAATCGAGAACGTGCCGTCGACTACCTCAACACCCGGAATCGAATCTATGTCATTGATGGCTACGCCGGCTGGGATGAGCGGTACCGCATCAATGTCCGAGTTGTCTGCGCCCGTGCCTACCATGCCTTGTTCATGCGTAACATGCTGATCCGACCCAAGCGAGAAGAACTGAAGAACTTCCACCCCGATTATGTCATTTACAATGCGGGTTCATTCCCCGCCAACAGATACACCACTGGCATGACCAGCGCCACCAGCGTTGCCATCAACTTCGCTGAGAAAGAGATGGTCATTCTGGGTACGGAATATGCTGGCGAGATGAAGAAGGGTGTTTTCACCGTTCTCTTCTACGAGATGCCCGTAAAGCACAACGTCCTGACTCTACACTCTTCGGCCAACGAGGGCCAGAATGGGGATGTCACCGTCTTCTTTGGCTTGTCTGGCACCGGCAAGACCACTCTGTCTGCCGACCCCAAGCGCAAGCTCATCGGAGATGACGAACACTGCTGGTCAGACAAGGGTGTCTTCAACATCGAGGGAGGCTGCTACGCCAAGTGCATTGGTCTCTCTGCCGAGAAGGAGCCAGATATTTTCAACGCCATCAGATACGGATCCGTGCTGGAAAACGTTGTTTTCGACCCCGAAACCCGTGAGGTTGATTACGACGATTCGACACTGACCGAGAACACTCGCTGCGCCTATCCCATCGAATACATCGGCAACGCTAAGATCCCTTGTCTGAGTGACAACCACCCAACCAACATCATCCTCCTCACGTGTGATGCCCGTGGTGTCCTTCCTCCCATCTCCAAGCTCGACACTGCCCAGACCATGTTCCACTTCATCTCCGGATACACATCCAAGATGGCCGGTACCGAGGACGGTGTGACCGAGCCACAGGCCACCTTCTCGTCTTGTTTCGCTCAACCCTTCCTGGCCCTTCATCCCATGCGCTACGCCAAGATGCTTGCAGACAAGATCTCCGAACACAACGCCAACGCATGGTTGTTGAACACCGGTTGGGTTGGTGCCGGTGCCAGCACCGGTGGCAAGCGCTGCCCGCTGAAGTACACTCGTGCTATCTTGGATGCCATCCACTCTGGAGAGCTCGCCAAGGCCGAGTATGAGACATACGATGTCTTCAACCTCAGCGTCCCCAAGAGCTGTCCCAACGTCCCTGACGAGCTGCTGAACCCCAAGAAGAGCTGGACCGGATCAGCTGACTTTGGCGAGGAAGTCACGAAACTCGGCGTACTTTTCAACGAGAACTTCAAGAAATATGCCGACGAGGCCACGGAAGAGGTGATCAAGGCTGGCCCGACCGTGTAAGAACGGAACGCAAAGCGCGAGGATGAGTTTCGCGGGTTGTGTTTCCTTGCGTGTCTCTTATTGTTTTCTGTTCCTGTACAGAAGCCTAACCTGGACTGCATTATCATGGCGTTGGATCAATATCAGCTGCGTTCGATTGTTTGAGAAGGAACAACCAGCAATACGAACGCGAGACGCGAGAGGCATCACGATGCAACGAACGGACAACCGATGATGGCCGTCCCCTCACTCTTCTGTCAGTTTGCCGCCTTTGTTATAATTTTCCGTAAAGCGTGGCCAACAGAAGAGGGGATTTAGATCAGCCTCACAACATTATGCCTGCCAAAATTTACAACATTTTCCATAAAACTACCTAAAGTACCTTACCGTATCAGATCCCAGTAGCACCATTCTGTTTTCCTATCGAGTGGTGTTGGAGCACACAAAAAGACCATGTTGCAAATAGCCGTAATTAATGTGAAACAGCATGACCTCATTCAATTGCCGGTTTCTAAATATTACAATTTACCCTGAGGCTCAAAATGAAGGTTCCTGACGGTTACCACTACGGAGTGGTGTGTGCAGGATAATAATGATGATAATGCTGAAACGGTAGATTGCAACCCCCACCAAGATGACCAAGGCCGAGCACAGCCCATACTCGTACCTCGGGAGAGATACAGAGAGACCTTAGGATGGAGAAGGTCCTGGGGGCAGTTTTAGGCGGGATCGCGCAGGTCGGCAACAAGCCACTCGTAAGTTCTATGGAACAAGGCAACCAAATTTGGAAGTTGGATGCTGCCCACTAGCAGTGGTTAAACTTTTCAGGGTGCGAGCGTGGACGCGTTCGGGAAGCTGGTCACAATTCTACGGGTTCCGACGTTTGATGGGCGGTTGGCGGCGGAGGCGGACCTGGGAGAGGGTGAGTAGGAAGGCCAAGTGGGAGCCGCCATGTGAGGCCGTCGGGGAGTCGGGGCTCGGGAGTCGCCCTCGGGCGGAGCATTCTGCGAGTTTGAAAGAGCCGATCCCCAGAGTTTTCTGGGTCTCGATAAGAAGAAAAAGACGAACAAGAATAGCAAGGTAGCATTTCTTCCGTTCTCCTTTCTGTACCCTTTCCTGGCCGAGGCAGGCGCTGGGCAAAGGGGCATGGACTAGGCCAGGCCTGGAATTGCTGTGTCTTCTGTACACGGACCCAACGAAACATTGATGCTTGCTTTTACAATAATCTGGAGTAGTGACATTGATGGTCTGAGCGGAGGCGATGGCGGTCGTGCACATGCGCACACAATGGTCCAGGGGGCGAGGACGAGGACGAGCCTCGAGCCTGAGATCCTTAGGCATAGGGACGCTGAGTGCCCTAACTAGAGCCTGCCGAACGCCTAGAAGGACGCCATCCGTAGGCGCACTAGGCGTTGAGAAACGGACGCCTCGGGCACGTACTCGTAGTAGTACTCCGTTAGGGAGGGAAGAATAGCCCATAGGCGTCTTCTAGCCACGGCTGCCCTGCCAGACAATCCCACGCTCTCCTCCTAGGAGAAGCATGGGAAAATGGAGGAAGCAAGGTCAGCTGGCTTCGAGCTGCAACTTCCGAGTTTGCATAGCCCGGCAGACTCCACCCGATGATGGTGGTAGTGGTGGTGGCAGCGTATACTCGAAGTGCTTGAGGTCTACGAGGACGTGCTACTGGGCATTCTGCCTCGTACTATTGCTGCCACTGCAACGTCCATTAAATGGCACTGTACTCGTAGTCGTCCACGCCAGAAGGCTAATGCGATTTTAGCCTGTTTATGCCCGCTCGCATTTGGGCATTTCGGCCTTCCACAGATGACTGTGGATAAGTCGTCAGTCGTGACTAAGGGAACTTGTTAGTGAGCTCGTTGCGTCGTGCACTCGGTCAGGACGGCGCCACATCGCCTCTGGAACTGCTAGTCTTGAATTAGGCATGGTAAACTGAGCCCTTGGCCCGGTCACTGGCTCGAGGACCCCCAACAGGAAAACTCTCCTCAGTGGCGCCGCGTTGGCTTCGCTTGCCATACTTAACGGGGTGTGCATCCACTACTCACTTACGAGTGCTCAGTGCTCAGTGCTCAGTGCTCAGTGCTCAGTACTACTATTACCACTACCACCATTATTGCCACTGCCACTGCCACCGACTACTCCTCCGTACTAAGTCACGAGTCACGACCCGAGTTGCGAACTGCCAACTGCCCACTCCAACCTGCGTCTTCCACAGATCTTCCGCTTCCACTTCCACTTCCACTTCCACTTCCACGTCCACTTTGACTTCGACTTCGACTGTACCCGCTCATCCACCACCACTGCCCTCTATTCTCACACATTCCAAACCGCTTTTCACCAGCATCTTCGAATTAATCATGCCTGATCCCGACCCTCAGTAGCCGTCGACGCACACGCTACCCTCCGACTCCCTGCACGCACTCTTTACAGGACTCGATCTGTATCGGTTACCACCACCACCACCACCAGCCGCTTCTCACCACAAGAGCCGGGTTTCTTTCTAGCATCGTGCGATTGCTCAACACCACTCACTTCCACATAACCTTCAGCAAATCCGGCCATCCGACTATCCGCCTCCGTCAAAATCCCTTCTGCCGCCCCGTCCTCTCCTGGTCTTCGTTCCGGCCAAACCCATCGGCAAACCCCGCTATCATCGACCGAGTTGTCTGAACCTGTTCTGATCACCGAAGCCACGTTCCTCCGGTCGCTCACTTGAGTCCCCACGCCTGCCGCTCAGAATGCTCATCAACGGAGAAAAATTTGCCTGCGAGGCTTGTGTGAGGGGTCACCGTGTTAGTTCTTGCCATCACCAAGGTATGTAGACTCTCTTTTTGGGTTCACTGGAGTGGTTACCCTAACTCTAGTCCTGTCTAGATCGTCCTCTCGTCCATGTCAATAAAAAGGGACGACCGGTTTCGCAATGCCACCACTGCCGAGGTCTGCGCAAGGCTCGAGCCCAGCACGTCAAATGCGAATGCCATGACAAGGCACATGCCAAAGAAGACTGTCCGCATGACAAGAATGATGCAAAACCAGGTACACCACCTGTACAAGCCCGTCCCACCCAAACTAACCACCCCTCAGAGCCGCACACCTGTTGCTGTGGACACGGCTCGAAATGCACATGCTCGCTGAAGAAGGAACACCTTGACCCGGTCCCGGAAGATATTCCTCAACTCATTCAGCCCAAAGACCACCCTAAACATCGCCCCAATCACAACTCACACGAGAGTAAACCAACGGTCTTCACAAATGGCCACCATAAGCCCGTTCATAAATTCAACGATGCCCACAACCAACTCGGCAATCCCTACAAGATTCCTTCTCGTTCTCATTCCCTTCATGGACACCGGGACATCGCTCAAAGGTCAACCGACAGCCTCCCCTTGACCAAGTACTCCAAGCCCTATCACGAGTCCCCGCTCCACAACTCCATGACAGAAGCTGTCGAAACGATGCAAAGAAAAGTCAAATCCGAGCACGCCTCGCCTGTCCTCGGTCCACAGACTTATGCTACGAATCCCGCCATCCGAGATCTGGCCATTCCCAATTTCGACCCAAATGCCTATGGATACTCCCCCTTTGGTACCGAGAGCCCCAATACCCAAAATCACAGTCTACAAAATAGTCAGAATGCAAGCCAGCAAGACTTGACTCAACCTGAAGCAATTCCCGAGAGCTGGTTCATGACATACGAACAAGCTCACGAGTACACGCCTCCGTCCTTCAATTACAATGACGTCTCGTCCGTCGACTGGTCCACGTACAATTTCGATACAGGCAGTGCCAGCTACACTCCCCCGAACAACGGCAATTCTCCCTTTCTGCCACAGCAACCCACTTGCAATCCATATGACTTGTCCAATCAAATCAACCGTATCGGCATCACGTCTTCTAGCGGCGAGGCTTCAGAAGTTGAGGAACAGTCTCCTCCAAACCAGTGGAGTAACGATCGGTCGGTCAGCAATGACCGCCAAGTAAGCGTTGACGGCTTCAACGATTTTAGCAGTCCCGGAGATGATGTCTCCGATAAATACCGCCTGAGCTCGGCTTCGTCGTACTACGGCACCCCTCAGGCTAACATGCTCGCCAGTGACAATTTAACTGCCCTTGATATCGATGATTACATCAAACGAGCCGAGCAAGAGACTGCCCGGATGGCATTGCAAAATCAATTGGCCCAGATGCAAATGGCTCAGCAGGAGGCCCAACAGCCACAACAGCAACCGCAACCACAGACGCAGCCACCTTCCAGATTATCAAGTGTCAGCCGAGGCATCACTCCAAGCATATCAACACCAGGTAGTACTGCGACTGGCGAGCACTCCTTTACCATACGAGAGGCTCAAAGGTATGCACATTTGGATGGTTACTCACCCGAGCCGTTGTTTCAACAAAAGCGCGCTATAACACCGACGATCGCGGATGATCCCGCGTGGTCAGTTGCCCCGGACATGTCGAATCCCGAATCGGTCTTGAACGATGAAGGGGAAAATGAAGACTGGGTTCGATGACCTGTTCACCATGTATGATTCGCATCTCCTGCCACATACTTGTACTCGACACACAAGCTACTTCTGGTGAAACGGAGAGTCGAGAGTCAAATTCCTCTAATCACTGGAGAACACAGTCAATTTACGAATTTAACGACGACACAATGCACACCTCACGGGTCCCATGGGAAGGATTGGGATAAAATATGGATCTACACAGGGCGTAGAAATCAAGGTGTCGGAGTCTTTGGAGCACTGATCGAGCAAATTTCGAGCACAGAACCGGCTTTTCAAAGTCAGCACCATTTTCCTTTCTGATATGTGGACGGGCGTTTGTGTGCCTTATCTACGTTGATTTAAGATCACAGGTGCAATGGGGAGAGCTGACAAAGGAACTAGTTGGGTTTTTATCTTAGTTTCGGTGTTTTTGGTTCTGGCGTTGTTACGAACCACGATCACTCTTCGTCCCTCACAAGAGGCATCGGAGGTGATGCAGTGTCTGTGCAAAGGGCTTTTGCCTTTGCACGTGAATGCACATAAAGGGATTGATCGGCGTTTTTCCCCCTCCTTTCTTTCTGAAAGGTGAGGTTGATGCGACGAATCGAAAGATACGATCGTACTGGCTGGCCGTGTGGCCTCCGAGAGAGCGAGACATGCAAATAGATTGATTCTTCTGTTCACCAATATGGAACTGACGTTGGGGTTGACGGGTTTTTCACCCTCGTTTCGTTCTGATTCTCTGATTCCATTTTTCTTGGGTTGTTCTCCGACCACGGCTTTTCCCTCCGCCCAGACCGGAAGATATTGACTGTTTATTCATCTATCACTCCGTACATACTATGCTACCTACATAGGTAGTCGAGCGAAGAAAGCTGGATTGGGCTCCCTGGGGGAACCCACGCGAAGCTCACGGAGGTTCCTCAGGGAGTATCTACTATCTCGTCACGACTCACAAGTAGGAAGAACAAAGTGACTGGTATTAACGTATCAACTTAAGGTGCCTGAGTCCCTATAGGACTCGGATTCTCACCACTTCCGAACCCGGCTGAACCGGTCTAGGACTCGGTTTCCTCTCCGATGAGAGTACGAATGCTCCGCACCGCCACCATGAGAAGTGTGCCTCCCATTGCGGAGCACCAAATGACGATAGTGTGGGTAGGCGGCGTTCAACAGGACTCGAGCAGTTGTCGTTGCCTTGTCCTTGGGAAACAAGCCCGCGACTTGTTTTGATAGACAATCCTGCCGCCGCTGGTCGTCGCTGGCTGCGGGCTCGGATTGGTCCTTCTCTGTTAAGGTACGGAGATGACTGATGTACTTTTACCCATGTCGGAAGGATGGCTGACTGTTTCTTTTTGCAAAGCGCCTAATCCCAGGGGAGGGGCCGGTTTCGAGCCTCAGTGTTGGTCCTGCAGCTAGTCGAGGGTCTGCCTAGGTATCGATGGTGCCACGAGGCATCAATGTCTCCTGTCTCCCTGACGACAGGTGCGACAGTTCTCTGTCGGCGAACTCCAATGTTGAAAGGTCGGTGTCAAAATTGCAGGCTGCTGTTCGCTTGCATAACCCTCCTGGCTGCTCGTTCTGCTCTTATGCGTTCCTTTGTATGGTTGTCCCGTGACTTCGACTGGTGCTTCCGGGAGTTTTTGGGAATCTCTTCCTCTTCGTTCTGTTTCCCGGGTCATCATTCGATTCTCGATTGTTTTTTGGGTGGCCAACTTAAATTGTGCGATTCCCCTAATTAATTTTCACAGTCCGCTGATCTTCCTGGCGAGTCGAGATAGCTCCGGACTGCTAATAACAGCGAGGCCCTCAGTGTAAAGTTCGCATCATTTCCAGCCTAATCAAGTTCGCCAAAAGGACATTGAAGTTCTGTCAAGATACTGCGGAGAGTACCAGAGCTGGTACTTGGGGATAACAAGGAATAACTTCACGGGCAATCTTCATAGTATCAAGAATGCCTACAATTGATGTCTCAATGTCAAAATTCAGATGCCGCAATACTTGCAGATCGTGTTGTATTGCGGCATCTGTCCAACAAGATCAATGTCTCTCGTCCGTGGGATTACCGACTCTAGTCTGCTGATCATTTCTTGCTGGGGGATCGTGGTTATTTTGCCAGATAGAAACTTTCTGTCAGCCGAGGCATAGTATATTGATGATCCAGTGACAAAGTTGTAGGTCAAGATCATGCTTTCGATGGCCCACCCTCTAGGATCAAACCGTTTGCGGCAGTTAGGTTTTTCGTTCGCCAGTAATCTACCTAAGGTACTCGTATGATTTCTGACTGGCATTATTACATCTGTATGGTCATTCACGAGGCGCAGCAAGAACAACTCCTACTGGTAATGATACAGCAGCGGCAGTGGCAGCTTATCGCCCATCGCCCATTATATACGCGTGGTTAGTGTCGAGTGTCGCAGTATATAGTAAGTAGTAACCAACCTACACCATTCCGGCCTTCTTCACCACGTCCGCTACCCACCGCATCTCGACCGCACTGACGCCGCGCGCGTACGCTTTGGTGCCCGTGTACACGAACTCGTTGTAGACGACGGCTTCGAATTTCTTGGATCCTCCGCCGCGGCCACCATCAGGCACGGAAAACAATACGCTGCTCGGGTGGATCGCCACGGGCTGATTCGTGAGCAGTGTGCGGTAGCTCCCGTCGCTAGACAGCCGGGCCACGTTTGGGTGGAAGCCTGTTAGCAGGCAGTGCAGTATGCGCGTGGGAAGGGTTGTTGGGTCGGATGTCGGTGGTTGTGATGGTAGCGCTGGCGGATCAGTGTCTGTCTCGTTCTCGTTCTCCTCTGGGGTGGGGAGGGTTTTCTTTTTCTGCTGCCGCTGCTGCCGCTGGTCTTTCTTCTGGATCGCTTTCTGCCCGCTGGCGTATCGTGCCATCAGCGCCGTCAATTGCTTGCGGACATCCATCGCGCCACGCATCGCCCGGTGGCTGATGAAGCGTGCCTCGCACCACCGCTTGCGGTCTGTCGTCTCCGACGCATACGCCTGCATGGCCGCGAGCAGGGTCAGGTGGTCGCCTTCGCGCCGGAACAAGTCCCGGCGCAGAGCCTGCGCGAGGGATTCCCGGGTGTTATTGTTGTTGGTGCCAACTTCCTCGTTCCTGTCTGCTTGGTTTCCTCGCTGGGGTAATCTTGTGGTAATGCTTAGAGGATCTGATGACGTGGTTGAGGCGTTGTGAGAGGAGGAAAAGCTGTGCTGGATGTTCAGGAAGACGTTCTCCACGCTGAGCGCCGAGACAATGTCGATGATTTCCTCGATGCAGTTGTGTTCTGGTTCAACGCTGGCAAGGAGCACGCGGGCCAGGCTCGCAGGGAGTGGAAGAATGCTCATTTCCCGCCCTAGCGGTGTGATCTGGCCATTTGTACGGTCCAAAGCCGAGAGTTGAAGAAGATGGACTAGTGCTCTCTCCAAAGCACGACGAGGCGGTGCGGTCAACAGCGGGAAGGTGTGCAGCTCGGAGATCCCGTGTGCTTTCAGCGTCAGTACTAATTGGCTCAGATCGCACCGCAGGATCTCAGGCTCAGTGTCCTGCGCCAGCTTGTAGAACTCCTTCTCCGGGTATAGTCTGTGGGCTGTACCGGGGGCATCACGTCCCGCGCGGCCAGATCGCTGGTTGGCGGAGCTGCGGCTGATAGCCACGGTGAGTAGTGAGTCCAGGTTGAGAGCTGGTCGGAACAGGCGTTGTTTCGCCTTCCCCGTGTCGATAACATGCCGGATCCCTGGCACGGTAATGGAGGTCTCGGCGATGTTAGTCGCGAGGATAATTTTCCGTGTGAATTTAGGGGTCGGTTGGAAAACGCGTTGTTGCAGATCTGATGGGAGTGCTGCATAGAGCGGTAGGATAAGCAGTTTGGGCAGTGTTTTTGATAGTTGCATGTCCTTTGCGATGGTGGCTGACCAGGATTGAACGAGATGAAGCAGTGACTCGACCGTTTCCTGTCCGGTAAGGAAGACCAGAATGTCACCAGGAAGAGGCGAGTGCGAATGGATGTGCATTATTTTTTGGTACGCTGCATCCAAAAGATCTGAGACGGGACTTGGTGTATAATTTATGGTGACGGGGAACTGACGGCCTTTGATGAAGAGCGCTGTCGCTTCAGCATCATCTGTGCCATTCGTGCTTGAGGTCGAATCATTGGGGGACTGAGGGGTGACATTCTGCACGCCGAGGAGATCATCATCGTCTTCGAAGCCGGACCATTCTTCCTCATTTTTTCCTGGCCTAGCGCCGTCCGTGATATTACTATTGTCGTTGGAATTTTGTTTCGGGCTGTTGAAAAAGTCTTTGATCTTCTCCATGTCGGCTGTGGCACTCATCACGACGACCTTCACTCCAATACCACCCCTGCCGTCGTCACCACTCCGTCGATCCTGTAATCGTCGTAGAAATCCAAGCACCAGATCGACATTCACACCTCGCTCATGGACTTCATCAACGACTACCACCGAATACTCCTTCAACCAAGGATCTCGCAGCATCTCCTGTAGTAACATTCCTTCTGTCATGAATTTGATCCTCGTCGAAGGGCCTGTGCTATTCTCAAAGCGCACCGAGTAACCCACAAGCGATGCCGGGCTGGAGTTCCCCAACGGCGTACCCATCTCCTCTGCCACTCGTCTCGCGAGTGAAATTGCAGCGACCCTTCGCGGTTGTGTGATGGCGATACATCCTCCGACGCTGCCACCGGATTTCAGCTTCGTCCTCTGACACCAGGACTCATTGATAAGAAATTGAGGGATTTGTGTGGATTTCCCCGAGCCAGTCTCTCCCACGAGTAAAAGAACACCGTGCTGTCGAAGGCTCTGTCTTATTTGGTCTGCGTGTGCGTAAATCGGAAGTTTCTGTCGTGTAAGCAGCAAATCCTGAGCTCGCTGTTTGAGGTTTGCGTTCCTCCCTGGTGGGGTTCTACGATGGGAGTTGGTGCTGGGGAAGGTGCCGGCTGGCTCCTCTTCTCCATCATCCTGGATTCGCTTTTCGGGGAAGTTTACGGTTTTAGCTTGAGGCTGGTTCCGTCGAGATATGCCAGACCTGTGGGCCTCAAGAGACTGTTTAAATGTGCCTTGGTTTGAGCGAAAAGCTTCAGTGGCAGATCGCTTTTTACCTTTTGACGGCTCACCCATATTTTTGCGGCTATGAGAAGGGTGGGCGGTGGAATCTATAGGCTCGCCTCGAGACATGGTGGCTCGTGGGAAATCATGGGATGATGCAATTCGATCTTGTGAAAACCCAAAAAAGTCTGAAGTGATGTTTTCTGAAGCCCGGAGCCTTGTCGGTGGATTAACCCGTGCTTGGCACCATTAGCTCAGCCTTGTGACCATCAACGCCCGCCTTCCACGACAATTCTTGCTGCTTTTTCTGCCCACCCTACAACCTTTGTTCTCGACCATGCACAGCTCACTGATCAAGTATCTGCTATGATACATCTAGTAGTGTGCTGGATACATTAACTCATTCTAGGCAATGTAGCTACGAAGCCATTTGGTCCTGCTCTTCATCTTCGTCCCGATAGGGTGGGCCGATCTCAGAAGTGGCAATGACTATTCATACGTACTTTATGTACTTACTAGAAATGGCATGCAGTGAACTCTTTCTGGCATCTACCCATCAGGAACCTTGCACTTGATTTCAGCGACTCGGACTTTCTCCGTTCTGCTAACATGCGTCATCCAAGGTCAGACAAGTCGCTCAAGTCCCGAGACGAGATATTAGATGTGAATCTTAATCGACACCTACATTTGCTTATGACGTCTGGCTATGATGGCCTGGATACGGACGTTGTTACTCATCACTTGGATGGAGGGTGAAGTATTTCCCTACGTGCTCCGCGGTACCTGGACTTGGATGGCTGATTACTATTGCTTAGTATGCCCTTTAGCAACACTGGTTCTTGAAACACCAATCAGCGCCATGCAAGGTTACATAGGCATCCCCTTTGGGAATACTAGCAGAGCCACTCGCGACACAGCCTCCAATATTGGCTACTAGGAATCCTGCAGGATCTAGTTAATGTAACAGCGACAGCTTCTCCAGATTCTGGAGTATTCACACCTGCCATGTAGGCAGCAAACGGTACACGAGGCTTCCAAATTATCTGATGATCCGGTGCAAGCATTAACCCTGCCTTTCCAACCTCAGCAGCACTGTTCACTAATCGAAGTCAGTGAGGAAGGGAGTATATAAAGTGGCTTTCGACATCAAAATGTCAAAACAATATCAGGTCCAACATCTTTCAGCAGAGCATCAAGCAAGAACAGTCCAATTCTAGCAAGCTTCGATCAAAACCATCAAAATGGCCCAAACGATCACCCACCAAACAGCCAAGACGCAATTCGCAGATGGAGGAGAGGTCCGTTATGCATACCGCCGATTCGGAAATACATCCAAGAACAAAGTGCCCCTACTCTTCCTGATCCATTTTCGGGGGACCATGGATCTCTGGGATCCACTGTTGGTGAACTCGATCGCGGCCGAACGCCCAGTCATCCTCTTCGACAATGCAGGCGTCGGGCAAAGCACTGGGGCAGTCCCGGCGAGCTTCCGAGAAATGGCCAAGCATGTCATCAAATTCTTGAGCCTCATCCAAGTGAAAGAAGTTGACATCTTAGGATTCAGTATGGGCGGCTTCCTCGCACCGCTGGTCCACCTGGACGGACCGGCCGGTCTTGTCCGCAAGCTCGTCATCGCGGGATCGGGGCCCAGCGCAGGTGAAGGCATCCAGAACCACTCAGCTGAGCAGAATGACGAAGTCAACCGACTCGCAGGACAACCGACGCCATCGTTCGAAGACGGGTTGGACAAGCTCTTCTTCGCTCCAACACCAACCAGCCAGGCAGCCGGTAAAGCATACTGGGAGCGGATCCACGAACGCAACGCCTCGACGAGCGGCGAAGAGCGCAGCAAGTTCGTCTCATGGGGCTATGAAGACGGCGGCGCCGGCCTGCAAGCAATGGTCGCCGCTTTCGGACCATGGCTTGACGTCGCGCACGCCGCCGACGGCGACTACAACCGCCTCGGAGACATCAAGGCCCCGACCTTCATCGGCCAGGGCCACGACGACTTCATGATCCCCACTGTCAACAGCTTCGTCATGCAGCAGAAGATGCCCGACGCAAGACTCAAGCTCTTCCCGGACTCGGGCCATGGCTTCCTCTACCAGTATGCTGTCGAATTCGCCAGTGACGTGAATAAGTTTCTTGATCAGGCTTGATTTTGATCTCGTGGCTGGTTTGACTGATTGGTTGGTTGACGGAAACTTACTTATCTGCGGGACGTATAGACGTAGTAGTCGATGAGAATAAACATTGTTAGTCCGCTTTTTGCAAGATTCTTGCCTCCTTTCCGGTGTCTCGCTTTCATCAAGGAGGTGGTCATTTACTAACTCGAACAAAAGAAAACAATGACACGGGTTAGTATCAGCGCCGCTGCAATCGTACGCTCGTCATGGCTTTGTTTTGCTCAGACAAGGAAATGCAACAAGACCTATGAATCGTTTCTCCTCTGGACTGCCAGCATACGGGGTGTGAGAGTCAGGAAATGGCAGTCCAGGGTCGGTGCTGATGCCCTTGGACACTGCCACGACGGATGGCGGACGACGGGATATATGTTCTGTTCCATGAGGTTCTGATCTGGTAGGTGGGGGCTCGAGATTCTGAAGTATTTTTCGATTTTTCGACTACCTGTCTATCTACCATTGAGACGTCGTTTGATACGAACTAACTGAACTTTTTGATTTCTGGTCTGAGATATCCACTTTGCCGCGCGCGCACTTTCCAGTTGCTTCATCAACTCCCTTTCACCTCGCACCCGCAACCCCCATAATCTTACATTCATTCCCGTAGATCCAACTAAAGCTTGCAATGAAGACTTTTTTGTCTGACTCACCACCCCGTAGCATGCTGTTCACCGAATCTTGCATTCTATGCGCGAGCCGGTCCACCATTTCGACCACCTTGAGATGCTCTAGTGACCTCTTCCAGGATCAACTCTTTAGCAGAGAGAACGCCTTCTCGTTCACCCACGATGGTTATAGCTTCATCCTCCTCACCTTTTCCACTGTTCTTGTTGGGGACTTGAATATCACAGCCAGAGGCCTTGCGAATCGCGTTGATAGTGGAGCCTCCCTGTCCAATGATGTGGCGGTGAAGGCGTGGATCAGAGAGAATCAGATAGCCAGTGTGCTGCGGTTCTTTGGCTCTATCAAGCAACGCCTGGATCTTCTGCTTGGCCTTGGTAACTCCATCTTCCGTGGCATCTTTTCCACCATAGATAACCCAGGGGATTTCGCCGGTTTCGGAACTCAAAGTATCTTGATTTGAGACGATGTCCCACGAGTGTTGTAGCTCTCCTGGCTGATCAGTGATCAACGGCATATCGCCATTCGTGTTTCTGGCTCGGGCTGGTCGGCCGCCGTCTTTGGGCTTTGGAGGTGGTTTTTGGCCTTTATGGTCAATGCGGATACCATCTCTCGAGAGCTCCCGGAACAATGCTCCATGTTTGCCAACAATATGATGCAATGATCGAGGCACCTGAATAGTTTCACCTGGTTGCTTGGCCGTAATGGATTCAACGTGAGCCTTGGCCTTCGCAACATTTTCTGGTCGTCCAGTAATCTTAACACCAGTCTGTCCACTACCTTGACGGGGTACATTAAGAGAAACAGAGAAATCATCCTCAATTTGTTTGCGAATCGCGCCATTTTGACCTATGAGTTCCCGATGTTGGGTCACAGGAACATCGATAGTTTCGGTAACTTGATTATCCCGTTCACTTACGAAGGCCTCGATAGCGGCAACAATGCCATTCACGACGCTAGTGGTGCCCTTGACAGTAAGAGTATCAGATTCTTCGCCTTGTCGAGGGAACCGGACATGTTCAGCGCTAGTGCCGGTGCCGCCAGCTTTAGCCACGATACCCTGGATGTTTGAACCTGCACAGTATTAGCAATGGCCCAGGCATGGATGGTTCACGTTATCTTACCTCCTGTACCTATCAAGGCACGGTGATACTTTCTGTCCACATTCAAAGTCCGAGTTTCGATATCATCAAATGCCTTTGACCGTTTCTGCAACTCCTGTCTAGCCTTATCGACTTGTTGTTTGGTACCCTTGATCTGAATTGTCACTCTATCGGAACCATCTGGTTTAGGAATGTCAATTTGCGCTCCCGTGTCCGCACGCAGCTTCTCCATTTCTTGGCCACGTTTTCCAATGAGGGATGCGACTTGACCTTGAGCCACTGAAACAGTTGCAGTGTGAGAATTATCAACCAGATATTGATGTAAGCTCAGAAGCTCATCGCGGACCTTCTCCGCTTTCGCTCGAGGTCCACGGATACGGATCTCATCTTGAGGTTGGCTTGCACGAGTGCCACCAACCTCACTCGCATTGTCACCAACAGAAGCATCATCACTGAAGCGAGAAGACTTGGGAAAATCAATTCTCACAGTGTTGTCGACTTTGCTTTGGATCTTTTGAAGGTTTTCCCCATTCCTGCCAACCAGCATACCATGATACTTTGGATCAATCTTTATCGCGAAATTGACTTCATCCTCCCACTGCTTGGCCAAGCGTTGGATTTCCGTTTTGCAAGCCTCTGCTTTCTTCTGTGGCCCTTGGATGGTTATCTTGCCATTCTCCTGAGTATTAATCTCGACATCGTGCTTCTCTCGTAGAGCTTTAATGTTGGCGCCTTGTTTCCCAATTAGATTCTTATTGAATTGCGCAGGGAACGGGAATGTAGTGGTGTATCCACGTTCCTTCTCATCCTGTTCAGCCTCTTGAAGGAATTCTTCGATCTTCATGCGTAAAGCCGCAATGTCTGTCTCACTTGGGCCCCTCAAGTATACCTTCTCGGACGGAGATCCACGGGAAAGGCCATTAGTAGGCTTGGGCCCATTCCTGGCACTACCAAAGTCCACCTGCACCGGGAAGGCCTGGGGAGAAGCCGGCTTGGGCTCATTGTTCACAAATCGCTTGACCTTGTCCTGGAACTTCTTGGGCACATGGATGTCCTGAACAGAAATTCCTTGGTGGGGTATGCTACTCAAGAGTTGAGTTTGGGCTTCCTGCAGAGCCTTCTCAAAGGTAGTCAACTCGTTCTTGGTGGGTTTCGTGCGTGGGATGACAAAAGGCCCATCTCGTGCGGGACCCTCATAAACAAGAACCACTGGGTCTGAGCCATCTTCTGGAACTATCAGATGAACGCCTAGACTAGATTTGAGCTTCTCGGAGTGCATCTGTTCGAGATGTGGGTGGAAGAATGGGTCAACCTCAACCAGCTGCAAACGAGGAGTGGGGTATGCCTGTGTGATTTTGGAAAGTTCATTCCGGGCCGATAAAGCTTTCTGGGGATCATTACTAATGAGATTCCAGCTCAGAGGCGCATTTGGAGCAGAGGGGAAGATGATTTCAGCGTTGTGAGATTTGAGGAATTCTCTTTCGATCGCCTTCTGCTGTAAGTATTGTGCTAACGCCCTGGAATGGCGTTCCGGTCCTTGTGGTGCATCACCAAAGTGTTTCTGTAAATCCACAGCTCGATTGTGTTTTCTGGACATAAGTTCTTCCGCAAGATTGCGGCCAGCAGTGAGCTTGTCTTTGGGTCCGATAATGTGGATGTCTTCTGTTTCGTGATGTGGAGGGGGCAGAATGACAGCACAACCGGTTTCTTCCATAAATTTCAGGGGATCCATGCCGCGATCTCCAACGATATATGGATGAAGGATTTGTTCTGCGGCAATCTCTTCAAGCAACAACTCTTTTTGAAGCTCTTCCGCCAGTTTCTCAATCAAAATACGAGCCTCCAAAGCAGCAGCCTGCTCGCCGGAAATGATGATGTGTGAATCTCCATGTGGGGCAAAAGCCAATGGCTGATCGGCCTCGGCTGTGCGTTGAGGTGGTTGATGTTGCCATGTATAGTACTGAGGGACGTTGATTCTCAGATCACGGTCTTGCTCCAGTCGCTGTATACGGTCGGCATGTAGGCCGGCAATAAATGGGAAGAGTTCAGGTGCAATTCCGCGAATGGGAAGATCGACCTTTGGTTGGAGTGATTTGACTTGGTTTGAAATTTGTTCATAGACTTGGCGAACCTGAGCTGCGTGCCCACGTATCTCCACAACATCTGTTTTCACATCTTCTGGATTAACGACAGGTCTTGTGTCTCGCTCGATGCGGACTCTGACATTAAACTGGCTCTCAAGTTTCTTAATGTTGGCACCACCTTTGCCGATGATTTGTGCGGACACAGTGGATGGGATTTCAAGCTTGACTTGCTTCTCCACGGTAAGCTCTTTGGAGATGTGCATAAGAGCCTCAGTCACTCTAGCTTTGGGGCCCTCGGCGATGAATTCTGTCCCTCTAGCGAACTTGGTGGACTTGGGCGTGACAATGACATTGTACTTTTTCTTTACGTCGTCCAAGACCCGCTTAACCGATTTGTTCTTGTCAAGATCGGCATTGTCGATTTCGAAGGAATCGCGGAATCTACCCGGAAGCAGGACATTCCCGTGGCCTCCTGGTGCGGCGGAAATGGGGGTTCGAATACCAGGTGTCGAGGACGGGGTTGGGGCACCGGAGGAGGCTGGTCGAGAACCGAGAGCAGGGGAGCCATTTGTTGGAGCCGCTTTCGCAGAGGCACTTGCTACCCAGCCAGGTGCTCGGGAAGTGGGAACGGCGGCAGGTTTAGAGGCGGGACCTAGAGAAGGAAATGCTTCCTCAGACTGCGTATCCAGAACAGGGGGCTTGTCAGATGCCTTCTGCTTGCCTGCAGCTTTGGCAGACATAGGGACATTGCCAGCACCGTTAATAGTGACCTCCTCTTCAGTGTGGTGAGCTGGGGGAGGATGCTGAATGTCATCTTCGTCGACGACATCTTCAACACTTGCACGGTGAGCCTCAGCAGCCTCATGCTTCTCCTGCATCAGCTGCGCAGGAGTTTTTGTCGAGCCTGAGGTGGCAGGATCTGCTGAAGCAGTAGCCATGGTTGTGTCTCGTGGAACCGGTAAGGGAAAAACCGTTAGGAAGGGACGAAGACCGGGAGAGCTTGTGTATTTAGGAAAAGCAGATCATGCAGTCGATCTGGGCTGGAAGGGGGGAGCTCGGAAGGAAGGGGTGAAGGCGAGCCTCTGGCTACGTCGTGTACAGACAGTTGATGACCTAGTAAGGACAACTGGAAGTTTGGAGCACTTCAAAGAAACCCGGAGATGTTGCAACTTCTCTAAGCGGAGGAGGCTAACCAAATTCAAATAGCACGAAGGTCTCGAGATCGCCCACAGAGGTTTAGTGGCTCACGGAATGGAACAACCCCGCCGGGGTGACGAGTAATGTGCTTAAGGAAGGTGTGCCGAGAAAGGAATAGACTGTCCCGAAGCATTGCCGGATAAACCGTGCGAGTGAGGACATCTCACAAAGCCAGGGCGGTCAGAACGTGGCAGCTATCAACTCTCTGCCGACAGCACGAGGTGAGTAATACAAATGATTCCAAGAAGTAGCAAGAAAAGCCCGTTTATCTTTACAATCATGCCTTTTCGACCCCAGTCCCAATCTTCACAAAGCCCACCGGGACACCTTCTGCAGGTGTAAGAATAATGTCACAATGCATCGTTCGCTTGCAGCCATAGTCGATGATCTGGTCAAACTCTTGAAGAATTCGGACTATAGTGTACCCCATCTCTACCATCGCAAACTGCTGTCCAATACAGATCCTGGGTCCACCGTTAAAGGGAATAAAGTTCCATGACTTTGGCGTCCACGTAGCCCAGCGTTCTGGAACCCAGTCAAGAGGGTCATACGGAAACGATGAAGAGATCGGAGGGTAGAGGTCCCTCCGACGCTGCAGAGCCAGGGTGCTATAACCGATGGTAGTACCCTTGGGACAGCCGGTAGGGCTCATTCTGTCTGCTCCTCCGCCGCGTGGCAGAGTTGTGTCAACAAGGGCTGATCTGACGTTGAATGGTACCACTGGATACAGCCTTAGTGTTTCATTTATGACGTGTGTCAAATACTTCATGTCTTTGATTTCTTGATATGTTGGTGGGCGGCCTCCATCGCCGAGAAATTGAGCTATCTCGGCCCGTAGCTTTTGAACAACCTTGGGATTCTTTGCCAGCTCCAAGAACAACCAAGACAGTGTTCCAGCCGTTGTATCACGGCCGGCAAGTAGGAGAGCGAGTAATTGATCGCGCATCACCTTTCGATCTCGGGTATGGCGAGCTAGTGCATGGATGAAGGTATCAGAACGTGATAATTTTGATTCGAGTTCTTCCGGAGATAGCGAAAGAGTTTCTGTGATGTATGGTTCAATGAAGGCCTCCACCATCCTCAGTCCTTCGTTAAAGGATTTCTTCGAATAAAAGTGCCTCAAGGGTCTAGAGCTTGGGTTAGTGCCGACTTTCGATCTCTGAAATGCAAAACATACCCAAGTCGGCCTTCCAAGGCTTGGACTCGTTGAACCTCATCAAAATTTGTGGCAAAGGTTGACTGCTCCACGTCTAAACTACCAACACTATGTCCGAAGAGAAAATGGGTAGATGCGTCGAGGCTGAAGCGGAATAATAGCTTATTCAACATGACCATCTGCCCACCACCCATCAATGATATCAGCTTGCGGACGTGGGTTTCGAATAAAGGAAGATCGGCAACTCTTTCTCGAATGAACATTGGACGAATGAGCTGTCGCGAGTTGTGCCATTGGTAACTGTCTGTTGTGAAAATGCTATCTCCGAGGAATTTTTCCCACTCTTGGTGGAATCTCTCTCCTGGAAGTATGTGAGTACTATGCCGCCTCGATGGGTCAGACGTGCGATCAGGAGAGCTCACCTTTCCCAAAGTCTTGAAACTGAGAGGTGAGAATTGCCTTGATATTCTCAGGATCTGCGGTGAAGAGGACCCGGACGTCCTCGAGGATATGAAGCTCGCAAGTATAGGAACCAAATCCTTTAACATCGGTGCCAGTATGCTCGAAGAGATATTCCCAGAACTCAAGCGCCTGGTTCCGAACAATGGCAAGTGTTGAGTGAACGGGAAAGTCAAGACCTAGGTGAAAGGCATCAGTTGTGTCCTGGTTTATCTATACATGATACCGACCTAGGAAGAACCTAGTGGTGACCCTCGGGGTTTCTCCACCTAGGGCTTTTACCTTCTTCCAGCTTACATATCGACGTGTGTAAAGCTGAACGAGATATAACACAAACGCGAGGAGCGAAATCAATTTCCAAGAAACGGAGAGAACCATTCTGAAGCTGTGGTATGCTCGACACAGAGTTTCCGCCTTGGAGCCTTGGAGGAACAGTGATGAGACTTGAAGGAGTTTCTAAATGCCGTAGATCTGAAAACACGAGATACTGGACATATGGCTGGGTAGCGGTTTCAAACAGCCCGTGGACCTCAAGGGGGGGGACCCGGGGATGGTGGCGGATTGCTGGCTTTTTAACGGTGTGGCTGGCCGGAGGGAAGATACCAAGATAGGCTAGTTTGCAATGATCAAGTTATGTAACGAGCCACCGGCAATGGTAAAGTAACTGCTAATGGTGTCAAGTACAAGGCACCAGGTATAAAACTACAGTAGGTACTCCGTATTCAGTACGAGGTGGTCTTCCTGTGTGGAGTAGGATTTGTGTGACAGACAGGGCGTGACATGTCTGTCATTTGTTTAGGCGCCAAGAAGTCCGTCATTTATTCTAAAATGACAGCGTTTTGTCATTCAGGGGTCTTGCTTAAGCATAGTCATATGATACACGAAGAAATTTTAGTATAAATGTCCTATATAGCGCTATGCTAAGCCTCTAAAAGCAGCTAGTGTCATGACGCCCGTCAAATATCCTCTGTCCGTCATTTATTGCCATTTAACCGTCATTTTACTGAAGTGAGGGACACACTTGAATCCTAGTACTGAGTGTTACATACTCCTAGGGAGGGGTCTATCTACCCCCCGGCCAAGCAAAATAGGCAGTAGTCATACCGAATAGGATAAGTATGAGCCTCTTTTAGAGATTAACATGTGCAGCATCCGGACACCCGTTCGTTCCTCTTCGGAAACAACTCATCCCAAGTAAAAATATTGTTCACATTCGTGGGCAGAATCTTTCATCCCTTAGGTCACTTGTACATATGAATCATTTGCCAAGGATGATGCGGCCCCAAGTGTTCCAATCCGAGGCATACATATTGTACATACACAACTCGCTGCTTGCAAGGTTGGTGGTGATCATAGCACTATATCTAATCGTATCGTGTCGTATCGCGTCTTGTCTTGCCGTGTCTTGCCGTGTCAAACATCCGTATTTCGTTTCTCGATTCGATGTACGACCTTCGAAGGATCGAGAACTTCGTGGTTTTGATTTCTATTACAACAATACTTCCATTTCAAGCAGGCTGCTCCTCCCGACTTTCCATCCATGATTCCCTGTTGCATCTCAAGAGATCTATATTTGTCGTCAATTTAATCCCCTCTTCCTCTGCTAGTCGCCTTATAGGCGAAACATACGCATGCCAAGGCCTTCCCCTGAACTTGAGGGAGTGACGATGCAGATGGGGTACGTGCTATTTCCTCTAACCTCTGCCAGTTATTCCTCATGTAATCATTCACCCGATATCAATCCATTCTCCACGCTACATTGTCTTGATCCCTCCCCTCCTCATATCTTCCCATCGATTTCTCATTGTCACCACTTCCGGTCTCTCTTTATTTAGGAGATCTTCAACCTTTTTGAGACTCGGATGTAAGGACAGATCCACGAGGCTTCACTGCCTCATTTTCATCTTGTAACTCTAGCCTCGAGAACCTCCAGCGCCCCTCAGTGAGCGACTATCCTCGTCCATCGCGCTTCATAGTGTAGGTTCAGTCTAGTGAGTTTCTCTGAATGACCAACGTTGCCTGCCATGATCAATCACTTCCTCGCCGTCATGGCTTACGCTAGCATGGTTTGCGCCCTGTGGCCCAAGCCGCGCGAGAGCACGACCGGAAACCAGATTCTCTGGCTCAATCCTGGTAGTCTCAAAGCAGTCCTTCGTTGTGGGAATGCAGAAACTGTCCTGCTAGATCCAGACCTTGATTCGGCTTCGACAGTGCTTGAAAATTATATCACCGATGCTCTTCATTGGACCCAGTCACTGTTGGAAAAAGTCCCAATGTTCTCTGAGAACAGGACCACAGATCGCGCTCAGCCTCATATTACGGAAAACCTCGTCCTCCGAAATGCTGTCCGAGAAACATTCAAGTCAATTGACCACTCAGAGTTCATTCCTTGGAAGTTACGTCCAAGACACTCTCGTTTTGAGCCAAATGTCGACCTACCACGTCAATATATATCGGTGCTGGAAATCCGACAGACGCTCTGTCCAAGCAACGAGATACTCCACCCTCAGGAGTTTTTCGATGGAAGCGAGGTGCATGAAATTTTCATTCACAATAGCACTGCCATTCTCCGTTCAGATGACATTTTGGGGACCCTACGAGGATTACAAAGCCTGCAACAACTGTTCTACAGCCACTCCGATTCATCTGAACATTACACAAACCTTGTGCCAGTAACCATTTCTGACAGTCCTAAATGGAAGCACCGAGGCATCAGCATTGATATTGCAAGAAATCCCTTCCAACCCCGTGATCTCATTCGCACCATTGACGCTATGGCCCGTGCAAAATTGAGCAGGTTACACGTTCATGCCACTGATTCTCAATCATGGCCAATTGAAATCCCTTGCCTACCAGATCTAGCCAGAAAAGGAGCATATCATCCAGGTCTCGTTTGGACGACCAAGGACCTTGAGCACATCCAATCCTATGGAGTCTCTAAGGGGATCTCAGTTTTTATCGAGATTGACATGCCTGGTCATACTGCCTCCATTGCACACGCCTATCCAAACCTGATAGCGGCTTTCAATGAGCTTGATTGGTCAACGTTTGCTGCCGAACCACTCAGTGGCCAGCTCAAACTCAACTCATCAGAAGTCACCAATTTTGTGACTGAGGTTCTATACGACTTGTTACCGCGGAGTCAACCATTCACATCGCTTTACCATATCGGAGGTGATGAGGTCAACCTCCCGGCTTACTTGCTAGATGAAACTGTCCACAGTGATGACCCAAAGATTCTCCAATCTCTCCTGCAGAGATTTATTGATCACATCGTCGGGATTGCCTCAGGACTCGGATTCCAGCCAATAGTTTGGGAAGAAATGTTACTGGACTGGAATCTTACCCTTCCATCGGCGACTAGCGGTACGAGATCGGCGAGCACTCTTGTTCAGGTATGGAGAAACAGTAAGAGAATCGAGGAGGTCTTGAAGAAGGGCTATCGGGTCATATTTGGGGACTATGGGCATTGGTACCTTGATTGTAGGCTTCAAACGTTGCAGTTCTAATCATCGAGTGCTAACTCAAAGATCAGGTGGTTATGGCAACTTTCTTGACCCGTACCCGTCAGGCAGGTCACCCTCAGGTGTACCGTTCAATACATCGGGAGGTTTTCCCAGCAAAGTTGCCGCACCTTATCTCGACTACTGCAACCCCTTTCACAACTGGCGACATATTTACACGTACAATCCCTTGGGAAATGTTAGCAGTGCTCTACATCATTTGATCGAGGGTGGTGAGGTGCTGATGTGGTCTGAGCAAACGGATTCTTTCGATCTTGATACGAAGTTATGGCCAAGGGCAGGTGCAGCTGCTGAGGTCCTTTGGTCTGGGATCAGAGACGAGTCGATGCTGGCAGATGCCTCCAAGCGCCTGGGTGAATGGAGAGAAAGGACAGTGGGAGAGCTTGATATCAGAATGTCGCCCGTGCAAATGACATGGTGTTTAATGGAGGGCGGCTGTAATCTTTAGCTGTCCAACACCAAGAACGACACTCGATTTGCTTAAAATGACTCTTACATCATCATTGAATCTAAGTCATCAATAATTCAGACGGCATCACCAAGTCAGAAAAATATACGAGAAGCGGGCAACGTGCGATTGATGTAATTGAGGACTGGGAGAGTATATTGTGCATTGATACCAAAACCAACTAGCCGGTTGTAGGTCGATTGCACACTGGAACTCGCCATCACGGTGACTCAGCAGAGGCTTGGCCGCTGTCTCACGTGACTGTGAGGCATCTCTCTTCGCTTGGCGTTATGCGCCTTCAGGACTCATGATCCGCCGAACTGAGCGGCTAACTTGAAGCGGGTCCCTTTGCCTTCGCCTTCAGTTTATCATCACAACCACGGCAGGGACAGCGCAGTCATTATTCCGCAAACATCACTAATATAAAGCCCGTTTCTACTTTTCCTCTGCCACCTACTGCTCTCTCTAGAGGCCCTTCATTTCGCTCGTACCATCCTATCCCAAACTAATGGCGACAATTGCGCCAGACACGCCAGCGGCCCAGGCTTTGAGCAATGCTGTACACGCCAAACTCGTCGAGGAGGGCTGGACCCAAGATGACGACACCTCACTCGCAGAATACATCGTTTTGATGCTTGCGAATGGCAAAACTCAGGACCAAATAGCCTCTGAACTAGCGGGAGAACTGTTACAAGATGCCACGGGTACGACAGAGTTTGCGCAATGGCTCTTCCAGCAGGTAGACCGCATGCAAGATGCGTCACAACAGTCAGGAAAGCCGGCCACACAAGAGCAATCAAGTTCAGACCATGTTCATACCGAGAATCCTATACCTGCCGCCTACGAGATGGACATGGCTGATTCCGCACCTGAGAATGCGTAAGTGGCATCCCTCAATTGATAACTCTGAAGTTTTATTGACGTTTCTAAAAAGGCCTCGAGGACCCAAAGGACTACATGGCGGCCGTCCACAGGCCAACCGAGGACGAGGGAGCATGAGCAATAAAGGCGTAGATTCCGCATTACATCGGACACGGGGCAGCGACCGAATAAATTCACACGGCAACATGCGAGGAGCTCCCAAGGGTCCACGTAGCTCTCAGGATCGAGGCGCTCGCCCCGGTATGCAGAAGGCTTTGAATAACATGGCCCTTGCGAATGTGGCAGGGATGCAAAACCCCATGATCATGAATGGAGGTCAATCACCTCAAACACCGATGCAGATGTCGCCCCAACAACAAATGGAATTCATGGCCATGATGGAACAACAAACCCGCATGATGGCTCAGCTCACTGGCATGATGCCCGGTGGGAATGGAGTTTTTCCTCAAGGAGGTGCCCAGCAGAATGGGCACGGCCGGTCTTTGTTTGATAGAGTCGAGCCTTCACGCGGTCGGGGTGGCCGTGGTCGAGGACGAGGAGGTTCGAACCAAAACGGTCATATCAAGAGCCCTACCAAGACTGGCGATAACGACACTGCTATGGAAGGTGATGAACAATCGACAGATGCCCCCGGGATGGATGTTGATCAACCAGCCGGTCAGCCAAAACAAGATGCAGCCAACACAATGTGCCACTTCAATTTACGGTGTACCAACAAGGACTGCCCTTACGTCCATCAGTCGCCAGCCGCGCCTTCTGGAACAACAGTGGACATGTCTGACACCTGCACATTTGGCGTGGCATGCAAAAATCCAAAGTGCACCGGCAAACATCCCTCGCCGGCACAACTCAAAGCATCCCTGGCACAAGAAATCTGCAAATTCTTCCCCAATTGCACAAGGCCGAATTGCCCATACAAGCACCCGAACGCACCGCTCTGCCGATTTGGCTCCAATTGCAAGACACCAAACTGCCAGTTCACACACTTGGAGATCCCATGCCACTTTAATCCTTGTACGAATATGCGATGTCCTTACAAGCATAACCCAGGCCAGCAAAAGGCAACCAGCCTTGCGGACTATACCTGGACTCCAGATAAGCAGACTCAAACTCCCCAATCTGCTGCAACAGCAGGGTCGGGAGATCATGTCAGCGATCGAAGATTCGTTGACGAGAACGCGGGTGAGGAGGAACTTGTCAAACCAGAAACAGCTGGTAATGGGGAGGGCGTCGTGACTTGAGTGATAAATGAGGGATATGGGTTGGATGGAACTATGTACATTACGATTGATAGCTTTGCCCCCCTTGAAAGGGAACTGGGCCTTGAGATTGATGAGCTCTGGCTGAGAGGATAAAACTTGGCCTGGTAATACCATAGCTATGCCAATCTCGAGAATTTGTTTGTTTCCAGATACTAATGACTCTTTGCTTGTATTTCTTGTAAATTGCCGACACGCTGGGAGTGGACGCCGCTTTTATTAACACCTATCTATATATATGTATTATTTCCACCTTTGAAAGGACCCCTCGACCCGCCTTCTCCTGCACCGTTCCGGGTTATGCGGGAAAAGAGAGACACTGACTTTGACTTTAGTAATAGTAATAATGGTAGCATTAAGATTTGAAACTAAGAGTTAGTTTTCGTGCAGACGGCAGTGCTTTGCGAACCATGACTCTGGGATCCGTCGGGTACAAGAACTATGGAGATATATATCTCTAGGAATCCTCAAAAGTGAAATATTTTTAATAATTTCAATCTTCTTGAGTTTTCGTGAATGTGCTGTTTTAATGAAGCGCTCGTCTTCATCCCAGAGCGGAGATTCTCACCACGGGAAATAATTGCCCTTTTTCATACATCCCTCCACAAGTCTTACTAGGCACCGAGACAGATTTTTCTCCCAGTTCGGGAACCATAAGTAATAGCAGTCAAAATACTTTTGTAAGGAGCTATGGATATCAACACCAGCTTGGAAGACGTTGTTTCGGTGCTGCAGCAGATTCTGTCCGCACCTGGTTTGCCTACTTCACTGAACACAAATGGCGACAGCAGCAGGAACGTTGCTTCCCAGGGTGTGCTACCAGAGCGCATACCCCAGCTCAAGGCAGCCAACATCCTGGAGGCAGGACTGGAGATGAATTCTCGCCCAGACTCCTCCTCATCTGCGGGCAGTGCACTCCAAGCATTGGCCCATCATCTCAGCTCTGACATTCTACCGTATCTCAACCGCCAATCACTGTCTCCAAACTACTACGGGTTCATCATAGGCGGGGCAACACCGGCGGCCCTGCTGGGGGACCTGTTGGCCGTGGTCTACGATCAAAACGTGCATGTGCATCTGCCCGGCGACACGATTGCGACGGCGGTGGAAGTCCAGGCGTTGAACCTGCTCATGCAGCTGTTCCGACTGCCCCAAGAGGAGTGGGCGATCGGCGGGGCTGGGCCCGGTGGAGGCTTGTTCACGACGGGCGCCACCGCCAGCAACATCTTGGGGCTGGCCCTAGGGAGAGAATACGTGATTCGGAGGGCGCTGGAGATAAAGGGTACCGCTGGGGCTGGAACGGACTCTTTCAGTGTGGGTGAATGTGGCATGGCGGAATTGATGGCTCTCGCTGGTGTGCGCAGATTGCAAGTATTGAGCACGTTGCCGCATTCGAGTGTCGTCAAGGCTGCTGGAGTGTTAGGCATTGGTCGCAGGAATGTCATTTCCCTGGCAAGGGGAGACGATCCCCTGCAGATTGACTTGGACAAACTTGAGACCGAGGCAACGAGGGAAGGAGTTCTGAATATCCTTGCTATATCCGCGGGCGAGGTAAACACCGGCCGGTTCGCGACAAGTTCCCTGGAAGAGATGTCGAAACTCCGCAACCTTTGCTCAGAACATGGTATTTGGATTCACGTGGACGGGGCATTCGGCTTGTTCGGTCGGCTGTTCTCCCCAGAGGATGCTGAACATAGCGAGATTGTGCGTGGAGTAGCGGGTCTGGAACTTGCAGATTCAATAACGGGCGACTGCCATAAGTTGTTGAATGTGCCTTATGATTGCGGCATGTTCTTCACTAGGCACAAGAGTCTTAGTGAGAACGTCTTTCGGAATGGGACCGCGGCTTATCTCACGAGTGGTCTTAGCGGAGGGGACGAAATTCAGACACCTCTCAACATTGGCATTGAGAACTCCCGGCGGTTTCGCGCTTTGCCAGTCTATTCCACAATCAAGGCATATGGTAGAGAAGGATACGTAGAAATGTTGAAGAAACAGGTCGGCCTTGCGAGACGGGTGACTCAATGGCTCCTGAACGACAACCGATTCGAAGTTTTGCCTCGTGGTTCTTCTGAAACTGAGACCCTGGCAAAGACTTTCATGGTCGTTCTCTTCAGAATGAGGGATGAAAACCAGAGCAAGGATTTCGTCAAGAGGATCAATGCCACAGGGAAGATATTTGTCAGTGGCACTGTCTGGGACGGGCGACCTGCTGCTCGAATAGCAGTGAGCAACTGGCGTGTTGATATTGACAGGGATGCCAGGCTCATCCAAGAAGTTTTGGACCAAGTTGCTAGAAATTGGTGACCAGGCCCAGAAGCAAAGCCACATTACAATTGTGGGAGCATGGATTTGCTCAAAATGTATTGGCATAGATATGGCGGTCTACAGCCTACCTTTGTGACCATGGACTATCGGTACAGAGCTACGGCAGTAAAGTGGTCATGCCAGTGCGTCACCAGACTTAGGTCAAAAGACTGCGCCTCCGATTATGAATATTCTTTCTTCTTCCTTCTGGATCCATTGTACAGCCTTATTTGCGTTTTGGGCAAGAGCATTTCGAGACGTCGACGGCTCCGCGACACAATACAGCTCAAACATTGGGGTCACCCAAGCTAGGGCAGTCGAGTGAGCACCGACACTATGATGGACCTTTACCGAGGCGTGCTTTGCATGAACACTTGCATGTAATCGGTGATAAAGAGACATCAACCGTCTTCGTTGCTTGATGGTCTCGAAGCTGGGTGAGAAAGACGGCATGAAAAATTGAACGTTTCCCTTGGATTTGTAGAGAAAGTGCCTAAGAACGGTGCCTGCAATAATGTCCGTAGATGAAGGACGACCAGCCTGGACTGCACTCTGGATGACTTTCATGCTTCCATTCCGTCGGAATTCCTGAACGAGATAGTTCTTCATGCTTTGCAGATCTTCGAAGCCCTCCTTATTGGCGCTCAGGAGAATAATAGCTACTGAGTCTTCCTTTGCAATATGCTCGTTCGTGTCGAGCTCACGCACCTGAGCGCCGCCCATATCAAGGAAGCTCACGTACATATAGAGATAACCAGTGTTGTTGAAGCCGGGGAGACAGATTGGTACCCAAGACTCGCCTCCACCTGCTTTGATACCTTCGGCTTCAAAAAGCATGTTGAAGATCAGTTGTAGGTCACTGGGATGCAAAGAATGTTTTTTGGGTCGAATGACAGACACTAATCTTCCTCCTGCCACAACTAAACCATACAGGAGATCATCAACACGAGCTTTGATCATAGTACTATTGATAATACTTCGATGGGATTTTCGTATCTTCAAACACTCTAGCGCAGATAACAGCGTGGAAGGAGAGCCCCTTGTGAAGCTGTCTGCAAGTGAGGACAGTAGAATTTCTGTGCCTTCCAAAGGTCTTCTCAAATCCGTGGAAGGTCGCACGGAAAACAAGTGCGTCAATGTCGGGAGAGTTAAGGTTGAGAGGATCTGCATGTATAGGGCGTCAAGCTGGACGCGAACCTGGGCCTCGCTTTCGGGCAGATTTGTAATACCTACAAGAAACAGATTGGTTTGTGATAAGACCACGAAAAGGGTGCCGGCTGCCCGGAAACTCCTAAGCTGATCGTTATTGGCGTCGTAGGAGGAAATGACAGTTTGTATGATACCAACATAGCTCGATATTATAGCATCAGAGCCGTGACGGGTGAAGATAGGCTTTCCAGCTGCGGATAGGATGAGAAAGTGTTTGCGCTTGGACTTCCATAGTGAGTGAGCCACCTCTTCGCCTGCAATGTGCTCATCAAGATCTTCGAACTCTTTCTCGAAATCGACATCACCAATTTCAGTAACGCTATCGCTGTCCTGGTCAAAGAGTGCGAGTGAACCGAAAGATGATGAAAGTACTTGGTCCTCTTGTCCATCGGCATCAAAAATGCTTTCTGTCTCTTGGATGAACCGGCCAAAGGGTGCGAAGCTCTTTACACTGGAGCTGTCCTCCCCGAGCTCGCTTGTCTTATTACTAACTGAAGGACGAATTGAAGGCGTGGAGGAAACGCGAGACGGAGCAATCCGAATTTCTTTGGAGCCGTCTGGGCGGTTGTAGCTGTTCACATCGGTCATAGACACAGCGGTCGTCGCGGTAGAGGTAAGGGCTCCTCTTGTAGGTGGCCGAGCGCTATGACTCGTCGATGGTCTCACATGCATGAGATTTAATTCGCTGGGTCGCGGAGGGAGTGGAGGTCTTTCTTCCTCAACACCTGAAGACTGAGACTTGTCGTTCGAGGCCATAGATGGCGAATCCTCGATGATGTCAGTGGAAACTTGGTAGGAAGAGAGCTGGGCTGGGACAGAGGGCTATCCAAAGTCCGAGATTGTTTTAACCTCCATCACTGGAACTCCTCAGCGTATGCTCAATCCGGTCCATGAATTGGACATCGACGCGAGAGACGATTCCCCTGATGCATTGTCGGCCAGAGCAGAAGCACGAACGACACACCAGGGCTGGCAAGCGCAGCCTCAGCCTTGCCAGAAGCGCCTCGAGGTCTTGTGGTCTTGGCAGTCTAACCATATTCATCTGACAGCGAGGACAGGCTTCCTCATTTATCACAGGACACCTGTTGCATACCCAGGGCTATTATTCTGTACTTTGGCTCAATACGTAGTCTATCATTGACAAAGGTTAGGGGCGACTTCCGTTGCAAATGGCACGAATCGACCACCTTTTGCTCTCCCAGATCTGAGTCAAACTTGTCATGGTACAAGCCGCCCTGAAAACTCGATGCATTGGCATTCCAAGAAAGGACACCGTAGTACGACACCTCAACGTTGAAAGCGGCACTGCTCCAGAGTCGTCATATTACCTGATGACTGAGACACAATGGCCACCGACCCGAAGGCCGTCCGTCGTTATCATGCTGGCGTCGAAAGGGCGCTAGGACTATTCGATGCTACCAACGAGTGGGCAGACTACATCGCTTTCCTTAGCCGACTTGCAAAGTCCCTACAGGCTTCTCCACCCGATACCGATGTGCCCTTCAAACCTATCTTGGCCAAGTATCTCGCACTGTGCCTGAAACCATCTCTACCGGCCGGAGTACATCAGAAATGTCTGGAAGTGTACGACCTCATCTTTTCTTTACTGGGCAAGGATGGCTTGTCCCGTGATCTCGCTATCTGGCTACCGGGCGTCTCCCAAACTCTCACCTTTGCGTCTTTAACCACGCGGCCTCTATTCCTATCCTTGTATGATGATCATATCTTAAAGCTCTCCAGCCGAACAATCAGACCGGCGCTTAGAGCAATTATTTTGTCCCTACTGCCAGGCATCGAGGAAGAGAGCAGTGAGGATTTTGACCGGACCCTGAGAACGTTCAACAGGTTACGTGAGATTTTTGCCGAAGATGATGTTGAGGAATTCTTCTGGCAGAGTCTCTTTCTGGCTTCAATCACAAGTGTCAACAAACGACCAGGGGCACTTGTTTATTTGACGCGATATCTTCCAAAGCTGGGACCGAGTAATTATACACCAGGGCAAGATCCTAGTAAGAGTGGAGCAGATGATTCTATGAAGCTAGCTATCAAGTCTGTCACTACGCCAGAACCAGGCCTACTCGTGCGTTGCTTTGCAACAGGACTACAAGACGATCAACAATTAGTTCAACGTGGCTTCCTGGATCTATTGGTATCTCACCTTCCACTCAATGCTCCTATTCTTCGCAGTCGGGTCATTGCAGACGACTTAGACATTCTTGTTTCTGCTGCGATGTCTGTGGTGTTGAGACGAGACATGAGCTTGAACAGACGTCTCTGGACTTGGTTCATAGGCAGAGAAGATAAGAGAGATGGATCGACCGATCTGCCTTCTGATGCTGCTGTTGATTTATCTCCAATTACGCCCAGTCGAAAAGAGTCATCTACAGCCTCCAAGCACGACTTCTTTGCCGCTCATGGCCTTGAATCTGTGATTCGCAGTCTACAGAAAATGCTGAGCAAGTCAGCTTCCTCCCCTGTGGATAGAGCACGTCCCTTTCGAATTATGCTGTCTTTGATGGATCGGTGGGTTATCGGAAGACAACCAGTGGAGGCCTTGTTTATCACCGCGATGCGAGACCTGCAACTGTATCAGACTACCGCACCTTCTCAAGGCTCTTTCGATGAAGTGTTTAGAAGTTCCAATGTATTCTTCGATGCCATCGAGCCTCATGTCGTTGCGACTCAGCTATTTCTGTTGCTTCGTCAAAGACAACTTGATCTCATCGAGTTTATTGTGTCGAATTTCAGTCTTCAAGAGGAGGATATGACAGCAACTCATCTCCCATTACTGTGTCTAGCCATTTCAGAGATGCTACTTGGCGTCCGTTTATCTTGCAAAAACGAAACTCCCGGAAAGAACGACATATCATATGACAATCAACTGGCGAGGCTGTTGGATGGCTTGGTCACTCTGCTGCCTCAGCAAGCTGCAGACTCATCAGGTTCACCATCAAAATCAGAACCAACAGAAGACATCATTTCTAGCCTTGAATCCTTTTACAGCAACTCAAGAAGAAAAGCAAACAAGGTCGATTTTATCAGCTCAGGTGGAGCAGTACAGCTCGTACTCCGGAATATCACACTCTGTGTCCTCGAGTGCGCCGGTAATCCCGAACGCCACGTCCTCCTTGCTCCGGTGACCAGCGCGGTCCTGAAGATAATTTCAAAGTCTGGCAGCCAAAAGGCACTCCACGAGTTGAAGTTGGGGGATCGACTTGGAAGAGTTCTGCGTACAGAAACTAGTGCGCTTGGCGAGAGATACGAAGTGACGAGAACCGTTTCCAGGATAATTGAAACCCTCCATTCCTTCGATGGAGGGGTGTCGACATTAGCAGAGCACGATCTCCTGTCCTTAATACCTGTTTTGGTCTCTCAATTATGGGAAGTGCTTCTACCTAGCACTCCTCAGTTTCATGTTGAAGCCGTCGAGCACTTCTGGAATCTCCGTCGCATATCGGAAGATTTACTCGTTGTTGATAGCAAGCTAATGGAATTACTCTGTCTACATGCGGATCGGATAAACATTCTTGAAGACGACATGGCGCGTTTCTCGACACTATGGTTGCATACTCGCTTCCCTGAAGTCACTGTGGACTTTTTCTCAGCTGAAAAGCGCTCCAACGAAGACGAAGTTCCCTGGTCAATGCTGAGTCAACCTGTGCTGACCATTCTGGACGGACTCGACGTCAACCAGGAGAACGACCCTCGACTTATGTGGCTAAGCAATTTGCCTTCATTGCGACCGGTATTCAAGATAGTACACTCGGTGACCGTGCAAGACAGCTCACAACCACAACTTTTCCTGCTCGGTCTCCACCGAGTACAGAAATTTGTGACTATTGCTCGACAATCGAGTTTGCAAAGAAGCGACTTCTTTGGGCCTGAAGGCTTCGGAGAAACTCTTCTAGAATTTTGCACGGATATTTTATCAATGGCTGAGGCACACACAGTGGCTTCGAGGTCTGCGCTGTCAATCTTGCGCCTGATGATAGACGATGTTGATATTCGAGGAAAACAGTCTCTTATTAACCTTCTCATTCATCATTTGACTGGACCTGGTGAGGACGTACAGCTCCAAGAGAGTATTTTGGAAACTTTGCAGGCAATTTTCACGAAGTCAGTCTCCTCTGAGCCTCCACCTAACGAATTGATATTGGTTCTTATGGCTGGAATCTCTTCGCCAAAAGTCGACTCAATGATCGATAAATGGATCACTTTGCTTTGTAATACATTACCTCTGTGCTCTACACAGAACTTGTTCGCAAATATGCTGAAGCTGACATCTTGCTTCTGTGGGAGTGTCAAGCGCAACTTTGAGCATATCCAACGGCTGTATGGGAGGGCGGTTTCGAATACTCACCTGAACGGCGATTCTACCTCTCTTGAGACAAAGAACCCCGAGAGATCTATTAACAATCTACTGGCTGGCTTGGAGTATATTCTTGCGAGAGCACATACCCACCTAAGCGATCAAAGCCTCGCCTCGGATAATTCGAAACCAACTACAGCGGAGGTGATACAATCTCGTGCGATAGCCAACAATAGACTGACTGTGATTCTGTGCATGCAAGATACCATCAAGCTTTGTGCAGAAATATGGGCATGGCGCATTCTCAAAAGATCTACCTCCGCTGTATCAGACAACAAGTCGTTCAATTACATGTCGTCGCGCCTGCGAACAAGGACACGAAGGATACTTGAGCATTTGGCCGATGCTGAACCACAGGAATGCTTGGAAACACTCATGGGAATATGGGTGGAAGAGGTCAAGCGAGGTTCAGACCAGGGTGTTAGTCTGAACTTAATGCAGAGCCTCGATGGGGCACGACCCAAGTTCATGATGCCCGCAACCTTCAATGCAATATACAACCGAACGAATCCAGCCGCTCTAGATCAGACACAAAAGTCAAGCTTATCAGTTGATGTCAATGCAATCGAGCTAATGGCATTCCTCATTGCCTACGCGGGTGCTTTGGAAGATGATTTGTTGGAGGAAATCTGGACTGACTGCACTGCTTTTCTACGTGAAGTGTTAGCAAACCCCATGCCACATCGTCAAATTCTCCTCAGACTTTTAGAATTCGTGGCTGTCATGTGCCAAAAGATGGAGAATACCAATTTCGGAGAAGTGCTTAAGATGCGTCGCGAGTTGGCTGATCTGTGTGCAAGGTTGTTTACAGCGATTTTCACCATCAAGCCAGTCGGGCTCGAATCACTACCAGTGCGGTCACCCGAAGAAACGAAGAGAGCAGCCGATGCATTGACAATTCAGCGAAGAAATACCCTTTCCATCGGCAACGCTATTCATATCTTGTGTGAATCGCTTCCAGTTATTGGGAATGTTCTAGGGGACTCAGACAGAGTTTATTCGGCATTTTCTGGCATTGCCGTCTACATCAGTGGTCCGGCACTGCGCGCAAAACAATTTCCACAGACTGTTAGCGTGGACTTGTTGCGCTTGTTACGATTAATGTCTAAATCGCAACCAAACAACAAGGTATGGAAGAAGGACATCTTAGAAGCGTACAATGATCCCAAATTCTTCCAAACGCCGTTCCAGCTGGCGGAGGAGGGCTGGCTCCCACTCATCAGACAGTCTCTGCTTACTGATAAGGGCTTGATGACTGAACTCCTCACTCGACTAACGCCACCTACCACAGCCGGCCTCATGTTCGGTGTCGGAGCTACAGCAGCACGAACCGAGGCCGATCGCAGGACACAGCTAACCTTGAAAAGAATGGCCCTTCTCCTGCTTGCTGGCGACATTGACACATTTGGCGCCGACCTCACCCAAATAATGCGCAAGCTCGAAGAACTCCTAACTGCTACGGTCTCTTCTTCGCCATCATCCAGCACGCGAGGGGACGTATACATCCTCCTTCGTGCCATGGTCATGTCCTTCTCCCAGGCCCACTTAGTGGGCACCTGGCCGATCGTAGACATTGAGCTCCGAACGCTTTTCGCAAGCATGCAGAAAGGCGGCGGCACTCCAGAGGACTATGAGAGCTCCACGTCGACGACTTTCACGCCGTTCTCGCAACTCCAAGGCGCCAAACTTCTCGATCTACTCTTACTGCTCAAGCCGGAAGAGTTTCAACTTCACGAGTGGCTCTTTGTCACCGACACCGTAGATGCAGTCTACCCGCCACATGACTTTACATCGTCCGCAGCGGCGGATACCATTGCGTCGTCGATCGGAGGAGGTAGCAGTGGCCACGGTGGGTCCATCGCAAGTGCTGCTCCATCGTCAGACGTCGAGCTGCCGAGCGCGGCGTCGAAGAACGAAGTCCGAAAGCCCTGGCTGTGTAACGATCTGAGCCGCTCGGTAGACGATATGCAGACGCTGCTGCGTCCGTTCTTCCGCCAGTTGAGCATTCATGCCTTTGAGAACACCTACAGCCTCCAAGAGGTCGATATCGAGGCGTGCCGCAGAGACCTCCTGGCGGATATCTTCGTTGATTGAATAGAACCCTGACTAGTTAGATTCTTTTATTTCCAGAGACGGGGCTACAATGGTTTCTTAGGGGTTTTTGTTTGATGGATTTACAGTAGAGCTGAGCTATGCCAACGTCTTTCTCATGAGCGAACACCCAATTTTATTTTTGGTGCAGATTTGTTCCCCTGCTCTGAACTGCTCCCTTTTTTCTACTATATACCAGATACGAAACGTCCCTTCGGAAGGGGTTGGAAGGATCCTCTCTGCCTTAACACATCTCCACGGTTTTATCTTACACATATCCAGAAAGCCTTGAGATTGCCCCTTTTTGCTCCTGCTCCCCCTTTTCAATCAGCATCCAACCTTGCGACGGGCGGGGTATCGTCGACCTGGATGCCGCCTCTCTTGCGCTCGTTGGCGTCGTGGAAGGGCAGTCTCCAGCCACCCTCGCTGAGCGGGGTGCTCAACCACAGGCGCATGAGGTGGCGGCGAGGCATGCCGGAGTCCGGGGCGTAGTCCCTGTAGGCGGTGCGGGCGTGCAGGATGTGAGCGTTGGACACGAACTGAATGTCGCCGACCTCGAGGACCATGTGCAGCTTGACACGCGCGCAGACGTTCTCGAGCGTCTCGACCGCATGCACCTGCTCCGCCGACAGCGGCGGGATGATGCCCGCATCCGAGAAGCGCGTCAAGCTGCGCACGTAGTACGGGTCCCACTTGCAATACAGACGCTGCGGCTTGCCGGCCTCGGGCGTCTCGAGGTAGAACACGCTGCCGCGGATGTACGGCTCTTCCCCAACGCTGACCTCTCCTTTCCGGTCGAAGTACCAGACGGGGGAGGCCAGCAGCTCCGCGACGGCCGGGTACTCGTCCTGTAAGATGTTCCAGACCTTGTGGACGCAGGCGACATCGGACTCGCCGCCTTCCTCGGCGCGGGCGAGGCACAGCAGGCCGACGACGTCGGCGTCGTCGGCGTGGAAGAACTGGCGCGCGTTGGTCCGGTAGATGCGCACCTTGTCAATCGCCGTGCTGTCCTCGCCCAGGTCCTTTACGTGGCCCAGGATGTGGCCGCGCCCATTCTGCGAGACGGGGTACCCGATGTACGTCCCCAGCCCGAAGTAGGCGACGCCGGACTTGTGGGTCCCCCATTTAGAGACGGGAAAGCCCTTGTACAGGATGAAGCCCTTGCCGTTGAGGAGCTCGTTGCGCATCGCTTGCAGGCTTGCAGAGAGATTTGGTAGTGGGAAGTTGCTCGGGCTGATCCCCGTCAGCGGATGGCCTTCGCGGATGAACGTGTCTGCTGCCTCAGAGAGCTCTGCGATCTCCTCCGGCGAGAAGACGTGCGTCCATCGTTCTGGGTGCGTCGCGTAGTCGTCCGCTTCCCAGACGGTCGGGCCGGAGATGCTTTTGGGGAAGGCGCTGTAGGGATATAGCTGGTCGTAGAGTGGCGGGTGTTGCCCCGACGTTTTGAATCCGTCGGGAAACACGGAGAGGTCGATGGTCTTCTCGCTTTTGAAAATGGACTGGTTGGGCACTGTAGCAGTTGACTCCACTGCGGTAGGTGCCATTGCTTTCCAGATATGGCGGCTTAGTCTTGTCTAGTGATGGCTGGGTTTTGTATCCCGGGAAACAAGTCCTAAGCAATTGAGTTGAATATTGGACTAGACAACTATTCGCTGCTCGTATCAAGGTCTCCAATGAGAACAAAGGCAGCAGAATTGGAGGTTATATAAAGATAAATGAGAATCCTGGAAAGGTATATATCCAAGCTCTGGGCCAAAACGACATAGGCAGAGAGTTAGTAGCTGGAAAGTTCTTAGCTTTCATCAACTTGAGGAGTTGTCATGTATATTCTGCCCCAGAACACTTGGTGAGCTGTGGACATCTCCGACCGCAGCGTAGCATCACAGACCAGTCTCCGGCGACTCTTTCGCTGATGCACCTGAAGGGAGGGGTTGATCTTGTTGATCGAAATCGAGTGGGGCATTGCGTGATTCGGTGGTGGAAGTCATAGGCGCGTCTAGCCTGGAAGTGTCCGCCTTAGAGAGACTTTATTATTGAAAGAACCCAAGAATACAGGAGAGAACGCGGGATCATTCCGGTCCTCACGCAGCGGGTGGTAAGAGCCAAATGGAGAAACCTGTTGACAAGTCCGAGGTAGTCGGTCTCATTGATAATACACTCTGATGTCTCACTATTCTATTAATTGATATTCTAGAACCAGGCCTGCCTGACAAGAGATCCTTTTCAGAGAGGAGAGAACGTATCAATATGCTCAGTGGATACTTCGACCGGTGATACCAGAGACCTTGCTGGCACCACCTCAAGCCAATAATTCCCAGGCGACCGAAATGTCGTGCAGTCACTTCTCACATGATAGTGCAACAACCCATTCCTGGTCTAGGTTGACCGACTCTTGCCGCACCGCAAGCTGAATACTGTATTGGCAACGGAACGCCATTTCCCTGGCCGTAGGGCAGGATGCTGCCTCTACCGTCCGTCATAGTATACCCGTTTCCCAGCCCACCAAATTGCGCGGGATTCTCTATCGCCATCCTTGTCATATTCCCATCGTAGGCCCCATTTTTGTCGCAGCTGGGGCATGAGTTTGCAGTGGCGGCGACGAACCTGGCAACAAATGGTCCGTTCCGAGTGGGTGTGTACTTGTGGTAGTTGCTCGAGCTGAACCCTGCTCCAGGATTGCAGGGCTTGACAATCGACATCCACTTGTGAGCGCAGGTGTATGACTGGAAACCTTCTGTTTGGCACATTTTTGGCGGGATGGTGATTGTGAGTGGATCTGAGTTGTTGGCTCAGAGTATAGCTGTCGCGAACCTGGGAGTTTGTGCCTACTTGTGCCTAGTCTAACTAGGATTTGCAGACAATGGCAGAATGCTTATAGCTGGCTTGAATAATCGACGGAAGGCAAAGCCAATGAGCGACTCAGTCAGTTCTGTTTGTTGTCGTTTGGCCGGTAGAGATGACAGTTCAGTGTGATTCTGCCCAAGACAAAGCTGAGCAATATATATGCTCACGGCAAAAGCATCCGTGTCACCTAGTAGTTTGCTTCACTGAGCCACAGAGAAATACTTGTCACTGGGATTCTTTTGTCACCGTTATGAGTCCTTCTTCTCGGGCCCTGAGGTGTCGTCGATGGCTTGCAGCAGCCTTTGCTCTTCTTCCTCGTCGACGCTGTCCCTGCCTCTCTTCTGTATAGCTTGCATGAGCTCATACATCTGCCCCACTTGCTGGTCACTGAGTTTGTCCAAGAGACCGGTATCGATCTTGCCTTCCTTCCAGTCCTCACCTTCCAGCATTTGACCGTATTGTTGCCATTCGGTCAGAAAGCCTACGATGTGCAGCGGGTTCTCGATATCTCGGTGACGTCGGAACTCGGCTTTGAGATATGTGTCACCAAATACCCGCTCCTCTGGGCCCAGTTTCTTCCGATGGATGCGTAGCAAGCGGCGATACAGAGGGACGGGGGGGAGGAGGGCAAGAGCTGGAGGACGTCGCCCTGGTCGGAATGGCTGCGTTGCTGGTTCGGCGAGAAGGCGAGAGACCACGCGCATATTTAGTAGTTAGTAATCCGTACTCGTACTCGCAGGTAGGGAATGAAGTCGATTCACAAGAGAACAAAAACTCCAGACCAGCGTGAATCCTCTTCGCCAAAGATGCCCCAGTTGTGAGGTCTGCTAAAAAAAAAGTGGTTGGTGCTGGTGGTTGCGCATCATCATTGACAAGATTGCCGATGATCAACCGGCGGAATCGAACACCCTCGTCATTCCCATCCTCTTCTGAAATCATCAGTACGTCGAAATGATTAGAGACGTCTCGCGAACCTACACAGAGAAAAGGCTACGTAATCGGGTGCAACGTCTTCTTTTGTATTGAGTCAATTACAAATAGTATACCCTCAGAAGGGACTAATACACTCGAGACGAAGCTCAGGCTATCTCTATAATGCAGGCATTCTCGCTTTTGGTGCGCCGGAACAGAATCCACCGGAAATCGCCAAACAGGGTAAAAAGGTCTCCACAGTCAACGTGTCGACTGAATGGGGCTTAGAAAAGATTGAATTCGAAGCTCATGGGGTATCTGTGATCGTCCCGTTCTCGTAAAATGATAATGATAATACTGTACATGTCGGTGGGAAAGGTCATAAGCTCATCGTACATTCGTGTGCGGAAAAGCGAAACAGGCGTGGGCGAAAGTGACTATTCACTGCAGTCCATTTCGTCAAAAGCTTCGTCCGAGTCCATATAAGGACCAAAATCTTCGCGAAGTTCATCGGGATCGGTAAAGTTCTCGTCGTCGAGAGGATGATAATCTTCTTCTTCAAGATCATGGTCTGTAACATACATGTCCAGAGCGTTAGTCAGAGAAAATTCGGCGAAGTCCTCCATGTACGCATCAGTGTCAATTAAATGCATTGGATGCATCCGCTCCGAATCTTCTAGAACGCCGTGCGCCACAAACAAATTGAGACGGAGCTCTTTACGCATCATGTCGGTTGCTGTAGTCCAACGACCATCTTCAAGTGTGAAAAAACCGAGAGTGAGCTTCGTAAGGACTGGTTGGCGTTTCAAGGTGTCGATAAGATACTCTTGTGTTGTCGACATACAATCCAGATCGAGCAAATCAAGGTCAGGCCACACACTTTCTCCCAATACATGCTTCAGATGAGTACAAGGTCCAAAATATCCGAAATCGTCGAAATTGATGGTGAGTTTTTGCAGTCCACTAGCTGCTTTCAGCGCGTCTCGGAGATGGCCATTTGCAAAGCTTCCATAGCAGTTTTCGGCGGTCATGATGTCTAGTTCGTTTCGATCATCTCTTTCTAAACGAAAGTTAAGGTTGATCACCTTGAGATTGGCGAACACTTGACAAATGGTGTGCGAAGGAAGAAACCCAGTGAAGAATTTGGGACTCAGCACGTGCACTTCCAACTCTCGTATTACTGTCAGGGGCTGATCTTGAGGAACGAGGAGAGCTTTGAGTTGTTCTTTGGTATGGCAAGTGTCGGGCTCTAGAGGGAGCGCACAGTCCACCGCAAACATGGTCATGAACCTCTCGGAAAGCACGTGCTTACATCTGCCGACGGTGGAAAGAACAACTTTTCTGAGTTTCGGAAACTGCGAGATGCTGCCTGCAATCAAAGTGGCATACGTACCCGAGTTGAGGATGGTCTGTTGGGCATCATAAAGTTTACGGTAGCGCTCATATTTGGTGCTGATCTCCTGCTGAAACTTCTGACGATTTCGCTCATAAAGCCTGACCTCACGATCAGTGGCATCTGCACCAGGAGTCTTTGGTCGGTCGATATTATGGTGGTCAGCTTCGAAGTGCCGGGAAAAGGCGTGGATACAGCCAACATTGGCTAGTATATTGCCCTCGAAAAACACAGTGTCAACAGCTTTTGAAAGCACCTGGTGGGACGCAATTGCATCGAGACGCTCGAGAGACACTTGACTGACATGGAATCGCACCCTCTTGATAAGGACTTCGGCTCCAATTGGGGCAAAGCGGCTAGTGACACAGCGCAGATTGGACACGTCTGTGAAGTTCAGGTGGCGGCAGATCTTGAGGAGAACCTCGTCTGGAAAGTCTTCCATTTTGGCCCAGGACGTAGGACAAGATGGTAGGATCAGGTAAAGGACTGGCGGTCAGGTTGGGGATGTTGAAATATTGAGGGGTAGGGTCTCGTGGTGTCAAAGAGACAAATCAGCAGGTAGGAAGCTGTAGACGCAGTTGATAGCTCGAAAGGGGGGATGTGGTGATGCGAACAGGCTGACGGCTTTTCAGCCTCAAGCTTGGTGGATGGGAAATGTAGACCTAGGCCATGCAGGATGGATGGGAGTTTGGAAGGTGGGATTTTTGATGAGAAAATGCATACAGTACCCTTTGACTAAGGGTCCCAAAGATTGCTGCTCGCCCTAGGCCTGACTCCTTAGATGTGAGATACGGAGTCGGGAGCAGCGTATCCTGGCCGGGGATAGGAGTGACGTCGGGATCGGGTAGAATTCTGCTTGGGGAAGCGACAAGAAAACGCGTGCGGCAGGCAGACGAGGCTCGTTCCCTTGTGCGATTATCTCCGGGCGCGTAAAGTGGTTTCTGTTTCAGCTTTCGAGGTCGTGGGGGAAGGCGTCAGGCACGTGTTTCTGGAGGCAGCGACTGCCATTTGTCACATGCAGTAGTGGCGGCTGCTCGTTCCGTACTAGACCGGTGCTAGGCCCGTACTAGCGCTTCTTACAGGTAACTAGCGCGAGTGGTTGGTGGGTTAACTGGCAAGAGCAACTCCCAGAACTGCACACACCTTTGCACCACACCTGCACAGTGCACACACCCTCCACACCTGAAGCAGCACCTCGCCGCTGCCACCACTCCCATCTAGTGGCTACCAACTACTCACCACCATCACCACCACCACCCACCACTCACTCGTATAACTACTGCGTCACTCACAAAACCATACGCAGACGCAGACACAGCGCCTCCATTCCTCCGCTCCTCCCTTCCCACTCTCCGGGTTTAGTGACTCGATCTCTCCCTCCACTGCGCTTCACTACCACAACCACCTGTCTAAGTCAACCTGTGCCGACCAGTCACACCCGGTGACTCCTCTATGGTCAGCTAGTAAAGGCCATCCTTGGCTCGGGGCTTATGCTCTGAGCCTCGAGTGAATCAATTTCCTCAGGCCTGACATTCTTCCCCGGCCGATTGCTCCAACGAATTGAACATGGAGTCCAGTCGGGACAACGACGATCAACCTCCCAAGCTGAAGACTAGAGGTGCCCATACACTACTTGCAAAACACCTTAATGGCAAACAGCAGGAATGGGATGCCATAGCCTCTCAAAAGGACCCCCTACGTCTCCTCGATCTTCCCGTCGACATCTTACAGACCATTCTTAGAGAACTTACACATACGAATGATCTCACATCTCTAGCCCTCACACATTCCGCCCTCCACGCTCTTGTCATACCTCACATCTACTCGAGGTTCGATATTGTGTGGCCAGACGCGAATGCCACCTTCGAAAACCGCATGGGTGTAGACGCCCTTACATATGGCCTGGCAACTTTGGTTATGGCCCAGGATGTCTTCGGCGAATCTCCATACCAACAACTCTCTCAACACACCTGTGACCACTGTGGCCAACTCAGCCAACCATCCGTACCACCCTCCAGCAACCCCCACAAGACTCGCCGTGGAAATTACTTTGCTCAGTATACTCGAAAGTTTAGCCTCGGTAATGGCCCTGCAGATTGGGTTCAGGAATATCTCATCACCAAAGAAGGCGGGAAGATGCTTGGCACTCTTGTTGCCCTGGCTGTGGGGAGGATGCGGAACTTGGAAGCTTTTATCTGGGACATGCCAACTGGCGTTCTTCGAGATGTCTGGCTTGCATTAGCCTCCCTGGGAAACCGCGATGATGGCCAGGAATGCCGTCTGGAGCGAGTTTGGGTTCGATGGCACGATAACCAAGACCAAGGTCCTTTGGCTTCACCCCCACCCCCTGGCGCTGGCGCTGGCCCTGGTCCACAGGTCTCGAATCTTCCCTCTATTCTTGCTGGCCACGCCACATCCTTGTTTCAGATCCCTCCTTATCCAAGGGTCGAATTTCCAACATTTTCCATCCTGCCTCCACTCAGAAGTCTCAGTGTCCTGGATATCGACGAGCTTCCCTATGCGGAAGAAATGAGTGTACTGATTGAAAGGTCATTAGGCCAGCTACAAGAACTGAGGATCGGAATGGCCTCGCATGCGCAATTTGATATCTGGGCTAGACCTGCCGAAGACAGAGCCCCAGTCTTACCTCCTCTTATCCCGGGAATAGGAGATCAGTCTCCTCGACCAGGAGGTCTCTTAGGAATTCTCGTACACAGGTTCTGTGATGCCTTCTCCCACCAGAAAGTAAACCAGCCCCCACTAGCCGAGCAGCAAGATCCTTCTGGTGATGAGACCGTGGAGGATGTACAAATGGAGGAGAAGGGGGAGGATGCCGAGAACACCATTAGTGCATCTGAAATCAACCAGCTGGGGGTTCTTCTATCCACCCACAATATTCAAGATGAGGATTCTTCCGTTGTTCCCATCGCAGTATCCAAGAGGACCACATATAATCAGCTCCCTACATCTACTCCAGTCCAGAATCTACCCCAAATGGCGGGCGATCCGTTCCACAACTCAGCCAAAGATGAGAGTAGTGGCGCACGAAAACTGCAATTGGAAACTCTCGATGTCGAGCGTGTTTATCTGTCCATTGCTGTCATGTCCAAGGCTCTTGACTGGTCCAGATTGCAGACCCTCACCCTACTCGGTTGTCGAAATCACGAACAATTGTGGAAAGCCTTGCGTAAACGTTTCACACCAACCAGCCGCCGAAGAGTTTCTACAACACCCTTCAGAATATCTGTAAGTAGCGGTTCAAGTCTACCACCAAGATCGCAAACTAGCACATCCGTCTCAAATTCTACATCAGAATACGATTACCCCCTGAGCTTGAAAAGGTTGCACACCGACACAGTTTCACCATCTCTTGTCGCGTTCATCAAGGACACGTTAGCACCTGATAGTCTTGAGTGGCTCTTCCTCCAGGAGAATACCGCATACAAGTCACCAGTCTCTATTGAGACGATATACCGTGGTGCAATCCGGCGTCATCGGTTCAGTCTAACTAAATTACTCATCGATAGCACCCTACGAAGCGAAGATCCTGAGACACCAGACACCAACTGGCGTCGATGGGTGTTTAGTCGTGAGCTCATCACTTGCATCACGAGTGGCAAAATGAAACTGAGGGAACTCAGCATGTCAATTGATTACAAAGATTGGCACTATTTTCTGCGAAGATTGCCTAATGCCATTACTTTGAGGTCATTGCACATTCCTCATATAGCGGAACACGTCAATGGAAATGTGCATTCACGCGAAGCAGCTTTACAAGTACTTGACATTGTCGCCCTGAGACCTGAGCTTGAGCTGTGCTATCTTGGTATCCAGCATCAGTGTTTCGAGATTCTTGAATATGCGAATACTCGAAATAGCCCCAGCATCGGGCAGTCTAGGAACAGCGGTGGCGGTAACTCCGGTGACGACGTTGAAACAGACCATGAGACTGCAGGTCCTGTTCACCCTAATTCTGCGCATCACCCTCACCCTCACCCTCACATCCATGCGAATGCACAGCATGATTCTCACGACGACGATGATGGAGGGAATATGAACGATTCAAGTGATTTCGAGGGTGTGTCCGACTCGGGAGATGCAATGAGCGACGAAGACGATGCGGAAGGAATAAGTCCCAATAATAACAAACCGACTTGGAGGTTGAGAGAGATCTTGTTCTATGATGATAAAATATCCATATTTAAAGCTAGGCATGGTAGGCTGTAAAGGCAAGGTTTTTGGGAATCGAGGTGAATAGTGAAGACAAGACTCCAGGACAACAGATAATAATTTCGTTCGGCGGTGCTTGAATTTCTAAGTTAGGACAAGTGGGCCTTGGGTACCTGCACTTTGATTGAGATGCGAATCTTGCAGCCCCGACGAACGGCAGAATGCCTCGGGACGGGAAGGAATGGTTTAAAACTCACCAGTCATCATGAAGGACCAAACCTGGAGGATTGATGGATGTGTTTCTAATGGTCTCGGTGGCGTATAGGAAAGTGTCACTCTTCAATGAGTGCTTGATACTGCGAATCACCCATATCCACAAACGCACTCACACACACACTCCGATGTATGTAGCAATCTGGACTGCCAGCGTTTCAGTCGCAGTCAATGCAAAAATGTCTTGATTCCGAATTCGTAACAAATGTACTGCTCCGACGAATCGGCGACGATCGACCAGTAGGAAGTACATAGCATGCGCTCAGCGGGACGAGGTATGATGCCTTGTTTCCCTGGTATGGCATATATACAAAGTATTTGGCATACTCCACCACTAGAACGTCTTGGTCCACAACGCAACCTTGTGATAACAATAGAAGAGAGCGAAGAAGATCGATGATGGCTGGCCATCAGCATACCGAGCAATCGAAGTTTCGAAAGACAGTCCAGCGACCCCAGCAACAAGTAGAATGGGGCCTGCGGTCCGATGTATATACAGTATGTACGAAGTGGCCCTAGGAGAGAATTATTCTCTAGCAGAGCGCCTTTTAAGTTTCCTGAGACGAGAGAACAGAGGCCAGTTAGCCCCTTCACCGTCAAGGGCGGAAAATCCGAAACCTCACTGAGTCTGATACATGTGTGTACATAAAGTGTCCCTCGCACGTAATTTAGCATGTCAAAACAAAAAACAATCAATACATACAGATCTAAACGCACGCGCACGCGCAATTGAGGGCCTGAGAAAACAATAATAGAATAGACCAGTGGGACCGGAGACGGCGAAAGGAAACGGAGAACGCAGAAAGGGTGGCAGGGGGGGAGGAGAAACGGGAGTGGAAATCCGGACGAAACACTTGAAGCACTTCGGTCTGCGTAAGCCCAGACCATGTATCTATCTGTCTGCGATGCTTGTCGTACAATACGAGTAGAATTTCAGAACCTTCGCAGGGCGGGTGGAAAGCCTCGACTACGGCGATTAAATGGGGCAATGAATATATATATGGCCATTGCTCTGAGCCGGTGAAGGGAATAGACACGGATAGATGTCCGACTCGTTCACTGGGGACCTACATATGTGACTAAATAGGATTATTCCTTCTGTGGGGAGAACACGAGATCATCGAGACAGTCTTGAATGCTGCATTGAGCTCGGACATTGGTCTCATGAGCGTCACAGCGTGATTTCACGCACCTATTCACTATCTATCCCGAGAGAAGCAGGAGAATAGCCTGCGGCTTTGTAGATGACTTCGGAACCGTTTGATCTATCCTACTTTATTCAACTACCTGGATGGGTCTTGTTCGCGGATCGATCTGATCTGCGACCTGCGCACCGAGATTCCAGCCAAGATATTGTGTACCAGCTCCGTGGTACATATCTCATCTAAGAGTCCACGTTCACCTTTTGTGGATGGTCTACGGCCAGGTTCATCACATCACGATGTCCCGATTGACGAGGTCCCATTTTCCATTTTCTGAAGGGCAGGTGAGATGGCTTCTCCAAACCCTCAGACAGACTTTGCACGGCCGTCAAAGCGTTCGGCAGCCTGGGAATTTGAGCAAGATCATGGTGTCAATCGTCTCACTAGGAACATTCTCAAGTAGCATCTGCTCGCAGTGAGCCGTGTGATGGTAATTGCCGATGTAGGTATCAATGACCCCTCGTTCTAATCCCCTATGCATTTTCCTCCACATATAGACACAATGAACTCGATGGTATTCTCTTGTGACGAAAAGTTCAGGGTACTGCCCAGTCAAAACAGTTGCCCGAGGCGCCTCCATAGTTCCGTTGATATCGAGATACCAGTGCCAGTCTGTGACGTTCAAGAAATCCTGGATGAGATCCTGCTCCAAACATTCAGCTGGAAGCCAGGAGAAACTCATAGGATCGAACAAGCAGCCGCGCTTTTGCGCTGAGGAAATCGTGCTGCCACACGATGGCAGGCTTTGCAAATGCTCATTGCTAAACAGTGAAGCGATAAGCACAACGATGCAGACAGCTCCGAGGGCATAGACCCCAAGATATGCTTTCGACATCCTCGTCAGAATATTCAGACTCCCAGGACGGTCGAATTTGTGCGCTTGTGTAGGAGAATGTTCTGGGTCAATGTCGAGCACTAGATCTGCACGTTCATTACTGCAGTCGGACATTCTGGAATATTAATCTCGAAACGATCTCGGAGAGACCTCAGATGTAATGCACTTGGATGCACCGTGAGCACTGTCAAACACCATCTATGGATCTGGGTGGCTTTGAAGTCGGTTTTAGTTAAGTGATGAGAACCGCCGTAGTTCAGGATTGCTGGAAGTGCTCGACGTTCGACACCTTAGCTCCACACACGCTCGAGCAGGGCTGGCCGCCTGCAAGTGCCGATTGGTGTGCTCTTGACTAGCTTTGTCCGTTTTATCCTCGATCTCACTTGTGATCTTCTCGCCAAAACCTTTCGTCCCTGCTTGACGGCACTTGGATGGAAGGTTGGTGTCAGGGAAGGGTCCCTAGAGAAGTCATGCGGGTACCGATCTGTGTTACACCAAATGGCCGCTAGATTATCCCTCTACTGTATCGACACGCCGCTGAAGAGTCGTAAGGAGCTCTCGTGCGGCTAGCAAGTCTATCTGGTCTACCGAGAGGTCGCGGGCAATGGTAGGCATGTAACTACATCCTAACAATTGGTTCATGCCTGTCCGGGATCCATGAGGGCACATTGACGGTCTAAGTAGGCGGCCTTTCAATTTTCGGTCGATTCCGGAAGTCAGGTTCAAAGAAATACACTACAGCAACGCCGGCTGCAGGAAACATGCATCCTTCAGGAATCATGCAGAATATAACAGCAAATCCCGTGCTGCGCTTCAAGTCGGTGATGATCATCTGTTACATTTAGCCCCTGGTCGAGCACGCTATGCAAGAGTATCTTTCCTATAGTATTGAGAAACATCAATTTGCTTAATCTGGAGCTATACAGCAATCTCTGAATGGGTCGGATTGTTTGTATCTACAAGTCTAAAGGTGGATCCCACTAAGCTAAAAGCGGTGGGTCGGAAGGTCAATAGCAGCCGCCAAGTTAACTGCACTATTGTGGGATGGAATAACCTAGGGTATCTCCTGATATTTTTGGGGAACTAGCATCAAACCTTTCGAACATCAAGCAGATCATGGAAACTAGTCTATGAACCCAGCTGCGCAGAATCTTCGATGCTCTCAGCACAGAAATCTTTCAATCATACAAACACCTTCGCCAGCCATCGGACCGAGAAGAGGCACACTACAGTAGTATTGTCCCAGTCGCGATTGTATACTTCAGTAAAGCCCACAAGCTTTTATCAGACCACCGCAGACTGTCATTTAGTGCTGCTATCGAGTTAGAGAATGTCACCGAAATCTAGCCAACCCAGAGTTGAACGATCTTCTGTCCAAGTCCGGATCTCGTCCATGTCTTGACACTGATGCACAGACCCCCAACCGTCGCCATACTCCGATGAGCCTTCTATAGTAGTGTCCCCTGCACATAGTATTGCTTGTCTGAGATAGTCAAAGCAGTGGGCGACATGAGTCATATCCGGCTCCCATTCGCCAAGGTAGACCATTCCAAAGGTTGCGGCAAGCTGAGACTATACGCAGCGTCAATTAAAGTGATTTGAACAGCTGAGATTGCGACTTACCAAACAGTGGAGCTGATGAAAGACTGACATGATATAAAATGGCACAGATTCAGAGCTAGTAGTGAGATTATACTCCTCGTTGTCGGACTGATAAGGCTTGGGAAGATTGGGTTTCTCTCCTGAATCAATGAAGATAATGCCGCGCGAGCCTAACGAACCCAATGAGACAGATATATCGTGCGGTTGCCCTGTGCTTACTCGTAGACAGCGGAGTCCATTCGCGCAGTGCCTTGTCCAAATTAATCTTACTGCTGAATGTGTTGTTGTTCATGTATTGCATTTGCGGTTGGAAAAGTATACTTCTAGTGGAAACTTGTTTAAGTCAGTATGTTGATGGTGGAAACACTTGAAAGATTACATGAATCATGATTGTGGTCCATGGATTGAACAGTCTGCCTCTGCGACATCAGAATCAGAACGGCTGCGATAAGAATACCGAGCTCGATGCAGAGTCGAAGTACTTTTAAACCTATATGACTGAGGTAGCTGCAGTAATGTGTATTTGAACCAGTCTCGAGTCCATTGTGGTCATTATCTTCGTTGGACAGTTTGCAGTATTCGTGGTCCATTGGAATTTGGGAAACAAGCAATTTGTGTTGATAGAAACAAGCCATCCCGAGCATAAGGATATTGTTGTGGCCTATATCCAAGCCATTGATACATTCAGTATTGAACATTGAATTAATCAACTTGGCAGCGAGGTCTCCCCTGTAGCATTCATCATTTCTTGCGTCCACATTACCCTTGCATCTTGTCTTGACTTAGATGTCATCCATACCGAGTGATTTGCGGCTTTAATTCCTTTATTTGATGCGGAGCGAACTTGTTTCCTCACTAACAGGTTCGAAAATACAAGGAAATCGCCCGAGAACACCCGTAGGAATGTAACATCAGCTCATCATAGAAATCCTTTATAGAGGGCAAGTGATGCTTGGTTACATTGAAGGATCATAGTCGTCAAGTTGTTGTCCTCTTTTCGGCGTAGCCAAATCCCTCAGATGCACAGATGCTCGAATTGTGAGTATTCTAGAATAGCTTGGCATGATTAACTTCACGGGGTACAGAAACAATATTGGAAGCAACCCAAGTACTCACGCACATGATGTGGACAACATGGTCAGTGCATGAGCACACAAGAGCTCGAGAAACACTCTTTAGGCGGAAGACGTACCCTGAGAAATGTTATTCCTTGTCAGACAGCGCAGACGAAGTCGCCATTGATCTTCGACCCGACGACGATGTAACGATGAATAGGTAACAATGAAGAGGGGTATCAGGGAGAGAGAGCTTGAGACGAAATGGAAGAGCATAAATACGCAACAAAGTCTCGCATTTCTCACGACTGATCAAGTATTCCATCATCCAAATTCAACTCCTACAACAGTTCCACAGCTCAGGATATATTTCGACCATCATGCGCCTCCAAGTCCTTGCTATCATTTTTTCCGCCCTTATGGCATTCGGCATGGCTGCGCCTGTGCCAGATCCACAAAAGGGTAACGCTAACTGCGCCAAAAACCCTCAATGCCACATCATCAAACGAGAAGAGTAATCAAGTGTCGGGCCGTTGAGGTGGAGATCCTGATAACTCCTAGATATGTTCTCTCTCTAATCTTTCCATGTCTTGCTTAGGCTCTAGTGTGACTGGGATGGCTGTGAACAGGAGCACTGTTTTGGAAGAGACGCTGCAGTAAGATGCGAATAGGAAGATGCTCGTCGGAATGCGCAGCATGGAGTATGCTGCGTTACGTTCTCTATGGATTCATAAGTGTGTCTTTTGATAAGGATATCTAGGATGTGAGGATTCCTTCAGTCAACTCGGCCCTACTTAACATAGTAATAGTCGCTTTGATCTGAATTTAGTGGAATCAAAACGAAGGAGCTCAACATGTCTCACTGGTTCTTTTGCCTTTTAATCCCCTTCAGATCACCCCATATTTCGCGAAAGATGCCTTTCCAGTTCCCGATCTCTTGCGCCTCCCTTTTTCTTTTGCTCAGCGCCCACGTTCGTACCTCGACGAACCAGACAGCAAACCAAAGGAATAGGAGGGGGAATGTACATGCGGCAGCAATCCAGGCCACTGCAATAAACTTGTCACCGTCTTCAACATAGATATTTATAGTGCTCGTGAATTGTTTCGTGAAGCTGCCCACTGCTTCGACGACGACCGTAACAGTAATGGCAGCAAGTAACAAGAAATGTGCTCCAAGGGCAGAGAAGCATAAATTGATACGCACGAAAATATTTCTGACGCGGGAGACGCAACACAGGATGGATCCGATCATCACAACACAACTGCTAATAAGGCTGATGAGAAGGAATGCGAAAAGCGCGGTACCAATGCTATCGGCCAAGGACTGGACATAATCAAAAGAATTCGAGATCTGGCCCAGTAGAGGAATGGACACATTCGCAGTGCCAATCACGAAATGGGATGGGATGGACGATGTGAGGTGGCTTACACCTGGCAATTGATTAGCGTTGTAATCCGAGATACTTGAGCCAAAGAGAATTGCTTACTATTCGCAGAATCTCGGAATGAAGGACAAGACTCATTCACAACGCTTGTATTTGGTTCGGCAGGGTCGGAGTAATTCCCTTGGCAGATATTCCGAAGGAAGACTTTGTAGAAGTCACTAACGCCGAAGAAATCTGTGACTCTTGACACTATTTCCGCTTCGACATCCCCTATTCCGTCCCCAATGGACTCAGTGATTTCTGACAGTGCGCCACCCAAGAGGTCGTCAAGAATGCCCAGCGGGTCACCTGAGTCTGATGCTGCCGGTTCGACTTGGATCAATGACTGTCCAATTGTGGAGGTATTTAACTGGTAGTTATCAGCATTAATTAGTACTATGAGAGGAGATAACCAACTGCTATTATATAGTAGCCAGGTGCGATGTCAGGCCGTGTTCCAGCCACAACCAGTAGGAGTGTTAAAGCGACAGTCGTTGTGGCTAGGACGAAAGAGATGCCCAACAGTACAATGTGAGGCATTCTAGCGGCATTCAAACTTGGTGAGAGGCTTGAGAAATACAGGACAGAAGTTCAATGTCATCGCAATGACCATACATACACCCTGAAAGTCCGCAGCTAAGAGACGAAGATACGGGGGATCTGGGTGGAAACGGGACTGGCGTACAGTATAGGGTAGTTAAGTCAGAAGAAGAAACGCACCATTCAACGTGAGTATAAGTATAGGAGGGGTATCGAAAGCAGCTCAAACACCCGGCACGTCTTTTGAGTCTCGGCTGAAGTAGATGAAACTCGGCTGCTAAGATACCCGTTCGGACAAGGCTCAATGGGTCTTGCTGCGACTGTGTATGAGTGAGCTTCAACCGAGGCCAAATGACCACGACCAACGGAATGCACCGCGATCAATTAATGGGTAGACGTTCCGTCATTCCGTCATCGGCTAGATAGGTAATAACACCTCCTAATGAGAGCTATAGAGCGCTTACCTTTACTGACACAGTCGTGTGGTATAATGTCACCAATGACTGAGTCTACTATGCCATTGGCCAAAGCCTAACAGTATTATCTCTATTTAAGTAAGTACAAACTTTTACTACTAGGAGTTAAGTATCTATTATTCAAGGCGAGAGAAATATGCATTAGATACCCCATTATTAGAAATACCTCGGTGACCCTCCTGGAAAACATAGCTAATAGGTGCTTACGGATCTCTTGCCTAACGACCGTGGCCTTATCACGTGATGTAGCCTCGTACTCCATCAGCTAACTTCCCACCCCATAGTAGGCAGGCCGTCTGACCCGACGGCCTTTCAGGTGACCTGGTTCATAACACATGAGCGATGTGAGGTAAATGCTGGAGCGAGTGCCAATGAGAATGGAATCTTTGTGGTGAGCTATGACGTAGATGGAGTCGTCATGGTAAAGGGTGCTGGGTAGTGACTGGGAAGGGGAAGTGTTGGAGGATTTGGACTGTACAACTGTACGGGCCAATCGATACAGGCAAGTCAGCGTAGTTGAGATTTCTGTCTTCTTCTACTCTATGGTCACCGTTCTAGTTTATATAGAAAATTACTAGGCAAAATGACCTCCTAGAGCCTATTTTCCATGATTCCAAAGTATTCCAGAGGCTGTAGCACTAACTCATTACTCGTCATGAGGTTACCTACGCTAGTCACTTTGGCGCCAACAGGAAGTGTTCTGCCAGCATCGTACCCACGACTGATCGATCAGGTTACCCTCCTCGTATCTCAACTTCTGTATCAATCACGGCCTTGGGGGATGCCACAATCCCGAGACTAGAACAGAGTTCCGCCCCAATACTCGAAACTCCCAAGATAATTGTGGCTTGGAAATCGATACGACAACTGGAGATGGTGGTGTTGGTCGACCTTGAGTGGCTTGTACCGTAGTCCTGGACTTCTCCACTTCATATCACGGCGGGTGGGTTTTCAACTCCTCCCTGTACCTCTTGGCTATACAGACTTTACTGTCAGGCCAATTAACACACTTGCTATAGAGCCTCAAGGGGGGAAGGCCCGCTGGTTTCAAAAGGTAGTGATGGGACATGCGGCAAAGTCCCAATGACAAACTGCAAGATATACGGTAATGATTCAGTTGTCGATCGAAATATTCCTCTGGCAGGTTGAAATGACAAGACAACCCCAGTGTGGAACGGCTTGCCCATTAGGCTTGCATAGGGCTGGCGATCTTTTTTCCAATGTAGTAGCAGGTGGCTCTTCTGCCTGGCGATACGCCTGCAGACTTAGGAAACGGTCAAACTGCCAAGATGAATGAGCCGTGGGGCATTTCACGGCATTGACTGTGCCCCCATCTCTCCACAGGACCTTTTGATCCTTGACACCTTTGATCCACCATGGTGATAGAGCAGGCAGCCCACATCTTCCGAATCACTTGTATCATCTCTCAGTGCTAAAGTGATACTCCTGAGCTATTTCATCGGCCCCAAAAAACATACATTCGGCTTAGCAAGCATCAGCATATTGGAAGTGGTTCGTGAGAAGAGTCCACGCATCAACACAAGTGGACATGTCAGTAAAAGTACTCCGTACTGAAGACAGAAACTCGGTTCAGTCCTTGAAACGAAACCGTGACCATTTGGGTGAATCTGAACCTTCTTCACCGCACCTACCTTTTTGACCTACTTAGGGTAACATATTGGGTGTTTTGCGTACCACCAAGACCAGAATGACTTACAAATCGTTGCCTGGGCTCGGATTCGGCCTCAAAGAACCGCCCTGAACGAACAGCAATCGAAGATCAAAGAAACCTGTTTGCTGATTCTGCTCGAGAATAGCCTAGAAGGGTTCCTCTTGGTCACCAATTGGCCACTCCGTAGGGTCGTTGGGCGATGGGTATGCCGGAGGTCGTTTGTGATGCAAAAACATACGGCTGGGCCTTGTACCGAGAATCCACTTGGTCCAGGGATGAAAGGGTCGATGGATCTGAAGCTTCTTCTGATAGGTCCGGATGCAGTTTGTGGCAAATATGGTTAGAGTAGTGCTGAAGCGAAGGATCGAAATGCGCATGGCAAGAGAATCCTTCGACACACAGAAAGCCACAAGTCGAGGCCGGCGTTTTTGTCCACCTGCATTAAAATATCCATGAAAGAGGCCACTGCGAGGACGCCAATCAGCCGTGCCAATGCCCAATTGATGACAGATATGTTAATCAGAAGGACAAGCCTGTGTCAGATATGAACCCATCAACCCAGGGATTTGTGGCGGTCGAAAGGATCCTTCCCAGTTTCCACAGGGTGCATTATTGTGCACCGCCACACTTTGTGGCGCAGTTACATGCACAGAACCGAAATTACGAGTAGCCTGGATCGAACAGCGTTAGTCGAGACTCGAGATACCTCGTATTTCCATAATCTCACCCAAGAGACATCGCATGGGAATCGGTTTGGGCCCAAGATAGCATGAGCACATCTGCTATGATATGTGTCCGTGGCGTATCTCTACTAGAGATACCTGTCGAAGCGACGTCCTTCTTGAATCGACGATACGGTTGCAATGAAGGTCCAGCAGGGCTGCATTCATGCTCGAATGCAGTCCAACGGAGATTCCCTAATGTAGCGGTCGTGGTGTAAGTGAGATATAGGGTCTGTTACATGCAGCATCCACCGCTTGTCACGATAGCAAGTCCGAACTTCTGTCCATGCTATATCGGGTACTTCTTACCTCCCATCAGTCCTTGAATAGAAAATAATGAAGGTGAGGAAGAGGTCCCGCCAGGAGCCAGGAGCTAGGCCAAATCTGAACATAGGTGACCAGGGCTTGTAAGGATTGCCATGTTGAGGATTCGAAGCGTTTCGGCATAGTGACAAGCATCATAGCAGTGGAAGTGGCCCCAGCGCTTGGAGATTTGTCTACGAGAAATACCGACTACATCTCTCATCCACCGGATGGTGGGGGCGAAAAGGTGAGGGCCAGGTAGCAGAGCATCAACATGTCCCACAGGAATGTGAATCTGGCAAAGAAGCGCTGGAGATTGATTGGCTTGTGCTGAACCGCCACTTTCAGAAACGGTCACTGTGGCTGATGGCCAATGTCACATGAAAGTGGGAGCGGTGGAGCATCATTCTGCTGATGGACAGCTACCAAGACAGAAATGGATCGAGCCGTAGAGAGGATGGTCCCCCCCACGCCGAATATGTAAATGCTGACATGATGCTGGGAACCAAGAACCCACAAGTGCCGAAGTCTGGAGGGGGATGTTGTCGATAATGAAACGGACTTAGCTCAAGGGCGACGAGGACCTGCAGGATGCGAGTTGACGGATGGCCACCAAAGTTGATTATCTGGCGAAAGCAGTTTGTGGCCGATGCTGAAAGTAAGGGTGAAGGATGGATATGATTTTGAGGGCAAGTTCCGATACAGAAGGACGTTGTAAGCTTCCTGTCCTGCCAGACAGAGCTGGGTCGAGGCACAATCTGTCGAAGTACATACTCCGTTCTCCGTACCGCGCGCGAGGCATATTCTGGAGGCTCAAGTCCGGACTCGCGGCACTGAAATGCCGCCCCTGGCACCAGATAAGACGAGCGCGAGATACGTCAAGAGGTAGGGTGGTACACAGTCACCCACGTGGTGAGGTTGTTAGTTAGTGAGTTCCACGCGCAAACCCTTAAGCCTCGTCTGGCTTCCATGACTAAGCGACTCGCCGCTTTACGGAGTGCTTCCCGCTGGTTTGTGCTTGCTGCGGCTCGCCGCCAGCTGAAATCGTTTATACTTCGGAAAGTTGATGCCAAAGCCTTTTGTTCAATCCACAATGTCGCACGAACTTTTGTGCCTTTGAGTTTTGTACATTTCGACATGACTTTATGACACAGTGCAGACTGTACGGGGACGTAAGGACCCTTTAAAAGCTCCCGAATTCCTGGCCTGCATGGCCGGAAGCGCAGAAAAGTAGAATCTCTTATACATTTACAGCGGAAAGTTACGTAGCTTGATTAGACGCCACATTGGCTCTCTATGTAGATCAATGGTAAACTAAGTGCTCAGCCGTGATCAGCCCCCCGGCAAAGATGCTCCCACTAAAAGCGGCTATTGAAACTCAAGTACTTAATTACAGTAGGATCGAGCCGGACTTTAGCAAGGGGCCTTTTCGCCCCCGAGTTCATATCTCGATACCTCCCTAATGCCAGATACTCGTCCAAGGGCCAATTACCTGGGTACGTCCCAACTTTGTATTAGTTGGTCCGGCGTACCCTTCCTTAGGTAGGTGGGTATCCGAGTCCTTTGAGGCAAGTACAATGGCCAAGGAGGTGACAGCCTTGCTACCAGTTCTGGTTGTTCTTTTCCTGACAGTCTAAGGAGTACGGAGTTCGGTAACCAAGAATCCCCTGGCTCACAAGTCCAGAACCAGAAGTCGGAACTATGTATATTATGTGACTGTCCCGATTATGGGATCGTCATTCTTCGTTCTCCGTACTTACTACTCTTGATCTTTCCCCCCTAGTAATTTTTTTTGGAAATCGTTGACTCCGTTGCCGGATAGCTACAGCGGTACAAGTTCCACTTCCGCACCTATAATAGGTTTCGCTTACACTGGTCTTGGACTCTTGGTCCTACGGAGTACTCCGTACTAGCGTCGGTTCAGCCTGTGTATGTAGAGTTTGTTCCAGGTCTCTGGCACTATGCAGTATTAGACCGTTTCATTGCTGCGAGGGCGCTTACTAACCCCCTGCTTTTCACCCCCAATCAGATCTTCATATTTCCGGTTTACCATCGGGAAAAGTCACCAACGAAAGTGAGTAAAATCTACTGGGGTGAACCTGGTCGGCATACGAGTTCTGGGTGACATGCCCAGGGATCAATTAACGAGCGGGCCTTCCCGACCTTGGGATAATTAATCAATCATTGCGGAGCATATTCGTAGAGCCCTTTTGTACCTGACCCTGAAACATCTGGTCCAATCAGGGCCACGACCAAGAATGGCTGATACGACTATGTGATTATAGGGAGATCTTTCCAACTCGAAATGTCTGTTGGACTCCATAATTGATGTCAGCTTATCGTCCAGTCGAACCAGTAGTAATATGTCAGCGCCGTTGCGGTGCCCATGACCCCAGAAGGACATTCTCATTACTTGGTCAAGACCCGTATCTCTAGCAGTTATACGACGTAACATTGCATTCCTCTGAATCGAACATGTCAACCTCATCACCTCCTAATGCAGTAACAAGAAATTGCAGCTTTTCCCCATAAAGTCGCAATGAGTAGTCGAGTTTACACATGTCCATGTCCGTCCATGCGAGGTGTGAAGTCGCTTCCAGAAAATAAAAAAATGGTAGTGGCCTTGAAAGAGGCCGGGAGAACAGAGAGAGGTCAAGGCTCCCCTCATATCGCGTCCAAGGTGGTGTAGTGAATGAGACAGCGGTCGTTTGTGTCCCCCCAAACCTGGGTGGATTGACCCGCCTGGTAGTCATGTCGTCGTCAGTGCTGGCTACTGGCCTCTTTCCCCTTCCTGCTAATCTTCCCCTGCTGCTGCTCGGTTCGAGGCCTCAGCATCTGCCTTCCCTTTACATTTGCCGCCGGACATGTGCCCGTTCCTCGCCGTCGTCCTGGTAAACTCAGTCCCACAGTGCGGACATATGGCTTTCATGGCGCTACCACTCTTTTCCCGTTGGTGTCGAAGAAGATTGCTGAAGGTGGAGAATTGTCGACCGTTGCAGCCGTGGTCCCAGCATTGAGGCTTCGGTCTCGATGGCATGATTTCAATTTCGGCGGGCGATGACTCCAGGGTCAGTGGTACTGGAGGAAAGTGATGCATCGCCATTCCTATTGACGGTAGAGTTTGCTGGTTTGGTGACGGATGGCCAGAAACGTAGAGTGCATTGGGAGAACCCGGCGACGATAGACTCATGGCCGAACCATGCGGCGAGTTTCTTCCCACCGAGTAATATGCTTGCATATCCTGTTCACTGGGTGTTATTGAGTAGTCGCCGGCGTGCTGTGCTGTAGAGCCCGGGAAGTAGCCACTTTGAAGAGGGTAACCACCCATGGGAGGTGACAGCCCATACTGCTGCATGTTGTACATCTGCGGCATGGGAGATTCTCCCTGGGATGTCATTGCTGTCATCGATGGCAACGTCTGAGACTGCTGAAGTTGATTTGTATCGGCTGCATACGCGAGCAACATGTCGCCACGGCTGTGGCTCCGATTCCGTGACACGCTTGGCCGATTGTGTCTAATTGGTGTACGGTCACGCACAGGGAGCGCACCAAGAGCAGCCTGAGGAGAGTGGGACGAGCGCCGGCGATATGCTATCTCAGAGGCGACATTATGTGGCGATACCATGAGTAATTGCTGATGTGTTGGATCCTGATGGTATGAAGCATGAACGGTCGACATGTCTTCAAAATCTGGTGGAATGTTAGTGGTGGTGACAAGATGGAAGAAATCCCACCTACTGGGGAACGCCGTTAACATATCGTTTCCGTAAGACATTTGAGGTGGTGGGAACTGGGAGGACGGTGTAGGTAATACTTGGGCGGCCATTCTCGTTCCCGATCAGTATGTCAGACCTGTAGGGGGGATGTGACTGGCTACATACCCTTGGCGCTGCACTGCAAAAGGAGGTAGCCCTGCAGATGCTTCTATGGGCGTGGATTGCCGGTGGGCCGCAGTCCAGGGAGTTTGAGGATTGGAATAGGACTGCCTCCGTGCCAATTCGTCGTTGTCTACCTGCTGGGATCGCAAAATGTTGGTCGCTGGGACGGACGATCTGGGCGGGTCTCTAACGCGATGTGCCGAGGGTCGACCACCGCTTTGAGCGCTGGTGCTCGAGACCCTGGCACGACTATATTCTGTACCACGAACCTGTTTAGCCGAGCGATCGGGTAGAGAAGAAGAAGCAGATAGGACGGGCGGGTTTGAATGAGAGGTGGTCCGGTTCGCAATGTTGACCGAGAGAATCGAGCCTGCAAGAGCAAGCTCGGGACACTTCTGTGATGCTTTTAAAGTATCAGAAATCCTAGTTGCAGATTTCCTAGGGAGCGTTAAGAGCGCGGAAGATTGACGGCTCGGAATGGCGACTGTGGGGTGGCTTCCTGTCGGCGTCTCGAAATAGTTCGCTTGGATGCTGCGTTGGCTTGACACTTGAGATTGTGGCGAGAGGGCAAAAGTGGTCAGACGGTGTGGTTCAGCGATTGGTTCATGCGTGGATGATATGTGACATTAAGGCACGGCACTTTGACTGCAGACTTCTGTGGCTGAATATATGAATGTTGGAAGCGGGTTGCGTTTGATGGCATGAGAAACGTGGATTTCCTCGACGGTTAAACTGTTCTCAAGACCACCCACTATGCTTAGCGTAGCCCTACACCAACCCTCTGACACCGTACGGAGTATACACCCCGTCGACAGCCTCTCGATCCTATTTGGGGGCCTTGAATAGATCCCGAGGGCCAAAATGATAGCAGTGGCTCAAGAGGCAGGTTTTAGAGAGGGACGACGCCACTTTGCGAGCCACTCAAACAATATGGAGAATAGGAAATGGTGAGTCTAGGGAAGACTGTGAGAAGAGAGCAGAAGGGGGCCAAGCGGGTGATTTGCATAGGAAGGATTGGTGTCAGTGTCAGGGTATAGTAGAAGTGGCATTCAAACACTTTAGAGTGGGCAATTCGGGGCGGTTCCTGACCCCGATCATAAGTCGAAGCGCGACCAACCTTGATAAGATTTAGTTCAAGATTCAACCACGCGGAAGGAGAAGTAGAAAGACCAAGTGTATGACATCTGGAGATGGATGGAGTGAGGGTAAGGGTACTCCGATCGTGGAGCACGAGTGAGAGCCAGTCAGAACGTTAGGAACGGGCAAGAGCATTACCGTAGAAGCATAGCCCACTGCCCAATACCCATAGAGAGCGGAGCGACCACAGCCACTGTAAGCACTGCTTACTTACATTAACCTCGACATAGTGGGGCCACGAGGAGGGGGGAATGGGCATAAACATGACAACAGTTCCTTTGTCAGAAAGGACGTCTGGCGTTCCACGTTTGTAATGACAAAACGTGCCGAGGGGGCGGATATCGTAACGTAACACAAGTCTGGCGCCACGGGTCTTGTGTGGGTAAGGCTGGTATGTTTGAGGGCTAGAACATAAAGCCGGTAAGCCGTGAGCCACAAGCATTGTGCCTACCACCTGGTGGGATAGAAATATAGGTACAGAGTACCCACAGCACTTGGCATTGGGGACCTGGTCCTCCAAACCTCTGGCAGTAAGGATCGGTTTCGGTGCAGTCCAAAGAGGTTGGCCAAGTCGGCACATACCTACGAGTACCTCGCACCTAATGGACGGTCGTTTACGAGTCGATCATGACTAATCCATATCAGCTCGAAAAGGCAGGTGGCTTCGCATCCTGGCATGCATCTCTTTTGATCTTGCATCCAGCCTCAGATTATATTTCGCTCTGAGGCTCCCTTCAGGTAATTTGCTAGAGTATGTGATGCACCCATGCCAGCTCGTATCGGAAGAGATAAAGTGGCCGCGGTACTGGAGGATTGTGGCGGGTGCTCGTTCCACAAACAGTTCGGCAAAGGATTGAGCAGCAGTCGATTTGCTCAAAAGAGCTATGACAGTTTGACGGGACGTCGGCCAAAGACCAAAACCCCACAGTCGAACCCAATTGAGCGACTGAGGCTCGACTGTGACTGGCAATTAATGACGAGAACTGCTGACTATCAAGCAACGGGGAGGAATTTCCAATTCCGCCCCCAAAAGTGGCAAGCATTCACATTGAGAGAGCGGCGGAACCATCAAGAAAACACCGGCCGTGCTGATGTAGATTGGCTCGTATCGACTGCTAACCACGAAATTCGCTTAGTCTGTGCAACGCAGGTCACTTTGACTACTTGTGCTCGTGCTCGTGGGTCAGAGTTACTCGGGACGTCGCACAAGGGGGACTTTTGAGTCCTGACTCCCCAAGGTCGCGGTGTCGACTTTGCTGGCGTGGGTTGGGTTGGAACTTGGGTTGGGTCGTTGTTGCTAGCGGCCACCGCGGTCAAAGAGTCAACGCTTGCCCAAAAGGATGGAATGATTAGTCTAAATTGGCAAGTATTACCCTAGTGCGATCTAGCGTGCTCTAGTGTATCACGCTAGTCTTTTTAGGCTACGTTTGCTTTCCTTTGATATCGCGACCAGGCCAATTGGCGCTTGCAGGGCAGCCCTACGCAGTCACTCCCCGCCTCGCCCTTCCACCAACCAAGGCTCCTGTCTCTCTCTCATCCAGGCTTCTTACTGTATACGAGCCGAGCCCACATATAATTATTGTTCACAGACATGGGACAGAATGGGGAAGTTACGACTGGACGTGAATCACCATCTTCGAAACTTGGCCCTGATGCTGTGAAAGTGTTCCTTGACGATGACTAATCTACGACACACCGTGCATCGTAAAGGCTAGTGCACGTCGAATCCTCCTGGAAAGCCACCAACATCAGCGTCAAAAGGCCTAAGACGCTGCTGAGCCACTTGATACAACCAGGCGCCACATGTAGTAGCTATCAGCCCCAACCTGCCGCTGACCTAGCAGCCCTGTGAGGCCTCCTGGGACTGTAGCCTCTCTGGGCAGGTGCCACGGTCCTGATCACTAGCCTTCCTTCAGCCCCAACGTCCGAAGTATCAAACCAAGGTGAGGCTCAATGCGACTCAAACAACCGAAAGGATGACCCCTGGTGTGGCTTGAAAGCCTTGTTTGGCCATCAGGGAAATATTAGCCGCGGGAAAAGTGCTGTGGCTTCGCGATCTCACTAGCCTCACTAGCCTCACTAGCCACACCAGCCACACTGACCACCACTAGCCATCCCATTTTTAAAAGCTTGGACCATGCATCTATTACTAGCCACAGTTCGAGAAAATCCTTCGAACCTCAGCTGCACTAAACATTTGATGTGTTGGCAACTGTTGTTACTGATGCAAGAGATTGCTCATGGGGCTGTCACAGAGAATTGAACATTATTGACGCAGAACTGGTAAGAGATTGAAGCCATTCATCAAAGGGCCCCAAGCAATGGCCCGCGGCACCTTCGGCTTGTCAGGTACGGTAAACAAGAACGCGACGAGGGTCGGGATCAACGGGCTACTGTAGCATCCGCTGCAGTTAATGTGCCATCACAATCAAAGATTAATAAACACAAGCATCCATATGTGCGAGGCGTGACGATAGCATCAGGCCCTCCTCGCGGGACAACCAATTCTATTTCGCTCCGCATCCGCAGATCGCTCTGTCGCAGAAAGCCTTGAACTGCTCAATCAACTCCTCAATCTTGCCCCCAACCCCATCTGCACACTGTTGCGCAGATTTTTGATGATCCTTGTCTAGTGATGCAATTTCGACTTCAGCTCCTGTCCACTTGAGCATCCTGTCTCTTTCAGGTTGCTCATGATGAGGTATCCTGAGACCACCTGTTGTCACCAGAAAACCACCTTGACAGCTACTAGGAGGATTTGATCGGGCCAGCCAGACGTCCACAAATCGCGCACTCCAAATTCCATGAGCTGGAGGTGCAGTACAACCGAACGCAGATGTCGTTCGGAGGCAGGCATTCGGCCTAGGAGGACAACCATGTTATGGAAGAAAATCCACTCAAGAAACCTTGCTACCGCTGCTGCTGCTGCCGCACCAGTGTCAGTAAGGCGTGGCCTCGGTATCATGATATATTGAGGCTCAAAGAGTCAATGCTATGTGGGAAAAGGTGAGAATGATGAACATTAATCGGCTGGGGAAAAGCGGGACATGACTGGGATCACTTGGTGTGTGACGAAGAGATCAACTTGCAGAGATGCTACTTAAAAGACACTGCTCTCCTCGGGTCGAGAGATCCTCGCTCTATTGACGGGCAATGAATTCGAAGAGGTCGTCCTCCGTACATAGATAGCAGTCTCTCGAATTTGGATTTACCTAGGCCGTTCAGTCGTTGAGGGATGGTCGCACCCGGTCGGCTGCCAGAGGCTGCTGACTAAGTCAGGCCAGGCCCCAGCCACATGACTTCCAATTTTGATAATGACATCTTCCTCGCACTTCGACTTGGGGTCAACCGGGCCACCGCATTCCATGCCACCTTTGCAGTTCTGCGTTCTCCAAGTTGATTGCGCCTGGCCAGAGAAGTAAAACTGTCCTCCCAACACTATCTGTTCGCCTGTCTATCAAGCGCTTGGTATCTGCGCATTCTGAAGTGAAAGGTGCAGTTGGTCATCACCCCCAGGCGCGGGGCAACAGTTCGCGTCCTTTGCTTTTGACGCTGCGCAACACGGTCTACGGAACAACAAGACCAACATCATCACTTGAATCATGGCCTCTTTCCTTGAGGAACTCTGGAATTCCATCTTCACACCAGGTCCCACCCCGACTCTGCTGATCGCAACGAATGCTGCCTTTGCCGCTCTCCAGCTGCTACTCTTCATCCTCCTTGTCGCTACATATTCTCTACACTTCCTCGTGCTGTCCACCATCTGTGGTGGGCTCTGGTACTCCATCAATTGGTTCGCTGCAGAGATCGCGCGAGAGCAGAAGGCACAAAAGGAAGGAGAAGGAAAGAAGGAGAAGAGCCCGGAGCCAGACAATGCCAGCGATACGGAAACCGAAAACACCCCAGCCCCTCCAGTGTTCAAATTACCATCCACGCCGCCACCAATAATACCAACAGCGAAATCAACATCGCTTGCCCCGCCGTCAAGGCTGCCACATGATAAGCCAAAGGATTCATCTTCAGCGCCCGCAGAACAGAGGACATCGGATAGTGGTGAAGTCCTAAGACGACGCCGTAGTCTGGGCGAGGGCTCCGGCTATATCAGCACGGACAGTGAGTGGGAGAAAGTTTCGGAAGGGGAAGAGAAGAGCAAGTAACAGGACCAGGCTATTCCGCGCTGTTCAGGCCACGCTCCAGAGAGGCATGGCTTCGCGAGAGGATAGGCATTGCATCCCAGAAGAATTGCTAGCACCCAGTCCTGGGCTGTCACCGAGCCCTACTCTACTTCTAGCCCTCTAACGGCCTCTGCTTTCCTGGAGCCACCCATGATCCTGGACGTCTTGACCAACGAATCTTGCCCTTCATGATGAACAAAGTCTACAGATACCCGAGATACCCTTGAATGAATCAGATGACCCTTGATAACTCTTGATGCTGACGGCAGTGGTAGGGGAACTAGTAATTTCCAAGGTCCCTATCTGGGTAGATAGTCGTATAGTATCTCACTACGGAGTAGTGGGTCGGGAAGAGGGAGCTGCCCATTTTCAATCAAGTGCCAAGAACTTGAAGGACGTGGTGGCGGAGGGAGAAGAACGGAGTCACGTTTTCTACACGTGCTCCCGCCCGAGGCTACGGAGTTGGGAAATGCATGACTCTACCTACTTCCAACTCAACAACATCACTGGCATCTCGAAAGTGACTCAAACCTCGTCATAGACCAAGCCTGCACACATCTTTAGAGGAACCTATGTATGATGTGTCTTGCTTCATGCGCAACTGCACATTGAACCTCAACAGCGTCTTCTGGATCCTCGAGTCCGCCAAATAGTATTCTTCGCAGTCGTCGGAATGATGCACATGTCTCAGCTATTCTGCTACTCTCGCACAAACACTCAATTATTATCTCGGACACCTTCCAATATATCTCTGCACGGCGCACATAGGTTACCATAGTGATATGGGGATCTGCATAGGCGCCACATCTTCATCATAATGGCCTCCATCTTTACATATCAGGATGAACCCCCTCGAATCCACTCTCCCTGGTCGACACCAGGAACATCTACTCCACAACCACTACAGTTCATCCAAGCACCGGTTGGTGGGAATGCAAGAGCCTTGCCTGGGATCTTCAAGCTTGAAGCTGAACAGCACGATGGTCCTACAGAATACAAACTTCATCTGCTCCTACGCCCAAGGCGAAACTTCCGCTCCATTTCTGGTGCCACTCCGCTATCAACATCGTTACAACCCACTGCGTCGCAAACAGCAGGAAGTCTGCAATCAATGAGTGCATCGCCCCTAGATCGTTCTGCTACACAGCCGTCTACTCAAGTGCGTCAGAATAGATTACATCAACTGACAACTCAGTTACTGTGGCGACTGCAGCAGTCGTCGCCGTTCCATTCTTCCTCAAATGCAGATCTGGTTTTGCCCCTGTTGCCCGAAGCAACCCCAAAACTGGGTGTCCCAGACCGTCCGGCAAAGCTTTTGCCTGGCCTAGAGGAGAGCCAAGGCGCCCTCTACGAGATTGGAATCGCGGACGATGGCACGCTGGTCGGACTGCTGGAGGACGAATTGCAAGAGAGTTTGCACAACCTGCAAGCCATGGCTGCAAGTCTAGGATGCGTCACCAAGGTCCTACGGAAAGTGGCTGTGGGCTCATGTGAATGGGTAGACACTGAGGAGGGCAACTCTCAGGAGCAAAGGCGGCAGGACAAACTCTGGGTTGCCGAAGTTCTTGTTCATCCAGACTCCAGGAAGCCCGAGATCTTAGACGCAACGCCTATCGTTCCTGCCTTCAATAAGGCCTCGTCCAGCTTGGATCATTCATTAGCTTCGATGCCTAGAAAGGCCCCAACGGAACAAATACGAGTCACCCTGCTTGGCGCCACGGCGTCAGGAAAATCATCCCTGTTGGGGACTCTCTCGACCTCTGTCCGTGACAATGGCCGGGGGAAAAGTCGCCTGTCCTTGCTCAAGCATAGACATGAAATCGCGTCTGGAATCACAAGCTCAGTTGCCCAAGAACTCATCGGCTATGCTGAGGATATCTCCGGGTCAAACTTGGTGATCAACTATGCTTCTGGGGATGTGTCATCATGGATAGACATCCATAATCTCTCGCAACGGCTGGTCTTCGTTTCAGACTCGCCTGGCTTGCCACGTTTCGCAAAGTCTACTTTCCGAGCATTGGTTTCATGGAATCCAGCTTGGACTGTTCTCTGCGTTGCTGCCAACGACCATGACCAGCAAAGCGGACTAGTGGATCCTTCTGCTGCAACAACCACTGTCGTGTCAGATCATAGCAAGGTCAACGACACCCCAAATACCATCGATATCTCTGCATCACATCTTGATCTCTGTCTACGGATGCAGATACCTTTGGTCATTGCTATCACAAAGATGGACCTTGCGAATAAGGCTGGACTGCGGATGGTCCTGGCACGGATTCTTTCTGCTTTGAAAGCCGCTGGCCGCAAGCCCGTGATACTTAGCAGCACAGTAGGGCCCATCACTGTTTGTGAAGGCGCTGACCTGCTCCGGGATTTGCAAATCGTCAAGGCAACAGATGTGGCTGAGATTAATTCTCTCATGAGATCCACGTCCAGTGCTGACTCCCTACGATGTGTACCGATTGTTATGACAAGTACAATAACGGGTTCTGGTATTAGCAAAATACATGCTTTGTTTCGTTGTTTGAAATCGCCAGAAGCATTGGCAGTGCACGATTTGCCTTCCATGCAACGCGCGCCTGAGTCAGCGCTCTTTCATGTTGATGAAGTCTTTAGCATTCCACCATCTAGGGTCTACTCGACAGATCAGGATGACATACTGCATCGCCAAGGAATTGTTCTTTGCGGGCATGTTGCGGCAGGAACCGTGACGGTGGGCAGTATTTTGAAATTAGGGCCGCTCCCCATGAACTCGGATCCTACTTCGAGTTCCACTTCAGCACGTTCCCAGACCCTGCAACCATTCTCATGCTCTACATCTGAGACCATGCAGTCCGAGAGACTCGCAAGCGTCGCCTCCATGGCTTACTCACCCACTGGAAATGCCAAGAGTGCCTCCCATTTGCATGACACGAGCGGGCCGCTTTTATCCGTGCGCATCGTGTCTCTGCGTAATCTCCGCCTTCCCGTCGGTCAACTACAGCGAGGCGAGACTGGGACCGTCGGGGTGGAGTTGGTCACGCTCGAACATACCGACCTAAACCTCCTCGAGCGAGCAAGGAAAGGAATGGTCCTAATTGACTCATCACGGTCAGGCTATTTCCAGGAACGCCAAGATCTGACAGGTTATCGCTCATTCTCGGCAGTGTTTCCATCATCTGATTTTGCTCAGAGGAACTCTCCACCATTGATACTTGGCGGACACGCGCTCGTTTACGTAAATAGCATCCGCGGTGCGGTCAAAGTGACTGCCGTGGCTCTTGATGACGAAAAAGAAGGAAGAGAGAATGACGACGCTGAGGTGCAGTCGGAGACTGAGGTCTTCCGATTTGACAGCGACGACGAGGCGGACGTGCATGCGATGACTAAAAAGGGGAAGGAGCGTGATGTTTGGACACTAGAAAAGAGTATTAAGATAACATTCCGGTTCATGAGCACTGTGGAATGGATGGAAATAGGAGACCGAGTACTCGTCGTGCCCACAGTCACAGCACCTGGACCCGTGACTGGTCCTGTGGCGCCAAATCTGTCGCCGCTGGCAGGTTTCGTCGGAAGAATTTGTAACTGTTTCGCATGATTGGGAATATTGAGGTATAAATACTGTATATTTGATTTGGATCATATACACTAGATTAAGCAGCAAAATATAGAAATCCGACGTGAAAAAGAATGATCGAACGCTCTTGCCGGGGAGAGATGCACTGCAGACGAGGATCCCACTGAATTGATTGTTGCTCATTTCGCATTGCAAGCGAGGTCCCAAGACTATGACTATGCCTGGATGGGAATGCACTGGTCCTACAATTTTGCCTGCAGAGCGGCTCCCTGGGCCTGGGAGGACGCACTCTGACTCGGATTCACACTTGGCTCAATTCGTCCTCCAAGCGCATCAGGCTGGGGACCAAGGAAGATCAGCCGATCAAGCGCGACCTCGACGTTCCAATCGAAATCTCTGTCCTTGTAGAGCCTATCTCTAGGCAGGGCGACATATCCCTTGACCCAGCGTCGCGCGACGGCGAATACGGCGTCATCATGGTCGACGACGCTGGCGTCAAAGAGCAGCAGGCATGCACTTGCGATGGCCTCGACGGCCTCGAGCACTTCTCTTCCGCGCCAATGCAGCTCGCCTGCGTCGTCCGTGTCGCGGATCAGCTCGTTCAGCGCCCGATACCGCGTCTCGATCATCTCGATCTCGGCGCTGAATGTCCGTGTTGGAACGGCGTGCTTCGCTACGTGCGTGAGCACGTGCCGCATCCATGTCCCCAGGATGCTATCCAAGGTGGTGGGGATGGGCGCTTGGGGCTTAGTGTTGCTAGCTGTGCTGGTTTTGATGGTGGAGTTGGCATTGGTTTTGGTCTTTGGCAGGAGAACCCTCAAGACGTCCTCGGCCATGACGCTGGTGGTGCCTTCCCAGATGGTGTTCACGACACAGTCGCGGAACAGGCGTGCGATATTCATCACCCCGCCGTCCTCGTTGTTCTCGCAGTACCCGACCCCGCCCAGGGACTCCATGCATGCGCGCAATCCCGAGACCGAGTTGAGTGACACCTGTGCTTTCATCACCGGTGTGAGCAGCCGGAGGAGCATGTCGATCTGGGCTTTATCCTCTGGAATCAAGACCGACGCCGCCTTCGTGTCGGCAACGGCCTCACGGCCCTGCTCGCTGGCTCCGAGGAGCGCCACGTTCAGAGCCACCAAGTGTGCGTTGGCGCGATATTTCACCGTCTCGCTAGCCATCCACGCAAGGTGCTGTGGGTTGTCGGACAGCACTTGCCCGCGCACTTTGCGGACTTTGGTGTATGCGCGACTCACGGCGAGACCGCGAGCTAAGGTCCCATTCGCGCCGGCGGCAGTGTGGAGCCGTGTGATGTTGAGGATCGAGCTGATCTCTTTCACGCCTTGCCCCTCACTGCCGATGAGCCAGGCTCGCATTGACCTGAGCTCTAGCTCTGCTGTCGGCACGCCTTTGGTGCCGAGTTTGCTTTTGAGGCGTTGGATGCGCACACCGTTCATCTCCGTTGCTTGTGTGGACGTGGAATTTCCAGTTCGTCGACGGAGTGGAGCGCAAAAGGCACTCAGTCCTTTGCTTGTTTGCGCAAGTAGAACCGCCATATCAGCATCTGTAGCTGAGGAAAACCACTTGAAGCCATCAACAAGCCACGGCCCCAGAGGAAGACCGATGGCGTCTTGATCTCGTTCAGCTTTGACACCCGCTTGGAGTTCCGACTCTGTGAGTCGTCGGGCAACTGTTTCCGTGCCACGAACATCGCTGCCTCCACTTCTCTCAGTCATCCACTGGCCACTCGTCCAGGCGTAGCTTGGATCTAAAGATACAAGGCGGCGATAAGCCTCGAGGAAAACTCGCCCTCGGCCTGGCTGATCCCCATCGGGATCATCAAGGTGGCGTCGAAGGAGGACAGCTGCTCCATCGGTCATAGCCATGGGACATGTCGTCACAGCGGCAGTACCATGCCATAAGTGTAATGTTGCAAACTGATGCGCCCTTCGGTTGAATTTCTGCTGAACCCCCGACTGAGGGTAGCCGTACCCTACAACGCCAGCCTCGGTCTCGATTCGTTTCAGAACACGCCATCCTTCGCTAGTCCGAAGTGCAGAAACTTTGTTCTCCTCACCGAAGGTAGTCAGCGGGTGTAAAGTTGGGAGATCTATGTCACAGTCGACTGTATGTTGCAGGGTGGAAGGTGCGAGTACTAGTCTAGAGAAATTGTGTAGCTGAGAGCTGACGTGAGCTGGCAGTGGTTCAGGAAGGTAAATTGAAAGGATACGTGAAAATATTGGATCGTCTGAGAGACCATGATTCGCACGGGTGGCTTGAGAAGAAGTGTATTGGGCTGGCACCACTGGCAAGGCCTGGAAGAAGCCCGAAGTTGACGACGAGGCTTTGGGTCCTGACATGATGGGTGGCGAGGCTCTGCGGTGTCAGAAGAGATATTTCAGACGGAATTCGCCTTTTCTGTTTGAATTTCTTCATATACGATTCAAACTATCGGCACAATGGATCCACATTGGCAAATCCCCGCATCTTCTCCGGTTCGTCGCCGATGCCTTGCGGAGACCAGATGATGACAAAAGTGGTATGAGGTTCAGGTTTCAATCAACATCCATGTGAGATGGCGTTGTTGAGCCTCGGCTCAGACGCAGGAAAGGACTAACTAGTTATGAACTAGAGTCTTATCACGTGAGCGCGTGCAAAGCACTTTACGCGATCGCGTAATTCTAGAGCGAATTGCCCCTCTATTTTCACTCACCCAGCGGCGAGCGGCCTCTCACGGCCGCTTCATTCTCTATGCTCTTGCCACAACGCAACAACCCTCTATCCCAATGATTATTCTAACAACTTTAGCTCCGGTCGTGTCATCATGCCCCTAAATACACTGCGCCTCAATCACCAAAGATCGTCTCACCCCAATGAGCGCATTATCTTCATCAAGCCTCTGGAACGACCCGCTGCTAGCAAGGCCGAATACGACCTCGCTGACACGTTTCTTCGTGCGATTGCCGCGCAATGTCTACCGTTGATGAAGAAACACTACCTGTCTGTCACAACACTAGAGGAATATGAGCCGAACCGGGAGTTTATTGGCAGGAATTTCAACAATGGAGAAATCATTCAGCTCGTTCTTCGGAGTAAATCCGGTGGGTGGGTCCCATTCAATATGGTTCAAATGGTCATGATGCACGAATTGGCTCACAATTCACACATGAACCACGGAAAATTGTTTTGGCAAACAAGAAATCTCTACGCGGAGGAGATGAAAGCGCTGTGGTCTAAAGGCTACACTGGGGAGGGGTTTTGGGGTAGTGGTAGGACACTAAATGAGATGGGTGTTGTAATGGGCAACAACATACTCAGCAGTCAAGATCTCGAAGGTTTGCCACTTTGCGGTGGAACATATCGTAGCCGAAGAAGAAAGCGAAAGGCTCGGGGAGCACAAGACAAGCCTGAATTGACATGGAGGGAAAAACAAGACCGGCGAATCGAGCGCAAATTTGGCAAGAACGGTGTGACCCTCGGAGAAGACGAAGATCAACGCCTTGCCCTCGAGATCAACAAGAAAGGGCCAATTGGTGGGAAGCCTCGTGTCGCTCAGAGCAAGCGAGGCCGAGAGTTGAGAGCAGCAGCAGCATTGGCAAGATTCGCGGCCAATAGGGCTGGTGAAAATACTACCCCGAAGCGTGATGACCCCGATGACGAACTCGATGACCAATACGAAGAAGACACCGTGGATGCAGGACAAGAAGACGCCTTGGACCTGAACGGGGAAAAGCTACTTGACGGTAGGGGCCAGGGGATGGTCAGGGTCTGTGACGACGAGGATACGGACGATATCAACGTCAAGCAAGAAATGACCGAGCTCGAAAACTTACATCGTTATTTCAAACCAATTCAACAGCACACCAGCCACATGCACAGATCACCCGGGGACCGGGATTCAGAGCCAGACCACGACGCAGATGGTGATGGCTATGATGGTGATTGCGATAAAGATCCACGAAACACAATTGGTGAAATCGCAATGTCTGACACATTTGCCGCAGAGGACACCCAACAACAGAGACACGCTCAAGACCCATTATTGTTGTCAGCTTCGTCCATAAGGGTATCAGGTCGCCAGCCGGTCACCAGTGCAGCCCAGGCCCCGTGTAATCAGACTCAGCCCCCATACAGGACAGCGCCCACTTCTCCACCGAGAAAAAGCTTCTTGGTTAAGCCTGCGGTTCCTCGTCGATTCTCATCATCGGCCGTGGCTTCAAAAGAGACAGAAGAATGGCCAAAGACAGCCATCAACTCAGACCATTCTCCTTCCCATTCTCCTTCCACTCCACCCCCGGGAAGGGTAAATAACAGCCACGGGACGAAGGCTTCCGCGCCCTCCTCTTCATCCCCGATCATCTGTCCAATCTGTTCACTGGAAAACCCGCGCATGAACTCCACCTGTTTGGCGTGCTCCCATGTCATCGACCCCGCTAAAGACCCACGGCACTGGTCGTGTAAGAGCGAGGTGTGCAGAGATGGGCCGACGGCGGGATACCTGAATTCAGGGGACACGGGCATCTGTGGTGTCTGCGGTACTAGGAGAATGAGCTAGTACCGCGTACACAAGGCACTCCGGATGCCTTATTTACAAAAGTGAAGGAAAAATTCTTTGTTAGCGGGAGGCCCCTATTCGTAGTGTAAAACCCGGTCTTGGGTGCGCAAGGGCAAGGCTACGGCCAAGGCCAATTGTGAAACAGTGATACTAATGATAGTGCTAGCTAGAGAGTTATATGTTGGCTGTGGAGGTAGAGCACCTAATAAGAATGAAAGGCTTCAAACGTTGTTTCCCACTGTTTCAAAATGACATGTCTCATTTCCCCGGTCGTGGAGACGCGTGAAAAAGGGCGTGTGGGTATCAATTCATATCAGGCCCCATTTCGGGGGCGGAACTTATAATCTTCATAAGCCATGTATATGGACATCCAACCCGACTCGCTCGCTAAAACGCAGGGAGCAAAAGAACCTCAGCACGCCCAAGGAGGGTATCATATTGATTGAAAGCCCCTGTCTCCCAGCTTATAGTACAGTATGAATGCATTTCCTTGGTCTCTCGGATAACAGCGCGCGAGTGGGGACATAGACCAACCCAATCAGGCACAGCAATCAATAAGCACCCAGACTGCTACACACGCCCTCATGCGCCCTCCAGCACTCGAGCAGGCCACAGACCCTCTCGCCACAGCCGGCACGCTTACACCGCACCTTGCCCCAATAACCACAGATGGCGCAGAAGTGGCGGGCCGGCTTTGCGAGCAGCAGGTTGCTCCCGCCTTCGACGCTCGGTGCCTGGGCGAGCGGTTTCGCACGCGCCGCCGTGTAGCTGAGCGGCGGCTCGGCAAGCAGCGCCGCCATCAGCCGGTCGGAGGGCTTTTTCGGGAGGGACAGTGTTTTGAGTAGTGGGTCGTGGTCGTGGACTGGGTCGTACGTTTCCGGGTTCGGTGCTGGAGTGTTGTCGGTCAGGTTGGGGCCAGTAGCGGCGACGGGCAGGGACTGTTTCGACTGTGGTGATTTTTGAGCTGGTGCTGGAGTCGTAGGTGATTTGCTGGCGGGTTGTCCTAATCCTGGTCCTGTCACTGTTGTTGGTGGTGGTGGTGGTGATGATGTAGCTGGACCGTCGTTCATCTTTACGTCTTCTCCGGCATCTGACTTCTCCTTCTTTATCGGTGTCGCAGGCCTTCGTGAAGATACAGTTTGCCTTGACGACCCCGATCGTTTCGATGGTGGTAGTGAAGCCGCAGCTGTCGATTTTTTCTGTGCGGCCGTTGATGATGTATTGGCCACGCTCTTTCTCTTTGAATCTGCCCGTCCACCCGAAGGCTGTCCACCGTGAATAGTAGCAGCAGCAGCAGCAGCAGCAGCGGGATTCACCGCAACGACCCCAGCGCTCCCATATGGGTTCGTGCCAGCCTCTTCATCAGCGAGGTAATGTTGAAATGTTCTGCTGTAGCCGAGAATCCTTCGGACATTCTGGGTGGTCTTCCGCTCTTTTCCTGCCTTCCTGCCTTCTCTCTTCGGGATCGGTATGTGCACGTCTCTGTGATTTTCCTTGCCCAGATCATTCAAGCGCTGTTGGATCGCTTTCTCTTGTTTCGCAGAGAGTCTATTGGCAGCTTGTGCGGTCACCGTGGCACCGCCGTCTCGCCCACGTTTGCGCGATTTGAAAGGGCCGGATGAGGGTTGGCCACCGCTGGCATTGTCGGTCACATAGGTCCAGCCATGAGAAGGCCGTGTCGTCGAATTGTTGACTGGGAGCTCTTCTATCAGAGGCATATCGGTCTGCAACTGTTGTTGGTAGCCGACGAACCAGAGGTCTGTGACTCTGGGGAAGGCGAATTTACAACAATATGGGCATGCGACAAAATTGGAGAAATCATACCCGGCGAAACCTCGGCTACGGCAGCTGACATGAAATATCATTCCCCGGATTATGCCCCTTCAACAACGATCAACTAGAGTCGAGTGAGTACGATAGTTTTGCGAGAGGATCGAGCACTGAAGTATCCAATCTATACACTAGAGCACCCCGCCTTGCAGAAATGCAGAAAGTGATACCACTCGTTGCGCTTCCAAACCAACATCCCTGACTAACAGAAAACCCACTTCTTCCAATGTCTGACTCGTCCACAGCCATATGTCGTAACTGGTCAGTCTGAGTCGCGATGTACATATGCTCAAAGCGGACGTGCTTTCGGACGAGTGCTCTCTCTCTCACGCGCCCTCTCTGTGTGATGCAACGGGTGAAACCGATAGCTCCGGATCGTGATTGCAGTATTTGAAATCAAGTCCACGCTCCACCTTTGTCCAACAAAGATCACAGGCATAATAAAATAGTCAGATTTCCCCAAGTCCTCTCGTCAAAAGAGGCACGAAAAGGCCTTCCCGCTCAGGTGGGGGATCTCTTCAAACGCCACGGTGGGAGCTGTGTCTTAGGGTAACGGAGAAGCTTCTTCCATGCTGGGCATTGTTGTATTTTTGAGAAAGGGAGTCGCGGGCCTAAGTCCCTAAGGAGAGATCAACACAAAGACTTGGACTGCTTAAGGTAGATAGATAGATACCTACCTAGGGTACATATCGAAAGACTTGTACTTCTTGGCGGCCAAGGGCAAGGCTATGGCGGTTAGCCTTGGCTGCCGGTCCATGTCACGCGACAGAGCTCTGAGCACCTATTTACTGTCAACGAGATGTATGATAGCATGTGGGAAATAGAAAAATGATCATGAGGCGTCTAAATTGGTGTGAGGTCCTTGAAAGACCGACCCTGGAATATGTCTGATGGTTAAATGTTCTCCTAGAGGCCGTCGACAAACTTGATACGCGAAATCCAATGAAAACACGCGACGAATAAGGGAGCGATCGGTGTCGATGAAAGGAAATTTTTGTTTTACAACGCTCAAGCATGGAGGCGGGATATCTGAGGTATGTGCGATTCCAGCAAAAACCGGTGCAGTTCGTCCAAGCGAAACTCGAAATCCTTCAACTGATCCGTTTTTCTTTACTTCCCAACATAGCTTCCCAACCTGTCTTATTTCTGTTGCTGTTCGACTCTGTTCTCCAATTCTGAGACGTATGAGTGAAGTCGCTGGATGGCCGCTTGGAGTGCCTACAGACCGTGTTAGTTCTCAAGACCCCAAATAAAGAAGCGCAGGATCATGACTGTCATCGTCATTGTCGCAGCGCGTTCCTCCCATCTCTTGTCTATAGGCAGCTCTGCCAACTTCGCGGAGGGTTCGGAAAGAATGACAGGGTTCCGCATACATAGATATCTTCTGTCAAGAGCTCATTGGAGACCTTGTATTCCTCGAGAATGTAGTAGTAGACTGAAGCGCCTGCAAGGGTGGTCCCGAGTAGAAATCCAAACAGTCTAGACATCCCATCCGTTAGCAATCTTATGCAAGCCAACCCGCAGGAGCGTCTCTTGCACACGAGCTCGGGTTACTCGGATTGCTCGGTTCAGTCTCCCATGCACGTTGAAAGGGGAGCTCACCCTCCTCTGAAAGCTCCCACAGGCTTTTTCACCGGTGGCGCAACAACAGCTTCCTGCAATCGTCTGCTTGATGTCTGGAATGATCTCGATAGTAAGGGATTAGAAGCTCTGAGGGGTACGACGGCGGAGGGAAATCGTGCGAAGAGGCGTGACGCCATAGCTATAATCGCTTGGTGAAGCTCTGGGATGAGGGAGGTGCAGTAGAGGGGAGTTAGGCAAAGGTCAGATGCTTGAGCAGGACTCGAGTGAGATCAAGGAAGGAATGCTTCGAGAAGAGTTGGGATTATGCAGGGTGATATCGGACTGCGGTTTTGCAAAGTGGAAACAACCCAAGCTTGCTGCAGTCGGTAGTACCTCGTGCGTCGCTCTTTCCGCGAAATATCTCCACGCTCCTTCTCTTCGGAGCCAGAATGCGGATGCGGAAGCTGGGGGTCTTGGCATGTGGCGGTGCAGCCCCTTCCTCCTGTGCATGCGCCCCATTCTTCACTCTCTTCCGATTCATTCTCGATATCACTCGGCTATGGGCGGGCGACTTGAGGTTGGACATGAATGCTGGAATGGAACACCGTCGGCACCAAATCGGCAATTCAAGTGTGGGTATCAGGGTCTATCTCAATTCTCATGCAAACTCGCTACGTCCTTGGCTGGAACTCTCTCGGTGCACCTTGTAAACCTAGATGGCCATCCAAGCTCTTCACCTCGACGACAGCTCTATATCATACCATTGTTCATCGTCGTGGGCATCGCTACGTTCGTGTTTTCATGCGTTCATGCGTTCAGGCGTCTGTCGTAACCGCTCATACACGCTCAAGAAGCAACTTTATATGCCCCGCCGTTTCCAACTACCAATGCACCATCTTTGACCATGCTAGCTAAGAACTCCTTCAATTCCTCATTACTGAAAGGAAACCCCCCTGGGACCACAATGCCCAGCATCATGGCAATACGAGGCAGCGGCATGGCACCCTGGTTCGTCAACATGCTGAGTATGAATTGATGGTACATAGCCATGTTCTGCTTTCTCTCCGCTTCTTCTGCTTCCTTCGCTGCTTGTTGTGCTGCAACTTCTGCCGCTGCTGCCGCGGCCGCTGTATCGCTTCGTCCGACGTCTTCGTCCATGTTGGCATCGCCTCCATCTGGTAGCTTTTCACACACCAAAAACACGTCCTTGCTGGTTTCGGCCAAGATACGTTTGGATACCCAAAAGATACATGCTGACCTGACGAGTGTTGGCGACATGTCTAAATCTAATGCCACTGTGGCAACTTCCTTCGACACCGGATCTCCGGATTCGCCTTGGAAAGCATAGATGACAACTGCCTGCCATGGAAGCACTTCTCCTTGGTAAACTCGATCCTCTAGTTCCAACTCGACCTCGACTTGACCAGTGCCGTTAAGCCAGGTCAGCTTTCGTGACTGTTTGAGCGATTCAAATCCCTTTTCGTAATTCTCTTGTTGGTCGAGCACAACTTGTGGGACATTGAATGTTTGATCTGGGAACGAAGGCCAAAAGAGTCTGGAAAGAATCTTGGCATGTAACTGAACCTCGTCATGTAGGGGCTGGCCATTCTCGTCTTGCATTCCTTGATCTCGTCTGACAACATTATCGACCTTTCTTGAATCCTGAACATCACGAAGCATAACCTCACAAGCTTGCAGAGCACTTTCACCAAAGCGAATTTTCAAGTGCTCAAGCACACTTATCTCTTGGTTGAAATCTTGCTTGTTCTTCAGCAAGCGTTCTGCAAGGACAGCCTGGAGTTCTTTGACAACAACGTCTCTCGAGTCAAACAAACTAATGAGGCTGCCAATGACGTCGGTGTTGCTCGACTTCGTGTAGTCATTGGCCGCATCGATTGGGGGCGGTACCCATTTCATATTATCATAGTCTTCGCCGTCGTCAGCACCATTGCGCGAGTTATCCCATTTAGGCAGCTCCACAGCCAGCTCGGTGAGTGTATCAGGGTCGTATGCCGTGTCCTCGTCATTGTCACCAGTCGTATCACTCAAGAGACCAGTTACGATCACTTTCACCGTATCATCTCGATCTCTCAGATACCGACGTACTTTTCTGGCCACTCGATCAAGCAGCACACCTTTCGGGTCTAGGGATCGAAAGGACCGGATAATCGCAATGTACACCTGGAGTATCTCGATCGTAGAAGCACCGGGATGCAACAGGCGTGCTTGGAGGGCGTCTGCAAAGTTGTGTGTGAGATAGCTTCTTGTAGCAGGGTTACGCGCAAAATGCCGAAGATCATCCATTGCAGTCGCAGTAGAGTCCCAATCTACAACGATGTCGAAAAGTTCGTCGGTTCGTAACGCCCCCAGACGCGTAGTGACAGTATCTACCCATTTCCGATACTCTGTCTCAGCATCGTCAGAATCTAGAGTACGGGCTCCGATTCTCAATAGAACTTCATTGACAACCCTGCAGAAGATGAAGCGGACCCAAAACTTCAGATGCATAAAGATACCCGGCCGATAGACACGAGCATACGACCAGGTGACGAAGTCTGTCAGCAAATCATCAACCACCTGCGCAAGCAACCTGTTGAGCACCTCGGTCCCAACAGTAGCTTTCCACTGTTCTAACAGGACCCAAAGAGGCGACTGCATGTCCCTAGCAACCTGCGCTGCGTGGTCGATCTTCGACGGCTCTCGAAGTTTGTTGAGAGGTTCACATGAAGCCAAATGGGGTGTAAATCGGCACATTGGGTCTGGTCCGGATACTGGTACCTCACTTCCATAGCGGTAGTCCTCATCACCCACACCGAACAGTAATCTGAGATGCGTATGGAATTGTGATCGGATTTCTGAGATTGAGGACGTTACGGCTTGTCTAAAGCGTTGCTTTTGTGCAGGTGGGTTTACAGTGGATGAGGTAAAGACAGAGGCGAAGGCCCCACCCCGAATTGATGGTGTCGTGGGAGACTGCGCGGTCAACATGATGACCCCTACACCTTGGGCCGCATCACATGCAGGGTGAAAATATTCGTCGCGCTGAAAGTATTAGGTTCAGAGTTAGTACGACAATGGTTTGAATGTGAACGTGGTGGATGAAGTGAAGCCCCGACAAACCCTAGTCCCGATAGGGAGGTGAAGCAACAAGACGCGCCAAGGCTGGACATCGGGCATTGGCCCCAATCCTAATTCGGCGTTATCCCTATGATGTTCTTTGCCCTGTTACAGTAGCCTAGAGGTTGGCGCCAAGACTCAACTAGCGTATGCTAGCACGACTAGCACGTGACGCACTAGCAATTATAGATGCTAAACTCTGTGGCGCTGAATGCCCTGTCTTGGACCATGAAAACGCCAGTGTATCAGCATTTGGAATGCTTTAAAAGCATGGAAAAAGAGCTCCTGGAGGTCAAATGCCTAGGAAATGTCTATATGAAATAGAACACAGTCCATAGAGTTGAAGAGGAACAGACATCTCATACACCTGCGAAACGTCGTCCAAAAGGAGCCTAGTCCAAACCTCCAACACCAGAGGATCCAATTTTTATTAGTACACCAAGTTTTGCGTGCGGATATCGTTTCAACCGAACAGCTAGCCAGCAACTTCTCCGGCGACTTCTTTCAGGACGGAATGGATATAGTGTTGAATAGAGTGAACCGATAGGCAGGAAGGTGGCTATTGGCCTAAAACACCCCAGCAAACCCGTAATTAAACACAGGCATTCGAGGTAGTACCCGCAAGTAGGCCCTGGCTCATACCCCCGAGTGAGATCACGCAACAATCCTGGCAGGCTATAATTCATGTTTATATGTACCCTGTGTACAATCCATCACCAACCATTTAAACTAGGGCTGAATCCCAATTTCGCCATTAGTAGTGCGATTCTCTTTTTTTCGAATCTAATTACTACCTTTAGATGTAAATGTGACGCCGGAATTCCTTGAGCGATCCTAATACTATCGTATAGCCAGAATGGGTACGTTTGAGGATGTATTTCCGCTGATTGTCCATCATTTCGATGGGCCTAGGCGCGCCGAAAGCTCATTCATCATTACAATACCAAGAATCGCACGAACCTGGGGCCGTGTCAAAAGTTGAAAGCGGTTTATTCTGAGTTTTGCTGACGTTGAGATCCCAAAAGCTTATTGAATCTGATTTCACAATCGCCATGTGCATTGTGAATCTCGAAGCGGTTCGTCCCACTTCGCATGGTCCTGGCTTTAAGGAGCCCACCAATCAATACCGGGGTCTTCCTCCACTGCACCCGGGCAGAGTCCATGCTCTACACCAGTTAATTTGAAGTAGCAATAGCGTCCATTCTTTTAGGAGAATGCAGAGAAAACAAACTGCATCCGTCCAGTTTTGTTTCCCTTGTGAGCAAGGTTGCAAGATGTTCTCCAGCTTTCAATAACGCTTCCTTAGGCATCATTGGATCCTTCGGCATGATATTTCCTTCCACCGCGGTAAATGCCAATTTTCCACGCTGGGGACGACTGAGATAGTGTGTGTCATGGTGAATATCAAGGAGCAGTCCTCCGAGCAAGGCCTGTCACGGGCTCTAGTCACCTCTGTGTGCTTCTTGACTGAGGCTCAATCCACTGCACCACGAATCCGCTGACCACCAGTCGAAGGGATCTTGTTCTTCTAACTTGAGCTGAAGCCTGCCATTAGAGGCAACGTTTGATCGAGTTTTGAGAAGACTCGTTGTCCATTCATGCCACAATCGCTTGCTTACGTCCGTGAGTCGTGATCCGTCACTACGCTTTGCCAGCACATCCCAGCGAATGCTACCGCAGCGTTGTGTTTCTTCTCTTCCAGGCAGACACTTATCACCAGAGCCAGTGCAGAGAAGGCATCAATACGCAGAATATCTGATTCCCGGGTAGATGCAACTTCTGGATAGCAATGGTAATGAAATTGGCAGCAATACTTGCGATTTTCACGTCTTAGCTATTCCCTTGCATCCTTGAGCATTGGCTAAAATGGTTCGCAGTGCTGGTAGTCAACAGGTGGAGCCCCGATGTCTCGCAGTCCTTTGTTATTTGATGGGTTTCCTGCCTTTTGACAGATTTCCGATTTTGGCTGCTAGCTTGAGCGATAATGCATCGTTCCAGAAATACTGCTCGCAGAGTTTGACATTTTTTTGCCAGTCTGGAAGCATCGTTTGAGCATTCAATAACGACATGCCGAGGATAGAAGCTTGGGTGCCCAGATCATACGTTGCCACGAGTGTCGTTCCAATCCAGACCGCATGATTTCGATTTTTATCTGCCAGTTCAATATGCCCATTGTTGAGATGTCGACAGCGTATCTGCAAATATGCATTTGTCATCCAGAACATTGCTCGAGTCGCATCGAGACTATAACAGAATCCCATCAGTGCGAGGACAACGAGTTGCTCAATGAGTGAGACATTTGGCCGGTGCAGGAATTCTCCGCATAATGTGACATGGCGAGAGTTAGCCGACATCCTGTGCAGACTGTATATGTCAACTTCTTTGAAAGCCTTGCTCATATTATGACTCCAGTTGGTGATACGTCCAACAAGTAATATAATCTGATAACTCAATAATCCCGCCAATGACATCTCGGACAGACCTGTTGGCAGCCTCGCAACTGCCTCACATAATGACGGATCGAACGGGTGAACGGGGTAGGTAAGCTGGCCGTTCTTGGGAAAGAGTTCTTCATCGTCTAGAATTCTGGAATGACGGGCGTTGTAGAAGGTTTGCCAGCTATGATGCAGAAAAGACGCCCTCATGTTTAGTCACCCGCAACCGGTAGCCACAACCAGATTTTATCACTCACGCAATTGCAATTGTTTTCAAATATCCATCAAATCCTTTCTCAAAATCAGAAATTCGAACTTCGAGATAGGTCTCAGCTAAACAACTTTACCTAGACAGTCAACACCTCCGCGTAACGCAACAACCTGTTTGATGCCTTGTGTATGCATATCTAGGCCTTCGTAGTTCCCTGACATTGCCTAACCGAGAGCAATTATTCAGTTAAGTTCCTCCGCGACATAGATCACGGGAAATGCGACTCACCTCAAATCCGCACAAGCTGCTCAAGGTGATGATGACTGCATCACTAGGATGGTCTCCTTCCGTCGCCAGTCTTTGCCTCAATAAGGAGAGAGCGAACTGATAATACTTCAAAGTCTCAGGGCTCCGTTCACGATTTCCGGAGGCTGCAATGTTGGCAGCCGTGGACGACATGGCAATCATGGCACAGAAGATCATCTTGTCGCTGAGTACATATGGGATGTAGTCTTTCAGGAGACTCAAGTCCTGTCCAATCCCGAAGTAAGAGGGCCTTTGGGTAGCCATGGGAGAATAATACTTCACGTCTGATGATCCCGCCGGAATTGCGTCAGCACTGGCCTTCCAAGGGGGCCTGAGACCTCACAAAATTGAGTTGCCCGTTGCACAAAACCGCTCCCTGCCATAGGATAGCCAGTATGCCAGATCGAATGTGAGGATGGGTCACCATAATCAGGAGTAACATTGTGCCTTCGAGGTCGATACTCCCCTCGACTCTGCTGAGTTTGCGGAAAAGGTCGGAAGGTATCAGAAGCAGCATCTCCATCCTGCTCTTCTTCTTCAGCCGGTTGGTGGGAAGAAGGGGTTAGACTGTTTAACCTGAGGGTGAGAGGAGTGCCTGCGTCGTCCCCTTCAATCGTCATTCCGGTTTCAAGACCTGAGCTGGCCTCCGATAGGGAGTCTGGAGCCTCATTGAAAAATTCATACAGATTTGAAGAGGGAAGATAAGTCTCGAGGACGAGGTGGCTTAGTAAATACTTGACGAAATGCACCCGTGCTAAAGAGACTAACTTGTTCCTGGGCAGTGGGGTCGGCCATCACATACAGAGTAATAAGTGCTCGATGCAGCCAGATCAGCACGAATGATCCAGCTTCCTGCATGGATCCACACTGGATTGTACCCATTCGCAGCGCTAGGGGAGTCCTTAGGGCTGGGTTTGCATAGGGCAGGAATCCTAGGATCATTTGGCCCCGTAGGAGTGAGTACGGAGTACTGGGCAATCATGCGGGAATTTTGTTCGACCTGCCAATTACGGGTTCGAGCGAATGGTGCTTGGTTCGAAATGGCTGATGCAAGTGTTAGTCAGACTGCGGGAAGGCCGAGCCAGGTGTTGCTTTCAGAAGAAAGAAATAGGTCTGTGGAATATGAGTCGTTGGAACCTCTCTGGTCTTATGGTTCAAATATTCTCTGATGGAAGTCCTGCATATGCATGCGACAAGGCAGGTCGAGTTTGACTATTGTTCGACCTAAGCGGGATTTCTATCTCAACAAGCATGGAGACTGGTTCAGTGGCTCTATCACATCCCGAAATTGCACATCAGCAGCCTTTGGCGAGGGCTGAGGGCCAAAGGGCCAGAGGGGCAAGGCGGTGGGTTCCTCGGCGCCGAGGAATGATTGACCTGGAACCCTACGTCGGTAGCTGAGAACATTTTCAAACACATCCTAGAGGTGTGTCTCGTTTTGTTAGGGGGTCCGATCTCGCGTATGGTACTTGTCTCGACCACCACGTGACTCCGGCTAAGGCGTCCCCCCTCCTCGGGCAGCCTTGGCTGGCCGTTTTTCACTTCCCTCTTCCGCATTTCTTTAGGTAGATGTCATCAAGCAAGGGAGTCAAGCAAATGATAAAACCTGTTCAATTTCGACGATCCATCTCATGAGGACAATCATACCCTAGCAACTGTTGAGTCTCTTGCACTCCACACTGTCTGGCTTAGTTCGGTGTCACGCCGAAGTCCCGTCAGCGAAACTTGCCATTATGGCTTCAGGAGAGTACACAAGTCAAGATGACTTTAAATTCTCATATGACTCTCTTCATTTGGCTTTCGCTACCGGTCAAACCAAGTCGATCAAGTGGCGGAAATGGCAACTCAAGCAGCTTTGGTGGATGATCGTCGAAAACGAGGATCGCATCATCAAGACTCTGCAGCAGGAGATGAACCGCCCGGCCTTCGAGACGGTTGCCATGGAGCTGTTTAGCATCAAAGCTGACATCGTGCAATTCCTGGAGCGCGTTGACGAATGGGCAGAGGGCGAGAAGCCTGACGCGGGCTTTTTCATGGGGACTTTGGCCAAGGCTTGGATGAGAAAGGAACCACTGGGTGTTGCCTTGATTATCGCTGCTTGGAATTTCCCTTGGTACACGCTCTTGAGCCCTGCTATCGCTGCTATCGGTGCAGGTGAGTCAACTCCAGACTGTTGTATCCCGTCCGGCGAGGTCCTGTTGTCTATACCCATGGACCCGGGAATCCACACTAAAGCCTCTCAGGTAACGCCGTCATGCTCAAGCCATCTGAAGTTACATCGGCCTCTCAAGCATTGCTTGTTGAACTGGTGCCCAGATATCTAGATCAGAATGCCATTCGCGTTGTGACTGGAGGACCGGCCGAGACGGGCCATATCCTCAAGCATAAATTCAATCATATCTTCTACACTGGAGGCAGCAAAGTCGGGCGGATCATTGCAGAAGCCGCCGCCAAACATCTCACCCCGGTCGTGCTCGAACTTGGCGGACAAGCACCCGTCATAGTCACCAAGTCAGCCAATATCGATGTCGCCGCAAAGAGAGTTGCCCATGCCAAACTCACCAACAGTGGACAAGTCTGCCTCAACGCCAACCACATCTTCGCCGACCCTGCCATCCACGACCAGTTCCTGGAACGCCTACGATACTGGTTCGACAAATTCCTCGAGAAAGGAGATTCAGCGGAACTGTCATCCATCATCAACGAACGTCACTTCGATCGAGTTGCCGGCCTGCTGAAGTCGACCTCGGGCGTTGTCGTGTACGGCGGCAACACCGATCGATCGAAGCGATACGTCCAACCCACAGTGGTGCGCGATCTCACGATGGACGATTCCCTACTGTCTGAAGAGCTGTTCGCGCCCATCGCGCCCATCGTAGTCGCCGACGTCGACCGTGCCATTCGGATCATCAACTCGATGCCCCACCCCTTGGGACTGTACATCTTCTCCGGCGACCAAGCGGAGATCAAGCACGTGCTCGACAACACGAGTTCCGGGGGCGTCACCATCAACGACCTCATGCTGCACGCCGGCGTTCCCAACGCTCCGTTCGGCGGTGTGGGCGAGAGCGGCTACGGCGCCTACCATGGTAAACACGGATTCGATGCATTTTCACACACCCGCACCATCGTCGCACCACCCAATTGGATGGAGACCGTCCTCAGCTTCCGCTACCGGCCTTTCGACCTCAAGAATCTGAAGTACATCGGAGTTTCTGACAAGATAATCGGGAAGCCGGGTCAGACCCTCGAGGACCAAACTGTGGGCCGTCCGACTGGGCTGGGAAAGATCGTGAAGACCGCCGTCTTGGCCGTCGCCGTCCTGGCCGCCGCTGATGGTGCCTCGGGCGGGAAACTCCTTTTCGTCCACACTCTCAGGGACGTCTTTCACAGAGTTTGGCCTCGGCCCTGAGAGCCTGCTTTTGGTTCCTTTGCTAGGAATATGGCACGTATTAAAGCGTGAAGGGTTTTGCTTCGTTTTCGTTGGATTTGAAGGGGAACCAATTTGTATCTGACTGAGGAATTTGAATTTGATGAGCCGGGATTTAGCCGGGAATGTGACTACATACTAGATTACTACATCTAATAGTACTCTTGAGAGAATGAATACCTTTGACGCCGGATCTTGTTGCCTTTTACAGCGACTCTCGAAGCATTCGAAGAACTTCAGAGATAAGCCGGTAAAATTTCAAAACACCCCACACGCCCTATCTATCCGTGGGGGCGGGAGGGCAATGAACAAAAATGCTACTGCCCACCCCGTCAACGTCACACGTCTCATACGACAATGTGTACGAGCCATCTGAAGACTCATACCTATTCCTGGACACGCTCTCATCAGGCTCAGAGACACAATGGCTACAGTCTCGGTTCTCCGCGGGATCGCAGCGCCGCCACCACGCACAGCAGCATCATCACGGCCACCAGCGTCAAAATGGCAATCGCGTGCCCCTACTAGTCGAGCTGGGGCCGGGGTCAGGCGTGATCGTCGCATTTCTAACGGCGCACGCGCGCGAGGTCTTTGGGTCGGATGTGCTTAGTCTGTCGATCGACGTCAATTGGCATGCGTGTCAGGCGACGAGGACGACGGTCGAGCTGGCGATCGCCGAGGGGAGGGGCAAGGGCGTGGCAGAGTCTGCTGCGTCTGCTGCTGTCTCTTCCTCTCCATCTCAGCAAGGTCCCAACAGCGCGACAACCAGCAAAGCCAGCCCGGCGGAAGGGGCAGCGACGGCGACGATGACAACGAGCAGCAGCAGCAGCAGCAGCACATACCTGACCTCCATGCGGGGCGATCTGAGCAGCGCGCTGAAACCGCACTCCGTGGACGTCATGGTCTTCAACCCGCCGTACGTGCCGACCGAGAGCGTACCGTCGCTTTCCCCCGCGACGGAACCGGCAATCAAACCGACGTTCGAAGAATCATCGCACCTGCTCGCTCAGTCGTACGCCGGCGGCCTCGACGGCATGGAAGTAACGGAGCGGATGCTATCGCAGCTGCCGGAGGCACTGAGTGCACGCGGCGTCGCGTATGTGCTGTTCTGTCGCGGCAATCGGCCGGAGGAGGTCAAGCGGCGGATCCGTTCCTGGGAGACGAGCGAGCTGGAGGGGGGCGATAATGGTGAGGAAGTGGAGGGAGGCGGAGGCGGAGATGGAGATGGAGATGGAGATGGAGGAGGTCGGACGAGAGAACGGATGCAGGAGAAGAAGCAGTGGCAGTGGCATGCTGAGACGGTCGGTGAGAGTGGGAAGACAGCCGGCTGGGAGAAGCTGGAGATTGTGCGGATCTGGAGGGAATGAGTGATTTACTGACTGAGCTCCGTAGTACTGTCATCAATCGAGGTTTGAGGCGCAGGAAAGAAGGGAACAAAAAGGAGGGTGTGCTCAAACTGGGCGGGCTTTGGATTCTACGAGCCTTTAGGTGGGCTTCTTTCTACTATACGGTCTCTGGGAGTTCTCCCCTAAAGAGTCCGCTTGCGTCCGCTCTTCTTCCATGCTGTGACAGCCTGCCAGGTCCGCATTTCCAAACCAATCCGAGATACCAAACCAGGGGTGCTCTCTAAACAGACGCCCGCGCCCATTCTCCTCAGCACCGCTGATTTGTTACAGGCAGCATTTCAAAACTCGATATCGACCTATCTAACACGTCTTTTTTTTTTGATGAAGAAAACCAATCAAGCCTTCGAACCACGACCGGAACTCTCAGATCGGGTCCTAGAGGATAGCGACTCAATTTCAATAGCCCAAACCATACCCCCTCACCCTCGAGAAGAAGAAGGGCTTATCATTCTTGAGCTGGAACTCAGCCCAATCACTAGTAAGAACGTTGAAGCTCCAGAAGCCTTTCCACTGCAGCTTGTTGTTCTTGGTCATGTGCTTGGATCGCGCCGACCCGGCCGATTTGAGGGACAGGTGCATCGTGTACATGTACCGTGGGCCGGCGCCCTCGGTCTCGATATGTAGGTCGCCTGGTGAGATTGGTGGTGTCGGGCTAGAGGTTTGGTTTGTGGCTGTTGTGGTAGTGGCTTGATTAATGTCGACGTTGATGTTGTTGTTGGTTGCAGCGGCGGTATCTGTTGTCTCTACCACGGGTGTGTCCAGGCTAGGGTGGCAGAGTCGCCAGCGGCCTCGGAGGGCGTGTTTCATGATTTGCTGTGCGGAAGGAGGTGGAGCAACAGAATTATTGACGGACTGAGATGCCGGGGTCGACGGATGACCTGACTCTCGGAGCAGGGCTGGAGCACTGGAGGTGAAATTCAACGGATGGGAGGACGGCGCGTCTTTCTTGCCCCCTGAGCGGACAAATGCCAGGTTTTCCTTGGTCAGATGATGGACAACCTCGATAGGCTCATTGGTGGTCAGAAGCGAGATGCAAGTGCCGTCGCGGAAGAATCGGAGATAGCGGTAGTAGGTGATGATGTGGATCGGATTACTCCAGGTGTTGGCCGTTGCTGACGAGGTTCCCGCCCTGGTATAATTGACGGTCGAGATGTAAACACCGGTATAGCGGATACGGGGGTAGGTGTGGAAAATGTCCTGCCAAATCGCCTCCTTGGGGAAATACACGTCTGTAACAAGGGAAGAGGAAGGGTCCCCGTCTTCTTGGCCACGGTGATCCTCTTCCAACACGCGATACACGGCTTCTCGACCTTGAAGGTCCGTGACGAAATTATACCTCTGCCCAGCCAAGCCAAACTCTGCGCCGAGCGCGACTCGTTTCCAGATCGCGTTGTCTTTGTAAACATGATACGCCATCCTTTTGCACACACGGGACAAACGCATGAGCATTGCGGGATCACGGATCCCCACCACCTGGAGCAATTCGAGGAGGACTTCGGTCGGCAGGTCCTTGATCCCACAATGTGGAGGAGCATCCCCATCTATTAGCGGTGGCACACCGAGGATTTCGGCGTCCGCAAAGGTCTCGATCAATTGAGACATGGTCAAAGGCGCTGTCGGTTCTTCAGATGAATGGTGGCTTGTCGACGGGACTGTTGCAGAAGCATTGGAGGGATTCGGGTCGGTGGGTTTCGACCTGGCCGGGAAGTGCTTATTCTTGTATGTTTGATCGACCTTTGCGTCGAGTCTGTAGGCCTTCCGGTAGTGAGACAGGCTGTCACCCAGATTCCCCTGGCTCTCTTTTTCCACGGCACGCTCGAAGTGTTCCAGGGCGCTTTTGGGCTCCTTTGACGATCCTCTGACTGTAAAGTCGTCGTCGTCGATGTGTCGCATATTGAGTCCCTCAATTCTCTGGATCATGCTAGGGCTGCTGGTATCTTTGGGGCAAGCATCGCTGTAATGATCAGAATCGTCCTTGATGTCGGCCGCTGGGTGGCGAGTGGGTGGTTTGTGAATCGGTCTCTCCACTGGCCTAAGTACATCACTGGGTCTTCGAGCCTTGTCGATTGATCGAGGCTCTGATGCTCCTTTGTCCGACTGCTTTGATCGCGCGCTCACCTCCTCCTTCCATTGTCGTCGAAATCGTTCAAGGGCTGCTGATGAGTCATCCATATTGGATGTAGATTATGCTGGGGTTTTCGGTAGACAGATACGGGTGGAACCAGCTTTATCAGTCCCAAAGGCAAAGACTCAACGGCATCGACCACGTACTAGTATCGACAAAAGAGGATGGATTGAGCTCAGCTGCTCAAGATTCAACGCCTTGGTGGTTAAGGATGCAGGGAGGATAGAGATGTTGATGTAGTTTGAAATATCGTAATGACGAATGACGAGGTCGAGAAAGGCGGATCTTAGCGACGATCTCCGACGACGATCTGCTTTTGGCATGTCACAAGTTCAAATGACATGTCAGACAGACAAGGCTCCGGCATCTGGTTATTGACGGCCTCGCCTCGACGGCCGTATTACTTTCACCTGTGGCTTGAAGATATCTGCATGAAGAGACACAATATACTGGATTGTAATGGTGGCCACTCATCACACATTTTATGATCTCAGGCACAATATATACATTTTTCTAGTATGCTAGATACCATTTCTCATCATGGATGTAAGGCCGACCAGGTCTCGTCGACTTGTTCATGCTCTCCTGAATCCCACTCCCGCATGAGATCGCTCACTGTCCTGGTCAGTTTGCTGGGGGTCAGTTTTTGAATCTCGGGCCGCGGCAAGCTTTCATTTGAACCCTTCTTTCCGCTTTCTGGAATGTGCTCCCGTGTGCTCTCGGGGGAGTCCCATGCATCCCATGCATCTTCCACCTCTTCATCATTTGAGTCTGGCAAAAGGCTGGGCGGGCTACTGGAATCGGTACTACGCTTTGATTGGACGTGACCATTGATCTTGTCCACTTTGGCGGGTGGTGTAGTAGCCGACTTATGAGGTGTATCTATCCCAAATTCATTCCAGAAGGACGGTTCCTTCGCGGCTAGTTCGGAATCCCGCGATGCGGAATTGTTCGCTTTTGCTCTCTGCGACTTGTCAGAAGACTTTTTGGTTGGTTTTCTTTGCGTCGCTCGCTGTGGTCGTTGTTGTGCTGCGGTCCCACTCACGCCTTCTTCTCCGACGGTTGCTTGTCTGATATCTTCAAAGAATGTCCACAGCCCTTCTCGCACTCCATCGTATACCTGCCTACCTTGTCTAACCAGGAGGTCAGTGGGAACCGGTGGTAACGATCTTCGATGAGCCGCGAGATCTTTATATGTTTTCCCAAAGCCGAACTGTAGAGGATCGGCTGAAATGAGACCGTCCAGGGTAGCCATTCTTGACAGCGAAGATCCGATCACAGGATCCTCGCGATCGAGCGATGTCGGGCTCTTGGTTTGTACCTCGTCCGCCTCAATAGACGTCTTGATCTGATAGGGTTTTGTGGACGTTGGGCTCAGTAGACTCAGAGTTCGGGTATGCCTTCCTTCGAACACTCGTTTGGATCCTCTTCGGCCAAGATTCGATGTTCCACTGTTGACATCTGGGTTGTTGGTATTATTGAGACTCCTCTCCACGAGTGCCTTCTTCCTTCTCCGCTCCTCGTCGATCTCTTCCTCTGGAATATCGGAAGTGGTCACCTCGTCAAGCACCAGGGGCTGCAACTTCTTGACATGCTTCACTTCCTCTTTCTTCTTGTTTGCCTCATAGGAAGCCCACTGTTTCTTCAATCCCAATAGGTCAACTTGTGCCTTGTGTAATTCTTCCTTCAACTCCAACACTTTCCGTTCCTGGGCGGCCAACAGGGTCAGGAAGTCTGCACTACCGCGCGCCTTGCCGTTGCTAGGGACCTCAACTATCGTATCGGATACCCTGAAGGGGACTGCTCGGGTATGAGGGGAGGATCGCGTGGATCCAATTGGAGTAGCCAGTGCAGAAGCAGTGGTTGGTGAAACAGAGAACTGCGAGCTCGAGCCCGTGGTTGGTAATAGGATGGGGAAATTCAGTGACAAGCCTTTAGCATGTCGTCTTGCAGAAGCAGTAGTTTTTGTGGAATCATCTCCAGCTGGGCTTGTTGAGGTGGTCGGCTCATTATCTGGACTCGCTAAGGAGTTAACCGGTGGGTCAAGTTGCAAAGAAATTGGGCGCGGTTTGGTGGCCATGGCTCCTCGAAGAAAGCTAGGAGAACGTCAGGGCGTGTTTGACAGATTGTGGTCGAGGCTCTGAGTAGAGTTTTGATGAGGCAAGTGACAGGAACGACAGGATATGATGAGGTACTCCGGAGAGAGCAGATAACCAAAAGATATTAGAGGCCGTAAATGATCGTTAGCATGGCTGCATGGAGATAGCAACTAAGCTGAGGTAAATGCTAAACTCGAAACCAGAAAGAATAAATAGGAACGTGAAACATTAGACGTCGTGATGGCAGGTCGTGGGAGGCTTTGGCAGGAGAGAAAGGGATGTTTGCTGTGCTGAGTTGCAACAGGAACATAGAGAACACTGTCTGCCTGTATTATTATCGAGCGCACTTGGGGGACGGAGACTTGGGGAGGTGAAATTACTTGTTGACATAACCGAAAACGGCAGATTGGCGCTGCAGGAAGACCAGCTACGAGGCCATGAGGAGCTGGCTAACTAGCACGACAAGCATCTTCCCGGCTCAATTTCGAGGTGTTCCCACCGCCTGTGGGAAGAACTTAGGGGACCGCTGATGCAATGGCCACCCGGGAATTGGTTCTCGAGGGCATCCCCTCCCGGCGGCCTTGGGCTTGGGGGTTGGGGTGGTTATGCAGGTACAGTAGTGGCGCACCTCGTTCTCCACAGAATACCTCCTGGACCACCACCCCTACCAACCCTGCAAGGAAAGTCTGGGTTCCAGGCGGTGAGCGATGTTATAGGACTATTGTGTTATAACTTATAGGAGGATTGAAGTACTCCGTACATGGTACATGAAGAACATTCCAGGATTCGGAGTACTGTATGTTTTATTCAGCAAGGCTTTCGGATATTTTACCAAGGTATATTCTCTCCTCAAATTCATTCTTTCGCTTCCTCTCTCTTCTCATGGCAGTAACTTAGGAAATGTCGACTAGATCCCACTTATCTTTGTGAACCAGAATATTCAACGCCTGCGCCGTCCCATGCCTCACATAGAGTCAGACGGCTGATTCTTTCGAGTCCTGACCGGCCATTTTGCAGCCATCCCATTTTCGCACTCTGATCATACATGAGAGAAAACAAATGCTTTATCAATATTGTCTAGGACACGGAGCTTTACAGGATGAGCCAAACACCACCACCAACAACTGCTGCAACAATCAAAATGGTGAGGATACTGGCGCCAGCCTTGTCTGCTGTCGTCAAAGGGTCGAACTTGATTTCTGGCGCAGTATCGACATCGCTGCCAGCATCTGGGTCACTCTCCGAAGTACCACCTGTCTTGGCACTCTTGGGTGCAATATTCGCGTTCATCTGTGTAGCCCCGACGACGGCCAAGGCTTGCATCTAATCCATATGTTAGTACACCGTCGGAGAAAGTGTTTTGGGCACCTCACCTGTTGACCGACACCTGAAGTTCCATCCCATACACCGTTGGCATACCACCGTCGACCACATTGCTGCCCAGTTGTTCCACCAACACATTGCTTGGCCGCGGCCTCAGCACTTGCCTGCAATTTAGGCATAATCTGAGCAGCTGTATCCGGTACCAATATACTGGTGACGGCGAGCCATCGCGAAAGATAGGCCTTGAAGCTGCTCTGATCGTTGTTGCAATTACCCTGGTCGCCATTGGGCTCGCATTGGAATTCAGTCATGATATTACCACCGTATTCTTGAGGGAAGAACAAGAAAAAGGTGCCGTCGAGGATTTGTTGCACTCGCGTACCCCAAGGCTCGGCACCATTGGTGAAGTTGTACATATTCGCGGCACCCATCAGCATAGTGCCGTAGTTGTAGCTCCATGCAAAGTGTTCGACATCGGTGCAGTTGTTGTCGGCATTGGTGTTATCCCAAATGTAAAGAACGTTGTCTTGAGTCTGGAACAGAGGGCTTGCTGCAATCCAGTCCCACATTTGTTCAGCCCAGTCGGCATAGGTCTGATTTCCGGTATAACGAGCAAGGCGAGCGGCCAGTTGGAAGTTTCCACCGTTGGAAATGGTATTCTTCAGATTGAAACCGGGGTTGAAGGAATAAACTTGCCATCTCATTCCACCGCCGCATGTCTCGTTATCCCAAAGTTTCTTTTGGAAGTTGAAGACAGCTTGAGCCAAACTCAACCACGATGGAAGATCGCCTCCGGAATCGGGCAAACCAGCTTCAGCGGCATCCATGGCAGCAAAAGCCCAAAAATCTTGATCGTCGACACCCATGTTCTTGCTCTGATTGGGCGGGTTGAAGTTCTCCTCAGGACCTCTTTGGAACTGCAAAGCTTGTACCACGGTGGGATTGTAGCTGTCGTCGCCAGTGTATTCCCAGTAGTTTATCAAAGAGCCGAACATAGCCCCAGCTTCCCACCAGTAGTAACATTCCACCGAAGCACAAGGACCCGGTAGCAAGCCAGGGGTTCCTCCAGTCAGGTTCCCGGAATAATAAGTCATCATGTCGTAAGCAATGGTAGATGCAACCGACTTGACCGAGTCTCGACTCGACACAGTGAGATCAAGAGCAGAAGCGAGGGACAGCAGGCCGACCAGCGGCGTAAGCGCAGAGGATACTCGTAATTTCATGACGGCGAATCGTAGTATGAAGCGGTTGTTTCTAATCAAAGAAGAAAAATGGACTCAGGAATGATGGACGCTGGCTGCGCGCCAACTATCTTAACATAGACGTCCCTTGAATTATGAGCGAGTTTATCAGTGCCCCAACTGCGCTGAGCTGGAAGAGGCGAAGATGGCGTGAGAGGTGGTCGAATAAACAAATTCGATGGGATTGTCAAAGCGTTTGAGGTTTGAGGGGGGCGCGTCGGAAAACTGGAGCGAGGGACAGGGGGTCGGTCCGATGGTTAGCAAGAGGTCGTTGAATGGGTGAGGAGAGGAAGACGAGTCACTGGGAGATGATGCTGGTGCGAGGATATAATAATGATGAAAAGAGTGGCATGTAGAGATATCCCAGGGAATCAGTGAGAGATGGGGATGGGGAGGTGAAGAGGTTGTGCAGTGGAAGGGAAAAAGAGGGTGCGAGCGAAGGTGGTGATGTTAGCGGTTAGGAACTTAGGAGTGGTAGACTGGAGCCCGGGACTGGGCCAGTGGTGGCAGGATGACGACGACGACACGGAGAACGGAGGCAGGAACCCAGAGGATGAAAAGAGCCTTCCAGTTGCAGGTTGCAGGGACAGTCGAGGGAAGGGCCACCAGGAGAAGCTGCAAGATGTGTTACTGGTGGCGGTTGGCGGTGGTGCAACCAAAATGTGAAATGCCACCAATGAAGAGGTGGGCCTGGGGCAGCACCAGCAGTGCTAAGCTTCGCAAGATTGCAACCACCAGACCGCCCGAGAGTCTGTCAGGGGCCGGTCGAGGCGCAGCAGAAACACTTGGAAATCACCCAAAACATCCTGGGTTAGTCTCATCATCCCCCACTTTGATTATGCCTTGCAGTGCTCGTGTCTCGTGGATTCTCTGGACGAGCAACACACAGATGTACTCGTAGCAGTAGTCAATACTATGTTGGTACTCCGTACCACTCCAGGTTGACACCAGGCTGATTCCTCACCTTCAACCAACCCCAACCCAACACCAGGTGAGGGGAAGGGCACCTAGATCACGTGACTAAGGTTAGGGTTACGAATGCGGAATCCTTGGCACTCTCTCCCAGAACAAGGCGCTTGAAGCCTTGTTGGCTCCTGCGCCAATGTCATGTACATTGCAATGCTACGGACCATGGTCTCCTCTCCCGGCAGACCAAATTCTAATAATCATTTTCATTTTCCAACGCTCGCTCACTAGCTTTGATGAATGCTCCCTGGTAAAATAATTCCAACCTTCGCCAACGCTAAAAGTACTTGGAAAACCAAAATGCCTGTCTAACCTCCGCCCATAGGCTTGATTGAATTGAATGGATTCAAGGGAAAGAAGGATCCTTCGATTACTCGCTGCCCTTCTCCTCCTCTTTGATTGGATCGATGACTTCCTGGACTTTGTGCATTCCGTTACCCAGGCCATGTCTCAAGTTGCTATGAGGGCCGTGCTGCTGTTCCGACCCGCTTGCAGAGCTGCCTACTGTACGATTGGTATTCGTACGAGGACGAAGCTGAAGCTGATCAGACTCCCCAGCATGATGTCCTGAAGCTATTCCTGTTTCGGGTCGGAATTGTTGTCCCTCCAGGTTGCCATCCACTGCCGACATCAGGGACTGTGCAGCCGAAGATCGTCGACGTCGTAGCACGATGCGATTGCCTTCTTTGATTTCCTTTTGCTGAAGACTTTCTGATGGTAGCAGAATGGCCCGATCCAATTCATAAGGTAGACCACGATGACGTCCACGAATTTGCATCGCAATCACGATCAGCTTCGACAATGTCCGGAATTGTCCCGAGAACGATGTGTTGACGGTCGGATATCCAAGAGACAATCCAACAGTCCCGTACGCAGAGACAATTTCGAACAGGACAGAAAACAAGGTGAAGGCGTACTCGTTGGTGCTTTCCAGTCGACCTCCCTCCACGATCGCAATCAAAAACAAACCCATGAAAACGTACCACAAGTCGAAACTCAATTGTCGTCGTAAATGAGCGCCCACATAGCTGGCTTGCTTTTCGTCATCTTCTTCCTCGCTTGGATTGTTATAGACGCCCAGACTCTTTTCTTCGTAGACATTGGTCCGGCGCATCGAGATTGCGATCGGGAAAACTGATATGTACATCATCACGAGATAACTGACTTGAATGGCCGGGTGCAGCTCTGCCAAGTTCACCACAGAAAATCCAGCAGTCCGAGTGGAAGCGGCTTGAAAGAGTCCGTCCAGGAAACGAATTCCTCCTGGTAACTGAGTAACGGTAGGATCGTTGAGATCAAGAATGATGAAGAAGATAAGATCTACTCCATTGAGGACCACAAGGATTCCCAACAGAACCCACGTAGCGCTGCCGGGGAATAATAGAGTGAAGCATCGTCGAGGATGATCCAACAGAAATCGAAGCTCCTCCCAAAGAGGGCATCCCTCTGACACAACCTTGGATATTGCCCAAATCACGAATCGGAGCATGCATGGAAAGCCAGTGTTTCCAATGATGATGAGAAAGGTCATCAAAAGGAGGGGGAACACCGCTTCGTTGAAAGAGAGCATAGAATCAGGTGTCAGAGTGAACCCAAGATCGTTGAATGCCGACCCACTGGTGAAAACCCCCCACCAAACTCGATTCTGCGAGACTGCTTCAAGCACTGCGGAATATGTACCAGAATGCACAATCCAGGGCGTGAGGCAGACAACAGCAAGGAGGTGGAAGAGAAAGAAGTAGCCGACAAGAATCAATGCCAGCGTCTTGAGAGCCCGATATTCAATCCCACCCAATTCTTCGCGTTGCTCCTCGGTCAAATCGAAGAAAAAAGAATTGCGTCCGATGGTGGGCTGCCAGCTTAAATACGGTGCTGGGGCCGGATCCGTGGTACGTGCTGTATTGCTTCGTCTAAGAGAACGGAAGGTGTTTGATCGCGTAGGACGGGCGTGCAGACCTGGTTCTACGCCGTCTTGATTCTGCGGGATTGTTGACTGTCTTGTGTTTAACCGCGGAAAAGTGGTTGATTTATCATTGCGATCGCGTAGAAATCGGGGCTCGTCGATTGTAATGTGTGTAGCGGCTCCTTCAGGTCTTGGATTCAATTCGATACTCCGCTTCTCACTTGAACTGGGAAGGTTCGGTTCGCTCGTGACCTGTCGTAGTAAAGGCCCTTCCACATCGTCAGGGACATTCATCGGTCTACTGCCGCGCTCGAACTCGCGAGGACTGGGAATTCTTAAAGTGGTGGGGTCATCCGGATTTCTCTGGTTTTCCAAGAATCGAATGTGTTGCTCAGGGCTTAACAGCTGAGGCAAGCGCACATCCTCGGTAGAGCGTGTCGTCTGTAACCGCAAATGATCGTCACGCCGTTTCTCATTCAACTGATCATGCTCCTGATTGGAGCTATTGGAAGACTCGACAACCTTGGCGTCGGTTTCTGGACCATCCTCTTGCTTCTCTTTCCCTCTGGTTTGATTTTGACGAAGAAAAGTAGGAGTTGCGTTGTGAATGAACGTCATGCCTCTTTTTTTAAAACCCCGGGTTCCTGTGCCTTGCTCGGGATCTTCTTTGGAGAATGTGTTGACGCGAGTCTTGGATCTGGTACGTCGTAGTTTTCGGGCCTCCATGACGACATCTTTAAAGCGTTTCTCAAACCAGTAGAGTCTCACGAATACAACGAAGGAGTGTACCACAATGGGGTTACACAGCATAGCACCTATGTAGAGCATTGCCTGTTGGCCGGTTCTGAGAAGATTGACGTCGACAGTGTTGAGACCACTCTGGGTGGCGCCACCGGAGGCGAAGAACAGAGCGTCCACATATGCAATATCCCCAATTCCATAGATGATGACGGACATCAGGAGGGTCATGCCGATCACGTAAAGGTAGTGAATGGTAATGAAGTTGAACCGTCTCTTGATGAAAAGATCTGGGATGATGTTTCTCTTGCTGAATTCCCAGACATCCTGGGTCCAACTCGGAAGAAACATTGTTGTAAGCCGTCTTGCTGGGTAGGTTTGGGTTCCAACAGTGGGAACTTTCAGATCGGCTCGGTGGAATTAGGGATGGAGGGTTTCAACGAGCACCAGGTACAGGATGGTCGATAAGTAGGAGAGGGTTAGATTAGCTCGTTGACCGAGTCGACCGAAGGAGGTGTATGAAGTCGTATAATTGACGGACTGCATCGAAAGAAGTCATTGTAGATGACGGATGGGATGGAGGTGATGGAAGAGACTGTGAAAGAGTCGTCACTTCACGGCGGTCAGAGAATGGGAGTTAATGGATAAGAAGAGGGCAGGAACAAAGCAGGTCAAGGGGAGGAGGGCAGTGCATGACGAAGCCCAGGTGAAAAGTCCAGTTGCAGAAACGTTCCCAGTCAATTGGATTTTGGGGGCGTCACGCCCCAGCGGGGCTCAAGCCTCAGGCGAAGCGATCAGAACTTGGACTCGAGGGTAGCCGGCCAAGACGCCAGCTAAAAATGCTTGTTCTTTCAGGGCCGAAGAAGAAGTCACCGTGCGACGTGGCTCCCTCGGGCATGAAGACCCTAACTTTGGAGTAGAGCAATTTGATGGGGGCATGCCACCGGGGCACTTTGCTCTCGGACGGGGCATTTCTTGTCGGGTAGTATGCCGAGAGGACTGTGTTACACGGACACAGGGTCCAGGTGCTAGGTGCTAGGTGCTAGGTGCTAGGTGCTAGGTGCTAGGTGCCAGGTGCCAGAGCCTTGGTGATGGGCATAAGGGCCGCAATCCCTCATTAAGCGATAGCTGTACCTCGTACCCTCAAGAGCTTCCACTCCTACGAGGACGTTGTTTCCGGATCCCACGATTTCCATCTACCAGTAGTAATTACAGTCCGGCAAATCACACCTCGTACCCAAGGGTTCCCACTTCCCACTACCCACTTCCCGTCGAGTCCGACTCTCAAAATGCTTTTCCGCCCGCCGTTCCTTGAAATTCCGAAACTTCTGGGCATTGGCATGTGCTGTTCGACGATTGATCCTGGAGTTTAAAAACATCATCCATCCGTGAGCCTTGGTATTCGTATTCTATTGGAACGTGGACGGCACTGGCATCTTACGGCATTCGTATCTTGACGGTTCAGGCTGAGCACAGGGTTACCGCAGCGAGGACGACCCTCACACTGTCCTTTCCAGCAACATCTCGTTTGGTTCATTTGCACGATTGCTCATCCTCGCATCACTCCCTGGTGCCCTGACTCAGCTGCATTCATCCTCGGTGAGCGAATCCTCTGGATCCCTGGGTCCCCTGGCGATTCACCATTTCCATCAACGTCCAATCCCGAGTACCAGAGCGGCGGATGATTCTTGCCACTCCAGACATGACCCATCCTTCTGATCCCGGAGCCTTGCCTTCTTGAGCCACAACTGACCGGCGAAACGAGAGATTCAACCTGCTCACCCTTTCTGATTGCTTGCGGTACGAGTATTGATGGCATCCTCGATTCGATTCCTATCGAAGTTTAGTCACCTTCTATCACCTTCTAGCTTTGGACACCCTCTGGCCTCTCCGCCTTGGGCTCACCGAAACGCTTGTGACTCCAAACTAATTCCCATTGCACTCAAATTGTCTCTTTCGTCCGTGCCCGACAGACCCATTGGTCCGTGATGTTATCAGCCCGCGGAATCCCAACACGACACAACGGGTCATCACATATATCTCCTCCTCACCGAGTGCCGCTGCCAGAAGACAACGCGATGACCGCACTCCATTCCCTCGCAGCCCCTGAAGATCACCTACGAGGTTCGAGGTTCGAGGTTTCTCTCAAAAGATATTCCAGTATCGCTGCCGGTTGTCCGTGTATTCAGCGAGGCAGATTAATTGGCAGGGACGATGCATCATGTACCTACCTGCCTGCGTGCCTTAGGTCCCCAGGCAGGCATGCCAGAGGACATTCCGTCACTAACAGGAAGCAAGAAACAATAAACAATAAAACACCATTCCTGCAACCTAGGACCACAGACCAGCTCGTGGAAGCATGAACCTCCTGCACGAACTACCGCCGGGAGCCGCGATAAGCTTAATTACACCGACAAACTCTAAATCGTTATAGTCCAAAATTAGTTAGTGTGGTTTCATGAGGTGCGGATGACAAGTAACGAGTATGGATGTATGAACGGACATCCGCCACCACATCGGTCACGCGCAGCTTTGCCTATCCCAGGTGGGCACGGAGTATCGCAGGTAGGTACCTAGGTGCCCTGGGTGGGCAGACACCGCCTCAGCAACCAGAATTTCGAGTACTATCAGGCTCGATGGATTTTCTTTCCCGGGCCATGTATGGAGGACCAGAAGTGTCATTCCCGTTTCAATCGATTTTTTAAACATAATTAATGATTGATCCCTATGGCTTTTTTCACCTCGCAAAATGCAACAATCTCATGTCATAGTATCACTAGAAACAAACGCAGGCCAGCAAGCAGACCCAACCAATGCAGATGCCCCAGGGGCCCAATGTTGTCAGCCCCAGACGTATTGCACCTCATATGCCTGCACAGTAATAAGCTGCAAACCCGAAAATATCGTCTCATCTCGTCCCAAAGCGAACGTAGAAATGTGTGATGCCTTTTCCGGGGGGGGAAAAGATACGCACAAAAGATCAACAGTCCAGACTTTCCGATAACGTGAATTCCTTAATGACATGTCCGGTGCCCGCCCAGCTGCAATTTCTCCTCATAGATCTCGAGCACTTTCACCACAACAAGCTCGGTAGCTGAAATTCATGCCTTGCTGCTGCGCTTCTTCACCTTGGGTTTTCTCACCTTGGGCTTCGACTCGGGTGTCGTCTTGCCGCCCGCAGCCTCATCGCCCACCTTGCTGTCCTCAATCTTTACATCAGCTTTCTCATCTCCCTCCTCGATAACTGATTCAGTCTCTTTATAGCTGCTGGGTTCGTCACCAGGTCCATCAGAAGTCACGGTTGTGCCTTCGACATCGGCGATCGAATCCGACTTTTCCATCTTATCGACATCGTCGATTGTTACCTCCTGAAATTGCTCAGCTCCGTTAACGGAAAGCTCCATATGGGTTTCCGCGGCATCGTTGCCGGATTCAGAAAGTCCTTCCTTCGAGGTAATGCCATTTAGTTTCGGAGTCTGTGTGTGCGGCCCCTGCAAGCCGTTCGCCCCGGTGTCTTGTGATTCCCCCCCGGCACGCACTTCGACCCTGACAACAGCGGTTCCACTGGTTGAAGCGTCCTCTGTTGGAATACCCTGGTTGGTGGCTGTTTCATCTCCCGTCTCTACAATCCGAAAACCATTGATGGGCTTGGGGGGTTCCTCTTGTGGTTCATCTGGATAACAGTCCTCATAGGCAAAGGGACAGCCGTCGCAATAAGCAAACGGCTCGCGGTGAGAAACATCTTGGTGATCATGAAACCTGCACGCATCGGTAAGATAATCTTTTTTTGCCCATTCTGTAGCCCCAGCCTGAATATAGTCCCATCCAAGCTCCGCATGCTTCAAGAAAGTGGCCTTCCAATCATCTTTCAATACTTCCCCTTCCGCATTTGGTCGTGGCAATTGTCCTAAAGCGGTGCGAACCACTTCTCTCAGCGGACATTTACTCGGAACTGCCTCGTAGATATCATCCACAATCGAAGCTTGGAGTGGCCACTCGCAGCTGGCTATATTGGCACGGATCTTGTCTGTTACCTGGTTGCTCAGGGAGGATATTTGGTATTTCCAGGCGAAGATTCCAAGTCGAACTACCTCCTCGAATGTCGCACCTTTATCAATCTCCGGCCGATCTCTGAGCGTCCAGATGATGAAATCCCCAAACGTCGAAACTCGGGTGTCAGGGAGCTCGATTGGTTCCGAATCTTCTTGATGGAGCTGGAGTAGTGTGCGAAATTCCCGTGACCGTCGTCGAAGGAAGTCACGAGGAAGCCGATATCTGATAGGTGCGCCAATCGATCCGCCTACGAGGAGTGCGACTGGATCACTTTGGGTCCACCTAGAAAGACGTCAGCTTCCCACTACCACAACAGTGTCCATTGGGAGCGGACTGACTCTATAAAGAGCTTGCGATGGCCGTCCATCGCTCTTGATGGCGGACTGCAAGAACGAGATCTGCGTCTCGGTCCAAGCATGAGAAGATGCGCCTTCACTTCGCTAGAGATATCGAAAGAGAATGGAGGAAAACGCAACGTGCTGAGACCCAAATACTTTCTGGGTGTACTCAGTGTGTCTCGCAGAGCCTCATCCGATTTGGGTCTAGTCCATCAACAATGCACGTCGAGTAAATGGGCAAGCCACCTGTTTGTTGTCAAATTTCAAGTGGCTAGCAGAATGAAGCTGGAATGCAATGCTCACGATAGAGCATTTCTGAATCCCTGCCACAATTCGTCCCGTACCTCCACCAACACACAGGTCCATCTTCACATCAGTCACGTTCCCACGCTTGTGCTGGTAATTGATTATTGAGCCCATAGCCGTCTTCATCCGGTAATGAGGCTGCCACATCTGTCTTCTCATCTGTATAGTAGATTAGGCAGCTGAAAAAAAGCGGCCGAAACAAAATCTGCAGTGCATAATTATCTACAACAGTATCGTCGGGGTAGCGAATTCATCTCACCCTGTCCCTGTCAGTACCGGGGGAAGGAGTCTGCTCGCGAGACCGGTGTTCTGACCTGGATTTATCAACCAACAACCACGAGATGCACAGTGTCGAAGGTCACGAACTTCACCAATTCGTTGGACCCATGGTTCATACAAGATCATGTTGATGCCCAAAGGGCGGCCACATCTACACACGGCTAGGCGGTGTCCACTATCCACCGAAGGAATACATTCCCTCGAAGGCTAACATCTTACCCTACAGCACAGCGAGGCACTCGTGTGGCGTCCAGACGTCGAGTCGCCTCAGCTGCAGCCCAGATCACTGGCTCTCTGTTTCCGGGGAAGGCATGAGAGACCGCAGACACGAAAGGCAGCGACAATCTTCCACGTACGGACTCCGGCAAAGGCGTTTAATGGTCAACTGCCACGTACTGGGAGCCCAAGCGGATGCAAGAAACTGCAAGTCAGCAGGCTGCCAAGGGGGAACTGCCAGCGAGAAATGCTTGTGTAATTAGTCAACCGCGTGACTGCGCATCCATGCCGTGCAGGTGATTCAACAACTCGCATTGATTGGAAAGGGTCGAGACGATGACTTGGGCACAAACGCTCCGGCGTTGCGAGACGCCTTGACGGTTTGGTTGTGTGACGTCCAAAGCATCTGGAAGGCATTTTGGGAGCGCTGTGGAAGCTGCAATGGAATGATTCCGGGTTGGAAGGTGGAAGGGGTGACGCTTAAGTCGGGCAGGAACGGCCTGGGGAGTTAGCCTGGTCGGAAACCAGCACATATTGTTGTGATCCGCCCCTGCCGCCGAAGCAGCCCCACAATTAGTTTGAATACCCCACTATCAATCCAGCGACATCCCCGAACACGAAACAACACATACATTGCATCTTGCAGATGGCCACCCAATTGCCTTCACCAACCGATTAAATTGCAAGGCAACCAATGACCTAAGACCTCCGCTGGCTTCACCACAGCTGAATGGCCTCAACACATATCGATATCCAGCATGATGGTGGGGGGATGGCAGCACTTGCATCTTGCATCATCTGGACGCCTTCTGCCAAACCGAATGGGAAGTTACAAGTAAACAAGGCAATCAATGGCGCACCTACTACATCTCGGTTCCGACGACCATGATGGGCACTGGAAAGCGCGGGGGATTCCGAAATCCAATGCACCAGAATGAGACTGTAAGACTCCTGTCACATCTTGTACTTGGAAGTGCTTGGAAGTACCTGTGAAGCATTCGACTTGAAATTGCCAGTTCTTAAAAGCCCACTTGGGCAAAAAGTAGTGTACAAAGAGACCTAAACGGACGACGCCTCGCCAATCCAAACCAAAGAGTGTTGCCTTATGATATCACTCCGCAGGAATCGTACATCTGGACCACATTCTAGTTGAACGACCTAGTCACTCGTTGTCGGAAATGGTAAAGAACCTAGCCTGTGCTTAGTGGGCCTCAATTGTAGCCACATGCTCGGGCATCGTAATGTGTTGTTCCTCATTCGCGGTTGTAGACTCATAGTGTCCATACACTGTAGAGCTAGACGCCTCATGCTTGACATCCTCCGCAGGATTGGCAGTATCCTGAGCAGGACCTTCCAATGCCTCGGGTTCAAGCGTAGCATTCGAGCCAACACCTCCGTCGCTAGCCGTATCAACAGCAGGAACCTCAACCGTAGGAGCTTCCGAAGGCGAAGCTTCAGTGGTGAGAGTCTCACCAGCGGCAGCCTCAGTAGTATGACTCTCGGCAATGCGTGCCTCAGTTGCGGTAACCTCATCGGCCTCGATCTTGCAGTTTTCCACAGTCTCACGAAAAGAATCTGCAGGAGCTGTGTAGGACTGGTGGACACCAGACTCGACAGCCACATTTGCCTCTTGTTCGGGATCTAAGTCATCAATGCTCGGGTTGTTTGCATCCGACGCCACTTCCACTGGGGCAGTCTCAGTCAAGCCCAGCGTAGTGGTTTCTCTAGCTTCTTCAGTCGTCTCTCCTGGCTCCTCCAGGATGACTCCTTCGGTGGACTCGACTGGGTGTGTGGATGGCTCCACACTCGCTTCTTCATGGACATCTGCTAAGTCTTTGGGTGTATTGATGGTGACAGCTTCAACAGGAATTGGGCCAGAGTCATTGCTGGGCTGTGTGCTGTCCATATCTGTGGCTGTAGTGTCTCTTTCAGTAGTGGTCTCGGCGGGGACCTCCAATGGAACAATTCCAGAATGTTCTTGGAGAGAAGGTTCTTCGATGGGTGTAAGCCCAATTATCCGCATCCCATTCACCAGGACATGGCGGACAGCCTGATAGACAGCGAGCTGGGCGAGGTTGTGGTTCGAGCCGGACGCCTCTGACTCCCCTTCTTCCAAGATATCCTCCACCTGTGTGACCAAGCGGAACAAATATGTGGCAATCACAGAGGACTCTAGCTTCTCCAGCGATGACTTAACGATAGTCGGAAATTGGATGAGAACACGAAGGATTTCTGCGTAGCTTTCATCCTCAAAAAGTGAGTAGTCCGACTTCTCAAGGTCTTCACGGTCAATGACGACACCCTCGAGCTTTCGGTTTAGTTTTGTCAAGCAGCTTTGCAAATCAATTCCGGAATCTTCTTGAACATTGCCAATATTTGGTATATCAAAGATGAGGTCATCCTTTCTCCTGATAGACAGATCCTGCGTCATGAGGGCGAGAGCACCAAGGCTGTCACAGAACTCCAGATCTTGTGCCCTTCGAAAGTGTGAGAACCTATCTGGCTCATTTGCTAACAGGTTGAGAACGGTCCTTTGACACTGGTCGAGAAGATCGCTGAAAAGAAGTCCACTGGTACCTTCCGGTGGCACAAGGCCTCTGGCCACGTTGAAACTGATATGTTGGAGTCGGTCGGCGAGTTCCGAATGCCCCATCAGCTCAAGTACTGCAAAAAGCTGTTGAAAGTGTGAATCTTGCTTGGCGGAGACAACATATATGAGTTTATCGAAACCATATTTCCGGCTCCGATCCAGTACAGAGGCAATATCCCGGAGTAGGTAAGTAGTTTGGCCTCTGCGATTCCGGATCTTTGCAGGGCCAGTCTTTAACAATCTGGTTTCGTGTGTGCTGAAATCGATAATCCAACCGTCTCTGGCTTCGTCAAAGACGATTTTGTCTTGCAAGCTTAGTTCCACCTCTGCAATAGTCTCATGGTTGACCTCTGACTCTCCAGAATAGTCGTCAAATCTAATATTCATACGTGCATAAAGATCGGTGTATCTTTGGATCGAGACTTCACGGAATCTTTTCCACAAAGCATATGCATTTGGGTCACCGCCCTCGAGTGCCGTAACATTTGCGTCCCGTTCTGCCGCTATCCCTGAAAGATGGCCATTAGCAGGCAGCTCCTGGGAATTGGCTTGTTCATCCCTGGAGAGTTCATCAATCTGTGTGTAGACATCCAGCAGATGTCTGAGCGGGTCAGCGTTCAAGGCATCCTCAGAGCCAAATCTAGACCACCCAGCTGCCAACAACCCAATATGTTGGCCCCAATCACCAAGAAAATTCATCCTGGTGACTTCCCAGCCCATTGACTCATAGATAGAAGCGAGGTAGGCACCGATGATGGTGCTTCTGAGATGGAGGCCATCAAACTCTTTACCAAGGTTGGGCGATGAGAATTCCACCACGATCTTTTTGGGCTTGATATTGTTGAGCTCCGAGTCATGTTGGCTAGAGCTGATAGGTGTCCCATATGATTGACCGCGATCGATAATATATGGCAGCAGTACTTGACCAAGCGCACGTGGAGAGAAGAAGAACCGAAGGTGGATACCGTCATCCACGGGATGACCGAAGAGATGAGATCCCGGAAACTATTGTGGTTGAACGTTGAAGTCAGGAACGAGTGTCATGCTGTCAGGAAAGAGGAATGATTCCATCGTACCTTCTGCTTAAGTTCGGTGGAGAGGGCTTTCGGATTCTTGTGCTGAAGCTTAAGTCGAGGGAGAATCACTACCAAGTCTCCCAATTCATTGGGCCACTGGATCGAACTATAAGCCACTTCAGGTGAACAGTCAGTGAGCTGGACGAGGGTATCTGCAAGATACGACAGATAGATGTCGATAGGATTGTTGTGCACATCAGTTCCCACGATGCTCGGGATTGGGCTTTTTACTCCTTGCCCGGCTAGTAGCGCTTGGATGCCTTCGGGAAGAAGTGTGGCCATTTCGGCTGATTGCCTTTGGGAAGTAGCGTAGGGGGAGAGAGAATCGAGGCTGAGAAAGGCGGATTTCAGTCTAATATTGATGCATTCTGTCATGCCATCATTTGACAACACATGTTCACCTGCCTGGGCGAATTAACTGGCGTCATGCTGCGTGTGTTGGGCAGAAGACGTCGGTAGTACAAGGGTCGCACAGGGTGCATTGTCGAAAGGTATGACAGCTGACGCTCAAGCGACATGTATGGCTGCACCATTCTATTGGTTTAAGGTTTGGGCACAGTAGTGTGGTACTTATTCTCCTCGAAATGTGGCTGCATGCCGTTGCACATAAAACAGGCTCCAAGGTTCCTTGAGTCCTTGACCTCGTTGGAGGGAGGCTCAGTGGTGGAGAGGCTAGTCAATCTCAGGATTTGTCCCAATCAAGGGCGATAGACGTGGCTGCCAAGAAGGATATCTCGACGACAAGGCAGGGCCAGCAATGATATTGCAGCTAGAAGGCACCGTCTTGTGTTCGAAACTTGATAAGCTGTTTTCGTCAAGGGTGGCGTTATTTGATCGCCCTTATCGAAGGGAAGCAGTGTGCTGTAGAGAGCCCGTTCAAGCATATTGCACACGGATCCTTCTTATCGCCAAAGGAAAGCAGCCGCACAAAAGTTCATTGTATTGCCAAACTTCTGACTGTCAGTGCTTAGTTTCAATGACCTGAAAGAGCTATACGTCATATAATATACAAAATCAGGGTGGTGGAACGCGAAGACGCAGCATAGACCGTTCTGGTGCGCGGGTAGCGCGGCCAGGCCATCGTAGGTCTGCCTTACTCATTAGCACCAGTTTCGACATCTCGGTGAAAATTGCACGTTGGTTGGCCAGATCGAGTGGATTTCAATAGTCGTGGCATCTTCAGTGACAATGTCAGTGGATTCGTTAAGCGAAGAGGCCTTCCGATCCACATTGTCATTGCCTGCAAAACTGTGGTACAAACAAGTCCGACAGTCATCAGTACGAAACTCAATATGAAGAACGATCTAGGATTCGGGGGGAGAAAAGGGAGGACGGTCGGTTCCATCGAGAAGAGGCCTGCTGCTAAAGCGATTGGCGACACGAACAAAATCATAACCACAGACAGCGTTTTGTTTTCCTGGGCCAGTTGTCTTTGTCGATTACCTACTTCGATTGCTGTATGATTAAGGTAAATCTCAAGCTATTTGCAGGAGCACAAGATGTCAGCAGATGGGCCAGATAAGCTTGATCCATAGATCCTTTGGAGTGGCACTAACATCTCGTGTGACTTCTTCACATTCCCGAGCCACGCCTTCAAGAGTCTGTTTCAGAGCCTGCAAAACCCGAAGCGTCTGTTTGATATTGGGAATGGATCGGCCACCATTTTCTGATTCCGGAAGGTCTTGGAAAGTGATCGCATCGTCATCCAAAAACCTTTCGCACGCAACGACTGTCTTCGACAGGGTGTGAAGTAGGTGCTTTGAGAGCTGCCTGGCGTTCCTGGAATAACTCAAGGCCTCTTGTATATGCTGATTGTGCAATTCAGTACCTTCGGACGATGATCGCGGAGACAAGAGTGCAGCGTGGCGCTTAAGGTGTCTTGTAGTCAGATAGGCTGGAGGTAAAGGCTTGGGAAAGACAGTTTCCGACATACCTTCAAGTACCTTCGCTCACTTTGATAAACATTCTCCACTACTCTCTGCCACTCGCCTCTAACCTGCTGTAGTCGGATGCAGAAGACTCGCAGGAAATATTCCCTGGGGTCTGCAATAGGCATTGCCGCATCCTCTTTTCCCTTGGTCAAGGGATCCCCATAAAAGGGCGCGGACTCAATGGAATCCTCTTGATATTTGATTACCGATTCTTCCACCGCTTCACCTGAATCGAAGTAAGTCTCTACGAAGCAGTAGGCTTCCCATCGGCGGTCGTCAATCCCAGCCACGACACAGGAGATCTGAGCCTCATTTAAATGAGCAGGCCCAGGATTCAAAGTGTCCCAACGCAGAAATGAAACGTCTCGTGTATCTCTGAGAGGGTCTTTATCTGCATATTGGCGAGGGTCTTGTATTGGGGTCTCGGATATTCGCCAGGCGTAGTACGGCAGGTGAAATTCCAGTCGAAATGTCCACATGCCCTTTTCCTGTATGAAATATTAGCCTCTACCATCAAACGCCGGGTCCGATCCCCGGCACCCTGATATGCTTACCGTAATCGTGGCGCCAATAAATGTCTCATATGCCAGATACCTGAAGATTGCAGCACGTAGACCGAAAGCTTGATTTTCCGAGACTCTGGATATAAGTGCATAGATACTCCACTCATCCAGGTCCGTCACAAATCTCCAGGTCGTGTCAGCCGACGAACCTCAAGAGCTTGGAGTTTGTGCTTACATACATTAATCGTCGCTCAGCGTCTGGATTGTCCTCAGACATCTCATACGGATTGCTGGGGGCCGATGAAGGCAAATAGAGCCCGCTAGTACCGGCCGAGCCGGACGACAGGCGTATCTTGTATCTCTTTGAGAGGCAATCAATCAGTGTGAATGTTTCTAGAGCGCGCGGGGGGGGGAGACAGATACGAGAGACTTCTTACCGGTTGGCCCAGTTTGCAGAACAGGTCGTAGGCTGTCAAGGCTTCACTTCTCTGCCTTGCCAGCCAACGGCCGTCCTCGATGAAACACCCTTCTTCTAGCCAAGCAACAGGCTTGAGTTTCGTTCTCTTCAGAGCTTTTAGAGTGGCCCGAGGACAGAAGCGAACGACCTTGTCAGTTTGAACATCACTGGGGTCTTCAGAGTCTGGCATAAACCCTTGAGCCAGCTCTCCTCCAACATCGCTGTAATTCAGAGAGTCCGCATATGGCTTGTTCTCAGTGGCATAATCAAGTTCTTGCCCTTCTTTGAATTTCAGATGCCACTCCAGGTTCCCGGCCATGATTTCTGGATTGTTTCTTGAAATGTTGCAACCTCGGGGTTGAGTTAATGATGAGCACTGGGAAGTGCATGAGTGTTGATTTGTCAAGAACGAACATCACAAAGTTAATACATGTAAGATTCAAGCAAGGGAGTCGTGGGCAAAGTATGAGGAGCGATGAAGGAGTCCAACAAGGGGAAACAAGTGCGTTACCTGATGATATATGCCTAGGTTGGGAGACGAGAGCACGACAAGCCTTCAATCAGCGACTGTCGCCTGTCACTATGTTGTATAGCATTTGCCTTTCATGTAGCATATTTGGAGGAGCCAATGGACTGTGTAAATCAAGCGGATTACCAAAAGCGGCCACGCACAACACTTGAAACACCACATGGGCTACCACGATCCGATTACGGGCCGGGGCGAGGCAATGGGAGCCTGAGGGAGTCATTGTCGTGTGTTGAATGTTGCGAAACACCTTGGCCAGCTAATGCGTTGCGACTGGTGAATACCATTCCATGTGTGCCTGACGTTGTTCCATCGAATGCTCATGTCTTGCAAATCGGGTCGGATCAGTGGCAGCTGAACCCTTCCTTAGCAGCATCGCATGTCCTGGTCGCCTGAATTGAAGGGAGCCAAAATAGCACCCATGAAGCGACCATACACAGGCACACTTCCAGGGAACGTCTCGTCCATTGGCAGCTTTTCAGCTTCTGCGTCGTCAGCCAATGAAGAATCGGTTGCCAGCCCAACTCCCAAGTGAGGCGATGGCGTGGAAGGCGGGTGAACTACAAGACCTTGAGTATCATCTAGTGTCGGATCAGAACTTGTGATGGGAGGATGAAAGGGCCATGTGACAGGTTTCTGGTGCTTCATCGGGCGCCAGAATGGCTCCCGATCAGGCGTGGAGTTCCTGGCAGTTATTCCCCCGGGGGCAGTGTTAAGATAGCCCTTGACCAGAGTCGAAACAGGGAAGCAGAAACTAGGACAGTACGCCTTCTGCATGGCCAAAGGCAAGAAAGGAGGGAAACGTGGATTATCAGATAGATGACATCTGTTGTTTAGAGTCACGCGTTGTCCTGGCTTGAAACATGCACAGAAGTGGGACGTGCATGACCCCGTCTGCTGGAGCCGAGATGCACATCACCCAGATTCTGGATACCTCGTTCCCTACGCCGTTCATCTGTGTGATCATATCCGAGATACGAAGCCAGCAAGCCGGCGATTGGGAGAAGTGTTTGCATGTACCAGATGGTTGATGGTAGATGGATGAGCCGCTCACTTGAAATCTGACAGGGAGGGCTTATTTGCCCACGACGCACACAGGGGTTTGCGCCTTGCAGTGAGCTTAGATGCGAGCGTACTTTCTTCCCGGGGCGGCTATTTCATCACCTAGATCTTACCTAGATAGGGCTTTCGTTAGGTTGTCACTCACTACCTATTTAGCGGTTCTAGTGAGCTCTCCAACTGTACATCGTGACTCCCGTACTCCGTATGCCAACAGAACTCCAGCATCGCCTCCCATCCTTGCCGCACAGCCCCTGTAATGCGAATTTCATACCAGCCGAGGACTACTCGGGTACCGCAATGACTGTATTTCCTTTGAAAAATGTTCGAATGCAACATTGACAGCCCAACTCGCAATGCCAACGCACACCAAAAGGCAGATAACCACCATGTACTAATTGGCTCCCGAGGCTCAGCCACATCCACTTGTGCATGCATTTACGATATGCACAGTGACTCCAACTCCCCATGCCTGATCGAGTTGAGATCGTCCTTGTAGTCAGTCAAAGGTTCCAGAACCTGAACGTATTGAATGCTGCGGCCTAGTTCGTAATGTCTGCTTTTCGTTGCTGCTTGTCAGCCATCGTGCCAAAAGATTGGTGTGGCCGTACCAGTGGGAACTTGGGCTGAAGCGGGCTTGGCGGCAGTATTTTTTTGAGCCAGGGCAACCGCTGGGTAGAGCCAAAGAGCCATGTCTTTGAGGCGTTGTGCAATAGGTTTAGAGGAGAAAAGACGTTAGAAGCCTGAAGGCGGAGAGCCATCATGTCCTGATAACACACCATTCTTTCATCATCGTTTGCGCTCACGGACACTCTCCGAAGGTCGCTCACTGCCCGTCGACTTGCCGGACCCAGCGAGAAACCCAGCGAGATCAAACCCGTCCGCAGAACCACCCCCTCCACCTTGCATCGCCCGTGTGACACTACCCATGGGACTGCTCTTCTGCATCTCGTCGTACTCGGCCCGCATTTCCGGGTCCATGTTCTCCATCAGCTTGGGCATTCCAAACGTAAAGGCGAGCGCCACCACGGCCATCAAGATCATAGGGTTCTTCAACAAACTCATTGGGTTGAAACCCTGTCGCTGCTCGTAGAAGTTCTTGCCCGATAGTGTCTTGACCGAGAGAGCGAGATCTTTTGTGGGAGCTGCCACGAGCGCGACGCCCCTGTCTTCCCATTTTGTCCCTCGATATGTTTCCCATGCCCCGCTGATGACGCTTTCCGCTGAATCAGCAGAGGGCGCAATATCGATGCGGTACGGAGCAAAGACGAAGTCCCGGCTGTGGACCTCGAGCAGGTGGGAGCCGACTGTGGTGATGTTGGAGAAGTCGAAGTAGTCGCCTCGGCGGAGCAGAGCTCTACGCGGAGGCTCAGTGCCAGAGGTCAAGGTTGCATGAGTGGACGATGGCAGTGTGAATGGATTGGGGATCAGGTTTGATGCGGGAATCTGAACTCGGAGTGAAGCTGCTGAACTCCAAGCTAGCAATCGACACAAAGCAAGAAGCGTGAAGCTGGCTGTTGGCTTCATGTTGGAAGTTGTATGACTGCTGTGAACTTATCACTTTTCGAGAAGTCTGCGAGGAACTGGCGCACTGTGTAGTGGGAATTGGCTGCATGCCATGTCACTTTTTGGAATCTAACCGCACTCTGGCAATACACAGAAGCCACCATCTGCCAAGACATTATTAGGTGGCTTTCGGGGCCGTTTTGCGTGCGGATTTGGCCTATTCTAGATTAGGCGTCCGCCGCCTAGAAGGGGCTAGCACGAGCGGTCCAGATGCCAAATTCAGTCATATCCAAGCCACTAGTTGTTCTTAACAGACAGCCCACAGGACAAGGGGTTGTTCGAACAATTGCGACCGAATCGAAAACAAGAGCCTGCAATGCAGATGATTGCACAGGTCTCCGGCCGCGGACGTTTGCTCAAAGACTTTCCAGTCAATCCGTGCCACTTCCTGCACAGGAATGTACCAGGTACAAACGGTTTGGTGACTATAGCAATCATCTCACCAGTCATCAATACCGACATACAAACAGGCTTATCTTTTGCTGCAATGTCCAGAGTCTTTAAAGCCGCCAAATCAACCTGGACAGGCCAATGGCGTTCAGAAGCGATAATTCCGAGGCCAGTCGATACCTTAACGCTAACTGCTTTGGGCATCCTATCCAGATCTTTCCAACAAATATCGGTGTGCACGAAACCAATTGTCGAGGTTGGACAGGAGGATAGAGATACGCACAGAAAGGGTGGACCTGGTATAAAACATGGTAAGCATCGCAACTCTAGTTTCCCCCGGGGGTAGTACTCTTGGTTTTCGTGGTAACACGAGAACTGAGGCCGACGTGGCTGTTATATGTCCCAGCCAACTACCAACCCATGGGAACATAGCCCTGCATCAATCAGTTTACAATAATGATAGGCTGAAGCTCGAGGTCTCTGGTTTGAGGCCAGATTGCCTCAGGCTGACCAATGCGGACGCCGTATCATACAAGCGTTCACATTGTCGATCCACGCGCTCACCACTAACATTTGGTTTTCTCAATTTAACAGCCTTCACTGAAAACACCGAAAACACCGAAAAAGACCGTAACATTCATATGGAGTTGTGTATGAGCATTTGATGAAACTTCCAGACTGCCAACGAGGATAGCTGATGGAGAGATAGTGTCGATGCGCATGCGCCCAAGTTCCCATCAAAAAAACGACCTGTAACGGCGATAAATGCAATCACCAGCGTTGCGGAGCCTGCAATGTGACCAAGAAGTAGCATCGCTCGACCTCAGAAGGGTGGCTGGCGGCATTGATCACTGGGCATAGTTGATACCCCCTCATGGTATTAGGTCTCAGTGCTACTGGCGGATGCCAGTAAAGGGTCAAGTCCATTCTTTTAGTCCATTCTTTTTTTCAACGCTGCTCCTGAACGAGGTTGTAGCAGAGGTGTGAGATCTTGGGAGGCTGTGTGGGTGATGGTGGCCATTGGGATGAAAATGAATCAGAGGGCAATTGGGACCCAGTCCTCAACGCTTGGCAGGCCATTTGAGCTAGGTGTTATTCTTCACATTCTGGGGAGTGTGATGTAAAATCACCGTAAATCTGGACGGAATCCCCTGGCTTACATTCTGTGAGCAACAGCGGGCTCGAATCTCTCGTGCGGTCGGATTGATGGACAACGGGGGCCCTTGGCCCTTCTTGTGCCGCGAGATATCACTTCTCAGGTCCTCAGACTTTGACCTAAGATACCATCAAATGCGATTGAAACTTCGGATTCCCCTTTGTGCAAGAAGTAGCGGCTTCATTTCCCACTGTGTCCGAGTTGATAGATGATCTAGCCTTGCATAGCCTATTCGATGCTTTTGATCAAGGAATGGCTAGATTCGGGGTAGTTGCAGGCGACAGAGGCAGAAGTAGTCAAGGGCAATGGAGGTTACTTCTCATGCCAGCGTTCTGTATCCAAGGCGTGATGGAAAGTCGAGGGAAGTAGACGGGATTGATGTTGCGCTTGGAAGCCAAGGCGTGGGAGGGAGTCGGAGCCTGTGACAAATGGTAATTACGACTAGGCTGCAGTGTGGCTCCCCCACAACTATTTATCACCAAGATAGAGCAGCCTGCAGTGAGAGGCAGAACCCAGTTATGCACATTCGGGAGGACCAATCCCTGGCTGCTAATGAATTGTGAAGAGAATTCATCGGGGATTTCCAAACTCTCCTAAATAGTTTGCTAACAACTAAGACGGAACCCTACGGAGTACATAGTTGTGATTCAAACCCGGTCCATTCTGGTGACGTATACGGGACCGAGCCCACAGGAATCTTCACATGTGAGAGGAGCTCCCTTGCACGGAGGGAGATCCAGGCCAAGTCTGACCGGGCAATTGATGTTTGTATCACATCTCACACCCTCGGGCCCAGGATCCATCTTTGACGATCAACGTGATCTACACAAGTGTAGTGAACTCTTGGATTATTCTCAGTCTCTTCCGAACTGAGAAGGCCAGGGCTATCTGTGCTTGGGGCGCCATGTGACATCTATTATGTAGGTTGTTAGGTTCCGAAAAGTATGGAACAAACACACACCCACAAAACTGGGCCAACTACTGTGAAACACAGGTACCTATATCTACATTGTTTACATGAATATGAGCGGATAAACCAAGCCAAGGTAGAAGTGTGAACTGTGTCCTTACTCTCTATCTAAACTATTCACTCTTGAAAGGTAAAGGTTGTTTACCCATTGCAAGACCTACAATCTCGCTTTCTGAGGCTGGTTCTGCTCCGCCTCCAGCGCCTCTGCATACAAGCGGTCCAATACATCGCGATACTTCTTGGCTGCGACTGGTCTTTTGAGCTTCAATGTCGGCGTTAGCAATTCGTTGTCGATGGTGAAAGGTTCGAGTTCTAATTGGATATTTCTAACCCGCTCATAGCCCGCGAATTTCTTCTTTCGACCCGCTTTGTCCAGGTCTTTCAGGACTGCTGCCTTGATCTTCGGTTCGCTCGCAGCAGCTTGGATAGCGGGCAGGTCAGTCGGCGAGATTTCGCGACCAAGGACTTTGGAAGCAAACACGGCGAAAGTATCAGGCTGGACGCCTAGAATAGCCACGAGGAAGGTCTGGGCGCTGTCTCCATGAACAAATGCCTGAGCCAGATAGGTCAGGGATGACAGATAAACACCCTCGATTCTCTCTGGGGAAAGGTACTCCCCCTGTGCCAACTTGAGCACATTCTTCCTCCGATCAATGATGGAAAATCTGCCGAGTTCGTCCACACTGCAGATGTCACCTGTCATGAACCAGCCGTCTTCCGTGAAAGCTTTGGCCGTCTCCTCGTCGTTGTGGTAGTAACCCGAAAACACGGATTTGCCCTTCAACAAAAGCTCGCCTCTCGGATATGGCTTATCATGAACAGTATAGTCCATGTCTGGAACGCTCAAGAGACAAGCTTCTTGAGCGGGTACCACGCCGCCCACACTCGAGACAGAGAAATCACCAACTGGCTGGGTCATAGCAATGGCATAGGTTTCAGTCAATCCGTAGCCCTGCATGGTTCGAGAGGAGAATACAATGCGAAGGAAGGCCTGTAGGGATGGATCCAGGGGTGCAGCACCAGAAACCATGGTTGTGACACGATCGAGTCCGAAAGCTGAAGCAACTTTTCGTCCCCAAATGCGGTCGTAGAATGCGTGGGTGAAGGTAGGAGTGGGAGGAGTTGCTCCTACGGACTGGGGAGCGGGATTGGCGTTTGCAAGTTTGGTCTTGACAATATGTCGGCTCAACGCGCCTTTGAAGCCTGGCTGCTCGACCGTCTGTGACTTGATGGCTCCTCCAAACCGATTCCACAGTCGAGGAACAGAAGCAAATGTGGTTGGTCGAAGGAGCTTGAGATCGTCGATCAATTCGAGAGGATTGCCATGGAAATATCCAATTCGAGCCCCCGTCCAGAGCACCGTATGTTCGAGCAGTCGACCATAAATGTGCGCCAAGGGCAAGTAGCTGATTGCAACCCCGTGTCTATCGATAGGTGAACTGGTCAGGGAACATGTCGTTGCGGCAACGGCATGGGCATGCGTGAGCAGGACTCCCTTTGGTGGACCGGTGGTTCCAGATGTATAGTTGATTGTGATGGCATCTGAGGGTCTCGGTGGATTGTAGGGTCTGTTGAGAGAAGCTCCAAGCTTTTCCACCGTCTCCAGAGAATAGATTTTGACGCCTACCTCTTTAGCAAGGGAGTCTAAAAGGGCCTGTTTGGACAATTCTGGAGTCTCGTTCGTGGTCGGAGCTAGCGAATCCAGAACCACAAGGGACTTGAGGTTGGGCAATCGTGCTTTCAATTTGAGAAGTACTGGAACATGTACTAGCGAAGTCACCACACAGGCCAGATCTGCGTGTCTGATGATGTACTCGGAAGTCTCGGGGCCCAAGCTGTCGTAAAGGGAGACGCTGAAGAGCGATTGTGACATGCAAGCCAGATCAGTCAACTGCCATTCCGGTCTGTTTTGGCACCACAATCCAACTCCATATTGAGTGCCCGTGATGCCCTCGCGTGTGTGGATCTCTACCAGGCCAACACCCAAGTCTGCTCGTCTCTTCTGCACAGTCTCATAGTCAAGCCACTCGTAAGGACCCCAGGCCTTCCGGGCTGAATCGTACGGTCTGTAACCGAGGCAAGGAGCATGAGGATATTTCTGGGCAGCAGACTCGAACATATCGTGCCCTGTACGGACTGCAGGGTCGAGAGTCTCAAGGAGGCCATCGCGGCATTTGTGATGTCGGTAGACGGCAGTGCGGCCAGGTTGTTCGGAGCCTGGGAGGGTAATTGAGTAAGGTTGACCCTTGGGAGGAGGTTTGTTGTATTCTTCTGCTGTTTGCAGGAAGAGTGGTTTGGACGAGAGAAGGGATGGCATTATGGCGATGGTTCTGGATGGAACGGGACTGTGGGAGGATATGGAGGGAGTGGAGGGAAGAAGGAGAGAAAGAAAAGGAGGGTGTCAGATAGAAGAGATGACAGAGATTACCAGCTGAAGTGACGAAGCGAGAATGACATGATGATAGAGTCTTGGAAATTCCTTGTGGTTGTTCAGGCAGTGGCCACTGGCCACTGGCAAGGGTGAGTGATTGAGCGAAACGCGGTGTTCGCAGTTCGCCCAGCTCGCAACAATTCTCCGTATAGTAAGGAAGTTGCCTCGGTTTTTCTGCAAGGACGGGTCACGGGGGCTGGTTGGTACAAGCTTTGACAGAGATCGAATGTCGCACCGGTGCTACACCAAGGTTGGTGTCTCCGGGGGTGGAGTAGTACTCGTAGTGGAACTCGGAGGGTGGCCTAGATAGGTTGGGCTGTGTCCGACCAGCCAATGCACAATGCGATAGACGGTGGTCACTGATGGAAGGGGGGGTTTCTACCAATGTATCCGACATTGTGATCTGGTCAAGAATGGAGACTAAACTGCGCATGTGACCGCCGACCACATGGAGGAGCGATGAAAGAATGGAGAACTTTCAATTATCCTTCTGCAGGAACCGGCAAGATCATGACATGTGAAAGTAATGTTGAATAACAAACCCTGGCACCCGCCAGGTAAGGGTAAACAGGTGCACCCGCCTATAAGGCTATAACTCGTACGTCCGCACGGAGGCTCCAGACCGAGAAGCCCTGATTTGTCTACAATACCCGGATTAGCGCTGACGTTGTCGTAGCTCGGAAATTTGTTTCGCCGATACGGCCCTCCCCTCTCACGAGTCTACGAGTACGAGGAGGCCTTACTGTCCGCGGACATTCGCAATATGATGCCAACAGAGCCTATTTCACCTCCTTGAAACTAGATAAAAGAAGTTCAGAGGGAGCTCTCAGCGCATAAGACACGATGGATTCACTCGCCATAATTCCCCTCTGTAGCAATACAGTGATATCGTGGTCCATGCGACTGGAGTCGTGGCCCCGAGATATTTGATTGCAAACAAGAGTAGAGAACAGATCTCGCGAGCTAATTACGTACCTTGCCAACGGACGGCTGTCTTATTGTCTGACCGCCAAGGCCCGGGGGAGGGGACAGATGCATTGCATCAAGGAATACTCTGCTAGGCCACTTGGAGTCTCCATCTGCCTTCAGGAACTTTCATCAGCTCGTGTACGCGGTGAGACATAAATGCCGGGATAATCTCTCCCGTCGCTACTCTCAAGCTTCAACCAGTAACACTGGCCGCAGCGGATGCATCCGCGGCTTGCTTCATTCGCTCTCTCGCGATGTTGATCTGCTCCGACAGTCTCCAAGGGTAGTCGAATTTGCCCATGAAGATTTCGCAAAGCTGGCACGCGTTCGTCAGTATACATCGCTCATCAATATGTGAAATAGCATCGGGGGATGCTCACCTGGATGTCCTTGCAACTTCCAAAGTGATCGTCAGTAAGCACCGCCTCCAGCTCCTCGACAGTCTTTGCACTTTGGCTCTTTGCCTTGATTCCAGTAGCTTCCCGCGCACCAAAGAACTCCAGCATTTTCTGATGATCCCACAACATGCTGACGTCGTTGTAGCCTTGTTCAGGGCCATGGATCGCCCTCTCGATGGCATAGCCATCGTTGTTGATAACGAAGATAATGGGCTTATACCCGTAGCGGATATAGCTACCGATCTCTTGCACCGTCATTTGTAGACTTCCCTCACCAACGATCAGAATCACCCGCCCGGAGTGTTTGAGCTCTTTAGCCGCAACGAGAGCTCCAAAGCATGCCCCGACGGTGAAACCAATGGAAGACCAGAAGATCTGGGTAATGTATCGAATGTTCGGAGGGAAAGTGGAGTCTGGTACACCAAATTGTGCAGTTCCGGATTCTGCGAGAACAATGTCGTCCTCTTTCAAGAATCGACCAAGTCTCTGCCAGACGAATGACTGCTCAATTTTCCCCGAATCGGACTTATTCAAAACTGGTGGCTCAATTTTCGGCTTGGACGACCGCCTTGGGACGTTGAACTTTTGAGGGTAAGATTCTAGCTCGGCAACAATTCGCTTCAGTATAGGGAGGAAATGAAAGTTGTCGAATTTCTCGTCTTTGATTTGACAAAAGTCGTGGCCCAGACGTACTACATTTTCATCGTTGAGGTATCTGGTGAACCCTCCAGTGTTCGAATCTGACAGAAGAGGTCCGATGTTCAACACCAGATCTGAGCTCTCAAGGCCATCCGCAACTCCCGGAAATGATACTAAGCTACGTCAGTAAAAACTCATTGGTCGAGAATGAACGAGGCGTACCGCGGCCGTTGAAGCAGCCATTATAGTATGGTTTTGTCTCGTCGATGACTCCTTTTGACAAAGGTGTTGAGTAGCTGGGGAAACTTGTCAACTCGGCTAGTTGTTTGGTCAATTGTAATCCTCCATGTCGAATGGAGAGTACGTCGGCCAAGATCGCTGGGTTTGAGGCCTTTTCGATCAAAGAGAGTACTGTTTCTACAATCCTGTCCTCTGTTTTGCTGTCAGGATTGGTAATTGACGTATTCAAGGGGGTATCTAAGCGCTTGGCATCCAGCTGTACGGAGACGACATCAGCGGGGACATAGATGTATACTGGCAGTCTGCTCTGAACACAAGAAACGATGACGCGGTCAATGTCTTCTGCCATGGTCTTGTCTTCCATCAGAAATGCATGGTCCTTGCGAATGGGTGCGGCCATGTGAATATAGATGCCGTGGTCCATGTTTGGTGCCATAGTGTGGTGGAGCATGACTCGATTCTTTTGCACTAAATTGATGAAGAGAACCGTTAGTATCAAGTCCCGTTTCAGCCATCTGAGGCTCATATCGACTTACTCTGTCTGGCAGGCATGCCGACAATGTGGATCATTCCTGCATGCTCGGCGTAGGCTCCTGCGACACCATTCATAGCTGACAGTTCGCCAACGGCGTAGGTTGTGATCAGGGCAGCTGGAGAGCCCTTGATCCTTGTGTAACCATCAGCAGCGTATGCTCCATTGAGCTCATTGCAGCACCCGACCCAGTTCAAGCCAGGCACTTTATAGATCTCGTCGAGGAGAGTAACTAGCGGATTCCAAGAGTCAGCGGTAGCTCCTAGAAGTCAAGCATAGAATGGCATGGGGATGATGTGCTCCTGAGATTGCTACTTACGGTTAAAGTCACCAGGAACACCTAGAATATGTTCGGTCCCTAATTCCTTGATACGCCTGAAGAGATACTGGCCCATGGATATTGTTGATCCCGCCATGATGGTTATTTGACGTCGTGCACGAGACGCTTATGAATTGTGGCGTAATAGAAGCTATGGATGGAAGTATACCAGGTTGTTGATGATTAATAAAGAGACTTGATGCGGGAGACGTGGGGTGAGGGGAAGTGAGGTCAAGGTCACGTGGTTCGGCGTGATGAAGACTCCCTTCGATGGTTTTGTCAGGCGTCCTAGTAAGTGCCTTGGGTAGGCGCCGAAGAATAAGTCTAGAAGGCGAGATCAGACTTGTCAATTTGAGCAGTGAACTCTCATAACGTGGGGGAGAGCAGGGTCATAAAGAGATGTCGATTGTTTAGAACGCCTTATGTCAATTCTAACCAAAGCACATCCCATGGGGGGGAGACGACCGAGGCTCGTTGATGCCCGGAACAGCCCGCAAGAGCCCGCTTATCGACGGGCAATGAATAGCCGTTATTGCAGATTGGTGAAGAGCTGTTGGTTTTCCAGGGAAATAGTTTTGTGGAAACTGAGAGGCCGCGGACCCATTGTCGAACGTTTCCTCGATAACCGCCAGATTCCCTCTGATATTTTGACCCACGACGCTTCAGCCAACACGACGAGATATCCCGATCGATCCAATGATTTCAACGGAAATTGAGCGTGTCGAATAGTCAGTATGACCTGATCAGCCGATACCTAGAGTACTCGCGGACGGAAAACCTAATTGCCATAAACGGTTTGGTCCTAGAGGGTGAGCGAAGGCTGCTTTACCCTGAGCTTGAACTGACTCTCACGAAGTAACTCCCTGAGCAGCACTGAGCTATTCACAGGGAGCGCCCAAGTTGGCCCTTCAGCGACCGGCTAGGCCCACTCCAGCTTCTACACTTGAGTGCCCGCCTGAGTCATGGCTAAGTCATACACAGTACAGTGTTTGAGCCGTGGCTGTGCGGTTCTGGGATTAATGGTCTCGTGATTGGGCAGCGGTGGGAGGGAGGGGGCACTGCACTCTGCCACCGCGATGTCAGCCTTGCCTGATCCACCTTTTGATCAACACCTCTCATTCTTGCCTCTCAACGAAAATCCCTTCTTTTCGCTATCATGGTGACATTCTGCATTGCCATTTCTTAGTTTTCTTTTCCGAAGGACTCTTTATCTTCCAGAAATTGCGCATTCCAGCTCGTTCAAACTTTTGCAAGGAGGCTAGATATGCCCGGACCACACGTATGGCTTCCGAAATGGGACGATGCCGAGGACAGTGTTTGGAGAAAAGAAAGTGGTAAAAGAGAATGCCGTCTCAGCAGAAGCGAGCTTGAGTCAAGTTGTCGCACTTGTCTTGAATTGAATCGTCAACACATGTTGGGTCGGGCCGCAGTTTGTGTGCAATATTCTGACCTTCAGAGGTCGGTCACTTCTGGCTGTCAATTCTGCTCCCTAATCTGCCAAACACTTCAACACTTTCTTCCATACAGTGAGGAGAAATGTTTCGCACCAGATGAGGTTTTTGAGTTGAACATGGCCGCAGGAGAACCGATTCTTCTTGACAAAAAGATGATGTCGCCATATTTCCCCAGTCTCATGCTCTACATGCGGTCTGGTATGCTTGGCATTCTTTACCGGTTCACCAGGATTATTCGCATGTTCTACGATTGGTAATATTGGGCAGACAACGCACAGGAGTCGGACATGTTTGCGACCGCAAAAGAAATCTCTACCAGTTTCGGTGCCAAAGAATGCACGGAGCTTGCGAAAAAGTGGTTGACAGACTGCGTCAATCTTCACAAGGACTGCAACCGAACCTCTCCTTCAAGACGCCCCCAGCGCCTCATCAACATTGGATCCGATAACACTAAGATGAGGCTTTCGGAGGACAAAGCCGTTTGTGCCCCATATGCAGCTCTCAGTCACTGTTGGGGCAAGTCCCATCCCATCACTACCAAATTGTCAACGATAAATTGTAGAAGACAGAATCTGGATTGGAGTTTGTTGCCGGCAACCTTCAGAGACGCTATCACCGTGACACGGGGTTTAGGACTAAGCTATCTCTGGATCGATTCACTCTGTGTCATTCAAGATGACGATCGTGACTGGGAGGTGGAATCTGCCAAAATGGGCTCTATCTACGAAGGAGCTTATGTCGTTATCGCAGCAAGCATGTCATCGGATCCAGATTGTTCTTTCCTCTCTCCTCGGAAAAATATGTTTACAGACTTCCTCGAGGTAACATATCGACAAAAGGATGGAAGTCACCGTCTTGTTAAGGCAAGGCCTGTCATGGTATTGAATAAGTCCATCGATCCGCTTGGCAGACGAGCATGGACGTTCCAAGAGCAGCGACACGCCGTGCGGCTCCTTCGTTACTCTACGACGGAATTGCAATGGAATTGCCGCACTAAGTTAGGATGCGAATGCGAATCCACCCACGTTAAGGCTTCGATTTCAGACATTATTTACGGACGATATTGCATTAGAGACGTCAATAGCTCGTCAGAGCAGGTATTCAGCGAGTGGCAGACAATGCTCCCATCTTACACAAGAAGGAGTCTTACAAAAACATCGGATATACTTCCAGCAATATCTGGTATTGCCGAACACATCTACGAGAAAACCTCCTCTTCCTACTTAGCAGGGCTGTGGAAGGATAATGTCCTAAGTGATCTTCTTTGGCAAGTTTCACTCTATCTACGTGACGACATTTCGGACTATAATGGCAACATTTGGGGCTTCTCGCTACTCCGGACAATGTCGACTTACCGGGCGCCAACGTTTTCCTGGGCTTCGATAGATTCAGAAGTCGAGAACATTTGCGACGACTTCGATACAGACGCGCAGATGGACGCAGTCATTTTAGATGCACAATGCGCACTGAAAGGTGCCAATCCTTTTGGTGAGGTGACTGGTGGTCATATCAGACTTAAATCTGCTATAGTACAGGCTATATTACCGCCCGCTATGAAGATGATGTGGTAGGCAAGCGAGAGACGCTAGAATACATGGGACGTTTTGAACCAAACCACCATGGAATGACTACAGATATGATCGCCGACTTTCCTTTAGTCGAATGCCTAGCTTGGACTGAAGCAGGAGTACGTGTGCGGACCATGAGACGGGCTTCAGTCGGCGATGATCTTAAATCGATCACCGGCTCTGTTTTCTGCGTCGCTCTTTTCCGCGGTCTCAAAGGCCGTCAGTTCGGGCTAGTATTGGGACACTCCCCTAGAGTCCCAGGAGCTTATGAACGACTTGGAGTTATGGCTTTTGATCGTGTCTACTCATACGGAGATGGAAAGCGGGTTGAATTCGCCGCTGAGGTTTGGTTTGCGGGTGCGGAACGATATGCCGTCACAATTGTGTAAAAAATCAAATCAGGTCAGTGTAGGCCGTTGCTTGATAGGATGAGATTTTTCAGTAGTTGAGAATTGACGGAATCGTTTAATTGTCAATCGCAACAGCAACGGAGACCTGCATCCAGTTATTAGGAGAGGTATTGGCACGAGGCTAAGAGGGTGATCTCTACACTTAAAGACTTGAGTCTTGGTGAGCATCTCGTCGGCTTCCTGAGAGAACAACTAGTCGTTTAGATATGAAGTGCACCGGAACGAGAACATCTCTCCTGAACCTCATCATCAATTGCTGCCTTTTCCATCTGCTCTAGTCTATTTCAACAACGTGGATATAGTTACAGGAACAGCTAGATCAAATCCTTTCTGCTAGACAAACATTGTTTGAGTCAATATACTCCTTGGAAACCTTGCATACCCCTCGACCTTTTCCCACTCTGTCAAGAAATCCCTGGTCGCGAACAATATCTTAAGTTGTGCGGCTAGATACGGCAAGCGCACACTAAGCACTCTGGTTACGAAGTTCTGATAAGCTTCAAGAGTCAATTCTTCCTTAAATTTCCCTAGTGAAGAAGCGAGCTGAACTACCTCGTCGTATAGCTGACTTTCGTAGCCGGGGTTGTTGCCGAAATCTTCCTATGTATCAGCGAAGCGCTCTAGGAGACTGTCGACCTTCTCGGTATTATCTGAGCATAGTGCCAAAAGAACACGGATCCTATCCACTACGTGTGTAGGTCTAAGATCAAAGAAGCGGCAGAGTCACAATAAAAGTGAGAGTCGCCTTCTCTTCTCTTTTCATCGATGATATTATACGCTTTCCAACTCCTAAACTTAGATATTGAGAAAAAGTTGATAAGTTGATTCCCAACTACAATATCATCACCGCAAAGTATCCAGCAGTTCTGTGGAAGGACTACCTGCTAGACGATCTATACACTAGTCCAATATGTCGTCGTGTCCAGTAATCGATGTAAGTCTTCGCGCACGAATGAATCGTACGGGCTTAGCCGCCGCTGAGATTCATCCCTCGGTAGCTCATAGCTGTTGGAGCAGGTCCCACAAATTCTCTCGTACTTGGTAGGCTGCGCATCGATAACGACAATATGCTGTTTAAATGGCTTGAGGGTAAGCATTCCCCATTCGTAAGAGATGCCCGGGGGGTCAATGTCTACTGTAGACTGGTTAATGTGATTAATAGGCTTTGTGGCCGAACTCGAGTTGGTTTAGAAGCCACGAGGGCGGAGACGGGCCGATCTAAAAGTGGAAGAAAATTCGGTGACCGCTTCGGTGACCTCAAACGTGCGTAGCTTCGCTGGCGGTTCCGTGAGGTCCCCTCTTTTTGAATGACACCTACGAGGAAATAGAATGTATGTCGCGCTCTTGGCCTGATAGCTTGCAATCACAGCGCTCAACTGATTTGTACAGCGAGTATAGAATCCCAACGTGAGCAATAATATTGAAGAGCGAGATATACGCCATCTAACTATAGATAAATACGACCCAGATGCTTGCTATCGATTGGAGCAGATATTGGGACGAAACTCTCTTTCTTGAAACGCCCAGGCAAACTCCAGCAGACGCCTATTTGTACAAAACCCATCGTTCAATATATCTAGGTACTCTTTGCCACTTTTGGGCGAGCCGATCACCATATATTTTAACCTCGTTTTAGAGGAACACCAAAATAGTAAAATAGTAAAATCACTGGAAGACGTTGTTTGATCAAGCACCTCCTCTTCCCTGTTCAAAGGTGTTTACAAGCTCCCTGGTCAAGTTCTTCTCAGTCAACCACGAGTCGTGGGATGGACTGTATCCCTTCCACCGTATTAGATACTCCATGGTGCCTGGTTGAAGCATTCTTGAATCGAGGATTCCATCGACCTCCCAGTACTCGGTCTCGCCTCCTCTCTGTTTCTTGAAGTATTGGATCCACTCGGGCGTCAAGTGCTCCTCGGGCTCCCAAGAGTCGGAATCTTCACTCATATCCTTCCAGCGAATCAGATACTGTGTGGTGCCACCGGGCAGGGTGCGTGATTTGAGAACATCCTCGACGGCCCAGGAATCGTGACCTTTGGTGACTTTCACTGCTGGTGGAGCACTCCTCTCAGCTCCCGATCGGAAATTTCCCAAGTTCGACAACTGAAAGCTTACCTTCCGACCAGGTCTATTCTTTTCCAGACCATCCTCTTCCACACGCGCATAGACGCCCTTGGATTTCCTCAATGTGTACCATCCCAGGACCAGTGTCGCGACAGCACCGACTTCTAGGAGTCCGACCACGAGCGCTCCCCACCACGCATAGCGCATCTGGTAGCAGAGTGCGTGAAGGTTTGCAGTACCCGAGTTCAATGCATGTCGACGTGCGCAGGTGAATGACAGCAAGTCCCAATGTTCCTCTGGCTTGAGATCGTCAACCTTGTAGAGTATCGCGAGAACGATCCAGAGCACGAGGCAGATAGAGCTGACAATAAGCGTGAATATGTTACCAACGTTAGTCAAATGTCGAACCTATTGAAATGTCAGCCATCAACCGAATTGTCCGGCGCAAAGACCTATCGAAAGGAGTAGCTTACTACTGCTGAAAAACTGGCAATGCAAATAGTCAAACTCAATGCGGTGGCCACAGCAGCAGCGCTCAGGAGCAAGATAGTCGGCTTCATCTTGAGCCCCGTCGGCCAGATAGGCTCGCCATTAGCCTCATCGTGCTTTGTAGAATCATACACCGCAATGGCGTGCCCAAGAACCACCACCAAAGCGAAGGACAGCACCAGTGACAAGACACGCAGAACCAGGCGTGTCCGATAAACAAAGCTCGCGCCTTTAGGGCTGGGGAGATGAGATTTGGCCAAATGATGGATGGACATGGTACGTTTGAAGAACGAGTTCGACGGCCCGCCCGATCCACGCATTGGCTGCATTGGCTTCATTGGCTGTTTTCCCTCGAGGAGCGACTTGCTCGCGGTCTCGCTGTCGTCGCCCTGAGGGATCTGGTCTCGGTACGCTGCGTTCGACATTTTGGGTGGCCTTGATGATATTTTTTTCGCAGAGGGCGTGTAAAGTGAACGGCTGGCGCGCAAAAGAAGAGAAAACTTCATGTGCCCGCAGACCGGCCTGTCATCGTACATATGTAGGGAAGTCGAGCTTATCAGAATTGCCCCAACCAGCCTAGTTCGGAGCCAGTGCATCAAGGGGTACACTATTACGGACCGCCAGCGCCATTGTGAACTGGGACTCGAAGGGGGCGAGGTCATTTGGGAACCCATGAGAATAGCCATTTGGCCATGGGTCTGACCCTCTGCCATTGGCGACTGGCAATTGCAGAGGGGTTCAAACAGCTTGGGGAGGCGTCTCGGACCAAACCGACCATACAGCCCCAGGCTGTGAGGTGATCTAGTACAATAAGAATCTGACGTGGTGCACTGCCGAAGAAACGAACGCCAATGATAGGGTCCAGACTACGCCGAGTCTGACCAGCCCTTTGCCTGTTTCAGTGGATGGAGGAGGTGGCTGATAACCAGAGCTGGAGATTAGCCCATCTGACTAAGAGGACTCTATTCTCGGGCATTACTGCGTCATCAACCAAGCCTAATGTGGATTGAGGGCGATGAATGACTGGCATACCGATCCCTGTCTGTCCCGTTGAAATAGCATATACTCATACATATCTGCTTGCTAACTTGGTGATTAATGTAAGAGTTCAAATCTCGGCGACTCAATAAACACTTGCCCTTCCTAATATAGCCCCGTGCGATGTTGGCTAGTCCTCAATGGAGAATGCTAAATGTCGAACTGATCCCTACGCAATCGCAATAATTTACTCCGCACCCAGTAGTCCAAGTGACATTTTGTGCTCTATTGAACCGATGCCGCTTGTTAATCAGTGGCGGTCAGCCGTGGGTTTAGTCCAAATGCTAGTTACTTACGAGGACTCACAAGGTAAAGACGAGCGCAATTGCGTGTCATCTACTCATACACTATTCAAGGTAATTTTTCGTAGCGTTGTGTCCTGTACCTTCCCCCTTGCCCTGACCACCTTTTGTTCTTTACTGGTAATCTTGTTCTGCCCTCGTGGCCATGAGATCGACGCATCAAGTATGTTGTAGCACGAAAGCATTGTGAACTTCAAGCAGTTTAAGGCAAGTATTAATGCACAAAAGCCATGCAAATGCTTCCAGCACAGGAGACTTATGTTTCGGTACGTGTTATCTCTGCTGGCAGAGTTTCTGTTGTTACATATTGCTAAGGTGGAGTTAGGATCTCCTAAGACATACCTTTTGGAATGAAGATTTAGGCATGGATTTGGGGCTACGGAAATAAATGAAGAGTTGATTCCACTATTCATGAACGGGTAGCGCTCCTGGTCACCCTTTGAAACAACCTTTTGTGTAAGTTGTACACCCACACAGGACATGCAAGATAAAGAAGCCCAACGCCATCGACAAAGAAACCCATTCCAGCCAGATCCCGCTCGCCATATATGTGTACAAAAAAGCAGAATTCGAGGAACCCCTTTGTTTGACCACTACTTTCTTGTTTTCGGTTTTCTCGAGAACTGTGTTCTCGAGGAACGATACTGCCCATTAGCAAGATCAGTGATCCGTCGTTCGCATCAGATATCAAGGTAGTCAACCCTTTGACAAAATCAAAAATGTTCCCTATCCCGAGACAGCTCTACTGGCCAAGTTTTTCCAGCTGTTGACTGAGTAACCGATTCACTCCGTGCTCAGGATTATCCCGAGCACTCGCGCCTCAACTTCAAGACTTAAACCACCCCTTCCCGTCCGCTGTTGTTCGACTCGTCAAGAGATTAGGCCAGTATTTTATGAGTCGTAGGTGGTATCCAAGCAAGAGCAGGTGGAAGAATCAACTATCCAGGAAGAAACAATGTTACCACCACGGCACAGCTTCCTTGGTCGAGATCTGGCCACCAAGTTCGGGCCCAGTCGACATATCCTTCGGTTGATCAGCCAATGGACAGGGAAGAAGTTTCGACATTCTATCAATTATCTTGTACTTCGGTTCTGGGAGAGCTCTGCGCTTATGTATGCTGAGAACGGGCATATCAAGGCAAGCCCAATAGAAGCTCATTGATGGAAACAAATATTTGTTCCTTAGGAGCGGAAACGGCACTCCATGGACTTCCTGCCGATAACAAAAGTACTCCGTAGCCAGTATATAGCCCACTGCTATTGATTAACTTCGAATTCTGTATCTTCTACTATTTAGTACGGAGCTCGGCACGTGTGGATCAATGCCGGGCTAGTCCGTAAAGCCGAAAGGACCGTCGCTTTAGGAGCGGGGGGTCGTCACGTCCCTCAACCTAAACCAGCTTCCGAGGGCTGGTTGCCATGTTTCCCGGCCATGAAGGTAATGCGTTTGACTTGGTCCACGCACGCTACTTGGCAGGCTCAATAAGGGACCGACCAAGCCTTATGAAGCAAGCGTATGCGCCCACAAAGCTGTGTTGTTGGGTCGAACTGCATGTGGAATACTGATGGCAGTATTCCCGAGAAGAGAGCCCCTTTTACTTCTGGCATAACGTCGTCTCTGGGCGCATAGAGAACACGAATACCGGGCGACCAGGCCTTCATCTGGGCGGCTGGATCCGAGACGCCAGAATCATTACTTTTGCGGTCAGGAGGTTTCGGATACCTCATAAGATATGGCCGAAGGATGAACGCCTCAAGCGAATCGGTGCCGTAAGTTACTGCCCGGTCGTCCATGCCCAAATCCAGTCTTAACAATGTAATACCGCGTACTCCCCAAGGCTAATCTGCTTTTACTACAATGGAAACAGGGACTAGAAGGCATCACGATCGGATCATCCACCTTGGTAGGGAAACTTCCGACCAGCCCTGCGTGGCCGACAGAAGAAACTCAGGTCCTAATCGCAAAGGCGAGAGCCGACTCCTAAAATCGCAAGCATCGCCGCCAATATAGCCTGTGGGTTCCTCTTCAGCAATAATGATTTCATAAACTCTCAGAGCCTGAGCACCTTAGTTATGTCGCTTATGGTTAGAAGCCTGAAAGTATGGCTGCTCAGCAAGGCCAACGAAACGTTTAACGAGCGGAGGAAGCCCGATTCAGCTAGGGTTGTCACATCTATGTGCGGTGTCCTAAGATCAATCAAACCGTGTCGACAAGATGGTGCACTAAAACAACTATTGGGCACGAGCTTTCCAATTCCCATTGCGTAAATATGCTGCCGTCCTCACTACATGGCGCATGAGCGGGGCTTACTCACCGTGAAATTGGTTCCTGGATACTTCTATGTTGCCAATCGCGCCATTGTTTACAGTCCGTCAATGGGACGGCGCGCTTCAAACATTTCCAGCCTTTGATCTACTCATAATAGTCAGCATACTGAATCGCTTTGTCTATTGGAAAGAATGTCAGCCTCATGCGAGAGCTTCAAGGTTGCGGAACTTGAGGCTGCGGCGCCCTGGTTATCTTGGATCCGATGATCATCCTTCAAGAATACTTTGTATTACTACGGTAGCGGCAGCTAGCTGTCGTGCTCGGGGAATTCTGATGCAGGATTGCTCACTCAGCGAGCGTCTTTGAGTGAAGCCTAGATCTAGAATTCACCAAGATCTATCGGAGACACACGGGGTGCCGCATCGCAGAGGTCTTGAAACTGCGACGAAGAATAAAAATTCGGATTGAGGTATCTCAGGCTCATTTGAAATCTTGTCAGCCCGAACCTCGCGCCAGGTTTACGACATTACTTCAAAGGAACGAATTTAAACTGAAGGAAAAGAGGGATGATATAATTCTCTGTGCTTGAGTCTGACGTATCCCACCGGCTACGAATTTCTTTGCTCCCTCTCAATGCAAGTTGAAACGGGACGTTCATACATAGTGATACACGATCAAAGTCTCTTAAACTTATACTTCCTTGACCCTCACTTCAGAATCCTTTTCATCTCTGATCGTTCCTCGTGGCTCCACACGTTTCCTTTTCTTGCGATCGGGATTCATAGTTCAAAGTCAAAGCTAAGTCTCAAGTCTCCGACTCTCACCACCGCCATCGATGTCCTACCATTTCTTCATTGACGAATTCATTTTTCGTCTCTCCACGCACATATATTGGTGGGTATTCTAGCCCTTCTCTCGATTTTTGAAAATGCCTCGGGGAACCATGGCCACTGCGGCAGTCGAACCCAAAGATCCTAAATTCGATGCGTTCGTGATCACGGTCAAAGATTTGGTTCTGCAGGATCCGTTTCCGGAGCATCCAGAAGCAGAGTTCATACATGTCAGACAACCTTTTCACAATGAAGATGTATACAAACACTTGGCCGAAACTCTGGGTACAGGCCGCACAGCTCAGCGCGGGTCGGATAAAGGTCTGAAATGGGTGTCTAAGGGACTCGAAGATCGAACTACTACCAAATCCTTACTGGTCGGCTACGTATTCCAAGGGAAAACGCAGTGTGGATACCCTGGTATAAGTCCTCAGGATTGTTCTAGACTTCGTCCAAGTGACGGACTGATTTGCTGCTTCACACCTGACTTCAGCAAGTTCTTATATGTGGTCTCGCCGATCTCACCTGATTACCGAACCTCTTCCATCATTGAACCCCTCAACATCCATCTCTATGCAATAGTTGTGGAGTCGGGAATAGGCCGACCCTTCAGAGTACGGCATGACCATGTCTTCTTCCTCCATGAGTTCCGGACTCATGGAATACCGATGCAGGAGCGGCGGCCGCGGGCATGGTTGAGAAACGTCGGAAAGGTGTGCAAAGATCTTGCAACAGTCAAACCTACTGATGATCCCGATGCACCAGTCCACCCAACACAAAACGTCAGTGGATTGATCGGCCCAGCATCCATCAGTGATGATGAAAGCAAATACCTTGTCCATTGTCTCGACGAACCTGTCGAGCTCGGCAGCTCCAACGACCACAGCGAGTCCCGTGCATCCAATTGCTCTTGGGGTCCAGATTACCACAATAAGTGCTCGGAGGAAAGTGAGGGCTCTTCGACGAGCTCGGAATGCATGGAGCAAGCCAGAGAGGACGAATCAATGGGCACGGTTCTGAAGGCAGCAAACGATAATCACCATGTGCTAGCGCAGAGTCTTCTTTATCTGTGATGGGAGACATCTCTATGTGGATGGAAAGCGAGGTAATTGCCTCCGAAATCACCCTTGTGAATAAGTGGGCCAAGCGGATGCGAAAGACCACTACTGAGATTCATGGGTCTGGGTCTGGGTCTGCCTCGCCGGCAGCTCGGGAGGCAGCATCGCAGGTGTGGACAACTTTCTTCCAAGAATTCAAGAGATTGTCCAAGGAGTCTCTGGAGAACCTTCGAGAGTGCACTGTTGTAGGCTCGACCCAGGATGAGGGGCGAGGTTTGCTGCTGGAGACATTGAAGGAAGATCGTGAAGTATGAGGATATGAAGGCAATCAATGGCGAGGAAATCTTTTCCATCGCACAAACTTGAGACTTCGGGTTCGCCCAGAGATATCTCTTTCGATTGTGCTTAAAACAACAGATATTCAATCATGGGGCTCGTAGGTGACAAGTCTAGCTAATCGGCATGGATTTCAGATAAACAAACGTTGGCTAGAGATGGTCATGTTAAATCCCCAGGCGAACTAGCGACGATCAGTCTCTCCATAGTTAGAAGTGGCATGGCATCCTTCCTCATCCCACTACCAACCCTTCCTCGCATCATCAACTCAGGTCCACGTTTCCCTATCCCACTGAAACCTTGGTTCATGCGTGTTCGAATACCTACTAGGTGACGTGCTCGCACCGACCGGATTTCTTTCGTGCCCGAAGCCATGCCATTTCTCTTGCCAGCTCTCAATACTCTCAGTATCAGAGTTGTTCTCCGTTCCACTTCGCCTAGCCCGAGACCTCCGAGGCTCAGGAACCCGGTGGACGTTGCTTGTTTGCGTCATTGGACTAGAGAAACTAAGGTGTCCTCGCTGCCTCGGAAGGGAACCGGAAATGGTTTCAAAGCTCTCTTTCGCTCTTGCCTTTGTCGCGTCTGCGTGGTACGTGCGTCGGTAAGGACCATATGTGATGTCCATGAAACCATTGTTGTCACCCGTATAAGTTGCGCGCAGGGAACGCACACTCCGATTTCTGGATCGAGTTTCGGACCAGCGGTGTAGTGTGGTGAATCCGGGACACCAGGACATGTGCATGTCGAATGACTTTTTGTGGAACCGACGCCAAGCGAGGAGAAGAACGAGCATGAGGAACGCCACTCCAAATACCACTGACAAGATTATGGTCAACGTACATGCAGCCTTACTGCTAGGAGGAATTTCCGCTGAAGCGGGTTCAGTTCCCACTGTAGACGTCGGATCTGCCAGGGGTGCTGATCGAGAGGAGCTGGCTACCGTTGCTGCTTCTGGCAACGAGGAAGACGTGGAGGTGGAAAATGTGTTTGGCGTTATAGATGCATGAATAGCGGATTGAGAAGTGGAGTCTGAGTCAATAGAATTTGTCTCCGAGGCGGCTGCCGGAGTTGTTGGATCGATGATCTTTGGACTTGTCGGACGGTAGGACTCTGTGGTGGTCATGACGGTGGAGGGACTGACATTTGAAAACTAGCGAAACGGCATCAGTATCTCTAGCTGTATACCAGTGTTCCATTCGGGAAATAAACCAGATAGAGGTGCTAATATTCTCATCTGGGGGTTGAGGTATTGATTTGGGGGGGGGCATATAATTCAGGGTGTGGGTACGCAGGAATGCCGAGAAACGTGATCGGGCCTCTGATGGAGCAGCTGGGAGAATATCTGGGGGAAAACCTTTGACGAAATTGGAGGCCATGGTATACATGGTCCTTGAGTGCTTGGGTTTGTGGTGGCTGACTTCCCTGGATTGGATTGCAAACTGCAGGGTTTTGAGGCAAAAACCAATAAGAAGCAAGATGATGTTTAGACAGTGAGGCAAATCAAATGACAGCATGAATACTTACATCACATACTGTGCCCGAGGAGGGCGAACAGCTTGGGGATGGCATGACCGTCGCAAACGGGTCTTTCGCGCTGAGTGACCGTAAGATGTCCGATGTACTTCCCAGTTCTTCACGCCAACAAGTGAGGGATGCCCCGGGATTACTCGTCTTAAGCGAATGGCATGAGGCCCCAATAACATCCAATGATGTCGGTGTATCGGGAGATGTTTTTTGTGCATTCGATAATTCTGAGGATGCCGTCAGATTTGGCGGAGCTGTTAGATCGGTTGTGTGGAAACTTGGTGATCCGAATTCATTGAAGTTGTTGCTAGATGAGAATATTGCCATCGTATCATTTGCGGTGCCGCTCTCGGCCGTTGGGACTCCAGATGGCGGTGGTTCTGCTGGTAATATACCTGGGCCTCCAGTATACGGGGGAGGCCTTTTCCGGGAAAATACAGTCGGAGGTCCGCTTTGGTGGCCGGCTTCCTGCCAGAGCGCCGCTGTTGGTAAACTGTATCCCATCCCTGTTCCCGTGTCACTCCAGTTCCCAAGATGAGAACCTGAGCACTTTGCCAAAAGCAGAAGAGTCGAGTTGTTATCCGGAGCTATGTCTTTCACTTTCACGCCCAGCCTAACTTCAGACGGCAAGGGATAGAAACCACTGCATTCTGCTGGTCTGTTTCTCCGAACGATATTGTCGCCGCACCTGCGTTGTGACATGTAGATTCCGAATTTCTCGAATGAGGAAGAGGGCGATGAGGTGATGGGGATAGAGCTGTTTGAAGCATAGCCAGTTTGAGTGAAGCCAGTAGAATCGGTTGCAAACGCTCTCCTTGCACGAGACGCATGGCTGTGCACAGTCACATCAGGACCGGCAACCATGGTGATCGGGGCATGCGTCCTAATCACAAAGCTGCCCTGGTATACGGCAGAGATAGGCACAAGACTTTCTGGAGGACCAGAGATCAATCTGTACCTTCCACTAATGAGCCAGGTAGCAGTCTAGTTGTTGGGTCAAATGCAGGAGTATCCATCCCGTGTTGTTCAAATGTAGACGGCTGTTTTTGTCAGTGTCTGGCTCGTATCGAAGGAAAAGGTTACCAGTCAACATGAAGACCTATGTCATGAAATCAGAAACGCAAAACCCTAAAATCTTCCTAAGAAATGGTCTAAATGTCGCTCAGTAAAGACTCAAAGATGTCTGATGTTCATATCTGATAAGATGAGTCAACGAGTCAAGTTTGAACTGATGGTCCAAGTGAAGCAGGTCCTGACCCTGTAGCTCGGGATCTCTGCACAAGTGCCCTTTCTCAGCCCAAGCAGTTACAGTCGACAAGGGTCAGGAGCTTTAAGTCAGAGTTCTTGTTAACTACCAAGAGCACAGGAAAAGGGACACAGGGCTCCTATCACGTTACCTTGCCCTGGATGTGACAGATAAGAACATACAGTTCTTGAAATATTCAAGTGAGGGGGGCCGTACAGTAATCAGAACTTTGTGGTTGATCCACTGTCGGGGAGTGCAAAGTAAAACTATGATTTGTCTTTCATGGATCATCATTTGGGCTGTCCTTTGCGGGTCTGTAAGGATTTGATAACGCACGTTTGAACCTGGGTATGGAAGATCAACTGAATTAGCAGGAGAAGGGCGCACCAAGCTTGGTTCTCCTATCGAATTGTTATGTTCTTCCAACTCCCACAAACTTGACAACGTTCCGTCATTACTCTGCCGAGGCAGCCAATCCGTCCCAATATCCGGCGGATAAAGAGACGTTCTTGTTCCCAGGACCTTTGATAGCTATCGGAAGCAAGAAAGTCTAGACATGTAGTGAACTCGGACCGATAATGCGCCTAAACTCCCTTTCAAAGTCGATGTTGAGGCAAAACCACTGTTGTGAAATCGTCGACCAGAGCCTCAAGTTAGCGTCGCGCCAACCTTGCGAAACATGAGCCCAGTCCTACCCACGGCCCCACCATTGGAAAACAAGTTTGCATCATGCTGTGTTTCGACACTGCAAAGCGTGAGTAGTGTTGGTTAGATCGTAATATAACTAGCAGCAACCGCCAGCAGCTCCGGATTGAACGCCCTGTCCTTGTCCGACTTGTACAGTGGGCTTGTTGTTGACGGTGGTAGTTCCCATGCGTTCCTTGATTTGACGAGCCATAGTCAGGAAGGCTTGTTCGACATTAGATGCATTCTTTGCGGAGGTCTCGAGGAACGGGATCCCCAGGCTGTCAGCGAACTCCTGTTGCCTGATCAGTATCCAACACGTGAGAAGGAGCCTTGTGACCGGGTGTGACGAACCTTTGCCATGGTATACTCGACCACCTTCTTGTCCGACATATCACTCTTGTTGCCGACGAGCAATTTGTTGACGCCTTCCGTGGCATAACGGTCAATCTCCTGCAGCCATTGCTTGACATTGTTGAAAGAGTCCATGTCCGTCACGTCGTAGACGACGCAGATTCCGTGTGCGCCTCGGTAGTAGGAGGATGTGATGGTTCGGAAACGTTCCTGACCGGCCGTGTCCCACTAAATAATGTTAGAACCCAATTACTACCGCATATTATTTAGGCAGACGCACGATCTGTAATTTGACGGTCTTTCCATCGAGTTCGATTGTTCGGATTTTCTGGTAAGTAGTCAGCCTCTGGAATAGCCCATGCCGATAGTATGTCAACACGTACGAAGTCGACACCAATGGTAGAGATGTAGGACTCGGTGTATGTATCATCGGCGAATCGCAACAACAGGCATGACTTTCCAACACCGGAGTCACCGATAAGCAGAAGCTTGAAGAGGTAATCGTATCTAACGATGAGGTCAACGTGATGTTCACGGTAGCCGGACAGGCGGCAGGAGAGATCGGGTGGTAATAGTGTGCATGACTCTATTCACAGTTAGAATAATGCATTCGCAGGGTGCAAGGGATAAACCCCCAATGGTTGGGGAGGTTGCGTAGGGGATTGATGACTTACTACTCTGGATTCATGATGGCGGATTAGGGCGGATCTCCTGGAGGATAGGAGATGGGAAAGGATGAGGACAATGGATTGATCGAGAATTAGCGAAGTTGTCAGGGCGTTGGTGGTTTGAAGCGAATGGAAGAGGGATTTGATGATGGAGAATCAATAATGAGAAGGAGAGTCTGGCGTTTGCGGCCAGGCTGGAACTGGAACTGGAACTGGGATCTCAGTAGAGAGGAATAGGATTAGGCTGTGGACTTGACCTGATGGGTCACACCGCAGATGATGGTCTCCGTGGCGTGGCGGACGACAGCTGAGAGGATGGCCTCACTTTGTTGGCTTGGGTGATTCGGTGCTTGTTGGAGGGTGGAGGACTGCTACGACCCATCCAACTGGAGACAAGGAGGGAGACAGGCAAAGACACACATGGAGTCAGCGGTTTTGGCACATTTGCCTTGTTTGCTTTGGGATGACAAACATGCCAAGGACGATATTACTCATCGATATGATGCCAGGAGCAGGAGGCACCCAGAAGGTGCGAATAAACGTGTGACAAAACTTGAAGACAGAAGCGCATGCGTACAGGGAAGATACACTATCATGATTCATAACCTCTAGCATGAGGAACACATAGAGTCTTGTCTGCTATAGTTTGTCTCCGTTCTCTGCCCCAAGATGTCACAGCTGACAACCAACAGTTCCCTAGTTTACCATATGACGCTGTCTAGACACAACGGGAACAGTCTTAATTCGATATGATAGGCTTCGATATCGACTTCCCCTTGAGACTTCCCTTAAGAAGGGCCCAGAATCCTTGAGAGAGGTTTGAGGCGGACACCACAAAATCACAGTAGCATCCAACAATGTATTACCAATATGTGTTCGCCATCTGCAAGAACGACTGATTCTTTGTTGACCAGCACTTCGCACCCATATCGAGAGTGGTCACAGTCAATAGCTGGTGCACTATTTTCCATTTCACTGACATACCTATCATTGTCAACAAGCTTGACAGTACAGATATCAGTCCCAGGGGGTTTGTCCCAACCTCCGAACTCTTCGGGGTGACACCGATGAATGCCCAAGAGTGCTTGACAATTGCCACCAGATGCCAGACTCTGCGGTGCAGTGGGAGCATCGACTAGATAAAGTTGCGAGCGAAACAGAACCACGGTCAGAGTGCTTCCAACACAAATGATGGGAACTTTATGGTCTCTTTAATTGTTAGAAGGTGGTGTAGCAGCATGTTCATCAATAATAGTAATGGAAAGAACGATTCCCCTTGGATCAAGTGCTTCGTTGTCATCACCTTAGGGTCTGAGGCGCATGCTAGTGACTTAACAATAAGTTGTTCAGTTGGATGATTCAACGGAATTGCTCCAGGGGCAGATAATATAATCTTCCGAGCCAGCTCGCGTCTAGTGTCTCAGTTCTGCCGCGGGGGTAAAGCAACAGTGTCGGTGAATTATTGTCGAATTTTCAAATGCTGGGCTTGCTGCAACAACACGTGCGAGGGCTTTTCGGCACGGATGACGACCTGTGGTGCACTGGCCTTAGGGATTATTGTAGGACTGAAGAACTCGCTTGATTCGGTTGCATGCTGGCTGAGCAAGCATTCCACGAAGATGTAGTTGCTGATAGTAACGGGTTGCACTCAAGCCGCAAGCGCAATTCCAATGGTTGATGTCGTGGCTCGTGGCTGTTATGGCAGCCCACAACACAGAAGGATGGTATGTCCAAGGCTTTTCATGAGCTGAAGGAAGCCTCAGGGAGACTGCAGCGCTCAAAGAAGGTAGGATACCGCTCGAATTCTGAGGAAAATGGTTTCAAAGGAGGATTAGGGCGGTGAAGCAGTGGGCAGGGATACGCAGAGACATTCATATATAAAAGAATATGTATGTGACTTGAAATGGAAACGGAAATACTAGCAATTCAACACACATAGAGATGAATTTTGGAGGCCGTCTCCATTTATATGTTCCTGGTTGGCACGCAGGTCCACGAGCTGAACCTTAAAGGAATGACTCACCTGTATAGACTGTCAACAGTTCATCCGACAGAGATAAAACCATGGTGGGGTTTTTGATTCAGGAATACAGAATGAAGACAAGGAAGGAAGGAAGGATATCAGGATAATTTGTGAAATCTCTCTGTTAGGTGATGTGGGTTGTGCCACTTTGAAAAGAAGTCTAACATGTTCATGGACTGCACATAACAGTTTTGCTCAGCTATGGTGATTCGTCCCCTGGCATACACGCCCAATGTCTCATTGCAGAATGAGTGGCTGCCAGGGAACCTGATCTTGATTTGCCCAGTCCAGTGATAAAAGGTTAAGTCATTGGACATGGTTGAGTTGAATGCCGGATGGCAGGGTTGGGATGTGTCCGAACATCCTTTTAGAGGCCACAAGTCACAGAACACTGCACATGAGAATGAGCGCTCATGTGGTTGTACCATAGTTATGCTCCACTGCAAGATGGCAATCACTGTCATTGAGCGTGCTTGCATACGGATGAAGGTGCGACTGCAGCACTCTTAACTAGGGCCAGCACCTGGACAGGAGGATTCATGTGAATTCTGGGAATGATCTCTAGCAGGGTATCTATCATCAAGTTTCGTCATTCATATCTCGCCCAGCCGAGGTGCATGAGCTTAGGCTCATCGTGTTGGCTGACGCAGGAATCTAACCATCGAGCACCATCCGCTGGTCAGTTGGTCCACCATTTTCCATGGTATCATTCTTTCGAGAGGTAGAAGAAGGTCCCGAGTCCCCAGTATCACCCTGGATAATTTCGGTTTCCCCCATCAGACTGGTCGGTAAACGAGCACTTTGACACCCTGGACAATTGTGCACAGCTTCATGGGCGAAAAGATCACAGTCGATGCAGAAGTGGCGGTGGCATGAAGGACATTCATACCGAGCACTATGACCGCCGCCGGAGGTTACCCATTCTTCAGGCGGAGGAACAGGTGGAAATGGTTTGAGACAGGCAAAGCAAGTTGCGCTTCGCTTCGCGCTTGACCAAGGGACCTCGACCCAGTTGACCAGCGGGAACAGATGATGATATGAACGGGCCAAATGGGTGGAGAGAATGAGAGTCAGGCCACAGACAGGGCATTCCGAAGGTAGGCTGCAGACCTTGGTGTCACATCTTGAGCATAGGTAGCCGTCACGACTCGGTTTAGTGTGGCATGCACACAGAGAAGGATGATCTTCGACCGTCCTTGAAGGGAAACCCATCATAAGTAGGGAGCTGGCAGACTTTGTACTGTCGTTTGTGACCGGAGGAGTGGTCACATTCATCATCAACTCTCTAAAGTGTTGCTCGTGAAGGACGACACCATAGCCAGAGATGTCTCCATTGTTGGTCTTCTTGACTAGCTCACGGCAAACAGCCACGGAAGCAGCAAGTCCAATAACAGAAACGCGAATCTTGTCAGCCACGAGGGCAGCGATGGTCGTATGGATGTCGCCTGGATCACTGCTGTGTAGCGCTCCGAAGACGAGAAGCGCTTCCCGAGTACCATGAGAAGGAGCATGGAACAGGGCAGCCCGGGTCATCTCCAAGGCATTCTGGAGGGAAGGGTTTCCCTTAGGCTCTTCTTTCCTGATGTTCAGGAGGGCAGCAAGGTGTTCGTTAGGGTTTCCCGACATGTCGCTGATGCGGACTGCAACGCCATCCCGCATGCCCACGATGCCCAACTGCGAAATCGGATTCTGCTCAAAGAATTCGCGGATAAAGGCCTCGGTATAGAGAAGGGTTAGGAGGTATCGTGTGGGACGCAAGTCCTTCTCGTTCATAGCCAGAGACATGTCGAGAATGAGAATAAGATGTCTGATGATGCCTCGCTGAAGGGGAGTAGTATCCTTGAGCAGTCTATTGAAAGGACTACGTCAGCCGGTCCGCTTGGTTGTCCCTCCAGTGCTAGACATACCTCTTCCTCTTACCGGCCTCGAGAAGGCCTTCGACGGCACCAGTGATTGTTCCATCCGCCCCCTCAGTCAACAGATCCCAGGTTCGGGTCACCTCAAAGTCCCGGGCATCATCTCGGGCATCCTCACGGGTATCAGGTCGACGAGTCTTGGAGCGGCCAGGAGCCTGAAGAACGTCGTCGTCGGAGACATTGCCCGATGCCGGCATCAGGTGCAGGATAGAGGATAGGGAGGACGAGGAAGAGAACCTGGCTTGTTGGAGTCGCGTGTATAACGTTGAACACCTGCCGTTGAGATGCTCACTAAGTTAGCCGGAGACAGCGCTTAATAATTTGCTCGCAGGTTCTAACTTGATTAAGCAGCTCGAAAGGCACAGGCGGGGAGTGCGCCCTACGAGTGGCCTATAATTGAACTAGATAGCCGCCAGTCATGCCTAGTGGGATAGGAACGCTGGGCCATCTCGCGGCTTGGAAGGCTCTTCGCGGTTATTGCAGGTATGAGTCGTCCGCAGGCAAACGCCATGCGCACCTCGATTGCTATCACACAAGCTATCCCAAACCAACTGGTGAACTGCCCCTCTTTGATGTGTCAGTCAATAAACCCATCCCAGCATATCGGGCGTAATTGAATGCTCGAATTCCGCGTCGTTGCAACCTTGCGCTCTTCTTCTTTCAAGGCTGGGCCTATTTCTTCTTCCATCTCTTCCCTTTTCTCCAAGTCCCCATCTCTCCAATTCCAGTCCAGGTTCAGCAGCGGCCACGCCCTCAAGCAGGTCAGGCACACTCCTCCATTCCCGTCCAGAAAGCGACTACATATCCAGCTTCGACATTGCTCCGCTGAGGCCAGGTCCAGCATGACTTCTCCTACCGACCGTGATATCCTGCCAGACACGTGAGCTTTCTTCGACAAGACGACCCCTCCATCCATTGACTCTTGTTTGTGTACAGCATTAAACCAACCAACTATGACTTAACCCTCTTCAATCTGGATCTCGGCGGGTCCTGGGCCTATGATGGTCTCGTCAAGATCGATTCCAAGGTCAAGGCTGACACTAAAGAGCTGGTGATCAATGCCAAAGAGCTGGAAATCCAGAAAGCACAAGTATTTGCAAAAGATGGCAAATGTAAGTGGATTCTACTATTTAGTGTCAATCACATGTTCTCACACAAGAGTAGCTCCCATTACCTCATCCACAGACGTTTCCTATGACAAGAAGAACGAGCGAGCGACGATCAAATTTCCGGACAGCATCCCCTCTGGTGACGTTGTAATAGCAATCGAATACAAGGGCATTATCAACAACAACATGGCCGGCTTCTACCGTTCCAAGTACAAGCCTGCTGTAAGCCCAGCGACTGGCACTCCCACCGATGGTGAATTTCACTACATGTTCAGCACCCAGTTTGAAGCCTGTGAAGCTCGACGAGCCTTCCCCTGCTTCGACGAGCCAAACCTCAAAGCTTCTTTCGAATTTGAGGTTGAGATTCCCCAAGACCTGGTAGCATTGAGCAACATGCCCGAAAAGAATGTCACAAAAGGGAGCAAGGATGGTCTGAAGAAGGTAGCTTTTGAGAAGACTCCAGCCATGAGTACATATGTGAGTGGCGGTTAAACATGAAACCATGCTTGTGGAATCTGACAAGGCATCCCTCAGCTCGCTGCGTGGGCTATTGGTGATTTTGAGTATGTTGAGGCATTCACTGAGCGCAAATACAACGGGGAAAACCTACCAGTCCGAGTATATACTACGCGCGGTCTTAAAGACCAAGGTCGTTTCGCTTTGGAGCATGCCCACAAGACGATCGACTACTTTTCTGACATTTTTGGTATTGAGTATCCTCTTCCGAAATCCGATCTCCTTGCTGTTCACGAGTTTGCGATGGGTGCCATGGAAAACTGGGGGCTCGTCACCTACCGAACCACTGCTGTCTTATATGATGAAGGGAAATCCGATGCAAAATTCAAGAATAGGGTTGCGTATGTTGTTGCCCATGAATTGGCTCATCAGTGGTTTGGCAACCTGGTCACCATGGATTGGTGGAGCGAGCTGTGGTTAAACGAAGGTTTTGCAACATGGGTCGGTTGGCTTGCAGTTGACCACCTTCATCCCGAGTGGAAAGTTTGGAGTCAGTTTGTGGTGCGTATGAGAAGAGGTATTGTTGATGTTCTCTGATTGACACGATTGCAGGCTGAAGGTTATCAACAAGCTCTCCAACTAGACTCTCTCCGCGCATCTCACCCCATCGAAGTCCCAGTCCGGAATGCCCTGGAGGTCGACCAAATCTTTGATCAAATCTCCTACCTCAAAGGAAGCTCTGTAATTCGGATGTTGAGCAACCACCTTGGCCAGGAAGTCTTTCTAAAAGGTGTTGGCGACTATCTGCGGGCGCATGCCTATGGGAATGCAAGAACAACCGATTTGTGGGATGCTCTCAGCTCTGCTTCTGGTCAAGATGTCTTGTCCTTTATGGACCCTTGGATTCGCAAGATTGGATTCCCAGTCGTGACGGTCGCTGAAGAGCCTGGTCAGATCTCTATTCGTCAAGAACGATTCTTAAGCACGGGCGACGTCAAAACAGAAGAGAACGTTACTACATGGTGGATTCCTGTCGGCCTCAAAACTGGAAATCCTTCGAAAATCGTTCACAGTGCTCTAACCGCTAAGGAAGACACAGTACGTGGCATTGACGATGAATTCTACAAGATCAATGCCGACCAAAGCGGGTTTTATCGAACGAATTATCCTCCTCCGCGTTTGATTAAGCTTAGTGAAAAGCAAGATCTTCTCTCCGTAGAAGATAAAATTGGTCTATTGGGCGATGCAACAGCACTTGCAGTTTCGGGTCATGGAACAACCTCTGCCCTGCTTGCACTTCTAGAAGGCTTTCAGAAAGAGCGAAATTTCCTAGTGTGGCAGGCAATTCAAGGGTCCTTGTCAAAGGTTCGATCTGTGTTTGCTTCTAACAAGGAGGTAGCCGCGGCTTTGAAAAAGTTCACACTGAGATTGGTGTCCCCTGCGGCCGAATCGATTGGCTGGGAATTCCCCAAAGATGAGGAGTGGCTGACAGGGCAGTCGAGAAAACTTCTTCTCGCCGCTGCAGCAGGTGCGGGCCACGAATCTATTATCGCAGAGGGGAAGGAAAAGTTCGCCGCCTGGAATTCTGGTGATGAGAAGGCAATCCACCAAAATCTTCGGGGCGTTGTCTTCAATATGGCCATCGCAAATGGAGGACAAGAAGAGTTTGAAGCTGTCAAAGCCGAGTTCCTCAGAACTACTTCTGTGGATGGTAAAGAGATTGCTATCCAAGCTCTTGGCCGATCGAAGAACTACGATAATGCACTGAGCCTACTAGATTTTGTGACATCTGACTCTGTCCCTCCACAAGACGCTCACAGCGGTATCATCGCCGTCGCAGGCAACGCAGAGACGCGGACAGCTGCTTGGGAATTCACCAAGAATAACTGGCCTAAAGTTCAAAAGAGACTCGGGGGTACGAGCGTTGTCATCGACCGCTGGATCAAAAACGGACTGGTCAATTACGCCGATACTGCAATTCGAGACGACATTGCGGAATTCTTCAAGGACAAGGATACGGGTCCCTTCAGTCGAAGTCTGGTCATCATTTCTGACACGATCACCGGTAATGCAAATTACAAGATGCGCGATGAAGCTCAGGTACTGGAGTGGTTGAAGATGCATGGTTATGCCTAAGCAAACTGCAAACTGCAGAGCTCCAGGATGGTACACCAAACAAGACCACGTACCTCAAGCAGAGTATCGAAGGAGACTACAACAGTATATGCGCTCGGCTGAGCCAGCAGTCTACGTACATTATAGACAACATAAACCCCTGAAATAGAGATCTTGAGGTTCGAAGCATAAATTAAAAGTTTGAACCACGTTACCTGACTAGCTGTTTGCCTCCTATAAAACATCCTTCACCGTCTCGTTCCCTTCCTCGTTCACCAACGACGCTGTCGAACGGATGCGACTATCGTACGTCCAATACCCACAAATTGGAATATACCACGTTTAAACACAGAAATAAGGCGCTGCCGCTTTGTATGGCCACACACTCTTATTTAAAGAACGGCGGTACATGTGGTGTGGAATCTTGACAGGCAGTGGGAGTGCTATAGAACAAGCCCAGGTAGGCAAGCAAACCATGCACTCGTCGCTCCTCCTCCTGATGTAGGGGCTGGCCAGTTCAACCACCTCAGCTTCACGTCGCTGTGAGCAGAAAAACCAGATGAGACCTAGACACCAAGCCATAACCTTCAGGGCCTAGGTCACGACAATGACATCAAACATCACGGCGGAGGAACCAAACACGATATACATCAGCGAGGCGAGTCCACGACTTCCTCCACACCCTCGCATTCCCAAGCGGCGCTGCTCTATCTGTTCGAGATCTCGATGCTCCAGCAGATCGCAGCTGCTCCGTAGAGAGTCCCTTCCATCCAACTGCGCGTGGACTTCGCGAATCCTCGAATGTCGAGCACGATGAAGGGTTGGACCCATGCTGGCAGACTCTCCATATACATATATGTGGCGAGTACAACGGACCGGGGACGATTCAAGATGGGCAAAAGAAGCTAGGTAGGTATTTATTTCGTCTTGCGTTCGTTTCAGGTTTTCTATATTTGTAGAAATCTTAAGGAGATGCTACCGTTCTGCATAGCGTGTTCGAGCTCGTGACGTGGACCTAGTGTAGTACCGAACGCATCATTGTTGCCAACCTCTTGAAGATGAATGATCGACGGATCCCGCTTGTGGACTCTGATGGAGTGAATCTCGCACGGTACATAGTTATGATTGTTTTACACTAAGAGTTCATCATCTCATTTCCCTTCTCCCCCTGCTTCTCCTGAGCGTTAGCATGCCTTTCGTCTCTTCGCTTTGTGCAGATCATGCAAGTCCAAGTTTTCAGGTCGATTGCTTTGCCTTTGCCGTTGGAAATCCCGCCAGTAGAATCCTTCTCTACGCACTTCCGATGATACATAGTTCTGGCAGTTTCGCAGCGGGTATCCGTACAGAAAGTGGCATTCCTGATAGGCTGTTTAATCAGTCTTCTACAAATGCCGCACTCGTGCCTGGCCAACGCAACCTTGGCATTGTCTGTGGGGCTATACTCATGAGTTCCACTAGTCATCGTAGAAGCGGTCGACTTCTGTGGTGTGAGGAGGGTGTTTGGTCTTAAAGCTCTCTCTAGCTCTCTATCGTGCTCATTAGTGTAGGATGGACTTGAGAAGCCATTTGTAAGAACGGGACTGGAAAAGCCGTTTCTGAGTCCGGGACTCTTGAACTCATTCGTCAGAAAGCCATGGCTGGCCGTGGATGGGCGACTGGCTGGATTATTGAATATCATTTCGTTGACATCCAAGATGACTTCGTCGTCAATGACGCGCCGTTCTTTCAGTCGTTGAAGAAAGTCGAAAAAGATCTCCAATAGATCATCTTTGCCATGGCTTAACCACTTCCGATTCTTTCTCACAAACCGCACAAGAGAATTGGATAGATATCGGGGATGCTCAAGCTGCTCTTCCATGCGATGCTTGTCCCAGCGTTTGCGAAGCTCGCGTTCATGGGTACTCCAGCCTTCCTTCTTCGCTACAATGTCGAGGCGCTCCATATGCTGTTGGATCTGCCATTCATTGTCAATTTCATCATCTGTTTCACTGCGAGGCTCTTCTGATGGTGAGACTGGCCGGTGGCTGACGGAGGTATAATCTCGTCGATCTTGTTCTGGCGACGCATGAAGTTTGACCGCGGCGTACCTTTTGCGATTTGGGGTGCGAAAGTCAGGCACTTGTGAGGCAGTAAGAAGTGTCGCAACATTCTTCTTCTGCTCAGTAGGCTTTCTGTGAGCTAGGACGTGCTTCTTCTCAGAAATTACCCATTTCTCATCGCCCCCAAGATATGCTGGCAAGTCGAAGGGGTTGTGAGGGGCATGCCATTCAAATGTGAGGATGCTGTCCTTTTGCTCGTCCCTTTTTGCTGGAGAGATTGACCGACATTCGATAATTACAGGGGTCGCCACCCTTCTCGCAGCGTCATGTCGAGGACTATGTACCAACCACTTGTACTTTGCATGAGTTGTGGCCAGATGAAATTCAAGGTTAGCCAATTTGGTCGACTTCCACATAGTACAAATTGGACAAAGGTAGCCTTTAGCAATGCTACGTCGCAATACCTCTGCTTCATTTGACGGGTTACTGGAAGTGGCAATGAATCTGTAGTGAACTTCCGGTATGATAGGTGTATTCGACACCGTTGATTTCTTGATTGGGTTCTTCGGAGTCGTCACATCTACGTTGATGGAGTCTCTCAGCTCACCCCTGGCTTTGTTCCTCGTACTGGGAGTCGCTGTTTCGGGCTCTTTGAACGAGTCTATATCGAGGCCATTTGTCGGTCGTGGATTTGAGCCCGCTGCCACCCATTTCGAAACCACAGAGAGACCATATTTTGTACGGTAGGTTCGACCCCCATGTAGGAAGAAAACGCTCAGCGGAACGTCTGCTTCGGGAGCTTGGGGTAAGTGCATATATCGAGCGACTACAGCTCCCTGTAGCTCCCCAGAATCATCTCTAACATCGCGGGCGAAGTGATCACCATCGCTTTTTCCAAGAATTGGCATTGGTGGCCAACGACTGTCGTCTCTGCATGGGATGATCTTGATCTCCATGAAATATCTATCGACGAGTCCTGTTATCAATCCGTCTTTGGTGTTATAAGTGAACAGCAGGTCCTCGTTTTGGATGACGAAAGGACTGTCGAGTTCAACTTCTACAAATACACCATCAGCAACTGTCTCAGTTGCTGTCACACGGCAATCTCTCGAGAAGGCTCTGGGAATGGTAGAGGGCGCATCAGTGCGGTTGTCCCAGATGGTAAGATGGCACTTGCATTTTACTGCGTTGAGCTTTTGGCGTTTGGAGGAGCGTTCGTCCTCATCCAGGAGATTTGTTTTAAAATTGAGCTTTTTGCGGATATTGCTGAAGTCTATGACGAGCTCGGAATTGGCATTTGTGGTCGAATTTCTCTCGCGTAGATTGCGAAAGCTTCTAGTACGATTTGCGCTATTTTCGCCAGGCTGTCCAGACGATACTGACCTGGAAGCCATGACGGTCCACTGCCCTGTATGGATGCTGGAGGGTCTTGTGCCTCTGACTTCAGGCCCGCTCAGAACGGGCGTGTCCGAAATCCTGTTGTCGGAATGCCGTCTCTGTGACACCTCTGCAACAGTCCTAGGAGTCCCAGCCGCGCCGACACAAGTGCCCAACGCTTCTTCTCCAGATTTGGGAGGGGCTGCGCACGTGCCCAACCGATCTTGGTGGCGCTGCAAAACACGCGTCAGATTTCTCTCCAAATAAAGTCGGCTGCGCTGGCGAGCTTTCAAGTCATCAAAAGTGAAATCGCCTATGATATAACGAAAGGCTTTTCGATCTGACGATTTCAGCATCTTGGGAAGGAGGACCCGACGCGCTTTTGGAGGCGTGGTTCAAACCCCATTGTCTGTTCCAGAATACTTTGCCAGGAGATATTGCAAGACACAGTAACTGATATAGAGTAATTGGAGGCGCGATCGCGCAACTGAGCCTGTCGCGTCCACAAAAATCCCTCACAATTGAAAGCTATGCTGGAAAAGCACAGCTGAAAGATTGATGGATGATCAACCCGGAAGGAGTGTTTTGGGTGCGCGTAATGGATGGATACGACGGGTTGATGAACAACAGCGTGGCCTTCGATAGTTTGTTCTATTGTAGACGAATCAAATTATGGATGGAGGTGATTAGGGTGGTGTTGTTTGGCCGGTAGAAACAGGGAACAAGAGGGAGGAGACCTTTACCACTAAATTCCCAACTCTGAGGACCGGCGCGATGGTGCTCAGCAATGCTAACAAGCGGGACTTTTCTACGTTGGGACTGGGCCGGAGAACAAAGATCCAACTGGCAAGGGCGAACCGGGGGTGGATGGGTGGGAAGCGAAAAGTGGCTATTAATCAACACTGGCAATTGCTCCTTGCTCCGTGCTCCGTACTCCGTACTTGCCTTGCCTCCAGCCGCCAAGCTCCCGCTCAGACAAGCGCGTCCCTCAAAAGTCACGCCTCATCTCACTGCTCCTTTCCTTTCCATCTTTTCTGTTCCTTTCAAATACAAAAGAACTCTAATGATAATACCGTGATGTTCCATTCTCGGAGACTCCAACTAGATCTTGATCGTCGAGTCACTCACTAGATGGGAGGTTTGTTGAAATGCTTCCAGCGCTGAGCATCTGAGCTTCCTGCTCAGGAATAGAGCTGATTTGTGGTCAACACTCTAGTAGCCAGACTTGTCTGGCACCCATAGAGTTGAGCTGACCCGACTGTACTGGTGTTAACTCTGGTTGACGAATGATGCTATTCCCTCCAACGGCCTCTGGGAATATATGCGGAGACTGTGCTCAGTCCAACGTCTCTCAACGAAAGACTTTCTCTTCTGGGAATTGGCTCGAGCCTTCAGCGTCGTGCCGAGCAGCGAGTTTCATTCTTTCACTATTACACTTACATCGCTGTCCACGACCAAGTGCCTATTGTTTGGCAAACTGGGGTTTCAATGAGGCGGCCGAAACAATATCCGTCGTTGTTTCTAACTTCCAAGTGTGGCTCCTTGACGAGGACTTGAGCCAATCCTTGCAAGGCGATGATCTGACATCTCACAGCACGGAGTGGGCGGCATGGAACCAGGTCTACATTCAAGCTTTACCCCCTATGCACAGAAAGCTTTGTTCTCTCTCATCAATCTTGGACTGTGATGCGGATTATCACAACGCCAAAATTAGTCGTGAATGTTATACATTCCTAACAACTTCTCACAAGGTTTGTCTATAATGTGGCTCTTGCGCCTTCACCCAAGCTTTTCCATCAACGACCAAGGCTGTCCGAAGCAGCTTGGCAAGCTCTACAGATGGGAAGAGCCCTCAGCCCATGTGTTGGCCCATATTCTCCTCACGCAGCGAGCGCAAATTAGCAGCGGATGTTATTAGACCTTACGCAGGCATTTGATTTCGTATAGCCGATGGATATCCTAAATATCTCTACTTACCACGTACTTCCTAATGCACGATAGAGCCAGGAACGCCTTCTTTTTGGAACCCTTTTCCTTGAAAATTCCCGGCCTCGCTACCTACCTAGGTAAGTAATCCTCTCAACTGCCACCTAAACTTGCTGATGAGGTCCTAGGTAACCGTTAATCATCATGTCATGAGGCTTGGATTTCTCTTACTTGTGGCTACAGGCAGGCGGGCTACCTATACAGAAGGAAGCATCAGACAGGTTGAATGAATTCGTTGTTTGACACGCGCACTAAACTTCAGTGCTAACTTACAGGTCCACGTATCTAGGACTTTGGTCTTAATTTGGACTCTTGAGCCATGGACAATAAGTCAAGCAGCTAATTATCTCACTTGTTCGGCTCTGTGTTTGTATAGAGTGAATCCAGGGGCCTGGGGCCCGGGGAGTTCCCAGCCTAGGTGACTAGGTCTCAACTTTCCAAGGAGCTAGCATTACTGTAAAGTTACAATTAACACATTATTCGAGATGTCAGCTCTATTTGACTTTTCTATCAGGCCATGGGTAGAAACGAGACAGGGTAAGTGCATGGGCAGAGTAAGTGCGACGCTTTAACTTCCCTGCCATCAGCGGGCGGGCCAGCCCTGGGCGATGTTCTTGGACACTCGCCCGTTCTATATGCAATATCACGCTAGAGCCATAAATCAGCGGACCGCCAGCTGGTAGGCGGTAGATCAAGTCAGTGGCAAGCCCAAGAATAACATATAAAATGAAGAAAAGGATAAAGTAGAGTGTCATTGAGCGCAGTACGAATTCCACCCAGGCCTTGACTCTTGTCCGATGTATATGCCAACTGGCACGATCATGGTCTTTATCCATAGTACTAAAAAGAAGAAGGGGAGCCGTCAGGTTGGAGACATCTCCAAAAGCCAGGGCAGCAAGCCAAGCCGAAGTGACAAGGACAGGCCTGGGTATCTTAGTAGAGAAATATTTTGCCTGTAATTTTCAGCTGTTATATTTCAATAAGGTGGTGTGACATTCCCGTATACGCAAGGCGGGAGCTATCAGGGGTTGAGCCCAAGAAAGTTAGAACGCAAGAAGAGCAGGACAAAAGACAGGACTTGAGGATGTCACTGGTTTTGATGGTTTATTGGAGAAATTTTTGAGTACAAGAAGAACTGTATTGACTTGATCTGGATTACTTGTCCGCCATTTGAGGGTTTTCCATGCCAACCGTCTTCGCAGAACCCAACTCTTGTATTCGCTTACAACGCCAGTGGAATTGCGACGCCTTTTGAAATGCAACAGAGAGTTGCTATGTGGAAAGCGGTGAAACAACAAGGTGATCTAGGACATCACTTTTATTCGCCGTACCATAACAGTGAGAGCATTTTGATGATGCTGATTGATGATGCCCGCTGGTGCTTTGCTCCGTCTGGGACCCTGGAATACAAGGTTGTGAAATATCCAGCAAGTCGCCAGCGAGGCCGTGGTTCACATTAAACAGAGCAAGGATGAGGCCTCGGTATGTGCTCGATCCGTTCCCACATTCATCAGTTCTTCATGTAGGTTAGAGATGCAACTGTCGGCGAGACTGTCGGCGAGCCGAGCCGAGTCAACTCAATCTTTCATTTCATCATCATCATCTTGGTCTTCGAAGTCCTCGTCATCATCTTCGTCCTCGTCGTCAAATTCATCGCCTGCTGCTTTGGATTTCTCTTCAGCCTCTGCCCAATCGATCTGTTTGTTGCGGGTGCGTCCTGAGACGATGTTCGAAGGGTCGATCTCTTCCATATCTTCGTCCTCTACGAATAAATCTTATTAGCTCTTAATTTAATAGGCGGATGGCAAATTGCGCATGCAAAGGGTAGAGGGAGGTTGTCGCGTCGCTAGACGGAGGTTCGGTGTACGTACCGTCTTCTTCTGGATCAGGTTGCTGTATGATGAATAGCGTCAGTAAAAGCGTAAAACTAGAAGTCTGTGAGGATAATTCATACCTCTTCAGCGCCGCTTTCCTCGTCAGAATCCTCCTCCATTTGCGCTAGAGCTGAGTCCTCAACGGCTTTTCCTTTGCCCTTTCCTGTGTCAACGATCTCGCTCGTGCCGTGAGGCTCAGTTTCGCCGTTGGCCGACATGATGTTGCAGGTATTGCAGGGATATTGTGCGGCAGATAGCGATTCTAGGTCTGCGACGCAAGAGAAAGTAGTAATAGGAAACAAGTGAAGATCGGGTGTGGATCAGAGCGCTACTACGTCGGAGTTGGTAAATTGTATACCAAGTGGTCGCGACCCAAACGAGAGGGACCGCGGTTGCCGCCAAGCGGCAAGTTAACGCTAGAGTTAATCAGGTTAGGTTATTTTCTATCACGTGCGCGACAGTACCTCCGAAAGCCGGAGTCGAGTCACGTATCTATCCTAGTTCGTATATCAGGTCTCAGTGTGGCCTTACGATCACTTTATGTTCACTTGCCAATCAAAATATGGATGTTCCTGTGGCCGCAAACATACTTGGAGTGACGGGAGCAATATGTTGGTCTGTACAGGTTAGTTTGAACGAACATTTGAGGCTCACACATGCATTGACTCATGGTTTCCGCCCAGCTGATCCCGCAGATTGTGATCAACTATCGTCGACATGACACAACAGGCCTTCAGCCAACTATGATGCTCTTTTGGGCTGCAGCAGGGATACCTCTTGGGGTCTACAACATCGTAGAAGACTTCAATGTGGCCCTACGCATTCAACCACAGCTTTTGACATTCCTCAGTCTGGTGACCTGGATTCAGTGCAAGTATTACGGAGATCAATGGCCGCTGAGCAAGTCTGCTGCTATTTTGACACCTGTGGTACTTCTGATGGGTGGTATTGAATGTGGTTTGATCTTTGCATTGCGAAAGGCGAGACGTGAAATGGTGGAGTGGCCCACCGTTTTTATGGCTGTACTATCAGCCTGTCTGCTGTCCGCCGGAGTCTTGCGGCACTACTGGGATATCTACAAGGAGAGGACAGTCCGAGGGATATCCTTCCTATTTGTCTTCATCGACGCATTAGGAGATCTGACATCCTTGACCTCTGTGATTTTCCAGCGCGAATTGGATATCCTGGGAATGGTCATGTATGGCTCCGAGCTAATTTTATGGCTCGGGGTTTTCGCGTGCGGCGGATATTGTAAGGAAGCGTCAATGCTGTCTCCTGATGCCCACGGATATTCGCTGACCAGATTCCCGCTAGTTAATCTTCGTCCATGGGTACGGCGGCGGCTGGAGCAACGTCAGTCTGTAGCAGAGGATCGAGAACTGAGTAACAGTGCAGGAAACGGAGAACCCAGGGCACCGGAAGACAATCGCCGAGGGTTATCATCGAGCTCATCAACCACCGTTTTCAGAACTGCATCGCTCAGCTCGTCTCAAGCTGAGCATGTACCAAATTCGATGAGACTCAGGGCAGTGACAGTGGATCCTAGTGTCTGATCATCATGCGCAATTCTTTGCACATCGGAGGACATGGCGAACTGTTTAGAATCTGAATGATTATTGGTAGATAAAATTTTCAATGCTCCCGTTCATGACATGCTGCATGCAGGGATCTGGTGATTCCATGGATGTACGAGTATCTATGCAATCATAGTGGAGAAATGGATTGAATAGATTATCTCTGGGTCAATCGGCCGCCTTGGGTTGCCTGGCAGCATATCTGCCAATCCCAGGCAACATCGGGTCTGCCCCGCGCCCCTCCAGGATAATTCAGCCTCGTCGATGATGAAATTTTTGGTGAGGGGTATGACGTCGTTGCCGCTGTCCTGCCTGCCGCTGCTGGCCAGACCGGCACCAGTTCATACTGATCTGAAGCCTTTGTCAACAGCATGCCCGTAGATAAAATGCATGCAGGCAAATCACATACCTTTCAGAATCTGTTGCACACAATTCCAGCAGTGAACATGCCGGAAGAGGCTGGAAAGACGGGGTGGGGATTGGGCGATTCTGGCGTTGTGGTGAATCTTCCACCAGCTTCTTTTGCCTTCCGCACTCCGCCAAGCCTGCCTGACATTTTTGCTACCTCACAGCTTCATAAAAGCCCAACCAGACTCGCCTCGCTCGGATGTTCTCACATCCAAACCAGACATCTCAAACCTATTCTCTTCTGACGAAGTCATCCACAAGACTTGTCTCTGAATTCGCATTTCTTTTTCCTCTTTTCGACACGACTAGAATCCCTCTACCACACCTTTTCATACACTCTACACAAGAATGGCTCCTGCCATCGGTAAGTCAACTCCGCAGCCTCGCAACCACCAGGCAGACCACCAGGCTCAGCAGCAACATGCTAACGAACCCTCAATAGGTATCGATCTAGGTACAACCTACTCCTGCGTAGGCATCTTTCGAGATGACCGCATTGAAATCATTGCCAATGATCAGGGCAACCGAACCACCCCCTCCTTCGTGGCGTTTACCGACACTGAGCGCTTGATTGGTGACTCGGCCAAGAATCAAGTTGCCATGAACCCCCAGAACACTGTTTTCGACGCAAAGCGACTCATCGGTCGCAAGTTTGCCGATGCTGAGGTTCAAGCCGACATGAAGCATTTCCCCTTCAAAGTCATCGACAAGGGTGGAAAGCCTGTCATTGAGGTTGAGTTCAAGGGCGAGGTCAAGCATTTCACACCTGAAGAGATCTCTTCTATGGTCTTGACCAAGATGAGGGAGACTGCAGAGTCTTATCTCGGTGGCACCGTCAATAACGCTGTTGTCACTGTTCCCGCCTACTTCAACGACTCCCAGCGTCAGGCTACCAAGGATGCTGGTCTCATTGCCGGTCTCAATGTCCTACGTATCATCAACGAACCCACCGCTGCTGCCATTGCCTATGGCCTCGACAAGAAGATTGAAGGGGAGCGCAATGTCTTGATCTTCGACCTTGGCGGCGGTACTTTTGACGTTTCGCTCCTCACCATCGAGGAGGGTATCTTCGAAGTCAAGTCTACCGCGGGTGATACCCACTTGGGTGGTGAAGACTTTGACAACCGTCTCGTCAACCATTTCGTCAACGAGTTCAAGAGAAAACACCGCAAGGATCTCTCATCCAACGCACGAGCCCTTCGACGTCTCCGAACTGCTTGCGAGCGAGCGAAGCGCACGCTTTCTTCATCTGCTCAAACCTCCATTGAGATTGACTCTCTCTACGAAGGCATCGACTTCTATACCTCCATCACCCGCGCTCGTTTCGAAGAGCTATGCCAGGATCTGTTCCGTTCCACCATGGAGCCCGTTGAGCGTGTCCTCCGCGATGCCAAGATCGACAAGTCCTCAGTTCACGAGATCGTCTTGGTCGGTGGCTCTACCCGTATCCCCAGAATCCAGAAGCTCGTCTCGGACTTCTTCAACGGCAAGGAACCCAACAAGTCCATCAACCCTGATGAGGCCGTTGCCTACGGTGCCGCCGTCCAGGCTGCCATTCTCTCTGGAGACACTTCTTCCAAGTCCACCAACGAAATCCTCCTTCTCGATGTTGCGCCATTGTCTCTCGGTATCGAGACCGCCGGTGGTGTGATGACTGCCCTCATCAAGCGAAACACCACTATCCCAACGAAGAAGTCGGAGACCTTCTCCACCTTCTCCGACAACCAACCCGGTGTGCTCATCCAAGTCTACGAGGGCGAACGTGCACGAACCAAGGACAACAATCTTCTCGGCAAGTTCGAACTTTCTGGTATTCCACCTGCTCCCCGTGGTGTTCCTCAAATTGAGGTTACCTTCGATCTTGATGCCAATGGTATCATGAACGTCTCTGCTGTTGAGAAGGGCACTGGCAAGTCCAACAAGATTGTCATCACCAACGACAAGGGTCGTCTTTCCAAGGAGGATATCGAGCGCATGTTGTCTGAGGCTGAGAAATACAAGGCTGAAGATGAAGCTGAAACTTCTCGTATCTCTGCAAAGAACGGCTTGGAATCATACGCTTACTCTCTCAAGAACACCCTCTCGGACTCTAAGGTTGATGAGAAGCTCGACGCCTCTGACAAGGAGAAGCTCAAGGCCGAGATTGACAAGACCATCTCTTGGCTCGATGAGAACCAGACCGCCACCAAGGACGAGTATGAGTCTCAACAAAAGGAGCTTGAAGGTGTTGCCAACCCCATCATGATGAAGTTTTATCAAGGCGAAGGTGGTGCCCCTGGTGGTGCTCCAGGTGGTTTCCCCGGTGCTGGCGGTCCGGGCGGATTCCCCGGTGCTGGTGGCCCTGGTGGTTTCCCTGGCGCCGGTGGTGCTCGTGGCGGAGATGATGGCCCAACTGTCGAAGAAGTCGACTAAGCGATTCCACCTTCGGTCTCCAAAAGCATATGAGCGACTTTCTTCCTTGTGTCATCATAGCGGCGTCGGCGTTGATCAGTGAAAAAGGGATACGATACCTTTGCTTGCACGGAATAGATTTTTAAGCATCAGGCTTTTTACTCGATGGGTGACTATGAAGTATGCATTATTGTTCCATTGTCATATTTGCTTGCAGACAAAGCAAACGAGGAAGTAGAACAGCTTTCCTGAGTGAATGATATGATATGAAATCAATTTCTCCATGTTTCCAGTATTGTGTGCACATCTGTGCTTTTAATATGCCCCTAGTGTGTGTCTTCACAAACGTGATGTGTCGGTATCGACCCAATCTATAAAGGCGTGCTTGTGTCCTCTCATGCTTTGCTTATCCCTAAACCATCTGATGCCATGTGATTCTGTAAAAGTACTACCACTCTTGCGGACTTCTAATTATCTCAATGGAGCTGTACATACAATTCATGTTGAGTTAGTACATCTGCGAACGAATAATGTCGCTGGCTTTGCGCACCCCTTGATATAACCCGAGTGTCCGCTGTGTACTCGTATACAATGACCCCCTGTCGAAGCTAGTGGCTATAAACTCGATGTTTTCCTACCTATTCCTCTAGATACCTCTGGTACATGCACCCACCTGGGCAGGTTCTGAGTACGTATATGTACCCAGAGTGGCTGGCCTGAAATAGCGGCGTCATGTGATACGCCAAGGCTGTTAAAGGCGACATCCTAACTCGGCTCAACCTCAGCATGTCGCAACATGCTGATAAGCGCGAACAGAGCTTCCTCACTAAGGGTCAAGACGCACTGACCAGACATGGATCCCGGGACTGCGCGAAGGAGGCCTGTAAAGGCTTGTTCGGAATGCCGCCAGGTAAAATTGCGATGTGATGCCAACGACACATTTCCTCAACCTTGTGCCCGATGTACGAAGCGAAATCTAGTGTGTGTCATCGATTCCACGTTCAAGAGAACACCAACGCGACTACGCCTACAGTCCGTCACGAACGAACTACGACAACTGAGAGAAGCTCTTAATGCTCAGGCAACAGAAGCCGCTTCTAAGACCGCGAGCACCCCGTCTGCAAGCGATTCTACATCGTCTGTGGCACTTCGAGACAAGTCTCGTGTTGGGCAGCAGCGAGCACTTCCTTCAAGCGACCCCTTCGGCCTGAATCAGGACGAAAGCTGCCTTCTCCGGCTGAAAGAAGCGCAACTCGAGGGGTGTAGCTTCGACCAGAATGATATTCGGAACTTATTTTTGTTGTAAGACAAGGCGCTAACTTCAAAGATGTTGACTGATGCTCCTAGTTTCCATCGTGTTCTGCATCCGCATCTCCCAGTCCTTGACACGAACATACATGCACGCAGTTTTCAGGATTCTAGCCCATTTTGTTTCTGGACGGTTATCTTTATCGCTAGTCGATATCATTCAGACTATGTTTCACGTTACAACTTGCTTATTACGCCCTACACCAATCTTATGAACCAAACACTACTCAAAAACCCTCACTCTCTGCATACTGTTCAGGCAATTCTCTGTCTGTGTACATGGCCAACGCCACTCATGTATCAATTAGAGGATCCGAGTCTGATGTATGCCGGAATCGCCGTTCATGCCGCTTTTATTTTAGGCCTCCCACGTTCTTTGACATCGACCGGACCAACACTTTCTGGGATCTCACAGGAACATCGGGAGACAATGGCAAAGACATGGTTGGCTTGCTTCAGTGTCCACACAGCGTTTGTTTCCCCCACTCCGAGATGCCCACCTGCTAAGTAGTCTCTTACAAGCTTGTCGATGTTTATCGGGGTCCCACCTTCGCTAAGAGGTGCACACGAGCTCTCCACTGTCGACATGATTCTTGAGCGAAGCTTTGTGCCGACCAAATTAGCCATCGAAGCAGAGATTCAACGCTGTGTCGCAAAGTACCATGATGCAATGCTAGGAGAAATGGACGGCTCAGTCCGAGAGACATTGGTGCAAATGTGCGACCGAGAAATGGATAATATTCCACTGCGGTTGTCTTGCTCTCTTGACACCCATCTCACCTTCTCCTTCGTTGTTGGTAAGTTACATGTCTATACTCTGGCACTGGTAAAGGAAGGGGCGTCATCGACCAACAAACGGCGCTTCGATCCTCATAGTCGTGGCGCAACCTTTCAAACTCTGGGAATGACGGCTGCAAACCGCATCATTGAGTTGTATTGCAATACCTTGGACGTGCCTATTGGACATAACGATGAAGCCTTGATCAATCGCTATCTGGCTCTCCCAAAGATGTTCTTTCGTGGAGTCCTCTTCGCGACTTTTTTTCTTCTCAAATACTTCGCTCTCAACAACAGTTGTCCTAATGAAGACAAGCTGAGTGCCCGAAATAAGGTCTTAATGGTCCATGCAAAGCTTCGGGCCACTGCACCGCACCAATTTTCCGAGTCTGGTCGAGCTGCCGCTGTCATAGAAGTACTCTGTCGCCATGCCGATAGCGGCAATTCGGATCTTGGGATCGAAGTCGATGATCGGGCGAGCGCATCCGTTGCCTGGGGCGCTCTGATCCTAGCCTCTAAGATTAGAGGCAAGACGGCATGGACAGCAAACATCCGCCAACACATTGATCCTACATCTCCGCCACAGCTCGATGCTTCTCAAGCACCTTACACTGACTCGACTCCGAACTCGGACCTCCCAGAACCTGGGCCCCATGACGAAACCATGTCATTGCCAGAGGATATATGGGATCAGTCATTCTTAGACCTGCTCGACTTCAGAGCATACGAGTTTAATGAGGGAATAGAACAACTTCTTGACTGGCCAGAGGCTGGACAGCAAAACAAACCCTCCAAGCCCCCAACAATGCCTTCCTAGCATAATCTCATTTGCATCCAGGTTTCGGCTCATGAGATGAGTAAGTCGCAGCTCCCCACGGATCTATCTGCATGACAGCCTATTGATTATACGTTCTAACAAATGTTACAAGTTTACGTGTTTTGCACCTTCGCCAGCTTGCTGCAGCGGTCCGAGAACTTCTTCAGGCAGCTCCACGTGCAAGAGAGGAATGTACTGCTGTGAGCCGTGGATATCATTCTCCATAAACCCTCCACCAGCCATGGATATTCCGTGCCTCTTTCGCGGTATTGTGGCTTTCCAGGCTCTGGCTTGATCGAACCAGCCACACCAGAGCACATCTTCTGGCTTAAGGTCATAAAGATCCTCGATGAGCTTGCTGCTCAATATTTGGCTTTCCTTGATAATGCGATACACTTGCTCGCTCTCAAAGATCACATCAAAAGTGATCTCAAATGGACCCGAGTTTTTGGACCGCAAAACACTTGCTACATCAGCCAGAGTGGCGTGGGCACGGAGATGTCGAAGACCTCGAGTGATTTCACTTTCCGCCTTCACTACCGCGGGTACCCGAACCTCGTCAGATCCTTTCTCCGGGGATATGTCTTGTTGCTGTGTACTGCTGTCGGCGAGTCCCACTGCCTTTCCGACGCGTTCAGTTCGCCACCGAAATACAGGCACATTCGTGCTTAATTCTGGAGTATTTACCGCTATCACGTCTGGCTCGCGTTTCACCTGGATCAGTGCGGCCGACTCCTCACCCGGTTGGAGTTCCATGAGATGGTAGAGGCAGAACTCAGGACAAGAGCCCATTTCAATAACTTTTGCACCCACAATTCCAAATGCAAAATTACCACTTGTGGCCTTCTGTCCAGGATATGCACCGTGCTTGAAAGTGGAGCACGTTAGCCAATACTAAGATCACTTTCCGGTTGGCGGAAGACTTACAATGGTAGCAACCCGAGCTGTATCACACACTGAAGTTGCCAGCGCTTGGGTATCCGCCAACGCCTCACCAACAATGAAGACTTCATCTGGTAGAAGGTCGACTTTCTGCCCCTTGACTCGACCGCTCCTGCCGTATGTGTGAAACCCTAATTTCCACATGCCCGGATCTACCTGATTTTGAGCAACATATGCTTTGATCCGCAGCAGGAATTCATCAAGTTGTCTGATGAGAGTTGCTAAGGGAGAAGCGAGTCAGAAACACAAAAGTTTGCCTAGAATGATATGCTTACGATCTCTCACACTTCCCATGTACAATGACCGAAACCCAGAACGCCTCGCCGCCTCGAGCTTGACGGTGTAGGGGACGCCTAGCGCTTTTGATGTGCGAAATATCCCTCCACGGACCCGAACAGTTCTTCCATCGCTGAGCTCCTCGTATTTCGATGCTTGCAGGTCAAGATACCCTCCAGGACCATGCAGAATGTCGGGCCTGGTCTTCTCGTAAAGGGTATGTGCAGCCACGGACAACGAAGTGCACTTGCAGCGAGGGTCCAACGGGCGAACATCAAATGTTCCATCCAGGTAGACGGTCGAGACTGCACCAGCAGACTTCGGGACAGCACAGACACCCCCACACTCCATTATTTTTCCCATATGTGTGAAAGCTCCAAGGAGCCTGCTGTATTGCTCAGAGTCTGGGTCTGGAATGTGTTTCTGAAACCAGTAATCGGCAAAAGCAACGTAAGGCGCCGGGTCATACGCCCTTCCTCCGATGACCAGGCTGAAATCAGGGTTTTCTTGCATTGCGTTGACAAAGGGTTCGGGCCCCATTTGGGCGAGAATGCGTGGAGCATCGTCAATATCTTTCTGTGACGCTGGTGGGACAGCACGTCCACATCCAAAAACTGCTCCTTCCGCTAGGCGACGAGAAACGAGCTCTTTGGGAACACTGGCGAAAATGGTAACCGATTTGAAGTCAAAGCTCCTGAATCAAGGCTTCAGTATAGCATTTGCTGCACAGCGAGGGGTATGCATAAAATCTCACTCATTGCCTGGTTCTGCCGCAATTTCCTCCACTATTTGTAGGATCTCCTCGACATGCTCGTCACTGCCGTCACCACCGGCAGACCCAATGAGAACTGGGACTTTGAATTGATGGGCCGATGCCAGAATCTTTGTCAGGTCACGCTTGTAATTCGAACGTGCACATGTCATCACTCCCAAGGCCAAGCAGTTGGGGCCTCCATCTGTCGAGCCGGAGTCGAGAATTATGGCAGTTGGAACACCGCTGGGGACTGTCTCTTTCAGTCCCTGATTAAGGTGATCTTGATTGATCCCATAGCCCAACATCCCAATCGGGGTTACAATATGGACGAGCGCTGTCATTTTGAAGTCTCGATCGTGATCCAACGCAGCCATTATGGTCGAAAATATACCTTGCACTTTGGAAATACTCGTTCCTCTCGAGCTTCAAGGCCTCCGATTCCCCGGGCGTAAAACGTATATCCAATTGTCCGGCATCGGGCGACCTATGAGGTTCGAGCGAGTTTCGCATATTTCCAGGGGGGCTCGGCGGCATTTAACAAGCATCATGACAATGGTCCCCACACAAATACCCCAGGAAAGGTGCCTGCAAGAAGCTCAACCGAGGCAGCTTGTGGCAATGCCAGCTGATCAGAAGACTGGTCACTTCTCGCAATCCCCAAAATGGGCATCGGATAGTGTGAGGCTTGCCGCCGAATTTCGCTCTGAAGAGCCTGTAGGTGTTTTAGCTTTCGGATCTAGCTGCGAGAGCCGCCTGGTTGGCTGAATCTGAGCACAACGTGGAATTGTTTTGCGAGCCCCAACTCAATCAAGATGTTCTCCACCCACTATGAAGTGCCAACAGGCAGTGTTGGCGAAGCTTGCACTATACAAGATTCGCATTGGTGAAGTCTAAAAAGTTCCATTGCAAGGATCATCTGCGGGCACAGCCGGGGTGATGGTGCAACATCTACAATGTGCTGGGGAAGGAATAACATCTATATAGAGGGCCCTCAGACGCCAATATGGGCTCCACGAACGATATCTTTCAGACCCCTACAAGCCCCAGAAAACAACCACGCAAATCTAAGATGGCGACCACCCTGAAGGTCAATGATGATAACGATGCATCTCAGAAGGAGAACAATGTTGAGCTTATCGAAGGAGTGCCAGCATTTGGTCAGCATGGCCTGAAGCTCACAGCGGAGGAGCGCCAGCGTGAACGGAGAGTGAAATGGAAGATTGACCTCCTGATTCTTCCCCTCCTATCTACCGTTTACTTTCTGGCATCCATGGTACAGTCATAGAATGAGAAGGATTGCTTGCCTGTGGGTCTGCTGACGGATCCTAAGGGTCGTTCCGATCTTGGGAACGCAAAGATCGCTGGCATGTCGAAAGAGCTACACCTCACACCTAAACAATATTCGAATGTCGCCAGTATTTTTTATGTGGGTTACATCACTTTGCAGCTGCCAGGTACTCTGCTGGTCCGGAAGATAGGGCCACCACTTCAGGTATGCCACGCTGCCCTCTTTTCTTGTGCATCCCATAAAAAATATCAACAATAGTGCGCTAATACGCGGAGAGCAGTTCGGTATAGCCATGATGGGCTGGGGGTTGATAACTGCATGCACCGTTGTCATCCACAGCTATGCAGAACTCATGGTAATTAGAAGTTTCGTCGGAGTGACCGAAGCCTTTGTCCAGGGGTCAGTCTTCTACCTGTCATTCTGGTATCCCTACAATGAACTGGCCACCCGGGGATCCATCTTCTTCTCCATGGCCACTGTCGCCGGCGCATTCAACGGCCTCATCGCGTATGGAGTCCAGAAGAACCTCAATGGCCAAAACGGCTGGTTACCATGGAGATGGATTTTCCTGATCGAAGGGATTATTCCCGTCGGGTGGGCCTTCGTCATCTTACTCCTCCTCCCACACACCCCCGAGAAGATCAGATTCGGCTTCACAGAAGAAGACAAGAAACTTATCATCCGCCGGTCCCGTCGCGCACAAAACACAGGCGAATCAAAGATTCTCCCGCGAAAGATCCTCCAAGTCCTGTTCGACTACAAGTTCTGGATGCTCGTCGGGATCGAGTCCGCGACCGTTTCGTGCGTCAGCGCCGTCGGCAATTTCCTACCAGAGATCCTACACAACTTTGGCTGGACGGTGGTCAAGTCACAGTTGATGTCCGTGATCGTCTACGCCTGCGCATTCGTGAGCATTCTGTTCTGGGCGCGCGTGTCCGACAAGTGGGGCCGTCGAGGCTATGTGATCTTGATCAACTGCGCGCAGTCCATAGTCGGCCTCATCCTGCTCCTGGCGGTCACCAACAACTCGGCGCGGTTCTTCGCCACCTGCCTGCTCGCCATGGGCCTGTTCCCTAACGTCGTCATCAATTTGACCTGGAGCGCCAGCATCAACGTCGGCTACACGCACCGTGCGAGCGCCACGGCACTGATCAACTGCGTTGCGCAGGCTGTCGCCCTCGGTGTCAACCAGGCCTACGATGACCCTCCATTGTACAGGAAGGGTAACGGCACTGCGCTGGGCCTGTTGTCACTCGCTGCTCTACTTGCCGGCTCATTGCGCCTTGCCCTGAGATGGGAGAACAAGAAGAAGCTTGAGAACCAGTATACCGAGCAAGCCGCGCAAATGAGGCTGCGTTCCATCGATGAGATCGGGAATACGCATCCCGATCACTTCTTCATGGACTGATTGTGTAGCAGGCAGTCGGTGTTGGATGTTGGTATCTACGATGCTATCGTATTTAGTAGGGGAGTGGATGGATTTTTTTGGGTTCTGGTAATTACTACCGGGTGGTAGGAAAGGAGACTAGTCGGTGCACTATCGAGCGCATCCATCAATTTGTACCCCGTGTTGTGTTGTGTACAAGCTAGGTGATTACGACCGTCTATGAGAAAGAATGTGAACTCCCATATGTATAGCTTCAGTGGCTTGAGCCAGAGTGAGTCAGGCCTTAAGCGCTTCGAGTAGACCGGAGGTAGGCGATGTGATGAGCTTGCTGGTTTGGGCGTCTACATTGCCCCAAGGCCCAAACAGGCTATAGCAGCATGTAGTGCAGGCATATTTGTCGGGGGCGCAGCACTCTATTTCATTGGACTGTGTCCGCTGGATTTTATAAGGGGCGTCAACCAGGCGGCCATCGAACAAGTACCCTAAAGGGAAGTCTGAAAGGAAAGTCTTTCCATCCAAGTGTGCGAGACGATTCCACCTCTCAGCAGGTTACAACTTCGCACCACGTCGTCCCTCCTGCTCCTTCACGATCTTCTCTACCTCGAAGAACTTCACATACCAGACCAGCAGCGCCTTTTCCTCCTTGGTGGTCTTGAGTTTTTCCAGCGCCTCGCGACCACCGCACAGGACGGCCTTGAGCTGGATCTCCAACTTCTTCCCGTTGGCGTTGTAAGGGATCTCGGGAGCCTCGAAGATGTAAGCGGGCACGTGTCTGCGAGTGAGGTCTTTAGCGATGGCGTCATTGAGCTGTTTGACGAGTTTGGGATTGGGAGTGAGCGTGCCGCTGCTAGCGGAGGGAGTGCATCTAATGAACAGCACCACGCTTTCGGTCGGGTCCGAATACATGGGAGGCTTTACGCGCTGTTGACCGACGACGATCGCATCGAGGATTGAAGAGGTGAATTGTGGCATGGATGTGATGTTGTAGATTTCGGAACTACCGAAGCGGATGCCGGATGGGTTGAGGACGCCATCGCTGGAATTGGGAAAACGTGAGTCAATCGGCGATGGACGTGGCGATCTGTATAGAGTAGGTCACTCTTTCAGAAGGAACAAACTTACCTTCGGCCCAAGACGTAGATCCCTCTCGTCTCGGGATTTACCTGGATGAAATCTCCATGCGTCCACACGTCTGCCAATTCCCTAGTCAGTCTCTGCAAACATCTATCTCCCTGCCATCTGGACACGACTCCGGTTCAAAGGGACCTGGACCACCTTGACTTACGCGGGAAATTCGAAAAGTACGAATTATAGTACCTCTCCCTCTTCTCATCGTTCAAAAACATGGCTGGCATGTTGGGAAATGGCTTCCTGCAGACCAACTCCCCACTCTCTCCATCTGGCAATTCTGTGCCCTCAGCTGAATACACTGCCACATCCATACCCAGAGATTTTACAGCCAGCTCGCCGGGGTAAGATGGAAGTGATCTTGTCCCATGCAAGAAGGAACCACAGAGCTCCGTTCCGCCTGACATAGACAGTTGACAGATGTTGTTCTCGGCCCCGAAGGCGGAGACAAGCCAAGTTGCGAGTGCCGGTGTCAACAGCGCTCCTGTTGAGAGTATCGTGTGTAATTTAGGTGGAAGAATTTTGAGATCATCTGGGTCACGACGCCATGATTGTCAGGAAATTTCAACAATTCAGGTGATGGAGGGGGTTTCATCTTCCACCTACACGGCTTTATGTTGCGTTTCTGCAACTCGGAATAATATCGCGGTCCTGCCCCGAAGGATGTGAGCCTGGCGCGAGGTCAGCAACTTCTGAAACCAACATAGAGAGAAAAACGAACCCCTGGGCGAAGACGCCCTCGAGAAAGCGTTCTGGAGAGGGGTAAAAGGGGCTGCCGTCATATAAAACCAGCGTTGAACCCGTAAACAATGCCCCGATTGATATATTCCACAGCGTCCAGCCGATCTGTACAATGAACCACGGTCAGCGATTGCGTGGTACTCTTGAGGCTGAACCGATGGTTTTGCCACGAGCCTTACTTACACCAGAGAAGTGAAAATGCACGTCTTCAGGACCCAGGTTGTTATGGAGCACATATTCTTTCAGTCCCACCATCAACAGGCCCTGCATGAAATCAGACGTCAGCAGCGAGTCTAGACCAGAGGCTTGTGTTGCCTGGAGAATAGAACCTACACCATGCGAATGCACAATTCCCTTTGGAACTCCCGTTGTTCCTGAAGAAAACATAACCACGGCTGGACTTTCGAATGGAAGCTGTTCATAGACCAACTCCGCCCCTTCCCCCCGATTTATGAAGTCATCGAACGATGTCCTACATGTTCCAGTAAGTTAGTCTCAAATTGTATTGTTGCCTGGATACGCTCTCCGAAGAAGCACCTACGGTGTTCCCTGGACGGATTCCGTTGGCCCAATAACCACAAGCTCGCATTTCCCTTGCTGCCGCAGATTTGCGTATGCCGAAGAGATCTTTCTTGATATATCGATAGTCTTCCCGTTGTAAGAATACCCAGACTCTGCAAAGACGAAGCGTGGCCGGAGCACACCAAGTCGATCGTCAAGAGCCTAGATGTTCCAAATTAGGATCTGTTTGCTGGTCGACCATTTTTTGCAGGTTTGACAGCCTACCTTCTCTCCAATATCCGTCGCAAATGATGAAAACACAACTCCGATGGCAGTGGTGGCCAGCAGCAACGCGAGAGATCTTACACAGTTGCCTCCCACCACTATGCGCAGAAGATTAGTCAACCAACCATTCTCACACTTGGATATCGGGCATAAAAAGTCACGTATAGGAGTTGAAGAGTCGGAGACTCGAACACGTACATGCAACGATATCACCTTTCACGGCATCTGAGGCTCTCAAAGCATTCGCATAGCGCTTGACCAGTCCACGCAACTCGTTCCAGGAATACTTCTCAGGATCGAATAAGTTTCCTTCAACCATGTCGATGACCGCCGTTCCGGTTTGTTTTCGGCTCAGCATGTTCTCTGCAAAGTTGATACGCGCACCAGGGAAAAATTGCGGGAAGTCGTCGATATGGAGCCGTTCGTCAATAGCCTATTTGGAGACGCAAAGTCCAATTATTAGAAATCGAGACCACATCAACGAACCACAGCCAACTCGGTATGCGTACCGATTTTGGATGCACTGATGCACGCACACCCGTGAATTCCCATACATTCATCCAGAAGTCATTTAACCGTGCGACGGAGAAACCGTGCAGATCGTCATACGATCCTATTGAGGGGGCATGGTTAACACGGCTCGGGCAAGGAACCGCCTTCGTCTGGGAAGAAGAATGAAACAACAAGTCACCAGTGCTTCACTTGGCAATCACCGGCAACAAGTTTTTGCAATAATACTGTCTCGGGGCATAGGACGTACGTACTCAGTTTGACAGCATACTTCCGCTCCAATAGCTCTCTGAACTCGTCCAGGGCAGAGCGATATCCGGGTGGGGGTATGTAGGATGGTGTTAGTGGCGCCATATCCTCTTTCCCCAGATCGTCGAATGTTGATGATATCGTTAGCGGACGATGCAATATACGTAGTTTCAACGGATGACTTGGATTGCAGAGGTTGGACAGATCTGAGGCTGGTAAGGAAACCGCCCCCCTTCAAACTCGCACGGTCGAATGCCAGTCGTCTTTCCAGCCGGGGAAATTAAAATCGATCTGGAGAGGACCACCGAGATCACGAATGATCCGTCGAACAGGAAACCTCAACGATGAGATGGCCACCTGCCCGAATGCCTGATACCCCGGTACTAGATGGGCCAATTACTCGACTTGATCAGCCTTGTTCGGAGAACTAGCCGTCCAAGCCGCTGTCACAGCCGAGGCCCAATCACCACCTCGACCTACAAGTAGATACTGCTGTTGAAGACAGAAAGAATATGTTATGAATCGCAAGAGCAGGGTAAGTAAGCAACCAGTACGGTCGGGATAGAGTGGGGGAGGGAATGCGAGGCACCCCTCCCGGGCAGCGAAGCTGAGTGTCATAAAGGATGGCTCGGAAAACCTCTCGCATCCTATCCTACAATCGAGCAACGTTGGCTCGTCAGACAGTAATAGAACGGTCCGAAGACAACGGAGGGAGGCGGAAATCGCGAGTCGCCATCACCGCAGCTTCAAGTCTACCGCCGAATCAACTAGCCCATCTTTTCAACGGAAAAGGGATCTCGGTGATGCAATAACAGTTTCAAAGGAGAGGACGACTTGCTCGGCAGTGCTGGCGGAACGAAGTCCGAGCACAAAGCATGAAAAACATTCTTACTTATTACTTGTTCCGTGCCCAGGGATGCCTTACGGTAGTGTTATCTACGAAACATCACCATCACGTATCATACCAGTACCACCAATCTACATCTACATACCTCCCGAAGGCGGGTGCTTAGGACATGGGTTACGTGTAGTTATCCAGTTGATTCTCCCTCTGTGTAAGGCTGGTAGATCCCCGGATTTCCTCTCCGTCGCTCGACACCAGGCCTAGCATCTCAAGTAAAAACCTTCGGACCGAGCACATACATCTCCAGCCCAGTGCCACCCCCGCCTCCCCCCGGGGCCAAACACGCCCATTATCAAGTTAGCATTGATCCAAATGGTCTCCGAGACAACAGAATCTTGATATTCCTTTCTCGGCCCGAGATTTTACGGTGCTTGTTTTTTCGTTGTTCTTGCCCGGTCTTCGGCGCTTAGGCCATGGGTTATAAATTACGTAGCTTACTCCCTGTACATAGGTGCTTGATCTCGTCCATGACGTTGAACCTCTCGCACTGCTCCATGCATGCCACACCAGCACTGACAAAGAAGAACCTATGTCGATAGCTGAAAGAGGAAGTGAAAAGTGAAAAGGTGAAGCCATATGACATCATCGTCATTCGACATACGACCCAGCACTAAGTATGTATCAGCTTTGGATCTGTCTGCACATGCATCTGCATCAAGACCCTTTAATTGCCTTCATCTCCTCTGCTCTCACGGATCAAGGGCTGCCTTGATCCCCCTTCCAAGAAAAAAAGTCATGTCCTCCATCCAGTCAGCACGTCCATCGTAGAAATTTGGTTACTTTATGTCGTTGTTTTTGTCTTTCCCAAGCGCCTTATCTCTCCTGTGGATTTTTGTCCCATGCTTGCCGTGTCGAAGTGAACAGAGATTCAATGAGAAGAAAACCCATCGCCCGATCAATCGTAAACATCATATTGTTGAAAACCATGTTTCCCATATCCCATAAGCCGCGAGGCAATGTTTCTTTTATGTGTAGGTGCGGGGTTCGTGGTCGCAGCTGCTGTCAGCGAACATCGCCAGGAAAGCGCGTATAGTAGCAGCTTAGACCGAGGTCTGGTCACATTGCCAAATCTACATTGTGGCAACCCTTGCAAGGTTCATGTACAACAATGTGCCTTGGGCACGAAGAGCACAAACTTCAGACTGCCTGCGAAGCTTGTAGCCTTGCAAGCATTTATTGCTCCATTGGGACAGTCCGTGCCTCATCAATTTTCCCTTTCTGGTCTGGTTCAAGGTTCTGATAATACCTCTCAGCCAAGGTTGCGGTAGGTTGTCCAAAGACACCTGTGCTCACAAAGGGCGACTTGTACACCGTTGTCGCGATTTGATGTTTGTTGATGTAATATCTCGACACCCGACCCCAAAAGCCACCACGTTCCTGCCAATCAACCAATTGCTTAGGTGCGGGTCGATCATTAAGCATCAGTCCGTTCGATCCTAGGGGTCGCTTTTCCAGGCTCCGGGTAAGGGAATGAGACGGCTGTGCCATGGGTGGTTCTACCACTTGTGATTGCTTTTGCTGGTTGAAAGGATTGGCTCCGCTATTGAGTGGATCATACATCGATCGCTTCGGGATGTAGTTGGCCAACGGGATCGAGTTCGCGGGAAATGGCGCCAGATCAAGGTCCATATCCATAGCCATAGACATGGATTGTGATCTCCTAAGACCAGATTGAAGGGGTGGAGCCATGGACGAATGTAAACCCAGTCCCGAGAAGCTCCCTCGGGCAGATCTGTGTCCGGCACTTGATCCAGGAGGACTGATCTGGGTGGCATTGGGGTTGATGAATTGAGGTGGATTATGAGGGTCTAAGGGCTGAATAGGACTGGCAGCTGCACTTGTCTGAAGCGAAAAGTCATGCTGGACGCGGGGACTTGGCGGCATCGTGTATGAACTTGTTGGTCTGCTTCCAGGTGGAGTGTTCTTTCCTGCTTCCTTTTGAGCTTTGATCTGATCTGGGCTTTTGAAAGGATACGCAGGATTGGAAATTCGCCGTTGTCGCTCTACCTCGGCAGATGGGGGTGGTGCTGGTGGTTGGCTGGCAGCAGCTCGGATGTTATCCAACGATGATCCATGGCTAGGGTAGGTAGACGTCGAGCCTCCTCGACCTGAGGAGTTCATCCCATTGTTCTGATATGGGAATTGCATGTGCGACTGCTGGACATATGATGGGAAAGTAGGGTTCGCTGCGGATGGCGACGGTTGAGGGCCAAAGACAGGGAGCATCGAGTTCATGCCGGAGTTCTGCGGAGATGCAAAACTTGGCCCTCCATTGGCTAGACTTGGGTTCATCCAATCATTGCTATAATTGTACTGCTGCGGTCGCATTCTTGAATTCATTATGGAATTTCCTCCATACCGGCTGGCGCTGTCACCATTCTGGAAGCTCGGGAAAGGTTCATTGTACTGTTTCAGCGGCGGAAGCGACGGGTCATTTGACCATTCAGTCATATGTTTTGCATGCTGAGAAGCTTGACTCTGGAATTGTCGCTGTCGTTGCACGGCATCATGGTCAATGCCGATTCCAGTATGACTAAGCGCGCTGGCCCGATCGGCCGCGTCGAGTTGTTGAGCTTTCGCTGCTTGTCGCTGGAGAATCCGGGTTTGCTCGTTGATGCGTGCCTCTTGACCGGCAATCATATCACGGTACTGTGAATTCTTGATTTGTGCCGGTTTCTGGAGGTTGGCAAATTTTTCCAGACTAGTGTTCTTGGTAAGATCGTGCGTTGTCCCGTTGAAAGTGCCCGGCAGTGAGGATCCATTTTGATTTTGGCTGACCGCATGCTGCTGTCTCATATTGACCGTAGCAGCATTGCGGGCAGCAACATTTAGCATTGGATAGGACGCGGCTAATGAGTGACGTTTTGGTTGGGGAGGAGGTGGCATTACAGGTTTCGGCGGTGTGACGGTTTCCAGGAAGTTCGATGCAGAGTCGTGGATACGCTTACCGGGATCCGCCGTGTAGTGCGCCTTGGCTTCCGATGACGTTTCGCCGATATAAAGCCACATCTGTTTCTCCTGCAAAAAGTTCACGGGCTTTTGAGCTGCATTTACAGGAGGCACGGTCGACGCAAATTCAGCCCATTCGGTCGGCGGTTCCTCTGTGAAAGGATCGCCCGCACTTGGCTTCTTCTCGGTCGATTCTGGCAATGATGCAGTCTTCCCTTGAAGCTCCTCTGGAAGTTCCAGAGCATTGGCCGATGGGTTTTGCAGACAGGATGTCGCACTATCAACGAAAAGAATCGTCGTGGGATCCACTTCCCTGATGGTTTTCATGTCCGGAATAATCTTCACCAGAAGTGAATCCTGACCCTCATCGTATCTAGCAACCACGAGGCCAGCTTCGATGTCATCCGCATTTGTCGCTTGGAATTGAACCAGCGCACCAGGCTTAAGGCTGAATAGAAATTCTCGAAACTCCTTGTTGCGCCAACAGCTGTTGGCGTGGTTACAGGCGGAAAGTTCACTAGTGATCCGCGTCCGCTTGACGGTTCGGTGCAGGCGACATCTCCAGTCAAACCCAATGTCGCGATATTCGACACCTTCATGCCAGACCGCGATCGGACCCTTGTCAACTTGAACTCCAGCTTGCATTGCGCAAGTAGCGTGATAGGCTTTGGTGCATTTGGCCGAAGAGCACTGGAAGCAGGACCCCTTCTTCTGCCGGCATTCGTAGCACTTGAGCTCCAACCGTGCTTTGCTGATGTTTTCAATATTGTGCACCATTTCTTTGCCATCGCTATTTGCAATGTACGTTTCTGGCGTGTACATCGCACAAGTTCTGTGAGCCTTTTGACCTTGCGTAGTGGGAAGTAATTCTTCCCAGGCAAAGTCATTGGGACACAAACAACAGGGCTGATTCTTGCTGACCTTTCGGACCTTGATGATCTTCTTGGCCTTCTTGTTCGGACCCAGTTCCTTGGGGGGACGTTTTCGCTTCTGAGCACCTTTGACTTTGCCACGATCACTGCTGGGCGGTGTAGGGAAATCGATGGGTTCTTCAAGTTCATCCTCATCATCCGTGACTTCGACTTCCTCATACTCCGGCGTCGGTTCCCCATTCATCTTGCGTACGAACCAATCGACATCAATGAAGACGCTGTCAGCTTCGCATTGACATTTTCGCGCGGTTTTGCCATACTGGAGCCAGTTTTCGATGGCGAAGTTTACAGACTCGGCACAGTTATAACCCAAGTTATAACCCGAGTGATATCCAATGGGGAATGTGATGACAAATTGGCCTTCTCGGTGGACAACTTTGTTGACCGTGACACCAAATTTGGACTTCAAGATTGCTGGCGAGACGAGATAGGTCTTGTGCCTTAGAAATTGATCGCAGTTTTTGGCATCCGAGCCCCAAATCGACTTCATCGCAGCCTCAAACTTTGGGGCGTCTTTTTGGGAGACACTGTACCACTGCTTGGGAGCCCCAAAGTGGATGTAGTTGATACTGTAAAGATCGACGTCTTCCAAATGCCAGGCGAACGTTGCACGCCACATCCCGAGGTATAGGTAGGCGGTATTCACACCGGGGATCTTGTCTCCAAGGAGATCCAGCAGGTTTGGCAGATGGGCGACGTTCCACGCTTGGGTATCAGCGTCAAACAGTGACCCAGGCATGTCTGCGGCATACATGGGATTGCTGAAGTTGAGACTTTTCCAGTATTTGTCTTCCAACTCTTCGCAGCGTTCGGCCGTCCATTGCTCGTTGTCGTAGACACGATAATCAAAATCTTCGAATGCCTCCTGATCGATATCATCATTGGCTTCTCGAGCATTTCTCAGCCTGCGAGCTGCCACGGTGGTTTCAGCCGCAGCACCGCCAGTCTCTCTTCTGACCGCAGCTTTTGGCTGCCGACCCCGGGATCTTCCAGGCTTTCGTCCTCGTTTCTCTTTGGTGGGTGTAGGCTCGGGGGTCTCATGGACGGCATCATCTCCGTTCCCGTGTTCGAGTGTGGCAGGCTTGACTTCTGGACTTGTAGGTGTTGGCGGGGCAAGAAGTGTCGAGCCATGGTCGGAAGCCTCCTCCTTGATCGGTCTTGTTCGTGGCCGCCCGACACTTCTCCTACCGGTTTCAGGGATAGGTGAGGCTTCGGACTTCCTCGATTTGGTTGTTCCTCTGCCAAGTAGTCTGTCTGCGTTCAATCTCTTCTCCCCACGTCTTGCAGGAGGTTGATTTTCTGTCTGTTCGCATAGAGCCTTCCACTGCGGGAGATTGTAGGATCGCATCTTTTCCATATTGCGTTGAGTGTAGACGCCTTGGGCGCCGTGGAATTCTTGGGTGAGGGGATTTTTGATCTTGATAGTCTTGACCAAGTCGTCCAAGGCTTTGCGTGCTTGTTTCCTAGACGAAGTCAGTCTTACGCAGGTACGGAGGATGTGGATCGTCGCACAGCAGAGCGACAAGAGATGTAGAGTTGAGACGTACCATTCTTCGGGAGGGTCGATCAACACAATCCCAGACTGCATGCCATAGGGATCGACGCCCTTGACGTATCTGTTGAAGTCTTTGAATTGTTCCATGGTCTACAAGCATAGTGTCAGCTCTATAATGTCCAACAGGCTCTTTGGTCTCGCGTGGGCCATGAAGCAGGGTGGTGGGTGGCTTGGGTGTGGGTGTGTTCTTGCATACCGGCGTGAAGATCGGAACTCCATTTTCGTATCGATCTGGCTTCACTTCTGAGAACTGTTCGGCCTCAGCACCAGCGCGAGCAGCCTCTTCGAACCTCATCCTGTTTTCCTCGTCTTCAATATCATCGCCGAGATCGGAGAGGGAAGAACTCGACGCTGCGTCATCGTCTTTATGGCTCGCTTCGTCGGTGGTGGGAGGGGTGTGAACTTGAGGCACTGGGACGGATTGGGAGAGGGAGTCGTCTTTGTCTACGGCAGCAGTACCGAGCCCAGCATCAACAGGGAGGGAGGGCATGGTAGCGGCTGCCATGACAGCCGGCTGAGGGTGTGCACAGGGATCTCGGGCGAAAGAGGTGGCGAAACGGGTAGGTCTGAGGTTCCAAGTCAGGTATTGAAGCGGCGCATGAAGAGTATCGATGAAGAAGAGGCCACCGCGGATTGCAAAGAGGTCTGACGGCGTAGAGATGGACGTTGACGGCGGTGTCGAAGAGGAGGCTCCTGGCGCAGGGACTCGTGCTGTGGACGTTGAGACTGTGAGGTCCAACTTCAACTCGAGGTTTGCGCTAAAAGGCTTGGCGCAGGCACTATTCTCTTATCGGGACTTTGCAGTGTCAGGCCACAAGACCCTTTTCACGCTGTAAAATACATCACGCTCATGTGAGAACAGAGACCCATCCCCATCGGCTAGAGCATGGGAGATGCTGTGTTCAAGACGCTATATCGACAAATGTATATCCTATATATTGCTCAAGGTGGTATCTCAAATTTCAAGGCTGCCTTGGGCAATATTGGCCTGTGGCTTGTGTCATCGTGCACCTCCAATGCACATCCCCGCTCAGCAATTGGCTCGGTTGAGATCCAGGCACAAGAAAACACGGGGATCTCATCGATTTCACTAATGCGCATCATCCACGCCGCCGCCGCCGCCTGCGTCCCCGCCGACACCCAAGGCCCAGGGGTTCATTCTGGCACATCTTTTCCTGCATGGCCATTCCCCATTTGTCTATCTCATCCAACCAGAACGACCGACTACGAATAGAGCATCATCCCATCCCGGTGTTGGTCCAGCCCGCGAATGATCAATATTCGGTCAACGCCAGCTTTTTGCCAACTGTGCGACGTCTTTGAGCAAGCTGATCGGCCGGCTTGGTTTGATCCTTTTTCAGTGCTTGCAACAGCATGCCGGCATCAAAGAACCCATCTGTGTCACTGTTAGTTTCTTGCCCATTTTCAAAATATGACGGGGAATACGTACATCCTCCCAATCCATCATCTTCCACTTCTGCGGTGTCCATGCTGGTTGGAGTTTGTGCACCGTCCATTCTGGTTGATTCGGTCTTGATAGCCCGACCACGAGACTTGAGTCTACCATCTTTGCCGACCTTGTCTTCCGCCTCACGAGCGCGAGTGACTTTCCCAACCGCTGTGTCTTTAGATCTTGTCGCTCGGAGCAACCTACGGATTTCATTCAAGTAAGACTCCAAACTGTCCACAAATCGCTTGGTTTGTCGATGTTTGCTACTGGCGCACACTGAGATCGAGTCGTCCTTGATGATGTAGCCGATGCCGAAGCCATCGCCTGACACGGGGCCAAAACCAAAATGGCGCAGGGCTGGGTTGCCACAATTGGAAGTGCTCAAGATGGTATTGTTGATCCTCTCCCATCCTGCATCACTGAAAAGCATGGGCATGTGTTGTAGCGGTGGCCCTGGCGAACGACTTGAGTCAGTCCCCGCCCGAGAACGACTGATAGGAGACGAGGAGTCTTCAAGTCGTTTCGGACTTCCCATGTCACTCATGTCGGTAGGGCTTGAATATCCGTTAGAGCTGAAACCCGTCGTGCTAGCAGCTTCGGCACCCTCATCATTGACCTTACGTTGCCAGACACAATACAACGCATAGAGATGACGATCATGACCTTGAGCATTGCTGCATTCCTTGGTTGTAGCCGTGTGTTTTGTCGTGGCTGCTTTGAGAGCGTCCACTTTTTTCTGGGCGGCGGTATCTGCCCAGAACGTTCTGACAAACTCCACACTTTCTGGCGTGACGGTACGGATGGCTTCCGTTCGACCGTGGAAGAACATTTTGGTCATGGCTGGCTCATATGTATTTTCCACTCGACCGTACAGTCCATAGTATGCAGCTTGAAACGCCATCTGCACAAAGGCATCCGGTGAGAAGCCCATGGATGTGATGAAATTTTTGCCGTATCCTGCAAAGTCTAGGGTCTGAAACTCGTTCTGGTTGATCAGATCAGCAAGCCGCGTTTCTGCAAATCGGAGTGCCGTCTGCAACTCCGGGATCATGTCCCACTCAAGCTTGTGTGGAGTGGTGCTGACATCACCAAAGCTTTCTGGGTCACGTTTAGAAGGATCTGGACTATTGGTTGACCATAGCGAAGGTGCTTGGCCATTGATGGACTTTGCAAACCTCAAGATGGTATCGGTATATACATCACTGGCGAATCGAAGGACAGTATGGCCATCGACGCCGGTATGCTCGAAGTTGATGCCAGCACTTCCGTTCTTGCAGACAATGATCTGTAATTTGTCGTACCATCTATTCGTACAGGTGCCGACCTGGACGCCTTGCACAATCTCGTTGGTGCCGCAAAGCATGTTTCCACATAACTGTGATACATCAGCTGGCTCGGTATAGTCCAAGCCGACGATGAATAGGGCTGAGTCGATGATGCCAAGGCATTCAGCATTGTTGGAACCTTCCTCTCTGGTGAGGAGGTCTCTCAATCCCGACCACGTCTTTCTGTTCTCTGTGGTGAGGACTCCAACGGCACCCTTAGCCGCCTCTCGTATGGGGGTTTGCTCGGCGTCGTCAACGATGACCTGGAGGTTGATGGCAAGGTCTTTCTCGGTCATGATCACATCATTGTTCTGGTCGAGGACGTCAAACCAATAGATCTGGCCTCGGCACATGACCACAATGTGTTTGGAGTCGGAGTCCTGGCCAATGATACAACCGTTATCGGTAGGGACTCGAGCGGTGCCAAACAGCCTGGAGTATTGATACATGTCCAATGGAGTGCCTCGCAGTTTGTCGGGTGGCAGCTCTTCTCGGCGGACCGCTCGGACAAAGCAGAGGGCCGATACGACCAGGGAGGCAGCTCTTGTGACTTGGTTATTTCGGGCAGGGGTGGGATCATCCTCAAGCAGGAAGAATGGGTTGAGGTTTAGTACGACAGGGTTGTCGTAGTTGAGATACGAGTCGTACCAGAACTGTTCAATGTAACTCGTTTTGCCCGTCGAATACTTCTTCAAGCGGTCTTGAAGTTCCTTGCCCTCGTTTTCGACAAAATCACGGGCAGCAACTCGAGTCTCATGGTGTTCCTGGAAGGACTGTAAAGGCAGCAGAGCTTCGAGGTATTTCTTGATCGTGGACTCGAGGTCTGGAATGGGGAGTTTGGTCAGCTTGTCTTGCGCGGCGAAGGTGATGCCAGGCCTGGGAGACTCTTTGGTCGCAGAGGGTTCTTTTTCTTTCTGGGGCGGGGAGTCCTTTGACTCCTTTGGGGCCTCGGAGGCCTGCTCCTCCTGCTTCTCACTCATCTTCTGACCGTTCAGGTACGGCTGGGCAGGCTGCGAGGAGTTGACCAAGGTCTCGCCAATAGGCCTAGGTGGAGTAAAATATCGGGTTCCTGTAATGTTGGAAGGCATAGTCAATATCTGAATCATCCGTAAAGGGCGGCCACCAGGGTGGCAACACTCAGAAGACGAAGGGCGGTACGGTAGAAGTAGTGGCAGTCAACGTGATAGTAGGGCGGCATGGGGCTCAGTGGTCAATCGGAGGAAGCATGTCAACATGTCACCATGCTAGAGGGGTATATATGAGAAGGTGGATTGCATCAAGATCGAAGCGAGAGAAGGGGAAGAGCTGAGTTGTCAAACATTTCACAAGCAGGTTAAATTGGACTTGCAGTGAGCCAGGCGTCTCGCCCGAGGCAGAAAACTCCGGTCTCAGAGCGGCCAAAACACAACAACGATAGGTGTCGCAGGGAGTGGAAATAACGTTGGTTGGTTGCGAGTCGGAGGGCATGAGATAGAGGAGGATCCGACCTCTCCACGAAACGCATCTCCGCAACCCACTTTACGGTCTTGGGAAGAACAGGGTCGGGAAAGATCGCACGATGGAAATTGTATGGGAAATGTGGGTAGGTGCATCGTGCATTGGCATAGTCGTGGTGCATGTGGATGGAGGCTGATGCCGCGGTGGAAGGTAAAAGGTAGAATGCAACGGTTGTCGCGGTTCGGAGCAAAGGAAGAAGAGAAAGACAGAAGTTGTGGTTTGTGGTTTGTGGTACACGTACCGAATTGGTGGGCAGCGGCCCTGCCGTAGTACCAACTAGTACTAAGCAGTAGTACTCCGTAGTGGTAACCAGGGGCGGTTCTCGCTCTGGAGTCTGCGTTTAGTATGAGAGATACTGTGCTTCTCCTTCGTTGAGCTGGTTCACTGACTCAAGACAACCCGGTGGTTGGCTGCTGGCTGTGATTTGCTTGGTGTCAGGGAACTGTAACTAAGTACCGAGGAGTACCTGGCCTAACCTTTGAGCCGTGGGTGTGTTCGATTGACTTCCGAGGGTACGGATAGGTAGAACTGAGGGACCGAGTTGCAGGCTTGGACAGACTTATTAAGAACACAATCCTGGATCCTGGAAGTCGGGGTTCGATGATGAGTGGGATGTGGGTGACGCAGAACTGAGCGATTGAGATGTTCGTCGAAGAAGAATAATGGATGATTTGGTACAGGCACAGGCACAGGCACAGAGGCACAAATACAGGCAAAGAAACAGCGCCTCCCACACAGATCAGAAACACAAAGACTTGATCGACTAATACTGACCGTCGCAGGCGCAGACTCAGTGCTTCTCCAACTTCAGTTCAGATTGAACACTGCTCTTGTGACGTAGTAGTGGTCTCTATTCTGCACTACCTAGGGTCTTGCACTCTCTCTGATGACATGGTCCCAGCCCTTTAAATACTCAGTCACTCGACGGCCATGAAATGCTGCTCTCTGGCTTCCAGAGCCCTTCTTTTTCGTTATCGTGGCGTGGCGAACCGCATTCTCGAATCCGCCTGAAGTTCGCCGGTCTTACCTGGTTGAGAGGATCTCCTGTCATGCGGATGGCCGGAGCACCGCGACTGCTGAGACTGATCAAAATGTCAGGAACCCAGGGACCCAGGAACCCAGGACGGAGGGTGACCATGGACACTGACCAGGGCACCAGCGATGGCACACCACATAACTTCCATTTCTCCGCAGCACTTGCGAAGTCTTGGAGAGCTGGGGAATGCCATGGGCCAAGGCATGATGCGAGTCCGACATTGTGCCTTCCTCCCGCTGTGTGTCTGTGACTGGACGGAGCACCTGAGAGAGCCCAAGCTGATCCTCGGCTCTGTGTCGCCTTGCCCGGCCGGCAGTTTCTCGACGAATGGCTTGTGCCGCCAATGACCACCCACACTGAATCTAGCGGGTCAGCTCTTTCCCCATCGCGACTTGGGACGTCGCTGCCTAGAGAGGCTGGAATCACATGCTCTCATACCCAGTCACAACACAGTAGTTAGGCTGTGTGTATGCACGAGATCACGGGGACTTGGATCACCCTGCCGCATGCACGTGTTCAGCGTCCCCTACAAGTAGTATCTAGGTATGCCCCCCTGGCGCGTCACCCAAGTGCATCAGGGTCGATGGAATGCAACGGTCGAAAACAATCATGCGACCACGGGTTTTATCAATTTCAATGCTTGAACTGTTTTGCTTGCAATGCTGCTAAAAGTACAGATGTGTTCGAGCCTGCTGTTGTACAGACCCGATCTCGCCCTTCCAGTAGGTCTGGCTTCTTGCTCGTCATGTTTCAATCCCCTTCAAAAGTCTCCAAGCCCTCAGACCCGCGTGGTCACAGAATAAAAGAAAATGTCCTCATCTGGAGGATTGTGTTGCGTGCTACCGCCAATCACAATGACCTAAACCGAGGAACATAGAAGAGAAAACGTAAAATCCAACAATGTCCTTGTCCGCGACTCTGGTCGCAATCCATCGTCAATCCCTTGCATGCCAAATACCATAGCTCCCAGCCTTCTGCCAGCATGCAGCAATACACACATACACCAAAGACATTGGATTGGGGCTGTTCACTGAACAACAGAAAATATGCACTTGAACTCACGCCTGCGCTTGCAATGATTGCCTTTCTCCAGAGGACCGATGCAATTGACTCGTTAAAACATCAAAGCAAAAGCCATCTCCACTTTATATCGAGAAAGTAGGGTGGCCCAAGGGAGCCAACACATTGGCTCCATACTGGCCACCGAAGTTGCCCGGGGGGCCGTAGTTGCAGACGGTGAAGTACGGGCTGATTCCGCCGCCACCAGCGTTGGCGAGTCCACCCGGGCAATACTGAGTGGCACAGCCGACACCGGTGGTAGACTTCCACACGATCTGAGAGAAGTGACCCCACTTTTCGAAGTTGCTCATGTCAGGCTCACCGCCGTAGCCGGGGTAGTAGTTGATCTCATCATTGTACATCAAGTCGCTGATCATGCTGGGGATGTCCGAGGGGGGAGAGCCAGCACCGATGTTCTGGCCATAACCGCCGCCGCCAGTCGAGGTGTCATGTGCATAAACGCAGCTGGCGGCGATCTGAGCAGCAATACTGGCCAGGTTGTCATCCCAAGTAAGATCAGATGCTGAGTGATTGGCTCGATGAATGTTGTGAGCATCGAGAATGCCCTGTTGGTAGTCAGATGAAACGCTAGTTGGGATGGGACCAGATGAAGCATGCGAGGGTGCAGACGACGACCATCCGCTGCTGCTCCCGCTCCCATCGGCTGGTCCTTGGTTGAACGACGGGGCTGGGCGGCCTTCGGTGGAAGATGCAGCAGGTGCAGGTGCCTCCTGAGTATAGGTCGTGGCATCACCACTCCATCCGCCATTTCCATTTCCGCTCCATCCACCCCAGTTGCTCCAGCCGCCAGATCCAGTGTCAGCGGCAGCATCCGTCTGAGCCGGAGGATAGCCGGTCACGGTTGCGGTCACTGTGACAATTTCGTAATGGGTCACCAAGGCACGCTTGTCAAGAGGAGTGGCAGCTGCCAAGGAGGCGCAAAGGCCTGCAACGACGAGAGGTGTAGCGGTCTTCATGGTTGCTCTGGGTGAGGTTCTTGTTTAAGAAGTTTGGAATCTATTGAAAGGTTGTCTGGAGTTATTGATGAATAGAACCGATTGCGATTCAATGGTTTCCACGAGGCTATTTGATACCAGATTGTGGCAGGAAATGGCAATGCTCCCGGCAGGTCGATGGGAAGAACGGAGGGTTGGCTGGTAAGCGCAATGTCCTGAAGTTGACCCAAGTTCTGTTCACGCCAGGTGAGGCTGGACAAGATGGATACTCTGGTCAAAGAGTAGTTGACTCGGTGATGTCTGGGTGAGGTGCACTGGGCACGGTCTGGGCTTGCAAGACAGCACGGTCACGGACTGTGCTTTGGACGAGAAGGCTGTGTTGCTTGGGAAATGGGTAAAGAACGACTGTCTTGTGCGCCTCGAAAGAGTGAGAGGGCAAGCAAGAGTTAATGAACGTCAGGTGGCAGAGGCCGAAGGATGGACTTGATGAGTGACAAAGACTGTGGGAGAAGAAGGGAGAGGTGTAGCCGGAGGGGCGAAGGGCTTCTCGGAGGTTTTGTATGGGGTGATGCACCTGTGGTTGGGTCAGTCTCTCATTGTTCTCGAGCCCTGCTATCACAAAGAGGCTCTTCCCTAGTCACCCTAGTCGACCAAACGAAAGCAAAGGGACATTGGATTGGATACAGGACCGGATCGAGGACGAGGGTCGCGAGGTAGAGTGGGACTAATGCAGGTACATCGCACTCACAGATACAGGGGACCAGGGCCAGAGAAGAGGCAGAGGACCGAGGGTGGTCAAAATTGGTCAAGAGTTAGGACTGGCTTTAACCGAGAAGAGCCCAAGTGGCCCGAGAGAGGGGAGTTTAGGGGAGCCTAACAGACTTTAGGCTGGGTGGTGGCGGGCAGCAATTGGATTGCGGGGTGCTTAGCTCGTCACTGAGATTTGCTGGCGATGACGATCCAAGAAGGCAATCTTGACTGAAACACAATCTGACTGGGGGGTTCCCGCCAAGCTGAGGCTGCCTAGGCCCTAAAGAGAATTGCAGAGCCTGAACCAAAGTGGAAAATGAGAGTGATCGTGTGTAGACAAGCGAGTGGACAGATACAAGGAGAACACCATGGAAGCTCTACGAGTATGGTGAAGGAAGGGGATTTGAATGAGACGTGGGGAGCCAGGCTCGTTTATGAGGTCAACTACCTACTGGATATGCATTATTACCACTTGCCATTGACAAACAGCCGCTGCGCATTCTCCGGGCAGTTATTCTACATTCAGGAATGGGGTTGCCTGTTGCCTTGATATACCGTTGTGTTTGTTTTGAGACCAGACCGGATCCATTCGCTGACTGCTTGGGCATGTCCATGACCTCTGAACGGTTCTACGAGTGTGGCCACCTGGAACAAGCGACAACTGCAACCAGGTGTTGTTGCTGCTGCTGCTGCCCACCTGATCCTGGGTGGCCTCGGTCGGGAGGTATTGGTTAGTAGTCACATTGGAGATGACCAGGGAGAGGTCAGTCGGTGTCCGCGTCTCTCTCATTCACCGGGCGAGGCTGGTGAAACGAATGGGCACTTGGGTCCTTCAGCCTCCAGGGTTTACTGCACATACTCTCAGAGATGGTCACCTTTGCCTAAGCGAAATCGTGGCTCTAAGCACCCTGGTCACCGGGTTCCCTAGCATGGCCCTAGACAAGCGCCAATTATGCAATCACTTAACGGTACTCCGTGGCACCTGGTCAGTACCTACAGGGCCCCGGGCCTCGGGGAATTTCAAGCTGCGCCAACGCTTCACCATTTGACCCTGTGGTGCACCTTTCTGCGACTGGCCTGCTGGTCAAATTTGAATCCAGCACTACTTCTAACCAGTCACCCACTGGCCCCACCGGTCGATGCTCGCCAAACTCTTGCCGGGGAATTTCTCCCCAGGCACCCCCTCTGTCCATTGGCCTGCCCCCCCGGGCGCCAACCGCCAATTTCACGACCTTATCCCTCCGCTCTCGCAACCATCTGGGGTCCGTTTCATCTCGCTGTCAACATGTTATTCTTGTCCACAGCTCAAATTACGTATGTAGACCAACAAGGGACAGAGTGAAAATCCAATCCAATCCAATCCAATCCTGACGCTCATCGATGAGGACAAACTCAGCAGCAACGCGAAACCTGGTTTCGCGTGGCCATGAGAGTTGGACACGCATGCGTGGTCCCTCGTATTCGTGCAAACCTTGTCTCGCGTGCAGTGGCGGGGAGAACCCTCGTCTCCAGCTCCAGTCCGAGACAGAACGCTAAAGCCAAAACTGCCCGTAAATCTGTGATGCGGCTGCTGTCTTTGTCAGCCTACGAGTACTCGAACTGTAACTCTTCTGGAGTACTCTATAATCATCCTGTACTCGTAGAGGCATTTGTGGCTTGCAGGGTACTATTTTGAGCCCAAGTGGAAGGTGGGGTCTCCTCTCTCCTCTCCATTCTCGGTGTGTTCCTCCTCCCACTATTTGATTGATACTGCCTCAGACACTCGTATGCTATGTGCGTCCACGGCGAGGTAGAATCCAAGATGCGAGTCTTCATTGCATACCTCGTAGCTATGGCCGCACAAAAATCCAGCATTATGATGAGTCAACCATCGCAAAAATTCTCAAAAGAATCCCTGTTTCACTTCCAGCATTCCCTCCTCCTTCGAAGCGGACGTCCCAGACGTCGGAGATTATCCCTGGCATGCCACAGCCTTCCTCATCCCGTGATGGGACTCATGGCGTGCTTCAGTAGTCCCCTTCCCGTGTTTACCGGGTAGTCGACATCGGCCATTATCCACTCGGCGCCTTTCCTGGGTGCGAAAACAGATTAGCCGTGTAGATCTGACTTTTCTTCTTCCCTGCCATCCTCGCGACAGAGGCTCCACAGAAAGGCGACTCCCTCGGATCTTGGGCATCTTCATAACGATCTCGTCTACCATGTATAGATCCATGCCCGGTACGTTTCAGATCAAGAACGTGGACTGAGATCCATCAACAATCACCGATTGTGACCACTGACCAGGTTATGACCCCTTCCCATAAGTCATCAGAGCAACTTCACCGGCCTTACGAGGTACTCGGTGCTGATACAGAGACATCACTCCCACCTCTCAACAAAATAGACTTCTGCCCAAGGTGAGACTCGATGACCTGGGTACATCGTTGCTGGTGGGACCCCGACTCCCGTGCTTCGCGTCCGGCATATCCTGGCGGCAAAGATGACGAGTCCTCCTGGTCGGGAATCGTGCGCTTCGAGGAGGGATACGTCAGCCGTGTTGAAAACCCCAGCATAGCAGCGCAGCACGAAAGTCTAGTTGAAACCCAAATGTTGAGTTGGATTTGAACTCCATATGTCCACAACAGTCCCATACAGGGACTCCATTCATATCGCCTTTGCAGTCTCTCTCATCGGCGACAGATGACAGAAGAAGGTTTGAGGACAGACCTGGTGCTGACCTGAGAACCCACAGTCCCCTTCCAGCCACGAACTGCGAACCATGCCATCAAGGCTACAGCAGGATCAAGCCCTGTGCAACCACCGTCCATCCGTTCCTGCCTCGGGCTTTTCTTTGGTTAGCCACAGAGCAAATGCAGACTCTTCCCAGCGCTTTACGCCGAACCATGGCAACTGTCAAGGTAACTCGGCGCCTCCTACTTGATCAGATGTTCCTTTTCTCGCAATCCCAACCACACAGACTCAACCTGAGACGTGCACAGCATCCACGATTTGGAAGAAGTGTGAACGACTCGCTGTCTGGGCTGTGCAACATTATCCAACTAGCTTTAGTCCTCCCTGCTTTCGCTCACTCCTGCACAGGCAATGTGGCAGGCAGCGCTTGTTAAGACGGATTCTTCACTTACCATCAGTGATTTGCAGAAGGGAGCTCATGTGTTTTTACTTCCAAGTGTTACGTGTTGATTTTTACGCCCCTGGTAATAGATCGTAGAGTTTGTGGAATCGCGCTCGTCTCGCAAAGTCATATCAGACACACCACCATGCCGGCCCGTTTTTTCCTTGCTCACCACCTTTTAGACCATTTTGACAGAGACTCCCATCACACAATCTCCTAACCTTCTCGACCCTCAATACTCAATCGTCCAGCAAATTCAACCAATAAGCAGTGCCTGAGTTGATCAAATATATATCCGTGGACTGCACAAGTGCTTTGTATTGCTCCGTGACTACTGCGTCTGCGATGGAAACTCGCTTCCTTGGCCCTGCTGGACACCGTCATATATACGCGGCATTTTCACAGATCCTCGTTCGGTCACGAGAAATGTTTAGCTGGGTAAGTGGGGGAAAGGACCAAAAGAAAGAAATGAATACCTAGCCCAAGGTGGCTTTTACACATTCTGTTCGGACGTGACTTCCAGCAGCATTCTTGTGTCCTTATTTTCCCTGGCTCTCGAGGTATCAACATGATGGATCACTAGAGCCAGGTCCGCCATCGCAGCAGTAATACTCGGGTGCAAGCATCCATCCGCTGATACACGCCATTAGCATACCTGTAGGGAACATCTGACATTGTCATTATTCCCACGTGCAACAGGGAACTTGAACTTGTGGGTGGGGAGGAAGTGGCTTCTCGAAGCAGCTTCGGAAGATCCTGGGGAATTTCTCCAAGGAAGAAACATTCACCGAACTCCGGGAAGAGAAGTCTGCGAGGGGTTCACAATCAATATCATTTGAGGTCCCGGACCCAGCGAACGAGGCTGGTTTACTGCTGGTATCCATAAGTCAGCTTTCCAACCACATTTTACAACAGACTGCAGTGGGTGGAGGATAGCAACCCTCGGGTCGTTCCTGAGTCCTGGCAGGAGATCAAAGTGGGTGAGTCTCGTCGGCATCTCCATTCTGGGCGACTCATTCCCCCAATTCTCAATGTGACACCACAGTGGCACCACCCGCTTCATTTTTCTTGCGAAACGCTCATGTTTCTACAAACATACTCACAACCATGCACAATACTTGTGCATAATTGAGACATCTTGATACCACAGTCTAGTTCTCCCGTCTCGTTTGAATCAATATCAAATTTCCTAGGCGTCCCCTTCTCCCGGCATTCTCAGAATTTCATTCCAGAATTTCAACATCAAACTTCCCTAGGCCCCCCAACGGCCCCATTGGCGAAATGGTATCCAAACCAACGATCCGAGTAATTGGGTCACTAAACATCGATTTCGTGACCACCACGCCCCGTGTCCCAGGCCCAGGGGAAACACTCACGGCGACGTCCTTGGCCGTGCACGCCGGCGGGAAGGGCTCAAATCAAGCAGTGGCATGCGGGAAGGCAGCTTTCACGTCAACCACGGAGCAAGATGTCACGGTTGACATGATCGGCGCTGTGGGCAAGGGAGATCCTTACTACGCATCACTCCTCAAGCCGACACTGGAGAAGAGTGGTGTGGGCACAAAATGCGTGGAGGAACTCGAGGGCATCCAGACAGGAACCGCGACCATCATTGTCGACACGGGCTCTAACGGAGAGAACCGTATTCTGATCGTGCCTGGGGCCAATAATGAAGTGACGGATGTGCAGAAGGTGTTGGATACTGCAACAAGCGATGGCGTTCCCGATGTCGTGGTCATGCAGGGTGAAATTCCACGGTCGACGGTACTGAGACTACTAAATGCATTCAACTCTCCCACACACAAGACCGCCGTGGTATTTAATCCCGCACCAGTCTTTCCAGACGGCATACCGCTCGATTCATTGAAGGGAATGGCGGTTCTGGTCGTCAACGAGACAGAATGCCTCCTCTTGTTCAAACTCATCGAGGAGCTACGGGGCTCGTCGTCCCTCCCTCGAGAGGAAGACATCAGCGAGGCTCACCTAGACAGGCTCACACGGTTGATACACGAACGTGCAGAGGTGTCGATCGTCGTCGTGACACTCGGCGGTCGTGGAGTTTACTTTTCAGCGTCGAACGGGTCCGTCCGGGGTCTTTTCCCCGCCGAGAAGGTGGAGAAAGTAGTCGACACAACAGCAGCAGGCGACACTTTTGTCGGGTATCTTGCGACCGCACTCGCGAGGCATTTAGCGACGAAGGCAAAAGTCGATACATTCGATATCCAGGGAGCTGTGAAGCGGGCAAATCAGGCGTCAGCCAAATGTGTGCAAAGAAGTGGTGCTATGGAAAGTATCCCCTTTGGGTATGAATAGTCGAAAGCGGGAACGGAGTGCGGGATATTTATCATACCCGTTGCAAAAGCAGCAATTGTCCGTTCGCCAGAGGGAATGAAAACTCCTGGAATTGCAACCGGGTAAACATTGTACATAAGAGCAAAGCCACACGCTGAACGACTACTCTGAAGTATGGACAGAGATGCCGAAGGTTAGCAGAGTGCTACTCCGCAACCCGCGACTCCACGATCCTCAAGTTTGATTGTGCAACCGTCCACTTCACCAACAAAAGCCTACGTGCATGCCTGACTAAGTTAGCAATGACCAACCCGCCCGTGCCTGGTCGAGATAGGCTGGGTGGATGCATTTGAAGCCCAGCCTCGGGTAAGTCAGCAGTGGCCGAAGGGACATTGAATATTGGCGGCAAGCCTTGTGGCCGCGACACCCGTCCACGCTGTGGGGAACTGCTTTTAAGCCTCGGCTCGTCGATTGACGTAGATACCGACGTCCTCACAGCTGACCGCGAATGTTGACCGCGAATTCAACACCGAGGTTTGTTTCTATCTGGATTTTGTCAATTTATCTTGTTCTGTACACTCGAAGTGTTCAACGCCGACCGATTGGAAAAGTTAGTCCCAATACGCAGCAGAACCGGCAGATTGTTTCGATTAAAGCCATCACAACAGCAAACTTCAACGCCGGGTTGCCTAAACGCCAACCACCAGAACCTCCAGACAGAGGGCATTTTCATACCAGGTTCAACCAACAGAACCAAGCTCCAGCTCCTCTTGAAGATGTCGTCCAATCTCCAAACCCAGATCCCACCCCCGTCCCCCTTGGACCCATCGGTGCTGCTCTCCAGCCCGGCGCCCAACATCCTCCTGGTGACGATCAACCGAATCAAGCAGATGAACTCCATCCCCTTCCCAGTGCACTGGTACCTGCACCGGGTATTTGAATGGTTCGATCGTGAACCGACCTTCCGCGTCGCCATCATCACGGGCGCCGGCCCCAAGGCCTTCTGCGCAGGCCAGGATCTAATTGAGCTCGGCAAGCGTGATCCCAAGAAACTCGAGGCCGAGCCGTATCTCGCCATGCACCCGTCATCTGGTTTTGCGGGGATCAGTAGAAGGACCGGAAAGAAGCCGATCATCGCAGCTGTCAATGGGTTTGCCCTGGGCGGTGGGTTTGAGATTGTGCTTAACTGGTGAGGTTTTTCATTTTCCTCGTCCGGAAGTTGTACTAACAAGACCTGTCAACAGCGACATGACAGTCGCATCCCCAAGCGCAACCTTCGGTCTCCCCGAAGCCCTACGCGGAATCTACGCCGGCGCGGGCGGTCTGCCACGGCTCGTCCGCAACGTGGGACTCCCGCTTGCGTCCGAAATCAGCATGACAGGCCGGACGCTCTCTGCGGCCGAAGCACTGCGATACAACCTGATCAACAAGGTGTCCGCCTCGGCCGCGACCCTCCTCGACGAGGCCGTCGCCCTGGCGTCCAAGGTCGCAGACATCAGTCCCGACGCGATCATCGTCACGCGAGCGGCGCTGCGTGAGACCTGGGAGACAGCCAGCGTCGAGAGGGGTTATATTCTGGTCGACGAGCGGTTCAAAAGAGGGCTGATGGAGGGCGAGAATTCCAGAGAGGGCCTCGCTGCGTTCAGGGAGAAGAGGAAACCCGTATGGAAGGCGAGCAAGTTGTAGGCTTTCTAGATCGAGGGAAGGAGATGATGTTGACCATGATGGGGATCTCGATTGCATGTGGATGTCTGTACAGATCTATGCGTCTGTCGTGGAACACCCCCCAAGCCCGTTTGCAAGCTCGAGAATCTGTCGGTAGAGCGGCTAGTCCCTATCTAGCAGAAGACAGAAGTAAAGCAGAGACAAGAATCCGACAAGAAATCGCAGCCTGGTGGTTTAATCATGAAGTGTTCTTCTTCTCATATCTCTGGTCTAAGACTGTCTACAGAAGTCGAAATAACAGGACTGCTCCTTTCCATTCTATCCATGCCCGTTTCTGGCCAGGCTTGCCATGACGCCGCTCACAAGTTCGGAAGTGTGTCTTGTCTTGCAATGCTCCGCTCAAAATGTGATGGTCTTTCCGCTGCCGAGGCCGACTCTGATGCCATCTGTGAAGCCATCGAAAGTCATTGGCTTATTCCAAACCATTGATCTTTTGGCGCCGGTTTTGTTTCTGATCCTGTCTGGTCCCCATGACAATTATTTCTCATACACCCATGAGGTTAACCAAAACACCCCAAGCCAAACCAGCCAGATTTCCCACCAGCATGCGCTGTTCGACAGGGATCACAACGAAGTTCAGGAGCGTTATGAAAGGCCAGAACTTGTAGCCCGCGAGGAGCATCGTGTAGAAGTCCTGCAAAGTCAGTGGAAAGGCTCAGTGAGACGACACTTGCAGTCATAGTGATGACACAACTCACCCTCTGGACCGCTGTGACGGCCGCACTCCAACCAGCGCCCCTCAATAAGTTGAGCATGATGATGAAGAAAATAGTATTCAGCGATGCGCCGACCGTCTGGTCTAGCATGATCTTGACCATGGTATTGGTAATTGAGAGCTCCTCTTTCTCCTCTCCCTTCTTCTTCTCATCGTCGTCCTTCTTTTTAGACGCCGCGGCGTCAACTGGCTTTTTCCCTGAGCTGGGGAAGTTCTCTTCCAGGGCCATCTGCCACTTGTAGTTCGGAGGTGTCTGAAGGATCGCCAGGATAACCATCTGCGTGAATCCAACGTAATCAAATGAGGAATATGCATTCGAACGGTAGGCTGTCAGGCCCTGCGCCAGTATGTTGGACAACCCCGACAGGACCCCAGCCTGCATGACGACAGTGAGGAGCTGTGAGGACATTTTGGTTGTTCTGATCTGTATACCTCTCTGACACCGATGTGATGTATGAAAGAAAGTCCTGTAGAACCAAGATATAATGTACGTTCTTTGGTCGTTTGGTTTGTCACGCGGCGCAGGCGCAAGTATGGGCCAAGGACGAGCTCGTGTCACCCTTGGAGACACAGCGGAACGAGGGAGAGAAAACGAAATCAGATTCAGCTCAAAATGCTACCAGGGCTTCCCTTGGGGATTTAAACGAAAACAAATACTAATGATGCCACGTGGCATATTGAACGGAAGAAAAACATGAAGCCCTTTATCGATCATTGTGACCATTCGCACACAAGCGGAGGTTGAGTGGTACTAAGGAGGGTAAACAGGCTCAATTGGAGAACGGGGCGTTTGGTTTCCCACCACGTTTTCCGCGAGAAGGCGGGAGGGTTTACGAGTAGGAAGAAATGGTGGGGGGTTTCGTACAGTCCAGGGCTCAACAGGAGCGGCGAGCGGGTGGTTGCAAAGTAGCTTCAAAGTAGTTGCAGGCTCGCAGCATGGCGCGGGCGATCAGGTACCCCGCCAAGCGCCCAGACTTTCGGCCCGAGCTCGGCTGACCTTCCTTGTAAGAAACTACGGAGGATTATTGCAACGTAGCTACTTGTTAGGTAACCAATATTTGGGACGAGGCAAATGTCATATGTTCCACTGATACAGGATTGTAAGATCAAGTCTTCTCTAAGTACATGGAAAGTCAGGATCGCCAAAAAGAGCCCAGCAGTATGCTCGCCTGTAACATCTCATCGAGCTTTACTGCTAAATGTGCAAGCTTTCCACAGACGGCCACAGTCGAAGTGTTGGCGAGAGGAGCCCATTACCATAATGATCAACGGGCTCTTTCAGAGAGCGAACGAGACTTCACGGAGCTGCAATGATCCTATCCCGGCGACAACCGAACAACCTCCGCTGTGCTTACTGTCGATTACTTCGAGTGAGGCTTTCATTGTCTTTCGTGGTGAGAAGGTCAACACTGTCTCTCGTGTCGAGATTAATTGGCGGATTTGACTCCTCCACCGCCGGCTTGTTTATATGCCGGTACAGGACAAGCTAGGCACCACCAGCTCCCACCAGGGAGATCGTCCTCACAAACGGTAAGGTGATTGAGTATCTGCTGGTATTCAGAGTCTTTTTCGTTCGAGTAATCGTACGCACAGCAAAAGAATGGTTTGCCAGATCCGTAGGGATCATATACTCGACGTAGCTTTCCGTTTGAAGCACAGATTTTGCGAAAAGTCTGACAACGTGACAGGTTTTGAAAGCTCGTGCCAGGAGTATCTTTTATAGTTTACTCTCGTGACACGACAGGTGAGAGGATCTCCTGCCCACCAGATCCCAGAGCTCTTCGCGTCCCAGGATTGCCCTCCTCATCCTTGACGACTTCAGGGGCAGCCCAACCCGTACCCGCCTGCACCAAGAGCACAATAATCGTTAAACATGCTCCAGCCATAAACATTGTCCGAAAGGCAGTCTCGTATCCAAGCAGTGCAACCTCTTTGTCAATTCCTTCCAGGCTCTGCACGAGCCTCGGGTTGCCGATCAGTTGTCGGATGAGTGGGCCTTTGCCCGAGAGCCCATGTTCCTTGAACTCAAGCTTCAACGCATGCTGAAGCGTTCGGAGGAAAAACCCACCAGAAATAGCGGCACCGAAAGAGCCAGAGAGGCTTCGAAACATGGCGTTAAGCGGGATAACAATGACATGCGTGGAAGGCAGCGTCAAATGTAGCACGTGAGCGAGTGAGTAATTCAATAGGCATCCGGCGATAAATCCATTAGCGAATATAAACCACATATATAACCACATATTCGAAGTCGGTGTCGACACCCAAGATACAGAGAACATAGACAAGACGAACAATGCAAAGCAGACCAACGCCGAGATGTAGAAGGAACCTGAGCGCCGGATGTGAAGCCATCCCGCCAGTAGTCCGCCCAGGCCAAATCCCAGATTTGTCGGGATCAGTGTGAGCCCGGCTTTCTCCTGGGGCCAGCCCCTCAGAGTGAGCACATATGTAGGTGCGTAGAAAAGAATTGACCAGCGGGCTGTCATGATTCCAAGGGTTGCAAAGCTGGTCAGCATGTTGCCGCGGGATTTGAGCACCGAGATCGGGACAATTGGATGTAAGGCCCAGGTGGCTTCGACAAAGATAAAGAGCATCAGGGATCCCAAAGAAAGAATGATCGGTAAGACTTGGATCTTGGGAGATGACAGACTGTACAACAACAGCACAACGGAGGCGATGAGGGTGATGACGCCAAAGTAGTCGATCTGTGAGAGCTTCTCGAACAATGTGTCTCGCTGTGTGGCAGCCTTGACCGTTTCATTGTGCTGAGGAATAGCAAAGAATGCAACGACGGCCGCGGTGAGCGTGAATGGGATCTGGGCCCAAAAGACAGCTCTCCATCCAATACGCGGTTCCAGCGCGCCTGCAATGATGGCACCGCATGCAACACCGGTGGTGTACCCAGTGTTAATGCATCCGAAGAGGAGGCCTCTCCTCCGTTGACTTGTAAGCTCCGTCACGAGAATGAAGGCAACTGGGGTGACGGCAGCACTTCCAATGCCGCCCACCGCTCGGCCCACAAGGAATGTACTGAGAGATCTAGCTTGAGATGTAATCAACAAGCCGGAGACATGAATGATGATGGAAGCAAGCAAGTAGACCCTTTCTGTGAAGATGGTTGATAGTCGACCAGCGATAGGTGTGATGCTTGTAATGGCAATCAGATATATCGACGAGAACCAGCTTACTTCGGTGAAGGCGTCGAGGTCAATGGCGATAGGAGATTGAATGGTGGTGATCAAAGAAACGTTTCCCGTGATGCCAAAGATAAGAACCCAGATTGAAACGCAGATAAGTATCCCTCGAAGCTTCGACAGCTCGACCTCGGGTTTTGTAAGGGATCTATGCTGTTGCTCTCCCTGGACCTCGACATTTGATGGAGATGAAATAAGGGGTGTTCTTTCGGAGGTGCCCGCACCGAGAGGCATACTCGCTGTTCTTGCGTTGAGGCCTCTGAATTGTACCAATGATAATTTTATATAGTCGAATTCAAACCAGAGCCTGCAAAGTTGCCATAGATTTGAATATATTAACCTGCAAAAGTGAAGGAAGATTGCGGATGGAAATGAAAATCGATGACTATGTTGGAAGATACCTGACGGATGACAAATGTCATTCCAGTGAATATCGTGTATCGCCAGAAAGCTACATCCGGCAGATACTTTTACCGGTGTAAGGCCTTACGAATAATCAATCCATCGAACAATCTTGACCTGGTCAACTTGAATATCATTGCAGCTCTAATGAGTGACTACCGCGTGCGTCCGACGCGTCTTTGATCTGCTTCGCTGCACACTGATGGCTCGGTCATACTTCTAGCTTATTGTGCCTATTCGGCACATTCAGCCTTTCTAGTGTCGTAGACCTTGAGAGCTTCCTCTGCTGCCTTGACACCACTCAAGACCATGGCACCAAAAGTCGGACCCATACGATTGGCTCCATCATATTCCGACAGCTCCATTCCGCCGATAATGATCCCGGGAGAGACCTCGCGGGTACCTTTGACGATCGCATCTTCTGCGCTGTTCATGTCGAGTGCACGCATACCACCCAATTTCTCGATGGCGTTCATGCTCACGAGACGTTTAGCGCAGAATGCACCAAATGGTCCATCATGGCCAGTTGTAGAAATGACAAGTGGTGCGTTAATGGTACTGGAAATGTCAGCTGGCAAAGTATTGAAACGGCAACCAGCTTACTTGGGATCCATGCAACTAATACCAAAGTTAGTATGAAGGTAGTCCTCATTGTATTGTCTAGGCAACTCACCTGTGGTTGTCATGGTGTAGGGTCACGAGAGTCCAGTTCGTGACAACTCCAACTACGCGGATACCTCCATCTGCTGTGGGACGAGTGATCAAATCCTCCACGCAGGTGGCATTGAAAAGCTTGACATTTGGAAGAGCAAGGACTTTGCTCATGAGGGTGCTCATGAACAAGGCAGCATGCTTGACGACAACATAGTTGCCCTCATCCTCATAGGGAACGCCAATGTCATTCAAAAATTCCTCTGCAGGTTTTCGCAGTACCATGGCGGAGAAAAGTTGACCACCGAGCCAGCATCCACCACCGGGTGAGACGGAAGCTTCGATGATTGCAATCTTGAGATCTGGTCGTGCTGAACCAAGAGTGTAGGCGGCGGAAAGGCCGCAAGAGCCTGCACCGACGATGACAACGTCTGATTCCGCGTAGTTGTCGAGGTCGCCGAAATAGCGCTTGGTCATCGCGCGAGAGACCTGCGACTCTCGAATGGGAGCAAATTTGAACGAGTCCCATTTTCCACCAAAGTCATCAAGGAGCTTGGTATGGTTGTCTCGACCATTGAGAGTAGCATTTTTGGCTAACAAGGCGCCCTTTAGGTCTTTGGTTCTGGTGTAGCCATCAAATTCATTGAAGGTGGCAATTGGGGGAGACATGTTCAAGGTCCTGGGACTTTGTTAGGCTGATGCTGCTGAGGTTAGGGGAAGATTGAAGGCATGATCCTTCCGCTGGTATTATCCAGAGTCAAGTTCGACCGTATGATCTCAGAACGCATTTCCACAGTCCAGGCAACCATCTCCAATCCCAAGGGCATTGGTTGGATGGCCAGGCTGGCAGGAAGATGCGAACACCGGTTCATGCACAGACATTTACATTTGAATGTCTGATTGATCTAAAGGTACCTTGACCATGATATCTCCCAACCAGGCGACAAGATGACATGTTGTCCTCCATCTCTCAAGTGAGTTATACTTGGATAGAATATTTAGTCAATCTGCCATACGTCAGTCCAACCATACACGGCCACGTGGACATTATATACTCTGTAAGGTGGAGAATTTCGAGTTGAAAAGTCGGTGGCAGAGAACCAACACCTTCGACCGGAGAAATGTTGAGGAGAGAAAGACAGGGAGCAGCGAAGCTCTGCAATCTTATAACTGGATATTCACGGAAGCTATGGAGGGGTGGAGGGGTAATTGTTGACCAAGATGGAGGGGCAGGTGATTCCTGGCTGTGGAGACTCCTATTGTACACAATATCATCCTAGCCACTCACAAATAGCACAGGTTTCCACTTCCATCGAGGCAATGGCAGGACGAATGATTGACCTCGGGTCCGCGAAGACCCTGAATCAACCTTTGCGGTCTGGACATAAGGACAACGAGGAGTGCTTTGGATTCGTTGAGCAGCGACCCTGCAACTGCTTTGTCATTCGGTGGCTTGCCCTGTCGGCACCCTTTAAGCATCGAAGATTGTATATTATTGGTGGTCGGATGATATGTACGACGTAACTTACAACTCTCAACATCCCAAGGAGTTACTCCTTTTCGTACATATGTATCTGTCTCTGTCTCTGCCTCTGTCGAAATTAGGCCAAGCCAACGAACGTCTTGCGATCTAACAAGGCTAGCGTGAAAGCTAACCTCCCAGCGGCCAATAGCAGCCAAGCCTCAAATCTGCCACCCAGCACGTGTATTTCTTAGTTTCCAACTTGACACGTATTCCAAAGCCCGGGATGCTTCACTGTCAAGGCTTTGACCTCTGAACGACACCAGGGCAAGCAAGGATCAAGACTGCCTGTATTGTGAGATTGACCAGTGGCCCAGCAGTCTGCCCACGAGGTTCCCGTACCAATATTGATTTGACTCGAGGCTCAATTGTCTCACGCGACCAACATGGCGAATGCAACCCCTCCGGAAACACTTCGCTCTCACCTTACATACAAACCTGAACCTCTCAAGTTTGGTACCAGCGGCCGCAGAGGCGAGGTTATCCATTTGACCCAGCTCGAAATCTACACCAATGTCCTCTCTGAAATCCACTATCTCCAATCCATCCCAAGGGCTGAAGGTGGCATTGAAATTGGTGATGACTTCTACTATGCGCACGACCTTCGCCCCAGCTCGACTGCTTACGTAGAGAACAATCGCGGCGGCCTCTCTCAAGCTGTGGAAAAGGCCGTCAAGGATGGAGGGATGCGTCCCATTAATCTAGGCGCAATTCCCACTCCAGCGCTCACGTTCTTCGCTCTTCAGAAGGGCAAGGGCAGCATCATGGTCACTGGCAGTCACATTCCATTCGACCGTAATGGGTACAAGCTTAACACATCCAAAGGAGAGCTCATGAAAACTGCCGAAAATCCCATCAATGAAGCCGTTGCAATCACTCGTGAAAAACTGCTTTCGGAACCCTTCGCCAAATCTATCTTTGACGATCAGGGTATGTTACGAAGCGGGCAATCAGCACTACTGCCAGCACAACCAGAAGGCAGGGCAACGTACTTGCAGCGCTACATCGACTTTTTCAAGGGAGAAACGCTACAAGGTATGAAAGTGCTTGCATATCAACACTCTGCTGTTGGTCGGGATCTGTTGGTTGAGATACTCGAACGGCTGGGTGCGGCCGTCACCCCTGCTGGACGAAGCGACACTTTTGTCCCGATCGACACGGAAGCCATTGATCAAGCCCAACTTGACACCATCCAAAAGCTCTGCGATGCAACAGGTGAACGCTTTGACGCCATCGTCTCCACCGATGGAGACAGCGATCGACCCCTGCTTCTTGCACCAGAAGGAGACAAACTTCGTTTCTTTGGCGGTGACATCCTAGGTATGATCGTGGCAGACTTCCTCAAAGCAGATTCCGTCATCGTCCCCATTAGCACCAATGATGCCATTGATCGTGGACCCCTAGCCAGTGTCACTGAACCGAAGACCAAAATTGGCAGCCCCTACGTGATTGCAGGCATGCAGAATGTGCTGTCCAAGGGACGTCAACGTGTTTGCGGATGGGAAGCCAATGGAGGGTTCCTCACCGGCTCTGATATCACACGTCACGGCAACACACTTATTGCATTGCCAACACGAGATGCTATTCTTCCTCTCCTAGCCGCGTTATTTGCAGCACGCAGTCATCAAATCACACTACCAGAGCTCTTCTCGTCACTCCCTGCTCGATCCAGCCGGGCTGGGTTGATCCGGAAATTTCCTCGTTCAACCAGCTTGAAGATTATTGAGAAATTTTCACCTACGGGTTCCAATATCCAAGAGATATCATACCATGCTAACGAGGTTACTTGTCATGGCTCTGACCACGCTTTGCTCGACGTTGACAAGGTGCAGATCGAGAAGCTGGGACAGATTCGCCAAGGCCTTCAAACAGTTTTCTCCCACGAAGCAGGATTCACTCCGATTGCTCGAATCAACTACACAGATGGCGTCCGCATCATCTTCTCGAATGGAGATGTTGCGCACTTTCGTCCTTCTGGAAACGCCGATGAGCTCCGCATCTACTCTGTCGCCGACACACCAGAGCGAGCAGATGCCATCGTGATCGAAGGCGTCAGAGACCCCAATGGTTTGCTCCGACGTCTCGAGGGTTTGGTCAGATGAGACGACCCTTCACCACTTTGATTGTTCGTGATCTGACCAGTGCCATGATAAGTCCATGAGTTACTTAGTACTATGTAACATACTACATACTATCAAGCATCGCTGCTTGCATTGGCGTTGAGCGGTGGGAGGAATGGCACAACGGACTGGCAATACTACTGTGTGTAGCAAGTAACTTAGTACCTACTTCCCTAGGGAGCCCTTGAACTGTATACAGTTGTAATCAGTGGGAGAAACCAATTAGAACTACATACTAGTACTCAGTCATTGTAGCAAGGGAAATTTTGGTGGGAAGGTTCGGCGCCCTGAACCCTACCTCCAGTTTATGCCCGACCATAAAACACATTAATTACTGCATACATTATAGAACTTTAAGTAGAGTACTTACTAGTATGTATATAGTAAAGTATATATTATTATATGTATATATATATAGTAGTATATATAGTGCTGGTGCCCAGTACCTACTACGTACTACTTAAGTACTACTATATATTAGTACTAAGCGGATCACGACAAAGACTACAACAGGCTAGCTCAATTGTAAAATCAAAACTTGCACATCCGATCCCTAGGATAAATCATGATCCAGACCCCCACGTCGTTCACATGGCGACCGCAATAGAAGCGGACACCAACACCCTTAAGAACGCTTGGTTTAATAGACTTCAACGTCAGCGTTACCAAGCTTGCAGACTCAGAGGGACTCCGGGGATTTACTAGTATTAATACTAAGTTTGCTATTTAGTACTGTTAAGAGTAGTCTATGCTCCGCGATGGGAGTCTTAATAAGGAGTGACCAAGTTATGGAATCCCTATCGGCACCGCCTAGTAGCTCGAGAATAGAAGTACAAGTCTTTTAGCCCTTGGGATAAGTACCGCTCTATTACGAATATCTACTGGGGGGTAACGGAAGAGGAAGAAGAGTAGAATACTAGCTAGATTTCAGCGACCACAAGGAATAAGGAGATACGAAGCACTATAACATCTCGCCTAGTACTATGAAGACAAAGTATAAAGATTACATGTTGAAGAGGCATTGGTTTTTCTCCCCCAGAGGGTTTTCCATCATGCCTAGAACTACATAGACTCCCTGACATAAGCCTACTAAGAAGAGGCTCTTAAGGTGTAGGAATCAATTAATCTATCAATCAAGAATAGTCTATATAATTATAAAATGCAAAAGGTCTATAAATAGAAAAGTTAGTGTGTGCGCCCGTAGCACTTAGGTATGAGCCCAGGGAGCCCACAGCACTTAAGGGTTGCCCTGCAGCCTCATGATAAGCATCTGTTGCAGTCCAGCTCTGCGAGCCCACGGCAGCCCAGGGCTTGCTGGGCCACCCGGGCTTTGGCAAAATACAGATGTACATACGTACTGTAGTATAGCATACTATAATGTGGCGTCTTAGGAGGTGTTTACATACTAGTACTAAGTACAGATAGTAAGCACAAGAGGGATTTATGGGTTGTGAGCATATATATATACATACCTAAGCACCAAGACTATATATATATATATATGTATACATTATATATGCCCCGAACTGTGCTTCGTCCATGACCATTTTCGTTCAGGAAAGGGAGCGAGGCCGCTTTAATCGGGCACGTGACGGAGCATCGAGGGCGCCCGGCCGAGCACGGGGGAGCGCTGCCCTGATGCCGATCCGCAGATGCCAATTCGGGCTCAGGGGTCCCCCTCGGGTCCCCGACTACAATTGCCCAGCTGTACTCCGTACCCCTCATTCGTTTCTGCCAGGCCTGCTGCCTGGAAGCTTTCGATCCTTCTGTCTGCGTGGTGACGCGTCTTACATTCTTACATACCCAATCCTGGCGTTGGATGCCATCGGTTTAGCCGAGTAGAAACCACGTAGCAAGCCTCTTCCGACTCCCTCGTACATTTTCCGGATCCCAGCTGCAATGAAGCATTACAGCTCGAAGCGCACTCCCACCGGCAAGCAATTGAACAAGACTTTCGTTCCCAAATCAGTATCTCTATCACCCAAAGGCCCACCAGCAACCAGGAACATCACCGTGGTAGCATACAGATCCAAGAACGATGAACTCACTGTGAACGGCGCTACTCTATACAGAGAGCTCAACGCGGCCGAAGAGCTAACCGAGGCGGCTCATGGCAGGGCCGAAGAGCCTGAAGGGCGGAACAGGAATCTTGCGGAGCAGAACTCGTTCTTGCTACGCAACCTGGGTCAGGCTCATGAAAGATCCGTGCTCTGGAAACAGGTGCCGCCGTGCATGATTAGACAACTGACACTGCAGGCAATCCGAGGGACATGGCGATCCACGAACTGGATTCGAACGAAAATGGAATAACCACGGCGTAATTCCTGGAGCTTCAGGCCAGGACAAAGGAAATGGATAGAGAGCATGAGGAGGTGGTGGGAATCTATAAGAACGCACTATCTCGCCTTGAAGCACGTCGCTCGGTGGCAGATCGAAAATTGAAACAGTCTGAATCAGACCACTGACAGAACCCGTTGCACGGATGGTCAGCCAAATTACTAGTAATTTGTATGAAAGGAGGTACATTACTTACGTGTTTCCATGTCTTTCAACGGCAGCCCGCGGCAGTGTCCTGGCGCAATTGGATAAATCGCGCCTGTGAGATATCCCTGCTGTTGCTGTTGCTGTTGTTCCTGTTGATGTTGTTGCGTAAGGCACGCAGCCATCCTCGTACAATTGTCAGCCAAGTTGCTAGCAATTTGTATGACAGGAGGTACATCCCTTGCCTGTTTCCATCTCTTTCAACAGCCACGGCGCCCTAGCAGTGTCCTGGCGTAATTGATTTGATGGCGCCTGTGTGATATTCTTGTGGTTCTCGTCAATGCCAGGGCATGGGCGCGGGGTCGAGACCGTTCAAGTTAGTGCGATTCACACTTAATTTTTGTTAGCAAAAACCATTGATCCGATCATTCCTGGCCTTGCTAGCATCGATTAAAGCGCCTAGGAAGGTCTCCCTGGGACAGACTGTGATAAAGCAAGTCTCAAAGGCAAGTGGCATTGGTAGTGGTGGTGGTGGTGGTGGTGGTGGTGGGCAAGTGTTGTTGCGCGAGTAGATGCACCAGGATATCATGAGGAAGCGCCAAACCTAGCTTACCTTGGATTCACTTGGTTTTTCACTTTGAAGGCTGTTTTGCTGCGTCAGTGTAGTAAGTAACCTACACTTTTGTATATAAATCCCATACAAATTGTACAGGTCTTGCTATGGCAAGCCAGTCAAGATTGATGATATCAAGTGAGGTCAATCACCTATTTAAGTGACTTGGCGCCAACTGGCGTGTGAGAGCGGCGTCCGTCCAACACACACACACACACACAATTTATTACGCCCTAGTCTCGTTGCAGCCCATACAAAATAAATCTTCTCTTCGCTGCTCCGTCCTTCAGTCCAATACAGAACGCGGTAAATTCGGTATTGGCGGGCGCCAATCGGGGACGGCGACTGCCGTTCGCGAATGCGATTTGTCGTGCTCGGCCTGGAACAAGCCCCGAGATCAATCACTTATACCCTCACCCCGTCTATCTTCCCACTAATTTCTGGGCGTGATTGAGCACTGGCACCGCGTCAGCTTAGCAGTGCCTTTAGTAGCCAAGATACACCGTACAGCTTTCCTCGCTCCTCCTCATTATGAGAGCCACCTTTGCTATTATCATGCAAGAGCAATTCTCTCCAAATTCTTGAATTCAAACTGTTATTTCCGTGAAGCCGCTTGACTCGAGATGGTGCGCTGGATCCCTGCCAGATCCTACCGTTCTCCCTCCCTTTATGTCCTGAACGTCAAGCACTTTCGTGATGCGGCTCGTGCACCTTGCTAATACTTGCCTGGATTTAGGCGGACAAACTTTCTGATGAGAAGCTATCGGAGCTTAGAGAACTTTTCTCAGAAATCGTAGGTGCTCGAGACAGCATTGCCGCTCTTGTCACCTGTGCTTGGAGGCTAATTCCAGCGATGAATGGTCATGTTTAGGACACGGATGGCGATGGTGAGTCAATCGTGGTTCGAGCTTTTGACGACTTCGATTGTCCTTCTCCTTACGGATTTACAAAAATTTGCCGAGTTACTTTCTTCACCACGAGCCAGAAGAGAAGCTAGTCGCCGCTGGAGAAGATAAAGCTAACGCAGCACGTCCAGGAGTAATCACCAAAGCCGACATGAAACGAGCCTGGGGACGCTTATTTTCCGAAGATGATCTCACGCACGCGTTAAAGGACGTCACGACGGACAAGAATGGTAACATCGACTTCCAAAGTCTGTGACGCGCAACTCACGCACCCTTTCTTCTTCGCTGACTCTTTCGTAGGATTTCTCGCGGCCATAACAGCAGAGGGTACTTCATCTCTCGAGATCGACTTCGCAAATGATGAGGAGATGGCAAAAGTCTTCAGAATTGCTGATAAAGATGGAGACGGCTTCCTTTCTGCTAAGGAAGTCCGCAACTTTTTGGGAGGCGGATCTGAGATTGACGGCGAGATCGATTTGATGATTGAGGAGGCTGATCTTGATAGCGATGGTAGGATCGATTGTGAGCATCGATCTTATTGTCCCTTGGCAATAGTACGTTCTAATGTGTGTCCGATGTAGTCACTGAATTCTTCATGATATTTACGACTCAGCCGGCTCAAGGCAGAGTATGAGGGAATGAAACGAGTACTTTTCCGACACGGTGACCGGGTTCACGGCGAATAGTTTCTATTTCGCATGTGATTGCTCTATATCAAACTAATGCGCTTCATGGTACAGGTAGCAGATGTAAAAACATCAGAATGCATCTGGCAGAGAGCGACTCGCTCTGAAAATTCCCCCGTACTCTTGACCAACATGGCGTTGACAACACCACGATCGGGCCGGAAATACGAGCTATCAAAGACTTCTTCAAGACGAGGATTGACTCGTGTGATGTAACCCCAATGGTCGTCGCTCAAACCGCGTGGCGGAGACGTGGAGAGTTTCACTAACTCGTAGATGCTGGATTCATTGTCCTCAAAGTGGGGGGGCTGCTTTTCGTACATGATGCCGCATTGCCGTTTGTTCGAGTCGTAGATGAGCGACGTGCCGAATTTAGGGACGAATGGCTTAGATCTGATAAAAGCGATGGCAGTAAAGTCTTTGGCGCGTATCGTGGACGCGATGAAGCGAAGGATATACAACTTGGGGTCAATGTTTGGCGTGTGTGTGCTGCTGCTGCTGCTTGCATTTTCAGACGGTGGCGAAATTATGTCCCTTCTTCGGACAGCTCGTGACTTTCCGTGGGCGCCGAAGTAGAAATAACGCACCTCCGACCTAAGAGTAGGCCTGTTGCCGACGGGAAAATGTTGATCTTCGGTCGCAACGTCGAGCCATTGGACCTTCCCTATCCAGCCAGCCCAGGACCAGCTTGGGCAACAAAGTTCACCTGAGCTATTCGGGGATGACGTCTCTCCTCGCCGGCGTTGGATTACCCCAGTTGGTACCCATAACAGGGCACGATCGAATCCGGATTCCGGAAGTCCACACGCAAACGTCGTTCCTGTCAACTCTTGGAAATAGGTCATAACGCCAGAGAAGGCGTTGAGGATATCGGTGGCATACGAGAGACTCCTCTCTTGGTACATCCCAACCAATGAGTAGTACGTCTCGAAGGTCCGCATACTAGCAGGGCTGCTCTCTTCATTTAATAGATGAACAAGAGGGTTGTGACTCGTTGCTTCGGGGAATTCGTAGGCCCTACCCACCGGGAAACCGTCTGACAACCATGCCTCTGCTTTAATGGTAGACGGGCACTCGAAGTAGACCCATTGGCTGGAAAAGTAGAGACATCTTCTTGAAAGAAGCCGTTCCTGGAAAGTCCAGCCCCGTGACTCATAATGCGATCGTCGGAGCAGATCTTGAAGCATTGGTGGCGTAGTAACCCAAGTAACGCCACTGACCGCCGCGGCCACTTGGGGAGGTCGGGAGTGAAGGCGAACGCCTGGAAGTGGTGAATTCGCGTCTTCCCCCGACGCCGCCACTATCGTGAGGACGGCTTCCCTGTATATTAAATCCATCTGCATGATACTCTGATGCTTCTGTGCCGCATCATCCTGCACGATACATAGGGAGTCGACCCATAGATATCGCTCTCTTATCGCGCCTACAAGCGTCATTGCATCTTCAATAACGTTGGGCAGAATGACATCAGGCGATCCAAGGGATCCAGAAAGCTGGAGGCTGGAGAGATTATCCATCTTAGTCTGAAACATTGGCGTTTTGCCCCAGACATAGCTGAGGGCACAATATCTAGACTCCGATGGTGCTTCTACAAGCCGTCGATCAAGGACATCGATCAACAATAGTTTCGCCGGCCGGAGTCGAGACGAGGCTGGTTTTCGTGGATTGCAGGAGCGGCCATGGGATACTTCGCAGCAGTGGAGCCAGCGCCGAATCAGGACAGGTGACGTCTGCTGCCCTCCTTCCGAACGCAAGGCCAGTATGTTATCCACAAGAGCGGGAGTTTCTGGGATAGACGCCGGTCTTCTTTGGCGACACAGCGGACTATCCCCGATGTTGGAAGTTGGATGAAGGAACCCCAGCGATTCACCTAGGTGGCGATTCGAAACAGCGATTTCAATTCTCCACGGCCAATACGATGTGTTCCTGAAGAGAGATAGAGCGTTGCTGCTCACAGCTAGAAAGCGGTGTGTCGTTTGGGGTTCCCCGCGCAGAAATTCGACCACGAGGCAGCAGAGTGCGCACTGTGGTCGAGATTTGATCATGTCATAAGTGCCGATTGAGATGGGTATATACCGCTGATTCGGATATTTGCTCATGATGCGGATATAACGATTCGGATCTCCAACTCCTTCTTCCTGTCGTTTGTCCATTACAGACTGGCATGATTCGCACAAATTTTCCACGATGCTTAGCAGTTGAAGGGTCTCGGTTTGCTCTTCTGGCAACGCAATCTGCAGGCTCAAAGAATTTCCAGTTCCGCCTATGTCCATAGCATCCTGTGGTGTCTCCTCTCGGCTGACCTCACTGGTGGTGCCCTCACCTATTTGCGGAGTCTTTGGTGTGTCCTGGGACCAAGCGGCTTTGGTAAATAGCGCGATGCTGTCCACTGCTTTCTCGGCATATCGACGTAGGGATAACATTTTAGTCTTTCTTTGTTCACGAAGACTAATGTTATTGCCCGAGACAAAGTCGTCTGTTTGGTTAGAAGGTGGCTCGGCGCGAACGTGCTCTTTAATTAGTCATATTCTAGTTAAATGTATATGATCCTAATTGCTCGCTAACTAGCATATGTCAGTAAACTGAAAGAATAAAAAGCTCTTTCTGTGCCCAGAAGGCGTGGCTTGGGGGCTCATTTCAGAGAGATCCGGTCGCTGCCTGGGAACGCTGTGTGATGAAGACTCGTAAATGGTCTGTCGTCTGAGAGACACAGGGAGACACAGAGAGAAAGGACAGCGAAGGCTGCTACGTCTGTAGCGTGCCAAGTAATAGATGCCTGGCACTTCCTCGAACCGTAGCTGAATGTACAGCGCTTTTGGCACAGCTGAATTTGGGTGCTACGAGCCAATGACCAATGTCGCCGCTTCGGAGCGGTTGGCAGCGACTGGACCGCTAGAAGAGCGCCATCATCTTCCTTGGGCGTAGCTTGGTTCAATCAGCCGACTGTCGGCAGGACACGTCAGGCTTATCAATCTCGCTGTCTGTTGTCTTCTCTTGGAACAAGAACGTAGAATGGCTCGTTAGGCGGCACGTGGCTTTATGGCAATTGTGACCACTCGCCACTCGTCACTCGCTAGTAGTCGCGACCACCATTGAAAGTCGGTAGGTAGGCTTAGAAAGCTAAGCCATCTTGCGCAAAGCCACATCTTGCACACCACAACAGGGTTTTCGACATCGGAATCTCGACACGAGTACTTTCCATTTCCAATCTTTGCACCTAAGCCGTTGCTGCTTCAGCCGGAGTCGTCCTGACCAAGCCCTTCACGTGATTGGCCATGATGTCATTCAGCCTGAGCAACACTCAAAGCGGGCCTCTATCTGGGCCAGGGGTCTTGTTTCCGGCACCCGCCTATAATTGCCACTTTGCTCTTCTAATGTTTCGGCCAAGACTGCCTGAAAATCGGCACTTCTGAGTTGGGTCAAAGAAGGGGGCGAATAAGATTGCGTTTTTGGACGAGGGCCCCTTTCTCTGTAAGTCGGCCAATTACGTAATGCAACACCCTAGTAATGCAATACTCGTTCCCTAGCGATCGTGAACAACCTCGTCGACGATTAATCCTCTACCTCGTCATTCATGGTAAAAATAGTCATAAAGCTTACTGTAGTAGTAGTATAGATACTATATCGCGCTTTAGGTTAAAATTGTCATGCCGTTACTAAGTACATACGTTAGGTGCTTTAATCTCCTCTAATATACTATATATACTGTAGTATACCTCCTGCGCAGTGGATGTCTTGCTCACATGGCAGCCAGCACAAGATCAGTTAGTAGCACGGCTACATCCATTGCGACATACATACTAAGTACAAAATGTAGCACATAGTAATTAATCACTTGCTCAGGTTTTGGGACAGGTGAGTAACAGCTACTTACTACTACTAGTAAGTCTACTACTATGAATACTCATGAGTCCGCCCGCTGTCATGAGGCAGAAGCCAAACGTGCGTACATTTATTTTTATTTATCGCGTCCCGACTTCGCCTTGATACATATATAGTAAAGACTGACTCCCTTTCAGAAAGGGAAAACCTTCAATTTCAAATCCAATACTCTAAGTCTTTTCCCATATAGCCATACTAGCAGTCCAACACTGTTAACAGCAAAACAATCCCAGAGAATATCGCGAAACATCCAATCATGCCGTTAGTTTTGACCCAAGGTACAACGGCGAATCCGATTCCGAAGAAGATAAAGTTCTTCATCCCATTAAAGGACTAATCTCATTTCTGGTTCGAAAATGCCTTTGTTTCGGCGGGCGGAGTATTGTGCGAGGACGTCATTGAGATAGCCACACACGTAGCAGCCGACCAAATTACCGATCAGGTTAAGTGAGTCCAACTTGGGCAATGGTAAAATCATATGGAGGCTCGGATAGGTTGATAGGAAGAAGAGAGAGGATGATGATGATCCTGTGAGCGGCGTTATTCAGCATGGATGAAAAAAAGCAACACAACAGTTTGAATGTTATCTTACGCTGTGACATGGAGTGAGAAGGACAAGACTGCCCAGAAAAATGCAGGGAATCTCCACAGCATCCAAGGCGTATACACGCAGCCAACAGGCTCACCTCTCTGCGACGAGGATTCCAGGGTTTTAACTGCTCAAGGTAAGGCTTCTTGGGAACCTGAGGTCGATTGATGTTTGGATTCTCAGTCTCCACTCTGTTAGACTTCCGATCTCCATCTTTAGATGTCCAATTGCCCTCGGCCTCGATGCTTGAGTGGATCCCAGTCGCATCAATCGACGAGTGGAGGTCCCTTCTGTAGTCTGTTTCTGGATAAAGACAGAATATCAAAAGCCAGTTGAGCCCACAAAGCCTACTAACGAGCCAATGATAGGAGCGCCAGCCGCTCGATTGGATGAGAAATCCACTAATGATTGGTGCTAGGGAATTCCCGATGCTCAGCGAAAGTGCTTGCGCTCCGCTCTGCGTTCCCCTCTCGTGAAGCAAGAAAAGGTCATTGAGCGTAGCAAGCGACAACGGCTCACTGACACCACCTCCCCAGCTGGCGAGAAAGCGTGCTACTAACAACGAAGGATAGCTTTTGGCGGAAGCAGCCCAAATATTGCACACAAAATTGATTGTCATACAGGCCAACCAAACCGGTCGTTTTCCTAACTTGGCAGCCAACGGTGTAATAGTGAAGCATCCCATCCCCATCCCCAGCCCAGTGACAGAGATCAAATAGGTCAGCTGATCGATGGATGCCCCAAACTCTTTCTCCAGCTGACCAAAGCCAGGTGAAATGCCGCTGATGCCAAAATTGGTCATGCCAGAGAACACAAGGATGGAATAATAGGCAAGCAAGCGTTTCCATCGCGGCCATGCCTGTGCAAAAGGGAATGATTAGCCTCGTTGAGATCGACGAGCTCCGGCTCCTTGGTTGAAGCATACCAGCGGATCATTCGGATCTGTCTTGCTCGGCTGAGGTACAAGGACAATGTCAGTCCCTTGCTTTAATTGTAGGTCACCACCGGCTATTTATTGGGTGGAGATGGTATTAGCGGACAATCATCAAAGGCAAAAAGTCAAGTCTCGAAACGTTGAAGTGCTCACCATCAATAAGCTGCACTGTCCCATGTGTGTGCTCGATCTCGTCGAGACAGACGAACTTCATGACTTCGATCAGTACAAATTAAGTAAGTATTCTTCTAACAGACAGTTCTCGATAGACACAACTTGCATGTATGATCCTACGCATCGAGACCCCAATTCTTATACGTAAGGACAATCGACTAAAAACCCGGCTCTAGAACTCCTAAAGAACTATTTTGCTTCCTCGGAGTAGTATGTGAATTAATCTGAATGACTAAGGCGCGGGTTGAGCGATCCACTTCTCCAACATGCGAGATTTCTGGGGTCTGAATCTGGAGAGACCTGTAGGGTTTGTACAACCCAGATGCCACATGCGACTCCGAGCTAGGACCCGGCTGTGTATTTCGTATTTCACCCTCACCTCCGCACTTGTAGAACTCATCCGTGAGACGAAGACATGTCTCCGGCTGCGCCTCGGAGAGGGGTGCTGTCCTCCTCTGAACACTTCATTGGGAGTTGAGCGCATTCAACGGAGTTCCCTTGTTCGAGACATTGCGAATGGCTCGGGAGAAGGCGAAGATATTATAGACTGTCCGAATTGAGCATACTGAAGCGACTTAGTAAAGCGTGTTCCCGTATTCTAACTTTGCATGAGCATGAGTTTCAGCCATTCATGTGCTCGGTATTTCAGACATTGAACTTCCAAGGTCTCTCACAGATCAACATCAATGGATCCATGGAATGATTACTTAAGCAATGGGATATGTATCATATCGAATCACATCAGTAGTAGAACTGTTTGTGGCAGAATGACATGTATTGTATAAACCCAGATATTATTGTTCCAACGTATCCTCACCTACATTAATCATCCAAAACGGACTACAATCAATAAGCGTAATGACTATTGCCCTCCTATCACTTGACGCCATTCAGAGCTGCTCCGTTGGAGACTGATTCTTACTTGAGTTTGCCGGTGTAGACCTTGAGAGGAGTGCCCATGATTTGCGCTTTGATCTGCAGTGCGATGAAGCGCCCATAGTATCTTGCTATTCCAATGGCTCCTCCAGTATACCACACTCCAGGATCTGTAGATTTGTCAGCATGATGAATCTCATTCCCAGAACCTAGTTTGAACACACGCCCAGTATCCTTGAATGCTCCTCTGATCTCGCCTTCAGAATCCAGCTGCCAAAAGTCCTCGAGTTGGTCTTCTATCTCTGGTCCCACGATCTTGCCTACCGTTTCACGCAGGTTGCCGTTGAATCCAGTGGCAAAGACTATCAAGTCTGCGCTGACTTCCGTGCCGTCGCTAAAAGCAAGTCCTTCTTTGGTGTAGGTAGTCGGTGTGGCACCATTCTTGATTTTGATCTAACCATTCAAAATTCAGCCTGTGTTCTTCGACAGGGAAGGGTTCTTTTCAATGAATGACTTGAATGCTTACCAGTCCCTTGACAATCTTTTCAGAGGTGCCTACGTCCATGTAATGGCCTCCCATGCGTTCATACATGATGTGAGCAATATCACCATACCGCTCCACCCAGAAGCCCGCCTTTTCCAAAGCATCGTAGCGCTCGCTATCTCTTTGTGCCATCCCATGAAGAGAACACATCGCGATTTGACGAAGTATGGCCAACGGCATTGAGAAGCTTCTTCTGTCTGCAACCTCAGTAGGGATTTTATCGTTGTACGATGCTGTAAGACAATCAGAATCCCTCCATTGGGCTCATTAACTGGAAGAATACTCACGAACTGTGACAGCCATGTAGTGCTCCACTGGTAGCACCCCTTCACACTCCTTAACCTCGGTTTTGATATTAAAGGCACGAAAACTTACAAGTACGATTTCTCTGGACCATGGTAACCGACGAAAGACCCTCTCTTAGCATGTCGTCTGCGATATCATGCGCTGTATTCGCCGTGCCTATAATTACTCCCCGTTTGCCTTTCCACTTCGATGGGTTGGTGTAAGTAGCTGAATGTAGAACCTCGCCTTGGTATGCTTCCTTCGCGACAGTCTTAATGTGGTCTAAGATGAGTGATGACTGACTTACCCGGTTGGGGTGGATTGGCATATAAGGCGTATAACTTCCAGCGCCGGTTGCGAACACGAGATGCAATGTCGTCAAAGTCACTTCTTCACCCTCTTGAATAGCTCCACAGGTCCACTCTCTACGATCTGCAGACCATGACGAAGAGACCATTTCTGTCGATTGCCAGATGTTCTGCTCAGCGTTAGCTTGATGATCCTGATCTTGGCACATCAATTACGACGACTGCCACTCACAATTCCATAACGCTTTACGTAGTCGATATGACCAGCTGCAACGTGTGTTTTGCCTAAGAACTCGGGGTAGCTTGCGTCATACGTCCGATAGAACGGTAGGTGACCTGGTCACAATGTCAACACAGCGTCCGTCCCCGTCTTAGCTTTCGAGACCGACCATATTCGCGTGCTGTGTGAACTGGAGGTTGTTAGTCGTCACTCCTTTTATGGCTCGAACGAACTCAAACTTACGTTTGGTAGAATCATATCTTGAATTCCAGCTGTCTCCGACCGCAGGATGCCTATCTATAATCAAGTAAGACACTCCCAAAGCCTGTAGTCTTCCGCCAACGCCCAAGCCTGCCTGACCTCCACCAATCACTATGACATCAAAATGCTGAGGAGAATGATGGTGAGATCGGCCGTCGCTGCTGACCACAGGGTCAATTCTCATCGCGTCTGTAGCGCCATTCTTTATCAAAGGCTCCAGTTCGTCAACGTTACCCACTCCGTCGATTTGTTCCAGAACCGTTCGCAACATCCATATCCTCCATTTGCCACAGTCGTCCGGAATGAGCGAGACGTACCCAGAACAGGACAACTGTGGCACGCTCGTCGTTGTCCGAAAAGTGAAACCAGCTTCTACCCAAGACGACTGATCACCAACGCGAAAGATCCTTGCCGTTCCAGGGACTATTTGGAATTCCAATGGAGAATGCTGGCCACTCGTTTCTTTCCATACTTTTAAAATCGAGCCTCTTGTATTGAACGTCCTGAAATTCCCCGTCAAGGCCAGAGAGTCTCTCCACACAGCTTCATCCGTCAAGTCTTCGGCTAAGAGTGAAGGGAACTTTGCAATAGCTGCAGTAGCGATTTCGGTGCAATCAACGTCACCTGGAATTCTGATTTTGGGAAGTGTACCTGGAAGATCAGCGATTGGGGTTGCGGGAGTACGCTTCGAGATCCCGTTGGTGGCTTGATGAGGGTTGATAGCATCCCTTTGGGCAGCCATGGCGTTTCGATAGTCTTCCTGTGTCGGCGACCTTCCTTGTTGTCGTCTACCCTTCGTTTTAATATATGAAGGCTAGAACGCTATCCGCATTCGGCAAAATTCTTCGGCAACCAAATGGATATTTTCATCGGCATCTCTGGTGAGGATGTGGCCCAGGCATCGTCCTGCCTATGCCTCTGCTTCTAGCCGGGGTAATTCAGCCATGTTTTCTGCGAATCATGAGGGACCTGGTGACTCCAGCCACACCAAATTGGACGTTATCTCTACATACATATGCCACATTCTCCGACAACGTAAAAAGTCACTTCGCAATGCGATTAGCTCTCGCTGTTGGGATCGGAATTCGGCTGCGGTGGGTCCAGGAAGGACCTCCGGACCCTAGGGCGTAAATGTGGGCTATTTTTGACCCATCTGAAGCAGTACCTGACCCGGAAGGAATATTTCGGAGGGTCAGCAATAATCACCGAGGCCTCAAATTCCGTGAACATGAGTACTACGGAAACCTAACAGGGATATCACAAAATCCGAATCAGTTTGAGATTCTATGCAGCCACAAATTTCAGAGCCATTCCTGGGTTGGTGTGAAATACAGTTTTTAGCCATACATCTTAGATCTTCCGCGTCATTGGAAAACTATAAGCCGTCCTAAGTCTAAGAGAACTTCCAAATTACAAATGTAGCTGTCATGAGAGTGCTTCGGTGAAGATTCGATAGAGTGTGTCCGAGGTCTATCGTTTGAATAGTTGCTGACAGCAACGTCTCGCTTTCTACTCTCCAGTCTTCACCCTGTACTCGACTTTCACCAGAAGGGGGCCCCTCTTTTCCGTCACGCCGAAATTTAGCATCACTAGCTCCTCTTCTTTTTCTATGATATCAAACTTATAGTTCATTAATAGTGTGGTCAGAATCTTCCAGATTGATAGAAGTGCAATATTTCGACCTATACACTGCCGATGACCAATGCCAAAATGGAGGAGGAGACTCGCATTCCCGGGGTCGTAACGTGAGGAGTCTGGAAAGAAGCGACCAGGCTCAAAATCGTTGTGATCTGAGCCCCAGATGTCAGCATTGTGATGAAGAACATGATTGACGATGGTACAATTTGTCTACAAGAATATAAAGTTAGCTTGGGATCCCTCACAAGGGGACCAGGAGAGTTTAACTCACCCCTTTCGGAATCAATTCGGCACCAATTTGCAAGCCGGCAGCGGCATTCACACAGCGAGGAATAAGATGGGCGCTGATAGGACTGATTCTAAAGCTCTCACGCAGACATGCCATCGTGTATGGAAGCTTCGCTTCCAAGCCACTGAACTCATGGACACTACCACTGTCTAGAGAGATGAGGTTATCGTTCATTTCCTTGACCACAGTAGCCATCACTCCAGGATTGCTAAGTAGATGATAGAACAGAAGTGTCAAACTGCTCCCTGTAGTATGTGAGCCAGCGACACTATAGTCATCAGCAAATGCGGTTGCAATGATGGTCCCTTCCTGGGGCGGCGGGTGATAACGTACAGAAACCCGAAAGCTTCAGAGTTTATTTCTGAAACAGAGAGAGTGGCCCCAGTCTCGGGATCCTTCGCGTCAATCAGCGATGTGAGAAGTGTCCTGGCCGGCCCATCTTTCTTGTGGTTGGCAATTGCGTGACGGACGCAGTCTGATGCAGTCTGAGCCAACTTCTTACGACTCTGCTGCAAGGATCGAACCCATGGAATCCAGCTGGTACAGATTTTAATCTGGGGCAAGAGGTTTGCTACTGAACCATAAACATTGCCAAGAAGGAAATGGTCGTTCAGTGGCGGCAACTCTGTTGGGTCATGCCTTGATTGAGTACTGAACTCAGTATCAAAAGCTAGTTGGCCTGTCACATCGTATCCATAAAATGCGAAAGCACTTTTAAGGTCAAGCGGCAGCCCTGTCTCAGCAGCTTGGCGAACTCTTTCTACCAGGTTGGTGATGTGAATATCGAAGGTTGCTTCCATTTGCTTCAGTGAAGCAACTGAAAACCCGTGAGCAAGCTGTCGCCGACGCAGGGAATGATGCTTCATTTTATCATTAGTATAATATTTGTAGAAAACCGATCATTGTGGCTAGGGCATTACATTTTCGTTCCTTGTCCCAAATAAGTTCGGCTCAAAGGCAGTAAAAGCATCATAGAATTGAGCCTTTGGCATTAAACGGCCTCCGGACTTGTAGATGGGACCAATTGCCTCTTTGTTGCTAAACGAGACATCATTTGGACCAATACGGACGACTGGGCCATATTTCTCATGCATTTCTAGCATACGGTGGTGGAATCCACGAGACCAGTACTGGTAAACTTTCCAAAAATTGGTGAGCTTAGCCCAGAAAGGGCCGGGGTATTTCGAAAGCGGGTGGAGATAGCTATAATAGACAACATAACAAACACAGAGCATGATGAGAGCCATTCCAGCAGCCGGCAGGGGCAGCCCGAGGAGTATTCTGGGGTTCATGGTTGATGTTCGCGACCTTTCGCGGAGATAGCTCCAAAGGAAAGAATTGGCATGAGCTGGGAATGTGGTTTTGGGAAGCAAGTGTATCAAATTTCCACCAAGAGTCGGTCAATAAGTAGCTGCTGGGGTGTGCCTGCCCCATCAAGCCATTAGCCCTTTTGACATCCTATAAATCGAGCAACTGTTGGGGATTAGGATGAGTTGTACACATCCTGAAGCACTATGAGAACTCCACCTCCGACGTGAGTTGTGGGGGAGGCTGTGGGTGAAGTGTACGCCGAAAGAAAGTCCCGCCAGAACCCTATTGTCTCTTCATCTTGGTGGACGACACGCAGTTGGTAATGACAACAGTTCCCCATGAAATGAGTTGTTCTCCTTTCAGTCTCCAAAACCACATCCGATGCCGTTCGGCCATCGGGATCTAGCGATGCAAGCCACAAAAGGAACTTGGAAGCCGGGTTCCGTTCAGAGTTCTATGCTGTCAGGCCTTGTTCGGCGCCACTTGCGGGACTATGAGCTTTGCCTAACGAATCATCGGTGTTACGAAGGTTTTCGCCATTTTCATCTACTCGGAGTTGATATGATGATGCTTTAGTGTCTCAATGTAAACCATCAATATCAGGCGAATGGTAATGGAGCTCAACACCATTTAGAGGAAGAGCATCTCCACGCTTCAAGAATCATCCGCTGCTAAATCTCTACTTCAAACCCCATTGTGGATTTCCTGAGCTTCTTTACCAACTTTGAAGCCTTTAGGAGTTCTCTGCGACACTGAGAGAAGCTCATCATGGATGAATTACTTACCCTCGGACGGGCGATCCCCATGGTCATCGGCAAAACCTCTGAAATCTATGGAGAGCTGCTCTCGAAGAACAACAAAGAGAACATTTTGGCCACTGCTCATGATAGGGAAACGCACTCATACGGTTCTCACCCGCGCCAACAGCTTGATCTATATGAACCCTCGCTTTCAGCTGGTCCGGGACCCAGGCCTCTCATCATATTCCTCTACGGCGGCGGCTTCATTAATGGAGAGAAAGTTTTGTCTCGTATTCCGGGAGGCTTAGTATACACAAACCTAGCTTATTACTTCGTCGAGAAGCACGGGTTTGAAACCATCATTCCCGATTACAGGCTGAACGGCAACGGAGGACAATTTCCATCTGGTGGTGAAGACATTGCAGGTGTGTTGGAATGGGTTGGTAAGAGATATGCTGGAAAGCAGAAGAAGCAGATATATCTGTTTGGAAATTCGGCTGGTGGCGTACACACTGCAACGTGGCTATTAGAGGGATCGTTTCGATCAACACGCGAGCCTTTGGTAACGATAAACGGCAATGTGGAGTTAGCGGGTATCATCATCATGGGCGCTCTAATGGATTTCGTTGGAGCCCCCCCCCCACTCGCTTCAGTGCTTCAGGACCACTATGGGAAGAACTATGAAGAAAAGTCGCCTCTTATGTTACTGAAGAAGGTTGGGAGTGCAAAAGATCTAGCTGAAAAATGGCCGCGACTTCTCATCCTCAATTCGGAGCTAGACCCTCCCGATATCATCCAGTCGACCACGGATTTCCTATCAGGGTTGAGAACTCACGACCTGGCTGTTGACCACTTCGTCATCCAAGGTCACAATCACATCAGCCCCCCGTTGGCTCTAGGGACAGGTATTGCGCGTGAAGAGGAATGGGGAGAAACGCTTGTTGCTTGGTGTAAAGAGTGTAGATAATTCCCAGCCCTGCGATCAATAATATGCTTTCCTATTCTGAGCCAGATAGGAGCAAGACTACTTCATTCCGAAGCGTATGAAATCACATCCATAAGATGAAGACTTGAAGGCTACAACTTAAGCCAGAACTAGAGAGCATTTCCGATATTTATAACGCTTAAATGGGCTTTGATAGGAACTGACACGTATCGGCTGGTGTCTTTAAATCCAAGGGCTAAGACGTTCGACCCATTCTTCGGGACCCATTGATGGCAAGAATTACGTATCTTATTGAGCTCTACGTTTTGATCTCGTCGCAGCAAAGTCCGAAACTAGAGTTGATTGGCGTAAAGCGCCGGCAGGTTCGGCTCAACCAAGTTAAGACCGGATCCTGCCTAGTCCTGCTGAAATGCATGCCGATGCCTACCTAGGTACTTTAAATAATGACCACTCTACAAATATATCACATATAATCACACAACATCAGCCTCAGTGAGGTAAAAGATCAAGCACGAGACGTGCGCTATCTTAAGTACAAGAACAGTTGAACGCCGTGTTGATTTCAGTCTTCGAACTAAAGGGAGCAAACACATTTGATCTGGAAGGCAAGAATGTCCGGGCTCCTCGTCGTTATCGGTGCAACAGGGGGTCAAGGGAAGTCTGTTGTGGAAGAGGCCCTTAAAAGAGGCACTTTTCAGAAAATTCGAGGAACGACACGGAATGCCTCGAGTCCGAACGCTCAACAGCTCATCTCGCTCGGGGTTGAGATGTGCGAGGCTGACATGAACGATGAGCAGTCCCTCGTGAGAGCATTCCAAGGGGCGACTAATGTCTTTGCTATGACAGACTTCTACGAATCATTTCGAAAAACGGACCCTTGGAGAGCAATGAATCTCGAGTATCAGCATGGTATCAATCTTGCAAACGCTGCAGCCCAAACACCCACACTTCGACACTACGTCTGGAGCACACTCCCGTCCGCGCAAAGGATTACAAAGAAGAAGATATTCGTCGCTCATTTCGAGGCAAAAGCCCGGGTGGACGACTACATGAAATCGACTCACCCAGAGCTTTGCAAGAAAACGACCTTTTTGTGGCTGGGATTTTTCAACATTAACTTTCTGAGACCGACATTTGCACCCGTGTACAGTAAGGTCTTGAACAAGTACGTGCTCCTGCTTCCCACACCCCCGACTACGCTCTTTGCAATGTTGAGCGACCACACTATCAATATTGGCAAATATGTTGCAGGTATCTTCGACCGTCCCTCACATAGTCTACCTGGCAAGTACGTCATTGGGGCGGTGGAGACCCTACCGATAGCAGACTTTACCAAAAAATGGGGCGCCGCTGTGGGCAAAGAGATCTCCTTCGCACAGGTGACCCCGGAACATTACAGCAGCCTTTTCCCTGGTTACGGTGCGGAAATGCACACCATGTTACAATTCTGGTCCGAATATGGCGAACAAGCCTGGTCGGGAGAAGACCTCGTCACGGCAGAGACTCTGGGCATCAAGGATGAGCTTGTAAGACTGGAACAAGCGCTCCAAGCGATGGATTGGGACTGGATCGTATAGAAAAGCTTCACCTTTCAAGAGGTATATCCAGTCACAAAATTTCATACATCATTCGGAGGTTGTAAAGCCTCACGCCGCACACCAGAGCTCATGCCAAGATCTTTCATTATAGTCCTCCTGTGCTTTCTACGTAGTTTCTGACTGGAGAACAACGTTCGGAAACCAAAAGCCAATAAGCTGTTTTAAAAAATAGAGACGAATTTGTCTCCCCAAATAAACTCGACTCCCAGGTCTCTTGAAGACACTGGATCACCGAAAAGCCGCCGTGCCCGTTGCACTCTCCGTTTTCTACCTGTAATTAGTCTAGCGAAATCAATGGCTCTCAATGACCTCCGAGACGTCAAAGATTAGTAATGAATACAAACATTTCCATTGCAAATCGAGGGGCTACTCGTGGCAAAGAATCCCGGCACAGGTTCAAGGAGAAGAATTGAAGTTGGCCAGGCTTAGTGATTGATCTTGCTACGGTGTGCCTCGCTTACAAGAGGCTGAGCCTTGCGGGAACGCCTGGGGAGACAATGCATCTCACGGGTGTTCGTACCGTACAGTATTCGGCCAAATGCCGAAGTAGGATAATCTCACCAGTCGTACATACAAAGGTACTTGCAATTGCATGCTTGTCATCGATATTGGCTTACATTCACAATCCCACACCTTTTCACACCGTCGGCGCCTGTCTTGTATAGAATTCATGACTGTATTTATTCCACTATGACAATCACATGTTTAGCAGATATTGTGAGATAGATACATCATCTCCCGAGGCGTGCGCGGCCTCAATGCCAAATTGACCAACAGGTATATAGAATTGAGACAGACGGTCAATATTGCCCTCCATGGTTGAATTCAAGCCTTTTCCACTCTTAAGAACGCCGGTCTCACGCCGTCCCACGGAGTTTTTCTACTCAAGTCCAGGATGATTTTTCTGAAGTATTGAGATACGCCCCAGACCTGCATATTTCCCAAGATTTCTGCCGTAAGCTCCAACACCTGCCTCTGAGCCATTGTGATCGTTAGATCATTGATGCCGAAGATGCACACTGTCCGGTGGCCCCCGTCTCGAACCCAAGCCTGGATGGAATTCATCCGGGGATCATTTTGATCCATCGCGAGATGATCAAGCCGAACTGCATCATCCGCCCGAGCACGTGGAAAGACCACTTCAGAAGTTTGATTTGACGGTAACAGGACACACATACAACATAGGACAACACCAGCATGAAACACATTAAAAGACTCAAGTGGTGCATTTCCTGGCCAGTGTCTCACAAGGGCAAGGATTTGTGCAGCATGGAATGCAACGTGGCGGACCCTTCGAGCATCATGCTTTGCCCATTGCCGCAGTCGCTCCTGGGCTGTGTCTCTGGCTGGTGACTGGCGTATCATGACATACACTAAATCCAGCAAATCTCCTGCACCGTACAAGTGCGCAAGGTGGACCATCTGAGCTCTGCGTACTGCCTGCAAAATCTGGTCTACAGTGCATTTAGCGGACGCCGTGAGTGATACAATAGATTCCTGGAACATGTTAATCCCTTTCAAAAGAGACCTAGCATCGTTCACCCAGTGAGAGTTGTCGATGAGATCACAAATGGGCGACCGCCGGATTTCCTTAACGGTCCAAAGCATGCGGATCAAAGTTAGCATGATCGGTAACCGCTGGTTATCTTCATCGAGTCTGGAAAGTGGATCAGCCGTACCGTCGAAGAAGTGTCTGATGGTTGATCGAAACGCGCTGTATTTAGGGCCGGGACCCCATGGGTGTAAAGCCGCCCAAGAGTAAGCTGTCTCTGCTTCCCAGTGAGGAGGTGAACTTGGGAGGTCGAGAATCATGTCCCCAACAGTGACGTATGGTCGGATGTTGTGTAAGTATGAAACAGACGAGTCATATTCGTAAACCGCCCATGATAGACGCCTTCGCCTCTCTTGGCCTATCCAAACTTTCCAACGCTCCTCAGCACTTTTACATTCGGATAGCAGATGTTGAGCTGGCTCGTAGTTAAAAAGCCCAGTGGATTTGGCAGTATTAACTAGTGCACTACGCCAACACTCGGCAGTCTCGAGGAGACGCTTACTGCCGCTGCAATATCCATGCGTTCCTTGAAGGAGTTGGGCTGTAATGTAGTACTCTTCTTGGGTAGAGCCAGGGTTCCACTCGGCCTGAGTAGAGATTTAGATCTGGGTTGATTTGATCAGACTCTGATATAGGAGACGAACCTGAAGAACAAGAACTCTTCGGCAGAGCTCTGACAATGCATTAGAGAATTCCTTGGCGCCCGTGAAGGAGGTGTAGCAAGCGCCGATGGACACTATCAAAAGCGTCACTATCGGGTCCGTGAGTGGATCAAACGTCGGACGGTGGACTATTGGCAGAAACTTCACTAGCATTAGCTAGAGCAAACAGCACACATGTCAATCACAGCACACCTTATTGAAATGAGAAAAGAACAGGTCCATACAATGATTCAAACGGTCACAGCTGGGGAAATTTGTCCAGGACACCTTTGGCCAAGCACCACAGTTGAGGGGACCCTGGACACTTTCTAGGATTTTCATCCGCATAGAGGGTGTAATTTGCACAGACGCACAATGAGTTGCTGCAGGTGGGGTTTCATCAACCCTACCAAAATCCGGCAGCACTGAGCGTTGCGAATGAAAGGGAGTGCAATCGCCAGACCAAAGGTCTTCTGAAGATGTAGTATCCTTGCCTGGGGCTGGGGTTGTAGCCAATTTTCCAAGTCCAAGGCCACCAGGAACGTCTTCTGTTGTTCGGAATGGCTGCATCTCAGTATTCTGGAGTGGTTGGGAAGAAGCAAGAGCAGGTGCATTACTAAAACTTGGTAGCGTTGGGAAAACGGCATCTGGAAGGTCGTCAAAAATCCAGCCAAAGGGAGGTTGTGTATTGAAAGTCTCAGCAATAGGATTGAGACTGAATAAATCGATATGCGGCATCGACAAGGAAAAGTCCGGACTCTGGTATCCCAAGTCGAATGGGCTCAGATCTATTGCCGTTGTAGTATATCCTGGGAGTCTACCCTCAATTACATCGTGATTGTTTAATGGCGACGGAGATAGTCCAATCCTATCTTCACGTTGGAAATGAGTGATACTGCTGTCCAAGCTCCCTGCTATGGCTGGGAGCACAGTTTGATCGGCTATCCTCGCGGGCTCAGGCGGCTCTGCAACGTGGCCTGGGCCTTTTTTGGTGGCAGAATGCCCGTAGAAGCACTTTAATGATCGTTTTTGACAGGATGAGCAGTGTGGCAACTCGCCCTGACACTTAACTTTGGACCTGAGCGAGTCAGTGAGCAATGGTGGAGACGAAGACTGTAGTCGTCTTGGAGTCCCTACTTGGAACATGGAACACAGGCTTTCCTTCGAGATCTCGGTGGAGGCCGATGAATATCATGGATCTGCCAGTGTCTTGTCAAAGTGTCCCTTGTTGATAGTCAGATCTGGGAAGTTAAGCGATAAATTGGGCTTGCACGTACTTGCGATCGAAATTTTTCCCACACGCATTGCATCTAAATCTAATCTAGTATAAGCGACAGAGGTGCGTTGACTGAATTGAACAAGACGAAACTATTCTTACCCTTTGTATGGAGACGTCGTCTCTACCACAGAAGAGGATCCCCGGACCGGTGGTGGATCCATGGTGAGCTGCTTGCTGAGCGCAGGCATCTAGCGGTGTAGCTCGAGACTGCTCCCCGACTCAAAGCTCGGCGACACTGGTGGAGGGCTTTGGAGTCGCGGGAAGGTGCTGCAGCGTACAAATGGCCATCTCAAGGCACTCCATGCACTTGCTTTTGCGACCCTCTAGTAGAACCTATCTAGACCACAGTAATTTCAAGCTTTGAATAGCTACAAAATTTCCGTGTGCCTGCTAGATTGCAAAATTCGTGCAAATTTAGCAATCCAAACCGCACCTAGACGTGGATGCTCGGATTTTACAGCTTGGAAAAGATCACAATGGTCAGCTGGATCAATTTGCGTCGGAGTTCGTTGCGGACTATGTTTCTCCGAAAAAGCGGGGGCGGCAAGGCTGAATCTTCTAGTCTAGTGCTCGGTTGATTACATGAAGCACACTGTTCATCGAACAGAGGAAAGTCGAAGAGAGCTGTTTGCTCTTCGGTAGCTCCGAGTGTCACTTGGTAAGCGTCAGCAGCCCGCTGCGGTGCTCTTATTTGAAATCTCCTCAATCACTGGTAAATTCACGTCCTTGCAACGTCAGCCTCGCCAGCCTGATTGAAGTGAGCAGGAGATAAAAGGACAAGATGTGCAACGAAAACAATCGAAAGAGCAGACTCCAAGTCCTTCATGAGAATCGCCGTTGCACATTTCAACACGTTCAATCTAGATAGTCATCTGAAGAACTTCGTCAATCTCAGCATTCAGGATGTCAGACTCGAAACCAACTCTTCTGGTTGTTCTGACCTCGGTCAATACCCAGCCCAAAAATGGATGGCCGACGGGCTGGTTTCTGGTAAGTTACTTGTTGAAGCCGAGGCGGCACTAGAGCAATGCTAATAAGACTTGAGCCCGAACTCGCTCATCCATATACAGTTTTGGCGGACAAAGTAAATATGGTCATTGCATCCCCTAATGGTGGGGAGGCACCATTGGACCCCAAATCAGTCGAGATGTCCGCTGAGGATGCGGAATCCCAGGCCTTCCTCAAGACGCATGAGAGCCTCTGGCTGAACACGGAGAAGCTTTGTGACTGTGCGAAGAGAGTGAATGACTTCGACGGGATCTACTTTGTGGGCGGTCATGGGCGTAAGTACATTTTCGACAACTCCACTATCTGGGTTGCTAAAACATTTCCAAATAGCAATGTGGGATTTGTTTGAAGACTCAGCTTCTCTGGAAATTATCCAGAAGTTGGCTGAAAAGAACAAAATTGTTGCCGCGGTGTGCCACGGTCAAGCTGCTCTGGTCAATGCCAAACTGTCTGACGGGTCATACCTGGTGGATGGCGCCGAGGTCACTGCCTTTTCTAACGCGGAAGAGGACTCTATAGGCCTTACGGAAGGAATGCCATTTCTCTTGGAAACGGAATTGTTGAAGCGAGGAGCCAACTACATCAAGGCAGACGAGCAGTGGGGTGAAAAGGTTGCAATCGGCCGTGATGGAAAACTTATCACCGGGCAAAACCCAGCAAGTGCTAAAGGGGTTGGTAATGCTATCTTGAAGACGATAACGGAATGAGCGACTACACCAGGTTTCGCTATGACGAGGAAAGCCATGCTCCCTAGACAGGTCACATCAAGCAAGAGTTACGTCCATTTCAACACACGTGGGTTTTCACTGCACTCCTTGCAAATGGCCGTCTTTCAAAGAGAAAAATGAATAAGCCGAACTTATTCTCAAATAACATCCTTGAACTCTTTACCTCGGCTGGTATGCGTAGGTTGTTTCCCAAGCTAGCAGGGTACGTATGTGCATGAATAGGAGAATGTGTAAGTTATCTGCCGGTTTTCACTCATGTCATACCAGCAATCCAGCTTTGGGATCACACTCGTCTCATGACTCACTTATACGGAAGATATATTATAGTTTTGCCTTTAGCTCCATCTCTGCCACCTAATGGTAAGTGGTATCAATCTGTGATGATTCATAGCTAGTAGAAGAGATTCTTGTAGTATACTTGATGATTAATTTATGTCCGCTTTAGCCCTCTTTGTTCTGTTGTACACAATCCACTACAGCCTGCATCCGGTCATTTCCGTTCAGGAATTTCCCCCCATTCGTACGGTGGAAGCGCAAAATCAACTCCACCTTCGCCGGGAATAAGTTTGTATGCCTTCGTCGCACTGACGACCCAGATGAGGAAGTCTCGCAAGCGGATAGCCCACGCACTCTGCGGGAACACAATTTGCGGGTATCCGGGTGGAAGGTCCTCCATCTTTGCATACAGCGTGCGGAACACCTGCTCATATTTCTCCAGCGCATGTGGTACATCGTCGTTGTTCTTGATCTTCGATAATTCTCCTGCGAGAGTGTAGGCACTCGAGATAGCGAGAGTTGTACCAACTCCAAAAGTTGCAAACGCCGCATCACCCATCACAACGCCGCGCTGATTCGTCCACTTTGGAAGTTTCACCTGGGCGGCGCGGGTGAAGTAGAAGTCTTCTGCGGAATTCATCCCTTCCAACACCCGCTTTGCCTGCCAGCCAAGATCTTTGAAATACTCCCACAACTTCTTTTTCGTAGCTTCTGGCCCCTCCTTCATGGCTTCTTCGATTGCTGGATCGCGTTGAGAATGGGATGGTGTCGTGACGCATAGGTATACACCCATGGTGGAGGTGTTCTTATGAGGGCGTATCATTATACAGAGACCTCGTGCGGGATTGTAGATCTGCCACAACTTTGGGTCGTCCTTCTGCTTGGGAATGCTGTAGAATGCGATGTACTGACCCAGGAAGTTGTAGCATCCTTTGAGAGATTGCTCGTCGAGGATCATTGGTCTGGTAGCCGAGGTAGACCCATCCGCGGCAACTACTAAATCGAAAGTGTCCTTGGATCCGCTCGCAAAGGTAATGTTGACGTCCTTTTCGGTCTGCTCGAGAGATATGATAGAGTCACCGTACATGTATCGGACATTAGTCAAACTCTGGGTGGCTTCGAGGAACAGCTGTGACAAGTCTGCCCTCAGAATTTCGTAGTCAGCCGTAAACACATCGCCGGCTTTGAAATGCGCGAAGGTCCCCTTGCCAGAACGTTTGATCATGATTGTGCCCTCTTCGGTCGTGTGGCGGGCACGAACAGCTTCTTCGAGCCCCATTTTCCTGACGATATCGACTGCTGTCCCACGAACATCAACTGATTGGCCAGTGAGCCTTGGGAAAGGTGAACGCTCAACAATGGTGGTGACTATATCAAGTCGTGTTCTGGCGAGCCAGTATGCGAGACAGGGACCAGCGATGCCGCCGCCTGAGATAAGGACCTTCATGGTGTGCGCAAACAATGCTGGTTTTACGATACGAGAGGTCCATGCTTGAAGGTGCTAGTAGTCTATCAACTTTATATAGAATGTAAAACAGGAAACCTTCAAGCATTGCAGACAGCATGAGTCATGACAGCTAATCTTAAACGTAGATTCTTCGGGCAATTGATAGCTCGGGAATCCGAGATACAGAAATGCCACCAATCGGACCGCTTCCGTGTCGGAATGCTCGTCGGGGTGGTGTTCGTATTCGTGCCGGATGAGGCGTCCGATAATGTGGTTTACGTAGATCAGCTTCTGACGAGTGCAGTCATGGTACATTCTTTGCACGGCCTCTGTTTGCATGAAGGTCAGAGTCTAGATGTGCCGCGCATCGTCAGGGCCATAGTCCATATGCACATTTAGTACTAGTCGTCACGTGGTTGGGTTAGGTCCATGGCATCCAGTGGCACCGCTATCGACACCACTGGTTCGAACGCTACATAACCAACGAGACAGACAGGCGTCATTGGAGAACTTTAATGCGGCTCTAACTAACGGCTCGCCATGAACAATTACCTGATTCATCTCGGAGGTCTACTTCACCCAGGCGTATGATCAGAAATGATGAGTCCAACAACGCCCACCTTCGCCTGCATCCGCTGTGCTGAGCGGAAAGTCAAATGTGACAGACACACCCCCTGCAATTCATGCATTCGGCACGATGTAGAGTGTGTTTACCGTCCACCAAAGAAATCAGGGCGAAAAAAGCGGACCACTGGCACAGACGAGCAGATACTCGAGCGACTGAGTTATTACGAAACATTGCTGCTTGAGAATGGTATACAAGTGTCAACCTCGCGCGATAATCCTCGCTCGGCCGGATCTGACGTGACGTATTCAACGGTAGTAGTGAGGTCCCTGACCATTGAGATTCTCCTAAGGAAGAACATTCGGGCTGATAGAAGCCTGGTCACAGGGGGCGTATCGTCCACAGCAGACGTTATCAAGTGCTGGGGCAGACCACGGCCTGGAGGCCGTCCAGCAATTGCTGACGCCGGCGTCAAATGAGTCCGAGTCACAATCAACAGTCTTTCAACCTCAGCTGATATATGGAGAACGAGGTACAAAGCTTGTTGACAAGTAAGTTATCTTCTTTCGGCTTGATTTGACGACTACGCTAAATCAAATAACGAAAGCAACCTATGGTCGAGAGTGGCAGAAGAGGTGCGCCAATCCACCAAAAATTGGTGTGAAATTAGTTCAGGAAAATGCTGATATCATAGCTAGATCCAGGATACCGAAGAAGGACTAGAGGGAGATTCGACAAACGATCAAAGCGACGATGAGGTGCCGTCCAACGACGACTTTTGTTATGTTCTAGGCTTGGAAGGAACCCCGAAGCATGGCCCTGCACATCCACCCACTAAGCTCATATATTCCCTTTGGCAAATATTTCTTGAAAATGTCAACCCCTTGTCGAAGCTGGTCCACGTACCCACCCTCGAACCAGCAATGGAGAAGGCAATCGCCAATATCCAGTATGTTCCGCGAGGCTTTGAAGCACTTATGTTTGCCATGTACAGTACGGCCGTGTTAACGCTGACGGAGGACGACTGCAAAGCTATGCTGGGAGAAGGCCGCACGGCATTACTTGCACGCCACGTGGCCGGCACCAAGGCGGCCCTATGCCGCGCAAAGTTCATGAGCAGCACCAGCATTGTTGTGCTGCAAGCGCTCGTGCTTCACATCCTTTCGATCCGGGACCTCTACGAACCTCGCGCCGTCTGGAGCCTCACAGGTGTTGCCATGCGTATCGCTGAAGGCATGGGTATGCGAGTGGACGGGACCTTCTTGGGCCTCTCCCCGTTTGAGACGGAAATTCGCCGACGCATCTGGTGGCAGCTCAACATGCATGACTTTCGCGCTGCAGAGCTCACGGGGCAAGCCAAGTTTCGATACTTCGGGCTTGATGAAACTACACCAAAGCAGCCAGCCAATGTCGAAGACAAAGACCTGTACCCGTCCATGCGGCAAGCCCCTCCCAACTCGACCAAGGTGACGGATATGATCTGGTGCATGTTTAGATCCGAGCTGGCTACTTTCGCCAACACCCAAATGACGAAACTGCAGAAAGCAGGTAAACCTGGGTTCACCTCGGAGGACTACACCGCCATCGACAACCTGAAAACAAAGGACGACTTCATCAATGAGCTTGAAGACCTCATCGAGACCAAGTATCTCCGATTCTGTGATCCATCCCAGCCGCTACAGCTGATGAGCCTCGTCGGAGGGCGGAGTTCCATGAACCTGATCCGTTTCATCGCACACCACCCACGCCGATGGGCGAAACTAAAGGAAGTCCCCGACTCCGAGCGGCAATTCGTCTGGGACATTGTGATTTCATTGCTGGAACAATACAATATGATGCAGTCGAGCCCCCAGCTTCGACGTTTCTCGTGGAACGTCCCGTATTTTATCCAGTGGCAGGCCGTGATCCACGTCCTCGATTCACTTCGCGCGAACCCAATGCACAAGGACGCAGGGAAGGCATGGCAAATCATCGACACCATTTACCAGAACAATCTAGAGATGCTGTTGAGGACCGACAGGCCGATCTTCGTGGCCGTCGGCAATCTCTGTCTGAAGGCCTTCAATATGCGGATCGGTGTCGGCGGTCCACCAAGGGGACAGAGCAGCTGCAGCAACCAGCTTCCCGTCACGCCAGAGTACATCACCAAGCTTCGAGGCCAACGGGACGCGGCCAGGACGAGGCGAGAAGCAGCCATCGCAGCCCGAACCGGGCGCGAGAGACAGGTGATTCTCGACAGCGTCCAAAGATTGAGCACCACAGACGCAGAGGATCCACCACATCTACGTCCAATATACCAGAATCCCACACCGGCCGTAGCGGCGCCGGCAGGAACGGGAGCACAACAGCCTTCTTCAACGGCAAATCCGAACTCTGTTCTGGCGGTCGCCGCGAATACACGCACTGGAGATGACATTTTCTGGTTGGGCGACACTCTGGGCGATGATTATCTCACTGCCGGGACCGCCGACATGATGGAGCTTGACACGGATACGATGCTGGCTCATGACTACTGGGTTGATGCTCCCAACGGTGAGGTCATTGATTGGGTTCAATGGGATGGATGGTTCGGGTCTCTCAGTCCTGCGAGAGGCGGAGCTCCTGCATGAGAGGGCCTCGGCCTGTACGATGCGAAGAAGTTAGACATGCTTTTTGGGATCGATCTATCCATCCTTGCTGGATCAGCTATTTTAGCCCAAGTCGAGCAGGTGAACGGAGGTGTTGCACTTGTTGACAGCCGCTTCACTGTGTGCGATCAGCAAGTAATTACTTGGTATGATACCATCCAGCTAGGTGCTTAGCCAAGAGCAACCACAGGGCTTGTTTAGTATAAACACCGTTATGCCACTGGAATTTTCTATCATGTTATTCGAGGTCGTACTACTACAGAGCGAGGCGCTCGTCATCCATCTCGAATGCAGGCAGACCTTACCAAGGGACCTACTTCTATCGCGTCTCCAAAAGCGTCATCTTCTCGCACGCCCGGGACCTCTCCAATGTATATGTAGGCCGGGTCGTGATGGGCTCAAAGACATCTCCGGATGTGAACTTCAAGAGTTCGATTCATCACAGTCGTTTATGCGTGGGATGAGAGGATAGGACTGGTCCCGATCAGCATTCCATTATCGCAGTGCTCGGAATGCTGCATTCAAGATATCATCACCGGCCTGGTCTATTCCTCGCTCTACCCTTTGTTCATTGCTCATTCGCACAGGAGCATTGCCGGCAGCGCCGACGCTAGGTTCTTTTCCCTTCCTTTTTCGGGTTTTTGACGAGGCGGATCCATGTATCACCATGGGATCAACCTCGGCGATGTCGTGATCCTCTTCAACAGCCCAAAATCCCATTGCTCGGCTCAGCAGTGTCCCTGCCACAGCGCCACCCCCAGCATCGCCACCAAGGACCCTTACCGCTTCATGCAAAGCCATAACCGCTTCCCTGGTACGCCCACCTATACTGAGTAATACAAGACCTCTACTGGTGTGGATGCTACCAATCAAATTTCGGTCATCGTAGCCACTGGCCGCGCTGCTTGGGGTCGGACCAATTCCAGAACCCCCAAGACTCAAGTTAGCAAATGCTGACATGCCTCGTCCAGGTTCAAATGATCCGACAGCCGGGGCTGCGCCTCCGGTAGCTGTCCGTAGACATTCGTCAAACTCTGCCAGAGCCTCTTCAAATTTCCCAAGCCGCCTCAGCGCATGTGCTAAATTAGCCCTAGTCGCCACCCAAGCAGTCATATCGCAGCCCAAATCTGAAGCCAGTTGTAGAGATTTGTGAAAGAGCTTGGCTGCGGATGGAAGGTTTGCTTGATGATACAATATCACACCGATTTCGTTGAGGACCAAAGGATCACCACCAATGCTACTATTGCTGTTTGAAATCCTGGTTCCAAGGTCATCCTCGGTTTCGGTCTTAATGGCACCACTGCTCATCTCAAAGGCAGCCAGACAATACTCCCAAGCAAGCTGCATGTTATTCAAGGCGAGATGCTGCATTCCAAGGAAGAGTTGTGGAAGGTGGCTACCTTGGAACAATCTGGCAGCCGTTGAATAGGCGGCAATGGCTTGGTCGTGTTCGCCCTCGGCAGCAAAAGTATGTGCGAAGCCAATCCATGCAGGGGCGGAATGTGGATCCATCAGGGATGCTTTTGAAAAGAAGCGTCGAGCATCTGCTATTCGAAAGGTGGATAAGTAGTAGGTGCCGATTGCAAGATAGGTGTATGACTCATGTGGAGCGTGTGTTGATAGAGTGTGGGAGAGATGGAACAGTGTATTATGAGAACCAGTCTCGTACAGGACTGCAAGATGAAGAGGGTAAAGTCGTGGACTGTGACCGAGAGAAGCAGTGGTACCGGTAGAGGCTGCGTTGGAAGAGGAATCCGAGGTCTCACGAGAGTTGAGAATGTTAGTGGTTATAGCTAGGGCTTCATGGAATCGACATTGCGTATAGAGCGTCTCTGCTCTTGTCAAGAGTAAATCTGGGTTGGAAGCAAGATTATAGTGAGTGGAGAGGGTCTCGGTAGCGTTAGCCAAGGTCGTCGGTGATGAGTACTTGGATAGACGGGTGGTGTAAAGCAACTTGGTAAAATGAGCGGCCTCCTGGGCCATTGACGGATCCTCTATGCGGATCGCATCAAAATCCAGCTCTTCCAAAAAGGCCAACTCCTCGGCAGGAGACATGAGAGAATTCTTCATGAGCTGATCAAAAGCCTCAAAGCACTGAACGTCGATACGAACAGCGTCCTTGTAGCAGTCTCTTGCACGATCGAATGCATTCCGTTTCGCAAAGCATAGGCCACGCAGATAACACATGGCAGCTTGAAACTTGAGTTCCTTCTCGGACTCACGGTCCCGCTCCCGCTCTTCACTCAGCTCAATTCTGTCCCGGGGTGGTTTGGTGCCTCTCTGGGTGACATTTCTCTGAGAACGGCCGTTGATATGAGCCAGCTTCCGGCGCGCATTATGAGACGTGTTTATGAGATGAGTTGGGTTGTCTTCGCCCAAGATGTCGAGGGCCTGATCATATCTGCCTTGTTTGATGTAACAATGGGAAGCCAGATATCGACATGACAGGCTTCGGGTAATGAGGTCCTTCCGGGAGAGAAGGGCAAGGGCGCGAGTAAAGTTGTTGTTTCCAAAATGAACCTGGGCCAGCCAGAAAGCGTCTGCATCATTGTCTGGAAGAAGGGCATGAAATCAGCGACCGAGTAGTTAAGGGCCAGGAATACTCACATACTGGTCACGGCAAGCACCTTGTCTCCAATGTAAATGGCAGCATCTTGTTGACCCTTGTTCAGGGCATCTTGTCTCCACGTTCGGAGGTACCGATCCATGATGTAACGGGGTCACTAAAACCAAAAACGAGGGATAGCCAGCATGACACGTCTCATGTAGAGCGGGAAGAGAATGGAAAGGATGAGAGCACCCAAAGAATATGGCGAGCAACTGCGAACCCGGTCGATGGGTAGGTATCCTGTTTACTTTCCTTGCACTTGTGCTGGGTGCATGCAGCATCAGTCGCGACCAAACACGTGAATATTTGCTGTCATTTGAAAGTGCGGGGCAGGCGCGACTTGTGTCATTTTAGTTTCCTCAGTGGTTGCGTGCCTGCCATTTTACCACTACGTACAAGTATATATCACTTGCGGTGGTTCAAGTGCCACAGGCACACCCCTGACATCTCCCATATCCTCCCATTTTACTCAGCCGCCGTTTATCTTCTCTGGCCGAGCCTTTACCACCATGTCCGAACGAAAAGTCCTCACCAAATACTACCCGCCGGAGTTTGATCCCTCCAAAATTGCCCGCACCCCCAAGCATCTTCGTCCTACCGGCCCAAAGACCATCCCAGTCCGCCTCATGGCCCCGTTCAGCATGAAGTGCACTTCTTGTGGCGAATACATCTACAAAGGTCGAAAGTTCAACGCCAGGAAAGAAACCACCGAGGAAAAATACCTGACCATTTCTATTTATCGCTTCTACATTCGTTGCACGAGATGCAGTTCTGAAATCACTTTCAAGACCGACCCAAAGAACATGGACTATTCCGCCGAAAGGGGCGCCAAGAGGAACTTTGAGTCCTGGCGTGATTCAACATCCGCCGAGCTCAAGGAGACTGACGAAGAGAGGCTGGACAGACTGGAAAGGGAGGAGGCCGAAGACGCCGAAAACGCTGAAAGAAACGCCATGGAAGAACTCGAGGAGAAGATGGAAGAGAGCAAGAGAGAAATGCAGGTCGCGGATGCTCTCGATGAGATCATGCAGAGAAACGCTCGCATTGAGCGTGGTGAGAAAGGTGGTAAAGAAGACGAGGCTCTCATCCAAGCCGGGGAGCAGGCGAGGCGAGAACGAGAAGCCCAAGACCGCGCCGATGACGATGCCGCTCGAGATGCCTTTCGCGCTAGCAATGTTGAAATGGTCAAAAGAGAGGAGCAAACACTTGACAACGGTGACCAGCTTTCGCGGGACAGCGACAAAATACCCGCAGCTGTATCTTCCTTTGAGAGAAGCAAAAAGGTGAAAAGACCTCTTGTTCCAGGCTTGGTTCGCAAGACGGAACAGCCCAAGGCATCTTCGCCTCTCACCACTGTCAGCAGCCTGGCTTCAACTGCACTTGGACTCGGAGACTATGATTCTGACGACGACTAATCCTTACTAAATTAGTAGACGAAGCAATAAGTCTTGGGTTTTACGACCCGCCGATCTTAGGCCCTTGCTATTGGTATCAACGATCTAGTAGCTACAAGAGGGGCGCCACTGAAGCTCCGAGTGTTCAAGGCTCGTTGTCCAGAGAGTACATACACGGGAAGCCCCAGACCACCAGACCGTAAGTTCAGAGAGACAACAGCGGTGGAACAGTCGACAGTAACCAATCAAATTATTGATATGGTCGACGACAACCAGTCTGGGGCTCCCACAAGAGCAACCCCAGCAATGCCTACTTAGTGAGACACATTCTCCTGTTTCCTGCATTTACGCTGGAGTTGCATCATTTTTGGAGATTACGGAATTGCATACCTAACTCGTTTCGGAAGACATTTTCTGCCGAAGAGAGGCCAAATCATGTCAGGCACGACTTCCGAGTGATCAGTGTCATAACACCGTCTGACTTATTCAGGGCTACATCAATTCTTGGTGCGGTCGTGCCCAGCTCTTGACATACAAACCCTCAAGCTGCCTATCTTCGACACAAATATCTGTACAGACATTACAATTATACAACTACAGGCCCAACAGATATCCTCAACGCCTTGCATCCTTTTCTCAAGCAGAGACCCTCAGCCATCGAGGGGAAATATCCCTCATCACAGACTTCAATCCGCCAAACCTTTTTGGTGGGGAAATGCTTCCAATTGCACCTCCTGCATATCCCATTCCCGCAACGGACGACAGGTCGTGATTAAAAAAGGCATCACTGACAAAGTCCTGTTTGCTTTCAAGCTTGACCAATCCATCTAAATTCTCGAGAAGATCCACAATCGCAGGCAGTCTGGTATTATCCGCCCATACGCATATCGAGGTCAGTCGTGAATATAACGCTTCCACGTCTCTCTCATCGTCAAGCCGGTACACCCTGATCATCGCCGCATGGTGCACTAGACTGCCCCCGGAATCGTGCATGTTCAGACTCGCCACCTTGCCATCGAGATTGATGCTCAAACTGAAACTGTGCACGCGTCTACGAGAGTTCCAGAAAAGGCTGGGACCCTGCTTTTGCATGGTTGGCTCGTCCGCGGCCTCAGCAAGCAACGCGAGAGCGTTATTGCAGGTCGATGCGGAGCCAGCGGAGGCATTCTGGGCAGCATTTAACGAGTTAGGCTGGATGTCGACAGTGAAGAAGGGCCAGAAGACGTCAGGGGTGGGCTGGCTGACCTTGGCGAGATCGCAGGGAAGGCCGGCGCTGGTTGAGATGATCCCCGACTGTAACTCGAGCTCGTGCGGCGTGAAAGTCTTGGTCGCGAATCCGAGTGTGATGTTCGGTCTCGGGACCGGAAGTGGCATGCTCCAAGTATCCGGCGGCGACAGCAGGGCGTCCGTCGTGATGGCACCGTTGGGCACAGGGTCCTCGTGAAACGTCCCACCGGCCTTCGTATGTAGATTCCTGTGGGGCTTGGTTGCGGCTTGAACCAAGGTCATCACCAGATCCGTCATGCATTTTTCGGAGAGGTTCGATTTCCGCGACACCTTGTTGGCAAATCGTCTTGTCTCATTCGTGGCACGGAAGACATCGCCATAGGGCATACCGAGCGCAAATGCAGCTCGACTCCAGCGCTCCTCGTCCAGCACGGCATCCTCGATGATGATATTATTCGGTTTGAGCGTATGTTGACGGTAGAAGGGGCTGTTGTAAGGGGAGGCGCTGGAGATCTGTGAGGTATTGGTGAGGAGAGTGATGGGGGTGTATTGGGTTTGGCTGGAGAACGAGGATCTGGACTCTGAGAGAGATGGTGCAGGTATGATCAGGTTGGGAATCGGTAAGGGATGCTGTGAGGGTATTTGTGTTGCCATGCTGGAGGAAAGGGATACTTGATCCTTAGCTAGCCTCGCGAGAAGTGATTGGCAGAATTTTGCTTCTGTGGATGTTTTGTCGTTGTTTAGCTGAAACAAGAAACAATGTTTTATGGCACTTCAGACAATCTCATGGGCATGTGGGTGTAGATATACATTTCCATTTGGACCATGTGCAACTACTATCTCCACAGGTCAATACTGGTATGTCAATTTGTCTACTGGGTAATTTCTTAGTTAGTATGGACGAGGAACCCGGTACTATACATGAGTGATTCTAATTTCAGCAACATTGTCGGTGTAGAAGAGATATACAAATTATTGAAATGCTGGCACTCCTTTCTGTGCTGAATTCGACAACGTTACTCGTCAGATCCGGACCTATATTTAACATCGAGGTGCAACTATTGGTGAAATCCCTGAAAACCCCACCATGTGCCTGCGTTAGCGAAGAGCTACTGTGGGAGGGAGAGTCCTCGTACCCTCTGGGCGGCTACGGGCAGGCAAGTTCTTTTACTACAGCTAAGTAAGGTGTCTGAGAGCCGCGTGGCACCGATGCTGTCGCCCGACGACGCTACATTCCATGCAATTCGTCGCCCTGTTAAGAGTCCGATGGAGACCAGCAAGTGTGCAGCCTAGACATTCACTGTGCAGAGGTGCTCAGAGGAACTTTGCATAGTGTAAATTGGATTGACTGTGCACTAGACATGACATTCTCAAAGCACCGCCTTGGTGGACCGACCTGAGATGCCACTTTTGGGGGGCTCGTCGTAGAAAGCGTCTGGGCCACCACCAGACCTCGTATAAATCTCGTGACTTCTTGCCAGCATAACATCTACGGAGTACAGTAGGTGGAAGGTGAGGTGCAAAGTATCCCATACAATCCGAGAATGAGGCAGCTGCGTGGAGGGGGAAAGAGCACCTACTGCCAGTGGTCGCCAAGATAGTATCGCTTGTTGATTGGCTAGAAACCTGTCTTTAACCGCCGGCCATGTCTGGGTTGAGGCGCCTGGTCTAGCTTCATATAGTTAGCCTCTAGCCGACCACCGACGTGTCGAGTCAATTTTCGGCCTCGAGTTTCATCTCCTCAACTTGCCTCCAATCACGCAACAGCACCCATTCTGTCCATCTCGCGTGCTGCCTAAGCGCTCGATATGCCCCAATGGCCTCGGAAGAATGTACCTGCGTTTCCCTGTTCTATTCTGGTGAGGCGCTTTTCTTTACAAGCTTGGACTTTTGTACCTTAATTCGCCTTGCAAGCCCGTCCCATGAAGAAAATAGCACTCCGACTTGACCCTTTCCGTGATTTCCTCGGATGATCGTGCATAGGCGAGTTTGATGGCCTGGTGGCTGGACGAATCACTGCCCAGACAAGTTTGTTTCTTGTTTGTATCATCCAATTGACCATTGCCTATAGATGCGAGACTAATGTAGTAGACTCGCCCAGCTGTTGGCGTACTAAGTTTCATAGCTCACCCTGGAGAGCGTCTGACGACACCAACATATTTGGCTGAAGGGCGCCATCCATATCGACACTGGCTTCCATAAAGCATTATTATTCCACGCTTCTTATTATTTTTTTAATCCTCCCTGGTCTCAAGCTCACTCTACTATTAGTATACTAAGTTTCGCCCTGGATAGCTTCTGGCGGACACCCTATATTTAACTGACGGACTCCATCGACATCGAGAGTGGCTTCCATTCAGCAAACTCCTTACAAAATGTCTGTCAGAAGCGGAAGCAGCAGGAGTGGAAGTGGTCGCGGAAGTGATTCGTCGAGGTCATCACCCACAAGCCCTTCCACCTCCTTTGACGGAAGTCATTTGCCCTGGAAATTTTTCCGATCCGAAGTCTTGGGGCCTCATTGCATCCAGGTGCTAGAAGCCCCACCCAAAGAACGGATTCCAAGTGCCTTCCTTTCCATCGTTGAAGCAGCAAGTCAGGATACGGCGAAGTTTGACGACCAAAAGGTGTCCTTCTGGAATCAGGTCGCGACAGGTCGTGGGTTCGGACCCTCACCACTATTTCCTCCAAATCTGCTCCCATCGATTGATCAGGAAAGTCGCCTAGCACGTTGTATGGTCCCTACCTTCAGTCGCGAGGCATTGCCCGAAAGAGCGATCAACCAGATGGGACCATTGTACGAACTCTCTCTCCCTCGCCCGATCCTCGGATGTGGCTTCTCATCGGAAGCATTCACTGTCAAGGAATTAGCCAGTCTTCCGCAATGGCTCCACGCATCTGGAACTGTGGTTCATTTCGATACAGGATACATTTCATCCAGTGCCACCATGTATTGTCCGTTTCTTACTTTCGAAAGAGCCTTTGGCAATAGGGAGCACCGTGTCGAGTCGGCCAACAATCATTGTGCAATAGGAGGAGCCTACACGACCCGACAATTACAGATGTTATATGTCAAGGCATGGAAGGGGAAAATGATGCCTGAGTTACCAGTGTCCTTCTCCTGCACCATCGACAATAGCTTTGCATTGCTCAATCTCCATTGGATCGATCATGGTCAAACGTATTGCATGGCGCCACTGTGCCAATTCGATCTCAGTAAGGACCTACATTTCAATAAATTCCTTGTCTGGACTGAATCTATTGGTCAATGGGCCTTGAGCCACGTCTTGCCTCTTGTCAAGGAGGCTATCTCGCGGCTTCAGACAACCGAATCAATTCCACGCATCGTAGCATCCAACAATCCACGTATCAAGCTGAGAGTGGATACTGGCATCAACAACAACGAGCTGTTGATGTCCTCACTTAAGACAACCTTCGAGAATATACCCTGGCGATTTGAAGATGAGGAGTTTACACCTGTCAGCAGCAGCACTGCAAGCTGGGGAAGCCCCATGGTGAATGAACAAACCTTTGCTAATTTGGCGTACCCTGCTGTTCATCCTCCACGAAGCACAACGTTGAGCGCTGCAGCACTTGCAAGGAAACGCCTTGCGGTACCAGACCGCAGCCCTGTGACACCTCCACCTGCATACCCACAACCTACGGATCTCCTGTGGCAGAAGCGTTTCACCCATGCCATGGACGAGATTCGAGGGTTGCAACAACAAATTCTAACTATGAAATCGGACATCTCACACTCGCGAGAATCATTCAGGACAGACCTTTTGTCCGAGCACAAAGCCCCTCATGGGCAGAAAATCCCTCCAGACAGCAAGCCAGTAACCATGCCGACGCCCGCATCGGCAGCCGCAACTGTGTCAGCGCCAGGCCAAGCAAATTATTCAACACTGATACAGTGCTCCGCCGTCATGCTTTCCGGTCAATTGCTTGCATCATTCATCCCGAACACATTACTCAAGTTCCTTGCCATTGGCCTCGTTACCAATGCGTGTTTGTTGACGCTCGTTACCCCGTCACCGTTTCCTCATCTGAATCTAAGCTTTCCGTTACTACGGCTACGGATCTGGCAGAAATATTGAGCTATTTTCGTGTCTCGGATTATCACGAAGACTAGATTGCGATTTTAAGGTACTGTACTATCGAGCGTTGCTGGAAGGTTGATGCCCCGAATCTGGCCAATCTGTCAGTGATAGAAGCGATGCACGAACGGTATGTATCAATAGAGATTATGATGACGAGTTTCTTTATATAGTCAAAATACAACAATTGCACTGAGAATCATTCGGATCTCGATGATAGCACATCCAGTATGTACCTCGTTACCTCGTGCTCCACAACTCCGCCGTCTCCTTGTCCGAAATAGCATCACGTGACAAGGCTGTCACCACCAGAGCCGTGCTCACAACTTCGCCCAAGCAGACTGTCAACTTCCATCACAGCCTTGAACATATAAGACCTCTCCTAAAACAGCCCTGAACGACACCCCGAATTGCCCCTTTCCGTAGAACTCTTCGACTCACATCGCATTTTGATATATACGCTGTATATATTCGGCCTCGCACTGGTCTGCACTGGCCGGACGAATTTCGACCGGTCTCCGGGAGAAACGACGAGCTTAACTCTGGATGGCCTAGCCACGGACTGAAGTTGGAGACAGCAAGAGGTATTTAGGTTGACTCATTACTGCACTTTCCCTTTCATGAATTGAAATTCTTACTGGATATCTCTCGCAATAAACCTCGAGACTGTCTAGTCACGTTGCTTCGATCAAACCCTTTCAAGCTTCTACTGTGACCTTCCTCTTCCAACCATGACCTCATTGATCTCCCATGTCTCAACATCTGAGCACCCTAAGATCAAACTCTACACCAACCATGGATGTGGTTGGTCTCAGCGTGTGCAAATTACATTGAGAGAACTCAAGCTTCCATATGAGGAAGTTCTTCTCGACCTTGACAAGCCTAGGCCAGATTGGTTCTTGGAGTTGAATCCGGTAGGTCCAAAACGATGATGTTGTGCCCATCAAGTCCTGGGCCACCAACTCACCACTAACATACTCATCCCAGCGCGGCCTTGTCCCTGTCCTGCAATACACACCTGCATCAACTCCAGAGAAGACACACACGCTGACCGAGTCGGCCTTGATCATAAACTTTCTGACCTCATTGCATCCATCGCATTTGACACCATCAGGCCCTCCCAGTGTCGAAGACAGCTATCGACAGTATCTTACATCCTTCCTAACCGACACCTACTTCACCAAGATCAACCCATTGATGTTTAAGCTTGTCGGTGCCACGACACCTGAAGCGAAAGAGCAAATCATCGATAACATCCTCACCAAACTCCAGAATGACATTGAGCCTCTCCTCGTCCAACACCTTGGCAAGACCGCCGTGGAGATCCAATCCGACCTTGAGCCGACATACTTCCTCTCCTCGCCACACCTGACCCTGGCGGAGATTAGCATCGTTCCCTTCTCCATGCGGCTCCTGGAATTTAGCAACGGCTCGGTTTTCCCAAAGACACTGAGGAAGCGAGCCGAGGCTGAGACGCCTGTCTTCTATGCGTGGTCGAACCGCACCATGGCCAATCCCCACGTCTGGGAATACTGGGGCGACTCCGCGTACTGGATCGCCCGCATCGAGGAGCGCTTGCCCGCAGCGCGGGAGAAGTATCGTGATTCGTGATTGGGAGGGCTGGGTTTAATATAGCCTGGTAGTTCATCGTTTAAAATCGTCATACCTGCTCAACGCCGAACACGAGTTGTGTCTGCGGTATATCTGCTCAACTCACAATTCACGTAATCCGCTTCCAGAGACTCTACCTTCTCATTCTTTGCCTTTCTTTTGGGCATGGATTTTATCTTTGCCTATATAAATGTGGACTGGCAGTGGGATCGCGGGCTAGGCCATGGAATAGCACCCGTTGGCACAATCTCATTGTCATATAGACGGTAGGATCATGGTTCATCTACAACATTGCTCTCTCACGTGATCATCGGCTGTACCTCGGCAAATTGAGTCCGGTCGGGGCGGAAGTCCAACGATTTACGAGTACCTCTTCAAATCTTGGGAGAGTGACACGCGTGGCCTTCTCGCTCCTCTGCCCATGGCCACTCACGCACGACGACATGATCCCCCGAGGTAGGTAGCCTAGCATATGGCATTTCCCACATTTCTAATATGACTAGATGACCTGGCGTCCCTACCACTCGACGCTCTTCTCGCGGAGTTGGAGCGTAGAGATGAGAAGCCTGCCTGCGGAACCCGAGGCAAGCAGGGCTCCTACAACACCGGGATCCATGTCTTTGCACTCTTCCTGATCCTCGCGCTGAGCACGCTAGGTACGGGGCCATTGTACAGTAACTTTATTCCCTGTCTAACATATACAAAGCATGCTCGTTCCCGGTCATAGCGCGGCGGTTCCCCAAACTACCCATCCCGCACCGACTCCTGTTCCTTTCACGACACTTTGGCACAGGGGTATTGATAGCCACGGCATTCATCCACCTCCTTCCCACGGCATTTATTTCCATGACCGACCCATGTCTCCCGAATTTTTGGAATAAGGACTATCCTCCCATGGCCGGGTTCATCGCCATGGTGGCGGTGTTCGTGGTGGTGTCAATTGAAATGTTCTTCGCAACTCGTGGAGCAGGTCACACTCATGGTAGCGAATGGGACCGGCCCGAACCAGTACAGGAGGAACAAGCACGTGGACTTTCTCTACATCACTTAAACACGCCGGTCACGCCCTACACAGACAACAGCCCCCGGGTCCCCACCGATTACGACGACGACGACGACATAGAAGCGTTGGATTCTTTGGCGGATGAATCTGCGACCTTGAATCACCCGCACCGGAGGAAGATCTCCGAGCATGAAAACCACCTTGAGCCAACAAGGTCGTCGGACGGACAAGACCCAAAGAAACTCTTCCTGCAGTGTCTGCTCCTCGAGGCGGGCATCCTTTTCCACAGCGTCTTCATCGGTATGGCGGTCTCAGTCGCAACGGGGACGCAATTTGCCGTCCTCCTGATCGCCATCTGCTTCCACCAGACCTTCGAAGGATTCGCCCTGGGCTCGCGAATTGCGGCACTTATCCCCGCGCTTTTCGACGCCAGTAGTCCCAAACCTTGGCTCATGGCTCTCGCATACGGCGCCACCACGCCGATCGGGCAGGCGATCGGGATCTGGATGCACGGGCTTTACGACCCGGCGTCCAAGGTGGGGTTGTTGATGGTAGGCATCACCAACGCGATCAGTAGTGGGTTGTTACTGTTTGCCGGGTTGGTCCAGCTCATCGCTGAAGATTTTCTTAGTGATCGAAGTTACGAGACTTTGAAAGGCCGACGGAGGATCGAGGCCAGTTTCGCCGTCCTGCTGGGTGGCCTGCTCATGGCGGTTGTGGGTGCCTTTGCCTGAGCCTGGAGGGCAAAGTGGTTAAAATGTTTTAATAGATAGCTATACTTTTGGGATTCACGATTTTCATCCTTTTATTGGAATGGCGGCTTCAATTGCGACCCTCCCTTGCCGCCGCTCGTGAAGGAGCACTGTACCCGATAGAGAGGGACCCTGTTCCGTGAGACCTGTGACTGAGGTGGATGCGGTATGTCATGATGGAGGGCACAATACAGGGCTCCCCGCAGATGCAATACGAAATGCTCACACGTTTTCAAGCCCCAATTGGTAGCTGTTGACTGGTTGACACCTGGGACACACTATTCGAAGTACGGACGCGCACTAGTTAGCTACGTGTGGACCGCCCGTGAAAAACGAGATTTAATATGCCACGGTTTTGATACTTTGTTTGGCCCCGGAGGAACATCCTGTTTGTCTTGACCCTGCATCGTCCCCGAACTATACACAGAGACCCCGCTCTTTGCTAGCTAATTTGCCGCTCTCTCATGGCCTATGCTTGTAGGGATAGCTTGGAGATATAGTCAATCTAGGGGAAGCGAGGACGACGTATCCTGAGTTAGCCGCGAAAGACACATCTCGGCAACCAGAGGGCTAGCCTTTGGGGCTCGTCAAAGAGGATCAACAGATGAATCGTTCAATTGGGTCCGATCGAACACGGCGTCACTTCTTTGATCGTACTCTTTTGTGTTGGGCCATGTAGGCGGATCTACAGAAGCAAGTGGGTAGGGACGGGAGCCTGCCTTTCTCGACATTGGAACCTTAGTTTGCTAATCTGTTCCATGTCTGGCACCGAAAAGCTCGGCAGGCAGTTGCCCCGCGCCGTCCGGCAATGAGTCGTAGGTAGGGCGAGACTCCATAGTACATAAGAAGGCGAGGTACTCTCGGGCAATTTTTCTAATTTGTTTACTGTCAGGCAGGCGAATCGTGGATTTGCAGTGGGTGCCAAATGACCCACTGCCTCGCCGTCACGGGTGCGGCGTAGATAGATCACCTGGCCTTGATCGGATCTGTGCCATCCACTGATGGATCAGCTTGATAGAATTGCGATGCACGAGGGCAACAGAGACAGCGGTGAGAGTGGGGTGTTATCTTAAATGTCATCAGACATGCGGGATGGTGACCAAAACGGCAGAAGCGAGCATCGAATCACCTCCCTGGAGATGTGCTCGAACGAGGACGGAAGGGGCAGATGCCAAGTGCTTCGCCCATTTCGCGCAACTCTCGTGGAGCTCCCATGATATGGTTTTTGATCCACTCAGGAGAAGGACGTGGAGGTTCCAGAAGGACCATGTCTGCTGAAGAATCCTTTCTTTTGAGTAGGAGCGCGCGGCGCGCCATGGCGGTTTCCCAGACACCCTTCCAGTGTTCCAGGATGGCTTGTGTCCAGAAGAAGTTGCACAAGATCTTCTCCAGTCGTGACCATTTCCGTGATTCAAGGTAGAGCTCAAACATATGATCCAAGATCGTGTGGGCACCGGGCATGGGGACGAGTCGTAATCCCAAGGAGCCTGCCACCGACATACTGGCCCAGATGAGGACATGCTGTTCTTGGACAGTGACCGGTTTGGAGTGATGTGGTAGTATACTGATGAATTGTCGTAGAATGGGGTCATAGAAGAGGTTGAGTGGCGCCAGACGTCGAAGTTGGAATAAGAATGAGATGAGGCCGAAGGAGAGGTAGGTCTCCAATATACTTGGAGACATGAGGCTCAAACGTTGCAGTGCGGACAGCAGGTTTTGCAGGGCCATTTGCTGACTATCGTGGGGTGATTCCGGGGACGTGAAGAAACCAGAAGCTGGGGACCTGGACGTATCAGCCGATAAGTCGTATTGCGTTTTGGCAGCGCTGATAGATGCAAGCGTATTAATCATTTGTTCCGACACACGCGAGATCAAGGAAAGCTCAGAGAAACCCGAGGGTAAGCGTGATAGTACGATACATAGATGCTCCGAAAAAGGATTTTCTGGGTAATACAATGGCTTGTCGAGGCTGAGGGCCTCAAAAGTCTCACTGGCGAAACCCAGTGAGCTTGATGGGATGTTCGGTGGTTGGCCAGTGACGAAGGATCCCAAGGCTTTATAGCCGGTCAACCCAGTCTTCACGAACCGCATCCAATCCGAGTCGGCGTCAGGGTCCGAGTTTTCTGACAGTGGACCTCTCAGTTGAATCATCTTGTCCAACCCTCTGCAGTGCATGTGGACACCGTAGTGATTGCCGGTGAGGTACTCCAACGTCATGAGCATGGTGACGGTGAGGAGGGCTGCGTCGTCCGTGCAACTGTCTGACTGGAGTTTGATATTGAGTGCCGAGAGCACATTTCCGCGATGTTGAATGAATGCTGGATCCTCGAAAGCAGACTTCCCCCGCGACAGCAATACTGAGGCTCGACAGACGGCAATGATGGATTCGAATAGAATGGGATGTTCGAGAGCATATGGGAGCAACAACATCAAGTGCGGATTGCGTGTATTGGGAGCAACTGAATGGCTGTACTCAATTCCCTTACACATGGCCACGAAATAATCGAGAGTTTCCACTACACATTTGGTTCTTTGGATTGGCAAAGTTGTAAATGGATCATCTCGGGTTCCATTGCACGGCAGTGGTTGTAGTGGCGAAGGCGGAGGGGATATTGGGTTGTTTAATCGAAGTACGGCCAAACGATCCTTGGAATGGCTCTTTATTGATCCTGCTCCACTCTTCGTATTCTTGCCATGGGAGCCGTGCTCGATCGACGGGGGCTGCCATGCTACAAATTGATCTGGTGTCAGGTCGGGAGCCTTTTTGCTAGGATCGTATTCTTTCCAGCGGATTCGTCTGTAGCCTGGCTTTTTTCGTCCTTTGAGTTCTGCGTTCGGTGTTTCTGCTGAACTTTTCCGAGCAAGAGGCATGTCAACAACCGCCATCATGTCATATTCAAGAAACTGGCGTATACTGGCGCTAGTCGATGCAAGCTGTTACCTGCGGGGAAAAGTCGAGGTGCCCCTAGCTTGGGATTCTTGCTCAAATCAACTCCACGTCGTGGGAGCCCGCAACAATGGAAGGATTCTGCGACCTCAGCTTACTTAAGCTATACGTCTCAAAACATCGAGCGTCTACGAGTAGGTACAACTTATGGCTGCCTGGCTTGATGCGCTAGCAGGCGATCTTACGGGATAAGCGATGGGGTGGGAATGATGACTAATCGCACGTGACATGAACCAGAACCCACCGGACACCCACCAGATAGGGTACCAGAGCTGGGTGGTTGGAGGATGGACTACTAGTATAACATGATGGTCAGGGTTATGCTGGTGCCTTTCACGTTGGATACATGTGTCCGTCATCTCACTAGCAGAAGCTAACGTTCTTCCATTTCAACATCTTGTTCACCAGGTTCAACTTCCAATCCATCAGGTTCGATGTTGTCGTTATCTCCTTCGTCGTCATATGATTCGTATCGGTCGCCATTTTCAAGCTCATACGCAGTGTCAACTTGACCAGTTCCCATAAAACTAGCCCTCACCAAGGGTTTAGGCTTGCTGAGTCGCCCTTTCCCACTTCCACCAGATGTGGGAAGTTGGCCTCCGATGGTACGGCAAAAGGATCGATACGCACTCGCCCATTCAAGCCCTTTCTTGCCTGCAAGTCTCGGGAGGTGTGCGGATGTAGACTCCGTGTCAGCCATGTGGTAATCCTCCGGGAACGTCAAAAATGTCGCCATCATGCCTTCATCAAGCATCTCCCCATCGATCAAGCTATCTATAATCGCCTTGGTGGCCACTCTCATTTTGGCCATTGTTCCATTGAGGTACCATCCGAAGTATCTCGTCTCACATTCAAACCGAAGATAGGCATCGGAGATATCAACCAGAGCTTTCAGGCGGGGTTCGTGAAGGTCGCACAGCTGCCATGATTTTCCATCTAGTGGAATATTGGACTCTCCGGTAAAGATATGCGACGATTGATCCGTACTGCGGATCCAGGTCCGAGAAAAGTCTTCGCGAGTATCTGCTTTACCTCTACTTTTGGTCACCAGCTGAACTAAAACGGTCTGGAACTTGCGATATGAGCGGTCTTTTCGTGGATCGACACCAAACTTGCACAAGCAATCGCGCCAAGGACCTGATCGAATGGCAAAGCAAACATATGCCGTGGCATGCCGGATCATCGATGATGGGACTTTGGTCGAGAATTGGTTCAATAACGCACGGCGAGTCCAAAGTGGGCGTCGTTCAAAAGCCTCGACCATGCTTCGGCATACATCTTGAAGCGCTTGAGGTTGTTGTGATAGAGGAATGCATTTCGGATGTGGTCTGTCTGGCCACACCTTGTCATTGTGCTGACACTGATGCGTGAAAAGCTTTACTGGTTTTTGATTATTGTGAAGAGATTTCTTGCCCGTAACGGGGTCGGCAAGAATCTTGACAGCGGGATTTTGACGATAGGTGTAGTTCAATGGGAGTGACAATGTGGAAAACACCGGAGGAGGAAATGTCTCCGTGTTGGTCAGGCCATAAGTTTGCGGAAACTGCCATCGCCGAATTAGAGGATATTGTTGAGGGAGAATGTGGGTTCTGATCTGGCCTATCGTAGTTGAATTGCTAGCCGAATAGACAAAATCTGGTAAATTCCGCCAAAGATGAGTTGATTTTATGGAACCCACGACGTCGACGTTATAGCCCTGATGGTTATCGATCAAGGATCGCGTCAGGTATGAAGCATCTTTCCTGACAGTTCCCGCTGATGGGTCTTCGACGAAAGGATCATTGGATCCCCGTTTTCTTTTCCTGCCAGTTCTCTTGGGAACGACAAAATGTAGCAAGAGATTGTCCGTGCTATTCTTGAGTGAGATAATCGCACGCGCTGTAGGGTCATTAGGTTGGAAGTTGAGCCCTAAAGTTTTATCAGAGTCTGATTGGAGGCTCTGCGCAATCTCCTCTGGGCCTCCTAGCATATGAATTGCTCGGTCGACATTTCGAACAATACAGGGATGTTCGATAGACAACACAGGGACCGCTGGGACCTGCAGCCATGGAGCTGAGCTATCTGCCCTCATCGACACGGATTTCGAACTCAGTGCAGGAGAGCGACTGCTTCAAGCGTTGGATATCACGCGGTGGACGTTATATCACGCGGTGTACGTTCGGTAGAACTTGCACGTCTTAAATATTTGTGATTTTCACGGGCTCCAGGGATACGATTGTGGCTCCCAGTGGGTGCCACCTCGATAGTGACGTGCAGAATCTCCGCCCACGTACACGGACCAGTAATGGGTCAGGCTGCGTAGAGTGAAATATATAGTATCTGGCTAGGCGCTGCTGCTGAATGACTGTGGAATATGTTCGCACTTTGAGCAGCAGGTCTGGAAACGGATCGGGCTGATGAAGTGAATAGGAGTACATTCACTATTAATATTACTGCATTGGAAGGTGTCTGGATCGATCGACTCACGTGATACTAATCTTGGCATTGTCTTAGTGACGATTTAATCGCTTGGAGGAAACATATCGATTTGCCAGTTGGGGCAGCAAGGGCAGACTAACTACGAGTAGGAGGAGAGGCGTGGCCTGGAATAGGCGGGTTTTAACCGTGCCCAGCTTGAAATAGGCGCTTCCATGGAGGCTCCAGCCTGGAATTAGCTGCACACTACAAGCACGGGAAGGAGAGAGGAGGCTATTTGCACCGTTGCAGTTAGCAGTAGCAACTTGCAAATACTCGTAACCAAGAACCAGGAGAGGAGAATGCCCCGCCTAAATCCACCTGGAAAATCAATCGTTATTAATATTAATCCGTACTCCGTACGTCCTGCAGCAGCTCCGACCCAAGCCTGCGAGTAACGCACTGACCTACCTTAGCCATTCACCAATGCCACTCACCTTCATACCCGCCCGCTCAACCACCACCACCGACGACCACTAACTACTACTAACTAACCCACTGCGACTCGTCCTCTTTCGATGAACGCACATCCTATACTACCATCCTCCTAGCCCTCCGCAAACCCCATTCCAGCAAGTTGTCGGAATTCCGTCTATACAGAGTCGTGATCTTTGCCATCTCGAGGCCTTTGTAAGTCTGCAATGTTCCTAGTCAGAGGAGTAGCTGTCACGTCCACTCTCGCTATCTCTGGCCTTAGCTAACCAGACATCTCCACAGTCCACAGGCCACAGCCCGCTACTGGCACTGCATTCAATCACCCACCTCAATCACCGCCGCGTTGTCACTCGACCCTTCTGCAATTCTACCAAACTTGCGTCCTTGAAAATGAAGAATTGATTCTCTTCCCACTCTCAAGTCCTTCTCCAACAATCCAACCTGTCATCCTTCGCCGTCTTCCGCCTGTTCCACGATCGGCTTTCAAGGCTCTACCGCTGTTGGGACACGAATGCAATAAATCGAACAATCGGCTGTTCAAGTCGACAAGGCGTTGCGTCTCTCTGCGGCGATTCCCCAAAAGTATTGAATGAATCTCTTAAAGGTGTCTCCATCAATATGAAAGGCTTCAGGCAAAGAGTGGTATGTAAAACCCCGTCACTTCTGGTGGCTGTTTCACCTCCGCCGCACTTTCCTACAAACATCCTATCCCTACCTTTCTATTACTCATACACTCCAACTCACTAATGTGCAGCACGAGCAGCTATCGCGGGCGAAGGATTCCAACAAGTCCTCCAAGAAGAAGGATTCAAATTCCGGCGCAGCCTCTCCCCTCTCGGCTTCATCCACCACGGTTGGTGGTGACTCTAGATCTCCCAATAGCTCCAATACCGCCACCCCTACCTCCTCTTCGACGAACGTCAATGACATCCGGAGTAAGACCAACAGTAACGATGGTGGACCCGGTAATCTCACGGGTACACATCATGGTGGTAGTACTACGGGACCCGGGAGTATAGCGCAGCACTTTATGCAACAGGCTCCTGGTCATGGAGCGGCGGGAACGGGCCTTCCAGGTCGACAAGGAGGTCATATTGCTCCGAGTGTCATCATCAGTCCAAGTAATACTCCGCACATGGCGGCACCAGGTGCCACGGAGACTATGCCTGGTGACCTTGCGCCTCCAAAGGCCGGACAGAAATCTCTCTTGTTTGATCGACTACAAACTACGCCTAAAGACGTGCCCGAAGGTGTCAGGACTCCCAAAAGACAGCATTCCTCTCGGTTCGACGTGTCGGACCAGAGAGCACGCGAGCTTGAAAAGCTTCCTGGCTTTCATGAGGTCCCGCCCAATCGAAGACAAGAGCTTTTCATGCAAAAGATTGATCAGTGCAATATCATCTTTGACTTCAACGATCAGACCGCAGACATGAAGTCCAAAGAGATCAAGAGGCTGGCCTTGCACGAGTTACTCGACTATGTCGCCAACAACAGATCCGTCATTACAGAGCCGATGTATCCCAAAGTGGTCGAGATGTTCAGCAAGAACTTGTTTCGACCCGTGCCTCCACCTGTCAACCCTCAGGGCGAGGCCTTTGACCCTGAAGAGGACGAACCTGTTCTTGAGGTCGCCTGGCCTCACATCCAAGTCGTGTACGAATTTTTCCTACGCTTTATCGAGAGTCAAGACTTCAACACCAATATTGCCAAAGCTTACATTGATCATCATTTCGTCCTACAGTTACTGGAACTCTTTGATTCCGAGGACCCTAGAGAAAGGGACTTTTTGAAAACAACCCTCCATCGCATTTACGGCAAATTCTTGAATCTTCGGTCATACATACGGAGGTCCATTAATAATGTCTTCTTCCAATTTGTCTACGAGACGGAGAGATTCAACGGCATTGCGGAACTTCTTGAAATCCTCGGTTCCATTATCAATGGCTTTGCCCTTCCTCTGAAGGAGGAACATAAACTTTTCCTAACTAGAGTCCTCCTACCACTTCACAAGGCCAAAAGTTTGAGCATGTACCATCCACAACTCGCTTATTGCATTGTTCAGTTCCTGGAGAAGGATGCTGCACTGACAGAAGAGGTAAGAGATCAAAGCCCATTGCCCACGTAGTGATTCGACAAGGCTAACACAACTCTTAGGTTGTTCTAGGACTGCTTAGATATTGGCCAAAGACAAATAGTACCAAAGAAGTCATGTTTCTGAATGAAGTTGAAGATATCTTCGAAGTCATGGACCCCCAGGAATTTGCAAAAGTGCAGGAGCCGCTCTTCAACCAATTAGCCAAATCGGTTGCGAGTCCCCACTTTCAGGTGTGTTTGCTTTCCCTGCGATATAACTCAAACTCACCCGCAATAGGTCGCTGAAAGAGCACTATACTTTTGGAACAACGAGTATTTCTGTAACCTCGTCAGTGACAATGTGGAAACAATTCTACCGATTATGTTTGCCCCATTATACGAGAATTCAAAAGGCCACTGGAATCGGTATGCAGATGATAAGACGCATCTCCACATGTTACTGACCATCGAACAGCACGATCCATGGAATGGTGTACAATGCGATGAAGCTCTTTATGGAAATCAACCCTCAACTGTTCGATGAATGCTCGCATGACTACAATGAACTCCAAAACAGTGCGCCTCAACGAGAGCAAGCCCGTCAAGCCAAGTGGGACAAACTCGCAGAAACGGCCAAGAAGATGAAAACTGGTGCAGCAGCACCACCTAAAGCCGCCTCGATTGAGGAGGAATCCGAAACAGATGCTGCACAGGATAATCAAGAGAGGTTGGATGCGCTCAAGCTCCACGATGAATCTGCGTCGACCAAGACGACGTCGGTAAGTTCTTTCCTTTAGTGTGAGAAAGTAGTCACCTGGATAACACACCCTGTCCTATCTCCATCCTTCCACTGGCTAAGACATGATATCTTCCTTCTAGTGACGTTGGGAAAACACTGTCTAACTAAGCTTTCGAATCTTCAGAGGCGGCGAGCAGACTCGCATGGGCAGATCAAGTCTCACAGGGCCAATAGCGGCTCTGATGGGAAAACAAGGAGACATCGAGCCCATTCGTCAGGCGATTCGCACCGGGTGATCATGCCCCATCTTCAGCGCCATGGTAGTGCAACCTCACAACGCTGATCTCAATTGGAGGAGAAGCGCTGCAAGTGGCAGCGACAACAACAAATCCCAGCATCCCAAGCAAGCGTCGAATTTGAGAATTTTGTGTACTTCGAGCCAAGTGAAGCTCGGGAGGCTCTCGGGAAGAGCATCTGTGATACGATAGATTCTGCGTTGGCTTTTGAGGATATTGGTCGAAACTAGAGTACGAGGCTGCACATGACGTCTCCCTCAATGAAGATATGAGCAATACGGGACCAGAGTCTCTTTCAACTTGTACGTGGGTAGGATAAAAATGACCCGCTTAGCGGGTGCTACACGGTATTTGACTGAGATATTCACCGTCGCGAAAAGCGTATTGTCTGCTCACGTTGTGTGGTGCCTAATAAAATAGTAATGAAAGTCTGTGTCTATGCTCTGACACTGTTGTTCAGAAGATTCGACCGGGTTCGTAGCCTGGAGACCTGATCAGGGCCGGAATATAGTTTCTCCGTTCCTGCAGGCTCTAGTCCTTTTGTGGCATGTCTCAAGGGTCGAGGTCACGTAGAGCCGATTCTCATTGGCTCGTCGCACCATGGCCCCACTTGGATTTCGCAGAGGCATGTCCCACGCGAATTCACTTTGTCTCCAACTCTCCTCTAAAGATCCTATATACTGCGACCATTTTCCTCGAGACCATCAGGAAATTTGGCTCACTTCACTCTTCGCGCCTGTGGCCGTGGCCTCATCCTCTCCCTCACATCCTTTTGTTACATTTCTCCCTCCATCCATTGGAAACGCCTGTCACGAAGCCCCCCCGTGTCCATTCATTTCACGACTTTCTACTCCGCGATTCCGCAAATGGGCCTCGTCGCCTCTACCATCTAAAGTCGCACATGCCTACTGGCGCGCAATAATACTAATCATAGCAGCAAGGCTGCTGGAGACCTCGAAGCCGTCTAGAGGATGTCTTCCACAGATGCTTCTCAAAAGATCGACCTCTATGCCGCAAGGCTAACAGATCCAAAGATCGGTTCGTCTCAATCAGCCCGTCTCTCCTCTATACCGAGTACACTGACCATAGCATTTGTTTAGACACGCGTACGAAATCTAATGTGGCCACCGATCTACGTGATTCCATCGAAAGCCTATGCACGCCTCCTTCAACCTATGCAAAATTCCTCGCGAGGTTATGGCCGGTCTTCAAGAAGATTTTGGAGGGGAAACCCGACTTCTCACCTACTTCCTTCGAGCAGGTCCTTCGAAATCAAATTTTGGAGATCATTCATCGACTTCAACATGCGCCGCCTGAGGTGGAACCGTATGCGCTTGATATGGTGGATACACTGATGGAGTTGGTGCGGGTGGAAAATGAAGATAATGCAGTTCTTTGTCTGAAGACCATCATGGACTTGGAACGCCACCAAGCAGCTGCCACAGCTTCCAAGGTCCAACCGTTTTTAGACCTCATCCAAGAAATGTTTGAAATGATGGAGCAGGTGGTCAAGGACACATTCGACTCTCCCGTGAATCATCATCAACCATCCTCCTCAACGCCAAATCCTCCCGGGGGGAATTTACAATCACCTCGTCCAGGCTCCCCAAATACGACCGTCTCAGATCCCGGGAACGAGAGGAAAGAGCACATTCCACTTGCCAAGGGCATGCAATCGTTCAAAGTCTTGTCTGAATGCCCCATAATAGTGGTCTCAATTTTTCAAGCACATCGAAGTTCCGTCGCGGCCAACGTCAAGAAATTTGTTCCTTCCATCAAGAGCATTCTCTTGTTGCAGGCAAAAGCTCAAGAGAAGGCCCATTCGGACGCCGAGGCAAACAAGACCGTCTTTACTGGTGTTAGCAAAGATATCAAGAATCGCGCGGCCTTTGGCGATTTTATCACTGCTCAGGTTAAGACCATGAGTTTTCTGGCTTACTTGCTGAGAGTATATGCCAATCAGTTGACGGATTTTTTACCTACACTGCCGAGTGTCGTGGTCCGATTGCTCAAAGACTGCCCACGAGAAAAATCCGGTGCCCGCAAGGAACTCCTCGTTGCTATTCGTCACATCATTAATTTTAATTACCGCAAGATCTTTTTGAATAAGATCGACGAATTGTTGGATGAACGAATTTTGATTGGTGATGGACTTACAGTCTACGAAACCATGAGACCGTTGGCATATAGTATGCTTGCCGACCTGATACACCATGTTAGGGACTCTCTCCACCGTGATCAGATCCGGCGCACAATCGAAGTGTATACCAAGAACTTGCATGACAATTTCCCTGGTACAAGTTTCCAGACCATGAGTGCGAAATTACTGCTCAACATGGCCGAGAGCATCACGAAACTTGAGAACAAGGAAGACGCACGATACTTCTTGATCATGATTCTTGATGCGATAGGCGATAAGTTCGCAACCATGAATTATCAGTACAAGAACGCCGTGAAGCTCAGTAAACAATATGGAGACAAATCCAAAGAAAATCAGGTCGAGACGTACATGGATGACAAAAACCGCGTTCCGGATTGGGACGAGGTCGACATATTCAACGCCACTCCGATCAAAACTTCCAATCCCCGAGAACGCGGTGCAGATCCCGTGAATGACAACAAGTTCTTGTTCAAGAATCTGGTCAATGGACTGAAGAATATGTTCTACCAGCTCAAGACTTGCAATCCTCCAGGGCTCAGCATCGACCAAACCAACATCCCCATGAACTGGGCTGAAGTGTCATTTGGCTACAATGCAGAGGAGACTCGGGTGGTCACGAAGCTCTTCCACGAAGGAGCCCGAGTGTTTCGCTATTATAGCGCCGAAGGTCTACAGCCCGATTTGCAATACACTTCTCCGGTTGATTTCATGGCCAGCCATTCAATGGCCCAAATGACTCGAGACGAGAAAGAGCTTCTGGAAAGCTTCGGTACCGTCTTCCATTGTATTGATCCAGCCACCTTTCATGAGGTCTTCCAAGCAGAGATCCCACATCTGCATGAATTGATGTTTGAGCATACGGCGCTTCTCCATCTACCGCAATTTTTCCTGGCAAGCGAAGCCACCTCTCCAGCATTCGCTGGGATGGTGTTGCAATACCTGATGAACAAATTGCCAGAAGTAGGTTCCTCCGACATCGTGCGGTCGTCGATTTTGTTGAGAATGTTCAAATTGTCTTTCATGGCAGTCACATTATTCTCGGCCCACAACGAGCAGGTCCTTCTTCCTCATATTACGAAAATCATTACGCAATGCGTGCAGTTGTCCGTGACGGCAGAGAAACCGATCCATTACTTCATTCTCCTACGGTCATTGTTCAGAAGCATTGGAGGTGGCCGATTTGAACTGCTTTACAAGGAAATCCTCCCTCTCCTCGAAATGCTCCTGGAGACTTTCAATCACCTCCTTCAAGGAGCAAGAGACCCCCACGACAGGGACCTCTATGTCGAATTGACCCTTACAGTCCCTGCCAGACTAAGTCATCTACTCCCTCATCTCAATCACCTGATGAAGCCTTTGGTCGTGGCCCTCCGAGCGGGACCAGATCTGGTTGGCCAAGGACTTCGCACCTTGGAATTGTGTGTGGATAACCTCACGGCGGATTATCTCGATCCGATCATGGCACCAATCATGGATGATCTTATGACTGCCTTGTTCGAGCATTTGAAGCCTCAACCTTATCAACACTTTCATTCTCACACAACTATGCGGATACTGGGAAAGCTTGGAGGAAGAAACCGTAAATTCCTCAATCACCCACACCAGCTGTCATTCCGTCGCTACACCGATGATGTGCCCAGTTTTGACATCAGACTCATGGAGACAAATCGGGACCGAGCATTTCCTCTTGATACTGGGGTCGATCTTGCCATTCAAAAAATTTCAGAGACTCCCAAGTCGACGACGTCGAAATCTTTGGATCTGTATTACAAGCAACAATCGTTCAAGCTCATCACCAATGAAGTGAAGCTTTTCATCGGAAGTGACCAGCTGCCAGATGATTTCGCTGCCTTGCTACGGTTAGAGGCCAATGATCTCATGGCCCGCCGATTTACAACATATTCAGATATGCTAGAAGAAAACGAACTTGGAAAGTCGGTTCAGAAGAAACGAGAGCAAGAGGAAAATCTGAAGAAACTCCTCAAGGCCTGTTTCATGGCGACGACAGTACCGGATCTCAAGTCGCAGGCTGACACCTTCATTGCTAACATCTCCCGACATTTTACTATTATCGAACTAGGGCAAGCTCTTTGCGATGCAGGTCGAAAGATGAAAGAATTTGATGTCCATGCCGGAGAAGGAGCGGTCCATCTCAGCTCTCGCATCCTTGCAGATGTTCTCTGTGATTGTCTGGCTTCCGACAACATTGTCATCCGGGAAGCAGCAGAAGCCTCAATGGTTACGGTACTGGAGACTGCTCGTACTATATTTGGCAGTGAAGGCAAAGCAGCTGGGCTGCCCTTCTTTTCTCATCTGACGCAGACCTTCTGCCATCGGTGTCGTGAGGTCGAATGGTTTACGAAATCCGGTGCCACCTTGGGGATCAAGATCTTGATCACCAAGTTGAATCTCGGCAACGCGTTCTTAGGAAGCAAGTATTTGGATATCACCAAATCACTTCTCTATGTCATTAAAGATACCCCTCAAGAAGTCCCGGCAAGTACGAGGATAACCGCTCGGGAGAATCTGGAGTACATTCTTCGCAAGGTTTTGACTGGCAGCACCAAAGAAATGCTTACTGTGGAGACCAGTCCTATTCACAAACTTTCTGCAACCTTTAGTCTTGAACTATCTCACATGAATAAGAATGCCCGAGAGACAGCACAGTATGCTTTCTCCATCATGGCAGAGATGGTCGGTGTTGACGTGCATGAGATACTCTCTCCGGTCAAGGAACGGCTGCTGCAGCCGATCTTTAACAAGCCGCTCAGAGCATTGCCGTTCTTGTCTCAAACAGGCTTCATTGACGCCATCACTTATTGCTTGGGCCTTGGACACGATTTTGTACCACTCAATGACCAATTGAACCGTTTGATGATGGAATCCCTTGCCCTAGCTGATGCTGATGCAGAAATCCTCCACCCTAAACCAGATGAATTCAACAATGCCCAATTGATTGTCAACTTGAGGGTGTCTTGCCTCAAGCTTTTGTCGATAGCCATGAGTTTACCTGAATTTGCCGCCGGCCCACAAAACACCAGTCGTGCTAGAATCATCACGGTTTTCTTCAAGCTGCTCTATTCAAAGTCGCCCGAGATCATCGAAGCTGCCAATGCTGGCTTGAAGGATGTACTGGTTCAGACAACGAAATTGCCAAAAGACTTGCTACAGAACGGCTTGAGACCTATCTTGATGAACTTGCAAGACTCGAAGCGTTTGACAGTCGCGGGGCTTGAAGGCCTGGCACGCCTGTTGACCTTGCTCACCAGTTACTTCAAGGTGGAAATTGGTGCTCGGCTCCTTGAACACATGAAGATAATCGCGGATGAGTCCCTGCTTCAAAAAGTCTCATTTGGGCTAGTTGAACAAAATCCCCAGATGAAGATTGTGACGGCAATTTTCACCATTTTCCATCTGCTACCACCAGCGGCCACGAGCTTCATGACGGACTTGGTGAACGGTGTGCTGGATTTGGAGAGTAAACTTCGACGTACGATCGCGAGTCCGTTCCGTCACCCATTGATCCTGTATTTGAACAAATATCCTGAAGATGCCTGGGGCTTCTTTCAATCTCGTTTGCAGGAAGAAAAGTATGGTCGATTCTTTGGACAAATCCTGGCTTCGGAGTCCAGTGGCTCTCTGCGGGAAGCCGTGATGAAAAGCACTGGAGCATTGATCAAAGCCGCGTTTGAAGTTGAAGGTGAAGAAGAAAAGCACACAGCTGCAATCAATGGTATTTACATCGTCCACTCCATCTGCTCCTTTGAACCAGCGAAAAATTGGCTCAAAGACCACGAGCAACTTCGACTCAAGGTGTTGGCTGCTGGACAAGAGCTTGAGCAACGCTTGAGAAAAGACCAGCTGCAACCGTCACAAAGATTGCGTGCCGAACAGACGGGGGACCAAGTGATGGATGTTGTCACCCAGTATCTTGTATCATCTCCGGAGGATGTTATCTTCATGATGGATGTTTTCTCCTCCGCTTCCCAAGGCACTATCAAGGCACCTCTGAAATTGACGAAGTATCTCTTCGACACGATCATCACCGACGAATCTGTCGATCGCCGATTCAATATCATTGAGAAATGTTTGGAGCTATACTCCCATAAGTCCGAGTCACAGAAGGTGAAGACTTTCTTACTACACAATGTGGTGAATCCCATTATGGCTAGAGACATACAAAACAATCGTGGAGAAAACAACAGTGCAGGTAATATTGCAGACAGCAGACTCTTCCATCTCTTCTTAGAGCGACTCTGGAAATCATCTTCTCCAGAAGTGAGTGATGAGTCTGCTCTACCTGGCGTCGATCATTCGCGTATGGAGGCGCTTCAACTGTCCGCTTTCGTCCTCAAGTATCACAAAGATGCGGTTTCTGAAGATCGTAAGGAGATCATCAAATATTCCTGGGGCCATATCAAACTTGAGGATGTGATCAACAAGTACGCAGCTTATGTCCTAATTTGTTACTTCATTAGATCATATGAAACACCTCCTAAGGTCGCCGTCCAAATCTACAATCAATTGTTGAAAGCCCACCAGAATGAAGGCAAGGCCTTGGTGGCCCAGGCCCTTGAAGTCCTTGCTCCAGTGCTACCTCTCAGGATGAATGCACCAAATAGCACACCTGGTGACAAGCGTTCTCCCCATTGGGCTCGATTACCACGCAAGATCCTAAACGAAGAGACCGGTAATCTCCAACAAGTCCAAAGCATCTTCAATTTCATCGTCCGTCAGCCCGACTTGTTCTACGAGTCACGGGAATTTTTTATTCCGACGATGATCCAGATGCTACACAAGATTGCCCCTCCACCAAATCCTTCTAACGAGAGCAAGAGACTTGCTCTTGCCCTAATCTCCTTGATTAAACAATGGGAAACAAGGAGAGTCTCGGCTGGCTCTCCTCAATCCACCGCGGACTTGACTCCCACGAAAATGAGGGATTCAAACGGGACACAGGCGCTGCCCCCGCCCGCCGGCAAAGACCGAGCCGAATATCTCATCCCGCTCGAGCAACGTACAGTAGTGGTCAAGTACGTGATCAACTTCATCACAACACTACCAGAACGATTTCCTGTGCCAGCTGCCGAGCTAAAAGCCAAGACCATGCAGAAAGCTCAGCAACAAGCTCAGTCGAATGACATGTGCAAGAAAGGTGTGCAATTGCTTCGCGAACTCCTCGCTCCAAATTTGTGGGCCGACGTGGATGTCGGTCTTTACCAGAAACTCTTATTACCCATCCTCGCTGGAGAGAAGGCTGATAAAGCGGATGAAAAGCAGCTGACCTGCATGATCAATGCTTTGCAGGTGATGCGCATATTGATGGGAACCAAGTCCAACGAGTGGATCGTCAATCATATGGAGGAAATCCAGAAACTCCTCGAGAAGCCTCTCAAAATGGAGGATCCAGAAATTCAAGACTGCCTACACCTGGTTACCGATGAGAACAGCAAACATTCACCATTGGTTCGTCAGATCCTTGAAGCGATCCCGAAGCAGAAAACCGAGGATGAAGACGCCATGGAGTTGGATGCTTCACCCTCCGACTTCCCCACAAGATTTTCGAAAGTCATGATCGGTGAGGCACTCTCTTCTGGAAACTACACTTCTGGGATCAACAATTTGTGGACACTCTCCTTGGTGCGTCCAAGCGATGTTGATGACCACATTGCAGGTGCAATGAAAGCTTTGCAACAAAAGTTGGCCAAGGAACACATCAACGCTTATGTCATCCCCCCCGGGCCTCCACCGCAAGGCTGGCGACTGGGCGAACCTTTAATGGATCCTTATGAATTTGCACTCGGCGTGGACCTCATCAAAAAGACTGTCGATATTCTGTCTTCTCGAATGGGTGAACTCAACGAACAACGCCGCCCCTTCTTGAGTGTACTTGCCTCCTTGGTGGAGAAGTCTTTCAACGTCGAGATGTGCAGTAAAGTGTTGGACATGGTAGAGAAATGGGTTTTCAACTCCAATGAGCCATGGCCTACTCTCAAGGAGAAGACTGCTGTACTCCACAAAATGCTGATATTTGAGAAGTGGCCGACCCAAAACCTGCTGGAACGCTTCCTCGAACTAGTCATCAAAATCTACGAGGACCCAACAGTCACGAGAACCGAGTTGACAGTGCGTTTGGAGCATGCTTTCCTGATAGGAACTCGTGCGAAGGACGTGGAGATGCGTAATCGCTTTATGAGCATCTTCAACCGCGCACTCTCCAAGACGGCGAGCTACCGTCTCAACTATGTCTTGACTTTACAGAATTGGGACACTCTCGCCGACTCATTTTGGTTGAAACAAGCGTCACACCTTATCATGGGCTCGGTAGAAATGTCTATGCCTGCTCGGCTACATCCAGAGGATGTACGAATGGCACCGGTCTCACAGATGTTCAGTGCGGCTTTGGTGAATCCAGACCAACGAAGGGATGATCTAATCATCGAGGACGGGCTTGAAGTGCTAGTGGTGGCACAACGTCGCTTCAACCAAGAAATTCATGAGGTTAAAGTGCGCGATCTGCTTGACCCAATCACTCAGCTGCAGCACGCAGACGATTCTGTCGCCTATGACGTTTGGGTGAAGCTCTTTCCATTGTGTTGGTCGGCTCTGAATAGGGACGAGCGACTTGATCTCGAAAAGGGCATGGTCACACTCTTGACCCGAGAATACCATCAGAGACAACTCAATCTACGTCCGAATGTTGTCCAAGCCTTGCTCGAGGGTGCAGTACGCGCTAAACCCCGGTTTAAGGTACCGCCACATGTGATGAAATTCTTGAGCAAGACTTATGATGCCTGGTACACTGCGTTAGTATCATTGGAAGAGTCTACCGTCGACCCTCTCATCGATACCCCACAAGTGCGCGAGAGCAACCTTGATGCGCTCGTCGAAGTGTATGCGGGCCTGCAAGAAGACGATCTATTCTACGGCACCTGGAGACGAAGATGCAAGTTCATGGAAACGAATGCCGCGCTTTCATACGAACAACATGGTATATGGGACAAGGCGCAACAATTGTGGGAGTTGGCACAAGTCAAAGCCAGGACAGGTGTCGTTCCCTTCTCACAAGGAGAGTACTTTCTTTGGGAAGATCACTGGATGATCTGCGCACAGAAGCTGCAACAATGGGACATTCTCGGCGAATTTGCCAAACACGAAAATTTCAGCGACCTTCTCCTAGAGTCGGCGTGGAGAAACTATGAGGCATGGTCTGGCGACGAAAATCGCAATCAACTAGACGGCATGATCAAGTCGGTGTCCGATGCACCAACCCCCAGACGAACTTTCTTTCAAGCATTCATGGCTCTACTGCGGTATAACTCTAAGCAAGTGTCTCGAGCGGAATTCCAGCATGTTTGTGACGAAGCCATCCAGCTTTCAATTCGAAAATGGCATCAGCTTCCTAAACGCATCACTAATGCTCACATACCGATTTTGCAAAATTTCCAACAGCTCGTTGAGTTGCACGACGCCAGTGTGATCTGCGACAGTCTCATGGGTACCAATGAGCGCAATCTCGACAACAAATCGCAGGAAGTTAAGCTATTGTTACAAGCCTGGAGAGATCGCCTTCCAAATATTTGGGATGATATCAACGCTTGGCAAGACCTAGTCACTTGGCGTCAGCATGTGTTCCAACTTGTGAACTCGACCTATCTACCTCTGTTACCTCAAGGCGGAAATAATGTCGGAAACAATTCGTATGCTTTCCGTGGCTACCATGAGACCGCTTGGATAATCAACAAGTTTGCCCATGTCGCTAGGAAACATCAGATGCCAGAAGTCTGCATCAATCAGCTTGGGAAGATCTATACCCTGCCTAACATTGAGATCCAAGAGGCTTTTCTCAAGCTAAGAGAACAAGCCAAGTGTCACTATCAAAACAAATCTGAACTCAACAATGGCTTGGATGTTATCAACAATACCAATCTTAATTACTTCGGCGCGCAACAAAAGGCTGAGTTTTACACCTTGAAAGGCATGTTTTTGGCCAAACTTCAACACGCAGAAGAGGCAAATGAGGCTTTTGGTGTAGCCTTGTATTATGACCTACGTCTCCCGAAAGCGTGGGCTGAATGGGGTCAGTATTCTGACCGCAAATTCAAGGAGAATCCAGCCAATATCGAAGCTGCTAGTAATGCAGTTAGTTGTTATCTCGAAGCAGCGGGATTGTATAAGAGTGCCAAGTCCAGGAAAATGCTCAGTCGCGTTCTATGGCTCCTAAGCTTGGATGAGGAGGAGGGGCATATTGCAAAGGCATTCGAAGATTTCAAGGGAGAGACTCCCATATGGTACTGGACTACATTCGTACCACAGTTACTGGGAAGCCTTGAACATAAGGAAGCACCGCTTGCCAAGTCAGTGCTCGTAAAAATCGCCAAAGCATTCCCCCAAGCTCTTTTCTATCATCTTAGGGCGACACGCGAAGAATTTCTCACCAAGAGGAAGCAATTCGATAATCAGAAACGCCAGCAGCAAGCTAAGCAAGAAAAAACCGAAAGTGGATCAAGACCAGGTACAGCAAATGGTGAAACACCGGCAAATGGAGCCTCATCGCCCAAGGCCAAGCAAGAGCCCAATGGAGACAATCAAGCAAATGGGGCTGAAGCTGAAAAGACGGAAGAACCTAAAAAGCCGTGGGATCACACTGATGAAATTATGGCTGGATTGAAGACTGCTTTCCCATTGCTCGCCCTCAGCATGGAGACAATGACTGATCAACTTTCGAAGCACTTCAAATGCCCCCCGGACGAGGATGCCCACCGACTCATTGTTGCGCTTCTAAACGACGGACTGGCCTATATTAGTAGGGCTCCAATCAATTACGCCGAAGGAGCCAAATTGCCACCTTCTACAGAAGCCAATATCGCCCGGTTCGTAACATCTGTACTTCCAGCTCATATCCGCAAGTCTTTCGAGGCAGATTTCGTACAGCAAAGACCTACCATGTACGAATACATTCACAAGCTGAGAAGATGGCGCGACAAGTTTGAGCAGAAGCTGGATCACAAACAACAGTGGAATCCGCTTGAAAACTACAGCCATCACCTGAGTGAGTTCAAATTCCTGAAGTTTGACGACTCGATCGAAGTGCCAGGTCAATATATGCAACACAACGACAAGAACACCGACTTTGTTCGCATCGAGCGATTCATGCCTACCGTCGAGGTTGTCCGCGGAAATAGTATATGTCATAGGAGACTTACTATCCGCGGCCATGACGGCTCGCTTCATCCTTTCGCAGTGCAACATCCTACAGGAGGCAAAGTTCGTCGAGAAGAGCGAATCGTTCAACTGTTCCGAATTTTCAACCAGACTCTCGCCAAACGAAAAGAATCTCGTCGTCGCAATTTGTACTTCCACCTTCCGATATTCGTACCTATTGCCCCCTACATTCGACTGGTACAAGATGACTCTTCCTACGTCACCCTGCAATCAATCTACGAGGACCACGTCCGTAAAATGCCAGGAATGTCCCGCGACGATCCCATGATGTTCCTGCTCGAGAAATCTCGTGCAATTGCTGAGCAACAGAAGTCCTCACCCAGATCGCAAGAACAACTTGCAGTTATGAAGACCGAAATTTTCAATACAATCAAGGAACGGTGGCTGCCAAATACTGTTGCACTCAGTTACTTCCAGGCCATCTACCCCAGTTACGCAGACTTTTGGCTATTCCGACGACAGTTCGCCTATCAGTTCGCGGCCACGACCTTCATGACTTACATTATGCACATGTCCGCTCGCTATCCAACCAAAATCTCAATTTCTCGGGCAACTGGTGACATCTGGGCAAGCGATCTATTGCCCAACCTCAATTCCGCCAAGGCGTACTTCTTCAATCCGGAAGCAGTTCCATGCCGTCTGACTCCCAACCTACAAACACTGATCGGCCCGCTCGCCATCGAAGGCATCTTTACAGCATCTCTCATGGCAATCGCCCGTTGTCTCGCAGAACAAGATCAAGGCTACGAAATGGAGCAACAACTCAGCATCTTTGTGCGTGACGAAATGTACAATTGGGCAGCAGGACGATCCCATTCGAGCAGCGAAGCCAAGATGGAAGGCCAACATCTCCGAGAATTGGTGTCTCAGAACGCGGATTTCGTCGTGCGTAGGGCACTGACGTTGGCGAAAACTCAAGGAAGCGTCGGCAATACTCCCGAAGCGGCGGGCGTAGCCGGCGTGCTGCCTGCGTGTCAGAACGTGGTGGATCTCGTCAGTAAAGCAACGGATCCCATGAAGTTGAGCGCGATGGATGGGCTGTGGATGCCTTGGTTGTAAATAAGGTCATGAGCCGCGGCTGGTATTCAAGAATTGAGGATTAAGTAACTTTGGGTTTCATTCTTCCTGTTGCAGTTTTGGCGTGGCGTTCATTGGAGCCCAGGGCACATTGGACTGATGATGATTTGACGACGATGGCATGAGGATAAATATGATCAGGGTGGGCAAGTTCCATTGCGGTCCAAACAGGGAGACCAGCGACGCTGTTTCAGAGTATCAAGAGCCAAAGTTTCTTGTCTTTTCTCGAGGTGAGCTAGGAGCGATCTTGTGGATTTCCTATGGTCGGACAAGAAACCAAGTAGCTTAGTCTTGTGCTCCTGGCTAATTAGCTCTTCTTGTATAGTATCATACCAACTAGCAATTTTCTAAGGATACCTTTTTTCGTTTTGTTGTCATGAATCTCATTTTCGGATCTTGGTCCATTTCGGTGATCGGGGCAACTTGGTAATAGAGTCAAGCATGCGAATGTGTATGCAACCCTAAAGGAAGGTTGATGTATAACATGATCAATAGTGGCCTTGCTCGCCAAAGTCATTGCCGAATTTCGGTTCACAATGGAGTCGTTTTCAATTCAAGCTTCTCCATCTTCTGGACGGCCTCCGAAACCGCGTCCAGGCCAAGCGCTTCGACGACCCGTTTCAAGGCCTCCTCAAGATAGGGCTTTGGCCGGCTGAAGACGATCCTGAAAACACCGGGGAGCTCGGCGCCAAAGTTGGCTCCGCTGGCGAGGAACACCTTGTTCTGCAACAGAAGACCCATGATTGTTTTCGTGATGTCTTCACCCGTTTCATGTTTATGCACGTCTTTTCTTCGTGAATACGCCTGGCCGAGATTCGCCCAGAGGAAGAACGCAGCGTTCGAGCCTGGAAAATAGGGGATGTCATGCTTGTTGAGGAATTGCACCACGAAACTGTGATTCTCGGATAGCCTGGCTTGATTTGTCTCGATGAAGCGATCCACCCATTCGTCATCTTCCAGGACGTTGGCGGCGATGATCTCCGCGACCGAGGACGAGTAAGAATAGATACAGACCTCAACCAAAGACTTGAGAAAGGCTGGGTTGTGCTGAGAGATGATGTACCCAAGACGCAGTCCATTTGCGCCGAAGTCCTTGCTCATGCCGTACAAGACGTGAACGAGTGAAGGCTCGATAATGCCGTCCAGGGCGATAGACAACACCGAGGTGAACTCTACGGGTGGTGGGTTTGCGTCATGCTTGTTCTTCCAGACGGAAAAGGCGTAGATTTCGTCGGACACAAAATGAATTTGGTATTTCTGGCAAAGCCGCAGGTATTCGATGATGGTTTCCCGGGAATAACACCTACCCAGGGGATTGTGGGGCGAGCAGAGCATGAGGGCTTTGACTGTAACTCCTCTCTGCGTTGCTGATAATATGGCCTTTTCGTAGTTGGCCACTCCTGCAAGGCCCATGGGGTCGACATCTTGGAAGGCCACCTTGACGACCTCGACATTTGGTCTGAGATTCAGATCTGCGATAAAGGCGCCGTAGTAAGGATGGCCCAGGAGATAGCCGTCGCCTGGGTTGCAAAACGCCCACGAAGTGTGCTCAATGGCATGAGAAACTCCATTCGTGACGACGACATGTTCGAAATCTAGGGCGACGGCAGGATCGAGTTTCCTGTTGAGGAATCTTGCAACGGCCTTTCTCAGCCGCTTGCCGCCTGTCGGACCGTCGCCGTAGGTGAAGGCGTCTCCGGTCACCTTGGTGGTGGAATTGATGAAGTCGCAGAGTTCGTTCTGCATAAGAGTGTTCTCTGCAACACCGATGCTGATATAGCCATCAGGGTTATCTCGAGGATGCCATTGGTTGTTGTAAATGTCCCAGATGGGGCTCCTATTCTCGTCTGGTCTGGCGCATGCTTGTGCACGCTCAGATAGGCCTGAGATGGTTTCAAGTTGTTTGGTAGACATGCTTCAAAGATCGATGGGGGCTTACATGGGAATTTCTGTTCTCAAGACCGGGTCATCTGGGCGATGGCTTGCATTGCATTTATGGGTCTGTTGCTGCACACACGGATACAAATCGTTCTTGGACTTGAAGTCGATCACCGCACGAGCTAGTCCTAATACGTCATGGACTGGCGCCTTTAGATCATGCTTCGAACTCGATACGAAGGACTTACCATAACACGCGGGCTGGGCAGTATTTCCTCTGTCGATCAACGACGAGGTTCCCAGTCCACGCCACAGCCATGTCAAGAAAGGCATACTCGTGCGTATACTGTAAAGTGATGGCAGTGACGATGTAAGGGGGTGAGGACTTGCCCCGCCAATGTGATCAAGACGCACGAACGGGGCCTGTACTCCCCCGTACCAATCCGCACTCCCCCGTACTCCATCAGGTGTTTAATCAATGCCTAGACGCTAACCCACCCATATTTGTTTACTCCTCCCCAACTTGGAGTACTGCATCCGTGAACGCAAAACGCAACCAGACGTCAATTCTCACCCACTCGACAACCTCACACCTCCAGAGCACAGTATTTTGCATCGAAAAACTCCCTCCATTGTACCTAGGGGCTCCTACACCTGACTGACAGCTCTGCCACCATGCCTCCTGCAAATACGCGCAAAAGAAAGTCCGGCGAAATGGAGGAGGACCCTGCTCCCGCAGCTACTCCGACTGGAAGTCCTCGAAAGAAGATGAGGATAACGCAGTCACAAAAGCAGGCATTGATGGACAATCTTCAGCTAGAAAGTGAGTGACGGATTCCTCCATGTCATTGGAGTATCAACTAACCCCAGCAGTCACGGAACGAGCACGCCAGCTTCGAGCGGGCTATGCACTTCAATGTGCTGACCTTCGAGCTCGCATTGAACGACGCGTCAATCGAATTCCCTTGGCCGTTCGCAAGATGACCATGGCTGAACTCATCCAACAACACCAAGCCACCAAATCGAAACCCGCCAGGACTCAGGCTCCAGCCTCCAAACAATTCAGGACCGAAAGGGTTCCCGGTGAACGACCTCTTCCACCACTACCACAACAGCAAATCGTCAAGGCTCCATCCCCGGCGCGTCCAGCTCCTCAAGCAACCCCGAATCGAGGCAAGAAGCGGAAGAGTACCATCCAGATCGCGTCTGATAAGGAAAATGAACATGTCGTTGGCGTTGACAACCTCCCGGTGATGAAGAACAATAAACGCGCCAAAGCTGGTCAAGCTGCAGCACCTGCAACACGTACTGCCTCCCGAGCCGTGAAAGCCAACTCTGTGCTCTCACCACGCTCTCACAACTCTCGAACGCTTCCTCGCTCCCCGATCAAAGAACACCCGATGGCTCCAAGCTCGCCAGCAAAGAGCTTGATTGCAAGACCCATCTCTCCCCTTAAGCCGGTCAGTCCATTCAAATCTGCAGCGACAGCAGCCACGTCGGCGATATCGGCAAGTGTGCACGGGATGATTGAACAAGCAAAGCGAGGTACAGCTGGGAGAATGACCAGGACAGCCTCGAAGGAGAGACCCGGGGCCACGACAACAGCGGCAAGGGGGAAAATGCTTCCACCTCCTCGCCCAGAGCCGAGGGCACTATCTTCGCCTCAGCGCACGACCAGCCAGTCCAGCACACACAGCGCAAGCACCGACATTTCGACAACCTCTACGAGCACGACCATTGTGAAGCCGAAGCGTGGACGCGCCGCCGCGGCATCGGGCAAATTGGCCGAGCAGAAAAGCCCGGGGATGGCCAGGAGGGGCGTTACAAAGGCCGCGACGGCGGCAAAATCTGCGCTGAAGCGGAATCCCACAACGGCAAACAAGAAGGTCGTGGTTGCTGAGCCTGTCGCTGGGAGACGAGTGTTGAGGAAGCGAACGTGAAAGCTCGTGCGAGACAACGCTGTGAAATGATTAGGTATCGGCCATTGTGCATGTGCACATGAATTGAACACGCATCGGAGATGTATCTGGGAAAGGTTTTGGAGCGATAAACGAGGGGCGCGCTCTTAGAGGTTTTCAGGCTTAGAAATCCATCGTCGTAGGGTGCTGTGTCTTCGCCAAACAACGACTCTGCTTAAATACGCTTTTGGAAGAGGGATTTCGAGTGAACCGTCTTGAGGAGATAGACATCAGAATGTATGCGACAGATGGTGCTCGTGGCCTTTGATCAAGCGCATCCGTGTGTACGTTGATAGCATCTTCCTCAACCGACTCATTCAACACATATATACATACCTGCTGACCCACCTCCCTCCATAACCACGTTTGTGTGTCCACCAATGCTACCCATTGGACTTTTTGAAACTTTCATCTATAAATCTAGATAGGATTTGCAATCGTCTCGACCAAGACATCCATCTCACGTCGACTTTCGAGAACCGCAGAACGGCTCTCCGGCGTGTTTTGGGCAGGGAAGGGTGAACAGAGGTCAAAATCAGATCATCATCACTACGAAGCGTACCGTGAGAGGGGACGAGCAATCTAGGTAGTAGAGGTCCTGTGTGCACTTAAGTGTCTGGCAATAGGAAAAGGCTCAGTGTGACAGTAATAATTACACCGCTATCTTTTCCCTTTTATTTGTTATGATACTCAAACACTGTCAAATCATCTAGGGCTCAAATGTTGCCCCCCCCCGGGCCCTGCTCGCTCAATCTTCTATGTTCATTGAGCCCTAATAGTCCAGCTCGGCACCTGCTCCCGCTTGAGCGGCGGCTTGAGCACCTCCACCTGATCCACCGTTCGGTTGAGCATCGAGGTCTTCGTATGATTTGATACTGCGCCCCTGGACCGCTTCTCTAGGTCCTACAGCGTTTATTCCACCGCTGCCATCTCCCCATTTACCGCCACCTCCACCTCCACCTTGAGCAATGAAGCCGGGGTTCATGCCTGGAACAAAATTGCCTCGCTGCATCCCGCCCATGTTGTTGTATCCACGTTGGCTGCCACGTTGGTTTCGATCATATGGACCTGATCTATTGCCATATCGGCCTCCGCCACGTCGGATGGGCCCGCCAGTGTGTGATCCACCATTCATACCATCGTTGAAGCCAACGCCAGGAAGGAAAGGAGTGGGGACGTTTGGCATTCCCATCATCGAGTTCTGACCAAAATTCATCATGTTCATACCCATATTTTGAAGACTGAAGCCACGAGGTGTACCATTATTGAGATGATGGTTGCTCGGAAGAGGGAAATGTCCATTGGAATTGGCATCTGATCGTGAAGGCGCGATATGTGAAGGGTCAAGCACATATCGGTTGACAAGTTGAAGCTATTCAAGGTCAGTTGGGGGTCAAATAGATATCTAGGGCAGCACTCACATCGTTCTTCAACCCTGCAAACCATTCATCGTGTCTCTTCTCAACGTGTTTCTTCCAGAAGTGTTCTGCCTTGAACAATTTCGCACACTCAGGGACTTTGCATCGGTACTTGGCTTCGTCTTCTTGCTTGACAAATTTTGCCAATTCCTCGTCGATTGCTTCTTCCACAGGTTTACCGCCGATTTTCTTCAAATCGACATCCTCAGGTTCCAGGATTTGGAGAATCTTTTCCTCGAACGTCTTGACCCAATTGAAGGCTCTAAGAAGTTGTTGGTCGGTCTTGTTGAATTTCTGAGAGCGCTGTTCCTGGACAGGACTTGAATCCTCGTCGTAGCCATTCTCTTTTCCGTCCCTTTTCTTCCCGGGGAAAGGCTCTCCGAATGCGCTCGCTCGAGCAGCAGCCTTTGCCATGGTGCTGAGTCCTGCTCGAGGCCTTCGTAGATGACCGCCTGGGCATTTTCGTACCAATTCATGGACTGAGTCCGACTCAAAGACACAGAACAGACAAAAGTTAAAGACTCGGCGAAGGTATTCCACCATGAGGTCGAGCTTCTTCTTGGTAAACAACAACTCGTCGTCATCTTGCTCGTCATCGTTCTCTTCGCCTTCTTCTCCCTCTTCGTCGAACTTGATTTCGTCATCGTTGTCCTCAAAACTGGGTTTCTTCGGTTTAGGAGGTGGCTGCAAGAGTCCCTGGCTCCTCATCTGTTCTACTCGATGGTCGATTTTGGCAAGACCTGAAGTGATTTCATCTTTACCCAGGTCGTTGTCTAACTTGGCGACCAATCTGCGGGCAAGCTGATAATCTCTCTCCACACGTTCCGACGCAGAGAATAGATCCCACAGAGCCTTCTTTCGTGGAGCACTCGGGACGTTATGAACGCCAACGTGGCACGTAAAATCGCCCCTGACGGTGTCGGTGATGGTTTTCCCATTCACCAACTCCAGAGCCTTCTGAGCAATTGTGACCTTCTCGATCTCCGGCTTCTCTTCTCCTTCTTCGTCATCCTCACGGCCGTCACCACGTTCAACTTCTTGCATGGCGTCAGCGTCCTCCTCCAGACCAGGATTGAGCATAATCCATCCGATTCGATGGAATTTCTTGGCCGGATTAGGGTCACTCAATGACAAGCCTCGAAAGCCACCCTCCCCTTCGCCCAGGTGTTCTTTGCAGAACTCTTCGATCCGATCTCTTCCAACATTTGGTGCCAGTGTCTTGATGAGTAAAGCAGGCTGATGGACAGATTCATCTCGAAGCTCACCTCCCTTGGCGGGAACCAGATCAAGAACGCCGAGAACTTCGTTACCACCGACGGCTTCACCTTCTTCCTTCTCAATCATGCCACCGGCTCCATCGCTGTCATTCTTGTAGATGCCTTCGAGTGTGAAGTCGTCAAAGACGCCACTCTCGATATCCTTGACCCATTGTTCGTAGGCACCCTCCCGAGATTCCATGATTCGTTTTCGAATGGGATCTCGAATTTCGGGTACATATCGCTCTTTGAACCATTCTTCCCCTCGGTGGAGCTGGACGAATTGTCGGGCCATTCTGACTTGGAAATCTTGCTTGTATTGGTCGTAGCCTTGTTGGATTTGGGATCTTTCTTTCTCACGATCTTCTTTGGCCTCTCTTTCACCTTTGACGCGATCCGACGGTCTGCGGCCTCCATGCTTAACTCTCTCCTTCTCTTCTTTGATTTGCTGTTCACAACGCCACCAATCAGCGAAGTAGCTGAAGCCGGCTTGCGTCTCCAACGATAGAGGATTGGCCAAAGGATTCACGCGGACGACCTGTTTGTTAGGTTCTTGACCCGGAACATATCGATCGATGTTGGCCGCAGTGGGCGATGGAGCTCTCCGGCGATCATCTCGCTCACGTGTCGCAGCTCTCTGTGGCTCGTAAAAGTCATCTCGAGCCGGACGATCTCTTTCCGGTTGATAACGATCGATGGCGGCAGGGGAGCGCGATCGAGTCCGCGGAGGTGGGCGACGTCTGTCGTTCACTGGAAAAGTCAACGGAGGTGGACTCGGCGAAAGTACAGATTCGCTTACCTGGAGATCTTCGTCTGTAGGAATCGGTTCGATCATACGTGTCGTCATCCCGTGCACGGTATCGGGGGGACCTCTCGTTAGGGGGTGAACCATATGCTTCATAAGGATTCATAATGTCCGACTCTTCAAGGTCGCAACTTGACCAGCTGTGTAACCACTTATTCGAGGCTGGCGACCGATTTCATTGGAGGGTCTGAGGAGATCAAAAATCAGGGAAGGCTTTCAAGTGAAGTCGTCTTTGGTTGATCTGAGGTGGCTGTGCTGAAAGCTAAAAGAAGACATGATAGATGTTAGACTGGAGTCAAGAGAATGAAGTGTTCTGGGTGCACGACGAGTGAGAATAGGTGGGGCGTCAAAAGAAGAGAGAAGTCGCGAGCATTGACGCTCCTATCTGAAGGTGCAGGTTGATCAAACAAGAACAAGTATATAAGATAGATTGGTAGGGTGAAAGTAAGTGATTGGTAGCAGTGAGGGAACAGAAGACAAATTGTGATGCGGCGAAACCGAGAGCCGACAGAGGTGAGGTGGTGGCTGCTAGAAAGAGTCAAGTAGTGAACCTACAGGATAGAGAAAGATAGAGATTGAATTGCTGAACTGGCGACGCAGTCTCAGCTTTGTTGTTGATGGTGATTGAAAGAAGGAAAGGTAGCATGGAGTTTGCGACGACGACAAGGTTGGAGAAGGACGGCGATTCGTCATTGACGTTGACGCTTAACGACGTGCGACTTCGAAGGTCTCTAGCTTAGGCGCTCTGGGCCCTCTAGGCGTGGAATTGGGGGAAAGGGAGCCCGTCTCTTAACTATCTTGGCAATTAGTGACCTACTATTGGTGCCTATCGTACCCTTAGGTAAGGAACGAGGTCGATGCTGGCAACAGGGTACTCGGTACTCGACCCTTCCCTACGGAGCTCTCGGACTGCTGCGAACAGTAAAGCCTGCGCCGCCAAGCCCTACTACATCGGGGTCGGTCATAGGCAAAGGTCCGCGCACTGGGGCGATGAAGGGGTATATCGAGTATCATTCCCCCGTAGCAACTACAGGTCCTAACTGCTGAATACACGGAGTCAGTACGGAGGTGTGCATCAAAAGTTGTGTACGCGCTAGTAGAGAATGACATGGCCTTCTAATGACACTGTCATAATTTTGAAAGACAAGTTTAATTTTAATTGCGTTTCTACAGCAACACTCCCTAGAGATTCTCTTCAGCCCTAATAGATGTCTAATAGTACTCAAAGTTAGCTTAAGTTAGGGGGACATCTTAGGGGGGATTAGGCATTCTATTCCCTAACAAGGCCTAACTAGCCTAGAATAAATAACCTGTTAGAGTAGAGTATATAGTAAAATATCACGATAGCCCGGTATTTTAAAAAGCCTCTTACACAACTTTTGATGCACACCTCCGTACTCGTGCGAGTTTACTCGTACCTTGCTCACCAGATGCAGGCACGACGCCGGTGTTGTTGTCGGCTTTGTCACTAAGAAACCGTTGCATGCTACTATCTGATAGTCATCTACGGAGTACTCACGGTTCACTTCCTGCGTGTCATGTGCGTGGCTTCTTTCATTGATGTCTTGTCCTCGCTCATCGCTGGACATGTTCCCCGGGTGGCATGCCTTTCGCCATCCACTCTTCAAGCAGCTCCCAGTCCCTCTCGTCCAGAGCTGCCGCGTCTGTTCCGTATCTTGCAATAAGTAATCCGACAAGACTTCCATCCTTTTCGATAGCCGTATCGCCTGGTTTTGTACCATGTTCGTCCATCCACCCTCGGGCCGTCAAGATTTCCTCACGCCTTTTGTTGCATCGACCAAGGACAAATTGCTTGAGAAGGTCTAACGACCGGTCATCCAAAACGCAATCCTCAGTTCCGTGCAAGTTGATGATTGACGTTGCCAGCTTGTGGTCCCGGATTTGTTCGCCTGTGTCCCCTGATTTCATGTAAGCGTAAGAAAAGAACCAGAAGAACCAGCTGTTGTGCGACCACCATATTTTACACTTACACGTTCCTTTAGTATATGACATGGTGGTTCTATCTCAGTGAGTCCCAATCCAGCTTCGATGGGTGAAAAATACTTGTTGGTGGTGGTTCGCAGGACAGGGAGATTGGTGATCTTTTCTCGTCGCCCGGGACAAATAGCCACCTCAGTTTCCTGCTCTACCTTAGATATGAGTGCTGACTGCGGGACGAGTGCTTGTGGGATGTTTGTTGTTGCAACCGACAGAAGTCACTCCCCAATCACATGCATGTATTGCCATGCAGGGACGGGCAGGGGTATTCGTTCCTGTAGGCAACAACCACCAACACTGCATCACAAGGAGTTCGCAAGCTTGAGTAGAGCGATGATCTCGAATAATAAGCGATTGTCTTCTTTAATCGAATCGCATGAAAAATGGGATGTCAGGCTGCCTTGAGAACAGAAGTAAATGTTCTAGGCGATCTAAGCAAGAAGCCTCGCCTAGTGTACAACTATGCGCCATGTGACAATTCATTACCAGAACGACTTGATCCATCTCCCAATGTATCGACTATGACTCCTTCCTGGTAAGTTCTTCCTGGGTTTCCTCATTTCCTTTGATCGTCCATCCATTTAAATGTCCTGTCCCAGCGGTCAGATAGGTGGCGAAACCAAGCCAAGCCAGATACGGCGTCAAGCAATAGGCTGCCGTCTGGTCGACCTTGCTCCAGATGTATGTGAGATAACCCACTGTGCCTGTCAAGGTCACGATATCTAGCATCGCTTCGATTGGTCGGCCCATGCCGAAGAACAGAGGCATCCATACGATATTCAATCCTAGCTGGATCGTATATAGCGTTGCACCCCGCCGCGTGTTCTCCACCACACTGGGGTACAAGCTAGCCATTCCGGTGGTCCATGCCCGGTTTGCAGCATATCCCATCATCAGGTATAGCGTTGTCCAAGCAGGGGCGAAGACCCATGGAGGGGGTCTGAAGGGAGGTTGCTTCAAGGCAAGGTATTGTTCTTCTGTGCTGCGGAATTTCCCTCGCTCTTGAGCGGCACGGTCAGAAAATTTCTTGGGTCGTAGTCTTCCCGGCTGTGATACCAAGCCCGATCCGAGACCTAATCCTAGGGGAAGGAGAATAGAGATTGGCGTGTTTGAGAAAATTGACGCGGGCAGCGTCAGTCCCGGTACATAGGCCATCGTGGGAGAGGGGCATGTAGGATGGTCGATGGAGCAGAGGCACGAGTCATGCGGCACAACTGCATGCACAGTCGAGTCCTCGCGTGAAATAATCGCAAAATGGAAGGAGATGAAGGGAATTTATGGAAATACGAATTGAAATAGCTGGTGTTTCGACAACTTGAAGGGACACAATGGAATATTGGTGGGATGTGTTTATGACGACAATAATATTCAATGCTCGGAGTCGCAAGTTGCAGCTTCCCCAGAAACGCCACCTGCCGTTTTAAGATTTTACCCACCACTGGCATTGGGCATTTACCTGGTCACCATCCACACGAACTTTCTCGACGACAGTCAATGCCAGTCTCTCTTCAAGTCAGCCTTTCTTCAAATCACCGATCTGATGCCGGTTGAAAACTAAACTATTCACATGTGTTGCTTGAGTTGTTAGCATTCGTCTTCGTGCTTCCGCCTTGATAGCATTGATGCCATCTGGCTCAGACCTCTCCGCCTAGGTGGCACTCTGCACTGCTGGGGACAATCCCTGTCTCCCACCGGCACCTGATCAAAGGCAGACGGAGAGCAGGAAAGATAAGAGATGAGCCTTCGAACCAATTGCCGCTGAGCCTTTTTAGAAGACTCAGCCTCTTTCAGGAGTGTTCTTGTCTGGGCAATGGGGTTCTGACATTCCGGAACAAGCTTGATTTCGAATTTCTCGACTGGCACCTTTCAGAATAGTCAGCTCCCAGCAACACAGTCAACTGCCAGCGAATCATGTATTTCTAGGTTCACCTCGAAGACCACCCCCAGGGTGGTTGTGACTCTGTGATTCATGACAGATGTAGCCCAAGTCACGTGGCAATCACTCCTTCCACCTTGACTGCCTCGTCGCAACCACAGGTTGATAGTCGGTGACACGGTCACCGCCAATCTCTCTCTCTCACACATTGTGTATAGGTATTGAAGTTGCCTACACGGACCTATCGTAATGTTCAAAAGGAATTGACTGCTTACGAGTCCATTCTTGGAAACCACAGCCCTTGCGCCCCCACTATTTTTAACTAACTACTCGGTAAGCAGGGCTCGATATTTACTGCATTTCAACATTCAAGGCCCCCCTCCCACTCTTCCCAAAGGAAAGCCTCGACTCTCTAGGCGATTAAAGACTTCTAAGAAAGGAACATTGTCGGATCTGCCCTATTTCCGGTAGCATGCGCTCCGTATTAGAAGGCACTGCATACAAGACCAACCGCCCAAGCACTCCACAAGGTATACCCATGTTTTCTCCGAACTAGTTCAAGAAGCTGTGTGCTACCACTAACTTTGCACTGGCTGTGTATGTGTCTCTGTCATCACCAGAGCATAATCTTGCCTTGCAATATTTTCCGGACTTACTACTCTTTCACATATCCTGAACCGGTTATTCCTCTCTTTCAGCTCTCTATTCCATTTGGAGGAACCACGCGCCGTGGACATGCCGTCTTTCGGAGGATTTGCAAAGATTGGTGCTGGTTTTGGCAGGGCTGGTAGGAAGGGTCCAGAACCTGGATCTTCACCTGGCGCTGATGCTGCAAAGCAACTTGGGAATCCAGCAAACGATGCGAAGAAAGCAGAAGATGCTAAAAAAGCCCAAGAAGAGGCCAAGAGAGCTGAAGATGCTAAGAAGGCACAAGAAGAAGCGAAGAGAGCTGAAGATGCCAAAAGAGCGGAAGAGGAAAAGAAGAAGGCTGAAGATGCCAAAAGGGCGGAAGAGGAAAAGAAGCAGGCCGAAGAGGCCAAGCGGGTGGAAGAAGAACAGAAAAGAGCAGAGGAAGCGAAGCAACAAGAAGAAGCAGCCCAACGACAAGCTGAGGATACAAGGCAAGCGGAGCAAGCTAGGTAAAATATACACTTACTAGACTACCTCTACGTCCCCGGACCTTACTAATACGCAAGATAGGAAAGATGAGCAACGCCAGGCAGCCTTGGAGCTTGGTACTACTACAGGCCAGAACGCGTACGATGAATATCAGCAGCAGCAATACCAGCAGCAGCAGCAGCAGGAGCAGCAGTACGAGGAGCAGCAGCAGTACGAGGAGCAGCAGCAGTACGAGGAGCAGCAGCAGTACGAGGAGCAGCAGCAGTACGAGGAGCAGCAGCAGTACGAGGAGCAGCAGCAGTACGAGGAGCAGCAGCAGTACGAGGAGCAGCAGCAGTACGAGGAGCAGCAGCAGTACGAGGAGCAGCAGCAGCAATATCCTGGTGAAGAACCATACGAATACCCAGATGCAGATACTTATGACGAGACAGCTGCCTATCCACAGGAAGAACAAGGGGCACTTCCAGAAGAAGAGCAATATTCATACCCAGAAGCAGATCAACATCCGTATCCACAACATGACGAACAACCATATGTCCACGACATGCAACAATACAACTCTGCTGGAGAGGAAGGACAGACCTACCTGGGGGCATCCGAATATCCCGAGGAGTACTCATATCCTCAGGACCCCTCGAACTCATACCACCCAGGTACGACAGGCGCTTACTCTGAACAAGAACAATATCTACACCCCTCGGCTGGGCATAATGCCCATGAGGAATATGATCACGACTACGAGCAGGGGGACGGAGAGGACGAATATCCTCATGACGATCCTCAGCAGGGATTTGGTGGCCCTCCTGCTCAGGATCAGGAGATGCACACAGCCGTTGAGCCCCAACTTGGATACGGTGGGCAGCCTGCGCAGGATCAGGATATGCATACAGCTGTTGAGGCTTATTGAAGGACCCAGTCTACATGGAACACCGTCGGAGGGGAGGTGGATCCCTTCAGTATTTTAGGCGGCCAGAATCAGGAGTATAGGTATTTTTCATCTTCGTTCTGGCTCCAAATTAGCAGGCAGAGCATTTGTGTCTGTATACCTAGGTATGTATGCGCCGTAATAGTATAATGTTTCTCTGTACGGGAATCCATCTGGGAGGCGGGCTACTGTGAAGTTCTATTTAGGCATTCCAAGCGTGAGCATCACCAGCCATGGCCGAGACGGACGGCAGATTGAGATAAGTACAGTCAGATGCATACTATCTGCAATACCAAGGTGTCAAATCCTTAACTAAGACTTCGCATTATGAGGCGCCTAGAAGCATCGACGAGTCCCTTATAAAACGCGTATTCCGCCAAGGACCTTATTTATGAGATATGGGTCCAAAGAAAGCCGTGCTCAATATCTTTGTGGTATACAAATGGAGCTCCCTGTTTAGCCTCATTTTATGGTCTGTGTTGCATCTCACCTATACGAGTCCTGCCCCCCCCAACGGTCAGGCCTGATGACACGAGTTCACGGCGGTATGAGAGTCAAAGGATGGAGGCGTACTCTCCTCCATCCGTGCTCGATGATGCTTTAAGTCTCTGTCTATTGACGGCCAAGGAGCCAATTGGAAACCTGACATAAGCTATCATGACTGATTGGTTGTCTATATTCACGTGTGAGACACTGACAATGTTGAAGAAGAAGCCGGAATGATTACCACCAAACCCCTAACTACCTTACACACTGGCTTAGCCTGCCTCCCCCCACCACCGGCATGCCCCAGAACAAAGGCAGTAAATGGTAAAATGCTTTAGATCGGTGTCGATTTTCACCAGTGTTGGCCACCATGGCCACCGCCATGTCCCCCTCCATGTCCACCATGTCCTCCATGGCCGTGTTCGTCTTCATCTTCGTACCCTTGCTCTCCATGGCCACCTCCATGGCCTCCGTGCCCTCCATGTCCTCCGAGACCATGCTCGTCCTCGTCCTCGTAGCCTTGCCCATCGTGCTCTCCTTGGCCTCCGTGGCCGTGGCCGTGCTCGTCATGTCCTTCATACTCATCGTGCTCACCATGGCCATATTCTTCTTCACCTCCCTGTTCGTACTCGTCATCACCGTGGCCGTGTTCGCCATATTCCTCGTTCTCATCATAACCTTCGTGTTCGTCGCCGTGGCCATTATGATCCCCGCCGTGGCAGCCCTCTTGATCTTCGTCATGCTCTCCGCCATGCTCGTCTCCATAACCCTCTTCTTCCTCGCCCCAGCCATCTTCCTCACCATTCCCTCCATGGTGGTCGTGGCCTTCCTCGTCCTCGTCCTCCTCGTCTGAACTATCACTGTCAGGATCAGAGTCAGGATCCATCAGTTCATGCTGATATGCTAGGCAAGGTTTGCCCTTGCCGTGTCCACCAGGGCCACCATGCTCGGGATCCTCTTCCTCTTCTTCCTCTTCTTCGTCCTCGCCCGTGTACTTGCCCTTCTGCGAGTGCTTGAGGAACTTGTACAAGTCGTTCATTTCATGACTGTCGGGATCAATCTCACGTAATTTCTTGGCGATGCGTTTCAACGTGCGTAGTATGCGTCGAAGCTCGTTTTGTTGAGTATGCTCGTCAGCTAGCAATGTCCAAGAAAACAAATTAGTCAAGCCGTTGCAGTGTGGTTTATTCATTGCTCCTCAGCAGGTGATGGGCGGATTGTTTTCAGCAGTGCATGAGCAAGGGGGAGAAAAGACTTACCCTCGTCGTCGTCATGGGTACGCTCATACCTCTCCATGTGAAACTCGATCTTGAGTTTCAAAGTCTCATGGTCCTCCATGTGGTTGCCCCCTTGGTGACCGTCCTCGTGTTGGTGATCTTCGTCGCCGTGACCTTGCTGGTCGTCCTCATGTTGGTCGTCTTCACCGCCATGACCTTGATGGTCGAAATCGTGTTCGCCATTGCCGTGGTGGCCCTGGGAATAGCTATCATGTTCATGTTGTGCAGACATGGTTGCAGCTGAGTGTCTAGGGTGCTTTTTCTTCAATAGTGGTGGTTGATGCTCTAAGACAACAATATCTCGAGAGCAGAATACTTGGTGTAAGCTGGTGTAGAGAGTTGGAAAGCCACCAAGTCGCAGGGTGCCTTTTGTCTTTTAGGGTTGAAGCCATGCTGGGATTTCTAGAATATCATTGACTTTAAGCGCGTACGCCGAAAAGGTCCATATCTCCAAATAGCCCTCACTGCGAGTCGGGGCCATCATGTTCCATCCTTGGAAAATCGCACCAGTTTGATCTTGGAATCTTATCATAATTAGAAAAAAGGAGTATAATATTGACCAGGATGAGGTGAGCCTTAACCTGTGGCGAGAGATTTCTTACGGGTGAGAAACCACGTTGTTATTTCGGCTGATCAAGTGGGTTGTTGTGATGCTGGACTTGACAAGAGGCGAGGCGGAGTCAGCCTTGGCGATTGGCGGTTGGCAGAGTGGAGAATCTGCGAGGTTCTATCTAAGCCCGTATCAAAGGGCGAATGCCTAATCTAACTGAAGGCAGTGACTAATAAGGGACATGTCGGGCCTGACTACCTAGGTCGCTTGCCCGAGTCTGGAGATCATAGTCTGCATTGGGCTCTACTTCCTGCATGCCTCACTAGAAATAGCCATCTTCGATATGGTTGCATCAAGTTGCGGATGAGGCAGGCCATGGTCCCAGATCTGAATTTGTAACAAAAACGGCCTTACTAGTCTAACGTGAGCATTGACAGACTTCGGGCGACGTTGCTTTCCTCCAGCCATAGGTATCAATCACCGACTTCAAATGGAGACAATCTAAGTCATTAATAGAGATCCATGCTAAATATAGAATTCATCGGGTGAAAAGACGCACCGCGTAAAATAAGTAACGCTTTCATGGCACCTTTGGACCCAACCGGTATATGAGCGCGCCCATATCTTATCATGTCCTACCAAAGAGGCTTCTATCTTTGAAAATTCATTGCTACCGGTCCGAGTGCAGCAGAAACATTGCATCGGTTCCCTCACATCAACCATTCAGACTGAAGAGAAGCTAGTCCCGGTCGGGCTCACTTATCTAACATGGACTCCCTCAGCAGCAGGATGCCATCCATCGGGGCACTAAGAACCAAATTCAGCGCAGCGGGAATACGCGGAAGAGGAGGCGCTCCGAGGGGAGGCGCTCCAAGGGGAGGGGGCCCTCCCATGAGAGGCACAAGAGGTGGACTTTCCATGCGCGGGGGCCGTGGCGGCGGCAGAGGAGGTATTGATCGTATGTCATCCCCTTTTCCATGACTATTTCCCTATGCATAGGCACTGCGGCCGAATCTTGCTGCGCACATCACCTCGTATAAGGGGGATTATTCGCGTCGAAAATGTCATTGCTGTCTCGCAACCACAACCAAAGATCTCTCTTAGAGCCCCGATGACTCACCGACGCATGGAACTGGATTACACTTTCAAGACTTATCCGTATCTCATGGGACCGTGAGTGATGGCTGACATTGCAAACTCTTTACAGAGCCTGGATACCCTCCCACAACCGGAGAACCCCCCAACACAGGATATCCCCCCGCAACCGGACAAGCGCCCCCACCTCCCGCACCGCCAGGCAATGATTATCCTCCACCTTCTGCAACCAGTGGGATGCCAAGTGCCTCTCACACCATGCCTCCACCGGAAATGGGTGGCACACCTGGTGGCATTCCGGGTGATCAGATGGGGATGGGCGGAGGTCATGATCAGATGGGGATGGGCGGAGGTCATGGTCAGATGGGGATGGGCGGAGGTCATGATGAAATGGGGATGGAGGGTGGCGGACCTGAGCAATACGGCAGTTCCGTTGTGCAAGGAGGACCACCCGAGCAATATGGAGGAGCCCCAGCCCAAGGAGGAGCTGCGTATTACTAATTCTGGTGATGCTGGGACAATGGCGAGCAAATACCCGGACTGGAATCTTGAAACGAGAAATCATGAACAGAAGCTGTCTGGACCTTCGGTGTGGCGTAATTGAGTCAGTTACTTTGCTTCTCCAATCCTCAAAGTCGTGTTTCTTAATCGCCAGAGCCAGATTGGTAACCGTAGATCACGTAAAGGGGGGCGAGCCCATGCAGGTTAAAGCCTCGCGAAATGTTGGACAAACACCATATTGGGTTGAAGAGAAATGCAGTCGCAAAGGCAATGCTGACACTTTTGATGTCAATTAAACGCCCCTCAGCTTCAGTCGGCATCAGTAAGGCTTCGAGCAGTCTGGCCGCTAGAATGAGGATGTCCAAGCTTCCGACATGGATGTCCCTCCATGGGGTGGAAAGTGCATCGTCTCCATCCTTGAGGGCCTTGGAACAGACCGGCACGGGTCAACAGGAAGCAGAAGCTTTAGGCAACCGTCATTGTGGGCATAAGTTGTTGCTGGGAACGAGAATCCCTCCCTTAGGGAGCGCTCTGACTAATGTCTAGGTAGTGATGAATTGGCTGCATGCTCACTGATCAGCGTAGCATAAGCAGGCAGGCTGGGAGTGCCCCTGCCGAAGCCTTGGCACGGCTTTGGTACTCGCACGTGACCACAGCAACGTGACCAAACAGTAAGCCATACTCTGGTCCAGGAATGGCGTCGTTTGTGTATGGACTGATAGACTAACCCTTCCGTCAAAACTGACTGTTGCAGCAGATTTGACACGGACCGACCCTTGCCTTCATGTGGTGGTTTCTTTGTAAACGGTATCATGGTACCTCGGAATTCTGCTCCTCAGGTTGTTACGAACACTCTCCATGGGCATTCCATAAGACGAGGGAGGTGCTGATCTTAGTGAGGCTGACAAAACTTATAAACGCTATGTAACTAGCTGCCTGTCCATGTAGTCGGTCCGAGGACAACGCCAAATGTCGCTTGCAACGCATGCTGCTGTGTAGCTCCCCCCAACTGCGCACTGAATGAGAAGTGAAGACGCAAGCTTTCGATGCCCACTTTCTTTCCCGGGCTTCTACTTCAAGAGAGTTCTTTTGCAATTGGAAGTCATCTCAGTGCTAAACCCCCTGGATGCAGACTTCCCGTACAGCGTTCCCGCATGTATCTTGGGCCTCGTTGCGCACCCTACAGTCTTTGCACTCCACATCTCACAGCATATTGGCAACTCTATGCAGTTCAGATTGGTCAGCTCATCAAACAGGGTAGTCGCAGCTAAGACAAGACCTGGAAAGTGGTACAATGCGAAATACAGTCATGTCGGCTGACGCATTGTGGATGCATCTCCGGCAACAACCTCATAGAGTATGGTTGTGGCATTTTGCTCTGTCTTTGCACAACTCGGCCGGAGAATCTCCCAACATGGAACCCAGAACACCACCCGAATACATGGAGCGCGACACCTCTATGTCAAGACTTCGACCCGGATAGTGACCCATGTTGGTCAAGACGGCTGGATGATGAGGAAAGACGTGGTGCTGTGGGTTTCTTGTTTGGGACATCTTGTGGCCTCCGCGGACGAGGCGCGTGGCTCGTGCGAGCGTTGGATTCTCAAGATCGCCGATGAGCTGAGTATCAACAATGAGGATTCCTTTCGATCGACCATCGCAATCTGTTTGCCTTTCACGCCGCTGCGGCCAGACGCGAGCGAATATTTGTGGTCTGGGTTCCAAAATGACCATTGCTCCTGGATTCTTGAGCTTTTGGGCTTAGCCCCCTCTGAACAGATGCCATGAATCTCAAATCACAACAGGGTTTGACTTTTAGATTGAAAAGGGTGTACCTTGACTGAAGATTGCTCAAAGGCGTTCTAAGGCATTCATAATTCGCTTCGCGGCCTGCCCGCGGGTCGCCAGGTCATCGCTGGAAACACATCCATACAAACATAAGAACTCAGCTTTGTTATAATGGGCGTCCAACAGGGAGTCATCGAGGAAGCGTCTGACTCGATATCTTGCCTCACACTAAAGGAAGTCCAGCTAGAGTCTGGGCAACGTTGAACTCCTCTGTAATTGAAAGTTGCACAGGGTGTGCATCACAGCGCTTGGCCAATTCTTGGGGGGGGGGGGGGGGGGCCTAGGCAGGGACAATCGAATCTTGTTTTTTTTGCAGGGTTATCCTTGGGTTGTGATCCGTTGGTGGTGTTACTGTCTTTCCCCTTCTTCTTGTTGCTCTGAGTTGTCTTTGGTTGGAAGGGGCATAGTGAACGAGAGTGTACGGCACTATTTCCAAGGGAGCTTACGCTCCACGGAATTGTTGCTCGACGTTCTGAATACAAGGCAATATAAAGAACATACGTAAGTAGTTACAACTCGTAGATAAGCAGAGAATGGCAATTGGAATGTTTCATCGGTAGAAGCGAAACAAAACCTTCGCAGCGATAGCATAGCGTGCAATGCTGGAATCCCAGAAAGATAGGAGCCTGAAGTGGATATGGTGTACGATAGAGTGCGACTGGTAACAATGCGAACGACAGAGCAAGACATTTGGTGGAAATAAAATGGAATTGTCTCGTTGTTTTATGTACAACTTTGTTTTCTTTTCTTCTTAACACAACAAAACAACTCCAGCTTACATCTCCTCTGAAGCGGTAGCACCGGTAATAATCTCAACCAGCTCTCCGGTAATGACAGCTTGTCGAGTTCTGTTGTACAGGATGGTGAAGCGACTGATCATATCACCGGCATTCTTGGATGCGTTCTGGCACGAGGTTAGTCTCTTAGGCGAATAGATATGACAGGTTGGTTCTTCACTCACATCCATGGCGTTTCTTCTGGCAGATTGTTCGCAAGCATGTCCTTCAGCAAGTGCCCAGAAAAGAGAATTGGCAAGAGAGTATTCCCGCAGGTTGGCGAGGACCTCATCATCAATCTCGAACGCGGCATAGTTTGGTGATTGGGTGATGGCTTCTTCGGAGTATGCTTCGACGGTAACAGGTTCGTAGCTCTGGGCATTGATGAACTTGTTATAGAGAATCTTGATGCTAGCATATTCTTCGGGAAGCAGGACAAGTTGATCGGCAATCGCTTGGGCGTCTGCGAAGGTAGGGACATCCTTGCCAATACCGGCGAAACTTAGGACGACATTTTTGCCGTTGGATCGACCAAGCTGGGCCTTGCATTTCTCACCCACGATGGCAAGATCGAGGCTGGGGTCGTTCTCGAGCATCCTTCGTGCAGCTCGCGACATGCCTGAATGTATACCACCACAGAGACCCTTGTCGGAGCTTGCAACGACCAGGAGGGTTTTCTTCTCTTCCAATGGCTTTGTCTCGGCTTCCTCGAAAACTTTGTTGGAGGTTTGACCGTACACCCGAGAATCAGTCATGGCTCGCTGGGCACGTGTGAGCTTAGTCGAGGCGACGATCTTCATGGTTTTCGTGATTTTTTCAATGTTGCGAATCGATTTGAGGCGACCTAGTCGAGATTAGTCCTGACGCCTGCAATCTTGGATATCCTAGACACTGTACCCTCGATTTCACGTAGGGTGGCATATCCGGCGACCTGAGGAACTGCGGTTCTACCAGAGAGGTCAGTACATTGTGCATTGAGATAAATGCAAAGGAGAAGAGCTCTGTTGTTGAGGGAGGTTCGAGGAGGGTGCTCACCTGGAAATGGCCAAGTTGCCAGCCGAAAGGGAGGGTCTCACAGCTCTTGACAGCATCGTGCGTAGACTTGCTGACCACGAGGCCGTGAAAGAGCAAAGCTAAGAAGAAAATGAAGCTGGCAGAGGAGAGTCTGAGAAGTGATTCCTGTAGCAATTGAGGTGTGCAGATTGGAGGTGCAGGCCGACCGGAGGGAGCTGCGAATACGCTAGTGCTGTTAGCGACTAGTGTTGCCAAGAATATTGAAACTGTACACGTGACTGGCTCACCTGAGTTCGAATTTCCTCGTCCATTGTTTCTGCTAGGCTTTCCGGCTGTCTAGCATCGTAAATTCCGTGTTGTTATTCGTCCTGTTTGTTACCGGCAATACTCGTAAGACGCCCATTTAAGGAAAAACTCACTGAAGCCTAAAGCGGCCACGAGCCTCCACTGACTGGCGCACAAGAAGGGAAGCAAGGAAGCAGATCGATCAGAACCGCACTGGCAGTCCACAGTCCACAGACCTCACTGGCACCTCGGTGGGCCTCTTGCTCTGTCGCCTTTCTCCCTTCAAAAAGCCCATCTCCCTCCCACTCACTACTTGTTCATTTCTCTCTCAACCTCGACTCCATCTCTTTCCTTTGTCATATCCACCCATTCTTTTAGCGACCTTTCACTTCCACCACCCCGCCCAATTCCACTCTTCACGCTGTTATCGTCCTTTCTTCACCCGTGGAATTCGCCAACATTCCGTCTTGTCGCGCGTTCTGGACGCTTCTTCGATCATCCCCTCCGAGACCACCCTTTCCTCTAGTGCCGCCAAGCTCATTTCTTGCTGCACGTAGCTTGAATTCGCGACGAGTCTCTTCTCTCACGCGCATCATGTCTTCTTCAGATGACGACATGCCCCTCGCTGGGTCGAGAAGGCCTAATGGCAAAAGCGAAGGTATGACGGGAGAGAGGCAGATCTGAATCACAAAGAACAAATAGACTTGACTGTCATTCCTCTGTTTGGCTGACTCGTCTCGCCATTCACGCTCCAGCAACACAACCCTGATAATTTCCCTAGTTTCACTAACCTTGCTTTCTTCTAGTCCCTTCGTCCTTATCGTCCACCAAGATTCCGTCCAAAGTCGACGCTGCAATGGATCGACAAATTCCTACGAATGGTGCTGTTGTACCTGGTATCTCCATGATGAATGGCATTGTGAAGGGGGAAGACATCACAATGCCCGACGTCAATGGCACGCTCACCAATGGAGCTGCCAAGCGCAAAGTCCGCGAGAGCCTTACAAGACCATCTTATGCTGATGTCGAAAGCAGTGATGATGATGTACCACTGGTAAGTACTCTCTATCAATGCTCTCCTAAATACCCACTTATCTGCAATAGAGCAAGAAAAGGAAGGTTTTAACCGCCATTGAGTCTGATTCTGACGACGCTCCCCTGGTCTCCAAATCGAAGCCGAATGGAAAGGCCATCACCAAACCTCCGAGGGCCAGTGCTGCACAAATTGGGGAGAGTTCGGACTCGGACATTCCATTGAATCAAAAGCTCGTCAAGCAGAAACAAAGGATTGAGAAAGCAGCTGAGAAGGAGGCAAAGCAAATCAGAAAAGATGAAAAGGCTGAGGCCAGCAGGCCATCAAAGAAAGCCGCGCCAGCCAAAAAGATCAAAAAGTCTGACTCGAGCGAAGACGATAAGCCTCTTGCTAAGCGGGCCCCCGCTGCCAACTCGAGAAAAGTAAAAGTTGATACTTCCACACCTGCGAAGAAATCAAAGGCTGTCAAGAAAGAAGAAACCGTCGATCCCGAGGAAGATGAAGAGGAGGAGGAGGAGGTCAAATGGTGGGAAGATCCCACGAAAGGCGATGGCACCAATAAGTGGGAGACCCTCCAGCACAATGGTGTCGTCTTCCCACCTCCTTATGAACCACTACCTAAGCACGTCCGACTCAAGTATGACGGCATCCCCGTTAAACTACACCAAGAAGCAGAGGAAGTCGCCGGCTTTTTTGGTGGTATGCTCAATTCCACACACAACGTGGAAAATCCTACTTTCCAGAAGAATTTCTTCCATGACTTCAAGGAGATCCTGAAAAAAACCGGCGGTGCCACCGATCGCAATGGAGAAAAGGTTCAAATCAAGGAATTTTCCAAATGTGATTTTAGACCTATCTTTGAATACTACGACGCTCAAAGAGAAGCCAAGAAGGCCCTTCCCGCTGCTGAGAAGAAGGCCCTCAAAGCTGAGAAGGACAAGGCAGAAGCCCCTTATATGTTTTGCATTTGGGATGGCAAAAAGCAGAAGGTTGGAAACTTCCGGGTTGAACCTCCGGGCTTGTTCCGCGGTCGTGGTGAACACCCTAAAACTGGCCATGTGAAAACAAGAGTTCAACCAGAGCAAATTACCATCAATATTGGCAAAGAAGCTACTGTCCCAGTTCCTCCAGAAGGTCACAGGTGGAAGGAGATCAAGCACGACAAACAGGGAACTTGGTTGGCCATGTGGCAAGAAAACATCAATGGCAATTACAAGTATGTCATGCTCGCAGCCAATTCTGACATCAAAGGTCAGAGCGACTACAAGAAATTTGAGAAAGCCCGTGAACTCAAAAAACACATTGATCGCATCCGAAAGGATTACAAGAAGGATCTCAAGTCAGAATTGATGGCTGATCGACAGAAAGCCACTGCCATGTATCTGATTGATCAATTCGCTCTCCGTGCTGGCAATGAGAAGGGTGATGATGAAGCAGACACCGTGGGTTGTTGTTCGCTGAAATACGAGCACATCACGTTGCGAGCGCCTGCTACAGTCATATTTGACTTCCTGGGGAAGGACAGTATTCGGTTTCATGAAGAATTCGAGGTTGATCCTCAAGTCTTCAAGAACCTCAAGATCTTCAAGAAAGCGCCGAAGGGTGAGGGTGACGACATCTTCGACCGACTCACGACCACTCAACTAAACACTCATCTGAAGAATTATATGGTGGGACTTACCGCTAAGGTGTTCCGTACTTACAACGCTTCATTTACCATGTCTCGACTCTTGACCGAGATGAAGTCTGAAGGCACCATTCCTGAAAAGATCAAAGATTACAATGACGCCAATCGCAAGGTCGCTATTCTCTGTAATCACAAACGAACTGTCGCTGCAGGCCATGCAGGACAAATGGAGAAGCTCGGAGATAGGTTGAAGGGTCTCAAATATCAACAATGGCGTCTCAAGCAAATGATGATCGACGTCGACCCCAAGATCAAAAAGAAGAAGGGTGCGGAATACTTTGCACTTCCCGATGACATTGACGAGGATTGGATTCTGGAGCACCAAGCCTATTTGGTCGAGGAACAGAAAACCAAAATTACAAAGAAGTTCGAAAAGGAGAATGAAAAGCTGAAAGCGGAAGGCGATAAGGAGATGAAGCATAAAGAGTTGGAAGAACGCCTCGATGCAGCCCGAGACCTTGAGAAGAGGTTCAAGAAAGAGAACAAGACCAAGAAAATTGAAGCCGAAGGGAAGTCCCCTTCGATCGAGAAGCTCGACGAAAATGTCAAGAAACTCGATGCCAGAATTGCTACCATGTCCGTGCAAGCCGAAGACAAGGAAAACAATAAAGAGGTGGCTTTGGGTACTTCCAAGATTGTGAGTTCGGCGGCCACTTCTTCGTCCCTAGAAAGGCTACTAACTTCGCTCATTCTAGAACTACATTGATCCACGTCTGACAGTGGTATTTTCGAAGAAGTTCAATGTCCCCATTGAGCGGTTCTTTTCTAAGACACTGCGTGAAAAGTTCGAATGGGCAATCCAATCCGTCGACGAGAATTGGACTTTCTAAGGTTTTCATCGAAACTCACTTGTTCCCACGGATAAAGCACAAGAACTTTCAGGAAGAGCAGGCGACACCAATCTCGTGTGATGTGATATCTGCCTACTTCAATCAACCATCGGCAACGTTCAGGTAGTCGTTGCGTGGATGCATCTAGTCAGCATTGATCAACATGACTTGGAAAGATGCTGCCTCGATCTCATCGCCTCGTTTAGCCTTGACCACACGCAGGGCCATGGATACGGTCGACTAGCTACAATTTTGATACACGAACATCATCGACTTGAGCTTTGGAGGCAAGGTGACGGTGACTATCATTTAAGTGATAGTCGTTATCAACAGTATAGCGTCAGTTAAAGCATTCACTGAACATGAAAGAAATTCAATCTGACGGATACAGAGCTGGGTCCTCAATTCTCGCGAGTCTAGCTTAGGTAGTGATTCAAATTTGAGCGAACTCAGCAACACCTGCCACCTGCAAGTACCATCCACCAACGCAAAAATGTTGGTTCCTGTTATTGGTAGCTTCTCTCTAGCCGTGAGACATATCTGGTTGTACATTCTTCTCTGATGTTTGTGCTCCTTCAGTGCCAGTTGCCTGTTGCTGATCCTCATTCTCTTCTCCCTTCTTCACGCACTTCCATTCCATACACACCGCACCAAAGATCATGACGCAAGCCAGACCGGTCACGAGGTAGAACATATCGCGCATAGCACCATCATATGCCACAAGTACCTGTGGTAATACTTCCCAGGGCACTATCTCTCTGAGATCTGTTGCGCCGACGTGCGCAACAGAATCGATATTGATACCCGATATTTTGGTCAAATTTCTCACGAGAGCCGACTGGAATATATTATTTCCGACACAGATGAAAACAGCGCCTCCGAAGACCTGACAAAACATCATCAAAGATGCCCCAATGGCAACGTCCTGGCGGGGAAGGACGGTCTGGGCGGCGACTGAAGGTTGCTGCGCGCCGAAACCAAAACCAAGACCGGTCAGCACCTGGTAACCGATCAGAGTATTCACTGCAGTGTGAGATGTGAAGGTTGAGATCAAGCCAGCACCGATAGGAGTCAGTATGGACCCTAACAGCATCCATGGAGTAAAATATCCAATCTTTTTCGTCAGCATTCCAGCAAAAAGTGATGCAACGACTATTCCAACCACCAAGGGTAAAGTCATAATACCCGATCTGATAGCCGTGGACCCTTTAGTGGCTTGAAACCATGTCGGTAGGTAGAATAGAAGCGTCTGCATTGAAGCGCCGTTAAAAAATGAGAACCAAGCACCAGCAAGTACACTCCGATTGAAAAAGATGCGGCCGGGGACCATAGCAGCATCTCCTCTCCACCTCTGAACAACCACAAAAGCGATGAACAGCGATCCTGAGAGAGCAAGCAGAACGATGATCCGAACATTCGACCACTTATACTCCAGTCCACCCCATTGTAGGGCCAGCAACAAACAAACCATGCAAGAGGGGAAGAAGATAGCTCCTAAGTGGTCAACTTGCTTCACTTTTTCTTTGATATTGACTGGCCTTAGGCCAAGCATATCTGTTGGTATGTCCAAGAAGAAAATCAACAAAACAAACGCAAGCCCGCCGCAAGGACGGTTGATGTAGAAGCACCACCTCCAGCCAGGCCCGGATGTAAAAGCGCCTCCTACCAGTGGACCGATTGCACAGGCGATCCCGAAAACCATGCCACCTATTCCCATGAGTTGGGGTCGCTTGCGCAAAGGGACGACGTAAACAATGATGATGATAGTCCCTTGGAAAAGACCTGATTGACCCAAGCCTGCGACGGCACGACCGACGATTAGGGACTTCGAGTTTGGGGCTGCACCACATATTGCTGAACCGATCTCGAATATCACAAGAGCACCTAGATAGACCCATTTGGGATCGAACAAGGTATACAGCTTTCCCCCGACCAACATGAATGAGCAAGAAGTTAGAAGGTAGGCTGAACCGTACCAACCCACATCCCCCAAAGAATGAAACTGGTCGGTTATACTAGGGACGGCGACTCCTATAATAAGACGGTCCAATGCGATGAGAAAGGCGGTCAGGAATAGCGGAATCGTGATGGCGATGACTTTGGACGTGGGAGGATATCTTGTCGTTGAGGTCTTTCCTGATACCTCATTTTCGCCACTCTTCGAGGTGTTGGTCTGACCTTCCGGGCTGGACATCCCTAGAGAAGCTTCGGAGGGCGGCATGTGTTCCTCGAAACGACGGGTCTGCATCATGACCAGAGTTGTGTTAAAAGTCCCAGTGCCTTGAGATCAATCCGTGATGGGAGCAATGTTGGGACCATTCTGCGTCTAGTTCCTACGGGGCCTACCTGGTCTTATACCTGCCTACCTTGATAACATTGATGTTGGTTCCGAGGGGTGGACCTAAGTTGCGCATTTGTTTCTTGCTGCCGGATACATAATGGCCGATCAAGAACAAGCCGAACAGATACATGGCCTACTCGCCAGTGAGTCAAGAGAAGTCGAAGCCGCTTTTAGAGTGTATTCGCAGATTATATCCCGGTGGTGCTGGCGTCATATATCTTGCTCGAACAGCTTAGCGGCCGGCTCCTCGGCCACACGAAGGTTCCAACAGACCAGTCTCGGAAGCGGGGGTTACTACTTTGGGAAATCGAGGCTGGGTTGCGAAACCAACCTTATACATTGCCCCGAACATTGTGTTCCAAATTTCCGACGTATCTTCTCTTTCGAGCAGTCAGAGCCTAGTAATGCGTGAGTATCAGGCGATTCTCCAGAAAAAGCCAAATGTGCGTGTCATCCATCTTATTCCAGGCCGGCCATGTGTGATGCTGCAGAGAACGGCCGTGTCTCGCAAACTTGCAGCCAGCTTCGTTCAATATCTGTCGCAGGCACATTATCAAAATTCTAGATGAACTAGCTTGTCATTCACACTCGACGATATCCTAGTCATGGAATCCGCATCCGCATCCGCATCCGCATCCTCTGACATCGTCTTTCGTAGGTCTTGTGTCGGGTGCTCGGAGCGAAAGGTGAAATGTGATCGGCAACTTCCATGCAGTGGCTGCACTAAGCGCAAGGTGCATTGCGTTTTCCCCGAAGCTCGAGCTTCGAGGAAGATCAGAAGGTCCAGGAACGAGAGCCCGAACGGTCGTCTCAATCGCCTCGAGGCCGCTCTCAGGAGACAGGGTATCAGCCACTCCAGTGCACTACGCGATATTCTAGGCCCCGATTATCACAAGGCCAATTCGCCTGAAACTGTCCCTGCGGACGCTTCGTTGACGCTGCTTACACCTGCGTCACTCAACTCTGAGACACTGAGATCTCTTACTACGACACAACTAGTGCGAGGGACAGATGCCGAGCACTCCACTTTTGTTAATAAGTAAGCTGGATTGAGGTACTGACTTATTCTATGCTGACCGATGAATAGTAGCCTGTGGTCGAGAGTGGTGGAAGAGGTGGGATTTCCCAGTTCACTAACACGCCGGTTTGATATGCTGACGCACTTTCTACTAGTTCCATGAGTCTGACCAAGGTCTTGGAGAGGAGACATCCTCCGAGGACAACGAAGGAGAGGACTCTGGATATGATTGTTCATTTGTGTTAGGTACCACAAGAACGAACGTGTCCACTCCGTTCTCACATCCTCGTCCTAACCAACTACTCCAGCTATGGCAGATTTTCATCGATAATGTCGACCCCTTGACGAAAGTTGTGCATGTTCCCACAATACGACCAGGAGTCGAGAAAGCCTCTAGAGACGTTGACAGTGTCCCAAAAGCCTTTCAGGCACTCCTGCTTGGCATCTGTACTTCTGCTGTCATGTCGCTGAAGGATTTGGAGTGCAAAAGATTCTTTGGGGAGTCTCGTAGGTCTCTCTTGGCACAGTATGGCTCTGCTACTAGGGAAGCACTGTCACGAGTCCGATTCATGAGGACCAGCAATATTGTGGTCTTGCAGGCTTTGGTGTTATATCTGATTGCTGTACGAGAAATATACGAGCCACGCCTTATATGGGTATTGACTGGCGTTGCCGTTAGAATTGCTGAAGGCATGGGCCTCCAGCGTGACGGGACATATCTAGGATTGCCACCCTTTGAAACTGAGATGCGACGACGGATCTGGTGGCAGCTGAAGATGCATGATCACCGAACGGCGGAACTCAGCGGCGTTGCAAAATTCCAGGGCGTTGATCCCGGCCATCACCCACCAAAAATTGTCGTGAATGTTAACGACAATGAGCTTTACCCCGATATGACTTCTTCTCCGGTCGATTCCACTGGGCCAACTGATATGTCATTTTGCGCTCTACGCTCAGAAATTGGTGCTTTCGCCGTCAGTCACGCTGATAAGTTTGTCAAAATTGGCGGCAGTGGCGGCTTATGGAACGATTATGCTCCTGGGGGGGATACGCAGGAAAAGGATGCTTTTATTGAAGGGCTCAGGGGAACCTTGGAACTAAAATATATTCGCCACTGTGACCCATCTCAACCGCTGCAGTTACTAACTTCCCTTTTTGCTCGAGTGGTGATATGTGTTGGCCACTTTGTCTCCCACCATCCGCGGAGATGGGCCAGTATTGACAAAATACCGGCATCCGAACAAGAGTACGTCTGGGATCTTAGTATTAAGCTTCTTGATATCCATGAGATGATGCAGTCAGATCGTCGACTCCAGCGCTTCTCGTGGTATGCTTCCTACTATACTCAATGGCATGCTTTCATTCACGTGCTTGACACGCTTCGAGCCACGCCCATGACGAAGACTGCTGACCAAGCGTGGCAACTGGTTGAAGCCACCTATGAGAACAATCCTGCCTGGCTTTCGAATATCAAAAGGCCGATCCACGTGGCAGTGGGTAACCTCTGCTTGAAGGCATTTAGTGTCCGGGAGGCCAAGATGATCAATGAGGGCAAAACCCTACCATCTCTGCCTCGATTCATCGTCAAGCTTCGCCAGCAACGGGAGGCTGCCATGATCAAGAGACAAGAGAGATCTCGTGCTAGGGATGGAGTCCACCTATCTTCAATTCAAGAGCCGCCAAAAGCGAACGAATCGATGCCAAGTACAGATCCAGATGGTTCATTTATTAGAACACTACCTACCGTTCCACAGTATTTCCCATCGCAGCCCGACAACCATTTTGACCGGCCAAAAGATCTCCTGAACAGTAGTGACGCTTTCTGGTACGGTAATGGAGAAGACGATAGAGTGCCAGGACAGTTCAACGACGGGATGATCGTGGATGTCGACTATATGTTGACTCAGGACACCGGCTTTGAAGAGTCGAACGCGGCTCAACAGGGAATCAGCTGGTCACAATGGGATGCCTGGCTCGCTGACTCCGGCGGCGTGTTTCTCCCTGAATTCGACTTCAGCATGGATTTCGAAGGAGCTCCGGTTCAAACGAACATGTGAGGAGCTGTGGCATCCATAATAACGAGTGGTGGGAGGACAGGTCTTGTTGGGCCAACGGTAGATTATTGCTGATCTTCACCCGGTCAGACGTTTCTTGGGTGAACGTACCATGTATCGACTACATTGATGTAAGAATTACCTGCGACCTTTTGATTTCCAAGCCAAAGTCATTGATTCATTAGTGCATGACCTGGAATCAGAATCACGCATTCGAGGCAACGACGACCCAATACTTGCACTCCTCAATAAACGTACCCGTCGGACCCAACAGCTCCATGTACTTCTCCACGAACAGGCTTTCAGCCTCGTCACGGACAGCCGGCGTCCCAAAATTCTCGAACATGTGGCCTTTTCCCACAGCCTTCCTGAACAGGTCTTCCCCACGAGTAGTGGCTTTATCGTAGCGTGTGACAGCGTACGGCACGGTCTCAAAAGAACTGTGGACCTTCAATCCAGCATCGAGGGCAACCTGCTCAAGGTCGCGCAGGGATGTCCAGCGCTGCGTGTCCCACGGGACCGACTCACCCGGGAGCTGCGGCGCGATGGTGGCGAAGATGTTCATCACGAGGTTGGCGCCCGCGGTCTGCACGTCGGTGACGATGCGGCCGGTCGACGGGCGGAGAAGGGTCTTCCAGTCCCGCAGCGCTGCGACCGGGTCCGGCAGGAGGAGGAGGGCTGCTGCGCAGGTGATCACATCGAACAGCCCATCCCCCGGCCGTGTGTCCCACGAGGCACTCAAGTCTTTCATGCTGAGATCTGAGACATCACCCTTCACGAAATGCACCTGCAGCCCTTCAACCTCGGCCTTCCGCCGCGCGACACTCAGCATTCCCTCACTGATATCGACGCCCACGACGCGGCCCGCGGCGCCGACGAGGCGCTTCGCACCCAGCGCCACGAGCCCCGTGCCGCACGCGAGGTCGAGCACTGCGTCTCCTGGTTTAAGGTCTGCCCATGCAGTCACGTAGTCGTGCGCCTGTCGCGCGTGCACCGAGTTGGAGTCGTACTGTGTGCTGCGTGAGTCGTATATTGACTGCACTTTGGCAAGAATGGGTGGAGGTCCTGCTCCCACCATAGCTTCTAATTGTTGAGTCCGCTTAATACTGATCAAAAGTGACGATTGAAGGAGTGAGAATTAGAACGCTTACTTCAGTTGGTTGATTATTTGGCTAGCTACCAAGCTTTGGACTTCTGTCTTGCTATATTACGGGAAACAGAGTCACGAGTCTGGCCCTACAGGCTCCACGTTCCATGCACACAAGTACAAGGGATTGAGGATGGTGTTTCAGCTGAAGTTGTTGAATGAGAAATGGCTAAGCTTCTTGGGACGGATTAAGCTTATCCTCTAGGGATCCCCTCGGTCTCAACTACGGGGTTAGCACTCGATAGGACCTACGAGTATGTAGATAGATAACAATCGATACGTCATTAGCGGATGAGCCCTCCTTCGACCGGTTTAGGTTGCACAAGGTTCCGAGGACTCCGGTCAGTACTATCATACATACCTAGATACATACCTACGTTCTACGGATTCCGGAAGAACTGTCCGGCCGTTTGACAAAATGTATTTCACAGGGTTGCCAAGGTACAACGTACGTACCCACAAGGCTGAAAAGGCAGCCAATACCAATAGGAAATACTCTACCAACGACAGAGGAGTAGAAATACCATTACAAAACAGTATCATTCATGCAAGCATGCTATAGTAAACGACGCAAGTAGTAGCCAGAGGCACCCAGCTAGGCCAGCTATAACCACTACAAACTCTGCAAGGCAACCCTATCACCATCTGTACAAGAAAGAATCATTGTCTTCTCTAATCTTCTGACCCGATGATCATCATCAATATGACCAGCAGCGACCACTAGTAGTGGGCCTTTGTCACCTGTTGAGATAAGTTCCTCATACCAGAACGAGGCCAATCAAGTGCAACCTGTTGCAGGATGGATTTGTCAGAGCTGAGTTCAATCAGTTCCGGCGAATCCCTTGAGTGTTATTCAGGGGATGTGGTGTTCTTGTTCCCCCCTGTCCCTCCTGATGGACACTCCGACACCTGCCTCGCATCAGGGGATGCCACTAAACAGCCCCAAGCCAAAGCCATGCCGCAGTCCAGCCAACAACCCGATTCCTCGTGAAACTGTTACTAAACACCACTGACCACCCATCATAACTCGTAGCCGAAAGAGAGAGAATTGCCAAAGCGAGAATGACGACCGGTGAATATTCATCACTCCCTTCTGCTCCTGGCAGTGAGAAAAATCATTTCCAACGTTGAGAGGCAACCGAATCCGACCTGGGTATCCCGCATTTGTCCATTTGTCCCGAAAGTGTTCACTAGAACACATACCACTAATCCTCCTCAGCGCGACAGAGATGCAATTTGTTCAAACTAATTTAGAAACAGTGAAGGAGAATAAAAAAGCAAGCACAAGGAGATTCGTTAGTCAGCGTTCAACGATCGTGGATGATAATCATCGAAAAGAGTCCAGTCCATGAACTCATCAATGCAAGAATTGAAAATTCAATGGTGTGGTTTGGACCCTCCGTTTCCGGTTTTCAGTTTTGCAAAGTTTCAGAATCCCTCCTCTTGGACAATAAGATGTATCATTCTGAATCTGGTTTCCTTCACGGTGACGTGATTTCCCTTCTAAGAGAGGCAGTGCGCGCAATCTGGAATGACAGGTGGTGGTTCGAAGGAGTTGAGAAGAAATCAAGATCCGGCGTTCGGGAAAGTCGTCTCGAGACAACCGCCGGCAGAGAGGTGGAAGTGAAGGAAAGTAAAAGTGTCGATGTCGACAGTATTTGACGTGTCCTGGCGTGAGCCCATATCTCTCTGTTTGTGGAAAGTTTGTTGACGAACAAAGGAAAGTAAGGATTACTCCTAGCGAGACCAGCAAGCTTCGAAATGAAAGACCCTCCCAGTCAAGTAGACTATGATCCCCCTTGTCAAATCAAAGTCAACGCTTGCTAAAGTGGCAGACCCAGATATGCTAGACAAAGGAAAGATTAGATGAAGATATTGGGGGAATAGTGTGATCCGGCTTTGACGTTCAGCCGAGATCTTCTTCACCATCCTCATCCTCGTCCTCGTCAGCGCTCTCGCTGGCTACTTTGGATTTCTTGCTGGGAGTCTCATTGTCAAGATTTCCAGCCTTTCTCTTGGTGCCTGATGTAGCACCCTTGGCGTCTTTGGTAGCAGGGGTGCCGTTTTCGCCACCAAGAGGGTGTTCGCCCTTCTCCAAGGCAGCGACCTCGTCAGCCGTCAAGAATCTACCTCCAGGTCCACGAGGTCGACGCATTGCATGGTTATGTCGTGACTCGTGCAAGTAAGGTTTGCGTCCCTTGGAAGTCAGTCTCAATTGCTCTTCAAGCTTCTGTCGAGCGACGCGTCGTTTGAGAATGCGATGGAATTGTTTCGCATTTACATAAAGAGGTGATTCCTCAGCCCCGCCTGCAACAATCTCCTCCTGTGGAGCTTGTACAGGCTGTTGTGGCGGAGGCATGGTAGGAGGAACTGTTTGTCTGGGGATATTGTGATTCATGACTGGCTGTGACACTTGCCCATGAGGACTGGTGATGTGCTGGCTCATCCGTCGCTGCTGATTCATTTGATTCGCCTGGGGGATATTAACACCAGTAGACATGGATGGCATTTGTCCTACACGTCCTGTTAGTTGATTGCTTTCACACACGATCGTGAATGTGAGCCGCGGCACATACCTGAAGCAGCCGCAGTGGCCATGGCCGCAGCCTGAGTGGGTGAGATACCATAACCTTGTGCCATTCCACCACCCACACCATATTGAGGGTAACCCATCGATTGATGGACACCACCTGCGGACTGAGGTGTGTAATGGTTTTGAGTTTGCGACGGCAGGATAGGAGAAGCTTGGTTCGGATTATGTTGTTGCAAATGCGACTGAGGACCGGAAGGCGATTGTAGAGCACCGGGACCCGCGTTCTGAGGGGACGTCTGATACCCGCTCTGCAGATGCGGATGGTGAGACTGTTGCTGATACTGCGGAGGATACTCCATCATGAGTACAAACTACGATGATTCTGAGTTGTACTGGATCTGGGATTGATGCAGGGCTAGAAGAGAAGAAGGTGCAACGGCCCGTAGGGTTCGCTTTCTGGTCGCCTTAAGCTGTTGCGCGTATGAGAGAAGCAGGAATCCCGGAGGCTAAGCTGGCAGATAATGAGCTGATGTCAGGTCGGCGTGATGGCTGAGACGCGCTTCGGGGGCTACTCGTGCCTTGAAATGTTGGAAGAAGGCGCCTGGAGGCTCTGATAGGAGGGCACAATAGAGAAGGTTGGAGGCTGGTCCCTTGCGTTAGCTACTAGTGCAGGAGTCGGCGGTCACTGGATCACTCACAACGCACCAATACTGATGGTGATCTGCCAACAAGGGCAGAATGCCAGATACCAACGGATTTGCTCTTAGGATTGCTGAATTAATTGACCTAAGATGGTCCACTATATTGACAAAGACAAGTCAACAAATGAGGCGGGTGTCAAGCCAGGTTGGAAGCGCAAAGCCGTTAGGAGCCGGCTGAAGTCGCCTTGGATTGGGCTCCTTTGCAGGAAGCTGGGGTTCGGGGTTGCGTAGCGCTTTTGATGAGTTGTCACTTTCTGTCCCCGGTGGGCAGTGCGCGGTCGGGACTGTGGCGCGGATTATGAGGTATGCCTGACCTTGTAACGTCACCAGACGGACCTCCAAAGCCAGCTCTTTTGCAGGCGGTGCGAGGAGTCGCCGGTCTTGAGACAGAGGTCCTAGTTGTTTGTTGATAGTGGTTTCCAGGAACCCAATTGTGTGCGCGCACCGTTGGATTAAATTCAGTGGATTGCGACGAAGAAGAGGAATGATTCGAGGGCGTGTAAGAAAGCAGCAATGATTCGATTGCTAGACTACAAAAGAGAGATGGGGAGGATTAGCATTGGCTCTGTTGGACAATCAAGGCAGTTATTGGAGGAGGAGGGTCGGTGGAAAGAATGAGGTAGCGTCATTGGCGGCGTGTGCATTTGATGTGTTGGCAGGTCATGCAACTCACCTTTAGTTCCGTCCCACAACAAAGACCAAAGCGAGCTGATCTATTCTTGTAAGGCAGATTTGCCCTGAAGTTTCTTCGATGATGTCCGTTGTTCCTAGGACGATTTGTTTGGTGCCCAAGGTGTGAAGCAAGCTGGCGCAAGAATGACGGAGCAGCTGGCACTCTACAGAAGTTTGAATCTAGAGTCTGTGGATGACCCTTGGCACTCTGACAGGCAACTTTTACTACTGGATCGCGTCGACGATGTTGTGAAGTTGCTACCTGCGTAAAGATGAGTCGTCGCAAAGTGAGAGTGTGGATGCGACAGTGACGCGAATTGCAATTGTGTGCGGTGGTTGGTGGTATGGGCGAGGTGTGAGCAGTTGGCAGCAAATGCCAGTGTTCCGTGGTCAGTCAAGTACGGTGGGAGGCGGAGGGTGGTGTCAGGGTAGGTGGACAGTCCGGGAATTGGCGTAGCGGTGGAGTGTGTGATTGCCAGCGGTGACCCGGTGAGGAGCAGGGATTAGAAGATCAAGTTCCAAGCTTGCCGCGGAGGGAAGGTTGATTTGTGAGAGCGGGCAGGGCAGGCAGGGCAGGCGGAGGGCAGGGCTGGTGGAATTGAGACTAGGAAGCCACGATCGGTCGGTCGGCTTTTCTGGCAGGCACTTGGGATGAGAATGATAATAATGGCTTGCGCCGGGTGAAAGCTGAGCTGGAGTATGGCTTGGGGGCTTGGGGGCCGCGGTAGATGTGATTCTAGCTTAGGCGGTAGTGCAGCTGCTGAGATGACGAAACTCCCGAGGTCAGAGCGATCAGAATACCGAGTCTGTCGTAGTGACGCGACGAGGTGAAAAACTCAGCAGTCGAGCTGCCGTGAGCTGCTGTCGTTTCCCGTGCGTCGACAATTTTACTTTGGGCAACGCGACGAGGCTCAGTTGTTTGGATTTGATAGGTGGTGATGCTTTACCAGGAACGTGGATCTTTACAAGAAGGCGGCCACTCAAGTGTGATCAGGTCTGATGTTTGGTGGTGAGTGGCCCAATGGTGAAAAAGTGACTTGTCGGGCACGCCTGGGGTTGACGAGTTTGTCGCAAATTGATTTGTTTCCTGACCCACGTGAATGTCGGTAAGTCTATTTGGATGACTTGCGTTGGAGTGTCTCGCAAGGCGAGTGGATAGGAGCAAGATGGAAGGTGAATGGTTGATGGAATGGAAGTTTGGATCGCGATAGGGCGAGAGGGTGATTGGGTCAGAGGCTGGGAAAGAGGAAGTTGAAACCGTTGGGCGATTGGGCAATGATGAAGTACTGGGGAAAAAAGGAAGAGGTGAAGAAACCAGAAGGCTGGGCATGACACCCAGCATGGGCATGGGCGGCGAGTCTGAGGGAGCGGTGGACAGGGCACTGGGCAGACATGGGAGGGGCCTGGGGAGATGGGATCGGAGGGGCATGGGCCTGAGTCAGTAGTAGCTACGAGTAGCAGTGGACAGCACACAACGCGCGGTATACGAGAGACCCGAGCTGTGGCAGTCCTACGACGGAGTACGGGAGGACTACGAGTCCTGGACGGACAAGGACGAGCGGGAGGAAAGACTCAGAGAGATCACGGGACATCCGTGGCAATCTCTGTCGAGACCGCCCACGCCTCATGCTGAGGCTGTCAGGTCACCGTGCTAGGCAGGCATTTTTGCCTCAGGCTTCAAGCTGTGCTCCGGAGGCTTCAGCCATCAAGATCACAAGTTACGAGTACTCCGTACAAGTTACAAGCAGAACAGAATTTGCGCCGGGCCAGAGTGGAGTCTTGGCTAGTCGCTCAGGCACTAAGGCGGTGGAGTGGCTCTTGGGTTCTTGGGCCCTTGGGCCCTTGGGTACGTGTCGGATGGGCCTTGGCGCACCTGCTACAGGCTACAGGCTACAGGTGGCAGTCTGGCAGTCTGGTAGTGACGCACAGGCTACGGCACGACTATGTCCGAGGTGCTTGCCTACTACTCGTACTAGCCTACGCCGTACTGCTCGTAGTAATCGTACTGCTAGTCTGCTACCGAGTGCGACTGCGTGGACGGCCCGCTCGCACCTGCAAAGCACTCGCTTCCCATGACTCAATCCGATCTAGCCACTTATAGCTCCTGCTTGCTCGTGACCACCACCCTAGCCATTTCTATTTCTTGGTCTTTACCGCTTGTTCGGCGGGGTCTTCATCGTCCTGCTAGTCCTGTTCAGTCCATCGCCCATTTTAGTTTGGACTTTGAAAAGCTCATTCTCTGGTCCGAGAACACGAAACTGAGTATTCCGTACTCGTACCCTTCTATGGACTCTGATGTACTAGCCCACAAACAGGACAACGCTTTTCTAATGTCGTGGTCGCTTGAAAGGAGCATCTCGTATCCGAACAGAGTACTCGGTCTTCTGTCTGTCACCAGATATGTGCCATGGTCCACAAATGGTTTCGTGAACTGGATGTTATTTGTCAGATCATGTGATTCGCCTCCGGGTCACGAGGTCGGAAGTGGCTCTGCTTCCCAAGAAGCACGAGCCGTGCGCCACCGCACCGTGCCCCCCCCAAAGGGAAAAGTATCTGTCAGTTGTATCAAAAGACGTCTTCTGACCACCTGTCATCCGCGTCATTCGAAAAGATATTCGGTCAACACAATTTCACCTGCCGAACAACACACCTTCAATCTCATTCGGATCTCCCAGGCCCATGCTGCCTAAGCTCTACAACAAATTCTTCGGGAGCACAACCCCTCGTTGTGTGTAAGCAGCATAACGTTGCATGCATATTCACGGACGTACCCGGATGCACGACGTTTCCGGCAATGCCAAACCACACTTAATGAACAAGGACGGTTGCAATCCTGACAGTCGATCCCTGGAAACCACGGGAAGCGAGATAGACCTACGAGATGACGCTCTCATCCTAGCTGGTACTATCTCCGTCTCACCTTCCACACTAGGTTACTATGCGACCAGAGATGGTCATGCTCTCCGGCCTAGCATCAACCCCAACATGGTCCTGACAAAAGGACACACAATGCCTGGAAGTGGTCAGTCCTATTGCTATCATTTACAGAATCTGAAGATCCCTGGTTTCTCTCCTGGCTAGGGAGGTCTTTATGTATGTGCATCAGTCACCACGCCGACCAGTGACCCCCGTTTTGAACTACTTGTTCGCTCGAGCTCAGCCAGACAGTAGAGAGATAGTATGGTGAGATTACTAAAGGTACAAATCACAAACACTCCGTGGACGTGGACGCGGACGCGACACTCACCTTTCCATATCAAGTATCTCCACCTAGTTGCATCTCAGTCAACCGCTGTCCCAAAACTCGCTATTCCCGTCGGTCCCTCAGGAAACCCACCTCACTGCCACTCCTAGGCGTGTGTACCTCCCACCCGCTTCAAATCCAGGCCTCACTCACCATATCTTGACCTCAACCTCATGACCTTCTCATTCCGTCCGCAGAGGAGCCAAACAGCGGATCGACTAAGAAAAATCCCACGACGAGCAGCCAATCGCGCACTGCATCACGCACTAACCCACTGTTCCAGTGCTCCAACCCAACAGAATATTCCCTCTCGTCACCCAATGACCTGAAATGATGTGATTTCTTTTCCTACACCGGTTTCTGATTTGCTATCGGCGCTTGATTTCCCCCTGGAATTACACCCCGTGTGTCTCCACTGGCCCAAGTTCCCCTTCACATGTCTTTGTCAATCAATCCAGGCAGCCAGAGGTCATGGGATTAGGGATCTTGCACAGAAAGCTAAGTCGAGTATGGAGCAGAGCCAGATCCCAATCCGCAGTGTTGGGAAGAGGTGGCGTGCCCTCCCATGGGGCGTTGATAGATAGATGTGCCTTCCATGTCCCCTTCCTATCTCCCCATCCCCACTACTTGTTTGCTTCCTCCCTCCAGACAAGACGCACCCAAGCTATGTTTTAATCACTCCACGAAACCCTGCATCAGAAGATCTAGGCTACAGCCGGCTGGATATCCCTTACGTATCGAGGCGCCAGTCACCTCCACGACTCTGCCCTCTGCCTGCCCGACCGGTGAGGCGGCAGACTTCTTACTAGCCTGCCAGCTTGCATGATTGCGTTCGTGCTGATTCGAGTCTCCCTGACGGGGTTGTTAGCCTCGCCTCCGCCACGCCTCGCGCCGACCCTGATCTCACCCATCCCCCAGTTTTACTCTCTCCAGCATGAGGTTTAGGTTGGCATCAAAGACCGTTTCCTCTCCGGGACGAATCTATGTTGGGGCCCCCAACGCTGATAGAAGTTGAGGACAGCACTATGAGTACGCAGGTAGGGGTGTTGGATTGATTGTCCGGGCACCGGCAGCAAGTATGATCCGTGTCCGACGGCGTGATGTGCATCAGTTTATGAGGAGTGAGAAAAGAGTTTGCTGCTATACACAATACACATTCCACTACCGTTGTACACCGACGGACGGGACATACGAATAGGTTTCACTTGTGAGCTCACATGAGCAATATGATTGAACCAACACTTTGTCTTTGAATTAATTTACTTCTGTCACAGAGAATCTCTATTGTCGTTGCGTGGGCTTTGGCATACCGGGTATACTCATCACTCATGCTTGCTTGCTTGTTTGCGTTGTTTCGTTTTGTCTATGCTCGATATCTTGTTAGCGAATGGAGACCCAACATCAAGGTCTGGGCTGAGCTGGCCGGGCTGGCTGCCCTGCATGGAGACTATCAATCAATCCATCAACCAACCAGCCTGCCCAACCCCTGAATACTACATACCTAGGTAGTGTACCTTGGGTAATCAACCCCAACACCGGTAGCGCCCAAGCCGGCCGATGCAAAGTGGTCTGCATTTGGCAATCAGAGCAACCCGTATTCAGAAGTTGCCTGCTCCGCTAATCTCCCATCACAGTGATCCTTTTTGCTCGTTGTGGCTCCCTTGATATGAATGAAGCAAAAGCCCAGGGCAGGGCAGGGCGGAGCAGAACACACGCGTACCAAGGGGAGCCGACCACCCCCTTCATAACCCAATGATTACGGGTCTGGGATGGCGTGGGACCGAGTTCATTCAGCCCAACCTCGCTGAAATATGACCCCATATCACGGACTCCCGTTTTGACTAATGTGGTTTCGCCAGAGCGAGTCTACTTGTTTATTCGCTGAGAACCGCCCTTAGCATAGACAGGAACGCTTCCCTCAATTTCAGCAATTCTTCAACCTCAGGCTTCACGGGCTCCCCTGCGCTACGGCGCAGTCGATCCTGGGCCTTTCTCCGCCTGCGTCGCTCCGCACTGATGGGGTCGAGATCGTCCGCTGCCTCTTCTTCATCGCTGTCTGCGTCGTCCTCTTCGTCGGATATCGTCAGGTCCATCAAGTCAGTCTGTGGGAGATTGTCAGTATAGGACTCATGTATATCGAGAATAAGGTGGAAGGAGTCTCAAGACTATAAAGCTTACTTCATGCAGTCCAAAGTCGCTACTCTTGAACGATGCCATGCCGGAGAGGCCTTCTAAGGTACCCCCCGTTCCTTCCGCTGCCATCTTCTGCCGCGTTTTGTCACTGTGCCATTTCTTCCTGTCCTCCTGCCACTGGATCAAGGCATTGATCTCATTGGTGGCATTCTCCCTGTCGATCGTGCCGACGTCTAGAGCACCCTGAAAGATAGCATTCATATCGAGCTTGCCGCCCTTGGGGCCCTTACGCAAGAACTCAAGAATATTCTCAATCCAGCCCATCAAGGCAGTGAAAAGACCATTGTCATGAATATGAACTTCATGAATGAATTTGTATAAATTATGCTCGTGTCGGGCGCACAGGTCAATGAAGCTTTGAACAGTCTGGTTGGGATCGGCTGAGACATCTTGCCTTTGAGCAATCTCCACCGTCTTGATGGCGTCGTCTGCGAACTGTGCGAAATCGGTAATACTGCTGTAGACGTTGGCGGATTTGTACACTCGAATTAGCGGCTCATAGAAGATGGTGAACAGGTCTCGGAAGAGTTGTAGTGTTGTTGGTTCCTCAATCATCGTAGCCATCATTGCCTTGTCTCGTTGGCGAGTCAATAATTTGAGCAATTGCTTGAGATGAGAAAACATCTCTGCACCTTGTTTGAGCTCCTCATCGTCATTCTCAACAGCGCTGTTCCATGCCACGTAGGCGTTGAATACTCGTTGGATTTGTGGAGGCGTCAGGTCAGGCTGGAAGGCTTCCGACCTCAGAATCGCGACGACAACGTCGACCTGCTCGTCTTCAGCTTCATTGCGTAGAATGAACTTCGTGTCCTCGTCGCTATCCACAAAAGATTTTAGTTTGTTGGTCAAGACAGGGTCTCCGATCTTCGTGATTAGATCATCAATTGACTTTTGAAATTGTCGTATACCGTCTCCAAGGGTTTGAGCGAAAATCCGCTGAAGCAGTGACCTAGTGCCAAAGGGCTGCGCTAGGAATAAGTCCAGGACACCACTCATCACTGCTGCAGGGTTGGCGATGCGGATGACATTCTTCAGCACGGTATATGGCACCAAAGAATGTATTCGCTTTGCCTGTGCGAATAACTCGGGCGAGTTGTCTTCGGCAAGGAAGAGATGATATATTGTAGCGGCGACTTCTATCCGTAACCATTCGGCAAATTTCTGATACTCAGGACTCAGATCTTCAAGTTTTTCCTTGTTTCGAATTTCGGCGAAGAGCTTGGTCAGACCGTTACTCTCAACAATATCTCGTCGGAATTTCTCCATGTAAGTATCAAGCTCGGCAGCGCGTTGTCGGGCAATGTCATAAAATTGACGTTGCTCTTCCACTCGCCTTGCGTCCATCTCTTTGCGTCGATCGATATCGTCAAGCTCTTCTTCGTTCAACTTTACAGGTTGTAACGTAAGGAAATCGGCCACTGACCTAGATTCAGCAATTTGCGGATTTTGCAGAATTGTCCGCAAGAATGCTCGTAGAGAAACTCTCTGGTCCTCTCGGTGCAATTTGATAGGGAGTGGGCTTGGACTGCGATCCCTCGATAGGCTGAGGCGAGGCGATGCTCTTCCCTTGGGTGAGTTTGTTCCAGCATTGGGGCTCAAGGCATTACCCGATTTGAGGCGGCGATGCATCGGTAGCATATTCCTTGAAGAGCTCGCATCGTCCAGACTTGCCTGCGTCGAGACCGAGGATACAGATGAGGCGTCATCGTCTGCTCTACCACCGCCACCAATGAGTGCTGCCGTCGCCGATTTGTTCTTTCTAGGGAGTGGTGGGAGTACTTTTCCAGGCATCTCGGTCCGTAGCCTCTTGTGGAGTCTAGTAAACTCGCCATATCTCCTGCCGATGTATATTTCCGGCTGGTCTGGTCGCTTTACACGGATGAGAAACTCGGCATGTTGGTGATAGCGAACGGTCCTCTTTATTGACGTGGTCCTTACGCCGGCCACGTTGACATCCCAGCCGTTGATATAATTGCCTTCGGGGATGTTGACTACAAGACCTTGTTCATTGGGGCCTGCATCAACGACTTCCAGTTCGGCAAAACGAATTCTCTCTTCGTATCCAGACGCAGTGGGGATTCCAGATACCATCATCAGCTCGACGAGTTTCTCGCATTTCTTGGCCAGCTTTCTTCGCTTCGTCTCCTCTAAGCGATCTTCCGATGACGAAATATACTTGCTCGAGAATGATTCGAGAAAGACTTGTAGTTTATCCTGCCAGAATTCCTTCTCTTGTGCCTGGTTGAGGAAGGGAAAGTTACGGACATGGTTGACGAAGATATAGCGCAGGATTGGCAATTCCGAATCCATGGGAGAGACCTCGCCATATTCTGACCGGAATGGCGCTCCAAATCGTTGGAGGGCCGTGGGACTGTTCAACTCTTGAATCTCGCCATTGACTTGTCTGGAGATGAGCTCTCGCTTGAGATAATGTTCTTGCTTCCCCGTCAGCAGCTGACCTGGCGGGGGTATAGAGTCTTGGGACAAGGATTGTTGAGGGTTGGTGTCGGCGAAACTGACATCGCCATTGGGCATTGGGGTTCCTTTGAGGTCTCCTCTGAAGGGGAGTGCGGATGTGGACATAGCCGAATGGGTCAAGGAGAGACAAGAGAGGGTTATGTTCGCAAAGCAAGACGAGTGATGGCGGTCTTCGTGATTCAGATATATTTCTCCAATGTCAACCACGGTTAAAGGTTATGGACTTTCTTGTGGTGGGGTTTCTTGGGGGCCAGAGCACCAGTTACGTGGCTTGTACTTGGTGAGGGACAATTGTATGCGACACAGTTCAGTCAGCAGTGGTTGTATGTACTAGCGACTGGCACTAGGTCGTGACTTGTGAGAAACTTGGAATGGGGGACAGGCAGACAGCTGTGTAATGTGCACAGGCCCGAGCTGAGAGAACAGGATTCGGAGGTGGAGTGGCTGAGGTTATCAAGTTGTGGCTAATACCATTCCCCGTCCCCTTTGTGTGTATCGAGAATGAAAATGGTATCGAGATCCGTGTTCAGTGCAATCTCTGCTACGAGCTACTTAACTAATGTACAAAAAGATGGATAGGCGGGCGGCTGAGGTGCGGTGGTGAATGATGATGGTTGAGTGACTGGTGCCCGTGGATGAGGACGAGCATGACTGCGTCATGGGCGGCGGATGGAGTCATGGGCATCAATCACTATGGCATCCTTAAACTTGGAATTCTTTGGGACTAAACCATTAATGGAGTCGGGCACGTCGACTTGGCAGGGCCGACGAGTACTCGTATGTACCATCATACTACGGAGTACAGACCGACGATGAGGTAATTTGACTGGGCAGCACCTGTTGGGTGCCTGTGGTGCCTGCGGTGCCTGCCACCCCTGCCCTTCGTTGGGTCCTCGGCCTCGTCGACGGGCCCCTTGGGGCCACCCACGGGCCCTGAGTGAACTGCTTACGACAACTCGAAGCCTCTTGGCCTTGGTATTGCCCACCTCGAGGCTGACTCTCTCACTGATCCATCGTATTGTTATTCCTAATCAATTCCGCACGTCTAATTTATCCTCCGTCATCAAATCAAAATACGGAGTACTACACTAGAGACTTGGATCTTGGAACATCAGCGTGGTCGCTCACTTGGCAGTTACGGAGTTCACCCGATCCCAGATGTAGATCGTCATCAGCCTTATCTGCGTATATTGAGAGATACTTGCATTTTGCCCACAGTACGCAGTATCAAACCCGACGTCGTCGTTCTTACAATGTATAAACCAACTTTTGGCCACTCACTTTATCGTGCCTCATCAGATCGAATCCCTCAAAGACCTTGTCTAGACCCTGGGAGACTCTCGTCGGATGAACTTTTATGCGGCCTTCCGCCAAAAGAGGGTCAACAATTTCCTTCACCCATTTCTTCATGAATTCGAAATCTGCTGTTGTATCCTTGACTTCGAAGGCCCATTTCTTCACAGGTTCTCCCATGGCCGTGTAGCCAAGTGAAAACGTTTTCTTCACATCATCCCGAGGGAACTCCACGTTCAGAATCGAGCCGTATGTCCCTCCTGGAGAAATCACCCCTGCACATATCTTGGCAGTAGGTGGTAAAGCGATTGTATCCCACACATATTTCAGGTTGCCGTTGGTATATTTCTTGATCTGGTCGGTGACATCAGGGTCCTTATAGTCAAAGGCCGCCTCCGCTCCAAGCGACGTGACGAGCTCGAAATTGTGCTTTGACGAAGTGCTGATAACCCTGTAACCAGCACTTCACTCCCGTCAGTTTGATCCACGTACATCCCGTCAGGGAAGAGACTTACAGTTTCGCGAATTGTATTCCTAGTGTGCCTGTCGCCGAGCTTCCACCATAGATGAGGATGAAATCTGCGCTGCTGGATGGTTTGTTTGGCCAACTCAACCCCATCTGCTGAAACAATCCTTGGGCAACGGTGATGATGCCCACGCCAAGTGTGGAAGCTTCTTCGAAGGATAGGCTGTTGGGGATGCGAAACCCAATATCCGCCCGAACGGCGATCCTTTCGGCAAAAGCACCATCTTCAAGTTCGAGTTGGTTGCCACCGTGAACAATTCCCGCGATTCTGTCACCCACTTTCCAGTCCTTGGTATACCCATCGCCCGTTTCCGCAACGACACCCGCGAAGTCACAGCCGGCCAAAGCACCTTTGGTATTGTGATAGTCAACGTGCTTCCAATCTGTAGGGTTGAGAGCGACAGCCTTGACATCAACAATGACATAGCCGGGTCGGTGTCTAGGCAAGCGGCGGTCAGTCACTAACTTAACGTTTCCAGGTTCTCCTTGGAGTTCAATTGCTTTCTGAGTGCCCATCTTTCTTTGGTCGTGAAATGTCTTGTTACTATTGATGAGGGAGGCACTGGTGAAGGATTGTCAGTCGTCTGAGTGCGAGGAAATACTTTCGAGGGCAGGAAAGAGCTGTGTTCGATTCTACTATATAATTGAAGGCATATATCCTCAATGGTATTCTTTGTCTGATGATGGGACGTCATCAATAAATCGTCCCACTTCTGGTAACTTAAAGAGTTTCTGCTGACTAAATGCCAATCGCCGTCCCAGGTGGAGGGTTGGGGTATAATGGCATAACCCAACTATCCTCGGCTGTGTCTGCATAAAGATAAGTCTAAGAATCATGAGCCCGAGTCGGAACCTAAGGTACCGTGGTCGGATCTTTCTCCAGAAGTAATGGACTACCCAGGTATAAAGGAGTGTTCCGAGCAGGGTTTTCCTGCACGGAAAAAGCACTCATTGGCGGAGAGGTGAACACGAAATTAGTGAAATATTACCTAAGCAAGACACAATTGTGCCTCCTTATGCGTGCGAATGAGTCTATATGAAGAGTAATAATACATTTGCGCAGTCTGTTGTCTAGTGCAAGAAGTCAGCCTTTACACATACCTAGGTGCCAATGACAAATCCCGAACGAACTGTGTTATTCTTCACCGCGTGTACAAGTTCGTACTATCCTGTTCGATGGACACGAGCAGACCGAATGGCAGTACATAGACTAGGACACACGGTGCCCATGATTAAACAGAGAAGACGAATGAAGACTTGGATCGTGCTCCGCAATTGAACGAGATCGTGAGTGCGCATGCGGCATAGCGAATCCTAAGAGGCGGAAATTCGAACGAACAGACAGGACGGGTTCGACAGGGGAGTATCGGATCCGACAATTGAAGAGCAAGACTATGAGAAGCCGCCAACAGGTATGTTATGGTGTAGTATAGCATGAAAGTTCCTTTGAGACCCACTCTATTACTGATCTATCCAGATACAGGGTGATATCTCTTGCTACAACAAATAGGACATTCAGAATCGCTACTGTGCATTAGTAATACTCAATTGCTTCCGAGGCAAAAGGGGCACCCGGGGCTGACAGTCTCGCGAGGCTGCGGCATCTTATCTAATCCCTTGGCATCTCTGAAATTTCTCCAAAATGAATTTCGAACGATCGATTGGACGGTACCGACAATAGCGACAGTTCATATCCTTCCCATTCAGTCGAAGCCGGCTGGCACCTTCCCTCGCTTGCAACCATGGTCCGTAAACTCAAGCACCATGAGCAGAAGCTCCTCCGCAAAGTTGACCTGGTGAACTACAAATCCGACGGTCCATCACACCGCGAAGCCGCCATACGGCGGCGATACCACCTCACCCACCCTCTCGACTACAGCAAGTACAACACTCTCTGCGGCCGGTTACGACAACTCGCACATCTACTGTCGAACCTCGACCCTAGTGATCCATACCGTGTCGAGATGGAGACTACCATGCTCGAGAAATTACATCAGATCGGGATCTTGAAGCAAAACCGGCAGCAGGGCGCTGGACTGTCAGCGGTGGAGAAAGATGTTACCGTCTCTGCATTCTGTCGTCGCAGGCTGGGCATTGTGATGGTGCGAATCAGGATGGTCGAGCATGTCAGCACGGCGCACAAGTTCGTCGAACAAGGCCACGTGAGGGTGGGCACCAATGTTGTGACTGATCCTGCGTTTCTGATCAGTCGCGGCATGGAAGATTTCGTAACATGGGTGGATGGCAGTAAAGTCAAGAGGCAGGTCTTACAGTATCGTGACAAGTTGGATGACTTTGACCTGCTATGATCGAAAACGGAGATGTGAAGAGTGAAGACGTTGCGAGTATTCTCAGCATTCGTCTGAGCGAAGGGCCGCGTTCAATGACTTTGACACCATCACCATCACCACACCGATCTGTCCAAGAAGCGTTTTATTGCTATTGTCATGGAGAATTGCGCCACCCGGTCCGCTTTCCGGACGTGGCTTGTGCAGAGCGCGCCGCAAATGCGCCAAAGATGCCCGAATTCGAACATGCCCACGGGCGGTACGCTAGCTAAATGGCTCCCATAACGAGGACAATCCCTTGCAGTCAATAGGGTCAACATGCTGCCATTCTGAAGGAGGCTTCAAAAACCACATAGGGCACTCCGTTTCCCCGCAAGGCACTCCTGAGAGATCGAGCCATACTCGAACCAATCAGAGCGGGAATCCATTACTGTGTTTACAGTCGCAGCTGTCGAGACGACATTCACGATCGACCGGCAGGCGGCTTCGCACCTCAGGCCTGATGCTGGGACATGTACACAAGCGACAGCAGCTTACCGCGCCAATACCCTTTTGACTGACCGGTGCTTCATCTCAGCTACAGACCAAGCCTACACCCACGGACGTGACCAGTGGAGAAGTCGGTGTAGGAAGACCCATCTAGCACGAATCAGCGAAGACAAGGCCTCAGAACCCTGGGATCAACGACGGGGCCACTCTCTGTGCTGGATGCCCAGGTACAGCCGCCGCCGCATGATCCTGAGCTGTCACCGTTGCAGAGAGAGATATCTATGGCTGGTACTGTGAAGACACTGGCAATACCCATGCTTCCTCCACGTCAAATAGCTAGCTGTTGTACGATGGCTATCAAACTATAAATCAGTAGATGCAATCCAAGATCAAGCGTCCGTGCCCATGTGCATATAATTACTGTCTTTTATTGATAGGTGTTTACATAACTACCTAAACTAGGAGTGCTCTATCTAGCCTACCAAGAGCACTTCTGCTGTTGGCTGACGGACTGATGGGGGTGCAGCGCGCCTCTACAGCACTTGATCATATAGAAAGGCCTCCCCCCTCTTTCTCTCTCCCTCTCTGTTAGAGATCAGCTTCCTATCTGACCCACCCTCCGATCCCATCCCCATCAAATCGTTCCGTGCCATTGACATGAAAGAAAACAAGAAGTTTCATCCGACGAGCAAAACATGGCGCATGCGATGCATGCATGATGAGCATTCTTGGGCGGGGTATCGCAGGGCAATGGAAAAAAGTCAAAAGGTTTTTATCTCTTTTTGGTTGTAAAACCCCAAAACCCGTGCGCTTGGAGGATTGGCTGAACGGTTAAAAAGCTGCTTGAGTATTCCTCAAGCATAAGATTACGTAGTTCGGCTGAATGAGAGGGTTTGGAATGTCTGGTAAAACAGTCAAAAGCAAGACCATTTCCGACGCAGCGGTTCTTGGCTGTGAGCCAGGTTCTTCTCTGCTTCTTTCCCCTCGCACTCACCCTCGCCTCCCCCTTCCACTAGTGCAGGAATCGAAGCCTCCTCGGGTGGCGCTTTCTGCCCTCCAGGGTCCTCAGATGGATGATTGTCTGCGGCAGCGTCGTCATCAGGAACGTCCATGCGAAATCGTCTGACACTATCTCCATCGCATTTGCCCGTGAAGAAATCACGGCGCGAGTTTTTCGAGAGCAGATGTCTCGGCATGAGTCTCCGAAGAAGGCCTCTTAATCCGCTGTTTGCGCGGTCGATTTTGGCGTACTCCTTGCGCCGTGTCTCGTCGGATGTCCAAGAGATGACGGTGTCGAAGGGCGGTCGTTCTGGGGTGAGGCTGTGGATGTCGCTCTGAGGCTTATTTAGGCGGCGGGCGGTCTCTGACGCTGCTATCTGACCATAGATTGTGTCTGGTTCAACGCCGGTGTTTGGCTTTGGTGGTTGTAGGGGTATGGATGATGTGGAATCGGTGTTGAGAGAATAAGAATAGGAATAGGTGTAAGCCAGTTTTGCATCGAGTTTCTCGCACATCTGGGCCATATTGGTCGTGGCGGATGTGCTGGCCTCCTCTGGTATCAGTGATGGATGTCTTGTCGCTGATCTTGAGCTAGATACGCTGGGTAAGGGAGTGATCTCTCTGCTTAACGCGAGTACACCGTCCAGAGAGGAGAAAATCTGGCAGCTTTTTCGGTGCAGAGCGGTGGTATTTGCTTTTCGAGAAGCCGTTGTCCTCCTCTTCCCGAGACTACTTTTCCGTCTAGGGACGGAAGGGGAGGATTTTGACGAACGCCTTGACGATGGACGTGAAAGTTGACTTTCTGAATGTCGGTCATCTGACACCTTGGTGGCGGTTCCGGGTCTAGAGCTGTCATTCTTTTTCGGCTCGTATTTGATCATGTAGGTGTGGGTTTTATGGCTGCTCGTCGGATAAATCCAAGCATTGGTGGCACTTGTGATTGCAGAATGGAAAGACTCAGCATCAGAATCTTCAACTGGACCGGTTGTACTGTTGTGTAGGTCTTGTGCGTAAGTGGTGATACGTATTGTCGTCAAAGTATTCATGTTCTCATTATCACCATGATCCCGCATGGTGTGCAAAGGTACCTGGTAAATGGTAAAGACTGAACTGTTGTAATCTGATTCGTTCTGGACTGTGGAGCCAGTGGTTTGCAATTTGACACAGGAGATCGTGATGCGCGGCAAAAGCCCAAGCTGGTGTGAGTAAAACTGGTGTCAATAAAGAGTTGGTTCCGAGATCAGCCCAAAGCCCAAAGCAAGTCCCTCGGATCTAGTCATGATGGTTTTATGTCATGAACGAGAAGGTGCCTGACAACTCATCGATGCCCAACGCATGGTAGGATCTTTGCTGAGGCACTGAGGGATGGGAGTGAAGGGCCAGACCTGAGCTGAGGGCGGGAAAAGGGTCATAGATGAGGTCGCTTTTTGGCCAATTCTCGATTAATTCCAACCAACCCCTTTGGGACGCTTCTGCAACTTGAAAACTGGACTCCTCATGAAGCTCCATGTGAGCGGCTGCATGAAAGACACAATCCAAAGGGATTCGCCCCCAGCGCCAGAGGAGTGTAGACGAGAATTGAATCTGGGCATCGGCAAGAAAATGCCGACATCTCTCATGAATTGGGAGATTCGGGTGCCATGTGATGCTGGACTACAGTTTGATCGGGAAAGATGAAAACTGAATTGATGTAGGCGGTGAAGCTAGAGACGCAGGTTAGAGTCTGATGGAGGACGCGATTGGGTCTGGTGACTGTGGCCAAGGGGTCGCCAGAGCGTCTCGGCTGGAGTGCGTCAAGCGGCGGCTTCATGCAGGTTGCACACCGCCAGAGATCGCCAATCACGTAAGAGAGATTGCTCTCAAATTGACCAAAACGGGAGATGTGAACCAACCCATGACACTGACAAAGACCCATGAGTCAAGAATCGAACCAAGGCGATCCGATGTGGCATGCTGTAACAGCGCATACTTGTACGCGTCGGTGCAAAGAATGTGTTGGCTTGGTCTGCAGGGAGGAAAAATGTATTCCCGAACCACGAACCCAGCCTCGCGAGGCTGACTGTCGCTAACCTACTGCCTAACTGGGCCGCTAGTAAGTACTCCGTATTGAGCTCACACTGATCTCGTACTGGAGAACGTGGTTCTCGTACTCCGTGGGAGCACAATCCATGGTTGAGAGTCAAGCATATTATCAATTCAGGATCTGACTCGCCATGCAATATGCAGAGATATTGTGCTCCTGCTAACTTTGCCCTCTATGACATTAAGCTGGCCACCGCAAGTGAATCCATCTGGCCTCATCTGGCCGCAGATTCACCTAATCACCCATGCCCCTGACTATGCTATTCTTTTGCTGATGCCTTGTATGCAGTTTTCGCGACCCATGCAAATATCATAAACAATTCGTCTTCTCGTGCCACCTGCTGAACCAAACATTTAGATCCGAAGAATTGAGCGCTGCGCTCAAATCCCAATGAAAATCTCAAGCTATCACATCCAGGAGATTCGAAGATGGCATCATCTCTCAGGTATGTCCTTTGTACGTAGATGTGTAGATGCAAAAGTTGACCAGGCGACACGGTTGTAACGCCTCGGATGGTGCAGCAATCAATAGATTGCACCCTCTCCTCATAACAGGCTGGTGTATAGTCGATTAAGGGTATCTTGGTTTTTCAAGTCGTGCGCGCTAGAAAATGCCGAATTTCTTCTTCTTTTCACCCTCTGTGATAATTAGGGTCAGTGGTCTCAAACATGAGGCATGGCAATCAGGAAGGTTCTTACCCTGAGGACCAATATTTCCTGAACTCTTGCTCGCGATCAAGGCTCCCTTCTTGCCAGCAGCCGCGGTAAGTGGATCAGCACCATTCGATGCGGCTCTGATTGCCGCAATGCGGTGTTTGGCCCTTTCTTCTCCTTGATCCGCGGCGCTCACGTACATAACGTTCGCTTCCAAAGGATCGCGACGACAGCCTATCCCCATCTCGGTAAAATATCCGAGGGTATATTGAGCCTTTGCAAGACCCTGCGCGGCGGCCCTCTTGGCCCACTCATAGGCTTCGCTTTCGTCCTTCTCCAGAACGTTAGGAACGCCTACCATATACCAGGCACATAAAGCCATTTGCGATTCCGCGTGGCCGCCTTCAGCGGCACCTGTGTAAAAATGAATACTCAGAGCTGCATCTTTAGGGCAGCCGAGCTCCCCAAACTCGTAGGCTTTTCCGAGTCGAAAATTCGCTTCTACATGCCCCAAGTCCGCGGCTTTCGTGTACAATTGCGCGGCATACGCTTCATCCATGAACACGTCTGGCCCATATCCGGTCTCGTGAAGACATCCTAGATCATAGGGACCTTGATTGTACTGATAGTCGGCTGATTCCGCTGCTCGCTTGAGCCACCGTACCCCTTCACGGTAGCGTTTAACTAGTCCCATATCACCCGTGAGACAAGCGCGTCCAAGTCGGAGCATTGCACCAGGGTGGTTTTTGCTTGCTGCTTGCTGATAAAACTGAACAGCCTTAGCTGCATCAATGCGAGTTCCCCAGCCAAACTCATAACACAAGGCGGTCCGGTACCCCGCCTCGGCATGACCATGCTTGGAAGCAGCGAGGAAAAGTGGAAAAGCACGCTCCCAGTCTTCTCTTCCCTTGTTGAATAAGCCGGAAGCGAAGCCATCTGCAAGATAATACTGGGCAAATGGATATGAGCGATCGGACAATTTCTGTAGGATATGCTTGGCCTCTTTTAGAAGATCTTCCCTCACAGAGTTATGAGACTTGTCGGACACAGCGGACTCGGAAGCATGGTCAACCTCCAACCCATCCTCCTGGGCGGCGCTGATCATGAACACTGCAAATTCGTACTGGACGGCAGGATCATTTGTTTTCTTGACATTTTGGCGATACATCTCGAGAGTTTTCCTGGTGGAGAGGAGTGAAGCGTTGGTGCCGATAACAGTGCGCAGGCCAGAATTGATGAGATTCTCGGCACCGCTAGGTGCAGCTTGAGGGTAGGGGACATTTAACAAATCGACATATGACAGAGGTCTAGTATCGGGAGATCTTGAATGCCTCGAGACGGGGCGTCCTGGCGACAATTGAGGAGAATGGGTGCGTCCTCTTATATCGGAAGCATTCGAAAAGGACGAGACAGGACGTTGTGTGTTGTAGCCATAGGTGGAGTTTCGGGCACTGTCACTGGGCCCAGAACCATCAGTGGCTACGGTCAGCCGGGAGGCCCTCTTGCTCAGGTCGACATCTTCGAGGGCATGGTGATGGTACCGCAAGGGCTCGAAATTGTCAGAAGGGAGATCACTATCGAGGGCCGAGGTGGATGCGTGTCTCATTGAACGCTTTTGAAAGGGGGTCAATCCTTCAACGTCACCATCCCTGAGTGCGATATTCTCAGAGGCAACTCTTCTATGTTCTGGAGTCAGACCAGCTGACTCTTGACCTTCGACCGGACGCCGCCTGACCATCGGCTGTGGAGATGGTGACAGCCTGTTTGGGTCCTGACCTATGGCAGGCTGAGGAGTCAGGGATCGATTGGGAGCAACAGGACCCGAAGGCCTGGACACAGCGGCTTCTGGGGGAAGGATGTGGACATCTGCCGGGTCATGGCTGTATGGCGAAACGTGGGCATTCCCTCGATCTTGTGGAGGAGGCTCGACAATGCGAGGACTGTCAGTTCGCAGAGGAGGAGAATAGATGGCGGGGGGAGGAGTCGGTGGGAGAGGATGGCCTCCAAGTTGGGCCATGGTTGAATTATAGGAAGTGCATTTGATTTGGAGGCGGTAGGCGACTGTAAGATGAAGAGGAGGTTTGGAGGAGGAAGAGGGAGGAAGTCTTGTGTGCCCGTTATGTTGTTCGCAGGAATGCAGTGGCGCAGACGACTAGTGTTATATTGTAGGTGGGTTACAAGCGAGTGACTGTATAGACAACGAAATAAAAGCCGGTGGGATTTACGAGGCAGAACAAGGGGGAGCACAAGGAGGAGCACAAGAAGGAGGAGGAGGAGGGAGGAGGGTAAGTAGTGGTGAGAGTTGGTGATGGTAGTGGTTTTGGTATAGGTCACTACCACCAACTAGTCTGGAGTGCAGTAGCGGAGGGGGTGGACTGGGTCAGGATAGAGTGGGCATGTAGTCGTAGTGGTGGCAGTGAACAGGCACTTGAAGGGATGAAGAATTCTACAACGTTGACGCAATGCTGCCTCGCCCCACCACTTTTTCTTCCAAGGAGAAATGAATTTGCAGATTGGTGTTGTCTGCGTCTTTGTTGGCTTTGAGCTTGGAATAGCTGGCGTCTTTGTGATGGCATATAGGATTTCTTTGGTCTGGACCTGGGATTCAGGCTGTCAGGCCATGTCATGGCATGTCATTGACTAGCAGGTGGTAGGTATTGTCTAACCTGGGAAGCGCTCCCTGAACTTTAGGGTGTTGAGGACGTATGATTACAGTTTGAACTGGCAAACCCTGAACAGGGCGCCAGTGGTCCCCTGCTTGATTCACGGATGCATGCGGGAACTATTGAAGGGGCATGGGCAAGAGAATCAAGAAAGGGAGGCCACCCCGCGATGTTGCCTGGAACCACTTGGATCGCGTACGGAGCACTCTAACCATACCTGGAGACTGAGTAAATAGGGATGATCGCGGTATTTGATTAGGCGACGAGGTACGGAGTGCACGATCATGGCTGGCTCGAGAGGGAGAGACCAAGACACTTACACACCAAGAGAACTGTGACCCTTATGAGTTATGACGCGGCAGACTCTCAGTGTGTAACTTGGTCTGAGGTTTGGCTGCCCGAGCAACGAGCCACGAGCAACGAGCCAGCGGGTGAAAAATACAAAAATACGCTTCACGCCCATACCAGGTACGGGCGCATACGGTACGGATCCGGCTGGCTGCAACTCCGTAACACCGTAGCAACTTGCGAGCAAGCGTCTCATTCTTCGGCCTGCTCAGCCACATCCGCGCCTAAAACCCACGTCACTGCAAAACGATACAACAGTTGACTGTCAAAAATACGAGTCAGTTGTAGTGTATTACAGTTTTACGACCACTCCCTTTACCAAGATTGTAATCACACATCCTCCTATCGATCTTCAAGAAGGATACTATGGATCTGAAATCATCATCCAGCATGATATAACATAGGTACTAAGGGATATGTTCGTTACAACAAATTAAGAAGTTGGGAGACAGATGCCACCACGGACTATTCGTACCTGTATTCGCCTCCTCTCCTGCATGTCTTGACTCTTGATCCACTCTAAACTTAGCAGACCCGGTCCTGAAACCACTGACTGCATTGGGTCAACCATAACCAACAACCAACTATTACTCTCTATTCTAGTCTCTCCCACACTCTTACACTCACTGGCACACTCACTTGTCAAACTCAGAAGTCAAGTCAATCACTCACTACTCACAAGTAGCACAATCACTCTGTCTACAACACCCACTCACTCGGATCTCCATTTCTTCCTTCTGCTGTAGCGCCTGACACTCACTGAAAACACTGCCACTCCATCGTTCACGCGTTCACTCACTTCTCACGCCACTTGCTTTATCCTCGACATCTCCCCCAGCGCAGAATCCGCAACTGTAAATCTCTCGACTTCTAAGGTACTGGATGCTGGTACGTGCGAGTATTCATACAATGCCATTGTCGGCCCACTAACTGACATTCCTTCGCCTTGCAGCATCATGGCCGACGAACCACGTAGGCCCCGGCCTGCCACTTCACCTACTCGAGACAAATCTCATTCTCCATATCGAGACTCGCCCTCGAGAAGACTGAGAGACATCGAAACCGGTCCCTACCAACAAGCTCGCAACCCCGCGCACACTGCCCACCGTGCGAACGATCAACATCCCCCTTCTCCTAGTTCGAGAACGGCTGATTGGGAGCCCATCATGTCGAATCCTGCAAACCAGTCAGATTTGGGTCGCAAGAAGTCTCTCATCCGTCCCGAAAGGAACCGCATCGACCGGGATCACCCCAATTACCATTACCGCAAGCATGCTCAGAACATGGAGGTCTTGCCCTCAACCACGGGCAATGATCCTGTCCTTGAAGAGTTGACCGAAGCCCGCACCGTTAGTTCAGGAAGCATAGAACATGACACTGAACAGCCCCATCCTCCCATGCGAAATCAGAGTACCCGCCAAAACAACGCTCGTCTTCCCGGTAATATTGAACCCGTAGGCAAGAAGCGGGCTCCTCGTAAGCTCGTCCGAAAAGAAACCCGGAACATGACAGAAGAGGAGAAGAAGATGCAGAAAGAACTGGACAAGATCAAGCCTCCCAGCGCGTGGAATATATATTGCGCCATCATCACCTTCTGGGTCCCTGATATTGTCCTGCAATGTTTTGGCATGCCCGCCAAAGCCCAGAGACGAGCTTGGCGAGAAAAGGTCGGTTTGATCAGCATTATCATCGCCATTGCTGCCTTCGTCGGTTTCTTGACCTTTGGCTTCACTCAGGCCGTCTGTTCCGCTCCAGGTCTCAGGCTTCGGGTCAACAAGGTGGACTCGGGTTACATGATCTTTCATGGTGGTGCTTACAACTTGGATGGCTCCATGCACCCCGCTGCTCTCGGCGTCCCACTTGACACCAATGTCCTCTATGATCTTCCTCACAAGTATGGCGGTCAAGATGGCAGTTTCATGTTTCAACGAGTCAATGGCCAATGCAAAGACCTCATCACCCTCGCTCCAGGTTCTGACGTCCCAACAAATGCGGATGGCGACCTTGCTTGGTACTTTCCCTGCGTCGCTTTCAATCAAGATGGTTCTTCACCCGTCAACACCACAGTTCCCTACTATTTAGGATACTCATGCCATACCACCGAGAAGGCGCGAACCACTTTCTACCACCTGAGAAGAGCAGGGGATGTCTTCTTCACCTGGGATGACATCAGAAATCAATCTCGAAACCTGGTTGTATACTCGGGCAACGTCATTGATTTGGACCTTCTTGGATGGTTCAACTCAAGCCAAGTCGTGTGGCCACAGCAGTTCGATGACCTACGAGAAAACAAGGATATTCGTGGCATGGACATCACACACGTCTTGCAGTCCTCGGCCGATAAGAAGGTCGGCAAATGCCTCTCCCAAATTGCCAAGGTCGGAAGTATTGATACCGAGTCGGTTGGCTGTATTGCTTCAAAGGTCGTTCTCTACGTCTCCCTGGTCTTTATTCTGGCAATTGTACTCGCCAAATTCTTTTTGGCTCTTGCCTTCCAATGGTTTCTTTCCCGGAAATTCGCAGCTGCGAAGTCTTCCCAGAAGGTTGATGCCAAAGAACGAGCCAAGCAAATTGAAGACTGGAGTAACGACATCTACAAACCCGCTCCTAAAATTACTGACCCGGCAACTACAGTCTCCGGGTCTGACGGCCGAAACAGCAAGCGCGGAAGCATGTTGTTTCCCCAAACCTCGCGTTTCACTAGCCCGTATGCTGTCGATCGCGCAAACAAGACCAATCGACCTCCACCAACCACAATGACAAGTCAGTCTTCTAATGCCAAACTCATCCAACCAGGAAGCGGAGTGTATAAGCACGGCCATAACAACAGTCAAGTCACATTAGATATGAACAGAATGAGTGGTGCTGGCAGTCGCTCCAGTCTCTTCCTATCTGGGTACGACACACGCTATTCTATTGCGAACGATGATGCTAGTCCGAATGGGCCACTAGGTTTTATTCACGAAAATGTTGTTCCACAACCACCTCCCGAGTGGCAGCCATTTGGATATCCCTTGGCTCACACCATCTGTCTCGTTACCGCATATTCTGAAGGTGAAGACGGCATTCGTACCACATTGGACTCTATTGCAACAACCGATTATCCTAACAGCCATAAAGCTATTCTCGTCATCTGTGATGGTATCATTAAAGGCAAAGGCGAAGCCCTATCTACCCCTGACATTGTCCTTGGTATGATGGGTGACTTTGTCGTTCTTCCTGAAGATGTTCAGGCTTTCTCCTACGTTGCCGTATCCAGTGGTTCCAAACGACACAATATGGCCAAGGTCTATGCCGGTTTCTACGACTATGGGCAGAATTCTCGGGTGGATCCGAGCAAGCAACAGCGAGTTCCGATGCTGGTTGTAGCCAAATGTGGAACACCTGACGAATCCGGCAAGAGCAAGCCTGGAAACCGAGGCAAACGTGACAGTCAAATCATCCTAATGTCATTCTTACAAAAGGTCATGTTTGATGAACGTATGACCGAACTCGAATTTGAAATGTTCAATGGACTCTGGAAAGTGACCGGAATGTCACCCGATTTCTATGAGACGGTTCTCATGGTTGACGCGGATACTAAGGTTTTCCCGGACAGTCTTACCCATATGATATCTGCAATGGTCAAGGACCCAGAAATCATGGGTCTTTGTGGTGAGACCAAGATTGCCAACAAGAATCAGTCTTGGGTCTGTCGAATCCAGGTTTTCGAATATTTTATCTCCCATCATCTTTCAAAGTCCTTTGAATCCGTCTTTGGTGGAGTGACTTGTCTTCCAGGCTGTTTCTGCATGTACCGCATCAAATCCCCCAAAGGTGGTCAAAACTATTGGGTCCCGATTTTGGCCAATCCCGACATTGTCGAGCACTACTCGGAAAACGTGGTCGATACTCTTCACAAAAAGAACTTGTTGCTTCTCGGTGAAGACAGATATCTTTCTACCCTTATGTTGAAAACTTTCCCCAAACGAAAACAGGTATTCGTGCCTCAGGCAGTTTGCAAGACAACCGTACCGGAGAAATTCAGTGTCTTACTCTCTCAGCGTCGTCGCTGGATCAACTCGACCATTCATAACCTGATGGAACTGGTCTTGGTTCGAGATCTTTGTGGTACTTTTTGCTTCAGTATGCAGTTTGTCGTCTTCATTGAACTCATCGGTACTTTGGTTCTTCCAGCGGCTATTTCCTTTACTGTCTACCTCATCGTCATTTCGATTGTCAAACGGCCAGTTCCAGTCATTCCACTGATTTTACTCGCGCTCATTCTCGGCCTGCCGGCCATCTTGATTGTTCTAACGGCACATCGGTGGTCATATATTCTTTGGATGTTGATCTACTTGGGATCTCTGCCCATCTGGAATTTTGTTCTCCCTGTATACGCTTTCTGGAAATTCGATGATTTCAGTTGGGGCGACACACGGAAAACAGCGGGCGAGAAAACAAAGAAAGCAGGCATCGAGTATGAAGGAGAATTTGACAGCAGCAAGATTACCATGAAAAGATGGGGAGACTTCGAGAAAGAACGCCGCGCCCAAGCCAATGGTATTCCTTGGACATCTCATTCAATGGGACGACCACAAAGTGGATATAACTCAACACAAAACTTTGAGCCATATTCTGACTATTGAGCATGGCTAGGAAATCTTTGCATTTCCATACTTAACGATCGATCTCACGACCAAAACATAAGCGAAAAACCCGTCAGCGAGCATTTTCATTTGGCTTTTTGTAGGAATCCCAATTGGGGTGCGCGGGGGGAAATACTGTCATTGACATGCACTATTGATGTGGTTCGATATGAATGGATATTTCCAACTAGGTCGGGCTGGCTGTACTGGATATGGGAATTTATATGGAGTTTGACTGTGCTAAATTTTACGGTTGGACTTTCCGCATGGCCTGTGAGAATGTAAGTCGTAGGGATGCTTCCATGTATCAGAATGCATGTGCGTGTAGCATCTACCTGAGCTTGGGATAGGAATGGATGATTCCATCATCTCAGCATGGTACTTATTCCGGTTGAACAACATGGATTCTAGGCACGGCAAGGTCCGGAGTAGTAAGTAGGTAGTTGAGCGGGAATCTGATGCCTGCGCTTAATGAGTGGACTGGTGCATTGATATAGGCAAGTTTTTACACGATATTTCTACATTGCTTCGAAACTGGGACGTTCCCGGACATGAGACCAGAGTCAAATGGGATAGAACCACCTAGCCTTCTTGACCTATCACGGGCCACAAGCTCCAACAGCATAGGCCCCTCTCCCCCTGTCCTCCTCTGTTCGCTCACACAGTTGGTCTCTCTGGCCGAAGCAAGGCGAAAACCCCATTCGTGCATAGACTATTCGGAGAATATGGAAAGATTGGAACTATCCATCAAACACATCTACCTATACTTTCCTCCTATACGGAGGCATCATATTAAAGAGCAAAAAACAATCAACAGCCAGGATTCCCAAATGGTCACCCACTTTAGTACTAACTGACCGGCATGTGGCTTAAGTACGGCTGAGCGAACGGGAAGCCCTGTTTTCCACATCCTATGGTCGATTGCGGAAACCAGTACACTGCTCAAAAAGATATTCTTCTAAAACCTGGTTTTGGGGGGATTTTACATTTTCTAGCTGGTGCTGATATTGGTTTGTTCCCCGTTAACCCGTGATGGTGATTGCATGCTTCAGTACTGTTATAATATTGGGAATGCGTGCCACTTTTTGATTACTCGAGTAACCTGAGGAAGTGACCTAGGTACCTAACTAAGTATTTACGAGGTATAGGCCTCCATTTCTTACATCAACCTGAACCATTGGCGTGTTGAATGCAAGTGGGTGTAGTTACTAGGCTGGTCCCTCGATGCTTACCACTTGTATGTACAAGCTCGACTCTAGTTCCTGCGTTTCGACCCTTGGGGAATGTTGACTAAAGGGCGACGGGACTGGAGGGCCGAGGGTTCGGTCTTCTTGATAGCACGCAACGAAAGTACTCACCCTGGCCTGTGCGGGATGTCTACATACATGAGGGCGAAAAGTAAGGCACGTTGCGGACTGCATTGTCTATCTGTGGTCGTGATCATTCAGAGCTGCTCGGCTGTTGTCTCGGACTCGCAGGCCGCCATGCGCAGAGCATTGGGGCATGCCTTCATAGCACACACACCCACACTCACACACACGTTTTCTTTTGATTTCCAAGATGAACAAAACTAGGTGGACTTCATTGAACCTATATCATTTCTTCAGGCATCCTATTCCCTAAACTTGAACCAGGATGATTTTCTGTCATGCCATTGTCCAGTTCAGCTCGCTGCTGCTGGTTACCACCTTGCCTTGTCTGCGGACGCCAAAATTTCAGCGGGTCCCAACCAGCCACGAAGACCTTTCTCCCAAGAGAGTCGATGCGAGAAGTGATGGATTGTGGTTAGGTGTTGAGTAGGTCACTGTCTGAACTAGGCGGGAGGAATACCCTCAGCCTGTTTGGCGACCTTGTCAGCGGCCTCAGCCTCGTCACCCAGCTCATCACGACCCTCAGCGAAGACTTTGTCAAAATCATACTCTCCCCATCGGATATCTGGGTTCAAGCCGGCGAATTTCCACTCGCCGTCAACCTTCTTATACCAATGCTGGTTGGAGGAATGGGCGTGGCCCTTGACGAGGATCTTCGTTCTCGTGGCGTCGGTGTATTTCTGGTGGGGAACACGCAGCTGGTGGTAGCCGATGATCTCGTCGTCCGAGACCTTCTCGTACTTGGAGGCGCCGCAGAAGTGCTGGGTCATGAGCCGTGGGTCGCCGAGGACTTTGGGGTCGGAGATCATCTTGATGAAGTCATCCGCTGGCATTGCTTCCCAGAGCTTGTTGAGGAAAGAACGGTAATCGATGCGCACCGTAGGAGCGACGATCTTTCGCAGGCGTTCCCAGTCCTGCAGATTGCGTAAGTCGGTGACCGGAATGAGCCGTCATGGCTGGAGGAGCCCTGAGGTTCGCAGCGCAATGCAATGCAACGTACCTTTGAGTCGTAGCTCTCGGCCCACTCGAAGTACGCATTGAGGACACCTTGGTATTCTAATTTCCAGAGCATGGTTGTCAGCGAGTTGTCAGACAATGTAGAAAGGAGGCATTCGTCAGCGTAAGAAGCTGTGGTGCACATGCTGTCACCAGACTCAAGCAGGTGCCTGGAGGCACAACCAGGTCGCCAGACCAGCTTGGTGCAATTAGGGCGTTGCAGTCGATGCTCACCTTCGAAAGTTATCATTTTACTGTGGGACGCCATGGCTGAGGACAGAACGAGAAATGCAATACCCAAGTAAGAATGGACCTGAAGAACAAAACTTGGAGATTTGCAAGATACCCAGGACCTTTCTTTTGTTTTGAAATAAAAGGAGGAGGGGAAACTGGAGAGAGGGGGGCGCACGAGGAGGAATATCTTGATTGGTAGGTAAATATATGGTGGAGGGGCTTCCGGCTTGGGGGAGGAGGCGGGTGATTTTATTCTGCACACCGCCTTTCGCACGAGATACATCCGCACATTGCACATAGTTAGAGCGGACTTCGCAGAGCAACTAATGGCCGCGCTAGTAGGTGATATGCTCGTGATATGTTAATTAAACGACAGTGAGTGCAGTTTACAACTACAATAGGACCTCGTGTTGAAGCTCACATCTTGTTTGAAGGCACGCGCCTGGTGATGTCAGTGCATCTGTCACATTGGTTCCTGAGCAACAGGCACCCCGAAAACGCCATCAGGGACGGGCGCTAGCTCGGGAGCCCGAAAGTGCATATTATGTGTGCCTTGTCCGGGCTCCGTTGACTAAACGAATTGGGGTTGAATAGGCATTGTGAAGATGCCATTTTTGGAATTGCTCGAGATGTCAAAGAAAGGGCCGATGCGCCGGACTCTCAGACTTCTAGGGGGTGGAGATGCAGACGCAAGCCGCATCAGTAGGCGGTAATAGCGAGATTGATGTCACCATATCACTATGAGCATGACAGGAAGCGATGCGCGGCACGCTTGAACTGACGAATCTTGTGATAACGCAATCTTCCATTGGTATCACTGAAATAGGATAACTGCTTGCACAAATAGCTAGGCACGCCTCTGCCCAAGGAACAGCGTACAAGAACCTCATCATGTGGCACATAGACCCATCGGGCAAGCAATACATGCTGCCTGCGTCGTGTTTTTCAAGACCTTGACCTGATGACTATAGTCCCCTGCTGATCGGCTCACGCTGAGCATGCAACTCTCATTTCTGTCTGTCCAATGTTCAATGCCTTCGACGACAAGGCCCTGTGGATTGCAGGGCGAACAAATCCACAAGCAAGGCCGGTCCTGTCATCCCTCTGAAGCCCAACACATCGCAGGTGACCATTCCTGTCTGCGTTTAGTCGAGACAAACTTATGGCCACCCGGCGATAGTTTCCAAAGAAACCATGGGCTCTGGCGTCGTTGGGAGACTTCATTATACCATGACCCAAGGTTACACACACTTGTCCACTCACCTCGATCGCGTGGGCATCCGGTTGTCTCGAAGGTGTCAGGAGCACCGAGTATACACTGCCCCGGAACCCAACTGTGCGGTCTGCCACTTGCGCTGGGAATACCCATTGGCCCTGGTGTTTGAACGGATGCCAGGGTGTAACTAACAGGTCGCCAACCTGGCACAGCTTCTGACTATTCCTGCGAATGTTGGTCTTGAGAACCGCAACCACCTGCCGTCCACCCATGGGCGTCCAGACTTGCATGCCAGGCCTCAGCGTTTTGACTGGAATCTCAGATCGATCGGCCAAAGTGACTTTGCAATTTCCCTCGAAACAAGGATTGCTGGACGAATTGTATCTGCTCATATGGACCATCTTATGCTTGCCCTGCTTTCGTACCACATTGCCGTGGCTATCGATGGAGGTGACCATTGGTGGGGGTAGACTGGGTTTTGGTGCCGGAAGGCTATCAAACGCAGCATCAAGCTCGTCTCTGCATTGAATGAAGAGTGGGCTGTCCTTCCCGTAGAGTAACGGGCCGGGGTCCTTGAAAGTATTGCACATCTGCCGTTGGTGGGCGTGGAGCAAGCTGGGTAGGTAATGACGGCCCCATCGTATCCAAAACTGTTCCTTCTGATTCGATATCATGGCCTTTGAAATCTGACCCGCAGGCTCATCGCCAACAAGGTCGGCAATTAGGGACTTGACTCCGTCTCCTTGGACAGGACAGGCTTTAATACGAGCAACCAGGGCATCGAGGTTTTTTTGAGCTTGTTGGAACGCTTTGCCTTCTCCGCTTATTGTGCTATGCTCACCATTATCCTTGAGTGGGAAGAGCGAGGATAGGAACGTACAAATTCCAGAGCGATATCTCTGGTATTCGATCTTCTCTTGGGGCAGATCGATCTCTTCCGAAAAATGGGCTTGAGCCTGAAAGCCCTGAGACGCTCCGCCTGGACACTTAAAATTGAGCACAGCGCTGACGACGGCGTTTTGGGTGATTTTTGGACATTGAATCCAGATGTCTCGGGATTGACCATATTGAATATTTCCCAATTGTAGGATAAGTTTGTTTTTCTCGTTCTTCTCGGTGGCAAGCCCGGCTGGTACACTCATGGCCTGATGTTGAAAGAATTTGTGGTTGAGCGTCTTCAGCTCCACAGTGGCGGAATGTGCGAAAGTGGTGAACAGGTTAGCAACAGCATGCACAAAAACTGTTCCGATCATGCCAGCATCTGGAATAAATGCATAACTTCCGTTGCCAACTTCTGCGATCGAAGACATTAGGTCCGAGCGGATGGTGTAGCCAAAGCCAAAGGTATGGATGGTAGGCACGCAGGAACCTTCCGTCTCCTTTGCCATCTTCTCAAGCATGGGTCGAAGAGAGTTGGCATAGCCTTTCTGAGGACACATATGGTTTGGTTGTCCATCCGTGAGAACGTAAAGCCCTTGAACGTTGCCGTTGGGCTTTGCATTCTGGAAGAGCTGTAGGCCAGCTTTGATTCCAGACCACAGGTTGGTGCAGCCTTGATCGTGAAGGCTATCAATCCTGGCCCATGTTTCTTTCTTTGCCTCTTCAGCCATGGCCGTCAATTCTTGGACGATCTGGATTTGAATTATATCAGTATACTGCCAAGCACATAGCAAGATTCAAAACACAACTTAATGACTTACCGTTGCATCATTGGAGAAAGTCACGATTCCGAGCCTGTCTCCATCTTTCATTGTCTCGAGAACGGTTCTTGCAGCGTGCTTGGTGAGGTCAAGGATACTGAGTCCTCCAGCCTCTCTCTCATTTTTGTTTTCCACGTCTGGTAGCGGGGCTGCGGAGCTCATACTCCCTGACACGTCGATTACCAGAACGATATCACAATGAGTCCGGGTAAGGCCATTGGATGGGAGTTGAGGAGGTGTCACGGAGACAATGAGGGCGTCATCAGAACGAAGAGGATATAGTTTGACACTGATGCGGTCTGCTGGATCTGAGCCATTTTGTCGTAGCGGGAGATCTCGAGCACCATCGACATCTTGCCAATCGTCGGTGAGAGTCACATCACTTACGCTTGGCGTAGCTATGGACGGTGTTGGGGTATATCTCGACATCGTGAACGTTTATGTAGTATTTGGTTCAAAGACAATTTTTAAATCAGACAGAGATGGCACGACTCTTGTTTGCTAGGCATTCCTTGACGGTTTAAATAGGCAAACAGAACGGCGTGGCTCTTAGAGGAGCCACAAGAGTTTCCTTTTTGCCTAGGACTTACCTCGTGCATTATTGTCGGCTGCTGACTATCAGGGCGCAGCTGTGTCAATTTTGCAATTCAAGTTTGCATAACAAGTAGAGTTGGGCTTGAAGGCCACAATCATTAGCTTCGACAGTGATTGCACCGAACGTTGGAGCTTCCGGCTGCCTAGAGCATGAATTGGGCGCATGTCTGAGTCACCTCTCACGAGCTTCAGGCTCCTCATAATGCCCCACAATAAAATATGTGAAGTCGAACGAAAGTGCAATGGCAGTGCAAGCATACCTAAGGTTTCTGGGACAACATCCTTCGTAGTGGACGAGGCAGTTCGCTGAGGGCTGAAGAGCCAAGGCATATGGATTCTGCCTGGTGCGCCGGACGAGGCTGATGTGCTTGGGTGTCATCGAAATCAGCCAATGGAACGTGGTCGGCTCACATGATTCGCGCTTTACCCCACAGTAGAATGAGAAAGATATGGTGGTCTTGTCGTGCTTCATACAGGTAGTCAGATATGCAAGAACGGAGCTCTAGTCCTGACCCTCTCCCGTCGATACATCGAAAAGATTGCTCTGCCATGTTATGCCGTACAATGGGTATTGATTGATCACCAGCGTTTTAGCTGCGCAGCAATAGCTTAAGAGGGCAAACACTTGGTAATTACCGGCGGCTCCTCTTTTATGGGCAGTGCAACTGGGAGAAAAATTCTTTACATCGAGTGAAAGCAGAGGAGCCTTATTAATTTACTGCAATCTAGTGTGAACCGGTGTAGTGCAATCTATGCTCATCTTCGTCTACAACAAAAAACACGCCTCGGAGCATTCTTGGCTTGGGGGTTTAAAACTCGCCAGCTGGCCCCCACATCCTTATCGGGACGCGAGGTAGAATTCAGAAAGGAGTGCAGTCTCGAGTCCTCGAGTCCTCGAGGTTGTTGGTTGTCAGTCCAGAGGCCGCCGCCAAATGTGGATGTGATGTTCAAACATACCAACGAGACTTTGTAAAGATATATCCTGCTAGCTTTCTTGAGATAGACTTCTTTGAGCCATCATTGGATGCATCTCAATGATTGGCCCCAATTTCATTTAGATGCGGATACAGGGGCTCTGACAAGCATGAGCACAGGTTATATAATCATGCATTTCTTCGCTCTGGTGTTCACTAATTCTCTTTATACAGCAAACTATGACGACATTCGGCTGATACTATCGACGATTGGGAGAGCGCCAATGCTCAGATCACCATCAATGATTCGAAAGAACGGCTCTTGAAGTTGAAGGTCAACAACCAACTTGGCCCTTCTGCCGGACATCGCTTTTGAAGTATGCATCCGATTTGATGAGCGGTATTTAGCTGAAGATGGTGTAAGCATATGCAACCCTTGGAGGTGACGAAGATCAAGGACATGATACCTATCTCTTTCATGCACGCCGACGTGGTGATTGAAGATCGCACAACAGAATGTTTTGAAAGTGGAGACCTCCATGGGAGAACGGCGGCTGTTTAGGATTCTCTCCCATTCCACAGAGGCAGATAAATAAACGCTCACTTTCCTTCTGTTCCAAACTTACCGCCACCGAGCAAAAGATTTCTTCCTGCTTGAACCCTCAGCACAACCAACTCCCCAATCCAGATTGAAGTCAATACAACACACCAAGTGGCTTGATACTCTCTATCCAAAATGAGCCCACCAGCCCCCTCAGATCAAACTATACTCATCAGCGGTATTTCCGGGTTCGTTGCAGCACATATCGCTCACGCCTTCTTGGAAGCGGGGTATAAGGTTCGTGGAACTGTAAGATCGGACAAAAGCATCGATAGTATAAAGAAGGCACACGCAAAGTATGCCGGTCAACTGTCCTTTGCCATTGTTCCTGACATCACTGTACCAAATGCATTCAACGAAGCAGCTGATGGTGTGACTGGAATCGTTCATACGGCAAACCCCTTCATTTTGAACCCAAAGGATAATGAGACCGAACTGTTAAAGCCGTCAATCCAAGGCGTACTGAACGCTCTTGAAGCAGCAAAATCACAAGGGTCAAAAGTCCATCGAGTGGTGCTCACCGCATCCTTTGCAGATATATTGGACCTCTCCTTGGGTGAACGTCCGGGTTACACATATACAGAGGCAGATTGGAATCCTGCAACATATGAAGAAGCAAAGCAATCAGACAGTGGCGCCTTTTCTTACTGCGCAGCCAAAGGATTGGCTGAAAGGGCAGGCTGGGACTGGTTGGCAGCCAACACACCACCATTTAGCTTTGTGGCACTTTGCCCACCCTGGATTTTCGGACCCTCCCTTAATGGCATCAAATCTTTGGACCATCTCAACGAGTCAACCGAGGCCATATGGAAACTTGTGAATGGATCAGCGAAGGAGGTGCCGCCAGTGGAATTCGGAGGATTTGTAGATGTGCGAGTAGTTGCCACAGCCCATCTGAGGGCATATGAACGTGAGGAAGCTGGAGGTCAGAGGTTCCTACTTGGCTCGGATTTCAACTATCAGAACGCAGTTGACTTCCTGCGAGAAGATTTCCCACAGCTTCACGGCCGCATCCCAAAAGGACAAACAGGAGCCGGGAAGACCTGGCCTCTTTATCACCTTGATCATAGCAAGGCTGAGATGGTCCTAGGACTGGAGTTTACTCCTCTCAATGTCACATTGAAGGACACGGTTGCAGATCTTCTCGAGGCTGAGAAGAGGCTCAATGCTTGAAACAGTGCTTGATAGGTAGCCTCGTTCATGGGAAGCAATAACAACTGGGTACGCCGTATCCCTGGCGAAGTCCGAGGTACCGAGTAGTGCAGCGGCAAACGTTTTCCATCAATTGAATTTCACCAAAATAATAGTAGCTTGATCTAGCTCTGATGCCCGAAATCAGCTTCGGAAGGATGAGTACGGAGTAGGGAGTACCTGGTATGCAACGTTTAGTGCTAGTCGATTTTTCTTGGTTGATTGGCTCTCTCCGCATCGACGGCGCTCGCATAGCAAGCAAGCCACTCGCTTGTTCGAGTGATAACGCACGTCAAATGTCTGCAGACTACTTCAGCCGTGGGCTGGTTGCCAACAAACATAGTGCAGGCCCAAGAGTACGCCATGGAATTTGTCAATCCGATCTTTACGAGTACAGCCGATGGTGCTGGGATAACGCAGCTCACTGCACCAACATCAATCAGTGCCTCGTACATACCTGGGTAGCTTGAGAGGGTTTGTGGGGCCTGGAGTCCAGTCTTGGAAGGGCTGCTTAATCTATATAAGAGATGAGTGAAAGAGAGTTGATAGCTCGTAGGATGTCGATACTCTGTGCGAGGTACGAGGCAGGGATACAGTAGTACACAGTCTACGAGGGAGTGATGTACGGAGTACGGAGTACAGAGTATTCCAGTTGACAAAGAGCACAATCTCGATTGCCCAGTCTTTGAGAGGACTAGCTGATCTCGACATGGGCAAGGGACTCGGGGAGTGACTGATTTGAAGAGACTTGAGGGGAAGGGAGAGGACACGATTTGTGCAATTCCTGGCACCCCCAGACGGCTGTGCATTGTGCCGCTGCCACGTTCTGAGGAACCTTGCACGCCGAGCCAAGCCAGCTATTGGAGGCACCCGCGTCCGCTTTTGTCTGTGCGCACGGAGTGCTATTGTGGTTTTGATCTGGCAGACGCCAGAGAGGTCAATGCCGGGACATCGTCAAAGCACAAGGGACTTAAAATGTCGTAGGAGTCAAGACTCGTGTTCGGCGACGTCATCCAACAACCAAGTGTCTGTTGGCCTTCAACCCAAAACATACACATACCTTCGGTCCCTAGTTACACTAGAGGAGTGCTGGGAGGTCGCATCTTTGGCGTTTAGGTGTCTGCAACAGTCTTTGAATTGCAGATCGTTTTGATACCGAGACATCTTCCAAATGGGACATTGGGCCGGCGAATTAAATTGTGTGACAAGTTCATTAGGGCACAGCCTGATCGTCGCAATTGACCCGGTATCTGATCGATACAATCAGTAACGATCGACGATAACGAAATAGGCCAGAGTAATAGCCTCATTTACGAGGTACGGACAAGGGACTCGGTGTCGACTAACTCGATCATAAGGCGAGAAATTCAATAGCTTTGCAGCGGAAAGCAAATAGGCACAGGGGATCGGGCAGTGCCTAGTTGGTTAGCCCCGGGTAGCTGTGGATGGACGACAGGGCTCCCTGGGGTTCCATTCCAGCGCCACTCAGGGGCACGAATGATTGCACGATGATGATAGGCACGGGCAGCAAGAGTAGCAAGAGTGGCAAGAATGTGGGGAGGAGGGCGTCGAGAGACCTGGCCAGTTTTCGTATGGCTGACTGGCCGGGCAAGTCGTAACATACCAGTACTCCGAGTACTCGTAAGCACGAGTCTCAACGCACATACACCGTAGACAGGAGCACATCAAGGCTCACCAGTTTCACAACTGTAGATCATTGCGACTCTTAGGAGTAAATTGTTGCTCTTTCCACGAGGAGGCCACGAGTGTGCGCACGAGGACGAGCACCTGATTTACAAAAGGCACTGATAATCAGTCAGGCTCGCCTTGGGATCACTGCCAACTGGGCATTGGAACGAACCCCCATCTCCACTGACTTACATCCTACGACCAAGGACAGTGCAAGGTCTCTTTGGGGGCACGTGGGAGGGACGAGGTGCAGCACTCTGCAGCTGCGGATTCCAGAGGGATGCTAATTTGCCCTAACTGGGGGAAATGTGCAGAGCACGTCCCTTTTCTCTGTGCACCACCATGCATTGTCCAGGTTTTTTAATCCGTGGCGGCATTGATCAGATTTGATCGGATTACCATGAGAATTGCTGCTTCTGTCCCGTGGGCCATTTTGCAGTAGTATCCAGAACAACGGGGGCAGCTGTAGATGCAGAGGCACTGGTCTATTATTGAGCGCATTATTCCTTTGGAAATCCACTCGCCGCCTACCAGCTGCGAGGACTCCCGGGTCCCTACTATCTGAGCTGCAGCCCCTGCCGCTAGCAGGGAGGGTCGACGGGCAGGCGCAATTGTGCCTAATCAGGTGCTTGAATTTAGGTATCTGACAGTCCCCATCGCACATTTTCCACTGGCGGATTAGGCGTTGCACTTAGACGTTCCCCGGAACGAACCATGACTCCAATGAGTTGACCACTTCAGCTAGACCAGACCTGGAGGGTAGGATGGTCTGCGAGCAACTGGTACTGCGCTGCCCACGGAGAAGGAAAGGACTACGAGGACTCCTCCCCGTTAACACTGCTAACACTACTGTGCGAGTAAGCCACTATGGACTTGGACGGCACCAGTCAAGCATCTCTGGCGTGCTGTTTCTCTGCCTTCTCCCGAGTATACTTTACCTAAACCTGACAACGAGCCAACTGAGCCCAGCTGCCCTGCGACGGACATGTGAACTTTCTTTCTCCTGCTCGTCCTCCTTCTGCTCACTTTGTCTCCATCCATCCATCCCTCGCCCATCCAATCCTCCTCTTCTTGACCTCATTTCTAAACAGACTAGTGCATCGTGATGCTCGCAACGAATTGATAGTTTCTTGTTCATGAAATCTGTTTGACCCTTGCCCCTTGTGCCTCTTTCATCGAATATCCTCCCCCCACCACGCCCGATTCTCTTCCCCGACCAGGCCCAATTCGCCCAATACCTCCACCAGGCCCACCCACCGCCTCCCACCACCAGCATCCGCAGTCCCCTCCCACCAACTGGTGGCAGTGGCACCCACCCCCCTCCGTCTGCCCAGTGCCCAGCATCCAAAGCCAGTGCCGACCCACCCCGGCTTGCAGGCCACGTTTTCCTGGGCGTGCGCTCACACTCCTCATTTGCCTCGATCCATTATCCCTTCCCTGGTGTCCTTTCTTCTTTGCGATACTCGACCAGTCTCCATCTCGCCGTACCGCCTCGGCTGCCCTGCCTTGGACCTGAGATATCGACTTTCCACTTTCTTTGACCCAATCCTCAAGGAACTCGCCAAAACACCTCCGATATCCTCACCCTGTTGACATCTCGCCGTCTTCGGTTTGCGGTCTACATTCTTCAGTCCCCAATCCTCACTGTCTGCGCGCACCTCACTACTAGTCACAACGCAGCTGCCCGTTGCGAGATCAAATCATTTACCTCTGTTCTACCACTCGCTGTGTCACCGCTGACCAGTGGACCACTACATACTCGCCTTCATCGCCAATTCCTTCTCCCAGCAAGTCGCATTGCTTTTCGTCTAGCTCCACAAGATCTCATTCTCGCCACGTTCCCATACCTTCGACCACTTCTAGGACATCTGCCCGTTCAGGGAATATTTGGGAAAGACAGCCTCGCTCCGTGTACCACCACTCGCTTTGGGTGCATCGTCAGGACTTCTGCGAATATCGAGGCATTGTGCTTGCTCTATTCATCCACTGACAACCACCACAACCATACCGGTTCCCCATTCTCGATCAGGTAGAAACCAGTTATCTTCTACTCATCGTTTCTAGCCATAATATCTACTAGAAACCGCGCTCAACGTCTGCTTGCAGCGGTTCCCCGTGGGTGTGTCCCGAGTCGACCGTCTGGAACAATTTGTACCACTCTTTGCTGCCGTGTCAGCGCTTGAGGTTCACTTGCTCACCGTGGTACCTTGGACACAACTGTGTTTGGGACTCCATTAACCAGTAATTTCCAAAGTCACATCGCTGCCCGGCGAACGAGTCAGGAACACTGGCACTTGCTCCAAACCCATATGCGCTGCTGCGACAACGCCGGTCGCTTTTGAGTTAACAAGTCGACCAAGATATCTGCAACATGGAGACAACTACAAGCCATCGTCCCTGGGAGTCTGTTCCCCAGCCCACTATACCTCAGACCACACAGACTTTACCCTCAATAGCATCATTGACATCCAAACTTCCCTCGCAGCCCCATGATCGAGGCCCCTTGGATCTCTCTATTCACCCGCCTCAAAGGGATTCCGGAAGTTGGATGACTCCAGGCACACGTATGTTGCTTTCTCCCTTCTACAGCTTGTTTCAATTTACTGATCTAAATGGAACCCAGTGTCGGGATCCTCTGCAAATTCCATGCCGTACCTGAACTCGGCTCACTCACCCAACGGAATTGCACCCTCTCCCTACACCCCCGACCACACCTCAGCTCCTCCAGCGCCGTTTAACAATAACACGTCCCATCCACCCAACGGCTTGCCGACCCCGACGTCAGACTCCCACCCAAACCGTGGAAGTGGTGACTTTGATGATTCAAGAAGGAGTAGTGTTACAAACAGTATACATACCGGGATGAACAACCTTGGGCTAGGTCCTGGATCTCCTTACACCAGCAACAACCAGTCACAGTCCTCTCTCGTGTCTGGACTGCAAAGGGAGCGAGGTATCCAAACAAATGGACATTCAGGTAACCGATATTCAACCATGAGCGCCGGCTCCATGTCTTCATTTGGATCCAATCGCGGGGCAGCAGGCAGAGGCGGCTTTGCAGCAGGTCGTGTAGCTCCTCCAATCTTGGAAAACCCCAAGCAGGAAGTTTATAGTGCCGATGCACCCACGCGTGGTCAAGCCTATGCTTTCCCGGATCCGGATGCTCCACGCACAACTGGACGACCACCGTCCAATTTTTCGAGGAGAAACAGTTTTGCCGAATCGTTTACCAGCAGTATCCTAACGATAGAATCTTCCAGGCTACCCATGGGCCAACAAGGTAATCCCGCTGGCGGATTCGTGGCATCCAAGACAGCTGACACATGATTAGAATTGCCTGAGGCTCATCATCATACTTTGCAACACAAGCAAGTCGACACTCTTCGTGGAGATCCCGATTCTCCAAACAGCCAGACGCCTTATAGCCGAACTCCCGAATTACGTGTAACTCACAAGCTCGCCGAGCGCAAGAGACGCAGTGAGATGAAGGATTGTTTTGAACAGCTACGAACGAGGCTACCACAAGCCCAAAATAATAAATCAAGCAAATGGGAGACATTATCCCGAGGTACGCACGAGTAATTTACAAGATTTGCCTGCAAATGACTCTAATATCTTCCTTAGCTATTGATTACATTTCGTCACTGGAGACTCAGAACAAACAGCAGAGGATCGACTATGAGAAACAACGACACCAGCTACAAGACTTGGAGAGCAAAATGCACGAGATGAGCCAGCAGCTGCAACGCTTGCAGCACCAAGGCTCATTTCCACCACCACCAAGCGTGATCCCTCAAAGTCCGCTAAATTATGGTCCTGCCCCTCGTTTTTCCAACAACATTGACGGACCCAATGAGCTTCCGCGAACGCTTCCACCATTAGTCAACGGTGCTATGCAAGGAATACAGTATTCCGATGACAGGAGATAGCACAACCTTTCCTGTGGCTTCTCCAGACCCTTATTTTACCAGATATTTCGTATGTTTTGCGGTTTCTTGTTCGGTATAGGTGGTTGTAGGATACCCTTTTTGGGTGCTTATTTATATGCTTTTGCTTTATTAGTAAAAGCCATGGTAGTACAGGTTACATGTTACAACGGTCGGGCGCGGAACCTGTATGGCTGATCGAATTATGATACCACGGTCACGGGATGTTGGAAGGAATCTCGGATGGGGACAGTTCATTGACGATACTTCTCTCTCATTCTGGCCGATGACGGTGAGCGAACACTAAGTTCTGGGGGCTGATATTAGCACTTGACTTGGGTTTGAGACCAGGGTCGATCAGAAGCTCACTGGACTTGGGCATGTATATGCAAATGCGATAATTACAGATTTCCAGCTAACTTCCTCGGTCACTACCTAGGTACTTACACAGAGGTACCACGCCAACATTCCATTCAGTGGCTTGACCGAAAATCATCGTCATTGATGGAGCAGTGTGATATTGGCCCTCGGGCAAGGAAAGCGCCTCCTGGAGTCCTGCGCCGTCCGTAAATGTGTTCGGCTAGCGTTATAGTCTGCAAGCATTTCCCGACTCCCGAGTAGTATGCATGTAGCCTGATGAGCCGCAGCAGCCTTGTGAAACAAAACGTGGCATTTCTGTTTAGCCGACGGCACGTGATCGCCCATCGATTCGCCAGGGATGCTCGCAACTTCAGACAACGACGCGCGCGTATTTGGATCATTTTTCCACCATGAACCACTCATAATGCCCATCGGAAGCTTGAAGATTGTATTTCGAGATTCACAGTTGCCGCCGAAGCGAAACACTGTAGGTTTGCTATGTTTGGCAATGTCCCCAATACCCACACTACATAACGAAACATGACAGGCATCCAGCTGCTGCTTCATCCGCCCGTTGGCTAAACCCTGTCGCTGATGAATGGATGGATGGATGGCTTTGTCGCAAGAGACCTTGTTGACTGGCTTAGCCTCGTTATCGTGACCTCACGGACACAGTTATCAAGCCCGTTTCCGCTCCTTAGTTTCTGCCAGATCGTCCTCCACAACACTGTCTCCCCAGAATTCGTGGCTGCGTTTCTATGCAGTTCACATTTCCTTTGTCTTTCCTTTCCTTTCCTACTCGGTGTCTCATGTGCGAATCCCCTTGTGTTTCTGGATCTGGTGTTGGCTATCAGTACGTTCACAACGACATATCTTGGGAGGGAAATCTCAGTCATCCAATCCATGGTTCGTCCGTGCGCTATTGCCCATATCCTACATCCATTAATCACAATCCTTCACTGAGAAAGCCAATGGTGCAGTCGATCTTATATGCACTCATTGGGCGGTACGAATTTCTTTTTTGATCGCCTACTCAACACTGTCCCCTCGGGGAGAACCTCCCATAATGGTGACCAGCTTTGAGACTGCAGCTCCGACCACGAAAGACCACATTGCTGTACAGCGCATAAATGTTAAAAGCATACCAGCATTTCCCTTATCCTCACCGCCAACAGAACAGTTAACCTCTTTCAAACCGAGCAATGCCGAAACCGTACACTCTTCTGGATATCCTTTCCTTTCCACAACCACCTTTGCCTCCAGCTCTTCCGATGACGATAGTGGCTCTTCAAGTGGGCTCGATGAATTTCAGCTCGAAAGATATAGCCAGTCGAAGACAGAAACTCGCCCCGCACAACGGACCTATCGAAAACAATCCATCCGGGACAAGCCTCGACAACGACCGGGACTGAACATTGTCACCAACTTTTCGAATTCAGGGAAGCGAACACATACTGACGGACTTTTAATGAATCAAGTACAATCTCAGAGACCCCGAATGAAGCAAAGATATGCAACCTCTGTCGTCTCAGCCAAGGCAGAACATGGACATCATTTATTATACGAGGCTTTCCAGCATAAGCAGTTTCACGATAACAGTAGCGGCTGGAAGCCTACATCAAAAACAGAGAATCCCAGCAAGTCGGAAAATCTTAAACGAGCTTTGGGCCGCGAAGCACTTACAAGGCTACAGGCGTTGCAGGCGGCTAGGAAGAACGCTACAAAATATTCGGAACATTCCTCAAATGAGGTTTTCAAGTTAGATGGTGACCCAAGTGTTTCAAGAGATTCTGAACCTGGACGGCCACTGGCCATTCAAGACTTTCATTCACCGGATAAAAGGTCAATCGTCATAGGGTTATCGTTACCCGAGGACGAAGCTGAAGCCCACAGGCTTAATAACGGTGGAGATAGTGCACTATCCATGTATACGCCCGATACCCCCGCCATTGTTGTTACCCCTGCAACAGATAATGAGGCATGGAAGACAACTACAGCATCCACAACCAGGTCGCCTCCTAGCCTCTACTCCACCGCTCCCTGGGCTGAAAACGCAGTGTCCCGTCAGGACTTGCCTCCAGTGCCGAAGATCCCATCAAGTCTCTCGGACAAGCTAGTTACCAATAGTGTAACTAAAAGCGGCATTACGACTCAGCATGACAACCACGAGCACGAAAAATCCCCTGAGCAGAATTTTGACGACGAGCAAAATGATAACGACATTGATCATATAAGGAGAGCCTCCTCTGAAAGCAAAGAGCACATCCTTAGCTCTCAGAGTGATGGTGGGAGACACAAATCGCAAGGCTGGTGGAATCTGATGCTCTCACCAATGTTATCAAGAAAGGGCACTCTTAAAAGCATTGGTACACTTGACCAGGCGACTCCACCCCTTCCCTCAATGCCAAACTATATTCAGACTTCAAAAGGCATCACAAGCTCTCCCGTCTCTGCTCAATCGCCAGGAACTCCACGCCTATTTGGGCTAGCAAGTGCCAGAGCAAGCGTCTGGTCTAGATGGACGACATGGGAGAAATCACGCGATGGTAACCTCCATTCAAATGAAAAGACAGATTCATCTCCAACCTTGACGGAACGAAGACATGTGGCAGACAACTCGAATAAGGTGCTACCGGAATCTTTTTCATCTTCAGGCAAAGGACATGCTGCTGAGTATTATCATGCCTGCGCAGTTGATCAGGTGAAAGGAGTCAAGTATTTCGAATGTCAAAATCACTCCTGTTCTGAACAGCTTCCCAAGCTGCGCTCTATTTTTGACTCGAGGTCGCTTGCGGTCATCTCACCTGAAGATAGTGGCGAAGCTCGATCCGCTCCCCAGAACCAAGTAGATCGCACGGAAGATCCTGCCACTGTTGAAAGAGCCTGGAGCAGTATCACAATTCGAACAGAACCCGAGGAGTTGTCACCCAACGTCCGCCAAGCAAACACGGCAGCTGTTGTTCAAGCAAAATCGATTGATTCACTGGCGAAGATGACCCCCACTTTTGAGCAGGAAACGGAGAATAAGATTCCGGTTGAGGAGGCTCCCACAAAGGCAAACATTGCCACCCCAAAGCAACCAACGCCGCCTCAGAGAAGCGTTTTGCCTCGTGACCTCAAATCTCCGAACATCGCAACAGTGATCCCCTTGAGCCATGTCCAGCCACTGGTCCATTCTCCTGGTCCAGTATCACCAGGAATGGAGCAGACCATGTCGTCACGGGGAGCTGTTCCCATGGCAGAGATAGCCTCGGCCCCTGTCCAAACAAGTCCTCCAGAACAAACGCAAGTAACCGCTCACCCGGACCCGTGGAGTCAAATCCAACCATCTTCTGTTACTGTACACAATCATACCACTTACACAGAACGAACAGTGTCTCGGAATCCGTTCCTCAGCGAAATGGAAAGGAGGGAAGAAGCAACGTCTCGGCCAATGCCTGTGGCCAATGTTCCTGGCCCAACTCGGGAATCACCGGCTAAAGTCGTAGATTCAAAGCCAGAATCTCAACAGCAAGCCAAGAAGGGGACCAGCCTTCTTTCGAAACTCAACTGCCTCCGGAGAATGAAGATGTCCGAGCCTGACCAGCCGAACAAGCCGAGAAAGCGTTACTGGACCTGGGTCATCGCTGTGATCCTATTTCTTATCATTGTTGCATGTGTTCTGACAGCTATGCTGCTAACACGCACTGGAAACGGCACGCCTGTACAAACTCAATGGCTAAACCTTACAGGATATCCCCCTATGCCTACCGGTATCTCGACCATTGCGCGACCAGATGTAAAACAGCAATCTCAATGTGTCGCCCCTTCCACTTTATGGAGCTGTGCTTTACCAAAGGAGAACCAGGCGGAGATTACGCCCAATGCCCCTGATCAGCCGAATTTTCGCTTTCAGATCGCATTTCAGAATGGTACGGTGCCTTCGAATATGACTATTCCAGTGGACAAAACATCAAGGAGGTCGCCCGCTTTGAATACTCGGGCCAATGATCTATTCTCAGGCGATATGTTTGAGCCCAATCCTCAGCCCCCCAGCCGTGCCGATCAGATCTTCATGGGTAATACTACAGACAACATCACTCAGCCATTTGACGGAGAGAAGACACCATTCTTTATCACATTTGTGCCAGTCTTTCCCGTAGATCCAACTAATAGCACAGAAATACGCTCAACCACATCGACATCCCGGCTACGAACACGACAAGACAGCAACGACACAGATTCTATTCCAGCTCCAGACGTCCTCGATGATGGGAGTGCCGCACCTGCCAATCTGCTTCCAAGCGATCCCTACCCCACTTCACAACCCATCAAGCTCTATAATCGAGGCGCACAAGATGAGCATTATGGATTTTACATTTACTTCGATAAATCGATCTTCCTGCGTTCGCGGGCCCCGTTCAACGGTTCCTCATCTGCGAATGCTAGTGACATCGACCCTGCCGATGAGGATGGAGGCTCGACGCGCAACGAAGCACAATTTCGCTGCACATTCAGCCAGACACGTTTCTTAGTGAGAATGTGGACGAATCCGGCGTTTGGCGCGACACTTCTGCCTCCTCTAACTGACGCAAATAGCACAAGAGGAAGTGAGAGCAAGGTCAACTCAGCTACTGACTTCAGCCGACCAGGCTCGTTCCCCTATCCAACGACCCTCACCCTCGACAGACATGGGGGCAATGTCAACAAGAAAACAGCATACTGCTACGGTGTCGACGGGTTGCAGGTCATCCAGGCCGATATCAAGACTTTGATCCCCGAAGCGAGGGGCATCAACGGTAATCTGATCAACGCGGCACCTAGATTGGTCGACGGCACGGGTTTAGATGACGGCTTTGACCAGGATGCTGGTGGTATCGATGGTGGCACGGGTGGGTGTGATTGTATTTGGCAGAATTGGAGTTAACATGTTTTCCTCATGTAATCTAGCTCACTGGGTTTGGGTTTGGACAAAGAAAAAAGCAAGACGTGGTTGAGATGAATTGAAATTGTTCGCTCTCTTCTTGGCGTTCGCCTCAGGAAGGTGGAAGGAGTTGGAACACTTATGGTATTGGTATTAGCGGGTCAGATTGAGAAAGACACTGCCAATGGCAAACTATGTCTGGGCTGGTCCAGATTGAGAACAAAAAGCGTTATAGACATGGGAAGCAACGGAGCACTCACTGGGTGGCACAAAATCACAGACAGATAATTAATAGCAATGATTCAGGACGGAGCCCTTTACGAAATGTTCTAGCATTCTGATAGGCCGTCCAATTCCAAACATGTCTGTTGAAATCAATGGGCTTTCCGAGCCTCGTCCAGAGGCAGGACAATTGTTTTGCCCAGCGGTTGGTCCGGCAAAGAGCGTAATTAGGTGAGGAAGGCTGACTAGCCAAGTATGAGTGGTGACGTATGAGGTACATCTTAGGAAAAGACGCTGCTTTGAGTTGTAGCACTGTCACGTGACCATGCGCCTCGAAATTTGTCACGCTGCCTTCATGCCTGCCTCTTTTTGGGCGGGCAGGGCCGGCAAAGCCACGTCCGTCACTCCTTCCCCGGATCCAGCTAAGCCTCGGCCATTCCTCTTTCGCCCTAGCCTGGGGCTCGTGCCATCTGATGACTACAATTAATGGTTTTGGGCCACTCACTTTATTTCTCTCTCGTAAACTCACTCCCAGTTGCGACTTCTCCCCTACTCATAACCTGCTTTATTTGAACATTTTTCAGTCACACAAGACGCGTGCCCTCGCACGCGGCTGTGGAGTCGCATCTCAGCTGCCGCTTTTACCCCTTCTTTTTCTATGGCAATATGCCTTCACAGCGGAGATGCCTCGTTGCTCGATATTCTCATTACGCATTGGTCTTCCTTGGGTGTCGGCCTTGTCCCTTGTGCCTCACATCGTCGGCAATCTTTTTGGATTGTTCTCCACGGGCCGGGTCGAACTGTAAGTTGCTTTAAGCTTCAAAGCTCCGTCGATGACACCCTGTGCGTTCTTCTTTTATCCTGTTCCATCCTTTTTTTTCCCGCATCCACTCGCCACTTGAACATCCCAAAACTGCCTCTTGAAAAGGTCAATCGTTTTACCGCCCGTTCCTGCCCTCTAAGCTTGATGATGGCATCTTCTTTGTCAAATTGTCTATCATAAATCACTTTACCCAGAGCCATATCTCGGTTCCTCCTTTGTCTTCTGGCCATTATTATTGGATTTCCCTGAGGCTGTAGCCAAGCAATCCACCATGTCACAACAGCCGGTTAGACACGAGGCTTCACCTCAACCTCAGCCTCGCGAACCTACCAAGCCTAAACCGCCATTCGACATTGACAACTATCTCAATCCTTACATTCCTCGTTCGCCGTTATACCTACTCCCAACATCAGTTTCACATTTTCTCGGTCATCGACCACCACGGACCCCTACACGGCGTCCTCCAGTACTTCACCGCTATCACAATGTGATAGTGTATCTGTCGATATTTATCGGCACATTTTGTGGCCTGTCAATCATTGAAAATACGTTCCTCGCCCTTCCGCCGCTTTCCGGTCATGCGGTGCCCATCATCATTGCCTCTTTTGGTGCTGCTGCGATTCTTGAATATAACAGTATAGAGTCGCCGCTTGCTCAACCACGGAATCTAGTTTTTGGCCATTTTTTCTCGGCTGTCGTCGCTGTTTCAATTACTAAGCTTTTTGAACACCTTCCACCACACCGCTTCGAAGACTTACGATGGCTCTCGGGCGCCATCTCAGTTGCGGTTGCGAGTCTTATCATGAGTGCCACAAAGACTGTCCACCCTCCTGCTGGCGCTACCGCGCTGCTGGCATCTACAAGTGTGGAAATTCAAGTTCTCGGCTGGTGGCTCTTGCCTCTCGTGCTATTAGCGGCCATGCTCATGCTTACAAGTGCAATGCTTCTAAACAACATGGCTGGCAGGCGGTATCCCGTCTATTGGTGGACACCTGTAGACCTCAAAGCTTTGAGGGAAGAGCAACGTAGAGAAAAGGCGGGCAAGCAGGGATTAGACGTTGAAAAGGCAACAACACCAACAGCCCCGGAGGCCAACAAAGCAGAGACGATCTCTGACGAAGACACAGAAGCTGGTTCCAGCATTGGAGATATCCGCAAGATGAGCAATCAAGATACCGATCGCCTAGAGCGAACGGTAACCTATACTTCAGCCTCGAGAACTCCACACCCTGGGCAGTCCCTGTCTCGGAAAGCCTCTAAACCGGAGCACGGCTGTCCGACCAAAGCAAGCCGAAGAGAAGATGCCGAAGAGGAAGAGAAGAGTGACAGGATCATCATTACCAGAAGTGAGATCATCACGCCTGAATGGCTACAGCTGAATGACTGGGAAGATGAAGTCCTGAGAATTCTGATGGAGAGGTTGAGGGATACGTGATTGAAGCCTTGAGCCAGTTTTTATACACGAGACCTTTCTCCCAATCTGGGTAGGAGGCCTGGTTTTTCATCTCCACCATAGCCCAGGAGGGAGCATACGCACATACGCACTGGGTTTGATGAAAGTCATGAATGGACCAGTGCGTCAGGGGATTTTTCACGAATTGAGGTTGCGAGCGCATCTTCCATTGAAAGAGCAAGCTGGAGAAAACCCAAAAAGGCAAAGCTTGAGACCGTGGATGCTATAGCGGGTGCATCCATTCGAAGACCGATGTGTGGCATGAGTGGTCCTCACGAGAAACATGGTGGTGATGCCGTGCTTAGAAGGCATTACACAGCACAAACACGAGCCTTCTCTCGAGGACAATTCGAGATAAACGTACGCACATCTGTGCATCTAGTGACAGCTCCGGCTGGGACTCAGGCACTATTTTCACCAGTTGTCGTTGATTATCCTAAGGGTCATGGATTTATATTAAATATGATAATACCTGACTGTGGCTGTAATAAATGAATCTTCAAGTCTCTCCGGCACTCCCTTGGACAGACGCAAAAGACAACGCTCTCTTGCCCCACTCGCTGCCACACAGATTGAACCATGTCTTTCCTCATTCTCTGACCATCAAGAGGGCACGAGCCAACAATCAATAACCACTGGAATTGTCAGGGGCTCTATGATTTTGCCTGCTCCTGCTGCAGCTTCTCCTTCGCACCAAAGAGATCCTTCGCAACCATGGCGCGACAGATTGGATGATAGAAGTCCTTATTTTTCTCGAACGTCTCGGCCGCCAGGTCGATGTCCAACTTGATCAAGCCCCTGAAGAGTGGCCTCACGAACTTCATACGCCCGACCTCGCCCAGCAGCTTGGTGACGAAGGCCTTGATGCTGAAGTCGCCGCTCGCCATCGCGATCTGGTAGTAGCGCGAACTGACCTCGACGTTGCGCGTTTCCTTCAGGTTGTAGATGTACCCCATGTAGTTCTCGTGCGGGACGGGCAGCGGGGTGCGGAATCGCAGGACGCGCTCGAGGAACACGACGAGTTGGTTCGCCGACCAGCCGTCTACGTCCAGCCAGCTGGGGCGGAACCCCTGCGCCGGGTCCGTGTTGAATTTCTCCCACTGGTCAGCCAGCTTGTTGGCCGCGTCAGCCAGTGTCGTGTCGAAGTCCGGTTTTGGTGGGTAGCCCGGCGCGTAGAACCAGGTGTCCCAGTCGATTTCGGAGAGTTTGGCCGAGACTTTCTCGTCTGCGGCGAAGAAGTCCAACAACGTGGTCTTGAAGTCGTAGCTGTCGAGCGACTTTCCGCGCCATGTCTCGAAGTAGTGCGGGATGAACTTATCGAACTCTTCCTTAGTGATGAGTTTCTCAATGTAATAGAGGAAGTTGAAGCCCTTTTCGTAAGGGATGGACGAGAAGGCGTCGTCGGGATCTTTCCCTTTCAAGTCCATGACAAGCTTGGTGAACTCATGCTCAACCCCAAATTGCTCGATGCTGTCGCTCATGGCTTTCCAGCCAATGATGGCTGAGAAGTCCCGCCATTGGTCGCCTCCGTGAACTTTGGCCTGGATGCGACGTTCCAAATACGTCGTCCAGCCTTCGTTGAGCCAGAAATGCTCCCAAGAGGCATTCGAGACCAGGTTGCCCGACCAAGAATGGCTGAGTTCGTGTGCAATCACGTCGACGTTCTGTCGATCACCGGAGATGACGGTCGGTGTGGCGAATGTGTAGACTGGGTTCTCCATTCCACCATAAGGGAAAGATGGTGGGAGGACTAGCACGTTGTACTCTCCCCATGCGTACGGATAAACCAGAGATTCAGCCGCTTTCAAAAACTTCTCTGTATCTTCTTCGAACTCCCACTTGCAGTCCTTCAACTCGTCTGGGCCCGTGGCTACGACACTACGGGGCCCTATTGGAGCTGTCACAATGTCTCCAGCGGCGAGTGCGAAGAGGTAGGAGGGAATGGGGACCTTCTGTTGGAAGTTGAAGACTTGAGATGACCCGTTCGCCGATGGAGATGTTGGGTTGTCTTTGGCCGCGATCCCAGACGCCAGAACCGGTAGAGGGGAGGTAATGTGGAAGTCAAAGGCTGCTTTCACATCTGGAGTGTCCTGGCATGGGAAAATAGACCGAGCGTGGATGGCTTGACATTGAGAAAACACGTAAGGGTGCTTCTTGTTAGAGGTTTGTTCCGGTGTCAACCATTGAAGGGCGGTACAAGCTGGTGTGGTTTCTAGGTCAATTTGAACCGCTAGAGTTTTGTCGAGTGATGGCTTGTGGTCGAGTTTGATCTTCAACGCACTGCCATACGGCTCGAGACGTTGAAGCAGCTCCCACTTGGCCGTTTTGCCCTCGACGGTGACATTGTGAATTAGTAGGTGGCTGGTGTCCAGAATGACTTCGTCACTTTCAGCATCGGTGATTGCCTTCAGGGTGTGAACAACCTTCCCCTTCAGTTTCTTCTCGTCAAAGACGATATCCAAGGTAGTAGCTGTGTGCAATGTACGCCAGTTGTTGTAGTTGGCCAGGGTATTGGGATCACGAGGTGGGTTTATAATAGTAGTCGCCATGGTTCGGGATGGCGAAGATGAGAGCTGCTGGAAAGGTAAGATCTGTGAACCTTTTAGGGAAGTTCGATATGAAGACACACTTGAAGCTGAAATCAAGACCTGCCACAACCGCTCTTTGATCATAAGCTCCTCCCAACTTCTTCTAGTTGGTTGAATCCCTGTCTTCCCCTGTTCAAGCACCTTTGGTTAATCAACGGTGAGCTACAAAAAGCCGAAAGCGACGTCCCATGTCAGGAAGAATAGGAAAGCTGTCGATTCAACACCTGGTCTTGCTCTGGTGCCAAACTACCTATGTAAGCACAACTACTCCCAGAGATGCCCATCTTCAATGCCAAGCCATCCTGTTGCTTGAATCTGTTCCCAAGGCGGTGAATCGGGGCTTGGCATTGATTTCGGATCTATATTTCTCCGATGACGCCCAGCATTGTCAACATCACACCGTCAATACAGTGGCGAGAAGCTCGTGGAGGAATTGAGCTTGCACGCCCGGGTCGAGGGCTAACTCGTTCGACGTGTTTCAGGGAATACTCCGTTCGCTTATATTCTTGAACACCGGACAGCATCCGATGTTCGGGATGTAGGCGAAGATGCCCAACACTTTGTTGTCAACAGGGAATCTCCGATTGCCCGGGTGAGTGTCAGCTCCCATGGGGCCTCGAGTTTGTCGCCAGCTTGCTTAACTGGCGTGCTTGGTATTTTATGGGTCTCCTGATGACTGGGACTACTGGAGGCCCATGAGACCCTAGGTGGAGTGCTTGTCTTGAACAAGGCGAGATGAATGAAATTACAAAAGTCAGTAATGCCCGAGTGCTTAGTCGCCCAAACTGGGCTTCCGGACGAGAGGAAATTGACGGATGCAGCATCCCTGACCAATCGGTTCAACCCACACAGTCGCAATTCTTCTCGCCTCCTCCTACTGGGGAGGGATCCATTGTGTTTGCTCCTGGAGTCGAGACTCGAGCAAAATAATCTCCCAGCATGGGTGGTGAGAGAGGAAGTGCTCCCTCAAGCTCGTGTGACTCTGTGGTCTATCAATGTCAACCCGATCCCAAGACATGCAGTGAAACCATGCAGTTCTCAGAGAGCTAGAAGCCCGACTGACTTAAATTTTCCGAGACTTCTTTTTCCTTCACCGCTTTAACGCAACTGTCAATGGAATGCAGCCATTCCCCCGTCCTATCCAACAGTCCCTCTTCATGGCCGGTGCGAACCTGCAGGTACAGCTTTAAAAGCAGTGTTACGTGGTTGGAACGCCTTGGTACCCAGGCTCCGAAAGGCTGAGCAAAGTTACACAATCAAAGGTGACATTGAACGATTTTAGTTGATTAAACGCACATAGTGCAGGAGCTATGGTAACAAGAGCATGGCCAACCACTATCATCGCATTGATGTGCCCATCACCGCGTTCTGCGGTTGCGATATGCTGTGATCCTTAGATTCAGGGAGCTTTTCTGTTCCATCCCTATCCAATCCATCTTCACTTTCATCTCGTTCTCTCATTGAACCCTTACCCTCGTCTCACGCACAACTGCCGATCCGAAACCAATCACAACAATCCACCCGTAACTCTCAAGACACCATCTCCACCCTGATCCCTTTACTCTGCCTTGGATCGTTCGCTGGCGCCCTTGATGAATCGGCTCAAGTCACCCACTGGGAGATTGAGAGGGAAGTCGACAGCAGCAAGAAGTTGCACAAAGAACAGATACCATCCCAGTAAACAAGTGACGAATGTAAGACCTCCTGCAGCGTGTTGCAAAGCCATATTGGCGGCTCCGTTACCAACGGAGAAAAAGAAACCAGCAAGACAACCGAACGCAGCGACAAGCGTCAAGAAGATCAAGAAGAAGATGATGTTTGTTCGGAGAGACACAATCATGTAGATAAAGCAGAGGACGGCCATGTAGACATGGAAGAAGGCGAATGTCGAGGCGAAGACCGGATCATTTGACGATGTTGCTGGAGTGTCAGGGGCATATGCTATGGACGCATTGAAGTAGGGAGTCAATGTAGCTCCGAAGGTGAGCCAGAAGGCGCCGAAAGAGCCGAAAACCACAAATGGGAATGTGTTGCCTAAGATAAACTCCAATAGGCTGCCCAAAACCATGAGAAGGCCACCAAAGAACCAGTAGACGCCACTTTAATAAGGCCTATTAGAAGATGAATGGCAAATGAGGCGTGTGATTATGACTTACACTTCAGCAGCGCCAAATCCTCCAGCGCCTTGCCAACCCAGTAAAACATTCGAAAGAGGAGTCAAAGAGAGCAAAAAGCCGACCAGAGCACTGAAAGGTGTTAGAAAAGCAGACTGTATGGATACCATCAGGATAACTTACAGAGGTGTGGGGTTGCCAACGGTTGAACGGATGTTGTTAGAAACACGATTTTTGGGAGACAGGTAAATCTTCTCGAAGAGCTCCGGTGTGATAGAAATGCTTCCAGCAGTTCGGAGCCTCCTCAGAGCAGTATCACTGTCATGATGGTCATGGTGAAGATCATATTTGGTGTTATTGCCATTGACAGAATCGCTGCCGGCATGATCCTTCTCGACGTCAGGGACGTAGTTGGACATATTGGTATCGTGCAGGGACAATAGTCTTGGAGATCTAGGAGAGTATGCCGGTACCTGGAGGCGGACGATACTAAATATGAATTGAGGTGAGGCAAGGATAAAAATGTCTGTTGAGAAGTATAGTCACAGGAATACAAGCACAGGCACAACAACTGCACCTCTCCAGGCAAGGGAACTTCACAGGAATTCATGCATAATATAGCATAGAATAGGCGGCTGTCTTGGTCTGCGACGCGGACCAAGATGGCATGGAGTGATTCTCCTCTCGGTGGAGTGGAGAACCCCTAACCCGCTCAGCCGAGTGCTCGCTGTAGTGTACGACGGTGTTCAAGTTTTTGGGTGGAGGTCAACAAGCATAGAGTCTAGCCTGTTGAGAGATCGAACGAAATTTGGCATGACGATTGCGAAGCCGGCAGAGCATGGATGATAGCCTGAGAATTTCGACCATTGACCAGTGGAAAAGTGGATAAGGTCTGCACAATGGGGTTTGTGCAAGCTCGAACAAGGAAAGCCTCGAGAGTAAATATATTGTGGATTCTGGCCCACCAATGATTCAAGGAGACGACTGGTTCAAGCTCTCAGCTAGGAAGGGAACTAAACCAATATGCCCTTGTCGACCCTTGCTGCGGGGAAAGCTGGGGAAGAGATGATTCTGTTGCCGGTCCCGATCATGAGGATGAAAGGATACCTGATAGGTGTACGAGTAGGCGTCGGGATGAGGATAGGGATGCAATCAAGAAGTCAGGGCCTTCTCCCCCCTACGTTAGCATCAGTGAATTGGGTATTGGACAAGCCAAACTCCAAGAATCTTTCCGGTCACGGTGATATTTGGCAATGCAGCATCTACAAGATTTGGCGCCTTCTAGTCACGAAGATCTTGTAATATTGATGTGCAACTTACCAAGCCGAAATGGTCCCGCTCTTTGAAGAGTATCCAAGACGCTTGAGCAGAACACATCATTGAGGAGAGGAATTTTCTCGGAAGCGCAGTATTTGCGGGGTTGTATTGACGTGAAGAGTTTGAGATTCGGTCTCGGGCCCTGAGACCGTTGCTGATCAACAGAAGTCATTGCCGCATGGAGCCGTGTCCGATCCCAGCATTTTTACCTTGGTATTATGCAGAGTAGCTGTTCTGGGAGAGGAAAGACACTGCAATCCTACCAAACCCAGAATCGTGACGTGGACGTTGTTTGTTTGACCGGATTTAATGCGTAACCATGGCCGAACCGATTACTATCATTGGCAACGACAATAACGGCACCGCAGCATAACTGCGAAGCTTCGAGAGGGGTTGATCTATTCGTATGATCGGCTGGAACTATGTATGCCAGGCAGGGATTAAGATTGTCCACCACTAACCAAGACCGGAATGATTGTTCGAAGGGGGTCGAAATGCTTCACAATTGCCATTTTCTCTCTCTGCGAGGAAAAGTGAGTGGAGGCAGTCACGACTCACGAGTGGCCGGCTAGCCGTGACCTTGAGCAGTAACCCTCCGGAAGGAGCATCACACTGTTGATACGGGAAGGAACGTGGAACAGGTCACAACCAGCATTCGAATCATGTCATAGCTTCCGTGGCTTTGTCATGTTCAAGTTGTGCTTTTAGGTGCCGAGAGAAGAACCTTCGAGCGATTCGTCGATGACGGTCACTACTTTTGCATCATCATTATTGTTTTTGAGCGCAGTTCATGTAGAGATCGCTCCTGTAGTTTAAACGAGGCGGGCACGTAACCTCCAGCCCCCCAGGCCGGCAGTCCCCAACATACCCCCAAACCGCCCAGTATGATTTTGTTAGGCCTCCCCCATCTGGGAAATACCTTTCATCAGTTGTTATGTTGAATTGGAATCACTAACCCCCTCCCATCGAAACTCGAAATAGGATGTCCCGGGCAGACGGCAACCGAGTCTAGGGTCACGTCTCCGTTGGCCCAGTAGCCTCCCGACGCCAGCGCCACCAAATGGGTCCAAGTCCCGGATGATTTTCAGGACTACCGGAGAATGTGCGGTGCTCCGGACAATAGTCATCCCATCCCGCATTTCATCTTGTGGAGTTTGTTGTAACAGTACGGAGGGCCTCGTACCGTGTACAAGGTGACTACCGCATATTTGCTAGATTGAATCATAATTAATTGACTAACAGACAAGAAAGCCAGCCGTCTTCAGCAGGACTTGCAAGCGTCAACTTCCCTCGTGCAAGGTATTGCTTCACGCTAGAAATGATCGCTTGGGGCGGGTGGCACCGACTAGTTGCATACCGAGGCGCCTACTCCGTACCTACCCAGGTACCGAGTAGGTATGGAGCACTCGTACAGTAGGTATCTACAAGTATTTTACAGTCCGCCTTGGTGAAATCGGCCCCAGTCACGTGTTGTAAAAATCAGCTGAGCCGTACCCCGGACGTACAAGGTATCGTATTCACACTCCTGACTGTCGGCATTAGTGCCAGGCCGGCCAGAGACGCCTTCCAACTAACGAGGCACGACTCACGACTCACGAGCTACATTACAGACTATATGTGGACATCTCCTGAGTCATGCTCGAGAGGGGGGATGGCCATACCAGTGCAAGACTGCCTGTCACACCCCGTCTTGCGATGTCGGTCGCTGAATGGTACAAATCTCATGTGCCAATCATGTATGTAGTGACTCTGTGAGTGCATTGCTCTCTTTGGTGACTGATAAGAAGGTCGCTTTGCCATCGTTTTCAGGTTGGTTATGGCGTCCAAGAGATTTGAAGCCACATTGATCACAGCTCTCGTTTCGGCAACGCATAGCCATCAAAGATAGTCTGCAGCCAGGTTCGACTTGCGCAAAAGGAGGACATCATGGTTACCGAAATGGCCTTATTGCTTCGGACTCAGTGCTGAAAACGCATGCACAGAATCATTTTCGCTTTAATCCGGCTTGAAACGACACTAACGAGGATCAATAGTATGAGCAGTACTCAACCGCTTGGGCATCAAGTTATTCACCAGTGGCCGATAGTTGCATGGAGGATATCCTGGGCAGTCTTGAGAATGAATCGAATGAAGGCCATGGCTTTGGGAATCTGTGTAAAGGGCAGGCTGGACCACGAATCACTTTCAAGTGCCTAGCTTGAAAGCCACTGTCCTCGCGAGTTCCAATGGGACATACTTCATGTTTTTACAGACCAGGGGCTGCCATGGACAGGTATGTACAAGTTGTTTGGTAATTTTGGGTGTTTTGGCGCGGGTTCATAGGCGCGGGCGCCGTTTGTTGAGATCCCAATAGCATGGGTATCAATTCCAGATGAACGCCATGTCTATTCTGTCCACTCCGTAACTCTTTTAACTTGGAAGTCTCTCCTCAACAGCTAGTAAATCTCGTCCTCGCACTTTAATTCTCCGCCGAGAGCTTAGTGAGGTACGCTTCTAGGTCAAAGTTCTTATCGTTGAAGTCAACTGTAACACGTCAGTCTGGGTGTAGCTTTTCACGCTGCGGCTCGCTAAGGCTACAAACCATTGCCGCTGTCCGCTGAAGGAGGTAGAGTCTTCTTGGCCCATTCGAGCTTTGCCTTTTGTATTAAATCAACCTTGTGTTGGTATTCGGCTTGAGCATGTGTAGCTGCGTTATTTGATGTAATTGTTCTTTGGTGGTAGAACCCGTAGAAGAGACCAGCGATGAGAGCCGAGTATCGGAGCACCTATGTCTAATTAGCGCTCGTCCGTACTAGATTGCACCTCGCGGATTGAATTTTGGCATACATTGACTCCTTGAGAGGTTGACATCGTAACTCTAAGGGTGCGATCAACAGCAGACGCTCGTTGCTAGTATATCTGGATCTGCAGTTGCGCGCGCACTCTTGAGTGACTGGATGTCGCAGCCAAATTGTATCTGTTGTGTTGAGAAAGAGGTCTTGTAGCAGCTTAGATTCTGAGAGGATGTTCCATTTGTTCCCGAAGGAGCTCTAACAAAAAAACCCACGCGAGCTGAACACGTGACCTGTCCCCAAAAGATATCCAATGCCATCCAAATGAACACCAAGCGACTCCTGCCATTAATATTGAAAGCGAGGACTATTGCTGCAACATACGGCTTCAGTACACGCTCCGTGCCTGGGCCTTACTCCACACCATTCCCCCTCCAGCTGGAACCTCGCACTTAAAAATGTCGTCTCACAAAGATGAGCTTCTCGCTAAGAAGGCGCGCCTCGCCGAACTTAAACGCCAGCGGGCATTGCGCGAAGAACAGTATTCCTCCGGTCGTCATAGTATTGGAGAGGTAGGTCTACTATTCCATGCGAAAATGGGAGGAGTCGTGCTGACCATATCAAGGCTCCCTCCCCAAGCAGGACAGCAGAGGAGCGTAAATCCGAGATCGACCACTTGGTGTCTACGCTGATCGGGCGTCAACGAGATTCAACTGCTTCGGATAGCAGGAGGGCGAGTCGACCGTCCTCTATCCAAGGCACCGGGCAGATAACTCCTCAGTCCGATGTTGAACCATCACCTCGGATATTAATGCAATCTATCTCCACCCAAACCGATTCTTCTCCTACCTCATTTCCCGTCTACGAGGATTCTTCCACCAGTGAACCCGCTGCCCCCAAACGTGAATACATTACCTATACCAAGGGTGTACAGACAGAGCCATATGTCGAGGATACCACTAAGTCACAGGCCACGTCAGACGACGAACTACCTGTCCGTTCCAGAAAGCGGCTCAGCAGGAGGGATCAGGAAAGAGACGAGGAAATAAGAGTCAGCCTGCGCAAGGAGATCGAAGATGAGCTGAGGGCCACCCTCAACAGAGAGTCTACAATTTCATTGTCGGCCTCCTCTCAACAACGCTTCCCTCTTCGAACATTGACCAACACCGAGTTGAATGCTGTCGTTGGATCCTCTGAATTTGTCTCTTTTGTCGAGCGTTCTTCCAAAGTTATTGAGCGAGCCTTGGACCTGGACGATGAATACGATCTGTTGACTGATTATACCCGAACATCGAGCCTGGATGACGAGGATGATACGAGTTATGCACGATCCAATAAAAAGTCTCATTCTTTGCGCGAGTCATTCCAACTATTTTCTGACCGTCACTCCCGAAGACGAATAGTCTCAGATATTCAATTTTCGCCTCATTTCAACGAACTGCTTCTATCGTCCTATACCAAAAACCCGTCCGCTCCTCACGAACCTGCTGGTCTGGTTCTCCTCTGGAACGTTCACGCTCCGTCCAGTCCAGAATATTCTTTCACGGCTTCATCAGACGTTCTTTCAGCTCGATTTTCGCCATTCCACCCAAATCTAGTTATTGGGGGTTGTTATTCTGGACAAATATGTCTCTGGGATACAAGATCTTCGGGCAGAACCGGTCAGCCAGTCCAGAAGACACCTCAATCAGGCTCACATTTGGGACATACTCATCCAGTCTACAGTATTAACGTGGTGGGAACTCCTAATGCTCACAATATCGTGACAGCTTCCATGGACGGAGTTGTGTGCTCCTGGTCCGTCGACATGTTGACCCAAGCACAAGAGTACCTGGTTCTCAATACCCCTGCTCCTGCCAGAACCGACGACCTTGCACCAACGAGCATGAGCTTCCCAGCATCTGACCCAACCTTTTTCCTCGTTGGTACAGAGGAAGGAGCTATATATCCTTGCCACCGCTACGACCGAGCAGGTGCTCAAGCTGGCGTGGACAATCGTGTTGCTTACCGCGGCCACTCTGCGCCTGTTATGAGTTCTCAATTCCATCCTACACGTGGGCCTTTGGACCTAGGTGACCTCCTCCTCAGTTCGAGTTCGGACTGGAGCATCAAGCTTTGGAGGGTCAAACCTGCTGCAAGCTCTGTTGCGACGGTTGCTGACAAAAACGTCAAACCCATTCTCGATATCGCACGTGAAGACTTAGTCTATGACACCAAATGGGCTCCTTACAAGCCATCCGTCTTTGGTTGTGTGACAGGATCTGGTGACCTAGAGGTATTCGACTTAAGCTATGATCTCGAGGTGCCGATTACCAAAGTCAACCCTACTCGAGGTAAGAGCGGTATCTTACCCTTCAAAGGGCTAAATAAGCTGGCATGGGAGGAGAAACGCGGCAGCCAAATCGCCGTTGGTGGACTCGATGGTGTAGTCACTGTCTTCGATGTCGGTAAGGGCCTCCAGGGAGGAAATACGGAGGTGAACGAAGAAGAATGGAAAGCGATGAAGCGGCTGGTAACCAGATTAGAAGGTGCGAGTGCGAAATAGTCTCCAGCGGAGTCCTGGAGGCCCAAATCTTCGTCTTCTTCTCACACCGAGATTATTGGAAGAGTTCTATCTTTTGAGACGTGGGCAAAAGCGGTGTCCTGGACTGAGCGTGTTACCCTGGTTTGGCTTGCTTTTTTTTTGGCAAGAGTGTCTTGAAGCACTATGATACCCCACCTCAAAGGAGGAGCATTTTGGGAGAAAATTCGGCGTCATCAATTCGAATCGACATGTTTAACTAAAGTCGTCTGCTGTGAAAGCAATCCATTTCCGAACAGAATAAAATGGGCTCACTAGATGCACTCCTTCATAGTAGTGTCGCAAAACTTTTCTTTTGACCAGATTCGCTGGTTCGGCTCTCTTCAGTTTCGTTCGTGTGGATCGCACACAGTAGGAGCAGTAGGAGCGCACACGTTTTGCTTCTCCCCCGAAGACGACTCCTTCGCCTTCGCTTCGGACATACCACCATGCCGTCTTCCTCATCTTTTACCCCGAAAGTACAGCAATACTGCTAGTCAGCCTTGCTGCACAAGCCCTACGATAGAGTCGAAAGTGGCCCACTCGACTCACAACTTGGCCGCCCTTGCTCTGGACTCTTCTTTCGTGGTCGTACCCATCCTCAACCTCAACCCGTCCAGCGGTACACCCACACTATTCCCCTCTCCCAGAAGCACCTCCTGGCAGTCGTCATCGGCGATGCCGTTGACAAACTGTGTGACCAGGAAATCCACCCGCCGCTCGCCCAGCACGACCATCGGTGCGTGCCATGTGCCCGCCCCATACGTGACGGCCTGGTCGCCCTGTGCGATGAACGCGCGGAGACGGGTTAGGTCGGGTGGTGACTTGATCTCGAGATCCCGGCTGGAGCTGTTTCTGGTGGTGGTTGGGAGCGAGGGCGCGACGATCACTAGGAAGAAAGTCTTTGCACGATTGTTGTCTTCTCCTGTGGCTAGACCCAATGGCGAAAATGTCTGGGTCGTATGTGGATGGCGTTCCAGGATCGCAACTCGGAACCGGACGCGAGGTGACGACCCTGCTTGCTGGGTCTCGGAGCCTGCAGTCTCGATCCCGATCCCACTCAAATTCCGCGGAAAGCATGAGAACATGCTCATCTGCGGCTCTGATGGTGGAGTCGGTGGGTAGCGATTCTCGAATATTGAGACTGGAGACGTCTTCAGTGCGGAATTTTGATTCGCATATCTAGCAGCCGGCTGGTGTGGTGCGTGTAGAGGGTGTGGGATCGTGGATGGTGGTGTATTTAAATTAGAAGAGAAGGCTGGAGAGATGGCGGTGCCGAACGGTGCAAATGATGCTGGTGTGAGGAGTTCCAGCGGGAGGAGCAAGGGGTGTTCGAGGATCTTGGGAAGCGACGGCGGTGACGTTGACATCTTGACACCGAGAACAAAGACTACCCTTCGTTTCCTCTGACAGAGGCCGTTCTCCTCGTTTCACAAGCCTCGACAAGAAGCCCAAAAATTCTGCTCAGGAACCAAACCAGCAGGATTTCTCTGGCTTTATCTGTGGTGTCGAAAATGTATTTGACCTTGCTTTCTGATCCCAAGGAAATGCAATGAGCATCGCGGTGCTTCTGCTCGTGCCCAGAGGGCCTCTATTTACTGTGTATATATTGACCCTTTAAAGAAGAGAGCGCATTGGGAACAGAGTAGTGCAACTGACGGGCGACGGAAATAACCGTTGAAGGTTTGAGGACGTGGGGTTTTGGATCAGAGGGCTTGGATCTTGTCTTTTCCCATCCGCGCTCGCATACCAACGGCACTCTACTCTAGAAGAATGAGTGCCCAGGAACTTTTGGCCAACGTTCAAAATACCCTACCTGCACAGGTAGTAATGCATACATGATGGGTTAAGAAAGATGTCAAGCTACACTGAGGTAAAGGATAAATTCGTTTGATCAATTTCATCGATTTCAGCAACCGGTTTACGGGAAAAATCTGCCGGCTCTATCTACAAAAGTAACAGACCTTTCCCAGCTTTCTGGCAGGAAACCACACACTTTTGTTTCGAAGAGAACTATCCGAAAGTGACGCCGACCACAATGTTGGAAAAAATGCGTAATGGTGTGTTTGCATAACCCCCCATTTCGTGAAAGACGCTGCAAAGCATCAAGGTCTCGAAGTTTCAATTTTGAAATCGTTAAGACGAATAGGTGTGGCTCTGTGTCCTGCCATGCGCCGGCTGAAACAGAGCTGGCACGTACTTTCTACCTCGTAGCCATGGCCTTGGTCATGGCACGCTTCAAAGCCAACTCCTTCTTCTTGAGGTCATCTGGCGATGAGTCATCGACCTCTAGTTGCTGCATAGCATCACTAAGAGCCTCCTCGATCTTGGCCTTGTTACCACGCTTCATTTTCATCGACAAACCGGGGTCGTTGATAAGCTCCTCAACGCGGCCAATGTATGACTCAAGTTGTTGTTTGGCTTCGAACTTCTTGGTGAAAGCCTCGTCGGAAGTCTTGAATTTCTCAGCATCCTCAACCATCTTCTCGATTTCGCCAGTGGAGAGCTTGCCAACAGCATTGGAGATGGTGATGTTGGCGGTTCGGCCGGATGACTTCTCAGTTGCAGTGACCTTCAGAATACCGTTGACATCTACTTCGAACACAACCTCGAGTGCGGCATCACCGGCTTTCATAGGTGGGATGGGAGCAAGAGTGAATTCACCAAGGGAAGTATTGTCTTCACAGTTGGTTCGCTCGCCCTGGAAGACAGGGAATTGAACCTATAGAAAGTATTAATTTCATGATAGATAGCAAAAGGGATAACTAGTAGGTCGTGAACGCACCTGAACTTGGGAATCGACTACGGTTGTGAACGTTCTATTCGATTCGTCAGTACATAGAATGGTTGAGAATGAAATGCCGAACTCAAATAATCACAAATCGATGGATGAAAGTTTTGTTTTGGGTTGGGGGGGGAAGAGTAGGGGGGGGCGCAAAACGGGGAAGGGCAGAGAACGGAAAGAGGGCGGGTCTACTAACCGTTTCTTGAGGCAAGGGACTGTGGAACCACGAGCAACGACGGGGGCAAAGATGTTACCCTCCATGGCAACACCCAAAGAGAGAGGAATGACATCGAGCAAGAGCAGGTCAGCCGTATCGGCAGAAGTAGCCATGCCAGATAGGATACCAGCCTGAACGGCGGCACCATAGGCAACAGCCTCGTCGGGGTTGATGCTCTATCTTTTAATCAGTATAGTTATTGAATCCGTTCGAGAACAGTCAACGTACCTTCTCCAACTTCTTTCCATCGAAGAAGTCGCTCAACAGCTTCTGGATACGAGGGATACGGGTAGAACCACCAACAAGCACAATTTCATCAACCTTGGACTTTTCGATACCAGAATCCTTCAGGACTTGCTGGACAGGCTCCAAAGTGCCACTGAAGGCCTTTGCGTTCAGATCCTCGAAACGAGCACGAGTGATCTGAGAGTTGAAATCCTCACCATCGAAGAGAGAATCGATCTCGACGGTGGTTTGGGTTCCATTGGACAAGGTACGCTTGGCACGTTCACAGGCGGTCCGAAGTCTTCGAAGGGCACGGGCATCACCAGAAAGATCCTTCTTGGTCTTTCGCTGGAACTCCTTCTTAAAGTGATCGAGGAGGTTGGTATCGAAATCTTGACCGCCCAAATGGGTATCACCGGCAGTGGCCTTGACGGTGAACACGCCACCCTGAATGTTCAAAAGAGATACATCAAAAGTTCCACCACCAAGATCATAGATCAGAACGTTGCGCTCCTTCTCAGACTTGCCAGAGCCAAGACCGTAAGCGATGGCAGCAGCAGTGGGCTCGTTGATGATACGGAGGACATTGAGACCAGCGATGGCACCAGCATCTTTGGTGGCTTGTCGTTGGTTATCGTTGAAGTAAGCAGGGACAGTGATGACAGCCTTGGAGACCTTCTTCCCGAGCTTGGTTTCGGCGACCTCCTTCATCTATTGCACGGATTAGGATAAAATTGGAAAAAGATAATGTCTATCCGAGAAAAACTGATTTCGCCATACCTTTGTCAAAACCATGGAAGAGATCTCCTGGGGGGAGAATGTCTTTGTCTCTTTGAGGTATTCAACCTGGACGAACGGATTGCCACCCTGATCGATGATCTTGAACGGCCATGTTTCGACATCCTTCTTCACGGTGGGGTCATCGAATCTTCGTCCGATCAATCGCCTACATCAGGTCGTAAATATGAGGAACGTATCTTTGTAGACGATATAGGGACCGTCTATTCTGAAAGCTCAACTCACTTGATATCGAAGACGGTATTTGCTGGGTTCATAGCGGCCTGGTTTTTTGCGGCCTCGCCGATGAGACGCTCCTCATCGGTGAACGAGACGAACGAGGGAGTGGTGAAGCTGCCTTGCTCATTCGCGACTTCGCTATATGTGAGAAATGTTTGAAAAATCTGCGGCGGAAAAATGTGCACAACATGGATAGAAACGGGTGATGAATGGGGGAGGAATTTGCGAGAAGGGGGGTGGACTTCTGTAAGACCTCTCAATGAGGAAATGGAGAGGAAGACGTACTGATCTCGACATTGGTGCCTTCGTAGTTGGCAACGCATGAGTAGGTAGTGCCTGAATATCTGTTAGACTGCGCACAATTCCCCTCAGCGCCTGATGATGGGATAATACATACCAAGATCGATGCCAATGGCACCTTCATAAACCTCTTCCGACATGATTAATGGATATGGAGAAAGTTCCCTGGAGCGACTTCTCAGAAGAGTGAGACAAGAAGGTCGTTCAACTCACAAGAAAGAGGAATGGGAGGTGCAAGCAAACCCACCCACTCTGGCGAACTTTTGGTGCATGAATTTTCTCGAAAGTCTAAAAATTTCGCCAAGAGTTTACGCGGGCTAACTTCACCGCCTTTGCCCCTCGGCCCGGATTTTCTATTGTTCCCTAGCTAACGGAGCACAACGTGAGTCTTGTTTGAAAGGAAACTGTGTTGTACATAGTCTATCAACGGCGTCCACCTATTAGGTATTCTACCGCTGCCCAAAGAGTGGCGGGTTCTCTATTTCCACATTAATCGTAAGTATTAGTGCCGGTGTCCTAGCAAATGGTATAAAACATCATCAGTCGCATCTATCCCTCTTGATCTCAGGTCTGTCTTGCCGCCAAAGTTTCCACAATCTGGATCTCAGGGCGTCGAAGCGAGGAGCGGCCCTCATGCATTAGGGGCCTCGGACTTTCCAACAGCACCCTGGCCTTCCTCCGCTCGAATGTCTATCTTCTTCTGCTTAACAATCAAACCTTGTTCGGTCTCCAAACCGACATTCAAGTCGTACCCTTTGATCCAGAGACTTGCAATAAGACAGACTCCAGCCAAGACTGTGAGGAAAATGTAGACGGTTCTCAAACTATCAGTGTATGCGGTCTGAAGATCAAGCTTTCCGTCGGCGACGGCAGTGTGCTTGATGATCTCAACCAAGGCAGCTGCATCCTTTGCGAGCTCGCTAGATTGCTCCACAAAGCGAGGATATGCTCGAAGGTTGTTGGCCATCTCGTTTTGGAAAACCACCCCGCCAATCGCGACCCCCAGCGCTTGACCGAAGGATCGGAAAAACACAAACATGGCGACGGCAAAGGCCATATCTTTATTCGTACTGGCGGCTTGCAGCTGGAATTGAAGGGACGGGAACAGGATACCCAGACCGACACCCGAAACCAGATCAATGAAAATCCACTGTGGGACCTTTGTGTCTACTTTGAGTAGGACCAGCAGACCAAGACCAAGCGTCGAGACTACCCAGCCGGACCAAATTGCCCACCTATATCGTCCTAGTTTGGTAATTGTAAACCCAGTGACGACTGCCAAAGGTGCCACGGTGAACGTTGCAGGGAAGAGGGCAACACCTGAGATGACTGGCTTGTACTCCTTCACAGCCTCAAAGTACAATGGCTGATAATACAAAAGACACCAGAGAATAAGGCCGTGAATGGTTGTGGTTAGGTAGGCAATGTTGGCAGTACGGTTTGCAAACACTGACAGTCGAAGGAGAGGCTCTGGGGCAAAGTACTTCTCATAGAAGCAGAAGCCGAGGAGACCAGCAGCGCCGATGATAAGAGGAACGAGGGTTCTCCAATGGGACCAGGGGTACATGACACCTCCCCAGGTAAGTGGAATGAGGAAGCTTGTCATGCTTCCCACAAACAAGATGGTGCCAATCCAATCGACTCTTCTCAATTTGGCAGCAATGCTTTGTGGAATGACGTTGAGTCTCAGAAAGAGAGGAACCATGATGCCGCCGATTCCTATAAATGGTAAATTGATCCAGAAGATCCATCGCCACTGAACGGTTGCAAAAGCGCCTCCGATAATAGGTCCTGAAACACTACCTATGGACCACATGCCTCCAATGATTCCGGCCCATTGACCTCGATAACGGAGTGGTACTAGATCAGTAATTACGATCTCGGTCATGGAGATAATACCTGAGATACTGGTTAGTCAACACAACAAGGAGAAAGCATCTACAACTTACCACCACCACCGATTCCCTGAATAGCCCTGCCGGCCAGCAAGAGGCCGAAGTCATTGGCTAATGCGGCCATCATCACACCTGCAAAGAACAGGACTATGCTGATCATGATGACTGGCATTCGTCCGAAGATGTGGCTGAAGCTGGCAAAGTTTGGCTGAAAGACAGTCGATGCAAGCAGAAATGAAGTTCCTGCCCAAAAAGCTTCAATGGCGGTTCCGTTTAGTTTGTGGGCAATGATAGGCAAGGCTACTGATATTGATGTACCATCCAGTGCCACCATCAGAGTCAAAACCGCTAAAGCGGCGAACGCCATGAGGAAACGAGTGGATATTTCAAAGGTAGGTGGTGATGTGTGAACTCCATCCTTTGCTTCAACAAAAGACGAGGAGGAGGAAGTACTTTGAGCTTCTTGTCGTTGAGTTGTTGGAACCGGGGGTGGTTCCAGCCCTGACGGAGCATTTGACATAGGGAGGGTATCCATTCTGGAAAACACAAAATATTGGATGCGTGTGGGAGCGAGAAGGGGACTTTCAAGCTTGTGTCTGATACAAGATGACTCTATTTGTTGAAGAAATACCAGGCGTTTGCTTCGGTGGGGTGATAGTTTCACATGGAAACGGGTAATATGGAAATCAGTGGTAGTAGCAAACACGGGTGATCTGTGAGAACCCTTTACTTCCGAGCATTGGAAAAGAGGCCATGGCCAAAGTAGCGGATGGAGGCATCCAGATATACTCTAGCGGAGACTGGTAGTGAATGTGTGAATTATAGCTGCCTGAACAAAAAGGTTCTGCTGCTTATCCAACCGGAGCAACCTCAGTTGAGACTGATAGCGACCATGGCTCAAGAAAGCGCCAGTGGATGCCATATTGGGCGTAGAGTGCGCGATGCCGCAAGGCTGAACGGCATTGGTAATTACGAAAGGGGCCGATCACCGACGGGACGATGTTAGGCCGCAATGGTTTCCCCACAAGCATGTCAAACTTCACCAAATTTATTCACTCATATTTCCATGGTTGTTGTCGTCATGGATCAAAAGATCATTTCGTACGCGTAATGAGAAGCCCAGATACTCCGTACCCATATCATGATGCCGTGTTCCCCTGTGCGCATGACTCAACGAGAGACAATAGGACGGGAAAGCAAGAATTTGGTTATCTGTCACTTTGGCAATCTACCCGGATTCGTAATCTTACGAAGTATCAGGACTCCGAGACATAGAGTCCGTACCGAGTACGTACCGAGTAGACTTATTTGATAGTTAAGTCTGTCGCTTGCACGTTTTGGGAGTGCCAGATGGATCGTCTAATTACTTCGCACCGCAGTTATAACGGTCGTGCAGACATAGATAGGATACGGCCGGGCGTAAAGGTGGGTCACATACTGTATGTGGAAAATTATACGTGTGACCAGCACTGACCGCACGGAAGAACTACACACCGACCATGCTTTCCAACACACGTGGGTGCCGCCATGTTCATGGCGGAGGCAGAGCAGTCAATCGGTGGCATGTGGTTGAGCTACAGCAGGCTGATAATGACTGACACCTTCTTGTCCGTGCAGAGGACGCAAGCCGTTGATCAATCCAATTGTCGGTACGTCACGGTCCAATGGAAAGTCGCAAGGAAGCCAGCACTGTTTCGGGGAGCGGAGAATCCTTCCGCTGTCCGCATCGCTCAACAAGAAGAATGGACGGAGTCATGGACGAGATACCATGGACGAGTATTTGTACATACATATTCACCTACTCGTATGTACGCACAGTAGTTGCACTGCTCCAGACCCGACCTTTTCAGAATCTTGGCTCGACTGGCCACATCTCGCTTTCATCCGTTCTAGTCCTTTGACCAACAATATCGTCGGCTCAAGGATCTCGACGGTTGATAATCATTCACACTAAGCATTAAAATCAAAATTTAACGGTGCGAAGGTGCCGGTACCGCTGCTCCTGTGGTTGTGTTTGTGGCGGAGCGACTTCTTGTCAACAATAGGCGCTGGATGCAGGGGCTCGGACTTGTGTAACTCTGTGCCTTTCTTTTCATTCTTCTCATCAGAGTGAAGTCCACGATCATCGAAATCCGTGTGTGGACGTTTCTTATCCTCCTTTCGCTTGCTTGGAGCCGAGAGCTCGGCTTGTTCGGCTTCAGAGGCTTGAGTTATCTTGATTGGTTGTTGGGTAGGGTCGATGTTTTTGTCGTTGAAACACATCCTGCCCGCCTGACCGAAATCACGCCTATCGAAAGATCACAAGAGGCGAAGTGCCTTGAAAATAATTCGATGTGGATGACCCGCCGATGAGCTTATTTGTTTCTTCTCCTGGGAAGCGGTGTGTTACGCGATAGTCGTAGAGTTCGACACGACCATGTATGATTTTTGGTGATTCACCTTCAGCGCTGATGCAGATGGCAAGGATACATGATTTATCTCTCTTCGTCACCTGCCCATCCCCGCGATTGAAGAGGCAATGGCCCTAAAATGGTGCATGCCGAATACGATAAAACAGGCGATGTTGTTCGCAGGATCTCATCTGGAAGAAGTCAAGGCGTAGAAACAAAGGACTTGGCGACGATAAAAATAGCGCATCACTACAAACAAGCGGCATGCTGTCCAGGACGGAAATAAAAAGGGTGCCCCTGTGCCGCAAGCGAAGACAAGGGCTAGTCAGTGGTATAACAACCAGTACAGAGTACATATTGAGGGCCGCCATCAGGCTCACTCGACGTGATGGGTAGGCAAACGGCACTGGGCACTGGGCAATGGGCATACATGCCCCCTCCCCGATCTGAGATCCCCACCTTCCCCAGAACAGGCATCAGGCGCACTTACCGGGTGAGCATTCCATTGTTCCATCGGCCGGCTTCAAGCAAGGCAGAATCACACAATTTGCTTCTACTACGCCGCACACTCTTCCTGGAACATCGGTGGACTCGACGAGTTGATGTGCGATTAGAGGCCCTTCGTCCGCGGTTCCTCACCGGATTCATGGTTGTGGGACCCCAGCATTCACAGATGCCGACAGCCTGGCTACTCATTATGTCTTCCAAGGAAGCTACGGTACAACACAGCCACTAGTAATCCGGGCTTTTCTCTAGAGATCCCTTCTTGCTGCGGCGAATAACTTGAGTCTGGAGGCGGGTTGAACATGATTCCAGTAGGCAGGCCACAGTACTTTGAATGTGTTATATCAGCGGCAGATTCATCAGGTATGGGGTATGCACCAAGTCCCATCGAGGTCAATAATTGGAAGTCGCAGAAAGAGGATACCCCAATATATGCCCCAGCCATCGCCACTGGTCAAACGTTGGCTATTTTGGACTTTGCAGTGTCTGACTCTGTAGCCGAGGTTATGTATGGTAGGCATTGCGGAGGCGATTTGCTTGGGTTGAGCTTTGGAGTCAACGGGGCTCCGCTACAGTCCCCGAACAGCGAATGAACATCCACGTTGATTCAATTAACGCCTCGGGAGACCTCAAGACGAGAGGTGAAGTATTCTTAACCATTCTATATCTATATCTCAGATCTTTTCTTGATTTTCAGTGCGTCACTCTAAAAGTGATAACGGAGAGCTTCTCAGTACTGGAGTGTTAGGAGGACAACACAAGTTAAGAGCAGGCCCCGTCACGATGTCTTCATATGCGATGAGAGGACCTTTCTGCCCTGTTGGTTTTGATGACAAGATCACTGTTTCCCAATTTATGACAAAGTACAATCCAGACCTTTGTCCGGCCGATAAAGTGGTCCACATCGACACAATAGCAAACAAGAGCCTCACATATGGAGGCCTTCGAGAGCAAGCCGCCAAATGCGCTTGGGGGTTGAAACATCGACTGGGTTTAAAGGAGGGAGATAGGCTGATGGTTCTTGTCCCTAATTCGGTATGTCAGATCCGATGCGCCAGGGGGCCTTACATACTGACCTTGGCCAGACAGACTTCATAATTCTGGCTCATGCTACATTGTGGTTGGGAGCAGTATTTTCGTACGTTTCCATCTCGCGCGCGTATTGGCTACAATCTCACATGTTAATCAAGACCCCTCAATCCCGCATCAGTAGCCAAGGATATTGCTCACGCTGTCTCCTTGGTCAAGCCGAGTCATCTTGCGATACATCCAAGCAAGCTAGCAGCGGTAAGCTCTGCACTTCAGCAGCTGGCTTTGGATGGATCGCAGAGACCCACCGTCTTCACCCTCATCGAGAGATATGAAAACTTGAAACTGGTAGAGAAAACATGCCCTTGCCCAAGCTTAAGATCTAACTCCTGACAGTTTCCGGACGACATCACCGGGACCCTGGAACATGAAACTTTCCCTGCTTACGATCTGCAAGGCAAATCCGCAAAAGATGTGACCGCTTTCATCGTATTTTCTTCCGGTACGACAGGCAAAATCAAAGGTGTTCAGCTGTCCCATTACAACATTGTCTCCAACATGTTGCAATCTCGGATAGCGGTCCCGGGGTTAGTCGTATCTTCTTCCAGAGAATGCTTCTTCCCTCCCTGTGAGTATTTCAGCGACCGAATTCTAGGCTTTTGAGCTTACATCTTTCAGACTGTCACGTCTATGGGCTATCAGTGGTTGTTCTTATGGGGATGTGGGTGGGCTCGTTCACATGTGGCATCCCAGCATTCGAATTTGAGCTCTTTTGTCGCAAGATGTCTGAGTATAAAGCCAACTGGGCTCACATTGTACCACCGATTGCTGTACAACTTGCGGACGCCGCCGCGGTCGCCAAATACGATCTATCATCACTAAAAACGATCTTGATCTCCGCAGCACCTACGAAGAGAGCGTTGCAGGTCAGGCTGAAAGCAAGATTCGGAGCCGATTCTAGAATCATTCAAGGCAAGTGTCCCGACAATTCTCAACACGGTTGCTTCTGACCCGGGATTTAGGTTATGGTATGAGTGAATGTGCACCCACGGTGTTGCTACAGACCACATTGGACGACGAGAACAACATTGGCACTGTGGGAAAACCTGTTTCTGGAACGTACGTATTTGTCCTTAATCCGTGAGCTTCTTTCTGCTAAAATCGCCAAAGTGAAGTTCGTCTTGTAGATCCAGTCTCTCTCAAAGACGTTGCACCAGGCGAGGAGGGTGAACTCTGGGTCAAAGGCCCACAGACTATGATGTAAGCTGTTCAACAATATTCCCAAGGTGGTTCTGACAATTATAGGGGCTATTATAACAACGAACCAGCAACTCGCGAAACCTACGTTGGTGAATGGCTGCGGACTGGTGATGTTATGCGGGTTGACGGGAACGGCAATTTCTGGGTTACTGACCGCCTGAAAGAGGTTTGTCCAACGTAGTGGTACCTTGATAAAATGTAGAACGATACTGACCCTGGAATAGCTGATCAAATACAAAGGCTTCCAAGTCCCACCATCCGAGCTGGAGGATCTTCTCCTGCAACATCCATCCGTGGCAGACGCAGCGGTGACATCGATATATTCAGATGAACAAGCTACCGAACTCCCCATTGCATATATCACCCTGTCAGCCAAGCACGCTTCGTCCAAGCAAGCCCAGAAACAAAAGGCCCTGGACGAAATCCGCGCGTGGACCGATAACCAGGTGGCCGGGTACAAGAAGCTGCGAGGCGGTGTGTGGGAGCTCCAGAACCTGCCCAAGACGCCAAGTGGCAAGATCCTCCGCAAGGACCTCCCGTGCCGGAGACAAGAGGAAAAGCCGGCGAAGTTGTGAACATTGGTGGATTGGCGGGCCGTGGACTTGTTCCATCCCTCGAGGGCGATCAATCGGGGAGGGAGCCTTTCGGAACACTAGGTCTGTATAAGTACTGAATGTAACGGTTGGATGCCTTACTTGGTGAACTGGTGTCACCGAACAATATGTGCAACTGCTAGCTGCCTAGACGCTGGACTCAATCTCACCTTCAACACCATACGGACCTGTGAGTTTCAAAAGCGGAAGCCCTGAACAAGATTCCCACTTACTAGACCAAAACAAATCCCGATTTGAATCAAGGCCAGGTCTGTGAAGGTCACAAGATAACTGCCTAAGAAAAATTTGCGGGAAGCGTCTCGACTAGAAAGACACCCCGTTCCCGGGAGGAGAAGGAGAGTCTTCATGTATATTGCACCGCTTGGCGCTGCAGCGCGGATACCATTGGTGATTGCGGAGACTTGTCGAAGTATGTGCCTTCCGAAGGGGTCTCGGGACTGGAATGCTACAATGTGGGCTGAGATCGAGTAAAGCAGACTCGG